TCGAGGCTACGTAATAGGCTTGAATTTGGAATCAACTCGTCAGTGCCATTCTCAGTTATAAGCGAGGGAATTAGTCATGACTGAATCTCCGGGAGGGGATTCTGAACTCCGTGAATCCCTGTGCCCCTTTCTCGATAGCGGGATAAATAGTTCAGAGTTTGCCTGGCTACCTTACCTTATATCCTCAGGCTGACAGCCGTTGGTGCTTTATTAATTATTAATGGCCTCAATGGCGAGGAGTGGCCGTGAGACAGGCAGTTCGCTCCTGCCAGTTCAGTATTCAAGTTGCAGGTCCAGTTTGTCGACGTTCGTCGTTCCTCCCCCCCCACCCTCCCGGATTCCGGCATCCACATCGCACCTACCTTACCTATCCACCACATCCAAACTACGGCGTTGCGGCGCAATCTGGTCGCCGTTGCGTTTCGCTGCTCTCCCGCCCTCGCATCTTGGTGGGCAAGAGAGAGCTAAGACGACCATGGGATGACGTCTGCAGGACCTGCCAAATTTTCTGCCAATGCAGATCACTGCTTGCCGACTGCTACCTGAGCATTATGGTTGACTCTGAAGCGACCGGCCCCGCCCTCAAGTCCGCAACTCTTGAGGCCCAGGCCTAGGCCTAGGCCCTTTCCGGGCGCGAACAAGGGCAAAGCCAAAGTTTGAACTCATCCGCTAACTTATGTACAGCAATCTAGACATTCTAAGCTGATAAGCTTCAGACTTCTAGGGCCATATATTTTCATGTAACTGCTTAGTTTGTATTGAAATATTGCAGGAAAGAACCAAACAGTCGGGAGCGGAGATGGGTTTCACCCCTCTTCCCCACCTCTTTCCCCAACTGTCCCCCATCTCCCCCCGACCACGGTGTGCATTGGAATGACGGTCTGGACTGGAGAGCTGAAGTCGGATGGTTCCAACGATATGGAACTTTCAGCTAGGCCTGTTCCAGGACTTGGCCCAGGCTACTAGGCACCCGTACGAAGAGAGAAAGAGACATGAACCAATAAATTTCTGTTTCACCCTCCTGCAGCACCTACCTCCCGTCGTCTGTGGTCAATAATCTCGAGCGTCATGTCGAAAAGTCGATCCGCAAACCTGGTTAACCGAGTGGTTTCGCCCCCATTTCCCCATGTCTAGACTGAACGTCAGCACTCGGATAATGCCCTGTTTCATTTCCGCATCCCTTTCGGCTCCGCTTCCGGCACTCCCCTGTTTGGATGTTGCCTGTTGCTTGTCAGCTTGTAGCCAGCCTATTTCCCGTGAAGGGAAGCCTGTTTTGGACATCCGGGATGCCCTCCGGAACAGCTGGCTGGAGGTTGAAGACTCCAAACCACATGGGCGTCTAGGTGGGGCATTAAAAGATGCACTCGCGTCTCGGATCGAGTCTTGGAAGTTAAGCCATCCAATCTTCTGGGCATCTTTTGTCATTATTGACGGCGTTGTTAAGATTCGGTAGGTCATCCCTTGATCCATTTGACAGGAAGTGACAGCCGCAATCTCGGGGAATGGAAGCCATCTTTCCCAAGATCCCGGGCCTCGGTTCCTGGCCTCGAGTCTCTCGTCTCGCGTGCTCTCTTTCACACACTCTCTCCGGCTTCAGCGAACAAGGTCGGTATCAGCAAGGGCTCGCATTACCTAGCTGCCCAGACAAATACCGGTGCTTCTCGACCATCGTGTATGTATGTATGTACAGTACGGTAACCAGTCGAGACATATAGGTCTTGGCACAGTATGCTGGACGCGGCTGGCCACACGGCACCAAGTTGCAACAGAGCACCCAGTGGAGAAGCTCTGCGCATCAAATAATACACGTGCTGGAACTCGTCGGCACAGTTGCCCACGCAGGTCAGAAAGGAGCAATCAATTCCGACACAACCAGCCATCGAAATGGCGTTTTCGTTGTCCGCTGTCACACCAACTGCCACCCTTTCAGAAGCAGGCTTGTCGTCCAGTCCTCCTGCGCAGTATGCCCCTGCAAACCAATGTTAAGTTCTCACCCAGGACCAGGTGGTCCTCGATTGCGATGCGGCCCGACCATTTCCATCTCACCTCCCTGAAGGTCCTCGATGCAACACCGCAATGCTGGCAATGCTGGTTGTTGCCAGCGGATTGATGGGATTACGGATTCTTTCGGTATTAATGTCTCTGATCACTTATAGATTACTGTGCAGACCCCCGACCCATTATCGCAGGTCTGCTTTCAAGACTTCAGTCAAGACGGTAGCTGGCTTCTGGCCAGCTGCACACAGAGTCCCATTTGTTGTATTGCGCCGCGCCGCGCCACGGGGAGTAAGACGACGTCGAGCAGTGAGCCACCGAACCTTTCAGTTGCTGCTTTCTAGCCCAAACGAGGTTGGACCCCTCCTTTGCGAGCGCCGCCCCCGGACTTGTCGTACCTCGAGCTGGGTCTGATAGGGCGCTGCCGCCGTCGACCCAGAAAAGCCTGGGTCGCACAGCATCTTCCTTCCGGTCCGACAAGGAGGCCACTCTAACCCCCTTTTAGTTTGTCACGCAGGTGTGGACTGCATCCGCCGCCTCCAAGTTCTAGTGACTTGTGCGCCATCGTTTTTGTGGAGAATTCCATGACGGCTCTTTGACCCGCTACCACCGTCACTACGGTGTCTATCGATTTTGCCATCTCCGGAGAATGAACGTCCCGGTCGACAGTAACGACTTCGATTGATCGGAGTGGGGACAAGAAAAAATGCCTGCCCGGGGCCGAGCCATTTGGAAAACTACCTAGCCCACTATTTGCGGTGCCGCTCTTGGCACGGAGTCTTGGCCGAGGTCTAACAGCGCCATGGTTTGCTTCCTCTGAAGGATCAGCCAGGTCCCATTGCTAAGTTTAGTCGGTGGTAATGACAGCGGTTTGGTCGGACTTCCTATTTCCATTACACCATAGGCCAAGTGGCTTCCTAGGCGCACACATGGTGGCTGCGTCGGCCAGGTAGCTGGTATTCCTATGCGCACCTCGACCCCGTCCACGTCTGCATCATGGGGAAATCACACACACTCAACGCGCTGCGCCGCCGCCATGGTTTACCATGGAACCTCAAGCTACCGGTGTGAACCGGCTCCCATCAAAGCTCGCACGCATACCGTGTCGTCGTCTATTTTGGCACTCGGAGTGCCGCTGGAGTCGTCCAATCTCCATAGAATCGCATACGCACCGTGCAGCTAGCGAGTTTCGGTTCACCTCCACATTTGTGATGGAAACACGGCAAGCATTTCTTGGGACGGATGAGTAACAACGGGCTCGAGCAATTCTACATGCCTGGTACTTGCCCAGCCGCAGAGGCGCCGAAAGTCAACAACAAATTGCTCGAAATGGGCGATTGATGACATAGCTGCATCAGGTTACTCTACACGTACTCGCCGAGGACAACACGGGAACGCGAACTGCCGATGCTGAACTGATTGCACCGTCAGATGTCGGATTACGTGTTCGGCGATAATTTGAACCTCGGGCGTGCTACGTACTTCTCCCAACACTTGCTTGTTGGCCGCTCATCATCAACCACCTTCGTTTCTTCAAGACCAGCTCCCGTTGTTCAACCCATTGCACGACTCGCCGCCGGCAACTTGGCTGGCGAGGTTGGATTTCCCGCGCGGTAGAGAAGCCCCTCAAAGCCAATCTGGGAAATAAATTCCGTGGCTAAAAGGCCACCCTGAGCTCCTTGCAGTTGCTGGTTCGAGTTTCCCGTCAGCCGAGCGTATTGGCTTTTGTGTCACCTCTGTGTAACTTCAAATACACAGAACCTGAAATGCCGTCGAGTTGGTTCGGCCGCGGTCCTCTTCCCCTCAACCAAGTCCAAAGCGTCGTCCCCCTTTTGGGGGCCTTAATCGAAGAAGCTCTCTTGGCCTTCGGTTCTGCGTTGTTGTCACCTAATCAACCACCGCCCCGTGCTGTGCCGCTGCGCCTTGGGGAGAGAAAAAGATGGGCCAAGTTTTTGGTTTTCACCCTTCCCGCTCTCCGGCCTATCGCTATCTCCCGAGAGCCCCAGCACCCGGGCCAAGCCCTGGCTAACACTGCAGCCATGGGGCGTAGCAGTCTGTCAAAAAAGTCTGGAGACGAGACAGTTCAGCTGATAACCCATACCCAAGGCCCCCAACTTCGGACGCAATAAGCGTCCTAGCTGGGTACACGGCCCTCGCTTCCAGGCGGTAGAGTTCCTTCTCTTCTTCCTTGGGTTCTCTTCCTTTATCCCATTACGCACACACTCGCCCCCCTCTTCCACGACGTAAGCCGCCATTATCTTACCTTATCTTGTCCCCAACTAAAAAAGCCGGCGCCGCCGCCTTGCAGCGGCATCTGGCCCTGTTAAGCAAGGAAGCAAAAAAGGGGGTGGGTTGGAGAGTGTACGCCCGTTGCTGCATAAAGTAATCAACCCGTCCTGTGCCTCGCGTGGGCCGCGAGAGAGCTGGATAAAAGAGGGTTGGGAGGGCCGAAGAAACTTGTTCTTAGTCGCCGAGTAGGTATATGTCGCTTATTCGCCAGTTTGAGGATGCCACCCTCCCTGATAATATCAAGTTGGTGGATACACGGCAGCCAAAGTTGATCACGAGTTTGCTCACGGTACATGAATCAAGGTTGCAGTCTCCCACATCTCTTATTTTTCTCTCTCTTTTTGCGAGAAAACATATTGCTTAGGCGATGCTAAAAAGAGTTACCCGTTTTCTCCCCGTCCAAAGGGGGAGGAGGACAGACAGAGGAGAAAGTAGAGAGAAAGCTATCTACATGACTGCTACTTGGAACCGCCTTTTTTACTAGTCCTGAGCATGTACTGGTAACATGTACAAATATGCACGTGCATCTCTAACAATGTGTTCATCGATCCTTCCTAAATCACACGTTCAGGTTCAAAAAATGTCATGATTCTGCATGAATGTGTTCGCACGATCCATGGCGCCTGCCGGGCGCCTAAGTTTTGTTTCCCCCGTTGCCTCACCTTCTAGAAGGAATGAGTGGAACAGAAGGAGGAGAAGGGTAAGAGGTGGCCGCATCAGTCTTGGAACTCTGTGTCCAAGCCAGATTCCTTGACGAGACCATGGAAGACGCCGCGCTGCTTTATGAGCTCCTGCGGAGTGTCAAACTCGACCACCTCGCCCTTGTCGAGCACGACCACGCGGTCGCTGTCGAGGATGGTGTTGATGCGGTGGGCGACGGTGATGATAGTACGGTTGGAAAAAAGGGGGCTACGTAGCGTTGCCTGGAGCAGGGCGTCCGTCTGGACGTCGACGGCGGCCGTGGCCTCGTCGAGCACCAGGATATTTGACGGTGTGAGCATAGCGCGTGCTAGAGACACAAGCTGGCGTTGTCCAGAAGATAGGTTCGATCCTGAGACGGTAGGGGGTGTCATTGTTAGCTACGAGCTGCACACGCACAATGGTTCACTCCTCATCTTCCTTAGCGGCAATCGTCTCCTCAAGAAATCATGGCGATTCCCGCAACTTCACGGAGTAATAGGAATTTTGAGATGCCTGCCGGGACATCCACGTCGCGTGGTGCAGACTAGGGTCAGGTAAAGCGGGATAGGGCACGGGTAGGTAGGCAGATTGAGTCGGTGAGGAAGCAAAGAAAACCTAACGAGTCTGGCCATGTCTGGAACCTGGCAGGGAGAATACAGTGCCGGGGTTCGGCTCTTCGTACACCACAGCCAGTACCAGCATGGATAGCACTACACCACCAGGGCCACTCTGCATCTTTGCATTGCGTCGGAGATGCTGCAGGGACGGCTGTGGAGGCAGCAAATTCACCAACGTGGAGATCACGCTGCACGTGATAAGTTATGGTGATTGGGGAGGGCTCTTGTGGGTGTGTAGTGCTGGGAATGCCGAAATTCAAAAGCAGTGTCGACTGATAGACAACAGCACACTTGGCAGCCGTCTTGCGGTCAGCGCGGAGCTTGTGTCCGTGGATGCCCGCTGTCGTACGGAGCACATGTGGTTACGTGCACACGCATATGGCGGGAGGGATAGAGAGAGAACATCCAGCAGTCGCAGTCCAACGGCTGAGAAAGAGGATCGGGCGCGGAGTAGACAGAATAATTGGGGGGTAGCATGGGATGATGGGAATGGAAAAGCCGACAGAAAGCGTGTGGAGGACGGGGCCGATCAATAGAACGTGGGAATATTACATAGCTTACCTCCTTCATGTATCTTCGCCTCGAGGCCGCCGTCCATACTTGTGACGTGGTCTTTTAGCCGGGCGTGTTCTATACAAGTCGAATTAGTCGTCATGTAGCACAAATAGATGCAGCTAGAAGCGTAGAAGCCATTTTGGCCATGTGCGGGCCAGCAGCACAAGCAACGCAAGTACAGCGTGACGAAGATGGATGAATTATCGCTGTAGCCAACTTACCAAGGACGCTCCATAGTTCCGTGTCGTCGTGAACGTGGCCGGGGTCAAGATTATCTCGAATGGTTCCCTCGAAGAGAGCCGCATCCTGGGGGATGATGGCCAAACGTCGCCGCAGATCCAAAAGCCCAATGCTTGACGTGTTGAGGCCATCAATAGTAATGTTGCCAGTGTCTGGTTCGATGATCCTGAACAATGCCAGTGTCAAGGACGACTTTCCAGCCCCCGTTCGTCCCACAACGCCGATCTTCTCGTGCGGTTTAATGTCCAAGGTGATGTTCTTGAGCACCAGGTCGAGCCCCTCGCGGTACCGTGCACTGTAATTGATGAATTCCACCTCACCATAGGCTGGCCAACTCACGGGCGGCCTGTTGCGATGGATGATCTCAGGAGCTTCGCTCGGGAGACGTGCGTACTCGAGAATACGCTCTACGGACACAATGTTGGTCTCCACTTCGACGGTCTGGCGGACAATCCAGTTGAGAGAACCCATGATCTGCAACGCGTACGACATGGCTAGACCGACCATACCGGGGCTAAGGTCGGCGCCATTGGTGACCGAGAGGACCGAGAAGCCAGCGGCTGCTAGAATGACCACGGCGCCAATGAATTCCAGTCTCACGCCCAACCATCTGTTAGCGCTGATGGAAGGAAAGTAGGCCCGCAGGTTTGCGTCGACTCGCCACTCGTTCTCGTGTTCAAACCTGTCTTGCTGGCGGTATGCCCGAATGGTCGATACACCGCCGAGCGACTCCTGAAAGTGGGCATATATCGGGCTACGGCTAACGCTGTCCAACCTCTTGAGCTCTCGTGATGTCCGTAGATAATACCGCTGGATCCAGATGTACATCGCAGTTAGCGGTATGATCAATGCGACAAACGCGGGCGTGGACACCGAAATGACGACGAGCGTGAAGCCTGACCGGACCAGGTTCCCGATAAGCATATTGAACATGCGGGCAAGGACCTCATCGACGCGATAGATGTCACTAGCAGCGGTGAGGTGCGGTTAGAATCTCCGAGTCTCGTATACCGAAGGGGAGCGGGGGCGTTACATGACGCCCCAGTCTTGAAAAGGAAGATGATGGGATACGTGACAGCTAGGAAGCACAGCATGGCTAGTGTTCAACAGCGGTTCGAGCCACTTGGCTCAACAGCCTCGCTGAGTACAACATGCATCCCACCACTTGAAGGCAAGAGACAGAGGGGAGGGGTAAGAGCAACTAAACAAAAATAAGAATTGGTGTGACGGACCTCGAAAATCTGTTCAGAATCCGCCCAGCTGGTGTGACGTCGAAAAAGGACATTGGCGATCTAAAGATTGCCGTAGCCATCTTCTCATGCAGCTTTCTCGATGCCTGTGCGGAATTGTGAGCGAGCGCTTTCCATCTCGTGTGTTTATCACCACATACCTCAATAGAGCAGAAGATCCACAGAATCAAAGTTTGCACGACAGTCAGACCTGCAGCACCGACGCCTAATACGAAGTAGATGCCAATATATTTGCCAACCTCGGGGTTGAACCCGGCGTCGGAGTTTCGTTCGGCCCAGTTCTTCAACCAGATGCTCCCCGCTGCATGACAGTCAGTTAGGGTCGAGCAAGAAACAAATAAACGCGGAGACTTAAGGGTCTGTGACGTTACAGAGAGAAGACATGAGCGGCCAGTGACTTACCAAACTGGGCAATCTGAGCAGAAGTAAGCGCAACAAGATACACACCAACAGCCACGAGGTTGCTAGCTTTGGCATATTCGGCGTAGACTTGTAGACGTTAGCTTGCGGGAAACAGACGGAATGAATGGCAACTCTTACCTGACCACTTGACTTTGCCCTGCTCAGAGTGTTCTTTTCTTTGTTTAGTCTTGGCAGGATTCTCCTCGTCGTAGAATTTTGCCCTCGGCCCTTTGAAACTGGCAGTGCTGGCTCGCCGCAATGTCACCATGCTATCGGCTCTTCTCTTTTGGGTAGAAGAGTTTCCGGGAATGGACCTGATTGACGTAAGTGCGCCGACTCGTTCTTGAGCCTCTTCCAGCTCTTCCTTCTCATGGCTGCCCTCTGCTTCAATAATGGTTGATGTTTCGCTCTGGCCACCGCTACCACTTGGCGATCCGTCATCATCGGAATTTTGGCTCGAATCGGTTTGGCCAGTGGTTTTGATTAGTTCCGACACAAAGCCTTTCATTGCCACGAGCTGACGGTATGTCCCCTTTTCAACGATCTCGCCATCCCTAAGTAGACAGATATAGTCCGACTCATTAAGCACAGGGATGGAGTTTGTAGCCAGAATTCTTGTCTTAGAGCTGAGTAGGCCCTTGGGACCAAGGACGTTGTCGATTAGATGGCGGCCAACGTGGGAATCAACAGCCGAGAGGCAGTCATCCAGCAAGTAAACATCGGCTCTAGCATATACAGCTCTAGCCAGGGCCACGCGGGCTTTCTGGCCACCGCTGAGCGAAATGCCACGCTCTCCCACAACCGTGTCGTCTCCATCGGGGAGCTGGGCAAAGTCGTCCAGCAAAGCGCAAGCCTTCACAGTCTTCTCATAGAAAGTAGAGTCATACCGGTAGCCAAAGACGATGTTCTCTCTAACAGTGGCGTTCATGATCCAGGATGACTGGCCAACATAGGCAATATTTCCATGGACCACAACCTTGCCTTTGACTTTCCACAGATCGCCGAGGATGCTTTGTAGGAGGGAGCTCTTGCCCGCTCCTACACGGCCCACAATGCAAGAGAGCTCGCCCTTGTTTGCACTGAAGTTGATGTCAGTCAAGGCATTCTTGCGCTCGTGACGGTTCCACGAGAAAGTGCCGTCACTGATAAGAACGGTCTCGTCTCCCGCTTCTTGCGCGGCAGGCTTCACTTCGACGGCATCGGCCTGGATTTCCTCAGCAACCAAGTACGCAGTAAGACGACCGACTGCAACACTAGCTTCGATGATCGAAGTGATGACCATCGGGAGGACCGCCAGAGGGAATGTGAGCAGGTTAAACAGTGCTACAGAATGGATTAGCTACAGGCCGCGCACATCACGAAGGGGGAGTATATCATACCCAGAGCAGGGAAAACAATCTCAGTTGTCAGTGGGGCGTCGTTGGTCAAGACAAACACGCCAAATGTTAAGCAGGACACAAGGAAGGGGGTCGTTGACCAGGTGAAGTTAGCAACGGCTTGGCCAGCGCCAATTCTGCGCAGATTCTTGAGCTCCTGGTCATTCCGGATGAAGTTCAGCTTGTTCATGAAGGCAGCACCCCATGCGTACAGCTTGATGCTCTTCATGTTATTCACAATCTCTGCAATCAACCGGCTCCTGGCGTCCTTGTTCTTCATCTGCTGCTTTTGCAGATTCTTCATGAACTTCGCAATAAACCCGTTGATCGGCACCATGAGGATCATGACAGCGATACCTGCCAGCATCGACCAGCCAACCAGCTGATAGAGAGAAACCAAGCAAATTATGATCTGGAACGGGGCGGACCACAGCTGCTGGGCGAATTGCGTCAGGTCTTGAAGACGTTGAGCGTCAACAGCCATGTAGTTAACAATATCACCCGTAGACTTGGACGCCCGTCCTTCGTTGGAGAGCTTCAGTGCCTTTCTATAGATCGTCGAGGTCAACCCGCCCTTTATTCTCATGCCGGTGACAAAGGCGAGCTGGAAATATTGATGGATCATGGTGGCCTGCAGGACGGCCACGGAAAACATGGCCAAGGCAATGGAGGCACCCTTGACTAGAGGCTGGGGTTCTTTTTCAGGTTTGTACGAGTCCACGTACGAGATGAGGAACCTCAGAAGCTGCGGCTGGGAAAAGGCCGCGAGGTCGTTGAAAACTTTGAAAATAGACGCGAGTATATAAGGACCGCCGTAGGACTTGAATAGAGCAATCCACAGGGACGGGTGCTTCCGGTGGTTGAGTTCGTATTGCCAAGCGTCATCAAAAGCCTTGCCTGTTGTCTTGGTGGTGTCCGACTTGGCCAGAGACCACAGATCCTCCTCAGTAAGGAATTCCGAGTATCCGTACTTCATCAAGGGCGTCAACCACGAAAAGGTAAGGATGGAGAACACGGTGGCGTATTCTACCGGGCATTCGCCGTCTTCAACCAGGACCTCGTACGCGTCGTTCTTCTTGGGCCACAGCCATTCGAAGAAAAACTCGAGAACTGCCAGGCCGAAGCCTACACAGTAGGTAATGAAATACGGCTGATTCTTGGCATAGATGTGCTGTGAGATGAGGGACCGAAGCTTGACAGCAAAGGCAATGAGAAGGAAGAGCCAGTAAAACAAAACAACACCGTTGGCGTTTCGGAGTCGCGTGTGTTCGAGCCATTGTATGGAGAAGATGACAAAGAGAGACAGTATCGTGGCTACGGTGGAATAGACCCTGAAGTCGCCGAACCAGATGCCCGGGTAGTTTATGATCTGGATGGCGAGTTGGACGGCGACATCGGCGATGATGAGCGCAAGAAGGACCTAGCGGCTGTCTGTTAGTACCTTGCCCGCTGGCTAGCGATTGCCGGCAACAGGGCTCGACACACCTGTTTCGTCCAGAAATGCCAGTCTTTGTCCACCTTGGCCGGCTGCCTCCTCTTTAACAACCACCACAGGGCCAGAGACCCGGCGACGATGCCAAACGCAGCAACCGAGGCGAGCCAAACGTCAATAAAACATGGCGTGAAGTCGTACCGGAACGGGCTGAGCGGGCCCCATCCTTCCTCGTTACCGCAGAATAGCTGCTTGTAGGTTTCGGCCGCAGAGAGGTAGTCGCTTCCCAACTCGGGCGTAGCATGGTAGCCTGTGAAAGAGCCCGTATCGAAAATGACCTTCTGGTCGGGAAGGCCATAGGCAAAGTCGGTCGCCATTGGCGCAGTTATATTCTCGCGACAGAAGCCAGCGGCGTCATAGCAAAACGTGCGTGGGGATTCTGAATCTGGGGCTCAAGCACGAGTGGCCGAGCTTGGTTCGGAATTAAGAATTAGGTAGAGGGATTCGCGTCGGTAGAGCGGGACCGCGATCGGCTCGTCAAAGGCGGTTGGAGAGTTTTCGCGTCAGACTAGTTGTTAGCGTTCGACGTGTCTGCACTTCTGCGTCCGAGGATGGGGTTTTATATGACAATATTGATATTAAGAGCCCAAAAAATTGAGAGAGCCTGGTCATCAGCAAAGGCCGTAGGAGTCCGGACAATCCCGTTGTTGGTCAGCAAGTTCTGGGATGATGGTCGCTAAATGTACCTATCGTTAAGAATCTACTAGTTGCATGGGCGGTGCCTGATCTCCAGGGTGGCTGCTGGTGGAGACCCACCAGGCTGCTAACGGTGCTTTATCTTCCTGCAGGGCGCTAATTCCGGTACCAGCCAAAGTCGCTCGTTAACACCATTGGACAAACGTGTGCGCGCCCCACCGAACTTCGGAGTTGAACCCTACGGGCTTCGGGATACCGTATCCTGCAATGGTGCTTCGATTTCCCCTTCTGAGCAACAAGGGTACGGGCAGATATGTCAAATTTGAGCTCACGAGTTGCACTGTCCATGTTCTGTTCAGATATTGACAATCCAATGGCTTTGCAGTCAAGAATAAAGTGGGGAGATGGCAACTGAGAGACTTAATCGGATTTACACAAAGGCCCAGTGCAGTTCTGTTCTACCAATTAGAAACAGCCAATCGTAATCCAAATTCAATTACCGAGTAAGACAGGCCTTCAATTGCCCTAATACTGATGGAAGCTACAACAAACATGACTTGGGTTTACACAACATGGGTCCACGCAAGACAGTGCCTCGCTTCATGATTGCCAAGGGATAGGGCCATTGGAAAGAACAACCAAAGACGACGACAAGACGTCTTGCCCGGGTATCTGGACATTTATGCCAAGCTGTCCAAAGTCTTTGCCCCACCCTCAGCGGCATATGACGCGGACCAGGGTAGCTCCGGGTGCCAGTAGACTGCATCATAGCCCCCCCACACCATTTCCCATCTGCCGGTCTAAAGAGACCTCATATAACTCCGTCCGGCGTATGATGCCACCGCGAACAGCACCAGCAGCATCTTCGACGACAACGCTGCTTCTATTCGCGCTCCTCTTGCTCTCGTTCTTCCCTAGCATTTTCCATCTTCTGTGGTCGGTGCTGATGAGTCTTATCTTCCCGTCACCCCCTTCTTCGGCTCTTGGCAACAACAACGGCCACGACTCATCACCAGCAGCAAACAGCTTCGCCTCCTACGCCTCTCCTCCAATCGCTGACGGGACTGCCCCCCGCTCTGTATCGTCCACCATGTGGTCTCAGAAGCAATTCACGCTGCCGTCTCGGTCCCGTGGCTCGTACCTCATCACCGACATTGTTCTCAACGAGCTCCCCGAGATCAAGACGTACAAGGTCGGCCTGCTGAACCTGTTTGTCCAGCACACGAGCTGTGCGCTGAGCCTTAATGAGAATTGGGACGAGGTTAGTTTTGTCTCCTGAATCCTTAAACCATATACCCTGGCCTTAGAATTACCGTCTCCCTGCACAGGGGTATAAGTGCAGGGATGTAAGAGAAAAGAAAGAACAGATTCATAATGCCAGTTCAACGAGATCATTCAATTGACTCCTCCATCTTTTTCCCTGTGTTGTAGGATGTTAGAGCCGACATGAGTGACACGCTTGACCGCATTGTGCCCGAGGCCGGTCCGAAAGGGGAGCCGCTTTACCGGCACGACGCTGAAGGTATGTCCGTAGCCAAGCCACTCCCCCTCTTGTTTAGGCGGACAAACATGACTTACTGATATCCTCTCCAAGGCCCCGATGATCTGCCGGCCCACGTAAAATCCGCCCTGATTGGGGCGAGTGTCACGATTCCCATCAAAGACGGCAAGCTGGTAAGACAGTGTGCAAGTAAGCTAGAATGAAAGGCAAACTAACGCTGTTACAGTGTACTGGTACATGGCAGGGAATTTGGTACCTGGAATTCAGGGCTGCCAGGCACTCCCGTCGGGTTGTCGCCACAATACAAGGCGAGCAGGCATCGTAGGTTCTCTTAAATCGACATGTGAGAGCGTTTTTGTTATTCTGCCTAGGTAGTTGAGCTACGGTGTGTGCCTAGAATAGTTCTATGAAAATAAAGGACAAGACTTTGTCTCTGCTCCCTGAACCCTACCTCGTTCCTAATAATCCTACACCCCCAATTACCGCTACGGGTTAATGTTTCTCGGTATAACGCCAGACGCCTGCAGAATCCATGATATACTCCCTGTTGTACTTCCGATGTCGCCAGGTAAAGCCCTAGTGTATGCCGTTCTCGGTTTTCATATCCACGTCGTCGCCGCCAGCCAGAACTTTTGTCTTGGGAACATAGCCATCGGCCGGCCCGGCCCCGGGTGTGACCGCAACAGCATCGCCGTTATCGTCTACAAACTCGAAATTGTAACGGCTCAGTAGGTGAGGAATCGCGGATAATTGCGGCCCGTATCTCGCGGTGTTGTCGTAGAGTTCGAACAAGGGGACGGCGAGGAGCTTCATGTTTTTGGGCACGCTCAAGACCTCTGCGTAGAGGCGAAAAAGAAGGTCAGCAAATATAATGGGCACCATTTCGAACGAACAAAACATCATGCTGGAACTCGGAACGTACTTGACTTTGGCAGCTCAATAAAATAGAGCTTCTTGCACTCCTTTGGTCGCGTCACATGGGCAGGAATGAAAGGATACATGAAGGTCTCGAAGTTGGGGCGCCACCACTGGGCGAGACAGTCGCCGACGTTCCAGTCGCCGGCCTTCTCGCCCTCGCCCAGGCTTCCGACGGGCGCGAGGCGCTCGTCAAGGCGCGACTTGAAGCCCTCGACCTCGTCGTCCTCGGGGCGCAGGTAGTCGCCGGGCAGCTTAAAAAACGCGTTGGCAATCTGCAGCATAAGGATGTGTGGGTGGTTGTGCTCGTGGCAGACGAGGATGCCTTCGCACGTCCGTCGCATGCCGTGCGCCTGGTAATGCTCCTCGAGCCGCTTCAGCCGCGCGAGAACGCTGGGGTCCTCTTCGGGCTGCGTCTCCTTCACCCCAAAAGTATAGTTTGAGAGTGGATAGAGACGGATCGTCTGGGGCTGGTTCCCATTGAAGTCGCGTGGGATTATCGGCGGCTGCGAGCTCTGCAGCGCCGTGGGTGTGATTGTAGACATTTTAGGGGGGACGGGGGGGGCGCGCAAGTGGATGGGGCAGCGTATAGCCTGTGGGCTCCGTTTGTTCGTCGCGCAATCTTTTGCGTCGTGAGAGTTGCGGTTGCGGTATAGTCTGAGAGGAGGCGATAGCTCGATGAATCGCGTCGTTGGGGGTTTGTCGTCTCGAGTTTGATGGAAGGGATGCTGCAGTTAAACTCGGCGAAACAACGTTGGTATCCAATGGTCAACCCAAAGGGAACCAGTTGGTGGCCAAGGTATCCGTATCCCCACTGAAAGCCGAACTAGGAAGGCGGTCAAATTCAGGTCCGTGCGCCTCTGGCAGAGACTTGAGCCGCACCTAAATTCCAACGTCAATCATTGCGGCAGCTTTATTCGATCTTGAAATTTACAGCTACCAAATATCCCACGTATACTGCTGCCTACGCTACTAACTGCTACAATCCGGTTCTTTGTGAAACTAAAAATAGGTTACCCGACTGGCCAGGAAGGGTTCAGCTGAACGGAGCCTCTTTTTTTCTTTTTTTTTGGCCTCCGGCGGCGCCTGCGGCGAGCTGTCCTCGCTTCGCTCGAGGGAATGGGTAGCTGAGGCATTTTAGAAGCCCGTATAAAATGCTAGTTATGTTTGACCAAGTTATAACTACGGCATCTTGTATTCGGGAGGAATCTAGTCGTTCGGGGTCTCTTTAGGTATAGGGAGGATGGTCGGGAGGCTGGCCACCGCGCCTGGATTTGCCGCATCTTGCGGTGGGGGCTGCGGTTCGAAAAACACGCACTGTGTTTTGGGATTTGCTAACTAGACATATAGCCTGGAGGAAGCCAAGAGCGGCCGTTATCAAGTCTCGAAAACGGATGCAGACCATGCACCTCGGAGATGACGATTCTGGCAGCTCCTCCGATGACGAGCTCATTACACCTGACAATGATACGGAGGAAAAGATCCTTCCCAAGAAACAAGCTCTCCAACAACTTGAGCAGCTAAAATCGAAGAGAAATGAAATGCGGAACGAAAGGGGTAGACTCTCAAAAGCTCTGAAGCCTCTTTGCAAGTCAACCAAGGAACTACAAAAGGAAACAAAACATTTGAAGTTTCAGTCTAAGCGTGCGTGTGTCAAGTCACGAGATGAATACACCAGGGCAGCCATGAGGAGGCAGTTTGTGGATGGTATTCACGAGTAAGTTCCTGTCATGAGGGTGGGGATATGTGCTTTAATATGGTTAACTTTGCTAACTGTTTTCATTAGGCGCGATATCGAAACCCAGGCTCTAGCGGAGAAGGATGGAATCGACTTCGAAGTGCGAGATTATCACAAAATGGCCAACAGCTTGAGAGTGTTCTGTGTCTCATCGAAAACTTATCAACTAATGTCGGGCCGTCTTGACAAGGACGACCCTATTTCCGGGTTTGCGGATTTTGAAGATACCGAAATCCCGGAACTCCGGCGACATGGATTGGAGACAACCCGTACGGCGTGCGTGGAAGCGTACCAAAGGTTCTTGAGAGAGCTCAGCCATATTTTGGCTTCTGTAAGAGAAGGCAGGTACGCCTGATCAAGGTGGTCACAATGGGAGCAACAAGCAGGGCGAGCAATGACTAGTATTGGCGTAAGACTTCAACCTGGCCTGAGCTAAAGAGGTGTGCGAAGGCCATGGTCTATATACACGTGGAAGGGGTTACGAGTCATCCTTGCGTGGCCAGGGTGGTAGTGGCGATAGTGCGTGGCCCTGTTGGCGATAGTGGCGATGGTGGCGAGGGTGGCCCTGGTAGCGGTGGCCATGGTGGTTACGAGGGTGGTTTCCTTACAGCTTCCCTCTACATTCAAGTGGTGGTGGCCGATCAGCCTTCTAAGTGGGCGGAAGACTCCAAGAAGCAGGAGACTCAGTTCTTCTTGGAAAGTATGGCCGAATTTCGAAAGGTAATTGCGTTTATACTTCATCCCAGTTAAGTAACTAGAGCGATCCCCTAATTATATGCATTCATCACTAACATATAACTGCAGGTCAAGGATGCTACAAGCGGATGAAGAATATTATGACTACTCATGTGAATCACGCTCGCTACACAATGTTCGGCGTGGCAACCTCTAGAGTGGATGAACGCCTAGGAGACATGATCGAAAAGCTAGAGGAGCTCTTCAAGACACATGTGGCGACAATTATCGACGCCGTTCATCGGGATTACTTTGCCCTCGTCACAAACGAGGGCCTGTTCAAAGCTCTGAAAGGTGCCAGAAACGAAATCCATGATCTGCTTTCCCAATGCAATGCCGGGTTCAAACAAGTCATCGAGGCCCAGGGTCCGAGCCCAGATGTCAACGCTCCGGATGAAACAGACCCCGAAGTCAAAAAAGAAGACTCGTCTATGTTGGAATAGCAGCGCCATGGATGTGGACGATGGGGCGCTTATCGTTACCGAGGAATCCGAAAGCATTACTATGGGAGAGATTTACGGATTTCCTCATATTATGGATACTATTGCTGGCATACTCGGTTCTTCGGGCCGAGGGTTGTGATGAAGTTTCTGGATTTTCTCGACCTCTATCGTCTGACACAAAATTCTCCTGGTGTTGGCAGAAGGGCTTTGGGGATATGTGTTATGCTTGTATTATGATGGATGTAGGGATGTAGATTCCTAGCTTTACGGTGGGGTTTCGTTGCGGTCTATACCTTTGGATGGACTGCCGCCCCGCTCCGATTCGAGATGGTGGCAGCAATACAAGGTGGGAACGTTATGGCATGTTCTCTGAGCCATGGGGGAAATCCGGCCAAGAGTGTCAGGAAGGCCTGGGATGCCCGGAAAGACTGCTCCTGCATGGAGAGCGAGGGAAAAAAGCCTGGGTACGAGGTTGGAAGGCTGGCGGCTGGGAGACGATGCTGGGGGCGGGGAGTATCGGGCAAATGGCCGCCATTATCTCGGGGACCCAGTCGTAGGCGAGCGGGTTCGAGGTATTAAAATACGGCAAATGCCTTTACATTATGTATATCTGGCCGCGGGACTGAAGTAGTTTCGCGCTAGTACCCCGCGTGCTTTACGAAGTGAGTCGTGTAGCTTTGAGAGAAGAGTATGAAGGACCGCTGGACCGTCTCTCTTGCCTTCGGTATGGTTCATAGACTAGATAACTATGAATACCTCCTAATACTCCTATTCTCCGACGCGCTCCTCTTCCTTCGGTTCCCGGAATAACCACGCAACTCGAGACCGCTTGAACTTGCCCCGTACCTCCTTGAGCCTGCGGTAGCTTCCCTTGAGGCTCAGCTTGGAGAGCTTGCCCGTAAGCTTAAGCGTCTCCCCCTCGCCATGTTCAGTACCCTTATCCTTGTCCGTACTAATACTCATCTTCTGCTTTCCCTTCTCTCTTCCCTCCGGTATCCCCTTCTACTCCTCGCAGCCATCGTCATACTTGCTCTGCTCTATTAGTAGACGTTCCTTCTCCTTCTGTATAAGGAAAAGGACACCCACCTCACCAAGCACCTGTCAACGCGCACTCCCTTACACGCGTTGACCATCTGGCACTAACGGGCCAGATCACTGCCGCCTAGCATGAGCCGCTAAGCCAATACTGAGCGCCTTGTGCCCACAAGCACATTCGGGACCGAGCCCCTGAGCATGTATATAAACAATGGCCCTCGACCTCTCCTTTGCGAGGGCCAAGTTGAAGTCTAACGCCAATCCCAGTCATTTCTCACCCTTCTATTTGCCTTCATTGTGACCACCTTGATCAGGCGCACCTGCCCTCTCTTACGTTCTGCTCCTCGTGGCCATCGTTATACTTACTCTACTCCATTAGTAGACGTTCCTTCTCCTTCTACTCCTCGTGGCCATCGTTATACTTACTCTACTCCATTAGTAGACGTTCCTTCTCCTTCTACTCCTCGTGGCCATCGTTATACTTACTCTACTCCATTAGTAGACGTTCCTCCTCCTTCTACTCCCCGTGGCCATCGTGGCCATCGTTATGCTTACTTGTAAGGAAAAGACCCTAACCCACACAAGTTTGACTCACACTCCCCGAGCGGGCTAAGACCTCACTCCTTTGTTCATGGCCCGCCTCACAATCTACACTACACTCTATCATGTATATAAGCAGTGGCCCTCGCTCCTTCCTTTGCGAGGGACAGGTTGAAGTCTCTTTCCAATATCAGTCATTGCTCACGCCCTTCAGTACCTTCATCGTGACCACCTTAATCAGGCGTACCTGCCTTCACTTACAATTTTATCCTCTTTACTACGGTCTTCCGCTTTGCCTTTACCTTTGCCTTTAGTCGATATCTACCCCCCTCCCTCTTCCTTAAGCATCGTAACCAAGGTCTCGATAGGCTGGTTGACCCAGATGCCGGTAATTATTTTGACTAGCGTAATCAACACTAATAATTAACCCCGGAAGAACTGGTCGAGCGATATAGACTCGTTAATATTCCTTAGACGTATATAAATCAACCTCGAGGACAGATCGAGGATAATAGGCTATATTACGAATAGATCCTTCAGTCTACTAGTATACGCTGTGGTTTTACGGCCGCTAGAAAGAGCTATAATTTCGCTTTAAAGAAAGGCGGCGAACTGCCGCTTTAGCTCTTCATCCATTATTGGAAAGCGTAATCTTAACGACTACGGGTTCGAATTAAGGGAGTTATACGAGGGTAGATGCGTGGTTGTCGAGGGTAGATGCGTGGTTGTCGAGGGTAGATGCGTGGTTGTCGAGGGTAGATGTGTAAGGAAAAGGACACCCCAAACACCAACTGCGCGCACAGGGTGCGCGCCCACCACTTGTCACCAACTGGCTAGAACACTGCCAGCTGGCATACGCTACGCCGTGGCGCCACGACCGCAGACTGATGCCCGGGCCGAACCCCTGAGCAGGTATATAAACAATGGCCCTCGCCCATCTTCCTTTGCGAGGGCCAGGTTGAAGTCTTACACCAATACAAGTCATTGCTCCCCTACCTTCTTGCCTGCATTGTGACCACCTTGATCAGGCGTACCTACCTTCTCTTACAAGATGCGTAGGTATCGAGGGTAGATGCGTGGGTGTCGAGGGTAGATCTATAGACGTCGAGGGTCTAGTATTATCTCCCGCCGGAGTGGTGTTATACGAGAGCAAATAGGTAGGTATCGAGGGTCTAGCACTAGGCAAAGTTTCAAGCGGATGAGGCACCTAGTCGATGGAGCGATTGTAGAGGAACTTTAACTCGATCGGTAGAGGCGCGTAATCGGCAGCCTTCCGTTTCGGCGGCATGGCGATAGACAACCTGTAACGAATTAGGCATCAATCTTTCGTGCGCACGCGTGGGGGTTATTACCGGATTGCTTGTGAGAATTGACGAGGTTTGGAGATTTTGGGAAGAGGTGTTGTGCGGTTGGTTATGTAGAAGAGAGGAGGAGGGTTTCCATAAATTTCGGTGCTAATGAATAGAAGAAAGCAGTGGGTCCTAGGGTGAAAGGTACCTCGGTTCTGGAGAGCAAAAAGTAAAAATATAGAAGCAGGCGAGGCAGTTTCTATGCCCAGGACTAACAGGACCAGCAATGGCTGGCAGATGTCATTTGCAGTATCCAGATTGCCTTGGGCCAGAAGAGGGCCAAGATATCTAAAGCAGTTTTTGCCATGCTGCAGGGGAGTGTATGTCTTGCTGCTTACGGGGTGTACACTGGCAAGAGATGAGAGTGTCAGGAATGTACGGTGCACACAGGACGGACTACTTCACTAGTGATGAAACTGGGGCGTCTTACGAGGTAGCCAATCAGTCAGTCTTGGAACATCTTTATATCTAATTTGTCGAAACGTGATTAAACAGGGCTGCTGCTAACATGCCCGGTTTGTAAATCATAACCCCAACAAACAGCCCAAGCGTGATTACCGTCCTGGCCTTCCAGCTCCCGAGTGCCTGCATCAACCCGCGAGATGCGGATCCGATCTCCCCATCTCCATCCAGCCCTAGACCCAGGTGTGTAGCGAAGGAGAGGAAAGCGGGCGATCATCGTCTCAAGACACAACCCCCCACATACTCCGCAGCTCGGGGCAATATATAAGCTCGTATCATGCGCGCTTGTCGGAAGCTAAGCAAGTGAGTGGCTTGCCAGGACTAAACGTTCTGACCTATGATTCCGGTGGGGACTTACTTGAGTATTTTGACCTGAATGGCCCTTCCTAAGTTCCCTTGACTCCTGCCGGCTGTTCACAGCTATCACTACCGTTGATGTGCTGACTTCGTATCATTCTCAAAAGTCCCTGATCGGCAGAATGCATACTAACACCGTTCTACCGTGAATGCTGTACAGTACATTGGCACAAACATTATGTTGTCCTGGTATAGGCCCTTGAGATGATACCCGAATGCTGACGAGCTGTCTGGTCAAAAGGCTAGCTGACATGCCGAAGCACAAAGGCCCTGACTATTGAACGCACCGGATCGGTTCCATGAGCTGTTATCAACATCGTCGACGCTTCCCGAAGTTTGGTTACTTTGGTGAGCGAATCATCCGGAAGCCTGGGCCCACCACGGTGAACGTGAGAGCTCGAACCGATTCACCGAGTGAAGAGTATCTGGGCCTCACTTTGAACATCATTTAAATTGATTGCATGCGCACTGTCACAGCGCTATCGGATGGCCGGGTTGCCAATATGTGACAGGTATTTTACCGGGGCACTGGCTCGCGAGTTTGGCGAGCGGCCAGGGGGGCCAGCTTCCCCATTGCCGCTAATAAGCGATGGACCGGGCGCTGTCTCAAGAAAACGAGCCACACCTTCACCACCAGCCGCGCCCGCTCGGGCTGGTTCGGTCAGGATTCACAGAGGATGGCACACCCCACTGGCAGCCCAGAAGGTTTCTCGATTTGGCGCTGCACGGGCGCGGTTACCTCACCACCTCCACACCAAACCGCCGAATTCGACCGCCGCAAAATCTCCAATCCGTTCCATCCCGCCGCCTGTCTTGACCCGCTTCCCAGCCTTCTAGGTTCCATGGTGAGCTCACTGACTCCATCACTCCGCACTCTTCGTCTTGGCTCGCCAGCCGACCTGCAGCCTCCCGAATCGAAGCCCTCGTCCCTACCTTAGTCCAGTGCTCAACTAGCGGTTTGAGAGAGGAAAGGCTTCAAGACAATGTATGGCAGCCTACTTGTTGAAATCCAATTGTGTCACGCGCACAACTGAGGAGGGCCGGCATCGCATCGTATTGCCCAGGGTACGTCATGGACGACGCCGCGAGGCTCGTGTCGGAGCTGCACGACAGGCTCGCCGAGCTCGACGGCAAGGTCGCTGCCTACCAGCGCGACCTGCTCGCCGAGTTTCACAGGCACATGGAGGACTGCCTAAAGCAGTACCCGGTCCACGTCTCCAACGAGATCTTGAGAGTCATCGCCGAGTCTCTTGCGAGGTATCCAGCCCTAAGCCCGACGAGCCCAACAACCCCGGCCGCCTTTGAGAGCGATCGCCCGCCCTCGGGCTTGTCCCTCGCCGATCGCAAAGCCTGGGACGGCCGGAAGTCGCCCCCTCCTATCCTCTACCACACTTCCGGCGTGCCGAAAGAGGGCCCGAGAAGCCCGCACCAGCGCGAGAAGGAGTTTCAGGGTCTTTTTACACCCACATACCTCCCGCTCCTAGACAGCACATATCACAGCGTGCACTCGCCACCGCGGTCGCCAGTCCCTGTGACTCCGACGGCAACACTAGACGCAGCCGAACCCGAAAAAGTTGAAAAGACAAAGGAGCCAGAGGTTGCCAAGCTTGAGATTCGGCCTGCCCCTGTCAGACGTCTGACAGACCTATCATCTTCATCAATCGAGTCATCAGGAAGTGAGAGCAAGGCGCGGAGAAGTGCGCTACGGCGATCTTTAAGCTCAACTAGAGGCAGTCCCCGCCGGGTTCGTTTTGAATTCAAGGGCGAGGAGGTTTTCCCATCTGCCTCCCCACAGGCACTAATTGAACTGGCCTTGGTTGACGAGGCGGAGCCTCTAGTCAAGGCAGCCGACACGTCAGCCAAAGCCTTGGGGGATGAGTCACCGGCGTATACAGGCACGTCGTTGCTCGATGTAGAGGGCGAGGAAGACTCGTTTCCAAGACCAAAAAAGGTCTCTTCAACCCAGGCCCTCCGAGCCCTTACGCGGAGTCCGCTTGACGAAGGAACCGTCTGGACAGTGGTAAACCCGAGCTCCGACGATACCCCCAAGATGAATGGCGGAAAGGCAATCGATACCTCACTCAAGGTTGAATCACGGATCGCCGTCCAACCACAGCATGCCGTCGCAGAAAACCATGTCCCCGATGAACTACTTGGATCACCTATCGAAGAACTTGAGAATCACGAGGACGAAGATGCCTCCGACGAGGAATTTCTCTCCATAAGACCCAAATCTTCCCCTAAGGCCCCTTCACTAACTGTACGATCCCCATTTGGTCAGCTGCCCGCCTTAAGCAGTTCTGAGAAATCGAAATCGGCGGCGTTTTTGGAAGACAACTCAAGTACTCCCACATTACCGACGGCCGTTGTCAGCGGAAGAATCAATGATTCAGACCTGGGAGACGACGAGGACCCTCTATTCGACTTTGAGCAGGAGGGGAGCCGCAAGTCAGCAGCCCCCCTCGGTCAACCGAGCAAATACATCGACGAAGACGAGGAAGAGTATGATGGCAAGGGCGACGAGACCCCCCGCGGGCGGTCCTTGAGACTCGTCTCTGCAGCGGACGACGCCACCGGCACCGCTACCACCACAGAGCAGCCGGCACCTCAAGCGGTAAATTTGCCGCCAGTCTCGCCATCGGCAGTGTTGTTCTCACAATCAGTTGGCTCGTACAAAGGTAACCCCATGCGGTTTGGCCCGATGACCGACGCGCGGCTATATGACGAGATTGCCAGCATGAAGGACGTGCGGTTGGTCATTGGCAGCATTCGGGATGCGCAATTTGTCGGCAGCATTGACCGGCGCAACAACGTTGACGCGGCAGATCTGGGCAGCTACAGCGCGGCTAGTCTTTCGAGAGCGTTCGCAGGCACCCCGCGCAGCTTCACCGAGCGGCTGGCACTGGAGGAGGCTATGGAGAGGCGCAGGGCTCAAGGGGATACTCTTGACGGAGGCGAGGACGGGAGCTAGAGGTAAAAGGGGTACAGAGAAAGAGCTGAGCCTGCATTATGGTAGTTGTTTTGCTCCCTGATGAGGGCCTTTAGCTTGCAGGGTACTTTTATTTTACCGTCGACATGCATGGACAAGGAGCGATATGCCTTTCATATTCGTCTCTTGTCGTCTCTGTTTCTGCAACCATACTTCATCTATCATACACGGGGATGGCGCCAAGGTAATGGATGGGATGGATGGGAGCTGTGCGGATCAGGAGGGCCCTTTATATATATAATAGACAGGGGAAGGTGGGCGATGTTTGCTGGCCTCGCAGAGCAGCACGCCCTTTGTAAAAAAAAAAAAAACACAAGAGCTGCATCATGATACCACGGGGAAACACCGGATTCATAGTGGAGGCGAGGAACACTTCAAAGGGGTTATCGTGATCGGATTCCTAGGTAATGTGGGGGATTGGAACTTACAGATATCTGTTTTGGTAGGTAAGGTAACTAACTACCAAGGGACCTAGTCTAATCATTAATCCATCCTGTTGCAAAGTCTACTCAGTTTGCCTTGGGGTGGGAGCAGTATCCAGACTAAAAGAATGCACTGGGTCTCTCTAAATGCGACACACGAAACATGTCAAGGTCATGGCCAAAGTCACGATGCATCATGTGTACGAAGTATGTACGTATTTCTCCATGCCCTATGGCACATCTATACCATGCTCGAAATTGCCCAGGGTCGCTGTTCTGGGCGGGTCTGGCCCCGCCGATCTCCCAGGAACGCGGATTGCCGCAGTGCAGCGTGCGCGTCACCGCATTTAGTGATGGGTTCGACGGCCCGGCACACAGAGCAAACGATGAAACGCTGACCAATGACGGACGGCAAGAAGCGACCGTGTCAAACAGATTTGGGGCGGCGGCGTCGAAACCAAGCGAAGGGGCCACCAACGGCTTTTGGAGCTTACTCGTTTTTCATTGTTCAGTCTCTTTGCGGCGCATCTGGAATTGCTGACGACAGTCCATTCCGTCAGCGCGAAGGACCACTGGACCCAACGCTGTTAACGGCGCGAATTCAACCTTAACGTGGAGTCGAGGGATTACGGTGGTACAGGCGGCAATTCAACAAACAACCTCGAAGCCCTGGCCTGCAACGAACTGGGCAAACACTATCCGTCCTCAGTAAACTGCGTCAAGAGCATGACCCCGAGAACCCGAGGCTGGGCGTAGCCACCCTACCTCCCTCCGCCCTCCCCACCCACTTCTAGGTCTCAATGGCGAGCCAACAACCCCCGAGACAAGTCGTCGGCCGCCGTGCGCCGTCTTTGCTGGCCGGGCTGGTCCTGGCGCTGCGCCTGTTTGTGGCCGTGGCGTCGGCCTACAAGCCACTGTCGGATGACTTTCTGAAGCTGGTGCCCGGTGGCGGCGATGCCGACTTCGATATCCACAACGGCGAGCTCCTGTCGCCGCTGCTGATCCCGCGTGTCCCCGGCACCCCGGGCCAGATCAAGGCGCAGGAGCACCTCATCGGCTTCTTCCAACGCTCGCTTCCCAAGTGGGAGGTGCGCTGGCAGAACTCGACCTCCAAGACACCCGTGTCGGGAGACCGCGAGCTGCCCTTTGCCAACCTCATCCTCCGCCGCGAGCCCCCCTGGACCAAGCCCGGCCAGGCTAACCTGCTCACCCTCGTCGCCCACTACGACAGCAAGATCGAGCCCAAGGGCTTCGTGGGAGCAACCGACAGCGCCGCACCCTGTGCCATCCTGCTCCACGTTGCCCGCAGCATCGACAAGTACCTGACCCAGATGCACGACGAGATGGCTGCCGCGGGCGAGGGCGGCACCCTCGATATGGACATGGGCGTGCAGATTCTGTTTCTCGACGGTGAGGAGGCCTTTTTGCAGTGGACAGACACCGATTCGCTGTACGGCGCGAGGTACGTGTGCAATCTGGAAGCTAGGCAGTGGCATTGTTTGCGACAAGGGGAAAAAGGGGGGATGAAAGGAAGGATACGGCGAGATACGTACCATCAAAAACACAAACTAACCACACCCCCTGCAGGGCTCTCGCCGAGGAGTGGGAGAACACCCCTTTCCCAGCCATGTCCAACTTCCAGAATCCGCTGCGGCAGATCAGCCTCTTCGTGTTGCTTGATCTGCTTGGCTCGTCAAACCCTCGCGTGAGCTCGTACTTTCAGACGACACATTGGGCATACCAAAAGATGGCGACCATTGAGGGCCGGATGCGCGGCCTCGGCCTGCTGGAGAGCAAGCCTCGTGCGCCGTTCCTACCTGACGGGGGAAAACTGGCCACACAGTTCCAAGGCGGCAGCATGATCGGCGACGACCACGTGCCTTTTATGTACCGCGGCGCCCCTATCCTGCACGTCATACCATCGCCGTTTCCGGATGTGTGGCATACAATCAACGACGACGGCCCCCACCTGGACATGCCCTCCGTGATGGACTGGTCCAAGATCGTCACGGCCTTTACCCTCGAGTGGTTGGACATGATGGAGGTTGAGCCGGAGGCCCAGGTGAGCGCGCATCCTATTATTCCTTTCGCTATTTATTTTCTCCACATTGCCTCTTCGAGAGCACTGCTGATGCCAATGCGTACAATACGTACAGCCATGAGGACACGTTTGACACGAAACCACCATAACAGCAATGTCATCCGTGCTTTACTTTGGAGCCGGAACCCCTTTGTCAGATATATTGCTGGCACGCCCGAAAGCTCCGGTATATAAATAGCTGCTGGCACTCCAAAGGCCCGCAAAACCATTATACCTGTCCTTCCTCACCGTTAGACCGGCGTTCGAACTCACAGATTCAACGACAATTCTTGATGAGTAAGATGAGACACTCGTCTTAGCGGATCCTTGTATATAGCAATTCAGCTTGTAAATGATAGCGTGTAGGTGGAAAATAAATTACACATTTGTCTCCAATTCGGTTTTCTCTAAATGTTTTGTTAGTGGGGAACTTTTAGAGATGTGAGGCTCTTATTACCTCACGGTTCGTCCTGAACACTGTTGGCAGCAGGACTTGGAGCATGTGATATAGAATCTGTCTATGCGTCACGAATTAGAATAGCTTGCGAATGCTTTTTTTGCCCCATTTATTTAGTTTCCGTAATCCTTATTCTTCCTAACAAACTTTGAGGAATTAGACTAGAAGGCCTCGGTATCGGCATGGAAGGAATTGAGTAAACAGTTTAATTTGTCGTGATTTAGTATGTTACTAAAATTACAGACAACTTTTGATGCAGTATGTGCAGGCAGCTTTAGGTCGCCTCCGAACCTGATTTTGTCTTGGTGTTACCATTAGCAGGCGTTTTGTCTTGAACCTTGAGTTTCACCAAGAGCTACCTCGGCCGCGAGCCAGACTCGGAGGGGGTCAGTCATTCTGGCCTTGGGCCTTATAGCGGGGTGGCGGGGCAGGGTGGTCCCAGGGCCGTTTTTAGTTCACCATTGGGCCAACCATAGTGCCCAGGCCCAATCATGACTGGGCTGTTGGAGGAGACCTTAACCGCAGCAGCGACCGCCTGTCTCATCGTCACGGCCACTTCCCAACTACCTCACCTGCTATTGCTTGGGTGTTTTGGCCGCCTCTGAAACCTTTTATCCTTCGTCGCCCGCAAACAAAAAAAATTAGAAGCGCCATCACCCCAACATCCCCACCCCGGGACCCATCATCGCCTCACTCCCTTCCCCCAAGCAAAAGCGCAGCCAGCACGTCGGCTCTCCCTTCTCTCTTCGCCGCATCCTTTCACCAGCCGTCGCCAGTTTGCGCCAGGGCGCTGCACCGCATCAGAGCAGGCATCTCTAGAGAAGCAGTCGTTGGTATTGCAACTAGGTTGGCTTGTTCTCTCCTCGCTTTTGTCTGCAGAGACTGCGTTGGGCATCTCTGCTTCCAAACACGGCTTCTCACGGGTCTCAGTCGGCGACATCCTTCGCACCCGAGTCACCGCGGCACGGACCCCTTAGCCAGACAGAGACGGCCGGCAGCATCCTCTTCGACTCCAGATATACCTCGCAAAAGCAGCCCCCACCCACTGCCCACTACGCCGTTTGCTCCGTCCCCGACCCGATCCCCTCGCCGTCCTCGCCGACGGTTACGAGTGCAGACTCGGCATCTAATACGAAAACAGACCAGCAGCCGATTACCCCGCGCCACACCGTAGCTATGGACACCAAGAGACATCCTAGCTCCTTCCAGCAGCTGGAGAAGCTCGGCGAGGGAACATATGCTACCGTGAGTTATTTCAAAACCAGCGGCCGCCGAAGAGGCGAACCGCGAGCGGCGCAATGACTATGTCGCATCGTTGTGCTGCTGCCGGCCTAGACCCGTGCTAATATCTGGAATTCCAGGTATTTAAAGGTAGGAACAGACAGACTGGCGATTTCGTTGCCTTGAAAGAGATCCATCTGGATTCTGAGGAAGGCACACCCAGCACGGCCATTCGCGAAATTTCACTTATGAAGGAACTGAAGCACGAGAATATCGTTGCCCTTCATGATGTTATTCACACCGAGAACAAGTTGATGTTGGTGTTCGAGTATCTGGACGGTGACTTGAAGAAGTACATGGACACGGAAGGCCATAGGGGGGCGTTGCGCCCGCCCATCATCAAGTCATTCATGTACCAGCTGCTCAAGGGCATCGAGTTCTGCCACAAGAACAGAGTCCTGCACCGAGATCTAAAGCCTCAGAATTTGTTGATCAACAATAAGGGCGCTCTAAAATTGGGGGATTTCGGTCTCGCGCGGGCGTTTGGGATCCCAGTTAATACCTTCTCCAATGAGGTGGTGACGCTCTGGTACCGGGCGCCGGATGTACTGCTGGGAAGCCGGACTTATAACACCAGTATCGACATCTGGTCGGCCGGCTGCATCATGGCCGAGATGTTTACGGGCCGGCCGTTGTTCCCGGGAACGACAAACGAAGACCAGATTATCCGAATCTTCCGCATCATGGGGACGCCGACCGAGAGAACGTGGCCAGGACTAACGCAATTTCCCGAGTACAAGGCCGGGTGGCAAATGTACGCGACGCAGAACTTGGCCACCATACTACCTCAGATCGACCCCACAGGGATCGACCTGCTTCAGTGCATGCTGCAGCTACGACCGGAGCTGCGCATCTCGGCGCAGGAGGCTCTTCAGCACCCGTGGTTCGATGAATACAACTATCCCCAGCAGCAGCAACAACAGCAGCAGCAGTCACCCCTAATGCCCGAGCCGCCTAGGGGCTATTCGCAGACATTGCCGAGCCAAGCCAACTACGACGGCTTTTAGCCCCAGCTGTCAGGTTTGAACCCGCAAGCCGAGGATTTTTTCCCCCGGTAGGCTTGTGCCACTTGAAGACGACACCTGTGCTCTGTGGGATTGTTTTCAGTGGGCAAACAGTTTGTAGTAGCGATAGAATTCAACGAGATCGGGATGACATATGAAGGAAGATTAAGAAGTTTCCTACTCCACACCGTTTCTGAATGGCGTTATGTACTCCGTACTCCGTAGACTGGTCTCTTTTTTGGTGGGTGAACTTGGGATCGGGTTAGCGGTGTCTTGCATTTTAAGTTGTTGTATTTTTTCTTTCTGTTTTTCTTTAGGTGGGACGTTGGTGATCTACGAAGTTGTAGATGGTGATGAGAGAGAAGTCAATCAGCGGTCTGATTTGAGCCCGGCGAAGGGTCAGCGAGGGTCCCACGAGGAGAAAGGGGGCAGAGGGCATGGCGAGAAAAGGCAATAATACGTTCCGTGTTTATCGGCATTCTACAGAGATAGAGAATGGAATATACCCGAGAGCTAAGGCTGTTGTTGCTCGTGAGAGAATGGATCTCTCAACCGTGTAAGGGATCTTTGGCCCTGGACATGGATGGCAGTTTGGTACGTGCGTGGTGATAGATACAAATCATTTTATCATCTTACTTTGGTGTTAAATCAAACATATGGAAGTCGCTCCTAGAGTAGACGGATAAATGTATTTTTGTTAAACAAGTCTAGGTAGGTCTGTAATGGATCTCACTTTGCTCACGGAGCGTGTGGGCTGATGTGTGCAAGGGACTGTGTTCCCCAGAAAAGGTACGTAGGTACCTTGGAGGTGGGTTTTGCACATCCTTATCGATAACCTTAAATGCTCTCCACCTTTCACTCTCCAACGGGTGACAACTAGCCTAACTCCGGAGTAACTGCGTCGCTTTTGAACGAAGCTGGCCGCCAAACATATCAGCATAATTTCCGCATTCCCGACTAGCCGGCTCAGTCATCTTTCCGCATGAGCGCTCGTTTTGATAGTGGACGTGGTTGTTGCCGTGGCCACGATGGAATCGCGCAAAGGTAGGGGCGCCCCCCAAGACGCGCATTGTCTGATCGTGATCGCGAATCCTTCCAGGGCCTGCATCGGCCAAGCTAACTTGGGATTTCGCAGCAGATGAAGAGTCGACCACCATCAAGGTCGCTTCTACCAAGAACTCGCTAGCCAAGACACCCGGTTCTCGCGGCGGAGCGATAAAACTCAAGAAGTCTGCCTTGACACTCGTCAAAGCTGGCAATTGGAAGGAAGCCGCTGTCGTTGAAGGCTCGTTCAAACCCCCATCGCCCCTCACCGTCCCCGCCTCCGACTTGCTTCGCACCCAAGCTAACCCGTGTGCTTCGATCAGACGACAAGAAGAAGAACAAGGATAAGGATAAGGATGGTGCCATAACCGCCGTCTCCCCAAGCCCAATTGTCAACCAGCTCGACGAGGCCCGCCGCGCTACCTTTATCACTGGCCGCCCCCTCGAGGATGGTCCCGAGATCTACCAATGCAAGCACTGCAAGAAAAGCGTCCTCATCTCGGCTGCCCACGAGCACATTGGCGCCTGTCTGAGGATCAAGAAGGAAAAGGCGCAGCGCAAGAAAGAGGCCCGCGAGGCCCGTGAGCGCGCCAAAGAGGCCGCTCGCGAAGAGGAGGCCCGGAAAGCCGGTGGCGGTGAGGAACCCGACCGCCGAGATGACGACGATAGCGATGCCGAAGATATAGCCGATAGGAAAGGCCCCAACGCGGGCAAGACCACGGGCAAAGCTACGGGCAAGAAGACCGACGTGGCCGTTGGCGGTAAAAAACGGAAGGCCGAAACCGACATTGATAAGGGGTCCAAGACCAAGAAGAAAAAAGACGAGCCTAAGCCAAAGGTCGCTAAGCCGAAGGGCCCCGTGGACGTCGAGCGCCAGTGCGGCGTGCCGCTGCCGAACGGGCTATTATGCGCGCGGTCGCTTACGTGCAAAAGCCATAGCATGCTTGCTAAGCGTTCCGTCCCAGGCCGGTCGCTGCCCTACGACATGCTCTTGACTGCGTATCAGAAGAAAAACCAGGCTAAGCAGCAGAAGGCTGCCATCGACGCAAATACGGTGCAGACGGAGGAAGAAGACCAGAACGCCGTCTCGGTAGACAGCGATGAAGAGACCGCCGCTGTCATGAGCGCTTTGGCGCACTGGAATCCCCAACCGGTTGTGCCGCAGCCTGTATTTGCGCCCATAAAACGGCAATACCAGCTTGCGCGACTACATGAACAGCTGCAAGCGGCAACTAACGGTGGCCGTGTCAACATATTCAAGGTTGTGGGCTTCGGCGCCCAGCGGCTCCCAGAGAACCATCCGGCCAACCAGGCGAACAACTTGTATGATAATGATGATGCCCAAGGCGAACCTGATACAGCCGTGATGGGCAATTTCTCGCGGAGATCTTCTAGCTTCAGTCTTTCAGGACCACCCCAACGACGGCCGTCTGTGTCCAGCCGAGCTTAGAATGCTCGGAATCCCGACGAGTCGTCGCCGCCTAGGTACCGCAAGTCCCCGCCACAAGAGCCTGAGATGGAATTCTCTCGGCCTCCTTCTCCTCCTGCGACCTTAAGCGCCCCCACGCCAAACCCGAGTTCAGAGACACAGTTGAATGCGCAAGCAGAAGCACCGATCGAGACTACTACGCCGTGCCCAACCCCGGTCCTCGGCTCCCAGTGTCCCCCGATCGCTAGTCCGCTCTCGATGCCGCTGCATACGCCGCGACCAGTTTCGGAGGAGTCTATCAGACAGCCCGTACGCTCTGTGGGGCAGCATCCTAGTCCGCTTTCGGGGCAGGAGCAGCCTCCGGGATCTCCTTCGCACCAGCCTGTGAGACGAGTTGTGGAACGCCCTCCGGAAAAGAGCCCACATTCGCGCCTTAAAGAGTATGCTCCGCGACAAGCTGCTCAGCAACCACAGCAGTCCTCCGCGGAAAATCTTCCTCCGCCTCCGGTGCCCGAATCGCAAGAAAGTCCCAAACTGATTGTAAATGATAGTGTATGGAGCCCTTCACCACAACAGCATCAGGGTTCTACACTGGAATCGAAGTTGGTCGAGATAGGGCCGAAAAGTCTGGGGTCTCAGCAGCCTCCCTGCTCATCCCCGCCAAAGGACAATTGCCCAACTCTAGGCCCAGAACTTGGAGCAAGCCCGTGGCCGAAGTCATCGACGGATTCGGTTTCTCCTCATCAAGGACGCTTTCAATCTTCAAATCCTAAGCTCGAACAGTCTCTCACTGGGTTTGGCGCGTTGGTAGTGCAAAGCAAACGCGCAGTGACGCCACCGTGGCGTTCCCGCTCCCGGTCTTTTCGGAAGAGCAATCACTCGTCGATTTCAGGACAATCGCCAGCAGGTAAAATAGAACTACCCCGTCGTCGTCTTTCTCCACCTCAAGAACCTCGCCCAGTCCCGCCTGCCACATTCCCAGCCGTTACGGGTGTAGCAGGACTCCCACGTCGCCCTTCTAGTTCTCCGCCACGTCCATTTGAGTCAAGCCCAGTACGGTCTTATCGCCGGGCTCCGCGGCATGCACAGCCCTTCATCCAAAATCGTAGACAAGTGTCGCCATCGTATTCTGCGCTGCAACAGACTCGTCCGATGCCAGTTCCAGGCCTTCATCCAACTTGGGATCACATAGCAGCGCCAAGTCATGTACCATCCGTGCCTGCCTTCACTCCCATGATGGTAACAACAGGTGGTGTGCAAAATACCTCTTTGCCCCCGGAACTGCCACGTGGAATTACTTCCGAGGCGGAAATTCAACAATCTTTGCGGCGGGCTGAAGCGGCGAGTGCCATTCAATCTCATGCTCAGCACCACTCTTTTCCCAATTTCCACGGTCGTCCTAGATTCGATAGAGCAGCCCAAGCACACCGTTCCGGTTCCGTGGCGCGGCAACAGGCAGCTCCTCAATACCGACGACAAGCGGCGGGAGGCATGCCGTTGACGCACCGAGGCGTGAGCGTGCTGCAACATTATGCCTTTGCTAACTCGCCTCAGACAGTATCGTCTGGATCTCCGCCGTCCGTTCCACAGGCACAGCACCAGAATATCTACCACCAGGACCCATACCACCAGGGTCAATATCACCCGGGTACCTACCTCCAGGGCACGCACCCCCAGGGTGCCCACAACCAGGTTGCCCCGTATCAGGGCGTCCACAGACAGGGTGGCTACCCGGGCGGCTACAACCAGAGCATCAGGCCTCAGCGGCAGTAGGGATTGCCGGGGTGTTGTCAGTGGCCGAAATTGAATAGCGATTCGGTAGTGGCTAGGTTGAAGCTTGGAGAATTGGGTTATCCTCCGATTTTCTATATATGACTGATGCAGAAGTCTATCGAAACCGGTCAGCCTGCCTATTGCGTTTTGTTGCGTTTTGTTGCGTCGTATATTATGTTTGAATGCGGCATGGGCCAGGCTAGTTTGTTCAAGTCCTTGTTTTTCCTTCTTTGTATTTGATTCTATGGTTTTATAGTCAGGTTTTCTTCTTCCTATCTTGTCTTTTTTCAGCGCCCTTGGCTTTCGTGGCTGGCGTTCTTGGCCCGGAGAATTGATTGGGGGTTGGCATTGAGAACTCTATCACGCATAGGTAGCAAAACAGCTTGGGAGGAAAGGAGTTTGGTGGTTTCGGATAATGACACTATTATCCTGCGACGGAAGCAAGACATGAGTTGGGGCGGCGGTTTCTTTGTTTTCTTGTTTATTGTTTTAACTTCGTTCCCTACTAGGACAAAGTATAAATCAATTCTAGCGTAGGTATCCTACCCATCTACAAACTTGTTTTCTATCACAGAAGCGAATTGTTAAAGGCCATCTTCAATATTCGGGCTGTTTCTTGTGCGTATGCCGCTTGTGGTCATGCCTGTATTGTTGGAGTTTGGGATGCGGGCTAAGCAGGAAGAGGGTTGAAGGGAGGCGCAGATGGAAAATAATTGGAATAAAGCCGCGTCGTTCAACTTGTAGGATGAAAATTTCCGTCTCTTAATAAGTCAACCGTGGCCCCATTGCGTGTTTGGGTTGAATACAAACCCCTTCAATCTGATCGGGGCCAGCTGCCCGGGGTACCTGAATGGGCTACAGTGTGGGGACCCTGGGATTTTCTGGGGTAATTGGGGCGTGGCGTGCGGGATGACGTCGTTGAACCTCCTCCATTTCATCCCTCCCGCTTGGGGACGATGGTCGATCACCGACGGTCTCCATGATCGTATACCTCGGCATTGCATATTCGTCTCCTTCTTCCTTGAATTCAAAAATAACACAGTTATTTCAATATCTATTTATATTTCGCTCCCATCTCGACGTCGCACCAAAGTGATCAATTCACTGCATCTCGCCATAAAGAGAGAGAGAGATATGCCCCGCGGGTCCAAACTCCTCCCGTCTATCGGGCATGCGGCCTCTGGCGCCGGCGGCACCGTCATCTCGACACTGGCCACGTACCCGCTGGACCTGGTCAACACGCGACTCAAGGTGCAGCGGCATTTGCGCGCCGACGGGTCGATTGGGCCGGGCGACGGGTACGCCGGCGTGGCCGACGCTTTCGCCTCGATCTACGCCGGCGAGGGCGGGTTAGCCTCCTTCTTCGCCGGCCTCGGCGCTGACCTCGCCAAATCCGCCGCCGACTCGTTTCTGTTCTTCCTGTTTTACACGGTATGCCACCCTCTCAGATAAATGTATATATGAGGAGGAGATGGAGAGTGAAGGAAGGGTAGGGAATCACCGTTTTGGCAGCAAGCAATGTAGCTGATTCTCCATGTCGTCACCAGTGGTTCCGGAGCCGTCGTCTGCACGCACGAAACCACGCGCCGCACCTCAGCCCCCTCGAAGAGCTCGCTGTAGGCGCCGTCGCAGGCGCCTGCTGCAAGGCCTTCACGACCCCCGTGAGCAACGTCGTCACGCGCCGGCAGACGGCGAGCCTCATGGGGGCACGCAGCAGCAACAGTCTCAGCAGCCAGGGCAGGGAAAGACAACAACAGCAACAGCCACAGCACCGCGCTCGAGACCTGACGTTTGGCGAGATCGTGGCCGACATGCACCGGGAAAAGGGACTACTGGGGCTGTGGGCGGGATACTCGGCGAGCCTAGTGCTGACGCTGAACCCGAGCACCACGTTCTTCCTGCAGCAGTTCCTGAAGCGTACGCTGGTGCCGCGGCACCACTGGGACGACCCGGGGGCGCGGACGACCTTCTTCCTGGCGGCCGTGAGCAAGGTGGTGGCCACGTCGCTAACGTACCCGTTCCAGATCGCCAAGGCGAGGGTGCAGGTGTCGGCGTCGGCGGACAAGAAGAAAACAAAACAGCAGCAGCAGCAGCAGCAGGAGAAAAAGGAGGCCGCTGCCTCTGACGAGCATGTTTCGGCAGCAAGCGCGCTCGTGTCACGGATCCGGGGCATCGCGGGCAACACCATCTTTGCGACGGTTCTGCGGATAGCAAGGGCGGAGGGCGTGCGGGCCCTCTACGACGGCATCGGGGGCGAGCTTCTGAAGGGCTTCTTCAGCCACGGCACGACCATGCTCTCAAAGGACATCATCCACAGGTTTATCGTGCGGCTGTACTTTGCCATCCTCGTCGCCCTCCAGCAGTACCCGCAGATCAGATCCCACATCCTCCAGAGGACCCGCGAGCTCCGCGAGGAATACCTCCGGGCTCCGTCGCAAACTGCGGCCGGGCGGCGCGGGCGCAGCGGGGTCCGGTACGTCCAGAACGCGTTTAGCTCGGGGCAGAGATTTGCAGCAGGCATAATGAGCTCTAGCCAGAGAAATTAAATATTTAATTAGAGTCCCAATTGCGGATACCCAAATACTTAATACAGAGCGACCAGCATGTTCTTCTGTAACTTTATAGTGTCAGCTTTGCCTTAGTGTCTATATTGATTGATCGCAAACAGCTTGGCCTCGACAATGTGTCTGCACGGACTGGATTCACCCTCTCAGGAGAATCTTTTCTCTGCTCGTTAAAGGTTGAGCCTGGGGCTCTAGACTAGCACTGAAACGCAACGCCGTTCTTCTTGACTTTGTTCGCGCCGCTGGCCGAGAACCCGGTCCCTTCGTGGTGCAGCTCGACCAAGCCCGGCCTTATTCTCTCCTTTTCACCCTTGCCGTCCTTCTCTTTTCGGGCTGGTGGCTCTTTTCTCTCTGTAAGGTCAGCATCACATACATAGCAGCGAATTACACTGGGATCCGAGCCCGGATCGGCGTGAGGGTCGTGGTGTCCAGACGGCTTCATGAACTTGTCGACGCAGTTCTTGCACAGGACGTGCCCGCACGGCTTGGCGAGCACGGCCTTGGACGAGTTGGAAAGCGCCTTCTTGCACGACGGACATATCCTCTGGGTGGCTTTGGTCGCCGAGTCAGTCTCTTCTGTGAAGTGGACGGTCACCAGGGTATGCAGAGAGTAGTAGTGCGGGTCGTCCTCCTGCGACGCCGGACATGTCGGTTGGCTCTTCACTTTCTTCTTCACCTCGTGCAAGACGTTGTTTGTGTTGGAGGACGGCGTAACAGACGGCGACCAGAAGGACGGCAGTGTTGGCTTGGCTGCCTTCTCGTCGTCGATGGCTTTCCTTGCCTTCGCTCGTTCTTCGACGACAATACGCGCCAGCTCGTCCTCGTCCATTGAGAATTTGCGCTTTTCTCCCCTCTTAGTTGCGCCGTCCTGCTCTCTAAGCTGCACCCCTCCGCTGTCCGCCGTGGGGGGCTCTCTTTTGGGTTTGGCATTTTTTATCTCGAGACCGGCCTGGGTCCGCTCGAACTCGCGGACGGAGCGTTCCTGCGCCTCAAGGTCTCGCCTCTTCTTCTCCTCGAGATCTTCGCGCGCTTCGTGCTCCCTCGACTTCTCGGTCCGTCTGATCTCCTTCTTTTGGGCGAGGACGTTGCTGAGGGCGCATTCGCGGCAGAATATGTCGCCGTGGGAGCACGAGACTGGGTCTATCGAGGGTTCCAGGCAGAGGCAGCAGGACGAAAACGGAAGGAAGGACTCGCGCGAGAGGCGTGCTGAGGAGGCACCCCATGCCGCCTTGGCCATGTCGCGCTCATATGATGTGAAGATGGGCCGACTCGTGTTTCTTTTGCCTGTGTCGTCAGACGTCTCAGAATCTCTCCAAAAGCGTTCAACAGGACGAGGGAGAGGGGACTTACTGTGCGCCATCTTGTCTTTATCCTTCGACTTTCAGCGCTTCTGCGATGTGTATTCGGCTCGGAAGTAGGAGTATTTAGTTATGAAATGTGGATGGACTGGCTTTCGATCTGAGGTTGCTGATCTTGAAGAGCCGCAAAAGCAGTGTCCACTGTCCTTCCCCCGTTCATGCCAGAACATCCTGGGGGTGGGCGCGCTAGTGTCGCTGTGGTGCGAGTTTACTAGGGACCAAACCCCTGCGCCCCACGCCCCCCTTGTACTTTAGGCTCCCAAGCAGGCTTGCAAAAAATTGGCTGCACGGACAATGGGCTAACCTAGGAACAGAGTGTCGATTCGCCATTCATCCATCTTCCACCTAACCCTAATCCAGTCCCTTTGGTCGGTTCGCGCGTCCTTCATTCACTCATTCCACGTCGACCTATCGTAGAAGACCTCTCACTGAATCTGACATTATACCTACGCGTTTGGCCAGTCATTTCCTGGCTCATTCCGCTAAACCCGGTCGGGGAACGAGCCGAGGGCGGCATGTGAAAATTTGATGTCCATTTTCACTCACTTCAAATTCTCCGATCGACTTCAAGTACCAGGTTGTTTGCTCCCTCACTTAGAACACTAGAGCAAGACGTCGGAATTGCACATTTCATCTCGGATATCCTCGGCCACGCCATGGCGTCTCACGCGCCGGCTCCCCAGAGCCCGAGTCTCCCGTGGCGCATGTCGTCGGCTATGGTTATGGGCATGACAGGCGTCATATCGCGCTCCTTGCTGTACGGGCTCAACTCGGTCGAGACCACAGGGTTCTCACGGTTCCTCGATATATTGAATAACCGTCAGGACCCTGAAACGCGACAGCGCGGACTTCTCACTGGTGCGAACGACCTACCCTTTGCTTGATGCTGAGGCTGGCGTGAGATGAAGGAGTGTGTGCCGTGCTGACTTGTCGTTACTCGTAGTCTCCAACCATGTTAGCGTGTGAGTGCCCCTGAATAGCAGCAACACACTCACAATGCAGGCCGAAACCTTGCGACCTGGGCTCATACCAATCTTTTTGTTTTCTCAGTGTCGATGATCCGCTCATTTGGGGCGTGCTACCCCTGAACCACTCTTTCAATCCATCCAACCTGAGGTGGACGCTAGGAGCTCACGACATTTGCTTCAGTAACAAGTGCGTCGTGACCCCTTCCCTCGCCGAGCAAATATTTATCTGTCTGCTCAGGTTTTTTGCGAACTTTTTCACATACGGCCAAGTGCTGCCCTGCCATCGGCTGAAGCATTCTGCTCATGGCGGTCTCTTCCAGCCATCATTAGCCCAAGCCATCCGGCTCCTCTCCAGCCAGCCTTTTTCCTCTGCGTCCTCTTCATCATCGCCGCCCCTCGAACACCATGACATTCCCGACCCCTTCACTGTCGGCGCCCTCACCTACACCACCAATGGCAGTGACTCCATCCCTGCGCCCTCGGTCTACACCCGTAACCGGCACAGCTGGGTGCACGTGTTCCCCGAGGGGCTAGTGCACCAACACCAGGCTCGTGACCTACGATACTTCAAATGGGGCGTGGCGCGGCTGATCCTCGAGGCTGAGCCTGCCCCAGACGTCCTGCCCATGTTTATCGACGGCACGCAGAATCTGATGCCCGAGGACCGCGGCTTCCCTCGCTTCCTGCCACGCTTCGGCAAGCGCATCCGCGTGGCCTTTGGCGAGGTGCTAGACTACGAGGCTACATTTGGCGACCTGCGGCGGCAGTGGGAGGGCCTAGTGCGCCGGTCCAACGAGGCTGCCGCTGCTGCCGCTGCTGCCGCCACTACCGCTACCGCTACAGCCCGTAACGATGTGAAGAGCAATGGGTCTTTGTTTGTAGGGTTATGGGCCAAGCAAGACACCACACCGGCGTCGGCGGCAACCACTTCGCCAGCGACAATACAACAACGGATAATGATGCTCGGTGAACTCCCAGACGATCTGAAGCACAGCAAGGAAGCACAGGAGATACGTATTGAAGTTGCCCGGCGCATGCGCGAAGCAGTGCTGAAGGTCCGAAAATCGCTCGGAGACTACCCAGACGCGGACCCGACGCTCGGCTCTGCTGACATCTGGAAGGTTGAAGACCAGGTCCCTGCCAAGAAATACAAGAGCAGAGTGGACGGGAGCGAGATTAACCAGAACTAATGGGCTGTCGGATAAAGGACATATGGTTGACCGCATGCGTCAACGTGGGAAAAAAACATTATATCATACCTATAGAGACTCTTGTATATATTTTTGTAGTTTGCTGTTTGGTAGAAGCCTTAGCCTCTGCTGTATTGGCCTTGAACGATCTCGGGATAAAAAAGGGGTTTCCTCTTTCAAACCTGTTTTATCGTGTGCTTATGGTTTGAACATACTGTACATTTTCGGGCCCAAACCACCTAATTAGTTAATATTCACACAGATAACTAATAGGAGTGTATGTCTGCTACAGACTACGAGAATTATTAATGGGTTTCAATACTGTACAATGTTTCTTATCATAGTTGTTGTAAAGGAGGGGTTTGGGTATACCATAGTATGAGCGACGGATAACCCCTCCCCTCTTTTATGTGCAGTACAATCCATACATTAGGTCAGCCCGCCATCGACCCTTGCTCATCTAGGACAACTTCTTCACAAACTTAAAGTCTCGAATGCTTCGATACGTAAAAACCTCGAACTATAAATCTCTGCCTCACTTTACGCATAATAGCTTGCAAAGACTCGCATACACCACATTGCTGCAATACAATCCACTCCACACCTCGCCACCTACATAGATATCCCAGCAGCCAACCCCGCCAGACTCGCAACACTCACCTCCCGCACCCTTCGTCATCCTCAAACCAGCACGATGAGCTCCGACTATGCAAGCATCCTGACACCGGCGGCGTGCTACGTCGACTTTTGCCTCGTGCCCGTGAGTTCCTCCACTGCCATGCCTTGAATTTCCCAGCCGGGCCATATCAGATCAGGCCAGGGATGGATAGATGCCATGACGAGAAACCATGCATGCGTGCATGCACGCACGCACCCTTTCTATCTCTAGATATGTATCAGAAAACATCACTGCGCCCACCTCACTCACCTAACCTCCCTCAACAACCCATCCCATCCCCGTGCCAAGCAGCAGCACGAATATACCGTCACTGACCGACACTTTACTCCGTCCCTCCTGATAAAAAGGTCGGAACCGGCAACGTCTCCGTCGCTAGCGAGGTTGCCCAGGTGCAGAAGCTGCTGCGGGCTAGTGGGCTGAAACACACGATGCACTCTGCGGGGACGACAGTCGGTTTGTTTCCCCCCCTCACCTTTCATGCCCGTCCCGTCCGTACCAAGCGGAAGTATATGTACATATGTATGTATTACTGACTCCAGGTCTGCAGAAGGGAGCTGGGACGATGTGATGCGAGTTGTCGGGCAAGCTCACGCTATAGTCCACCAAGGCGGCGTGCAGAGGGTGCAGACCTCGATGCGCGTGGGCACTCGGTACGTCATATCACGTTACTGCTTTCTCCAGTTCATTTGTTTACGTCGACGACGAAACGACATCTAATCTTGTGTAAAATGGAACTACGACGTGGGTGGTTGTTGTGCTTTACTAAATCCCCCCCTATTCAGAACCGACAAGACCCAGACAGCAGAGCAAAAGGTGAAGCGAGTCGAGGAGATCCTTGCACGCGATGAATAGTAGAGGTGGTAGTGGTCATCGATTATTCCAGTGTATACACACGCTGCAGCAAACCGCCCGATGCGCTTTTAAAGGCTGCCACAAACGGCAAGCTAAACACTCCATCCGCCATGAGACACTCCTACCTACTTTTGTACAGTACAAAGCACAAATTATATAGATATGAATCAAGTTAACCAACTTCAGCCGCTGAATACCGAGGCAGGGACTCTTATGGTCTAAGCCCTGGTCGTCTGCTTTTTCATCGACTTGCGCACTTCCTTCTCCCGCTCCTTCTCGAGATAACGCTTCTGGGCCTTGGCGTCGAGAGCGTTTAGTTCAGCGTCACGCTTGGCCTTCTTGGCCTTCTCGCGCTCCTGGAGACGCTCCTCGGCCTTCTCTTCCTCGCCTGCCTTTTGGATTTGACGGACGGCGTCCTCGCGAATGCTCTTGACCTTGCGCACGACCTCGGGTCGGAAGTGGGCAGACTTGGCGAGCAGATCCGAGATGCGGATGAAGGCCCGGAAAAGGGGAACAAGAAACTCGTAGTTGTTATTGGACGGGAGGCGGTACTTAAGGAACAGGCGCTTGCGCGGGGCCGTCTCGTCGATGCTGTTGCATATATTTTTGGTTAACTCTGGCAACCTGGGATAGGACGAGGTGTGAATTGAACTCACGTCTTGGGCTTCACAAGCGGCTGGTCCGAGACGATGAGATACTCAAAGAGGTCACCAGCGGCCTCGGCAGCCTTGACCAGCTCGGGAGTAAGCATGAGATCGGTAATCTCGGCGCTCTCGCTCATGACGGTCAACCAGGTGGGGAGTTTGGAGTTGTCCTTGGTGAATGTTAGGGAGACATCATAACGCTCGTCGCGGACCTTCTTCATTGACTCCTTGTGGACGAGGCCCCAGACGAAATTATCGAAGCTGCTCTTGTTCTCCTTGGCGCGCAGCTCGGCAGCACCAGGAATGCCGGGGACCGTAAGTGCCTCCTTGCCATCAAATGGGTAGAGGATCGCCTCGACAACATCCTGTGGTTGCTCAAAGGTATCGAAGAAGAAGCCCAGGCCCTGCTCGATAAGGGTCATGACCGGGTTGTACCTCTTGAGCAGCGTGAGCTTGACGTCCAGAAAGGCAACGTTGGCCCGACCAGTCGCATACGTGGCGAACTCGAAGAGGCTCTTCTCTCGAAGGGCGGCATCACCCAGCTGGGTGTTGTCGTCGGTAAGCGCCTGCAACAACTCGTCGCCCGCCTTGTCGGCAGACAGGGGCGACACGCCAGCGAAGCCGACCGAGGCAAACTCGTCGACCAGCACCGGCGAGTGGGCGCGGATCCACTTATTGGCCTTGGTGCGGTTCAGGCGCGCGCCGATGACATGGACGAGCAGTACCACGGTAATGGCGGCCAGAATGAGGCCCTCAACCTTGAACTCGTCCAGCGAGTGGCGCTCGTGAACATTGTACCACTTGGTGTAGGGCCGGAGCGTCTGCGCGGGCCCCAATCCAGCGAGGGTATGCGTGACAGGCGACACGTCTATCGGCGTCGGATCAGCCCCTTTTGCGAAGTCGCCAAAGTCTGCGACATGAGGCCAATTCGGTCAGCAGCTAGACGTCACGCAAACATGCCGGACAGCAGGCAAAGGGCAGTTCGAAGACGCAGTGCGTAATGTGCAAATGGCTCAGGGAGCTCTTCCTCGAGAACCGACTGTTGCTTCGCTGTCATGACGAGCAAAGAGTGGAGTCGTCTAGTCTCAACCGTCTCATTCCCACTGCCTTTGTCGTTTCTTTGGGGGGAAGGATGCGCGCGCGCGCGCGCACGGAATGGGAGGCTGCTTACCAGAGTCTGCAGCCTGGACGGTCGCCGGGCTCGGCGCGGGCTTGCCGCCTCCCCAGAGGTTGTTGAGCACGTTCGCCATGATGTCGCGGGTGCGTGCGAGGGTGCGTGGCGGAACCAGAAAGAGGACAAAGGCTGCGAAGCTGTTTCTTGTCTGCAAAAGGAAAATCGAAATTGGAGCATCACGTCAAACGTCCGTGCTCTGCAGAGGGCAGGGTGTCCCACATTTGATTAAATGCTGTGGATTCATCAACGCAGCCGGGTTCACGGGTCCTTCCCAGCAAAGCAGTGCGGTACACGTAAGTAGAGCACGGCGATCCAAGATTGCAAACAGTCAAAGTTTGAAATCTGCGAAAGTTAGTGAAGTTAGTATCATTGAATATGCCCAAGTTACGGCAACAGATGCCCTATACCTTGGAGGCTTGATCATGCCGGGGCCTATCCATATTGAAGGTACCAAGTACCTTTGCCTGGGCAATACTGGGGTATCGCCCAAGTCGTGCAACAGTCCTATCAGTTGTATTAGCGTTGGTATCATTTCCTGATGATATTTGAGCTCTATATATTTTCAATATTGTCAGTTTTGAGCAAGGTGGAATAGTTTGGAAATTCTTGAGCTTTGCAACTTGGGATAAGCTGGGGTACAGAGTACTTTGTACCAAAGCTCAGTAACGGTTGCCCCCAACAACCAGCCGAAACATCACGAGCGAATCAGAGGCAAGGATCTCAACCTCAGTTGAGACCTTTACGAACAAATAAAGTCTTCCTTTCAAAGCATTAGCTTGCAGGCGTATCAAATCGCATAAGACTAACAAAAAAACAAAAGATGCCGACCACAACGATGGTCCGTAAATATGGAAAGCCCGTCAAGAAGACCAGGGCAGAGCGACTCTTTGCCGAGCTGCCAAAGAGTCCAACCAAAAAAATGGACCTGCCCCGGGAGCCACAACCACAACCGGCATTGGAAAATATGCCAGATGTGACAGAAGGGGCGATGGCGGAAATAGCAGAAAAACTTCTCTTCGTCACTCTTGAAGAGAAGTCGCCCGTTGAAAGAGACCGAGACCCACCAGACGAAGTCGCTTCGCCACCACAGCAACCGGTACGCCAAGTGCATGATGAAGCTTACCTAGCGTCATATGAGTTGCAGCCGCCAGAGACAAATAGCCAACATATCGACGAAGAGGACGGAGTGGAAGAGAAAGAGGAGGAGGAGGAGGAAAACGACGAATCTCAAGCGCTGCAGATACTAACGTGGGCCGACGTCTGCCCCTTTGGCGACCGGATCGAGAAGATCGCCGAGGCATCGTACGCCGAGGTGTACAGGATCACCAACGAGAGGGGGACGAGCATCATCAAGGCCGTGCGGCTCGAGTCGCCCATCAAGCCACAGACCAAGACGCAGGAGAGGTCGGGCCTGGTGGACGAGGAGCCGCACTCCGAGGACGACCTGCGCGGCGAGCTGAGGATCTCGGAGTGGCTCGCCGACGTCCCCGGCTTCGTCGTCTACAAGGAGCGGTTTGTGGTGAGGGGGAAGGCCCCCAAGGCGCTGCTCGAGACGCACCAGGTCTTCCACCGCAAGCTCAAGAGAAAAGACCCAGACCGCCTCCAGTTCTACCCGTCGCCAAGCCGGTACCTGGACGACACGCGGTTTTTGGTCGTCGAGCTTGGGGACGCCGGCGTGGCGCTTGAAGACTTTGAGCTAGAGTCGGCCAGCCAGTTGTGGGACATTTTTCTACACACGGCTATTGCGCTAGCGAGGGCGGAGGATCTAATCAAGTTAGAGGTGAGTTGTCAGGAAATCTATACTTGACCCCAAAGTCATCTTCCAATGAGTTTGTGGGCAGAGGCTGACTAGGCAACTTCTCACCAGCACCGCGACTTGCATGAAGGGAACCTGTGCATCCGGCAAGCCAGACCTCGCAAGGCCAAAACGGACGACGGCGGCCAGTGCCAGTTCGGCTGCTCGGGGCTCGAAATCACCATCCTGGACTACGGCCTGTCACGCGCCCAGGACCCAGACTGCGGCCCCGGGCAGGCCGCCGAGTCGTCATCAGTGGCTTACGACCTGGAAAAGGACCTGGGAATCTTCACGAGCACGCACGCGCCGCAGTGCAAGGTGTACAGACAGATGCGGTCCTTTTTGCTGAAGGGGGACCGTGTGCACCTGGCCCCCAACCAGCACCACACGGCGTACGCGGCGGGCGTCGACGGCCGGCCGCTCAGCTGGGAGGGCCACCACCCGTACACCAACGTGCTGTGGCTGGCCTACATCTACCAGTACCTGGCGCGGCACTTCAAGGGGGACAAGCGGGAGCTGGCGCGGTTCAGGCGCGAGACCAAGCAGTTACTGGACCACCTCGACCCCGAGGCGCCACGCCACATCCTCTCGTTCCCCAGCGCCGCCGACGTGGTGCGGTTCGCCGCCGAGGCCGGCTGGATCACGCAGGACCAGTTGATGGGCACCGACAGGGACAGGAGTAGGCTAGAGGCGGCCGACGAGAGTCTGGACGACCTCGGGAGCGTGGCCGCCTTCAGCGAGAGCATCATCGAGGTCAGGGCGGCTGAGGCGGGTGCGGCGGACCATCTGCGGCGGTCGCCCCGCAAGTCCCAAATCACGCAGATGGCCGATGTGGCTAAGTGAGGGAGAGGGTAACGAGGGAGAAGGTGAGGGGGATGGGGGAAAGGGACTGGGGACGCCTAATTCGAGGACGGGGACAATAATTCATGGGCAACTGGCGGGGAAGACACGGCGGGGACTATAATTCATAAACAAAAACTGGCCGGGAAGACGCGGCATTGGTAGCCAAGATCCCAAGACTTCCTTGGCCCCAGGAGAAATCACCCCCTCGTGTGGTGTGTAAACATATATTTAGAAACGATACCACGAAACATGATGCCACGAAATATGGGGCAAGAAACAGCGGAAAGAGAGGGGTGGGGGGTGTTGCTTTGGATCGCAATTATTTCTGTCGCCCTAGCCTGGCCTGGATTTATTTTACCTGGTACTTGGTACCCGGCAAGTTGCCATTCACATCACAGGTTCACGTTTCTGGGGTGGCTGGTGAGTTTCCTTCCCTGCCATTGGGCTGGAATCATATGCAGGCGTCTTGATTATTATTATTACTTGGGGTCGGACGAGAACCTCGACGGCCTATGCGGGCTGCACCTCATGCGAGTCCAAGCAATGTGGTGGGCTGTTGCATTTTCGTCGCGTCCGGCTCTTTCCTTTTCGAGCATCGAGTGCCAAGAGACGGGCGCGTTTGGCGGTTTTCGGAAGATTACCGACCATCTACCTCGAACAAACTGAACCCAGCACCATTTAGATTTATCTGTTAGACAGCAATAGTAAAGATGACAGTTTTTACAGCTATTGATTAAACGTCACTAACAGCGGGTCAGAATGCTAGTGACTCAGTTGTTTCTGTCTCACGGAAGCTCCTTGGCTCCTTATCAGGTTGGTGGTGTACGGTACATACTGGCTATCAGGAGAGACGCCACTTCCACCGCGACGCCCGAAGCCTAACCCTTTGATGGTTTTCTACCGCCTCTGAGATTGCACGACGGTGGCGTCTCTCCTCGCCTCCTGATAGCCGTAGTGGGGTTAAAGTACCGGTGCAAGAAGAAGCAGAGGTGAACGAAGCCCAACCTTTAATGGTTTTATACCGCCTTTGAGATTTCACGACGGTCGTTCGCCTCTGCTTCTTCCTGCACCGGCACTCCAACCCGTGTCAGCGCTTCCGAAAGAATAGCTACGAGTTCGCCCCGGCCCATCAGAGTCGAGTACGTCGGCACCAAATCCCTCGAGTGGGTGCCCGTGCTGCCATCGTCGCCCGGCAGTGCCGAGCCCTCGAATGCTGCAGCTTCTACCCAGGCTCCGACACCAGACCTGCCGGATTCGCAGCGCTCGGGGTCACTGGCAGATAGCTTGGAATCGCAGTCGTCGTCGTCGTCGCAAGCGTCCCAGCTTCCCGAGACGGACGAGGAACTCAAGCAGCACTTCGCCCAGTACGTCCGAGATGAGTTTTCTAGCATCCGATCCGAGTACGCCCCCACCAGCGCTGCCAAGGTGGCAAAGGCAACGCAGGCAAAGCTGGCCTATTGTTTATTGGCTGTGCTCAACGACCCGACATCAAACGTTCGTCTATTGAACATGTCGGCTATGAAGGGCGAGGTGGAGAAGGTAGGCGGCTCGTCGGCCTTTGCGGACTATCTCAAGCTCGTATATAAGTTATATAAACCCCAAATCCAGTATATACTCGATACTTGGACGAATGAGGCGGCGAGGGACGAGAAGAAGGCCTTGAAACGCAAGAGGTTGGACACGTCTGGACACACTACGCCGACGGTCGAGGATCTTCCCACCGGAGACACCGGAGACAGGGCCGGTCGTTCCAACGCAGACAAGATCGCCCAGGCCAAAGTGTCAAAGTGGTACGACGGAAGCTGTGTTCTCTCTGGCGCTACACTGGTCGACGGAGCACATATTATAGACGTGAGGGCCTCGGGGATGAATGCCCTCTATTTCTGGGAGATGCTACGTATGTTTTGGCCTCTTAAGAGTACCTATAAGCTCGATATTAAAGGCCAGGAGGTACGGAACATCCTCCCCCTCAACCCGGGCGTCCATAAATTCTGGGATCGGCATAGATTCGCGGTCCGTCCCGTCGAGCACCCGATAGACCCCGAGCACAGGATCTACTTACAGGTGGTGTAGCTCAAGGATCCAGACAAGTTTAATGGCCTTATCAAAGGTGACTGGGACCATCACGGATCCGGCACCATCGTGGACTTCCGGCGTGGGAGCGACGACGGGCGCGTGTTCCCGCGCCTCGAGCATGGCGACGTCTACGAGCTATCTACAGCCGATCCAGTCAGGTGCCCGCTGCCTAGTATCCGATTTCTGGAGATTCGCTACGCCGTCCAGAAGATCATTGCGGGTCTGATGACCACCGGCGCGCTCAAGGATATCTTTAGTGGCGAGCCGCCCGAGGACGGGCTGGGCCCTGCCCGCCACGAGGAACCCTTAGCCGGCGATTGGGAGGTCCTCCTTGAAGCGGCCGTGGAAGCCGAAGTCCTGACCAGGGACGCGGCGGGGCGGTGGGCCAGATCGTTTCAGGACGCGGCCTACGATAAGGCCGTACGAGAAGCCAGGCTTTTTGCCATGTTTCTTACCGAGGAAGAGGAACTGGCTTCGTCAGAGCAAGAGGCGGGTGGAATGGGATGGGGTAAATAGGGTCCGCCTCCTCCAGATATCGGCCAGCACGATCTCCTTCTACGCGAAGACTGTACCATTCTACCCTCCCGGCCCGCTACGGGGAGACACGGGGGATATATGCCGCAAGCCGCACTCGGCGTGGGTAGCATGTAACGGCTGAGCCCCGCCAATAGCTTTGTTCACATAGAACCTGTCCCCAATTCGGTCCTTCAAGTTCTCATTGAAGTATTTGCTACTACCACCAAGATCTACGTCGTCTTGGTTCTCTTGTGAACGGTGGCCCCGAGTAAGAGAGTAGATTAGCATACGTTAGAGTTAATAAATATACATATACTAGTACGACCGTGACCAGTCGTCTTCTACGTGCCGGTCGAGTGCTTGATTAACTTTTAAGATCGTCTGACTAGACAGAAAAAAGATCCCGAAACCCCCGGCCCTCCCTGAAGTCCCTGATACCCCCGAATCAGGCCGCCAGATAATGGATATGAGCAAGGGGGCTAGTCCAGGCACAAGAATGAAGTTCAGAAAGGCCGCCCGAGCAGTTAACGGGCTTCAGGCCGAGTTAGTTTGGAAGCTAAAGAAAAGGAGGAAAATTCCGAGCCCGAGTAAACGGTTCATAACTTTGGCTACCATACTACTGGGTGGCGAGGCTCCCGTAGAGCCGTAAGAAGAAGAGGTGGATGAAGAAGACGATGAGGATGACGCTATAGATAACGATATTCCACCTGTAAGAATGACCAGATCAGGGCGTACAACCAGGGTGCCGGTACGATATAGGGATTGAGCGACTAATTAGCTGGGTGGGTGGTATAGCGGTAAAGAGGCCCACAACATAATAACTACAACCAGTATCAAGGCGAGCCTCGGAGCAAAAGTCCAGAGTTCCATGGCTAGTGAGGTGAAAAGCAAAGAAAAGGCACTGCAATTTAGCTCTTGCCATTGGGCTTTCACTTGGGGTGGGAATGCTAGAGATGCAGCGGTGAAAAGGCACCACAACACAACAACCACCAAGCAGTACCAAGGCGAGCCTCAGAGCAAGAGTACAGAGTCCCATAGCCAGGGAGGCCAAAAGTAAAGAAAAAGCACTGCAATCCCTGCTGGCTACCTCGGCAACTCAGCTCTTGCCATTGGACTTCCGACTTGGGGTGGGAAAGCTGGAGATACAGCGGCGAAAAGGCACCACAACACAACACAACAACCAGCCTCACGGAAAAGTATAGAGTTCCATAGCAGGGAGGTCAAAGGCAAAGGAAAGGCACCGCACTTCCTGGCTCTTAAATCGGCAATTCTGGCCCTGAAAGTACAGTTTTTCATAGTACGGAGTTTGCCGTTGGGACCCTGGAAATTACCGATTTTTACAGGCCCACATGGTCAAGTTCAACGCCCAGACAGCGTAAAATTACCGGCCCACATGGTCAAGTTCAACGCCTGGGCAGCGCAAAACTACCGATTTTCCGCCTCACAGCTACTACGACGAAAGAATGCCAGGAGTGGTTTGTAGGCCGTCGTAAGGCGGCCTCATTCCTCCCCATATCGCTAAGCGACCCTGTAATCCCTCTAGAATGCCCTCGGCTCCATTGAGGACGCCTACCCTAACGACTTCCGTCTTTAGGAATGCCAGGTCGAAGAAGAAGAGCTCAACTAGTAGGGATTCCTTCAAATCCTCAACAACAAGGCCGCCAAAGAGAAGCGATCCGCCTATTTCATCCAGCTACCGAAGCTGTCACCGACAAACCCCTCGACAACCCCTCGACAACCCCTCGAAACCCCTCGAAACCCCCTCCAGCGTACCGAACATACAGAAGGCAAGGAAGAGAGGTGATAACAAGGTATGATGTGGCTCAAGGCCAAGGGGAGTCCCTCCGCGAGCGCCACACTGCTGCACACAACTCCAACAGCCTCGGCGGCGCCGAGCTCTCGAGCCTGTTGTTCGGAGGGGAGCTTCTATGCCGGCCCGTTGCCGGCATGTAGCGCCCACCCCAAGTCGGAAGTCCAATGGCAAGGGCTGAATTATCCGCCTCTTTCGTCCAGCTACCGAAGCCATCACCGACAAACCCCTTGACAACCCCCTCCAGCGCACCGAACACAGAAGGCAGGGAAGAGAGGTGGTAACAAGGTACAATGTGGCTCAAGGCCAAGGGGAGTCCCTCGGCGAGCGCAGCACTGCTGCAGCACAGCTCCAACAGCCTCGGCGGCGCCGAGACCTCGAGCCTGTTTGTTGTTCGGGGGGGAGCTTCTATGCCGGCCCGTTGCTGGCACGTAGCGCCCACCCCAAGTCGGAAGTCCAATGGCTAGAGCTGAATTGCCGAGGTAGCCAGCAGGGATTGCAGTGCCTTTCCTTTGCTTTTGGCCTCCCTGGCTATGGAACTCTGACTTTTGCTCTGTGAGGCTCGCCTTGGTACTGCTTGATGGTTGTTGTGTTGTAGTGCCTTTCCACCGCTGCATCTCTAGCATTCCCACCCCAAGTGAAAGTCCAATGGCAAGAGCTGAATTGCCGAGGTAGCCAGCAGGAATTGCAGTGCCTTTCCTTTGCTTTTGGCCTCCCTGGCTATGGAACTCTGACTTTTGCTCTGTGAGGCTCGCCTTGGTACTGCTTGGTTGTTGTGTTGTGGTCGTGGTGTTTTGGGCCTTTTCACCGCTGCATTTGTCGCATTCCCACCAAGTCGGAAGTCCAATGGCAAGAGCTAAATTGCAGTGCCTTTTCTTTGCTTTTCACCTCACTGGCTATGGAACTCTGTACTTTTTCTCCGAGGCTCGCCTTGGTACTGGTTGTGGTTGTTGTGTTGTGGGCCTCTTTACCCCTGTACCATCCCCCCTCTACTACATAGTAGACGAGCAGTCAGAGCAGTGCGATCTAACTTCGGCACGCTGGCCGCATTGGTCTCGCAGCTGTGTGCACGCATTCTTTATGGCTCATGCTGCCGGCTACGGGATTTACGTTCGGTAGTGAGCCTGCGTAGCAATGGGTATTAAGGGGCACGGGGGTACGGGTATGGAGAGAGCCGCTCTGCACAACAAAAGCCGCCCTTCGCCTCGATATCGCGCACCGCACCGTAACGCAACATCACTCTATTAACCCAGTGGGGATTATCGACTGCGTGCCTTGGAGTACAGCAAGATTCCATTCAAGATTCCAATGTCATCTGGAAGGGTGGTGGATCCACAGCCCGTCGAGAGCGTATTCTTTGGAATCAAGGTTTGCCAGGGCAAGAATCACATCATTTTGAGTGCGGAAAATAGCCCGTGGCCCGCACGGCTGCCTACCTTATACTAGGTAGGTCTTTGATAGGCAAGGTGATGGCACCCACCTCTTTGCCGCCGTCAACCGTGTCTCCTCTGCCTGCTTGGGTAAGTACCTACATTCGGCCTCCCGCATCGGTCAGCATGCCTGCCTCACTACCGCCAGCTAGCCAACCATCAACCGATGAAAACTAATCCGCAGTTTGGCTCGCAGATTGATCCCCGGCCCACGTCATATGTGTTTTTCCTCTTCAACTGAGGTGCCAGGAATTGTGTTGACTCTTCCTATCTCCGAAGGGTGTGAATCAGGTAATATTGCTAGGCAATAATAAGTCGAGTGTTTCCCCAGAACCAAAGAACATCAACTTTTGGAAAGGGAACTTTGGACACCGTGTCTGTGTAACAATACTGCCACTGCTTATTGTGAAGTTGTGTCCCCATTCTAATTTCTGTCGGCGGTCCAGCGCTGTGGAATCAGTCGCCAGCTTACAAACCCATGTCTACTCGGATCATCTGAGCACGCTGTGCGCTGCCATGCACATCCGGGCAACAAGAAAATAGAGATCAAAGCCTCTCCGTCCGCTTCTGAGGCTGGTTGGCTGGACTGGAGCCGCAAATTTCTCACCGCCGATCTCTACCCGAGACTTTGACAAGGGTTAACCGCGCGACGCGAGAGCTTGGGCGGAACCCATTACGCCCCTTCGGCATCGAAAGGTACCTTGGCTTGGCTTTTGTCTTGTCTTGGACACCTACTACATGTCCAAGTTGGGAGGTCAGGGTCTATAGGCAAGCCATATACGACGCACGACTACACCACCACAACACAACATCAGCAGCTAGGTGCACAAGTCCCGGGCAGTCCGGTATGACCGAATTATTGTCTTACGTGCTGTCTCTACCTACACCCAGCACGTCTTCTGTCTTGGACATATTACTCTATAAGTAATATCGCATGGGGGAAACCGGGTCGGTGAGCAACGCCCCCAATGTGGGTCTGATATCTCGGGGATCCGATTCGGTGGCTCACCTACTAAGATGGTGGCAGCGGCTCGGGCGTGACGGCCTTGCAGACCCAAGGCAAGACGACGAGGACCTGTCGCCATCGCCCCCCACCCCAGAATCCGGAAGCCGACAGTTGGCCGTCGCCTCAGTCTGCTCGCGGTTTGCCATAGTGCCATGATATGATGCCAGGGTGCCAGGCATTGACAATCTGTCACTAGCAGTGTATACAGTGCAATCTGCCTCCACCGTCCCAACTCTTTCCAAGCCTCCCCGCTGCCCAAGGTACCAGCTACTCCGCTGCTCTTCACCTCCCGGGATATCTATCTATGTCTGAGGCCTATAATGATGGCCCCAGTCAAGTCCATATCTGGTATACATCCACAGTTCTGCCTCGGGTCATCCGGCTGCCGTGTATATAAGTACAGCTTGTTCGGCCTGCACCCTCTGCCTCCTTTCACTCGTCTCGGACCGTAGCCATTGCATTACTACTGCCTTCGTTCCCAAAGTGATATAATGCACACCGTAAAGGCTTTACTCTGCTGTGGTAGTCTGCTAGGCTTGTCCCTGGCAGCTTGCCCCTATGCTGACCCGGCTGCACTACTCAAAGAGAAGCGTGCGGATACCGATGCCCCTTCACCGGGTCTCGGCCAGTTCAAGGTGGATGATGGCAAGGGGTTCTTGACCTCGGACGTTGGGGGCCCCATCGAAGACCAAAACAGTCTGAAGGCTGGCATCCGAGGCCCGACCCTGCTCGAGGATTTCATCTTCAGGCAGAAAATACAGCATTTCGACCATGAACGGGCAAGTGAATCTCGGCTCACGCTCTAATAGGAAATGTAAGCTGGCCGGCCAGACACTAATAATCTCCCCTCGCCAGGTTCCCGAGAGAGCTGTCCACGCCCGCGGTGCAGGGGCACACGGAACCTTCACCAGCTATGGAGACTTCAGCAACCTCACAGCCGCGTCTTTTCTGAGCGCTGCCAGCAAGAAGACACCCGTCTTCGTCCGCTTCTCCACCGTCGCCGGCTCAAGGGGAAGCGCAGACACTGCGAGAGATGTCCACGGCTTTGCGACAAGATTGTAAGCCCACACTGCTTTTACAAGCTCGAGCAAGCCCATGCTGACAGCTATTTAGCTACACCGACGAGGGTAACTTTGGTACGCGCCACCAATCTCTCCTATCTAGCTCGAAAATGCGACCAGACTAACAGTGACAAGATATCGTGGGAAACAATATCCCAGTTTTCTTCATCCAGGATGCTATCCGATTCCCGGATCTGATTCACTCAGTCAAGCCCAGCCCCGACAGCGAGATTCCACAAGCAGCTACCGCACATGACTCTGCCTGGGATTTCTTCAGCCAGCAACCCAGCACGCTGCATACCCTGATGTGGGCCATGGCCGGGTATGGAATTCCGCGAAGCTATCGTCACATGGTAAGCGCCCGGCTTCCCCTTTCACCCCCCCCCCCCCCAAAGGACAACCAGTTAAAATGCGCGTGACAGGATGGATTCGGCGTTCACACATTCCGCTTCGTAAAAGATGACGGCCCTACCAAGCTCATCAAGTGGCACTTCAAGACGCTGCAAGGAAAGGCGAGTCTCGTCTGGGAGGAAGCCCAAGTTCTCGCCGGAAAGAATGCCGACTTCCACCGGCAAGATCTGTTTGATGCCATTGCATCCGGCAACGGACCTTCGTGGGAGCTTGCCGTGCAAGTGGTCGACGAAGAAAAGGCCCTCGCCTTTGGTTTCGATCTTCTAGACCCTACGAAGCTCATCCCCGAGGAGCTCGCCCCTCTCCAGAAGCTGGGAATCATGACCCTGGATACGAACCCGACCAACTACTTTGCCGAAACCGAACAGGTCATGTTTCAGCCCGGCCACATTGTTCGAGGCATCGACTTCACCGAGGACCCTTTGCTACAGGGGCGGGTCTTCTCATACCTGGACACACAGCTCAATCGCCACGGAGGCCCTAATTTCGAGCAGCTACCAATTAACATGCCCAAGGCTGCCATTCACAATAACAACCGTGATGGAGCAGGGCAGAACTTCATCCACACCAACAAGTTCCCATACAGCCCGAATACGCTGAACAATGGCTTCCCTGCCCAGGCCAACCAGACCACCGGCCGCGGTTTCTTTACGGCGCCTAACCGCCCTGCCACGGGTAACTTGGTTCGGGCCCTCTCGCCGACCTTTGACGACCACTGGACTCAGCCTCGGCTGTTTCTCAATTCTTTGACCTCGGTCGAGCAGCAGTTCATCGTTAATGCCATCCGGTTTGAGACCAGCCACCTGCAGTCGGAAACTGTCAAGCAAAACGTGCTCGCCCAGCTCAACCGTGTCAGCAACGACGTGGCCAAGCGCGTCGCCGTTGCCCTGGGCCTCCCGGCGCCGGCGCCCGACCCGACCTTCTACCACAACAACGTGACCGCGGGCCTCTCGATTTTCAACTCGACGTTGCCCAAGATCGCTACGCTGCAGGTGGGCGTGCTCGCCAGCACCAACTCGTCGTCATCGCTCGAGCAGGCCGCCGCGCTCAAGGAGCGCCTCGCCAAGGAGGGCGTCGTGGTCACGGTGGTCGGCGAGGTCCAGGGTAACGGCATCGACCAGACGTACTCGGCGGCCGACGCCTCGGTGTTCGACAGCGTCGTGGTCGCCGCCGGCGCCGAGGGCCTCTTCGACCCCAAGACGGCCGCCTCACCGCTGTACCCGACGGGCCGCCCCGGCCAGATCCTTGTCGACGGCTTCCGCTGGGGCAAGCCCGTCGGCGCCCTCGGCTCGGCCTCGGCCGCGCTCGACTCGACCGGCATCCCTTCGTCTGACGCTCCGGGCGTCTTCACCGGCTCTGATGTCGAGGCCTTTGTGACGGATTTGGAGGGCGGGTTGTCTCAGTTCAAGGTGGGTGCAAATGCGCGATGTGGCAATTCTTATTGTTTTTGTGTTTTGCTGCCAGATATCCATCCGTTCGCTTCGGGGGCTTCACAGTATGCTGACTTAAAGACTTACCAACAGTTCACCGATCGTTTCCCCCTTGACTTTTGAGTTATGAGAGAATGACATGCGGCCTGTATTTCTGACGAGACATGAGAGACAATATTTTGGACAGAATGTTTTCTGTGACGCAAGGTTTATAGTGTCCTTCAGGGCTGGGGAGAATCTTCCCCTTTTATACTGTAATTATCTGATTCTTTTACTTGCTAATAACTGATTGATTTATTCTTCTGTTCCCAACACGGCCTATTCTACCCTCTCTGCTACTACCCTCCCGATCTATCTGCCCCTCATTTTCCTGTTGGTTGTATTCCGGCCCCCCCTTCCCCCATATGCATGCATGCATGCAGAGATTTATGTCATGATACATATGCAACCCCTTAGGAGAGAGTTAAAGAGGAAGATGGATGTTTCGAAACCGCCCCCGCGTTTATTTGTTTTGTTTTGTGGCGGGTGGTTTTTGGGGGCGGCATTTACCATTTTTTTTTCCCAAACGCGGTCCGTAATCGCAAAATGACAATGACACACTTTGTTGACCAGAGAGAGAGAAAAAAAGGAGACGAGAAATCGAAAGGATAAAGTCTGCACGACATACCTGCATCGCAGGACACGGCCATCACGTGGGGGGTCGCATATCCGGCCGCTAATATTATCTAGGCTGGGTTATGGGCAAAAAATCAGGGCAGGTCATCCTCGCAGTCGCTGGATGACGCTATTTGCTACATACATACCTTACCGGCCTGGTCATAGGGTGGTTGGTATTCATGCATACAAAGGTATAATATGTAGGTACGTAGGTAGGCAAGGGACGGATCATGCGTGCATGTATGTACGTACATGTTCCTTTTGGGTAGCTATACGGCTTCGGATGGCATGTGGTATACCTTAACACGAGATAGCATGTAAGGTGTATACATGATGCAAGAGCGCATGTGCTTCCTGACATTGCTTCGAACTAAGCATGGGAAGTCAACGGACAAGATAAATATCAAATCAACCTTCTCACAAACCCGCCTCCTGTCGCTGGCAAGGTATTGTGCACAAGACCTTTTCTGGGCGGACAGATCAAGGAGGGATATGGTCGGAATATTCAAGGCGAATGCAGGCGTTCAGGTTGCCCACAAAAAGCGGTTGGGTTGACGTGGCATTCCGTTGTCTTGGCTGGGTTCGGTTAGGTTTCCTTTCTCGAGGTTGGCTGGCTGCCCCCTAGAAGCAAGCCGCACTTACATAGTAAAACGCGGTTCTTTCCGAGCCGGGGGAGTAGGGGCATTTGCCCCAGCGGGGCGCGCTGAGGGTGCTGGCTGCCGCAGGCGCCCGTGTGGGGCGAAATGGTAGACTGTCAGCCCCGCGTGGGGAAGAGCCGGAGGCTTTTCGCGACAGCAAAGAGTTCGCCGCCCCTCGGAGTCCTCCGCCTTCCGAAGACATTACCGTTTTATAAGTTGGTCAAAGGACCCCATTTCATCCAACCCCAAATATGCTGCGTTTGCGTTTGGTGTAGAGCAGGAGCTTGATTCATTTGATGGGATAGCGTGGTCAGGGTTAGGGTTAAACATGCCAATCCGCCCCGGACGCCGGGTTCTGACACGTTCTTCTTATCAGTGGATATAGTGCGGCAGCCAAGTTAGGGCCGCTGAGAGCGCCGTTCGCCCCGATAAGCCCCGTTATGACAGTTTCGAATTCAGCCAGCGCCTTATCTGGCCGCCAACAGGCCTCCCTTGTGACCCCATCATGACAACTCAGGACCGGCACACTCCGTCCACGCGCCGCGCTGTATCCCACCACTCGTGACTCCCGACCCCCGAACTCCCGCCCTGCGAATTATGTAAAGCATGACAGAAAGGCTGCCTAGCTACCTCGACGCCGCCAGCGGCTTTCTGAAAAGAAGGCGATAAGTATCGCCATCGTCCCGGCGCTACGGGTCACTGTGGAAGTAACAGCGGTTGTGTCGGCTGGTCGTGGGTGGCCCATTTGCGTTCCCCTAGTATCGCTGTCGCTCTTTACCGCCGCAGGGCTCCGTCTGCCCACGTCCTCGAGGCATTAAGTTGTCGCAAATACCGCAGAAGCTATAAAGCTCCCGGGGACGCCTCTCCTGCGTATTTCGTGTCGCTTCTTTGTTTTGTCATCCCAACTTTCGAACCCACGTCGTCCCATATCGCCCGACCGCAATGGATCGCATAAAATCCATCTTCGCGCCGGCCAAGGCTACCGAGGAGGAGTACGAGCCTCTTACAGACGACTCGGGAACCCTCGAGGGGTCCGTGTATGACGAGGATGAAGAGGAGTCGTTCTCATGGCTTGAGTACTCCATATTTGCTGTGATTGGCGTTGCAATGCTTTGGGCTTGGTATGTACAGTCCTGAGCATATAATTAGCTCCACTACTTGTCTATACCTGGCCAGGCACTTGCTTACCCACGGCGTTGTTGTTCCACTACAGGAACATGTTCCTAGCCGCGGCACCATACTTCCAAACCCGCTTCGAGTCGGACGAGTTCCTGATGCAGACGTCGCAGTCGGCCATCATCTCGGTGTCGACGATTAGCAACCTCGTTGCCATGTACATATTGACCAACATCCAGTCCTCGGCAAACTATGCCTTCCGGATCAACACGGCCCTGTTCTTGAACGTGGGCATCTTCGGTCTCCTGGCCGTCTCGACGTCGTACTTCGTCGATATTTCGCCGTCGTCCTACCTAGCGTTCCTGCTCGTCATGGTCGGCCTGAGCGCCTTGGCTTGCGGGCTGATGCAGAACGGCGCCTTCGCCTACGCGGCGAGCTTCGGCCGCCCCGAATACACGCAGGCCATCATGGCGGGGCAGGGTGTGGCGGGTATCCTCCCACCGCTGGCCCAGATGCTATCTTTCCTGGCCGTCCCGCCCCCTACTGTAGATCCCGAAGCGAGCCCCGGAGGTTCCCCCCCAGCCGAGGCCGGCAAGGCCGCGTTCATCTACTTCATGGCGGCCGTGCTCGTGTCTGCCGCGGCCATCTTTGCCTTTGTTCCGCTCACGCGGCGGCACGACCGGCTCATCGAGCGGCGCATGGCCCAGCAGCTCGCCGAATCGGTCACTAGCATCGAGGAGGCGGAGCGCGCGGCCCGGCGCTTCGTCAGCATCCCCACCCTGTTCCGGAAGCTCCACTGGGTTGCGGCGTCCGTGTTCATGTGCTTCGTTGTCACCATGTTCTTTCCCGTCTTCACGGCCAAGATCCTGTCCGTGCGCGATGGCGGCGGCGAGGCCGACACTACGCCTCCGCGCCTGTTCGCCCCGGGCGCCTTCATCCCGCTGGGGTTCTTCTTCTGGAACCTCGGCGACCTACTCGGCCGCATGTCGACCATCCTGCCCTTCTCGCTGCGCCACCGCCCCAGCGCCCTCTTCGCCATCAGCATCGCCCGCGTCTTGTTCCTGCCCCTATACCTGCTGTGCAACATCCGCGGGCGCGGCGCCGTCGTGAACAGCGACCTCTTTTACCTGCTGCTCGTTGAGCTGCCCTTTGGCTTGACCAACGGCTGGCTCGCGTCTAACGCCATGATGGCGGCGGGCGAGTGGGTCGCCGACAGCGAGCGCGAAGCCGCCGGCAGTTTTATGGGCATGTGTCTGGTTGCCGGTCTGACGGTGGGCAGCTTGTTGAGCTTCACCGTTGCCGGGATATGAAGTTGCAGAACAGTGAAAGAGGGCATGTTGCATTGGTAAGGGAGTACGGATATTTTTGCCTCGGCGTTTGACAAGGATACAGAATGTATCTCTTTTTTTGCGGGGGATCATGTTTACATTCTCTTTTTTGCTAGAATTGCTTTTTTCATATTGAGAGGGTCTTTTCTGAAAGACGAATAGCTTAAAGATGATACCAAGATAGAGGTTGCGATTGGATATACCACCTGCTTGCTCGCTGCATTTGGTGTTTTTCCCCCCTCGATTTACATTTCTCTTCCTATTTTTATATGGGAGGTACTCTGTGATTAGTCGTCTTTCGTAACCTTGGTCCCAGATCGCTCGACCTGGCAGTTCGTCACCTGCCGCGGCTCCTCGGTTCCGTCATAGTAGCCCCCGTCAATCAGCTGCCGCTCCGTCTCCTGCCAATATCCCATCTTGGCCTCGCCGTTCTTCTTGTCCAGGTCCGCTATCTTGGCCTCGACCCGCCCGTCCTCGTCCTCGCCCTCCCCCGATACCCGCACGAAGCACGTGCAGTCCCGCAGCGTCATGGCCAGCTGGAGCTCACCGTTGGGGGCTGAGGCGCCTAGTGGCCCGCATCTGTCGTTGGCGAGCTGCGCGTCGCGCAGTCGCGCGAGCAGCGAGTTCGTCGCTAGCCACGTCTTTAGCCGGCTGTGGTGCTGCTGGTGCTGCTGGCCGTGGGGACTAGCCCCGGTGATAAGCTGGTCTACTAAGCGGTCGAGAGCTTCGTTGCTGCTGGTGCTGCTAGTACAGGCGAGGAAGTCGAGCGGGCATAAAATAAGGGGTGTTGTTTCGTGAGTACTGCTGCTGCTGCTCGTGCCAGTAGTTGTTATTGTGGTGGGGGGTCCAGCTGTGCTGGTCTGCTGCTTCTTCTTCCTGTGGAAGTGGTTGCGCCGGTATGCCTCCCGAGCGCAGTTGCGGCAACGCGTCGCCGACACGGGCGCGTTGGGCGATTGGCTCAGCCACTTGGGCTTGAATTCTACGATCAAGTCGCTGTGGCTTTTCTTGCGCATGTCCTCGACCAGCATGCCGTACTCGGCCGCGGCGACCTGGCTGCCCTGGAAGTCGCCGCGGCGGCCGTCCTCGTCTGTCCGCAACGCGGCATTCAGCCGCGCTGCGACGAGCCCGCCGCCGGCACCGCCGAGCCGGACAAGGCGCTGCTGCACCAGGTCCCGAGGCTCAAAGAGGGGCTGCACGGCCGTCTCCCAGTACGCCTGCAGCTCGTCGTGCTTGTACGCCTGCGTCCCGGCCTTGGGCACGCGTAGGAGGTGGCCTAAGGGTCGTCTTGTCAGAATTTGGCTTGTGTAATCGAGTTGCAAGTGGGCCAACCTTTGAGTATATCTTCGCTTGGGTCGTTGGCATTGCTATCCCCGTCCGTGTGGACCGGGATGATATCAAAGACCAGGTTGGCGGCGCCCTCGCCGACAAACTTGAAGTGATAGCCACCCCAGGCCGCCAGCAAGACAGACAAGTCCGGTATGGCGTCGCTTGCGCTTGTTGGTTCTGTTGTGGAATCAGGCAACATTTTCGGTTTTTTTTCCCTATCCCTCTTGTAGTAACAAATTATCGTGTGCTGATGAACACGACAGACTCATCTCTCGTTGGAGACCTCGCATCGTGTGCAGCTAAGTCCAAGGCGCCACTTTCTTAGCCCGTCCGGCGCCCACATGCCTGTCCGCCCGGCGCTTCTGATAGCTGCATAGTCGGCCAAGATCATCTATGGATTAAACGGGGCAGGTGGCAAACTGTATATCTTAATCCTAAGCACCCCCTGGGATGGTTGTGAGAGTTAAAATGTGTTTTGTTTGGCGGGCTGCAAGTGTTCAAGCCATGATAGTTGTGGAAGAATACCTCGTACGATACGGAATACTTGGTTACGGTATACAGGTTACGGAGATGGTCCAGTTATCCGTGTCCCATCAGGCCGGTACGTACCAGTGTGGAGGGTTAATAAACTCCCCTGACGGATTGGAGGAGCCGGCCTTGTGCTTAATAAGTGCCGTTCCTTCTGTTCGCTCCGAACGGCCGTTACAAGCACCCCGAAAGATGCCCGGCCATTACGCCGCGAGGTGATATAAACAAAGTCTCTTAGTCTGAACAGGCTTCTACTATGTTCTGAAAGTATAGACTTTGTTCGGCTTAGAGCTAGACAGGTTGGCCAACTACCTATAGGTTGGCAGGCAAGTATTTCACCTGACACGCTTGACCCTGTGACACTGCTTGTAGGTTCTGGCAAAGCCTCCAAGACACGAACAAGACACCCGTCTTGGGGTCATATCCTCTGTTAGTCACAAGCGTCAAGCAACATGATCTTCCGGACTCCCGCCCATCCCCGAGGAAAGTCTTGGCTTTGGCAGCTTTAGCGACAACAACTTCAACTAGTTGTAGATGATCCTCCAAACCTCCACCAAGATAGTGGTTGATCGCAGCTTTCATTACCCTTTTCAGGGCCTTTATGTCATTCACCCAACTTCCCCTCACTGCAGCTCTTGGACCGTAAAGAATCTGGATTGAAGTCAAAGTCTGTCTTGATGGCCGCTACTTCGTTCTGGCGCCCTCGCTGAGCCGACTTTTAAGTAAAAATAATAATATTAAAACCCTACTTTAAGCTGCCTTGGTCGATGTAAAGTCGAAAATGACCTTTATCGCTCGGCGCAGACCGGATTGCGCAGGCCATTTGATGCGTCAATAAACAACTGCCTAATAAAACGGTCCGGTCGGGCGGGCGGGCGAAAGCGCGACTTATCACGGGCCTAAAAAGTCAGCCCACACCCCCACGAGCGCCGTAGCCACACAAACGGTGCGGCGCAGACGCGAAAAATTTCCATCGCCCGCCAGACAAACTGCCCCCGACCTGCCACCAGTCGTCAGATAGCGTCATCTGCGTGCATCTCCGACCAACAACACGCCACACCTCGAATTCCCTTCGCACACGACCATTTTGCTTCGACACATTCGCTTCACCATTGACGCCGCGTGCCTGCAACCCGAGCAGCCATACTCGACACTTTCCGCCAATATCGCTCTCCCTCTCGCGGCGTCGGGCTTATCAGCGCCCACCCCCTTTGCGACTGCGATGCCTGTCTTGACCTAAAGCCAATTCAACATGGCCTTCAACTTCAACTGGTCGCCGCTCACGGCCGACGAACGTTTCTACGAGCGAGCGCGCGACCTCCTCACGACGGCACTGAATAAGTCGCCCAAGCCGCCCATCATCGTCGATGACATCTTCGTGACCGAATTCAACCTGGGCTCCGTACCTCCCGACCTAGAGATACTGGAGATTGGCGACCTTGCAGAGGACAGGTTCCGCGGCATATTCAAAATGTGCTATTCTGGCGACGCATTCCTGACGCTGAAGACGAGAGTACAAGTAGGTTTGGGTTTCCATTGTCACTTGTGCATGCCGTCGATTGGGATTCATTCCCCGAGACTCGGCTTTCATGGCGTGCATCGAACGGTCTTGATGGGGCTGCGCATCATGTTCACTGCACTGCATCCCATTCACTCTACACGGCTCGATGGCGAACTCAGACATAGCAAGCACTTTGCAGATATCGCTCTGTGCAACATCTCGGAAGACTATTTTCTATCACGGACACCAGGGAACAGTTGATAGCAAGTGCCTCAAGCCCAAGATGGAAGGGGCAAAATATCCCGAGATATCCCGCTCAGCAAAGGAGCGTCCCCGCAAAGCTGCTCGACACATGCGAGCATCAAAAACCGAAGCCCTCACTCCTGCACAGCTCGCCCCCTTTCATCGGTGCTTCTGGAAGCAAAAGAAAACCCCACTGCAGCTCTTGGCGCATTGCTTTACCAGATTGTCTGCAATTACCGGGCAGGGATTCGCGTCCGCACCCGCACTTCTCCACACGCTAGATGCCCCTTGTCGTCTCGTCTCGTCTCGTCCTATAGCTTGGCTAATATATCAACAACTGTAGGCAAACCCCCTGAACACTTACCTGTCTGCCAAACCGAGCTTCACGTCCCCACAGCCGCTCGCTGCTGCGTCAAGTCTCACAATTCCGCTTCAGATCACGTTATCTGAGATCAAGTTGTCGGCCTTCATCATCATCGTCTTCTCCAAGCAAAAGGGGCTCACTCTCGTCTTTCGAAATGACCCTCTCGAGTCGCTCAAGGTCTCGTCGACCTTCGACTCGATTCAGTTTGTCCGTGATTATCTGCAGCGGACTATCGAAGTGAAATTGCGTGACCTGATGATGGATGAGCTCCCTGCCATCATTCACCGCCTCTCTCTACAACTATGGTGTCCAGATCAGGTTCTCAAGGAGGGCGACGAGTCGAAAGAAGAGAGCGACCCAGTTCAGAACCCGCTTGGCAGCCCGCCCTTGGATGCTATTGATGCAAGCGGGCATTTGCTCGACCCCACCGAGATATCATCCTTGTCGCTTGATGGTGGTCCAGGGACTCAGTCACTATTTTCGCAGAAGAGCATCATCCAACTGGCATCCTTAAACGGGTCTAATCACACTTCATGTCTGTTTACCCGCGAGCTTCACAATTCTATGCTGAGGGCCTGGGCTGGCCCATCCGACCGGGTTGATGCGTCCCCCACGCCTCCTTTGGCCACGCCAAGCTTGTCGAGGCCACCCTCGTACTATGGAAGTACTCACACGTACACGTTCTCGGACCTCGGCAGCCAAGATACCGGCCTGCTTTCGTCGCGACCTTCTTTAGTTAACCTGAGCCATGCCACGGCTGGATTGTCGCTGGGATCTGGACGACACCATAAGGCGGGCAGGAAAAAGAAGACCCGCGTCGTTAACCTGCGTCGCAAGACAGGAAGCGAAGTTAGCAGTGAAGCTGGGGAGGCTGTTTCGGATTCGACTTCGGTTCAGGGCCCAATATCAGAACCAGCCATGCCCACTTCGCTTCTGGAGGTACCAGAAGAAGGCGAGATGGTAGTGCTAGCAGGATCCGGGCCGTCCAGGGTACGTTTCTGTGGGCCATCCGATATTGCGCAACCGACTCCGATGCAATCAGCAGATACTCCTATCGTATCGCCTAATTCTCGAGATGTGCCAATTACATCTCAGTTGCCACTCCGGTTGCCTCAAGACTCCGGGGACCACGGCAAGGCTGTGGAGACCAGAGAGCCAATTCTGGTTGATAGCAAGTCTCAACGATCTCGGGGCGGACCGCAGTCTGACACTTCATCGGTCATTCTGGAGCAGGCTTGGATAATGAAGATGGCGGGAGAGATTGCCCGTCGTGTCTATGACGAGAAGAACCGCAACCCTGCTTTTTGGGAGGACCGCGACGACACCCCTCCTCCGGCCTACGAGGCGAGGTGATTCCGGTCTATCCATGTCACATCCGACACCCACACTGGTACATACCATCTTTACATATGGGATTTCATTTGATTGATTTTTCCTTTTTTTTGGGCAGCGATCAGGGTTGGTTATCCTCCCGGGCGTTTGGAGCGAAACTGTGGTAATTTCTTTTTTCCGAGTCATTACATACCACTAATTGTCTTGGTTGCTTCTACTCGCGGTTCGGAAATGGTTGGCTGGGAGGCTGCGGATCTCAATACATTTAAAAGGTGGTTTTGGAGTCGGTGGCGTTGACTGCCTGTTTGGCTTTCCTTCAACTTTTATCCAGTTAGCTGGAAGTCCAGTCCCTTGGGAGAGAGAGACGTGGCACTTGATACCACTATGTATCACATACACTTCTTGTCAAGTCCTCTATATAAACCCCGTCTCCTTTGTCTTTCTTTTCACTTTTCCTTTGTTTTGTTTCGGCACGGCCTTGGTTGGTTATCGCTATTGTATGAACATAGCTGTGTGATACGTGTAGGGGCAGCAACGCAGTACGAGGGTTCATAGATATACCTGTGAATCTCGACATCTTAGTGTGGAGGTGTATAATAGTGAGGACGAAGAAGTATTGCCCTCGCTGGAGGAGCAAGGGTTGGTTGCTGTTATTGCTGCCGAGCGGGACACCAGTTATGATTGAACTCCCATCTCTAAAAGAAAATGAAAAAGATCGGAGGTATTTAACTGTCGAAGTCATGATGAGGTCTCGCGGTTCAGAGGTGCACGTTCGAGGTGTCTCGGAAGTGTGGCATCTGCTTTCAACGGAAAAAAAAGGGGAAGAGATGATGTTGAAGATACCTGCTGTTCACTTAGCCAGAAGCCAAGTAAACCGTCCCAGTCAGCCCGGAGGCTGTTAGAACCCCAACAAGGAAGGTCAAGCAGACAGTCGCTATGTTGGGTAATCAGCAAATAGCTTTGGGCTCTTTGGCCCAAGCCACATGTTACCAAGGCCGCCTTTCCCATCTATGTATGTACAACGCAAGGGTATTTTGATATAAAAAGGCAGAGCTCCCCAATCTCGAGACGATAGCAATCTCTCGGGGAATTCATTTTGACCGTTTCACCCCGTTTCCCTAACCCCGTCCGATAACCTAGCGCCGTAAATCCATCAAATTTCCTTTTTCCCCGCTGCCAGATGAAAGGAGAAAAAGAGCCGAAAAGACAAAACACAAAGACTGCGAAGGACAAGGCAGGAGAAGAGTCTACGCCTTGATACCCGCATCGGCCCGTAGCCCCCGCAGACGCGCTTCCTTCTGTTGCACATCCTCGGCTATCTGCTTGGTGAGCTCTTCGACCTTGACGAGCGCGTCCTTGAGCTTCTGGATTTCAACCTGCTCCGTCTCGCGGCTGAAGGGCTGGCCGGGGCGGTTGGTGAGGGGGATCATAGCGCTGCGGTCGAGCACGCCGCCGGGCGAGCGCTGCGGCTGCTGGGCCTGCTGGTCGTCTTTATCCTTGGACTTTCCTCCTTTGCCGCCACCCTTGGCTCCTCCTCCGCCGCCACTGCTGACGGGGAAGGCGCCCGACGTCAAAATGTCGTAAAAGGCGTCGTATGGCTCGTTGAATATCTGCTCCTCATAAGTCCACGATATGATGTCGTCGCCGCTCAGCCGCATCGCCTCCTTCTCCTCCTCGGTCCGGCCGTACGGGTGCAGCCGTAGGTGGTGGTACAGCGTCTGGGGCTTCTCGCCCGACTCGGCCACGTAGTAGAGCTTCATGGTGATCTCGAACTCGCCCCAGCCCGTCTCGTGGATCTCGAACGGCTTTCCCTTGGTACCCTCGATCGCTAGTTGCGGCGGCAAAGCGTTAGGTATTCCTGTGCTTTTGTTTTCTTTCTTCTAGGCGGGCTTCGTCTTCCCTTCTTAGGAACGAGCATAGGACAGGCTTACTGCGGACGTGGTTGGGGATCGACTCGTGCAGCTTAAACTGCACGCGACGCAGCCAGTATGTGATGTCGACATCGTCGATGCCCTTGACGAAGACGGTCCACGAGTGCGTGTGGTCGTCGGGCACGCCGGGCGGTTTGGGGTTCGTGTCCGCGTCGAACGGGCGCGCTGTGGTCCCGTAGATAAAAGGCCGGTAGATCTGGGTGCCCTTTACGCGCTTGCCTGATGGCGGCGCCATTTCTCCAGTGCGGGGTTATGGACCAAGTCGCGTCGGAGATAGTTTATTTGACTGTGTGTGTACAAATACAAGAGGAATCGCAAGTTATGACGCCGTCGGCGAAAGGCTGACTGTGGATAGACGAGGAGGCGGTCTTGTCAGCGCGCGTGTTCAAAAAAAGAAGGTACCTAGGTTCTTAGCCTTGAATGTGGGGGAGTTTCCCCACTAAAGTACAGGTCTTTGTCCCCCCCTGTCACGATTCACAGTGAACGCGCCGCTGCAGCGCAGGAACCAGCCAGGCCAGCGAAGACCCCTACAATCGATAAGGATTTTTTGACCTCAGCCTTGCAACAATCAGTTAATGATGCCATCATTCCCGTCAAAACACCTAGAACATGTGCCAGGACGACGCCAAAGCCTCCTAAAATACAGCCCGGACCAATCGACGAGGAGCTCATGGTTCTACACTAATTCTCTCATTGCCACACAGAAACATTGCGTGGATTCGCATTTTCATCGCACATTCGGAGCAGGTACACCAGCAGCAATCTCAGTCAGGCATGACCCTTGAGAGCCGAACGAAAGGGATAAACCGGACATAAACACGGAACACTCCGCTCTACGCACAACACAGCATAGCGGCGACGATGTCAGGGGCTACAAAGAAGCTCGTCGTGTGCGGGGGGTCCGGCTTTCTGGGTTCGAGGATATGCAAGGCGGCCGTATCTCGCGGCTGGGACGTAACGTCAATAAGGTGCGACAGACAGCTTCCATTTCACATCTCATGCCGGGCGTGATAAGTGCGCCCAGAAGGAGCCTCATCATCATCTTTCCTATCGATTGCTCCTCAGTCTCATCTCGCAACTAAATAAACATGCTAAACAAAGCCTCCCTCACTAACTTGCCCTCTAAACACAGCCGCTCCGGCCAGCCGCAGTGGCGAAATGTCACGGCATCGTCGTCGCCGCCGGCGTGGGCGCACCGCGTGTCGTGGGAGCGGGCCGACATCTTCCGGCCGGCGCAGTACGCGGCGCTGCTGACGGGGGCCGACTTTGTCGTGCACAGCATGGGGATCCTCCTCGAGGCCGACTACAAGGGCGTGCTGTCGGGGCGCGAGTCGCCCATCTCGGGGCTGCAGAAGGCCTTTTCGGCCAGCAAGGGCCGGCCACTATCTTCCAGCAGCAACCCTCTCCACCAGGAACAGCAGCAGCAGCAATCGTCAGTCGAGAGTAATGCCAACCCCGCCAGCAGCAGTAGCAGCAGTAGCAGCAGCAGCAGCAGCAGCGAGACGCAGCTCACGTACGAGATGATGAACCGCGACAGCGCCATCCTGCTGGCTAAGGAAGCTGCGCGGGAGAAGGTGAGGGCCTTCGGCTACGTGTCGGCGGCGGGCGGCGCGCCGGTGCTACCGGCGCGGTACATCACGACCAAGCGCGAGGCCGAGGACGTCATCGCGCGCGAGTTTAGCGGGCCGGGCGGTATGCGCGGCGTCTTCTTCCGGCCGCCGTTCATGTACGACAGCTCACGGGCGCTGACGATGCCGCTGGCCGGCCTGTCGGCGGCGGGCGCCATGGTCAACGGGCTCACGGGCGGCATCCTGGGCGGATTCTTGGGCACCGCCGTGGTGAAGCCGCTCAAAGCGGACCTCGTTGCCGACGCCGTGGTCGAGGCGCTCGACGACGAGAGCGTGCGGGGCCCCGTCGAGGTGGCGCAACTAGAGGAGCTGGGCAACAAGTCGTGGCGGAAGACCATGGTTTGAGAAGATCTTGTTCTGGTCAAAAAATGTGTTTTAATACGTGTATGATTGAACCGTTGTCGCACTACGCAACTCTGTCCTGTTGTATTCCGTTCACCCTGTGCCCATGTATAGAATGTACAATCCGATACCCGGACGAGAGACCCGACCCAGAAAAATCGCTCGTTGATGATAATGATGCAAAAAAAGAAAGAAACCCCAGTAAACGCCCTCTTCCTTCTCGCGCCTAAACCATGGTGCCACGCTCAAAACTCTCCCGGATCTCAGCCGTGTATTTGTTGTAGAAGCGCTCGAGCTTCTGGTTGAACTGCTTGTTCTTCTCGTTGATATACGTAACATCGCCCCCGTCGTCGCCGTTCTTGGCGATGCGCTGGGCGCGCTTCTTGAGGGCGGCCTCCTCTGCCTTGCGCATGTCGGCGACAAGGCGGTCAACGGCCGACTTGTCGGGCTTGTGCTGGGCAAAGTCGGTGGAGTCGGCGGTGCTGAAGAAAGAGCCGTCCTTGTCGACAGCGATCATCTCGCCGTCGTCCGTCTCGACAATCTCGAGGGTGCCAGCGGCCGCGGCCTTCTGGATGGCTGCCATCTTGTCGCGCGTGTAGCGCTCGAGGTCGGGGTCGCCCATGTTGCGCAGCTGGCGCTTGTAGGCCTTCTCGCTCTCGCGGCCGTAGTCCCGGAAGGCCGTGTCGTCGCGGTGCCCCTCCTTCTTGCGCACCCGCTTGTCCCACCGCTCTGTCTCTTCGATCGTCCAGTCCCACGCCCGCTTGCGCTCGAAGTCGCCGCCCTCCTCCTCCACGTCGGCCTTGAGCAGCTTGTGCGACGCGATAGCGTGCTTGCGTCCAAGCGCGGTCAGCTTGCCGGGGTCCACCGCCAGCCGCTGCGACTCGCGCGCCGCCTCCTTCAGGTTCTGTTCCGATGAGGTCTTGGCCCGCGCCTGCAGCGCCCGGAACCGCGCCAGTCGCTCCTGCGCCTTAGCGGCGGCGTCTTCGGCGGTAGCAGCAGGGGCGGAAGCAGAGGTTTCAGCTGTTGGCTCTGCTGGTGTCAGCTCTGGTGAGGGTTCGGGCGCTGCTAATTTCTCGATGGTCATCGCCGGCGAGGGCTTAGGCGCTGGCTCATCGGGTTGTGCCATCTCTGCATCTATCGATTCACAGGCCGCTTCCTTCTCGGGCGCTGCCTTGGCCTTCTTAGAGGCGGCTACCTTTCGCTTCTTTGCTGGAGGCATGTTGCTCAGGTGGGTGACGTGTTGCACGCGGTATTGAGTTTGGCGACAGCAGCGATGGTTGGTGGTTGACGCTGGCTTCTGTTTGGCGGGGGTTGTTTGGCTTTCAGAAGGAAAACGGAACCTGAAGCAAATGTCAAATGGCAGGGGAGAGCACAGACCACCGTAGACCCTAGGCATTTGTTAGGGGGTCGCTTCACTCCGTACTGGTTATGGAATTACATACAATACGTATTCAGTACCTGTGGAGCTTTCATTTTATTATTTTATCTAAAGTTCAGATGAAAGTGGGAATAAAGTTTCAAATCACGGACACTACTTCTTAGTTTTGGTCCCTTGATTTATGCGAACCTTGGAAGCAACAGAAGAGCCTTGTTACCCTCATGGAAACTGTCACTCACACATGTTAAATGTGAAATACTGGACGGGCAGGCCCGCCGGTAATAAGTCTGCCCAATCCCACAGGGTATTCAATGGGCACTAACAGGGAAACAGCCCGCTGTGGCAGGATGCATTTGATAGGCAGCCCGAACCTCAGGTTCCCCCCGACACCAAGCCTTAGCCTATCATCCAATGTCTCAATCAAGCTCTGGTGTCAACAGTCCAACCACGTCCATGAAGTATCCGTAAACCCACCACCAGTCCTGGACAAACACTGCTAGTTCAGAAACGGCGCGATGACACAACCGCTGAAAAGGGGCAAGATGCCGTGGATGGGACGATCATTACTAGTGCAGGCGCAGGGCCGCACCAGAACCCGAGGGAATATCAAAGTCGCAGCCATACTCAGCAGGCCCAGGAACATCCACATCGGCGGGCGACCAAAGCCATCACCTTCGTCAACATTGTTTGAGCTGCCCCCGGCGATCATCGACCTCGATTCAGAAGACAGCCCTCACGTCCGACCGTCTGACTTCAAAGACGAGCTGGAGATGTGGGAGCAGTGGAGGGAAGTCCCCGAGCTTAATAATTTGCAAGGGCGCGTGGCCAACTTCAAGGTTGAGGCAGAGGCATCAAAGACGCGATGGGAAGACTGGCCTTTACCGGGCCAACCCCGCCGCCTCACGGAACGCGATATCCTGGCCACGGTCTTCCTGGGTACCGATTCTCCACAGCCAGCGACGGAGCAGAGTGAATCTAATGGAAATGGACAACATCGACTCGGAAGACTTGACCAGCCAATGTTCGGTAGCCTGTCCAAGGACTTTCTCGACTCGATTGGCATCCCGCTCCGCATCTCAGCCGACAACCAATTCACCGTCCAAGTCCTTCTCAGTCGACTTGCCGTCCAGTCTCAAATGCCACCGTCCCCCACAGAGGATGACCTATGTGACAAATTCAGGACGAGCACCCGCGAGGCTTCTTTGAGTTTCCACGACCTGAAAAGGATGCTTGCCTCGTTGCTTCAGACCGACTCCGGCCGCCGCGTCCTGTCTCGGTCTGTAGGCGACATCATTCGTGCTTGTGCCAAGTTCTGCTCCGAACCCCAAGTTTCCATCCTCGTCCTTCTTAAGCAAGTCGAGTTTGCCCTGGCAGCGCGGGGTCTGCCCTTTGATATGGCCTCCCATTCCCAGGGCACGTGGTTGAAAACCCGTCTAGACAACATCGCAACCCGGGAAATCGCAGATACACCGACATCCAGATCTTAGTATCATCTCTCCAGGAACTACAACATCCACTTTCAACAACCACCGCATACCCGCCTCGCGTCTCGCAGGCAGGCCATGTTTACGGGGCTCCCATTTCGCTCATGAGAATCGAGCCCAGGGCTGGGGTTGTTGTTAGTATAAACCTCTCAGGCCATGGATGCTCGTCCTGTACCTTATTACCACCATATGGCAAGCAAGTGCGGCTCTGGCTTATGAGTTATATATATATATATATATATATGCACATGTGCTCTTGGCCCAGGGTATCCTCTCCACGTCAATCTTCCTTTTACCCAACTCACCAGTACAGAAGGACCGACTAGGGTCGGATTCCACAGAGCATGTGGCAGAAATCATTAGCATCGGACAAGGCGATCGAATGTTTGACGATGGATAGAGGATAGAAGCGTGCTTTGTGCAGTTATAGTATGCTTTTGGCCCGAACTGGCCGAGATCTAAGACTACATATTCGTACATACTCCAAGGCTAAAACTCTGAGATTTTTTTACTTCGTTTCTCGTTCCTAACTTGAACTTCCTCGGGATCCCAACTGCCTAGAACGTTGGAGAGAATCTCAAGGGCCACTAGTTGCAACTTGAGAAGTAAAAGTTACTTTACTGCACTGTTATAGAGCATCGAGCACCAGGCACGCCTTTCTGCGTCAACCACGTCGGCTTCCATCCATCTGTTCCATAAGTTCTTAGTCAGTTGCTTCCACCCGGTGGGAAATATTGCAAGAGGCTCGTCCCTGAATATTGCTCAGATAGAGAGTGAATCCTGTCCAGAAGACAGGTAGACAGCGAACCCCAGGAACAAACTTGGCTTCAGATTGACGGTTCCATGAAGTAGGCTCAAACGGATAATCTGGAGTCTCTCCGGTAGTATCCTTCTATAAAAGGTTCGTTCCGCGATAGACTGGAAGTATCCTTACTCTGGATGATAGCTGTTGAGAGTTTTGCCCGCATTAGTAATGTAGGTAGGTGACAGCCGTCCAAGAAGGCGTCAGTGGTTAGACGGTTTGTGAGTCAATATTTACCTCCCTCTTACTCTACTGTCATCGACCTTGTTGGTTTCGAGGCCATCGATACTTGTATTTATCAACAGTTTGTATTTTCTGGTGCAATCCTGGGGTGTGCGCCTCAGACATCTGTAGGTGTTGCTGGTATGACCTGGTATTGGTACTGGAGCGCGAGGATGTATACACTTAGACCACTTTTCACCACTAAAGAACTGGGGAAAAATATTCAGGGAATCCGGACTTAAAAACATCAAGAAAACTGCTCGAGGCATCAAATAACCCGCCGCCTGGGCCTGAGAAGCGTCGAGAGACAAGCAATATGACGCAAGCCACAAACAGCGGTCAGGATGGAAAAGGCGGTAAACTGAATCTGACCACGAGACTAGTAGCTAGACGCCATTTTATGACGAAATGCCGTCTCATGTGAATAAAAAAACATCAGTGCACACCTTGTCAACCTCGTCTTGCGTGATCAGGTGGAATGAGCCCAGAAAACGTACAGAATAGCCATACAGAGAGGCCGGGTGTTATCTGAGTTCACCCACCCGACCCCAAAGTCAGCAATACAGCGAGCGAGGTGATCACACCTTGTTTTCTTAGCAGTAGGTTAACTTTTCTCGCTGACCTGACCCGCCTTCCTTCGGTCAGCCTTCGAAATTCCGTCTTCGGCGTCGGAGATGGCGTGAATCAGGGCGACAGTTTCCGGGCATCTGGGTGTGTGCCATGATGATAAGTCAGGGTGTTCGCCATGTGCCCTTGTCCATGCTGGCCCAGACTGTCGGGACACGCCATCAGACTCAAGGGCGTCATTGATGCACCACATTGTCCAAAAGAAACGGCCCGTCGTGTTATGATTTGCAGAGCTGCCAGCCTGCACGACCCTGAAGTCCACCAATCTGGCTAAAATCTCCGGTTCGCTGCGCAGGATAAGGCTGGGGGTGGAAAAACTCGGCGCGAAATCGGAGCAAGAGGACTTCCATGCGCATCCCACATACGGACCAGTCCTCAGAACCCCTCCGAATCCGCTCTGCGAACACGGGCAGGCTTCCTTCCTTCAAGGTTTTGCTATCTAGTCCTTCGGCTTCACTCCTTGGAGCCGGATAATATGCAAGCGCTAGAAGGCCAGACCACCTTGCCAACACATAGGCCAACAGGCTTCGGTCCAGAGTCTTGAAGTTCCCGCCATTTCTCCACCAACGCCCGAACTAACCAGTCTCTTGGCAGAAGCTGGAACGAGAATATCTCTAGAGATTGCGACGACATTGGTTTCTGGCTGGGTTTTTGTTCCACTGCTTCTCTGGCATCTGATGAGCAAAGGAGAGAGCAGCGGGAGAAACAAGGGTGACGCGGGTCCTTGTGTTGGACTGTTCGACACATTCAGGCTACATACTCAGTACATCCACTCGAAAACGTCCCTAAATGTCGTCTGCAGTGCCCTGGGTCTTGGGCCCCACCAGGAGGGGGAAAATAGGTATAATAAGGCCTTGAAAACCCGGCCCTATCCGCTTCCGTCAATAACTCTGTGGTGTTGCTGGACTTGTTCCATATCTCGGGGCCGTGTCGGAGCAGCACAGCGAGTGGCATTATCTACACAATGCGCCTTATCACATGCAATAGGCTGAAGCAGGAAGACTAAAGGAGCTCTACCGCTTGCATAGCGTGGCTGATCTGTGCTAGTCTCTCGTACGGGCGAGCTTCTAGATTGCTCCAATTGTCCGGAGGCCCCCCCCCCCAAGCCGCTGCAATCGCTTACGCATTGGGGAGGGGCGACTTATCGGCAGCCAGCTTGCCGCGGGTGCGGGCCCGCGTTATTGGGTATCGTTTCCGTGTTTTTGAATGGAGCTGATAGAGGGTTGGCGCGCCAACCCGGGCTGCCAGGGCCGCTTCCGACGCCGCTGGTCAAGTCTCGCAGAGGCCGGTCAGGAAACTCTGCTTCCCGGGCTATCGAGAGTTTGTCTGGACATCTGCAACCTCTGTGCAGGCAGCGTCTCGTTCAGGGAAGTGCATGGGGTTGCAGCACCCTCGACAAACCGGATGCGACTGGCACCACCCGAAATACCAGTCCGACCGACGTGCAGCGAGGAAGTGGGGCCACAGACTCTCCCGGAGACGATGCCTGGTCGTCCCTGATTTGCTTGAGCTGCCAGAAGATATGGAAATAGTATGACAGATAGCGACCAGACCGGAGACGCAGGCGTGAAGACGGGGCAGCAGAGAGTCTCTGCCGCTTGAACCGAGAGCTCGATGAGGTCAAGGAGGTTGAGTGTGAAGCCTGGGGAGCGAAGCCCTCAGCCCATGCATACGCCGCATCGACCTCATCGAAGCTCCCCCCACGCCCGGCGGCCGAACCTAAAAAAGGCCCTCGACGGCTCGGACGGCTTGAAATTGGGTATCCATACCATATTCGCTTCAGGAGGCAGGTCGCCGCGGACCGGCGTCTAGAGACCGGATCGCGCCCCTCCCCTTGGCATGGATCCCAAGATCATGGCGCAAAGGGCCGTGGGTACGTGTTGTGCGCGGGCCGATCTTGGATGCCATCCTGTTAGCGCACAGCGTCAATGACGCCTGTGCAGAGCTGCTGCACAGCTTGCTACCCGCCTGTCTCCCTACCGCCGAGTAATAATCAGCTCAGAAGCTGTAACGACGTCAATTCAGAGGAGATAGAAGCGTATCGTCTGCAGATTAGCTGCACCACTAATGCAACCCGGACTAGGTTGTTGATGCAAAATTACCTTCCCGGCTGCCGAACAAGGGAGGTCGCCGATACCATGTTATGGAGTATGTACCTCTGGTTGGGCCATAGAGGTAGACAGACTCAAGAGAGCCGTTTGTCTAGATGTTGCACGGTGCTATTTCCACGTACCTATTGGCAGCCAACAACGACGCGCCCCCAAGTCGTCCAGCTCTCTTGAACGGGGCTAGCTGGCTCTGCCGGTGATGCCATCGGTTAGACTTAGAATAGCACTGGCTTGGCCATCCCACACAGCAAGAAAGAAAAGACCATTTTTGGACGTGGGGTGATGCCCGAAATAACGGATCGGTTGGCCGTGTCTCGCCCAAAAACGAGCGTGAGACGCGGCCGGCAGGGTTCCTCTCCGATGACAGCCCCTTCTTGCAGCTTCAACAAGCCGGCGGTGCCAAGGGGGAAGGGAGGGAGGGAGGGAGAGGGGATCTGAGGTGTGGGAACCTTGAGGGACCCTCGCTGGATTGTCCTATCCGAAGGGCGGGAAACACTGGAACTGCAAATTTCAGCATACATACAACTGTTGGTGGAAATGCAGTAGTGCTGCTGGCTGGCATGCTGGATCATGGCGTGATGCCCTGACATGTCGTCGTCATTTGAGCCAAGCAAGGTACGCAGTAAAATACAGTATGGAGTCCACAGAGGGGGGATTTTTATTTATTTTTGCGATGCTTTCAGTGAAAAGAATACATGTGGGTGAGCCACGGGCCACCGGGCAGCCGGGACCCGACCATTAGGCACTGTACATAGTATGTACGTACCTATAACCTGGGGTGGGTGGGGACATGAGGCTGTGGAAAGAAAAAGGAAAAGAAAAGAAAAAAATATGACAGCCAGGGCCAAGGTAGGGAGGCTGACGCTCATCAACGACGACGAACTCCTTGGTATCGGCGTCACACCAATGGGCGGCTAGGACTGGACACGAACTGCTCGGTGTGATAGACAGGGGAGCTATTGTGGCGGCGGGACGTCGAGCTCATGACCTCCAGAGTGCACAGCGTTTGCTGATCAAAAGCGGACTGGGCGTGGGCGTGTTTCTGACGCGTGTTTTGAAGAGCAAAATGTCACGGTTCTACCTTGAGGGGGCAGCAACTAAAAGCGTATATGGTGGTACCTTCCATTAATCCTAGGCTCGGTTATGGAAGGAAGGACCTTGTTGGCCTCCAGGGCTTTGAGCACGTTCCTTCTAGTCTCTAAAACGTCTAATATCAGATGGGAAGCTCCGCCCACCTGAGGAAAGGTCGGTATTCTCGTTGTGGCTGTCCACTCTGGCATGTGAGGTCACTGTTACAATCCGCACGAACTCGTGGTACTATACCTGCCGGGTTTACTACTAGTTATGTTCCTTCCAGTTGGCGGGCAGGTGAAGTACGGAGTACCTATCTGAGATGGATGTGGTTGGAAGCAGTGTACATATACCTTACGGTTACCTGAGGACGGGACCTTCGAGTTCAATTTCTCCCAGAAATATGATCGCCATGGAACACTTTCAACTTCCCCTACCCCCATAGGGTCTGCCTCCAGCTTGATGCACCTCTATGGGCAGCTGTGTCTGTCTTGAAAGTCCTCCTGCAGAGCAATACGACCCGGGCAGGACCCGCTCGTCAGGTAACCTGGAAAAGAACTGGAGGCCGAGAACCCGAATTCAGTACATACTACTAGTATTATTTGCGTGGTACGAAGACAGCAGCGAATATAGACAGAATATCACAACATTCTGGCAACATTTGTGCGCCCTACTAAGGGCGTCATGGGCAAATTCCATCATTGACCCCACGGCATTTGTCACAGGACCGCTCCGGGTCACCCAGAAGAATATCTTGCGCATGCCACAGACAAAGCGGTGGATTCTCCCAGATTGAGGTCAGCACGGCTGCTCCACTGCGGGCTTACATGATCGATCACGCCTGCAACCCCTTGTCCCGCACCGACAAGACAGGGCTAGTTTTGGGTGGACCCCATAAGTCGCCCAGAGAAACACAGTGCCAGGGAACCAGACGCCTTCTTCCATTGACGCCGGAAAACCCCCTCGAGGCAATGCCCCTCTTTGGGTAACCTGAACCCCCCACACTTCTAGGTGACGACCCCTCTCAGCCCCTCTCGGGATGCTGCAAACCTGAGGATTTTAGCTAATCGCTGTGCTGGGCGCGAAGGCTTGCCTACAAGAACCAGCTGGAACCCTTCTGCTCCCAGGTGCCCTCCGTAGATTCTCACTTTTCCCAGTCTCTCTCCGCGTCTCCCTAGTGCAATCTCCGCGCATCTTGACAGTAATCGAAAGCCTGAACCTTGCTAGCATCCACCAAAGCCAGGTTATCAGCAGGGAGTAGGTTGGTAGGAAGAGCATTCGATTCGAGCCTGGCCTTAGCACCGAACACGCCGTACCCCTCGCCCTTACAATCTACACACCCCCCTCTAATGCCCACAGGCTGTGAAAGACGATTGGCCAGTCCCACAACCCGCTGATCTCCGTTCTCGGCAACACCTCAAGACGAGACACTCGAAGCACGCAAGCTTGTCGACAAAATCAGCCAAAGACGGCCCTTATTTCGCGAAAGAGTCATCGAGTTCAGATAACGGGAGAAATCTGGTAGTTCGGCTTCTTGTTCTCTTATTTTAACATAAGACCATCCCATCGCCTGGCCCCCCACCTGGTCCCCGCCAGCAGACTCTCCACAGTATAGCTTCCATCTATCTGCTCTCTTCTATTATAACAACTGCAAACCATCTTTTTTCTTGTTGATCTCTTCGAAGTCAATTAGCCTTTTGGAAACCGCTTGACATACTGTCGTACACCAGCGGTCCAGTATTTGCCTGCCACGAAATCGATTGCTCGTGGATTATCCTGTTGCAGGCCGAGTCAACTTCGACCTGGCCGTCACACAGCCAATTCAACGCCGTATACCCGACGGATACCGATCCGAGATCAGCTTCCTGATCAACAGCCCAACACCCTCGCAACGACGCAGGACTAGACTCCAACAGAAGTCTGGGTTGTTATCTAGACCAACGACAACCGAGTCAACCTTCTGGCCTAGAGTTTGCCCAGAGCAATCCACCTATTGCACTACTTTAGCTTCCTTTCCTGGACAGACGCTATTGACTGCACCAGCATCCCACCCTCTTATTTCCAGAAGCGAAAGAGACCGCAGGGAGAGAAAAAAATTCCCCTCCTTGCAGCTACATATTTGCCACCCCGTGACACACGACGCCCACGAGCTTGTCAAGTTGCAAATTTTTCTACCTCCTAGACGCCCGAGAGAGCTCAAATAGCCCGTGCGCTGCTCCGAGCCGTCGTCTCGGGTTCAGACACATCAGTCACCCCCCAAGGCCACACAGACGGGTTCCGACTCTGTTTGCGAGACCCCGCATTTCTCGTCGCTCCTCCCGTTTGTGCCCCGACTTGGAGCAGCCAACCAGAGGGACGACGTCCGGATCAAGTCAGCCCCGATGCACCACCAACGTCGGAAGTCGGGCCACGGCTCTGGCAACTCATCTACGACGGATGTGCGGAAAGCCGTCACGGCCTCGGACTCGTCTTACAAGCTCAAGAACTCGTCGCGGCCCGCGCCAATGACGAGGAGGACTACACCTCAAACGGCCCAAAAGCTGGGGAAATCCCCCAAGGACAGGGAGAGGGAGTGGGAAGAGGAGCGGTGGTGGGACGAGGAGAGGGAAAGCTTTCCACAGTATTGGTATGTCATTGCCCTGGCTGAATTTGTTTTTTGCCTTGCTTTAGGGGGCAGTTTACGTTTCGCAATTGCGTGTGCCCTCAAAGACTTCCTCTTTCATCAACCTGCATCGTCACCTGATATGCAGGTGATTTGTGTTACGTCGGTGCTTGTTCCAATGAGGGGGGAGACACACCGACCGGGGCTGGCAAGTGCCGGGCGTGCCGTTCCTGCATACATCGATTCTTGCATGGTCTGGAGAACGCCCGCTAACCGGCTGCGTCCCAGCATGATCTGCGAGAAGCAATTCCTTCCTTCGGGAGAGCTTTTCGTGTACTGTTCTGATGCGTGAGTCTTTATCTTTTTGTTTGAATTCTTTTTGGTTGTGTTTCCAGCCGCGGGCCGGCTGACCAAGAAAATCAGGTGCCGGATTCATGACCAGACGGCGGATGGTGGTGCACCGCCAACTCCTAGCCACCATTCAAGGAGTCATGCTGCTGCGAGTTATCCCTTCTACTCGGGCGTGCCCGAGCCCAGAGATATCATACCCCGTGCCTCGCCATCACGGCCTGGCTCCATGGCGTATTCCCCGCCATCGATTTCGCACACGTCGGCTATCGCTGCGCTACAGTCGCTTTCGATCCGGCCGCCAAGTCCTCCGTCCCCAATCGGGACGTACCAGACGTCCATGTGGCCCTCCACTCGGAGCGCTGCAACAAGCCCGAGTTCGTCGTACACGCGACCCGTGTCGGGAATGTTCCCATCGACGTATGACGGCGTCTACTACGGGGCCGGTACTGCTAGTGCGTACGGCACCAGTTCTGATCGGCCGCTGCCGTCGAGGAGACCAGGCATCTACTCGAGACCCAAGAGCATCGAGCTGGTGACGCCCATGATGGGACGGTGATCTCCGCCAATCCCAATCTTGCTTTGTCTCACCAGCCAAGCAAGAGAAAAAAAATGAGGCCGGCCGGCTGGGCCAACAGGGGTCATGTGAGCACAGAAGCGCGGGCCAGCATATGTGCCTGTTTTCGGATTCCCATGGACGTGCAGCCAGCCACGGTGCTGACGAAGAAATCTGACTGCAGCTGAAGCCGAGAAACGAGACTGGCGGTTCTAAATCTCCCTCGTTCCTTTATCTCCTAGGAGTGTGGGGGTTGTTCGTCTTGCATCTAATGTAACCTTTTTCTTTCTTTGGCGCGGGGTTTCCAAACCTGTCTCTCGTCTCTTCTCCCAAGCTCAGAGCGGAATTTGTTGGTGGTGGCTGCGGCCGCATCACCCCGCAAACCACCCCAAGCCCGAGGGACAGAGAGATGGCGGGGTTGGTTTTGTGACGAGAAGAAAGGGGGATGTCGGCGATGCAATCTTTTGACCGCATGCTTAGCGCGTGGGGTTAGTTTCTTTTCCGGATTGTTTCCTCCCCTCTCTCAGCTGGCCATCTCAGAGCGAGTTTGCCATACAGAGAAGAGCGGTTGTGGAAGTGTTCCCCATCTCGGCTCTCAATCTCGACCAACATTTTTGTTTCAATTCACCAATACTGCTTTTCATTTTCCCCCCCCCCTTTCCTTTGCCAACCTTTAGCGGTATTTTCATCTGCTTTTTTCTTTCCTTTTTTTTATCAGCATAGATGGGACTCAAAAGCAATTTTTTTTTTTTTTCTGTTTTGGGAAGCAAGCGAGCATCGCCTTGCAGCAATCTTTCGGGGAGGCCCCGGAGCGCGTCTGCGAAGGATCTATTGGATTTTCTTGGCGTCATCTTTGGCTTCTTGGGAACGCGGGGGGAACAAACAGGCCGGTGTACTCATAGCTAGGTAGCCAAGTTGTCGGTGTGATGGCTGACGGTACGTCAGACAGCCTAGTTGCTTTCTACAGTGTACGTACGGGCTTCATGGAACGCTGCAGGTGCTATCTATCATCATTCGCCAGCGGTGTTTCATTTATCGGATCTACGAAATTGCGGAAACCCGCCATGACAAGGAGTTCAGAGCGTCTTGGGTCGGGCATGGTAATACACGGAGTATTATTTAGCATTTTCTCAGGAGATATGATTCTATTTTTTTCTTCACACATTGTCTATAGTGCTTCTTAGGATTATCCAACTACCCAGGTACATACCTACCTATCTGCCTGCCATGGCCGTGACAACCTCTTGCCTGTTTATTACTGAGTAAAAACCACGGCCTTGATGGGGCATGACTGAGAGCACGTCCGAAGGGGATACGCAACACTCTGGAAAGAGGTGATGAAATGCTGCGAGTCCGCCTATTTGGCATCCCACGTGGTATGAATTGGGGTCAACTCTCTCCCCGTATCGATGCATCCGTACTCCGTAGTCTATTCTAGATCGGGAATAATCCGGAGCTTTTTTTTTTGGCGAGCTGGGAAAGGAAACCCAACCCCCAATACTATCGATCAACGACGCGACAGCCCGAAGGGCGACGAACGGGGATGGGAGGGGGAAGAATTAGATATCCTCCCCCAAGATATGATGTTCGGGAGATCCCGGGGTTCAGACTTGCCGAGTACATACACGCAGCTAGGGTGGTTCTATTTTGAAATACCTAGCCGTTGTTTATCTATCTTTTCTTCTTTCTTTCGTCTCCCTAGCCTATTACGGTGCAGTAGGGCGACTAGGATCAAGGGCAGCAGCCCGATTAGAGATTTTTTTTTGGAGAAACAAAAGTAGAGGTGTGGATGGCGGGATGTAACGGGATCAGCAGCGGAAAGAAAGAAAGAAAGAAAGATGGGTGGGAGGGGACCCCGACGTTTGTAAGGTACTCCCCGAAGTCGGCTGGCCGAATGGGATGGGATGGGGTGCTGGAATACGGAGTATACACACGTCTCTGCATATGTAGTATATACCTGATGACTTCACCGGCATCGTTTTTTTTTTTGCCTTGTGGCTATCTATGATCAACAAGTGTTGTGGTGGTGGTGGACAAACGTGCAAAGATAGGTAAATGCTGCCGTGGTATTTGCATGATGATGATCGTGCTCGGCCGAAGACTGGGATGGCGATCGCCTCAATGAATGGTTGATTACGATGCCGGCTCAGTTTTCTAAGCAAGGGAGTTTTAGGTTGTTGACTGATAGCGATGGCGATGATAACAATGGAACATGCATATCTGTACGTATCGGACGGCGGCGGTTAGCGGCAGCGGCAGGACTCCAGGTCACACGATTCTCCATGTTCGGCATCAAGGCCCTATTTTGGCTGTTAACGACACTACCGCGATTTGTCGGGAATGCGGGGGATCTCGGAGTTGGCGGGTTTTGTTTGTTTTGCCTGCTGCCCTGCCTTGGGTAGGTTGTCGCTCTTTATTTCTCGTTTATTCCGTAAGCAGGTGTTTACGCCCTTCCAGATCACGGATTTATGGATTACCTTGCTGTGTGCAAAGCGACCGTAGGGGCTCATGAGAGTGTTTACGCGCTCCACCTTCCTTCCCTATTGAACGTGTAGGAATTACCGATCAATCAGGGTTATGCGGCTCAATCAGGGTTAATCAAGCTTATGCAGTTGCAGGGCTGTGATTGGTCTAATAGGCAAAAAAGTGGGGGATCATGTCAGCGCACGGGCCACACTCGCCCAACATGTGGCGCAACACGTGACCGCGGGGCGCCCTGACTGAGTGCCTTCGTGTCCCCGTAGTTCGTGATCCTTTTGGCAGACATAGAAGAATACGAGCAACACAACCACCACCCTTTTGCAGCGGTTACTATAGTGACTAGCATGAATGACCTTGTCATTCCGACAAAGCGTCTCACGACTGATACAGCATGTACAGTAAGGTAAGATTTGAAGGCGTCTTACTTTGGCTTCAAAGAGACGGAGGGAGAACGACAGGCATGTTTGTGTAGTAAATTCCCACTTCAATAATATTTTCCAAGTAACCCAAAGAATCCAACGATTTCAAAAACCTACAATAATGCAATGACCCGGCCACAGGGATCTAGCGGTACCAAACAGCTTACTACCGAACAACGCCACCGAGTTCGAGTCCTATACTTTGATGTCGGCAAAAGCCAAGCTGAGATTCACAGTATTACTGGGTACACCAAAGCCCAGATCCAGACCGCTATACGTGCTCGCGATGCAGCTGCTAAACATGGTACTGGCCGGCCATGGACTTTAACACCAGAGCAAGAGAATGAGCTTGTTCAATATGTCACTTCCTGCAGGAAAGTTCGTCGAATGGGCTTCCTCGGGCTCTCAACAGTCCTTTTCGCTAGGATTAACGGCATGTAGCTAATCAAGCATGCCCCCTATCGACTGAGCTTCCGCCGACGAGTTGCCCGCAAGGAGTAAGAGCACGAGCACTGGACCCCCGAATAATGGGCAAAGATTCTCTAGACCGACGAGACCTGGGTTACTGGTGGCCCATATAGGAAGCAGTACGTAAATCGGCGGCCAGGCGAAGAGTGGGATCCCACTTGTATTGTGGAAAGGCATCAGCGTAAGGGGGGCTGGATGTTTTGGGGTTGCTTTTCTGGTTTTGGTAAAGGCCCAGGAACCTTCTGGGAGAAGGGTTTGGGCAAGATCAACGCCGAAACCTATCGGTTACACACTGTACCTGCGATTCACGGTTAGGTACAGCTTTGTAGGGAACAGCTTGGTGAGAATTTGGTCTTAATGCAAGACGGTGCTCTGGGATATGCAGCCTCGGAGACGAAGGAAGATCCCCGGGAGCGAGGCATTACGGTAATCGACTGGCCACCCTTTTCACCAGATTTAAACCCTATTGAATCTTGTTGGAACTGGATGAAGGATTTGATCGAAGACCGGTACGGCCTGGAAGAGAAGCCCTCGTACGATAAGCTACGCCAGTATTTTAAGGAGGCTTGGGATGAACTACCCGGCGACTATTTGAAGGAGCCACTGGCCTCGATGCCAGAGCGGTGCAAGGCAGTGATTGCAGCCCAACGGTAGCTACAAAATATAGCTAGTTTTTGTGTATTTAGTATGGATACAATGCCCTTGGCTAGCGTGGGAACCCCGCATGGAGATTTTTATTACCCATCTCACCACAGTAGTAAGTTCCTGTCCACTTACTGAGTACAGCGTATTTAGATGGCACGTCGCTGTGACATTGAGGTGGGCAAGTGTAAGTCCGAAAATGTATCCACCCAAACAAAAAAAGACAAAGTCCGGGGTGGTGATGATGGAATATTGGGTACAGTACTGAGTACGGCACGGCGCCATTCAGGTGGGAAGCAGCACATACCATGGATACGGGGGCCCGTGGGGCAGTTGATCTGGTCTGCAGGCGGCCAGCCGTGCTGGGGTGAGTGGGTGAGCGAGTGGGTGGACCAAACCCTAGACCTTTTTTGACACCTACAACTATACTTATTTTTTTATAGCGATGCAATGCAGGCCGGGAATTGTGTCGGGGCCAGGTCCGAAGAACCGAGTGACCCAACAGAGCCAACAAGCCCAAGCCGCAGGGTACGCACACACGGGGACGGAATGGGTGACGGAGATAGGTTCGGGCGAGGCTGGTGACGAAGTGAAATAAAGTCGCCAGCAAAAGACGAGTCCTCGGGATGCTCGGCTGTGTGCAGCAGGGGTTGATGAGAATCAATGATCCAAACCTACTTTAGCAGCTACAAGCAAACCGACACGGGGCCCCGGGCGGCGGTGCATGCATTCACTCACACTAGTTCTAGCAAGAAGGAATCCGTACGGACGGCGGAGTAGTCGCGGAAAGCGAGCTCCTAGGTCCGTACCTATCTAAGGCGTGCCCGCGTCACACACTTCAGCCAGCTAGCTAGCCCCCCCCTTTTTTTTTTTTGCTGCTTGATAAGTTGATATTGCCGTGTTGGGGAAACCGAAGGAGAGCTTCCATGGAATACCCGCACTGTGTAAGCCTAGAAGACAATACATACGATCGTCCCAAGAAACAGGAATGGATGAGGGGGTGGCTCGATGTGAAACATTCTCCCACAGCTGCTGTGTCTTGGGACATTTGACATTCCGATGTCTGAAAGCCGCCCACCTATAGGTAGTGAGTCACACACGCTGCTAATTACCGAGCCACCACAGAGCAGAGCAGAGTCTGGGAGACCAATAACACACACCCACAAGTCTGTCTCAAGTTTCGGCCTCCTTACGCTCACTTTATAAGAGGTAGGTACCTCCCGGGTATCACAACTACCCTCACAAGTTGCCCATAGACAAAATGACAACCACTCCCCAGGCCCCTCAACATGTCTTCAGTTCCACACCCGGCACCTGGCTGACTGCCCGAGCCCCGGCCAGCCATGCCGGCGGGCACCTCTGAGCTACAATGGTGGGACTACACAATACAATCTAATCTCTGAATATTTTTTGGCCTGGTATTTGAGTAGAATACTCCGTACGCCAGCCAGGAAAACCATTGATAGGTGTTTTGGAGAATTCTTAGGTCTCTAGGATTCTAAAATAGGGATTCTAATAGCTTTTGACTCCCCCAGCGAAAACCCCTTTAGGCGGGCCGTAAGGTATTAAGACCTTTCAATCTTAGAAAGTCCCCTACTAACAAACATTCAGGGACTGGATTGCAGTAGTGAACTCGCAACCAGAGCAGACACGAGGCATAATAGTTTTCGATCGAGGTCTCTATCACGATGGAGAATGAATATAGATACAGCTCAAAGGAGTCAAAGACACAAGCAAATGTTTGGTGTGTGTTGTGTCCAGTGTGCCTGACATTGGGTCCGTCCCACTTTCTCATCTCGAGACTTGAACCTCCTTCTCTCCCCTCGACCCTCCGCTTCCAGACTAGAGGGGTAGAAAAAATGACAGGATACTGAAACAGAAACCTAGTTCCTAGATAGACAAATTCAGCCTAGCCCAGCCCCGCCTAGCTCGATTCAAGGGAAAAACATAATCAAACAAAAGCAACACCTTGAGCTAGCCATCCCGAACGCAAGAGATAACTCGAGGAAAGGAACATCCCTTATGCGGTAGAGAAGCGTAGAGGCACAGAGTGGTGACGCAAATGCAGGAAAGACTCGGACAGGTAAGACGTTATTAAAATACCGGGTGATAAGGCGAGAATATTTTAGTTTCAACGTCCTCACTTTCTTTTCTCCATTTTTTTACCAATCAACACAAGCACCACGGCTAGGAGGGAAAAATTAAGACAAAAGACAATGTTGATGATAATGAACCCCCCTCCCAAAAAAAAATCGAGAATACCGCTCCTAGATAAAAAACGAAAAGAAAAAGGGAAAAACGAGCGAGACCCAAAACCCCCAAAAGTACTACAAGAGTTGAAGAAAAAAGAGGAAACAAGCCTCCCTCGATTACTATATTCTCCCAACCATGCCTTCAGCATGGGGGTTATTGGACCTTGAACTCGCCATCTCGCCGTAACGGCCGCGATGTTGTGTTGTGTCGTAAGCTTGGAGGACGCGCGTCTGCGACTCGTCGGCCTGGGAGAAGGCGTAGCCACGCTGCTTGCGCATGCGCTGCACCTGGCGAACCTTCCGGATGGCCTTTTGGAATTGCTCCATACTATTCCCCAAAGGTCAGCAAAGTAAACATGGATATTGGAGAGGAGAGGCAAAACGTACCGAGGCCTGTAATCCTGGATGTTGTACTTTTGAATCTCCTGCACATGGTGGTACGGCTCGGGCCGCCACAGCCGCTTGCTAAACTTCCAGGTAAAGTCGCGGAATAGGCAGAGGAGGGCGAGGGTAGGCATTTCTATCCAGAAGGTGGCGCTGGTGAAGAGGCGGGGGATGACGCCGTAATATTCTGTTGAAAAGCCCAGCTTGGGTGCCACTGTGCCATAAACCGCCACGAACACGATCCAGATAGCCATGCTGCCTGGGATGGCGATGATGTGGTATTTTGTCCAGTTATTGGTCACGAGCGCCGCCTTGCCGAGCACCGTCAGGAGCACCGCCCCGTACATGGCCGTTCCCCATACCCACTTACCCGCCACCAAGCTGTCGCTCTGCACGCCATCGTTGATCCAAAAGAGGCTGCCGCCGATGTACAGGATGATAGAGTGGTAGACGGCCGTGAGGATCCAGGACGCAAACACCTTGATTTTGAAGAAGGCGTTCGACTGACCTAGATTATAGAGCTGCGGGTACCGATCGAGAAGGCGTGCCGAGACAAACTGGTCGAGGATTCCCAATACGAGTGGCGGGAGTACCGTGTAGAAGACGTTGTAAAACGACAGCGTCCACGACTCGTAGATGACCTCACCAGAGAATACGTTTTGGAAGACATACTACATTATGTTAGAAACCCGGCCTTTCTGACAGATGTACGTGGGTGGAGTTGCACTCACCCAAAACTGCGTAAGGTACAGCGTCATGTTCTTGTAAAAGGAAAACAGAATGGTTTTGCTGACGCGGTGGTAGCTCCACGCGCCATGGACGAGAAGCAGCTTGCGGAGGAAGCGAAACTGGGCAATGGAAACATCGGCACTGCGCGCAGCCTGGAGACCCTCCATGCCGCTGATTCCGATGCCGATATGCGCGGCTTGAATCATGGAGACGTCGTTTGCTCCGTCGCCAATGGCGAGGAGAATCGATTCCTTCTGGTACTTCTTCACCAGCTTGACGACCAGTGCCTTTTGCAGCGGGGAAACGCGGCAGCAGATGACAGCCTTGCACATGATGGCAAGATCAAGGAAGAGCTTCTCGAGGTCCTTTTCGAGAGCAAACGTGAGCGATTTGCCGTCAATGACGAGAGCCAAGGTTTCCATCTCGATAGTGGCTTCGCCCTGGTTCCGGATGGCGTCCATCTTCTTCTGAATGTTATCCCGCGTCGCGGCGGCCGTGTCCTCGTTGACGATGAGAAGCATCATGTCCTCGCTGAGGAGCTTACAGCTCATGCCGATATTGATGGCCGTCTCTTGCCGGTCGCCAGTGAGGACCCAGACTTTTATGCCCGCCTCCTGCAGTGTGTGAATAGTCTCGGGCACGCCGTCTTGCAGCCGATCCTCAATAGCAGTCGCCCCCAATAGGTAGAAATCGCGCTCAATAAGCTCGGCAGCCTTGTCCAGCTCTTCGGCGCGGTTTCCGCTGACGGTGGTCTGAGCCTTGTCGTACACCTGGTACCATTCCTGGAACTCGTGCTCTGGAACCTCACGCATGGCGAGGCAGAGTGTTCGTAGACCCTCGGACGCATACTCTTCGAGATGACGCAGGGTGACATCGACATGCGGGTTGTCGTCGTTCAGCCGCTCCAGAATAACGGTGTCCGCACCCTTGCAATAGCACCGCACCTTTCCATCAGGGCAGCGGTAGATGGTCGACATACGCTTGCGGGTCGAGTTGAACTCGCATACAGCTAGCAGCTCAAACTCGAGTGACTTGCCGTCGACTTCGATAAGCACAGATCGCGGCTTGCGTGCCGAGAACTTGTGGCCAAGGATCAGGGCGCCTTCGACTAGCGCCCCCTCGTCGGGAGATGCTGCCTGATACTTGATGTTTCCCTCTTCGTCTCTCTCTGGGATAACAGTGTGGCATGTTGAGAGCAAGGTCAAGAAGTGATCAATGGCTTGCGCAGATGCGTGCGTCTTGCGGTTTTCCCGGAGCTGCTTGAAGTCGTGGATTCCAACCTCGACTCCGTCCTCGATTGTCGGCACACGGTCCTCGGGGACTGTTTCAGAGTACATGATGCCGGCAATTGAGCATTGCTTGAACTCCATCATGTTGCATGTCAGTGTGCCCGTCTTGTCCGAAAAAACGTACTCCACCATACCCAACTCTTCGACTAAACTCGAGGTCCGGCAGTTCGCAGGTGTGTCGTTGACGTCGTAGTATATATCCATGTCGTCGTTGATCAATATTCCGTGCCAGTACTTGACCATTTCGAGAGTGACAAACAGCGAAATAGGGACCAGGGAAGAGAATAGAACCCAGAACGTGACCATGTCTTTGATGAAGACGCGGGCAACTTCAGAGGGACTACCGATGGGGTCCAGGAAGAGATAGGTGAGCGAATTTCCGTCAACCCTCCGCATGATGAGGTCGCCAACAGTTGAGATAACGCTCAGTCCCAGGAGAATGCCAACTAGGGCCAGAACGAGCATGTTGAGTTGCCTTTCCACCTTTGTCCGCTTAATGGGCGCCGCCGTGGCGTTTCGCATCAGCTTCGTCTCGTGGCCCGTGAAGACGACGACGCCGTGGATCCAGGGCGTGTTTCGCAGCGTGGCACCTCGTAGAAGTAGCTGCTCGGGGTTTATCGACAGCTCCTTCTCTCCGCCGCCGGCTTGCATAGTCAGGGTAGCCTCGTACGTGTACAGGCTGCTGTTGGGCTGTTCGGAGCGGATCCTGCCCCCCAGTCGGCTCAGCTCGCTCGAACTCACCATGGTTACCGTCTCGGGTAGGCCTTGCTTGATCTTGAGATTTGTTTCTCCGTCGAGGTTTGCAGTCTCAATGTAACACAGACCCTCGGGCTCGGAACTCGCCAGAAGGACCAGGTCGGCCGGGAACGGCTCCTCCGACTCGACGCGCACAATGTCTCCGACAGAAACGTTGATCCATTTCGTTTCCTCAAACGTCGAGCCCCTCAGAACACGGGCCTTGGACATGTTGAGGGCCTTGTCGGCCTGCTTCCGGCGGTAGTCCTCGACCAATTCCTTACCCGCCGACACCATGAGCACAACGATAAGGGGTCCGATGGTGGTGTATCTGTTTGTGGGCGAGAGGCCGGGAATCTGCTGCAGGCCGGCCGTGAATAGAAAGAATATGTTGGCGAACTTTGAGAACTGCTCTAACAGAAACTTGGGCATAAAGGTAGCGACGTTGTACTTGGCCGTGGATACGTGGTTGTCGACGTACTTGTTGGCCATGTTGGCAGGCGGGTTGTTGAGGTGGATGATGCGAGGCCCCAAGGTCGAGGGATCAGGCTTCCCGCGCCCGAAGCCGAACTTGAAGTTGCCCATATCGAACTTCTTCTTCGGCTTGGAGGCCGTCGGCGGCGTTTCTAGCCTGTCCGAGTCTGTGCGGCCGGCGGCGCGCGGCTCCCTCAATGGCAGGTCCATTTCCGAGTAGCCCTGGCCCATGCCGAGCTTGTGCTTGATGCGGCCGAAAACACCACCGCCCAAGGCGAGAACGCTGTTACGATTCCGCGCGTCCCTCACAGCCGAGGCGCCGCCGGGCGGCAGAGGGCCGCCCTGCTGATAGTATGAACCGCCGTCATCCGGATATTCGTCAGAGTCGTCGGCGTATCTCTGGTAGTTGCCCAGATCCGATGTCTGGCTGTATTGCCTGTCGGCATCGGTCAGGTAGGGCGCGGTGGGAGGACGGGGTGTGGAGCCCGAGGGGCCGGCCTGCGGCGGGCGTGCCGACGAGGCATGTGGTATTGGTATTGTTGATGTTGAATGGTCGGCACCGATGAAATCGTCGTACGAGACCGAGGGGCGGGGCTGCGCCGCGTCGTGGTCGAAGCCGTAAGCGAGGAGGTCATCGTCGTTGAGCGTCGACCGTTGGCCGCCGCTGTACGCGGGCTGTTCATTTTCTAGGTCGAGAAGCAAGTCGTTCCGGGAAGTCGGCAAGGCCCCGGGAGGCGGCGGGCGTGCGGCCATGCCGGAGAATTCAAGCGGCTGACCGGTCAGGGTCGCGCGGCGTGTTGAGCAAGCAGCAGCAGCAGCAACACAAGAGACAAATCAAGACGATGGCCGGAGCATTGAGGATTGATGCGGCCGGGGTGGGAAAAGGCAGTCGAAGCGTATATCCTCGAGCGGGTGTTTTGCGTTGCGATTTGTCGATGAGCGGCCTTTCAGTGCTGTCGGGGTCAGCAAGCTGAGACGGGGCGTCGTTCGAGAATCGAGAATTGCGATGGCGATGCCACGCTCGTTTTCCTGGCACAGCCTCCTTTTGGTGCAGGATGCCAGGGGAGTCGTCGGGTTCGTCAGCCGCAGCCGCCGTCCGCGCAGGTCTGCACCTCCACCTTCGGTACCTAATAACTGGGCGGGCGCGCTGTCAGTGGAGATGGAATCGGTGGAGTGCACGGATGCCGTTTGGTCCTGCGCCGCGCATCTCCTACAAAATGACAAACACGAAAGACAGGTCAGCAACAACGACGAAAGATCAGACCGACAGGAAGCCCCTGAATGCGACAAGTGCGTTCGTGTCTGATGTGTGTGAAAATTGCGATGAGGCTCTCTCGACTCAGGGGGGACGACGGCGCACCGGGAAGTAAACTAGCATGTATCCAGGTATCTTTTCTTTGAATCGGGGGCACTAGTGCGAACCTGACAGGAGGAAATGGAGGGCCCCCGTTACACTGTTAGGGACCGTCATGGCGCTGAGAGGTGCCCGTGCTTGGCGGGTCGCTTGCCGCAGAGGCCGCGTTGCTATGAATAACCAAGTGTTTCGGAGAGCATTTAGCCAATCACTTCTCGCCTGAGGCTCAGATCAGGGTGCTCTGCCTCGCCTGAAGGAGGCTGGAGCTGCAGCGCCCAACTATTAGAGTGGGGCATTGGGGTGCCCTTTCTAGAAGGTAAGAAGAACCCGAAGTCACGTTCACAGTGGCAACAAGCCTCGTCCATTATCGTATAATCCCGCGGGTCGTATCGTCGTAATCGCAATAGTGGTCATCGCCCAACCTCATCTTGGTAGATTCGCATCGGCAACTCGTCAGAAATCAAGCTCTATACCGACGACGCATCTTTAATTTGACATTTGCCTACTCAGAACCCGGGCAGTTTGCTATCATGGTCTGCGGCAAGTGTGCAAAGCTGGCCAAGACCACGCTCGCCACACCTGGCGTCAAAAAGAAGAGCGAGATGTACTACGGCTCTCCGGCATCCTCATCGGCGTCGGCGTCGAGCAACAAGAAGACTTCGGCCACTCTGGGCCAGTCTGGCGTCTCAAAAGTCAGTACCCCATATAAATCTCACGGCGAATCAAGGCCCAACACAACCTACTGACGTCTCCACAGAGCAAGCTGCTGTCCAAAGCCGCAAAGAACCCCTTGGCGCAATATTCAAGGTGTGTACTGCACATACATATATGTTGTCGCGTAGCATGTCTCAGCCTCGCAGGCTAGCAAGGCGAAATTGACATAACCCCCCCCCCGTCAGTGCTCGTAGTCGGTGCTGACCAGGATTCAATAGTTCATGTGGGCGCTGCAAGACCAAGATCTCGCAGGGATACACATACTGCCATACATGTGCCTATCGTGATAACTGTGAGTCTCTATCCCATCTTACTCAGTATGACATGAGAGCGTGCGAACCGGTCGGTGTCTGGTGCTGACAGCAGAATACTGTAGCTTGCACCATGTGCGGCAAGTCAAATTCCAAGGGAAAGTCGTCGGCGGTGCCTTTTGTCTCTGGGCAAAAGTTCTCGCTCAAGTGAGATTCTCATCACGTACTACTGTACTACAGCTCAACGCGCCGAGGCCGAGCTGAACAGCTCAGAAAGGCGCCATTTATTACCATAGCCGTCTTGTCTCTCTCTATACTTGATATGGCGCAGTTTACGCAGGAATATCAGCGGCAAGCCGCGAGCTGTACCCTTCACTCATCGCCAGGCAGCGTCTGCTTTGCTGGTCGCCACGATCTGAGCAAGATCCCGAGGAGATTTCACATAATAGACACTCATACAGCACTCGGTCGCTATCGTTTATGCCTCGACCACGGTACGGCGGCGATGGCTTGGCTGAGCACAGCGGGCTTTCTTCTCACTCTGGGAGCTCTTGATGCCAGATAGACTAGCAATCCAGGCAAAGATGTTGGGTCTTGCCGTGTCAAATAGTACGAGATGTTACTTGTTTCACCAAATGCACAGGGAATGGTCATTTTGGGACTGGCCGACGGCATGTACAATTTATATTAGGAAGAGCAGGCTGTTTTAGGGGCAAGCAAACAGTGACGCCCTCGTGTACAATTAGCTCACTCAATACGAAAAGAGACGGCGTCAATTGCAACCAAGTAATACACAGTCTCGTTAAATTGACGCCTTCGGCCCTTTGTCGGCCTTCAACACATCGGCCAGGAACTTGCCAATGTGCCCATTGACCTCTTGCGGTGCCTCCCATAGAGCCCAGTGGTTGGTATTGACTTCTTCCTTGACCAGACTGTCGAAAAATCGGTCCATGCCCGCCGCCATGGCCGGCGGCAGCGCCTTGTCCTTGGACGCAACAATAAGCAGGGACGGTGCGCTAATGCGCGACCGATTCTGCTCAACAAGCTCTTGCTCCTCCTCGAAGTTCACCCTGGAGTTGCGGTACCAGTTGAGCGGCCCATGCAGGCCGTGGCGGCTGTACTCGTCGACGTAAAAGTCCATCTCGGCCGCGCTCAGCAGCGGGCTCGGGCCAATCTTGTCGAGGTTCTCAAACATGACGCCGACCTCGGTGCTGAAGCCGAACTCGTCGTTGGGCCCGCGCCCGCCGAATAGGCTGGACAGAAACCGGCGCAGCTTCTCGGGCCCGACGACGTCCGCCTCGACGTCGGGGCCCGCGAGCTGCAGCTGGTACCGGAAGTTGGGCAGCAGCGTCTCCACTAGCACCTCGCGCGGCACCCACGTCTTGAGCGGCTGCCAGTACGGCGTGCACACGGAAAAGACGGCACAGGTCAGCTCGGGCCGCCACAGCGCGAACCGCCACACGACTGCGCCGCCCCAGTCGTGCCCGCCCAGTACGACCGGCTGCCTGGGCCCGGCCACGTGCGCCGCCAGCACCGCGAGGTCCTCGACGACGCTCTTGTACGAGTACGGCTCGATGGGTTCGGGCGCGTCGGTGCGGCCGTAGCCCAGCATGTCCGGCACCACGACGCGCAGCCCCAGCGCCTGCAGGAACGGCACCTGGTATCGCCACCCAAACGCCAGGTCGGGCCAGCCGTGCACGAGCACGACCGTGGTGGTGGTGCTGCTCACGCCGCCCGCCGGGTTGCCGAGCAGGTAGTGGTACGTCTTGCCGCGGACCAGCAGCGTGTCTGTGACAGGAGGTTAGCAGGTGCTGCAGCAGCCTAGAGCGAGGGGGGGGGCTTGCGATGCTCTACACGGCTGTCGTCCGGGGTGAGCTTGCCCGGGGCAGCGGCTGCTTCGCCCGCCATGGCTCTACACAAGTCTTGATAGGTTGGATTGATACGGAGTCGGTGGGTGGTTTAAGCGCCTCGTGAATGAAGTTTAAGCCGACGATATCCTAATTGTAATACACACGGTAGGTTTGGGAGGGGAGAGGAACGAGTGGGGAAAAGAAAGGGAAAGTTGAAGGAAGGGTTGGCAACATATATAGAGCGTCAGGCGTCTCACTCTCGAGTAGCCAGGAAGGAGTAAGATTGGAAGACAAGATATTGCACTTGACGATCGTTGTAACCCGCGAGGGATGAAAGTGCGCCAGTGCCGGACTGGCGATTGAGATTGAAAGGAAGTGCATTGCGAGCTGTTGTTGCATCGCGGGATGCGCCGGCCCACTCCGCTCTTCCCCGCACCATTATCGTGTTAACTCTTCACTCACACAATGGGACTGGATTGGACCAGATGACATTTCTCTGGGCAATAGTAATCGCCTTGCTGGGTTTGTCAGAGTCCGGAGCCTGCGTCGGATTTAATTATTCATCTGGTCTGAGTTGTCTTTTCGTTTCCTAGGGATTTGATCCGGGGATTTTGTTTTTGAAAGGCCCGAGACCGCGCCTCTTATACTTCCTCCACCGGCATGCTAAGATGCTGTCTCCAAAGGGTAACTAAAGTATTCGTTTCAAACTGGCTAACCTCATGGCGGGTGTACTGTATTGAGGCCCGGAGTGCGAAATAATTAACAAGTAATAATTCTGAAGTGGTGAAAGAACTGAAGTAAAGAGAATATGTACTGGTACCAAGTGACGGAACTTGGATGGGTTTCTAAGAGACTCACTGCCTCTGTTTCATTCGTGAATCATCAAAAGTTGTCGTGTCAGTAGCGAGGGATCCCAAACCTGAAGACGGCGTACCTGTAGGAAGTCGGAGGTTTCTTGTCTTGGGATAGTAAGGGGGGGGCATAGTTGGACACGAAGGTCTTCGTAAAAGACACGGCCACCATTGCCGACCTTTTGAATCATCGTCGTCCAGACCACTGAAGCCGGCGAGGAATACAACTAGCTAGGTAGGTGAGAGAAAAATTGCGGCATCTCTACGTTGAATCCAATAGAATCTAACAAAGCTGGTTTGCGATTATGGTGAAGTTGAACGGCTAAACGACGATACGGTAATCCACAAAAAAAAACTTTCTTTTGATTAGTAGCAGCATCGAAATTAACAAGTTTGATTTACGGTTGACAGGGATTTGTTAAGAGTCCTAATTAGTTGATTCGGAACCAACTTTCATATATCCTCGGGCTTTAGTTTGTCGTTTCCAAACGTATGCCGCTCGGGGGGAGGCCCCAAGCCGGGGCCTCTCAGATCCCAGATGGCCGCATACTGACAGCGATAGGTCTGTACAGATGTGGCCAGGATCAAGTGATTTCAAAGGCTCGAGAGCCAGCTTTCCGTGCATCGCGAAGAAAGTGCCGAGATATTGTGCCGACGTTTCATTCTCCTAGCTCAATCTGAGAGACCATTGAGATAGCACGAGCACAAGTAATTTCGAGCCGCTGTGGCGCAAGAATACGGACACGAAAGGTCTTCGAAAGTTGTAGCTGCTGGTCACGTACCTAACCTTAGATAGGGGGAGTCGCTACCGATGCTTATGTGCGCTCGAAAATTACTCTATATATTGAAAAACATGAAGAACATCCAAAGGGCTGAGCTATTAAATACTTCGTAAGATCTGCCCTGGGCATGGGGTTAAAAGGCATCAACGGTGTCTTTATATTTGCGAGTGTGGTTCTGACATTTGTTTGACTTCTTTGCAGTACCGCGGCAAATGCCTGTGTTAACCTTTAATGTGTACGTGGTGATAGGTATGAGCTATTTCACTTCCGTGATAAATCTAATTGTGGGAGTCCCTCATTGCAGCAGACGAAATATACGATACTCTCCAAAGTCTCCATGCTTGATTCCAACCATACTTATTCAGATTGACACAGCCCTTCCCCATTTCATTGCCTTACTCTTGGGAAGTTCCGCGCCGTTCATCACTAATTAACCAGCCCGAGAAAGTCAGGTAGCCGAACAGGGACTTGTTAAGAGCCAAGCAGCCATCACTAAGACAGCGAGCTTCGTTAAATGGTGAGAGGTGATAGGCAGCAATTCATCACCGAACGACATCATACGTCAAGGCACTCAAGTATGCATAATATGTATGTATGATATGTATAGACCAGTTGTAGCAGTCGAACTGACATCCAATCCCAGACGCCGCAATGCTGGCATGATATGATAGCACATATATACAAGCAAATCTCAAAACCCGGTCCGCGCCATGCCGTTCTAAACAGGCTTCCTTTTGTGTTATCCGATCCTCTATCTACTACCGTGGACACGCCATGGGACAAAGAATAAACAAGAAAATACATCCGAATGCAGGGCGGATCGCCCGTGCAGGAGATCGCCGTCAAGCGGCAGATCGCACATGCGGAACACTGTCATATAGCACATTGCCGCAAGCAGAACATCACGTCAAATCCGATTGCCGCCCATGTAGAGCGAGGGAAAAAGGGCATATTGGTTGCTAAGACTCGAAGTTCTCGAGCGCTGACGCCTCGCAATGATTGACTCCTTGGACCTGTGGGTAGAGTGCTTGGACAGGGCCAGTCTGACCAGGTTCGAGTCGCTGCTGCTGGCGAGAGGCAGGTGTGCAATCTCGTCGTCGGACTCGGCAAGCGTGGGCATGGGAACTTGCCAGGAAGACTCGGACGACGGGAAACGATGGAGAGTTTCTGAGCTCTGCATACCAGTCTGGGAAGATGGTCGCGAAAGGTCAGAGGCAGAAGCACGAGAGAGATAAGACGTATCGTGATAGTCATAGGTGGCATCAGAAGCTTCGCGGTAGTCGGCCGGGATGAGGAGTGAAGGTGAGAGAGTGAAGCCATGAGACTCTCTGAAGCTGCCCTCGGACGAGGTGCGGGCAAGTTTGACAATAGGCAAGGAAAAGTTTGACGCCCTTGGGTTGGGCAGGATTGGAGTGATGGCTTCGTGTGCCGTCGCCGAAAGCTGACTGACAGGGCTCAGATCTGGGACGTCAAAGCAACCCGGGCTGAGAGTGGCTGGCGAGACGCGGCGGGTTCCATCAGGGAGGGGCGTCCCTGCCAGGGTATCGCAATCGCAATCGCGATTTAGGTCTAGCGAGGGACGTTCCCAGGCATAGTCGCAGTCGGCCTCGGCAGCGTGCTCGTAGCAGTAGTCGATGTCGTCCTCCCAGCTATCATGAGATATCTGAGACGGATTGGAGTCGTTCAGACCGACCTTGAGAGCACGTTGGGCCGTAAATAGGTCGAGGCGGCCCAGAGTGTCGGAGGCTCCGCTAGACCGGCGGCGGGAGCCGTCGTCATGGCGCAGCGATAGGGCCTTGAGCACGGGAACGGACTGACTGGCGCGCAGCGACCTATTGCTTACCACGCTGGCTCGAGATGGGCGCGACATGCCCGTTTCGTCCTCCTCAGGAACGTCGGGCAGCGGGGCGTCGGCTGGGAGGGGCCAATTGAGGTCGTCGGATTTGGGGGCCGCATCCTCGGGGATGGCATCCATGTCAAGGGCCGGGGTGTAGCTTTGAGCCGGAGGGGAGAGGGCCGGGGCATAGGGCTGGGGATGACGGAAGGGAGTGGTGGTGCTCTGGTCGAGAGAAGAAGCCAGAGAGTCCCGGCGAAGCGACATTCGGCTGGAGACGCGTGGCGGCGGAGTGGGAGGCGCAGCTCCAAATGACTGCTGGATTGGTGACCTGGGAGGGCGCGGGGGCGGCTTGTTCAACTGCTCGTGAGACCGCGTGTGCTTGAGGACACGGCGCGGGGCCGGAATCTCTTCGGGCAGGGGAAGTTCTTCGGACGAAAAGTCGGCAAAGTGAAGGGGGTCCTGGGGACGGGCCGAAGACAGGGCTGAGCGGCCGGCACGGTCCTTCTGACTATGTGCCATGTGCTGGAAGTTATACGGCTCGGATATCACGAGCTTGCGTTGGGCCGACTCGCTGTGGGTAGCGGCGCGGCGGCGGCTAAAGAAGGATGGGATGACCGAGTCCCTGACGGACAAAGACGTGGGTAGAGGCGGCAGATCCCGTGAGAGGTCGGCCGAGTTTAGTGACGTTTCTGACGAGCTCTGGGGGTTGCTCTCAGCTCTGTGTTTGGACCGACGGCTGAAAAGAGTCTTGCCAAAGATCTGAACACTCTCGGGACGCTCGCGCGGCTGCATGCTACTGGCTGTCGACCTCCCGGACGACTTCCTTGAGAGTGGCAGGCTCTCGGCTGGCGTGTCCCACGATGGCCTGTCGGCCGAGGTGAGAGAGCGCAGCGAAGACGAACCCGATGACGAGGTCTGGCTGTGGTGCCGGTCTCCGCTGGACGGGGCCCGCATGACCTGCTTGTTGAGGGCGCGAATGCTCTCTGGTGACGGCGGGCCGTCCATGGCGGGCTGCAGGAGACGGGCAATGGCCTCGTCGTGCCGGGCCATATCGGGCTCGGACTCAAGGGCTACAGGCTGGACGGCCGCGGCCGGCTCGGTGCCAAAGAATTTGGGCTTTTTTTCGCTCCTCCGCCACGGACGCCTCTCGACCGAGTGCACGGGCGTGTTGGAAACTGCCCAAATATTCATGGCGGCTGCTTTTGTCGTCGTCGTCGCTGACAATTTCTACTGGTAGTTTCCAGGATGGCTATGCAGGCAAGCAGCCAGCCAGCACTGATAGAGAGTGTGGAGTGCCTCCTCTCCTTGGTTCGCCTTGCTTTCGGCCTGTCGTGTCGGGGTAGTGTCGGGTCGGGCCGCGGGTCGTATACGTCGTCGTGCCGTCGTGTATCGTAATGAGCGTATCGGGTCGTGAGTGCGTGTCCTGTGCGTCGTGGGTGTCAGGTCAGGCAGGTCAGTCAGGCCGTGATAATAAAGATTCAAACAACAAACAACACAGCCAAGCCTTTAAATCCAGGCAGGTGCTTGTGCCGTTGGCGTCGGCGGGACGCGTCGAATTGCAAAACAATGCAATGCTAGCACTCAGTCGACAGCCAGCAAAACGCAATGGGTTGTTCCCAAAACCAGAACCAGACACAGCAGGTTTGTGGGGGGGGGGAGAACGGGTTCCGGGGTCCTATATATTGCTCGCGAGAATCATTTCTCTCCCGGGGCCTTTGCAATGCGCGTGGGTCCATCCGCCCAATGGCGTGGGTGCCGTCCGACTCTCGTGCATCCTAGCTTGCTTTGGGGCGCAGGGGTCCCCAACTCTGAAGATTTTTAGTCGGGCCCGCACCCTAGTCTCCCTGACCGGGGCCACCCCAGGGCACCCAGTGATTGTCTGCCCTGTCGGTGGGCCGCTGTGGAGGTCTCTCGCCCACACACCCACACCCGGTTACTTGGCGCCGTTAATACGTGCCGTTCGTTACCAACGGACACCATGGAACGTTGGAAATGTTCGCAGGGCCAACGGTGAATAAAACGGTTAATGACGATACCAGGCCTGACCTGGCCTGCACCGACCTGCGGTTCTGCCCGCCGGATCATGGACGCAATCACACCTGCAACCACAATCGCAGCCGTAATCGCAATCGCAACCCATCGGGCTTCACCTCCCACCACTGCAGTTCCTTGCGCTGCTGGACTGTAACTGTAAATTGTCCAGAAATAACCTAGAATCGATATATTCTGCGCTAGCCCGGCAACCATTGGCTCTGCGCGTGCGGAAACAATGCCAGGGCAAATCTAGCGGGAGAATGCGAGGGTTGCACCGGGCGAGTCAATCCCAAATTCCAATGATTGTGCGTCCCGTCCGGCCCAGATGTCCGCGAGCCCAAGAACGACGCAAGAGGGGCACGTTGGGGTGCTTGCTGGTGGTGGTGGTGATGGTGGTGGCCGGCCCTGGCCCCGGTCTGGCCCGCAGGGCAGAGGGGGCGGTCGGCAAAGGGCATTGGTTGCTTTTGCTGCTGGAGAGCGGCGAGGAGCAGGACCAAGACCCGAAGCGAGAACCGGCGTATGTGCGTCAAATTACTGCTGGGTGCTTCCAGCGCGGTTCCAGAAGTTGTTCCCCCGCCGGCGTCCGTCCGTCAAGCTGGCTGGCAGCCCAATAAGCAGGACACGCTGGCATTGGTAGGCAGGCAGACTGGCGGTCGTTTTAGTCTGGTACGTGTAACCTCGTACCGTCGCCGTCAGTCGCGCTCGAGAAGGAAGCTGTCCAATGTTGATGGATCGAAGGCCCTGGATGTATTAGTATTATGGACGTGCGCACGGTAGGTACGGAATACATGCCTGGCGAGAATCCTTGTGGGACAGACAGGGTGCTAGCTACGTTCATTACCTGCCTTGGGAATGGTGCAATATGTGCTTTCCAGGGTTGCCGGCAGAGAAGCTGCCCCTTTTCAATCGTGCCCAGATATGAATCTGCTCAAATCTACTGCGGTACGATGCAAAAGTAAAAACCCTCTGTCAGGTTCCTCTCCACTTGACTGGAATTCACGACAGGGCTGTTTTTCCGATCAGAAGTACCGCCAAAACCCTGGCCCAACCCTTGTAAATACCAGCCCCACAGGTTTTACTTACCGCTAACACCATAGTAGTTCTATACGTGTAATCTGTTACCAAGTATCCGTACTTCTAGTAAGTCACCTCCGTTCGGTCGAGGACGTGGTACCTCTCTACGGATACTTCGTCGAGCAGGTTCGGGGGCCAGACACCAATCCGCAAAGTTAGCTCCATGCAAAGCGCATGTCTGGTCTCGGGAAACATTCTACACTAGCTGTTGGCGACGGGCCCTGCAAAGGATTATTGCGGTGGAAGCCATATCCTGTAGGCGTTGTGATAAGAACCGACATTGCAAGACTCTCTGTGATGTGAATGCGGAGCCTCGAACGGCGCCCTGAACAACGCAGCGAGCTAAGACTGAGGGACTTGTTGCCCAAGATTCGCAGCTTGATTGGTCGCTCAAAAGATGCAATGGCTGGGATAGGAAGATCGTCGCGGAAGCGGGGCCACAGGGTCCTGCTCCTTGACGTTTCTTTTCTTTTGGCGCTGAAGAATCTCCTTTCCCAGCGAGCTGGATGCTGGGACCACCGCCCGCATCGTGGCTGGGTGGGAGCGGTCAGAGGTTGGTAGCTGGGGTTGAATATTCGCGGGTTGCGGAAGGAATAGTTGCCTGCCAAAAGGAAAAAAAAAAAGGCTCACTTCCGAATTCAAAGCTTCCGTCTATTCCGCGAGTCGCAGACACTCTCTCGTCCAACTCTGGTCCGAGCTGCTGGAACTTGGGCCCCCCCACGCGTTGCTCAGTTCTCTCGCTCAAAGTCAGAGAGTTGGGGCTATCCCAAGACAATAAACATCAAGCAGGATGCAGTTGAGTGAGTGATAAGGCAACCTCATTGAGAGACCTGCTTCTGCCCAGACCTGCTTAGCTAGACCTAGACCAGGTTCAGGTTCGCCAACTCTCGTCACCATGCCTAAGCACACCTCACAGTTTGCCTCAGCTTGCTACTGCCCCCACCCGTCGATCACAGGTCCGGGTCTGCTGCTGAGTGCTGATGGCCCAACGCCAATCGGGCCCAGCCGTCCCAATCCCACTCAGGAGTCAAGACAGACGACGCAAGAGCCGCGGGGGTTTTGGATGAGGTGTGGGCCAAGATAAAGGACGCAGCAAATATCCAAGCTTGAAGGGCACTACGGCAGCTCGCCTGCACTCTGCAGCTTCTAGAACTCTACTGAGTAGAGATAGCTTCAGGTACTGTGATGGGGGCATTCTCAGGCTCTTTAGGGTGCTGCAGAGACCGCTTTGCCAAGTGAACCATCAATTTCGACAGCTTAGCTCCCTTGTTGGACCCTCTGGAGTCTAGCTAGTGCAGAAACTCCGAACGGAGTAACTTCTCTCTGGTTTGCTCTGTTGTGCAGTCCGCGCAGGGCTGGATGCCATCCAGGCTGGGCAGACAGATGGAAGCTGGCAAACCTTCCATCCCCTGCTGTTTGATTGCAATGATGCATCTCGTTCCATACACGGCAGGAGAGCTTTGCATTGACAGTGGCTGTGGGGGCCCAAATTGGTAGGTGTCGAGAGAGAATCCTCCTTGGAGTCCTCCGTATCAACTACGGAGGCACAAATATCTGATAACATCTGCACGGACTCTTCTCAGCCCTAAATAGCGGCTTCTTTTTTCTTCGTGTGGGTGGAAACGGGAACCTGCCGTTTTGTGGCTGGCTAACCACCTCTGGACTGTACAGCCCATCACATCGAAAGGCTACCACAAACAAATTCAGATATGGGAGCTTTGACCAGAACCAAAAAGTAAGGGATGCGGAGAAAGCCACTCCGTCCCTTGGTTGGTCCTCGATGCAAGCGGCAGTTGGCAAATATTTTTGCTTCTTCCCTTTTTACCAGGTAGCCTCTGAATGAAAAGCGAAACCATGTGCCGCTCCGTCGGCGGGTTGATGATGATCGCTCAGCCTAGGGACAGACAAACAAGCTCAAACAGAGTGAGTGCAAGTTCACATACGCAGTAGGTATGGCCCGTCGAGGTCCCGTGGCCCCGTGGCCCCGATTCGGGCGCTTCCATCCGCGGCGTCCATCGTCCAACATAGGACCGAAGGGTCCGGACGTGGCGTAGTAGAGTCCCCCCTCACCATCTCTCTCGGAGCATTTTGTGTGCGGCGAGGCGGCGACGGACAGTGGCAATAGGCTGACGGTATCCGTCACGTCTCACAAATGTCGATACCATCGTAGTCATCCCATGTGGCAGGTGGCAGCCATGTAAGCCTCCAAGACAGAAACCGCTTCTCGAAGACGTTTCGACGACGACGACGAGGAGCTGTGCGGCTGCAGCCACCGGCGTCGGCAAGAGGCACTGGCTGTGGAAAGGAGGCTGACTCTCCCCGCCCTACGGTCTTCACACCGACTATATAGGTACTGCGCACTCCGTACTCTGCACACTTCGCATATGGTCGGAATAGAAAGGCGGCGGCTCGGTCATGGTGTGTAGCCCCCTGGGCAAGAGCTTTGGAGGTGAGGTGAGGTCTGGCAGCCGTCGAGAGGCTGGCCCGCCAGATCGGCAAAGACGGTGGAGAGAGGAGGTAAGAGCCAGGCTGAAACGGTGCCCACTCTTTTGGCTATTACCCGATTACGACGCACTGAGGTTAGGGACGGTGGCTCAGCAAACAACACACCGGCTCACCAAGCAGATCCTCTCTGACCTGACGAGAGCGGCCTGCGATTTGGATGGATGGATGTTTACAAAGAATCTTGCAGATTCTAGGGATACAATCGACCTTGGCAGTCAGTCCATCTCGACCCGAGGTTCTGTGTCGCAGGTTCCCATGAAAGAGCACAGAGACTACTAGCACCAGTTCGTCCTAACACGTTCCCTACTAAGCGGTAGGATCTCCCTTGGGTAAGGGACGTGATGTTTGCGCGTCGATCGGCAGGAATTGTTCTCTCTTTGGCAGGTGCGAAATGGACGGAAGAGTGAAGTCTGGACCCCGCTGCGCCGCCATCTGTTCCTGACATCTATCCCACCGAGTTGCATTACCCCACACGACACACTTGAAGGAAGACTGGGGGTCGACACCATCCAGCTCGACAACCTGAGGTAATGGTAGATGCCACGTCTATCATACTACACTCCAATCCCTGGAAGCTTGCCCTATGAGGTAGAGGGGTCAAAAACCGGGGGTACTTGGGATCCAAAAACGGGTCCCTCTTTCCCTCTGTTAGTGACCCGCCCACGGACCTGTGTAAAATTGACCGTTATAAAACGGTGACTTCCGTTTTCGAACAGGCTGCCCTCCCACCTTATGCCCCGCTAAAAAAGACCTCGCGATAAGCTAAATTAATAGCTAGCCGGCCTGTCGGAATACGGGCCTCCGCTATATTCTCGCTTGAACGAAATTCAAGCGTCGTCTAACCGTCGCGCTTTCGGGCACTATTCAGGATGCTTTTCCAAACAAGTAGCGGTGATGGGCGACTTTAGCGGACAGCGGTAATGTTAGACGTGCCTAGCTACCTTCTAAATAAACGAGGTACTACGTGCCTACCTCGAGGCGTATTAGGTAAGTACTATATAGAATCTATCTCTTCGGCTTGACTAATTGCGCTAGACCGCTGTAAGGAAAGGACACCCCAAACACCAGCCGCGCGCACCCTGTGCGTGCAGTTGGTATCCTTTCCTTACACACAGCCGAACTATAGTCCGTAGTGTCGTAATTATACGCTAAGTGTACAAGCTCCACTTATAGCCCTATTCCTAACTAGGACTAGTGTACACGTGACACCCCACTACTACAAAATCGTAGCCTGCGGGACTTGTAGGCAACTTCTTTTCCTTTTTGTTACGATCCTGGCTCAAGTTTGCAGGAGGCGCTGGGACCCGGTCGCTGGCTGGGCAGCACGGGCAGGTGGGCCGAGCCACGCGGGAGCCGGTGCGGCCAATCAGGCGGTGCTCAGTGCATCTCGCCGCCAAGACTGAAAGACCCACTGAGCAGGAAGTGCAGCCAATTGGGGAAGTGCTCAGCTACCATTGCGGGCTCAGTCGTCCTGAGAGACTGAGCACTCTGGATCACTGAGCACTGCAAGAAAAGGACTCTGATTGGTTGTACGTAGTTCTATATAGGAGCTGGCAGCACGCTCTCTGGGAGAACGGTTCTGCAGCTATCAATGCATCTGGTTAAGCATACATTGGTTGTGTGTTGAAAGCCTGTCTTTCGCAATCTGTGCACGATACTCCATGTCTCCTGTCATCTCCTACCTGCCGTCCAGACCCCCACAATCCTAGGCCGGGCCTAGCTCCGTGGACCTATTGTCCAGATTGTAACACTTTTCCTTTCTTTAACTTGGTTATTTACGAATTCAGCCACTATTTACTTGTAGCCTTGCCTCCTATATTCGCCTACCTTCACAGAAGCCCGTTGCGTAAGAAAGCGCGCCGTCGCTAAGTGTGACGAACCTGGTTCGTACTGGACCAGCTGCAGAAGGCAGGCGCCTCAGGCAAGACTGGGGGCCCCGCTTGTCGAGAGCCAATCAGACGGTGCCCGGTGCCAAGAGGGCTCTTGGCACCAGGCAAACGGAAGGACGGCCAATCAGAGGTGGCCCGGTGCCAAGAAGGGTCTTGGCACCAGGCAAATGGCCCGGCACGCTAGCAGTGCCCGGCGCCAGGCAGCTCCTTCCTGCCGGGCAAGTAAGAGCTGTGCTCTTACTGGCCCGCCATAATTAAATAAATACGATGACCGTGTCCACGGTCTTAGATAGTTCTTGCTTGGTTCTTCAAGCAAGCAATACACATTCGCTGCACTCATACACTTTGAGTGGCATTCCGATTTGACTGTATTACCCGTGCGATAGGAGCTTGCCCTTTGTTCTATCTTCATAATTACCAACCCCAGCATTCTGTGGAGCCCGTGCTCCCTTACAGACAGACGACCCCAACAGTCGAGTGGTTTGTAATAATAGGCTTGATATCTATATTACACGTATCGATTCACCGCAGTGAAAATAATCAAACTTAGAGTCCTAAAGACATGGAAAGTCATTAAGGGCTGGCTCTATTTTTGTTGTCTATCTTGTTCCAGTTCCAAATGTCAGTCAGTCAGTCTATAACAGACGTGCATGTCCATGTCCAGCATGGTAAACCACCTTTACTAGTACCTACATCACTTGCTGATTACCCCAGTTCAAAACTCCCAGCCCGTCGAATAATTGTCTGTCTCGCAACACCCAATACCCTCATTTTTCAAACCTACCAAGTTACAACACGACCGCTTTCACTTTTTCCCTCATAATGGCCTGCACAGGGTTATAGGGGCAGAATCAAGGCCCCAGCTTGATGGTACCGCCAGATAAGTTGCCCAGCAACGTTTGTGGCAAAAGCAACAAAGATCAACTACCTAGCCGATTACAACAGGGATGCTGACGGTGTGGATCTCGAGGGTATCGGCCTGGGCCAGGATGACGTCGATCTTGTTGGCGTCTGCGGCGGGGCACTTGCCCGTGCCCCGGAGGCCGAAGATGTAGATGCCGAGGTTCTCCTTGGCGAGCGGGTGCGAGTTGTGCATGGGGCGCAGAACACTCTTGGCGACGCCAGCCGGCCGCACTAGCTTGCTGGCCATCATGTTGTCCGTGTTGGTCAGCTGCACCTTGAGCACGTCCACGCTGTTGCCGTCCTTGATGATGGTCGCCTTGCCCCGGAGCACGGGCAGCGTCGGGCTCGTGGTGGCCGCCGCCAGCGCCCCGTCGTCGAGGCACTTGTTGAGCGCCTCGGCGAGGGGGAGGATGTATTCGTCGCGGACTGGGTCGGCCGGCGGTGCCGGTGGCGCGGCCTGGCCTGGTGGCAAGGTGCCTGATCTCGCCGAGTTCGATGCCGTTTGGGACTCCTTGGCGTGCTCGGGTATGCTGGTGTCGACTGGTTATGATGGTTGTCAACTATAACGACCCATGGCGCGTGCGTATCATGTTATGTAAGGGGGTTGTAGGAACAGCTCTGATGCGGCCAATGACTTACCCTTGGGTTCTTCACTCGCAGTCGTCGCGCCCTGGTGGTGGATGTGGATGTACACGTCGCCGTTGGCAAAGAGCAGGCTCGAGATGCCCTGGACCGAAACATCGCCAAGGGGCTTGGACGACTTCTGGTGGCTGATGGCGACGTTGTTTTGGTGGGCCTTGAGAAAGGCCAGCAGCGCATCCTGGGCCTCCTTGGGCTTCCTGAAGCGGCTTATGGCCAGGTTGATGTCGGCCGAGGCGTGGTGGACGCGGTAGTTGATTACGAACTGATCGGGATCGACCATGTGTGTGTCAACGACCGTCACCTCGGTGCCTGTCTTGAGTTTTGCCACGGCGTCGACGACGCTCTTGATGCCGGCCGTGTTCAATTTGGCATTGCTCTTCTTGTTGACGCTGGTGAGCGGCTTCGTGTTAATGGCGCTCGCGAAGAGAGTATCTGCGGCGGACGACATGGCTGCGACGAGGGGGCTTGACGACGGTTAATTAGATCACTGTGTGCTTGGAAACAAGGACTGAGAGTATGCCAGGACTGAAAGCTGGGAGTGACGTGTGGGATTGGATCTGAAATCGATCGGTCAACGAGGTCGAGTCTGTCGTCATATTTATACGGATTCGAGGGCCGACAACGATTGACAATAAACAGACGTGCATCACGGCACAACGCGCACACTAGACAGCTGCTGGACATGGCAGCTGCTGTCAAGCAAATCATCGTATAATTACGAGGGTTGTGCCGTGATATGCAAGTACAAAAATAGATGCCGGTGGTGATGGATGTCGTGAGAATTGCTCCAAACTCGTCGACATGTTTGCTATGCCCCAAAACTGAAGCTCAAAAATAGACCACATTACTAAGGCAACTGCAGCTGTAAGAACGAATTGTTTCAACCTTGTTGACATGTCTGATGTGCCACGATCTGCTTATATGTACGCAAACAGATGTTGTCTTATACTCGCCGACCCAATCAACGGGCTACGTTTATCTCCTCAAAACACATACGCCACTCTCGCCACTCACGCCGCGTCGGCGCTGATGGCCGTTGGACGTCGCATCGGCCGCGACTGCGGCATCACCGTATCCACCTTGAAGAACCCATGTAATACCCAGGATCAGACCGGCTCTAATTTGAGCATCAGAGTCAGCCATAACGCCTTATACTACGGTGTATGTCGCATGTCGCATGTCGCATGTCGCATGTCGCATGTCGCATGTCGCATGTCGCGTGTCGCGTGTCGCAAAAATAGAGCAACTTTAGGACACAACATATCAACAAAGCCGAGATTCAATGCTGCATGTCTCGTATGGACCACGCCAGTCTTGACAGCGAGGCGTTCCACGCCACATGTGCGGACCCGACCACACAGATAGGCATCCCAAGGACCATACAGGCAGCATGCGAACTCTAGTGAGGCTCGGGGTAAACTCGTAGCACGCATCTGACCTTCTCTTGCGCAGCATGGCCAGCGGCCCATACTGTCTGAGGTTTCAGGGTGTGCTCTTGTCTCTGTTGGCTGTCGAGAGTAGGCAAGAGCGTGCACGAAGACATGTATAAAAGAGAGCGGCCCTGGCGAGGGATATCCGAATTGGACTCTGTTCTGCATCGCAGGCTCATTGCCATAGGTAATCCTCATCTCAGTCCGGCAAGCAAACAACACTCCAGCCCCCATTCACAAAGCCGAGGTGTCCCTTCAGCATCTTTCTGCCCTCATATTATTTCCCGCCCGCCCGCGACTCTACTCGAAGCCATGTCCACGCTCAAGATTACCAAGATCACCCGGGTCAGGGGCGACCTCAAGAACTTGGAGATTCGAGAAGGGTGGAATATGCCCAGGCCGACCATCGACACGGACGAGGTCCTCTACATTCCCGGAACTGAAGCAACCGCTACCCTGGGTAAACCGGCCGCCTTCCGATTCGACCGGCGAGACATCCCGATCGAGGTCACGGCCACATACACGCTGCCCTTCCCAGCGGCGCCTGCCGCCCCCACGCCAGCGGCAGCGCCAAAGTATCGCCTCGTCGGCACCCAGTGGAGCCTCACGAACAGGGCGCCCATCGACAACGGCTTCGAAATCATCAGTGGCCCATTCACCCCCGGGGCCCCGAGCGGGGCGAGCGGGACGACCTTCACTGCCAGCAAGTTTGTTGTCGGCAGCACCGTCAGAGACCCCGGTGCCCCGTTCAAGGTGGACTCGGTGTTTCAGTGGTACATTGTGCGCGACGACACCGCGCACACGCTACTCGGCGCCAGCAAGGGGGCCGGCGGTATTAAGTCGCAGACATACCTGGAGCTCTACTTTATGTTCGGGCCGACGCACAACCTGCCATACTACTACGACAGCGAGTTCTTCCTCGACCTGAACCGGCTGGCGTACCTCGACTTCGCCAAGGTGGCGGGCAAGACGTGGGCCGAGGTCGAGGGCGACGTGCTCTTCAACGTGGTCAACAAGCTGTGGAAGCTCGGCGACCGCGGAAAGCCCGACATGTTGCCCCTGTTCTACGACTCGCGGGTGGGCGAGGGCGGCAGGCCGCACCATCTCAGAGGCCACACCATCGTGATGAGCACCTTCTTTACACGGAGCATCAAGTACGTCAACTGCTTCGACCTGGCCGCCGTGCTCAAGGTGGCGCTGCTGTCGCTGGGCACCAAGCCCCAGGGTACTACCGGGACCACCTTTGTGAACGTGATATCCGACGTCAAGATGTCGGTCGACACGCCGTGGGGGTACATCAAGTCGGGGCCGCTGTTCGGGTGGGAGCGGACGCAGGCGCACGAGTGCAACTCGCCGTTCTGGCAGGGGCCGGGCGGCACGTTGCCCAAGGTGGCCGACATGGACCCGCGGCGCACAAAGTTCTCGTGCCATTGCTACGTGACGTTCAGGAACGCGCAGGGCAAGACGTGTGCCGTCGACGCTTGCCACGGCGTCCTCGTTGGCGGCAGGGTCCAACTGGCCACGGGCCACCTCGAGATCGACGACCACCGCAAGGCCAACATTGACAAGGGGCCCGAGCCTGTTGGTACCCCGGTAGCTACAGGTATGTGCTTTCTCTCCTCCAGTATTTACTCTTGACTCGACATTGTGAATAGCCAAGTACTTGTACCATAATGATGATGAAGCAGCTGCTGACTTGACCGCAATCCAGAACAGGCCTTGACGAACATTCCCCAATCGTAGACCACCACCTGCTTGGTCCGCAACGTGCATTTCGCCAAACTTGTCCAATCTCGGTGCCATGCAGAGAAACCCGCTCGTTTCTCAAAATGACAGCACAACACAAGACAGACGAGTGTGTTGGCGTGATAACGAGGTATACAATACAGAAACGGGGAGGAATTTGCAGGACGAATTCCTATCAGCGGCGGCAATTGCATGCGACATATGGATGAATGCGCCGGAAAAGTGGGAGTGGTCGGGCGGAGAAGAAAAAAGACAATAAATAATGAAGAGAAAGCGAGAAAAAAAAGGTGCGGGGGGAAAGGGGACGTGAATCCGTCAAAGAGAGCTGCGCTCTTGGGAACCGAGTATCGCCCAGGTAGTAGAAAACTGTGTGATATATAGCGAGGGCTTTTTTGTTCTTGCATGCAAATACAATACAACCCTTTCGCTGCACGGGATGCAGCACATCCAGCCAGGTCCCCGTGATCTTTTTGTCCATCCGCAACTGGGGTCGGGCTTTAGGGTTAGGAGTAAGTGGCGAGAGAGACGACGACGACGACGGGCTTCTTTGGAGCTGAAAATTGTAGTGCAAAAAAAAAAAAGTTGCAGTTGCATATTGCAACTTGCAACCATCAATTTATTGGGGGACTTTATTGGTATCTAAGAATTGCAGTGTCACGTCGTCGGATCGAGTCCTCGCCAATAGCACTACCTGTACGTAGCTAGGAGGAAATACACTTTTACCGTGCGTGCACTGCGGAGGCATACTGAGTACGTATTAGTCGCTGAAAGTTAGCGCCACATCCCTGGGCGCGTTCTGAGCAAACCCCCGGGATGGCGCTGACGGGCAGGTAATAATGGGATCTAAGCGTCATGATGATGCCCACATCGCCACCGGTTTCAAACTCTATTCTCTCGTCCTCCTGAAACCGTCCGCCAACAGCAGCGCATCCCTAGATATATCCTTGTGTATATGCCATGGGGCTGGCCCCCCGTGCGGTGCACTCGCCCTTATACTTCTCAACGAATCTAATATCTTATCTTTAACGAGAACAAATAACATGACCTGCGAGATTAGGTAGGTACTTACAGCCGCATCGCTTGCCATATACGAACCCGCTCTTCTTGCAGACGAGGATATACTTTCCGCTTGCTATCGAAATTATCATCTGCAAGTAACTCATCGTCCTCGTCCGCTTTTCGTTGTCGCTCTTCATCGTCGTGTAACTTGACAGATTTACTGAGAACGATAACACGGCGTCGGGACATTTTGACGCGACTCGGGTGCTTTTGCTCAATGTCTGCGATAGCGAGAGTGCCAACAGGAGGGAGGCCCAGCTCCCCTTAAATAGACTGCGCCGCCGCCGCAACGGCGAAGCTGGCGAAACGGTCATCCTAACAGTGTGCTACGGTGTTTTCGTCTACCCTGCAGACAATTAAATCCCTAAATGTTTGTTGGCGTGGTACTTGGGCAGAATACATATTATAGCCTAGCAAACTGGTCAGGAAAAGCCTTGGGTGTTTTAAAGGAGAGATAGGTCTCTAAAATTCCTAAATGGAGATTCTAGTGGCTTTTATTCCCGTCGGCGGAAAACCTAGAGGGCGAGCTGTAAGGAATTAAGGCCTTTTCAAATCGTAGAAAGTCACTCGCTAACAAACGTTCAGAGATTAGAGTGTACAAACGTATCCGTACCTACATTAGGGGTGTTTCTTTATTGGCTTTCCGGCATGCTATACTGCACGCTCGCTCTCGACGTGACGTGAGCTGCCCGCCTTCTCACGTGCGGCTGGAGAGCCTCGGAACATGCTGTGTGACTTGGCTGGCGAGGGTGACCCAGAGTCGAGGGCCGAGTCGAGGGAGTCTGCCAATTCCCGTGCTAAACCCTCCTTTCTACCGAGTCGATACGCGCTCTCCATGTCTGTCTGTCGGTTAAGGGGCTCTAGGGTTAAGCACATGCCGAATACCGGTTTGCACATGAATGAAGCTGTTACCGTCCGTGGTGCATACGGCTCAAGGGGTAGTACTGTACAGCAGCAGCAGCAACAGAGGGCAGTGTGACTGATTATTAATTGGCATGTATACACGGAGAAATAAGGTCTGTCTACTCCCGAGAAGTGAAGTGAGTGCTGAGAGCGCAACAAACAAACACACTGGAGCTGCCCAAGCTAGCTAACTAATGTGACCCCTTACTTGGGCTCGGAGATCAAAGGGAATGAGGGAAAGAAGAAAAAGGAACTCGACGAGTTACGTCGTCAGTCAGGGACTCTGATTGCCGTCGTCTGAGTGGGCGACGATGCACGTCTCGACCCTCACCACTCCCCCACCATTACTACTGCCGCTTTGAGCCCCTTCTCCGGCCTCGGCCTTGCTGTTTCTGCCTGCTACCTCGGGCTCGATGGCTCCCTTGTTGTCCTTTTCCCCTGAGCTGCGCGACCACACCTTCGTGTCGACGCTCGGCAACACCGGGCTGAGCGGCCAGTCACCGCTACCGCTGCCGGTTTCGCTTGCACTTGTTCGGCCGGTATTACTTGCCCGCTTGGTCTTGTTCCACGGCAGAAACGGGTTCCCAATGGCCGTGCGGAAGATGGAGTGGTCCCGGACGCGCTGCTGCTGCTGCTGCTTGGGAGCTACGTGCGCAAGAGCGCCGAGGCTTGCCATGTCTGGCCAGGGGTTGCTGTTGTTTGCGCCATCGTCATTGTTGTCATCGCGAGAGGCTGAACCACCAGCGGCGGCCTGCGTGTGGCTGTGCGACAGGTGCTCGTAGGTTGGCAGTATGGTGCCCTTGCGAGAGCTGTTGCTCCCGCTGCCACTGTTGCTAGCGCTGTTGCTGTTGCTAGCGCTGTTGCTGTTGCTATTGCTATTTCCACCAGAGTCAGCATCGTTTCACATCAAGAAGTCGTTGCGTGGGGAGTTTCTTACCTGGTCTTCGTGCCGCCGCCGCCTGTGCTGCGCAGAGACGGCCGCCACCAGGAAGACCCCGGCCAGTTGCGCGAGCCGTCGGCACCGCGCCTGCTGCTGCTGCTGCCGGGGTGGTACTCGTTGTGGAGGCCGGGGAAGAAGCGGCCCAGCCCCAGGGCGAGCAGGTACCTGCGGTACTGGTTGAAGGCCTCGGGGGTGGTGCCGAAGGTGCCGAAGATGGCCAGCGACGTGAGGGCGGGGACGTAGTTGATGAGCAGCTCGTTGTACGTCAGCAGGTCCGACGTGGTGAAGGTGACCGAGTGCATGTTGAACGGGGCCGGGCCGTGGTGGATGGCGTCGTAGTCGTACGCGGCTGTCCACGGCATGCCCAGGCGCAGGTTGAAGACGAACAGGATCAGCACCAGCGGCAGCATGACCACGAGGATGCTGATGGTCACAAAGTACAGCTTGGTCCGCACCCGCAGCTGCCGCGCCGATGCCTCGCTGCTCTGCGACCGTATCACCTCGCGCGTCGTCTTCTCGATCTTTCGGTACCGCACAAACGTTAAGACTGCCGGACAACTATCTAGTCAGCTAAAGCACGGATAAGAAAACACAAGACAGAAAGACAAGAAAACTCACCGGCCAATGCGGATGCCCCTATCGTGACGAACACGGGCGGCAGCACAAAAAAGACCAGAAACACCCAGTCGGGGTCGTAGAAGGCGGTGCACCCGATCAGGGGCGAGACGTTGTAGCGGATAAGGATAACAAAAAATGTGAGGGTAACCTGCAGCAGCGGGCAGGCGAAGATGACGGCGGCCGAGACGAGGCCATGGCGGCGGCGCTCGCGGGGGGTCAGGCTCGTAACCCGCTGCAGGGCGACCTTGGCGGCGAGGCCGCGCATGATCTCGAAGAGCGCGGCGTGGAAGGCCATGTTGAGCGGGAAGTAGATGTAGGTCTGGACGTCACACCAGCCGTCGCCGGCCCACCACTCGGCGACGTTGTTGTCGCGCCAGATCAGCGCGTTGACCACATATATCGTGTTGAGCACCATGGACACGACGCAGAACACGGTGGCCGCGAACTCGCCACTGCGCCACAGCAGCCGTGCTGGCGTCGCCGTGATGGCCACGCCGAGGACCCCCAGGAACACGCGGAAGAACAGGTTGACCTGCAGCGACGGCGTCGTGTACGGCGGGCCCGGCCCGATGCGCACCTCGGGCGTCGTGGTGAAGCCCAGCCGGGCCGTCATCGCGAGGTACCCCGAGGCGTTGAGCGAAAGGGAGTCCATGTTTGAGGGCAAGGATGATGACTCTAGAGTCGGTCAGGGTCAGGAGAGAAAGGTGGCCTTTGAAAGAAGATATCAACGGACGGCAGATGGAAAAGAGTGATAATGTGCTGGCGAGACTGAAAAGACACTGGCTAGTCGGGGAGATACACTCGACAAAGTCCGTGAAGAGTGAAGGGTCGAAGTGCAGAAAGAAGAAGAAGAGGAGGAGGAAGAAGAGGAGGAGGAAGAAGAGGAGGAGGAAGAAGAGGAGGAGGAAGAAGAGGAGGAGGAAGAAGAAGCAGGCGCAGTAGAGACCGACGGCGAGTGTAAAGAGCAGAGAACCACCAATCGGTGGCAGCAGGCAGGTAATAAGTAGTAGGGCTCGCCATGCTCTATTGATGTGTTTGAAGCTGCTCTGGCAGAGGTAGGTGGTGGTGCTCAATTGGGACGGGCGGGCGAGCGAGCTCAGGGGCTTGTTTATTGAGGTTCTATTCAGACCCCAAAAGGGTAAGGAGGCTCCACCAACAATAGAGCACTCAAAGTCTCAAACACACTCCTGCTTCGCTTCGCCGGCCACCACCACAAAGACGGGACCGCACACATGGGATGAAAACTCGTATGAATGCAATCTGAGAGCCCTCTGATTTCGGACGGACGGTTCGAGATGTGATGCATCGCAATGTCTGGCCCCGGCGAGACTCTTTAATTCGGCCTTTGCCTGCCCTGTATTCCTAATGTAGGTAAATCCGTAAAACACACCCCTTGGGCCCATTCCCCCTGGGTTCACAGCACCGCCAACTCAACGTCACACGCACCCATCCTCAGACGCACACATCACACATTAAATCTTGCGAGATATCCTAGTCATTTTAACTTGACGGAAAAGAGATTTTCTGAGGAATTGCTACTGAAAGAAAGATACGGAATACTGCATAATACAACGCATCGCAGCAAAAGTAGCCCTCCCGCCCCCGTGTACCACAATCTTGGGGCTTCGTACAAATCAACCTGATTACTTCCAATTGGGTATAAGCTTTGCCATCCACTCGGCCGCACCTTCGTGCTTTTCGTCGTTTACTCGTTTGCCCACCGGGAAAAGGACCTCGTCCTCTCCCTAAGATCTGACCGCTGCTGTCGCAGGAGTGATGACACTCGGCTTCACTTTGCTGTTCGGCACTGCGCTGCCATTCAGGGCATATTTGTTTTGTCCCGTGGGAGCGCCCAGGCCAGGCTGGCTGCTTGCGGCGTGCGCCTTGCGCGTGACACGCGGGGCGCTTGGGATGTCGCGGCTCTTCGCCGCCTTGCCGATAGAGAAGACGGGACTCTCCCAACGGTCACCCTTGCGGGCGAGCTCCTTGTACTCAGTGGCCTTGGAGCTGATGCCGCCCGGCAGATGGATGTTGGGGAAGATGCTGTCTTCCTTAGTGATGGCATAGTTGACCTTCTTATCCGCCACCGCACCTTGCGCCTTCTGCTTGCCTAGGAGTATCTGCTTCTGGGCTGCCGAGACGTAGCGGCTGTAGATGTTGGGTACCTGTTCAGGGTCCTCGCGGGCCTCATCAAGCGCCCGATCGGCTTCAAGCTTGATGTTGTACATCATGGTGTCGAGCTTCTTGGCCTGGTCACGGATCGCCTTCTCGAGCGCCTTCTGAAGACCGGGACGCAAGACCTTGAGCATCAGAGGCTTGAAAAGATTGAACAGCAGCTTGTGGCTGGACTTGACGAGCTTAATGTGGAGATGGTTGACATCCACGTCCACCTTGTCAATCTTGAAGAAGTTCTGCGAGTCCCTCTCATCGGCCGTGGCCATCTTCATGCGGAAGGTGAAGCCTTCCCCAGCTAGGAGGATGTTGGCAACGCCAGTGTCGGTCAACGAGGGGAAGCCCTGCTTGCGCTTGATGTAGTAGCTGACGTCGCGCAGATCCATCTGGATGCCTGCCACCTTGACATCAATCGAGTGTTTATTCTTGTTTGCTAGATTCTTGCGCCCAAAGCGCATGTAGTTCTCGCTAGCAATTTCGAGCACATTGGGCATGAAGTTGTCACTCTCGAGTACGAGATTCTCGATAATGGCGTCAAACTGGGGATCCGAGTACTCGATGCGCGGGACCGGAATATAGGCCACATTCTCGAAGACGGCGGGAATGATGACTTCTGTTAGATCCTTGATGAGATGGGGCTTGAACGTCGGCTTGCCGTTCTCATCGTTGCCCAGATCCGTGAATAGCTTGGTAAGTGATTGGCCAAACGCCGTGTTCTGCGGGTCCTGATCGAACTGATCGGCCACGAACTTGATCTCGTCTACGATGCGGTCCGTGTGGGCACGGTATTTGTTACGCAGAAGGTAGTTGCCATGGTCATAGAGCCGGTTCCACTCTTCGTTGGAGGCGTCGTCCAGGATGTAACCCTGCTCCTGAAGGCATCGCCTGACGTAGCGGTTCATCGACTTGAACCAGTTGCGCAGCTCCTCGTCTTTGTCCGAGTCCTCGTAAATCGTATTGATCGAGGCCCAAAGATCATCAGTCGAGGTGCCGTTGGCGAACCGCTCAATCAACGTCTAGAAATTGTTAGCGTTGGTCGGTAGTGATGGTTTGGCAGCACGTCGCCCTTAAAAAACATACCTTGAGGTCACCTTCGGCCTGGGCAAGACCGGAGCGCGCGTCCTGCACGGTACCCGAACCGCCCTTGGCTAGCCGGTTCGCGTGAGAACCGTACTCCTCGGCTAGATCGAGCAGTGTCTTAATAGCTCGATTGTAATCGGGATGCTGCTGGCATTCGAGGACCATTTTCTGAACCACACTGTTAACGTAATCACCACAAATAAGGGCATGCTAGAGCGTACCTTGAGGCGCCAGACGGTCTGGTCACGGCGTTCCTGAGGCATCTTTTTAGAGAAATAGGCCTTGGTGCGGGCCCGATACTCGTCGGCCTTGGTTCGTGCCTTCTCCTTGGTCTCGTCGTCAAGGTTGGTTTCCACACGGCGCTTTGCGGTGTCGGCGGCAGCATAAGCACTGCCCTGGGTGTCGACTCCTGATGAAGCTCCGATCTGACGATCCTGAGCCGCAGCAGATGCTAGGTCCCGAGGGTCCGATGATCCCGAGGGGTGGGCGGCTGACGTGCCTTCGTTGACGATGGCCTTGGCATCTTCCTTGGGGTTGCCCTTGTATACCCTTTGAACCTTGCTCTTCATGGTTTCCTTGGACTTTTGAAAGTCGGGAGCTTCGTGCCATGTGTTGTCCTCGGCAGGTTTGTCGATCTGGGAAAGATCTTCGTTTGAGGGCTTGACGCGAGCGGCGGCATTAGTTGCGGCATCGCCCGCCATGTCACGAATGAGGATGGTGGCATCCTTGACTATTAGAAGTTAGCGTCGTATCTAACACAAACATAGAGATATAAGAGGAGCGGGGATGCATACGCAACTTTCGGAACTGGCCGTTAGTGATGATCAGGGTGCCCAGCGTGCGGAGCCCCTCGAGCGCCTGGTTGCCATGCTGCTGGGCCGTCTCCTTATCGACGGGAGCTCCGGGAACCGAAACAACTTTGGTGTCAAACTGCTGGGTTTGCCAAATGAAGTCCTGGAGCAGGTTGCCCTCATTCTTGGATAGGAGTAGGTGTTTGGCCTGCTTGACAACATCTCTTACGTCGGCTACGAGCGCCTTGCCTTCAGTGGAGAGCTTGTCCGAGGGGCTCGCGAGTGCCTTAGACTCGAGGAAGCTGTTCAGGGCGACATCGATCTGGTCGTTCTGCGGAGCCAGTTAGCCACCTGCCATGTGATGTGCTGTGCAGCAAGGACATGGACATTAGGTGAAACCTACCGAAGGAACCTTGCCGTTCTGGAATGCATTGACGATGCCGTAGATTTGGAGTTTGCGGTTGACATCCGCCTCCTTCTGTTTGATGTCTGTGGGTTTGTTCACGTTGTGGGATCCGGTGGTAGCCATCGTGACGTGAGTACCTGCTCGTCCTGGGGGGACGCGCACACTGGAGATGGGAGCAGGCACACGGGATAAGGGGGTTGGGTGGTTGTGGTGGTTGGATTATTAGGATGGAGGTGTGGGTATCACAAAACAAGTGTGCTGTCGGAGAGATGGGGCGTTTTTTGTCGGTTCACGGCCCTGCTTGAAAGATATTAAAGCCCTTTCAAAGCGAAAGCCAAAGCGAAAGCAATGGGCCGGTGTCTAGATTGAGGAGAGTAGTAGTGTAAGGTGGGTGGGGGGATTTGAGGACGTGACTCGGAGGCCCGAGACAGTTCGTTTATAGATTAATGTAGCAAGCTGAGGTAGCTGGCCGGGTCATGTCCCCTCTGGAGATGACGTGGGACTGGCAATCGTTACTATATGGTAAAAGATGGATTGCGTCATAGGGAAGGCGCGAACACACATACAAAGCTGCCTTGAATCGTCCCCCATATGCCCACGCTGTGCAGCATAAGTTCGGGGAAGAGCACCTAGATGGGAAGAATGAGATTGGATCATTTCTATAGACAGCTTAGGAACACGGCAGGGGGCTGGCCGGAGCTGGCCACTGGCTACGGGACGATCGCCCAAAGCAGGGAGCAAGCTCCCGGAACCACCAAGACTTCCCAAGACCCAAGATGGATGTCCTACTTAATGCATGCGTCACAGCTCTGTCGTCGCCCGTTGCTCTCTGGGATGGCTTTGTTGTCGTCCAAACAAAGACGATGGGCCCTCACACTCTTTGGGTCCAGATAGCAGACTATCATGCCCCTGTGTAGTTACGCAGCTTGCGCAACCCTTTCCCCGAGAGCGTTGGTAACTACTACCAGTAGTATGGCCAGCCGGGAATCGTCAGGGCAGGCACCCTGGCGCGTTGACCGATCGTGGCTGCCGCTTGGGGGGGATGAGGGCTTGGCCGTCGTCGGAATTGTGCACTACACACAAGCCTGACTTGAGCTAGAGGAGAAGGTGGGAACAGCTACTCGCGCAGCAGCAGCGCAGTGTCAGTGTCAGTGTCAGTGTTGGACAACAGCACAAGGGGGAAATTGTGCTGTGGTGCCTGTAAACCGAAAGCGCAACACGATCTATGACGTCAATTAGCGGGACTAGTTTCCCGTGGCTCGACGCTAGCAGGTTCTGACGTTTTGGGCGCCCCCGGATACAAACTCATGTGGAGGACTCGGAGGCCAGTTGGGCCAGCCACAACTGCCCGCTGGAACAGAGTAAAACAAGCGAAGATCTGGGACCTGGCTCGCACTGGCACAACCACGACTTGCAGCTTACCGGAGCAGACGCTCCATTGTGCGTGCAATCTGTAAGGCTGCAAGATGAGCAGCAGCCCGCTCGATTTATTATCGTTCAAGCCTTTCAACAAACAATCGGCTGAAATGAGTGTGATGTAGGTGGCTAATGCACAAATATATAGATGGAGAATGCGCCACCTACTGCGTAGCGCAAGTACGGCGTGCCGAGGGCGATAGTAACAGTATTGGCGTCTGCGTCTCATTATGAGCTCCTACTACTGTAATGTAATCCACACACATAACCCTAACCCTGGCCAACCGCTTGGCCTACGGTGGAATATAATTAGTCTGTTGCCTGCGAAGCCCTGACTCGAAGATCCTTGTGGTTGCCGTACTAGAAGCAACAGACTGGCAGGGCTGCCTGCAGCAGGGTTGTCAATTAGGGTAGTCAGGGCAGTCAGGGGAGTTGAAGACTCCCGAGAAAATACGCAATTACCGTATTTGGAAGTATTTAGAAGTTAGCGACTGCGTTGCCAGCGCTTAGAGCGGGTAATTTTCGCCGTAAAATGTGGTATTTTCCTCGGCGGTGAGCTGTAAAAAAGCCTTGGCGTCGATGTACCTACAGGCGCACTGGCTGCGATCTTGGCAACGGAACGCTTTCTGCAGCGGTCACGTGGTGTGGTGGTGGCCTGAGTTGAAGATGTGGAGCCTATTCCTCAGCGATCTTATCGTCCAAACAAAGCACTCCGCAACTGCAAAGCTGGAGAAAAGGAGTCACATGATCTCAATGGCGAGGATGGCTGGGCTTTGGGGCGTGGTGGCCCCACTGTGCAGTGGCACACAACGACAAGCCGCGTTTGCGCCTTGCAGCAGGAGTGGAGGGAGGGAGAGAGAACGGTCTCCGCTTTTCGCGAATTACCCCTGAGGAGAAAGACTTGGTTGCGCAACAACGCAACTTTGGCTTCTATTATACTTACCACCTAGTTTTTATTAACCGCATATCGCCAAACCTAGCGGACATATCTTGCCATGGTTACACCTACAAACGCGCCTCCCAACGTATTCCTTGGCAATAGCATTTACGGATACTTGTCCTGTTATAGTATAGGCACGGGTTGCGCGTGCGCAACCGATCAACCAACTACGCTCCCTAGTCCTGTGGGCAAAAGCCCCTCCGGCTAGTCCCGTCCCTGCGCCCGCGCCCGCGCCCGCGCCCGCGCCGAGTCACGAAAACACGGGGAAAAATGAGCATTTTCAACCAGAAATCCAAGTTCAAGGTCAAAGCCGACATCCGCGCCGTGCGGCAGGCCGTCGAACCGGCAGGCCGACCAAAGCCTAAGCAGCAGCAGCAGCTTTCCGCAGCCGGCGCGAGCGGGAGCCGAGGACGCGCATCGCCGTCGGGCGGGGGCGGCGGCAGCGGCAGCGGCAGCACCCCGCGGGCGTCGCCCAGGCCCGGGTCCATCGCAGCGGCTCGGCAGCGGCACAGGCTGCAGAGCGCATCGCCGCTCCCGCCGTCGGGCGACGAGGGGGGGAACAGTCGCAAGAGGCACGCCGTGTCTAGCCGGTCGCCCGCGAGCCCCAACTTCTCCGAGTCGGGCGACGATGAGGAGGAGGACGACTGGGAAGAGAGCCTCGATGCGCGCAAGCGGAGCAAGCGCGTCCACCAGTCGCGCGCGGACCCGAACCGGTCCTTTGCGCATCCGAAGCTCTGGGCGGGCGGCGACGAGAACACGGAGCGCCTCCCGATACTGCACGCCAACGACGTCGCGTCGCTAGAGCAAAAGTGCCAGCCTGCTCTCGGGCTCGCGCAGGAAGACGTCGTCATAAAATTGCAATATCCGGGGGCCAGGTATCCAGAACGGTAAGCTATCCCCGGTGACATTTCGGTATTGGGGGGAGCTCACTAACAGTGCCCCGCTTTTAGTTACGAACTAGTATGGGGAAAGGACAAAATCGAGGCAGTTAAGGACATCGTGAAAGTTGTAAATTTTGTGGCTTCAATCTATCTGAACGACGAGGACGCCAAGCCATTTCTAGACCAAAGTACCGGCATCTGCCGCCGGTTGGAAAAGAGCAGGAACACAAAAGACGGCGCTGGGTTCAAGGTGGCAGTCAAGGAATACAACGAACGCCTTATGGGCCTTCAGCGAAAGGGTGTCATTGCGAAGAACCTAGGCGATCTGAGTGGGATCCTCCGCGAACTCATTGCCTTCATTCTTGACCAAATATATGACCGCACCGTTGCGCCAAACGTCGAGCTGCTCTCCAAATACGAAAATGGCACCGACAACGTATACGGCGAGCTGCTCCATCCTTTCATCTCTGACATACTCGAGCGGGCCGGTTTGACGTCTGACAAGGTTTTCGTCGACCTCGGCTCGGGTGTCGGAAACGTCGTGCTTCAAGCCGCGCTGGAAACAGGGGCCGAGAGCTGGGGTTGTGAGATGATGGAGAACGCCTGCAACCTTGCGGATGCTCAGAAACAGGAGTTCTTGGTCCGGTGTCGTCTCTGGGGCCTCGACCACGGGAGCGTGCACCTCGAAAGGGGTGACTTTCGGAAAAGCGAGAAGACACTGGCGGCTCTGAAAAGGGCCGACGTGGTACTAGTGAATAACCAGGCCTTTACAGCGCAGCTCAACGACAACCTCGTCAACATGTTCCTGGACTTGAAGCCTGGCTGCAAGATAATATCTCTCAAGACGTTTGTCCACGACAACAAAAATGCCGAGAATGACGTTGCGACATCGATTCTCGATGTCGAGCATTTGACGTATCCCGAGGAATACGTCAGCTGGACAAACGCGTCCGGCACCTTTTGCATCTCGACGAGGAAGGGCTAGCCTGGAGATTATGGGGAGTCCGGTATTAGCGGCTGAATGAGTATCGAGTGTTGCGCTTGTAGGCGCTGGTCCGGCGGCCTCAGCGCTGGGGGGTTTAGTGTTTTTTCTTCATGATTACGGGGAAGCGGAACTGAGGAGTTTGTCTATTCATGTAACTGTATTTTCAGCAGCCTGGCATGGGACCGAAAAGGCGATCCGGAGCGGAATCGCGAGCTTGTATATACGTACCTTGTCCAGAATACCCTGTGGGAATTGAATCTTGAGGATTATGTGGCCTTTACCGATTTGTCGAGCGTATCTGAATCGCTATGATTTCCCAGCGAAGCCAAAGCCGGGGATGCCGTGTTACTAGGCCCTACCGTTTCTCGAGTAGGGCTCGTTGGCTCTATTCATGGCATCAGCCTCTTGGCTGACTCGTTGTATGTAGCGCTCGACGAGCTGCTTGTTCTCGACCTCCTTGTCTCGGCGCCGCTTCTCCTCCATGTCGAGCTGCATGTTCAACACAGCTAGCTCGTCCTGCACGTCTGCTACCAGTTTGTTCTTGACTCGCAGTTCTTCTTCCCGGTCTCGAAGCTTGATGGTCAGCGTCCGACGCTCGGCAGTTAGATCCCGAATCATCTTTGCGTCGGCAGCGGTCCTGGTCCGTAACCGCACTAGTTCTTCCTCGGCGGCCTGTAGGCGATTCTGGAACTGGCCTTTCCCACGAAGAGCCTCTGCTAGATCAAACCGAAGCCGGGCATCGCTAGCAGTATGGACATCAGGCGTTGGGGACCCAGCAGTGCCCTTGCTGCCTAATGGAGACGTCTCTGAGAGCGCCTGGAGGGCTGCCTTTTCTGCCTCGAGGGAGGATACACGGTCCACGAGATGGGAACCTGTGGGCGGGTGGGCCATTGAAGGTTAGCAAAACCGAGCGATCCTCCTGCGTCATCGGGATGGAGTGGGGGAACCGACAGGCGTCGATAATCTCGCGGCTGGCGGGGTTCTGCTGTCGCTCGGCATCGCGGATGCCCTTCAGAAACTCGTCTCGCCAGCCTGACATGGTGCTGCAATTCTGATTTGAGATGGGAAGGTAGATGAGAAGGTCAAGGTGTCGAGAGTGGGCGGATATGATGTTCGCAACAAACTTAGCCAGACAGCTGTAGACCGAAAGTCAAGTTGGGTCCTCAGTGCGGCCACAAGCCCACGATCGTTTGTCAGAGGGTTTCAAGGTGCAGGTGGACTGGGCTATCGGGCGGGGTCTGTGCTGTGCTGTGCGCTAAGTTCCAGGTTGTCATCAGCTGACAGGGGTTGTCCAAGGTGCCCAGATCCACCTGGCACAGGCAGCTCGAGGCCAGCACTGCGATTCCGCAACACCATGGGGACCTGACAAGGAAGACAATGGACGTCGCTCACCCCACGGCAGGCTGGGAGCAACTTGGCGGACGCTTCTACCGCAAGATCCAACTATACACGCAGGTTTTTGACCAGGACCGCGACCTCGACAACTACCTTGTCGCGGGGGCGCAATACGGCGGGGCGATAGGTGGGTGGCTGCTGTTGTTTTCCGCCCGTTCAAGCTCTGCTCTGCTCTAGCTATGCTTCGAGGCAGCTAGCTAGCTAGCTGAACTTGTGCTCTAGCCCTCACGCGCTGACCTGGGCCGTCTGCAGCGCTGTATCGCGATGAGGAAAAGCTCGTCGCCTTCCATCCGGCAAGGTCCACCAAGCCCAGCATAGAAATCTACAGCTGCGCCGGCAAGCCAATCCGCAGCATCCCCTGGGACAAAGGCTCCATCCGGGGCCTCGGCTGGTCCGAGGACGAGAAGCTGCTGGTGGTGACAGCGGACGGCACCGTCAGATGCTACTACGACCTCCAGGGAGATTTTACCCAGTTTTCTCTCGGCAATGGCGCCGACGATGTTGGTGTCAGCTCTTGCCGCTTCTACGGCCACGGGCTGGTCGCGCTGTTGTCAAACAATGCTCTTGTTTCGGTCTCGTCGCTGGACGAGCCGCGCCCGAAGCTCCTGGCGTCGCCCCCCGAGGGCAAGGTTCACGCGTGGACCTTGATCCCGCCTGCGTATACCCTATCGCGCTCCGTCGAGGTCCTCTTGAGCATCGAGCAGACCGTCTACTTGTCCGACGCCACCGAGTGCGAGGACCGCTTCCTAGACATCGGCCCCTTCACCCACATCGCTGTCTCGCCCAACGGCAAGTTTGCCGCATTGTACACAGCCTCGGGTCAGGCACATGTCATTACGAGCGATTTCCAGAACCGCCTGAGCGAGCACGATTCTAAATCTAAGATCGTCCCAAAGTACTTTGAATGGTGCGGCAACGATGCCGTCGTAACCGCGTGGGAGGACGAAGTCCATCTTGTCGGTCCTGCCGGGTCGCTGGCCAAGTTTTATTACGACAATGGCCGGGTCCATATTGTCCCAGGTGAATAGTTGTCTTAATGTTGGTAACTGCGTCACGCCTCGCTGACATGCCCCCAAGACTTTGATGGAGTTCGCATCATCTCCAACGACACGTGCGACTTTCTGCAGAAGGTCCCCGATGTCATTGAAGACGTCTTCCGCCTCGGTACAGACTCGCCGGCATCCATACTCCTGGATGCCGTCGAGCAGCTCGAGATGCAGTCGCCAAAGGCTGATGACAACATCCAGCTGATCCGATCCCACTTAGTTGAGGCGGTCGATACGTGCGTGAACGCTGCGGGCCATGAATTCAACATACACTGGCAAAAGCAGCTCCTCAAAGCTGCCTCGTTTGGCAAATCGGTGCTTGACATCTACAACAGCGACGACTTTGTCGATATGTGTGAAACTCTGCGCGTCCTCAATGCCATCCGCTTCTACCAGGTAGGCCTTCCGTTGTCGTATGAGCAGTTCCAGCACCTCTCACCCTCAGCGCTCATTACGCGTCTACTCAACCGCCACGAGTACCTGCTGGCCCTCCGGATAGCCGGATACCTGCGCCTGCCCACAGATAAGATCTATGTGCACTGGGCTTCCGCAAAGGTCCGTGTCGGTGCCGAGGACGATGACGCCATCTGCCGCAAGGTGGTTGAGAAGCTCTCGGGGAAGCCGGGCATTTCCTTCGAGGCTATTGCCCGTGCCGCTTACGACGAAGGAAGGGGCCGGCTAGCTACGGAGCTCCTGAACCACGAACCGCGCGCCGGCCGCCAGGTGCCGCTGCTGCTTAGCATGGAGGAGGACGAGGTTGCTCTAGACAAGGCTATCGAGAGTGGTGATACGGACTTGGTGTACTTTGTGCTGCACCAGCTCAAGCGCAAGCTGCCGCTCGTAGCGTTTTTCCGTGTCATCAACGCTCGACCCACAGCCACGGCACTAGTAGAGGCGTCGGCGCGCCTCAGCGACGAAGATGACCGCGAGGACACGGCACTGCTCAAAGATCTGTACTACCAGGATGACCGCCGGCTGGATGGGGCCTCTGTGTTTGTCCGCGAGGCGCTACGCCAGTCTGACAGCCGGACCGCGGTCGACAAACTAGCGCTCGCTGCTAAGCTTCTCACTGATAACGCCAAAGAAAACACATTTGAGTTGAGCGCGCTCAAGGAGGCAGCTACGTTGCTCCGCATGCAGGAGGCCTTTGACCGTGATCTGACTGACACCTTCACGGGGCTGTCGGTCAACCAAACCATATTCAAGCTAATACGGCTCGGCTACCACGGGCGAGCCAAGAAGATCCATAGCGAGTTCAAGGTGCCGGAAAAGGTCGTCTGGTGGATTCGGTAAGCATATGCCCGATATTTCTACAGAGCCACCGCTGACCAGACAACATAAAAGGCTGCAGGCACTTGTGGCCAAGAGAGACTGGAACGAAATTGAGGAGGTGTCGCGGACGCGAAAGAGCCCCATCGGCTGGGAGGTACGAGAAGCAAATCACCAAGCTGCACCCGAACTTGCTAACCGAATCGCGCGCAGCCATTTTACAGCCAGACATTGCAGGCGGGTAATCCACGACTGGCCGCCCTTTTCATCCCAAAATGCACGGGACTCGAAGTCGGACAGGCCATCACCATGTACGAGAAGTGCGGCATGCGTGTCAAGGCAGCAGAGGAGGCGGTCAAGATCAAGGACGCCGAAGCGTGGAGCAAGCTTCTCGAAGCAGCGGGTAGGGACACTCAAGAGGGGCGCGAGATTGAGCGCCTTGGGCAAGCGTTTAGGAGATGAATAGCTCGTGCGCTTCATCTGGGCTGTGAGGCATATATTGGTACTAGTGCACATAACAAGGTATGTCTTATATTTAATTCAGAGTATGTTGCTCAACATTTTGCTTCGTGGCACGTTTAATATGTCATACCAAGTACTGATGATTGACGATAACTAGAGTACGTAGAAATGTATTTATCTCACCCCACTCCGCGTATTGAGTCACAAGCAGCAGAGTTCGGTTGAACCAAGTTTTTTCCATTAAACAAGGTGAAAAAATCATATCCACCTTATGCTTAAGATATATAAACCTACCGCTGGCTCTGGCGAGGCCGTTGGACATACAACAAAACCTTGCTCGAGAGTTCGCCTTTCCTTCACACATCATTTCCTATCATCCTACTCCCACTCCTACGGCTCAGATCGACGAGGCCAGGAGAGAGTAACGCATCAAATGGATGGACAGCGTGGTCCTTGAGATATGATTTGATACCCAGCTATCCTACCATACCTACCAACATTCCCTACCTTCCCTACCTTCTCTTCCCTACCTTACCCTATCTACCTACCTACCTCGCCTTGCAATAGAGAGAAAGACATGACCGCAACCTGGAACCCACAACTAGCCGCAGCCACCTACCCGCCCACCCTCTCTCCCAAGTGCTTCCTAGCTGTCCGCGTGCGTTGAGCGTATATTTCGAGGGTGGTTATAAAGGAAGAGATTAACCAAAAAGTCATGACATACGAGAAACAAAGAGGAAAAAGCTAGATAAAGTGCATCGCAAACATCCTCCTTCCCCCCCCACCCCCCGCCCATCAAACAACCAACGCAAAAACACACTCGCTGCATATAATACGCAAAAGGGTCCCGTGTCTGTCTCTCTCGCAATGCTGAAGTAGGCCCGTAACCAAAAGAGAGAGGTGGGGGGAAATGTAGAAAGAGAAAGGATAAAAAGGCGAACCCCTCTCCCCCGTCTCTTCTTATTCTTCCCTCAAACGAAATAGCCAACTCCGTTTTGATGCGCCCTAGGTTATACAAATCTCGTCGAGTGAGAGGGGAAACCCACTCCAAGAACCAATCACACTGCCCCCGCCTTCTCGCCAGCAATGCATGCTCACTAGTACTAGAAGGACCAAAATCAACATGCTACTGCCTGCCCCATGGGGTAAAAAAAAGAAGACAGGAAATAGGAAAGAAGCACGCCAGCCTATTGGATGTCGTCTTCCTCAGCACGACGAGCGGCGATAGCAGCCTCGAGACTGTCAATTCTGACTAGGCCACCTCCGCCTCCGCTACCAGTTTCGCTTGCAGGAGCTCCGTCTAGCCGCAGGCGGACGCCGCTACCGTCAAAGACCCACGGCCCGGCGTCGTTTCGCGGCGTTATGGGGCCTTCGTGACTGTTAAGGATAGGAGCTCCCGTAGGGGATGGGGTGCGAATGTCCCTCCGACCGTCACCGCCGGTCGAGATATTGGTAGGGCTCGATACTGCACGCTGGCCTGCCGCGCCGCCTGACGGAATTGGCATGGGGTTAGATGTAGTGTGCGATATTACAGGCCGACCAGAAACCGAGCGGTTGCTAATACTGCTGCCGCTGCTGCTTCTTTCGCCGCTTTCGAGGAAACCCGGCGCAGTATCCGCCTGGGTCACGGCCTGCGTTGCGGCCTGGGGCAGCTGGGGAGCGTCCAAAAGCATGGTGATGTCTCCGGTCTCCGGTTCCTGGGAAGGACGCGACTGTGACGGGAATGGGTGGCGGGCGCTGCGGACCGACTCCCTTGACCTACGCGGAGGCGCTAGGGCTGATGGGCTGTCCGAGGCGGGCTGCGGCTGCAGAAGTGTTCCCTCTGGTGGATGCTCGCCCTCGTCCGAGTCGAGCTGCTCCCACTCCTCGGGGTCCTCGACTTCGGCCTCGAGATCGGCGGCGGCGCGGCAGTTGGGGCAGATGAAAATCGGATAAGACGGCGAGGATAGCAGAGAGCGAATGCACTTGTAGTGCCATGTATGTGAACAGGGGGCAACAAACAGACACTGGCAGGGCTGTGGTACTACTAATCAGATATGACGGGCCTTGCAGACTGCCCCGGACCACGGAAGTGACATACCGCGATGCTATTAAGACATATCGAGCAATCCTGCGAGTACGACTGCGCAGACGAGTTATTCCCCGAGCTGGCGGTCATGTTGCGTAGCCTCTTGTGGGTTGTCATACTGAGAACGGGTAAGGAGCAGGACATGGAAGTTGAAGGGATTGCTGTGGACTTACTTGAACGTGTTTAACTTGTTCTGCCAGCCGCGATTTAGCTCGAGCCGCATCTTGACGCAGCGAAAAATCATCTCCTCGCCCCCTTTGAAGTCTATGCCCAGCTGCACGATGTCGCCGTCGTTGACTGGGAACGGTTTTGACTCGGTGCCGGGGGGACTGAGGCGGATGTGGTTCAGGAAGGTGCCCGAGCTGCTTTTAACGTCCCTGATATACCACTTGGCGTCTTCATACCAAAATTCGCAGTGCCTCCGGCTGACAACCTTGCTCTTGAACCCGACCGGAGCGGCCGACGGCACGTTAGGCGGCACATTAGGCTGGCTATCGCGTTCCGAATACCTCCCGACACGGATCACCTCGGAGCCCGAGGGCAGAGTGCGCGAGACGGGCGTGAATGTGAGCGAGGGCCGCGTTGCGCGCGGGTCGTAGAATGTGCTGAAGCGGATTGAAGGTAGAGCGTCCATAGTGCCGTCATGTCTGGCCATGGCGTCGCCCGTAGTGGCGGACCGTGCCCGGGTCATTGTAGAGTTATTTGTCGTGGCGGCGGCGTTTGCGGCGTCGGCAGTGCCCCCGGTAACAGTGGGGGTTATAATAGATGGGACAGCTAAAGAATCGCTAGATCGCCTTCCAGAGGCCGTCGACGGCGTTGATGGTAGACCGAGCGAGGGTGGCCGTAAAAATATATTAGAAGACGAAGAGGAGGGGTTTACCGCAGCGGGTAGATTCTCGGACGCGCTGGTATGCCGTGTCAAGGGATCGCTTTCGGCTCGTAAGAGGCTGGCCGGCAGTCTGAACAGAGGCGACGAGGGGGAAGCCGATGGGGAAGGTAAAAGCGACGTCTGAGCGGGGGGTTGTTGAGAGGAGTGCTGGTGATGTTGCTGTTGCTGTTGCTGGTGCTGGCTGCTGGGGGCGGTGCCGTGTTCCCGTGATAGGAGATGGTAACTTCGGAGATAACTGAGGCCTCGCAGCCTGCTTGATCTCGAAGTAGGTGGCACCGGCGTAGCAGAAACCGCAGAGACAGCGGTATTCCCAAGGCCCGGTGCTGTGGGCGCGGCAGGAAACATTGACGGGGGGGCTCCAAAGTTGACGATTGCCGGCGCTGTGTCAGTCCGATGTAAATGGGGATGGAAAATTGCCTTAGGGGGGGGGGGAGGATGGTCGTTAACAGACATCTATCAGGCAGCCTACGCTCCATTCCCTGCGAGGTCATGCCGCCTCCATTGGCCTAGGGGATGGTCAGTGGACTCACGGTGCTTGCTCGTATTTAGTGGGCTGAGATGGGAAATGGACGAATTAGCACAGTGCTGCCTCCGCTGGCAACCTTACTAAGGCCTGTTCCCAGGCCAAGTTTATGCACCATCCCTGGGGGGATGAATGATTTTGCTTATCGATAAGCGCGGTGGTGGCCGATTGCCTGAGAATTTGAACCGGGCCCGAACCCTCGTCTGTACTGTATAGCGCTCACACGACATCCCAGAAGCCTGTGCCGGACCACATCGCCGCCATGCTTCGAATTTGCCGGCCTGCGCGGGCCCTTGGCCAAATCCGCTCGCCATGGATCCCGGCAAGAGCAGCAATACACGTTGCGCCGGGGACTGCGGCTGGCAGGAAGAACACAATAATCACACCCTCGATGACGACAGCGACGAGGCGGACGTTCGCCACTGTGCGGTCTCAAACACCAAACCATACACCCAAGGCAAGTCCGATCATGTGTACACCAACGCTTACACCTGCGTCCCCACGGCCATAGGCCATGATGGCTGCATGGCGCTAACAGCTGGACCCAGGATCCAACAGAGCGCGACGCTATCACGACGTTGTCCAACGGCATCCGCGTGGCCTCGGAAGACCTGCCTGACGCTTTCTCGGGCGTGGGAATCTACATCGATGCTGGATCGCGCTACGAGAACGACTCACTTCGTGGCGTGAGCCACATTATGGACCGGCTGGCTTTCAAGTCGACCACCGACCGCACTGCTGACGAGATGCTGGAGATTGTCGAGAACTTGGGCGGCAACATCCAGTGCGCATCGTCCAGAGAGTCCATGATGTACCAAGCCGCCACCTTCAACGCCGCCATCCCCCAGACTATGGGGCTGCTGGCCGACACTATCCGCAATCCAAATCTCACCGATGAAGAGATTGAGCAGCAGCTAGAAACAGCCAAGTACGAAGTCACTGAGATCTGGTCCAAACCTGAGCTGATCCTCCCCGAGCTGGTCCACACGGCTGCCTTTAAAGACAACACGCTTGGCAACCCGTTGCTCTGCCCCGAGGACAGATTGGAAGTTATTGACAGGAGTTATATCCGGGCGTACCGACAGGCTTTCTACAGACCAGAGCGCATCGTTGTTGCATTTGCCGGCGTCGCGCATGCCGAGGCCGTGAGACTTACTGAGAAATTCTTTGGCGACATGACCGCTTGGGAAACTCCGGCGATATCCAGGACAGGCTCTGAGACGTCGCTCGACTCGCTGCAGTCCGACTCGAGCGACAGCTCGGCCACGGGATCGTCATCCTCCACAACCAGCCCTTTGGTACAACAACCCTCTAGATTAATATCTAAAATACCCTTCTTAAAGCACCTCTCCACCTCCGCGCCACACAATGCCTCCGTCATCACCCCGGAGACCTTCTCCCGCTCCACGCACTCCCTCGTCCCCATCTTATCTGAGGACCTCCAACGGCCTTCCCAATACACTGGTGGATTCCTCTCGTTGCCGGCGCTGCCATTGCCCCTCAACCCCAACCAACCTACTTTCACTCACATTCAGCTCGCCTTTGAGGGCCTCCCTATCTCATCGGACGACATCTACGCCCTCGCTACATTACAAACGCTCCTCGGCGGCGGCGGGTCATTCTCGGCGGGCGGCCCTGGCAAGGGCATGTACTCGCGGCTGTATACTAACGTGCTGAACCAACACGGCTGGGTCGAGTCCTGCATGGCCTTCAACCACTCGTATACGGACTCGGGACTATTTGGCATCGCCGCCTCGTGCTACCCGGGGCGAACCCTGGCTATGCTGCAAGTAATGTGCCGCGAGCTCCAAGCTCTCACCCACGAAGGGGGCTTCTCGGCGCTCAACGAGATTGAGGTGGCGCGCGCCAAGAATCAGCTCCGCAGCAGCCTGCTCATGAATCTCGAGAGCCGCATGGTCGAGCTCGAAGACCTCGGCCGCCAGGTCCAGGTGCACGGCCACAAGATCCCCGTGCGCGAGATGACGGCCCGCATCAACGACCTGACAGTAGAGGATCTGCGGCGCGTGGCCAAGATGGTCGTCAGCGGTATGGTGCAGAACCGCGGCGCAGGCAGCGGGGCCCCTACCGTCGTGCTACAAGAGGCTACGGCCCAGGGCGTCAAGCAGACCACACTCCCGTGGGACCAGATCCAGGACGTCATCTCCCAGTGGAACCTGGGTAGGCGTTGATGCACTGTAACCTGTGCGTCTGTCCGTATGTAACATGTATAATAGCGGCTGAAAACTGTATAAAATAGATATATGTATTAAAACGCGCACATCCGGGCTAGAGTTTGTGGGGACGGCTACTTATTCGTTATACAGCCTCATTACGATCACTGTCGCCGTAATGGGACTTGGTTTATCGCATGTCTTTCTCGTCCCACCACGTGATCCGATTAGTGGCTCTTGTAAATACCAATTGGACCTTCTAGAGGCTTGTACATATGTATATCTCGTATAAATTGCAGTTACCGACCTGGTATCGAAAACTTCGCCTGCGGACCTAAGCTATGTTGTCCTAAAACCATCCTGTCCGTCCTAAACCCCATATGATCCCATCCCGGCCTGTTCCATTCCATCCCACCTTATCCATCCCAGCCATGCCAGCTCCACTTCGGCCCGACCCAACGGCCCGAACCATTGTTATATAGTCCGGTGAACCCCATTTATAAATGCCATCTAAGATTTATGTATGCCCGCGGACATGAAAACTCACATCCCATCACAGCTTTGACCGGACCGCCTCTAGTCTATACTTGACGTCTTTGAGTGCCTTGGTGGTGGGTTTCCAGTCGTCAAACTGGCAGAGCAGCTCGGCTGTCTCAGAGGAGAGCTCTGTCTTGACAAAGTCCTCCTCGAGGAGGCCCCGCATGATCCAGGGCAGGTGATACGGGTTGGGGGTCGATGGGCTGTGGTGCTTGATAACTTCACACGGGACGTCGCCGACGTCGGTCGTCTCGAGGGCGTGTGTCACTGCCAGACTAAAGCCCGGGTTAGATAGAACGATTGCAAATAACTAACCGGCACTGCTAGCGTTACTAGGGGTTCGGATACGTACTCGTAGACTTGCTCATCGTCATAGAGCCTAGAATGCCCCTCGCCAGAATACAAGCTCCCTGCAAGAGGCTGCGACAGCTCTCGAACGAGCCCATGGTCTGTGACGCCCAGATTGCGCAGTTTCAGCGCGAAGCCAACAAGGTGGGCAATGCTGAGTATGGTTAGTCGGTCCTGCATCTAGATGTATATAGAGAGATGCAGACATACAAGTCGGGTGTGTGGATTCTGCCATCTATAAAGACGGCTCGGTATATGTACGGATGGTGGGCCGGAGCATAGATGGCGGACTAAGAGATGTCAGTGTGGTCCACAAAAGCGTGGCCAAAGCATACACGGCACATACCTCCAAGGGGACGAGTTGGTCATCGATGCTACCAACATAGGTGACGCGTGTTCCGTAGCGCAGCACCGCCTTAACAGAGTATTCGAGCCTCCTGGACACCTCGCTCTCAGGATCCGCAAACTCCCATAATTCTGCGGCCGTCCCCATGAGAATTCCCATGCTCGATCGGTAGTCCGGAAAGGGGCCTAGAGAGACTCCGGCTAGTGGCGCACTGTCAGCATTGGCACGTCTAGGCAGGGCCATAACAACTTACCCATGGCACATATACCGATCTTGGCCGTTGTGATGATGCCAAGCTCAATGAGTTTTGCAAGCAGCATGATGCCAACGGGGACGCCTTGGGAGTGGCAACCAACAATGATGAGGTCGGCATTGCGGATGTGGTCAATCCAATTCAACAGCAATCTCCACAAGTTCTCGACACGATCGCTAATCTTGCCCTCCCCTTCAAGGGCAACCTTTTCAATCTCGCAGTCCTCGCAGCCATTCGCATCGGCCCATCTGCGGATGGCCTCGGCGCAGTGGTTCGCGAACTTTATAGATGTACCAGTCGGCTGGCCAATCATTGGGCGCAGATAGGTGGCCGGGAAGAGGCCATGGACGCCGATTGCAATGGCATTCTTGATCTTGGGCCGTTCCCTCGCCAAGAAAACGTGGTTTGCTGGTGGCTGCTGTGTCCGGAGTAAGAGCTGTGCAATCTGCTGCACAATGGAAGGATTTTCTTTGAGACGGTATGTATTATTAAAGGAAGGGAGGACGAGATTCGGCGGCAAGGCTTTCGCCAATGTTGGCGTTTTGGAAGGCCCGGCCTTCGCAGCCGGATCCGATTTCGGAGTGCTGGGACGGATAGGGGGGAGGTCATCAATATCCATTGACTGCGGACGGACGCGTTTGCTTTTCTTTGACGACGTCCCCTTGGCTGGAGACGCAACGACCTTTGTCTGATCGTCCCGTGCCGTCGACTTCAGGGGCGCCTCCTTGACTGGAGTGTCCTTGGTCTGGGTGTCCTTGACCTCTATCGAGTTTGTCCTTTTGGGGTGCGACTCGGAACTATCCCCAATGACAGCAAGCTGACCCGGCTCCTCACGGACGGCAGGCATCTTGCCAGACTTTGAGCTCGTATCGCGGGACCAAAACGCCCACGTCGACCCTGCTTTGGGCGGTGGTGCTGGCATCGCATCTGCGACTATCGGAGGAGCATCTTCCATCACAACATCTTCGGGTTCCTTCGGTGGCTCGCTCGTCTCCACCGCGTCGGAAGTTGGTCCTGGTGCATTGGCTGTCGGAGCAGGGTTTGCGACACCCGTTGCCCAGAACCCGAACCATGAACTAGGTCTCGTCTGGTTGAGAGCCCCGTGAGTTTCTGAAACCTGCTGCTCTGACTGCGCATTTTGAACAGGGTCGGTTGGCTTGGTTTCCGAGGCGACGGGCTCGACCGGCTCTGATGCAACGGGCCTCGGGGCAGAAAGCTCTTGACCAGGAGCCGGCTCTTGGGCAGGAGGATTTGGGGGAGCCGGCTCTGAGATAGAGGGCTCCTGAGTGACTGTTTTGTTTCCAAACCATCCCCGCCAGCTAGACGTAGTCGGCGGTTTCGGTACCGGTTCGTCGGTAGCCTGCGAGCCAGTATCTTGCGGCTTCGCAAATGGGGCGGCATCTGGAATTGTCTCATCGTCCACCCGCTTAATATGGGCGTCACCAGGCTTCGCTGTCGCATTCTCATCAAACTCAGGCGCGGGATTGGGGACCTGCTCGTTTGTGGCTGCTTCATCCTCGTGAATTTTTAGTAGTGAGGACGTAGACGGAGCCACACCATCGAAACTCATGCTGTCGGCGCTCTTCTTGGTATCAAAGCGGCTGAAGTCGGCAGTGGCCTTTGGCTGCAGAGTACCGCCTAGGATTGTCTCGCGAGCTACCTGAGTAGAAGCCGAGGATTTGGGGGGTCGCGGCCACGAGCCATACCAACTACTAGTTTTGTGCACCTATGTCCACAGTTAGTGATGGCGGGCGGCCTGGGCGTCTCAAATCGGAGCCGATTGGAGAGACCAACCTGCTTCGGAGCCTTGCCAGGCGATGGTATTGGGGTGCCATTCTCCTTCCCATGCTGTTGCTGGGACTCGTGCTGTATCTCCTGACCAGCAGATGGCACTGCCGGATCTGTAGCACCAGTCGCAGCGCGAGGGAGCTCTGGCGGCTGCGATTGCGATGCCGGAGTGGATGACGACGACGCGGATGATGGTTGCGACGGCATCGCTGTTGTCGATGTGGATGTCGATGTTGAGCTTCCCTCGGCGGGATTGCGTCTTGCCCGCTTCCGAGGACCCATGACGCTGAGTAGATACGGGAAATGGCGATGACTGCAGCGGTGCAGCCAGACGGGAGTGACCAGCGCGGTTGGTTATAACGTGGCCGACATGCTAGGGAGGTTAGTTTGCTTTGGCCGTGGTTGCCTGCCGTTCGTGCTGGGGTGGCGCCGATGACACGGACGGATTGGCTGTACGGATAGGGACCTAGCAGACCCTATGTTGGCCTGCTGGGAAGTACGTCATTCGCTGGAGCATTGGTCCCGTCTGCACTCCCACTACACCACTAGACAAACCTAAATCCTGGAGTTAAGTAACGCGCCAAACACGCCAGAATGGGCTTGATAAGAAGCCCGCCTACTCTAGGGTGGTTTTAGTTATGATGTTGAGTTTCTTAAAGTCCTTGAACTTCACGGAGAATGCAACAGGCTGCTTGTGCGGACCCGAGGCGTGGGGATCATCTGAACTTGGTGCATGGCAGGCATCCAGCTCTTCCAATACACTGTACAGTACGCGGCTACATACTGTATGTACAATCCAATCCCTGAATGTTTGTTGGCCTTGTACCTAGGAACGAGGAGAAGAGAATCGCAAATGACCCGGCAGAAAAGGCCTTTAATAGGTACTTTAGATACGAGGTAGGTCTCTAAAATTTCAGAATAGGGGTTCTAATAGTTATTACCTCCTCGGCGAAAAACTTATAGGACGAGCCATAAGGAATTGAGACCTTTTAAACCTTGGGAAGTCCCCCGCTAACAAACATTCAGGGATTAGATTGTACAATTTGGCCCAGACCCTTGTCGGTACGGAGTGTCACGCCTGTAAGACTTGTGGACATGAGTTGAGCTGTCTGAGTTACTCCGTGCTGGTAATTTGAAGCACAGTGAAACTCTTGAGGGTGCCCCTCTTGGGCAGAATTCTCCCGCTTCCTCCATACCGCCTTCGTTATCGTTATCGTCAACGAGACCCACCTAAAAAAAATTGTGGTGGTGCTTTTCGGGGCACCTAAGTCTGAGCGGGTTCAAAGACGGCGTTCAGTGTAAGACCTTGTCGCTACTCTCCTCTCCAATTGCAGCAATTTACGCTGCTAGGCTACTACAATGAGTTTGTTGAAACGCAAAGAAGGGCCTGATGGCACCTCAGCTTCGTCAAAGTCGGCCCGACCAGCATCCGAACCTCGCCCTTCCAAACGCGCAAAGCCTAGCGAGTCGGCGAAGGACGATAAAAAAAAACCCGTGAAGGCTGCGAAGCCCGGGAGCTCTAAGCCGGAGAGCTCAGCGCCCGCCGCCACGTCGGTTGTCTCTCGACCGAAGAAGGAAGAGCCACTGTTTCCCAGAGGCGGCGCCAGCATTTTGACTCCGCTCGAGTACAAGCAGATTCAAATCCAGGCCAGGAACGACGTCCTTTTCGAGCAGGAAGCCGGCGAAGCTGGCAAGAAAACTAGCAAGGCTACGACTAAGCAAAAAAAGAAAAAGTCCAAGGGTGATGAGGCATCGACAAAACCCGCGCGAGACGAAGATGCCGTGAAAATTGAGGGCCTCAACTTCAAGAGGTTGGTCAAAGGCTCCCTTGTCCTCGGCACCATCTGCGCCATCAACCAGCTGGACGTTGCGGTTGCGCTGCCAAACAACCTCATTGGCCATGTCTCTATAACTGCCATTTCCGACTGTCTCACCAGTCGGCTGCACGCAGACGCTGCTGCGGACGACGACGACGCAGAAGAGAATGAGGACGACGTCGACCTCAAGTCTCACTTCCGGATTGGCCAGTTTGTCCGGGCCTACGTCGTATCGACAGTTGACGGGTCTTCGACGGCCCCTGGGAAGCTTAAACGCCGTATCGAGCTCTCTCTGCAGCCGGCACTCGCCAACTCGGGAACGTCAGAGCAAGATGTTGTCGAGGGCTCCACGCTCATGGCGTCTGTTGTGAGCGTTGAGGACCACGGCTTCGTTATGGACATCGATGTAGCCGACTCAACTCTGCGCGGGTTTCTGCCACGAAAGCAGCTGGATGAGAGTGTTCCAGACGAAAACATGCAGCCAGGCTCGGTCCTGTTTTGTATCGTAACGGGCAAGAGTGCGAACGGCAAGGTCGCGCAACTGTCCACCCTGGCCGGGAAGCTGGGCAACGCCAGCAACCCACCCACGGCAGCCACTAATATCGACTCGTTCCTTCCCGGAACTGCAGCCGACATCTTAATTACCGATATAAGTCAGCACGGACTTGTTGGAAAACTCATGGGCTCTCTGGATGTGACCGCGGATCTGATTCACTCAGGGGCCGGGCCTAACGGCGTCGACCTCGAAGAGAAGTACAAGGTAGGCTCGCGGCTGAAAGCGAGGGTTATCTGCACGTTCCCAGCTGCCAAGAGGCCCAAACTTGGCATTTCCGTCTTGCCACACATCCTGTCACTCAAGCCCAAGACGGGCACCAAGGACGGCCAACAGGCCCTGCCGCTACAGCTTCTCCCATACTCTGCTTTGGTGGAAGCTTGCACGGTGCGGAGGGTTGAACCTGAGATTGGCCTCTATGTTGACGTTGGCGTCGATGGCATCTCCGGATTTGTACACATCTCGCACGTCAAGGACGGCAAGGTCGATTCTTTATTCGAAAACAGCGGCCCTTACAAACTGGACTCGGTCCACCCCGGCAGAGTCATTGGCTACGACTCATTCGATGGCATGTTTCTTCTTTCGTTCGAGAAGCACATCCTGGACCAGCCCTTTCTCCGCATTGAAGACATTCTCATAGGCGCCGTGGTTCCCGGTGTCGTGGAGAAACTTGTCATCAACGAAGACGGCCTTGGCGGTCTTATTGTCAATATTGCGGATGGCATCTCCGGGCTGGTTCCCGAGATGCATCTTGCCGATGTCCATCTGCAGCACCCCGAGAAGAAGTTTAGAGAAGGCATGAAGGTGAAGGTCAGGGTACTGTCTACCAACCCGGCTAGGCGCCAAGTCCGCCTAACGCTGAAGAAGACGCTGGTCAACTCCGACGCGCCTCCCATCCAGTCCTACGACGAGTTGTCGATCGGCCTGCAAGCTCCCGGAACAATCGTCGATGTGCTGCAGCATGGCGCCATCGTCCAGTTTTATGGCAGGTTGCGTGGCTTTCTCCCTGTGTCTGAGATGAGCGAGGCCTACATCCAGGACCCGAAGGAGCACTTCCGCGTTGGCCAGTCGGTCAGCGTGTTCGTCATCAGTTTCGACCCCGACGCAAGCAGGCTTATTGTTTCTTGCAAGGATCCTTCTGCATTCGGGCTCGAAAAGCAGCTCGCCCTGAAGAAACTTGAGATAGGCGACCTCGTCTCAGCCAAAGTCACCCAGAAGACCGAGGACGACATCTTTGTTGAGCTAGCGGACAGTTCGCTCAAGGCAATCCTACCAGTTGGTTATCTTACGGATAAGTCCGTAAGCAAGACACAGTCGGCGCTGAAGAAGATTCACGTCGGTCAGACATTACCGGAGCTGGTTGTCCTCGAAAAGAACGAAAGCCGGCGGTCCATCACTCTCTCACAGAAGCCCAGTCTAGTTAAAGCCAGCAAAGAAGGCAAGTTGTTGTCTACGGTCGAAGGTGCGCGCCTAGGTGACACGGTGCCTGGCTTCATTCGGCACATCACTCCTACGGCTGCCTTTGTGCAATTTGCAGGAAAGCAGACTGCTCTTCTCCCGCGGTCAATGATGCCCCGAGACATGCAGACTAAACTCGACTTTGGGCTACACAAGCTGCAATCCCTGCTCGTCAAGATTGCGTCAATTGACAAGGAACTTGGCCGATTGGTTGTCTCCGTGCCTTCAACTGACGAAGAGGAGGTCAAAACGCCTGCCAAGGCCAGTGAAATGGCCGTAAACTCGTTGGACGCCTCGATCGCTTCAGTAGAGGACGTCTCAATTGGCATACTAACTAAAGCCAGAGTGGTGTCCGTCAAAGACACGCAGCTCAACGTTGAGCTGGCCGACAACATCCAGGGGAGAATTGACATTTCGCAGGTCTTCGACAACTGGGATGAGATTTTGCATCCTACGAAGCCTCTAGGCCAGTTCCGGCCAAAACAGATTGTACGTGTCCGTGTTCTGGGCGTCCACGACGCTCGCAACCACCGCTTTCTTCCCATCAGCCATCGATCTAGTCACTCGGTCCTCGAACTCTCTACACGGCCAAGCGACCTCAAGGACGGCGCGGCTCCCGAGCCGCTGTCCTTGGAAAAGATTCAGGTCGAGTCTACTTATTTGGGCTTTGTCAATAATGTTGCTAGCAATCACCTCTGGGTCAACCTAACCCCCAATGTGCGCGGGCGAATCAATGTTATGGAGGCTTCGGATGATCTGTCACAACTAAAAGATCTCGCAGAAAGCTTCCCCGTTGGCTCCGCCCTTCGCGTGCGTGTGCTGGCTGTAGACCCCTCGAACAGGCGACTCGATCTTTCAGCCCGGACTCCCGGGGCTGCGTATGATCTGACGTGGGATAAAATCGAGAAGGATATGGTGCTGCCCGGCAGGGTCACCAAGGTCAACGACCGGCAGCTCATTGTCAAGCTCAGCGAGTCAGTCGCCGGGCCTGTGCACATGGTCGACATTGCCGACGACTACGACGAGGCCAATCCGCTGGCACACTCCAAAAACGAAATCGTGCGAGTTGCCGTTGTCGAGGTAGACAAAAGCAACAAGAAGGTCAGACTCTCAATGCGGCCTTCCCGTGTCCTAAACTCGGCATTGCCCGTGAAGGACCAGGAGATCACGAAAGTCGAAACGCTGAAGGCAGGCGACATCGTTCGGGCATTTGTGAAAAACGTTTCTGACAAGGGGCTTTTTGTCCTTCTCGGTGGCGACGTGACTGCGCTGGTGCAGATCAAGAACCTCGCCGACTCGTACCTCAAGGAATGGAAGGAACACTTCCAGGTCGACCAAGTGGTGAAGGGCCGGGTAGTCTCGGTGGCTGACGGGCGCATCGAAATGAGCCTCAAACCATCTGTGGTGGATAAGGACTATGTTCCTCTGCTCACCATCTCCGACCTAAAGGAAGGCCAGGTCATCACTGGCAAGGTCCGCAAGGCAGAAGAATTTGGCGCCTTTATTGAAATCGACGGTTCAGCCAACCTTTCCGGGCTGTGCCATCGGAGTGAGATGGCGGAGAAGCTAGTCAAGGACGCGAGAACGCTCTATAACGCGGGAGACCGCGTGAAGGCTATTGTGCTGAAGGTGGACGCAAAATTGAGGCGTATCAATTTGGGTTTGAAGCCCTCGTACTTTGATGACGATGGCGACGAGGACAGCATGGACCTCGATGGTGAGGACAACGGTGCAGCTCTGGACAGCGGGGACGACAGCGATGTCGATTCGCACATGAGCGATGCCGGAGGCGCTGTTCTCATCACTGGCACCGACAACATGCAGGGTGATTCTGACGGCGAGGATGACGACGACGACGCCGACAACGACGTTGCCATGGGCGATACCCCTGCAGATGGTCTGGCAGGTCTGGACGCGGGCGGGTTTGACTGGTCTGCAAGCGCCGTGGACGCGGATGCCGACACGAAAGGTGCCAATGCCATCATCGACGCACCAGCCAAGAAGACAAAGAAACGGCGGGAGCCCGAAATCCAGGTCGACAAGACAGCCGAACTCGACACCCACGGGCCACAGACCTCCAGTGATTACGAGCGTCTTCTACTCGGTCAGCCTGATTCTTCGCAATTGTGGATTGCCTACATGGCCTTCCAGATGCAAGTCAGCGAGCTTGCGAGTGCACGCCAAGTTGCCGAGCGCGCAATCAAGACGATCAGCATGAAAGAGGAGACGGAAAAGCTAAACGTCTGGATTGCCTGCCTTAATCTCGAGGTTGCATACGGGACAAGTGAGACAGTTGACGACGTCTTCCAGCGGGCGTGCACATACAATGACGAACAGGAGGTCTACGAGCGACTTGCAAGCATCTACATCCAGTCTGGCAAGCAAAGGGTAACCGGGCCCCATGTTGAGGCCACGTAAAGTTGGACGTCTACTAACTGCTGAGCAGAAAGCTGAAGATCTATTCGAAAAGATGCTCAAAAAGTTTGGCTCCAAGTCGCCCGATGTCTGGATCAACTATGCTCACTTCCTGCACACGACGGCGAACTCGCCAGACCGCGCGCGGGCTCTCCTTAAACGCGCCACCCAGTCTCTCGGCACCCAGACCCATATGTATCTCGCTCTCATGCCCAAGTTTGCGGCGCTCGAATTCCGGTCGCCCAACGGCGACCTGGACCAAGGCCGCTCTCTTTTCGAGAGTCTGCTGGCCAACTACCCAAAGAAGTTTGACCTGTGGAACCAGCTGCTGGACCTCGAGACATCAGTTGGTACCGCCGATCCCGCCGTCGTCAGGGATCTGTTTGAGCGCGGCAGCAAAGTCAAGAGCCTCAAGCCCAAGCAGGCCAAGGTGTGGTTCCGTCGCTGGGCCGCGTTCGAGGAGGAGAAGGGTGACGCCAAGAGCCGCGAGCGTGTGTCTGTCAAAGCTCAGGATTGGGCACGCGCTGCGGGAGAGAAGAAGCGGACGGCCGCAGCACCGGCTGATAATGCGTCTGACGATGATGAGTAGTGGTATATGGCCCTGTATCTCTCCAGACCTATATTCTATTTTTTTGTATGTTTTGCACGTCTGGCCGTCCCTATAAGACGTTGTAAAGAAAAGGTATTCCATCTGTAGCTAGCCGGCCATCGCAGCTGCTTGCTTTGTGCTTCTCCCTCCTAGTCTCGTCCTATTTTTGAAACGTCACAGCTTCGATTCGAATTGACTTTAGGGTCCCACACGTACGTGATAACATTCTCCTTGTACATGTACAATACAGGACCAAGACACCAGCTCACCAACCGAGAGCAAGACAGATCTGGGGTCGCAGAACCGATCTTTGCCAAGAGATCCCTGATTCCCTTCCCGAAATCGAGAGGCTTCCTCTAGCGCCTTGGATAGTATATATTATCGGAATCGTGTACATACATAGTATATACATTCGCTTCGTACTGTGTAGCACCCGTACATAATGCGCCGACGTTACCAGCGCTACGGGGTCGGGTGATGTGATCGACCGAAAAAGGGACCAAAAGGGGTTAACGAAAACGACAAGCCTACATTCTATGTACTACGTACCGCTTTTATTACCCTTCCGCGTTTATCTCTCGCCTGCTCGGAATTAGTCCATTTGCGGAAACTTGAATATGCGAATCGGCGCCAGTCTTGAGCGTCGTTGCGTGCGTGCTATTGTGTTCTAAAGCCCAATGACATGGATCGATGGCATGGCTGTCGGCCCACAGCCTAGGAGTGAGTGTATTGCCGGGCAGGGCCGTTGTTGTTCTGGACCGGGTTATCCTGTGCCTGATCGTGGAAAGCCGCCTGGAACAGGCCTACTTCCGTCTTTGGCAGCGGCAAAATTGTCATAGAAGTAACCTACAAACCAGGCCCAGTCCGGGGCGTTCCATTACTAGTAGACATATCACAGCCATCTTCGACATCTTTGAGCTGGACGAGCATGACCGGAGACATGACATGGTGATCTAGGAAAGGTCTGTTCAACCGTCACACATAGCAAGCAAACCCGCTGGTCGTTTTCGGAGGGACCGTCGCGAACCAGGCCAGGCACGGAGTGGCCCGGAAGTGGTTTAAGTGGCGATGCGGGAATTCCGATACTTCACAACAACGTATATTTTTTCTGTTCTTAGTCAACGACTACGTGCGTTAGTGACAATCCGCGCAAGTGGCAAGCTTGAAGTGGCTTGGGCAGTGGAACTTGCGCAGGATTGCTTTTAAGAGTTAATGCAACACGGTAGTATCTAGTAGGTAGCTCTCTATCAAGGACAAGAAGCTTTCCTGTCCCAGGCTATGCAACGATTGACTTGGGTTGACAGACAATAGGGACTCGGACCAAAGAAAACGAAATGTCGAGTGTTGGGATCATGTACTCCCCCAACACCAACAATATCTGAGAAACCATGCCATGACATCACTTTTCGTCTCAAACGTTACCTACCTCACCTTTGAACGTATGTAGCGCGTATAACTAGGTCAAAGTCTTGCGTCGAGACTCTTCGATTCGCTTCTGATTATTTATATATATATATTTATATATTTCTCTCTTGGATGTGTGGAACCCAATCGAGACTTGTAGCGATGATAGTGTAATGATATAATGGGGAACGATGCCTCATTTCTACCCTAATGCAATGCAAATGCAATGACCTAGAGTCCCTTCTCCCATGCAGGATCCCGCACGCAATACGTGACAGCGTGTAACCGCCTCCGGACATGTCCTGGAACACCGCAAACACCGAATCCGAGAAAAGACAAAAAAGAGAATCTATACACAGTTTGAAATAAGGCTTTATTGCCCATGAAGGAAATCCCACGACTCGGGGTTACCGATGACAGCTGACCAGCCATAAAAGACGCCGGACGTGTTCTTTTTTTGTGACGTTCCCCACGCCCAACCAGAGTCATAAACAAGCGCATTCCGCATTGCTTATAAAGAAAATTGGAAGGGGGAAAGAAAGTGCGCCCATACAGTGGACGACTTCGCCAAGCTACCTACCCAATCACCAGCGCGATCCATGCCCAATTCCATTCGCTATGCATATGCGGGAATAAAAAAATTGAAACCCTGCGAAAACACAGTAGAAAAGAAGTAAAAAAAAAAAGGGAAAAAGCCGTGGCTCGATGTGATTGCTCACACCGCCAGAGACCCCACGGCCATCCCGCGGGGGGCACCTCGCTGATCCCGTCAAGATCTGCCCCCGCCATCTTTTGCGCGGAACGTGCGTGCAAGACGAGGTGTCTTGGATGTTCAGGATTACTCCGATCCTTAACCATTTTCAAGCGACCCGCCGATGCGTCATTGTGGGTAACCTTGGAGAGAGAAACCCACCCGAGGCGTTCCAGAGTTGGGTACCTTCCAGATTAAGCCGAATCCGGAGTGCATCAGAGCTCTCCGGCAGGGGATATCTTGGCGATTGGATGGGTCGGCGCTGTCCAGATCGTTCCAACAGCACGCATGTGATGGCGACGACAGAGGAGCGCAGCCTGGCCTCGGCATGAGCGTGATTCCGAGATGCAACCGTTGTCCACTATCGAGTAGCGAACCGGCTGAGTATTGCTGCGTCTGCGCGCGACATAGCCGAAGTTGTTCCAAATCTGGCCGTTACGCTCGTGCCAGTGACAGACGAGTCCCAGGCGGCGATTGTTGCCAATAAGGCTTGGTCTCTGCTAGTTGGGTTTGCGGGAGAGGCTAAAAGCCGCGAAGACGATGCGTCCGGGAATCACGGGACCGGATGGAACTCTCGAGCCGTCCAGATCAAACCGGCGGTACAGTGGTTACTCATCACACTCCCCCGCCTAAACTAGTTTGTCATGGAAACCCAGCGGGTGGGCACCCCGTCGGCCCCGACTTCGTAGGGTCGCGCGCTGGTCTTGCGTGGCGGTAGTGCCCAGCGAGCCCGTCCCGGTCGCTGGTCATCGAGCTTCCCTTGCTTTCGCATCGCCATCTCCATGACTGCGATGCGGATGAAGTCTGAGTTTTCGCGCATCTCACGCTGCCGCGGTCCGGGCATGGGGTACTCGGCCAACGGACGATGGGGTTGTGACGTTTGCGACGGTGCAGAATTCCCCGCTGATGAATAAGAGCCACGGCCCGGCCCCGCGGATGTGCTCCGTGCGCGGTGCACCTTGTACGTTTGCATCTGGATCGATGCTGTAAAAGCCCGCGTTGTTGGGCCGAGGGACGCAGGGCCAGGGACGCTCGGCTTCTCAAGACGCACCGTCGTAGTTGGGTTGAGATAGCGCCGCAGGGCGGCGGTGGGCTCCTCCTCGAGTGGAGGTGGCCTGCGCTCGTCCGTGTAGGGTACCTGAGGGTCGAGGGTCAGGATAGAGCGAGTGAGGAAGTCCTCCGGAGGGATAGAAGGGAAGTTAAGGGCCGAGAAAGAGCGGGCGGCCTGACGCAGAGCGCGTAGCGAAGCGGTGAGGTTGGACTTGAAGGCCGATTTAAGGGGCTTGAAAGGCAAGCGCGACGCCCGTTTATCATTCAGCTCGGCCTTGGCCTCGAAGACGCGGAAGTCTATCTCCTCGGCCGCCACGATCCGAGGCGTCGAAAGCGGATGGTCTTCGGCTTCGCCGGGAGGAGACGACACGGGCTCGAGGGAGCGGCGAGTCGGCCGGGCTTTTCGCCTTCGTCCTGGCGTGTCTGGCGACTCGAGCGACGACAGCGTATCTGTGGTGAAGGACTCTGAAAGCGACGGCATGGATTCCAGCGATACGGTCCGCGTCGAGAGGGCAGAGCCAATGTTGCTGTCGTATCCAGACGCATCGTCACACTCAAGCTCTTCTGGAGGGGTCAGAAGGAGGTCCATGGCGTCCCTGCTGAGCGACAGGCTCAGCTCCTTTTCCGACTCTTGCGACCTCTCAATGATGGACTCGACGGTCATGCGCTTCTCTCTGACGCTCTTGGCCTGGCGTCCGCTCCGCGACGGGATGTTGGTGACGGCCAGGAGGGCTACCACAGACGCCGGGATGGCGTCAGGCGAGTGCACGTCCCTCGGACGGTGGGCGGGCGGCTGGCCTCTTCGCTCACCACCATGGCCGCGGTGCTGTTTTTGCGGGTGTGCACCATCGCGGGACTTTGGCCTCGTAGGGATCTGTACGGGGTTCGACGGCATGGTGGGCCGTGTGAGCGTTGTCGTCGTCCTCGGCGGGCTCAGCGTGGGCGACTTGGAGACGCCATCTCGTTTCCTCGCGCTCGAACTCGCACTCGCCGGCATGGTGGGAACGGTAATGGAACTGCTGCTCGTTCTGGTTGGTACGTCCTCTGCAGAGCCGTCATTATTACTCTTGGTGAGCGTCGGCTGGACAGAGGGCGAGAGTAGGAGTGAGGGTGGTGTCAATATCAGGGCGGGAACCGGGTGCTGCTGCTGCTGCGTTTGGGAGTAGACCTGGTTCTGCCGCGAGGTGAGAAAGGAGCGTGGAGACATCATGTTGGCCCAAGTGCCTGCTTGGCATTGCCGGTCTTCCAACAACTACCTAGACCCAGGTACCTATTTGTCGGTTCGGCCCCTCGGCGGGGCATTGCCGGTCGAGCGGCCTGGGGCCCCTGGGCCTGCGTCGGCGACCACCGCACCCGTGGACGCCCGCCTGTGACTGTGCTTGTATGTATGGATGGATGTATTCGTATGTACGTAGGTCCCTGTGCTAGGGCTAGCTGTCCAGCTGGGCAATGCAGGCCGAGCAGGGCGCCGGCCGCAGGGCTCTTGGGTTGCAGGACGACGTCGCGTGCCGCCGCAGGGGAGCGCAGCGCACGTCGGGTGAATCGTGTACGTAAGAGTACGTAACAGGTTGCCTCTGTCCAGGCCCGAGTTCCACTCGGGTTCCTCAGGGCCCAAGCCGGTACTCGATGCTTGTCTAGCAAAGGCTAGGAATCGGCGACGTCAGTAGGGATAATGATGCTAGCGTGCGTAGAAAATAGATCAAAAGATTCTCGTTCTTGCACATCCGCTGCAGCTCGTTGTTGTCGAGGTTCAGTTGAGACTCAAGGCAGGCTAGAGACGAAAGGACGACGGGAGAAGGCAGCCTAAGAAGGACTCGGAGGTACGGTGCGTGTTGGCGGGTGGTGGTGACTTCATGCGTGGGTTGGGTTGGGTGCTAGCACTGTGCAGCCCAGGTGGTGTGTGGGTGCTCAGCTGAAGTGTGGGCGTTTGGCCCTAAATCAAAGAAACTTGAAAAGCCGCCGTCGTAAATCCAAATCACGCGGGCCCGTCAACGAGGAAACAGCCGCTACTCCCTAGTTCTCGACGCAAAGAATGAACATGTAACGAGGTTGCAACTGCAAAGCGGCGGAAGAGAGGCGCTGGATGACTGTATATACTATGTAGGAAGGGCAAAAGATAGATAGCATCCAACCTATGTGGTAAAAAACGTCCGTCGCGGGCGTGGCTCGGATCCCAGCGGAGCGCTGATAAGAACCTTAGCTTTATTACCTAGGAACCTTGCCTATCTAGGCATCTATTGTACAGCACTGTATGCCCATACATTACATTAATAGGCTGCTCGCTCGCTCAAGATACGCACCCGGCTTTTGCACTACCTACCAGGAATAAAGCCCTAGTCCCCCTTCCTACCCACGCCCACACCCATGCCAGCGGTCAGCTTGTCCACGTCGCTCATCGGGCATGTGGTGCTCAGAATAAACCCTTCAACCATCAAGGCCAACAGCCACCTAAGGCCAACGGCCAACTCCAGCCTTGAAAGTGGAAAAGCGCGCGAAGACGTGCGGGAATAAGTTCCAGCTCCAGCGAGGCGGGGGGCGGGCGGGAAAGGCAAACACCTCACCGATCCCCATTCATTCCCAGGCCTCTCTACCGTAGTGTGGGGGCAGATTAAGTCTTGTAGAAGAGACGACGCGACGAGCCACTTGTCAGACAGGATGGCGGGAGCAACCTATAGCAGTAAAAGCCGGACGAGTGGTGTCCATTTCCGTACTGAAAACCACCATGCCTCCCACGGTTCCACGACGCTGTTTGTTACGCATAACCGCCACGCTCCAGAGTCTGGATGGCAGGCTCTTGAACCCCAGATAAGTCGCCAGCAACACGCGCGGGTATTAGTAGGTGGAAACGAGAAACAGCAAGCGAGGCGAAGCACCTACCCTTAGTAATGCCTTTACGCTGTAATAGTACGTGTGTTCCGCCTGTCAACAGATTGAAAGCATGGACAAGAAACGCTCCCCCCATCTCAAGCGTGCGCAGGTCCCAGACTTGTTGCACGACAGCTGACTGGCCTGGCTTCGGGCCCAAGAGCCTAGTTCTAGGCCCAAGGCTCTAGCGGCTGCTCGGAACTCTGTAGTTGCCCAAGCTAATAGTCCACGTCGGCCAGCTGACGAACAAACGCAGTGGCCCTCGCTCTCGAATGGCCGAGAAGGCGATGTCGCGAACCCACAACCTAACTCCGCTATTCTGTCTCCTCCCGATCTTATACGTAGCCAAATCGCAAGTCGTGTTGCAGAGAAGGCGACGGGGTCTCTTTTCAGGGGTCCAATGCGGCAGGCCCATAGGCAGGGGTAGCCTGTAGCTTTTCTTTCTAGAACCCTCCGCGGAAGCGAAACCCTGGGCTCAACGTCGGAGCGGATCGGTGAGGGGGGAAAGGTGGACGCAGACCAATCTCGTCGCAAACCGCATCTTGAGGGATAACCAGGGCAACGTAACCCCTTCCCTACGCTGCCTGCCTCATAATATTCACGAAATAGATAGCGCAGTGAAGCGAACTCATACAAAACGTTTGCGAATGACAAAAAAACCGGATAGAGCCCAGAGCCCAACCCATGTCTGTTGACCGCCCATGCCGTCATCTGTCACGCTTGGCCTGCAAGTGGGAGAATCGAGACACCCCTTATCTTCGGGGCTTCCTGGCCTGGTCTTAAATGAGACGTTGTGTGCGGACGAGGAGACGGCGGCAGGTTGCCGCCCGGAAACGCTAGACCCCACAGGCGAGGGAAGAAGAGGAATGTGGGGTGCGTCACCGTCACATTAGGCTGCGATACCGAATTTTCCGAGCCGCGATCGATCCGTCCGACCAGACCAGGCCAAGCATGAGCCCCCGAAACCCAAACGCCGAGAGAAAAAACCCATTGCGGTGACGGATGTCCTCGGCTACCAGCACTATCGGTAGCGGAGAGGGAATTCTCGCCGATGGCCAACGAAAGACGTCCGAAGATGCCAGTTTGCGTCCATGAGTAACTAAGAAAGGCAGTTAGCCTCCAACGCCCCTGTCGAGATGGATTCGATCCGACCCCTAAATGGCTTGTTTGCTTGGTTCTTGTCACGGGGGTTCTACTTAGCATAGGAAGGAAGGAGACAAATGTCGCCGTCCCTCAATCTCACAAGCCAATAAACGTCCAGGAGTTTAAGTGTTTGTACATATTGTATGTATGTATCCGCGCATGAGAAATCTACACGTGTAAAATTCAGGCACGGTGAACCTCGACCCTTTTCCTTGTGGGGTCCCTTGATTTTCTCTCGCGCTTCTCTACCTCTCTCATAGGGACCATCTCCACAAGAACGGTTCGGGTTTATGCGGAGGCTCTGGGGGGGGGAACGGGGATCCCACAGAGGTGGAGGAGGAAAAAAAATTTGCTTCAATGCAATGAAAGGAACATCCCGGGAGCCCTCTGCGCTACCATGGGCTGGCGAACGGTTTCTACGGTTCTAGGATAGCTAGAGAAGGTTTGCCTTGACGGATTACATCTAAGCTGATATAATCCCCTCCTCTATCTCACATTCAGATGAATTCAAGTGAAATCGTCCACTTGACAACTCCAACCCATTGGAGGTATTGTATGCACGGCACATAAGCAAACGAACCCCTGTGATTCCTGGCTTGCTTTGTTTTAGCCGTGTCCTCATTCGTCCTTCACTCTCTGCCCAAAACCACTTACACGTGCCAATCAGAGCGCAGGGGCAAGCAAGCGAAGCAAAGACATTTCCACGTGCGAAACGCACACTTCTCCACTATCCAGCGGAAGGCAAACCTACCAGAATAAGGGGATCACCGATGGATGCCTTCCAGGTTTGGTTGTCCGTTCGCCGGCAAGATGACTCGAGAGACCGAATGCCGCGGCTACCTATGTATATACATCACCTAACTCTCTTGCCCGTTCCCTCCACTGACACAATGTACGGAGTGTGCGCACGGCAGGTAGATGGCAGATCGTCTCTTGTCCGCCTCCCATATTCCGTTCTCGGCGCACCATGACATCACAGGGGCAGAGGCAAGCAACTGCCTCCGAAAATGATCAACTCCCTTCTATGTAAGGGCTTGTTCGAGGCTTGCTTGCACATCCAATCTTTGGAGGGAGTTGGCAAACAGCAGCGCTGGCTAAATTGGGAGGGGTTGTGTTTCCAAAGATCACCCTCCCAGCCCCTGTTCCCTTCGTCGTCCTGTGTGTGCCGTGGTGGTACACGTTTCATCGTCGTTGCTGGCCGACGAGGGCGGAACAGACGTTGTCATTGTGAACCTGCGGCTCTGCTTCTACACACGCCACCACAGACTGGAAATTGGAATGGGTAGGTTAGATGGCTAGAAAATCATGACGTTTTTGTTTGCACACCGTTCTCTATTAAACTATTGTATTCGCTATTATATTCTCTGCGTCAAAGGCGTCGTTGCTTATCATAATACCCCGTAGAATGTCCTTCATGAAACACAACATGCAGACGTGGGAATATGTAAACGGGGGCGTGTTGATGTTGTTGCCGCTTCGTGGTATTTTTTTCCTTTCCCCGCCCTATGTCGTGTAGAAGAACCGAGAAGCGCCGCTGTCCATGACCGATTGCTTAAAAGAAGCCAAAGCCAAAACAAACTCCCGAACCATGAGGTGTTGCGCCAAACCCAACCAAAACCATCCCTGAAAAAAACAGCCGGTGCAATGATCCAAGCCTTTGGGACGCCAGTTCCGAACCCCACAGATGTTCCCGAGGGTATCATTTAAACAATTAAAACGGCCGCCCGCTCTCCTTCCACGCCCGTGACGTGGGCGTCGTCCCTTTGGGTGTCACGACGCCGAACCGCTTCTCGCCGTACTTTGACAAGCGCTCCTCGGTATAGTCTCGGGAGTCGTCGTCAAAGTCGGGGTCCGGATAGACGCTCTCGCTGTAGTAGCGCTCGGGGTACAGCCGCCGGCCGCTGCTCCCCCCGGTGCTCGGGCGAATGGTCTCCATGGATGGCCGTGGCTTAGGCTTAGGCGTCTTCGGTGTCGGCACGTAGGTGCCACGCCCAGACACGGCAATGTCCTTGACAATGCCGTCAATCTCGCGCTGGATATCGCTGACGCGCATTATCCCGTTGCTTGTCATGGTCTCCTCCTCGCTCGTGCGGGGCGACTGGCTGCGTAGCTCGGCCATGTCCGTCCGCACGCGGATGATGGGCTTGATTTTCCCGCCGCGCCCAGCCCGAGTGCTCCGTACGCTGCGAGTAGTGCCCCTCCTCCCACCGCGGCTTCCCCCTCGGCCAAGCTTGCCACTGCCCGCGTTGCTCCCAACCGTTGAGTTATCCCACCCGGCAGGCTTCTGGGCCACCTCTACGTCTACGTCTGCGACGCGGCTAAGCATCGTACGTGGAAACCAACCGCCACGCTCGCGTGAGCGGAAGATCGGCCGCAGGGCCGGCGCAGACGCCGTGATAAGCGCCAGGTTGGTCTCAATAGCAGACGTGACGAAGCCGGTGTTGGAGGTGGGATCGGACAGCAGCGTCAGACCAAACAATCCTTGAAGAAGCAGCACCAAGCGGATAACCGAGGTAATGGTGACCCTGAGACAATGTGAGCTTGAGTTTGAGACACACAAAGAATGCATAATACCGGCAGGGTAAGAAGGGTGCTACTCACAGGAAGCCGAGGAGAAAGACGAACAAGAGCGCAATTTTGGTGCGCTTGGGTATCTTGAGGTCAATAAAGACCCAAAGGGGCAGGCCAAGAATCATCAAATCCATGACGATGTTGAAGGCGGCCGTGCAGGTATACAGGATGCGGCGGTCGACGCAACGGCCGCCTTGGACAGTAGGGTCCCAGTTGAAAGCTATTGGCAAGCATTGTAGTGTAATGGCAAAGAAGACGGCAACCATCTGCGCGACATTGGCAACGTTGAGCCAGAGGAGGAAGCGCCGCACGCCGTCCTTCTGCCCGAACAAGCGGGTCAGGAAGATGAGCACAGACGACTTCACCAGGGCGAGGATTGGGTTGTACAGGATCTGCACGGCGTAGGACCAAATCAGGGCCTCGGTAGGGTCATGGGGGGGCACTTGATCGATGCGGATGCCAACAAAGTTTGTTTTGATAACTACATGACGTCAGTAGGGTGCTCCAGGTAAGTAATAGAGGCAAGCTAGGATTGACGTACAGAAGTAGCTTATGATGGTCTCGGCGACTGACATGAGCATGGCTATGCATATAAGCCAGTCATCGAGGGCGAACTGCCTCGTGGCTAGCCTGCCGGCGGCGCGGGTGGCGACGACGAGCAGGGCCAGGGCAGGGAAGAAGAAGTTGACGAAGAGCGCAAAGATCTGAAGGCCGGACGGTGCCGGGTAAGAGGGCGGGCTGAGTCTCGAAAAGGCGTCCATGACGCAAGACGGAAGCGGTGCTATCTCATACCAGACGTTGGTGGCTGTAATATCGAAACAGTCTCCATCAGAGACAAGAAGTAGCAACAACAACAGAGTCGGATGAGACAGTCAGCAGAGCATTCAACGACCGAGAGACGGAAGTGAGACGGGCAGCCAAGGTGTGGGAATATGCATCAAGATATAGGAGACGGCAGGCCTTCGGGATGCTCGCGAGGCGAGCTGGCGGTGGCGACGGAAAAACACATCACGAGCAGCTTACGGGCAGCAGCGAGCCGTCTCTGCTTCTTGCTTTCCGGCGCTGGCGTCACTAGAGGCGGGGAGAGAGCGTCGATGGCAGATGCATGTAGATCTGTGAGTCGTCTCGTCTCATCGTTTGGTGCGACTCGCATGTAAAGTCCCGGCCGGATAAATCTCCCTCATGTGTCAAGATGGCTTTGCAGCAGATCGGGCGAGGCACGCGAGAGGGAGCAATGAGGGCCCCTTGGGACCTGCATATCCATTCAGCAGTGGCAACAGTAGTAGCAACAGCACGCATCAACAGCAATAGCATCATTGATACTCGACAGGTGCACTTCAAGACTGGGGCAGCCCATGGCTCACGACAATTGAGCAGTGACTACAAACAATCACGTGGTGGAGAGAAGAAAGGGAATCGGTTGCGAGCAAAGGCGCCGCCGAAACAGGGCCATCTCAGCGACTTAGCTCAGCGTCGTCGGGTCTGGGCAAGAGGCTATCGGCGGCCAACAGCGGACCGGCACTCGAGCACCTACACCTCAGCTATCTTTGCTCAATAGACATCGCAGAGAGAGGAAGCATCGGACGGGAGTTTGGGACCTTGGCTGCCACACTTGCGGCCACGGCCCGGATAAATGAGTCTCTTGAGAAGGTCGGAAACCTCAGGAGAGACTCTTGCGACCAAAACTTAGGACAACCTAGAACCAAAGAGGAGAGCGGCGGTTGCCGGACTGCCCTCGAAAGACAACGGCGCATCCATGCCGCCGAAGGTTCCAGGTGGCTTCGAAGGCATTCGCGGTACCGCACAATCCAGAATCTGGGAGGGAGCCAGAACGAGAGCGAGTAGCGTGGCATGCTTGCGAGCAATGCTAGGTGATCAAACGAACCATAAATGCTCAGTCGGCGCATCGTGGCAGGTGCAGGGACCAGGGCGCTATGCGATGCAATGAATGACGGCACTGGCAATCGAAGGCCCAGAGTCCCAGATCCGACCAGAAAGGGCAACAGACAGATGATCCGCCGTGCAGCCGTTGGTTGGCATGCAAGTCTAGGGAAGCGGAATTCGGCGGCAGACTGCCGGTTGCCAACAGAGGAGCACTCACTTGCAGGAAAATTCCCCAGACAGGCTGACTGGCCGATGAGGCCCGAGCTGCGGACTACTCCGAGATGAAGAGTAAAGGAAAAGAGGCCGTCTGGCGTGTGGGTCCAGATGGATGCGGGCAGCCAATCAGCGCTGCGGGTGGGGTTGACAGGCCCAGAAACGGTACTCTGCAGAGGGTTAGGGGAGGGCGGCCAATGGCAGTGGTTGGCTGGCTCGATTCGTTCCTGCGCGCCATGTCTTTCCCCTGAAATCGGACTTCTGCCAAAAAGGCTGGCGAGATCCTCAAACACCACACACAACTCACATGCCTAAACTCTACGTACAGTACCTAGAGGCCATGGCGGGCAGCACGCTATCTATCGCACAGACCGCCCCTGGCATTGCAATCTTCCGTGCGCCCCGTCGAACTGACTTGCCTCCGTCGCTCGCTCAGGCATCTGACGGCCACCTGTGGTGGGGCGAAGGAAAGAACGACGAGGGGCACCATGGATCGGATGCAATCGCACAGCTGCACCTCTCTGGCAGATCGGATTAAAGAACAGACGTCGGTCGCTATCGATGTCAATGGCAGGCTCAGGGACAGGGCACCGAGACGTGCATTCTCCCCCAAGATGATGAGATGCAGCCCGTAACTCCCCAAGCTTCCCCACACAGAAAGAAGCCTTCCCCAGAGTTCAGAGCCGGATCCAGACAGACGAACATCGCCGGCGTCTGTGCGGCGGCCTATGCCAACGTCGCCTTCCCCCCATCCCTCTGTTTCCTGTGTGTCGCCCATTTAGCCAGATCCACGCCTCCAGGCTCGCCATAGCCATGGCACGTCAGCCTCCGCCTAGAGAAGACATGCACGCATCGGATGCGACAGCAATGCGTCGAGAATGTTCTTTTTTCCGTCTGAAGCTTGCAAGATGCGCTGCGATTTTCAAGACTCGTCCGGGGATCGCCGAGCTTGGAAGAGCTCTGCTTGATGGTCAAAAGAACACCAAGAGAGTCAAGTCTTCCGGAATGCTACGTCTCCGGCCATGGACCATCCGGAGATTGGGACAGGGGATGGAGCGTCGGCACTTTGTGAGCCGCGTTTTTTGAGAGCTTGCATCCGGCCTCCGCAATTGCCATGGTCCAAACTCCGAGAAAAAGGTGTGCGACACAATTCTCCCGAAATATTTCCCCAGAAAGATGCACACGCCAAGGCCAGCGGCAGTCGACTTCGTGTTGCTGACCTGGGAATGAGGTGGCCTTCTTAGTCTATCTATACGAGCTCAGCCCGGGAAGGTCATCTAATTATCGGCTAGGACTGACGGGCGACCGCCCAAAATTTGCTTGCTATCCGGGATTTGTCTAAGTAGGTTACTTCTCTCTGGATGAGGTTCTCGCCAACCCCGGATACACTCGAAGAGTTACATACGGCCTCGTGATCCACCGCAACATGACTGGCCCCTTGCTCCTTCTCCATTCCTCTTCACTCTCATCACTAAACCTAGCGAATACCCAATCCCCACACGCACCTGCCAAACTAGACTACCTGTTGAGCCACGGCATCGCTTCTTAGCGGAGCGGCGGTTCATCCTGCTGACTAGGAGAATCGTCTCCAGTCCGGGATAATGTCTCGGGAGCCGCTTCTTCAGCGATCTCGGCCCGAGTCTGGCTGTCGTCTCCGTTCGTGGTGCCGTCCAGTAGCTTTGCTCCAGGGCGTCATGTTTCGTCTCGTTGCGCGAGTGCTCTTGCTGCGCCATGAAATATTCCATTTTGAGACCTGGTCTCCCGGGCGCTGAGGACCGTTGCACGCCCAATTTTATTTACATATGGAAGGTACCTTACCTCGAAGCCATGCTCGTAACTTCCAGAGTCTTTTAAGCTGGCTTTGCCATCAATCCAGGGAACGCTTGGATGCCCATTCAAGCACTGCGTAGTTTAGCATGAACGACTTCAATCCTGGCCGTTTTCTAGGCTCTAAAAAGAAATGAGAAGGTATTTGTGAGCTTCTAGCCGGGTCTTGAAGGCTAAGGTGTCTATACAGGGTTGACATTAAAGGTTCTTAAACGAATTCATGGACAAGCCTCCAGAATCTCCACCGTACCTATACTGGGATATTTACACCGCACCTTCCCTAACCTTACTTACACCTGTACCTCGGCGCCCAATTAATTATCTTGGCCCAGGTCTTGGCTCTTGACTCTTGGCTCTTGACCCTTTGGCTTTGCACTGTTTGGAGCCGATGAGGCGGCCAGGGATCTCTGGTCGGGTGTCTCTTTTTTTTGCTATCGCCAGTGCAAACTCGATTAGTTCAATGCGACATTTCTAAATTATCGAGTTCCAACTCGTTCAAACGTACCTAAGGTAGGCTTCGCAATTGTCCGGGTACTGGTTCCACGAAGAACGAATGAGTCGAGAGCCAAGACCAAGAAGGGTCGCATCCTGGCACCCCTGTAGTGCCGCATCAGATAATGCGTGGTGGTGATTAGGCATCGGTGAATCTGGCAGCTTAGTGGGCAGAAAATGGACCTAGGCGCCAGCGCTGATAGCCATCAGAGCCTCGTCCGCGAGACGACCTCGGCATGATTTCTACCCTTTGCAAACAAGTTCAGAAGAGACATCTGAGGCACTGATTTCTGTCATTGACTTCACATGCCGATGGCGGCTCCCGATCCCTGGACGTCGGGGGATCGGCTTGCAGTAGGCAACTTGGAGACGCCCGACTCTCACTCGGCGCCAGCAACCCAAGCCGACCCAAGCAAGCCCGTCCAGGTCGCAGATGATCGGTCGGTAGCAATCGTGTCAGCTACAACGCCGGATCCTGCCAATGCCCAAGACTCAGCCGAGGACCCAGGGCCCGTCCAATTGCCCGACAAAGCTGGAAACGAAGCCGCAATTGAAAAGCTAGTCCCTGGGGAAGTCATTGACATTCCTCTTGGATCCCCAAAGACCGAAGCTCTAAGCCCTCCCGTGGACGCCACTGCTTCAAACATCGCAACTCCAAAAGAGGGGGGCGGGGGACGCCGGACAAATAATGCCCAGCCTGGAAAGGGAACCAAGGGAGGTGGCCAGCCCGAGGTGATCCCAAAGAGCACCAAAAAGCCAGATAAGGCAGAAAAGGCAGAGAAGGCAGAGAAGGCGGAGAAGGCGGAGAAGGCCAACAAAGCTGATCCCAAGGTCAGTTGTGTGCTCTGTTACACTTTGAATAGACACGCTCAATTTCAATTGAGGCTGATAAAAATATCAGGACCCCCCGGGCTTGCAGGTCATTGTACCACAGTTCGCTGCCGAATCTAGCTTCTCGCCGCGCGTGGACATTGTGGCTGTCCACGATATCGAGGAAACCATTCGAAATGCTTGGGTATTCAGAAGAAAATATACGCCATGGGTGGGTGAGTTCCGCGGCATGACCAGTCGTGAGGGAGAAGCTCGTCCAGACGGCAGTCCAGCTGGCATTCCGCGGAAAAGGAGGCCGTCTGCACCGGAAAGAAACCCAAGCAGCGAAGCTCGCGTCACTTCGCAAGCAAAGCCAAAAGCGACAGACGACCCGCACATTGAGAACTGGCTCTTCAGTGTTGACGATGATCCTACCGAGCCAACAGAGACCTTTGTCCAACAAGACACAAGAGATCTTGTCGAGTTTGGCACCAACGAGGCCGGGCCATCGATAGTGAGACCTTCAATACAGGATGAAGCTGGCGAGGGGTCCCCGACTGGCCTTCTTTCCCCGGTTCCAGAGGAAGACGATGCTGCCTCTGCCCGAGGGGTAGACGACACTCCGAAGCACGGACACGTCCGCCGAAAACCAACAGCCCCAAAGCATAAGAGGCGCCCCAATTCTCAGCTTCTTGATGAGGCAAATGATGGCAAAAATACTGACACCAACGCCAACGCCAACGCTATGGGCGAGGGGCGCCGAACCGAGAATGATCATATTGACGAACGACAGTCTTCAGACCGCTATCACTTGGCCGAGCGGCGCGTCAATTGGCTTTCGGAACCGAATATGCTTCCCGCCGAAATCAAGGGCCTCCGCGTCATGTGTTACTACTACTATGGCCCTGGAAGTATCTCGTCTCCGTGGTCTCCATGGCAGTACCTCACCGAGAGGGCGGAAGATCTGATTGAACGTCTCGCAGAGAGGAGGAAATCTGACACCATTAACTACGACGAAGTACCAATCATTTTGCTCGGACTTGGATTCGGATGTTTGATTTTACAGAGGGCAGTTGACATACTAGCAGCGTCCCCTGACAAGATACCGGGTTCAAGTGACATTTTGAATCTGATAGCCGGAGCCGTTTTGCTAGATGCGCCGTCACCCGAGCCAGAGGATAATGTAGCAAAAAAACGTCTGCCCTTAGTGTTCCCTCGAAGTCAGGCCCAGAAGTCGAAGAAAGCCTGGACAGTGGACTGGTTTGAGAAATCGGGCAGCACCACGGAATCGAAAATAGAGCGGTCCCCGCTGTGGCAAAGGTTCTCTGCCGCCGCCCAGAAGAACACCATATCCGTAGCGTGGCATTATTCATTAGCAGCACAATTCAGCAGTGCCAAGGCAAGTCCGGAGACCCAGAGAGCATAATGTTTCAAATTTCACAAACACCACGTCGACTAACTTTCATCCGCGGGCAGGAGCTAGCATTCGATGTCCCTGGGGTGCTCTTCGTCCCAAGTGTATCGAAAACGGCACACCGTCTCAGCAGGTTTGAGGGCCCTGGCGACGATGATTATCATGCCATAACGTACAGGATCAAGAGTTCTCTACTGTTCAAATGCTCTGCCATTCCATCACAGGCGCTGCAAAAGCGGCTCGTTGATTTCATTGATCAAAAGTTTCCCGTCGACTCGCAAGATGAGCAAGGGCGAACTGCTCTCCATGTTGCCGCCTCTGTTCCCAACCACGAGGCTGTGGCCAGGCTTGTATTCCGGGGCAAGGCGTCTGTCGCAATCAAAAACAACGAGGGACAAATTCCACTCCACGTGGCGATAATCTCAGCAACACAAAAGGCCAGACCCCCAGACCATCCACTGCGTGGTCCATACATCAATGTGATCAAGCGGCTGAGAGATTTGTCGTACGGCAACGAGCCTGACAACGACGGGAAATCTCCATGGAGCTATGCGATGGGTCCCGTGTACCGATGGATATTGAGGCTGAGAGACAACTCTTTGATAACAGGCAGCTCCTCCTCGGCTACCACAAACAAGCTGGAATCCTTAATCCAGCCGACTGGCTTACGTCTAACCGCCTGCAATAGCTTTGACGTGACGCTTGCCGAACTGTTTCTGCGTCACAGACATGGGAAGTTGACAGAGAAGCTTCACTTGGACGAGGTACCAAGCGTCTACGACGTCATCTACAAGGAAAACTCTGGAGTTCAGCAGCAACTGGCCCTCTCGCGGCCAAAGGAGGTGAAGGACAGGGTCACGTGCCGTTGGGTGCACCTGCCGGCCAACAACGTATGTTCCGTGATCAAGCACAGAAACACCTAACGACTATTATCTAACCGCCTATACAGGAGCAATGGGTCCATGTGAGCTTGTCTAAGGCGTGCTACATGCTTCCTAGGCGCTTACTGATACTGGATAGGATCTCTTCATCAGCATGGGCATCCAGGATGGCTCAATGGGCGGACAACGGAACGAGGGTATGATATTCAAACTCCTATTCGACTCAACATGTGCTGGCCAACTTTGGACTGCTCACAATCTCTCCCTCCAGGCTCCCGGTTCATTGGCCGCTACATGATACCGCAAGCGAGGAGGTATAAACATGTGCGTTAAGTATATTTCCAGATTGTAGTGTGTGTTGTTCGACCGTGGGGTGCGTGCTGCTAACTTGTCGAAGACTCACTTTCTCGCCAGGAAGGACTTATTGCATCCACAGACTTCGAGCAACCCGAGCAACCCGAGCAACCTTAAAAGCGATGAAAGCTCGATGACTGCTGTCGCAAGCACAAATAATCCTCCCGCGGACGGGCTTTCGTCGACAGATGAGTCCGAAGCAGAGCAGGTCTCGTCTGAGCAGGTGACGCTCAAACCTAGGAGTGGGAGGAGTTCAATAGCCCAAGTGATGAAGACCGACAATGATGCCATTGTTATTTTCGTAAGTCACGCTAATTCACTACAAGTCGACGAGAGACTGATTAGGGGAAACTGGCAAAAGATGCCCATATTGGGGTTTGAACGGCATCGACATCGAAAATATCTCAGTCGGGCGATTACGATAGCTCAAAATCAGAGTGCCCAGAGGTCTCATTATAATCGACGGTTTGGGCCGATGGCCGGCCCTCCTCCCCGTCCCATGGGGATGGGCCCCCATCCGATGATGAGGATCGTGAATCGAGAGGGTGAGGCAGCACTTTTAGGTGGCTACTTGGATGCCGCCGGACTTGACGTCAAGCCCTTACACTGTCGCCGAACTTTGGATCAGTTCTCTTATTACATGCTATCCTCGACCGAGACTAGGGACAGAACCCAGGTGGCTTACAGATGGGCAAAGAAGCCCCTATCGGCACTTGGGTTTCTAGATGTTCTTGCAAAGGATCGGCCAATTATCATGGGTTAGTGGCAGTTTCAAGCCCCTGAGCCGGGACAATACCTAACACGATCCCCATTTTCAGTCGATCAACTCTGGCTATGGGCTCTACATGACGGTGAGTGACTCTGAGTTCATTACCTAGCGGCCCGGGAGTCGAGGCGTTCTGAAGCTGACAATACCATGATTCCAAGGGACGGTCATCACGAGCTTTCCGAACACCTGGCAGCCGGAAGAAAAATTCAACTTGCGCAATGTTGTCGTTGACGAGCTTAGGGGAAACAAAGATCGCCCAATTATCAAGACCACGGAAGACTTTATTCACTTGATCTTGAAGACAAGTGTTGAATTCTTCAAGCGAAAAGGACCCATGGACTGCCAATTTCACGAGTGCTTCCAATCGTCCATCAACAAGGTCGTAAGTGACAGAATGAAGACTCGGCGAGCCGAATCATGGAACTACCTTGGTGTACTGACCGCTCTCTCTGTAGGCTGAAGGGCAAGGCAATTTGTTCTTGGAATTCAAACAAGCTGCTAGGAAGCTGAACCTTGGCAACCTCGAAGCAAAGAAACGGACTGCTGAGATTGAGATTCTCTTCGGCTTGGACCAGGAGACAGAGCTGCTCGTTGAAATCATGGATATCCAAGACGAATTGACAATAGTCAAGACGATCCTAGCGCAGCAAAAAGACGTCCTTGAAAAGCTTCTTCGCCTCTATCCCAAAAAAAATAAAGACGACGACGAAGAGGAGACTAGAATTCCGCCGTCGAAAGGGAAAAGCGAACTAGAGGTTCTGTTGCTGGCACTACTCAGGGACAACATGGGCGACAAGGTAGGCAAGAGAGAGGACGCGATGAGCCAGGATCCCGATGACAGCTCAGGACAGCCAAAGACCCACCAAAGAAAAGTGGCCGAGACAAAAGAAAAAGAAAGAGAGGGAGGTCAGCGACCAGTCTCAGGTGCCCCGAAGCCACTTAGCGCCTACACAGGCAGCATCTTGGAAAATCGCGAACTGATGCACGAGACCATCGCGGTCGTTGACAACAATATCCGGGTCGTGGCAGACATGCTACTATATGCGGAAAAGGTCCAGAAATCGGTGCGTATCTGCACGTTTGCGAAACGAACGCGAAAATAATGGGGTTTGACACTTTTGACAGCTGGACAATCTCCTGGACCTCAAGCAGAAACATGCAAACGCCTGGGAGGCGCGTTTCGCGCGCGAAGGCTCTGAGGAGACCCAACGACATGGAAACGTGAGAAAGTTGCTTTTGAGAAGGATGTGTCGAGGATTGCAGACTCACGTTTCTCTTTCTAGATTATCCTCGTCTTCACCCTCGTCACAATCATCTTTGTAAGTCTCCGACGTCGGTCCCTACTCCAAGGGTACCAAGCCAACCAGCTGACTAAAATTTCTGGCAGTTACCGCTGTCGTTCATTTCCAGCTTCTTCGCCCTCGACATCGATGTCTTTCCCAAGAATCCGGAAGGTGACACGACATGGCCGATTGGTGAAGTGTCAGGATACTTATGTGAGAAGAACCCGTCGAAGACATGTCGGGATAAAAAGCACTAACGTGGCGACAGTTGGATTATCTGCCTCCATTTTTATTCCCCTAGTATGCCTAGCGCTCTACGTGAACGATATTATAGCTCGCTGGCGAAAGGCTCGGAAATGGCTTGGGGAGGAGGTTGGACATCTAGAGCGTCCTCCACCCCTGGACGATATGAACCAGACAGAACACGATTCAGATTTCGAAGGTCCCGGGTTGGGCCGCCCTACGAGACTTCCACCCGTCCAGATTATCGAAGTGAGCGACACATCATCAAACACCAGCTCCGTCCACGCCCCTTTGTTTGGAAGATTCATGTTTCATTCCAAGATTCCGGTGCTCCGAGCACTATGGCGGTACAGGTACTACAGACGATCGAAAAGCATCGGCATCGACGGATGGAACGACACATACAAGAGAGACTATCTGCTACGTTACTTCAGCAAGAAGGTGCGTAAGGCCATACGACATTTCATTCGTCGCTGGTTGCGAAAGATGGGCAAGCCAGTTCGCAAGATGCGGAAGATGAAGAGGGCCAGGGACAGACGGCGAGCTAGGGCTAGAGGATCTGGAAACGACAGCGACTCAGGCACAGGCTGGTATGGCAGCGGCTCTTCGTCCACAGTCTCGACCACCAGCGCTACGACGAGTAGCGATAACAGCTCTTCGAATTCCGGGACTTCTCGGTCTGTTCGGACCTCTCGATCTCCTCGTCGGCGCCGACGCCGACTTACGAGGTGGTTCCGCAGACGCCGGGCCAGCACTTCGTCCGAAGTGACCCATACGTCGGTGACTAGTTACGGCAACTCAGGCGGTAGCGGCTCCGAGACATCCCGCCGCCGAAGTAAGAAGAAGGCGAATGCACACGAAGGAGTGCTCGGGGCCGTCATGGGATTGCCGGGGCTCCTCCGCCGCAGGTTAGTGGGCAAGCCGGCGAGAGAGGGAAGCAATGGGTCTGGCATGAGGGGGACAGTTACAGCTTCCACGGCTTCGGGCAGCTTGGACAACCGGCCCCGGACCAGGTCAACCAGATCAACCAGATCGGGAGGGAGCCCGCCCTCGCCAAAGCAACCCGGCGCTGGGGAAAAAGAAAACAAGGATTTCCAGAACGGAGAAAAGCAAGAGACAGAAGATGTAGCAGCGGGCGCGCCCCCGTCTCCGCCGGTCCCTTTGCCTCCGTCTCCGTCGGTCCCTTCGCCTCCGTCTCCGCCCGTCTTGCGGAATGCCTTTCAGCGGCTCGTGATTCGCCGTAAGGGCCGGGCTAAGAGCCCCGATACCGAGACGGGAGCCCGCCGATCTAAGCGTTCTTAGACAAGTTTGTCCTTAAATGAAGTCCGGGTCGCTCGGAGGCAACCTGAACTAGTACTGTCAAGGCGCCGAAATTTGCCTCTCCTGAGCAGACTAAAAAGTGAAGGAGACGTACGTCCCCTCTCAATCGACATATTTTTTCTACTACCGTTTCATAAAAACGGTTACTTGGTTAGTAATCTCCGTTTGTAATAGGCAGCCGGTACAACTTTAGAGACCCATATTCATAGCATATACATTGGATGGGTGCAGGTCCTTATTGCGTATTAGTGACAATAATCGATCCGTCCGATTCTATGGTAAGTACATTGCAAATGACCGCACAAGCATAACCATCAACCCGCCGTATTTCGGCCGAAGTAGATGGAATCGCGTATTGAATGCGCGCGACGCAGGGAGGAGGCCGCGAATCGGTTGATCTAGGTTAAGTTGTATGGAGTGTGTGAGAACTGAGAAGCCAAAAACACGTTGACGCGGCAACAACCCCAGAACTCGAGACCCACTAAATTTGAGCGGCAGGCCCACGGACTATTGCCTGGACTCTTTTTTTCTAGGGGCCTAGGGCGGCTGTAATAAGTCCGCGGCGACCTAGGCAGATTTTCCCTTTGTGTAACCTCGAGCAGTGGTGCCCGATGATGGGGCGGCGTTCCCCCCAACATTCTGATAATTCTGCTAAATCCACTGGCAGGTTTAAACACAACCTCTTCTGTGAATGGGCTGATTGGCGTCATGACGGGTCGTGTGCGTGGCAAAATATAATGTACTGTTTTGTCGAACATGGTCGACGACATTTGTCGATTCTGAAGCCATGCTTATCTTCCTCAAGTCTGTCACTTTTTACGGTTCAAAGGGCAAACCCCGATTCATGTTTCCGGCCCATATTAGCTAGCTTGTCCTGCCGAAATCTCTGGATGCTGCCTCTCATCTTTCACTGGTTCCCTCGTGGTTGCTACCGAAAGCCCCGGTGTCTTCGACTTTAGCTGAGTATGGCTCCTTCAACCCCTGCCGACCACACGGCCCCAAGCGACGAGGAGGACAATTCCTAGTGTTCCACAACCTTCCGGCTGGATTTGGACCAGCCTACTAGACTTGGGGACGCCACAAAAAGAGCGTGTCTCTGGAAGATACCACGTCAGAAGCTGGCCCGGGAAATCACTTGCAAAACTGGCCCAGTTCCTAAAGGCGAACGACGCCGCAGAGAACTTGGTAATCTTCTACTATGGAGGGCATGCCCTGCCGAGCACACAGCCCGGGGGCGATCCTCTGTGGGTGCCGTAAGTGTTCCCATTCCACTGCTTTGCGCCCCTAGCAAATGCCTTGGTTTTTGAGGGCTGATAGCAGTGGCAATCAAGGGCGGCAGAGCGGCAGAGCGGCAGAGCTGCATCCTGGTATCCTCTGGCATCGTCATCTCTTTATTGGAAGAGGCAGATTCTGACTTCCTACTCTTATCTGATTGCTGCCATGCCTACCCACCCGCAGGCAGAATCAGTCTCATGGTATGGCCGTAGCATAACATGACCGAAGTGATATCGGCCATGGAATCCGGCGGCATTACTATCGAGCTAGGCCAAACCTCCTTCTCACTCCACTTGAACGAAGCACTCTCTCTTGCTGCCCAGCGCGGACCGACCAAGATTATTCACCTTCATGCCGAGCTCACCGAACGCCTACGGTCAAGGCCGGTGTCACGCCAAGCCAAACAGCCGAGCTGGCACTCTATGCCCGACGATTATGGCCTGGTCAGACAAAAGTGTTCGCATTACTGGCTAGCGGGAGCATCTAGAACCATAGTGTTGGTCCCTCTCTCCAAACCTGCAGAGGTGACATCACCAGCCTTGCCAGTTTCGTTGCCACAGAACACAGTACCGAGCTGTGGTGTGCTGCAAGCCGATATTCCGGAACCAACTCCCATCCTGCCAGCTTCTGGGCCTCATCCGTCACTATCGACAACAGAATCTTCGCCGTCAAAACCAACGTAGGTTTGCCATGCCTTGCGTTGCTATTATTTTTTACATCCAACTTACTGAGTCTCTAACGCCTTGGAATGTAGGAACCCTCAAGGTACCGCAATCAGTTCACCGTTCCCAGCCTTACTACCTCCCTTACTCGAGCCCATCAAGCCTGAGTATGAATATTCGCCCCTCCAGTCTACAGCGGGTCGCTCTAGCGTTGAGATCAATCCGCAAATCCGGCTTCTGCACCTTTTACCCGGACAGGAATCCGAACCTTTGTAGTGCTCTCTAGAGGCTGTAACACTTTTCAATGGGCCTACCATGAAATCAATCATCTCCGGCTCACCATTTACGACGATGAGATGCTTATCGTATGAGGTAATTTCATATGCCTGGGGTAATGTGATGTCGGAAGAGAATATTATCTGCAACGACAAAGTCTTGAGGATAACATCGAGCCTCGCGGTCGCCCTTCGAAGGACACGCCTCCTAGACCGGCCTCGGGTCCTCTGGGCCGATGACATCTGTATTAACCAGAAGGGCGAGTCCGAGAAGGCACAGCAAGTGCCCCTTATGGCGGCAATTTACTCGCAAGCTGAGCAGGTTCTCTGCTGGCTTGGCGAAGGCGATGAAGGGCATGCCGCGCACAAGTTCAGCCTCATTTTCAACGAACTCGACATGAACATCTCTCCAAGATGGTTCAAGAAGTCATCCCCGACCTCCTGATACTGCAAAAGATTCCTCCCGAAACCCCGAGCGAGCTTGCCGAATCTGTGAGTTGGATCACAATCTTTTTCCTCGGCTTTGATGAGCTTGACGATGAACTCCAAGATACCTTGAATGCGGACCATTTTGCAGAGATGTTCGAGAAATCGTGGTTTCATCGTATGTGGATCCGGCAAGAGATAGGCTAGGCCTCCAAAGCAACCGTCCTGTGTGGGAGGTGGCAAACCGACTGGCGCTCGCTTCTTGTGGCACATCTCTGGATCATTCCGAGGGCCTTCAAGAAGCAGAAAGTAGAATGGCTTCATCGAATGATCCATGGGTTACGACAACTTCTTTAACGAATCATTGTCTGCCCTCGATCTGCTTGTCTCCTCGAGACGCTTCCTGTGCATAAACCCAAAGGATGGGGTCTTTGCGTTGCTGGCACACCCTGCCGTGTATCTGGAGTCTACCCCTTCCGGATTTAAGCATCATGTTGCCGTCGTTCTCGAGTCTAAATCACGAGGCCAGAGGGGTGACATGATTGCCAAGCAGGTATCAGAAGCACGCGAAAACATTTACCGAGATTTTCTGTCAATCATCTCGGAGAAACAGCCTGCAGTTCATCGCGTGGTCGTTCAACCAAGGGCAAGTTTGGGTTTGGACGATTTTTGTCAAGCTGCCGGGCTCCCGCGCCTGGTGAAGAAGGGTGGCCAATCCTCTCCACAAGTATCTCTGGAGTTGGCAGTTTCCCATTTCTTCAGTGGCAGCAGAAAGGGGAGAGCTAATGCCACCTGAACAGAAACGAGAGAGCAATGATCTCCGCTTCTCAAGAATCACAGTCCGATAAAGTTTCTGAAGGTGATAGCGATGACACTAAAACCTATTACGCAATTCACGATATCAACCAACTCAGAAGACTCGACGAAGTTGATAACCCTCGCCTGCATGCGGTAAACCGAGTGCAACCTCTTTCCTTTCTCACCTGCGCAACAAGCAAGAAGGCGGTCAAAGTGGACTACACTCGGTCCCTGGAATGTTCGTAATAATGAGTAAACGGCATGGATGTGTCTTGAGAGAAGGAGCGGCGTTCACTTACACATTGGTCAATGCTCTGGATTAACACCTATAGCCCTAACCCTGTACCAGCAAGGCTAGGGGACAAGAGAAGGCGCTGGAAAGGAAAACGCCACACTAGCCGAGGCTGAGAAATGCAGCCCGCAGCATTTCCTCGCGATCGCGACCGCGACTTTAAGTTTTGCTGGACTATATCCTTGCGACTGACCTCCCTGACAGACCCCTCACCTTCAAACCCACGACGAGACTACGGTGCGCACGCCCACACATAGCAGCCGACGACACTCATTTGCAGTCTTGTCTTTAATAGCCCAAGGCCACCAAGCAGCGGGATTTAGTCAGCTACCCAGCAGCTCCTGCGGCCCGTTTAGCTAGCAGCACGCCGCCATCATGTCTCGCCATCACCCGTGAGTCTTTCTCGCCGGCCTCCCGAGTTGCAAACGCACAACCCCCCCTCCCCAAGAAGGCAAAGGCAACGGAAAAGAAGAAAAGAACCATAGCTAACAGAAGGGCTGAAAAAAAAACAGCGACCTCGTCATGTGCCGCAAGCAGTCGGGCATCGCCATCGGGCGGCTCTGCGACAAGTGTGACGGCAAGTGCCCCGTGTGCGACTCGTACGTGCGGCCGACGACGCTGGTGCGCATCTGCGACGAGTGCAGCTTCGGCAACTACCAGAACAAGTGCGTCGTGTGCGGCGGCGAAGGGATCTCGGACGCCTTTTATTGTTTTGAGTGCACGCGCCTCGAGAAGGACCGTGATGGGTGCCCCAAGATTATCAATTTGGGTAGTTCGCGAACGGATGTCAGTATATTCTCTCTCCCTCTCTCTTTTTTTTGTTATTGGTATATGTGCTAACATGACCAAAAAAAACAGCTGTTCTACCAAAAAAAAACAAATCGCACTTTCACCTAGCACTCGAGCGGCCCGGGCCTGGGTCAGAGTGGCTCTTTTTTTCCCTCTCTTTTTTGTTGTCTGTCTGTCTGCATCCCTCGCCAGCTGCGTTGGAGGCGCCGTTCCGCGATGTCGTCCACGATCATCCGCCGACCTCGTTTCTCCTCACCGCTGCGACTACGGATAGTAGAGACGACGGAGCGCGATGCATCATACGGTGCAGACGGGACGGGACCTAACGGGCAGCAGCAAAGTCGGTCGGCTGGCTGGTTTTTATTTTGTCTTTCTTCAAAATAGGCTTGGGGCGTTGATGGCGTTTTATGTTGAGCAAATGGGGTATGTAAAAGTTGCATCTGAATCTCATGTTATCTTGGACTACACCTGCTATTTCTCAGACCATGTTTAACTGAGCAAAAAGCCGGTTTGGATCCCGCATCAAAGGAAACGAGACGGAAGACGAGGAGAGATGTGTAAATATTTGATGGTTGTAGTTTCGTATTATTGATACCTAAACCCGACTACATGCCGTGCTGCATTATACATACGTGCCTGTCTGTCAATGTGCCTACCTACTCAAAAAAAACAACGCCAATTAAGAACCTAAGGTGCGCCTCCCCTAATGCGAGTAAACAAGTAAAGTGTGACACACAAGATATACAAGAAGGTATTAAAACCGCCAGTCCCAAAACCGACAACACAAAGGCAACAATAAGTAGCCCCGCAAATGCACCGCAAATGCACGTACGTATTATATGTAGCTGACCTTGACGCCCATGCCGGCCGTCGCCTTGACCTTGCCCCAGCCCGCGCCGAGGATGCGGGCAATTCTCTCGCGGATGCTGCGGCGGCCAAACATCAAGAGCAGCGCTACGATGAACGCGAGCGTCCGGTACAAGAGCACCGGGTTGGCGTGGAAGGACAGCGCCGCGCGCTCGACGAGCGTGCGGAGGTTGGCCAACACCATGGCCGCTTTGGTGCCAAAGGACGGCGGCGCCGTGGCGGCCGCTTTGCCCTTCTTGGTCGAAGAAGGCAGGGGCCGTGATATGCTGCCGCTGCCGCTGCTTGGCCGGGGTTTCCTGCTACTGCTGCTGCTGCTGGTTCCCTCGCGGTCGCGTGTGCTGTGATCGATGCCGTAGTCCACCTCGCCCGAGGATGAAGACGACGACGAGGACGACAACGAGGACGTGGCAGAGACGGCCTCGCGCCGCGCGCGCCCCTCGTCTAGACGCTTCCGCTCGCGCTCCTCGTTCTCGGCCCGTAGTCTCCGGCTCTCCTCGATGCCGCGGCGGAGCTCGTCGTTGCGCCGCTGGCGGTCCTCCTGCTCGCGCCGCTCGGCGTCCTTCTGGTCGTCCTGCAGGCTCTGCAGCGCCTGCAGGAAGGCGTCACGCCGCTCCTCGTCGAGCACGGGGCTCATGCTAATGAACTCGCGCGCGTAGTCCCACTCGTTGTTGCGCAGCAGGACGTGCAGCGTGTACAGCTCGAGGATCTTGACCCGCGCGTTCAGGTCCCGCGGCGTGTCGGCGCCGCCGCTGTGCGACGGCCCCTTGCCGGGGGCAGGCGATCGGAACCGTCGCGGCGACGACGGGGGGAACCGTTCCGAGATGGCGTCCAGGTTCGGCGTGCGCGCCGCCGCCAGGTAGTTCTCGAGGCGTTTCTGATTCAGCGTCTGGGTCTTGGCGTGTGCGAGAAGAATCGTTGCCCTACAACATTATCATAAAACATTAGCGCCTGATTCGCGGGAAGGGAGGGAAATGGGGGGTTGCCGTACAAGTTGATGACCACGTCCGAGTCCACGTCGCCCTCGACGCCGTGGTAGCCGTTGCTGACCACTTCCTCCCACACGTGGCCGTCGCGGACCTTGGCGCAGAGCGTCCTCCATTCCTGGGTGCCGAACGCATCCTTGCCCTCGTCGGCGTCCAGCTCGAGGATCGCGTTGAGGATGGTGAGATACAGGCTCCAGACCTTGATCCTCGTCGACCTCGACGCCCGCGCGACCGGGGCGGACTCAAAGGCCTCGCCGTTCGGGTCGTCGGGTGGCGGCGGCGTAACTAGCGGCAGGACCGTCGAGAGCGCCTCGGGCAGCCGACGCGTCAGGAACAAGGTCGACGCCTGACGGTATGTCTTGGAGATGCTAGAGGCTGAGTAGCTGCGCGCCGATGCTGTGGAGGATGAGAGCGACGAGATGGAGGCCGACAGAAGGTGTGGTCTTGTCGCTGATGACGAGTACGATTCCGTAGCCGTCGGGCTCAGGGCCCCGGTGAATGATGCTCTGCTGGAAGCCATCGGCTTGACTGTGCGGTTCTCAAGTGGGCGTGTGTGTGTATGTGTGTATTTGCACGAAGGTGTTTACGCGCACGTCTCTATCGGATTCGAGAGGGAGGAGGCGTTCGCATCTGCAAGGTCCCGGCAGGAGACGAGAGGGGTAGCCGGCCTGAGAAATGGATATACGGCAATGGCGGGCTTGTTCGTCTTGACCTCTAGATGTCTCCCGCTGTCGCTGTCCCTCTGCGACGGATCTGCTGCTTGCTTAATTAATTGCTAGCGCAGAGTCACGGCCATGGCGCGAGGGCCTCGGTGGAAAGTCCGAATTGCGGTTTCGGTTCAAACGATTCACCAAAATAAGGTTTCATCGAGAACAGCGCGCAGCAGCGGCCATAGCATAGGCCGGGTTCAGGAGGCGGAGGTAGAGGTGGAGGCAGTTGCTACCGCTGGCTCTGTGGGGATTCTGTTTGACGTTGTTTTGTCCGGTGACGTGAAAGGGCGGCTGGGGTTGGCTCTTCGGTGATTGAGCATTCCAGCTTCCTGGGCCTCGGTTGCCGACGGCTGGTGGGGCAGCTTGGGAATTGCAACCGGTCTAGAGCACGACTTTGATTAGGCCTAGACTTCTGCGGAGAAACAGGTACTGAGCTAACTAAGTTGACTTTCCCGGTAGCTTGCACATGCACGTAGAAAACGTCAGGGACTGAAGTAAACAACTATTTGCATGAAGATTAATTAGTGCATACGTAGCAACGTTTATATGCAAGCAACCTCGTGAAACATTTCCCGTGCCTAGGTACCTACTTTTTAAGTCGACAGCAATATCCGTAACCAGACCTAAAGATACAAGAAACTCCGTGCTTCTATCTGATAAAACCAAGTTATACGGTTTCAGTGAGCATTATGAGATTATGATAGAAGAGAGAAAAGGCATAAACAAAAAGAAACGCATACGGTTTGTAATGATCCAAGACCGCCCCGAGTCAACAAAAACTCGGCCTAATTCGGCCGCTGAACCGATGCCGTTGATGTCTGGCCAGGCTCACTAACATCTGGAACCCGGCCCCTGACTACTCTACTACTCCGCGCTCTGCTCGAGGCATCTACGTCATAATGAGCTCGGCCTAGTTTTAATTAGTATCTTGTCCGTCGCGCAAAACACGCCAAACACGCAACGCTGAATAGACAGACAGCTTTGTTGACACGTCTCCTATCCGACAACTTTCGACGGCCCATGGCCTTCATGTACTAACACGACTATCCAACCCACCACTCGAAATGCCACAAGCACATAGGCCTTTTTCTGCAAAAATACATACCTCAGGTGAATCTCAAACTCAGAACACCGCTGCAGCATCTTGACTATGCAACATAAGTTTCCTCTTCAATCCCCATACCTGTCCAAACGTTGCCAGAGCACGTACACACCCAACCGCCCTAGAGCAGGGTTACGCTACTGCAACATCGAGTCCAGGCTCTCCCCCAGTGTTTGCTCGATGGCCACGATCCAGCGGCGATTCTCCCGCTCCACTGTCTCGTTGTCGTCGTCTTGTAGCTCGCTGATATACGGCAGCATCTCAGGCAGCGACTGCAGCCACTCCTCGCCCAGACGAGCCGTCAGGTCCTGCTCGCACTTCACCACCGCCAGCCGCACAGCGGGCTGCTCCGATCGGAGATGTTTGAGCAGCGCTCCGTTCAACTCCTTGTGGTGCTCCTTCGAGACGGCAGCTGCGGCGAGCTCCACAACAGCTGCGGCGAGCTCCTCGGTCGACTCGATAGTTCCCGCCAACAGGAACTGCCCTGTAAGTACAGGGGCAACGGCGTTGAAGTGCGCGGGTGCTTGCCAGAACCCATCCTGGTCATGTTCGAAGCACTTGGCCAGAGTGCAGAGGACTTGCTTCCACAGCTCCTTCTCGCCTGCCTCCTTGAAATCCGTCTTGCCCAGGACAGCGACTACGCTCTCCACCATATAAGACGCATAGCTGGTCACAATTGACTTGAGGCTGCCGAAGAAGGTATCCAGGAACGAGTACAGACTCAGTAGGCGCAAAGTCCTCCCGGCGACGTCGCTCTTGGGGAGCCCCGACCACGACCACTCGACAAACCGGGCAAACACGGGTCGGAAAGCGGCGTCGTTTAGCTTGTATATCATCTTGAGAGCACCACCGTTAATAGCGCTCTCGATCTGAGCAAGTTCCGTTGCTCCAAACTCGCCAGTTTGGTTGGTAGCATTAAGTCTCCTCAGGTCGAGAGCACTGAGGAAAATGGCCGAGATGGAAGTAATGTTTTTGGCGATAACCGACTTGGGGTGTTTGTCGAGAGCCATGCCAAGAATTTGGAGGCATTCGGTGAGGGCCTGTTGTCTGTTAGTTACTGCTCCTGTATATACTTTGTCGAGCTCTCTTACCGCGAAACCCGAGGCAGCCGCATGGGCCCAGTTCTTCTCCAGGGCAACAAATAGTGCCTTCGGATCAACCAGCTTCGCCAGGAGCTGAAGACAGTGGGATCGATTGCTATTCGATTCTTCGTCGAGGCCAGCGGCCGCCGACGAGTTCGAGCAAGCCAGCAACCGATCGAGGTAAGCGCCCGACATCATGTACGGAATGTGCTGAGCTAGCGCTGCCATAAAGGCATATGCCGCATTGTGAAGCTCTGGGTTTGACTTTTCGTCACCAATGCTTTCTTCGATATAAGCCAGTGCCTTGGGAATTGCCGCCGGGAGTACAGGCACGATGCCGTCTTGCAAGACGTCAACGAGCGAGGCCAGACACAAAAGGGCCATGACGCGGAGGGTCTGAGATGGCTGGCCAAGGCAGTGGTCGCCCACAATTGTCGCCGCGGCAGCTGCAACCGCCTCAATATCCTTCTTGCCATACTTCTCGGCGATCTTGTCGACACAAGTCACAGCCGTGTGCTTGTAGTCCATGTCATCCGACTCTCGAACAACAGCAGTGAGCTGGGGCAAAAAAGCGAGCAAGGCCGTCCTCGACTTCGGGTCCGTGTTGCCTTCGCTGTCCACGCGCAGCTCGAGGGCTCGCAAAACCTTCTGCCGCAGTCCAACCTTGGGCCGATCGAGCAGAGCTTCCACGCTCTTGATGAACTCGGCGATTGATAACAGGTTCAGAAGATTGGACAGCGCGTCGCCGCAGCGGTTGTACAGGGGCTTTTTAGTCTTGACAGTGCTTGCGAGCGTGAGCAGGCTCTCTAGCAGTGTGGCGTAAAGATCACGAATCCTGGCCGAGTCCATGTCGTCCCTCTCAGCCAACTGGGAAATTTCCCGTTTCAGCCGCCGGTTCGCAAGTAGGTGTGGCAAAAGCGCGAGCTGCTTTGTCGCGGTTTTTGCAGGGTCCTTCTCTCCATGATCGTTCTTTCCAAGGAGCGTGGCCGACAAAATGGGCTTCGGCTTGAAAATGTCGCCGACCAGGTCCAGGAACTTGATCAAAGTCTGCAGTTGGATTTCAACAGAGAAGTGGCTCAAGAGTTGGGTGGTGAATGAGACCATGCTATCTGTGGCACCATACTTGTCCACAAACATGGCGAGCACCGCGAAGAGGAAATCTTCTGGCCCAAGGCTTTCGATCAGAGACACGAACAGACCGTACTTTCGGTGAGAGGGTACGTGTTCGTAGGCAGTTACGAAACTCGTGAGAAGTTCCGATGTGCTTGCCACAAGGTTTCTCCGAGTCCTGCGGAATGTGTCGATTAGAGGAGGAATTACCTCCTTGACGGTCTGGTTGATGACATGGGCCGAGTAGTCGTCGGCCTGCTTGAGCACTGAGCCGCCCATGAAGGTGAAAATGGGCATCACACTCTGCAGCACAACCTCGGGAGCAGTTTTCGCCAGACTAGCCACGAGAAGCAACGCGGCATTGATAACGGTGGGGCTGGATGATTTCTGAATGCAGGCCGCCAATACGTCTCCATGACCTACGGATGCATCAATCGTCAAGTTTTTGTCCTTCTTGAAGGCTGGCATCATTGCCAGGAGGCTGCTTAGCACAAGGTTTTGAAGATACCCCAGTTCTGAGCCAATAAGAGTCCGGAGATGTTGAAGGTCTGCCAGGGCGTTGAAGAGGCTCGTGAGCAGTTCCGGGTGGTCTTGTGGTTTGGACTCCTGGACAAGTTCCAAAACAAACGTGGTATTGTTCAGAACGGCGTGGAGCTCTGGGCTACCTTGCAGACTAACGCTTCGGCTGTGCTCTGACGCACTGACCCGCCTCCGTTTGGCCGCTGGCGGCTCAATGACCATATTGACGCCTTCCTGCAGAGTCTGGAGAAAGTCAAGGAGTATGTCGGTTGTGAGTTCCACCTTCCGCAGGAGGTCAGCAGCCTCTGCAGGAATGGAACTCGGTCCAGACGAGGGTCGGGAAACGGTTTGCGAAAGAGCAATCATTATCTTCGCCATGGAAAACCGCGTATCGGATTTCATCGACGGCCAGATCTTGCCTAGGCGAGCAAATATAGCCTGGACAAGGTTTGGCCTCGATGCAGTTCGTGGTTCTTTGATGAAGTCAAGAAGCGTTTCGAGTCCAACAGCACTGTTTGCAATGACAATGTCCACAAACGCGGCATCCAGCGCCACCTCGTCGAGTTGCTCTCGGATTGCAAGCTGGCTTGCTTCAGTTTCTGGCAGATAAGCCCACCATTTGAGCAGCGGCAGCAGAAGATCTGTTCTGGAGGTGCCGGAAATGCTCCGTATTTGGTTAAGCGGCTTCAGTAAGCACAGCTTGACTGTGAGAATGGGTGTCGCCACAACATGGCTGCACAAAAACTTCAAAATAGAGAGTCTCATCGCGTGAGAGAGATGCTTCTTCTCAGTGTCCTTCTTTTCCAAGCAACCGCTAAGAGCCGCGAGCACATGGTCCTGGTGGATGACGGATTCTTCCAGAGAGGGGAGGAGGACGGACTGAACCAGTGACTTTGATGCGTCAGGGGCCAGGTTTGAAAGGACATCGCTCTTCACATAGAGATCTTTTGACCCCCAGACAGGTCGAGTGCTCTTAGCAGGGTCGGCGAAAAGAGGACCCAAGACAGCCATGAGATCTGCCGCAGCACGACGGACCTTCTTCGCAGAGTCGCTCAGTGCGACTATGCAGTAAGGAATCAGGGCCTGAAAGTCGTGGCTGGTGCAGTCTTCTTCCTTCAATCGAGCTTTGACTTGCTCCAGGGCCGCTACCTTGGCTAGTGTGGGAAACTGGCCACACCAGATCCGCACATAGAAACTGAAGTAAAACGATTCCCTTGGTGCTTGGAGCTGGCTCAAAACGGGGGCATTGTCGAAGTTCGGAAGACTGCCCTCGCTAGCAGCCGCGGATAAAAATACCGAAAAGAGCTCGTCAAGCAAATTAGTTGGCTCCTCAGATAAGCATGAAGACGTCTGAGGTTCCAGGTTTGAAACCCGTTGGAGGGCCGCTTCCAGCTTTTCTTGTTTCCCGGGAAGCCCGGATTCCTTGTCGACTGTCAGATCCTCCACCGGTTGCTCGATGATGAGCTTAGAATGAATGGATGTGCCCAGTTTCAGCTCCAGCTCCTCGATGTCGAACTCAACATCCTCAATCGCCGCTCTAATGGCATCTCCAGCATCTCCGGTAGCTTGAGACAAGCTGACTAGAACCGAGCCAAGCTCCTTGCGGATGCGGCCATCCTGGTCAACATCGTCGTTGATTTTGTGGGCTGCCAGAAGCATTGCCTTGTAGACAACCTTGGCCTGCTTCTCCTGGAGAACATTGCCTAGCAGAAGTGACTTCACGGCCGGGAGGCTACGAATATCGCCCTTTTTAGAGAGCCTGTCAACCAAAGCCAGAGCAAGCCCATTCGCCAGCTTGTCAACCCTATGGTCCTGGCTAATATCTTGCAGAGTTTGAGTAAGCTGTTGCAGCTTGAGAAGAGCCTTGGCTACTCTCGCGGAAAGCTGCTTCGCAGATCGGTATTGCGATAGAATGCAGAGGCAGACAAGGCCCGAGCGGAAAGTCTCAGCTGTCCAGCCGAGGACGAGCTGGTCCATGAAGGCAGACAGTGCCCCATCGTCCAGACTGCCCTTGGAGGCAAGAACCGCAATAATCATATAGCTTGCAATTTGAAGGCCCGGCACGTCCTTCATGACCATGGCCTCGCTCAGAACCGGCGAAATTTGCTGGAGTAGGGTGTGGTTGTTCTCCATCTGGATGCTCTTCCTCCCGGACCGCATCTTGTCGAGCATTCCATTGACAGCCTCCACCATGATACCGCCCCAGAACGAAATTAGCCCGGGGTACTCATGTTTAGATCGGCACGATTCAAGGGTGTACTCGGAGATGGTCGAGAGGATCTCCGGGCGGTTTGTCGCCTGCTGGACAATGGCAGCCCGAGGAGGCGCCGTCAGAGAGCGGATATAGGGGTCAAGAAACCTATACTTGTCGGGAATCTGGCGGGGCAAAATGGACAGCAAGGTGACGAAGGCCGGGATGGTGTGAAACGGTAGGAAAGTGGTAATTAGAGTCGCCGTGTTAAACTCGTGGATTCTGCGCCCATATTAGCACCCATGCATGCGGCAGCAAACCCAATGGATTTTCATCATACCGGAATCTCCGAATCAGCCATTCAATGGCCTTTATCGCAGGAAGAAGTCGAAGACGGCCGCCGACAAGGTGGAGGAACGATTCTACACGCCTGTCCAGTGCTACATTCTCCTCAGCCGTCATTTGAATTCGTTCCGCATCCTGGCTCTCGTTGCTGAAGAGGTTGGTGGCATAGTGACTGAAACGTGGATCCAGGTGGCACAATTCTTCGAAGCCATCGTGACACAGCGAATAGATCTCTGGAAAGGACTGGGTTGCTGCTACGCGAGCCTCGAAGAGCAATGACTTGGCATGAGCCGCCTTCACAGTCTTTGTGTTTAAACTGCTTCGAGATTGGGACGCGATTTTGTTGAGCTGCGCAGCCAGAGATGTCGCCATGATGGGCTGTTCCCTGCTGGGTCAGCTGCCTCTTGCGGTCCTGGACGAGTAAGACGGTCAGGAAGGCAGCGTGCGCTTTCGTCCAGTCGTTTCTCGAGAAGGGCTAGCACGCAACTCGGGGGCAGCGCCTTCACAATATTGCAGGCTCCGGTTAGAGAAGCGATATGGTGCTATGCTAGTATCAAGGCTGCGGCAGGTTCAAGGAGAAAGCAACTGATTCTTTGGGCGCAGCAGAGGTCTGTCTGCTAAACAAGCTTGCAGCCCACTACGCTCGAGGTTTTTTTTTTTTTTACTTTGCGGGGAGCCGATAAGAAGCTTTGGCCAATCACTGCGATCGGAGAACCCCAAAAGTGGGTGGATTGGCGCAATCGGTTGGAGATGCACCAGGGATCAAGAAAAAAAAGAAGCACGACGGACTACAACAGACCGACAACTTCCCCACCAGAATTCAAAAAAGACATTCAGCATATCGCGATGGCTTCTCACCCGTCGAAAAAGCGAAGGCTGTCACCGCCTCAGTCGGAGGACGGGTCCGGGACCGGCGCCAATGGGGTCAAGGTGCAGAAGGCCTTCTTCAAGAGCGCTTCAAACTGGAATCTCGAACAGGACTACGAGAACCGGCCGCGGAAAAACAACAAGAAGAAGAAGACGGACCCGAAAAATAACACCAATGGTATCACCGGCACACTGCCCGTGCGGACTGCTGGCGGCGAGTGGCTGGTACAAGACGATGCCGCCTCAATAGCAAGCGACGCCGAGTGGCTCGAGAGCGACGGAGACGAAGAGGCTCTCCCCGAGGAACCGGCCGCCCCTGTTCCGGTGGCGCCCAAGATCCCCGAGCGCGAGCAGATCAGGATTGCCCAAGAAGAGCTGGCAAAGATCGCTACACAGCTGAACGAGGACCCAGAAGAATACCCAGGCGCCTTCAAGGCCATGGCGAAGCTAGGCGAGTCCAAAATTCTCGCTATCAAGAAGCTCTGCCTCGTAGCCCAGATGGCTGTCTACAAGGACGTCATCCCCGGCTATCGGATACGACCGGCAACAGAGGACCCGGCCATTGAGAAGCTGTCCAAGGATGTCAAGAGAGTCCGGACATACGAGCAGGCCCTGGTCACAGCCTATCAGGCGTACCTCAAAACACTTGCGCATCACGCAAGCACGCCGACATTTCACTCCGACAGGTCCGGGAACGATATCTCCAGTATTGCGCTCACTTGCGCCTGCACACTTTTGAGCTCAGTCCCTCACTTCAATTTCCGGAGCGATGTGCTGAGGATTCTCGTGAGGAAACTTAGCGCCCGCAAGGCGGACGCCGACTTTATCAAGTGCCGCCGCGCTCTCGAGACGCTGTTTCGAGAAGACGAGGACGGAAAGGCATCCATGGAGGCAGTGTCCCTGTTGACCAAGATGATGAAGGTTCGAGAGTACCACGTTGACGAAAGCGTTCTCAATCTGTTTCTTCACCTACGTCTATTGTCAGAATTCTCCGGTAAAGCGTCCAGAGACCACGTCGAGCGGGACCCGGACGCACAGCTGGTCAAGAAGCCCAAGGCGAAGAAGGAGTTCCGCACCAAGAAGGAACGGAAGCTTCTTAAGGAGCAGAAGGCGGCCGACAAAGTGATGGCCGTAGCCGATGCGGCGGTCAGTCACGAGGAGACGGAGCAGATGCAGTCTGAAACCTTGAAGATGGTATTCGCCTCATATTTCCGGATACTCAAGGCGCGGTCGCCGCAATTAATGGGAGCTGTACTGGAGGGTTTGGCAAAATACGCCCATCTAATCAACCAGGATTTTTTCGGCGACCTTCTCGAAGCCCTGAAGGAGCTCATTCGCTATAGCGAAGACGTTGAGGGAGACGAGGGCGACGAGCCGGCTGACGAGGAAGATGACAAGCTCTCGGCCGTCCGAGACACGAGCCGAGAGGCGCTTCTTTGCACCGTCACCGCCTTCGCGCTGCTGGCTGGCCAGGATGCACACAACGCCCGATCTGGTCTGCACTTGGACCTGTCCTTCTTCATCACCCATCTCTACAGGAGTCTGCTGAGCCTCTCGATTAACCCAGACCTCGAGCTTGGGGCACAATCGCTCCACCTCCGTAGCCCTGACGGTCTGCACGGGCGGGACGACTTCAAGGTCAACCTGCAAACTACCACCGTCCTGCTGATGAGGTGTCTCAGCGGCGTTCTGCTCCCGCCCTGGAACATACGCTCCGTGCCGCCACTCCGTCTGGCAGCCTTCACCAAGCAGCTCATGTCTCTGTCGCTCCAGGCCCCCGAGAAGTCGTGCCAGGCGGTGCTGGGGCTCGTGCAAGACGTCCTGCACACGCACGGCAAGAAGGTCAACGCATTGTGGAACACGGAGGAGAGGAAGGGCGACGGCACGTTCAAGCCGTTGAGCGAGACGGTCGAGGGCACCAACCCGTTCACCGCGACGGTGTGGGAGGGCGAGATTCTGCGGAAGCACTACTGCCCCAAGATCAGGGAGGAGCTGAAGCTCATGGAGAAGAATATTAGGAAGATCTAAAAATAATGAAACCAGCTCTTGTTTTTAGACAATGCCCCTTTCTGGGGGGGGTTTTCTTTAAAAGTACACCATGTAAAGTTGATACCTATGAATATTACTATGATGGTTGGACTACGTATGGTATCCTAGACAAATCTCTCTCTTTCTCTCCGAGGCTAATACCCCACGGCCATGCCTTCCATGAACACGATTTGCCTTCTCTAAGTCTCAGTCGATTCATTCGCTTGTTTTGATTCACTGGGAAGTGTATTACGACACTGCCGCGGATACGCGATGACCATGCTCTTCGAGAATCCATCGGTAGGTATTTGGCGGCAAGAAAGTCTTTATACTCTCCTGGAGGTCTAGCAGTTTTAATACGTGCGCCATTTCCCAGTCCACAGTCAAAGCAAGGCATAGTAGATGGGACTTGTTTAACGTGCGGTTTCGTGATATCATGTTTAGCTAACCTCGAACGAGTAGAGTAGCTGGTCGTGTCTACATTTACACTCTCGCATCAACTAGCCGGCTATTTACAATCATGCGGGATGTCCGGTTTCTCCTCTTCACCCCTTTTCCAAGCTCTACAGTCTACACAATATCCTAGACAGCAGTTTCGTTTCCCATGTTCTTTTCCTTCGTAAGTACCACGCCAACAAACATTCAGGGATTGGATTGTAAGGCTCTATGGGCTACCGGGGGGGGGGCGCTTGGTCGGATGCGGTCATGTAAGCCGTTGTCGTTCGGATAATCTCCGAACCACCACAACACTCGCCCCATTTCTCAAATATCTCTCTCTCTTGCCCACGTTCCGTACATGGCAAGGTCGGTTGGCAAAAGCTCCACTCAGTAGCAAGTACTAGCTAGCTATACTAGCTTGTCGCCGCTTCCTTCCGACGCCAGAGACCGCGATTTGGGCCTCGTGGGAAGGGAGCTAGGGAATCAACTGCGGAGTAAAGGAGCTGGCATGGCTGAATAAACCGGGGCCGGAGAGGGAGAGGGTGTGTGTGTGGATGTTTGTGTTCCGGGAGCCGCCCGCGCTGGACGGGTCCATCGTCTACCCCAACGCTTGACGGGGACCGCATGTCTATAGCTGGTTACCTAGCGATACGCGAACATATTGCGTAGGCAGGCAGCAGCGAACTCGGTCCAGCTCGATACTCCTTGGTATCTCACGGTCCATGTGTATGGCGTATGGACACACATGCCAAGTCCCTATCACGCCTACACTGCACTAACAGTGGGAGAAATGGCGAGTGGACCGCTGCGTACCTACCGCGCCCAGTGCAGTGTAACGGGGCATGAGGTTCTGGGCCAAGGCCCCAAGGGTAGGTAGGGTTGTCAAATTTGGCATGGGCTGACCCTTGAATTCATGCTTGCACCTGAGGTGAGGAGGAGTACGAGTATGCCCAGAAGGTGGCGGCGGTGAGGGAGAGTTGATGTGGGATTGGGTGGTACAGCAGGGTTGTCGTCTGTTGATGGCGGCGAACCCAGGGAGAATCTTTTTTGCTCGCTCTCTGCCCATGCGGCATTCCACGACGGGTTACACATGTTTGCTTGCCACGCACTGTCAGTCTGCTCGAGCGTTGTAATGATGATGCCTTGGCGAGGAGGGGGGAAGCATTTGCGCAAGGATCATGGTAATCTTTGACAGCGGACAGCGGGTCAGCGAGCATGTCTCGGGGATCTTTGCGGTTTCAGATGTTGTCTATGTCTCCTTTTCCCCTTTCCCTTTTCCCTTTTCGACCCAGCGGCTAGTCCGTCGGGGTGTGGGCGCGAGCCGGAAGCGGCATTGGCTAGGTGTTGGATAAACAGACGGGAGACGAGAGACGAGAGGCGGGAGACGGCCAGCTGCTTCTCTGTCGGCTGTCCCACTCGAGTAGCGCTAACATACTCACTCTGTTCCTACCTAAACCACTAGCACCACGGGGCCCAAGGCTGCTGCGAAGGTCATCGGGAAGAAGCTCGAGAGCCACAGAGCGGAGTGGTGGTCAGGTCAGGTCTCTTGGACGGGCCAGCACAGGCAGGCGAAACACGAGCCTCCCAATCCCGCCATCCCACTTCCCCGCAAGAACAAGATCTGCCTACCGCCAGGAACGGCTTACCGTTGTACAAGTATAATCTCTAGACGAATCCGACAAATCGCGAAAGACGGGTACGGGAGGGGATACTTCGATTCGTAGTGGATCTGGGTTTGGTTGGGCGCCACCACCTCCCCAGCGTCTGAATCGTGGCGGCCTTTGCACGTCCAGTCTTCCTCCACTGTTTTGTAGTGTTGCGCGCGCGCGGTCCACTCTTCCTAAGGTTTTTAGCGATGGGACATGGAACATCCATGTCTTGAGCGCTCAGGTACCTGCGTTGCTGCAGCTTGGACCTGCGTCAGTGGAGACTTCGGCACGGTGCCTGTGCCCACTGCCTACAGTTGAGTGTGCTTGGGCTCGCGCCCAGACTGGGTCCCGACCATTTGGCTCACATAATTACTCCACCGCAGAAAAGGGCCTGCCTAAGCTAGGAAAGGTGGCTAAAACTTCGTCAACGGCATGGGTTGCGGAGGACGCACTGACGCCGATTCAACCCAAGCCGGAGAAGGTGGCAGAAAGAGGCAAAGGCCAGAGCTTGTCGACGTCGCTGCGGAAGAATCCGGCCAAACAGGCCATGGCCCCGAGGCTGTTCTGGCCCGTTTGGTGATGATGAAAACGGGGATGAGATGATTCAAGACCCGCCATTTTGCTGCAATTAATCACAACATATCCGCACAGTCCATGTGCAGAGTGCCGTGCAGTCAGTGCCTACTTCGCTCCCAGCCCCTGAGTCAATACATGCCCGGTCGTTCGCTCATGTCGGGCTGGTACATACGATATTACAATGAGCTCAATTATCGATCATTGACAAACGGGAACGAGGACACATTATCCGCCCAACCTCCCTGTGTCTCTCTCTTCATTATTGTCGGTCTGCTCGTTAATACGCAACTCTCAATAGTATAATTAAGCCTCTGACGCACGGATGTGTTCGTGCCTCCCTTCGCTCTCCTTTCCCCTTGGCCCCGACTTTAGCAGCCGAGCCGCGGTCCATGCTGGCCGCGATGCTTTGCCGGGCTCAAGCTACTCAGCCGAGTTCGGCTTACCGTGAAGACGACGGGAGAGGCTCAAAGCTGTGGATTGCCCTTTCTGTATTCCGTACAGGCCAATCACTGGACGCACCTGGGCCCTGAAAGTGCATGCTTGGACTTGGACAATCAACCTCAAACCCCACAGTTCTCTCACTTCGAGTTGTACCGGGCTGGCGCGCCTCCTCCGCCCGCTCCTTATCCTCTTCCTCCCCTGGGCAACTGAGAGCATTCATGCATGGCATCGTCAAGGTCAAACTCGGGCTTTTTTTCCCGCGTGCAGACAGAACATTGGCTGTTCTCTCCCTCCCCAAAAGGTCGAACTCGCGGAACGAGACATGCGATTAGGACCCCACTGTTAGCTAACAGTTGTTACTATTCACCCCACGCTTCTGGAAGAAGATGTGACAGGCCTTCTCGAGTTTCATGCTATCCCTAGCCCCTTCGCCCATCACCGACCCTAGCGGCGCTTGTTTCGAAAGTCTGCCCTGGACTGAAATTCGGCATTTCTTTTCTGTTTTCCTCTCTGATATCCTTTTCTGCAGCTGCAAACCGCCCGCGCCCGGTTCCCGTCCCCCCCCCTTTTTGAATTGGCACTTTGCCGGCCGTGGGGACGAGCGCGCACCGCGTTCCTGCGTACGGTTGCATTGGAGTTGCATTCGCTTCGGCTTTCCTTGGGCAAGCTTGTTGTTGCTCTCGGCCTCGCTTTTCCGTGATTACATGATGCAGGCCCCAAGGTCCCACTGCAGACACTCCTTCTACAGGCACGGTTAGCGATGATTACAGCTTGTGAGTCTGTGTTAACTTCGGATTGCTAGCGGGGCTCACGCCCGCTCTTAGGTCCACAGCTTAGAGTCCCAACGACGACCCCAATCCCCGACCCTCTTCCTCTCTCGCTCTTCCCATCCCGTTGCCACCATCACACCTTCCCTAGTAGACGTTGACAGCTGCGGGGCCGTTGTTTCGAGCAAGAAGAAACCCCCTACCTTCCTTCCCCTTAGACTTGGTCGCTTCCCCGTTTCAGGATCTGCCTCGGCGTGCACAAGCCTTATCCCCATTCACGAACAACCACTATGTTGATTGCACTGCGTGAAATGTTGTTGGCACTTGTAAAGCGAAGACTGGTGAGAATTGTGTTGTGGACACCCCAAGGCAGCCGTGCACTAGGAATACGGCGATCATCATCCTGTGCCAGCGGATGTGGGAAGAGCCTCGCGGCGTCACTACCTTAGCGACCAATCTCATCTTCATACGACATACTGCCGTTGGAATTCGTCGTTTGTGCCTCTCTTTGCCTCTGTTTTCGGTGGGTTTTTGCCATGGGACTGTCTTCTATTCACCAATCTCGACAGGTGCTTACTCTTTCGCTAATAAATGGGATCTGACCACGAGAAACGCCACTGTTCTATGAATGGGCGAGCAAGAGAGGCGAATCTTCCACTGCCATCTCCCGCGCCTAAAGCCCGCAAGCATCGCTGAGGCACGCCAGAGAGCCGGTAGATTTAATTTGCATTTCGTATGTAAGTACGCACAAAAAGACAGCTGTGGTTTGGCTCGATGCCTCTCAGGCCACCCCTTCTCGCCACCCGTCTCGTCAGTTTACATACATACCTTAATCTTAAGTATGACGACCGCATACAGATCTCGCTCAGTCCCCTGCATGAGTAGATCCTTCCCGCTGCCCGTAATCCCGTTCCTGCATCTCCATTGAGTTTCCCACCTCCGCCCGCCACGCACCAAGTGCGCCAGCTTTTTTCTCTCGCCCTTTTTTACCGCCTGGGGGGAAGTGGCGGGGCCGCTTGTGGCCGATGTACGACCGATCGGCCACGGACAGCCAAACGATGGGCCTCAGCGGCCAGCGGGTGAGGACGGTGATGCTTAAAAAGATTCGCTCCTCCCGGAGCTGTGGCCGTGTCTCACGGCCATGTACAACATGGGGCTAAGTGCTATTCTTGGGTGTTTTTTTTTTCGGGCGGTCCTTTGTTCAGCCCTTCCCCCCTCTCCATTAATTTATAGTACATGTATGTACCCGGTCGGGAGCGCAATCCTCGGCGGGAACTGAGCATTCATGAGAGGTTGACAGCCCGGCATGTCAACAAGCCGCCCCGGGGGCCGACACCAATCAGTTTTGGGGGATGGGGAAAAACAATTCTGTCGCTTACGCAGTACCAGCATTGAGCGGGGAGACGAATGATTCACTGGCATCCTCCCAATGCGTATCGCCGTGCTGTTTTTCGTCGCCCTTTTTTAGCGCCCCTCCTCACGGCATCTGACAGTGGTGATTGGGCGATGGCCGAGCGGCAAAGTTTAAGGTTTGGACACGGACATTTTCCGTCTTTTTTTCATTTCTTTTTCCTGCGCCGAAGATCCAAAACCGTAGCACGGGACCAGGTGAAACAAGTCACTGATCCCTTTTTTCACGTGGGAAATTCCGGCTTTGGGTACCTGTTTCTGTGCTTTCCATGACTTCTACTTCTCGGCCAATCCAGCCCCTCGATTCGGTATGACACGCCTATTCGGCCTGTGGCGAAGGAAGGCTCTCTTGGACACCGTCCATTCTTACTCGCCTTCCTTTGTGTAACTCGACTTGCGAAACCAACAACCCGCGGGGAGTGACGATAACGCATTGATATGGAATGGCTGTGCGTGCCAGTGAGCCAGCGGTTTCCGCTACTATAGCAGGTAGGCAGCAGTCGACATAGGAGGGGATAGCTAAGAGGGGGGAGCTCTTGCAAAACAAAACACCAAACAAAACGAAACGAAACAGAAAGCGGCCTTGTGGTTGGACAACAGAGACCCGAGAGTTAAAGCAAAGCCTGAGCAAGGCTGACAAGAGAAAGATTTGGCGAGTCCCAAACTCAACAGATCTCTCAGACAGGTAGGCAGGTAGGGGCGGCAAGGAACCGGGAACAAAAAAGTTTTGGCTCCATCCCATATCGAAAGAGAGCAGGGAGCAGTGTGTGTGTGTGTGTGTGCGTATGTGTCTGTTTCTGTTAGAAAGACGGGAGTGATAATGTTGAGGGAAAAAGATGGAAAACACATAGGAACAGGAGGCGGCGCCGATGACGTCTGAGTTTCCGCATGTTTCGAGCGCGCACACACAGCTTTCCTGGCGCGGACCCTACCAGCGGTTGCGGTTCAACAGAGCCGCGTCATTCTGGGTGCATGACATGTCATGTGTTTCTGACGAGCTACAGGAAAATTTAAAGGGTTGTGGTTGATCCTTTGTTCCTCTTTGACCTAGATTAGAGTTGTTTGTTGCTGTAGATTTTGTCAATATGTTTCAGAGTCAATGTTGAACACGCTGGCATGCACTCTACACCGAGATACTAGACACTTAGACTCTTGGACCAGATAAGGCTAAATCTCGACTTGCTATGACCTATCCCATGTAGCATATCAGAACTCCCGTGAATAGCTGGAAGATTGACATCTTGCTGCGAAGAAACTGTCATGGGTCGTCGAGACTTACTCCCAGCCATATTCTGGCTCACAGGCCGAGAAAATAACTAGGCAAAAATAATCGGGCCGCTGCCGTCAAAATAGCGTTCAGGTAATAATCGTGGTCAACTATGGAGAGCCTTTGTTCTGTGTTTCCAACCGCAAAAGGCTCTATGTGTTTTGTGTTTCAAGACCGGGGCACTGGACGCTTTTAAGAAGGGAAAAGGGGTGCTTGAAACAAATCTATCTCACACCCCCCATCCCATCCCATCCCCCACAAGGCTCATCCCATCTCTGTCTGCTCGCGATGCTAGGACCTAAGTCGGGTACGTGACCGGCTTGCAGGACTGACGGACTGGCTGCATGTGCCGTGATGAACATCGAGACGGACAGACGGGGGATTCTGTAGCCGAGTTTGCTTGCTGGGTATGGGTAGATGGGGAGGAGAGTGGGTAGCATACACAGGCGCAAAAAAGCTTATGGATGATATCAATGTGAGAGAGTGTGCTGTGCCGCCTGACGTGACTGACTGTGCCTCCTCGCCAACAAGCTCAGGTGCGTGCCGTCTGTCCGTCACCTACCTCCTCCACAGACTTGCAGCAGCTTGCAGCTGCGGGCGTTCAGAAATGCTGTAGTGGACAGTGCTGTCATTTCCATCACATCACACTTCCCGTGATCGTATTCCTGTGTGGAGTATCCGTGCAACAGTAGCGGCCGGCTCTGGCTGTCAGGCCCTTCGTTTGCCTGACGTGCATACTTGGAAGTGGGAGTGGTGTAAGCACGAGGCACTCACTGACTACCTTACATACCTACCTACCTACGGTGATGCTGCACTTCTAGGCAGTTCTGGAAGTTACCGAATAGGTCCTGCACGAACGTAATCAGTCTACCGAGTACGGTCAACAACGCTCAGGAGACCGACGAGCGGCCGAGATCAAAAAAAGGGACAAGGGTCAAAACCTTCCAGATCTTCTTTAATCCCAGCACAGATGATAGAGATCACTAGCCAGGCACAATCACATCACTAGCTAAGCATGCTACCCCTCCCCCCGCCACCCGTGGGTGGGCTCGCCTGATCACCATGACAAGCATACTTTGAAACTCGAAACCGCTTGTCTCAAGAAATGGAGCCCCCTATCTACCGTCCCCCGGCATGGCTCCCGCCAGACCAGCATGGGGACCCTTCCCCCACCATTTTTCCTTCTCTTCTTTCGGAGTAAGGTTTCCAAGGGTTGCCTCACCCGTGCATTCGGCATTGGCGGTCCGGACTGCTGTCTAACCTGCCTACCCCAATGTTGATTCCGCCTGCCCTCCACGAGACGACCCAGAAGAAGCCTAGCGAGAGAGGCCCGACAACTACAGGATGTCACGTTTTGTTCCCCGTCGACGGACGGTGAGGGCGCATTGCGGCGCACCGCGATTCAATCGGGAGCCGGAGGATTCCAGCGCGATGGTTCTACAATCTGGAATGCACGATGACGACTATGGGTCAGCCATTGAAATGTCTTCGGATGGGCCGCATAGGTGGACAGCCGGGCAACTCTGAACTCTGGCCGGCAGCGGGAAGGCGGAAAAAGGGAGGTTCGGCGAGCTGAACGACGCTATTGACCGCTGTTGCTGATGCTGCTACATGTAATGCTGATGCTGGCAGATGCCCAGAGCGTGGCAACAAGCAAGGAGTGATTTAACCCTGTGCAGGACAGCCTCTTGGCTTCTGAGGCGCTCCGTCACCGAACCCTTCCCGCACAACCAACATCCTTATACGGATAGTCCGAGGAAGGGTACGAGTGATCGTAATCAGCACGGGAATTCCGTACGCACGCACTTCTCGATGGCTATACGGACAATACAGATCTCCAGTCCTCGTCGAGATGTTCGGTAAGCCTCACAGCCATCTTTTTTTCTTCTTCTTTAGACCTCACGGTAAATCTTCGAGCAGCCCATCTCGACTCTTCTAGTGCCGAGGCAGTGCGACTTGTTTGTTCCGCGGGATTTAGCAGAGAGGTCGACGAGCTGGATGCCCGGATGGCGGGGGGCTGACTAGGCCCTTTTGGAGACATACAATGGTCACCTTGCGGATATTTGCGCCTTGGCAATTAGTATCGTAGCGGACGGGTGGTGAGGGTTGAGCGACGAAGAGCCAGCCAGCCAGCCAGCAGACAACCTAAGCTAGGTAAGGGGGGCGTGAAAGCATCAATTTCATTCTCCGTCAATTCCGCCGAATTGGGTGCGAATGTCCACCAGTCGACCACCTGCGAAAAAGCGCTGCCAACTGGCGGAATAAAATGTCGGCATTGGGCAGTCTGGGGAGGGCCCTGGCGGGCGTCCGGGCCCAAAGGGCAAGAAAGAGAGAGGACGGGTTAGCGCCAGAACTGGGACCCTGGCCCCGACTCAGAGTTATTTCTGAGGCATGTTTCAGAATTGAGTGGGTGGGATGCAAAGGCCGTGGCTGGACATCGCCCTCCTGCAAGACCGGGGGGAGGGGGGAGGGGTCGCGGCACGATTTGTCGTGGACAATGGATGGCTGTTGTAAGCCCCACTTTCGTACTCCGTACCCTTCGCGTTCGCCCGGCCAAAAAAGCTATAGCCCGACGACCTGAGCTCTGCATCTGCCAGCCCGCGTTAGGCAAGGGCAACCCTGCCAAGTGCGAGAAACCGGCCAGGCAGAATTGGAATCGACATGGCGAAAGGCACTCGCCACAATCAGAACTCGTGAGATTGAGGCTCGTCAGGTCAAGGACTAGCTGCTCCTGTGCGAAAAGGGGGTGCCCTGCCCCTTCATAGAACATCTCGTGTGTGTGCAGTGCACTGACTATGCCCTCTACAAACGTGCTGAGTCCTCCGTAGAGAATACTAAAAGGCCTTTCGTGTAAGCCCTGACAAAAGAAAAAGTGACGTTTTAGCGAATCGCGTGTCTAAGACATCTTAAACATTGGGACCACATTCCCTTGCGTTTCGGGCGATTGCATAGGCTCCCTCTTTATGTTTCGTTCGCCCGTGTGCCGAAGGCAACAAACGAGTGTGAGAGCTCGCTTGTTGGCCAGCATTCCGTGTTAACTCATCTCTAATAATAATAATAGAGTGAGACGTGAGCTTTGGTTTGCAGCCCCCAATCTGGCATCTGCTTGCTAGATACTCACACAAACCTAGGGTACTAAGTAAGGTAGGTGCTCCGTTCACTTGGCATTAAATATGTTCCTTTCAGAACACATTACTCATCAGCCAGGAATCTGAGTATACAGCCACGACTCGTTCGTGGCGCGAGTAGTGCATCGTCGCAAAAACATTGAAAGAGCTTTTGGTAAAAGCAGGGTAGTCAGTGCAGTGTGAGTGAGAGTGCGAAGGCCGAAATTCATGTGTACCACTCGCCGCCCTCAAGCGTCACATTTGATCCAATTGCAGGTTCAGCGCTACATCGGCAACGCCTGCTCCACCCATCGCGAAGGGACAAATGGTTGGCGCAGGAGCCCTCGGCTCGCTTCTTTGTCCGCTGCATGGTAACATCGTGGGTGGTAGAGAAATGTCGGCGTATGACACTGTGTGTATTTCTGTGTAGCGAAATTTAAGTCTTACCTGACCTGACCTCAGATCGAGGCTGGGCGCGCGATCTCTTCAGCGGCTTTTTCTTTTTGGTTGTTTACGAGGCCAGCGCAGAGCGACCCGGCCTGGGGGCCCGTCTCTTCGCGCTTCCGCACCGACGCAGCTCTGTTGCTGGCCAGTGCTTCTGTTTTGTGCGATTCCTACTGAAGCTCACTGGCGAAAACAGGCTTAGCCACGGGAGGATTGATTTGGGAGAATAGCCTCCCTGGGGAAACAATGCCCAATCATGGCGGCAAAAGAGACACCGGTGCTCCACTGCCAAGACCACGACGATGTGCCCAGATACACATGTAGACATATATGAAATACAGTCTCGATTTCTATGGCCGTCACCTGGGATCTGGTGATGGGGACCATGCCCAAAAATTTAGAGCTTTGTGGTTTTGACACTAACTTAATACCTTTCTATTCCGATTTATACGCCTTCCCTTTCTTTCGTTAAACGGCTTCGAGGACTTTTAATAACGTCTTTTCTATTTTAAGACTGTGCGTCGTGATTTAGTGAAGATTTGAGAAGCTGGAACTTGCCCGGTTATATGGCCTCAGAGCACTGCGCTAAAACCAAGGCTAGAGGAGTTTGAGCCGCCCATCAGGCACATGGACAGCGCGAAGGCAAAAGCACAGTCCAGTTCTATCAAAGAGACCGAGACAGAAAAGCCAGGGTCTCGGCCGGTAAAGGTTTGGCGATGATACCTAACAATTGAGGTAGTTTCCAAGTTGTCTGGATTAACAGTGTGTTGAGATTTATGGTTGGTGCGACCAACGACTGCTATGCCACAAATAAGGACCGAGCAGTTGGGTGGAAGACCGGTAGTCGTAATGCCACCCGCGAGCATCAGGCAGAGGACTGGTGAACGGCCGACGACATGATTTCCCAGAGCGTGCCGCTCGACCTCGCCGTCCCGAGCCTCTTCCGCAAGCCGCAATGGAAGCTTGATGCCCGAATCCGCCATGCCGTGTTGTACAATACACACGCACACTGCGCTCACGCCACACAGCATCGCATCTCATGGCCGTCTCGGCCCCTCGGGCACATTGCGCTCGCCCAGCACTCAACTCGACAACCTACTTTACCTACCTACCCACCTACTTACCTTAGCCACCGGCAGAGGGGCGGGAGGAGCATGACACGATGGCTGAGAAACTGTGAAAAGGGACTGGCGCCACTTGTTGTAGTTTGCGAGAAGGGAGAGATGAAAAGGGAGGACAGCCATCGGCGAGCAGGGAAGAATGGATCGGGAAAGTCAGGCTGTGGTTGACGACTGACCTGACCGACCGAGCAGGAGGCGTCTCCCGACTCAGCACAAAGCAGTGCGCTGTGGAAATTCGGAGGCCAGGCAGGCATGGCCGCGAGAAACATGCTTACCCTGGCCCAATTCCTGGCAGCTTGACCGAGAGCCAGCAAGGGCCGGCCTATCAGCGCGTGGCTTTGAAGGGCGCCCCTCCATGGTGCGTCTGCTAGAGGCACACCCCACTCGGCTGGATAGCGACGCATCGTTGCTTTCGCGGTAGCCGCTCCCGAGCGCTGACTGGCAGTGAGTGGGACAGCGAGAAAAGGTACTCCCGTGCTCGCTCTTGGGGCGGGCAGTTGGGCAGTGGGGTGGTGTGTGTGTGCGCCCTCGCTGTGGTGGTGGTGGGTAACCACCACCTACGGGATCCCGCCCATGCCCCTTCCCTTCCTGGATTGTCCGCTCGCTCATAAGAAATTCCCACCCAGGGCCCCCGCTAGTTAAACTGCAAGCTGCCCGCCATTGGCACTTGGGCCCGTACCACGGTGCATATTTTAGCACTTTCCTGCTTCTGCACCATTGGCAGGCGTCGCACCCTGGGCCCAAGCGAGCGAAATCATTAAACCCCAGGCTCGCCCGCTCCCCCTCGCCCCGGCCCTCCTCTTGAGATTCTTTTCTCAAGACTCTTCTTCGTCCTCCCTCTTTTTCCCCTTCTCAGTTTGTGTCGCAGGAGGACCGATCTGCCTTCTCCACAACGCCGCGTGCTGTGTGCTTTTCTCCCACACCGCACCCCTAGGCATTTGCCATTTGCTCTCCCTCGTCGTCCATCTTGACATCCCGCGGGACCCTAGAGGTAATCATCGCATCGCCCTTCCCGCCGTGGGACTGCGCTCACATTGACACCTCAGACATCTCACGTCGCAGCCTCTGTCCATCACTGCGCAGCACCCCGTCGACCGCCAGAACGTTGCGCCTGTTTGATAGCCACTGCCACTGGGGAATCGTGTTGATTGGTTTCGTTTCGTTCTGACAAAAGCTTTAATCCCATTCACCCATTGTTTCCCTCGCCGTTGCCCTCCGCTTTGGCCCGGCAGCGCACGGCACCGGCATCCGCATTCTCTTACCAGCCCAGCCAGATAAGGTGCTTGCATCTATCTGTTGGTGTGCATTGTCGACGTCGGTAAAGACTGCGTGCTTGTTCGCGCCGTCCCAACTAGCAAACACCCCCTTCTGTCGATTGCTGCACCTGGTCGGTCCTCGCACAAGCGGGTCACAATCCCCCCCAATCATTCGCTTGTGGCAATTGCCTCGACTGTTGCGCCAAATTTCCTATCTCTAACGGGCTGGCCTCGATTAAAAAGAAAACCAAAACACTTAAAAGCACCACTTCTCCATAGGCAGCGCCTCTAACCCACACGTCTCCAATCGCCGACGTTGCGACGATCGTTTTCTTTTCGTATCAATCAACCTTGGAAGGTTTTATTTCGAGCCCTGCTGGTCACGCTACATTACGCCTGTCGCATCAACTGTGTTGAATCCCCCGTCCACCTCAGCTCTGTCGCCCTCAATCCTTGCTTGCGCAGGCAATTGCGACCTTGTTCGATTTGGCTCGACACGGCGCGACCAAAGTTGACGTCCTTCGTCCTCAACCCTCCAGCAGTTGCGGCTGCTCATAATGTACCCGCAGCACGCAGCCATGGCCGCACAGCAGAAACCCGAGACCTTCATGCTGAGCAGTGAAGCTCAGCAAGCCCTCCCCCACGATGCTCAGGTAGCTCTGCAGCAAGTGGACAATCGTAAGCCGCACCTAATGGCAGTTGCGCGGGTGGGCGCACTAGCTAATATTGCCTCTAGTCAAGTACTTTCTCATCTCAGCCCCCGTGGACTGGCAACCGGACCAGTACATTCGGCGGTTTCTCCTTCCCACGGGCGAATATGTTTCTTGTGTTCTATGGAACACCCTTTTCCACATCTCGGGTACGGATATTGTACGGTGTCTTTCCTTCCGCTTCCAGGCATTTGGGCGCCCAGTCAAAAACTCGAAAAAGTTCGAAGAGGGCATATTCTCGGATTTGCGAAATCTTAAATCGGGCACCGATGCTTCCCTCGAAGAACCCAAAAGCCCGTTCTTGGATTTCCTCTACAAGAACAACTGCATCCGGACGCAGAAGAAGCAGAAGGTGTTTTACTGGTACAGCGTACCGCACGACAGACTTTTCCTCGACGCCCTCGAGCGAGACCTGAAGAGGGAGAAGATGGGCCAGGAGGCCACGACTGTCGCTGTCAGCGAGCCAGCTCTGTCCTTCCAATACGACTCGTCCCAGTCCCTGTATGAGCAGCTCACCAAGGCCCAGCAGGCCAATTCTTCGTCCTTCAACCCTCAGCGCGTTTCTTTTTCTCAGAGCCAGTCCACGTCACCCGTGTTGCGAGCGATCGACTCGATGCCTCCTCCGCAAATGATTCCCCAGTCAATGGCCCCTTTACCGGATGGGCTAGACGCCATGGTCCCCTACGGAGCGATGACGATGGCGCCAACGATGCCCCAGCAAGTGAAGCGAGAACCTGATTACGGGCGGGTGCAGTACAACCAAAACGGTGTCCCAATAACGCAAGCACATCAACGCCATGCTTCGATGCCCGTCTATGGCTTGGAGTACTCGCCTGCCCCGTCCTTTTCGTCGTCCCACTACGAAGACTACAGCCAGAGGGGAATCTCATTCGAGCCACTGACACCTCCCCAACAAGCGCTTGGCATGGCGGCCGAGCCTGCATATATCGCCAATGAAGAGACGGGCTTGTACACCGCAATTCCCGACCACATGAATGGTGTTGGTGGCCTTAACGGCATGATTCAGCTCCCACCGTCCAACCTGGCTGGCCCTACTTTCTCCCGCGGATATGGGTCCAACAACGTATACTCTGTGATTGAAGGGTCACCGACGTACAAGCAGAGGAGGAGGCGCTCGTCCATCCCTCCGGCGGTGTCGGCCACGGCTGCGGCTATCGCCAACGCCACCCAGGCCCACCGGCCCTCGGAGCTGCGGAGGTCCGTTTCAGCCTCTGTCGGCCCTGTGGCTGAAGGCGACGAGTCGGACAATTCGCCACCTGGACTAACATACAGCAATTCGGGCATGTCACTCACAAGCCAACAGCACAAGGAGATACTCGAGCTCTCACGACACGGTACCCCATTGTCGACGGTTGAAGGCAGCCCGGCGCTCAACCCAATGGCGCTACAACAACAAGACTTCGCCCACATGGGTGCTGACGAATTAGGTCCCTTGGCCGAGCAACGCCAAATGATGGCTGGTGGTAGCGGCGTGGTACGCAGAGCACGCTCAGCCACCGTCATGGAACTCGGGCCCTACCCTCAAAAGTCCCACTCATGCCCTATCCCTACATGCGGCCGTCTCTTCAAGCGCCTCGAGCACCTGAAGCGGTAAGACTGGAGATCATTTCATTTGTCATTACATACAAACCTCCTGCCGTGTATCTGACTAAAACTTCCAGACATGTGAGAACACATACACAAGAAAGACCCTACATCTGCCCTCATTGTAGCAAGGCATTCTCCAGATCAGACAACCTAGCACAGTATGCCCCCATCTTTTCCTTGATGTATTCTTTTCTTTTGTCAACCCAAAATAATCCTGCATGTTGCGCGCGCGGCATGTCAGCAATGGAGCAAACTATCGTCTAAATAAACAGCACGCTACATATTCACCACACAGCAGCAGCATTGCACAACATTCCATGCCAGCCCAAGGATCATGATTCACATGGAGCAGGCACTGACAAATTACTCTGTAGGCATAAGCGGACCCACGACCGTGGCGATGGTGTCGAGGGCGGTTTCAACCTATCGGGCGAGGATGACGAGGAGTACTCTGGGGAAGACCAGCTCGGCTCCTTCGAGGAAGCGTCCCCGATATCCGAGAACGGTTACGTCCCCGCGTCGTTGAACTCTACCGTAAATGGCACGACCCCAACGTCCGCCAACGGAATAAGCCCAACAACGAGCATAGCTCAAGCGCATTCGTACAACAGTCTCCAGACTCTGAGCATGCCGATGACGATTAGCCAACCCCAGGCTATCAACGCCGGCGGCCTGATGTGAATCTGACCAAACCCTCTTCTTTCTATTCTATTGGTCGACTCATGCACATTTTGTGGGATATCATGTATATTTTTGCAGCGAGCTTTTTCTCAGTAGTTTGCGGTTTAATATGGGGACGGAGGTTTTGGAAACCTGGTTTCGGTCTCTGATCTCATCCAGAAAAGGCGGGAGTTTTCAGATTTGGGCCATCTAGTGGACGCCAAAAGGGACATTTTCTTGACAGTCTCGCCAGTTACCCTTTTTTTCTTATCATTTTCTTTCTGGCTTCGTCGCTTTTTCATGACGAGTTTTGGGACACTGCACTTGCACGGTACAAACCAAAGATGCATCACCATAGACACGGACACCGAGGGGCTTTTGTGCCTGGGCGTTCTGCATTTCAGCGCGTCATGGTTTTTTCGCGCTCGCGATACACGGACGTGGATCATGAGGAGGAAGATGCACAAGATGTTGTATATATAGCTTGGCTTCTTCCTGTGAGACATCTGACAGAAGACCAAAGACGAAGATACCATTGAACGAGTTGAGGAATTTACGAGGATTATACCAACTTTTTTATTACAAAAATATGCCATTCTATATACTTGGTGATCACATACTTTGCCGGCCGGTGACCTGACGTCCATTCAACCTTTTCGTGGGTACGGTTTTGTGGCTTCGGATCTCCAATGATCGGCGGCAGATCTCTCGATCGATGCCCGTTAGTTCTCCCTGTCCATGGCCATCCTGTTTACGGGTGGCACAACAGATTTTTAAGCATAACGCCGTGCTACGCCTAGTCGGTCCCTCTGTCCTTTCAACATAGGTGGTCAGTCAGCCTTGTTCTCGACAAGTGCGAATCTCCTCGCTCGTCCAGCACGCCATGTAGCCCTTCCTCTGGTTGCCCAGAGTTAAAAAATGTATGATATGTACGGTACGTATGTGCTGGTGGCCTGGCCGTGTGGCCGTGGCCGTGACCCGGCCGCCCGCCCGCCACACATCTGTCCTCTTCTTGTTTTGTTTTCCTCCCCCTCCCTCCGGGGGTGGCTTCGGCCGGTCCCGGTCCCCGGACCACGTCTTTGGACCTTGACCTTGTACCTTAAGCCTGGAACTGAAACGCCGCGGGCTGGTCGTGGGCATTCTGTCGCTGTCCGCCTGCCCGCCTGCCTGCCCGCCTGCCCGCCTGACCGCCTGCCCACCCCCTTGGTTGCTGGTTCCCCTGGGTGCTGCGACAGTAAGGGGGTGATGTGTGTGCATATGGCCCATCTGTCTTGGGGGCATTTTGTTTGTTTGTGATGGGAAGGGATGGATGGATGGGGAATGTGCAAGTGTGGTGGTGCGTGCCGTGTCTCCCCGACCTTTTTTCAGCCTTCTTTTTCTTACTCTTACTCTGTCTTTGTTTCAGACTAGGCCAAGTGCCATATGGACATGGTGTTCTTGTTCATGCGCGCGCGTGTGTGTGTATGTATGTATGTTTTGAGTGTATGTATGTTTTGAGTGTATCTATATGTACATTATCGGACCAAAACTAGCCTGCTGCTGTTGTGGGTTTGTTTGACCAGTCACACTCAGTCACTCACTCAGAAGTGGTGGCGACAGGAACATGAGGTAAGCCCAGCTTAGCAGATAGGTAAAGGACGCCTTCATCCCAATTCATTCATTGGCGGGGGCCGTTGGTCTTGTAAGCTAACTGGCTTTATGAACATGACTGATCGAGAGAAACTGCTGTTGCGTTGTCATCCAGAGGTCTCAGGGGCAGAGGAGTAACATGGCCATTCGCAAACTCCTCGCCGGTGCCTCAAGTGTGCCGAAGTCCGCACGCGCAGTTATGTTAAGGTGCACATGGCCAAGCAACCAAAAAGCGCTAGAGAAGGCCAGCAAGTTCGCGCCGACGAATTGATTTGCTGTTACATAAAGTATAGCAGAGCCGCCAAGATGCCAACCAGCCAGCCAACCGGGACACACAGGATTGACAGCAAAAAGGGCAATGAATGGTTGTGCTGCCCCAGCCAAGTCTCTAAAATTAGACCAACAACCACAACAGCCACGCCTCGTCATGATGCAGCAGTGTTATTGGGGCAGTTGCAAGAGCGTACAAGGACGAATGGTAGCATCCTGTCTTGGTGGTTCAGTTGCGGCTTGGACACTTTCCTCGGAGATAAATGAATAACGTTACTTTCGCACGCAGGCCGACAAAAATGGATGTCCGGGGAAGCGAAGGGTGGGATATACTTCGGTGGCGCAGTTAAAGATCCCCTGGTCTCTCTGGGCACCCCAAGGCATAGATGAGGCGAGGATCTAGTCCTCACCTCCTCTCCGCACCGGTCCCATAGGCAGGGAGGGAAAGGGCCCGGCCAGGAACCACGATGCCACCTCGATGGGTTGGATGGGAACCATCTACTCCATGTGGCAATCTGATTATCAGATGCGCGGAATTCCCAACCTGGAGTGTGCAGGGCTCTGTTGGTTTCTTGCAGGATAGCAACCATGCTGCAGAGTTTCTTCGGCAGGTCAACTGTAGGCATGGACGGCATCATCACTTCCGTCTGCCACGGCTCTTCTTATCTCGCCCTTTCTTCTCCCCCGACGCGGCGATGGCCTGGGCCTCGCGGGCGCTAATGCGCAGCTCAGCACCGCGCATCCTGCCGATACCTGGCATGTCGACAGGTCTTTCAGAGGAGCGCTTCTTTCTCTTGGCTGGCTTCGCGCCGGGGCCGTTCTTGGACTCGCGCTCTAAAATGATGCCGTTCTCCTTGGCCTCGCGGCGACGCTTCGCCTCGCGAGAAATGGCGGCGGTGGAGATGCCCTTGCGCATGCCCATGGGCATCTTGGATTGGGTGAGCATGCTCTCCTTAGCCCCGAGGGCCTGCACACGCAGCTCGGTGGTGATGCGGCGAGTGCGGCCCGCCGCAAACGACTTTGTGTTGGCGGCGCTAGAGGCAGCCGTGCTAGATAAATAGTGGGAGGCATTTCCACCCGCCGCAGAGAGGATGTGGGACTCTGTTATCAGACGTTGAAGAGCTAGATCGTTGGCAAGAAAAGCTGCGCTATCCTCCGCTTGGTCGTTTGCGGCATCCTTTTTGGAATTAGAAGCTTTTTGCGCCGCATCGGCGGTTGGTTGGCTAGGGGGCCGGGAGGACTGTGCACAAGTTAGCTGACCTGTCCGATGGAAGTAAGGCAGCCATTGGAATAAGGGTTTGTCCGAAGTGGAGGGGGGGTGAAGCTCACCAAGTAAGCCTTTAGTTCTCGCTTCGACATTGTGGATGTCACGGTGGGTTGGGAGGATGTATGGTCGACCACCTCGACATGGGCACCGCCTTGGAGGAAATCTTTTGAATTTGTCAGTCTGTTGTTTAGTAGTCCTGGTTCGGCGGGAAGGCCGTGCCGGTTAGCATACCACCGTCATCGGCATGGTTGTCGCCGTCGTCTTGTTCGTCTTCATCTGATGAAACGCCTCCCCATTCCGAATCTGAGAGGTCAGAGTCGGTCTCTTGGTCATTCTCGTCATAACCATCGCCGTCCTGACCGTGGCGTGCGAGCCCAGAGGAGGCGGTCGCCTTCGGTGGTGTTGGGGCGCGGGCGGCGGGGGGAAGTGGCCTGAAACGAGCCTCAAAGTGCCGCTGCAGGACGGCCTGGGCACCCGAGAGACCCGATGTTGACAGATGCCCCGAATCAGCCTCGGCTGACCTCGATTTGCGCTTCCCGAGGGTGCTCGATGACATGGTCGTGATCATTACAATTGCCGTGGTGTGGTGGTGCACAGCCGGGTTGTTGTTGGTGCAACTGCTAGAGGACTCGGATGCGAGTTGAGGCGTAGAAAAAAACGTTATCTTATCGTGCCTCTTTGCAGGAGGTAGTTATGTAGGTAGTGGGGTCTCGGAGAGTTGGCAAAGGCTGTGTGACAGAGTTAGTTTTTGCTTAGCGCTAGTCTATGGAATAAGGAATTGCACCTCGTAAATTTCTATATAGCTGCTGATTGTCGTACAGACTAGAGTAACCTGGAGTCTACCAAGTGCGGATACGATGGAATAGATAGGGTCTTACCTATCCGTCGGGTCATAGGTTGGCACTTAATCGGCCGGGCCGCGCAGCGGCGTGCAGAAGGGCCCCGACGGGGGGGACCTACTAACACACCCGAGGTGCGCGGTAGGAACGATCGGGGTTCTAAGGTCCCTACCGTAGATAATCTTTAGGTAGGTGGGGAGAGGAGAGATCCACTGCCTGTCTAGGTAACAGTGGATGTTGGTTGGATCTAGTGTCCCGGTGGATGCTGCTTATTAGGTGTTGGTGTGCTGTGCTCTCCATGTTCTGTTGGCAATGGGTCTCCAAGCTTGACTCGGAGGTCAAGCCAACGAGCCGCTCGCTTGTCCGTGCCGCTGCCGCTGTCGACATCGGGCATTTTGTCGCCTCACCCCACCGCACTAGGTACGGAGAGTAGTAGCACAGGATCGCGGATAGATTATTGATCGAAAATGACTCGGTTCCGGCCGTGCATCGATCTGCACGCGGGAGAGGTCAAGCAGATTGTGGGGGGCACGCTCGACAGCAAGACGACGGCCCTGCAGACCAACTTCGTCTCGCCGCATCCTCCCGCCCACTTTGCCCGCCTGTACCGCGAGAATGCCTTAGTCGACGCCCACGTCATCAAGCTCGGCCCCGGCAACGACGACGTTGCCCGCGCGGCCCTCCGAGAATGGCCCGACCACTTGCAGATCGGCGGCGGCATCAACGACACCAATGCCAGGGAGTGGATCGACGCCGGCGCCTACAAGGTCATCATCACCTCGTTTCTCTTCCCCGCCGGCATTTTTAGCCAGCCCCGGCTCGATGCCGTGCTGGCCGCCCTCGACGGCGACTGCTCCAGGCTGGTCATTGACCTAAGCTGCCGCCGCCGCGGCGGCACGTGGTTCGTCGCCATGGACAAATGGCAGACCATTACCGACATGGAAGTGAGCGAGGGTGAGTCTGTCCCAGCCCCTATTTCCATTCCTACCTATTCTCGATATTTCTGCTTCCGCTTCTACCACCACCACCACCTCTTCCTCCTAACCCTTCCCACCCCCACCCCCCTAGAATCCATCAAGCGTTTAGAGCCGTACTGCTCCGAGTTCCTTATCCACGCCGCCGACAATGAGGGCCTGCAGCGTGGCATCGACGAGCAGCTCGTCGAGCGCCTGGCCGCGTGGTGCACCATCCCCGTGACCTACGCTGGCGGTGGCCGCAACCTGGATGACCTCGAGACGGTGAAGCGCCTGAGCGGCGGCAAGGTCGACCTAACGATTGGCAGCGCCCTGGACTGCTTCGGCGGCAGTGGCGTGACCTTGGCCGAGTGCGTCAAGTGGAATAACAACCAGGAGCAAGGAAAGCCCACCTAGATAGACAATATATTCTTACCATTTGTCATTCGATGCTTGAATTTGAACCTTGCCCCTTTCCTCAGCCATGTTTCGAAAACAAACGGCAGCTTTCCTCAGCCATGTTCGAAAACAAACGGCAGCTCTCGCTCCTCTTTTCACAAAAGAGAAAAGTCACCACCACCAGGCCGAAGAACGGGTTCGACACGGACCGAAAATACGAGGTCCAACGATATATCCCGTACAGCAAGCGGACCAGGCCCACGACAACACTAAAGGCACCTATGTAGCCAGACGAGATGAGCAAGTTAATTATTGGGTGACGAAAAGAGGTAATGGTATGGTATTAAGGCCCAGCCGTAAAGTACGAGCATGCGTAATAAGTGGCAAGTAGGCTAGGAGGTATAAGACGAACTATAAACCCTAACAAAAAGAATAACCCGAAAAAAGAGACTATTCTTAATAGAAGGGGGTGGGCAAGAAACGAACAAGGCGAAAGATGAAGAAATGACAACAATTTACAATAGCCCAGGGTAGGACGTGATGATGACGAGCGGCGTGAGGGAATGAAGGAGAAGTGGAAGAAAACAAGGAGAAAAAGGAATCCTGATTTTTCATACGCCATATTATTGTCGTACGTGTAATTGCTTCTTTTCTCTCTCTCTCTCTCTTCCCAACGGGGCAGGGATAGGGGGTATTGTATGTGCCCTCCGCCGTTCATCATCATACCCAACCCCAAACACGAAAAGCCCGCAATAATAAACAAACAAAACCAGTCAGCTCCTCTGCCATCCCCCCTGTCATCCCATCGTATACATGTGTGTGTGTGAGTATGAGCGTCTCAAAGAAAAACACCCCGTCCGTCCGGGACAGACGGTCGTGGCCAGGTGAAAATAGTCATCTCACACAAAAGAAAGGAAGTTGCCGGTCGGTCCATGGACCTGGCATACCCAGATCGCGGAGCTCAGCTCCGGTCTCAAAGGTACATGCTCTTGGTGCGCGAGTGGACCCTCCGGCCCTCGACCCGACGACGGAGCGTCTCCTCTCGCTTAAGGACGAGCTCGCACCACTTGCCTTTCGCACGCGACGTCGCAGCGTCGTCGTCGAGTCCAGAGCCGCTGCCAAGGCTGTCGCGGCCGATGATCTCGGAAAGAACCTTCATCCAGCCGTCCTTATCCTGGGTGCTGTCGGCATAAAAGTCAATGACTTCGCCGTTGTTGAACCGGATCCGGAAGCCCTCTTCCACGAACATGTAGCCCTCCTCTTCCTCGGCAAAACCGGAGCGGCGACGCTTGCCACCCTTGCCCAGCGTCTCCTTCTCCAACAGCGCCCGCCGGTCGTCAATCAACCTTTTGGCGTTGGCCAAGTTGATGGTGGCGCGCGGCTGCCGAGTCGCCTCGTGGTACGCAGTCAGCTTGGTTCCCACGAGCTTAAAGTAGCGACGGCGCCAGTACTATGTGATAGTTAGCAACACGTGATTTCTCAGAGACAGGCAAATGCATCTGGTGCTTACCGGGCAGTCGCCGCCCTGTTGGCTAAGAGGTCCCTCCCAGTTACGAGATAGGCGCTCCTCGGCCACCTTCATCTCTCGGATGCACGAGTTCATGCTCTTGGGCATGTCGTCGTCAGTAGATCCCTTGGGACGGGGCACAAAGAGCAGCTGGAGCTCCAGCTTTCCGATCTTGTAAGGCGCGCGGCGGACCACTGCAGTGTTTCCGCGCTTGCTCTTGACGCTCGAGGCGAAGCCAGCCTCCTCGGTTGCCCACTCATTGAAGGCGGCAACCTCGACCAGGTACGGTCTCCCAAAGCACTTCGTCTCGTGCTCCTTGAGGCACACGTAAGACCGAGCAAAACTGCCGTCCCCAGCAGCGAGTGGCGACAGCAGGTCCCAGGCAGTGGGCTGTGTATTCATCTGCCTGGCCTGGGCCTCGCGTTGTTGCTGTGCTTGGCGTTCCTCCTCTTCTCTGTGACGCAGCTCCATCTCCTTGCGCTTCCTCGGAGACGCAAACACTCTGCTGAAGGTTGACGTCTTTGGTTTGCTGATCTTAATAGGAGCTGGCGCAACCTTTTTAGGGGCCGGCTTTTCCAGTTTTACGTTCAACGTCAGCTGGAACTCCAAGTCGTTTGGCACGACCAACTCAAATTCTTGCCCGATAGGCGCATTTCTTGCCAGCTCCATCCAGGCCGTCGTAACACAATGGACTCCGTTGTCAAGTGTCAGGCTGAACCAAGTCCGTTCGTCTGTTTCTCTGGTAAGCAAAATGTCAAATATGCCTGCGTCTCATGGTTCGCTTACTCTTTGGAATAGGCAAATCCAAATCTTTGACACCCATCACCTTGACAAATAGCCGGCCTCTCTCACCGCTATCCACAGTGGCCATCTCTGCGGCAATCTCTTCCTCGTTGAGTGTGTTCATTGCCACGGCGTTGCTTTCCTGGCCAGGCAATGGGGGAACGGGACCGGTGGCGGCGTGTCTCTTCCTAACGCTCCGCGCTCTTGGTTGGCCGTTCCAAGGCTCGACTGTCCATGACTGAGGACGGGTCTGTTTAACAGGCGAGTTTCCGGCCGACCGGCAAGAACGAAACTCGTCAGACTCCTTGTCGCTCGCAGCAACAAGCTTGGTGTTTTGGCGCATGAGGTATCCGCGCTGTTTGCGGGTAGTGATGTTAGTGTCTGGGGCTGGAAGTGTGGTCTTGCCTTGATCTGCAGACGCTTGCCCGCCAGATTCAATACTACGGTTATTACTATTATGGAGTGAAGGAAACAGGTGGAAAGCAACCTTTTGTGCCTCAATAACCCTGTCAAAGTCCTTATCAAGACTAAGGCCGAGATCAAGATCTAGCGTTAGACTGCGCTTCTTGAAGCTCGGGTGGCGGTCTAGGAAGTCATCGCCGGTAGACTCGGAGAAGTCGACCTCCATATCTCTCGACAAGCGACTACGGTGGCGCTCCGGAATCGGGGGCACAGGGACCTCGCGGCTGACATGGCGGCGGGCCTCGCGCATAGCCATGATGTCGGATGGTGTTGCCGAAGGTCGAGTCTTGAGCTTGGAGCCCGACGCCGACTTGATGGTTGCCAGCTGCTCCGGAATCGCGGGCGAGGCTCGGGCTTCTTCTTCTTCGCTATCAGATACAGGGTGGTGAATGACAGACTCGGGAGTGCTGGGCTCGTCGTACTCGTCCTCTGGCTCGCCCCATCCAGACCCATCATACTCAGGCTTGGAAAGAGAGCCAGCCAGTGGTCGTTCAGGCGTCGATGGGCGTTGCATGTATGTCTGCGCATCGGCCATCTTGTGCTTCTCGGGCTCGCCAGTCTGTGTGGGTTCCTCTGTGGGTTTGGGCAACATGTAGGACTCAAAGCTCTTCGAGAAGTCATTCTCTTTGTTTTCCTCTGGCAGCTGGAGCGTCTCAGAGACGTCTGGCCCTACCAGGGGCTCGGGAACATCATTCGCCGGGCTTCCCGCCCGCGGAGTGGAGGCCTGGTCGTCCTCTGCTGCATCTTGGCTCATAGTGCTGGGCAGTTCATCGGCAGAATACTGGCTCTCGCTGTCGTCTTCAAGGCGCTCCTTTTCAGAAGCATTCACGCCGTGATTGTTCCGTTCATAAAGTTCATCATCCGGAGTCTCGGAGTTCCGGTACATATCAGTAATCGAATCGACATCATAGTCCTTATCGTGGTCTCGGTTGATAATAACACTGCCCTCTTCATCCTCTTCGTCGACATCATCTAGCATAGAATCCTCGGTGCTAGGGATTGGGACGTCAGGATCGTAGTGGAAAGGACGCTCTGGAGAAGAACTCGGAGCTGGCGAGGAAAAGTTGTAGTCCGACTCGCGCTCAAAGAGCTTGTTGCCATTGACGCGACGCATAATTGATTCACGCGAAATACGTGGAGGCAGTTGGTACTCTTCGAGGCCCGAGATATCGCCAATGGTGTCGTCTTCCTCGTCAGCGGGCTGCGCGCTAGGGCTTCTAGTATCGCGCTCGGGGGTCTGACTCTCGGTACGGTCACGGGCACCGGCGCGTCGCATGCGACGCTCGCGCTGCTGCTCAGCCGCCGTCTTGCCATCGTCTGAAAGCATCATAAGCCTCAGGCGCTCTTCCAAGGGCATTCTGGTGTTGCCAATGTTCTGCATCTCTGACTTGGTGGTGGCAGCCGGCGGTGGCGAGGGGAGGCTCCTATGCGCCCCAAGCATACGTTCAGCGGTAGCAGAGAGCCCGTTGGAAGAAGTCGAGTGGCTCCTCGCCAGCTGGCCAGGGAGTGGTGGCAAGGGCCTGTGCTCGCCGTTGGAGTTGGTCGAGTCAGTGCGGTTGTGCTGTGGCCTTGCCGTCGCTGGCGCATCTTCGGGCAGCGGGCTCTTCTCAAAGCGGTCGCTGGCGCCATCCTGTCTCCAGTCGTCAGGACCGACAACGGGAGTCTTGTCCGTGTCCTCGAGCGACGCATCAAAGCTGTCTTCGTTGTGACTATCCCCCTCGTGCATCACGTAATGCTCATCGTCGTCTTCGTCCTCCTCATTGGACTCGTAGCTGCCCTCCCTAGAGTTGCTACCGATGGAAGACAGATCTGGGGTGGCCAACTCATACTCGTTGACCTGGGGCGGTGCCGCGTCGAACGTGACGCTCTTGGCGTGGCGGTGGATGAACCTGCCTTCGGGCAAATCGTGCTCGTCGCCAGACGTGTCGGCGGACCAGCTCCCCGTCTCGGGATCGAAGCTGCTCTTGAATCGCGTTGTCGATAGCGATGACTTTATTGGTGATTCCTGGTCCTTGCTGGGTGTCGCTGGGCGCACGGGCGACGACATCGGGGGCGGCAGCGAGGTAGCAGCGGGGCTATAGATGGGGATGTTGGTTTTACTCTCGCTCCTGTGGTGTCCAAAGCCGCGCTGTTCTAAGCGCAGGCCACCGATGCCGGTGCCGCCGAAGGCATTGCCTTGGACCTTGGCCAGTGGGCGCTCGACTTGGGGGACCCTCGTGGGGTCGTATTCCTGCTTGTGCTCGAGCGCAAGAATGTTACTGTTCTTGACGCGCGATGCCTTCTGCAGACGCTCAATTGAGGAGCGTCGCGTCGGCGAGGGCGAGCCGGAGCGAGTACTGCCGTACAGGGTGTTTTCCGAGCTGAAGCCGCGATTCTGCCAGAAGAGGCGCGGCGAGGTGGTGCCGTCCATGGGCGACGGCTGGAAGGGAGATGAGTCTGGGTTCATTGACATTTTCTGGACGGAGTCGTCAGCGGGCTGGCGTTTAATGGGGGAAGCTCGCTGCGATGGTTGTCTTCTTACCTTTGTTGGCTGGTTCCAGCTGGGCGAATTGCGCCGATGCTCCATTGGCGATATCTCAGATAGCGGCCTGGGGATGGCACTCGCGGGCTTGGTTGGGGATGACATAGTGTTGCTCTTTGTCAGGCGCAGCGGATGAACCTGGATACGGCGCGCAATCGATGTCAGCAGCGAGCAGAGACGAGGATGTGAATTTGTAGCCCCAAATGAGGCTATGGGAAGTTGGGAGCGCGACGCACCGGGTCCTCCGATGCCATGCTCGGGCGCTGTTACTCTGTTTGGGAGCTTCAGACAGTCTTGCGATCCGCTACAAGGAGATCATAGCCGTCCCGTTTCGGCAATAGAGATTCTTATTTTTGGCGGCGGGTGGATGCGCAAGTGCTAGGTACTGCGCAGAACAAATTTGACGCAGCAGCTGGTCGGTGCAGGCAAGCCTTGGAAGGCAGGCGCGAACGACGCTGTGTTTTTTCTGGATTGTTTACTTCCAGTTTGACTGTGAGTGACTTGACCTCGATGTGATATCGATACGTTGGGGGAAAAGAAGGTACTGGCGCTATAAGCGAGTCTGATATTGGTGGATGGTGTATTTGGCAGGCCGTGGTCGAAAAAGACGGGAGGTTGATGAGGATGCCAGCGGCCGCGGGACGCTGGTGGTTGTGCTTGCTTGTTTAAGGCAGCGTCTCGCTTTGCGCTGCGCCCACTCTCGGTCCTGATTGGCCAGCCAGGGTAAACAAGAGTAGTGACCCCTCGTTCGCTCTTTTGTGCCGTTGCTGTAGCAACTTATACAATCTTGCAGCTGCGCCTGCCGTTCGCCTAACTCCTGCCGCAAAACTTAGAACCCCGCACCCCACCGACTGCTTCATCTGTTTGACACCCGGCCGTCTTTTCTACGCCAGCACCCGCTCCAATTGATTAATGTGCAACTGCAGGTGCTTTTTATCATCGAGGACCGGGAAACGCCCGTAAAAATTCCTTGTTCAGGACGGCTTTGCGCGTCTGCACCCTTTTGTCGAGTACGAAAGGTCTTCCATCGACCGCTCGACATCTGCACTTTGGGTAATCGGCGGACTACGGATAATTACCAGCCTTAAGGGTCTCAGCCACTGAGCTTGCGCTCTGCGGAGCTGGCTGATGAGCCGGACGGCACAAGACAGCGAGACAATGACAATCTGTACTTTCCAGAAATAGGTTCTCACTTGGAAGCAGCTCCCGCATGTCAGCAAAATGCCGTGCGATCAAGGAAGGAAATCCGGGTCGCAGTCCGTTCCCAACACCTGGGTATTGTCGGGTGGCATTTAGGTGTGGTTGCCTTCCATGTTTAAAACACTCATCTCATCCGGCGCCTTGCCTATCTGGGCTCTGTTACTTTCTTGTTGGTACAACGGATACAACTTTAAGGCTTGCAGCAAGGTACTACAACATTCAAATGCAAGGCACGGTAGTCCGTACGCTCGGCAGTGGTATAAAAGGAGCGTGTTTTGTTTTCTATCTCTCTCCCGTGTAACTACCTTACCTAGTACCTACCTAGTCTCGTTGGATGAAATAGCTAGGGATGTTATCTTGATGCGTGGTGCCTCGCCGATCGATCGTATCCATCGCGTGTCTGCATCGCGTCTGCGGCGTCCGGTGGATGGATGGATACGAAGTGCGGAGAAAGAAAAGCCGTTGCCAAGGCGGGCGGTTCTGAGCTCTCTGTCAGCTGGATGGATAACTTCCGAGCTGGGACAAGGGGGGCGCAAGACCAGTGTATTTTGGCGTATTCTCAGTGGTCAACTGAAGGTTGCCGGCAAGGATCGGGTCCGTCTCCGCAGCCCCGAGCATCCAGCCTCGATCCGGCATTCCGGATCATTGACGTGGATATGAGGTCGACTCCAACTCACTGCTTCGCTACCCTTGGCAGTATAAATTCAAAATAAATACAGGGCAAACAGCACACATTTAACGACAACTGTTGCTCGTCTGTATTGCCAGTATAGAGCCACAAGTCACTGCGAAAAGGGGAATGGCTCCCACCAAAACTTGGCCACTATTGCCATTTGCGAGGTCCCCCGTACGTTGCCTGACACCTCGTTCTCCTTTTCAGAGCCGTGTGTTAAGCTGTCGCTATAGTGTTCTTAGCACCAAGTCAATGGGTAAGCAAAAGCCGCTAGAATTGGAACTGTAGAGACCCTTTGCTTATAGAGTCTCACAGAAAGTAGCAAGAGCAAGAGCAAACACAAGAAAGAGCGAGTTGTGATCCTAGGCTCCGGCTGGGCAGGCTATGCTGTTGCTCGCACCCTTGACCCAGCCAAGTATGAGCGTGTCGTGGTGTCGCCGCGGTCCTACTTTGTCTTCACCCCGCTGCTAGCGTCCACCTCGGTCGGTACCCTCGAGTTCCGTACCATCTTGGAGCCCGTACGTCGTCTGCCTCAGGTGGATTTCTTCCAGGGCTGGGCCGACGATGTCGATTTCGATACCAAGATGGTCCGCGTCGAGGTCAACACCTCTAGCGACATGGGCAGCCAGACAGTCATCCCGCCGCCCCCGGGTCAGGCTACCGAGAACCCTTCCAAAAAGGGCGACGTCTTTGATCTCTCGTACGACAAGCTCGTCATAGCCTGTGGCTCCTACAGCCAAACCTTTGGCATCGAGGGGGTGCGGCAGCACGCCCACTTCCTCCGCGACATCGGCGACGCGCGACGCATCCGGCTCCGCGTGCTGTCGCTATTCGAGCTGTGCTCGTATCCGAGCGGCGCCGGCCTGCTCACCGACGACGACAAACGCACCCTGCTGCATTTTGCCATCGTAGGGGGCGGGCCCACGGGCATCGAGTTCGCCGCGGAGCTGCACGACCTTATCTACGACGACCTCGCCCGGCTCTACCCGGACCTCCTCCGCTTCGTGCGCATCGCGGTGTACGACGTCGCGCCCAAGGTTCTGCCCATGTTCGACCAGGCCCTGGCCAAGTACGCCATGGACACGTTTGCGCGCCACGGCATCGACGTCCGCACAGAACACCACCTGGAGCGGCTGCGGCCGGCAGACGGAGACCTCGGCAGCCGCCACGGCGCGCTGCGCATCAAGGTCAAGGAGCTCGGCGACGACGAGGTTGGTGCCGGCCTTGTGGTCTGGAGCACCGGCCTCATGCAGAACCCGCTGGTGGCGAAGCTGACCGGGAAGAAGCTGTCCGCCGCCGGCGGCACGGGGGAAGCCGGGCAGCGCTTGGCAACAGACGTTAGGACTGGAGGGCTCGTCACTGACGCATACCTGCGGGCGCGGACGACCTCGAGCGAAGGCAACGATTCAGCTGCTGGCGCTGGTGCCCCCCCGGCCGCCGCCGGCAGACTCTTGGAAGATGTCTTTGTAATCGGCGACTGCGCCATCCTCGAGAACGACCCGGCCCTCCCCAAGACGGCGCAGGTGGCATCCCAGCAAGCGATTCATCTCGCCAAGCGCCTGAACCGCGGCGACGTTTCCGGCAAACCGTTTGCCTTCCGCAACTGGGGCACGCTCACCTATCTAGGCAGCTGGAAGGCGATCCATCAGAGCTCGGCCGACGAGCTCAAGGGCTGGGTAGCCTGGGTCATCTGGCGAGGTGCTTATCTAACTAAGTCAATGTCGGTCAGGAACAAGATCCTGGTGCCTGTGTACTGGGCTATTTCTTGGCTCTTTGGTCGTGGCATTAGTCGCTTTTGACTGGGGGCGATTTAAAAGGGCACATTACGGTGCATGTATAACAAGAATTTGTATTAACACTCTATGTACTCACGGGGTTTTTTTGTGGTTGGTAATAGAAGGATAAACAAGGAACCAGAAAGGGGAGCACTCCCACAAAAGCTCGGGTTCCTTTTGCTCATTTGGGCCAGGTTAAAACGCATAGACGGGCTGTAAAGGCGTTTAGAACATGCCATCTTTTTTTGCCGTATATTCAGTATCAATAGCATATAGAAGGTCGCCTGCCTTCCTCTTTTTTTTTTTTGGGGGGTGGGGGGGGGGGGGGGGGGGGGGGGGGGCTGAAAGTGTCTAGTACATAGAAGCAACATGGCTAATGCCTACCTTAAATATCCGCGGACACACTTTAAATTAATATGATAGCACTTCAAAGTTGTTATCTGGCCGTTCTTGTCCTTTGACCCTTTATGTTGTCACTTTGTGGCCCCCTCCCCACAAAGAAAGATGGCAAAATAAAAGTAATAGGCCACGTCAGGGACGAGACAGTTCACCACGGACGAAAACGACGTGTTCTGTCACTGCTGACGACAAGGTGGATATAGAGCCGAATCTGCTATTACGCGCCCTGAACTTTGCCTTGTTTTTTTCATTTCGGTTACAACTCCAGCTGTAGACAATGATGATGCTTGTGAGAAACTCTATCAACGACAGCTGCCGCATATCTACAAGCAAGCAACACCAAACCAAGTCACAACGCTCGACATGTTCACTATTCTCCTTTGCCTAGCTGGCTTGATGTCTCCCGCGCCCCACTCCGTGTTCCTCACTGCTCTCGGCCCCCACGGATGTCACGCTTGGACTGAAGTCGAGGCTCGCCGAGCTGTCCTGGCTTGCGAGTTGATTTTGGGGACATGGCAATGTACCCGGCGCACTCTTGGGCCAGGTAGATAGGGGAGGCTTCCAGACAAGAACATCCCATAATTTGGTGTGATCTTGAGGAATACCCTGAGATTACTTGCGGGTGTCAAGGGGGCTTGCCTAAGGTTTTGTGATTTCCCACTTAAAAGCGCCCAGAGATTTGGGGGCTTGCGTCGCCCGCTCCCAACAAGCTCATCATGAGTATCTCGGCTTCTTGGACCCGACGGCGGTCTGGACGGCATCTATCTTGGTCTCGAGGAAGTGGCCACTATGGGATTCCTCCAGCCATGCAATCTCGACGGGGGACACGTGCTCGCGCACGAAATCGACTAGCCCTTTGGCCTGCGGCGCATCTTCCCGGAGGGCAATACTCGAGACCCGGGGGATCCCGAGCGCAGCCGACAGCCGCTCTTCGCACGACTTGGAGAAGCCGACTAGTCTGATGGCTTTTCCCGCCGGCCGCGACTTTGACGCAAGCGCGGCCATCTGGGGGAAGTGGCAGTGGAAGGCTGACGACTGGCCGGAGCGAGCCACGAAAACAAGGCTGTAGGGGGCTGGTATTTTTTTCGAGGTTGCCGTCTCATCTGGGGCGAGTTCTGCGTCGCCTGCTCGGTCTGTCACGGCCTGCAGGTTTCTTGAGATGGCGGACAGCCCGACGTCGACGTAGGCAGACAACCCTGGAACAGGCGGGGCCGAAGGTGCTGCTGCTGCTGCAGCGACACCCTGTGCTTCGGGCTTCCGTAAACGCTTTCGCTGCCCTTTGGACGGCGTGACGTATGACTTCCGGTGCTCCCCAAGAGGCGCGAGAAGACTATAGTTTGTTCAGTACGGGGCGCGATACAAGGAGTAGACATCAGGCAGGGGGTTGGACATACCGACAAAGAAGCTCTAGAATGGTATCTTGATCTTCCTGGCTGATCTGTGGCCTGTATGATGCAGTGAGTAAATGGTACAGTGTAACGAGTTGGATATTAAAGCGCTTACCACTCAACAGCGGAATAGGGGGTGTCCAGCCGGTGAACAATCTTCTTGCGGTCCATGGCCAAGGTAGAGCTTCCGGAATCCGTGCTCGCTTGGAACAGTAAGTAGTGCAGAAATGGAATCAAGCACGAGGTTATTATTGTCGTTTCCCTTGTCTTGACTTTTGCAAAGAAGATAGGCTAAGGAATGCACCAAGGCAAAATAAGATTGGTTTTGTAGTGTAGCAAAGGCGTAGATGCTTCGCTCGCCCAGTATCTGAAATATTTCCCTTTCCTTCTCTTCTCGTGGTTTATTTCTTGCGAAAGCGAGTTCAAGGACGTGCAGGAATGTGGTTGGCGCGTCTTGACGATCTTGCAGAATTGATGTCAAACTCCTACCTAGTAAGGTATTTAAGGTTCTGGATTGAATGTAAACGGCAGGAGTTGTGGGGTTACTTTACAGCGCTTGCAGAACAAGTACGAACACATATTGGTACGGTCAATACATACGGGAATACCAGGGAAATGCTTGGGTCGCCTGTCCCAAGGCACCGGGCCGACAATCAGAAAGAGGTGTGGGCCGGTAGCCTAGCCGACACGGGGTGCGGATGGATACTCTCGTGAATCACTTGTGGTGGACTTTTAAGTCTTGGCATTTCCAGAGGTACTTGAGATGAGAAAATCAACTCCCACAAACTTGACGTGTCTGCCTGATATGGGTCCGAGAATCCCGAGATCCCAGGCGCGAACCAGTTGAATCTAGCAACAAGGTACGGAGTTTCGCGGACGATCCACCATCGCCTCGTGCCGGCTCCTAGTTGCCAGCCCATGGGTGCGTCGAAGGGAGCGGAAGCTGGCTCGTGAGAGCCGAGGGGTATTCGGGATTGGTATTTTCGTATAGCATATACGTACAGCCCGTATTACTTGGTACAGTACAGTATGGAGATGGAGAAGCGTCTTCGGTGCGCTGCGCCGCGTGTCCCCCCATTCCTCGTTCCTCGTGGTTGATCGTGAACTGCCCGCAGGTGTCTTGGGCTTGAGGCTACGCAGCAACAGTCCAACTGTGTTGCATTAAGAGACAAAGAGCCAGTCTCATGGCACTCCGTAGTGTGTGCGTCCGTGGGCGGAGAACAATCAGGCTGGACTACGACGGCAAGTGCCCTGTCCCGTCTTCTTTGACTTGGCATCGGATGATAGGGCTGCACTAATAAAAGAGACAGGCAGTGTGAACACTGAAGTTTGAGAGATAAAGGCCGGATCATGAGACGTTTATTCTTGCAGTTGCTTGTGCCAAAGCTCTATTGGTTGCCTCTATCTTCATCATTATGGCCAAGGCCAACTTGTCCAACACGTGATTTAGGTAGGCAGTTGGTTACGTATATTAAAAGCGTCTTCGCCCTGGCTAGGTTGATTGTTTTTAAGGTACCTTCTCGCTTTGTGGTCCCGCCCAAATATGAGAACTTAATACGAATCCGCCGCCAAAGGAGGCAGTGAGAACGAGGGAGAATACTAGTAGTATTCCTTGAAAAGGCTTTGCAATAATTTTCAGATGTCTTTTATTGAAATTCATGTGTTGCTGGCTGGTATGTTGTAGAGATGGAAATCTGCAAAGGCTACGGCCGCACTACCTATATCTGTGCAGCACTCTGACCTTGCCTGGGAATTATTGCTGCTGCATCCATAGGTTATAATCTTAAAGTTAACTAACGGGTATTCTGTTATTCAGGAATGACACATCTGGTTCCCACTTTCGGGCCTGTGTATCAAGCGTTTTCTTGAAGCTGTTTCTCCCGCTGGAAGCCATGTACCTACCTTGTCGGTTTTAAAAGTGAGCATCAATTGTGCCCAATGTTTTTTTTGGACACACACCCTCTGCCCCGCACCACCCCGTCCCCCCACCCCCCGCCTCCGCGAGTCCTTGCCCACCTTACCTTCCCTGACCTGCCGCACCTACCATTACCGTCTTCTCATCCACAGCGGTACCCGGGCGTCGACCTCGAATCGCCCCGAACATCCGTACTGCGTACTGTAATAAGAGACGAAGAGGGTTGTTGATCACTCTGCTCAGCCTTGCTGTTTTTCTCCAGCGGCAGCTTTGAAAAGGCTCTGTCTTCCTAGGTACGTGACATCGCGACCATCGAAGCCCTCTCTTCTTTCCGCACCAGCCCGCCTGGCCCGCCTAGCTCGCCTGGCCCGCCTGGCCCGCCTCTGGCAAGACCCCACTGGTCCCATACCTTACCTTCCAGGCCGGGCTCGCTAGGTTGAGCCCGCCTTGTCCGAAGTCAGCGCTACCTGCCACACCACACTCACCACACCTCTCCCAATCGCCTGGAGCTTGCAGCCTGCCTGCTCTCAGGTTCCAGGCTGCTTCCAGGTTGATTCTCAAACCGCAAGGCCCTTGCCCACTTACATCACTTCCCTCTCCCGAGCTCCCGTCAACCTCCCCTCCCCCACTTCAGGAAACCGCGGCGCGGGACCCAGAAAAAAAACCCCCATAAAACTCATCCTTTTTTTGCTAGTGTCAGTTACAGTGCACGGCTCTCTTTGATTGGCAGCCTTGAGGTTGTATCCCTGTCCTTTACCGGAACTTGGTTGTTCCCACACAGGGCAGCTCCCCCAGGTCTCCAAAGCCTACCTAGGTAGTAGCTTCGGCTGCCGCCCGTGCCCCAGTCCATCATCGAGCCTCCCCCACCTCACAAAAACCACACATGCTAAGGGTCAAGAAGCTGTCGCCGAGCTTCCTCGAGCGGAGCTCTCCCGTCCCCGGAGCTAGAGCTGCCTTTCCATTGTCCCCGTTTGCGTAAGCCAGATGGCTCAAGCTTCGACCGCCGACGAGTCGAGAGAACGTGCTGTCTCGTCCGAGCCTTGCTCAACCCGCCCCAACCCATTTGACGACAGTGATATCTCGTCCCGAAAGCGGCGGCGCACCTCGCTGAGCGGCGCCTCTAGAAGCCGGTCCGTCGACACGGTCAATTCTGCTTCTGCCTCGCCTCTCGTCGGTGACTTGGGCCCCGAGGCAAAGAGTGACTCCGCCATGAAGGTTGACACCGACCCCACCACACCCACAACCCCCGAGAACCAGCAACAACCACCCCAGACGCAGCCTCCTCCCTCAGGCCCGCGGTCGAGTCGGGTCACGATTAATGTGCGGACTCCTTCTCGTCCACTCGAGGCCATTCCGTCATCTCCTCCTTCGCCCTCGCTCCACGACCAGACAGTAGCCGCCAACGTCCCCGCCGATGCCGTCCAGATCAGTGTGGAGGAATCCGAGGTCGACATGTCTCGGGAAGATACAGTTGTTAATACTCCGCTGTCGTTGTCTTCGTCATCGTCGGGCGGTGGAAGCCCCCCTATCGAGATCATCTCGGTCCAGCCAGATGACGACGACGGCGAGTTTGGTGACCAGGCTTCGGTGACCATCTTGGACGGCTTCCCACACTCAATGGTGCAGGGCCCCTTGGTGGATTTACCAGACCCCACGGCAGATTTTCCATTCCGCGACATGGCCGAGCCATATTTGGATGTTATAAATAGGTTAACACAGTACCTTTGCACTCGTAGGACCCCCCCTTCCCACTCAAATTATTACTCGGCAGCCCGTATTGCATGTGCTGACAGCTTTTTAGATGAGACGGTCAGTCAAGGGCTGACCGACTGGATCGAGAAGTACTTGGCCTTCGCCAGGACGTCGCCGTTCGAGACGGTGGTGCAGTCGTTCCATGAAAACCGAGAGGTCTGGGTCAACCTTCCCGACATGGTCTTCTTCTTGGTCAACCGCAAGTATGTACCCCGCAGCCCGTGTCGTCGTCCACCGAGTACTGCAGCCGACTCTAACTCTGATTGCAGGTCACCATATCCGCGAGCCAAGGCGCGGCAGGATATATTTGGGTTCTTCAAGGCCTTTGCCGGCTTATCTGCATACTTCATCGAGTTCGATATCAAGTCTTTGATTCAGAGCAAAGCAGCTGATTACCCATCTCTGCCCGACCTTGTCTCGCAGTTCTATGTTCAAGCTCTTAGCAACTTGACCCGAAAGGAAGAGATCACTTTGCAAACGTCACAACTGCAAAATGCCGACGATGATTTCAGCTATCTTGCGGAGGTATCGGAGATTCTGGACACGTTCCATGGCTTCCACAACAACAGCGGCGGCTCGTTTGCTTTCCTCTGGAAGCTGGTCCAGATCGAGTCCGGGCTCGTGCTGCGCTTTCCTAAGCTCACAGACAGCCTGGGATACTTGTGCGCGTTCGCTGCCAACTTCCTCGAATATAACTTCCGCAAGATGCCGCTGTCGAATCAGACGGCGGTCATGGAGAGCACCCGGGGGATCATCGCTCGTGGCTACGCCTTGTACAGCAGCACATCAGCAGCGCTCGCCAATGTCATTGACAAACATGTCAACCATCTCTCTTCCGATGGCGCCTCGAATCTTCTCACTTCGTTGACAGAGATATTCCGAATAAGTCTCAGCACCAACCAAATCGTGCCTATAGACATCATCAAGGAGCATCGCCAGAATCACCCACCAATATCCTTAGAGCACGTGCCAGAGGCCATGGCCTATCACTGGAAGTTCACGACATACAGCAAGCTCATCATGTCGAGTCAGATGCAACTTCGAGTCATGGCAGTCTCGGCCATGTGCACCGATCTCGTCCAGTTCTGGCGCAAGTTTAACGAACCAGCGGATGAGCCGAGTACCGCCTTCTTGCAATATGTTGCCGACTTTCTTCTCCGGACTGGACTGGTTGCATATATTCTTGGGCCCACTTGTCACCCCGAGATAACCATCGAGAGTAGTAATATCGTCGGGTTTCTCTTAGTGTCTGGGACCTATACGAATGCACATACGGATGCCTTGTGGCAGACTGTCACTTCAACCCAAGACCCGCGGGTGTCGGATGCCTTGATCAGGATGACAAGCCGGATCACAAACCTCTACCCGTACGACAGCCTAGTATATCTCGCAGGAAAGTTGAACACGGTCGGCGTGGAGGCTTTTGGCCCAACAATGCGCGAGTTCTGTGAACAGATCTTCAGGCATTTGCATACCAAATCCGGTTTTGACAGGCCAGTTCCAGACCCGGCGCCGTTTGACCTATGCGTACGTTTGATACGGAAGTCGTCTGCATTTGGACCGCAGTCACCAATAGCACACGCCGACATCCAACAGTTCGCTATCCAGAAATTTAAGGAAATTTTGGGCTATGGGCCGGCTACGGAGACCCGGCGGAGGCTCTACTTGGACTGCTTCAACGATATTGCTCAGAGGTCATCCCCTACAATTGGCAGTCTCTGGGTGATGAACCTCCTAGCGCGCCCATATGTGCCGCGCGAGTTGCATGCCTTGACTGCAGAGCATGATTTGACGAGGCTCCTGATTGATGAGCTGGAGGATGCTATTCCCGCAGCGCGAAGCGCGGGTTTTCCGGCTGTTCTCAGCGGCCCCCAGAACACGCCGCGCAAGGAACTTCTCATGTTCATCCTCTATCATGAGTCGCCGACAATCACAAAAGACCTAGGGCCTAGGCTTTGGCATCTACTCGTTGGCCCCGGAGCCGCGTGCCGGGAAGATAGGGACGTTGCATGGCAGCTGTTGAACAATTCTTTGAAACGACACCCGGGCGGGAATCCCTTTACGTCAACATGCTTCTCGGAATACCTGCCGGCTCTTGGCCCAGAATGCTTCTGCCTTGGCACGCTCGAATTTGTCTGTGAAGGAGTCCTTCCTCTTGTCAACGACATTACGAGCATTATCCTCGATGACGATGACCTCGACCAAGCCGGGATCGAGCAACTATGGCGACTGATCCTTACCGCGCCGGAAAACACTATTGAGCAGCAGGCCATTCATACCTTAGTCAATGACGTTTATGTCGACAGCCGATCCATTTTGTCTTTTCCTCACTACCGCGCGCGAAAGGTGCACCTGGCACTCGTCAGTCGATGTCTTCGACAGCTATCTTCGGCGGCTGCAAAGCTGAAGGCCTCTGCCGATGGCGCAACGAGCGGTGACGACGACTCCATGGTCATAGTCGTCACAGATCAACAGCTCCTTGAGCAGGAACTTTTGTTTATCCGCTCGCTTTCTGTCCTCAGAGAGTTCCACCGGATTCACCAAGCCAAGGCACATTTCTCGGCACCAGATTTACGGGCCCTCATCCTCGACCCTCCCAATGAAGTCGAGGGAGATTCTGCAGAGTTGAAGTTCCAGTCATTCGACGGCGACTTGCAGACAGAGGTTAAGCCTCTTGAAATAGGAAAGCGCAATACAGCAGCGTCGCTCTTGGCGAGCCTGCGGGAGGCTACAGGGTTCAATAATTATCGGATCTACTATCGAGGCCGGCCCTTTGCACCTCAAGAGAGCGAGATATGCAAGTCTCTTGAAGATCTTCAGATTCAGAACGGCATCATACTTGTAAAACGGGAGTCTGACACATCAGGCTCCCCGGCTCGTGTACGTCCCGGAGCGTCTCCCGTGGAGGTGGAAATTCTTGGACACTTTGAAGAGTTGTGGGAGTACCTATCGATGGAACAGAAATTATCTCAAGAGGTAAGATTGACACCTATAACCTTTAACTCTTATTGATTGGCGCTGACACGTCATTCACTTGCAGATCTATAGTTTCTTGGTGAAGCTACCGGCTGATGAGAATATTCTGAAAGCCATCGGGAATCCTTCGACATCCTACCAGGAATTCTTTCCCCTTGGCCAAGCGTTCAAGTCTCTGTACGCAGTGCATGCATTGCGCGAATATCTTGGCACTCAACGCCGCAGATTTCCCCCTGGGGATTTTGAAGAGCAAAAAGAGTATGCAGATGGTTGGCCGCAATCTTACTCTGCTTCCCTGATTAGAGCAATGTCTCTTTTGGTTCCTGCGCTCTCCGACCCTGAGGTGATTGCGCAATGTCCGAGACAAGAGCTACAAATGGATGTGAGCTCTGCTTTGGTGGAATGTTTCGTGGCTCTCCTGAAAGGTAAAGCCGACTCTCCGCGAATCTGGGGGTGTGTTGATGCTAACATGCCGCGATTAGATCCTTATCTTCCGACCTCGGCAGCCCCATTTCTCGATGCGCCCCTTTTGGATCGCCTTTTGACCATTCTATTGACAACCCTATCACCTAGCTCTTCGGATAGCGCTACTAAGCACGCGACGCTCTGTCTTCGCAGCATCTTGGAGTCCTGCTGCATCAGCAATACCTTCATGTCGGCATTCTGTGCACATTCCAAAGTTCCTGGCTTATTTGAAGATTTACTCCTTCATGACCAGCGGGCGGCGCTCAGGCAGAACACTGCACTTCTTATCGTGGAGAAAGTTGGCAAACACCTTGTGTAAGTCTCATCCTATTCACCAATGTCTAGTGTCGGGCTGACAATCTGCTTCGTGTTTAGTGAGCCTAATGCAACCACCGATGAGTTTCGGGAATTCTTTTGGCCACTGGTGTCGGGACTCGTTGGCCCGGCTATTGCACATGCAGGCAATTCCACCGAAGTGTTGCACCTTTGCTACCAAATGTTCGAGGCTCTGCGAGATGTCCAATCTCGGATCCTAGATGTCCAAAAACTCCTGGATGATTGGAGCCGGCTGCTTCTTGCGTACACAACATTTGAGGTATGCTGATCCTGAAATGTGGTATCTCTGGCTTTTAACTAAAACCCCGACAGGATCTAACTCAGCCTGACATCGTCGACCACGTTGCAAGTAGCTTGATTCAGCTGCTCCATACCATCGTGTGCAGCTCCGAGCAGACACGGAACTGGAATGCCAAAGCTTCGAGGTTGGTTTCTTCACGCATCATTGGGGTTTCACTGTCTAACTCCTATAGTGGTCTTGCGCGACAAATATTTTGGAAGCACTTGTTTCCGCCTGGGGATGCGGAGGTCAAGTCAGAGCCTATTCGGCCAGTACTTAATCCTCAAAGCAGGATAATGCTGACCCAGATCATGTTTGGCCTCATTGACGGCGACTCGCCCCAGACCATGTGGCTCCTGGAGGATCTCGATGAGCTAGTTCCAGTTTTCCCAGACGAAGAGGGTATTTTACCCTGCCCCCAATGCTTATTGAGGCCGAGCTAATCGCCGCGATTATAGAGTTTTATGGATATGAGCTCCTGCAGCAGTTCGAGAGATCTAAGGCTGTCAGGTCACCATGTGGCTATGTTGGCCTCAAGAACCTATCCAATACTTGCTATCTCAACTCGTTGTTCACGCAGCTCTTCATGAATGTCGACTTCCGCCGGTTTATGCTCAAAGCGGATGTGCGAGACGCCGACTTTTCCCAGGCCCTGCTATTCCAGACGCAGAAGCTGTTTGGTTTCATGCAAGGAAGCATTCGCCGATACGTAACTCCCGACGAGTGCGTCGCGAATATCAAGACGTATGAGGACACACAAATCGACATCCACAACCAGATGGACGTGGACGAATTCTACAACCTGCTTTTCGATCGTTGGGAGGGTCAGCTCTTGACTAGCGAGGAGAAGCATCAATTTCGGTCCTTCTATGGTGGTCAGCTGGTCCAGCAAGTCTCCTCCAAAGAATGCGAGCACATATCCGAGAGACTGGAGCCATTTTCAGCCATCCAATGCGACATCAAAGGCAAGAGTTCTCTGCAAGAGAGTTTACAGGCTTATGTCGATGGCGAGATAATGGAAGGAGGTATGGTCATGCACCCTTTGTGAAAACACTCGTGTTTCGGGTATGCTAACCAGGAGCAGACAACAAATACAAGTGTTCGACTTGCGATCGCCATGTCGACGCAGTCAAGAGGTTTGTTTTTTTGGTATATCTCTGCGGGAACCCAGATAGCTGACCTGAAGTCAGAGCCTGCCTCAAAGATGTGCCAGACAACTTGATATTCCATCTCAAGCGGTTTGACTTTAATCTGCGGACCCTTCAGAGGAGCAAGATCAACGACTATTTCACGTTTCCAGGCAAAGTCGACATGCGGCCATATACCATTGACCATTTAAGCAACCCCGCCGATGAGAAATCTGAAGACATATTCGAGCTCGTCGGTATCCTCGTTCATTCCGGGACTGCCGAATCAGGTCATTACTACTCTTACATCCGAGAGAGGCCATCGCAGAGCGATAGTCAAGTGTGGGTCGAGTTCAATGACGATGTTGTCACCCCCTGGGATCCCGCTATGATAGAGAGTTCGTGCTTTGGCGGCCCTGACTACCGATCCCACTTCGAAAACAATACGGTCTACGACAAAACGTATAGCGCATACATGCTGTTTTACCAGAGATCCTCATCTCTGGCCAAGGCGCAGGAACTGCTCAAGAACCCTGGATCTACTAGCCCGCTGCGCGTCCCGATCTCTCGGAAACTGGACGAGTTCATGTCGGAGGAAAACAATTCTCTGCTTAGAAGGCATTGCCTCTATGATCCCTATCAGATTGAGTTCGTCAAGCTGGCGCTTCATCATATGAATAGCGTCACCCGCCACCGATGTTCCAGGAAGCACGACATGGAAAACCTCGCAATTACAATGGCTTTAAGCCATCTCGACCAGGTTGCCTCGAGAACCAAGGATGCCCCGGACTTCTTCTCGCTGGCGCATACCATCGACATGATGTGTCAGGGCTGCGTCCGCTGCAGTCTCGCCGCCATGGAGTACTTCAGCCGATACACCGAAACCGTGAAGATGCTGGTCCAGAAGAACCCGGATGCCGAAGTCCGCCAAGGGACGGCGAACTTGATGATTCGAATACTGCAAGTGATCAAAGCAGAATTGCCCATACAATACGGCATACCGATCCGCGAGACCGACGGGAATGGCGAGGACGATTTCGAGCCCCAACATACAACCATGAGAGGCGTCATGCTTATCTTCAAGGCCCTTTGGGAAAATTTCCACACCAACCTTCGGTCATGGCCCGAGGTCTTTGATCTCATGTTTTCCTTCGTCAAGCTAGGGCGCCACGAGATTGCAAAGTTCCTCGAACATCATTTCCTGAAACATCTGCTGTACATCATCTATGCAGACCAAAACCTGGATCTTCCTCAACAATTTGCCAGGATGATTACAGCAGTGACGCGGAGAACTCCGTCACGTCCACCCTCGTATGAGCGCATCATTGGGCTCATCGATGTGCTGATCGCGCCGTTGGAGATGGCATATACGGAGAGGGGTGAACCCACGGGCCCCGATGTGCCGGACCAGCGTCTTGATCACAATGAAGATACGGAGGGTCACTACCTATTCACAAGGAACGAAAATAAGATTCTACACACGGATTGGGCCAGGGGTCAATCGAATGTGTTTGTGGACAAACTCATTACCATTAATCAGAACCCGGCGGCTACGGACTCGATTATTACAAACTTGATCAGGCAGAGCAATGTGATGGAAGAAAAGGTGCTCCGTACCCTCAGGAACGGTATTACTGGGCAGATAACGCAGCACAGCAACGCCCCTTTTCTGCACGTGGCAGCCGCGGTTTTCTGTCGCGTGGCGAGCCGAGCTGAGTTGATCAACAGTCTGATTGAGCATGTTTCACAACAATGCATGAGTTTACAAAGCGTGGAGGGCAAATCCTTTCTAGATTTTGAGCGCGATGTGTTCGACTATCCTCGCGAAAACGCCAACCAGTCTCGCGAGGAGGTAATCCTAGCAGGATTAGACAATATTCCGGAGTGGGCCCCTGGTTTACTCGGCTACTTTGATTCTGCCATTGCCGACGAGGTGGAGTCTTTCCTGCAGGAAAAGCTATTCCAGTATGGCCCATCGCCCGTCTGCGGGGACACGGAAGAGGGCAGGCGACGAAGCGCCAAACTTATCGATACGGCCCGGACTCTCGGCATGAGATGCTTAGGATACCTGCGCGATAACTACGTTGCCAGGCGCATTGATGTATCGACACGCATCGTGGCCGGACCGGAGAGGGTGATCAAGGAGTGCAGCAAGTACTTCAACCTGAGGGAGCCAGCAGAGGACGAGGAGGCGCAGGAATTCCTCCTTCTCAGTCGCAGTAAGTTGAGAAGACCGGGGGCGAGCAGTGTGAAGAGTCGGACAATGATGACTAACAGTGAAATAGGTGTCCTCGAGCCGTTACATAGACTCACCGTCGAAGAGCTAGAGGAGGACGGGTCCGGTATGTTTTACAGCGACTCATCGAGCATCGCGTCCAGCGTCACGGCCGGCTGATGACAAGGGTCGTGCAGAATGGGAAAACTCATCGGCATGCTCGGGGCAGATGGACAGTCTGGGAGACATCAGCATGCAAGCAACCGGCGAGCTCCATGAGGGAGACATGCCCTGAGTGTTTTTGGGGAGCGGGGACGCACACGTGCGTGGGAACCTTGGGAATTTGTGGACGGGTGGGGGGGATTTTGATTTTACGTCTTGGTGTTTCTGGCTGGTACTACTGCGTGCGGCTATTGTTACGAAGGGATAAGGTGTTCAACATCGTCGCTGGTATTGCTTACAGGCCAAACAGACCTGGACCTCTTTTTTCTCGTCGCACAAGAAGGCTGCATGAAGGGATGGATCTGGTAGCGACGGCGTCAAGGCGAAAAAAGGGCCGTGATTGGGAATTTGGCCTTCCTGAGTTAGGGGCTGTCTCGGGTCTCCTCTGCATGTGTTTCTTCAAAACAAGGCGGGGTGGCGGATGGTCGGTCGGATACAGGTCTGGTTGGCCCAATGTGTTGTGTTGGCATTGTTAGACTACATCATAGGCGGAATCCCGTAGACAGCCAAGCAGGAAGGCTGCAAGGGTCTTTTCCCACAAGAGATATGAGGTTTTTTCCTTCCCCTCCCCATTTTCTTCTGAGATGCTTGGGGCTTGAGCGATGGATCGGCGGGCAATCCTGAGTGTGCCATGACGGTGAATACGCCTAGTTTACCATTACTAGTATGTTGAACAAGGAAGGATGTATTCAGTAGCGAGATGAGTCTAGGAAGCTATCTGTCTTCGGATCTGGACAAGCAGGGAGGCAGGAAGGAAGACCCTTACGGATAGAGAGCACGAATTGGAGAGGTTCCAACAAGTAAGTGACATATGATACGATAGGGAAGACAAGCAGAGCAGTGTAAGGATTGGCCGGATGTGGCTAGATGCCATTGATGGTGATTGGGCACACCGAACTGGGCACATCTCGCAGCTGACAATCGCCACGATAAATATTAGGTGTCATCCATGCGATCTATAGCGCCCTGTGCTCAGTCTATAGACTCGAGGACGCTGCTGATCTGATGGGCCCGCAACTGGGCCGGCTTCTTGGAGACGGTTGTCACTCATTGGACATTGTGGGGAACTTGGAGGCCGGACCCATCATGGGCAAGACATTTATTTAGCTACCCAAAGGCAAGGTAATTAAGTGTACTAAAGGAGGCAGTAGTTGAGGTGTACGCAGTAGTAGTCTTTAGCGTCTTTGGCTTGGCAGCGGCCAGCATGGAAATGACAAATTGAAAATAATGGAGTTGTGCGGTGCGTGCAAATTAACAACAAAAGGGGGCTTTGGACATTGGATGCATCGGATGCGGGACCCTTTCACCGCTACGAGCGCGCCAGCGGGCATGCCGCCTATTACCTACCACTAGGCTGGCAAGTGATAGTAAATTTGCGCGAAGGATCGCGAAAATAGCCGCCTGCCGCCCGCGCGTGTACCCTGCCCATTTGCCCAAAGTCCAAACCCAAAGGCTCTTTGAGTCTTTTCAGCGGGCAGTAATGGAATAGACAACGACGGGATGGAGCTTTTCCCCGCACTGATGGCCGCCTGAAACCACGACGCCTAGAAAAGTGGTAGAAGACAATCCACAAGAACAGTGGAGCGGAGGGATGGCCCTAGGGAGCGTTTTGTGGGCCTCGAGAACAGACGAACCTTGTAGCTTAGCCCATTGGCTTCCCGCGAAGAGCTAGCCGCCCAACCCCGGCCCTAGAAACCCCGATTTACTAGACCAATTCCTTCGGGCGAACAGCGACCCTTGGTCTTGGCTGGTTAGTGCACGACTTGACAGGTGGGCATGGCGACGTGGGGAATTCTTCTGTAATTCGGGTCCCTCAGCTAACATTACGAAGCGCCCTTCGGCTACCCACCCACTCAGTGGGCTCTGCTTGCCGACGTCCAGGCCCAGGGAAGGGCATTGGCGTTGTGTTATCGCTCATCACCATCACCCATCACTCATCACCCATGGATCACATATCACAATCACGTACTCGCGCACGCACGCACGCACGCCCGCACGCGGGCAGCGCACACGGGCAGCGCACACAACACAGTACAGTATGCACCCATGGAACCAGGGCGAGCCGGGCGGGCTGGCTAGCCAACAACAAGCAGTGTAAGGTCGAGAGCTGAGAGACGAGAGACGAGAGACGAGACGAGAGAGTCCCCCCGGCCCTTGCAACGCGAACATGCTGGGTATTTGAGTCGAACCGTAGCCTGCCGCTGCAGCGACCCAGCCTTGTGGGACGGACGACGAGATGAAACACAGGCACTCACTCACTCTTGGTCGGTTCTGTGATACCCCAACTTGCAGACAGCGACAGCAATAAGAAGGTTCCGCGTTTCATCTCTCGTTTATTTTTGTTGTCTTGATTTCCGACTCTCTGTTTTTTTCGAGTTGCCGCCGCCCAGTCTTTTTTCATCACCTCAACACCCGTGGTTTTGCCTGTTGTGCCGTGCCTGTTGTTGCCATCAACAACATACCTACTGCAAGAGACATGCTATGGTCTGTGGCGGGCCTTCTCTTATAGTCACGAGCCTGTCAAGTCTAAGCTCGTCTTCCTCTCTCGTCCTCCTTAGCGGTGTAGTTGTTGTTATTGGACCAGAGTGTGGAGACCGGTATTCCTTCGGCATCCTGAGCCCATGACTTATCAACCAGTCTTTTGGAGCCTTGCTGAGCCTCTTCTCCTGCTTCCTCGCCGTCGTTCTCGTCTCTGCTTGGCTCGCCATCTCTCTTTCTGGACGGGCACGTCAAGATGGCCATACGCCTCAGCCTGAAGGACCACATCTCTTCGCCTCTCGAGGCCGGCACACCGCTTGTCGATGGCTCCTACCTGCCCGGCCGCCTCAGCGAGGCTCTAGAATATGCCTCCAAGAGGCTGGCGAGGAAGTCAGTGTCGCCCGTCACTCTTATCGCCGTCCGGAGGGATAACCAGCTTCCCACGTCGCCGCTCGCCTCCCCGGCCTCACCTCCAGTGCCGGCACTCGCCTCCGTCTCCAACACTCCAGCACGGCCTAACTTTGCCGTGTCACGGCTCAGCAGCATCAGGCATCTCGTCCGCTCCACCAGCTCGGCATCTCACGCCTCGGATGGCCAGATAAAGGAGAGGATAGTTCATATCCACCACGACCACCACCTCTTCCGCAATGGCACCATCTCGCCCGCCTTCAGTGAGGCTTCCATGGCTTCAGCCTCGACAGCCTCAACTAACTTCACCTCGGACTCGATATTCAGCCACCGGCTCCGCTGGCCCACCAGCCCAAGGCCCCTTAGCAGCATGCCCATGACTCCCGCCACCCCGTTTACAGCCCTGTCGTCCCCAGCAACAGCAACTTCTTTCACGGGCAGTATGGCGTCTGGGGCCCTGCTGCGGCATCCCAATCGGTTTGGGTTCAGGCTCGCCCATGTCGGCCCCCTGACTGCACGTGACGAGAAGATACTGGCCCAGACAATCGACAAGGCCGCGCGCAAGTTCAAGATTGGGTTCGTCTTGCACCTCCATTCCGAAGGACAGGTTGGTGCTACAAGTAGATCGAGGCGGGCATACTGACTTTTCTCAACAGAGCCGACTGGCTTCCACCTGTCGTCTCGCCAGCTGCCTTGGGCCTGTCGACCGACCTTGTACAGCGATCCGTAGTACAGAACGAGAGACTCTACGCCTCTGAGCCCCTGGTCCTTCTCTCACTAGATCACTTGTACACCTTTCGCACGGCCCTCCAGTCATATGCCCGAACGCAAGCGTCGTCCCGCCTGGAAGATGCGGTGGACGAGCTCCGGCGCTTGATCTTGGCCAACGGCCGCCAGAGGCTGCGGAAGAGCGACCTCTTGGCGGCATACCGGTGGATGGAGCCGGTCAGCGACGCAGCCCTCTCCGACGTGTGCCGCATGTACAGCCGTGCATACGGCGGACTCGAGCAAGAGAGCGGGCTTGAAAACGACGTCGATGCCGTTGCTCCTGCTACTCGTGCTAGCATCAGAACTAGCGAACAGCTGCCCCCGCATCCCGAGCCAGCCAGCAGAGACGAGGTGCACGACGACACACCGATCCCGTCCCCGGACACTCCCCAGATGGCCTGCGTCGCGACCCCTTTGTTTGAGACCTGGGCCCCCGAGGAGAAGGAGATTTCGGTCAAGTGCCTGGATGTAACCGCTGAAGACTTGGAGCTGGATGCCATTGAGGCCTGGTACCGAAACGTCCAGATCAATGTCAACACCACCGACACCGACAGCGCCACCGACATCGACATATCGAGCTCGCACAGCGTTTCGCGCAGTAGCTCCCTGGCCCGATCCGTCGTGGTCGAGATTGCTCCGCCAATGAGCATCGAAAACGCCCAGCTGGAGGCTCTTCGGCGCGCAACTCCCAAGCTTGCAGCCGCACCGCCGGGGAGGAACATTTCCCTCAAGTTGCAGACAAAATTCGACAAACCAGTGCCGAAACGCCACGCCGCCCCGCTTTCCCCTTTACGGCGTGAGATGAAAGCACTCATGGGAAGGCCCGAGCAGAAGCCGCCGCCGCCGCAGCAGCAGCAGCAGCAGCAGCAGCATCAGCACATCATGCTGGCGCCAGGAACCAGCAGCAGCCCCAGCATCGCCGTGATTTCCGCCGCTGCCGACGACTACAACGGCGGCGACCGGACGGCGCGGCCCTCGAGCGCCGCGACGGCGGCGTCGCACTGGAGCTTCTCCATCGACGGCATCCTCAGCGGGTCGACCCCCATCTCCACGCCCCTCTCCAGCCGGTTCTACGACGCCTCGCCCACCAGCGCGGCCACCACCACCCACCTCCGCGTCGGGCCTATAACCCCAAATTGTTACGACGACATCTCGCCCATCACCCGCGGCGAGTGGGGCATGCTGATGGGCGGCGAGTGGAACAACGGCAAGCGGGCGCCTGTCGAGACGTGCTTGCAGCGGGGGTGAATGAGCCATCCCTTTTTTTTTTTGGGGTTGTCTCTCGCTCGCCCCTAGCTTTTTGTTATTTTATCAGCTTGTTCGCCCGTACATATTTACCGCTTTTAATCACACCCAAAGTTGAACGGGGAAAGGAGATAAAAAAACGCTGTCAATATATATATATATATGTCATTATTGACGGACAGACACACTTTTTGTTTTCTGGTATCACGTTCCCGGGGCAATGTGAGTGAGGATGAGAGAAAAGGGGGTGAGTGAGTGGGAGGGACAGAGAGAACAGAGAGCCTCAAGGCCGCAACCAAGATACGTACGTAGCAACCATTGTTATTATCACACCACACCACCGGATGCCTTCATATTATCTGTTTATTTCATTTTTTTATTGGTGAGCATCACGCCTTGTGTAGGTACTTCCCTTCCAAGTCTAACCCGTTCATCGATCATCATCGATGGGGTACAGACTTAGATACGAAGTAACCTAGGTAGATATGTAGGTAAGCGTGGCAGGGAACTGACTCGGTTATAACTTCTTACAAAACTCGGACCTGAGACATGACACCAAAGACGCCGGTGCTGTGATATACTTACTACTATGGGCAGGCAGTCAGTCTGCTCATCTTGTTTGCTGCCCCTTTCCTCCTGCTGAATGCTTTCTTCCGTCCATCACTGCCCGCGGACTATTATCGATCAGAGCAGGGCAGGATATTATCGTTGATCATCAAACTCTTTCTGACAGAGGCTTCATTCCGCAACTGCCGCCGTCGCCTGCTTGCTCTCCCCTAGGTGTATGAGAGACTGACTGCATTGCCCTGTCTTCATGCGACGAGCATGCCGTAACCCCACACGCACACTCTCATACTCATACATGTTCACTTTAGTGATAAAACAGAAAGAAAAAATCACTTCCATCCGTACCGGCTGGCCGCGTCTTGGCGGTTGTTGCGGCCCTGGGCGAAGCTGTCTTGCAGCGCCGTCTGGTTGTTCTGCGCCATGTTGACCATCTGGCGCAGGCTGTGCTTGCCGGGCGCGATGGCGCGCACGGGGTTGTACACCTGCTGCTCGCCCGACGCGCGCAGCGCCTCGTTGTTCTCGTACTCCTGCTCCATGTTGAAGTTGATGACGCGCGCGTTGGCTCCGCTGCCACTGTTGTTGTTACCCATGTTACCGCCGCGTCCAAACAGCTCCCGCCGCACATGCGCCGACAGCTCGAGGCCGTCGGCAATCGAGCTGAGTGATTGTGGCTGTTGCTGGGTGGGCGCGAGTGTTGCAGCTTGTTGCTGCTGCTGTCCGTAGTGAGAGGAGTCGTCGTATTCGTATGCGCCGCCCAGCGATGACGCCTCCTCGGCCTCGTGGCTGTCTGCGTCTTGGCCAAACATGGGCTCGTAGGACGCGCCGCCGTCTGACAGAGCGCTAGCGCCAGCAGCAGAGTGGGACGGGGCGCTGCTCTCACCTGCCTCTTCTTCCTCTTCGCCCATAGAAAAGAGCGATACTTTCTTCTTCTGCGGCTGCTCTTCGGGTGCCTTTGCCGCAGCCTTGTTCTCGTTTGAAGTCCCCGAAGCGCCGGGCTTGACTGCGGCAGGAACCTTTTTCTTGACTGGCTTCCGCGACACGGACAGCGGCTTGAACATGAGCGGTTTGCCGACAAACTTGATTTCCGACTCGGGCTTTTGGCCTTCGGGGATCGACGGTCCTGCTGGGCCTTTCCTCGGTCCGGAGGAAGCTGCTTGGTCGTAGTCCTCGCCTCCGCGGGAGAATGCAGGTTCCGCGCCCGTCTTCAGGTTCACTCCAGGCCGCAGCGTGCTGCCGCCAGTCTTCGTCGCTAGGGCCTTTGTTGCAGCCGCAGCTGCCTTTGGCGGTGGCAAGAACGAACCGAAACTGCTGAAGCGGCTGCTACCGCCGGCTGCCGTCTTGGCCCGCTTGGCTGGGGGCTCTGGGGCGTCCTCGCTGGTACTGCCGGCAGCGGTCGGGAGCTGGACCATGATCTTGCCCTTGTCGATGAGCTTTTGAAATGACTTTTTCGATGTCGCCGTCGTCGCGGCAGCCGGTTTGGCGTCCTTGGGCTGCTGCGCAACTTCAGAGTCGGACTCGTCCGAGTCGGAGTAGTCGACGAGAGCCATCTTTTTCACGGTGCGCGGTTACGTTCTTTCCGTGATTAGCGTCGTCGGCGAACGATGTTGCGAGGTTGTCACCCCCAGAAAACTGCAGGTGAACGTCTTGTTATTGTAGAGCCCCACGGTCAGGCCTGCCTAAAATAAAGTGGGGAGTGCATGTACCCCACCAAGATTACCGATCTGCGTGCTGTGTATGGATGTATCGAAACATTCACAGAATACGTATAAGACCCTAGGCTTCAGAATAACCTCTCAATTTAGGGTCATGAAAAAGATACAAATATGTGTATGGCAAGCCTGATGGCCGCGAATGGGGTTTTTCATCAACACCGGGGCGGACACCTACTTTGCCTTGTGTGCTGTCCTTCCATACATGAATACACAGTACGAATACTTACAGAGAACATTCGGCGCCGCAGAGCTGCATCCCCGCAAATGCGGCTGCTGCTAGTGCAGGGCATGCTTTAACAAGCAGGCGTCCCCCCGTCCTTCTGTTCGACGGCTCAGAACCGCGCCTGTCTTCCACCTGTTGTCGAGACGGAAAAGTGCCATTTGCTCTCGCTGTTTTCCCTGACATAGTTACATAGTACACCCTTCGATGTTGACAGCCCAATTGCCTTTGCAAAGGCCTTCCCCTCGCGCCGTCATGTGATGCCAGCTGCAGGTGGTTCAAGTCTATAACTACCAACAGTACGGTATCTCTCAAGGGCGGAAGCACAACTACCAGGAACGACCCATTGGGGACAGCGATCACGACTGCACCTGCGACTGTGTTTGGCAGCCGCAGATACAAACAACTACGCGCAATTTCCGTACCAAGCGGCAGAGGCATTGGCCATGTCTATGATCCAGGTCGAGGAGTATGTGGCTCGGATTCATCCCTTGCTGGTTGTTGGAAGGCCGCTGACTTCGATATTCCATCTTCATCTAGTCTGGTCCTCTACCAACTGCGCACCAGTTACCTCAACGATGTGGCCGACGGCGTCGGGGAGCGCCTCTTCACCCTGAACGAGAGCTTCCTCAATGCCCCCCCCTTCAAGTCGGCCGGCTGGCGCCCCAACCCGGCGCTCATCAAGCGGACCCATTCGCCCCCAATCCCCACTGCCGTCGCATCCGAATACTTCCAAGCCCCGCGAGTAGCTGGCCTATCGCTTGAAGATGAGGGTGATGAGGGGGGGTTATTTGGTGGTGGCGGAGCATCCGACACGGTCGGCCCCGGCATGGCCACTAAGCGGCGGAGGCGCCGAGAGCAGATGGAAGACGATGACAGTAGCGACCTGAGCGACGAGAGTGATGACGAGCCGGACCAGCGCGCCGCCCAGCAGATAAAATTTGCAAAGATGCCCCTGCGCAATCGATCCGGCTCCTCACCACTTCAGTCGTCCACCCTTCGCCAGACCACCACCCTCTCGTCGCCCAAGCCTGCCCCCAGACGGGGCTCCCAATCCGCCCTCGAGACGGTCAAGGAGCGGGCACGCCGCGACACCGTGACCAGCAGCGAAATGTCCTCGGAGAACGAATTCGATGCGTCGGGCTTTCACAAGCAGAGGGAAGCGGCTCGTGCGGCCGGCCGCGGTGGTCCCAAGGTGCCCCCCAAGCCGACCATTGCCGAGCCGACCATGGGCATCAGGCGTCACGAGAGCGATCTTCTCCCCGAAGAGGAGGAAGATGACGACGAAGACGAGGACTCGGACGGTTCCGACATGTCCTCGGCGTTCCTCGAGAGCCTTGGGTCTGCCTCCATCTTGGACACTGTCAAGCACGCCATGAACACGTCGCCCCGAGACCAAGTAGTAGGCACGCCACCTCGGGAATTTACAAGGAGGTTGACCATCCGCAAGTCCGCGATACCTGCCCCGTTGCAGGTATCCATGGGCGATCTGCCGCCTCCGCGCCCGATGAGCACCATCAGGCCCCTCAGCATGCTCCAACCCAAAAGCCTGCTCTCTGCGGCCTTGAAGGCAAAGAAGACGAAGCCGGCCCTTCCATTTGACAGCTTTGCCTCGCTTTCGGGCCAGGGCGATCCAAGCCCCATCATGCTCCGCATTTACTCGCCCTTTTCCAAAAACCCTTCCAAGCCCTTCGAAGTACTCATTCGCCGGACCGTACACCAGGGTGAAGGTGGAGACAGGTCAGTGACGGTGGCTGATTTGATCGGCCTCAGTCTCTGGCGGTACAACGAGGAGAAGCTGGAGCCTACACTCCCTAGCGACAAGCTCAACGTCAATTGGTGGACGCTGCGGATGGTGGAAGAAGATGGCGAGGTGGACGACGACTTCCCGCCGCTGGACCGCAGGAAGCAGCTCACTTCGTTCACGACGGCAAACAACAAAGCCGGGCGGTCGCGTTCAAACTCCAAAGTCTACGACATTTTTGCCTTGGTACAGGCCTCCGAGTCGGAGTTTGCCGAGAACCAGCGCATGACGCCGCAGTTTGAGCAAGAGGCAGTGGCCGAGGAGCCCGATGACAAGGATCTGACACCTCGGAACACGCCACGGCCAGACGCCGTCTTGCAGCAGCAGCTTCTCGCACAGCCCCGTGAGAACCCGCTCCTCAACACGACGTACCGCGCGGACACGTCCATGTTTGCCGACATGCCGCAGCCAGCGCAACCTGCGTCGTCGCAGAACACGGCCCGCGGGGAAAAGAAGCTCCTGCGCATTCACATTCACTCAGCCGACGTTGCACCGGGGCAAATGATCACGCTCGATGTGACGACAGGAACGTGGCTGGCCGAGGTCCTCGACACGGCGTGTCGGAAGAGGCAGCTGGACAAGGCGAACCACGTGCTAAAAGTACCAAACTCGGGGACGGTGGTGCTACTGGACCGCACCGTTGCCTCGCTCGGAAATGTGACGGACCTAGACCTCTACAGGCGCCGGTTTGCCACGGACGGGCCACTGACCATGACGGGCTCACCGAGCAGCTCGTCGCCCAGACCGCTCCTCTTTGCGGACAACGCGAGTTGGAGCAAGTCAAAAAGGGCCAAGATCATGGGGACTCACCCACTAGCCAAGGAGGCACTAAAGCAAGACGAGCTCGGCGTCGGCTCCAACTATAAGAAATACACGGTCTGGCGGAAGCAGCCAATGCGGCTGCTGTCGGAGAAGCTCTTCGCCATTGACGGCGAGTACATCCACATCATGCCAGCGTCGGGTGGGAAGATGGTCGAGAGCGACGGGAAGACGACGTCGGTCCACTTCAGCAACGTCGTTGGGTGCAAGGTCTCGCGCAAGCACCCCACCAACTTCAAGGTACGTGATGATACAAGGCGCCTAACAAGAAGACGGATCGTGGCGAGTCGCTAACTAGGGGTGAAACCAGCTCGTCGTCTACAAGGCTACTGAAAGCAAGCGCTACGACTTTGTCACCAACAGTTTGGAATACGCGGCCGAGATTGTGCAACAGCTCAAAAAGGGTATCTCGCCGTACCGCGACATTTAACGAGGAAGCAGAAACGGATAAACAATTGACGGACAGCTGTATGTGCATTTCAATCGACATGCACATTTGGTTTTCAGGGGGTCGAACTTGAGAGGTTCGGACGCCACGCCCCCCGATGTGTGCGTCGGGTCAAGGGCAAGTTGAGCACAGCGACGGATGTACCTTAGCTCCCATTTATCTCTCTAAGCAGACTTCTGTTCCGGAGGGCAGCGATGGCCTACACCTCCCCGGGGGGTCGAACGCTTGGTCCGACAATCAGTCCGCCACGTGACTTTTGGTGGCTTTTTGGGATCCAATACTCCGTAGGCTTGCCACGCTGGAAACGACGCGGCTAGTCAGAGTTGCGGTGACATCATGGAGCAAGTGCCGGGGCCCACCGAATTGAGGTGGATTGTCTTGGCTTTCCCGTGGCTTGGCTCTACTATGGTGTTACTAAGTAGCTCTGGCTTTGGCTCTGGCTCAGGCCCTGGTTTTGGTTTTGGTTCTGGATACACCTACGGTCGGCTACGGCTATGGATACCGCTACATAGCCACCTCCGTCTTGACTTTTCCATCACGCAATGGAATCTTGTTCCTCGAGAGGGGTCGGAATAGAGTTGGACCCATGCTCGGCCGTGGTTCGTACTGGTGTGGCTTCAGCGGCTTTTGGGACTGGCATGCAGGGTCTGCAGGAGTCGGCAGGGATTCGCCCTGGGATTGCAGAGCTAATGACACGCACCCGTGCAGTAGCTTTGGGCTAATGGAACAAGAGGGGGGTCTTGTATCCCTTCTTGCGTCACGCCGGGCTGCCGGGAGGATCGCGGGCTCATCCAAGTACGTACTGTGCTGTGCTGTGCTGTGCTGTGCTTTCCCGTACATGTACACAAGCCCGTAGCCATGGGACGACACATGTTTGGATCCGCCACCGACCCGTCCACCGCCTTCGTTCGGCCAAGTCAAGTCAACACTTGGCTACGAGCAGACAATGGCCAGGGAACAGCCATGGCCAGAAGCTCCGGATGGTCCCCCTCTCCCCCCCCGCGCCAAATGAGGCCGGTAGCAGAGTCAAGAACCGACGGCTTCAACGCAACCATGACATCGCTCTCGAGGCCGCCCACCAGCGGGCGCCTCCACAAGGCGCCTCCTCGGCTACAGCTGCTCTGTGGCCCCTCCAGCGTCTCTGGGCAACACCCCTAGAACCCCCAACACCGACCCGGTTAGGTTATTTTGAGATCAGGACTATCTTAGCGCGGCGTGCGCAGGCCGGAACGGACGACGGCTCTCCGGTCCGGCTCTCACCTGGTGCGCCACCTTGGTATATCACAGCCCACTACGAACCACCGTGATTACCTTCACCTTGCAGGGTGGGTCACCGTCGAGCTTACATCGGGGAACCCGCAGGCAACCTAGCTGCCCTGCGTTCCACGGTGTGGCTGATCTGCTTTTGGTCTGAACTCTATGACGGCAGCTTTGGCGCCTGCCCTGCTCTGCTTTACCCTACCCTGCCCTTGTTTCTCGGACGGCACTGTGCTGAGGTAGGGAACAGCCCGCCGAGACATGTATATAAACCATCTTCTCCCCGTTTACTGTCCGATTGCATACAACATCCTCTGACGAACAACTGCACAAGCCAACAAACACCATCATTCTCCAGTGTTCCACCCCCGTCGGTCCTTCTCCCATTACCTCTCTCTCGCTTCCATCGACCAAGTCTTTCATAACCCAAATCCAAAATGCGTTGCGCTGCCATCATCGTCAGCTTTGCCGCTGCCTTGGCTTCGGTATGTAGCACTGTTGACCTAGCATCGGCACAATTACTGACGGGGACATTGCACAGGCCCAAACCACAACTGTCGCCGCCACCGACGTTACCACAACCACCAACGGCATTATCCCCACCTCGGGCTTGTCGAGCCTGTCGTCGTCGCTTAGCTCGCTGCTCTCCAGCAGCAGCTCCGTGGCGTCGCACTCGAGCTCGGTGCTGTCGTCCATCACGTCAGACGCCAGCTCGCAGATCAGGTCCGTCACCAGCGAGGCCAGCGACCGCCTGTCGTCGTACTCTTCGGTGCTCGCCACGGCCACGGGCTCGGCCCGCGACTCGCTGACCTCGGAGATCGCCTCGTACACGAGCTCCGTCGGTTCGGCCGTCAGCTCCGCCAGCAACGCCGCCAGCTCCACGGCCGCCACCGCCACCAGCCCCAACGCCGCCGCCCCCATGAAGACGGGTGCCATGGCTGTCGGCGCCCTGTTCGGCGGCGCCGCCATGCTGGCCAACTTTTAAATCGACTGGAGGGACAATGGCGGGGGATAGCTACGGGGCGCGTTGCTGATTAATGGGGTGTGAACTGTTGGAGATGGTACGATGTTTACTTGTATGATTTCTTTGGGATTTACTGGCACTGTGGGTTATCGTCGTCGTCTTGTGCTATAAGATTTGTTCAGTGAGCAATCAACATGTTCATTTCATAGAAAACTGTTTGCCAAGGACTGTCTTTCGTCACCTATTTTGCCCCTCGGCCAGATACACTTCTCTCCCCCCCGCGTTCTAACTTTGCGGAGTGTTACTTAACACCGTCATGGGAAAAGTCGAATACGTACCTTTTCACTCGTGATCAATAACCCACCGCACCCAGCCTAGGGTTTCTCAGTACCCGTCAAACCTCCAAATTAAGCCCTACGACCAGCAAGATCCCTTCCATCGTCCCCCAGTGAATAATAAGTCGAAACGGAATATTCCATTTTGCTACCTGCCTCCCTACACATACCAGGCCTTAACTACATGCCAGGCCTTAACTACATACCAGGCCTTAACTACTAACTGAGGACCCTTGTGCGATTGCGGCTTCATCAGTTAACTTGTCTTGTCCCCACGCTCCCTCCCTCTTCTGTTCCATAATAAATAACGGATCCTGGCCTGTGCCGTTCGACGCTGCACTGACGTCAACGACTTTTGGGAGATGTGGAGACAACGAAACGAGAAGATGGGACGGACAGATGGACAAGTGTGGGAACAGTGTTACGCAGCTTTTACCTGTCTCCGTCTATGTATGTAGCATGTTCCATGTATGCACGCATGCATGGCGAATTCGCAGGTTTCTATGCAGATGCAGATGCAGATGCACCAAGGGTAGAAGGCTAAGCAAGCAAGCAAATAAAAGCAAGACCTCTACCGTGGGAAAAAAACAAGTAAACACTGAACTAAACCCCTCTATTGAAAAAGGTTTCACATTGTCTGCCATCCCCCTCCCCCCGCCTCCGCCTCCGCTTCCGCCACCGCCCTTCAGTACAGTATACGTAGTGTAGCGGTCTTGTTTCCATTTTGGTGGTTCCCTATGACAGGGTAAAAACCGGGTTCCGTTCCCCGTTTCCGCCTTCGTCATTGTTGTTGCCGTCCTGGTCGTGTGTTGCTTTCCTGTGCGTGTAACGCCAACCGCAAACGACATGGAACCTCAAAACCGGCTGCTGACACTAGCCAAAGCATAGAACGCCAGTATATTTACCTATCTATCCGTTTGTCTGCCTCTGTTACGTAGGTACCCGCTCAGGGTTAAAGGGGGGCCCGCCACATCGTGTGGGGAGGCGAACAGACAAACAACAAACACCCTGTCTCTTTTTTAACAAAAAACCCCCCAAAGGCGTGAATACGTACGTAGGTAGGTAACAACAAGGACCTGCAGGGGACAAACGTAGATAAATCGCAAATGCGAAACGAAGGAGAAATCCATCATTGCCCCTCTCTGCCGAGACATAAACGTAAAATGTCTCAAAATGGACAGACACTAAGGTAGTTCCCTCTGGTTTGGTGTCTACAGGTATTTGGATCTACCCGGGAGACGTGCGATACATATTCCCATAATATCCCGAGAATACCTAGAGCATGCTGCACCACGTCATGAACTTCTGCTGGGTGCAACACTCTTCCGCGATGTCTGCCACAGGGGTATCCAATGTCACGGGTTGCGACCGACACAGCAGAGAAGTAAAAGAAGAAGGGGGTATCATTTATATATCTATATCTATAACTTGGAGGGAAAAGGTAATCACGCAGCGCTCTTGCGGGAGTCGTTCCACAGGGCGTCGATGGCCTGGAAGATGGCCGTGACGTCGCGCATAGTGGCGGCGTCGATGTGGCCGCCGAGGCGGTGCTGCATCTTGTCGGGGTGCCAGCGGACGCGTTCGTCCTTGAGGCGGGCGGCGAACTCCTTCTCGCTGACCTCGTCGAGGCCGAGGCCGTTAACGAAAAACGCCCGCACCGACTGCTCGTCGACGGGCGCGCCGTCCGCCCTGTCGACGGGCCACGGGATCCCCGCCGCCGCTGCTGCTCCTGCACCGCTACTTGCTTGGGGCGCTTCGACGCCCACAGGCCCGCCACCGGCACCGGCAAACGCGGCCCACCCCGCGAGATAGAGGTCCCAGCGGTCCGTCCACGCCCTCCGCTTGCGGCGCTGTTCGCCCCTGCGCAGGCTGCGCTCCATCTCGGCCTGGATGCGACGGCCCTCCTCCTGGTGCAGCTGGGCGGCCTGGCGCTCGCGGGCGCGGCGGGCGCGCTCCTCGATGGCGCCGGCGTGCGTCTTCTCCCACATCTTCTGGCGCACGTAGGCAGCGTACTCGTCGTCCGTCATGCGCTCCAGCTCGCCGCCGCCGCTGCCGCGCTCCCGGTCGGCCGCGTACACGTGGATGGGCTGCCCGTACACGCCCTCCCAATACGCGGCGCCCTCGTCATCGGCCATGGCGTCGAAGAGCGACTCGCGGAAGGCGGCCTCTGGGTCGAGCGGCGCGGGCTCTTCTTCCGCTTCCACTGGGCGGGGCGTGGGCGCCGCAGTGGGCGACCGATGCCGTCGGCGGCGGCGGTGGTGGTGCCGATGGTTGCTGTGGTGGCGGGGGCCGTCGTCGTGTTCGGCGGCGTCTCCATAGTCTTCACTGTGGTGGCGGGGCCGGTGGGGCCGGCGGTCGTGGCTGCGCTCTTGGCCATCATTGTCGTTGTTGTCGTCGGCAACGTGGCGCGGGCTTCTGCTTCTGCGCCTTGACCTAGAGCCCCCGGTTGGGGCGGACTTGAAGCGGAACTTGCTTGTCTTGGTCTTGGATGGCGCGTGCCTGTGCTGGTCCTTTCGGTCTGCGTCGCCAGCTACAGAACTAGGGGCGGCAGCAGCACCAGTAGCAGTAGTAGCAGGCTCCTCGCGAGATGGACTGCGGGCGTCACGTCGGCTCCGTGATAGCGAGGGCGCAGCTGTTTTGCTGTAGTCATCGTCGGCGCCGCGGCCAGAAGAGCGAGGACGGACTCCATCTTTGATGGTGCCAACATCAGGGCCACGGTTGTAGTCGTCGGAGCGGGCGTGACTTAATTCTGGCGGATTGATCGAGGCCAGAATGCGTCGTCGCTTGGGCGATCGAGGCGACGACGACATGCTGCCCCGCCCTCCTACGGGCCAGCAGTGTGTCGGATTGCCAGAGAAAGCTTTGCTGGCTTTGTTAGGCGATGTTAGTGGTTGAAGGTTGTCGTCGTCGTCAGTGTTTCTGGGTCGCTTCAACTGTGGAGGTCAATGGCTTCTAGGTTGAAGGCGCGGACGCTGACGCTGTGACGGCACAGTGTAACTTTGGAAGCCACCTGTGAAATGCACTGTTGGCGGGGTTGCCTTTGGGACCTTGGGCTCGGCCGTTTCGTCATTCTTGAAGTGGCGGCCCCACTTTGTCGGCCGGCAAGCGGATGGCAGGCAACGAGGACACCCGACACCATCCTCGGTTCCTTCCGATCGGACCGACAGCCTCCACTGTTCTCCACTATGCTGCCCAGCTTTCTTGCGGGTTGTCTGCGCGAGAATTTGCTCGCATTGTAATGTCTGTACAGTTGCAGGTGCTCTCTATGCACCCCAAACGAGTGTCGCAATCATTAAATCGCCTTCTGGACGCAATGCCAAGACCTGATTACAAAAGTCCAGATACTGTATGGTAATCTATTCAGAGAGTCGATGCCATTGTGCAGATACTACGGAGGACTCTGCAGACAATACCCTTTTCGCTTTCAAAGTAGTCCTTGTGTTGCACAGACAATCGGCCCCTTTTCCCCCCCTTTCGCCATGTTTTGTTTACCCAAAGACCCACTGCATCTCCAACCCACAACGCTTGGGGCAAAAGGGGACCAAAGCAGCAACTACCCACCTAGCTACCTCCCGAATGAGGTTCTGCACCGTCCCCAAGCTGAGAGCAGTCTCTCTCCGGGGACGGCAACAATGACATACCTAGGTATGACTACACACCCAAAAAGGCCCTTGGGTATCGCTGGATGTGGAGTCCAACTGCCGCTGCCGAATGGCGGGCCGCATGTAGGGGGTGGTTTTTTTTTCTTTTCTTATTTTGACCCCTTTTGTTTTGATTCGCTTCCTTCCTCCTCTATCTCTCTCATTAGACCCCTGGATACTGGCCTTGCTGGGCCCAGTCGCGTAGGCCCGGCGGTGGAGCTGTGTCGTCCACTCAGACCATTTCTCGTGTTCCGCCTGGCCAATACAATACACAGACGCCGGCGGCAGCGCGGTTGATGACTGTGGCAGCGACATGCCGTGTGCGTGTGTGTGGCGACGGCGAATCTCTCGGCAGAAGCTCTGGGGGGCCATGGCTGGTCGTGGAAACAAAACAACACATGTACAAGCCACGAGGAACTTTGGGGCATGCACGGTGGTTCTCTAGTCGTCTGTTATCTGGAGATATGTTGCTAACACGGCGAGTCTCTACAGGGAGCATTGTCTAACGTAAGATGGCACATACCTCTCACCGAACCCCAGAGGTAGGATAACCTACCTACACTACCCTCCTACCAGTCACGCGATTTTCTGATCAGAGAATCGTCGTGCATTGCATCGCATCGCACCGCACCGCATAGCATCACATGCATTCCCAAGTCTAGGCGTTAGCGATATCCCATCAAGGAGCTCTATCGTTCTGTGGCCACTGCCATGACACACAGACACACCCACATGGACGCCCGGCTGACATTCCGCCATGGCTGCTTACTCGCTCCGCACTTCGTCTCCTCCGATTGGGGCTCTCGCCAAGTTCCCTATTGCCGTCGGTGTCTCTCATAGGCTCGCCTCCCCGGAGAGGGTTGGTCTGGATGACTGGCTGATTGGGCAACGGCGGCGGCGGCGGCGGCGGCGGCGGCGCCACGGACGGTTGGTTGGACAGGCAAGCACGAGCACACAGCACTATCCAATCCTGCCAGTAGTGGTGTTCTGATTAGGGGGTCTTCTTTCTTTTTCGCTCGGACGATTCCACTGCCTGCCGCCTGACGAATCGACGGCAGGCGGGATCTTGGAACACTGACTAACGACGAAGGATTCCTGCCCTGGTCACTGACTGACTGACTGACTGACTAACTGACTGTCCCATACGTCTCGTTCCCCATCGCTCGCTGCATTGATTTCGCGCGTGCCCTCCCCATGCGTAGACACACGACGGGGATGTATATGGTGAGATGGAGAATAGGCTGTAGTACATTACAACAGCATCTCTCCAGTGTACATGACATGTGGCAAGCATGATGAGACCATGACACGCTTTGGTCATCGGTTAGTGATAAGTTCCAGAGCAAAGGGACCGCAGAACAAACACCAATGTCACTCCCGTGTCACTGCTCAGTCCCGAGTACGTATACGCATACGTCGTTTAGATAGGGGACAGGAGAAAAGGGCAGATCGGTTTCCTTGTCGTCCCCGCTCATCATTGCTGTTCCCTGCGATTGGAAAGAGACAATGGAAAAGACACAGGTCTAGTCCGGGGCACGTTGCATGGATATGATTCAATCTCGTTCGCCCTCTAATTGCCAACCTACGCTGCATCGAGTCTACGAAAGAGAGAAGGAGCCCCTAGAAGACTGGGGAAAGTAGCTAAGAACCAGATGAAGCACTACCACCTCCCCTGACCAGGTCTCGTCCAGTCCAGTCCATCTAGGCCCTGGTGAGTGAAAGTAGAGTTGTAATCGTAACCGACCAGCTCCGTCAAGCTAAGCCGGCAAAGAAAGAAAGAAAAGAACATTGGCCAAATGTCCACACATCCGCACCAAAAGGGAACACTGTTCGCTATTCGCTTCTGTGTGATTTGCAATGATCCGCAACTGCAACATAAGGTAGGGCAGGCAGCAAAGAGAAAGGGAAAGCATTTGAACAACAAGAAAGACCTAGAATACCAATGGAACACTGTGGCGTTTTTGGCCCCGAACTGATCAAACAGATACGGGGATTGGGGGGGGGAGATCGTCTCGGTTCTGGAACAAGATCAAAAACGACGAAAAGAATTCTCCGTGGAAACCGTTGAGCCAGCCATGGCCATGCCCGCATATGTGCGCCCAGCACCAATTACTTACTTACGTGCCTACTCCATACCTACGGTGTGGCCCAATCCAATCCAATCACTAAACGATTGCTGGCGTGGGATAGTCTTTCAGATTTTTTTCTCCGAAACGAATCCGCACGTGTGTCTACGTACTGCGTGTCTACAAGTCTATCCAGATACGTATGAGGAATGTATGTACGTAGTACGTACGTACGTACGTTATCGACCCAGCCAGCGGCCGAGTTTGCCGGGGGAGAAAAGCAAAGCAAAGGAGAGACGAGACAAAAAAAGAAAAGCCGGCGGCATCTTCGGCTGGGCAGGGCAGGGCAGGGCGCTCGCCTCGCCTCGCCTTCATCCCCTTCGTCCTCCAACAAGAAAAAGGGGGGCTGAAAAAAGAAATGTGACGGGGGTTTTGTTTGGGCACAAGTCCGGGGGAGGCTGTGGCGAAGCAAGCAAGCAAGCACTCACAAGAGTCTCGTCTCTTAACGGTTGGCAAGGCGCGGCAAATGGACAAAAATAAAATCCCCGAGGCAAGGCAGCCAACAAAACTGTACATACGCTTCTCCTTTTACGTGTACCGAGAAATCCCCAGAGGGAAGGGGGTTGGCCCCAAGTTGGGCAAAATTTCCATTCTTTCTTCTGTCTGTTTTTTTCCCTCCCCCGCCCCCCCCCCCCCCCCCCCCAACCCTAAAATGTGCCCTATTTATATGCCTGCCTGCCTGGCTCCCGCGATGAGCTATAAACAGGAAACTCGCAAGATGCGCGTGTCCCCGCCCCCCCTGCCACACGTTCTTTGAAGACCAAGTAGATAGATAGATACACGAATCCCCGACAGAGTCCAATCGAGAAGGCAGAGAGCAAAAATGCGAAATATATATATATATAGAAAATGGCCAAGAAACAAAAAAATACAATCTGATAATAGGTGGGTATCTCAAGCCCCGTAGATAAGGAAAAACAAAACAAAACAACCCAAACACGGAGTAGCAGAATCTTCGCCCTCGCAGTTTGATAACAAACTCCAAAACACCATCGCCCAAGCAAAATCGAGGCTCGGTCCCCCACGCAGGTGGCCATTGAACCAATTTGTTCTCTACCCTCGGTGATGTATATATAAACAGAAAACGCGGGCAAGTTTTGTGCGAAGCGTTGTTGTATATAATGTATGTGTGTATGTGCGTGCGTGCGCGCGCGCGTGTGTGCATGTGAGTGATTAGTAGTTAGGTAAGTAGCGAGTACGTCGGCTGGCGGGTTGCCAGCGAGAGAGAGAAAGGAAACATATCCTGTGCCGCTTTTGTGAGGGGAAAAAAGGGGAGGCGAAGGAAGGCCTCATAAGAGATAGAGAGAGAAAGCGAAAAGACTCGAGGAAAACCTGGCCCCAATTCCCGACTTTGACTCCAAAATAAACCCTTGGGTTGCCCCGGTTTCAAATACCAAGATAGTGTAAGTAACTCGTCAAGTGAAAAACTCCCATGGCATGAAAATCTTATAACCCCCCCGAGGCCACTCCAGTGATCGGTCGCCCGAGCTGGTTCCCAAGCTATCCTCTAGATGAACCCGACAAAAAAAGAAAACAAAGAAAAAGAAAGGATATATTAATTCCTGTCTGATTCCAGTCCCAGAACCAGATACGCGGTACCGGAATAATGCCAAGTCCAGTACGTCTCCTTTTCTTGCGCCTCTCGTTTAGGGGCCATGTTTTGTGGGACGGGGGTTATGTTTAGTGGTTTAAGCGTAAAGGAAACGGCAACAGGTCCGAGCCGACCATGTCTGAAGCCGAGCAGCGCAAAATGCCACATAACGGACGCTAGCAGGCAGCATGTTTCCATGCTTTGTTCACCTGGGACCCCCTTCGGCCGGTCCTCTTGGTCCAGTCGCCCACCCAGTTTCATAGGCGACTTTGCTGTAGGACTGGTACGGGCTGCTGGTCTGCGGAGGTAGCGATGGCGGAGGCGGTCCGCTGGGAAGGGGCGGTGGGGTTTCCGAGGAAGGCGACGGCTGGTCGAACCGAAGAGGGGGCAGTCGGGCTGAACCGGGCGCACTCGACGTAATCGGGGATGCGGGAACCCCAAACGAGGGAGGATGCCCGGGCATCGGAGGAGGTAAGGGGCTTGGCGCGTTTGGGTTATAGGATGGAGAAGTTAACTGAGGGTTGGGATCGGTCCTTCTCCGCCTTGCCGGGCGCTCGAGCATGGATGGGTCGCCGTAGGAGCTTGGAGGCGGGTGGGGGTGGTCGAGGGCATGGCCGTATGGATTCGGATGCTGCTGCTGCTGCGGCTGCGAGTGAGAGGACGGCCCGGGAACAGAACTGTCATCCATCGCGAAAGAGGCCGCTCTTCTTGAAAAGGTCGGGCTCGGCGGACCTCGCTCGGCCCACTCGCTGATTGCAGGAGTTCGAGCCACGATATCTCGGAGGCGATTTCGATCGGTCCGATAGAAATCGCGCGCCGCTTCCAGCTCCCCGACCCGACTTTCCAGCTCGTCAACCTTCCTCTCCAAGTCACGGTTTTGCGACTCCAGCTTCTGTAAACCCTGCTGTTGTTCCTTTTCCTTCTCCTTCTTTCGCTGCCGAAATCTTGCCGATGCCCCCGCGTTTCGCTGCCTCTTCTCGTCTGCCTGTTTCGATGCTTGGTGGACGTCCACGGGAACCACAATTTCTTCACCGTGGGCTGGGGTGATGGTGAGAAGAGGCTGGTGGCCCTCGGTAAGCTGAATATTCCTTGTTCTAGTCACTCCCGGCGGCAATGAGCCGAGGATTCCGGGTCCCCACCTCCCATCACCCATAGGACCGGACCCCGGGGGGCCTCTGCCCGCCGGATGCTGAGGCGCGTACGGATGATTCGATGCGTAAGCAGTCCGTCCGCCAAAGTCGCGGCCGAGATTTCCGCCTGGCATCGGCTCCTGGGGAGAGGCTGGATGAAGCCCGTGGCTCATGGAGGAATGCGAGAGGGATCGGGTAGGCCCCGGTGCTGCTCGGGTCGGCTGCGGCCCGGGTGTCACCGGCCTCTGGGCCTGGCCATGAAACTGTGGCAGCCCTGGCATGCCTGGGGGCCCGCCGAGCGGGGAGGGTTCGTGTGTCGGGGCAGCGCTTCTCTGCCCGTGCGGTGGCAGGCTTGCCAGATGTTGTTGCGCTTCGACCGATCTCATCACAGCCCGGCTCATGCTGGCGGCTCTGGGCGACTTGGGCGTTAGGATCCGCCTCGGCGCCGAAAGGGGATAAGGATGGCTCGCCGACGGTGAACCACGTTCCGCGGACGGGACGGCCGGGCTAGCTGTTTGTGTTGCTGCAGGGACCTGGGCCTGCGGCCCCTGGTGATGGGGAGGCGAGCCATCCCATCCATAGCGTCCCGCCCCCATCGTTTGCTGGCGATTCGCTCCCTCGGCCAAGGTTGCGCGAGACCTGGGAGAAGTCAGGCTGTCGTGAACGCCGGGCGCTCTCGGTTCAAACCGTTGGGCCCTCCTCCCGCCTTCAGCTACTAGAGCACCGCCTAGGTCGTGTTGCGGCCAGGCTTTCGAGTCATCTTGGCGAGTAAGGCTTGGCTGGGAGGGGGAGGACGGGGCAGCTTCTTCGGCCGATGACTGCGACGAGTGACGAGAGACTGGGCGAGGCGCAGGTCCTCTCTGTGACATCGAGACCTTTTCCCCGTCGCACTGGTGGTCTCGAGGGCCGGGACATTGACGACCGCAGCGACTGTCAGAGACCTGTGGGGCGGGTTCTTGATCGGAGCCAGCCACCGGCGCCCCGTACCGGTTGTGGCTCTTGCCTTGGATCTCAGGGCTGTACGCGGTTGGTGTCGATGGCTGCGAGGGATTTGCGCCAGACCAGCTTCGCGCTGCGTCTCTGGGCCACGGAGGTTCGATTTGGATCGCCAGGCTGACCGAGACGCTACCCGGAAGCAGCTATCCACTTGTTCCTTTGCCTTCGAGGATAGAGCCTCTCTGTGGCGAGCCGAGAGGTATGCGACGTACCTGTGTCTCCAAACCAACGTCTGCCAGGATGAAGAGCTCAGGGCCAAGGCCGTGTTCGTTCAAGGTCGTCCGATGTCGTCCGAGGGCGGTCGAGCGCGGTTGGGAGCGAGCCGCCCCGAGGTGCCTGGGCCAAGGGGGACCGCCAGGGGGGAGCTGCAATAAGTACGTGTGGTCGAGGGTGGCCAGAGTTTACCGACGTATCGGCATGCGTCAGGCTGGGTGTGCAACGGGGCTGCTCGATGGGAAGCCACGCGAGGAACAGCAGCTAGACCGGCTACCTTAGTTGTACAAGCGAGTGGCCGTGACGAGTGAACCGAGGGATCTTAGCTGAGCATGGCAGGATGACGGGCGCAGAGGAGTAGCGGGTAATCGACGCAAGAGCAGTGGTGGTGACGGCCGGCGGGATGAGTGCAGGCTGAGCGGACCACTCATGATCCCCAAGACTGGCCTTGGGCAGTGAATGGCCAGCCGAGAAGCAGCGTGCGCTAGGTGGCCTCGCAGTGTGAATGGGCAGAAACCGCGGCCAAGGCCTCTGTTTTGCCTCCCAGACCTCGTAATTTCTAGCGGCGAAGAGAGCTTTCCGTGTCTATTTCTTTTGCGAATGGGCGAGCTCGACGGCGTGAGCGAGGGCGAGAGCGAGTGACGCAGTCGGCTCCAGTTATCAAGGGCCCAAGATCTGGACAACGGCGATGGCGTCTTAATATTAGCAACCTCAGCCAGCTATTAGTCCTTGGACAGGCCAGCCTCCAGGTGCTCTCCGCTGCTACCTTGAAATCGAAGTACTCCGTACTGCCTAAGGTAGGCAAAGTATCCAAGACGGCTCTGGAGATTTGATGTCAGCTCTCAGCAAAGCCGCCTCCAACCAGCTATGACAGCAGCACGCTTTAAAGGTCAGGGATTTATTTTTTTTCCTCAGTCCATGCCGACGGGTGACCCTACACTAGTGCCGACCCATTTCTTATCTACCGCCTCAGTACCAAGAGGTACAGTACGGAGTACGAAATACTCCATACGCAAGACCAGCACCCCGGGGACGCAGACGAGGGCTGTTAAGCACCAGCACGCACCAAGACTGCAGGCGCAGGCCACTTGTTGGAATGGCTGTCAGCCGGGGTGCAGGGGATGAGCCAGGGGGGGCCATGCTGGTTGTTGTGGTGCTAAGACCCTCGACAGGGCTTAGGTGATGCCTTCCTTCTGGTGACTTGTGGTAAAATTGGTTGGCCCAGAAGCTAGCTTCGAGGTAGTCTCAACTCCCCTCCCTACCCTCTTTTTTCTTGCCTCTGGCCTTGCTGAAGTCGGAGAGGTCGAGGTATGATGTAGTGGCAGCCGGGATTCTTGGACGTGGACCAAGGCGAGTCGCTACAGCAGACCTTTGGGTGCTTCGACTTGGACCGACACTAGACAGCCTGGACAAGGTCTGAGAGCTTACCCCTTGCGACCCGAAGAAACGGTCTCGGAATGAGTGGGTGCGTGGCTCGCCATCAGCGTAACCTTGCAAGCCCTGCAAATGGGCGCCGTGGGCGGAATAGTTCTAGACTAGTGCCAAAACGGCAAGTCAAACATTAGACATGACCGGCCTTGGCGAACGTTGCCACCATTCATCCATCTCCTCTTGACAATTTTCCCATCTGGGGTCACAGGTATCTGGGGTAACAGTGGCCAGTCTCAGGTCTCTGGCGAAAGAAAGAAAGAGACGCAGCCGGGTTGTAGTGCAATGTGCAGGACTCGGTAATAAAATCAAGCAACACCAGCCATGCGTCGACCTGAGCCACCCACGACGACGTCAAGTCAAATCATAGGGTCGTGAGCTGCAATTACAGCCAGGGCCCGCCACGATTGCGACGACGACGGCAACGGCGACGACGGAAAAGGCGGCTCTCTCTTTAATAAAAACCAGCGCCCAGTACATGCAGTACTTCGCACACAGAACTGCACTGTCTGTACAAGACTCGAGGCTGAAATGAGCCAACACTCTGCTACGCAGTAATAAGAAGAGATCAACGGCGAATTTCAAGGCCGCCACGACACTTGAGAGTCCAGAATCCAGACACCCACTCGTCGGAGGGGTCCATCTGCCGGGGACCGCAGCGCTTGCCGAAGACGGGAAGAACAAGCTGCCTTGAGGCAGGCGTGGCGTGACTCTTCAAAACGCCGACTCGAGCGCGTCCAATCCACGAGCCTCTGTTTACTGTAGACTTGGGAGTCCCAGATAGGATACCGAAAGCACGCTGGAGTGATTCGCCTGGCGGCCGATCCGATCAGCAAAAGCAAGACTTGGCTGTCCAGGAAGTAATTAGCTCGCAAAGACAGCCAGCCACCTTTGCAGGCGCACGTCTCTTGTCCCGCTTGACGGGCTCGAGTCCAGTCAAGCCAGCCAGCCAGCCAGCCAGCCAGCCAGCCAGCCAGCGGCCATCATCTGCGGAACCGTGTTGATCCAGCTAGAGGCAGGATTTAAATCATGCCGTGGCATGCGGGAGACACGGCCTGCTCCACGAGGAGGCCATCTGGCATATGGAATCTGACATCAGTGGATTGCGCCCGAGAATCTAGCCATTAGTATTTACCAAGCTAGGAAGCAAAAGTTCCATGAGGACAATTTTGAGGTCCACCTTGGCTCGCTAGCTGCAGGTAAGGGCGGCTTGGGAGCGCCTGTCCAGGCGCGCCAGGCGCGACGGTTACTAGGTCGGCTGTTATTTGTTAACTGCCACAAGGTACAGAGACTGTGTACTCCGTACTTCGTGGTCTTGTTGACTCCTGGCTCCCCGAGACTGAGCGGTCCCGAGCTGAGTGCCGTCATCTACCCGTATTGTCGTGTATTGGGCACACTACGGAGTGCTCAGACTCGCGAAGAAATGCCGACGAATCCCGATTGCGTGTTGGACGGATGTGTATGGATCCGTTATGAGCCTGCGCTGCTGCTCGTCATCCTAGGCGCAGCGGCTGATGCCATCACAGCCAATTTAGACGCAAAGCCACCGATCCAAATAAAACCCGAGGCGCTGCCCGCTAGTACAGGTAAGATGGAAGGTTATGCTTCAGAATACTGAGTACTCGTATGTACTGTCAATATCCTGAGTATGTACACACTCTTGGAACATTCGTCACAACCATTAGCGGGCCATTCCCTGCAAGAGTGGTTAATTTCGAAAGTTTTGATAACCAGCTCTCGACTCAAACAGCGGCTTCCCTAGGTAGTTACCGTTCTGGCAGTATTTGTCACCTGCTGTAAAACACCTCATCGTCTGCGAATAGGAACTGTAATTTTGGATCAAGGCAGGAGGCATCTAGACCGGCCCGTCCTAGGATTAAGGAACAAGTTCCCGGATGGTGTCGTAATCCGTAAGCAACGATTGTTTGTATGTATATGCATACGGTACATACAATACCTGCTAGTGTACGCATACCTACCGGGCTTCTCCAAGCGTCCAGTTTGCCCAAACAGCCAGCGTCTCGAGGTTAACGCCTCTCGAACTGGTGGAGGGGCGCGGAGCGCTCGGCGGACCCTGATGCGGGAAAATGCAGCTACCTGGTCGGTAAATATAGCTGGTCAATAAGCTGCTGCTGGCCGAGTCTGGAGGAGCAGGGTAAGGAGCCCGGACAGGGACCCAAGAGAGGCTTCCATGACAGGGTCATGCCCGTCGGGAGCCTGTGAAGTGCGAACGGTGAAGGCTCCACCAGCCGATGCCCGTGGTGACCGATCGTGGCTGGACTGACGGGCTGTTCAAGACCCAGGAGTCCCGAGGCCCATTTGGAGTTAATCGGCGTTGGTCAGTTGCACAGTGCTGTGTATCTATACCTATCTACATACCTCGGCAGTGCTGACGTTAGTTGCCTAGGTACGGATACTCCGTAGGTAGGTACGAATACCGTCCATGCTGTTCAGAACCGTAGACTTGGACACTGGACTGATGCTTGGTGCGGAACATTAGAACGAAACAGGCCGTGACATGTCAGATAGAACAAAGGCTCCTAGGGTGAGGTGGTTCTCTGAACTTCTGAGGTGGGCATGCGGGACGCGCTCACAAACGCAATTGCATGGATAGTTCAATCTCAGCCCGGCCACCGGGGCCCAAATCGAAGCCTGGATCGAAACCCGCAGGCGACCGGGACTCTAGTAGCAGACTGTATCCGAGTTAGTAAAGAAGGAACGACGAAGGATTTGGGGAAGGAGCCGCCTGCTGCGTTACTGTCAGATTTGAGAGCCAGCGTGTGGACAGACAAGCGCGACTGACACCCATGGAAGGCCGCTGTTAGAGGCACCCACATACACACATACATACGCGCGCATGCTGTCCCATGCAAATAAATTACAACTAAACTTCAGAATTACTAGCAAAAGACAGCTGTAGCATGCACATGTAATACTGGACTTGATAGGATCAATCAATTACATATTCGTACTTTCCTTGCTTATAGTAGCCCGTTTGAGGCTTTGGACTCAATCTCTCCGTACTCCGCGTGCCCCACACTCGATCCGGGGCGCGATCGCCTGGAGCACATTCCCTTGCAAGTGTACGAAGTACAGTACCCTCGTACCTTGAATTGTGACTTCGACACCTTTTCGAGGTCCCATTCTGGCATTTGCTGGGCTAGGCATCGGCGAATGGCTGGTGGTCAATGGAGCTGACCTGCGGGGGCGACCGGGGCCAAAGAGGATTAGTGCCTTCCCGCCAGAGCGTTTTGGCTCATGGATGGCTGGCCTGTTCTCGCGGAAGACGGGAAACCCCCTAGTCAAACCAACGTCACCGGTCTTTGCTGTCACCGCTCAGGTGTCAACTGTCAAGTACCTGGTATTTTCCCCTCTTTCCTCTCAAGAAGCTTGCTTCAATTTGGTCGTCCTGCCTCATTTGCTTCTCTCGCCTCTGGAGTCTGGACTCTGGACGCTGTAGGCGCGGTCTTGAGTTTGCAGATCAACTGCCAGCACACGCACACTAGATCAGCTACGGCATGTATTCATGTACATTACCTGCCAAGTACGGTACAGTACACTACGGAGAAAGATGGGTTGCTTGCACTTGAAGATCTATCGCCATCTTCGGTGGCCCGGCGCATACAGCGCAACTTAAGCAGCGTTGGAATAACACTCCTGCAAGTTGGGTTGCATCATCCCACTGAATCTAACAACCACCATCTCTCTTTGTAACATGTAGATTACCGTTGCGCGCGGAATGGAGGGCGTGTTAGTGGTCCGGGGCTGTCTGTCTGGCAAGATCTTGGCCGCCACGCTGGCAATACAACCACGAGGTGAGGCGGACGGGGCAACACCACGACTTAGTGTCTTTGCACACGACAGTCGTCTGTCGCCGCCGAGGCAATTGCCTTCGAAAGAAGCTTCGAATGTTGCACAATCCCCTCCGAGACAGCCACACTCGAATCGCCGGGATGTAACTAAGGTGCCTGAGGTAGGTACTCAACTCGTACCCAGGTAACCTAAGGTATTTAATCGCACAAGCTCGCTCGTCAGATATCAGGCCCGGGCGTTAGTTGCCCGATTGAGTTGTCTGCTAGTGTGACGAAAAGAGACACAGAAAGCGTGTTGACCGCTCCCAGACTACCAGACACCAACCTGCTGGCTTGTGCAAAGACGTCTGGTCTGCGTCCACCCGCCTTGCAAGGTACTATTGCCCTTGACCGGTTTTGTTGCATTGACGCCTGAAATTCTCGCAGTCAGACTTGGGCTGTCCTGCAGGTACAGCGGTGCATGGGAACGACGACAAGATGGCGCCGCACCCACCCAACGTCTGTGGATGGATGGACGGATGGCGTGGCTGGCGCTGATCCGAGCCATCCCAGTCTTCTCTTTTTCTTGCCCTTGGTGCCTGGGGGTTTTGTATCTGACCGATGGAAAGCTATAGCTTTCCACCTTCACCTGCCGATGCTCTCTCAATGGAAGCGATTCTCAAGCGCGTCAATTCCCGCTCCATGCTTGCTTCATCCAAGTTAACAGCTCCACTTTTCCTCACGGCGTTTCATCATTCAACAGGTTCCTTCGGTTGGCAGATGCGGCCAAGAATGCGGCCCATCATTCATCACCAACTTGGCAAGCTGCAGCGCGGCAACTTCTTCCTCCCCTCCCCCAGCATTCATTCAGTGGTAAGGTATCCATCCGTAGTCAAGGAGCGCTCAGACGGGGCAGGTATTGACGGCAGGCCGCCCGCAGAAGGCCGGTCCTGAAATTGGCCCGAGCAGACTACCTAGACGCCACTTTCGCGATCCTCAAACTCATAGTACAACCCTTCAACCTGATATGCCAATAATGCACATATCATCTTGGCGCACCAAGTGAGGTACCTTGAATATTGGGTAGGTAGTAGGTACAGCCTAAGTCTTGAGGGACGTTATCTAGACTCAACGCAGATACGCACTTTCGCGCTAGCCCCTCAGAGGGCTGCCAGCCGAGCAGCGGGTTTGCGGGTTAGATGATCGATGGCATTCCAAAGGGCACTCCACGGTATCATTCCAGGATCTACAAACTCCCAGACGATTGGTATTCAACGCAGTGGGGTGACCGATCTGGGCCCCGGAAGCGGTTCCAAAATTGCCAATTTCTATATGCCGGTTCGTATTCAACTGAGATGTGACCAGAGGGTAGGATTCGGACTTTGGACAAATTTTCCCGTTTTTCCCTATGGATATGGTGGGCAACCGCGGCAGGGACGGAAAATGATAAAAAGGAAGCAAAAAGAAAGATGGCAGTACTCAGTCTGGGTCTTGGTTCTGTGTTCCTTCGAGAGGAGCCCTCCCGTCCTCGCCTGGCCCTGATGGGCGACGTGTGTCAGGTCCAGGATCCCAAGTGCAACCACCTGCCATGTCGCCGACATGGAAACGCGGCAACATGCAGGAGGCATCGAAAAAAGGAGTGAGACATTTATTTGGATTAAGAAATGGAACGACAAAAAAAAGAAAGAAAAAGACGTGACCACGCATCATGTGGGGAAGGCCAAGGGATCGGAAGACGAGCCGTGGCTGGGCTGTAAATCGGCGGCGGCCAACAAGGCCAGCGGCTAACAAGGCTGCTCTCCCCCCCCCTATCCCCCCCAATCCCATATCGTTGACGATCCTGCAAAAACGGGCATACGAAAAGCAAAAGCAAAAAAACGGGCTCACCGTCATGTCGTTTTGTCTCACGCGCAATCAGCAGGACCCCCACCTAAGGCAAGAGCCCGAATAAAAGAGACGAAGGAAAAAAAAGATCAGTGAGCCAAGCCTGCCGCTAGGTAAGTTCCAGGTTGCTTCTACATAAAAAGGAAGCTTTGATATGATAAGCAGTCTCGGAGAAAGCTTCTGAAGCCCATGATTTTCATTTTCATGCTTTCCGCATTTCGTGTTTTTTTCCTTCCCCACCCCCGAGGCTGATGATAATATGACCCCCAACCGCGAGAAATATATCTCAGGAGCAACAAAATAACCACGCAAAAAGGGAGAGAGAAAAGCCTCGAGGGTCATACTTTGATACAACCGTACCTCTTGTCACTCTAGAACCAGTAATGATTTTCTGGGGCCACAGAGACACGACTCTCCCGGCCCGTCCCTTTCTCGAGTAGCACGACGGGCAGGCAGGTGTGAGTAACGTCATACACGATTGGATGCTCAAACCTCCACTCGCTTGATGGCGGCATTGAAAAACTGCCCGGCAGAGTAACTACTCCGTATAGGATCTAGTTGTAGGTTGTTCGCCTTCTGATGAGATGGAAACTACTTTTTCCTGCTTCACCTGATGCCAACTCATACACACACTACTACTAAGCTAGTATACGAATATCTAGTAGTAGTAAGACGGTGGGAGCGGGAGAGATGGCATGCAGCGGTAGTAGGTAAGGTAGGCACTGGTAGGGGGGGTGTCTTGCAGACCGCCCGCCCGCCCGCCCGCCCGCGAGCCAAGCGCAGAAACCGACCGCCCTCCGGTCTGTGCAAAGCTGGCGAGCTACCACCGACCGACGTTGGATGTGATCCGTGGGCGGCGTTGGGTAGGAACCCCGAATGGCCTTGCGTCTTGTCTGTGTGTCAGAGGCGCGGAATCGAGGCTGGCTGGCCGGCCGGTCGACCGACTGGGCCAGCTTGCGCTCCCACAACCCTTCCTCACGCCTCCTCCCGGGGAAGATGGCTGGCTGGCTGGCTGGCTGGTCTCGAGCTGACCTGACCTGGACTGGCAGAAACTCGGTACAGTGTACGCACGCAATAGGGATGGATATGAATGGGGTCGACTCCGTCAAATGCGGTCATCGGGTCCCTTGCGAATATGGTGGGTTGCACGACAGCAAATGCAAGATAATTACCATGTATGGCGTCTCTCCCCCCCCCCCTCCTACTTCTTCTTCCCCCACCCACCACCGTACGTCCGCTGTCTCTCCGCACATGATGCAAGTGCTTTTCTTGCACGGAGAGCCTATCATCTCGGTGGCTCCTGCCCTAAGGCGGCCCTCGCCGTGCTGTCATCTGCGGAGAAGGGGGGGGGAAGAAGCGCTCGGCCGGGCCGCAGCCGCCGAAGCCCTATGAAAATGAAATATAAAAAAAAAGATAAGGCAGTAAGGCACCGATCAGGCTTTCAGGGTATCCAGGCCACGAATCACGACGTTGTGCACGCCTCGTTTTCGCCTCAAGTTGTGTAGCATGGTGTACTGATCAGAATGGGCTGCCTGCCTGCGACTCCGTAGCTGAGATGCTTCGTACTGTAACGGAGGTGGAATTCACACGTGAGGCGGGCCATGCCAAGCCGTGTCCTATTGTCTGTGGCGCCAACTTTCAAGGAAGGTTATCGTAACAGCCGTTGAAATCTTGAAGGTACCTTGGATACCTACGTAGCACAAAGACTCGTGCGGCTGATCGCAAGGAACACCACTAACAGACCATTTCACAAAAGTGTGGGACATGGCGTATTGGCCAGTAATTAATTGGGAAGCTGTGCTTGAAAGGTTGATATTTGCCGTGGAGTGTTGCTGAACATACCGTACGTGGTTATATTTTGGACATCCAGTATGTGCCTTACCTCCTTTGGTGTGTAAGGTAAGGTATCTACGAATACTCGGCATACAGATACTCCCGCATACGGATTACACCGGTCTGCAGGCATGGCGATGGCCAGCGAAGTCATCGGCCCACTTGCTGCAGCTTCCCCGGTACAAGTGGACGAACGCGCAGGGATATTGGCGAGGTGGGGAGGTGTTTGTCGCACTTGCAGCTCGAGTGATTTATCACTTTTCCCAGCCTGCGGCCTGCCAGCCAGTCGCCAAATGGAACCTTTGCGTTGGGTTGAGGCAGGGAAAAAAAGAGAGACCATCGAGACGGTGGAGTTTTTTTTTTCTGGAGGAGCCTCCACTCCCCACCCCCGCGGGTCCCGGTTCCTCCAATCGAAATCCCGAGGCGGTCAGGTCATGCAGCAGCTGTCGATCATGTGTCCGAGCCCTCGGCGAACAGAACGGTGAGAAATTGTCCGTCATGCAGATTGCAGAAAGAAGGACAAGCTTCCGAGGACGGTAAACAAGAAATCTTGTCTCGGCGCGCCATACGCTCTCAGTCTCAAGTGGTGGAACGAACATGACGTTGACTAGACCCCGGCCTAGCCCGAGAGATCTACGTATTATCTTATACCCGGAACGTGTACTGGTTGATCTCAGATGGCGGGAGTCCTACGCGAAGACATGCACGCCGCGAGAGTTTTTTTTGGCCTTCACTAGACTCTGGCATAAACTAGAATTCTCCAATTTGATACCCAACTTAGATTCGGGGTGGTCTCGACGTACGTGACATGTACGTGTCATCCGTAAGATGCCTACCCAATTATAGACTTGACTCTGATTCGGCCACGCCAATGGATGGATGGATGCCCTTTTCGGGCGCGAAGTCGGTCGCAAACAAATTAGGTGGTTAGCTAGACCGAGAAATAGACGAGGGGAATCTGACGTGTCGTTGCAGACGGACGACAGCAACCGGCTTGACTCGACCCTCGTCCTCGCCCTCGCCGTTGCCGAGGCGAACCTGCGACGAGGAGGTCACCCGCCCACCCAGGGACCCTCCTCGAGGCTGGAAACCGGAATGAAGAGCGAGCGATCGACTGCGGCCTGCCTAGGCGGCAGCATTGCGAGATTGACAAATACCACGTTTTCCTTTTTTTTTTTTCCTTCAATAATTCCCGCCATAGAGTTACTGGTTTCGTCAACCCTGGTCTCGACTCTAAGGTGTCCAGGGCGCCTGCCTTCCTTAGACACTGTGCATACTAGGTGTGTACTGTAGGTTCTGTACCAAGATAGAGAGGAAGTCACGGGTTCAGTGAAGGCAAGCGCGTTGCTCGCGGCATTTTGCGGTTTTGGGCATTTCTACGGCAAGAATAACCATGGAGAACTTTTGGGTCTTCGAGGTTTCGTCCACTGCTAGTACAATTTAGTAGACGCGCGCTCTGAAACCTCGCAGTCTGCCGATTAAACCGGAATGTCCATGCCTACCCAATGTGCCGCTTTATTATTCCGCTGCGCACTTCACCCACCGGCCGAGAGGACACTTCTCCGTCGGCTGTGTCAGTCAGTTTGGATCAGGGGGGAGTCCCGGATCCGAGGGCCGTCTTCCGGACCGCGTCCGCCTTGTATTGGATTCCGCCGCCGTACGCGACTCGGGTCGGCCGGAAGCGTTATTCCCGCTGACTCGGCACCTCGCTGCAAGCCTGCAACGACATCCGCTATAATAAATAGCGATGTCGCAGATCCGACCCCGAGCAGCAGCTGCTGCGTCTGCTGCTGCAGTTGATGCTGCTTTCAAGCTGTCGTGGCAAGCTCTGGGCATTGCTCGTCGCAGTCGTACGCCCCTCCAGTCACCAGGCCTCCGCAGGAAACCAGACGGCCGTAGCTAAGGTGCTCCATACCTAGTGCAAAGTCTAGGCCCCCATTGGAAAGTGGGGAAAGAGAGGCAGACGTTGTCGACGAGCGTGAGCGCCTGGGCTGCAGCATCAACCGGACTTTTCGCCATTACCTTGCACAGCCGAGCCAAGCCGACTCCGGCCAGAAGTGGGTTCTGCCCGTTGACCGCTGCTCGACGACTCCTGCACCGCGCCGCTGCCCCCAAGAACCGCGCAGCATCCAGCCGACCAAGCATGGCAGAATCCAAGACGGACGTGCAGCAATGGCACGTCACGGAGCCCTACATCGACCTCCACTGCCTGCTCGGCGAGGGTCCATACTTTGAAGCCGCCACCAATGCGCTGCGCTTTGTCGACATCAAGAAGAAGCAGGTCCACACCGTCTCGCTGTGCGATGGGCCGGCCTTGCTGAAGACGGTTCAGCTGGATGTCCCAGTTACCGTGACGGCCGATGTCGAGGGCCGCGACCCGCGCGACACCATCTTGGTCGGGCTCAAGTACGGCGTTGCGCTCCTCGACCGTAAGACGGGCCAGTATGAATACCTGGCCAGGTTTGCCAACAGCGCCGAGGGCGGTGGGGACCAAGCTGCCAGACTCAGGAGTAACGATGGCGCGGTCGACCCGCATGGCCGCTTCTGGCTTGGTACCATGACCGACTTTGGCTTTGGCCCCTTCGAACCGGAAGGTAAGTGAGCAGGTGGAGAGAAGAACACCAGTGCCTCCTTCCCACGTGGCAACACACAATCAGCTCAAGAACCAAATCGGTATTTCTTGAACTTCTTGGCGGGTTGGGCCCCCATGATCGATCCACATGTCACTGGTCTGACATGCATTGCATGCTGTACATACTTGTTGTTCGGGGAGGAGCCCGTGATGGAGCCCGCTCCCATGATTGCTTCTGACCTAGCTCGCATTTGTTGCAGGGACGCTCTTCAGGTTTGGCTCCGACAGCAGCCGTGACGTAGCCCTATCGGGGCTTACCATCCCCAACTCGGTCGGCTGGTCCCCGGACTCGAGGACCATGTACTTTACTCACTCGTCGGCTCGGCAGGTTTTGGCGTGGGACTACGACATGGCCGATGGCAGCCGGTCCAATGAGCGCGTATTCTACCAGCACGACGGGCCAGGCGAGCCGGACGGCTTCCGGGTCGATCGCGAGGGCAACCTCTGGCACGCTGTGTGGGGGGAGAGCCGCATCATTAAGATCTCCCCCGAGGGCAGCATCATCGGCCAGGTTAACCTCCCGACCCGGCACATCACCTGCTGCGAGTTCGTAGGGACTGAGCTCTTCATCACGTGTGCCGAGGATGACGAGGGCGAGGGAGACAGCAGGCGCTATGGAGGCGGCCTTTTCAGGGTCGATGTTGGGACCACGGGCCTGGGGCACCACAACTTCAAGCTAGGCGCTTGATGCGCTTTCTGTGTCCTCAGATATGGTATCATTGCTCTAGGACTAGAGCATGTACAAAGCTAGATGAGTTTTCATGTCCAGTTGACGGTTCAAGGAAGCCCTTGTTATCAAAGAAGGTGTATGTAGTATATCTAGAATGAGATGATAAAAGAGACGTGGTATTTTGTCACAAGGTTTTATTATGCGCAAAAAGGAAAAGACCTCAGGGGAACGTTGATTATATTATCCTCATTCATGAACAGCCAGGGCTACTCTCCTAACGGGACCATGTCCAGTTTGTCCAGGGTGAAGGAGAATTCTTGATGCCATATAATTCACGAATCTTTAAGCCTGTAGAGTACCTTGATCAGGAGGATATATATTCCCCCTCACTTAAAAACCGTCCGGGAGTTAATATATGCTACCTTATTCCCTCCGCGTCCGACTACATTAAGGAATGCCTGGGCCGTGTTGGAACCTCAAAGTCAACGATATGCGTTGGAGGGGATCTCCAGCACACGAGCACCTTTGACAACAACCCGTATGTCAGGTTTTCATGCTTTTCTTATGAGATTTTATAGTTTGGGGGGGTTTAAAAAAAAGCGCCGTATTGAGACTCCCCTCCGGGACCTTCATTCGTCCCCTTTAGCCCGAGAATCTCTGCCACGATTCCTCCGACTCTTGGGGCCTCTTCCTTAGTAGCTGCAGCGTCCTCCTCCGTAGCTTCGGCGTCGTCCCACTCCTCGTCGTCGTCATCCGTGGCATTATTAGGCACAAAAGAACGAGCATCTGTCCCCGTGGTCGCACCATTTGCAGTTTCTGCAGGGCCCGCCCAAAGCACCCATTCATCAGCGTTTCGGCAATGCAGAAAAGGGCCAGTATTGGCCTTGGGATGTGCACCGCAATAGGCGCAGAGGTTACGGATAGTCCCGCGGCTATGGATCGGTCCCGGGGTCTTGTCGGGGTCGACTTTGCCTCTCAAGGCCAAGATATCAGCGAAGCGAAATAGCGTCGCGTGGTCTAGTGTGAAAAGTCGGAACATGGAAAGGGGGGGAAGGGTACGGGGTGGATAGCGTGCTCTTTGTTGCATGTGCGGAGATCATGCCATCCCTCCTTGTATTTCTCATGCTATTTGTGAGGTGGATGAATATAGTCGGGAGTGAGACGCGAGGATCAGGTGGCTTGGTTGGTTTTGATCTATGGCCATGAGGCTTGGGACTTACTTTCTCCCTCATCTTCTACCTCATCGCCTCGCTTATGAGTTTGGTAGAGGTCGGCTATTTCTCTATATATGTGAGCTTGTTCTGTCTCGGCCCGGTCGTAGTGAGGATGTGTTTGGGGGATTCTAATATAAGGTGAAAATCCCAAAGGGATTACCTGCCTTTTGGCTTAGAAAGCGAACGGAAGCCGAGCATTGCTCCAATATTCACAACATCGAAGCTACGACAGCAACGACATCAACGACGGTAACTACCTTGAAGGATAATAGACCTCAGACGTGCGCCGATGAATAGTCCAAGGCGGTAACAATAGAACGGGGAAATCAGGGGTCGTATCTCGAGCTTCCGAGAGGTATCAGCCAAAGACACTACACATGACACACATTGGTTCCTATTGTCTGATTGTACGTTACAATTACTTAGTTTGGACGGAAGGTGCTTCAGTCAAAATTCAATAAAAACCGTATTGTACTGGTATTGTTCTGAGTCCCGGCTGCTGCCTGGCTGTGAGAACCTTGAGGGGCAGGTCCGGCCTCCTCCTTCTATTTAAGCACCTCTCGATTTTCAAACCTTCACACTTTTACCTCGAACCTTCAGTCGCGGCCAAACTCTTTTTTTTTCTTTTCTATTTGTTTAGGCCTACCAACAAGCGACTAGGCAATGGCCCACCCAGTCGCCGAGTGGAACTTCGGCCTCTTTGGCGACGACGACGACGACCATGACGACCTCTTTGGGGACCGAGACGTCGTCGGGGCCGGGGGCAACGCTGATTTGGCGCCCCTTGCGCCCATAAAAACTTTTTTTGAACTGGCTCTGCCGAGAGGGCCGATTCTCTCTTCGGCTGCCGTCGCCGCCGCCACTGCCTCTGTTCCACCCGGGGCCCCTTTATCGCTCCGGGCTGGACAGAGTGCAGCTGGCACAGTGGTTAGTCCCCAATTTTTTTCAGAAGGGGACGATGTCCTTGAGGCCATGTTTGAGGCTTTGGACAAGGAGCTGCGCCAAGACCAGCCCATTGACAATGCCACCAGCAGCTCGGGTCCTCCCCTCGGTGCCAGCATCACGCTGGCCGACATTGGCTTCCCTCTGGCCAATGCCGCCACCCGCCGCGACATCAAGCTCAATCGCCGAAGCGACGGCAAAGTCGGAGAAGCGGCCGGACTGGCTGAATTCCTCACCTTCAGTAATTCCTTCCTCTTCCACCCTTCCCCTCGTCACTTCGTCCCCTCTTCCACTCTTCCCCTCGTCACCTCATCCCCTCTCCCACCAGCACCCTGTTAGCATTTCAAGACGTGGTGGCCATTTACTGAACCATATCCAGGGGTCGAGAGATTTGGTGAGCACTTCGAGCGGCTGGGTTTGGGCGCCCACAAGGGCGCCAGCCTCAAGAAGGCCTTTGAGGACCTCGTCGCTGAGCGGGGCCCCGACAGAACTATCAGCCTATGTCACGACAAGGAAGGTCTCCTGCGTCTCGCATTCGACTTGCTGGTCGAGGAACGCTGGGGGGTCAAGTGGTTTGGCGCAGACTGCGAGCGAGTGATCGCCCAGCCACCCATTTGGCCCGATGACTCGACAGTGTAGGTCTACAAGCATATTTCCCCTCACAACAACTACCCATATATCCTTCGCAGTTTCTACTCTTCTTAAATTTACTTGGACTAACTGGTGCTCTAGCCTTATTGTCCACTTTACGTCGCTGCTGCGCAAGGTCTTTCACTTCCAGAAGCTGAGGATTGCCAAAACCGCAAAGGGAGAGCAGAATAGCCGAACCCCGGAGCTCGCACATGAATCACCTGTGCAGGAGCAGGACCCGAATGTGGTGGAGATTCCCGACCCAGCCTGGACTCGACAGCCTATTCAACAGTATCGTTCCTTCCAAATCCACAGCTCAGGCGCGGCACAAATTCAGCAACCCCTTCCTGATCTCTCCGAGATTCCAAACCTAGCTTTGACTCAACCTTCCACCGCGCAGTCATCTACTTCGTCGGACGCAACACATATACAGGAGCAGGAGCCTGACGTGATTGACATCCCCAACCCGGTCTTGACTCAACCGCACATTCGGCAGTCTTTTGCTTCGTTTGTTTCGGTCGCGGATTCGGCCAATATTGAGCAGCCTCCTTCCGATTTCTCGTCTCAGACCCGCGCCATAGCCTTCACCGCGTCACCAAAGCGGCATCGTCTCAATTCTCCATCTCAGACCCGCGCCATAACCTCGATCGTGTCATTAGAGCAGCCTCCTCCTAATTCGGCATCTCAAAACCACATCATGACCTCGAATGCGTCGCCAGAGCAGCCTACTCTCAATTCGCCTTCACAGGGCCGCAACATGGCCTCGAGTGTGTCGCTAGAGCAGCATCCTCTCAATTACTCCTCTCAGAGCCGCGCCGTAGCTTCATATGCGTCGCCAGAGCAGCCCCCTCTCAATTCAGCGTCTCGGGGTCGCATCATAGCCTCAAATGTGTCGACAGAGCAGCGTCCTCTCATTTCGTCGTCTCAGAGCCGCACCATGGCCTCATATGTGTCGACAGAGCAACAGTCTACTCATCCTCCACCCCAGCGCTCTCCCCGCGCTCGGACTGCATCACCTATCCGGCAGGTTCAGGCCTTTGTTGGCCCCATGCTCAGCGGTGCGATCAAGCGGAAGCGAGACTGGGACATTTTCAATGAGAACCCCGTCCAAATTATCGAAGTCCCTGACAATGCCAACATCCGATACACCATCAACATCAAGAACAAAGTTACCCACATGAACCTTGCCGATCCCAGCGTGTATTACCACACCGATACGGCAGTTTCCATCGGCATTTTCACAGTCATCAAATCGGGACTAGAAGCGGCGGGCTTCTCCCCCATCTTCCAGATGGCGAACACACATGGTCCCGCCGGGTTGTGCATTCACAACGAGGTCCAGTGGAAGGAGTCGGTGCGGAGCTTGTACTTCCCACCCCGCACCAATTACTTCATTGTCGATGTCTTTATCTGAGCGTGATGCTGGGCATGAGAGGGGAGTCCACTCAAACTATAAGAGAGGCGTCCGATCGAAAGGACCAAAATGGATACCCTGCGATTGAATCGGAGAGGTGGGGATTCCAAATCGAACATAGAGGCACGAAGCAGAATCGGAACTTGAGAGACTTCGATCTAGGGAGAATTACATGAGCCTGGCTGGGCTTGTTTACGACGATTTCGACACGAAGTCACAGCACACTTTAAGCTCTCGATTCGGGAGGGAGCCTTTTTTGTTCTCCTAGACGGCCGACTACTAGTAGTAGCTTCTGCTATCGTCGTGGAGGATGACAGGATTACCTGGCAGGGGTCGATCCGGCACGAGAGCCGGATAACTGGCTTGGTTTCTTTTTCTTTCTTCTTTATCTTGTTTCGTTTGGGATCGGCAAGAATTATGATACCACGGGGCTCTTGATCTAGAGCAAGGGAGTTTACTGGTTGTTTTTGCTTTTCTTTTCTTTTCTTTTCTTTTCTTTTCTTTCTCTTCTATTCTCTTCGTGAACGAACGAACGAACGAACTTGATACCCACGGGATCTTTCATGGAGGAGGACAGGACAGGGCAGGACAGGCAGGAGTTTTCAGAGTTTCGGACTTTCACAACGACTAAGAACTATTTACGACTGGGACGAATCGACGGATGAATAATGAACCGCCATCTATTTTCTTTAGTGATTTTTCTTCTTATTGCATAAATGGATGCTGGGGAGCAGCTCGGTTTTGTCTGCTTGATCAGACCATATAATGAACATCGTCTTCGGACCTCTTTTCTCGTCAGCTATTGGCTCGCTGCACTTTGCTCCGTTATCTTCTTAAAGAGTGACTGCTTTACTGTCAAAGGCCGACAAAGCGATGACATAAGAGTCAGAACTGTAACGCAGTTAACCGTTCAGGATCAAAAGAGAGAGCCGACGAGGGCCATGCAGATGAGATGGACGACTACTTAGATTACTAACCACCAAACACACGAGGCACAGTTGATGGTGTTTATAACCTTGTAACCAACAGGGACTTACGCCCTGGCGGCGCTCTATTGCGGCCGGTAATTATCCTATGCTATGCTATGCTATCCTGCCCGACATACCTCTTACATGTTATAGCGGTCTATAAAAAAACAAACATCACAACGCCGACGACAACGGCGACTGACATTATCAAATAGCAGCAATAGGAGCAGCAACAAACACCGAGTGCCCTCTCTGCCCTCTCTCCATGACTAGGTATGACAACAAAATGCAGTGAAAAACGCCGCCGCGCCCAAGATCATGCTTTTTCTAAGGATACCCGGGTCTGTTTTTTTTTAGAGAAAAAGGTGCGAGCCTGTTCGGTTATACAAAGGTGTTTCGGCATCTTGGTGGTGGTGGTGGTGATGTGGGTATATATATAAGCGCGGGGGGACAAAATGGGACTTAATTAGGAGAAAAGTGCAGCAGGGGGGCGGTTCCGTCATAGCCTGACACGGCCTTCCCCGCTGCCGCCAAACCACCGCCGCACGTCTGAATTATTATTACCATTATTATTATCACGAGGTCGGCTGCCGGAACCTTCGTCGTCGTCTCCGCCCATCCATTTGGGCTTCTTGATGCCCTGACCGATATCTTGGAGCCACTTGGGCGTGTCCATGGTGTCGATGGTGTTTTTGAAGCGGTGGCCGAGGGCCTCAAAGAAGTTCTCGTCGTCGGGGTCCGTCTCGATCCCACGCGACGCAGCGCCGACCCTCCTCGCGGACGTGTTGGCCTGGGGCCGGGTATTAGGGGAAGTCCCGAGCGGGCTGGTAGGCCCCGTGCGCTGCGCCCGGGGGACGGACAGCACAGGTGTTGCCCTGGCGGCGCCTGCCCCCTGTCCTACGCCGGTGCCGGATATCCGTGCAGCGGCCTCGGCTCGCCGGCCACGGACTACAGCTGACGTGCCGTGGAGCTCGCGCTCAATGAGGTCGCGTCCCTCGCGCCACGAGCCAGTCCCGTAGGCGCTATACGGGTCGTCGCCGTCGCCGTCGTCAATGACATCGACGCCGAAACCAAAGATGCGCTTCACCTTGCCGTACAGCCCAAACAGGGTTGCACAAATGGGGAGGAGAATGAAAGCGGGGAACAAATAGTCGAACCACTTCCCTAGCGGCGTCAGGTTGATGAGCTGGCCGAGGAAGTCGTAAAAGACAGTATTGCGGTAGATGCCGCCGAGAAATGTCATGAAGTTGTACGAGAGCGGCACGCTGAGTCGCGCCACCTGGCTGGCATACCAAAAGGCCGACTCGTGAGCCGTGTTGCGGCGCACCAGAGCGCGGCCGCGCCAGACCTTGACCTCGGTGATAGACGTCAGGGCGGCGGCGCACATGTACAGCATCCACAAGGCCGCAATCGCCTGGCCGGCGAGGCCCACCTGTCCATTGTCGCCCTCCCAGTGATGCACAACACTGTAGCGAATGATGGAGAACGAGGGCAGCACGCCCTTGACCATTTCGGACCACACGATGCAGGCCGAAGCGAGCGCCAGCACCGCGCCAAGAGTGTTGCGGAAATACGGCACGACATGGTAATGCAGAACATATCTTGTGTACGGGGTCAAATACGTGTGCTTTTCCCAAAAGCCCGAGTGCGGAGAGGCGGAGCCAAAATCAAGCTTCTTGGAAGCAGCCGAGTCAAGGATGGCCTGCGTCTTGACCGCGTCGCGAAGCAGCCGGTGCCACTCACTCACGTAGCGAGACCGGGCGTGCTTGGCGCGGACAAGGCGGCGGGTGAGCTCGGCCATGTATTTCTCGGTGATGACGGTGGGCAGGACGCTGGGAGCGTCGCCGGAGCCGCGGAGCACACTTGCGCGGGACGGCTGGGCCTCGGGGAGGTTGGTCAGGTCTACGAGCTCCTCGACCCAGTCCTGGAACAGGCTCACGCTGCCGCCCTTGCGCCGGCTGAGCTCCGACACAATCATTTCGAGGTCCTCGAGGTTCATTTCGGCGTCCTCCATGCGCTCGTATATCTTGGGGGCGTTCGACTGGATGGCGCGCAGCCTGCCGCTGACGTTGGCGCCGCGGATAAGACGGCGGGGGATGGCGACTAGGCCGTGTCCCATAAGATAGATGGCCAGCACCAAACCCCAGCAGTATGCAAGAGCCATGACGGTGCTCTTAAGCGACTCGGAGAAGTGACCGTAAGAGATGAGCACGTAGACGAGGCCGACGAAGCCCGACCCGAAGACGATGGCATAGTATTGGGCGTTGGACCGCAGCGAGTCGAGAACCTTGTCCTTGGGCTCGCGGTAGCCCGAGTCGGAGTATTCGGCGAGAATGGGCAGGATAAACCTAGAGTGACATGTTGGCAGCGATTTACACAGCAGCCGTCGGTGGGACATACCAGGTCAGGGAAAAGGTCAACCAGTACGTGATCCTCCACGAAACTCGCAGGGCTCGGGGCTCGAGCCAGATGCCGCGGGCGTCAATGTCTTCGGCCACGGCGCTGGATGCGAGGTCGATGGGGACCAGGAGAACCATGCTCGCAGGGAGCCATAGCGCGAAGAAGACGGGGACGAGGAGGAAGGCGGGCGTGGTGCGCAGCGGGAGGTAGTAGCGGAGGATGAGGAGGGCGACGGCGGAGATGGCGAGCAGCACCACGAGCGCAAAGATCTCGGAGCCAACCGGCGAGGGCGACATCGATGTCGATAATTCCATCATGATGGGCGGCTTTCGTAGGGCGTGGGCATGCCCGCGCGGTCGAACAGACGCAGATGGGGGCTTGGTCGGATGGATGGATGGATATTGTAGTGGGAATTGGTTGAAGGCATTCACAAGATCCCAGTCTCGAATTATGTCACAGGACGGGACGTTACGACTCCTGCCTGCACATGACTGCCAGCCAAGGCTCCAATGAACAAGGTCCGATCCGTCGTTTCTGAGAAGGCAGGTGCGTGCAGGCGCAAGTCCGCACTGTGCCGTTGGTTTTCAATTTATTTGTCACGCAATCAGGGTTAGGGTTGCGCGGTGTATTTTCTTCCCCGCGGGCCCGCAAGCCGGTCCTAAAAGGGGCAATAAAGTGCGGAGGGCCACCCGCCACTTGCCGAGTACGTAGCCAGCAACTGCGATCGTCCGCACATCAAGTTGCGCCTTCTCTAAAGAAGCGCAAGAAGGTGCGTGATAAGACGACTCGAGTGGGCTTTCGGACTGCTCAGTGTGGTGCACGCAAACAGAGGGGAAACACTCTCCCCCCACCTTGTGCGACCTTATCACTTGCAGGCTTGCAAGGAGGAGGGGTTGAGCAAAGCAGGCTCAGGCCGAGGATGCCAGATATAGATAAAAGATGGCTGCCGTCCTCTCTCGGGCGTCTCTAGTCAGCGTCGTCTTGACGCACCAGTGCAGGAACAGACAGGCCGCGAGACTCTTTCCCATAAAAGGACTTTGGCACAGCTTCTCGTCCACCCCCACCGCCCGACAAGACCAATATCAAAGCAAAACAACACATCAAACCACCAAGATGGAGGTGCAGCTCACAGCGCCCAACGGCAAGATGTGGTCTCAGCCGCTGGGGCTCTTCATCAACAACGAGTTTGTGAAGAGCAGCAACGAGCAGAAGTTTGCCTCGATCAACCCGACGTATGTCTTAGAGGGTGAATTCAGCCTTCGTCGTGATGTCGGGCTACTAACTAAACTATTACCAGCACTGAAGAGGAGATCTGCTCCGTCTTTGCTGCCACTGCTGACGATGTCGACACCGCCGTGGCCGCAGCCCGCAAGGCCTTCAAGGACGCCTCGTGGAAGTCGCTGTCTGGCACTGAGCGCGGGGCCCTGATGCTGAAGCTGGCTGACCTGGTCACGCAGAACGCCGAGGTCCTAGCTACCATCGAGTGCCTCGACAACGGCAAGCCCTACTCGGTGGCCCTCACCGAGAACGTGCCAGAGGTTGCCAACGTCTTCCGGTACTACGCAGGCTATGCCGACAAGAACTTTGGCCAGGTCATCGACGTCGGCCCAGCCAAGTTCGCCTACACAGTCAAGGAGCCCCTAGGCGTCTGCGGCCAGATCATCCCCTGGAACTACCCCCTCGACATGGCCGCCTGGAAGCTCGGCCCCGCCCTGTGCTGCGGCAACACGGTCGTGCTCAAGCTCGCCGAGCAGACGCCGCTATCGATGCTGTACGTTGCCAAGCTCGTCAAGGAGGCCGGCTTCCCGCCCGGCGTCGTGAACATTATCAACGGCCACGGCAGGGAGGCCGGCGCGGCCCTCGTGCAGCACCCCCACGTGGACAAGGTCGCCTTCACCGGAAGCACCGCCACGGGCAAGGAGATTATGAAGATGGCGTCGGCGACAATGAAGAACATCACGCTCGAGACGGGCGGCAAGTCGCCGCTCGTCGTGTTCGACGACGCCGACGTCGACCTCGCTGCCACGTGGTCGCACATTGGCATCATGAGCAACCAGGGCCAGATCTGCACCGCCACGTCGCGCCTCCTGGTCCAGGAGGGCGTGTACGACAAGTTTGTCGAGAGCTTCAAGGCCAAGGTCCAGGAGCTCTCGGTGGTCGGCGACCCGTTCGAGGAAAGCACCTTCCAGGGGCCGCAGGTCACCAAGGCGCAGTACGAGCGCGTGCTAGGCTACATCCAGTCGGGCAAGGAGGAGGGCGCGACGGTGATGCTCGGGGGCGAGCCGGCGCCGCAGAAGGGCAAGGGCTTCTTCGTCGCGCCGACCGTCTTCACTGACGTCAAGCCCAGCATGAAGATCTTCCGGGAAGAGATATTCGGGCCGTGCGTGGCCATCATCTCGTTCAAGACGGAGGAGGAGGCGATCGACCTGGCCAACAACACCACGTACGGCCTCGGGGCGGCGCTGTTCACGCGGGACCTGGTGCGCGCGCACCGCGTGGCCCGCGAGATTGAGGCCGGCATGGTCTGGATCAACAGCAGCAACGACTCCGACTACAGGATCCCGTTCGGAGGCGTCAAGCAGTCGGGCATCGGCCGGGAGCTAGGCGAGGCCGGGCTTGCGGCGTACAGCAATGTCAAGAGCATACATGTAAATATGACGGCATGATCATTTAGGAGGAGCGTCTGCGTCTGCCATTTTTAAGCCACATCGAGCGAGCTTGCCAGATACTTAAGTCTTTACTCTTTTTTTTTTGGTTTGGGTACCTTAAGATTGTTGCGCGCAGCCAGCCTACAAAGCTTGGTGCACATGACTTGTATGAAAACGGTTGGTTTCTAATTAAGCGGCAAGGTAGTAAAGGTTGTTGGTAGCAACCAAATCGGGTGCTTCGTATGTCTCTCTCTGCCAAGTGCACAGCGGTTTCAAGATGCGATAGGCACCAGTGGGTTACTTCAAGGATTTCGTTTCGGCTGAAAGATACACCATAAACCATCTTCTGGTTGAAAGTATATTCCTTTCTCTCAAATAACATTGTATGAATAGAAGCTCAAAATTGAGTCCCTGAATGCTGTCGACAGAGTGATAAAAGTCATGTCAGGTATGTGCAAGCCGTTCTTATCAGATATCAACCTACGTCATTGCTAGGGAGAGGCCGTTCATGCGTTCCGGGAGCTTGGGCACCCCAAATTCAGTGTAACCAACCCCTGCGAGCATGGGGGCGCCAAGAACTCTCCCAGTTAGCCCGGGCCATTGATTCGCCAGGTGGACGCGGTAGGTTGGCGGCGCAAAAAAGCTACCTAACTTATTTAGCTGGAGTTGCCGCAAAGAACGATCTGGCCCCAGCTGCCACCAACACTCTCTGTCGTCATTCATACCGAGCTTCATCCACAAGGTACCGCTTGACGTTGAACTAGCCTGGGACAAGCAACGTAACAGACGCTACAGCGAAGATCGCCCTCTCCGACCCACGCATCAAATATTTTTGGAACGATCGTATTTTTGGCAGCGAGCGGCCCCGAGCCTATTCCCCCTTGAGCTACACCAGCCCGCGACGGGAGCCCAGCCAACCCACCCCAAAGCAATGGCCCCCCCATTAATCCCCTCGGCCGAGATACGCCTGGAATACCCGCTGTACTCGCTTGACTTCGACCCTCAAGATGCAAACCGGATCGTGGTTGGCGGCGGCGGCGGCCCGGGAAGGAGCGGCGTGTCCAACAAGATCACCGTCCTCGACGCCTCGCACCAGGACGCCCTGCAGATCGTGTCAGACCTCAACCTGAGCCGCGACGAGGACAGCGTCACTACCCTCGCCGTCGGCCCGCGCAGGCGCAACTCCATCCTGGTCTTCACCGGCATCAACTCGAGCCCCGCCGACATGGAAAAGGGCAGGAACGAGCACTTCCGCGTCTTCGCCATCGACCCGCCCTCAAAGACGAAATCCGTCGCCGAGGCTAAGATCGCCGAGCTCTCCCGCGCCTCGCTGTTCACCTCCAAGGGCGCCGACACGTACCAGCGCCTGCTGAGGATATCGCCGCCGTTTCCCGGGTCCGCCCAGATCGGCACCGCCGCCACCGGCCTCGCTAAGGATGCGCAGATTGTCCTGTTCGACGTGCCCGCCACGGGCGTCGCCGCGTCTAAGCCGAGGGGCACGCTGGAGCTCGCGAAAGAGGCCATGGATCTCGACCTGATACAGACGGGCGACGACGAGTGGCAGCTGCTGTACTGCGACGAGGTCGACATCTACACGGTGAACATCAAGAAGGGCGTCACGGGCGCCCCGCGCTGCGTCTTCAGCATGCCGCTCGACGAGGCGATGGGCATGAAGGTCCGCCCCACATTCAGGTCTATACGCTATCTGACGCCGGAATTCGTGCTGGCGGCTGCGAACTTGCCGAAGACGGGCGGCGTGGTCCTGCAAGGCTTTCGTCTGCCCAAGCCCGAGCTGGGCGTCGACGGGAAGGCCAGGCTGGCAGTCTCGGCGAAGCTGCACAAGAGTGTCACCCGCGCCACGGGCCTCGCGGTCCGGAACCTGGCGCCCCCAAGCACGCCGTCGGCCAGGCAAGGCGACGCGCAGTTCGTCGTCGCCGTGACGGGCCAGGACAGCTCCATCACGCTGTACACGCTCGAGCACCAGGCCGTCGGCGACATCAGCCTGGTGGTCAACCTCTACCCCGTGACGACGCTCAAGTCGGTGCACCCGGGCCCCATCTCGGGCCTGGCCTTCTCACACTTCGCGCCGCCCAAGACGGCCACGATGCGCGTGCACCACGTCAAGCTGGCGTCCATCGGGTCCATGGGCAACACGTGCGTCGTGCACTCGGTGCCGCTGCGCAGGCTCGTCGACAAGTCGGCCCCCGCCCGCCACGCCGGCCCGCCGCGCCAGCCCCGCTACGTCGTGGCGCTCAAGAGCTACGGGCCCTCGGCCACGGGCTTCCTGATTGGCATCGCCGTCTTCGCCGTCGTCTTCTCCCTGTTCATCCAGGGCCTCCTCGAGATCAAGGGTCTGTCCCGCCCCGTCGTCGGCGCCCACCGCGTCACCCCCGCCAGCTGGCACGCCGACTGGAAGAAGGGGCCCCGGGAAGCCGCCGCCGCGGTGACCACCCCAAACTTCCTGGCCGAGTACCTGGGCGCGAACCAGCTCGCGGCCGGCGACAGGGTGGTGGTGCTGCAGGCGGACGACGGCGAGGCTGGCGCCGGTGCCGTCAAGGTCGACACGCACGACAGCGAGCAGCATGGCCCCGCGCACGAGTGGGACGCGCTCCCGCCCGCGCAGCAGCAGGCGTGGAAGAAGGCGCTGCAAAAGGCCGGCCACTGGGGCGAGCAGACAGGCGACGCCATCTTCAAGGGCATCCTGTTTGGCGAGATTGCCGGTGCCGTCGGCCACATGGTGGCTGGCTAGGTAATCAGACTGCGGATAGACGGGGGATGTTGTTTTTAGCGTGTGTCTAATAACGAATGGTGGGAGAAGGGCTAAGGGAGAAGGGATAAGGGAGAAAGGGGGATTAAAGAAAGAACATGTATAGGACTCTTCTCATCTGGGATTTCAAAGTCTGTTTAGTAGATTGCAAAGGAACATCATTGTTTGGGGTTTGGGGTGTTCTTTTTTGTTTTTGAACAGGTTATATATATATATATATATATAAAGCGATATATAGCTATCATGGGAAACGACGCGACGGCGGAAAATGCCTTATGGGTTGGAATCGTTTCTATTGTGCCCCCCCGCCCCTGTTGGAATGACAAGGTCATTCGTACTAGTCACTATAGTAACCGCTGCGAAAGGGTGGGGTGGTTGTGTTGCTCTTATTCTTCTATGTCTACCAAAGGATCACGAACTAGTATACGGGGGCACGAAGGCGCTCAGTCAGGGTGCCCCGCGGTCACGTGCTGCACCACGTATTGGGCGGGTGTGGCCCGTGCGCTGACCCGATTGATCGGTAATTCCTACACCCCCCCTTCTTTATTTTTTTTTCACTACTTGGGTTTTGGCTACGTAGGTGTTGAGTGTTGAGTATTGAGTATTCAGTGAGAGTTATCTCTACTAATTTATTGGATAATTTATTGGATGATTGGGTGATTGAGTGACTGTTGCGCTTCATCTGTGTAATATTTTATCCTAGACACGTGAGCGTGAGCTGGGAGAGAATGAAGTCAACCGCCGTTGACGTTGCCCACGGGAAGTGTGTACTATGATATATTATCAAGCTCAGCCAGGAAAACACATCTTCATGATTTTATTCTAGATTGGCGAAGATGAATGCGATTCCCATCACACCTTCTCATGCTGCCTCATTCCGTGCCACCACGACATTTCAGTCCCCCAATGAGCGATCAATCACTCCATAATGCAACCAATGTTCCACACACCAGCCCCCCGTGCGAGGCTAAAATTGCAGTGTAACTTTATGTTCGTATTGGGCCAGGCATGGCAAAAACTGCACCAAGCCACCAACTGGGTCTTGTGATACGTAGGTATCCATTTGCGATTGTTGCTATGTACTGGATCTAGCCTCCGAATATTTGGGGCAAAATCTGTTGATCGAACCGAACCACCGGTGACCTACCTACCTGGTCTGAATTCGAGCTCAAGAGGGTTCACAGGTCGTACTTTTGGTGCGCTTTATGTTTGTGTGCTCTGGGCGGAAACTTCGATCTTATATGGTGGTGGTTAAGATTCGTGAGTTGGCCAGTGTGACTCTGTCGGAGTAGGGCGTTCAATGTTTTGATAAATGCCTGTGTTTACTTTTAGTGTGTAGTCCGACGTAGTGATGTGTATAAGTCATCTCACTTTGGTGATAGATCTAACTGTGGAAATCACTCCCTAAGCAGACGAAATATGATATATTTATATAAGGTACATATATATATACATATATTATACTAAGCTCAACTAGAAATAGGTATCTCCATGATCAAGTGTAATGTGATGAGATTAAACAGAATCTCTATCTTACCATCTCACATGCCGCTTCACTACTACTACTACTACCCCCGCGCTGTTCAATAAATGGAAGTCTAGTATAGCATCAGTGCCTCGGTTAGGCTCTTGGTTGTCTGTATAGCTTTGGGGTTCTTGGGGAGCGGAGAATTGATGAATGGTGCGATTGATGCTGGTATTCGAGTCTCGTGTTCGAGTCTCGTGTTCGAGTCTGGCTCTGTGGTGGGGAACTCTGGTTGGAGCGGACTTGGGGGAGCAGACTTAGACCAAGGTCTGTGAGTAGGTATATACACACATCGATGCACAGTCGAAAGGTTTTGGTGTTCTATCCTGTGTGCTTTGTTTTCACATCATCGGACTGCAAGGATGCGATATGGACGAGGACGAGCTGGCTGCAAGACACCTTGCTTGATTAGTGAATGTTAGTGAACAGGTACGGACATCGGTCTCCCAACTACGAGATGCACGTAATGTAGAAGCTGCCCTATTTTCTAATTCTCAGCTCTCCTTGTCAAAGATACCTTCATTATGTGGTATACACTGACTTTACCCTTAGAACAACTATGCGCCTTAACACCCCACCCTCCCATTTTACCGTGTAGTCCTAACGATAATGACAATGCCAACACCAAAACCCATGACGTACAACCCAGCCTCACATGAACTGCCACCGTCGTCAGACAAGGCCATGATAGCTTGCCCAAAAGACAGCGGTCTATATATTCCCCTCGCTGAAATAAAAGGTCACCACGGCACCAGCATCGGCAGCACGGGATACTCGACGCCGTCTATAACCTCGGTCTCTACGCCGTGGCCACCGCCACCGCCACCGCCACCGCCGTCGTCCCCCGTGAACGAGTCAAGGTCTCGCCGCCAGCGAGCGCCGCACTCGCCGGGCACAAACCGGGCCACGTCCATGTGCAGCGTCATCTTGACCTCGGGGCAGTAATCCCAGATGTGCTTGCGCAGCGCTGGAGTGCCCCAGATGGCGCCGTGCAGCGTCGAGCCGCCGCCGCCCGTGTGGTAGCCCATGGGCTCGTAGAAGCCGGAGCGCCAGTCGTCGAGGCCCGCCACGAGCGCGCCGTCTTGTGCCGCGGCAATGGCCGGGTCGACCGCCGGGGTCGTCGAGTTTGCCTCCGAGGTGCCGTTGCGCAGGACCGTCCCGTTTGAGGGACGCGGCGGCCCCGACGCCCCCGGCCCCGGCCCCGGCCCCGGCCCCGGCGCAAAGGGGCTGGTGTTCCAGTCGAGGCTGACCTTTTCGCCCGAGTGCATCTCGCCGGAAAAGTGGGACGAGGTAGTGCCGTTAGCCAGCTTGGCGCCGGGCCGGTGGCCGAGGCGTTCCGTGAGCCAGACGTCCTCGGGGTCGGTCCCATCGCGCCGCTCCTGGTTGCGCAGCACGTCGATTATGGCGCTGACGCGGCGTAGCGAGAGGCCGCCGTTCCCCCCAAAACGTCCGTCGGGGTTCCACGGCGCGCCCACCCAGTCGTAGTCGAGATAGTCGTTGAGCGTCTGCTGGCTGTTGGCGCACAGGATGCTATCCGTCTGGAAGACGAGCAGCCACTCGGCCGGCTGCAGCACCACCTCGTACAGCCACAGCGTCGTGAGAAAGCGGCTAATCTCCTCCTGGGACCCCGTCGTCATGTTGGTCGGGATGTACGTCAGGTCTAGCTTGCCCGCCGCCACCTGCTCGCGGATGGCGACGCTGTTGTTCATGTGCGCCACACTGTCGACCGACCCCATGAACCGGAACCGCCAGTCGGGCGGCACCACGCTCATAAAGTGCAGCATCAGCGGCGCCAGAATCGGGTTTGGCCGGTTCTCAATCAGCAGCGCCACCTTGGACTCGTTGAACTTGGTCGCCTGCCGTTCGTAGTGGTACTCGAGCGACACCGACGGCAGGTTGATAGTCCCCGTCTGCGCCGCGCCGTACAAAAGCCACATAGTCAGAGTTCTGTCCTCTGTGTCAGCCGAAACCCGTCTCTCGTGTCCAGCCGTCAGAACCTACAAGAATAGCAACGTGATGCCCGTGAAGCGTATGCGTCGACTCGTCCGCCCCCATGCCGCAAGGGCAACCAGCTTGCTCTTGTGCCACAGTCTATATAGATCCGTGTCGCCCCTCAAGACCGCGTTATGGTTGCCGCTGTACTTGATGGCCGCCATGTTGCCGGCGACAAGTCGGCCCCCCGAGTCGGCTCTTGTTGACTGCAGGGCGCCGGTGTCTCGGTCGAAGCGGTGCCGCCTGGCTGGGACGTCCTTGGTAGTCGGCGACCGTGTAATTCTTCAGCAGATGCCGTCGTATGCCCCGGTACACCTTCCGTCAGACCATTAAGCTCAATGTGGGATCTGGTGCCGCCCCATAAACGAAAGGACGGGACTATGAGACGGAAGTTGCCAGTGTCAAGTCGCCAGACGTCGATGACCTTAGGGGGCTGCCTGCTCGTGTAGAGCCAATGCCAACAGTAAGCCGTTTGCAACGACAGCGCAAGTCGCAACCACTACGTAGAGCGCAAAATCAATGGAAATAAAGCGCCGTTGTTCCCGTAGCGTTAGTTCATCTTTAACTCCAACGGCGATGGCGGCGAGAAACAAGCCTCTGTCTTACCAGCACCAAAAGCCGCCTACGATTGGGAGATACAGCCAGCAGGGGCCCTTTACGCAGAGAAAGGGATGAGGAGGAGAATTCCAGTGTCATTGTGGGCGGGTGGGCAGAAAGGTGCCACCGCAGAAAAGAGATCCAGGGATGTGAGAGACATTGGTGGAGAGAAAAGCCACGCTTTGTCGGGCGCCGCCTTTTCAGCTGATGGGCAGATACTTGCCAGGAACCCTGAGGTACGAAGCAGAGATCCCCTTTATTGATCTGCAGTGCTACCATTAGCGAAGCCTGGGGCAATTTTGGCGCACCTGTGTGGCACGGGCCCTCGATATTCAATGCCTGCTGCCCTGCCCTCACTGATCGCTCTCTCATCAACCCGTACTATGTAATCATGGCGAGCTTTTGGATGCGACGACGGCCTTTGCCGCATCTGCACTTCCATCGGCCGGCCAATTTGATCTGCTAAAATAAGCCGGTGGAAACTTGAAAAGAACAGCGAACCCCAAGCTCCCTCTCTCTGGTTGACAGAGGCTGATATGTGATACTGCTTGCTCCATGACCGGAATACCCTGGGCCTGCCGAGCTGCGTGCTTTATCCCGTTGCGGCTCTTGGTAATCCGAATCGTCGAGGTGCCGCGTTTTGTGAAGACCATGGATTCAGCTGACGTTTGCGACTCTGCTATGCGACACTGTTTCTGGTGCTGGAGGTCGACAGCTTCAAAAAGTTGGTCTCCTTTTCTCGTATTCTGCACGTTTCCCCGATACGGACACTGATAAGGCGGGGAGCCAGGGGTCAAGGACATTCTCGGGTCGATAGTCATTGAAATTCGTGGCCCGGTGCGCCATCCCTTGGCTTACACATAACCCCTACAGTCGGGCGGCGGGCCAGGCCTTCGGCAGGACGCGGGACGCCGAATGTAGCCAGAAGTACCTCCAAAGTCGCCATCATTCCTCGGATGGTGAAGCACGCGCTTCCTCATTTCTCGCACAAGGAACTGATCACGGTGGAAGCGTCAGATCATGCTCCTCCCTCTTTGATCTCGGTCGCTATGAATCAAGCGCACGATTATGGTCAAAGCCAGTGCGCTGGAGTCGGAATGAGCTTCTAGCTTGCAAGGGCGAACCTCAGAGACCAGCCAATTTGTTATTCGGGCTCGATTTACCTTGGCTTCGCGGCAACGAGATGCCAATGCGCCCACATCTCCAGCCGTTCAGGACACCGTGACTGTCTTTGAGAGACGACACGAACCGACAGCGTCTCTTACCAAAAACTGAGACTGCCCTCGGCGGCTTTGTTCCCCGGTACTCGTCGGCGCCGCGGCTATGATTTCGCCATCCCACTCGCCCAGCGTGTTCGCCATCACGCGGATGAAGGTCTTCGTGGTTGTTTCCCTAAGCATAACGTGAGTCCGATGACGCCTCACCTACCTACGTGTTCCGAGATCCGTGTTGTGGATGACACGTGTTGACGCATGCTGGTGCTGTACCGCTAGATGGTGGTTTGCCTCCATTCTCCCACACTACCGGCCCACGATCCAGGCGAACTTGTCGGCTAGACTAGATGAGGCGCTACAAAATCTGCCGTCCATCAAGGTTGACTGGGACACAGGCGGCAGCAACCCTCGCGACGCCTACAATGCGTCAAAGGTGGCCTTGCTGATAGAGCACAGGCCGCTGCCGCATCTGGTGCCGCAAATACTGCACATGATCTCTGTGGTCCCGCCCGACTGGCGCTTCCTCTTCATCGGGTCCAACAAGAGTGTCTTGAGCGTCGGGAGGGCATATGCTACTAAACACCAGCAGGTGATTGGCAAGCTGGACCTTATGGTGCTTCCAGAGCCGTGGGAGATCGACCAGAAGGAGAAGGTCTTCAGGCTCTTGACCGACCAGCGCTTCTACGACGAGTTCTTGCCTGGCGTCGAGTGGCTCTTGAAGTACGAATCCGACAGTATCATGTGCGCCAACTCGGACACGAGTCTCAATGACTGGTTGCACTGGAGTTGGGTAGGGGCGCCGAGGTAAGTTATCCGAGCGCTGGCCAAGGGTTCATTTCTGTTTGTTGGCCCAAGCTAACCAGAGCAGGACACTGGATGACCGCTTCTCTGGCAACGGCGGCCTCTCCCTGCGCCGCGTGTCGACGATTCGTCGCATCTTGGGGTTCCAGAAGAGATACAACGACACGGAAGCCGAAGACGAATGGTTTGGCAAGCGCGTGTATATCCTGCCGGGGGCCAAGGTTGCGTCGGGCAGCGACGAGGCATTTGCTGTCGAGGACGTGTACATTGATAATGCGATGGGCTACCATGTCCGCAACGGCGGCAAGGATCTGGCGGATACCGTGTGGCAAGAACAGGAGCGGAGACATAAGATCTTCGACTACTGCCCCGAGCTGAGCATGATTATGGACATGAAGCTAGAGCAAGAGCGCTGCCCCGGAGACAATCGCCAAGGTGCCATTATTCCCACGGCCCAAGATGAGGACGCGCGGAGACAGAGAATTGCCGAGGCCGCCCGACTAGCCGGGGAAACAGAGGCGATTCGCATGGCTCAGGAGGCAGAGGCGTGGCGCAAGGCCGAGGAATCAGAAGCGAGGCGCAAGGCCGAGGAGGCAGAGGCGAAGCGCAAGGCCGAAGAGGCAGAGGCGGAGAAGGCTGCCGTGACAGAACCAGGACCAGAATCAGAAGGAGAATGGGAGGCGGCACAGAATGAAGCAGTGGACCAGGTCAGAAATTCGACACTTGCTAAAGTCCGCAACTCGACGGCAGATGGCTTGCTACACAAGCCGTACAGTCCGCCAATTGCCAACCCACAAAGCGCAAAGACGCCGATTGGCATCCCGGCCGCGTATGTCGGCACGGACAGACCCGGTCCGGATGTCTAAAAGTGGGCGAGCGAGCGAGCAAGTGAGTGAGTGAGCACACTCGGGTCTGGCGGGACGAATAGGGATGCAGTACAGCATGTGCCCACGGTGCTGCGGTGCAAATCCGGCAGACGACCCGAGGATTCTCAACGGCCCTTGGCGTCTTAGCCGGTTCCTCCTCGACGGTCCTTGGCATTTCTTAGCTGGCGCCTGTTGCGCGGAAGTCGGGACAAGCACGAGCGAGGCTGGGGGGGAGGTAGACAAAGTGGGCAAAGTGGGAAAGGGGAAAATGGAAATGGAAAACAGGTGGGCGCCAAGTGAGGTGGCATGCATGGCACGTTACCACTACGACTAGGCGTGATCAGTTGTACAAGTAAGTACTGGGAGGTATGGTATGTATGGATGCTATGTTGCTTCGGCATGGAGTTTTGGGCGGCGTCTTTCTTGCTGGAGTTTGTCGGTAGATGGGTCTGACCTGGCTGGATTGTGCGACAATAGGAAATCCAAAATATTTGAGTGCGATGACGACAACTCTCGATATTCGCAGCACCCTCGGCACATGCCCGCTGGGCTAGGTAGGTTGCTGTCGTCCATCTCGACTTGCGGCAGCCAAATCGTGGCTGTTTTCGTCCCTGCCATACACATCTCAAGATATACTGGACATGGGGCAATGTAAGGTAGGTAGACACGGAACAAGTCAGCTCAGGTGGGGACTTGGAGATGAAGCAGTCGATGCAAGCATTGCTGAGCTTTCCAACATCTTGTCATTGGTGTCTAGAGGGAGCCTAGTTGGCTAAATTACCCTCATGCGGCATCCCGCGAGGTTCTGGAAGAGAAGTTCGAGCCTTCCCAGTTTCTAGAAGGCGGGTTGGAGTTGTGAGTTCGAAGGTTTTATTAATTCTAGACCTGACCTACTTGGAGTAGGTAGGCACCACGTCTCTACCTTCCTCAAAGGTCCATTATTTTGCTCGGTCTGTTAGCCAAGCAGTGGCGACCAGGCCTTGCGTTTGATTTTCGCTTTCGCTTTCGCTTTCCATTCAAGTTGTTTTCCTTTTTCCAAACCAGGGTTGTGTCCCCCGCCCGGCTTGAAGAACTCTGAACAGCCTGGACAGGGGCCGAGTTCCCAAGAGCCTGGAAGTCGATCTCCGAGCGCCGTTTCATTCCGTCAAATGCACTTTTCTTCTTCGTTTCCTTCTCGAATGCACACCCAAATAACGGCGCAGACGTAGATGCGTGCTTTCCTTCCCTGGCTTCCATCTACGGCGTAGATTGGGGTTGCGCGTAAATGGGTCCCCTCATTAACACAGAGGCAGGCTTGAAATAGGTGATTGGCGTCGCCCCTTCCCCAAAAGCATTCAACTTCTCGTCGGTGCTCTCTCCGCTTCTCTATCCTCCCGCTTTTAGACCGACAGTCACAGCCATTTTCGGTTCTCCTGTTCCGCAGCTCCACGCTGGCATTTGGGGCCTCGACTTCAGCCAAAATACAATGTCGTGATTGTCGCGCTGGCGCACAGCGCCCGTCTCCAAATTTGGACCAATTTGCCGCGTCACCGTCTGGGGAAGGATACGCTGCGGTAGCCCAACGTCCCGCTACCGATAGGTGCCAGGTACCTTTCATACCTAGGTACTGTACAGAATAGCTAGGGCGAGCAATTATATTGGATGGAGCGAGGGACCCATTGGAGAGTTGCAGCATGGATGCAGCCGGCGACGCTTCCAGATCTGCCGGGAAGCGAGCACCACACTGCGGCTGATCACTGACGTCTTGGGGCCGCCTTTCCCCAGTCTTGCCCTTCCTTTATTACCATTACACAGATTGTGGGGTATCCGCTCGGAGGAGAAGACGACTACTTTGGCAAGCTGGCCACAGGCCCACAACGCCGACATAGCGAGCAGGGAGGCACCCTTTCCCACCGTTCCTGGGTCTCGCGCCATGTACTGTACTGCGCATACAGTACCTTACCTCTGTCGTTGACCTCTCGAGTCTCACGCAGCTTTCTTAGCTCGTGTTGTATCTATGGGAGAGATACTGGCTAGTATGCCGCGGGGCCCCTCTCAAGACTTATCGTCTAAAATTGGCCATGATATATCCCAATATATCTCGAACCCACAAGATCCGTGACGGCTGGAATACAGGACTTTCGCCTTGTCCACGAAGCCACAGCAAAGGGATCAACCACCCCCCTCAACCTCCAGATGAGCCTCGAGACCCCCTACTATGCCCGCCTCGCGTGCGGCTACGCTTTATGTGACTGATGCGTCTGTTTAGCGAACGTGGGGATGCAGGTCCTCGCACAAGCTGGGGTACGGTACATACGGCTAGAAGGGTCTGTGGCTGCAAGGGGACGCGTGCTCTGAAGAAATGGTCGGTAATATGGAAGACCTTAACCTCACTTCCAGGGGTTCCATTGCCTGGCGACGCCGCGTCTCCCGGCAAGGTGGTATCCAGGATTTTTCATCTATATCGCCCGTCTACCATTCCATCTAGCATCCTTTGCTCGTCTGCAACCTTACCGCGTGTACATGCAAGGCCCGGTGCTATCATAGGAGCAGAATCTTGGGTTAAGTATCTCAACAGTCCCTCATTTACCAAGACTGGCTGGCTTTACTCTCTCCATTTTATCCTGTCAGCCTGTAAGGGCTCGTCATTCACTCCCAGCTACTGTCCGCCCTTGTACATACATATAGACGACTACCCCCTTCACGTCCTATATAATATTTACTTTAATCCACAATGAAGCTCTCGTCCGCTCTCCTCGCCGCCTCGCTAGGCTTGGCGGCTGCCCATGGCGACAATGATGGCCAACACGTGCCCAGGCTGCTGGGAGGGAGGAGGTTCATGGCCGACATCAAGATGCGCCGCCCGGTAGTTGCACATGAGCCGTTGCCTGCCAGGAGACCAGCAGCATCTGCTAAGAAGGCAAACCACCTTCAAGAGCGACAATCTGACAACACAAACGGGCAATGCGGTCCAGGAGTTGGAAGCTGTGCCGCGGCATATTGCTGCTCCCCCGAAGGGTGCGTTACAGTCCGCTCCAGCTCTCTCAGCTAGCCGGAAAGCTAACAGTCTTATCAAGGTGGTGTGGCAAGACAAAGGATTACTGTGCTGCCCCCGACTGTCAAATCAACTACGGCACCGGTTGTGACGCCGTAAGAATCTGAATGAATGGCCTTTATCTGTGCTCTGCTTGACTAACAGCTTGCCACAGAACAAGAAGCCGTCTGGTGTAGATACAACAAGTATTCCTAGGCCAAAACTAGGAACAGCCCTCTACGGCGGAGCCGGCATATACGACTGTGTGAACCCCGGCCACATTGCTCTCACCTTTGACGATGGGCCGTATATATATACGAACGACCTACTTGACAAGCTCAAGGTGAGAGGAAAACGGCTGCATGTTGCCCAGTGCAGCCATAGTTGCTAATCATGAGTACGTAGAGCTACGGAGCCAAGGCAACATTCTTTATCACGGGTAACAACCTTGGCAAGGGAATGATCAATGATCCTGCTACCATCTACCCTGCCATACTAAAGGTATGAAGCATGCCATGGCACCGAGCTGATTTGCGGTGTCGAGAGCTAACACGTGCTTGGCAGCGGATGCATGCGGAGGGACACCAAATCGCCAGCCATACCTGGTCACATCAGAACGCCAGCCAGTTGACCAACACACAGTTCACCAACCAGATGATATGGAATGAAATTGCGTTCAACTCGGTCCTGGGCTTTTTCCCAGCGTACATGAGGTATAGCCGCCGGAACGCTTTGTGGATTCTCGTTTGCTAATCTGGCTCAAGGCCGCCTTATTCCATCTGCGAGAAAAACTGCCAGAACATACTGTCGACCTTGGGTTACCACGAGATCTACTTCGATCTCGACACGGCCGGTTATCTAAATGATAGTCCCACCAAGATCCAGAACAGCAAGAATATATTCATCCAGGCCATGGACAACTCCGACCCCTCGACGGATTCTTTCCTGCAGATCGAGCACGACATCCACTCGCAGGTTGTGTACAACCTGACCGACTATGTCCTCACCAACATGCTGTCCTACGGCTACCAGCCCGTCACGGTAGGCGAGTGCCTGGGAGACCCAATATCTAACTGGTACCGCGCCGGCCCGGGAGGCTCCGTGCCCACGTCCACGGTCCGGTCCACCGTCGTCAGCTCCACCGCACGCCCGACAACAGCGAGCACGTCGTCCAGCGGCGCCACGAGAACCATCATCTCCACCTCCCCCACGGGCACGGGCGTGAGCACCAACGGCCTCTGCGGCAACGGGGTAACGTGTGCCGGCTCCCGCTACGGGTCCTGCTGCTCCGCGTTTGGCTTCTGTGGCACCGGCGACGACTACTGCCTCGTTGAGAACGGGTGCCAGAAGAATGCCGGCACCTGTGCGGGTGCGGGTGCCTCTTCCACGGTTCCCACTTCTACTGGTAAGGATTCTATGTGATTTTCCTCGGCATTGTTGGTGTCCAGTCTCGATTCGCAGCTTCCAAAATCTCCGCCGTGTTATGTCTTCTTCATATCCCCGACAGGCCGAACCCGTCAGGAGAAAAGAAAAAAAAATTGAAATGAATAATGGGATTCAATACTATGAGATATATACACATAAAATCAGCTAATTCACGTTATACTGACTCATTGCACTCACACAGCGCGCCCAACAAGCACACCCACTCCGGCCATCGTCCCGAGTGTGAACGGGCTGTGCGGCCCAGACAACCAACAGACATGTGCTGGGACTCTTTTCGGCACGTGTTGCGGACCGTCTGGCCGGTGCAGCTCAAACACGATCAGCTGCTTGGGCATCTTGGGATGCCAGCGAGACTATGGCAAGTGCATATGATCCGCACTAGAACTCTAAAAAAAAGGGGGTGGGCTTTGTTCATGGCGATTGTTGAAGCCGCTACGAAAGGAGAGAGAGAGGAAAATGGTAAGGGTACAGAAAAGGGGTTTAAAAGTTTCTTATCATATATTGTCACATCTTGTCACTTTTTCATTCATACCATCATCCTGGTACTATAGTTATGAGAATAGCAGTAGAATGCGAGATGGGTAAATCCGTGTGTACCTAGGTAGTTTTGCTGCTGCCCAGTGTCTGTCCGCATTGAGCCCCCTTTGCTAGGACTAAGTGCACCAAGATGAATGGGGCTTCTTCGTGACGACACGGCATAGAAACCCGTGTAGGTGTATAGCTACCAAGCCAGTATCTCGATGGGTAGGAAATAACTGCGACTCACCTTGGATCTCACCGTGGACAGGATTATTACCTTACGTACCAGGGATGACAACCACCCATCCGCATCCTCAAGACAGCTTACAGATAAACAACTATTCTGTCCCTGGATATATATATATCCCAGGACGACATGGCCGGACGTGGATACGTATATCAAAGATAATAAATCTGACATCTAAATGGCGCGAGGATGACCTGTTCCTCGAGAGAATATATATAATGAAAATCCGAAAAGTTCAAAGAACAGGAGTTTCAATGATGAGAAATGTGGGAAACTTGCCCTAGGCTCCGTGATACCGAAATGTATTCATGCAAGTGCGAATGAGTGGTGCCGTCCCGCCGTGCTGAGTAAAACCCAATGCCCCATTTAATCGTTTCGTATCGTATCGTATCGTACCGCCACGGAAGAAAAGAAAAGAAAACAACACTCCCAATGCCGTACGCCAATCCTTTATATATCGCGCTACATGGAAAAGTTGTACTGTTCAAGATCGAGTGGGTTCGGCGAGCTGTAGTCGTGTTCGTGTTCTAAAAAGTGAAAAGATGGGTCGTAGGGCTCTGAATGCCCCTCCTCATGATCAAACGTATGATGCTCGGTCTGCCCGGCGTGCGCATCAAAGGGATTTGTCCAGGTGACTCCCTCGTCAGCCGATGACTCGCCCCCTCTTTTGTGGCTATCGCGGGGGTCCAGAAGTGTCATCTTGTGGTGATAGTTGTCAGAAAAATGGCTGTCTGATTCTCTCCCCATTGCTGCAGCCGTGTTTGCCATGTCGCCGAGGCTGCCTCTCCTTGGGTCGGTGCCGTAGGCCGAGTCTGGAAGCGACTCAGGGGGCCGCCGACCCGATATGGGTTCCCTGATCTGGGCTTCCATATCACCGCATCCATCGCTGCCGGACTCAGTGGCTAGTGGTGGTGGGCTGGTCGGAACGTGGTGGATGGTAGAGCGAGATGTTGAACTCAACCCCGAGTTCTGTCTCGACAGCGTCTCTTGAGCTTCGTGCATCAACCCCTGCACATCTACATCTGTAGGCTGGGAATCCATGTGGAGGACCAGGCTGTCTTGGTCTGAGCCGTCTGACTGTGTCTTGGGCCCACTTGCCGCCCGCGACCTTGGAGCAGGTGACCTTCCGGTCCTCATGGTTAAGAGGACGTCCGGAGACCCCTGCCCAGTACTTCCGAGGGCAAACAAGGCCTTCGTTACCTGCTCAAGCTGCTGGTGTTTCTCGTGAAGCTCTTTCTGGAGTCTCAGATGCTCAGAGGCTGGAACAAAATCCTTGGCTACAGTAGGACCCGAAAGGCCAGCAGTCTCGAGGCGGAGAGGGGCTGCGGGTGACACTGGAGTTAGGTGAGGCGTAAAATGGTTATGGAAATCGAGATCTCCACGGGCAGTGAAGGGGCTGTCCATATGGCTAGACGAGCGTCCCGTCTCCACTTCCACGTCTTCATCAGTATTATCAACGCTCAAGGCTAGACGGCCAAATGGTTGGGTCTCTGGAACGAGTGGAGTGAAGGTGTCGAGTAGAATGCGCCACTTTTCTCGTTTTCCTTTGGACACCTTCTCACAGCTACCCGAGATGTGTTGGTCGAATGCTTTTCGCTCGACAAATGTTCGCCAGCACCGGCGGCACAAGGCTACCCTCGGATGCCTAAAATCTTCGTCTGGCATCTCAAAGGACGAAATGGCTCGGACCGTCACATTGAGGCGATGGGCCGGTCGGCTTAGGTGTCGCCTGCAGCTGTTAGCTATGAACAGTGCGATTAGGGTTGGAGGATGACTCACACGAGGGTCGAGATATCTCGATGCAGCGAGTGGCACGGCGAGTACCTCTCTTTTTGATCTCTATCGCTATTCAACTCCATGCGTCAGCAACTGCTACTAGCTACGATGGCGTTGCCATCCAACTGGGCTTGCTGTCTGGGATTGGAACGTACTAGATCTGGGGGTGAGCGAAACGGAAGACATCGGGCATATTGGTGTCCGTAAAATTCTCTTCGTCAGTGGGCTTGAGCTTCTTCGTCGGAGGCTGACTACCTTCATCATAACTGCGTCGGCGGCCGGACGGGAATTTGCGCGTGGCCTGTGTTGTATGGGGCGTCTGTTCTCCGGTGTTCGAATACTCAAGGCCGGGCATAAGGGGTGTATTTGAGGAAGAAGGGGCGGCTGCAGACCGATCAAGCCTCTCCGAAGTTGAGTCGCCAGACACTGAGCTGGCGTCGCTCTTTCTCTTGACCGACGACAGCCGATCCGTTATTGTGCTTGTAGCTTCAAGCTTGATAGAGCCGTCGCCGGCGAAAACCCTGCGGTTCTCGAACATGCGCTGGCCGAGCACGTCAAGAGGCGAGTACTGCGAGAGTCTTGGGTCTACGAGGGAATCGCCTTGGCTGCTTCTGGTCGTCTTTTCGGGAGCGCCGTTGTACGTCTGGGTGAACATCTCAATTACTGACTCGTTCTTGCGAAGGCGCGTCATGGGAGACGTCCAGGGCAGGTAGACTTGAGACTCGGCGCCTCGGCCCTCTTCGTAGCCGAGATACAGGTCGTCGTCCTCCTCCCCCAGCACGACCGAGGTGTCCGATTCGGGAGGGAAAAGGACAAAGTCGGCGTTTGGCGTTGGCAAGCTTCTCGGAACCTGGGTGCCCGGCTCGGCGGGAGACGAAAGCTCTGACTTTAGATGGTAGGCGTGTCCGGTGTGAGGTATGGCGAGTCGTTTGCCGTTGGATTTGCTCCTTATGTATTTCCAAGCATGTGCCTTTTCCATATGCTGCTTGCAGTTGGACTCCCGCTTGGAGGTGTAGGTACAGCGGTCAAAGTAGCAGGGGAAGACACGCGGGGCCTCTGAGTGCTTATCATTGACGTGCCGTTCGAGCTCTTTGGCTGTCGGCCAGCCGTGGTCATGATACTTGCATGAAGTGAAGCTGCACTTGAAGGGCCGGCTGTGGGACTTTGCATGCTTGTTCAAGTCACAGAGACGAGGAAACGATTTGCCACAGTGATCGCAAGCGTGCGACCCGGCAGCAACGCTGGCGACTTCTATTCTTGAAGCCATGACGCCGTCGGGCCAAGTGATGGGACGAAAGGCCACGATGGAACGGAAGACGGCGCGGCAACAACCTTTTTTCAGATGATAGCACTTGGCGCACGGGCTTAAGGGCGGTTGTCTTGTAAACAGGACCTGGACGAGACTAGTCAACCAGGTAGGTCCGTGAGAAATAGTGAGCGTTGTGAACAAGAACCCACAAAGAAGAGTCTTGGTCAGAGGAGTCGAGGATTGGAGTAAGGAGCACCGATGCTATGACTTGACGTGTCATGAGAGGGGTTCGTGAACCTCGCGTTAACTGGGCGGCTTGTGCAGGCAGCCAGCGCCTTCCTTCCGAGGGGGAGGGAGGGGAGAAAGCAGCGGCGTAGTCAGTGTGTGACGGGCTACCAGCGACAGAGTGCGGGCTGACGGGGGGGCGTTCGGGTACGGTTGCAACAGCAGGCCACGGCCATATAAGTCGAGGGCGGGAGGATTCGACGTCAGCCTAGCTCCAGGCTGCCACGGCTCTGGTAGGGCTGGACTCGGTGTAAGTACCAAACAGGTGTGTAAGCCGCATATATGTACCTCGAGGCCGGTCAAGTCGACGGTAACGAACAGAGAGCCACAGGCGTCGCGGTGGACGCTAAAAAAAAACAAGGAAATTTTTGAGGACAGTACGAGGCAAACAGAGGACTCGAGCCAGGTGTCGAGGTGAGGGGAGTGGTGGCATTTTGACAGTTTGGCGACAATGCAGCGGGCCGCGTCGCGCTTGACGATATGTCGAGCAGCTGCGCATTCACTGCGCAAGGGGCTCAGCGGCGCCGTTGGCCTCTGGTAGGGCCTCCTCCCTCGGGCTACCAAGGCTAGGACCGCTCTGAGTCGGTCCCCCACGGGGCCTTGCCATGCCTGCACTTGTCGATTCCTGGCCGGGCACGCACGGGCCATGTCATCCCTGAGCCAATCGTCTTGACCAGAGGCAACCCGGCAGGCCTTGACACCTCGAGGACGAGGCGGCGTGCGGACAGCCGTGGCTCGCGCCGCATCTCGTCATACCAACTTGCGGGGCCGTTGGCCCCCTCCCAAACCATCGCCTATGATGGAAGTTCGTTCGTTCGTGCGCCCCCGCGTTCCCCACTTCACCTCACCTTACCTCTCCTTCGCCTCCGCCTCTAGAGTCCTACCGTGGAGTCCTCCCGTGCATGGCCTCCCGTCAGAATCTTCAAGTGTCGGCCCCCAATCCATGAAGCTGGCGATGCACTGCCAATCGAGCCTGTGTTAGGCGGTGAGCCTCGTACCCTCAATTGAGTCCTCAGAGTTCCTCATCAATGACCTCAGGCTAACGTGAGCCGGTCTGGCCGTTGGTGTTGCAGCAAACCTGCAAGTTGAGAGTCGATTGCCTTGGAAGCGAGGGTAGGCCAAACATAGCCCACAAGTGGCCGACCACCGCGGCCTCATCACAGTGGCAGTGTCACGGCCTGCCCCAGACTCTCGGGACCCTTATGCGGGGAGCGACGGGGATTCTTCATGCCTCAGCCAGTAATCCGAACGATTTTGGTTCAGCATGCCGATTGCCAATGCGCCTGCCGAACTGCCTCGTCTTGTTATGGCCCGTCATTCGGCTCCCGGTAATGTAGTCGTCGGCTGTGCTAATCTTTTCTTCAGCTGTAGATGGCAACCCAGGCATCATTTCTGACATTTCTCAAGCATGTCAGCAACTCATCTGCGACCCAAGTGCAGCTTTTGTCGCATTGGGTCATCTATTCTCGCAGACTCGCACTAAGCATCCGAGCGTCTCAACTGCAAAGCTCACAAACTGCATAGCTCGGTCCGCGCATGTCCGCAACCCGTGCTGGAAAAGTTTAACAGCACCGCAGCCAAGAACACCCGCCGGAAACGCCATTCATGCCTCGGCAGGAAAGTCCGCACGACACACGCTGGACTCTCCCGCACCGAGAACCGGCTCGAGGCTGCGATTATTTGGTGAAGATACTCGCAGCACTTTCAATAATACCTTGCCGCCGAATCTGGGCCAGGGCATGGCTTCTTGTTCGGCCTTCGAATCTTTCCGCGGTGTCTCGATGGTCGGGCTCTTTCCAGCAGCCAAGTTTGACAGCTACAAGTCAAGGCCCGAAATGAATGCATTGCGGTGGGATTCGGACGCCACTTGTGAAAGCAAACATTGTCTGTTAGACGTTTTCCTTCGCCTCCTTGAGGTTCCACTGACCTTGAACTTGACCTATATGGCGGCCAGGCACAGGGCCAAGTTCGCACCGGTGTTGTTGGTCACGAGATCCTGAAAATGGCCTCGGCGATCTGTATCAGGGCACTTGCCCTGGTTCCTCCACACAGGTAGGAGCATAGTATGCCTGGGATGTGTCGCCGTGCTCTCAGAAACGGCAAGCTCCAGCCCTGCTATCCTATTTGGGGGTGGTTACCCAGGAGCCCACAAGTTTGCATCATTGGCGTCTTGATAACTGCTTGGTCAACAGTATCTTCGCATTTCGAGATGTGTCTTGGGTCTGGAGAAGACACATTGTTCCTTCCTCATGCCTGCTTGTCGCGCCGCCATGGAACTGGATGTTCCAAACGGGCTCAGACTCAAACAAGATCACCGTAAGAGGCGCAGCAAAGTTCCTCAGAACGACGTTGAAACCCGTCAGGTTATCAACGATAACCCAAAGTTCATCCTGTGAGCTGCGTTAGCACGAGATGCTTGCCATGATAAAGCCACGCGTAAAACCGCGAATGGGATGCAGCTCCTCGACCTAGACGCCAATTATGCTATAGCCTTATGGGCGTCTATACTTCTCTTCTATATTTTCTATCGTGATAGAGTTGGTTGGTCCAGGCCGCGGACTGTCGAAAGTAGCTTGAAGCTCGACCGAATGATGGAGCTTGATCGTGAGGACACAACATTCAATCCACCGACCAAGGCAGAGAGGAGGCGACAAGAGATCAGCGCCACAAGACGGAGTAGTGGTGGGTATGAGTGACGTGATAAAGTGACGGAAAGAAAATATGGAAGCAGAAATCCGGATGCAGTTATGATGAGCGCGATGACTGGCCGCTGTTTCGAGTTGAAGACTTGAACCCACAATGACGCGCCATTGGTTGACTTTTGATCGAGGCACGCAAGCCAACAATAGGTTGGAATTCGGAGGTTCGGAATACCGTGTACGAGTGCCTTGGCCAATAGCAAAGAATAGGGTTCTCCAGCCCTTCGACACTGACTGTCCGAATCTGGGGACAAGAAAGCATGCGTCTGACAGTGAAATTGCCTAGCTAGCGTTGCCGCCTCTAGCCTAAGGGCTCACGAGCGCTTGCCGCATCAGTCCTCTGTAGCTGCCGACTTTGACGACGCCTTCAAATCGCAATTGCCGTAAGATCTCAGAGCGGGCGGACAGGTAGGCATTGCCAGTCGTGACTTCCATGATTACCTGTCGACGCCCATCCGTCTACCGCAACGTTGCGGAATAAGTGCCGTGGCAGGTGCGCCGGGATTGTAGAAAGCAATGAAAGGAAGGAGCGAGGAGGGCAATCCCACGTCATGCTCTCCCTCGGGCCTGCCAAGTGTGGGAATGGCCTCCGAGGTGCATCTCGAGGCGGGGCAGGAGGGGCAGGGCATTCTGGAATCTCCCGCAAACCAGATCCCTGCTGACTCAGTACTTCAGGTTGTCCTGTCTGTGATCACTGATGCCGATCAGGGCAACGCGCCCCGGGATTCGCCTGCCTGCCCCAAAGCCGTGATCTCGCTTGTGTTTCGACAGGGTCCAAGGCCGCGGCTGGGGACAAGCGGAGGACAAGGCACCTGTCGAATGAGAAGAAACGTTTGGCCGTGGTTCCTGCGTTAGCGCATCATTAGCGCACGTCCACGGCTCCACGCAAATCACCTCCGCTTTGGAAACAGAACGTTGTGTTCATGCCGCCAGCCCCACCGAGCCAAACGATTATTCATTAACAAAGCGGTAAGGAAGCGCCCCGGTCGGCGACTCAATGACCACGACCGTTTAACCTGGGCAACAAGATCGGGGCCGGGTCGATGGAGAATATTCCGACCTTTTACTTCCTTGGCGGCCCCAATTGCCTTCAATTTCAGCAGCAGACGTGAAGAGACAAGACGGCAATGCACTGACGTTGACAATCATAGTCAAGGACATCGAGCTTCTTCATGGCGTCTAGCCTGCGAGCACGCTACCTTAAAGTACCTTGGGGAGTTGCAGGCTAGCTCCGGGTTAGCGAAAGTAGTTCAAGGAGCTCATTTTCACAGCACCCCGTCGCCGACCGTGTCTAGCAGTCAGGTGGCAGTGCTAGAGGAGACGAGATTGGCACTTCATTCAAGCGTTTTCCCGTCCTTTCACGCAGCCAGGCTCGCATCAAATCAGCGTCCGTCCTAAGCGTTCTTTGGGGCTGTCTAAGCGCCTCAGTCACACCTGACCTGCGGCATCGGCGAGAAACGGTCGAGTCGTCGACCAACCCGGAAAGGCCTTCCCCTTACGTGACCCCAGCACTAGTTCTGCGTGAATGAGTGAGAAAGGGGTGCAGGTACCCGCACGGGTAAGCCACCGCCCACCTGCGTCCCCGGCGGCGGCGGCAGGCTTCGTTGGCGTTTTGCTGGCAACTGCTGCTGCTGGGATCTGCAGACACGGTGGGGACGCTCAGTTCTCCCCAAATGGCCTCCACACCGAGCCACGGAACCCCTGGATTAGCGCACACCCGTATCTGGACGCACAGGTTGACAGTTAATTTCCCGCCTTCTGTGCAGCACGGCGCTGGGGCGGCTTCCGTGGTGAGACTACCCAGTATTTAACAATGACAGCCCTCCGTCTCCCAGCTGCTCCTTTTCCTCCTTCTCTCTTCAGCCCAGCAAGCATATTCTGACTCAACACTTGACTTCGGTCGTCCACTCTTTAACCAGCTCTCTCATCATCAGCTTCTTGCTCAGTCACTCTTTACCCTCTACCTAAGCAAACTCCTTTTTCGTCTCCCAACGAAAAGCCACCAACCAGTCAAGATGCGTTTCACCGTTGCCGTCCTTGCCTTCGCCGGCGCCGCCATTGCCGGCGAGATCGAGAGCACCGTCTACTCGACCGACTACACCACCATCACGTCGTGCGCCGAGACAGTCACCGACTGCCCGGCCCGGAGCACCGTTGTGAGCAGCTCGGTCATCCCCCTGACCACGTCGACTGTCTTCAGCACGACCACTCGCACTGTCACCAACTGCCCCGAGACTGTCACCAACTGCCCGGCTCACTCCACCGAGGTTGTAACCGAGGTTGTTGCCGTCTCAACGACGATCTGCCCGGTTGAGGAGGCTGCTTCTACCGAGGCGCCTGTTGTCATCCTGACCAACTCGAGCGTCAAGCCCTCCAGCACACCCTCGGTCATCCCCTACTACCCGTCGGGCCTCACCACGGTTGCCCCCGCGTGCCCCACTTACTCAGTCAAGACCATCTCGACCTCGTACACGACTGTCATTCCCACTGTTGTCTACGAGACGATCGCGGTGCCGTGCCCTACCACCACTTCGACCCCTCCCCCGGCTGCCAACACCACCGTCCCCCAGGGGCCGGTGGTTACTGCCGGCGCTGCCGGCGTGTCGGGCTCGCTCTTCTTCGCCGCCGCTGCCGGCCTCGTCGCCGTTGTCCTTCTCTAAGTTTTTTAGAGTTGCGGGTTTCTTTTCTCTCTTTTGCATACTCTGAAGGCCTGGAGGGCTATGGCATTTCACGACAAAGCTAGCACCTGGGGTGGAGTTGGCATTTTATTAGGCCATCTGTGATATCAAAAAGAGCCTCATTGGGATGTCGAGCATTTTGCGGCAGAGATACCTCATGTATTTAATCTTCTAATATGTATTTTTTGGGCGTTCTTGATAGCTCTTTTTTAGAGACTTCACAAGGCCAATCTGAACGTCTTTTTTTAAAAAGTGATTTAAAGTTTTAAAGCCGTGTGATTCCCGTTCGTACATTATGCTGTGCGACCTGCGAGTGTACGGCGTGTTGAGGTTTGATTTAGTGACTGCCATTAGACCCTGAGCTGGATGTGCCCCTCTACCCCTGAGCTCATTTCCCAGTCTGAGCAGGGGGAAATTATGCCGCCGCATTGGTTGGCCGGCCGCCCCGTTTACCTACACGCTAAGCACCACAGCCCCAGCCCCCCGGCCTGCTTTTCTTTTGATTTTTCTTTTGCCAAGGGATCGCCCTGCTTCCATCCACACACACACCCCTTCGTGTTCCCGCCCCCGCATATCCGCTCCAGTTATGATAACTCGTGCTCTCTCTCCAGCTCCCCGGTAACCGTATGTGTGTCGTTTCCGTGCATGCATGCGAGATATATGAAACGAAGTGAAGTGAAGTGAAGTCAAGAAATTTTAGGAATGTCATGGCTCGCTTTGCGCCTCAGCGAAGGAGGAGTGTAATTATTTAATCCAATATTGCTGTGCCATGTCATTCCAATTTTTACTACGAATTTGTTTTCTTTTTGTGGGTTTGGGTGTCATCAGTGTGAGATGATCAGGATGAGGATGAGATGAGGTAATACGGATACTACTACACACCGAGGTTGGGTAGTAGTGATAGTACGGATACTGGCTGGCTGACATGCGGGGCCAGATCTCACTCTCTTACATAGCACTCTTTCGGGAAGTGAAGTGAAGTGAAGTGAAGTAAATGAGTTCGCCGTATTGATTACCTACTTGTGGATTTTACCTTCCTGCTTGCCTGCCTGGTGTTGGTGCTTATATTGGGTGGCCTGCACATGTTGCACTACGAGCGGGCTTTTGCGGGTGTGTGGCAAATTGAAAATCTCGGTTGGTTTTTGTGTTTTTTCGGTAGTGTGTGCATTCATGTAAACCACCCCGACGAGCGAGTCGACTAGCCGACCGGTCAACCGACCAGCCGACTGACTGGCCAATACGGTGTCTGGCTCCCGAGAATGGCAACTGTTGGTGATAATTAGGCTCGGTCGGCATGAAAGGTGAAATGATTATGGTGATGATGTCAAATACCTACTCAGTAATACAAACGGGAAAAAGAGACATCAAGCCTGCGCGTGGAGGTGAATTTTCTTCGGTCATTCAGCCAGCGCAATGACAGTCGAGGGGAAGGGAAGAGGGAAGAATTTACTCGCTTCTGTCGCATGTGATTACCTTACCTGTTATGTGGAACAATTCCAAAAGTATTTCGAGACTTTGGGTGGTTATTCTTTTATTCCTTCCCTTCTTCCTTTTGTCTTGCCTCTTTAGGTTACCCCGCCCCATTTTCCTCCTTCCGCTTCCAACGACGACCGCCCTCCGCTCTGGTGGCGCCCGCCCGCCTGCCTGCCTCCACTACTGCGGGCCGTTACAAGTCAATCTAGTGCTGGCTAGCTTGTGTCTTAGCTTGGTGGGTGGGTGGGTGCCGTGGAATTCGCTAGCAATTATCAGATGGCTTGGACACTCGTTTTTCGTGTCTCAGACTCGCTCGTGGGTCTATGACTACTCGGTATATTCTGACTACATACGGCGATAATTAAGAAGCATGCTTCCCGTGCGAGCAGCTGTCAACTTTGTAAATGATAAGTGCCAGGTGTGTGCAGGCTGTTGGTATTTGATGTTGAAGAGTCGGTGCAGCTTGTTAGTGGATGCTGCTGCCACAGGCGCTCGGGCATCTGACAAGACCCTTCCCCCCCCCCCCCCCTTTTTCTTTAAAAAAGGTTTTCTTTTTTTTATTTTAAATTTTTTTTATAAAAGATAAACAGTTGATCAGCCGATTAGGTTGCTTTGCAGCCACCCTCGACGACCAGTGCACTTAGATACTCTGCTCGGCATCCTGACCACATACTATAAACCCATTCTACCACAGGACAGCAGTGTAGTTGTGGAGAGGTTGTAATGGCGACATTCTGTTTATATTGGATATGCTGTTCAACGACACAGACGACGGCGGGGTGGGAAAGGCGCGCGTAAACACTATTAGTCCTGGCTCATCTTTCCCCTTTTTTTCCATCCGAGGGGGAAGGTTTCTTAGAGGGGTACGTTTTTATTGTCCTTTTGGTTTCTACATGTGTGCGTGACACTGCTGCCTTTATTTTTCTTTCTTTGACGATGACCATCTCACTCTCCAAGCTTCGGGTGTTTCTTTTCATGTCCACCTAGGCCCCTTTTAATTTGGCAGTCGCATTTCCTGTCTCTAGCCAGCCGCTGATTGCCACATGTAAATGCATACGGGAGTGAGAAGACGGTATTTATATCTACAGTGTATTTACAGGTGCATCTTCCCAACTGACAATTCTGCCAAGTGCATGGCGCAACTAACTAGGTACACAAGCCGCCAGAGACCCGGTGTCAGCGGTGGTCCGGGTAGGTGCCGCTATACGACGGTGGCATGTTGCTCTTCTCGTTGTTGGCGTCGCCGGCGCCGGCGCGGGGGCCGCCCTCGGCATAGGTGATCTGGACCGAGGTGGTGCGGGTGATGACGGCGCGGTCCTTGCCCAGGATCTCCTCCTCGCTGTTGGTCAGGCTGTTGAGGCGCGTGTGGTTGTGCTGCGACCGCGTCGGGCTCTTCATGTCCTTGAGCGCCACGACGCCCCCCGACCCGCCGATCGTCTGGAGACCTCCGCGAGAGCCCGACCCGCCGCCAATGTACGGCCCGTGGTTGTACCCGCCGTTGTACCCGCCGGCGCTCCGTGCTGATGTTGCCAGCATGAAGCGTGGGAACCACCGCCGAAGCAGACCGTGCAGCGGCGGGATTGTCGCTGTGATGATGGCCAGGTTGCACTCGACCGTCGAGTACACGAAGCTGATGTCGTACGTCGGGTCCGGGCCGGGGTCCGCTGGCGGGTAGTACAGCAAGTAGATGGAGCGGATGCGGAGGATGCTGAAAATTGTGACTCTGAGATTGGGTGACCCCCTTTTTGTCAGCGGCTTTTCCTTGTTCCTCCTTCATGGCCAGAACAAACAAATAGTCAACCGGAAAAACTTACACGATGCCAGAGCACAGCAGACAGGCCAGGATGACCTTGAGCTTCCTGGCGGCCTGCAACCCGACGACAATCTTGATAGGGATGACGAGCACGAGGACGTCGGTGAGAATAGTCAGGCCCGAGGTGACGAGGTACTGATCGGCCTCATTGTTGCAGTGGCCAGGCACAGTCGGGTCCCAGTACTTGTGGACGGGCACGCAGGTGAAGATGGACGCGAACAGCACGGCCACCAGCAGGGCCATGTTGGTCCAGTTGAGCACCTGAATCGTCCGCCGCAGTCCCAGCTGGTGCCCGCCGAGCCGCAGTAGGAAGAACAGCACCGACGACTTGACCAGCGCCAGCTCCGGGTTGTACAGCAGCACTACGATGTAGTTGCCGATGGCGCCGACCTTGGGGTCGTACGGCTCCGTCGGGAGCTGCCACACGTGGTTGCCGAGATACTGCAGCTTCATCATGGCGTACGAGAAGACGGCCTCGACCGCTGCCAGGACCTGTAGAGGCAAGGTCAGTTGTCAGGTCTCGTTGTCTTCACAGCAAGTCACCGCCCACAGATCTGGCTCGGCTTTGCTTTAGTTAGAGTTGCTCGAACTTACCGCTGCCGTGACGATAAAGGCATCGTCAGCGCCAAACGACTTGGTCTTGATGCGGTCGTAGAGGCGGAGCCCGACGAGCAGCACCGAGAGGGCCGGGAAGAAGATGATGATGAACAATCCGAACTGCTGCAGGCCCGTCGTCGGATAACTAGAGAGATCCAGAGACTGTTGGGGGAGCGGTGGAGGAGGGACTCCAGTTCCATTCGCAGCAGCCTGGCGGGCAAGGAGATGGAGCCCTTGCTGGGCGAGGAGTTGGGACATGGTTGTTGGGAGCGCCGATCCGGGGAAGAAACTAGGGGGGGAGGGTTCTTGGTGACGACGGCGGCGGCGGCGGCGGCGATCGTGATGGCGACAGACCACGCTGCTTGCGACGTAACCCACAAAAAGAAAAAGAAAAGAAAAAAGGAAACAGACGTGACGATCTTATAAGCTACCTACCCAAAGTTTCGGTCCTGCATCTCGACATCTCTCCCCATATTTCGTGGTTCCATGGATTATGGACCTTGTCACCTCGAGAAGGGAGAAGAATAAAAGGCCGGGGGGCATGTTTTCCGCTCGTGGCCTGACACTTACCTGTTTTCCTCGCGATCCTTCCAATACGCACCTCGCATGGCGCCATGGATAGGTGCAAAGGTGCCAGCCAGCCTCATCCGCGGGGGGGCCTTTTGCAGAAGCCGGAAACGATATTGAACGATGGACTGCATCCCCTATCTGCACCAACTTCACCTCTGCAGACGCCGACCCAGCAGAACGAGTCTGGGATCACATCTCCTCCAGCTCCTCCGACTGTGGTCTGTGGCCTGTGGCCTGTGGCCTGTGGCCTGTGGCCTGTGTTCTGTGTTCTGTGCTCTGGTCTGGCCTATCTTGCAAGGGATCAGCACCTGGTTCATGCCTGGCATGTGTTTGTATGTAGGGTGTACACGTTCGTACATGTACCTAGAGAAAGAAAGGCCCGAGCACATGGGGTTGCGAGAAGGTACGGATGCACTAGAGACAATACAGCAGAGAATCCGGGTCGAGGTTTGGGGCTCGCCGCTTAGCTACATGGGTGATGCTGGCTAGTCTGCAGGTTGGCTGGTAGGCTGGTTGGCTGATTGGTTAGAGCGAGGGAGTCTGGGGCAGAGAGCGAGAGAGAGGCGTTCTAGTATTCCGCAGCTCTAGCCACAACCAGGCTTTGCGGAAGCCGGGAGGTCCGGTCTGCAGGCAGCCTTTTAGCCCCCGTCCTCCGCGGCCCCGGGGGTCTGTTCCTTGGCGGTAATTGCAATGACACACCGGCCACATGGGGGAGATGTGTCGTAGATGTCCAATGTGTCTTGCAGTGGAGGTACATTCACACGGCGTTGGCCTCGGTGATCTAACTTGATCAAGACCGCGGGTCCGAGCCGCCAGCGCCACAACCTGTTTCTCTCTCTCTCTCTCGCTCTCAGGTCTCAACAAGGAGAAGTTACAAAGATGTCCTGAGCGTGCTACGTCTTGTGTGTCCAGAGGATTTCTTGTTTCTGTTGTTGGACCGAGTACGCTCCTCAGGAATCTGGAATGGTAGAGGATAAGCGTGTCAAGTACTCAAGGCGGCCGGCGGGAAATGCATGCCTAGGCTCTCGGGTCCTTGGCGTTCAGCTCGTTGCAACCTCTGACACAGCTCCTGCACCTGCATATAAGATGTGCCCTGTCGGGAGTTATACCGACTTCCCCTGATGGTCTGGTGTGTGGTTTTGTTTGTGGTTGTTTATATACTAGGCACGTGGGCATATATATATGTATATATATATGAACAATTGTAAATGGGACAAGTCGTTTGGCCTTGAGCGGCGACGATCATGGCGGAACCAGACAGTGTCGTCGTCTGGAGAGATCATCATGGCAGAAGATTTCCAGTTGCACAGACTTGGGCTTTGGCTGGAACCGTCCTCTTCCCCAAACGCGAGCCGGGCTATATCCGCACATCATCAGCAGAGGGGGTTAACAGGCAGATTCCCATTCCCCGTGCTATTGGGCGAATGAGAGGGCCTGCAGGCCCATGCGAGACAAAGCTTGTCTTGTTTTAGAAAGTGGCTAAGACTTCACTAGGATCTGAATCCGCCTTGCCTCCCTTCCCCTCTGCTCATACCCTTTTGCTCCATAATCAGTAGCACCCGCAGTCCGCACAGACGGAGTTGGCAAGGTATACTAAGTACAAGGCATATAGAAACTGTCAGCAAATATCCCATTATTGGACTGTGCAGCATGCACGCACAGACTATAGACCTGGACCAACAGTCGACTATCAACACACCTCATTGGCCGAGCAAGGCCGAACATCCAGGTATGTGGTCGGGTTTTTCGCGAACCACCCACATACCGACTATTCCGCATGGCAAGAGAATCGATTATGCTCGCGGCCTGCTTATTTAGTCATCTGGCTGCAGTTGAGGGCTCGAGAGTAAAGAAGGAGTGAAGACTCGGAACTGTACCCGGGCGTTGGTCCCGGCAGAACATTTGCATAAGGTATCACATAGAAGGTAACACTGTTGGCAGGGCTTCGGACATATTACCCCCAAAATGGGACGAGGCCTAGATTAAAAAAGGCTATGGGTCAATGGCCGCATCCTCTATACCTAGTAGTATAATCTCTGCTAGCATGGTTGCGTTATTTGTCAATAATGGGTTCACTACTGCACAGTGCAACGCCTGCTCGGTACCATGGAACTATTCGGGACCAGCATGCAGGGCTCTGTATTCTACATGGCCTGTCCTGGCCACCTCGGTCAGAAGGGTTGTTGGCTCAAAGGAGTAAATCTTCTCTCTTGTCTCTCTCACCTTTCTTCTCTCTTGCTTCTAGAATCCCCACCCTCTCGCCGTCTTATTTCACTCGTCGCTTCCACTCACCTTGCGCTCTCGCTCAACCCTGGCGAGGTGAACCCGAGGACCCCAGGAGGCATTGTTTACACCCCCATGAATCAGTAGCTATCAGTAGGTAGCACGCGTGCCGAGTGGCCGACGTTGTAGACGGAGCCCGGCAGCATTATTGCCAAGGACGGCCAGAGATATCCACAACGGACTTCATTTCCCACGGTTGTGGATCGTGGACCTAGGCCGGAGTTGCGGCAGAGAGTGCCTGCTAGTCCGGACAAAAGTTCCAACTTCCTGAGACCATCATACCCAGAACCACGTGGGAGTTTGGGAACAAATACCAGTCGTGCCAACCGCCTTTTGCAGCCAAGACTCTCGGTCCTCGTCTCCTCCATTCCACATCCTTCACCGGGCGTCTTCTCCGCATACAACACCTTTCCCCTTCTTGCCAAGGGTGGTGTGTGTCGTGCCGTGCCGCCAACTCCACCATGTTGTTCTCCCGCGGTGGTAGCCACTCCCGCGTGGCCGCTTTGGCCCTCGCGTTTCTAGCTGCCGTAGGTGGTGTTTCAGCCTCGCCGAGCAGCAGCAGCAGCAGTAGTAGCAGCAGCAGCAGCAGCGACAGCAGCGACAGCAACAGCAAAGGCTCGGACGTGTACGACTACATTGTCGTAGGCTCAGGGCCGGGCGGCGGTATCGTGGCCAGCAACCTTGCGCTAGCCGGGCACACGGTACTGCTGATCGAGGCCGGGCGCGACGCCAGCGACGATGTCTCGACCTACGTCGACACTCTGTACTACCCCCAGACCCTCGACCTGCAGTGGTCCTTCTTCGTCAAGCACCACTCGGACCCAGCCGTCGACGAGCGCTTCCGCCTGCTGGTCTGGACCCTGACCGACGGCACGTACTGGATCGGCGCCAAGGGCCAGCAGCCGGCCGGTGCCAAGCTCAATGGCGTGTGGTGAGTGGCGATTTGTTTTGTTCCCCCTTTATACTGACGAGATACCCAACAGGTACCCCCGTGGCGCCACGCTCGGCGGCAGTGCCATTGTCAATGCCATGGCGTCTGTGCTGCCCAACGACGCCGTGTGGGACAATATTGCCAGCTACGCGGGTGATTCGTCCTGGTCGTAAGCTTCCACACCACACCCACCAGTCATGCTACAGAGGACCGTGACTGACCTCGACCAACAGGTCTACCAACATGAGGAAGGTGTTTGTCGAGATCGAGAAGAACCTCTATCTGCGACCGACCGAGTCCAAGGCCGGCCACGGCTTCAAGGGCTACGTGCAGCTAGGCCAAGGCGACTCGTCCTTCTACCTGCAGCAGCCGGGGCGTCTGGCTCTGCTGGCGCACCTGGCCCAGGACCTTGTCGGACACCCCGTGAACCAGGCTGCCGCGCTCAACTACCTCGAGCGCGACTGCAACTTCCTCGGGGCGTCGCGGGACAAGACGGCCGAGCCGTACGGGCTGCCCAACCACAACAACAACTTTGGCCGCCGCTGGTCGCCGCGGGACCTCGTCAAGTCGACCGTCGCCCAGACGCCCAAGCTGACGCTGGCCCTCGAGTCGCTGGCCACCAAGATCCTCTTCGACAAGTCGGGCAAGACGCCCAAGGCGACCGGCGTCGAGTACCTGCGGGGCGCGCAGGTCTACGGCGCGTCGTGGCAGTACAACAAGGCCAAGGCACCCAAGGGCACCAAGAAGACGGCCACGGCGCGCAAGGAGGTCATTATCAGCGGCGGCACCTTCAACTCGCCTCAACTGCTACAGCTCAGCGGCATCGGCAACGCGACCCTGCTCAAGTCGCTCAAGATCCCCGTCATCTCGGACCTGCCGGGCGTCGGCGAGAATCTGAGAGATAACCAAGAGATCCCCATCGCCGGGCTTAGCCCCCTCAACATCACCGGCGGCGACCCGGCCTTGGCCGCGTGCTCGTTTGGCGCCCCCGGCGACCCGTGTCTGGCCGAGTTCAACAACAACGGCACCGGCCCGTACACGGACCCCCCCGGAAACAGCGAGTGCTCCTTCATCAAGACCAAGCACAGCCCCGACGGCAACCGCGACATCATCACCTTTGCGTACGTTTCTTCTCATCCCTCTGTCTGTCCATCCATAACATGACTGACACCCCTAAAAGCCCGCCCGGCGTCTTCCGCGGCTTCTCGCCACCAGCCACCAACAACCCATTCGTCGACCCGCCGCAGACACTGTGGCGCAGCCTGGCGCGCATGACGGTGCAGAACACGGCCGGCTACGTGCGCATCACGTCGACGGACCCGACCGTGGCGCCCGACATCAACATCCTGCAGTACGAGTCTGGCAACGGCGCCGGCGACATCGACCTCGAGGCCATGGTCGACGGCATCGCGTGGGTGCGGCGCAACTTCCTGTCGCTGCCGGCGCCGTACGGGCCCGTGGTGCCGACGGACCCGCCGTGCAACGCGGGTTTGACCGCCAACGGCTACTGTCGCGACCCCGCCGAGGACCGCAAGTTCGTGTACGAGCAGACGTTCGGCCACCACCCCGTCGGCACGTGCCGCATGGGCAAGAAGGGCGACCGCACGGCGGTTGTCGACAGCAAGTTCCGCGTGTTTGGCGTTAGTGGCCTGCGCGTGGTCGATGCCAGCATCTACCCCGTCAGCCCCGGCGGGTTTCCGGTCCTGCCGACGTTCATGGTCGGCCAGAAGGGCAGCGAGGCCATCCTGGCGGATGCGTAAATATATATTTCTTCTTGGAGTAATAGTGGCCTACATACACGGGTTAGCAAAAGCAGAACGTGGTATCCTTCACATGCGTACATGGCTGGTATCTTTCCAGCGGCGGCTCTTCTTTGTAATTCGCGGGCTTTGTGTGTCATCTTGACCATGAACATTCATACGTATATATATTTGATAATGATATCAATTCACTTCGTTCCATGTTCTTCTTCTCGGCTCATACGTGCATCTTCCTCTGTTTACATTTGCCCCTGAGAACCCCCTCTTGAACTTCCAACCCGCCCATAAAGACCACGCCCCCCTCCCTGCCTGATACATACGGCCATAGGTGCTAGAGAACTCGGGATCCCGTCCGCTCTCCCCTCGATAAACTGGCAACCGCCAGACTAGTAGTTGGGTCGGTGACGACCAGCGAATCCCTGGTGTTGTATGTTTTTTTGTTGACTCTGCCTTATTTTTACTACCTCTGCTGGTGCCCTTGGTGGCTGTCTGTCTGTCTGTTTACAAGGTGGTGAGATATGTGCCATGCCACATCACACACACACCCTTTCCCATTGAACCAACAGATAAACAAATAAACAGGCATCCTGTACACAAAGGTTTAACTCTCATAATAACATTTCCGCGCCGTAGTTCTTCTTAGATACCAGCTACTTAGTTATTTAGCTAGCTAGACGCTACCGCTCAATTGTTTTGATCTTTCCTGTACCACAGCAAATGCACATATTCATTTTAACGTGTATACATGGTGACGAGTATAAACCATTTCACTCTGGTAGTAGAACCACCTGTGGCAGACAGACAGGCAGACAGACAGGCAGACAGACAGAAAGAGAGATAGATAGATAGACAGGCATATAAACACACGCTGACATGTTTTCTTTCTTCCCGTCTATTCTAAAAACAGCTTCCACACTTAGATCTATTACTACCACCAGAGTGAAATGCCTTATACTATCACCAGGCACACACTAAAACGAGCACAACCCAGATACAAACGCCAGTATATTGCTTACATGCACACCACAGCTTTGCAGACCACCTCACGCTCCCGATGCTACTTAGATCCCAATATAATAGTTCAAAATGTTCTTTCTCTCTTCGAGGTTCATTCAACACCGAAAGCCTAGACTTCTTTTCTATTATTGGAAAAAGAAAAAAAAGACACCCGCCCACCCAGCCATCCATGCATGCATGCTACCACCAAAAGCAAAACAGAACACAACACAACTACAAACAAATACAAATGCAAGCTAATAACCCACCGCATGCGGCCCCCAGTTTCGTTTTTATCAATAGAGGGAAAGAAATGCAGCCATCGCCACTTCAAAAGACCCATGGAAACCGGGCTCATCCTCTCTTGCGTGTGATTCATGTGCGCGCAATTAATCAATGTCAAAGCGAGCCCTTCTCCAGCCCCGTGACAGCCAAGCCGACGGGCGTGGCCGGCTTCCTCGCGGCCATCTCGACCCCGCCAGCAGCGGCTGCAGCCACGCAGCCGTTGTCGTCGACGGTGGTCGAGCCTTCGACGTCGGTCAGAAAGTCGTCGTAGTCGTCCTCGGTGCCCGTCGCGCTGGTGGCGCTCCCGGCGCCGGTGCTCATGCCGTCGCGGGGGCCGCAGGTGCGCTGCTTGCGCATGAGGCTGCGCAGGTCGTCCTCGCTCAGGATGCTCTCGATGCTGCCGCGGCGGACGGCGGGGCGCGTGGCGCGGCGCCCCTGCTCGACCATGCGCTCGACCTTGAGGCGGTTGGCGATGAACTTGAGCTTGGGGAAGGCACTCTGGCGGCCCTCGTGGATCATGCGGGCCAGGCGTGCCGGCGGCGGGTCGCTGAGGATATACAGAAAGTCGGACAAGATTCCCTTGGGCCAGATGGTCACGGTGCCGCCAAACTGCTGCAGCCAGAGCTGCGACCAGTCCTGGCCTAGCGGCCGCGGCAGAAGCTCAAGCTGGCGCAGCACGCGCAGCCACTTGGTTAGGTCGAGCTTGATGTACTGCTCGACGGCTGACCCCAGGTAGCCGCCGCGCCAGCCGCGGCCCTTGCGGTGCGTCACGGGCGAGCCTACGGAGCCGCGCGACGAGAAGAAGAAGAGGCTGATGTGCGGGTTCACCTGGCTGACGATGGTGAAGTTGACGTTGAAGTGCAGGTTCAACGCCTTGATCGGGATGTCGGTGCGCAGAGACCCGTCTTTCCACTTGTGTCCGAACGAGTAGGGCACCAGCGTCCCGCTGCGTGTCTTCATCATCAGCACCACCGGGTTCAGAATGCCCGGCACGGCGGCTGACGCGAGCACGGCCGACCAAATGACGCAGTCGGGGCTCGTCAGGTAGTTGCAGAGAATCGTAGGGGAGTGCGGGTCGGCCGGGATGCAGGACACGTTGAGGATGCGGCCGGTGCGTTCGTAGGCTTCGCGGAATGTCATCGACCCCCGCGTCCACCACGCGCACTGCTTGGCCCAGTCGACCGAGTCGAACCGCGCCCCCGTCATCCACCAGCGGCGGGCCCAGACCATAAAGGGTTCCCGGCAGGCTGTGATTTGGTGGGCGAGGGCGGGCACCAGGAGCTCCTTTAGCTCCTCGTTCGTCCGCGTCGCCACGAGGGCCGCCACTAGCGCTCCTCCGCTCGTGCCCGTGATGATGTCGGGCAAGTGGTCCTCGTCCAACAGGGCCTTGACGACGCCCAGGTGGTAATATGCGAAGGTGGCCCCGCCCGACAGGCACAGTGCGCTCCGGCCAAAGTTGGCGAATGTGCCCTTAAACATGATCCTCTTCTCCTCGTTGGAGAGCTGTTTCGTGTTAATTAGAAACTTGAGACTCCTTTCGACTGCGAGCTAGCCACGTTAGCAGTCTGTCCTTTAATAGATATTGTAAGTGTAGGGGGTGCTCACCCTCGTCGACAAAGTTCTGGACCAGGTTCTTGGTGCCGTAGTATGTCTGGCTGTATAACCGCGGGTTTTCAATGCCGACAAAGTTGTTCTTCACGCAGGCCTCGATGAGGGCCTTGAGATCCTCGACGGGCTTCCGGTTCTCGGGATCGGGGCTCAAGGCCTCCCTTTCAGCAGCCTCGGCCTTCTCCCTGCACTTCCTCATCTGGCCCCATACCCTCCTCACGGTTGTGCTATCGTAGTAAGCGTACTCGTTCTCCTTTCTCCACTCGCCATTCTCAAAGAAGTCGTCCATCTGGCGGGCAGCCGTGACCCCTATGTGATGTCATGATCCGTGTGAGCCAGATTTCACCGGGAATATGCACAAGTGGGGGTGGGCTTACAGTCGGGATAGCTCCCCGTGGCGCGCATGGCGCGGCGGAGGCGCTCGCGCTGGCCCCGCCACGCAACAAACTGCTCGTAAAGGTATATGTACGAGCGGGTGGCCAGGTATGCGAGCGAGAGACCCAGCAGCCAGGCGCCGACAATGACGAGGAAGGGCCATTTCAGCAGGCTGTACAGGTAGCCCTCGCGCGTCTCGTCCTTGGAGCGGGTGCCCATGAGGATCTGGAGCGGGCTGAGCTTGTTGCCGGGGCGGCGCTTTTTCTGGCGGTCGCGGTGGCGGCGGCGCTCGGAGCGTTTGCTGCCGAGCACCTTCTCGTGGACCGGGGCCCAGTCGCTTTGCGCCGTGATGAACAGGCTGGAAGAACGGGGGCTTGGCTGGGGGCGGGTGCCGGTGGCGTCGGCGGCTGAGGCGGCGGCAGCAACAGCCGTAGCCTGCGCATGGTCGTCATCTTGCTGGTTCAACGGAGGAGTCGAGCCGCGCCGGAGGAGGCCGAAGCCGCTCGGAGTGCGGGTGAGGTTCAGGGCCGGACTGCTGAAGCGGGAGCCGGCGGCTTCGTCTGGCGACTGGACCGGATCGGGCGCCGCAAGGGCTTGGATGAAGGCTTCGAGATGCTCTGGAGGCAGGAAATTGGTGTCAAAGTCAGGCAGCCGTGACCAGTCAAATGCCTCGGGCGGGAAGCCGTAACTTTTGGCAGGCACCTCGACCTTGGGCGGCCCGTCTCGTTCAGCCATGGTGATTCGGGTTCGGATTCAGGTTCGGGGTCAGGTTCAGGTTTAGCCTCGGTAGGCAAATAAGGTGGGTAGGCTGTCGCGATGCCGTCTTTGGTGCGTGACACTGCATTGACCTCCCTCTGCTCTATCTTCCCGTCAGAAAAAGAAACACGGGCACATCTAAGCGCATTGAGATTTATGGACAATTGTTGTCTAGTGGTCGTGGGTTGGTGGCGTGGTTGGCGTGGTCGAAGTGGTGGAGGTGGTATGGAGGCATGGAGGCATGGAGGCATCCGAAACTCGGCTTATTCTAGTGGCATGGCATGGCATGGCATGGCCCAATCCCAAATGGCCCAACGTTAGTGGTTGGTTACAGCGGGCAGGCAACTTGTGGCGGCCCGCGAAGATGACGTCGGTTGGTGCCTTCCTTATCCGTCAACCTGCCGTGCGTGCCCTCAGCGCGCCTCAGCTGGTACTTACTCAACTTATCACAGGAGTCTACGATGCTGGGCCACCCTGGTTTGGATGGACACTGGCATAGCGGCACAAGGCGGCGACAAATGGTCTAAACTCTGACATTACATGAAGCATGCACCCTGAATGAGGCAACCCGAGTCTTCCAAATTTGATCAATCATCAAATGAATCTTATATCTACCTTACATTACCTGCCTAGCAGGCAATCCCACAAGATTCAAGATTCTTACCCGGTAATCATTCAAACAAGGTAAAGGATCAGGGCTGCTAAAGGGTGGCTTGGATTTCCAGGGGTTTCTTTGTGCATTCCAAAACTCGAGACTGTAATTAGACAAGGCACCTGCTTATTCACCCTTTTCTCTTTGTGTGGTGTGGCATACCTCGGGGATTTTGGACTCGACTGTCTGCAAGGTTGATGGCGGTTTGGACGGCCGTGGTGCACCTAGGTAATGATGCCATGTGCTGCCCCGTGGGTGGGTATGACCCATCATTGGGCATAGCAGTTGAACATCGGAAGCCACTTGCCAAGGGTGTCCGGGGCTTCTACTACGTACCTACAAAACGTTACAACTCATAGCAAGAACAAGACTGAAATGAGATCAAAAGCGGCCAAGTCATTTCCAAACTTCATACAAGCCGGCGCGCAAAAGGGCTGCACTAGATGGCTAGGTAAGGTGGAAAGCTCCGAGGTATAATTGTCGAGTCATATCATGTCGTAGTGCAGACTATCTTTTAAAGCACCGCGCACCGCACCGCACCGCCCAATCTGCAAGCTCCCTGTCATCACATACGCCGCTCCGCTCGAGCCCATGCTTCTAGCTGCAAACCAGCTCACTGCCAGCTTGCTCCCTCATCCCCCTCACCCCCCACTCCCCACATCTCGCCACAGCTTAAACGTACTGAGACAACCACCGGATGCCCTCGCCGTATCCCTGCCTCATCACCACCGAGCACATAAACACCTCGATAGGTCGGATGCCCTCGAGCGGCACCTTGCCCTTGCCCGTCGTTTGGTACATGCCGAGTTGGTGGCGGAGCTCGTCCTCCGAGACGGCATCCGGGTGGTCAATCTTGTTCCCGAGCACGACGAAGGGGACCTTGGACAGCTCCTCCATCGACAGGAGCGCGTCCAGCTCGGCCTTGGCCTCGGGGAACCGTTCGTGATCCTTGGCGTCGACGAGGAACACGATTCCGTTGACTTCGGGAAAGTAGTCTTTCCAGAGACGGCGGGCTGTAAAACGGCGTGACAAACAAACACGGGGTTAGCTTCATGGCCCATCAACAACAGTAGCCACGCGTGACATTTAGATGACCACTAAATGGTGGGCGTAGACCATGACGAGTTCGCGCGCAGCCTGCACCTCTCAAAGGCAGGGGGAGACGAAGGATAAGAGCATGTCATCCGGCATCGCGGACCAAGCGAGTTCGGGGCTATGCCGGTCTCTCTACTCTCGCCCTCGCCGAACGGGGGAGGAGTGGAGGAGGTAACCGTGTCCACAACGCACCTTGCTGATGACCGCCGAGATCAAAAGTCGTAAACTTCACATTGCCAATCGCAAGTTCCTCGGAAGCTATTAAGATACAAGGAAAAAAATGGTCAGCATTCAGCCTATCTAGTTGAACACGTGCGCCGGAGACAGAGAGAGGGTAACGGACTCGGATGCAGCGTCGGCTGGAGAATAGCGACGCGGTCGTTCTTCAGCATGTGTAGCAGCGTCGTCTTTCCGGCATTGTCGAGTCCGAGGAACAGCAGCTTGGCGTGCTTGTTGAGCAGGCCGAGCGAGGACAAGACATCATAGACTGCGAGAGTGGCGGGCTATGGTTAGCTTGTCTAGCGATAGCATAAACGAAGAAAACGAAAGCGGCGGCTTCCGCGCGCTCGACAGGGAGAGCTGCTGCCTACACCAGTTGATGATCCACATGGCGAACCGATATTGGGGGGGTCTGCAAGTAGAGATAGATAGGTTGTGTGTGTAGGGTTGGCGAGCTTTGAAGAATCGTCGATAGCGAAGTCGTGAGGTTCGAGATCTGGGGAATAGGTGGTCAGGTCAGGTCAGGATCAGGATGGTTCATTCACCCTAGCAAGCCAGGCTGGCAGGAATTGGAGCGGCGCCCCCCTGCGGAACACGGCTGTGGCTGCCTTGGATTTAAGGCTGCAGGGCCTGCCAGTGTGATTTGCCCCAGCGACGAAGCTGGCCTTGGCGGGTATGCGCACCGACCAACATTCCATCTCAAGCTCCGGAACACGGAAAAGTTGGAACTTCGAAACAAACAAAATAAGCTGACTTACCTACCTGAGGTGCCTTGGGTGGTCCGTGTCTATGGCAAGATATAGGGGACTGATAGTAATATCAAATATATAGAGCCGAATCAGCTATTAAGCCAATATTTATAGAGACTGGAAAAGACAAACGTGTTAGTCGAATAAAGTTCAATATCAAAAAGACACACTTCGTAAATAATAGGTTCCACAACGGCAAGGTAGCCAAGCGGTCCAAGGCGCCAGGTTTAGGGCCACCTGAATTCTACGATTCCTCCAAAAAGACAACCTTCCTGGTCTCAGTAATGGGGCGTGGGTTCACATATTTATGTTTCACTCAGAACCGTTAACTCAGAATTCACTAGAAATACTCTACGAGATAGTCAGGTGAGATAGATAAGATTGTGCGCAGGGCAAATTTTCAGATACTGTTGTGTGCAAGACCAAGGTGGTCATAAAATAACCGCCCACCAATAGTAATGCAATGCAATGAAAGTGAATAAAAGGAACAAATTGACCGGGTATGTGTATATGTACGCCAAGTCCTTGACGTCAAGGCCGGGTTCGTAACTCATGATGATGCCGCCCATAGCAGATGCCGCCCCCAAATATGCCCAAAGTGTTAATGCTGATCAAATTGCCGCCATCCTTTAAACAGAAAGAACATAATGACCCTGACCTATCTTGCCGGCCATGAACAAGCCGACTTCTCTCATGCGTTCGGCACCCTGGCCGGGAGGAGGTCGCTTCACCTGCGCCTTTTCCTTCCGAGCCCGGTTGCAATATTTTTGGTAAAATTTCTCTCTCCGCCGCTGTCGCTTCTGCTCGAGTCCCTTGACAATGTCGATGGCGCCGCGAATGTGAGACTCCTTGGTGGTGGTGGTGCCCGCCTTGGTCTTCCGCCCCTTGACAAGAGGGAACATTGCAGGTGCTCTGGGCAGTGACTTGGTGTGCGTCAAACCAGGTCGGAAAGCCAGCGACTTGAAAGCAATGACCCGGCCGCTCTGGACGGGTGAGGCTTGCGGAGACTTCACTGCCACCTGAAGAGGCGGCGGAGACCTAAGCCGCCGAGGAGACTGTCGGTCAAAGAGCCTCGGAGGAGAACGGCCGCGGGCTTTGGGGGCGGGCGAGGGGCGCCGCTTGGGTGGGGGGGAACGGCATCTCAAAGGAGAGGCCCGTTCCGATTTCTTCTTGCGCCCTAAACGCTCGCGCTCGTCGTGAATGCCCTCGAGCTCCCCGTGGAGCCAAAGATGGTCGTCACTGTCGCAAAAACCCTTTTTGTAGAGCTCCTCAGCCTCGTCTTCCGGCTCCGACGTGGGGAAGCTGGGATCGATGTCCTGCGGAATAATCTGGTGATTGTTGCGCTTACGGGCTGCGACACATGAGATGTAGGCTTCTTCCAAGGGACGGTCCTCATCCAGCGTCCCGCACACAAAGTCGGTGCTGTCCGGTAGTTCGGGGGTCCCTGGACGGAACATCACTGGGCGAGCCCGCCGTCTGCGGCTCCTGGCGTGCCGCATCCTCGACTTATGGGTCGAAAAGTCTGACGAGTCGGAATGCTCGCCAACCGAGGATCTGCGTTGCACTGGCGTCGCCCCTGATAGCGAATGGTGGCCGGCTTTCCGAGTGGTCCAAAGAACAAGATCGTCGTCTTCCGAGTCTGAGTCGGCGAATCCAACCTCATTGTCCGTCTTGTATCCGTCCGAGGCATCATCGTCCCAACCGTACTCAAGATCGACGTTGTTCTTATTCTCCGCCCCGCCATTACCAATCTCGTTGTCGAGGTTATCTTCGTCATCGTCCTCACGGGAATTCTCGTCGTCCTCATCCTCGTCTTCCTCCTCTCCGTCTTCATCATCCTCGAGTTCAGCTTCTTCTTCAGCTTCCTTGCCCAACTTGCGGATAGCATTCTCCTTCTCCAAAGTGTCATAAATAGTGAGTTTAGGTTTCGAAGACGGATCATCACGCCGAATCCAGTCATCCTCAAGCGGTTCATCGCTCGCAAATTCATGAAATCGAGCGCATTCACTTTGCAGATCCTTCGAGTTGGCAGTAAGCCATTTCTTCGCTCGCACAGCCACTGGGCTCTGGGAAGGCCTGCGGGGCGTCATGATGCGGAAACAGCGAACAGTTGAAGGAGACCGTGGCTTCTGGAGACTTGGAGGTGTTGCACTAGGCGTGCTGGGCAACACCTTTGGCTTTGGCGTCGTTGCCAACGCATCTTGAGTAAGTGGGGCTTTAAGAGGGGCCTGGGCTGCGCAGGCAAACTTTATGGACGGTCTCTTGGGTGCTTCCTGCACTCTCGCCGCTTCAGTCGTGGCCTTGGGGGCTTGAAAACCCGACACGTTTTCATCGGGCTTTGGTCTGGCGGCACAAGCAAACGAAATACAACGCTTCTTCTCGAGAGCCTGCACGGCGGGGTCCTTGAGCCGCTGGGCGGTCCCACTCAACGGGATATTTTTGGCGTCCCGGATCGCGATCGGGACGAAGCCCATATCCTGCAGCGGAGGACTCGGTGAGTTGGTACGAGCGGGTGTCGTGATGCCCGTGTCGCACGTAAGCTCGGTCGAGGCTAGACTGAAGTTACTCGTGATGGAGCGCCGCCTCCTGGTCCCACGCAGAGGGCCCGAGTCGACGTCGTCATCGGAGTGGCTCTGCAGTGCTTTGGTCAAGAGCGAATGGTGCTCACTACCGCGTCGCACAGGGGCACGCGGGAACTGGTTCGAGCTGGGTGATACCAGCGAACTACGCTCTGGGGGCTCGTCGGCGTCGCCGCCCGCATCGTCCTCGGCCGACGGCTCCACGTTGGCAGACTGCGAGGCAGTCCATGCCAGGACGCTTGAGTTCGCATAGTCGTGGGGGTTGTGGTGGTGGTCCATTGCGACGGGAGCGTCGACAAGGATGGAAATCTGGCTGGCTGGCGTCGGATCGCTGACAGCGAAGAGCGCTCGCCAAAACGGGTGCAGAGCAGTCCACCCTGGTCGGGGGTGCTTGCCGAGTCTTGTGGGCAGGTATGATGCTAAAGATGCGCGTAGGTCGCGTCGGCGAGTCTGTGGCACGGGCGATCTCCGTCCTTAAGTTTCGCAAAGAGGCGAGCTGGGTCGTGTCCCTAAGGACCGCATTGCTATAAGAGCAGAGCCATTGTCGGCAGTGGTGGTTGAGATTCGCAAGGCCGGGTTGTTTGAAGACGGTTTCGTTGGAAGGCTGAGGCCGTCGACCACGGGTCGTGGGCTGTCGACCTGGTTGCTGTGATATTGGAGGCCCTGGGGTTCGGGAGGCGAGCCGGTTGGGGAAGGGTTGGCCTCTCTAAGGTCGTCGACGTCGGCAAGGAGCGCAGCGGCCTTGCTTTGACGCCCACGAAAGACGCCTCTTGAAAGGAGCGGGTGTCTGGAAGGTGCTGCGTGCCCCACAGGAGACGCAATCCTGGTGGGAAACACGGCCGAATATCAGGTTTTCGGGAGCCCGTTCAGATGGATGTGGACGAGATTGCAATGGGGCCGAAGGTGGAGGGAGAAGGAACAGGGTTCGAGTTGGGACCCAAAAGGGCAACGGTTGCAGGAGGGTGGGACGCAGCTGCTAGCGTAAGAATGACCTAACAGTGGGCACAGGGATCCACAGTAGGGTCTCCGCTGAGTTTGGATGCTCGAGACAGGGGGGTCGCAGCCAGTGGTCGCTAAAATCAATGAAAACTTTGAATAGCGCTTTCCGCCACCGTCGCAAAAAAACGGCGGGGCTTCCACAGTGAAACGGAGGACGGCGGCAACTCACTTTGGGCCAAGGCAACGGAAGTCGAAGCCTTCTCTCCGAGAAAGGACTACAGTGCTCATGCCTTCTAAGTATATCAATAGCAGTTGAACGATGTCTCTTTGAGGTCTGTGATTCTAGCTTTGCATATATTCTAGTCACCGGTATCAACACCTGCTTCTGCTACCCGCGTAGGACAACGAGATGGCCGGGCCACATTCAATGTCACGCCTCTGATACTCGGTAACTGCACTCTCGTTCTGGGTCTGGGCTGGCCCAAAACCTTGTGGCTGTGAAACTCATGCAAACGATGAAAGAAAACCGGACTGTCACGATAATATCGGATAACGCTTTATTGCTTCCATTACTACCCGCCCGTGTATGTATGATTTGGGATCGCGGGTGACACCCAACTTCCAAGTGGCCCGAGTGATCCAACGACAAAAGTCTGGTGGGAGAACTTTTAAGTCTTTTAGGGTTCGCCTCCTTTGTTGATCCGCTGCTTCTTTGTCTCCACCCCACAGGGCCATGAAGAGTTTTGACGCGGGGGGGTTGTCCGGGAACCAGCTCAAAGGAGTTTATTGATCAAACGGCGGTGTTCCGGACGTGGTGTACTGTACACAGCTGTGCGCCCGGTCCTTGCATGGTAACGTAGCTTGCCTGTCTCGATGGAGTTGCCAATTTGGTGATGATCTCTTGGCGCAGGGCTTGGCTTTGACGTGAGCTTCGTTAGGGTGCCCGAGATTGTCGATACAATCTCCGTATTCTACTTGTTTTGTGATGGGAACCTACTTGGTTCTGGCAATACCTAGAATGGCCATACCTAAAATTGACGGCTCATCACTTTATAGTCAGAGTGGTGGTTTTGAACATGAAACATTAAAGCGACTATTGAAAGGCTGGATTGTAACGGTGCCAGAGACGGCGAGCACAGCCATGAATTCATCAGCCGGGGCTGCCAAGTCAAGACAAAGTTCGCCGAGCGCAGATTTGAGTTCGGAAAGCCTGCGCGAGGCATGTACGTCAATCGCTCCCTACACAGCCATATTTTTTCATCTATTTGTTATTTTCCCGACGCTGCTGACGGAAGGCCAAGAGGCTGTGCTTTGCGCGTGCCGTTTGCCCAGCCGGGAGATCTTGATGCTAGGCTGTTTGGCGGGTGACTTTTGCAGGGGACTGAACCAGGAAGGGGTGGCCTGCCATGTGATCCTTGTCGACCGGTTCAGGAGAGGAGCATGCGATTCTACTTATCGTCCCGGGAATTTCCTATCCAAACCGGATCTTAAATTTGCTGACATCCAAAATGGTCAACCACCTCTGCCCCTCTCTCTGGGCGCATCTCCTCCGACTGGCCTCTGCCAGAAGGACCAGATCCACCTTCGTTCGACCTTGGCTCCGTCTGTTGCCCCGCTTGTCTTCCCACCTCTACTCGGTAATTTGCCCAGCGGCCATGCCTGGCGCCGACGGCACGAACCTTTCCTAGCTTGGTGGGCGACTTGCACTCATTGCATGGCGAGGTTTCGTGAGACTGGTCGTGCAGCCTGCCACGGCCAAAAGGAACACACACCTCCCTCGGCCAACCAACTGAGAGCTCACGCAGTGCGACCACTCCAATGTCTGCCAAGCCGTTGCTCATCAGATGAGAGACGTTGCTTGGATGCTTTCCCACCTGTCACAGCGAACTGAATGGATACCGACTTGCAACCTTGCGGACCCTGTTTCTTGATGCACCAAGGGCCCCATACACCTTCACTTGCGGCGAGTGAGGAGATGCTACTCAGTAGGTAATTCGTGTGCTAATACCATCAAGAGCTGTGTTGTGCAGCATCGCGTTCAAAACCCCACGTTTTGTGGAGGGGTCGAAACAAAAGCAGATGTAACCCCGCATTCTGAAATGGCTTGCGTCGTATCGTCCCTTGAGCCCTTGAGGCGCTTGCAATGGTTGGATAGAACGGGAAAGCCGAGCGCACCCTGCCCTGACAAAACAAGCGTCAAGGAGGGAGCCGTTGGAACTCGAGAAAACGGAGGTCGAGACGGAGCGAGACGCGGCCGCGCAGGTTTGGGGCAGCTTGCGCGCGGCCGCTCCGCAAGAACGAATGTCTCGGGTGCGAGTGTGCTTTGGGGCCCCAAATCAAATTAACCCCTTCTCGGCTTCAGCAGAGGCGGTGAAGACTCGAAGAGACGGTGGGAACTTCGGATTTTTTGTGACTTGTCAGGTAATGAGGTTGGCATCGGCGCATAGGCAAGAAAAGCTTATAATTCACTAACGAATTGTTACTGTGCTCCGACGAACAGTGAGAACTGGATTTTCTGTGGCCTCGGCTAGTGATGTTGTCTCACGAGCCACTGCCGTTTCCCTATCCGGAGGTGTTGCGATGGGTCGCCAAGTGCGTATCCAGTGTACTCCGTAATATCTCCGTGCATTCGGGGATTCTTTGCGCTTTTGATCTCTTTTTGTGCCTTAAGCCCCGGTCCAGTCTTATGGCACCTGTCTCAAAAACACACGAGCTTTGCATTGGCGATTCTATGTCGTCTTTTTTGCCGCGTCCATGTGTCAGCATTCCCATTAAAGGAAAATACTATCGTTAGACGACACTATCGGTCGGATGATGGCGAGACCGCATCCTACGTAAGAGGTCACCGCAAGTTCCGCCATGTGAGGACGCGGAAGAGTGCTCCTAGCCACCGCCGGCCCACCTCACGGAGTCGTTTGTCCAACCCAAATTGATTCGCGAAGTAGGGAAAGTAAAGCCTTGAATATCCGAGGCCGACGCCGGCCACCCTTGAGTGTTTTGATATCCGGGGCGGCAGGGTCAACTGGGAGCCATGGCATTAGGTTTATGGGCCGCCTTCCTGAAACCGCAAATTCCACGCGGTCGGGCCCGGTCGCGTAGACTCTGGCGAAGGGAAGGACGGAGGCGTGAGAAAGGTGCTGATCTCGGAACTTCATTCGGGGCGGCACCTGGCGAGTCCAATGGCGAGGAAGGAGAGCTGCCACAAGACCTCAGGGTTTCCTCGTGGTTGGCCCCTTCTTATTAGCCTTACAGACCCTAGCGACAGAGGCTGCTGCATGGCTCAATGGTGGGAGTCTGAACTTCCTGCCCTCTTTGGCTGAGAATCCGGGCTGAGGGATTAACGGCGGCCACTTGTTGGGGAAAACCTGTTGCCAGACGCACATGCAACGAGGTGCACACTGAATACAACAGCAGGGTCCTCAGGACCCTTAGTGACAAATCGAGGACCGGCTGCAGGCGCATGTGAGTGGTCGGAATAAGCAGGCTACGACATGGGAATAAAAAAGAACAAGAACATGAGCGTGGGGCGCGTATTTGGACAGACGACGGCAGATCCGGATGGCTGTTTCGGCTGTCATCAAGGACCGCTGTTAAGTTTCGGCGCATCGGCGCGGTCTCCAGCTCATGACGACAGGATGCATGCCGGGATTTCAAGAATCAAGACGACTCCAAGTCGCGATCACGAAGAGCGCGAGGTGCATGTCTATTTCATCCGTCCAGTCAAGGGGTAATAAAAGCGAGGCTCAAATGATGCGTGACTTATGCCGTGGAAGCCGACAAACATGATCAAAAATATTTTTGGGAAAGCAAAGCAATTTCGGGGACATTTGAAGTCTTCAAATCCGGATGTTGGTTTATGAAGTGCAGTGGTTTCATGTCTCATACAATCCAATCCCTAAATGTTTGTTGGCGTGGTACTTACAAAGGAAAAGAAAAATAACAAATGAATCGGCCAGGAAGGGTCTTTAATAGGTATTTCTAGAGAAGGAATAGACCTCTAGGATTCCAAAATAGAGATTCAAATACCTATTACCTCCCTTAGCGAAAAACCTTCACGGCGAGTCGTAAGATGCAAAGACCATTTGGATCTTGGAAAGTACCACGCCAACAAACATTCAGGGATGTGTTTGCTACAGCAGATAGCGGGCGGTGTGAAGGCAGGCATATACGAGAGTCAATGCTGCAAGTAAAGAATGGCTGTATTCGTAAATAACTAAGCTAAGGAAAGAAAAGGAAAAGAAGAAGCCTGCGGTTCCTGCAGGCTGTGGTTTTGTGGTTGAGTGGTGGGGCAATTGGGCTAGTCCTAATTGGGAAGAGGGGGTGCGAGGTGGAGCCTGCAGCCAGTGCATGGTTGCGGTACCACGGGCCATAGTTCGGCCGTGCCGTAACAGGCGGAATAAGAAGCCACGACTCTCCGTTGAATAGGTTATGACGAACTCGAGGGACGATGATCACTTCATGGGGTTTTGTGCGTCTTCTGCCGATCCTTGGTCCGAGATTGGGTTGCCTGACGGTACTAATAACCTACTTCGACTCTCTACTGTTGAACAGGTCGTATCGAGCGTGAGCTGGTCGAACAATAATCTTATGGGGTTTCCTACGACTGATGCTGGTTACTGGTCTGAATTTGCTGAAGATATGCTCTCTGTTACTGATCCCGTTGCGTCGGATGCGGATGTTTTAAATAGAGAGTCTACTCAAACTGTAGGCAACGTCTACTCGGACTATAGGTACAAAGACGCTTGGGCCGCGCCCAGGAAAAATCCACTTTTCACACTAAAAAAATAAACTTTCACTAGAAGCCAGCGCATCTAAACTTCAGATCAATTGACCTGTGCGCCTAGTGGGAGCCGACCTGTGCGCCTAGTGGGAGCCCCTTCGTTATTGTTGCTTATATAACATGCCCAAAATGCAATAAAAACCTGCCCTGCCTTTATCTCAGCAAGCTCAGACCAGTACAGTGGCTCAAAGAGGGGCTGCGCCCTAGTGGGGGGTTACAGGGGTATAGACCCACAAATACACATTTAAACCAATCACAACACACGAAGAAAAGAGCCACTGTACTGGTCTGAGTTAATGCGCCCTGAATCGTGTGGGCATCTACAACTTTGCGACCTCAATTCCATTTTGCATCACCAAATACACCAAAAGCAATTGTAAAAATACGCCGTGAGTTGTATCTCATAGCGCGGAAAATTCTGAACATTCTGGTACTAATTACATCGTGAACAGATGCCTAGCGCCTCAGAAGACAAGGGACAGGCTGAGCCAAGCAGCAGCCAGGCATTGCCCCTGCGCCAAGGCCGCCAATTAGCTATGGAAGACTTGGATTATCTCCCTACCCCGCTTATGAGGACTCTGCAGCTTCGTAGCTAGGCAGCAGTTGGAAAACTATGCTCCTAGAGATCACCTTCCCCAAGCATCCATGGCAAAGAGCCGCGCACCTCGCAGACAGATAAGATGAAAATTCATTAGATTACAACAAGGGGCGCTTTCTATCACTACCCAAAATATAGCTCTTGCAGAGACCGCAGCAACCCCTACGAAGAGCCGGCGCAGACAGCGTAACGACAGAGCAAGGCCTAATAGAGCAATCCCCGGCTCAGACCTTCTCTAGCATTGACCCGGGAGCGCCTAAGAGCACGCAAGACCACGCAGCCCAACAAGACCCCGGTGACTTCTCGCATAGAGCCGATGCAGGCAGCGCGACAACCGAGCAAGACCTGATAGAACGATCTCCGGCTCAGGCCACCCCTTCTGGTGTTAACCCATCCCACGGCCTAGGAGATACAATCCCGAGCAAGGGATCACCCAAGGACACACAAGACTACGCAGCTCAGCAAAGCCCCTATGGGCCGATACCCGCTCGAACAATGACTCCCCTACGGCGCCCAGCCGCACGTCGTGACTTTGAGATTGTAGCAATTTGCGCCCTCCCCCTTGAGGCCAGTGTCGTCGCCGCCTTCTTCGACCACCACTGGGGCGACGATCCGCCGTACGGCAAAGCCCCGGGCGACCGCAACGCTTACTCTGTTGGCGCCGTCGGCCACCACAACATCGTGCTAGCCCATATGCCAGGCATAGGAAAAGCCAGCGCCGCGGCTGTCGCTGCCGACTGTCGAGCAAGCTTCCCTAATATCAAGCTTGCGATTGTGGTCGGGGTCTGCGGTGCTGTCCCGAATAGCCCGAATGGCGACGAGATCCTGCTCGGCGACGTCATCATCTCCGAGGGCATCTTCCAGTATGATTTCGGGCGCCAGCTACCTGAACGCTTCGTACCAAAGGAAACACTTTTGGATTCTCTTGGAAGACCAAACTCTGAGATTCGCGCTCTGCTGGCGAAGCTGAAGAGTGACCGAAAGATGCTCCAAGATAAGATGATGAGCTATTTGACTGTAATTCAAGGCAAGCAAGACCCAGATCTAGCAGCCGACTACCCAGGCCGCGCCCATGATAGGTTGTTTGTAGCAGCATACCACCATATTGGCACCGGGACGTGCCAGGAATGTGGCTGTAACGGGCCGGTGGTCTCCCGCAAGCGACTCGAGCAGGACAATCTGCGGCCTGCCATCCACTTTGGTCTCATTGCCTCGGGCGATACAGTGATGAAGTCAGCCAAAGACCGTAACGCTATTGCGAAGCTAAAGGATATTATAGGCTTCGAAATGGAAGGTGCGGGGGTGTGGGATAGCTTCCCATGTATGGCGGTCATCAAAGGCGTGTGTGACTACGCAGATAGCCATAAGGCCAAAGCGTGGCAGCGGTACGCAGCGGCGACAGCAGCAGCGTGCATGAGGGCTTTTTTGGACTACTGGGTGCCTTCGCTACCAGGTATGTAATAACTTCTTGGAAAGGTTACTGGGAACACCTACTAATTAATTCCATTAGAATATCACTATATTATAAAGCAGCCTACCGGACCATGGTGTAGGTAGACTTATTACTATTTGGGAGCAAGCACTGACGATAGCTGTAGTTCTTGTTCCTTACCCGAGGAATGATATGTTCACCGGCCGTTCATCTATCCTTAAGAAGCTCCAACGGCAGCTTTTCAACTCTGCTTCGCAGTCGAGGATCGCACTCTTCGGTCTCGGTGGCATTGGGTTAGTTTACTTACCTACGTTTTTAGACTATTCTAACCAATATAGGAAAACGCAGATAGCTCTGGAATACTCATACTGGCTTCGAAAGACATACACAGAAATTTCGGTCTTCTGGGTTCACGCAAGCAATACCGAACGGTTCCGCCAGGCGTACGCTTCCATCGCGCAAGAATGCCAGGTCCCCGGCTATAACGACCCTAAGATGGATATGTTACTTCTGGTAAAGAAATGGTTAGAGAAAGAGGACTGTGGTAGGTGGCTTATGATCATCGACAATGCCGATGACACAGAGGTCTTTTTCAGCCAGCAGGCAGAGCCTGCAGTTACCGATATACCTAGTACCGACAGCAACCTTGGACGTTACCTTCCCGAGTGCAACCACGGCGCCATTCTTGTCACAACTAGAAACAAGCAAACAGGCTTCAGGCTGACACAAGGAAAAGGCCCTATAGAGGTTGGGAAGATGGACGAGGATGAGTCAGGCCAGCTACTCCGTATAATACTCGACGAAGTCGACTTCACTCCCGAGGAACTATCAATACTTTCCTCTCGACTAGAGTATCTGCCGCTGGCCTTAGTCCAGGCAACAGCATTCATCCAAGAGAATACTACAACAATTGGTGATTATCTTCAGCTTATAAACCAAAGCGACCAGAATCTCATAAATCTGTTAAGCGAGGAGTTTGAGACAGTCGGCAGAGACTCTGGGGCTCCTCGTGCCGTGGCGGAGACATGGATCCTTTCATTTGAGCAAATTCAACAGCAGAATGCCTTTGCAGGCGAAATCCTATCGCTTATGAGTCTCTTTGATCGGCAGGCCATTCCATTGGAATTTCTTCACCACTATAAACAGCAGCAAGTAGGAGATCAAAGTGGAGAAATACAGCTCACAAAGGCTTTAGGGGTTTTAAAGGCATTTTCTTTCGTTACTGAAGACAAAGCCCACAACTTAGATATGCACCGGCTTGTGCAGCTAGTTACTCGAAAGTGGCTCATCAACAAGGGCACAATGCAGCGATTTACGGGACAGGCGCTATTAGCAGTATCACAGGCTTACCCATATGGCAATTTTGAGAATCGCACAGTATGCGGGGCATACCTTCCACACGCACATGCTGTGTTGGGGTCCGAAGACGCTGGGTTGAAAGATGAGAGGGTAGCGAGAGCATCGCTTTTCCATTGCGTTGCTGGGTTTTTCTCTTATCAAGGTCGATGGAAAGATGCAGAGGAGTTCCAGTTAAAGGGTGTAAAGTTGCGAAAAGCAGTGCTAGGAGACGAGCATCCCGATACGCTGAACGGCATCGACAACCTGGCATCAACATACCGGAACCAAGGTCGATGGAAGGAGGCCGAGATGCTCCAGGTCCAGGTGATGGAGTTATATAAGAAGGTGCTAGGAGACGAGCATCCCGATACGCTGAACGGCATTGCCAACCTAGCATCAACATACGGGAACCAAGGTCGATGGAAGGAGGCCAAGATGCTCCAGGTACAGGTGATGGAGTTATATAAGAAGGTGCTAGGAGACGAGCATCCCCATACGCTGAACGGCATCGACAACCTGGCATCAACATACGGGAACCAAGGTCGATGGAAGGAGGCCGAGATGCTCCAGGTACAGGTGATGGAGTTATATAAGAAGGTGCTAGGAGACGAGCATCCCCATACGCTGAACGGCATTGCCAACCTAGCATCAACATACCATAACCAAGGTCGATGGAAGGAGGCCGAGATGCTCCAGGTACAGGTGATGAAGTTACGAAAAAAGGTGCTAGGAGACGAGCATCCCCATACTCTGAACGGCATCGACAACCTAGCATCAACATACGGGAACCAAGGTCGATGGAAGGAGGCCGAGATGCTCCAGGTACAGGTGATGGAGTTACGAAAGAAGGTACTAGGAGACGAGCATCCCGATACGCTGAACGGCATTGCCAACCTAGCATCAACATACCAGAACCAAGGTCGATGGAAGGAGGCCGAGATGCTCCGGGTACAGGTGATGGAGTTACGAAAGAAGGTGCTAGGAGACGAGCATCCCGATACGCTGAACGGCATCGACAACCTGGCATCAACATACCGGAACCAAGGTCGATGGAAGGAGGCCGAGATGCTCCAGGTACAGGTGATGGAGTTATATAAGAAGGTGCTAGGAGACGAGCATCCCGATACGCTGAACGGCATTGCCAACCTAGCATCAACATACCGGAACCAAGGTCGATGGAAGGAGGCCGAGATGCTCCAGGTACAGGTGATGAAGTTACGAGAAAAGGTGCTAGGAGATGAGCATCCCCATACGCTGAATGGCATTGCCAACCTAGCATTAACATACCGTAACCAAGGTCGATGGAAAGAGGCCGAGATGCTCCAGGTACAGGTGATGGAGTTATATAAGAAGATACTAGGAGACGAGCATCCCCATACACTGATCGGCATTGCCAACCTGGCATCAACATACCGGGACCAAGGTCGATGGAAGGAGGCCGAGATGCTCCAGGTACAGGTGATGGAGTTACGAAAAAAGGTGCTAGGAGACGAGCATCCCGATACGCTGATCGGCATTGCCAACCTGGCATCAACATACCAGAACCAAGGTCGATGGAAGGAGGCCGAGATGCTCCAGGTACAGGTGATGGAGTTACGAAAGAAGGTACTAGGAGACGAGCATCCCGATACGCTGAACGGCATTGCCAACCTAGCATCAACATACCGGAACCAAGGTCGATGGAAGGAGGCTGAGATGCTCCAGGTACAGGTGATGGAGTTATATAAGAAGGTGCTAGGAGACGAGCATCCCCATACGCTGAACGGCATCGACAACCTGGCATCAACATACCGGAACCAAGGTCGATGGAAGGAGGCCAAGATGCTCCAGGTACAGGTGATGGATTTATATAAGAAGGTACTAGGAGACGAGCATCCCGATACGCTGAACGGCATTGCCAACCTAGCATCAACATACCATAACCAAGGTCGATGGAAGGAGGCCGAGATGCTCCAGGTACAGGTGATGGAGTTACGTAAGAAGGTGCTAGGAGACGAGCATCCCCATACGCTGAACGGCATCGACAACCTAGCATCAACATACCGGAACCAAGGTCGATGGAAGGAGGCCGAGATGCTCCAGGTACAGGTGATGGAGTTACGAAAGAAGGTACTAGGAGACGAGCATCCCGATACGCTGAACGGCATTGCCAACCTAGCATCAACATACCAGAACCAAGGTCGATGGAAGGAGGCCGAGATGCTCCAGGTACAGGTGATGGAGTTACGAAAGAAGGTACTAGGAGACGAGCATCCCGATACGCTGAACGGCATTGCCAACCTAGCATCAACATACCGGAACCAAGGTCGATGGAAGGAGGCCGAGATGCTCCAGGTACAGGTGATGGAGTTATATAAGAAGGTGCTAGGAGACGAGCATCCCCATACGCTGAACGGCATCGACAACCTAGCATCAACATACGGGAACCAAGGTCGATGGAAGGAGGCCAAGATGCTCCAGGTACAGGTGATGGATTTATATAAGAAGGTACTAGGAGACGAGCATCCCCATACGCTGAACGGCATTGCCAACCTAGCATCAACATACCATAACCAAGGTCGATGGAAGGAGGCCGAGATGCTCCAGGTACAGGTGATGGAGTTACGTAAGAAGGTGCTAGGAGACGAGCATCCCCATACGCTGAACGGCATCGACAACCTGGCATCAACATACGGGAACCAAGGTCGATGGAAGGAGGCCGAGATGCTCCAGGTCCGGGTGATGGAGTTACGTAAGAAGGTACTAGGAGACGAGCATCCCCATACGCTGAACGGCATTGCCAACCTGGCATCAACATACCAGAACCAAGGTCGATGGAAGGAGGCCGAGATGCTCCAGGTACAGGTGATAGAGTTACGAAAGAAGGTACTAGGAGACGAGCATCCCGATACGCTGAACGGCATTGCCAACCTAGCATCAACATACCAGCACCAAGGTCGATGGAAGGAGGCCGAGATGCTCCAGGTCCGGGTGATGGATGTAAGGAAATAGCAACCCTAACCCACACACTCCTTGTACTGCGCGCACACCCGTGCGCGCCCACCACCTGCCACCAACTGGCAGCGTTACCAGAGCCACACTGTGGCACCACTGTGACGGCCCGCCTTACGCAGTAGGGATGTCAATGGTTGAAGGCAGTAACGAATGTGGATTTAAAGCTAAGTGTTACGATCCTGGTTCAAAGGTGCAGAGGGCGTTGCCCGCCCGCTGCGGATTGGCTGGAACGGCACTTAGGGTGGGGCTCTCGCTAAGAGAAGGTGCATCCAATTAGGGAGTGCTCAGTGGGGCCATTGCCAAGGTGCACTGAGCATGGCTGAGCTTCAGTAGGATCAGTGCCGAGACCCACTGAGCGCACTGAGTAGGGAGCTCAGTGGGGATCAGTGCGTCTAGGACTGAGCACGACTGAGCATGTAAGGCAGGAACTCTGATTGGTTGCTCATAGTTCTATATAGGAGCTGGCAGCACGCTCTCTCTGGAGAACGGTTCTGCAGCTATCAATGCATCTGGTTAAGCATACATTGGTTGTGTGTTGAAAGCCTGTCTTTCGCAATCTGTGCACGATACTCCTTGTCTCCTGTCATCTCCTACCTGCCGTCCAGACCCCCACAATCCTAGGCCGGGCCTAGCTCCGTGGACCTGTTGTCCAGATTGTAACACTAAGGAAGAGAAAGGAATCTATCGCGGGGTCCGCGCAGGGCGCGGAGAAATAGGTAGTGGTGCTCAGTGCGCACAGGCCACACTCTAAACACAATGCAGCCAATAGAATCAATCCTGTCACATGATCCCTATGGCGACCGTGACAACCACGCTTCTACAGCACACACGGGACTTGGCCTCCCAATCATGTATATAAGGAGCGGCCCTCGCTCACCTTCCTTTGCGAGGGCCAGGTTGAAGTCTTACACCATTGCCAGTCATTGCTCACCCTTCTTGTTGCCTTCATTGTGACCACCTTGATCAGGCGTACCTGCCTTCCTTATATTTACACTTTTCGTACAACATATACGCTAACTAGTATGAACGATCTTGCCTTTATTTGGAAAAGCCAGGGCAATTTCGAAGATGCTGTAAGAAAGGAACCCCAATGTTACGATCCTGGCTCAAGTCTGCAGGAGGCGCTGGAAGCCGACTGCTGATTGGGCAGCACTGGCGGGCAGGACGGGCCCCACATGAGCTCGGTGCGGCCAATCAGGCGGCGCTCAGTGCGTTCGGGTGCCAAGACCGGGAAGACCCACTGAGCAGAAAGAACAGCCAATCAGGAAAGTGCTCAGTTACCATTGAGAGCTCAGTCGTCCTCGAAGACTGAGCGCCCCGGAGGCTCTGAGCACTGTAAGGGAGAACCCTGATTGGTCCGCCTTAGATAGATATATACGACGACCGTAGCCACGGTCCTAGATAGTTCTTGCTTGGTTCTTCAAGCAAGCAATACACATTCACTGCACTCATACACTTTGAGTGGCATTCCGATTTGACTGTATTACCCGTGCGGAAGGAGCTTGCCCTTTGTTCTATCTTTATAATTACCAACCCCAGCATTCTGTGGAGCCCGTGCTCCCTTACAGACAGACGACCCTAACAGTCGAGTGGTTTGTAATACCCAACCCTCACACACAACCCACTCACTCCTTTGAAGCGGGCCTAGACTTCACTCTTTTGTCAAAGGCCCGCCTTACACCCTGTCATGTATATAATCAGAGACCCTCGCCCCTTGCCTTTGCGAGGGCTAGGTTGAAGTCTCTCACCAATATTAGTCATTGCTCTCTTACTTCAACACCTACATTGTGGCCACCTTGATCAGGCGTACTGTCACGGCCAGCTTGGAATGAGGGCGGAACTCCTCTATTGGGCGCTATAGACGAAGATTCTAAACTAAAAGGAAAAGGGAAAAGAAGCTCGAAAGCCTCCCCTCGCGAGATTCTTCCAGGGCGTCTCAAGGTGGGGCTCTGGCCGAGCTTCCATTGGTCAGTCGGGTGGATCCCTCTGGCTGGTCGGGTGGATCCACCCGGCTGGCGTCTGATTAGTCAGAGCGTCTGGGAGGTCTGGAGGATCAGGCCCTCACACAGATCACTCTCATCAACCTCGCCAACCTCCGCAGTAAACATTGCCGCCATAATGACCAAGTAGCCTCTTGCACTAACGTCCAAAGTGAACTGCTCGATACCGACGTCGCCCTCAAGGCCAAGGGCAGCCTACAGGTTCTCTTCTTTCTACTACCCTATTTCATTAATAGCCTTCAAGATCGTGGCACGGTGCTAGTGTACTGGATGGTCCGGGTTACCGAGCTCCTCGAATACCGCATCCACTTAGTTTCAATACGGGCGGTGAATCACGATGTGGAGAACATGCCAGCGGCGGCCATGCTCAAAGAAGACGATAACGTCGCGTGGCACACCCTTCGAATGGTCCCAGTCCTAGTCGAACCCACCAGAGGGTTGTGCAACGACCTGAAAGTGGATTTGCTTGTAGCTGCTGCTAAGGATTTTCGCCGCCTCCGCGATATAACAGCCTTGGAGAGGCCCTGGAACCGCGGGGATACCGAGTATAGATTGACCACGAAGCCGGGCAATAGCAGCTCTACAAACTAAGATTTGCGCTATCTATATAAACAATTAGTAGACTACACTCTTCACTCAAAACTAAGGGCTAACCTTAATGGAGCTGAAGCTTGTCGAATGATAGACAGGTGAACAATGCGAGGCCCGAGCAAAGTTAAGATAGGAGACCTAAGACCGCGCTCTCTATGCGTGATGGAGAGACTAGCGTTGATGGAACGTGCCGATACAGGAAGATTGAGGCTGGCAATAGCGGCGAAGATGTGCAAGTGCGAGCGGCTCGAGCTCGAAGTGGAGTTGACTGTGGAGGTGGTAAAGGTATGGCGATGTCGGGCCGGAGTTTAAAGCGGGAGACTTGGGAGCGGGCTCTTCGCTCTAGGCAGGTTAGGCGGTGCAGAACGCGCAGTGCGGTGGTTCGGCAGATGTGGCTTGACTATGTAGAAGGAAGCACTCGTAATCGAGACGCGCAGCCGGAAGGCGCTCGAAGAAATATTTCTGCGGTCGGCAATCGTTGCCGAAACAGCCTGTTTTAAGCGCGCTCAATCGGTGCGACGATTGCTGCAAAGTGGATTTGACAGATTGATGTTGAAAAAGGATGACAAGTTGTTGGCGGCCGAAGGTGCTCGGCAGGTCGAGGAAGCCAAAGCCATACTTGAAAATCTCAGCTGTCGGGGCACCCTTCTAATCCGGGTTTGTCACCAGCTGCTTCCTCTCCATTTTCCTTTTCAGCAACTCTTCCTCACCCTGAAATGCTATCAAGCGGCCGCCACTTAGCTATTTCAGACCATCAAAGACAAGCCTCGCAGATCCAAAGAGACTTGTCTGCCTAGTATTCGGGATGTCGGTATATGTCGGTGGACGGCGGGCGCGCTCAATCGAGGACGTAAGGCTTCTTGAGGGGTCTGGCATCTCGACATTACTGAAGACGAAACTCTCGGTACGTAAACCTGAGTTCTATGTGGCCTGGCATCTTGCTTCTGCCCAGCCTATAGAAGTTACATGGAAGTTTTCACGGCATGGTGGAGTAGCAGACCTGGAAAAAGTTTCAGAGATTTAGGGGGGAAGGTATAGTATTCTCTGATCGCCCTTATTAGCGGTTCTGCTCGGAACTCATATTGCATCTGCGGTACAAATATGCCTGCGGTCAATAACCTACGGTGGTGCTGCACGACGCCAGCGCGTGTTCTCTGCCGATCAAAGAAGAAGTGGGGACTCCTCCGTTTGTGAGCACGACAGTTTTTTTTTAAAAAAAAAAAAAAAAAAGTTAAAAAAGAAAGAAAACGGAATACACTAACAGGAGGGAAAGAGGGACCCGTTTTTGGATCCCAAGAACCCCTGGTTCCTGGCCACCTCTACCTTGTAGGGCAAGCTTCTAGGAATTAGATTGTAGAGGCCCTGAAACTCACTCTAACCAGGAGCCGGAACTGAACCTTGGAGTCACGTGTACGTTTCGTGGAGCTTTCTCGGAAGGCGCGCAAATATTGTTCCGCACGCTGCAGGCCAGCCCCCCCCGGCCCATGGAGCCCGGCTAGGGATGAATTTGAGGTTGGAGCTCGCAATCTGCTCGACGACGAACATCTCGACGACGCCCCTGCACTCAATTGAGACCGCCACTCCATCATGAACTCTCTCCGCATTGCCCGAGCTGCTCTCCGGGTGCGCCCGACAGCTTTCAGCGCGCCGCTGCAGCGCAGAAGCTACGCCGAGGCCGTCCCCGATAAGGCATGTCCAATGGCCACCGTGGCTCCAGCCCGAACCCCCTCGCCGATGCAATGCAGACCGTTCTAACCGCAGACAATATCGCCCGCAACAGATTCGCCTTAGCTTGTCGCTCCCTCACCAGGTACGCCATGATCCGCTGGGCCGAAGACGGACGGCAACGACGGTCCCGCGCACATGATGCTCGATCCCTCCGAGCGATGGCTGATGAGTTGTTTATTTCCGCCATCTATCTAGGCCATCTACAAGTCCCAGGATGTCGTCCAGGTCAACCTCCCCGCCGAGTCGGGCGATATGGGCGTTCTCGCCGGCCATGTGCCCTCGATTGAGCAGCTGAAGCCCGGTGTTGTCGAGATCATCGAGGAGAGCGGTGGCAGCAAGCAGTTCTTCTGTTAGTCAATTCCCCCTGACGATGCTCGCTCCTTTAAGCTGACACGGCCCTCAGTGTCCGGAGGCTTTGCCATTGTCCAGCCCAACTCTCTCATGAGTATCACCGCCGTCGAGGGCTTCCCCCTGGAGGACTTCAGCCCCGAGGCTGTTCGGTCACAGATCGCCGAGGCGCAGAAGGTCGCAAGCGGAGGCGGCAGCGAGCAAGATGTTGCCGAGGCCAAGATCGAGCTCGAGGTGAGCGCTTCTTCCATCCCACTGTCTGCGCACTCTGCAGCTGCTAATGATTATGGCTAGGTTCTCGAGAGCCTGCAGCACCACCTGAAGTAAATGTACATACAACTTCTGACGACTCTCGCCCTGTATTTATATGCCAAGATTTCCTAGTCATAGAGATACACGTTAAAGCATGCTGGCGCTTTGAGCCCTACCTTTGATCTTTACTTATTTGGTTTGTGTGACTCCCCGTGGTGCCTGCCGTGTCTTGTATATAAATTTGGGGTGAGGCAGGACAATCGCGACGTAGGCGGCACTACTAGTACTAGTAATCCGAGTGGGAAGGGAAGGCGCGACCTCTCGAGCTGAGCTGATTCGGCAAATTTGCTCTCCTCGTCTGCGTGTGCAGCTGCACCTCGTTTTTTAAGAGACAACCCGAAAATCCCCAGAGGCATTCTTTTGAACCGGCAATCCAACTGCCAAAGGCCTCGCTCGGGTCTCACACCGGCCAATACATCATTACTGAACATCCCGTATCAGACTGTATATTCCACGCCACTATGCTTTTGTACTGACGGGAATCCCCTGTGATGGTCACCGCCGCCTCTGAAAGTTCTGCGCTGCTCGAACCCACGTGGTCCGTCCCGTCGTCTATTTCAACCTCAGTTCTAGGGCTCGACAACGTCGACGGGACTACGCAAGGGCTTGTTGGGTATCGTATCAGCCAGTTCGCTGGAAGAAGATCACGCTCGGATTCATACGCATACCGCCGTCTCTTGCAGAGAGATCGGGAGAGCGAGCTGGTACGTCTATGCTCATCTCATGTTCACGTCATGAAGAACTGGCCTCGTTCGGCGGTATACGGGTCGGTGCTGACAGAACTGGATGCCAGTTTGGCTAGGGACGCAGACTCGGGCTCGAGTCCAGCTTCGTGCAGCCAGCTTCGCACAGCAGGACGATAGAACTCACAATCCGTATCCCAAGCCGCCAGAGGAGATTAATATCTAGTGCCGTGGACTACAGCATTCTCAGAACAATTCGCCACGCCGTTGCGTCCGAGGAGGACTCGGAGCCGACGTCACCCGACATGTACGCCTCTCTACCGGACCTGAACCGGCCAGTGCAGCAGGGCCAGGGCAGCAGGTCCAAGAGCCGCACCCGAGAGATATCTGTGCCATCGATGATGTCGTTTGGGACTGGACAGGACTCTTTGGCCACGACCCCGGCAGGACGACGACAGGCAGCAAGGCAGCTATTTGAGCAATATGGCATCCCGCGGCCGCCCGGCTAGTTGTCGGACGACGAAGACGGACTGTCTCTTGCGGGGGCCGGTGTGCCCAACCTTCCAAAGCCGCGCAGGATATGCCATGTTTGTGGTGACAACATTGTGCCGCAGGCCTTTTGTCCTTCTTGCGGCCACCCCCTCTGCGTAAAATGTAAGCGCGAGGCATCTTTGATTATGATGGACAGGCAACGTCGGCAGGACCTGCCAGACGTTGCAGATGCTAGCCGCCCTGTGACGCCCGAGGCGGTGCTCACCCACGGGAACGTAGACCACCCTGAGACGACATTTATCAAAGACAGCCGCGAGGAGCAGCCAAGAGCAGATTCACAAATTCCACTCATTGGCAAGAGGGGCTCAGTGGTAAGAGTCCCCAGTACAATTTGCTCTTCTTTGAGCCTGTGTCTTGGCAGACAGACCAGCCTGTTATTTCTGGAGTCTTGATATATCTTCCTCGTCGTGTTGCTAGTCCTGGATGACTAGCTAACCACATACAACGGTACAGAAGAACAACCCATTTGTCGTGGCCGACCAGATTGCAAAGACGACCAGAGTCTCGGAGCCAGAGCCAGAGCCGCCCAGTGCGATTGCAGAGACAACCCCCCCCTCGAAATACCTCCATAATACCCCATTAAAGGGGGGCCAGTACGGGGATAAACTGGCCGGACCACGAGAGGCAAGAGAGCAGCATGGCAACGCATACAGCGGCGAAAACACCGGTCCTCAAGACCAGGATCAAACCCGCGGCCAATTTCGTCTAGCTCCTATCGAGCGAACAAAGGAGACTGGGTTGCTTTCTAGCATTCTAGAGTCCCGACTAGCCTCGTTTGCCAACAGCAATCTTCATAGGTACGAGCCGGAATGGCTACACGATAGGCATGACGCGGATGAGCCTATTACGCCCCAGCTGCAGAGCAGTAGGGCAGTCGACCGAAGACCCAGCCCGCGAGCTGAAGTAGTCAATGACCGAGGGCCATCCCCGGTAGTCCAGCGCGTGAAGGTGCTGGCCCAGCAGGCGAGCTCGGGAGCTCTGGAGAAGGTGCTCGAGGTGGACGTTGACGCTAGCGGGCGTCGCGTCCCCCGTGTTCGGGTGTCGAGCCCGCCGGCTTGGCTCAAGTATCCCTCAAACAAGCCGGGTACTCTCGAGGGAAGGCTCAAGCAGGTCACCACCAAGAGCAGTCCCGGCCTGTCCAACCAGCAGCAGAGACAGCTAGCCGAGGAAGAGTATGACCGGCATTTCCCCCCAAGGCCACTGCCTGTGGTAAAAGCCGCGGCTCCATTTGTAGCAGCAGTCGCTAGAGCATCGCAGGGCAAAGCAGATGTGCCTAGCGGAATTCACACTTCATCAGTCACGCACAACCAAGCACAACCACGGCAGGTGGTGGCAACTACGGCAACAGTGGGTACAAGCGTCGGTGGCTCTCCACGCGGGACTGTGAGCTCGACGGTGTCGCCGGGCGGGCTGGCAGCAAGTCAGGGCACCGAGGCTGAGTTTACGGCTTATTCGACGCGGTGGAAGAGACAGCATTCGGATCTAGCCCCCCACGAGATGCGGCGCAGTACGGTTGGAATGACGTCGACGACGGACACAAGCGAAGATGAGGGTTTGGGCCTCGACGCCGGCAGTCAGTTGGGCGAAGACGACGATGTTGGCATTCAGGGACTGACGATCGTCCTGCACTTGAGGGGCAAGGACGACTTGGTCATCAGCACGGACTTGACACGCGACGCCGAAGAGTCAACGCCGCGGGCATCAAAGTGAAAAGGGGACACATGTATAGCTGGCTGGTTGGGTTCAAGAGTTTGTTTGGGCTTGGGTGGAGTTTGGCACAGGAAAGTGAGACGGGGAATGGAATAATGGCAGAATATTCTTTAGTGGTAAAGCTAAGAAGGCATGAGTAGGGGGAAATAAACGGCACAGATCCCAATCAACGCAGGTTGTACGAGACTACGACTGTCCATGATTGATAGCCGGCAGGACTACTATGGGGTGAGGTAATAAAAATACCCGTGCAGAGTACCCCGTCACCCCACCCAAACTAGATACAATAAATACAGCTAATACAGCTAATATAAGTCAATATTTTGTATGCATACCATTAGCTGCAATTACTGCTTTGCAGTGGTCTGGCATCGACGCCAGTAGCTGCTTCAAGTAGTCGTCTGGCAGTGCCTCCCAAGCCTCCTTAACATACTGGCGTAGCTTATCGTACGAGGGCTTCTCTTCCAGGCCGTACTGGTCTTCGATCCAGTCCTTCATCCAGTTCCAACAAGACTCGATCGGGTTCAAATCTGGTGAAAAGGGTGGCCAGTCGATTACCGTAATGCCTCGCTCTTGGAGATCTTGCTTTGTCTCTGAGGCTGCATGCCCTAGAGCGCCGTCTTGCATTAGGATTAGATCCTCGCCAAGCTGTTCCTGACAAAGCTGTACCCAACCGTGAATCACAGGTACAGTATGTGCTCGATAGGTTTCGGCGTTAATCTTGCCCCAATCCTTCTCCCAGAAGATTCCTGGGCCTTTGCCTAAGCTAGAAAAACAGCCCCAAAACATCCAGCCTCCCTTACGTTGATGCTTTTCCACGATACAAGTAGGATCCCACTCTTCGCCTTGACGCCGAGTTACATACTGCTTCCTATGCGGGCCACCAGTAACCCAGGTCTCGTCGGTCCAGAGGATCTTTGCCCACTGCTCAGGGGTCCAGTTCTCGTGCTCTTCGGCCCAGGCCTTCCGGAATTGTCGATTTTTCTCTGTAATAGGTGGCTTCTTACGGGCAACTCGCCGGCGGAAGCCTAGTCGATAGAGTGTATGCTTGATTACCCATATACCGAAAGTCGCGGTGAAGAGGATTGTCGAAAGCTCAAGAAAGCTCATTCGACGAGTCTTTTTACTGGAAGAAATATATTGAACAAGTTCTTCTTCTTGCTCCGGAGTCATGGTTCTTGGCCGGCCAGTACTACGCCCAGCGGTGGCATTAGGAGCGCGTATCGAATTGCGGATCTGGGCCTTCGTGAAGCCAGTAATGCGATGGATTTCGACTTGGTTTAGACGGGCATCAAAATATAACGTTCGGACTCGTTGGCGCTCTTCGGTGCTGAGCTGTTTCATACCGCTAGAGCCCTGTGGCCGGGCCATTGCTGTGTATGTTACTGTACCGTGTAGGCTACTGAAATATTTGGATTCTTTGGAAAAGGTCGTTGAAGTGGAATTTTGAGTATATTTTGGTGATTGGTCAGAAACGCGTGTGCTGTTGTAACCCACATGACAGGGGCGTTTTATTTATGCACGCGACCAAGCAGCGATCCACGCAAACTCGGAGATACTGCGATGGCGAATCCCTGCCACAGTCCCACAACGACAATTCTACCGTGCCACCTGACAATCAATGCTTTCGAAATATTGAACACGGCTAGCGAATCGACACCGAACGCATCTCCATAATCCCAGTGCCATCGCACGGTAGTCAACGATTACGTTACGATTACGCCTGTCTGTTGTCGATCATCGCACAACTTGATTCACCCCTTCGTAGACAAGGACCGTCGCAATTTAGACCAACACCTTGCAGACGATAGCAGATTCTATATCCAGAGATCTCGCTTCTTCTTCTCGTCCTGAGCATCACAAGAGCCCAAGAGCCCAAGAGCGAAAAGAAAAAAAAGAGGCCGGTCAGACTTCCATCGGCACCCACCCCGCCCGAGCGCTCGAAAGCAAGACCTCGAAAAGACAGGGTACAGATCATCGCCACTCTCTATACAGCAGTAGCCCCGAAAAGGAAGCCAGCGACCGCCGCCTTGTGCAGGCAGATCGAGAGTAAAATGGTTCTCACTGTAGGGTGCCGAGGATATGGGATCATCAACCCGGGTGGGATCTGTAGCTCCTTTAGGGAACACAAAAGTGGACGACTACTATAGAAATGATTCTCCTGTTGGCGCGGTGCGGTTAGCATTCTGATGCTCATGATTCAGTGAACGATGGGTTGGTTGTGGATGTGGTGCTGTTGTTGGGGGGTGGCTTACTGAAGTATTGTCGACATGAAGAAAAAAGGGAAAAAGTGAAAGGGCGGGCGGGCAGAGATTGTTATATAGGCAGTGTAGGTTGGCCCGTGCGCACCCTCAGCGGATACCGGGACAGTGGAACCAGAAAAAAAAAAGTAAGGATGGAAAAAAAAATTGTGAGACCCATCCCATCCGCTTTCCCCCCCCCAAAGCAAGGGGCATGCATGCCATGCAATGGTGGCCAAAGCCTGGGCTCGAACTTTAAATCTCTCCCTCTCTTTACGGATATCTCTCTACAATCCGACACTGTACGAACAAGCATTCATTCATTCATTGGGACTCGGGAGAGCGTGGTGTTTTGGTCCGGGACCCTAGGACTCTGGGTTTGGTTTGGTCTTGCTCAAGCTGGACAGATTACAACATCACGTCCTCCGCCCCGCACGCAGCTAGGTTTAGGTTCAGCTTGACGGAGAGGGCAACCAGCAATCAACAACCAGCATGGCATGGCCTCAGTTCGCCCACGAGACGGTTGCGACCTTAGCCGCCGTCCAGCCCTCGCAGTGGTGCCAAGCCTTCTTCCTCGGTGCGGCGGGCGGTGTGGCGGTGGTAGTAGCAGCGCCCGTCGAGGCGAGGACGCTGCTAATGGACTACGGGGCGCGCAAGGCTCATAATAATAAACAGCAGCAGCAGCGAGAAGGCCAACATCAACAAGGACAGCAGCAGGCCGGGACACCTGCCTCCCAAACCTCGCCGAGCCGTGACCGACTGCTCTCGCTGGTCGCGGCCGTTTCGTCTTGGGGGCAAGTCCCGCACTCTTGGTTTGTGGCCTTTTACATGGCTTCACTCGGCTGCTCTCTCTTCTGGCTTGTCCAGTACCTCACCCAGGGACGTCTCTTGGACCACATTGCAGCGCGCCAGGTGGCGGCCGAGTCAAGGCCACCCGCAGCCTTGGGACAGGTGGCAGTGGCTTGGGTTATCATGTTCCTGCAGGCAAGCAGGCGCGTGTTCGAGCACGCAACTATCATCAAGCCGTCAAAATCCACAATTTGGTTTGTTCACTGGGTTCTGGGACTCTGCTTCTATCTATGCATCAGCGTGTCCATATGGGTCGACGGATCGAGTAAGAGCCCTCCAGCCGCAGATTTACGTGGCCTGGCCTAGTTGACACGGTACAGAATCCATCTTGGACAGGCGGCCCGGGGACATAGATAACACGGCAACTCTGTTCAAAATTCTGTTTGCCACCCCGATATTCCTATTTGCCTGGGTCAACCAATACAGGTGTCACAAGTACCTTGCAGGGCTGAAGAAGTATTCGCTCCCAGACGAGGGGCTCTTTCGGCATCTGATTTGTCCGCACTACACCTGCGAGTGTCTCGTCTATCTCTCACTAGCCGTCGTCACGGCTCCGCCCGGCCAGTTGTGTAACAAAACACTGTTGTGCGCTCTGTTGTTTGTGGCAATCAACCTCGGGGCCACAGCATCGGGAACTCACAAGTGGTATGGCGAGAAGTTCGGGGCCGGGGCGGTCGCAGGGAAATGGAACATGATACCCTTTTTGTTCTGAGACTGTAGCCCCATCACGGGCGTTTAAACATGGGCCCTAGCTTGCCACCAAGCTTGGACACCTTCAAAACGTCACGATAGGTGAGGCTGATGCGCGTCTGCCGCTCGTGGCGCCCATCCTCGTACAACGAAGGCGAACGCAAAAGAGTCCAGTTCGCTATCGAATGCTCCGTAATGTCTACGTCTTCCGAAATAGGCTCTATTCCATGCAGGTATTCCGAATAGAGCTCGGCCGTCGTGATAAGAAGGCTTCGGGGCTCTTGCAAGATTCTCCACGTAGGCTCAGGCTCGATCGCGCCGTCTTCCTTGCTCTTATAGAGGTTGAGGCATATGCTAGAACCGAGACTCACTGTACAAACCACAGGATGATATGCGGCGCCATCCTTATGCGGCATGATGCCCGTATTCGGGGGGTATTCGTTGATCAGGACATGGTTGGGCCGGCTATGAGGGCTAGATGCAAATAGGTTCGCCTCGCCATCCGCGACGGAAATGGACAAGAGGCGGGAGACGACGGGTTCCTCAAGCCAATCGGGGAGCGGTCGGGAATCGAGGAGCGTGTCTTTGACGAGATCGGAAGGCCAAGTTTGAAGGCGTCGGTGCGTCAGTTGACGCCATCGCGCCTTGGGTGCCGTCTCAACCTTTTTGCCCATCATGGAATTAGATGTGGAGGCGAGACGGGGTTAGCGAGCATTACTTTACCTTTTGCAAGATTGCCCGCTCCTCTTCTTCGCTGAGGAAGTTGGGAATGTAGTAGGCCGATGGCGGCAGCGCTGCGATCCGGCAGCTCTCTAACGACGAAGGAAGCTCCATCATGGGGAGGCAAGGAGCACACGGCAAAGTCTATGTACTGTACGCGCAATTCGATTCCGGGGATGATGCTGGCTTGGCCTGGCTGGGCAGGTACTGACTGTACTGCGCTCAGTGTCCTTTGTTGGTTCGCTCAGAGCATTTCGCAGCCGCAGCCGGCGGCGAGAAAGGCGCAGCAGACCAGAGGTAGCAGGCAGGTTCTAGGCAGCGGCTCTAATAATCTGCGGCTGCGGAGCGGCAACATGGAGCAGCTAGCGTTGAGGAAACAGTCAACATTGGACGGGCCAGTTTGCGGCCTCCAAAGTGGAAAAGGTGAAAGGGTCAGGTGGTGGGCCTGACCTGGGGACGGAAACTGGGAACAAGGCGGGCCGAAAAGGGAGCGCAGGCCGTTGAGGCCATTGAAAGCATGGGCCTAGCATGGAGCTCCGCAGAGAACGGAAGAAGGAAGGAGCAAGGGAAGTGAGGTGGAGTGCGAGGTGTCCATTTGGTTAACCTTAGGTTGGGGCGCTGTGCTGTTAATGTGTGCTATGAAACCTTGGGAAACCTTGCTTCAATCTGTCCACTGTCGCAACTACATATGCACAACCAAGCTGGACCGAGCCAGATGGAATGGAAAGCCCGCCAGAAGACGAGGGGGGGAGGGAAGGAAAGGAGAAGGGGAGGCTGCAGCTGTAGTGTAAAACGAGGGGCAACAGTAGTTCTGCACGTTGTGGATTAATTATACGAAAATGAATTAAAAAGAAATGCTTTTTTTTGGTGTGGGAGGAGAAATGGAGGAGAGCCTTGTCGATGGAAAAGAGAAAAGGAGTCATCGAAACGACGACATGCGGCGGCGGGCCAATGCAGCAAACTGCCTGCGCAGCCTGGGCGTGTCCGCCTCCCGCTCTTTCGACCGCCGCCGGCTGGTGTTGGATTTGGTGAGCGCCGCGCGCTGAGGGGGGTTGTCTCGCCCGCCGTGGACAAACCAGCCAATCAGCGGCTGTGGCGATCAGACTTTGATCTGGGAATCTCCAAGTTCCCCTGCTTCCCATTTGCGTTCAGCCAAATACAAGGTTGGATACTTACTGCACTATTGTTCCTAACGCCCCCTTCGCAAAGAAACACGCTTTTATCGACAATCGGCAATCCGCTTTCATCTCTATCGACCGCTTGTATCGCTATCTAGTCTAGCGAGTCGTGCGGCCATTTCGCCCTGCTTTTGTTCACTTTTTCGACGCCTGTCTTCCGCTGCGCTCGTCTCTGCTCGTGCGCCTGGACGCCTCCATCCACTCACTGTTCCTCTCGCGTGCGCCTGCCTGGGCATTCTCTCTGGACACCTCACGGGGCGGCTGTGCAGGTTTTGAGTCGGCTCGCCGTCGATCGATTCCGCTCCTTCCACACCACACTCGCACCGGGGCTATCTAGCGCATCGTGTCCCGCGACTTGATTCAATCGCCAAACGCATCGCTGCCTCTGTGTGTGCGTTGTCGAGCCCCAGCCAAAGCAGCGACCAGGATGGTGCAAGACGGTGGTTTGTCTTTGAATTAGATGACATGGATGCGCAGAATGCTGTCGAGCCCGCCTCCACGAAGCCTGCTGCTTCTCCCAAGCGGACTGGCATCGATTCCGATCAGCCCAAGCCCCCCGCCGTGATCAAGTCGCCCGCCAATCTAAAACCTGAATCCCCAAGCAGGGACACTAGGCCGGGCGCGCCTGCATCAAATGCCCCTGATGAAGATGGCGCCGCAGAAGGGAATTCCGACGCTGAGACCATCGTCTTGCCCGGCAAGGACGGCCACTCGCCGTCCAAAGTGCGCAAGATCATCAAGCACGAGGACAAGAGCGACGGCGAGGACATATCCTCTACGCCGCCCGCTCGGAAGCAGCACTCTAACGGGAAGCAGGACCGCGACGTCGACAGAGCCCATCGCGCTGAGCGGCCCGACAAGACCGTGTCGGTCGCTGGCAATAATGGCCCAAATGACGGGCCGGGCCCCCTTGGGGCAAAGAAGAAGAAGGCACCCGAAAAGTCCAAAAACAAGGACGGGTCGAGCGGCTTGAGCTCCGCGCCGGCTTCTCCGCCTCAGCGTCGTCGGCGCTCCTCCAACGCGCAATCAAAGTCCGACTCAGAGACGGCGCAGGTGGAATCGCCCAGGAACTCGTCGACCGTCAAAGACAAGGCCAAGTCGCTTGACAAGTTGGTGCCTCACAAACGGAAGGCGCCGAGGGCCGAGTCTGAAGACGAGGCCGAGAGCCGCAAGGTCCGCCGCCAGCGCACTTCGGGCTCGGGCCTCGATGCATCGCGAAAACAGCACCATCCCGCAAAAGCACACACCGAGTCGCACCCCTCGACGCGGACCAGGTCTATTTCTCCCCAACCTCGAGCTCACCGCCGTAGCGTTTCAACTCAACTTCCCGGCCAATCAACTAACGGATTGAGCCACAAGAAGAAGCGTGTCCCGGCGCCGCTCCAGTCGACCGACTATCATTCGGACGAGTCTTCGGCGAGCGGCAGCCCGCATCCGCGCAGCTCTAAGCTGCGCAGCCTCACCACGCCGGCCACAGCAGACTCCAACATTTCGCCAGCCAAGATGGCTCCGCACAAGAAACACCTGGATGCACATGGCCAGACTTTCCTTGCCAGGGCGTGTGCCAAGGGTGAGTACGAGATAGCAAAGACAAGGCTACAGGAACGTCCAGAGGACATCAACGTCGCCGACTATGCGGGGAACACGCCGCTCCAGATCTCAGCACTCAATGGTTTTGATGATATAGTTAAGCTTCTCGTAGCGGCCGGTTGCAATCTTGACTGCGTCAACAACGATAAAGACACGCCCCTCCTTGATGCTGTCGAGAATGGCCACCTCGAGGTCGTCAAGATACTCCTTGCCGCTGGTGTCAACCCGCGCAAGACCAACGCATATGGGCAAGAGCCAATGGATCGGGTAGGTGACGAAGAGAATGCTGAAGAGATCAAACGTGCTCTAGAAGATGCCAAGCAGCGGATGGGGGAACGCCGGCGGACTTCGGAGGACCACCAGTTTGATCACACCGATGCTCGTTCTTCCCATGGACCTGATAGTCCCAGGCAGTCGCCAGGCGCTGCAGGTTCCATCCACGCTGCCAGTGGGCGGAGGGCGGGAACCGTACGGTCAAACAAGACGAGCAATCACCTGCTATACATGCCCATGGACGATAAAACGCTTCGCCAAGCCGCTGCTCGGGGAGACGAGGAGACTGTTACGCGCATTCTTCAGGTCAGAGACAAGTTTGACGATCCAGAATCAATGATTGCAGCCGCTCGCGGGGGTCATGAAATCGTCATGCAGCTGCTGTTAGCCTTGGGACGGGCAAATCCCGATCCTACGCCCCTCGCGGGTAACGACTTTTCGACCCCGATGCTAGCTGCAATCGGCCAGGAAAACATCAAGGTCATCAGACTGCTTCTAGACCAGAACAGCTTCGATCCCACGCGCCGCTACAAAGGGGAGACGTACTACGAGCTTGCCCGGCGACGTCGGGGACCGAACTGGATTGAGGAGGAGCAGATGCTGAAAAATGCCTATGATGGATTTAGAAAATCGCACAAGGACGGCTCCAAAAATAAATCACCTAATAGGCGAGAGCAGGAGCGAGAATCCCGGCGGATTCGGGCCGAGTCGAAGGACGAAACGTCCAAGTCCCACAAGAGAAAAGCTTCGAGCCCGGCCCGAGAACCTAAGAAGTTGGGGCCCGGAAAAGTATTGGCCAGTCCCAAGGAAAAGCGGCGATCTAACTCCTTCACAGCCCAACCAGAAGACCAGGCTTCACCCAAGCGAGGCCCCGGTAGACCCAAGAAGGAAGACCGGGTACCCACAATTGCTATTTCCGACCGCGAAGCTTCGCCAGCGGGGAAACCTACAGCTAAGGCAAAACGTGCCGAGTCTGATCTCGCGGCAGCTTCGTCGGAAGGCGAGGCAATCAAGCCTCGGCGAAAGCTAGTTTCTGGGCGGGAGCTAAAGGGGGAGCGGGACAAGAACAGGCGCGCCAGCATGACGTCCAATGCCTCCTCCATGAAGGAGCCGTCTAGTCCTCGGGATGAGGGTGAGAAGGCAGAGAAGACACAGAAGACGGAAAAGTATCACGACCGGACGAAGGCCCTTAAGAGGGATGAATCCCGTGACAGGCTATCCATCTCTGGCGAAAGCCCCGGCAAACGCCCCCGGTCCAGCGCAACGCCTCCGATCCCCGGGTCAACAGAAAAAGACGGCGCCGAAGCTCCCGCCAAGAGGAGGCGACTTGATGTTGAGGGCAAGGAGCGGCGTCTGAAACCGGGCTCGTCTGACGAGCGACTCCTCAAAGCGAGCACGCCCCGAGAATCAGGGTCTGCCGCCGGTTCAGGACTTCGGATCGGGTCTCGGAGCCGGGATGTGGAAGATCGCAGGCCAATCCCAAAAACAAAGAAGGCAGAGACGCCAGGGGACCAGAGCCGGCGCGAATCGGGCAAGTCTATCTCCTCAGAAAACAGTATCCATGTCAAGTCCGAGGAGCTAGACGTAGAAATGCCCGATGCGGACCAACCTAAGGCCGATGCGTCCGACGCTCGCGCTTCGCTTCATAAAGAGAAGGACGAGGAGGAGAAGAAAAAGAAGCAGCAAGCCGAGGCGGACGCACAGACCCGGGAGGTGAAGAGAAAAGAAGAACAAGAGCGGAAGCGCAAGGAAGAGGAGGATAGGGAGAAGGAGAAGGAAAGACTTCGCGTCGAGGAAGAGGCCAAGCGTCTGGCCGAAGAAGTTAACCACCGCGCCGAAGAAGAAGCCAAACGTCGCGCCGAGGCCGAAGCTAAACGACGAGAAGAGGAAGAGCAGAAACGAAAGGAGGAAGATGTGCGCAAACAAAAAGAAGAAGAAGAACGAAAGCAACGAGAACAGCGCGAGCAAGAAGAGCACAAGCAGCGCGAGGAGGAAGAGAGGCGCCGACAAGAGGAAGAAGAAAAGAAGCGACTCGAGGAGGAAAGAGAGCGGAAAGAGAAGGAAGCGAAGAGGAAGAGAGAGGAAGAGGAGAGAAAGAAGCGAGAAGATGAAGAGAGGCTGCGGAAAGAACAGCTTGAGCGCGAGGCCGCCGAAGAAGCTCAGCGCAAGCGCGAAGAAGAAGAGCGTAAGGAGGCTGAACGCAAGGAACGGGCCCTTCGAGAGGAAATGGAACGCCGACGCGCCGTAAGAGAGGCGGAACGCGTCGCCAGGGAGGCCGAGCAACGGCGAATACGTCTTGAGCAGGAACGTATCCGCCTAGCCAAGCTTCCTCCACTCCTGCGGTGGCTCGACGGCTCCGTTAACCCCAAAGTACCAGAGGTGGCCGAGAAGTTCAGCAGCACGCAGGGAGTCCGATACGACTGCATCCGCCCCGAGGCCAGCGGTACCCCTGATGGCAGAGAACAATGGCTGCTCAACACGCAGGTCGCACTCCTTCTCGGAGAGAAAGACTTGAAACTCTCGCGATGTAAGTTTCGCTGCCAACCCGTGAAAGCCCTAGACACATCATTAACATGGCTACAGACACTGCCTGGACCCGGATACCCGTGTCTCCTCTGGCGAAACGCATTATTTGGCGACTTGAGTCAGACCGATACGCGCTTACAACACCGAGCCTCTATGAGCTGGGAAAGCAGCTCCCAGATTACTACGGCAACGAAGACCCCGGCCGAATGAGTTATCGCATCATAGAGAGACTCCGAGGAGAGGCATGGGAGAAGTTTGCTGCAATGGACATGTTCTTTGTCAAAGTAAGCGAGGCCTGCATTGCCACCCGCGTTGTCATTTTCTTGGCCAAGGCACAGTCTAACATTTATCCCAGGCGTCCGACTTTATGTACATCATTCCAGCAATACACCATCTCCATAACATAAGGCTTACAATGGCCTACCGCGAGCTGCCCGAGACGGATGCGCAACTCGGCAAGTGGGTGCCGCAAAAGTGGAAGAGCGACCCAGATGCGAACCGATTCTACGGATTCGCGCCGAGCAGCAAGCATTTCGTCAACGGTGAGCTTGTGTCGGAAGATCAGCCAGGTCTCGCTGCCGTGAGCATATCGCCGTTCCCGGAGAAGCGGGTTCCGCGGCGCGGTCTCGTGGCGGTGGAGATGGACGACCCTGCATATAGCAAGCTCTGTAAGGAGCAGGGGCTCGAGGACCTAGCGAGCGAGGGCGAATCGCCACTCCTGCCCAACGGGGTCCACTCATCGCCCCTTAGCGCATCATCTCGTGTGATGGCGGCGAGCGTCAACGGCCTAGGCCCGTCGACGCTCGTAGGTGCGGCGACAACAAACGGCATCGGCAGCGGGTCGAACCGCGATAACCATCCCATCTCGCCGTCCTCGGAACCTGGCCCTGCGCAAGCCCGGCCATTGGTCGACGGCGCTCAGAGGATGGTCAATGGCGGCACGGACTAATCACTCCAGTCGTCTCTCCTTGACTCTCCTAATTAAAGATGACGACTCTATCACTCTCATGTTGGACGATTTCCTTTTATCATTATCTAGGCGAGGCAGCGAACAAAACAGCCATAGAAGGGGTGCCTTTAGGGATTGGCAACATCTACTTTGCTTGACACGAGACGGTGAAAAGGTTGAACTGGGGGGGTTTTTTTTTTTGGTTCGGGTACTTGTTCTCTTCGTTTTCTTTGTTTTCTTTTCATTTCTGTTCTTCCTGGATGATTGCCTTGGGGCTCTTCTGACAGGGTTCCGGGAGATACCCTTGATTTGTAAAGAGGTTTGTCGTGCTGAGAGTGCAATGTTCATGTCATGGTAGCCAGCTATACTTTGGTATGTAGCGATTTTGTTTGTTTGGGGAGGGGTCAGGGGGGTGAGATCCGGAAGGGACGACCTGGCCGAGGAGTTTGGCGGGCTTTGGCTCAGGCGGGCAGGCGGAACAGACGCGACCAGACATAAATCTCTCTAAAGAGTATACGTACATAGGTGCCCTCTTACATATATACATCTCTATTGTACGCTCTAAATGACCACCATATGAACATATCAAGAAGGCAAGGGAACGCCGTTGTCTAGGCTGGCCGTTGACGTGCCGAGTGGCGCCCGAGGCCAGGGCATGACATCAGGCGGTCCAGGCCGAGGCCGGGGGGCTAGGGTGCATTAGCCTCCCTAACTTAATTCGCCCGCCATTTTTGCCCCACCATCAAAATTCCCACGCACCGCACCTGCACCGCACCTGCACCGCACTTCACCGACCGACCACAACACGACCGATCGAGCGCCGCCGTATTCCCAAGTATCGGCATCTACTTGTCGCGCTCGGCGTACAGACAGACAGGCATAGACCAAAACTAGAGGCGAATCCAACACCGCAAACATGTCGACCACGGTGGAAAAGGTATGTTGCCAGACTGGCCAGGCCAGGACGAAAGAAGCTCCAAGGAGGGAACCCAGGCTAACCTGTGCGCGCTCACTACCCAACCTCTAGATCAAAGAGATCGAGACCGAAGTAAGTAGTGGCTATACTTAGATCATGCGACGCCTGCCATGGTGCTCCAGCCGAGACTGACTGCGCTGCGCAGATGGCTCGGACTCAAAAAAACAAGGCCACATCGTACCATCTCGGCCAGCTCAAAGCAAAACTCGCCAAGCTCAAGCGCGAGCTTCTCACTCCATCGAGCAGCGGTGGCGGCGGCGGCGCGGGTTTCGATGTCGCCAGGACCGGTGTTGCTAGTATTGGCTTTATCGGCTTCCCCTCGGTGGGCAAGAGCACTCTCATGAGCAAGCTCACAGGCCAGCACTCCGAAGCCGCCGCATACGAATTCACGACTCTCACGAGTGTGCCCGGCCAGGTCGTCTACAACGGTGCGTACGCCAACACTGCTTTCTTGAGGGTTAAGGGTGTGTGTTCCGGGTCCGGCTCTGTTCTAATCCACCGTGTCTGCATTTAGGCGCCCCACTGCAGATGATTGATCTGCCCGGCATTATCGAAGGCGCAAAGGACGGACGCGGACGAGGTCGCCAGGTTATCGCCGTCGCCAAGACTTGCCACTTGATCTTCATCGTCCTCGACGTCAACAAGCCCCTCACAGACAAGCGCGTCATCGAGTCGGAACTCGAGGGCTTCGGCATCCGCATCAACAAGCAGCCGCCCAATATCACCTTCAGGAAGAAAGACAAGGGCGGCCTAAACATCACCCATACCGTCCCACTGACCCATATCGATACGGACGAGATCCGCGCTGTTATGAGCGAGTCAGTACCCCCTAGAGCCGCCGTTCTGTGTCGCAGGTGCTGATTCTTTGACGTGTCTGTTAGGTACAAGATCAACTCGGCTGATATTGCAATCCGGTGCGATGCCACCATCGACGATCTGATTGACATTCTGGAAGCCAAGAGCCGCAGCTACATTCCTGTGGTCTATGTTCTCAACAAGATTGACAGCATCAGTATCGAGGAGCTAGACCTGCTATACCGAATTCCTAATTCGGTGCCCATAAGTTCCGAACACGGGTGGAACTTGGATGAGCTGATGGAGTCCATGTAAGTTCATGCTGTTATTTGTGTTGAATTTCTTCCAAGCTCGTACACACTAGCTCCCGCCTGACTTATAACTAATGTCGGCTTGTGACAGGTGGGACCACTTAAATTTAGTCAGGGTCTACACAAAACCCAAAGGAAAGATGCCTGATTACTCGGCCCCCGTCGTGCTCCGTTCGAACAAATCTACTGTTGAAGACTTTGTGAGTTCTGCCCGCCCATACCCCCCCTGTGGCCACTTAGCAGTTAAGCGCTGGGACTGACGCATTGAAATAACTACAGTGCAATGCCATTCACCGAACCATCGTTGATAATTTCAAGTCTGCAATTGTTTACGGCAAGTCGGTCAAGCACCAGCCGCAACGTGTGGGTCTAAGCCACGTGCTAGCCGACGAAGACATTGGTATGTTGAACAGAACCCGCTGCTCCTTTTACACGATCCTGCCATCGTGTTACTGACTCCGGCGGCATAATAGTCACAATCGTCAAACGATAATGAGCCAAGCCGCGTTCTATCATTTGATATGGGGGGATGCCCGCGATGTGGCGAGCTGGTCAAGCCAAGGAGGACGTGAGCGAAATGCTCCGGCCCAGCTTGGCCCTCATCGGCCAAGCAGGGGCCATGAACTGCGTTGGTAAGTTTTAAACCGGGCAGTCTGCTCCTTTCGGGGTTTACGGCAAGGCCACGGCAGCGAAGATCAGTCTCTGGTGTGTTTGATACCCGGGGCCGCATCGGGGCGAGGACGAGGACTGTGGAATCTACAGGGCAGTACCTGCTATCGGATGTTTAGCGTCAGCCATGTTCGCCGTTTATTTTGGCCTCGCCACGAATTTGCCATGGTGGAATCCTCCAACTGGATGCAGGATTGAAGCGGTCGGTCCTGTGTTGTTGCTGCACGGTAAATACACATATACACCTGACAAGGCAAACATCTATGCCGGGTCCTACGCACGTTTACCCAATTCACGCACTAAATACAAACAATTTGGCACCATTTGTCAACCTTTTTGCAACTGCCTTCCTTCCTCGCTCTACGTTCACCCTAACCCTATGTACGAGCCGCAAGGGGATAATCCCATGGGGAGAGGGGAGTTCGTTGTCGGCACGGCAAACCAAGCAAACAGTTCCAGTTCTGTTCAGTTTGTTTACGACTCGTAACATGACGATGGACAGGCAAGCAATGGGGGCATTCATGCGAAGTTACATTTTCTCTTCCCATCCCCTTTTTTTTCTTAACTCGCTCGAAATGCAATGGGCTCATTTGGAAAGAAAAACCACCCACCAAGTGACCAACTGAGTGTTTTGGCAGGCTTATCTAGACCGAACCACCGCGAGCCTAGCGTCAACCATAGCTAGGTACCTACCAACCTCAGTTTGTTGGCTGCATATACTTTACCCAGTAGGTACGAAGGTAGATAGGCAGGTAAACGCGGCGCATAGTCGGTTTTCCAGAACCTTGGGAGGTTCCAAAGAAAAACTCTGAGCTGCCGTAGTTTTGTTGAACTGCCTTGCCCTTCCTAGCGAACTGTCTGTGTGATTTCTTCTGCTTCTACGTGTCCATGTATAATATATGTAGAACTATATATATATATGTGCGTAAATGTGTGAATGTGTATAGTACCTACGCCGAGGTGCCGTTGTGCCATGCCATCCATGCAGAGCCTGGCTCTCTGCTCGCGGTGGCGCGGGTGCTACCTATGTCAGATTTCGGGTTCGGATTCTGCGGAAAGACAAGGAAGTAGAGCAAAACAAAGCGTAGTATCATGTGAAAATGACCTATGTGGTGCAGTGAATTTGAGATCTGGCAAGTAGGAACAGAGGGGTGGGGAGGATGAAAGGGGGGAGTTTGGGTTCTCCCCTTATTGCTTAGTAAGCACGTGTGTGTGGTTGTGGTGGCCTGCCCCTTTCCGGGTGTCTCCTTTTTCCTCTCCTTTTATTTCGTCTGTTTTCTCTTCTTCGTGTTCATCAGCGCTTAACGGCATCACAAAGAGAGAACATCAACACCTTAATACGTGTAATAAGATGGATTGATATAGAACAGACCGTAGTATGGGAGGGGGGCTTATTGTTCTGGTGAGTGCCCCTATCCTCCCGGCTCGTGCGTGCCGCGGGCGGGTGTGTATAGGGGGCTAATTCTTTTTTTCCTCTTTGTATTTGCATACACATCAGAGGCAGGTTCATGTGAAATATGACTGCTCCCTTTTCTTGCCGGTGGGGGTTGCTCGTCGGCATGCCCATCTTGGACGGTTACCAAGGTAGGAGGTACCTTAAGTATAGACGGGCATCTGAGCTTTGGTCCTGGCGTTGCTATTGCAGAAGCAACCCCCACCCATTATAAGTCCGGATACCACATCGGCGTGCATCGTGAATAGGGCGGGCGGCATCCATGCTGGTTTTTCGGAAACCTGGGTCGGCAGAAACAAAACCCACGTCCCTCCACCAGTGAGCGGACTGTATGTATGCGCCTCAGGTATTCCTGTATTTCCGTGTCTGTGTACCTATGTGTGTGTCTGTGCCTCTCGGTCTTTACCTGGTGTATGTGTTCGTGTGTGTGTGTGTGTAGACGTGCGGCAAGTCCGCGGATGTCAAGCTTACACGCAGTATTACTGTTACAGCGCAGCAGGAACAGGTTTGAGAGCAGCCGTTTCCTTACTCCTTGCAGCGAAACAGCTCTATTTGCAACAGCCATGAATATCTTTCCTTAACTAGACATGCCCCCAACAACAGCCATCTCTCAACCGCCTGAAGCCAAGCACGTTCAGTGAATGCATGTACCCTGTTACAAGAATTGGCGAGGCACACGCAATACCAGAATGCGATTGTGGCGTTGTTGGTCTTTATTTCAAATAAATGGCAACATGCTACGGTTTTCGTTGCGCTCTGGGGGTTTGTGAGAGTGTGAGTGTGACCCCTTTTTCCATCTCGAAAACCAAAAGGAGCAAGGGGCTGCTCGGCGGTAAGAGAGTCTGTGTGAAAGGCTGGTTTTGGGGAGAGGGTGGCAGCGGAGGCGGCGGCATACTGCATGTAGTACATCCCTTGGTCAGGTACGGAGTACCCAGGGCGCCATGTGGAATGGGGCAGCTTTTTGTCCCCCCAACAAGAGTCACTTGGCCCAAGAAACGAACGATTTCAGGAGAAACAAGGCGCAGAAAGGAGCGTTGGAATTGCCTTGTGGGGTAAGAACATGGAAACAATAGGACGCTTTCGAGAAAAACAGTCGAGACACAGCTGCCCTCATGGAACTGAACTCAAGAAACAAAACTCTTAGACCTCGGCCATCCATGCGGCCGGTTGGACCGTAATAGGTGCTATTCTGCACATGAAGAGGCGAAGTAGCGGCCGCGTTGTTTCGTCTAGAATAGAGAATAGACTGGGTAGGTTTGCAAATCGATTCCTGGACCGCTGATTTGCCATTGGGCTGTGGGATGGCCGTCGTCAATGGCATTGCATCTGGAACCAACAGATACTAAGATCAGAAGCACAGATGCCCGAGGTTGTGCCTTAGTGGCTCGACGGCAAGTCTGTGTGCTCTTTCTTCATCAATTCTTCACGGTTGTGGATGTCTGCGATGCTGCGCTGCAACGGCAGCCATGTCAGGGCGGCTGGTGGACTGACCTGCTGGTGGTGGGACCTGCTTAGTTGGACCTGCACCCTAAAACGGGAGCGCTTTCCAGATCGAAACCCAATGCGAAGGGAAGGTGGGGGGTCGGCTCAGACGCGCAACTTCACCTCTACCGGGGAAATACATGTTAGCTTGGTACGTTGTTACTATTAGTATCTTCTAGGGAAATCTCGCTAATTACTAACTTTGCCACCTTCCCACGCTAACATGTATTACCCCGGAGGAGGTGTTGAAGTCGCCCACACGCACGTCCATCATCCGCAGACACGACGGGAAGGCGCGGAGTGGCAACTTGGGAAGGTTCCATGTAGGGCCCGGGGCTTTTCGGATAGAAGCTCAACCTGAACCCGACCTTTGAATTTAGGGTATGCCATGCCAATCCAATGATGCCATACGTTCTCGGTATGCCTCATTTCTTGTTGCCCGACTGGCCGAGAGAGACACCCACCACCACAACGCCAAATCGAGTCTGCTGTGCCTCAGCCGTACCCAAGCTCTAAACGAAGCAAGGTACGGAGTAGGAGCACTGGACTGTACCTAACCTCACCCTTACTTTGGGTCACTTTCACTTTCACTTTCAGTCGCTCCCAGGTCGCTCGCTCTACGAGATCAGATCAGCGTTCGTTCTCGTGAACACGACCCGCCCCGATTTCTCGGCTACCGTTTCCTGTTTCTCGCCGCCCGCCTCCCGTCTCGGTTGTCGTGAGTAGTGACTCGTGCTGTCTGTCTGTCTGTCTGTCCGTCGACGCAGACTGGCCGTGGAGCCAAGTCTTATTGGAATCCTTCGCCAAAGTGCTCCGTGGCAGAGTTCTGTTGTCAATTGGCTCCCTGTGCGCTTCTCTAGAGGGGACGTTGAGGAGCTTTAAATCACGCCCAACCGGAGAGTTCGTTCGCGTCCTGCTTTCTCTCGCATGGATGACTTCATCATGGGACCGTGTCCAGGCAATCCTCACGGGGCGATGGGGATGTCTTAGCAGCGGGCCCCTCCTTTACCAACGCGCTCGCCTGCTTTGGTCCAAAAAGTCCCTTTTGTGCTCGAGAATTTGCTGCTTTCCCCCCTGGCCTGGCCATTTCTCGACGCGATTGGCGGGTCCGGGTTGAGCTACCCCCGATTAGGCCGCCTTCCTCTGGGATCTTGTCGAGTCGTCAGGGATTTACGAGGCATGGTCCAGTAAGAAGCCAGTCCGGCCATGGGGGAGGCCCTGCGCTTGGGCCTCTTCGTTGGTAATGGGCCATATTCTGCCCAATCAAGTATGCGCACAAAATCGGCTTGCAACCCGGAAATTATACCCAATGGCAGCTTGACCTGGCTTTCTTTTTGCACGTCTTGTGGACTTGTGGTTGGACTGCGGAAGACCGGTGTAGGTAACTCGATGGGCGCTGGATTAGAGCTCCTACCGACGGAGTACCTGGGGACTGGACTGCTGAAAGGCGGGACTGGGCCGCTGAAAGGCGGGACTGGACTGGGGGGCTGACATAACATCGACTGATGTCAAGACAAGACCAAGACCCTCCCCCCGGCTCCCCGGATCATCCGACAAGAGCTTGCCGTCGAGGAGGAAGGCGATGCTAGATCCTGTGTCGTCGTCGGCGACTTGGACGTACAAGGGCCCCCCGCCTGACACCTAGATCGCTTGGGAGAAAGAAGCGACTAATGTACGGGATTCAGATGGGATCTCTCCTCAGGGCCGCTTGACTAGGTGAACTTGGCGCGGGCCGCGTCGCGATGCGATCAGATGTCGCGCCGCCGTGCTGGACCTTGCGCCTGCCTGCCAGTCCCCAGTCTGGCCGTCTCCCCACCAAGGCTACCAGGTACAATATCCATACCTACGCATGTACAGTGTTTCAATATGTACGGCTTTCTCTCGCCGCCTGGAACAAAACGCTTCGGTACCTAGTATCCATTAGACCAGAGGATCCTTCCCGGCCGGCAATCAACAATGAGGCGACCATGCCGCCGAATGCCGCGGTGCTCGCCGTGTCGTATGGATAGACGAGGCCCACTGGCGAGGTGAGGTTCCGGCAGTCGTGGTTGGGCCTTGAAGGGGTATTTCCCGTGCTCAACCGAAACAAGCAGCTCGGGCTGTTCAAGGGTTTCCCTGGTCTGGCTTTGGACCACAATAACGGGGCCCCCTTGCCGCAGCCGTCCGCCGTTGTCTATCTTAATTCAAAGAGGTTGAGTTGCGGGTCTTGCGGCAGCTTGGCTAGTACCGCCAAGCTTAAGCCTTAGGCAGCCTCGCTCTGGAGCCGCGAGACAGCCCTCATCGTCGGCTCGCTCAGCGCGGTAGGCGACGGCTGAGCCACCGTCTGTGAGACACGGCCACTGGGGTTCCCATGTCTTGTCTCAGACTCGCCGCCCACCCGATTTCTCGAGTGCGTCGGTCGGCACAATGGCCTTTGTACTGACTGGTCTGAATCTGATCCGTCAGCCATGTCGGGATGGCCAATTCCAGCTGTATGGTAGAGCAGTGTCGATGGCGTCCGTTGGCGACCCCCAAGATGAAGTTTATTAACGTGGGCGCAAGATGGGTCCAGAGAGGGCCGCTTAAGCTAGCGACCACTCACCACACCCCCGGCCCACTCTGGCCCAGCGGGCGGGCACCCAAAGGCAGCCAAACGGCGACAAGATACCGGTTGCGCGGCTGTGATTCGCACACTGAGCCTGTGTCCCGTGTCTGCCGTGGCCATTGACCCTACCACTATTGCGTAGGTAGTAAGATTATTGAGAGAATTATCGACTCGTCCTCCATAACTGGTGCTCTGTACTTGGTATGTATGAGGAAGCAACCGCCTCCGTCTCGTTAGCTCCGATTGCCGGCCTGCCATGGGACGGGGGGTGAATGGCGGATCGCGTTTTTGGCGCATGGCGATGGTGCCCATATCGCTCTCCGCGGATACCAAAAGGCAGCTAGGTATCTCATACTCCGTACCTGCGTCGCACTTCTTCTCGTGCGCGTGGGTGTGCTAGTGGATGTACGTGCGCGTGCCTGTGTGTAGCCATGCGACTGCCATGGTTCGCTTAGATTTGACAGTTTGACACGCCTTGGACGGCCGCCTAGGTACGAGTACATTACTCGAATACTATACCGACTACGGCGGACAAGCAAAGCACGGCACATGGCCGTTGAGGACTGAGAATACCGTCGGCCATCACATTTTCCGCCTGTCCAGGAACGCCTTTAAAACGGACAGCCCTCCAGCCTACCTGTTTCGTGCCTAGTTGCGAAATAGTTAGCCAAGCTCAACGTTGCTTTTGCTCGCTCGCCTACCCCATGTCGATAGGTGCAAGCACATCGAGGGACATGGGTCTGCAGGTCTAGGTCCTTGTCCGTCGGTTCGGGCGCTCCTTCTGACGACGCTAGCAGCATTGATTCTCTTGATTTCCTCCGCTGCCAGTCCCCATGCCTCTCCCCGACGTTTCCTTTCAGAAGCCCGAGCCAGCCCTCCCATCGACGACGCTACGCTGCGCCTGTCGATGCTCTGGGGGACACTGCCATAGCAACCCGGCTGGGCTCGCTCCAGTCCCGACACGTTTCCCATCTCGGACCTGGCCAGTGGTCATGGGCCGTCTTGAGTCTCAACTTCATCTGTCATGTTGTGTACTGAATAGTGTGTACTATCGTCGCCCCCGTCTTATCCTCCTCGTCCGCCTGCTTTGAGGAGGACCCAGCTCTGAGCACCAAGCGGCCCCCCCCCCTTCCAAGCCTCTCCCCCGACTCCCCCCGTGGCTCCCCCAATACCGGCCCACGCACCCTGGACCCCTGCCGGGAGATACAAACATCCTGCGCGCATACATAGTACATATGCTGCCCCAACGTGACCCTCCACCACTACATGGTTAGCACTCTGTGCGTCTGACTTATCTCGACCCAGCTCCAGCAGAGGTCGGACTGCACTGCGGCCCACTGACGCCCTACTGGTAGATCTCTCCTGGTGTCGCTGCCACTACCGCTACCGCTACTGCTACCGCTCCTGCTACCGCTCCTGCTCCTGCTGTGGATGCCCTGGACTCACTTACACAGGTTCCAGTGCTGACAAGAGGCGCCCTTGGTCACTGCGTCGCTTTATGTCTTGGTCGGCAACTCTGGGACAGTCCGTGAATAGAGTCGCTCCCGAATCCGAACAAAGCAGCGAAGCAGCCTGGAGTCGACTCGAGCCCGCCATAGACACGCGTTGCTGCTGCCGCCGAGAGACGGTCTGACGGAAGAGGGTCGAGGAAGGCGTCCCTAACGAGCTCTGGTACTAGCCAAGGGGGGTGCAACACCGACTAAGGCGGCTACGGTTATCTCGAAGCAACGAGGCGCTCTCCTTCTGCTTGCCGAGCCTGTCCAGTCCCGGCCTACGCAGTCTACCCGCTCTTTTTCGACAAGAGGCGTGCCGAAAGGCTGCCGGAAGACGCCTCTGCAGCTAGCTACACTGCAGCTCAGCGCCCGAGGGGGCTCCCAACGCAACAAGCCTTGCGACCTCTTCGACGGCCAGACCGTAGCTGCATGCCCGATAGAGGAACCACAATTGGTCTGCCGTACCATGCAATGCAAGCCGTCTCCTGAGCGAGCACGGTATTGCGCACCCCATTCCTGAAGGGCTGATCCCCACAGCTGCTAGACTCCAGTAGGCCAACACGCATATCCCGGTGAGAGTGGCTCGGCACATCGCCAACACCGCAAAGTGTGGACGACTCAGCTCCCCTCGCGCAGGCCAGGCCAGTGCAGTGCAGTGCTGATCCAAGCCGCCACCACCCACCCGTTCCAGCCAGACGAGTCCTCTCGTGAGCATGCATAACCAGATCATCGGCTCGACAGCCATGGACCAGGAGAACCACATCGCCCAAGACCATCCATACAGCAATGAGAATTGGGTAGACATGAACTCATATCACCACCAGACCACCATGCCCGACTACAGCAATGGGTATGGCTACATACCGCCCATCACCCACGGACTGCCTTCCGAGTCTTTGAACAGGATGCCGCCCCCTCCGCAGCCCATGTCGCAGTCCCAGGCCTCACACACGCAGTTGCCCATGCTGATGATGCCCCATCATGCGACGTGGCCGAGCATGTTGACCAACCCGAACAACTACAGCCCGCACTCGGCACCGCCGGTTGCCATCCCACCCGTCTCGGCGCCGCTCAAGACGTCGAAACTGCCCGCGATCCAGACGTCGCAGCCAAGGAAGACGCTGACCGACGACGACCGCCGCGCCATGTGCCAGTATGCCGAGGACCACCCCACGGCCAAGCAGACAGACATTGGCGCCCGCTTTGGCGTCGAGAGAAGGTAGGCCGCAAGACCACCGTTATCTAAACCCATCTAACACTAGCATAGCACCGTGTCAAAGGTCTTGCGCCACAAGGAAAAGTATCTCTCTTCGGAAGATCGGAGTAGCTCCCCGATCAAGCGCACCAAGGGGAAAGGTGTAGACATTGAAAAGGCTCTGTCCAACTACCTGCGAAATGCCCAAAAGACGGGCATCGCCGTGACAGGTGAGGACCTCAAGGAGAAAGCGCGCCTCTTCTCGACGACGATGAGCAACTCGGGCGACAGCTTCTTCAAGATGAGCAGCTCGACTTGGCTTGACAAGTTTATGCTGAAGCACGGCATCGGCCCGGGGAAACTGATGCGCCGTGCCTCCGAGACCAATATCCCCGACAGTATCCGCGGCTCGCCGTCGCTGAGCGCGTCGCAACCCTCGAGCGCCATTTCTCCGGCCTCTCCGTCTGGGCACCTCTCTCCCTCGCCCTTGTCAGCAAACAGGAGCGACGAGGAGAAGGAGAGCCTGAACAACTTTATGGACTTTGCCACCGAGGGCGGTACATATAAGCACTCGAATTCCCAGAGCACGACGTCCCTGTCGAGCGCATTTACCGACACGGGGGCCTCGTCGTTTTCTGGCGGGAGCGCAATGAGCCCTACTGCCTCGTTCAACTTCTCCCCGGATCCCAATGTCGGCGGGTTTCTCCGGGCCGACAATAGGCAGATTCCGCCTCCCGGGGCCGGCAACCCAAACTTCCAGCGGCCGCGGAGCCAGACATTTCCCACCTTAGATTTGGAGTACATGAACCAGTCCCAGCCTACGGAGCCCTTAACCCCCAAGTACCACGTTTCCGCCACGGCGCCGTCGTCGGCTCTAGAATCTGCGACGAGCGAAACGTCGGGGGCGCATTTTGATCTCAGCCATGCGGTTTCGTCACCGCAGCTTCGTCACAGCAGCAGTAATAGTAGCCTGGCGGCGCGTTCGACTACAACCCCCGTCACCGCGAGCGCTGTCGGTTCATCACCGAGCTCCCCGACACAGGAGGATGCGCGCAAGGCCGCCGACACGCTTTTGTCTTTTATCCAGCACGCTGGCGGGTTTGTGGACCAGAACGAGTACCTCGCTGTCGTTAGGTTGACTGAAAAGTTGCGCATACACCAAAACCAGATTGCAAAGGCCGCAGCGCATGGAATGGGTGGCCTGTCCCGCATCCCCGAAGGCGACAGCGAGATGCCAAACGCCCCGCCGATCAAGGAGGAACCGGTGTTGGGGGCATAAGACAGAGGTATGGGAAAGGAAACGGCTCTGGCTTTCTTTGGGAGGTGCTGTTGCTTATTCTCCCTACCGTGCTTTGGCCCTTGGGTGGCATTAAGCGATTTGCCACCTCTTAATTGTTTTGCATCTGCTGGCATGCAGAGCACGGCCAGGCAACCCGTCTCAAAAATACGGATGGAAAGACCTTTCCCGACGATGCTTGCGAAGTCTCTTGGGGCCTTTCGACGTCATGTTTGGACGAGTCCCTTTGGTATTCAGGGGTACACGATCTTGATGTCTCGCGACAGTCACGTTTCCCAGCTTGTTTTATTTGACGCCCCTGATACTGGACTGCTGGCCTAGTAACAGGGTTTCTCTCTCGCCAACGCCAGTTCTGCCTGCCGCGCCATTCCCTCTGTGTGTGCGCCCCTGAAACACGAACCATGTACACGTCGCCAGAAATTTCGAAATTTTTTTCTCCTCAGCATAACATACGACATTTCCCCTTTTCCCCTGCTATTCGGACCTACATATACCCAACATTGGCGTTATCCATTTGGATGAGGGTTGCGCCAACATCTTTTACCGCTCCCGCAACAGACAGAAAAAAGCGCTCACGCGAAACCAAGACTCGAAAACTCCTCCATCTTCTGCCGCTTATTCGACTTATTTATTTTTTTGGAGTCACACGATTTCCACTTCTTATTCCATTTCCCTTCTCGGCACCCTTTTTGCCCTGTCTCCCCGGGGAGAGACGGGTGCTAGACCTACCACTATTACCATCGACGGTGGCGGTGGTGGGTATTTTTAGGCATGGCATGGCGGGGAGATCATTACCATTTTTTCCCATTTCATATTTTCCTATCTCTGTACAATTTAGTGGCGGTATAATCCTTTTTTATCTTCTTTCCATTTATAGTCTATTTCTTCTCCTTTTCTTTTGCGTCATATATATCTATCCATGGATTGTCCCGCGGGGGCTTTGCAGGGGGACGACCACTCTTGCGTTTGTGTCAGTCACGTCTTATCACGAACTGTTTTGTTTCCCGGGAGCGGACAACGGAGATCCGACCTTTTTCTTATTTTTCATGACAAACAGCGAAGATGGGAGGGCCAGGCCTGACCGATGGCTCAAGGAAAGAAGCAAGCAAGCAAGCAAGCAAGCAGAGAAAAGGAAAGCCGACTCGCAAGGGTTTAGGGATGGATGGGGCTTGTTTCGATTTTATATTTTATTTTTACCTTGGATTCTTCCCAATATTCCCGGCGCATAGTTTCATGAATTTTACCCTTTTTCTCTCCTGTTCTGCTTTGTATATCTGCTTCGTATATCTACCTACAAGCCTACTTGTTCATGCTCGGCGAAATATGACTGGCATATCTTACAAGACAGGCTGGGTATTATTACTAGAATAACCGACACTAGGATGGGTTCTGACCCCCCCCCCCCCAACACTCTCTCCACTATGACGAGACAACGTGTTCAAGGCTACAAAGGAACTAGTAAGGACAAGAAATAAAGACAACAACTAGATTAAAAATCTCAGCCAAGGGGGGGGAATACCATGTCGATTACCTAGCTACTTCACATTAATGATACGCCACGGGGCAGTCTAGTACGGAGCCATTCCAGTTATTATTATTGGTGGAGATGGGGACTGTATTGACCCATCCACACACGTATTCACAAACTTGAGCTCGTCGAGTGAGTAGTCGTTTATTAGGCGAGCCTCTCGGCCCACAGGTTAACGACGCCATTCTCGGCGATCTCGGGTAGCAGGCGCACCAGCAGCAGCTCCACGACGCTGTACATGAGGTGCTTGTTGCAGTAGGCATCGCTAAACACGTCGAGAATCCCCGCCTCAATGTCCTGCAGAGCCCACTCGCCGTCTTGAGCGGCGCCCACCACCTCCGCCTCTTGGCCTTTAATTACAGCGACAGCGGCAGCAGAAGCATCTGTCGTGGACGTCCTGAGGGCGGCAGGGATAGTAGCAGCGCTAGTTTGGTCAGCAGTGCTAGTTGTTGACGGCTGACCGCCGCTCCTCGGAGCGGACCGCTGTGATGGGAGAGCAGTAGCAACATCTTGATCAGGACTAGAAGAGGCGGACGACCCATGTCCGTGCTGCTGCTGGCCGTGCTGCCTTGCTGATCCTTTTGGCGGCAGCAGTCTAGCAGGGCCAGAAGCAGAAGCAGCAGCAGGAGCCGGGGTAGCAGGGTCCCACCCCTCCTCGTTTCCAACAGCGGCGCCACGGCCACGGGCACCAGCGCCAGCACCGTGGCTACCACTACGGCTGCTGCCAAAATACAGCCTTCCCACACCCTTCGGAACAAGGGCCCAAAGAGCACTAGCGCACCTGCGTCGCAACAAAAGCAGCTCTGCTTCGGAAGAGGGCGCCATCAAGGTCGGCTTGCCAGGAATGTTGTTAGGGAACAGAGCCCCTCGCACATTGCGGAGAAGTGGGGGTAAGTTGGCCGGGTCTAGCAAGTACTGGTGGATGCCATACGAGAGAAGCCTGTTTGGTGTGTGTGGTTTTAATTGATTGCCCATGTTAGCTAGCTGAGACAGGCTCGAGGGTGGGTGGCAACAACGACATTGTGTGTTTCATGCGTGGGGGAACGGTGGGAGAAACGGGTGACTGAAGAGCTGAGGGGGTGAGAGAACTGGACTGGTCGGGTGTGCACGGGTGAGAAGAAAGGAATGGGTGTGCCCATTGCCAAAGTGCTCATCCCATCTTTTCTTCCCAGATGGAACGGTTTTCTCGAGCCAGGGGTGGGAATAATGTCTCGGAAGAGGGACAGGGAGCCAGGTGTCTGAGCGTGCAGGCCACGGCGACCAGGGCGGGCACGGAACGGACAAAACGGTCAGGTATCGAGGAAGCAATGGAACCATGGTGTTCAAGCCACCGAAAACAACATGCGCAATTATCGTGGTGCCAGGCCCGGCATTGAGAGACGAGGCGGGTGAAATTGAGACCGACAACTAAGCTAGCTCAGACTGCTGCAAGTGGCTTGCTGGGGAGGGCGGAGAGGTGGAAAGGGGAGCAGTGCAATGAGCACAGTGACCAGAGCTTCCTGCCTTCAATGCGGGGAGACAGGGACGTGAGAGGGTGGGGAGACGCCGGCCGGCTACTGCAACCAAGCAAGCAAGCAGGCAAGCATGGACCTCCATCGGACCTGGGTCGGAGTCTGGAGAGTACCATCGCCTGATCTGCACAGCTCGTGTAACTCGAATTCGAGTGACCGCAAGACCTGTCAAGGCTCTGATCTGTCCTGGACCATGGCGCATACGGCGCTCGGGTGCCTCTGAGTTTGCCTGCCATGGCATATGAGAGAGCGCAGAAAGCTCGGCCGGGGGAGCATTGGTGATGACGCATTGTGCTCACGCATTGTGCTCACCAATCTAAGGCTGGGCACTTTTGCGTTCTTTGGCAGGACAGTGAGACATGGATGTGACATGTCAATCAGCAAGTGACTGACTAAGTGACTGACTGACTGACCGGCCGGCTGGCTGGCTGGCTGACCGACACTGCTTTCTCTCTCGTGTTGACTTGAATCACTCGATAGACTCAGCGACCCCGATCGCGATCGTAAACGGCTTGGAGGACAACCATCATCCAGGAAAGGGCAAGATGCATCGTGACAGTCGATAGTGGCGACAAGTGTAGGGCCTGTATCGGACATGGTAGGGCAAGATAGTCTGTGGGGCAGCAGACCAGAGAGAGCACCGAGACGAGATCGACCAGGCGTGGAAAATGAATTTGGTGAGCAAAACTCGCGAGGTGTGAATGGGGGGGGGTTGTGTGGTCCAAGCCCAACCCCTGCAGGGTGCGGCTTGCTGGGCGCGTAAACAAGGCTCACCGATGGACCGCCGTGCAAGCCTCTGGAAGGGCGTCGAGCAATCGGACGCGGCCAAGGCAACTGCGCGCCGCCATTGGCCCGCCCGTCGAGAGGGGGTTCCAGATGCAGACCCCCGGCGACTGGAACCTCAGAGTCTTGTGGCCGCCGATTCGGCCGCAGGACCTTTTGGGGGTGTGTTCCACCGCATCCAGCTTTAGCCCGAAGCCTTGCTCCCGCCTGGCATTGGCCCGACTGACTGCGGCCCCAGCCAAGACCCTTCCAGACTTCCGGCCGGCCACTCAAAACCAGGATCGCAACGCAACGGGACCGACGGGTCACAACGGGCCAGCAATCTCACTATCTGCCGTGATGCACTTGCACAGCACGCCTTCAGATCCAGTCACGCCCTCAGACCTCAGATCCAGTGACTTGCGGGTCATGCCGTGTGACTGTCTGTGACTGTGGCACGCTACCAATCTCGGGATAAGGAGGGGGCTGGTGGTTGGAAACGATGGTGAGAGTGAAAGCGAAAGGGGGGGCAACAAGTAAACATGATCTTCCTACCTGTCAATCACGCCGTCGACGTTGGCCATTCGTCCCGGCCCAGTCATTGCGATCCACTGGAGAATCGATAATGTGCCGCACAGCCAGGGCATCCGTACGTCCAACTCGGCCAGATTCGATAGGGCAGCCCAGAGCCGGAATGCCAGCACTGGTGTCTTTGGTGGCTCCGTATTCGTCTCCGTCTCGTAGGAATCGGCCGCCTGCATGGGATCGAGCTTGGTATCTGGCCTGTGATGGGCGGCTGCCGCGCCGAGCGCGTGGTCGTCATACTCGTGCTCGTCGAGGACTGGAGCGTTGCGCGAGGCCCGTCGAGGTATCGTGCGCGACGTGATCAGCATGGCCACGATGGCTCTGAGGAGCGACGCCGCCACGAAGCCCCACTGGAGGACCGTCCAGAACAGTGCCTGGATCGAGAAGCCCCTGCGGCCATCTTTCGACCCTCTGCTCGATGGCCCCGCTCCTGGTCCGGGGGCGGCTGGCCTGCCTGCGGCTCTCCGCCGTCCAATAACACCAGCGCCAATAATGATCACCTCCCATAAAAGCCACGGCTCCGATAGTTTGTGAGCAAAGACATTCCCAATAATCAGCTCGGAGAAGATCTGGCCAACCAGTGCCGTCAAACACTCATTTTCGAGGTCCTCGGTTGGGAGCAGCACCGGCAGGACGGCGTGGACGAGCAGCTGACGGTACGCCACCTCATTCTCGGCCTGCTGGGCAACACTATCGGGGTTTGATGGGCGGGGAACTGGAGACAGCGCAGGAAGCGGGTACAGCGAGTGGTATATCTCGCGAGGATCCGTCACCACTGGTGGCTGGGCTACAGGATCGTGGGCGGTTCGGTAGGCTAGATTATTTCCTCTAGTGTTAGCGGCGTGGTGTCTTGTGTAGTCTAGGAATACGAGGGGGGCGTGGCGGACCAGTGATGTGCCTATCGAGAAGGTCGGGGAGCTCGTCCAATAGTAGGCTCTCGAGGTCGACCTTGCGAAGGCGCTGCTCGAGCGCTCTAGTGCAGTGAGCTATGATTTGGACAATCTCGGCGACGAAGGTCTCGTCGGGTGTGATCTTGGAGTACCAGTTCTGGACGAACTCGCGTAGGATGATGGCGATGAGCGCGTACAGCTGCAAGTCGACGTCGTTGCGGCTCGTGAGCGGAGGCAGCAGGTCTTCTATCGGAGCGGGCGTGGTGTTCTTGGCCTTGTCGACGAGTTGCTGGGGGCATAGCGTCCGGCGAATTAGACTGGCCGTCGCTCGATCGGAAAGTCCATCAGCAGGAGCACCGGCAGTAGCACCCGCGGCACCACCACCTCGACGCCCGCTCCCCGACAGCAGCCCGGACGGCTGGATGGGGAGTGGGTTGGACGCTGACGCCGTGGCCGCCGTGGCCGCCGTCAACTCGGGTGCACTAAGAGTTGCCTTGGGCCGTGGAGTCGGCGCACGTGTCGGGCCCTGCGTAGCCGCGGTAGTCATGGCTGTGGCTGATGACTGGTCGTGGCTCTCAATGTCAATCAAACGTAATCGGGATGTCAAGGCATTATGGCGCGTCGGCTCGTGTGCTCATGACGGCGTCGGCTGAGATGTCCGGTCTTGGCCCCTCTTTCCGTGCTTTCGTCTCAGAGAATGGGGCTCTTGTTAAATTCCTGTCGTTCGTCGCATGAGCTTTGCGAGGCAGGCGCGAGTGACCAGAGCGGGTGCTGATAATTGGAGCGCAGCGCAGCAGCGCAGTGCGGTGCAGTACAGTTGTGTCATTCGGTGCCCCAAAACGGCAGGCGGTGAGGCTGAGACATCCAGCAGGAACCCAACCCACCTTCCCGATGCCATTGCATCACATCTCCAATTCTTCGAGCATCCCTTGGTTGAAACCGAAAAAAAAGAGAATAAAGCAATTTAAAGGGAGCATGATCACATATTCCCTACCCGTGATTGGCACATATACACCAAATTACATTTTAGCATAGGCGCAAAGCTTTTCTAGTTTAATCTACTTACATGCCTTTCCGTTTGCTCCACCAAGTCAGGCTCACGCGACCTAACAGTAACCGATGATGGATGTCGGCTTAGTTTCATTTCTCAAGCTGACAATCATTGTTTTGATACGGGCTATACAGTATTTAACATGCTGGCTTTTGTAAAGCTTAAGTTGGTTTCTATTTCATATAAGTCCCCTTTTAATGCGACAACCAGAGATGAGAAGCATACTCCATACAATGGCCGGATTAACCACAATAAGCTTGCTTGACTATCGTACAACAAAGCTCAAAGTCCGGGCCGCGCTCACGACGACTTGCGAGTCGTCTCGTACCTGGGAAAGAAGTGATGGTTAGCATCTTGCGAATGGGGGCACGCATGTACGTAAGACAAAAACAGCTAACCGTTTCCCGCGGAAGGCCCACACTCCCCAATTGCCAGCACTGATGTCTTGGGAGTCGAGGTCGTTCAGATCCCACCGAAGACTCCGGAAAGTGTTTTCACCTGGTTCCATTAGTATGTCGAACTCTCCGGCTGACGTCCGGTTGACCCATTCAACATCACGATCCATGTCAGCTTGGGTGTAACCAGTGACAATCACAGGGGCCTTGGTCTCGAGGAGCATAGGGATCGTCTCCTCCCACTCGTGCGAGCTGGAAGGATGGCCCAGCCCCGGGTGGAAGAGGACGAAACAGTCAAAGTACGGGTCGTACGGGTAGAATTCGCCCGTCTTGTGGATATTGTGGTAATAGTCGACGATCGTGCTGATCTTCATGGACGGCCACACCCGGTCCTCGACAACGGCTCCGAACCGGTTCGAGGGAGTGCGCGGCGGGAGCGGGAACTCGTCGTCCCGGTTGGCCATGCTCTCGGGGCCGATGAATATGAGATGAAATCGGGACAAGGGAAAAAGATGCGCCAGCTGGATCCATACGTCGCGGGGAAGCGACGACTCGGCCCGCGCCCCGAGTATGAACAGCCGCACCGGAGGCGCCTCGGGTCGGAGCCCCTTGATATCAGTACCGCCACCCGACTTGGTGGGATGCAGCGTGTATCGCAGTGCTTTGCAGACGTCAGCTGGCGGGTTCTCAATGGTTGTTTATGGGACTTGACATACCGCCGAAACTCTTGAGACCCTCGACAGTTATTCTGCCATCCGACTTGTAGCTATACGGGCTCAATTCGTGCAGAACGCTCGCTACCGTGACCGGGAATGTGAGCAGCCTAGTGGCTTGCCTCATGCTCCGGTCGTGGTTGATGGCCTGGAAGTTCCGCGTGTACAGGAACGTGTCCCAGTTTGTCATGTTGACCAGGGCCTCCTCCATCTGAGGGCCGGCATACTCAAACTCGGGGAAATAGCGGCCGGACCGGAGGTCATGGTCGTCCTCGTTGATCTGCCGCAGCGTGTCGCATATCTCGAGGTGTGCCTCGTAGTCGTCGGCCCAGTGCTCCTTGCTGCAGTAAACCGGGATGCCGCAGTCCGGGCACTCGAAATTGACATGGGCCGGCTTCTGACCCCCCGTTCCTGGCTGGTGATCGGGATGGGGGCAGCTTCCGTGCTGTCTGATATAGGCAGCTCGGCGGCGGATTTCGGGGATGGGCGAGTTCGTGAAGGAGTGAAAGAGGTCGTCGGGTTGCAGGACGGGCTTAGCGGTCCCTGGCAGGTTTGCAGCAGCCACGCCGGCCGGGCTGAAGCTCGGCTGCGCAACACCAGATGACAACCGTCGGGGGACCGAGATCTTCACGGAGCGAGGAGAGTTGGCGATGCGTGGCTGGTGGAGCGACCGCTGCTGCTGCTGCTGCTGCCGTGATAGAAGAAAGCCATTGGCTCGTATGCTCTGGCTGCCCAACAATGGCGAGGTGCGGCATCGCGTGCATATCCTCAGTATCGCCGAGCATGCTGCGAGCTCTGCAGGGAGAGCCATTTCGGTAATTCGTGCCGTGCCTCCTCAAGCTCGCGGTCGACTCGAGATGCCTAGGTAGGCTTAACTTTTTGGGAGCACCACGACGTTTGTCAATTGCCCGGACGGAGTGATACGGGCGTCGATCCGCGCAGCTTTAGGTACCGCAAATTAAGCTCCGTGAGGAGCCGGCAGCCCAATCAGCGCTTCCCTAGCCACACAACCCTAGCTCTTATCAGTTTTAGGCTCAGGGTTTTCGCCTGTTGGAATATTAAGGTAGGGGCTTCTAGTGGGGCAGACGAGGGTCCAAGCTCTGCGGGGTGTGGCGCCTACAGCTGGCTAGCAAGCTCTGAACTTGCCTCGACGAATATTTTTTTCTTAGCTCCCGAGCTTTGGTTGCTTTCAAATTCAAACAACAAATAACCTGTCACTCAACATTATCCAACATATTTCAACAAGCAGTAGCAGAAACCTCCACAACAAAGCCGCGCCGGCTTACCGCGCACAGCCGGAATCATGGCGGCCACATCGAACATGTTCATGTACTCGCTGACAATCCAGGCGCCGTTGACAATCTCGCAGGCCCTCGTTGGCCAGTTCTCGGGAACTGGGGGGCAGCAGATCATCACGGCCTCTGGATCGCGTCTCACACTCCTCCAGCCCGACGCGAAGCAGTTCAAGGTCGACACGCTGCTGTCGCAGGATATATTTGGAATCATCAGGGCAATCTCATCATTTCGCTTGGCTGGCAGTCACAAAGGTGATTAACGCCCTTCCCCTCCCCCCTCTCTCCAAACCCGCTTCTTGAACAAGTAGTGATTCTGGGTCCGACCTTCAGCGCTGGCGGATTGCATCTCCACACTTGCAAGATCTTCAGCTTGCCTTCGCGGCTTGCCAATAACGGGCCCTCCAATCGTTCCATCCCATGACAGACTCCGCTAAAACAAGGAAACTACTCCGTCTCCTAGACTACATAATCCTCGCAACTGATTCGGGCCGTATCGCTATCATCGAGTACATGCCCAAAACGAACAGGTTCGAGCGTATCCACCTCGAGACGTTTGGAAAATCAGGATCGCGCCGTGTTGTTCCGGGCCAATATCTTGCAGCGGACCCGAGAGGTAGAGCCTGCCTGATTGCCTCGATCGAGAAGAACAAACTCGTCTACGTCTTGAACCGGAATGCCCAAGCAGAGCTCACAATCTCATCACCCCTCGAGGCGCACAAACATGGTGTTCTCGTGCTCTCGCTCGTCGCACTTGACGTCGGCTATTCGAATCCTGTATTTGCCGCTCTGGAGCTCGACTACTCCGAAGCCGATCTGGATCCCACAGGCCAGGCCCGCGAAGAGGCCGAGACGCAACTTGTGTATTACGAGCTTGACCTGGGTCTGAACCACGTGGTGAGGAAGTGGTCCGATACTGTCGACCCGACCTCGTCCATGCTCTTCCAGGTTCCCGGCGGCAATGATGGCCCCAGCGGTGTGCTCGTCTGCGGCGAAGAGAACGTCACGTACCGGCACTCAAACCAGGAAGCCTTCCGCGTCCCAATTCCCAGGCGGCGAGGAGCCACCGAAGACCCGCAGCGAAAGCGAACAATCATATCGGGTATGATGCATAAACTCAAGGGGAGTGCGGGTGCATTCTTCTTCCTCCTACAGTCTGACGACGGCGACCTGTTCAAGGTTACAATAGATATGGCCGAGGACAGTGAGGGCAACACGACCGGGGAGGTCAAACGGCTCAAGATTAAGTACTTTGACACAATCCCGCTGGCCACCAGCTTGTGCATTCTCAGGAGTGGATTTCTCTTCGCAGCTAGCGAGTTCGGCAACCACCACTTGTATCAGTTTGAGAAGCTTGCAGACGACGACGACGAGCTCGAGTTCAGCAGCGACGAGTTTCCCACCGACGCCCGGGCCTTGTATACGCCCGTATACTTTTACCCCCGGCCAGTTGAAAATCTGATCCTTGTCCAAAGCATGGATGCAATGAACCCCTTGGTTGATTGCAAAGTTGCCAACCTAACAGGTGAGGACGCGCCGCAAATATACTCGATCTGCGGAAGCGGGGCGAGGAGCACATTCCGGTCGCTTAAGAACGGCCTGGAGGTGACTGAGATTGTTGGTGAGGAATTGCCTGGCACGCCCTCGGCTGTCTGGACGACCAAACTCGCGAGGGATGATGAGTTCGATGCCTACATCGTCATGTCCTTCGCCAACGCGACGCTTGTTTTGAGCATTGGAGAGACGGTGGAGGAGGTTCAAGACTCGGGCTTCATGTCGGATGTGACGACCCTAGCTGCGCAACAGCTGGGCGAGGAAGGCTTGATTCAGGTCCACCCCAAGGGAATTCGCCACATTGTCAGAGGTCGTGTGAACGACTGGCCGGCACCACAGCATCGATCCATCGTCGCCGCTGCAACCAACGAAAGCCAGGTTGTCCTCGCCCTTAGCTCCGGCGAAATAGTGTACTTCGAGGTCGAGTCCGATGGTAACCTGGCAGAGTATGACGAGAAGAAGGAGATGACCGGCACTGTTACCTGCCTCAGTCTTGGCAAGGTCCCAGAAGGACACAAGAGAAGCTCCTTTCTAGCCGTGGGGTGCGACGATTGTACTGTCCGGATTCTCAGCCTCGACCCTGAGACGACTCTGGAAATGAAGTCGGTCCAAGCCCTGACCGCGGCCCCTTCGTCTCTGTCTATCATGGCTATGGAAGATTCCTCAGGCGGGTCCACGTTATATCTTCACATTGGTCTTCACTCAGGAGTCTATCTACGGACCGTCCTAGACGAAGTTACCGGCGAGCTCACCGATACTCGTCAAAAGTTCCTAGGGCCGAAGCCGACCAAGCTCTTCCAGGTTTCGGTTCAGAATCAGCCTTGCGTCCTGGCCTTGAACTCGAGGACCTGGCTGGGATATACTCATCCGCTGACCAAAGCATTCATGATGACGCCTTTGAGTTACCAAGACCTTAACTACGGTTGGAACTTCAGCAGTCAGGAGTGTTTGGAAGGTGTAGTGGGGATCCAAGCAAATTTCTTAAGGTATACTCTTTTTTCTCTTTTTTGCCTACTCCCCGGCCCTACATGATGATAAAAGGGATCCCAAAGCCAATTGGCAATGAGGTATTGACTAAAAACTACGGTTTGTAAATCAATTGTTCCTTCTGATGCAGCTCTTTCTGGCACGCTCTTTTGACTTCTTGCTCTTCCATGTCGGCTGACGCACAATGTAGGATCTTCAAGGTCGAGGGACTGGGTGACAATCTCATTCAGAAGTCGATGCCGCTAACATACACACCAAAACGGCTCGTGAAGCACCCCGAGCAGCCTTATTTCTACACCATCGAGGCAGAAAACAACACTTTGCCTCCTGAACTACAGGCGAAGTTGCTCGAACAGCCGAACGTGGCGAACGGAGATGCAAAAATACTACCACCTGAGGAGTTCGGACACCCTCGAGCCAAGGGTCGGTGGGCATCCTGTATTAGCATTATCAACCCTCTCGGAGATGAGCCGAGCGTTCTTAGCAAGATCGATCTCAGCGACAACGAAGCCGCCGTCAGCGCGGCTGTTGTTCCGTTTGCGAGCCAAGAAGGCGAAAGCTTTCTTGTTGTTGGCACAGGGAAAGACATGGTTCTGAATCCGCGTCAGTTCACTGAAGGGTATATCCATGTCTACCGGTTCCACGAAGACGGCAGAGAGCTAGAGTTCATCCACAAAACCAAAGTCGAAGAGCCCCCAATGGCACTGATGCCGTTCCAAGGGCGTCTCCTCGTCGGCGTGGGCAAGACGCTGCGAGTTTACGATCTAGGTCTTAGGCAACTCCTCCGAAAAGCACAGGCAGATGTGGCGCCGCAGCTTATTGTCACGCTGCAGGCGCAAGGAAATCGCATCGTGGTCGGCGATGTCCAGCAAGGCATTACCTACGTAACCTTTAAGCCGGACAGCTACAAACTTCTGCCGTTTGCTGACGACTCAATCAACCGATGGACGACATGCACGACGATGGTTGACTATGACTCGGTTGCGGGAGGAGATAAATTTGGCAACCTCTGGGTTCTGCGGTGTCCTGATAAGGTCAGCACCGAAACCGATGAGCCAGGCTCTGAAATTCATCTCACGCACGCGCGAGACTATTTACATGGTGCGCCGAATCGTCTCAGCCTTATGACGCACTTCTACACGCAAGACCTCCCGACTAGCATCTGCAAAACCAGTCTCGTGGTGGGCGGCCAAGAAGTCCTTGTCTGGAGCGGACTACAAGGCACCATTGGAGTGCTGATCCCGTTCATCAGCCGGGAGGACGTAGACTTTTTCCAGAGTCTAGAAAACCACATGCGAAATGAAGACCCACCTCTAGCAGGCCGCGACCATCTCATCTACCGGGGCTACTATACACCGGTCAAGGGTGTCATTGATGGCGATCTTTGCGAGAGATACAACCTGCTTTCCAACGACAAGAAGCAGATGATTGCCGGCGAGCTCGACCGGTCGGTTCGAGAGATTGAGCGCAAGATTTCAGTATGTTTAGCCCCTCTATTGGTCCTCTTAAAGGGGCCACTCTTACTAACTCGCTGCAGGACATTCGAACGAGGTCTGCTTTCTGATGACCATGAAGAGCTCTATAGGATGGGTCTAGGCGGTAGTTTGGTTTGTTTGGGATACTCTTTACAGCAGGCGCTCATGGTTTAGCGGATAGCAGCGGGCAGGCAGGATGGCGTTTCGGAAAGTGTGAGAAATTATGACGGGAATCCCCCAAGCGGATTTGTTCGAGTAGTATACAGCAAGAATCACAATGTCTATATCCCTAGGTGCCGCCTCTAGTAAACCACGCGTGTCTTGCTTGTGTAGCAAGTGTCCGAAGTCAGCACTAGGTGACTCTTTTCGAGGAGGGCCCCTCGCCATTCACAGCCCTCCGAGCCGCGTCTCGACGGCTCCTCGCCCACGGCAAACGCAGACCGTTGGCGTTGGCAGCATTAACGAGAGGGTGGTCCCGCTCCCAGGCCTCGTCGGCGAAATATGCCTCGGTGGCGTCGTGGAAATCGTAGCCCGCCTGCTCAAGGTACAGCACGGCGACGTCGTAGTCCGCCACCTTGGTCGCCACCATCCAGCGGCGGATCTTGGCCTTGCGGGCCTCCTCCTCCTCGCCCTCGACGGGCCGCGGCGACAGGCTCGCGCCGCCGCCCGGGATCAGCACCGCCCGCCGGCCCTGCAGCAGGAAATCGCTGCCGAGGTTGTTGGCCCGCCGCAGCGCCGCCGCAGACACCCCGTACCGCAGCGATAGCGATAGGACTGTGTCATGCTCGTGGTCGAGGAAGTGCAGCGTGTCTTCCCTCACCGCCGCCGCCGGAGAGGAGGGCGTTGGTGAGGATGATGAAGGAGAAGAGGAGGAAGATGAAGGGGACGCACCGCCTTTCTCGTCGCTCTGCGCCACAGCGGCCGCTCCCTGCTCCTCGCCAGCGTCATACGCTGGCGGCGCAGGTTGGGCGGCGGCGGCGGCGGTTGGTGGGGTCGCCATGTACGGCGGAGGCGCGGCCAGGTTGGAAACAGCTGCGTAGGAAGGGAGCTGGGGGTCTTGCTGCTGATACTGCTGCTGGTGGTGCCTGTTCCGCGGAGCACTGGTTGATAATAATGGGAAAGGTAATACGGATACGTGGTGGGCTGAGGATGACGACGGCGACGGCGACGACGACGGTGCGGTCTGGCAAAAGGGACAGTAACCGCCGAAACGGGGGTTTTTCTGTAACGTGTTGCAACACAAGCCCCGACGGGATAATACTTGTCAGACCTGATCACAACCAAATCAGAAGGCCAAGATTTAGACAAATTACAAAAAAATAAGAAATTCACGTTGGGTTTATTTTCTGTTTCATCACATGCAATTGAGATTGGGGCAGACAGGTTCTGGCCAAGGCCAAGGCAGGGCAAGGCAAGGCAGACAGGGGCATGTTTTGTTCGAGTGACACGGAGAGGAAAAAGGGGGCGAGGCCCGAAAGTGGAACATGAGACAGTGGAACGTGAGCGGGAGAGAGTGAAGGAGGGAGACATGCACTTATACATTCGCCGCAAATCACTCGCCCGCAGCAGTCTTCAAGGCGGCGGTTGTCTGGCAGGGGCTTCTCTGACGCCGCCGACAGGCGCGGGACATCCGAGAGGAGGGTTGTGCAGGTGCAGCAGAAGGAGGGTTCCTCGGCCATTTGTTAAGTATTTTGTTGGCTCTGTCTGAGCCGAGGGCGGACTTGATTAGATGCGGCGTGCTTTCTGTTTGAAAAGCAGAGGTGGTGCCACTGTGGACCCGAATGAAGGGCTAGTAAGGATCGGAGAGGCTGGCTGCCTGCTCGGATAAGTTGGTGTTTGGTGTTTTGTGGTTGGTGATGATGTCGCCATACTCTCCGTGGCGTTGATGTCGAGTGAGTATCCGTTTGGTAAGTGGGGGCTATCGATAAGCCTTTCCTTCTGAATGAGGGGTGGAGGACCCCGCACCCCCCTAACCCCCCCCGGTGTAATGTCGCCCGCCAACAACCCTCCCTGCCTGCAAGTTTCGTCCCATCATGGCCCGCCATTGACCGAGGATGAAACAAAAGGCCAAGCGAACAGCCAAGGTGTCGGATTGCTACGTATGCATCTAGGCACGATGATATCAGTCAAGCAATCCAAGCTCAAGTCTGGCGGCCTAGCAGATTTGGATTGCAGTGGCCTGAGACATTTCTGTCGCCGCCCGCATCGTTATCACCCGGAACGAGCTGGCGGGTGACGGTGACCAGAACAGCACAGTGCAGTCGAGGACGGGCAAAGGAGTGGAGGACAACCGACTATGTAAGAGCGGTGGAAGCGGACCCCTGCGCCGAGCCGGATCGGCGCCGTAATTGAGGGCCACCACCAGCCTATCACGGCCTGTGCCAGGGCATGGTGGCTAGTGGTGCTACCGTCTTCCGTCTTTTCGTCCACCAACAATTACAGTAGCTTCAGAGAGGCACACCCAAAGGCTTTCATGTGACCGCTAGTCTCGCCAGCTTGGGCCGGGAGGAGCTGAGCGCACGCAGTAGCCCAGCGGGCGCTTTGCTGTTTGCAGGGGTGGCTGCTCACCGTCAGTTATCGTCTTGCAGGCTTGGCTTGGTATGCATTATTATTGTGGACGATAAATGTCATCAGACTGAGGGCCCACCGTCCGGACCTCTCTCGGCATGTAATATTCCGCAGTGAGTGTGAGGTGAGGGTGGTCAAGGCGGTCTTGCCCAACCCAAATGGAAGGCTGCCTGCCATTCTTGGTTGGCCCACGGCACTGGAACAATGGAAGGGGCTCCCGACGCAGTGGTTCGTCGGCGTGACTGGACGGGCCACGAGCAAAAACGTGCTCTGAGCTTCGGCTTGCATGTAATGTGCATACATGTATGTACTGTACAAGCACTACACTACCTTACATACCGCACATCCATACTTGCACGGTCATCTGAACCTGGAACCTGGGAAGCTGGAATACGCAGGCTGGAAAGCTCCGCCGGTCGCCAAAGTCCGTCTTCCTCCGATCCCGATTCCGAGCTACTATGCCCTGCTAGTCGCCTCGCCTCAGCTAGCGAACACTCAGCACTTAGCACGGCTTCTGCGCCCGGCACGCCATGGAATCATCCTACTTGACGTTTAAGCCGGCAAATTAGCTATCTAGGCACTCATAGGGCCGGCCACCTCAACCCAGACCGTCCGCGGTAGCCAATGTTCCATGTTTCATGTGGGGGAACAGAGTCCAGACCACTGAGCAGAGCCGAAAGCCTAACAGAGGAGTGCGGTGGGGCGACTTGGCATCCCGTGTCACCGCGACAGTTAAGGTAGCAAACTAGTCGGCAACGCTATATGAGGAGACGCCTGTCCGGCTTTGCTTCCTAGGCTGAGCTCTCTCTTGAGGCCAAAGAGCCCCGTGCCTGCGGCCGAAGAGATAGTAGTCTGAGTCGACAGACTCCCATAATACGCAATGGCGGTAAGCCAAGACCATATGCGCCCCCCTCACCTTATCTAGGTTGCCCCGGGTCCGCTCAAAACGGTCAACGAGCTCTACTGACAGCCGCTCGCCCACCATGTTTCTTACCACCTAGGCTCCTTATCCCCAGGTCATCCTGTTTGGCGATAGTTTGTTTCAGCAGGCCGTCCGCCCTGACGGCTTCTCATTCCAAGCCGCCTTGGAGACACGTGAGTGCCGTCTTTCCCGGGCGCCGTCGAGAAGCCCGTGCCCCGACCCCCAGCCAAAGTCCGAGCCGCACGAGAGGTACCTACCTGCCCCGGCAGAAATTTCGGCGTGCTGACCCGGTTGCTTTGGTTCCAGATTGCCTCCGCCGCCTTGATGTCGTCAATCGCGGCCTCTCAGGCTATAATACATCCAATGCTCTCCAGGCCTTGCCACGCATCTTCCCCTCGCCGGCGCCAGCCGGGTCAAAGATTGAGTATCTCGTGCGTTCCTCCAAACTGTGCCCACCGAGATAGACAGACATCTAATCGGACTCGCGGCTTAGTTCGTCTTGTTTGGGGCCAACGATGCCTCCCTCCCGCTGCCCACCAACAGGCAGCATGTGCCCCTGGACAGGTTCAAGATCAACCTGACGCGCATCATCACGCACCCAAACATCGCGGCGCACAAGCCCAAGATCGTCCTAGTCACGCCGCCGCCACTTGACGAGATCCACATCGCCAGCAAAGATGTCGCCGACGGCCATGGCCAGGCGACGAGAGAGGCCAAGATCAGCGCGGAATACTCGGCGGCGGTCCGCCAGGTCGCCGCGGCCAACCCGGACGTCATCCTCGTAGACCTATGGAAAGCGCTGATGGAGACAGCCGTCGCCAAGACACCGGGCTTCGACGCCAGCAGCGGCGCCGTGCTGGGCGACCCCGAGAGCGGCGTGCGCGGGCATCTGGAACAGCTGCTGCCTGACGGCCTGCACATGAGCTCCGAGGCGTATCGCGTCTTCTACGACCTGGTCGAGCCGCTCGTCGGCGTCGAGTGGGCAGGCACCCCCCAAGAGGACAGGGTCGCCTACGTGCTTCCCGACCATCGCGTGGCGCCGTGGTTGAGCGAGGACGAGTACTGGCGGCGGACGTGAGGTGAAGTACATACGAGGCGAGACTTAGCGTAAGAGAGAGAGAGAGAGAGGCGCGTGATTTTGGGGAGGGGAGGCCTGACCCTGACCAACATATACTATTAGGTAGTTTCAGTGTTCACATGCAAGCCTGATTACCGTGGATATGGACCTACCCGACCAGGGCTAGTCTAGCAGGTAGCTAGCTACAGCTGTTGTGCCGTACCGTGTGCAAGGCTGCGCATGAGACGCCGAGCCCCGACATCCATTCACGGAGCCTGCGTGAATTTGAAATAACAAGCCGTACTCCGTACAGCACGCGTATAAGGAGAAAAAGAAGCCCGAGGTCGTTCGTCGTCTTTGCCTGCATGAAGTCGAGATTAACCACAAAAGGCCAAGGAGATGAAACGGCATTAGGTGATTGGCTTCAAAGGATCTTAGGAGCGGGCAGCTAGCGATCTCCATGTTTGAACCTCAATCTAGTCTACCCGACCTTAGGTTCCAGGTTGGCAGGTTGGCATCCTCGGATCCCCGAGGCCCTAGGGCGGGGGGAGTTGGGGCGGGTGGCCCCTCACTAGTAGCCCCATGCACTCTTAGTCATATCAATCTGCCTGCGGCTGGCTGGCTTGCAGTTGCCGCGAGTTAGTTAGTACCACATGCTCAGGCACAGGCAGCCTCTCACCTGTCTTTCAGGTCGACGCCGTGCAAACGCGCCGCTGAGCGATTGGATGTCAACGTTCAGAAAAACACAGACCATCCCGTTCACGAAACAACCTAACATACCAACTAACGGCTCCTTTGCACGCTCCATCCGAAAAGCTGTTTCGAGTCTCAGCCGAAATTCCAAGCCTGCAATACCTACTTTTGCTCCAAGCAACACCTTCCGGCCGCCTGACGGATACCTAGCCCGACCCTTCTGTCATCAGAAGCATTCCCCCAAACTCTCGAGAGCTTGCACCTCAACTTTCCGCCGTCCCGTCTGCCTGCCTGCTTGCTGCCTCCTTCCGCCATCCGCCCAGAGCACGCTCCCTGTTGCTCAAGAACCACCCGACAATCTGCCGATTCCCGTGCCTCTGGAAAGTCGGTCTGCCCGCCGCTGGGCACCCAGCCCGAGTCCCCCCGTCTCCTCATTCTAGAGCATCATCCTCTCTTTGTCTCCCTGCCACCCGTGTTCGACAGCATCCATCTGCCCCCTCACTCCCCTGGCAGCCTCGACGCCAGATTGAATTCTGAACGCTGCGACGTCGACTCGTGGAGCAGTTAGATGCACCTCACCATACAGCGTCGGGCCCGACAATAGAAAAGAAGCCGGAGTTGTACACGCCATTCCAGACGCTGCAAGTCGAATTCCCTCGCCCCTCCGCCTCGCTACAGCCCCGCTGCTAGACCTCTGTCAATCTCGACACTCCTGTGCGCGCATCTCTGAAGATCTGGCTAGGTAACAGGGTGCGGGAGAGACTGGTCGTGGAGAGGCTTGGGGGTCTTCAAGCCATGTGGGGGGTGGCAGACCTCGAGATCTGACATACCCAGGGTCGAGGTCACAGACAACACAGGGACCAGAGACAGAGAGACGGAAATTGAGAGAAGACGGCCCGTGGGCTGTGAGCCGGACGCCAGCCGCCGCCGCCTGCCACACATGGGAAGCTGCACCGACCAACGAACCTACACGGCTTTCATATCGACTGAGCCCTCGGCAGCCTCTTTCCAGGGGCATTCGGCACTCCTCCTATCGGTCTTTTTGAGCACGTCAATTGCTGGTCGGGGATGGATCCGCGCTTTGCCGTTAGCCGCGACGAACTCTATGATGTTCAGATGGACTTAAAGCGCGTCCATGTGACGCAGCAACAGCACTCTGACAGACTACGGGTACTGGAGAAGCGACAAGCCGACGATGCTGCCTTGAAGTCAGTCTGGAACTCTCCCTTCCCCAGCGCCTTAGGGGGCACCCCCCAGCACGGTTAGTGTTGCCTTCCCCCCTGCCTCGTCCCTTGACGTCCCGCTCATCACCCCATCCAGGGCCCTTGCACATGCCATCCACCGAGCAGTTTAGCGACTTTGACGAGCAGGGTCAGATGTTGCTCGGCGCCCTACAGCTCGAGGCTGAGGACGAACCGATACGAAGAGGGGCTGCCTCGAGGGCCAACAGTGTTCGGTTCGACGAGAGCGCCTTGCACGGTGCAAATTGGGGTGCCCAAAGCGGCCGCCAGTCTGGCGACTTTGGTCCCATCCGCCCCAGTAGTGGCATGGGCGGCCACCAGCTTATGGAGCGTTCGCTCTCTCACAAGTCCGACGGCAGGCACAGCTCGGCGGGCCATTCGGTCCACTCGGTGCACTCTGCCGTGTCGGGGAGGGCTAGCAGTCTGGGCCTTGACACCAACTTCCTAATTGGCGGCAACGAGGATAATTCCCCCCTAGACATCCCGGAACCTCCTCCCATGTTCTACGTTCTGGGCTCTGCCCCGTCTATCATACGGTGCTGGCTGACGACGGAGTGGACATCAGGCGGGCTCCTGTATGCCGTGGTCTGCACGGGGTCACAGAGGTCAACCGTTGAGTACTCGCTCCTTCGAGATCTCGACCTGGTCGCCGGCATCCACAAGGATTCCGATGGTACGCAGAAAATTGAACTTTGCGTCTTCCTGGCCGAAGCGACTGTCACGCAGTCAAACTCGAGGTCCGCGAGCCCAAATCGGTCCCTGCCCAGCATTTCTGCCATCTTTGAAGTAACGGGCACGGAGCAGCCCGAAACAGCAGATGCTCGGAAGAGCATACGCGTTTTCATCGGAAGCCACACACTGAGGCTTCACAGCGCCGATCTTTTACTTTCCCAAAACTCTATGACGCTGTACGGCAACGACCGCGACAAACTCTCGGTGCCGTTTGTGCGGCCCGAGGATGACGCCGCCTTCAAGTACCTGATCACGACCAGTATAGTACCGGGCAAGCTCCGACTGAATGCCACGGCTCCAGAGTTCGTCTCAAGCGAGAAGGGTGGAAAGGGTTCGACTCGAGACACGGCAGGATCTGTCCACTCGGAACCCAAGTCGTCGGAAAGCAGCTCCGAGGACGTGCTGTCGCCCACCACGGAGCGCCCTCGTCAGCCAGTGAAGGCGACAGCCATAAGCAGTACTTCCGAGAGCGGAGGGGAGAGCGAGATGCAGCCCTCGGAGCCGGCCGCGCCCGAGAACTTTGGCAGGGAGAGTTCTGGTTTGGTAAATGGCGTCCGCCGTGGACCCAGTACTGCTATCAAGACTCCGTGGCGGCAGACGGCGGCAGGCCTAAGCGGCGACATTAGTATTCGCGGAGAAAACACGCTCCTGAGTGGCTACCAACCGCCTGCCACGAGGCCGCGCAGCATGAAGGTTCTCAGGCCAACTAAATCTGCCAACCCGTCGTCATTTGCTAAAATAGGGGCGGCGTATGAGCCTGCTCCGACGCAGCGGAACAGCAGTGAGAGCCGGCACAAGGGCCAGGTAGAGGGGGGCGGACAGCCCAATAACGGCAGTGCCGGCAGTTGGTCGGCTCCCCGGCGCAGTCTGAGCACCAGCACCAGCGCTATGCTCGGGAACGCCGGAAGTGGTGGGGATAGCACCAAGCCGTCGCCGGCCAAGCTCCCCGAGGTGGGAACTCCGACTTCGGTCCTTCGTACCGCGAGCAATCCGTTGGGAAGTGCGTCTGCATTTTCCTGGATAAAGCCCAAGACTCCAACAGCCGCGGCCGAGTGACGAGCCTGTCGTCTGAGTTTCCTCCATTTTTCTTTGTCCGAGAAGGGGTCAGCGAGTAATGAGACGGACCAGAGGCAAAGCAAAGACAGCTGACAGGACGCGGTCTAGCGAATTGATGGGCAAGTGAAGAGCGGCCAAAAAAGAAAATAGAAAAACAAATAAAGAACTATTGAACAGCGCATATGGCGGATTGATGGTTGGCAGACGAACATATAGATATTCAGCAGTTATCATCTAATCTAACCGGATGCCGTCGTCCAACCCATAGGGTTCAGTCTCATCATCGTTGGCGGCATTAGACTAGCGTGCCTCTTATTTTGGCGTTTCGGCTCATCTGGCTTGCTACCCAGTGCTTGGAGTTGCCTGCCTATATAAAATCGAGGGCCACATAACCCCTGATACGAAGGTGTTAAATCCTAGGCGACAACAGGCCCTCAAGGGCGGCCTTAGTGTCGCGTCCCGTCTCCTTAACCAAGCCCACAATAGTCTTGAACTCGGCCGCCGCCGCGTCGCCCAGGCACTCGTAGATCCAGCTCTCGCTCGTCGTCACCACGGCGCCCGCCGCCCGCAGCCGCGCCAGCGCCACGCCGACCTCGTCGCGGTTGCAACTGCTGACCCCGTCCGCCAGCACGTAGACACTGTAGCCCGCCGCCAGCGCGTCCAGCGCCGTCTGCGTCACGCAGATGTGCGCCTCGATACCGACGATAACAATCTCGCTCTTCTTTTTTGTCTCTGTCTCTGCCAGCTGCGACGTCACGGCCGGAATCCACATGCTGAACCGCGTCTTGTCCGTGTTGGCCCGCACCAGTCTGCCGCCTCCCTCTTGCAGCTGCGCCTGCAGCTCGGCCACCGTGTCGCCCAGCCGCGCCCGGTTCTGCGTCGTCACGTACACTGGGATCTGCAGCGCCGCGCACGCCCGCAGCATCTTGCTCGTGGTGAGCACGCTACGGCGGGCGGTGTGAGGTAGATAAGTAATGTGCTGGTGCCGGGGGTGTCCATTCATGTTCTTCGTGCTTGTTCCTCTCGGCCCTTGTATATTGATATTGGCAGGTAGGAGATGGAGCGGGCTATTATTGTACGAGAGAAAGGAGGCGATGATTCCGAGGACAGGCGTGGAAGTGGAGGGAGTAGGAAATAAAAACAGAATAGGACAGATAAAAAAGGGGTCAATCGGACTATAGGGGGCAAGAAATAGAGACGGCCTATTTATATAGAGCATAAACAAAATAGAAACATAGACATATGAAATAAACGGAGGCTGAAGAAAACAGAAATATAAAATAACCACATATAGAAAAAACAAAGAGACTGAAACGGAATAGTGAAAATAGACCTACACCTTGTCAAACTCAAAGATGGCGCTACGGAACTTTTCCTGAATGTCGCAGATACTAACACACCCACCATCAGCACCGACACTAAGGGTATGGGAAGAGACAATTAATGATGAGAAAAAATAAAATAAATAAGAAAACTGACAAGAGAGCTGGGTTTTCTGCAGAGTTTGGTCAGCGGCGGTGATAGTGATGATGATGGCAATAGGAGGCGGGAGCAGGGGAAAGGGGTAGGTGTGTGACCTACGAAACCGGCGCTGAGGAGCTGGACTAGCCATAGCGAGATGAATGGCTTGAGCGCAGTTATCGTTTTCTTGCCAAACCCCCAAATAAGGTCGTTAGAATAGGGGCACAGCGTCAACTCGAGATATGGCTGGCTATTGTATGTATGTAAAGGAAGACAAAGACCGACTTGGTCGATTCCTAGCGTCGGGAAGAGCGGGGGTGCGGAACTGTATGTACCCCGACCCGAGACGGGACGGCGAGGGTTTACTTGGGGTAAATTGGCCGAGGGACAAGATAATATGCCCGGCACTTCCCCTCCCTCGCCCCTCACGGGTGTGGCCGACGTTTTAAGAACGTTACGAGTTGCAGATGTATTGCAACGTTCATGGCTTCAAAGCTCTGAGAAGTTATCAACGCGTCCACCACGCCACCAAGCTCAAAGAGATCTTTTATCTGTTTCTTTCTAGCAGACTTTTGAGTCTCGGCAATTCACAACAGAGCAGATTCACCCCAGCAAGAAATGTAATATCCGATACTGCTGCTCTTTTCTCCAATCCAGTGGGCCGAGAGGTGGCTCAGACTTCCAAAATTACAGCTCCACATCACTAAGGTAGAGTAGTTAATGATTTGCGGGATACATGACCACCTAGAAGTCCCCAAACAAAGCTGTGCCTAAGCCATTTCGGGACATGATATCAATAGGACTCCTGAGACATATGAATAACCGGTTTTTACCAAGAGAGAGTAGAGAGTAGCCTCCTATTCCAAGAGGAGATCCAGTGGCCAAGATTCGCCACTCATTCAGAGGCAGAGACGACACTCGAAAAGTCTGACGGTGAATAAAAGCAAGGGCCGGGTACCTCGTCAGCCAGATGCCACCAAAAAAGAAGCAAAGCAGTGACAGGAAGCAATGTATTAGACAAGTTGCACAGGGGGCAGAATCCATGCCGGCCACGTCGGAGTCTGGCACTACGGGACACGCGAGAGCTTTGCGCCCTGCAGCCAGGCGAGATCGCCCCCCACCGTGGCCTGGCGGATGTTGTACAGCTCATCGAGGAAGGCGGCGACAAACGTGCCAGGCCCTCGGACGTCGCTTCTAGATGCAGCTACCTCGGCCGCGATCTCAAAGTGCAGCATGGCGGCAATAGCCGCCACGATCTTGTCCTCTGAGCCGACAGCAACGGCGGCCGAGATGGCAGTGCCTAGCACACAGCCCGTCCCCGTCACCTCGCCGAGATACCGATGCCCGTTCTCGAGACTAAAGGTCCGCTGGCCGTCGCTGATAAAGTCGGTTGGGCCTGTCATGATGACGACCGTCTTCTCGCGCGCCGCGAGCTTCTGCACTAGCTCGGCCTTTTGCTCCGTATTGAGGGTGCTTGAGCTGTCGACACCGCGTTGTTGCAGTTTCTCGTCACCAAACACGGTCAGTATCTCGCCTTCGTTGCCCTTGATGACATCGAGATAGCCGCCGGCCATGATGGTCTTGACAGCTGCGCGCCGCACAGCCGTGGCCCCGGCACTGCGCGTCCTATCATCAGCATGACAAACAACCCGAGTCTAGACGTGGTGGATAAGGTCCAGACGTACCCAACAGGATCGAACACGACGGGCCGACCGGCCTGGTTGTAGGCTCTGAGCGCCTCCAAGTAGTTGGCTAGCCCGTCTGGTGTGACGGTGCCCATGTTGATAACCAGCGACCCTCCCAGTTTGCACAGATCGGCTGCCTCCTGTCCGTAGCTAGACATGATGGGCGACGCGCCAACGGCCAGGGCGAGATTTGCGGCAAAGTTTTGCACGACCTGCCCAGCCCCGTCAGCAACACGAGCAGAGACTCTATTCATGGGCCGCACGCCCATACCAGGTTTGTCATGTTGTGCGAAAGCGGCGTGGTTTTGTGAATTGCAGTGATGGTATCGGCCGCTAAAGCGACGATTTGGAGCGCATCAACAGGCCAGGGCGGGCTCTCTGCGGTTGGCCAACCGAAGTGCGGCGGCCGCTTGACGAGATGCAGCAGTTTATGGGCCGCTGCCTCGGGGTCTGGTGCCGCCATGATGGCGCTCACTAGTGCGACTCCATCGAGCGACTTGGAGGGGGCGGCGCTCTGGAAGAGGACGCGGGCGACATTGGACTCATTGATGCCACCAATGCATACAGTCCGGACGGTGTGGCCGGCATGGGCAACCTCCTGAAGGATGTTCCGTACGCCGGCGGTACCGATGATGTCTTTAGTGTTGGTCTTCCTGTACACGCAGTCAGAAGGAGATAAGCTGAGTTGGGTAAGGGGTAGGGTGGTGTCTCTTGTCTCACGTCGGTGTAGCATAGACGGTACCGATGCCGAGGTAGTCGGCACCACCTTCACAGGCGCGCAGGGCTTGGGCAACGGTGCTCACCGTGACGCCGATGATGGCACGGGGGCCCAGGAGGTGCCTTGCTGTCGACAATTCTGGGAGGAGTACTCAGTAAGTCAAGGATTAGGGTATTTATATTAGAGGAGTTACCGACCCATGTCATCCTGTCCAATGTGGACGCCCTCGCAACCAACGGCCAGGGCCACATCGACGCGGTCGTTGATGAGCAGCGGAACCCCGTAGCGGAGGGTGACATTGCGAAGTCGACGGCCGATGGCGACAAGCTGTGCTGTGTCGCTGGTCTTGTCGCGCAGCTGCACGCAGCCCACGCCGCCCTTGATGGCCTCCTCGACCGCCCACGCGATGTCTCTGTCGCCCAGGATCGCAGGCGTCGAGTCCGTCACGAGGTACAGCGAATAGTCGACGTCTCGAGCGGCCATTGTGGTATTATTTTAGTTGATAGGAGTCCCCTATCCGTATCAGCTAAGTACCTTAACGTTATGGGAACAAACGAAGATGGCCGTCTCCAAAATTAAATTAATTGATAACGACCCCGCCGCTTGCTGCGCAATTGACTCCGAGGAAATTCACTCTGCAGCTGGCAGCAACGGCAGTGGGATGCAACTTCCACCCACGCTTGACGTTCCTTCCACTTTCGCCCCTTTCGCCTTTTCAAAGATAAAATCAGTCTTGGAAGGAGGCATCTACACTTAACTTCCCGATTACGGAGGGTTCTAAAGTGGAAATTGTAACTTGCAACACTTCCTCTCACTTTTTTTTCTAACTGGATATAAGGCGTGCCCATTCAACGTACTTACTCTACCTACACCCAAACCCAAACACAGACACACCCCAACCAGCCCGGATGAAGACCGGACTATGTGTAGTATTTGATTTGCTTGTTTGTATTACACAATCTTATCATTTCATGGGAGTATACCCGGGCTCAAAACACGCCATCTTCCATCTCGGCTTCACATACTATGCCTACTCTGTCGGTCAGGTTGCAGGCGGCCCCGGGACAACAAAAAATGTGATGATGGACCGCCCGGCCACGGACCCCGTGATTGTGCCGTCAGCCGCGACGCTGGCCGTCGTCTTCTCGCAGTTGTGCGTGTTGTCAGACACGTAGGCCACGACGGCCGCCGGCGTCGCGCCCGACACCTTGATGTTGATGTTAGACGCCGAGCTGCCCGTGCTGATGGCCACGACAGCGATGCTGCCGTCGGTGTTCTTGAAGGCCGCCGTCTTCACCCCGCTGCCCCCCGACGAGCCCACGCGTACGGCGCCCGGAAGCACGAATCGCGACCAGTTGGCCAGGGCCCACAGCCGCTTGGCCACCTCGTACGTGTTGGTACGGTTGTCCACCTTGATGAGCTTCTCGTTGGTGTTGGGGTTCGGCCATTGCACGCCCTCCCAATACACGTAGCCCGAGACGCCGTTGTTGACCACGGCCGAGTACACGTTGTTGGCCCACGTCAAGCCCTCGCCCGCCCCGCCGCTCCCGTACCAAGATGTCGACCACCCCCCGTTGAGGTCGCACTGCTCCGACAGCCAGACGGGCACCTTGGTGTTCATAGCCCCCGACGGCCCTCCCGTGTACGTGTGTGATGTGACGGCCTTGAGCATACTCTCGGCACCGGCCGACTTGATTGCGTTGGTCATGCTGACCTGGTTGCCCCAGCCCTCCGAGTCGCAGCAGACGATGCCCGTCGTGTTCCCCAGACCCGCCGCCTGAACCGTCGGGTACAGCACCTTGATGAAGTCGGCCGCTTGTGCTCCACTCGATGACATGCTAGCGTAGCTGGCGCTGAACTCAGGCTCGTTGAGAAATCCCAGATGCGACACGTTGACGCCGGCATCGCGGTAGAACTTGACATAGGCTACCAGGTAGTCTGCATATGCTTGCCGCCAGTCTCCGCTCGAGCACGTCGCCCCGGGCACGCCGCAGATCGCGCCTCCGTTGGTCTCTTGTCCGTTCGTCTTCATATAGCCCGGCGCACTCCAGGCGTCTGTTCAAAGCATGGCGCCCGCTGTCAGCCGCTTTTCTGCCTAAGTGCTCTCACCCCATTCTCCAGTCAGAGTCTGTCTACCTACCGGCGTAGATTCCCTTGACCCCATATGTGTTGATAGCCTCCTGCGCCACCCACAGTTGTCCGCTGTCTTTGCCGTCCCATTGGTATTGTGGCGCAGCTTTGGGCCCGCCGGGGTTTTTGGGCGCAAACGTGTTCATGTGGTCCGAACTGCTGTCTGGGCTCGATCCGATGCCCACCCGGAGGATAGTGAAGCCTGCTCCCGACGTCCTGTTAAAGAGAAGGTCTAGCAGCTCGCGCTGCTTCGTCTTGTCTGACAAGTTGGTGATGAGATTGGCCCGCTGGAAGGCCACAGAGAAGCCGAAGCCATCCATTGTCTGGTATGTCTTGGACAAGTCGACCGTGACGGTGCTCGACGACTGGCGCTCAGTGAGCACGGCCTCGCCGCCGACACGGCCAACAGCCGCGGCTGCCGTGAGAAGGACCGTTTCCGAAAGGCGCATGTTGACGGCAACGGCAGTTACAAGACTAAACTTGCGGCTTTCTTCCCCGCGTGGTAAGCTTACAAGGGCGGCTAGCCGTGTTTCTTATACATTGCAAGGCGAGTTCCCTTCAACCTTTGTAGCCGCCGCCCAACACCATCTCTGGAGGAAGGGAGGTCCTGGGTGGCCTGTGTCCCTGTTTCTGCGTTTACCCCATATTGCGTTGTGTGGGGAGCATGTCTATCTTTGATTGCGCTGGCCCGCAGGTGTGGCAGGTCCAGGAACAACATCGATTTGATTACGAAGGGACATGATATGTTATTCTTCTTTTCTGGGGAAATCAGAGAGATATCCTCTCGACCGGGCCAGCAAAAAGGGTACCATATGGCATGCCCTGCGAAGCATCGGGCATTTTATCCGGCGAGTAGAGACGAAAGTCTAAACAAGTTTCGCACAAGCCGGCACTGCGAGGTTTCCCCATCCACTGGATATAGAGTGGTCTTGCTATTTGGACGAGTCTTGGCCAATGCGGGGGAGAGCAGAGCGAGAAATGAAGGCGGGATTCCGTCTCCCCTCCTTTTCCCAAGTCGGGCAAAGAAAAATAAATAATAATAAAAGAGGGAAGTGATAGTGCCCAGACGGACGCGGGTAAATTCCCCGCCTCCCATACATGGACTTTTCGATGTGTGACGACAACACTCCTCCCGTTCGCCCCGGTCGAATTTACCCACAAGCAACGCGGCGCACCTTTTTGGGCATATATACGCGTGGGTGTGAGTGGTGGTGTCTTACCTTGCCTGGTCCGGGAGGAGGGAGTTTGTTTGTGAAAAGAAAAGAAAAGCCCGAGGCCCGGCATGCAACTCCCGGGATCGAAAACGAAGAGGCCATGGAGATAGACAGGTAAACTGCTGTTGTGGGGTTGGTTGCATGCCCGCCCAGGTCTCCGGGGCTCCAGATGATGGTCCTTGGAGAACGGGCCGGCGTCAGCTGGGGGGTTTCTTTTCCTTTGGTAGATACTACCTACATAGTTAGCTGCTAATTTGATATGTAGTGGGTTTGAGTTGGATCCAGATGCCGATAGCCGGCCGTCCTTCTCTTGTCATCCCCCTCCCCCACGGCCCACGGTTGAGGTCGGAGATGTGATCAAGCTGTTATGTTCGTGTGTGGTAAACTAGTACGCAGAACGCGGGTGCAGTATGTATGTGTGAGTTGATGTGTGATACGCAAGACTACGTACCCAAGGTACGAATACCAAGCCCGCGGCTTTTTGAGAGAGATATATATACATGTCACCCCGTTCCGTTCCATCGTGCCTAGCAAGCTAGGCCGGGGCGCCTTCGGCAGCGTAGTCAGTCCAGTGGTCCATCACGCGCAGCACAGGGTCGAACAGCATGGATCCAAAGGTGCCGCCACCATCGCCACCATCACCGCCGCCGCCACCGCCGGACAGGTCGTACCAGAACTCGCTGCCGAGGTCGTGCATCAGCCCGTTCAGGTCCAGGGCCGTAAACGTGAGGCTTGGCACGGGTGCTGTGCTGTACAGCTCGTGCGTGTTGTTGTGCGCCGTGTCGAGCTCGCTGCGCTGTGGCGTGGGTGGAGGAGGTTGGTGTTAGTTGGGTGAGTGGGTAGTTTTTTTTTTTTTTTTGGAAGGGGGGGGGGGGGGGGGGGGACGAGGGAGAAAAGGGGGAAAGAGAAAAGGTGGAGAGAGGAAGGGGGAAATAAAAAAGGGGAAGGGGCAGCAAAACAACAGCCCATGGCCACTGGCTCAGGCTGTGGCTTGTTTGCTTTCACCGTTCACTCACCACCGCCGTGAACAGGCTGGCTGCTTTTTTCATCAGCCTGTCGTAAGGATCATTCTCCTCAACCGTATTCTCCTCATCCTCATCGTCATCTTCGTTTCCGATATCGACATCCTCGCCATCTCCCACATCTCCCTCACCACCGCCCCTGCTCTTCCCCTTTGGCCGCCGCCGTCGCCGTACCTGCCGCCGCATCTGGGAAATGTACATCATCTCAGCGAGCTGGCGCTCGAAATACGCGTCAAAGGCTAGCAAACTGCGCACGCGCGCGGGGTCCCAGCCGGGAGCGTGGCAGGTCATGAGGCGCGTGGCGGTGACGAAGGCGTAGACGAAGTCGAACGACGTCATGCAGATGAAGCGCGGCGGGGTTGCGCCCGCCGGCTGCGCGTAGCGGTGGTCGAGGTACGCCTTGACGGCGTGCAGGCACTGCCAGAGCAGTTCGATGCGCTGCACGTCCGGGACGCCGGCGGCGGTTTTGGTTGTGGTTGTAGTTGTGGCTGGCTCTAGTCCGAGCTTTTCAAATAGGATGATTTCTGACGTGTACATGTGTCCGGCGAGCGACGCTGTTCGTGATAGATGACAAGAAATGATGAGCCATGTACGCAGGGATAGAGGGAAATGCTTACGGTTCTCCCGCACGTGCGGCGCCAGCGACGCTTTGAACGCCTGCAGCTGCTGCTGGAAGCTCGCGACGAGCATGGCCAGCGGCAGGCCTTCGCCGGCGCTGGCGCGGTACCCCAGGGTCTGGGAGATTGTCTGGGACAACTGCTGCTGGCGTACGAGGGCGACTAGGAGGCCGTCAGAGGCGTACTCCATGCGGCTCTCGATGGTGCGGCAGCAGTTGGCCAGGAGCGACGGGTCCATCAGGGCGTCATGCTTGTTGCCGGTGTTGTATGTTCTACATTCCGGCCCCGAAGTTGTTAGCAGCCGGCTAGTATCGTCTCAGCTATATATGCTGCGGGGGGGACACAAAACAAAATAGACAAAATAAGTTTAAAGGGGTAATATAAGTAAACATACAAGGCCACTTGGTAAAAGGTGCCCGCATACGCGCGCATCAGCTCCAGATAGTCAGGGGGATGGGCGGCGGGGGCGCCGCTGAGCTCGGCCGGGAACTGCAGCAGCAGCTCGCCAATGCCGAGGTTGGTGCACATGGACCGCATGAGGAACAACAGGTTGGCCATCTGGACGCTGCGGAGGTTGTAGTGGTACCTGTGTTTCTCGTTAACAACTCCCTTTCTAGCAACATAAAAAAAAAGGGGCTGCCTGCATACCAGGCTATCAGCAACTGCAGGCCCTGCAGGACGTCGAGGCTCTTCAGCGGCGTGATGAAGGCGGCCGCGACAATCTCGCGTAGTAGATCGTCGGCCATGACCACCTGGCGCTTGCCGTGCAGGTGGCACGCGGCCACCATGAGAGCCTTCCAGAGAAAGGGCCGCTGGTGCCGCAGCTGGGCCGAGCCGAGATGCAGCGGTGGGATGGCGAACGGGTGCAGATGGGAGAACTCGGCGTTGTACTGGGCCAGCAGGCCGTCGGCTTCGGTGCCCTCGGGCCATTGTGGGACCTGTTGTTGCTGTTGTTGCTGTTGTTGCTGCTGCTGTTGCTGTTGCTGTGTCTGCGGTACGTCTTGCTGCTGCTGCTGCTCCTGTTGCTGAGCCAAATCCAACCGTGGTTCCGGAAGCGGCTGCAAAGGAGACGAGGCCTGTTGCGCCTGGGCCGACGTCTGCGAGGTCCTCTCGGAGAAGTCGCCAAAGGACTCCTCGGGAAAGATGTTAAAGACGTGCCACACGGGTGTGCCGGTGTTCCGGAATAGCAGGTTACTAGTGGGTTGGGCCGGGAGACCGATACCGAGAGCGCGAGCTGGCACGGGAGCAGGCACGGGAGCGGGAGTGGCGTCCGAGTCGGGCGGGCTGGGCGGCGGCGGCGGGTGGTGCAGGCTCGAGGCCGGGGCTGGGCCCAGCTCGAGGCGAGCCGACAGGTCCTCGAGCCTCTTCTCCAGCTCGGCGACGCGGCCGGGCTTGGGGTCTTTGCGCTTCTTGGGCTGCTGCGTCGTCGGCGCCTGCGTCGAACACGGCTTGGCCAGGCGGTGGCATCTTGTCATCCCTGGGTTAGCACGTCGTACATGTACATGCAGACTCGACACCTAGGTAGCCAACCCGTGGAACACAGACAGACATGCTGGGCTCTGCATGGCCGCCCGCTTAGCATATCTGGCAGTGCTCCGCCGGACCATCGCAACCACTCCGCCGGAGAAGGAGGGAGGGGTGTGTGTGCAGGCTCCCACGACTCTCTCTGCTGATGGATATAGGGGGTATAGCTTACCGCTCGCATTTCCCTTTCCCTTGGCCGTCCGGGCCTGGCACGCATCTTGATTTGGCACGAGCACACGTAGCACAGGCACGCGGCCCCTTGAAGATGCCCCTTGGCTGTGCGTGTGCGGCCGGAGACTCCATCGATGGCCGCTCCCGAGGTTTGTCCTGTCGTCTACCTAAGCTATCTAATTCCCGGCATGAGACTAGCCACATACGGAGCTATAGGCACGTATAAACAAGCACAAACAAACACCTTTTCTTCATGGTTCCCAGGTACGAAGCAGGACCCGATGGAACAGAAGCAGATGTTGACTTTGACTTTGGACACCGTCAGACGGCAGGCAAACAAACCGCGAGAAGGGAGAGAAGGGAACGTGAACAGAGAAAAAGAATAGAGAGAAAGAACAAGACGAAGAAGAGAGCGAGCGCCGCGTGATGGTGTGTAGCCCATGTCCATCATGCCCAAACCCAACGGCCGTCTTCGACTTACACCCCGATAGGCCACTGGAATGTAGTCAGAGCTGGGGACTCGCTGGCAGGGGGCAACGAGCTCCGGCGGAGTTGAGCAATCCGTCCGACTCCGTTCCTACGGCAGACCACAGGCGACATACCTTGCCCCTGGATAAACACAGCGTCGCATTGTCGCGACCGGCCAACCACAGCCAACTTTGCGTATAGCGCACTGCAGGCCCCCGTAGCGCTCGCTCTTGGTCTCGCGCCGAGTCCGCTGGCTTGGCTTGGCTGCAGCAACCCATCCCCCCAGTCTGCAGTCTGCCTGCGGCTCAACTTGTCCCACCACTTCACCCCGCTTCATCGATCTCACCCACAAACACACGACATTAGCCATGTTGACGGCAACACATCATACCTCTCCGCGCCACTTCCAGTCCAAATTCAAGCAAAATAATAACACAGCTCTGCAGTGTTGGCACTTCAATCAAGCGGCCTACCTAAGGTACCTTCCCCGCCAACGCACTCGTAAGTGTTTTGAATGTATTCAAAAATTGATCACCCCCTTTCACAGGGGGGATTCAGATATATTTTGTTATAAATATGTTCCCAAATTTTGCATGGGAAGGCAGCTAAAAGAATCGAATTTTTTGACCGGAAGAGATCCGTCAGGGACACAAGACTCCCAGGCCTTCTCATCATCACCACATACGGGCTTTTCCCTCGACCGACCGCTCGCTCTAATGAATGTGTGATTTTAGGTCTGCTGAGCTTTGTCATTGACCTCTTGTCGCCGTCTTCGAGCTGCGCCGGAGAGACGAAAAGGGGTCATCGGCCGATAACCCATCACTAGCAAGCGCGAAACAAGAGCACTGAAAACAGATAGTGCGTCAACCAAGCAGCCAGCCCTAAGCAGCTCCGGCAGCAGCAGCGGGGGCACTGGCGCTCGACCCCTCCAGCTCAAGCTCGAGGAGCCTCTCGGTCAGCCCGCGGCTGCTGCCACCGGGAGATGCAGCCAAGATGGCGCGAGTGGCTTCGGTGACGCCAAGCTGCTCGTTGGTCCACAGCGGAGCCTCGGCCACGGCATTGGCCTCGCCGACGCCGATGAAGCCGCCTTCGGCCGCCCACTCGCTGGTTCGCTTGATGCCCAGCTCTTTCCAGATGGACTCAATCGCAGCAACCAGGTGATCGCGGTAAGGCTTGGTATGGCCGGGCGTGGGGGTGATGCGAAGGCGCTCCTGGCCGACGGGGACCGTGGGGTAGTTGATGCTCTGCACGTAAATGTCGTGATCCTTCAGCAGCTTGTCGCTCGCCTTCTTAGCCAGCTCGGCGTTGCCCACAAGCACGGGAATGATGTGGCTCGGGTTCGGGATGACGGGGATGTCGCGCTCGCCGAGCGCCTCTTTGACGGCTCGCGTGTGGAGTTGCTGTAGCCGGCGGTCACCGCCGTAATCCATCTGGTACTCAATGGCCGTCCGGGCGCCTGCCATGACGGCGGGCGGCAGCGTCGTGGTGAAGATGAAGCCAGGTGCAAGCGACCGCACCGTGTCGATCAGCTTGGCGGTGCCGGCAATGTAGCCACCCACGCACCCGTATGCCTTGCCCAAGGTGGCCGTGATGATGTCAATGCGGTCCATGATGGTGCCGCGCGGGGCGCCGCGGGCGTGGGCCTCAAAGTCGAGGTGCTCGGCGACGCCGGCGCCGTGCGGGCCGTACATGCCCACGGCATGCACCTCGTCGAGGAAGGTCAGGGCGCCGTACTTTTCGGCCAAGTCGCAGATCTCAGCGATGGGCCCAATGGAGCCGCACATGCTGTAGACGGACTCGAAGGCGATGATCTTGGGCACCTGCAGGGGCAGCGACGCCAGCTTCTGCTCGAGGTCGTGGACATCGTTGTGCTTGAAGATGATCTTGCGGGCGCCCGAGTGGCGGATGCCCTGGATCATGGAGGCGTGGTTCAGGCTGTCGGACAGGATGACGCAGTCGGGCATCTTGCTGCCGAGGGTGGCCAGGGTGGCGTCGTTGGCGACGTAGCATGAGCTGAAGACGAGACCGGCCTCCTTGGCGTGCAGGCGGGCAATCGCGTGCTCCAGCTCGACGGCATGGCGATTGTGACCCGAGATGTTGCGGGTGCCGCCGGCGCCGGCGCCGTACTCGTCGAGGGTGTCGTGCATGGCGCGCAGCACCTGGGGGTTGCGGCCCATGCCGAGGTAGTCATTGGCGCACCACACGTCGACGCGGTCCTCCCGGTTGGCCATGTGGGCGCGCGGGAACTCGCGGGCCAGGCGGTTGATGTTGTTGAAGTAGCGGTACGACTTGTCCTTGTGTTTCTTGCCCAGCTCGGCCTCGTAGAACCCCTCGTAGTCAAACTTGGAGCCGTGCGTAGAGGGTCGGGGGCTGGGAGCCATACCGGGAGCCACACCGGCGCCGGCGGCAGTGGCAGCGGAAGTGGCAGCTTGCTGCTGCTTCAGGGGCAGGCGGGGTGGGAGTTGCACTGGAGGGCGTCTTGGCAGTCAGCATACAAGAACATGTCATGTCTACAGGAGCTCGTGGGAAGCCAGCAAGGCAACGCACCCTTGTCCAACAAGGAGTCCTCGACGGCGCGGGCGTCCTTGGAGCGGCTGGTGTGCAGCCTGGCCTTGCCCGACCTCTCGCGGTGGCCGGCAAAGGTGGAAGCAGCGGCACCGTGGAAGCCGGCGTGCTGGTGGTGGTTGCTGCCGAGGCGGGCCGACTGCACAGCAATGGCCTTACCCATGACGGGGCAGCGGCGGGCGAGCACCTGCAGCTTCGAGATGGCGCCACCGCAAGGAGAGGGAGCGACGGCGGGCCGGACCGCGGTTGCGGTTGCGGTGGCAGCCGTCGTCATGGCCCGAAGCCCGGCGGCCGTAGCCTTTCTCATGAAGGGGCACATGGCCTTGGACTGGCGGAGTACCGAATCCATGCTTGCTTGATCTTCTCGATCTTCTTCTTCTTGGCCTGGTCTTTTGCTTTTTGCGATTGATGCCTTTCGATGTCTGTCAGTCAATGGAATGGCAGCCAGACGAAACGAAACGGAACAGCTGGCTCGACGAGAACGGCGCAGGTTTCCAATTCGTTTTGGCGGCGACTTGGAAGAGGAGGATGTGGAGGGGGGGTGGTTGACTAAGTGGCTGTATGTACCTGGCAGGTACGGACTGTAAGGCCTACTAGTAAGCAGAGAGGGAGGGGCACGAGAAAAAAAAATTCGGAGCAAGAACAGGCGAGAATGGCGAGCGGCACGAAACTGCTTGCTGGGTTGGACAAGTAAAAACTGACTTTCACACCCGAAGCAGCAAAGATCCAGAACACCTCAATCAGGTCACTTCCAAAAGTCCAAAGAGGAGAAAAGCCGTGCTCGAGTGGGAAAGGGGAACCCTCGAGCCTTCAAACTGTCGAATGACCTCGGCGGCCATCCCTCTAGCCCGTCTCTAGCGGTCCACCGAGGTGGAGGCGAGGCGAGGCCATTCTCTCCATCGATCATCTCTCCTCCATCTCTCCCGAGTCCCGTCTCTCACACACTCTCGCCTGGTCTTCGGAATCTCGTTAAGGTCGAATGTCGGGTGCGTGCGTCCTTTGTGCAGCGCAGCGCTGTGGGTAAGGCACACACAGCACACCCAGCGTTGTGCACGCCACTGCGCAGCGTCGTCTGCAATGGGACAGAGACAGACGGCTGCCATCTTCCTCTTTGACCGTGGGTGGGGAACGCGGACAAATGCCCTCCCCGCCATTGGTTACCAGACAAATTCCTCCAGTTCGCCTCCCCACGGCTAAGTAGGTCCCGCGGTACTGCCCCTCCGCTTCGGCGTACGGAACTTGTTGGGTATTCTGACCTACTCCGTACTCCGTATTCCAACCCCGAATACTCAAGGTACCACATCGCAATACGATCCCTCATGCTAGCCCGCATACGCTAGGTGGCAGTACGGATACGCTCTTCATTCCACTGCCTCGGCTAAGCTCTTGTTGATGATGATTGGCACAAAGGACGCTCCTCAATGGGCCAGGAACCAAGGTATTCGTAGTCGATATTCGTAGGGTCAACCAAGCACGGGCAATTGCCTACCGACGTCATTCGACAACCACAACCGCATTTGAAAGGGCCCTTACTCACACGAGTACAGATTACTATTCATCCAGTCAAGACAGGCACGGAATGGCAGGTAGGTAATGTAAAGTAGTTCACCTTTCACGTTATTGTTACCTTGGGTCGACAGCTAGAACCGTCCTTCAAAAACGGTCCTATACAAGGTCGGTTCCCCTCTGTCCCGCCCGTCCCCCGGACTTGACTGCGCCCCCATGGGCACCTTATTTAGATACATTACAGTACGTAAACACGCCACTGCACCTCCCAATTACCTCTCCTTGAGCCACTGCAGTTGCTACCTTTGGCAACACCCACCCCAGCTTCGATACGCCTCCTCGCAGTCCGCCGCCAGCCATCATCCGTTTTAATTATAACGCATTACAATGGTTGATTGATAAAACCTCCGGGGTATCTCCAATGGAAAAAAATACGAAAAAGGAAGAAAAACGGCTGTAAGAAGATGCAAGATGCAGAACCAGACAAAGCGAAAAGATATCTCAGTCTCAGTCGTCAATGACGACCGGCGACTCTTGGGTTCCCAAATCACTCGTTCGTCTCGGTCCTTGATTAGGCGTGGTAGGTTCCCGACCGTCCAGTCTTTTCAGTTTTCCGTCCTTCGAAGCCCGTCGAGCCATCATCTGTTGCTGTACTGCCGTTGTGTCGACCCATCCCGACGCTGGCCCGGGCTGGGTCTTCTTCGTCTTAGTATCAAGGTTTGGTGAGTGACCCATAACTCTAGCGTTTGAGGGCTGGGTCTTCTTCGTCTTAGTATCAAGGTTTGGTGAGTGACCCATAACTCTAGCGTTTGAGGGCTGGGGTTGGTGTCGAGGTTGAGGTCGTGGCTGCTGCTGCTGGGTCGAAATGTTAGTTGCTCGCAAGAGACTGTGAGCTCTCGTAGAACTTGTTGCCTACTTGTGGATTAGCGACCTGAGAATTCCACACCGTACGCTCAAAGTCGTCCTCTCGCATCCCATCGTAGAGCGCCGCTGTTGAGTCTATCTCCGGAATTCCCATTTTGACGAATGCGTCGGGCTCGAGGTGTTTCGTAAGCAGCGCCTCTGCGATACGTTCGTTCTGAGCCGCCTTTGTCAGGTGCTGCAGTTTGTCAAGCCGCGGCAGTCCTTGGATATGGTTCTGATCTAGTGCATTGGCGATTTCCGACACCATGTTGCTCGGGGTCAATGGCGTGTGCCGTCCTTGGGCCGAGATGCGCTCAGCAACTACCGTTAGGAGCTTCGTAAGCATTAACTCCAGAGATGAGGACCCAGGCTTATTCTCCGGCGGGGCCTGCGGCTGGGCTTGAGGTTGCTTGAAACGAGTGCCCGTCCCGAGGATGGGGAGGAATGATTCGGGGCTAGGCACGCCACTCAATCTCCTCTCTTTTGGAGATTTTAAAAAATCCCTAAACTTTGATGGTGACTGCTCGGCCGATGCTTCTTTTGACGCTGGCTTTTCAGGACCGGGCGTAGGGATAGCCGGAGTCTGAAGGGGTGGTGTTTTGGGAAGAGGGGGAGGAACTGGCTGAGAGGTCAGTGCTTTGGGGGGAGGGAGAACTGGGCGAGATGTCAGCACATCATTGACGTGATTTCCTGCTGGCATGACGCCCGAAACACCAGAGTTAGAGATATTGGGGTTCGAAGCTGGAGCTGTCGCTGCCGGATCGCGCTGCTCTCTCAAGTGAGTCGGCACTGTAATCTTGATCGGCGTGCTCGATGCCTTCGCTGGCGTGGCCCTGGGCTGGAACTGAGCGCCGATAGGATTTACTTGGCCCATCCCCGGAAATTCAGGTGCCAGCCATGGCACCTCTCTCTGTCGCCACAGCCACTCTTGCTCCCGACGCTTGAACTCGTCCGGGTTTTGGATGCGGAGTCGCTGAAGCTCAATGTCTTCCTCCGCCTCTCGTTTCTCTTCGGCTGTAAGCTCGTACGTTTCCTCCTTCTCAAAAGTTTCGGTCGAGTCTATCTGGCGTATGACGCCCTCAAACCGGCTGTCGCTCAGCAGCGCGTCTAAGACTGTGTCCTGCCCCATGGCGTTTGACAAATCTCTCTGCTCGGGAATTGTGGGCTTGACGAAGTATTCGCGGATCTGCGTTGACCACGGGTCGGGATTCTTCTTGTCCACGACTCGTGATGCCAATTGTGTCTTGAACACGGCGTTGTTTTGGATCGTATTCTCAAAAGTCCCACCCATCTGGAGCCAGTAGACATAGACAGGCTTGGTCTGGCCTATCCGATATGCCCTGCCAATGGCCTGCTGCTCCTCTGCCGGCGTATATCGAAAGTCAAAAATGACAACCCGGTTGGCCCCGTATATATTGAGTCCAACTCCACCCGCCCTCGTAGATATGAGGTAGATTTCGGTCGAGTCCGTGTTGAACTTCTTGATTGCGGCCTGGCGTTCTGCGATCGGGGTAGACCCATCGAGCCGCTGGATACCCCGCTTCTGCCTCTTGAACAGAGTCTCAAGATAGTCCAGCGTAGGGATGCTCTGCGAGAACAGCAGAACCTTGTCACCGATCTTTTTGCATTCGTCCAAGATCTTCACGAGGACGAAAATCTTGTTGGAGTTTTCGATATTCTCGAGGGTCCTAGAAGGGAGCGTAGATAATACCTGGCCGAGGAGGTCCTGTGGTAAGGCGAGACAGTCGTCGTTGTCTCGCGACTGTTTTGACTTGCGAGTGTTGAGATAAGTCCGGAAGATCCAAGGATGGGCGAGAAGCGGCGAAAGCGTTGTAACGAGACTCCAGACTCCTGCCTGTGACTTGATTGTCTCAGCGACCCTTGGGTTTTCAAGGGCAACCTCAAGGTAGGCTTCGTAAGTTTTCTTTTGCGCCTCAGTCAAAGGCAACGTTAGAATGAACTCCTTTTTGGTTGGCAACTCTTTGACGAGAAACTGCATGTCCTTTCTGTGGACTTTCGGCTCTACGGTAGCCTTCAGCACATGTAGCATCTTCCGCGCCTTCCTCTTTTTAAACGGTTCGCTATCGGCATATAGTCCCTCCTTGATCGGGTTTCCGAACCTATCTCTGAACTCTGCAATGTCTGCCAGATAGTTCGGTGCCACCCAATTGATCATTGAGTAGTAATCCATGACATTGTTGGTGAGCGGAGACCCTGTCATAGCTATGCGACTCATGGTTTTGAACTTGGCCGTTGCCTGTGTCCGATTTGCTTCGGGGTTTTTCAAGAGGTGGGCCTCATCACAGACAACGATGTTGGGGAAGTCATAGAGAATTGCGGCAATTTCCGGGTCTTTGACGAGGTCCGTGAATAAAGGATAGCCAGTGATGAGGACTCCGCCTTCATCCTTCCAGTCCCTCACCATATTTTTGCGATTTTCCAGCTTCACCGAGGAATCTATCTTGAAAAAAGTGCCGAGAAACTTGTCGTCTGGAGTCCAGAAAAGAACTTCGTCGATCCAGTTGTCGACTAAGCCTGCAGGACAGAGGATCAGCGTCTGGGACCGCCGCAGACTCTCGGGGATTTGCGTGTGAACCGACGGATCTTGCGAACAAGATGCCTCGGCAATGACCACCAGCAACGTGATGACTTGCATGGTCTTGCCAAGGCCCATTGTGTGGGCAAGAAGGCACCCTTGGCGGACTTTCGAATCGACGACGATTTGGTTCCACATGAATCGGACACCTTCAATCTGGTGGTCTTTTATCTTGCTGCCGATGGCATCGTTGATGTATATCAATGCCTGATCATCTGACTCCTTCGTTTCGTTGACAATCAGCCGGGACTTGTCGCCAGTAACCGTTCCTTGAATAGCCAGCTTCTGCCTCAGCAGCTCACGACGCTTTTCAAACTCTTTGTTCTGGCTCATATTTGTTTGACGGAGGTTTTCGGCGTTCTGGTCTCGTGGTCGATGCTGCCTTCGCCGTTTCTTAGCCGACGATATAGGCATGTCCTCCGACAAGGAACTACCCGAGGCGTGGGTTGAGTCGTCCGGAGAGTCTTCAGCCTCGGCCTCGGCCGTCTGACTCGAAACCTTTTCGGCAACTGAGCCTCCTTTCAGCTTTATCCGAGTCTGGGTCTGGGTCGGTGGGTGTGAGAAGTGTGGGATGACTCGCTTGAGAAGCTCGCAGAATGGCTCGAACAAGTTGTCGTCTCGTTTGACCCGATGTATAGTGGTGGGCCGAATAGACTTAGAGCCCAATCGTATCGTCTTACAGCTTATGAAACAGTCAAAAAGCTTGAATATGTTGATCGAAACGGTAGCAGCCCGGGCTTTAAGGCTGTTGTTCACTAATTCTTCCATGTGTTCGTTCCAGACATCGCGGAAATCACTGTCTTTGACGGCATCGAAGACGTCCCTTCGGCGACTAGAAGACCAGGTATACAGGACAGCAACGACAAGTCGATTGCGATCCTGAGTTTTTACCCAGTATTCGAAGCCGACTTTTCCGATGCTGGCTGGATCTTCCAAATTAGGGACCTGATCTAGCTTCGTCGGGCCCATAGGGGAGGAGAAAATCTCGATAACCTCAGATGCGGCACGGAGTGGGCTAACTGGCCCCAGCGGGTGCTCGGATTTTGCAATCGGTGTCTGGTGAAGTGCAGTGTTACCCAGACTCGGAGGGAACGACGCTATGGGATAGTCTCTAGGTGGAGTACTATAGGAAGATCCGCGGATTGGATCAACAATAGGCTCATGATTTGTGTTGATATCAGGTTCGTAGTTCGAGTCCAGATCCATCCCATCGCTGGTAAAAAGCCCAGGGTCAAGAGGAACGTCTTCATCGACGAACTCATCAAGGCCGTCGGACTCGCTCGTTAGGATGTCTTCACCCTCCACGCCATCGTCATACGAAACCCGCCTCTTCTTAGGTAGGGGCTTTAGCCTAGGGAGCATCGAGGGTTTTGGGGGCGGCTGAGGGTTCTGTAGCATGTTGATGAGCCATTCCTGGTACTTCCTGTCAAAGACGCTTAATTCCAGCTGACCGGTCGCCTGCTGCTCGAGAGCTCGCTTATCATCCCACGTGTCTCTGAGGTATCCTCGCACCATGTTGTCTATCCGAAGGCGAAGGCTTTCAAGCTTTTCCTTGGCTCTGTCGATTATAAATAGACGAGCCGAGTGGGGGTAAGCATCTCGCCACAGTTTCCAGGCTTTGCGGTCATTTTTTGGTTTCTTTATCTCTACCCAATCAGCCTCGAGATTGAGGATGACCGTCTGGATCACTTCCTCGACCTTGACACTGCTTAGGTTGAGGTTCTTGGAAGTTAGCATGCGAGCCTCGAGGTTCTCAAGCTCTTCCTCCTCCTCCATTTCACGCCACGTGTCCGAGTCATAACAGCCCTCGTCGCTAGACTCCCCGAGCAGCGGCAGCAGCGATTCGGCATCTTCGCCTACCTCAGAGTCACTTTTCTGACTCACGATCAAGCCAGAAAGGAGAAAACGTTTCATCGCCCGTGCTACTTGAAGACGACGTCCAGGCGGAATCCCGCTAGACCCTGCCCAGCCAACCAGTAGCCGTCCGGGCGGATACGGTTCCAGCCATTCTATCGCTTCTGGCTCGGTACCGTCGGGTATTGGTGGCATGGTAATTTCCGCGGGGTTCAGAACGAAATGACCTAGATAGGCAGGGGCCGAATCTGTAGTCTGGGGTAGCTCCTCTACAGTAGCAACGGTGTAGGTTATGGCGTCGGCTTTGGTGGGTGCTATCAAGCTGTTGATATGAACGGGAACGGCGGGTATACTAGTTGGAGCAATCCTCCTCTTTTTGGGAGGTGGCTCGCTCGACTCGCCAGACTGCGCTGTTTCGGGTGGGGGCGTGCTTTGGACAGTGGACGCGGGAATCACCGAGATGGGTTCCTCCCCTGGAGACGGCTGAAGAAATTCGGGTTCAGTATCCAAGACTTCAGCTCTGTTGTGTGGCTCTGGCAAGATAGACGGGCCATCATCTACGCCACCGTCACCCTGGCTCTCTACAAGCTGAGTCTGTTTCCAGTTCTGGTAGCCACGGCTGTGCCTTCTAAGGTGCTTGATGATGCGGGAAAGCGAGATTCTCTGTGGAGCAATCTTGACGTCCAAGAGATCCCATAGCATAGTGGCGCCGAATTCGTCCTCATAAGTCAACAGCGACTCGCCATCCACTTCATGTTCCCGAAACTTGCGCTCGAGTTTGGCGGGATCTAGTAGCTTCTTGGCCAGCGGCACTTTCCAAGACCGATTTGAGGTGCATAATTCTTGCACCACTCGACCGACATCCCAAAGGAAGGGATCGGCCTGATCAGCCTCCTCCATGCTTCAGGACAAGGTTTTCTAGAACGCCAGATGTGTTAGCATGGCCTCGTTGGCGGCTACGAGATATCCATTCGGCGATTTCTACGGGTGATCTAATGGGAGTTATACAGGCGAGAGGGGGTGGGGGTGAGGTTGTGTTGCTGGTGATGAACCTCTGCCCCGTCTAGTTTCGCGCGGGAAAGGACTTGCGGGGCGGTGAAATCTTGGCTGGACTATCCGGATCGAGGGGTATCGAAAAGGGCAGATGGCGAAATGTTTGAAAAGACTCGAAATGCAAGAGAGCGACATCTTTGCTCAAGAAAGAAGGGGGGGTGGGTTGTGAACTTACCTGCATGAGTGGTCTCGTTCAAGTTTGAGGTGAGGTACGGCTAGTAAACCGATGCGCCTGGTGATCCCCGCCCGTGAAGGAGAGAAAAAGTAGGTACCAGTTGAGGCAGGAGCTGCGCCCTCTACAAAAGGCAAGCGAGACCAGTCTTTTCCAGATTCATAAAAATGAGGAAAGCGAAGATCGGGGAGCAACAAGACACCTCAACTCAGATTCAGATTACGGACAGTAAGTCTGGGACTGAGATAGGCAAGGCGCCAATGAGTTTGGGTGGTTGTGCGGGTCCCTTCCTGCTTGGGCCTTGGGAGGAGCAGCCTGAGGGAGGGGGGAGACGTCTAGGAGGTGTGCGAGGAGAGCAATTTCGGTATTAGGGCGTGATATGTATCAGATACGGTGAGAAGGAGAAATAGAGACTCTGGGGCACACCCTCGTCGATAGGCCGAGGATCAGGATCTAGGTGTCGCGTGTGAGGAAGGTTAGGGTTCACTCGGCGCGCAGGACCTACACAGTAATGGGTTGTTCACGTCCTCTGCGGTGAAAAGCACTGTCCACCTCGGGCAGCTAGTGTGAATATTTCTTCCGCACGGTGGAATTGCTGGTTTGTGGCACGAATAACGAATCCGATTCTCGAGGCTTGAGTCCCAACCAGTTATGTAAGACGTAAGACGTCAACCACTTAAGCCGGTTTCTTTAGGCCTGCATCTTGTTTCGTCCGTGAGGTCTGATCAAGGTAGTGCGCTCGGGAATTATTGTTCTCGCGCTTGCTTGGGGCACAGTACGAGCTTTACTACCCAATTGTCCAGCGTTACCCCGCGGTCTTTGATAAGAGGGATCCATCACCGTCCGGTATCTGTGGAGGGGTAATTCAACAGGCCTAGAATATTATTAGCTACTCTGCCAGATGCTTTCTTCAAAGTTAAGATCGGAATCGAACATGGGAAACGGACATCTCCTATTAGTTACAGATTTCATGAAAATCAACAATCCACGGTCATGGGTAGGACGGGAGCTGGAGACATATTCGTTCATGGGCTTTGTGCCGAATAGGCAGGACTAATTGTTCGGGCCAGTGAACAACAACACCCTATTGGGCGGCAGAGGCAAGACGTGCTTGCAAGGACCCGCTTTGCAGTTGCCGTTCCCCTCGAAACTTCTGCTCGCCTCTTTGCGCCGTTCCTGCCGGTTGTAGAAATTAGAATCTCGAGGCAGAAGCGTAAACGCCTTAGGTGTGCGTTTTCTAATCCCGCCCGCCTTTCATCGTCTAATTCTACGTAAGTTGTGCTGTCACGCGGCTCTAAATAATATGTGCCAAGCCAAAGCGGCGGGACAGCAAATACAGCAACCCTGACAATTGATGGCGATCGATAGACTTTGCGCATTTGGCTGACCAGCAACAAGCACAAAGGGGGAAGCCCATCAACATATAAAGGGCAAAAAAGGAAGAAGAAAAAAGGCTTCACACAATGACGTCCCTCACTGGGGGCTCGTACCCCCCGGCCGTCAAAGACGAGCTAGAGCGGCAGAGGCTTGTGCAGGCCGTCAAGGACTGGTCGCTGGCGCATGGGCTCGTGGTGCGGCCGCCGGCGACAGTGGCGCCCAACGACTCGGATGAGATCCTGTCCATGAACGCCCCTGTCACTCTCTTTCCCAGCCCGTTCCCCCGGCGCTGCTTTGAAGAGGCCAAGGCCGTGCAGACGACGTACAATGAGCTGTACGCGCGCATCAGCCAGGACGACGGCTTCCTCGGCGAGATTGTGCAAGAGCAAGTACCTTTAATCATCTGTCCTCCTCCGTCTCTGTCTGTCTGCATTTTAACATGTGCGCCTCGTCACCGGATCCTAGGGTTGCCGGCGGCGACGAGTTCATCGCCCAGCTCTGGGACGTCCATCTGCGGGTGAAGAAGGAAGGCTATGTTCAGGTTAGCCGAGACCCCCTTTTTCGCTTCCTCAGGGGTTGCGCTATTACTAAAGACACCCATCCATCCCCCTTACCTAAAAGACCTAAAAGAATAAGAATAAGAGAAAAAAGAAGAAGGAGAAAGACTAACCACTCTCTGCTTCTTTTACCTTGACTCCTACGGCCTGTACAGAATCTCGCGCTTGGGTTATTTCGATCCGACTACATGGTCCACCAGGACGGCGACGACCTGCAGATCAAACAGGTCGAGTTCAACACGATTGCATCCTCCTTCGGCGGGCTCTCGGCCCAGACCTCTCTGCTCCACAGGTACGGCGCCCGCCGGACCTCCTCTTACGCTCGCTCTCTAGTTTTTTTTTTTTTTTGCTAAATATTCTGCAACAGACACCTCTCACAGACGTCGTACCCGCTGCTCAAGGACGCCGGCGCACGCGCCGCCCTCGACCTGCCGCCCAACGAGAGCACTAGGGGCCTCGCGGCGGGGTTAAAGGCAGCAGCCGACGCGTACGGGCCGTCGGAGCTCGGGCACCGGACGTGCGTGGTGTTTTTGGTGCAGGGCGGCGAGCGCAACGTGTTCGACCAGCGGCACCTTGAGTACGAGCTGGTGCGGCAGACGGGCGGCGCCGTGCCCGTGTTCCGCCTGCCATTTGCCGAGATCCTCGCCCGCACCAGCATCGCCGCGGGGTCCGCCAAGCGCCAGCTCCTGTACCACTTGCCGAGCGGCGGCGATGGCGACGGCGACGGGGAGGGGCCCGTCTTCGAGGCCGCCGTCGTCTACCTCCGCGCCGGCTACGGGCCGGGCGACTACCCGGACGCGGCGGCGTGGGAGGCGCGGTTCCAGATCGAGCGGTCCGCCACCATCGCCTGCCCGTCGGTGCTGACGCAGCTGGCCGGCATGAAGAAGGTGCAGCAAGTGCTGGCGACGCCTGGAACATCATCATCATCGTCAGCCAACAACAACAGCAACACCCCGCCCTACTCGACTGCGCTGCGACGGTTCATCCACGACGACGCGAGCCAGGCGGGGCTGTGGCGGACCTTCACGAACATCTTCCCAATGGACGCGTCGACGGCAGCCGGGCGCGAGGCGCGGCGGCTGGCGACGGACGCCATAGCGTGCCAGGGGTACGTGCTCAAGCCGCAGCGCGAAGGGGGCGGCAACAACACGTACCGAGGGGCGATCCCGGGGTACCTGGCGACGGTGCCGGAGGAGCACTGGGGGTCGTACATCCTCATGGAGCTGATCACGCCGCCGCCGCTGAGCAACACGATCCTGCGCGGCGGGAAGCTCGAGCAGGGCGGTGTCATCTGCGAGCTCGGCGTCTACGGTACGTGCCTGTGGGACCAGAGCTCGATGGCGGGCGCCATCCTGCACAGCGAGGAGAGCGGCTATCTCCTGCGCACCAAGGGCGACCAGAGCGAGGAGGGCGGCGTCGCGGCCGGCTTTGGCTGCATGGACTCGTGCAGCCTGGTGTGAAGTGCAGATTTGGTACTTGATTTGGACCTGACAATGTCTATACTTTTTCGATACCGTTATAACCAAGACCTGGAGCAAAGTGCTTGCCAGGCTGTGACAAATCCATAACCCCCAGCGCTAGAACTAGATCCAGACCATAAGTACCCGCTTTCCGGTCGTCCAGATCACATTAAATCCGCCAAATTCCGTGAACGACCAAGGCCGGCCCATACAGGCAAGCACTCCATTTTGTGTCGAGGTTTGTGTACATATATGCCAGCGGCTAGCTATACGAGGCAGCTCTACCGCCGCCCTACCTCCTGCCTCAGCCTGCCGGCCACGGTCGACGGCGGCGGCTCGGGCCAGGACGAGACGGCCTCGTTCACCTCCTCCATAAAGGTGGCGGCATTATGGATGGTGGTGCCGCCGAGGACGACGCGGACGCCTGGCAATGATGCGTTGATAGAGGCTACCATCTTGGCCTCCTCGTACGTGGCGCCGCCGATGATAAAGACGATGACGTCCTGGGGCTTGTCGCGCGTGGTGCCGCCGCCTTCGATGAAGGGGTACTGCGGCTCGCGCAGCTTGCCCTTAATGAGATTCTGCAGCGTAGTCTCGAGCAGGGGCGAGTGCTGGGTATAGACGTTCTCGACCCCCTTGAGCCCCTTGAAGCGGCTGCTCGCTCCGCCAAAGATGCCCGTCGACTCAAAGATGTCGGTGATGCCGCCAGCCGCCGGGGATTGATGCAGGGACGAGTGATATGTCAGCAGCCTGGCCACCTGTTGGGCCTTTTGGGCCGGCACACCGCCAGTAGCGCTGAGCAGGTCGACGAGCATCGGAAGCGCGTTGGACGGGTGCTTGGCGTAGCGAAGCGCATATACGGCCACAAGACCGACCTTGTCGTGAATGGTCACGGCCGGCGACTGGATGAGTTTTTGCACGGTCTGCGATGGACGGTTAGCCCTGGCTTCACTCCGAACAAAATTAGGGGATAGGTTTACTTTAATGTCGGATGCATGGTTGTCATTGCACGCAATGCTTTGCTCGACCTCGCTGACCTCGAGTAGATTCTCCGAGGCAACCCGCTTGCTGAGCTCCGACACCAGCGTGACATGCTTGCTCACGTTGCCCGAGAGCTTACGAAACTCAGGATATTCCTCGATGAAGCGCTTCATGTCAGAGATAGTCTCAATATTCCCGCTGCTCTTGGTCTTGGACTGGTACTGCTCCACGTAGTCCTTGATGTTGCCGCCCAGGTCGCCAAAATTCATGTACATATTCTTTTTAAAGAAGGGATCCTGGTCCTGTGACAGCACGATTTCCTTAAGGTCGGCCGAGATATCGGCCACGGCGCTGAGATCGACGCGGCCATTGTTGATGCTAAGGAGGTGATGCACCATGGCCTGGTAGGTCCACTGGTTGAGCAACGGTGTAACGGGGTCCTCTCGCCGGTCGAGGACCAGCAGGATTGGGGGCGTGTCTACGCGCCGGAAGTCGAATAGCTGGTCCTCCTGGGTGATGTAGTAGCGCACTTCGGAGGCAAGCTTCTTGGCGAGAAGGCTGCTCTTCTGGTATCTAATTAGCGGCTTCTTCTTGAGGGCCAGGAGCACGGCGACGAGGCCCTCGGTGGCGCGCTGCAGCGAGTCTGTGTTCCACGTGTCGGCGTTGCCGCTCCAGATGCGGTAGAGAGGCGGCGACATGTTGAGCGAGAACAGGTCCGGGTTGATGACGAGGAAGTCGAGAAAGTGTTCCTGAACTAGCTTGACTACCTCGTGGTCGTCGGCCTCAGCGAGGCGCTCGAGGGTCGACTTCTTGGCGACGTTGCTGAAGTAAAGGTGGTACTCTCCGTACCGGGGCTCCCTTAGCTCGTCGATGAGCAGGCCGATCGAGTCGGGATGGGGCCTCACAAAGCAGAGACAGCGCATGTGGCGCATCTTGTCGCGGTTCGGGTTGTCGAGGCGATCGACCAGATAGACCTCGTGGTTGAGGAGGGCCGACTGCGTGACGGCGGTCGAGATGCTGGCCATGGTCTCGCGGTCGAGCAGCAGCATTTTCATCTTGGTCGAGGGCACGCCCGACGTGGTGCTGTCGCCAGTGGACACCATCTTGGTGACATAGCCCGCGGCAGCTGAAACGACGTCCATGTTTCCTGATGTGATGCTCAGCCCGATCGTCGGTTTGCCGGCAACGCAACCATTCAATAAATCAATCAATCGGCTAGTCGATTAATCAGAGAATCCGCGGCGAATGACCACGATTGGAGCACGGCTCTCTATGCATGGTGCGACGCACGATGCGCCTCCATTCCCTAGAGCAATTCCCTGGCGCGAGTGGCGGAGGACTTTAGTTGGCGTCGGTTTCGATTTGGTGATGGAGGGGCGAGTTCGTGAGGTTGGCGGTGGGCGATCGTTTAAGTCGTTATAGTCGTCGTGTACATGCTACCCGCATCCAATGCGGCGACATCCGACCCGTTGGAACCTTGGGGGGGACGAAGGCTGATAAGATAAGGCTGCGACGTTACAGCTACCGCACTGCACCGAATGGCCCCCTGTGATGTGAGCCTGACAACTCCAGCTCAGGTACCTTCCAGGTCCTTGAGCTTACATTTTAACGGGGATGGTGGGGCGTGACGCAGTTGCATTCAACCCGCTTCACGTTTCCAGGTTACGTACCTTAAACCTACCTTAGTCTAGAATCTAGACGTGCCCTCCACCTTTTCCCCTTCACCTCATCGCTCCCGCAGAGCACCCCCCCCGCCACAAACATGGCACAAGACGTGTGCCCGGCCAAGTCAGAACCGACGTGAGTCTAGGTGGTTGTGGTGGCGGTGGTGGACAAGGCTGCCAAAAGACTTTGGCTGACGCGGAATGCACGCGCCGCGACGGGACGGGCAGGCTTTCCTTCACGCAGGGCTTCATTCTCGGCCAGATCTCGGTCGTAGTCGTGCTCGCCGTCTTTATCAAGTTCTTCATTTTTGGCGACCCCCCTTCGCCCGAGGCCACGGCATCTCGCGCCGCTGCAGAACGCCGCTCCCAGACGCTGGCCCACAAGCAGTCGCTGCTGAGCCTGCGCACTTCATCCAATGCCAATGCTAATGCCAATTCTAATGCCAATTCTAATGCCGCGGGCTCACGGCCGACGGGCCAGCCGCCGGCTCTGAACAAGAAGAAGTCGAGCATCCTGCGCTCGAGCCCCCCGACATTGACCATCGGCTCCATTCTCGACAAGACATACTACAAGGTGGACAGCCACCAGCCCGAGAGCCTGGACTGGTTTAATGTGCTCGTCGCGCAGACGATTGCCCAGTTCCGCAGTGATGCGCAGCACGACGACGCCATCCTCACGTCGCTGACCAAGGCCCTCAACGGCACCTCGCGGCCCGACTTTGTCGACGAGATACGCGTGACGGAACTGAGCTTAGGCGACGACTTCCCCATCTTCAGCAACTGCCGCGTCATCCCCGTTGATGAGGACGGTCTCGACTTCGGCCCTGGAAAGGCCATGGACCCGAGCACGGCGACAAGGGAAGGCGCCCGCCTGCAGGCGAGGATGGACGTCGATCTCAGCGACATGATCACCATGGCTGTCGAGACCAAGCTTCTGCTCAACTACCCCAAGCGGCTCAGCGCCGTCTTGCCCGTCGCCCTGGCCGTGTCGGTCGTGAGGTTCAGCGGCACCCTGTCCATATCCTTCGTACCGAGCAACCCGTCCGAGAACACGCCCACCAAAATGACGTTTACGTTTCTTGATGACTACCGACTGGATTTCTCCATCCGCAGCCTCTTAGGAAGCCGGTCTAAATTGCAGGACGTGCCCAAGATAGCGCAGCTCGTCGAGTCGCGTCTCCACCGCTGGTTTGACGAGCGGTGCGTGGAACCGAGGTTTCAAGAAATTGCTCTCCCGAGCCTGTGGCCGCGGAAGCGTAACACACGCGGCGGTGACGATGCCATAGCCGACGTGGGGCGGTCCATGAGCATGAGCAAGGCCAAGGGCGTCGACATTTTGAAAGACGTGCGGGACGAGGCCCGGAGACAAGCGTCGGCCGAAACGGACGGGCGGCCTGACTCGTTGCGAATGCGCCGGCGCCAGAGGGCAGAGGATGCCTTTTCCATGCCTGGATCCATGCCCGGCTCCATACCCGGCATGGCTTTGGATGGTTCAACGTCGGGCGTCTTCAGCTGATAGGGCGCCGCCGACAAGGTGCAAAGACCTTTACTAAGCGAAACTTGCCCCTTTGACAAGAGCGACTTCCTTGACACCGGGGTACACCAGACCCGGAGCCGGCTGGGTTGGTAAGAAACCTTGGGTTTCATAACCTCCCAAGACCGCTTGGCCGTGGAATACGGCAATGCCCAGCCCGTTCCGGCGCAATTGGACATGACGCTTTAGATTACAGCGATTCCTTGTTCCGGAATACTCTTGAGGGGCAAATACATTTTGTTGTATTTTACCTTTCGGGTCTAAGCACTCTGGCTTGTTGCTTGGCGTATGTCCGTAAACTGGCCGAATCTGCAAGTCTGGCCCCCTTTTTTTATTACTGAAATGCCCCATAGAGCCTGATGTTTACACCTTTTCTTTTTGCCGTGCTGCCCGTGCTGCTGGTAAATAAGTACTACAAGGTTGTCATGGGGTCAAAGTACAATTTGGGGAAGCTGGTACTGTAGCCCTAGAATATTAGACGAAGATCAAATGCACATTCTACCAGTAAAACTAGCACAGATAAAACATACCATCACGGTGCGGATGACGGGACAAGCGTGAGACGCACGTGTTATGGATGAGTGAGAAGAGTGGACAGTTTCCAGTCCACAAGCCACCAGCATGTGCCGCTTGCATGAGACAGGTGCCAGGCCCAGCCCAGCGGTTGGTGATGTCACGGCGGACTGCGCGCGCCAAGCCTAAACCTAAACCGTAACTGAGGTATCCCCAGCAGCCCTGCAGGCAGGGCCAGCGCCCTTCCCAACAACGTCTTAACCTTGCATACTAATAGAAAAAAAAGCTCGGAACTTGACGAAACGGGCGAAAAACTGCTGCCAACACCTGCCGACCAGACGCTAGGCTGCTATCGCTAGTTCTAGGCGCATTGCAAGCGTCGTCCTTGCGTCGGTTTGTCGACGTCCAGTGTCTGTCTGCCTACAGGGCTCGACGCTCAACATCCTCGAGTCGCATAGGCACAGAGTCTGTCCTCACACCGAACACACACACACGTACACGCACCCGGCGACAGCCTCCTGCCCAAGCCAACCTGAGAGGGATCGCGCCCCATCGGTGGCATGGAATAACCCGAGTTGAAACACCAATTCTTTCTTTTTACTTTGCGATCCAGGCTTAGTTGTTGGGTAGCTCTCGAAAAATGCTACCGTACATAAACGCTCGTATGGCAAACCCCCCGTCCTGAAGCCGGCCGGCATCGGCGCCGATACATGCGCGCGCGCTGTCCTGACCTGACCTGACATGACTGACCTCGGCTCCGTTGGCAGCTTTCGCCTACCTGGCAAACAAGATCGGGACCGGCCCCGATGAACGTGCGCTCCCCCCCCCCCCGGGCCAGCACTGTCTGCTAGGGACGGCTCCCTTCGAGCGATTTGTCGAGTACTTGGGCTAATACATAATGCGTCTCTTCTCGTCCAGTCAAGCTCCTGTTCTCCTTCCTCCTCTCATATCCTCTCGCCGGCGTCCTAAAACGGGTGCCCGATGCACGACCCGAGCAGAAGAACCTCTTTATCCTCAGGTGCGTTAGTCATTTCCGGTATCGAAAGAGGGAAGAGGGGCCAACAGGCCGCAGGAGATTGGCCTGGATCATGCTGTCCCCTGGGGATAGACAAGAAGCATTCAAGCTAACGTAGAGCGCCCCAACTACAGCGTTTCCATATTCTATCTTGTCGGCCTCTTCGACCTTTGGGATGGGTTGCGGACGATATTAATCTCGTCGCTGGGGTCCTACGCCATCGCCAAGTTTCTGCGTGGTTCGCCATATATGCCATGGGTCGGCTTCGTTTTCTTGATGTGCCACATGAGCGTCAACCACATTGCGCGCCAGGCCGCCAATGACCCGCACTCGGTCGACATCACGGGTGCCCAGATGGTGCTGGTCATGAAGCTCAGCGCATTCTGCTGGAACGTGGCCGACGGGGTGCTGCCCGAGGTTGAGCTGTCCGACTTTCAGAAAGACCGGCGGCTGCCTGAGCTCCCAGCCCTACTGGACTTTGCCGGATACGTCTTCTTCTTCCCCAGCCTGATGGCCGGTCCCGCCTTCGACTTTGCCGAGTACCGCCGCTGGCTGGACACGACCATGTTTGATGTGCCCGTAACCGTAGATCCGTCCAGGAAACCGCCCACACGACGCAAGCGCAGGATTCCGCGGAGTGGCACTCCCGCCATGGTCAAGCTGCTGACTGGGGCCTTATGGCTCGTCGTCTTCCTCAAGCTATCCCCGACATTTTACCCAGAGGTGCTGTCCGAGCAGCGTTTCCTCGAGCACGGTTTTGTGCGGCGCCTGCTGATCATGTACATGATACCCCTGACGGCTCGCACCAAGTACTACGGCGTGTGGACCATGACCGAGGGCGCCTGCATTCTGACCGGGCTTGGATACAACGGCATCGACCCCGCGACCGGCAAGGTGTCGTGGGACAGGCTCCGGAACGTCAGCCCCTGGGAGGTGGAGCTGGCGCAGAACACGCGCGCCTACCTCGGCGGCTGGAACATCAACACGAACAGCTGGCTGCGGAACTACGTCTACCTGCGCGTCACGCCGCGCGGCAAGAAACCCGGCTTCCGCGCGACGCTCGCCACCTTCACCACGAGCGCCTTTTGGCACGGCTTCTACCCCGGCTACTACATGTCGTTTGTCCTGGCCAGCCTGATCCAGACGGTAGCCAAGAGTACGTTTTTTTCATGCCCCTCTTCCCGGCAAGCTTAATGAGAAATGCCGGCTGACACGAAACGCCTTGTAGACATCCGCCGCTACTGCCGCCCCTTCTTCCTTGACCCCAAGACGCAAGCGCCCCTGCCGAGCAAGAAGTACTACGACGTCCTCTCGTGGGTCACCACGCAGTTAACCTTCTCCTTCACCACGACGTCGTTCCTCGTCCTCAGCTTCTCGGGCTCCCTCCAGGCCTGGGCGCGCGTCTACTTTTACGCCGTCGTCGGCACCTTTGCCAGCATGGCCTTCTTCGCATCGCCCGCGAAGCCGCACCTCCGCCGCATGCTCGAGCAGCGCGCGGCCCGCGCCAGCGTCGTCCTGCTGCAGCAGCCGGCCAAGTCCGCCGCCGCCGCCCCAGCAGTCGCCAAGGGCCAGAAGACGCTAGCACCCCCTACTACTACCGCGGACGCGGACGGCATGCACAGGACCGTCAGCTCCGACAGCCTGTCGTCGGCCGTCTCGCGCGAGCCCATCCTCGGCATGTCGTCGGACCTGCAGCTCGATTTCGACGAGGCCCTGAGCGAGATCAAGGCTGAGGTCCACGCGCGCAAGGTCAAGACGGATGCCTTGAAAAAGGCTGCCTAGCAGGTAGACGTGGAAGTGGAAGTTGAGTTTATTTGGTATATCTGTCTGCAAAGTTAGGAGGACTCGACAGGCAGGCAGGCTCAATCATAGGGGGTAGACGGGTAACGAAGACAGAGCAGTAGGGTTGGCTATCCCATTTTTGATACGTATACCCAAGTCAAGTAAAGTCATTCTTAGCTGGTAAGCATGGGGCATGGAGCATGGAGCACAGGCACGCGTGAGTTGGTGGCATGGTATGGCATTACGTGCGTGCGCGCTTGCATGTCATTAGGGCTCATTTTGCAATATCCATTGTTTTATTTATTTTTCTGCCTTGCTTTGGTTTTCGCCCTTTTTTTCTGAGACTGCAGACGCATACCTTAAGGGCCTCATCATCTAAATAGGAAAGATTAGGTATTTCATCACATCACCATTCCGTACCGACACTGAAAGAATCGATACCGAAGGCGTTCGTCCCTATCCCCCGTCCAATAATATATCAAACGAAGCACCATTAGACCATACATCTCTCTCAAGTGACATTTTAGTGTGTGCACGCATGGCGAGAATATAAGTCATTTTCAGTCTGGCGATAGACCCAACATGTAGAAGTCGCTCCTAGAGTAGGCTACAGTGTGTTTTGTTTAATCTGCTTTTGGCATTACGTTAAAACTAAGTCATAAATAAACAGAATATATAGATACATCATTCCAGCGCGTCCCATAAGCCAAGGTAGAACCTTTAATTATAGATTTAGCCGTGCGTGCTGTGCTGCATTACTCGTTCCATTGGGGTGGTATCAATACGTAGACACTGCCCCTCGTATAACATATACGTAGTAGGTATGATTAAATGAAGATGAAGATAAAGAAAATGATGTGTGCATCGAGTAAGATGGATGCCCGCAAAAGCCCGCGGGGGGCCTTTATATACCATGCGGCAGAGATAGATTTGAAATGACATGGAGAATGAGTAATGACTCTCACACCGACCGCATTTGAAACAAGCGGACCGGCAGTGGCAAGTTCATCCGTGGAAGCTGTGGTGGCAATACACACTTGAATGGGTGTCTAATGATGAAAAGATTTAAGACGGAAAAAAATAAGATTGCCTCGCTGATATCGAAACAAGTGGCAATTTGTTGATACATGAAAAGTGATATTGTCGAAGCTGGCAGAGAAAAAGGGACGGTAAGCGAGTTGAAGCAACGAAGCAAACCCGACTCCAATAGCAACAGAAGTATCTTTTGCTGTCATTCGTCTCGGTTCCTTTTGTTTGATTCATCTCTCGTCGTCGACAGTCGGCCAATATGCGGCTGTCGTCCCGTCTCTGCCTTTATCATCTATGGCGCGGCGTCTAAGCGGCGTAACCGTATGTCGTTGATACGTGGGTGGCGGTGGTGGTACAGAGCATAGGCTCAAAGGTTTCCAATAAACAGTTCCTCTTCTCAGAAATGGAGGGAAAGGAAACAAGACATTGCAAAGATTGCGTATGTAGGTCGGATGGACCGAAATGTAGGCAAGTGTTAAAGGCGTGTGTGGCCTCGACCGGCAGCTCGTTCGGCGGCGTTAAAAGCTGCCGGGTTCGTATATCTAAAGATGGAAAGCTTTTGGGGGAGAATAAACCGTCAGGCGTCAAGGAGTCTCATCGTAGAAGTATATCGTAATAAGTCGTAATCTGAATGGTAGGAAAGGTGGAAGCGTGGTCCCACTGTGTCGGTAGATGAAGGAAGTGTTGGCGAGATAAATAGCGTCATTTCGAGGTCCGGATAATCCAGCCTTGCTTCGCCCCAACCACCACAAGGGCTATAATAGCGCCAATGATGAGAAGGCCTAGGATGGACATCATGCGGTTGAGATTGCGCCACCAGCGGGCGCTCTCATACCTCGCGCCGTCAATAATTTGGGCCTGGTACGCAAACTCACCCTGCACTCGTCGGAACCGGCTGTTGCTGCTGTCGCCCTCCTCGAGCATTTCAAACTTGGGGTTAGGCGGTAATGGCAAGAGGGCCGCAATTATCCAGGCTAGTCATCTGTTAGCATTCAACTCGACATAGCACCTGGCCGATGCCCATGAAATAAAATTGTAGCCCACCAAAAGGAAAAATGAAGCCCAAAGTAAACAACAACACCTGGGCGTTCCTCTTGCCTAGAATGCCGGTATCGGCCGACCAAGTCACACTCGGCGGATCCCATACGCTGTACCGGGTCGCTCGGCGGTCCATCCGGAGGTGGGGAGACCAGATGCTGGATGTCTTCCGCTTCAGAGATCGGAACACGTTGTAGTCCTGGCCCGACGGCGCAGGGCCGATTTCCATCGAGCCCGAGTCTGAAAATGGACGCTGCTCCTGGTTCTGTCGCACTTCCCGGGCCCGACGGCGCGAGTTGCGAATTGGCAGGGGGAAGTGATCTGTGTTTGGTGAATCACTATTCTGAAACGCCGAGCTGCCCGGACGGCTGTCCCCAGCCTCGGACGGGGACGATATTGACGGAGCGCTGAGGAAACGGCGCTCGCCTGAACCGTAGTAAACCCTATTTTAAAAGTCAGCGCCGAACTCGTTGAACTCGGGTTTGCGGAATTATACTTACTTTGCCCAGGCTGGGATTGACCCAGTTAGGCTGTTGGCCCGCGAGCTCGAACTGGAATGCAAGTTTCGACTGGAGCTGTTGCTGCTCGAAAAGAATGCCGAGAGGCCAGACCTCGACGGTTGCTGCTGCAAATCGGCCAGCCCATCGCCATGCTCGTCCTGGTCCCGCACCGTCAGGGGTTGTGACGGCCCAGCCCTTGCGTATGTGGGCTGTGGCCGGTCGATCGAGTCGCTGCCGGAGGCGGCTTCCTCAAGCTGCGCAGCTAGAGAAGACGAAATGCTCTGCATCTGTCGGCTGTGAAGGGAGCTTGCCCAGCCATTGCTGCTGCGCCGCCGGTGTCCGTTGCCACTAGATGTCTCGGGCGACACGGACCGCGTCGGGCCGACCTCACTGTCACCTTCGCCCTCGCTCTCGGACACGACCGTCGACAGTTGGGAGCTCCACTGGTGAGGGTGTGCTTGTATCATCTGAACGGGAGGCCGCTGGGCGATGGTGCTCGGAGCGGTGTTGAGGCTCGTCGAGGATCCTGGTGTCTGCGGGGTTGACCATGGATATTGCTGGGCCGGTGGCGCGTCGGCGTCTCGTGATCTTCCAGGCCGGGACACAGAAGCCCCGAAATTGATCAGCACCGGCGCCGTAAAGAAGGCTTGCGACGGGTCCTGGGTCGTGATGATAGACGAGATGCTCTTGAGAGATTGGAGGGACCCAGCGCGGGCACGGAGGTTTTCACGGGACCGCTGCTTGTAGTACCCTATCCTCTCATACGACTTCTTCTTGGCTGGCCTCAGGGGCGGGACTAAGAGGCTTTCCTGCGAGTACGTAGGACGCGGCTTCCGGGGCACAGCGACCAGCGAGGACGGCGACGGGGATGGATCGCCGTGCACGACGTAGTTGTCGTCACTGTAGGGCCTCGCCGGCGGGCTGCTGCTGAAGGCGGCGGGGGCTGCCGGCGACGACTCGCCCAGCAGCTCGTAGTTGGAGTGACTCGACGACGGGAGCGGGAGGCTGTCGCTCGAGTGCTGGGGTGAGGAGCTGGGTCCGAAGACCTTGTAGTTTGTTGTCTCGGACGAGGTGGAAACTGTTTGACCAGACTCCGCAGAGGCAAACGAGGCCTTGGGCACTACAGTTCGCGACGGCGTTGGTTCGTCGTCTCTGTAAACGGTGACTTCAGGCAGTGGAGCGAGAGGCGTTTCGGGCGCAGAGGGCGCTGTGGTGTGTAACGGTTTCCTGTGCTTGAGGTCGGGCGTCTTTGGCACTTTCCGCAAGCCACCAATCATGCGGTAGTTCCAGGGCGATTCAGCTATAGGATCCTCAGCTATAGGATCCTCAACTAAGTGGGTAGTTGAGGAGCCAGGGGACGGGGTCAAGGGCGGGAGCTCAGAAAGCCTGTAGTCAGGGCCAGTGGCGCTGATGCCCGTCAATGGGGAGCTGGCACGGTCGTCGCTCCAGGCACTAATCGACGGGTGATCATGCGAGCTCGACGTTCTCGAAGAATACGACAACGGGGGGGACCCGAGGCTGCCGAGGCTGCCAGAAACGTCGGACTGCGGCCGGAGGCGGACGAGAGAGAAGGTCTTGTCTGAGTGGACGGCAACCAAGTTCGCGCGTCTCGACAGGGGCCGTGGGACGTGGGCGGGTGCAGCCCCAGGGGACAATGGCACTGGCGAGGATGACCCGCCATGGCGGGAGCCGTGGAGCGACGATGATGATGCATTGACGCCAGTGCCCCGAGTCCCATGAGTCGAGCCTTCGGACGGTGACCTCAGAGCAGGGGCAACTGCTACGGCTGCGGTGAGGGAGTCTGAAGGGCTGGTAGCGAGTTTCGAGCCTGAAACCCTTGGGTCCTTGGCTCCGGCCAATGAGAGGGCCGAGGCTGAAGGTGACGACAATGCGGACCCCGGTCCGCTAGCATAACCCTCAACAGGATCCCCACGCCAGCCTCCTCTCCTGGCCTCTCCCGCGAAGCCGCCTCCTGGCCCATGCCCATCATAAGTATAGCCGCCGCCAGACCACGGCTCGCCTGCACTGGGGCGCGAGGACGCCTGACTCGGCGTGCGCCCATCGGAGTCGAGCCGGGGCGGCGTGTACGGGACGATGCGGATGGCGAGCGTGTTGTTGTGCGACTGCGCCCTCTCGCTGAGCGGTGTTCCTCGGCCATGTCGATTGGGATTTGGTGGCGCCGACATGGCTCTCTGGGCCGGGAGGCGGTAGATCCCGGGCAGCCAGCTCGCACGTCAAAGGCTGGGCGATCAGGTGTGTTCCATGTCCACTTCATGCGTCTTGCTATGTCGAGCGAGAAGAGGCCGAGCGAGCGCGAGTGTTGTCGCACGCCGCGCCAGCGCAGCCAGTGTCGGTCGTATCGACTCCGAGGTGCGCGGTGCCTACCCGTAGCTATTAGTAGAGCGCCGTCGCCCGCTCGTTCGATTTTGTTGACTACCGCTGTCGATGCGATCCGGAGCTGCTGGATTCTCCCCTGATGGAACAGGTGGATTCGAAATGGTCCCAGGGCTGAGAGGGGGAGGGGGGACGAAAATGCACGAAATATTAAAGATATCGACTAGTAATATAGTAACACCTCAGGCGGAGAACTTGAGAGGAAAGGCGAGCGAGTGCAAGGAAGAGAAGATAAGGCAAGGTCGCACACAGATCTAGAGAGTGAGGAGGGGGAAAGATGAAGACGACGAGGATGCCCAGGACCAGGCCGAATATTAGTCGGGCATATAGCTGAGCACGACAGGAGGTGTCTGGATCGGGACGGCGAAGGGCCAGGGGGAAGCTGCTTCGGGGTCGCTGGCGCCGGGGGGTGTCCAATACGTGGCAATGCTATCCGAACAACGTTACCACCAGCCCTGGGCAGCGACTGGCCTTGGAGTTGGGGTGTCGACAGCGCAGTAGTAGTGCAGCGGAGCTTTCGATTGACAGATAGCCAGGCCCTTCCAAGTTCCAGGTTTCCAGTCCCCAATTTGCACCTGTAAGTACCTTGGCACGCTTCAACCGGCCCAGACCACACAACGAGCTCGTTGCGTTTGGCTGGCTGGGGTTGAGAACTAAGGGAGAAAAAAAGGGGAGAAGGGGCGATGGAGCTCGTGGCGGGCCCCGAAAGAATATTTCTCCTCCATGTCGACGCGATCGCGATCCATCGATGGAGCAGCCCAGCCATTGGCCACGAGCCCAGCGCCTGTTTTGACTGCACTCTGCACTCCTCAGGAGTTGCGGTACCTAGTGGATACCAGGCCACGAGAAGAAAACCCTGAAAGGGAAAGGCTCTTGTCGACACCGCTCTGTTCGACAGCTAAAAGCATGCTAGACCGCTGCAAAGTTCGACGCAAGGCTGAGTTTAATTTCGCGTCAGCTGCAATCCAGGACGACAGTTGGATCTTGATAGGCAGGTTCGAGGCACGATCGTCCTTCCCTGCAGTGGCTGCTTGCACCTCAGTCAGGTGCGCTGGAAATACGCTTAATTCACTCGCCTCCGCCAGCGCTGGCCGCTGTCTTCAAGTTGTCTCCTGAGGCTTGCAGTTCCAGCCACTGATGTGTCCTCTCTCCACAAGTCCATCAACGCCTGGGGCTGGCCTACGGCCCGGACCCGGACTCGTGGACCGAGTCCGGGACATTGCTTGGCCCCTCGCGTTGAAGACTAATAATGAAGTGGCCAATTACCTAGACATCGGTTTCCAGCTCATTGACTAAGCGTTCCGATGCAATAGCTCCGATAGGTTGCAGAAGACATTATACAACCTCCTGTCTAGGTATTTGTAAGGCATGTATCTATCTGTACAAGTACGACCTAAGTTGCAGAGGGCGACCCCGATTCTGAACAGTCGCGGGGAAGCGACAGAGCACAGCAGCACAGGAGTCGGCAGCAGTAGGCCGGACGTCCCCAGAAGAAGGTCGCTGTCCAATGGGTCCAGAGATTCTGCAGCGGCCAGAAAAGCATTCGCGGGCGTTGATTCCCGCTGCAACATGGCGCCTGGCAGACGCTTGGCAGGCGAGAAGCTTGCAGTGGCGTGGAGTGCGTCGAAACACACAGCTTTGTGGCATGCCATGCCGACGAATGCAGGCCAGGCGCAAAGGATATTTCTTGACTTGACATAAGTGCCCGTACGGATTCCTGCGGTGCATATGCTCATACTGGCTGCTGTCAGCCGCAGGCGTCTCGCTGGGCCGGCGAGCAGAGCAGCGACTTCATTGCCGCTCTCTCTTCTGCGTGTTCGTCCCTATGCAGATTCAACGGAAGACAATGGCAGCCGGTCCAGTGGCGGCGGGCAGTCGGGGACAGAAGCAGAAGCAGCCCAGAAGCGCATCAGAAGCGACCCGACTGGGATAAAGAAAAGCAGAGGCTTGTTTGGCCAGGTCAGTTGGTACGAAGTACTTCCATGGTAGGGGTTTGCGCTAGGTAGGCGGGCGGGGCTCAAATTAAACCGTCATGCAGTCTACAGGCAGCGCGTCGTGGGAGCCTCTTGATTCGCGTGCATTTCGTGTTAATATGCCCCGTCATGCCTTGTGTTATTTCTTCTCTGCAAGCCGTACCTCTGACAGAATGCAGTCTGTATTGGGCACAAGTTGACGGACAGCTGATGGCTTCGCTATCAATAGAGTACGTAAATGCACGGGAATTCAGAGGAAGGCAAACTCCGTCTCCCAGCTGGCAGTCCGGAAGGTACCAAACTCGACAATGGAAGTCGCCAACGTGAGGCATCAGAATGGATGGCGGGGTGGTATCCTGGCCTGAGGCTAAATTCTGGACTGAGGACCCTCAAAATTCATTAGGACGCAAAGACGGACAAACGAGAATGACAAAAAGAGAAAGAGGCCAGACCAGCAGTGGGCATTGTCATTGTCCCGCAGCCAAAAAGCAACTTTGCTTGCAATGAAGAACAAAAGAAACAAAACATAAGGCAAGCAACGCATCGATTGCGCTGATGCAGAGAACGAACTTGCACCGAGTCCCGACCTGACAGAACTGCGAGCGGGTCTTTCTTGATAGCGTGCGGTTTCAAATCGGATCCCAGTTCGGAAACGGGTATCGATTATCGCTCCCACATCACATCCAAGTCCAACCCCAGCTCAGCTCTTGGGGGCCTCGCCGAAGCGGCCGTGTGGAGAACAGACGGGAGATCACTGACTGCGGGCGGCTCTCGAGTCTCGACGTGCAACGGACTCACGGCAATCGAAACAAGACCCGATCCTCCAGGCTTCCCGTCTCTCTCGGGCGCCAATCGACTATTACAGGCCACCTGCCCCCAGGCCGGAAACTTGCCGACAACAGGCCCGACCAGGCCATCGTCGGGAATCCGATTTGTTTTATTTACCGTCTAAATTCTAGACTTATGGTCTAGATAGGACAGGGCCCGTCACCAACAGACACGTCACCTCACATAAGCCTTGAGGAGCCTACCTTGGATGCAGCATGCCGGCCCTTGGGGAAGTGATGCGGAAACTCAACCCGTGGTACCATGAGGGTAGGCTATCCCGCTCCCTCCCTCGCTGTAGCCCTGGGCCGGGCAGCATGCCGCCCACCCCGTGCCGCCCACCTTGATCAACACCATGGCCATCCCTACTGCTCTCACTATCACCACTTCCACCAGCTGACAAGTAGCCACTCGCAGACGAGCCGCCAGCCCCGCCGCCCATCAGCACGGCCGCGGCGTCGGTGCTGATCGTCGTCTACGCGCTCGTCTACTTCCTGCCCTTCTACGCGTCGCCCACCACGCGGCCGTCGCCGACGCTCTCGCGCGATGCGCCCTCGGTGATCCGGGCCCGCATCCGCTCCGTGAGCATCTCGTGTCTGCTCTGCTGCGCCGCTACGCTGGCCGTGCTCACCCGCGGTGGCGCCCATGTCTCTCCCGCCGACGTCCTGCATCTCATGGGCCTGTGGCCGCCCGCCCTGGCCGACACGGCCCGCGCCGTCCTGCTGACTGCCCTACTCTTCGCCGGCCCGCTGTTCGCCTACTTCGTCGTCGACGCCGGCTGGCGCGAGTGGCTGCGCCTCGAGCCCGTCCTGGCCCTGTGGGGGGACTGGATGACGTGGCGCAACATTGTCGCTGTATGTCATCCCCCTTTCCCCCTTTTTTCACTACTGTTTGTTCTGTTATTCTTCTCCAAACGCTGCAACAAAACAAAGCTAACGCAACAGCCAGGGCCCCGTCACCGAGGAGGTCCTCTTCCGCGCGGCGTCGGTGCCGCTGATGCTCGTGGCGCGCACGCCCGTGCGGCAGACCATCTTCCTGTCGCCCGTGCTGTTTGGGCTGGCCCACGTGCACCACTTCTACGAGTTCCGCCTCACCCAGCCGCAGGTGTCCGTGGCCGCCGCCGTGCTGCGCTCCGTCTTCCAGCTCGGCTTCACGACGCTGTTCGGCGCCTACGCCACCTTCCTGTTCGTGCGCACCGGCTCCCTGCCCGCCGTCTGCGCCGTCCACGCCTTCTGCAACTGCATGGGCCTGCCGCGCCTATGGGGCCGCGTGCAGCCACAGGTACCCGACGACGACCCAGCTCCGCTCCGCCGCCGCGACGAGCAGCGCCCGTCTACCGGCGCCGTATGGCTCTGGACGGCCGCGTACTACGTACTGCTCGTCGCCGGCGCTACGGCGTGGTGGAAGAACATATGGGCCCTGACGGAGAGCCCCAATGCCTTGGTCTCGGACTTGGCGTTTACCGCGACCTGAGCCCATGTCTGCCTATCTACGTACATGTATGCCAGCGTATACACCCAGAGCGTAAATAGATAGATAGTGTGTGTAGCCTATCAGCCGTTTTATATTTATATATGTGTTAACCACATCACTCTCCTAGGGGCCGTCGAAACGAGCCCGTGCCTATTTAACTAGCTATCTGCCCACACAAGAGATTTTTGTATCCGCCATAGTCCCGATCAGATGACACGCCCTTACGTATACAGCGCGAGAGACTATTTCACAGAAAATAGAAGACAGGTTCCGCCTGTTCTATATACCTATGTATATATAGTATTTCGTCTGCTTCAATAAGGCTTGCCTCAAGGAGGGACTTCCACAGTTAGATTTATCACAAAAGTGAAATGGCTCATACCCATCACCACGTACGCATTAAAAGTTGACACAGGCATCTGCCGAAACCTATGTATATTGTCTGAGCCTCTCTCCCACCGTCATCCAGTCACTTACTTTTTTACCCCCCTATCCCATCCCATCCCATCCCATTTATCCAACTCGGCTTAAAGAAAGGGGGCAAGAGAGAAAAGGGATGCACCCGCCAAGAAGAAACACGAAAGTCGCCAGACTGACTCGTCTTAAGCAAGCCAACCCCTCCGGAAAGGCGAATATGAAGACGACGACCCAGGAGATTGTGATGAGGTCCACAGACAACTCAAATAATGTCAAGCTCACCATGCTACGGATCAGTCTCAGAGTTGAGTCGGATTCTTTTTCTCTAACGCTGGTAGACTGTGCAAAATACTTCCTGCCCATCCCCTTTTCTCCTGTCATGTCGACATTCACGTAGCAAACATAGCCAGTGGCCACGGCCGTCCACTCCCGGTCACCAAACACATTTCGCACACTTCTCAATGATCCATCTAGAAGTAACGATACTCCGGTAATCATAATATTGTGCCGTGTACCTGTAGGCTGTAAGATCAAGGTAAACCATGCAGTGTGCGCCATTGAAAAAGGGTAAAGATATAACAAAAGAACCCCCCAAAGAACCGACTTTCCCCAACCTTAATGTACTAGAACCGACAGGGAAAATTAATAAAAGAAATTCCTCCCCCTCCCGTTCCTCTATAGTGCAAGGTTGGCCCCAGCGTAAATTGAAGCGTTGAGACAACAGTAATATACAGGAGCCGAGAGGAAGATACAAAGCCGTCCCCCTCTCGCCCCTTGACCCTCGGCCAATCCCATCCGCAGCCTCTGTCCAGGGTGTGGGCTGGCAGCAAGATTATCTAGCATCGGCCGCCAGGCTGAAGGACTTCTCGGGTACGGCCGTATTTGGGCTGTAAAACGCGCGCAAGTTAGCACTCTCTCCAGTGCTGCGGTGGTTCATGAGTTTGCCGCGTCCCTGTTACTCTGCGAGCTGGCGCTCATAATGGGCTGTGTCGTCGGCAGGGAACTCCCGACCGACTTGGCCTTTTGCCGGACCTTGGACCATGTAAAGACGAGGCCACTTATGAAGCCAAGGAAGATGGCCGACACGCTGCCAAATGTGACGGGCGCATTGAAAAATACAAGGCCGCTGATGGCGATTGGGAGCTTGTTCAAGGCGCCGACCATAGAGTAAGTCGTCGAGGACGTGACGCGGATGCACCATGCCGAGCAGTACGAGATGAAGATGGCTGCTAGGCCCGAGTACACCATGCCGATGAGCAAACTGTTGCGTGTCTCTATCGGGAAGTTTTTGGCGAGGTTGACCGTGGACCAGTCCTCGGCCACCAGCGAGCAGACAATCAGGACCGGGATGGTCAGGAGGTTATTGTAAAACATAGCTAGTCAAAATGTCAGCCGCCATCGTCGTGCGTGGGCGATCAAGGGGAACCTACTGTCATAGTCCTTAAAGTTCATCTTCTTGATGACTTTGCGCATCCCGAGGATGTAGGCAGCAGTGCAGAAAACGTTCATGCCCATCCAGGCGTAGCCAGCGTTGAGGGTAGAGAGCGCATCCGATGTCTCGAGGGAATGTCCGACGCCGTCAATGGCGGCCTGAATGTCTGCCCATGCGGCAATGACGGAACTGAGCACCATGAGGCCAAACGACAGGAGCGCCATGGGCGACACGCTGCCACCAAACCAGAGCACCTCGCCGTACGCAATAACAATGATGGTCAAGTTCTTGAAGATGGTGTAGACCGGCACGGAGAGGAACTGGAGTGCCTTGGTGCTCGTGTAGATCATGCCCACGAGAAGCAACGAGATGGGAAACCCTGCGCTTATCTGTCAGTTAAAGCAATCAACACGATCCCGCAGTGGCCCCGACGCACATTTCTTCGCCTTGGTCGAATCGAAAGCAGCCAGGTTCTTAAACAGCCCCAATTGCTTGCATATGAGAATCGCGGCCGTGCAGACTAGAGACTGTTTTGGGGGGGTAGTTGTGTCAGCTTGCATGCCGCTGGCGCCGCGTCACTCGCTCGTATTCCAGGACAGGGAGCAGACGTACCTGCACAGCGAGATAAAAGAAGTTGAGGTTCCAGTACGCGCCCGAGACGACATATTTGTTCACCACTGTCATGCTGATAGACGACAGGCAGTAGGCAATGATCGAGGCTCCGGGGCTGTGGTCGATCTTGTCGATGATGGGCGCTATAGGGGCGGCGACGACATGGGCGCTGCGGGAGCTGCTCCGGCGGATGAACGTGTCCGTCTCTCTCTCGCCGGCAAACTCGGGGCCGCCAACGGCCTTCATCTCGACGTCCTCGTTCCGTTTGTTCGCCATGGCAGACATTGGAAACCACGGTGCATAAGGCAGCAAAAGCGAGCGGCAGTGTCAGGCGGAAAACGCCAGACCGAGTTCAGGGCTTATTGGATGCCAGGGCGATGGTGGCACTGCCACAGCGACGAAACCTTGGCCGAATAACGGTGCGCGTCTGGAACTGGAAGAGTCCGACTGACTGCGTAGGTAGGGCAACAAAGGACGCGGCACTGCTCAAGGCCAGGTCATGACAAATGTCAAATGCAAAGAGGGGCTGCTGTCGCCCGAGAAAAGGAGGCTCGCTCGAGACAGTCCGGAACGCGTGTGGAGAAGAGGATGGACGCTGTGAAATTGCACACGAATGCTAGGTGCTCGTGAAAAACCTACCCGCCTGCATCGGGTTAGCGCGTATGAGAGTGCCGACTGACAGCATAGTGGGGCACCCACTCACGAACCGCGCAAGGCGGAATACGGACTAGACCAATGGATATTCCGAACAAGGTTGTTAAGGTAGCACGAATTCGGCAGAATTCAGGGGCACCAGTTCCCCTATAAATCTTGGAATGTCTAAAAAAACTCTTTAAAGCTGAGAGAGCCAAGTACCTAAGGCCAATTAAAATAAAAACGCAAATATAATAAGGGATATGTGTACTTGGTCGAGCTGTTTTTTTCTGCTGAGCTCGAAAGTGTTGTCAGATCAGGGGCTTGCCGCGCCAACGAACAAGCAAGGGCAGCCAGTGAGCGGCGTGGACCCTACGGTTGGAATGACCAGGCGCAGTTCCGCCAAGGTTCTTCTGGTAGACTGGAGGCTCTCTGTTTACTTTCGACAGGAAACATGGAACATAACACTTCAAACATTTTGCTATGGAGATTGACCTACAGAACCGTTATACAATTGACCCCCACTCAGAACTCTGTACATAGTAGGACTGTCTCCAATCAAGTCCGTTGAACCTTCATAGACAACAAAAACAGAGCTACGTCATAAGGAGCATCATTCAGCCGTTGCAGTAGATATAGTACCGGTAACCGGGCATGGATGCATCATTTCAGACCCGTCGCTACTTGTCCCCCGCCTCTTTGGCGCCCGGGCTCGTCAAATCCACCATATCTTGGTCGTCCTTGTCGCGCCTGTCGTCGTCTTCATCTCTCTGGTCTCTTTCGTCTGTTCCGTCCCCCTCGCCCATTTCATCCCTTTCCTCGCCCTCGTGCCTTTCATCCCTTTCATCCCTATCTCCCCCTTCGTCTTCATCCCCTTCATCCCTGTCCGTCTTGTCGCCCCGCTCGCCGCCCAGGGCGTCGGACGCGACAGGGAAGTTGAGATGCTTCCAGTCCTCGAGCTCCTCCGTGACGGACCGCAGCCGGTCGCGGATGCTCTCGATGGCGTAGCTCCCCAGCAGCAGGCGCAGCGGCGGGTAAGAGCAGTGTCCCAGCTGCCACACGAGCTCGGCGCATTTGATGGCGCTCGTGGGCTGGCGGTCGCCTAGCCACTGCACCATGCGCTTCGCATGCAGGGCGGGCGAGGTTGAGTGCGCGTAGGGCTCGCTCGCGGGCTTGATCAGGAAGTGGCCCCAGGTCGGGAGCGGGTCCGTCTTTGAGTCGGGCTCGTCGCGGCGCACCAGGCCGGGCTCGACCAGCGTCGCCTTAACGTTGAACGAGTCGACCTCGTACAGCATGGCCTCGACCAGGCCCTCGACGGCGTACTTGGTCGCACAGTAGGGGCCGAGCCCGGGCACGCCCAGGGCGCCCGAGGTGGAGCTGAAGATGAGATAGCGGCCAGCGCTCTGCTGGCGGAAGTAGGGCAGGCTGGCGTTGATGATGTGCAGGGTGCCCATGAAGTTGGTCTCGAACTGGTTGCGGATCTCGTGCTCGTCCTGGTCCTCGCAAGCGCCGATGACGCCGTAGCCCGAGCAGTTGGCGATGCAGTCGACGCGCCCAAAGTGCTCGAGCGTCTTGTCGACAACCCGGGCCACCGAGGGGCCGTCGCGCACGTCGCAGAGAAGGCCGAAGCAGCTCTCGTTCTGCTGCACCATGGACTCGGGCGTCGACTCGAACAGCCTGCCGACTGTGGTGACGAGGTCGCCGTGGCTGAGCGCACTCTTGACCAGCGAGCGACCCATGTGGCCAGTGCCGCCAAAGACCTGGGTCGGAGGTTAGCCCAATTTCAAGCAAGTGCATAGGTATGGAGAGAGGAGCCTACAATCCAGACCAGCTGTTTTCTCGGGGCGCCGGGCTGTTGAGGATCGCAGCTCGCTGGCAGCCTCAGCTTGCCAGACGTGTCAGAGCCGGCGACGGACGAGCCGTCGTGCGCACTCGGATGGTCCATGTCGGCGGCGTTCGATCTAGAGTCTTGGATACTAGAGTAATAGACTCAGTCACTTATATGGAGTGGGTTCGCTGTCAATGACTTTGATGGTCTGCGCTGACTGGCGATTCGCAAGCGCCCGCCCAGTCAAATTTCATGTCATTGTACTCTTTCTTGGTTAAGCTAGGCCGGGGATTTGCTGTGCGATGCTTATTTACTGTACTGCGATGTGCTGTGCTGCGATGTGCAGTGCAGTGCGGTGCAGTAATTTTGCTCTGCCCTCGCAGCGGTCCACCGTCATTCGCAATCGACATCCCCCACAGCCGCGCTTCGCAGACGAAGTCGTCCCTCCACGTTGCCTCAAAAACGGACGAATGTGGTTAGCCCATGCAAACGGCTTGGCAGGATTGGCAGGGTACCTTGTGTGCAGACGCCACCCGTTGACGTTAGGCCAATTCCGTATCATGTGGGTACCTAATCCCGCAACGTTGGAATCCATAACTATTCTGCATGCATGGCTGGCACTGTCGATCGCGCAATTTTTAGACCCTGGCTCAACTCCCCCATTGGTGCGCGACGTCACTTCCCTCCTGCCCGCCGTCGCCGCTCTTACGGGCGCCGTTCGGTATATTTATATGTCGCACACCCTGTGGTCACTCTCATAAGCAAGAAGTAGTAGTAGTTTTATCCTAAAACCGTTCGCTGTTCTGCGGCGTGAATATAGTCATCTTTCGCAGTACATTTTACGACATATTTCAAGCTCTTCCGCCACTCCTACCTGTTTCTACTTTTTTGGATAAAAACCCCACAGTTCCATTGCTTAGGAAGGAGCCAACAGTGACAGCGCAGACTGCCTCGCGACATATAACAACCTCAAAAATCAGAATAACAAGGGAAGATGAAGGCCTATCTCTACGACGACCTTCCTGTAAGCAGCGCCGTTACTCTTTCCCTCATCAAGCCTGCTCATCTTGCGCATAAACTCACTCACACTAACACACACCACAGGGCGACCAGCGGCTGCCGCACGACTCGGGCAAGGCGGTCGGGACGGACGAGCTTAGCCAGATCGGCGTGCTGTACTTCCGCATCGAGGATATTGACGGGGTGAACCGGCTGGCGGCCGAGCGCGGCTATAAGAACCGCGACGAGATCACCGTGTCGCCGGCCAAGATGGGCGACGTCTACGAGGCCAAGGTTAAGTCCTTCTTCGACGAGCACCTGCACGAGGACGAGGAGATCCGCTACATCCGCGACGGCCACGGCTACTTTGACGTGCGCAGCAAGGGCGACCAGTGGATTCGCATCCAGCTCGACAAGGACGATCTGCTCATCTTGCCGGCGGGCATCTACCACCGCTTCACCACCGACGAGACCAATGTGCGTCTTTCTGCCTAGCTAGCTTCTCGTTTGCCCATCTTTTGCCCTTTTTCAGGTTTTGCCCCATCCAACACGTGATGGAGGGAAGGAGGAATCCGCTGACTGACACATGCCCCCGAAACAGTACATCCAGGCGATGCGCCTCTTCAAGGAGGAGCCCAAGTGGACGCCCCTGAACCGGTCTGCTGACGTGGACGGCAACCCGTACCGGAAGGAATATGCCTCCCAGTTCCTTTGACGAGCCAGGATTTTGAGCGCTGAATAATAACAAACAAACCGAAATGAAAAAGAAGGTGAAACAAATGTCATAACTTTTTGACTTGTGCTACGCTTGCAACATGCAACATGCTATGTGTGGTGTGTGCAGCCCCTAAGCGGCACATGATGGGCGCGCAACATGCGCAGCCCATTTTCCGCTTCAATGTGATCAATGTTTGGTGACTTTCGAGCGCCACTATCCCTTTTGCTCTCATGTTCATTCGAACAGCGGCGAGACCCTCCCCCCTGTCGCACTGGACACGGGCAAATAGTGTCCGCCCCCGGTCCTCTTGATGGCATGAGAGATGCAAGCCAAACCGCTACCATTGCGAAGAGAATTCTCAACTGCGTCCACCCGCCCCCCTGCCAGCTAGCCAGCCGGAAATAGGGCTGCCTGCTAGAAGCCGATCCAATCCAAGCAGAGAGTGTTTTGCCGTTCTACAAGCAAAGTCATATTCCATCCCAGAACGCCAATATCCTATGCATTTCTTTGCCTCCCGCCAGAAACTCAATCAAGCCCTCCAAAACGCCCCGAAGCCCCCAAAAATACGTAAAAAGGCATGGACTAGAAGAAAATATAACTGGCCGGGTTGGCTATCCACGTAATCTCAGACGACGATGGCTTCCCCAGCCTCATAGTAAGCCTCATCGTACCTCGGGAGGCGCGACGCCTGCACCCGCCACAGCGATCTCGTTGTTGATACCGTTGGCCGTCTCGTCACGCGGCCGACCTTCTTTACAGATGGGTTAGTCTCGTTGGCTCGTAATTGTTTGAATCTGCCAGCACCAGGCCCAGGATGGGGGATATTCAATTACCACGCACCAAAGATACGACGCCACCACATTGGTGGGTCGAGGGGCCGCGAGCCGCCGTGCAGGGGCGGGTAGACGTCGGTGAAGAAGTACCAGACGTGGCCGATTACGACACCCATGATCTCGTCCTTGGGGACGGTGCCGTGGAGCGCCAGGCTCAGCGCCATCAGGACCCACGGGAGGTAGGGGGCGGTGAAGATGAGCAGCCCCAGGAAGCTCATGCGCGTGTCCGGGTTGCGACGCGACCAGATGTAGACGAGGGTCGACGAGAGCGGGTGGCCGAGGAACGGCATCGACACGAGCGGCGACAGCAGCAGGAGGCTCGCCGTCGCGTAGAGCAGCAGCCACGAAAAGTGCGCCGGCGACCGCCCCGACGACTCCTCCAGCAGCCGCGAGTACCGCTGCAGAAAGTAGACGTGGAACAGCAGGTCCAGCGAGAAGGGCCCGAAGTAGAGGAACGTCGTCAATAACCGCCAGTACTGAGAACAACAGGGTGTGTTTGTCAGCCGGGAGCCCACGTGGGAGCAAGCAGTGCGACGGAGCTTAACACGCCTCCTCACTCACCTGCGACTTTTCAAACACTGAGCGGTAGCTGTAGAAGAGCTGGAAGGGTGTCACGAGCTGGCACTGTACCAGCCCGCTCGTCAGCACCGTCGCCGTCGTCCACCACCGCGTGCATATCGGCATCTCCCAGAACCACGTCTCCAGCGGGAACCGGTCGCCATTGCCCATAAGCTGGTCCATTGTCGCGTGAGGTGGGTAGAGCGAAGCCCAACCGGGAGAGTTCGCGCGCGCGGGGTCGGGCGAGTGGGGGTGTGAGGTCGGATAAGCTGGGAACAGCCCGGAATTGAGGTAGATTGGTCGCCTTTTCAGGTTCGGTTCGTCTATGTCTGTGTCTGCTCCGTGGGTGGCGCAAAGCGTTGGCAAAGCGTTGGCTGAAGGAGGTAAGGACGTGTGGGTGAGGTTGTGGAATAGATGGCGACGATAAGTTGTTGAGGTGTCCTCTTAGGTGAACTGCTGGTGAGGCGACGTTTGGAAGCCCGGTCTCTACCAGCCAACTTTGCGGTACCTTGCCTACGGCTTGGGCAGTGTCAGCCGCAGGGTACGAGAACTGTGGGGGTATACCTAGTCATTGAAATATGCCTGTACAAAGTATAGAGTAACTGAGCGTACTAAGTATTTAGCCGGTTATAACATTAACGGCATCAAACGTTATTGTAATCGTTATATGAAGTACGAAGTGCTGCTGCCCCTTGTTACGATTGTGGCTTTCAACCGGGGAGGCTGGGGCTGGCTGGTGCAGCGCTGGTCCCGTCCCGTCGCTCCTGCCCTGTCAAAAAGGGCGGGCGCGCGTCCAGGAATGCTTCAAGTCGCGTCTGCGGGTCTTGCGCCTGCCCGCCTTCCCACAACCCCCCAGCCCCTCCCAATTTGCACTCAATTGAAAGTAGAGAGGGTAGCTCTTGGAAGGCGTGGATTCAGAAATGGATCCCTGAACAATTAACCAAAGAAGCTTTCTTCACCAACTCTGCGATAATTGATAATCGAGAAAGCAACACCACCTCCCTCGCTCGCTATCGACGTTCCTTTGCATTCGCCTTCGCGCGCAACCTCGCTCTTTCCAAATCGTGGCCCCCCCCCCCCCCCCCCCCCCCCCGGCTCTCACGATCTCACAACAAGAAACCATGCCTCCCAAACAAAAATCCGCCAAAGTATCCAAGGCACCAAGGAAGAGCGGCGCAAGAGCAAGCGACGTCCAACGTACGGGCCTCTTTCTTTCCCCCTTCTCTACATAGAGAGGCTATGTGGCAGATAAGCTTAGGTTAGCTGACGAACGAACAGCAGGCGACCCGGTCCCGCAAGGCCGCAAGCGGAGATACCGTCCCGGCACGCTGGCGCTGAAAGAAATACGACGGTACCAGGCCAACACAGACCTGCTACTCCTGAAGCTTCCGTTTGCGCGTGTTGTAAGTCTAGCTGTTCCTCTCTACCCCTCCCGAGGGCTTTTCGGGCGGTGCGCGAAGCGGTCCCTCACGCGCGCGGCTGCGGCTGCGACTACGGACTACGGATTTCGGATTTTCCTTTCTCTCAAGAGACCAAGAAGACGGAGGGCTGATTTTATGGTGTTATGCGAGGACAACAGGTTCGAGAGATTGCCCTGCAATGCCGGCCCATGGGCGAGGAAATGAGGTGGCAGTCGCAAGCCATCCAGGCGCTCCAGGAAGCCGCCGAGGCCTTCCTGGTCCACCTCTTCGAGGACACCAACCTATGCGCCATCCACGCCAAGCGCGTCACCATCATGCAGAAGGACATCCAGCTGGCGAGGCGGATCCGCGGAGTATGGGGAGGCGCCGGGTGGATCTAGGGAATACTTGTTGCCACTTTCTCTTGTTTCGGGGGGAGGGAGATGGTTGCGGCCGGTGGTGTTCTTGACGGTGTTATTAATAGTGCGGGTATTTTGGCAAGGCGTGGCGGCGTTAAGCAGCGATGGACGGATTGCTGCATAATCATTTTAATGAAAAAAGGGGCGTTTTGGGAGGCGGGCATTTGGGTCTTTAGAATCTGGGGTTGGGAGGCGGGCATTTGGGTCTTTAGAATCTGGGGTTGGGAGGCGTACATGATTTATTGATTTGGACAGGCCGGGCACTTCACGCACGAGTTCACTTCACTGTCGCCCTCGCGTCGCCGCAAAGGCTCAGATTTTGAGCCGGTATCAGGTAGAAGCATTATCATATCTTGTTTTGTTCCTGGCCCTACCACCCACTCTGGCTTTACATCTCTCTTCACTCTGGCTTGGCCTCGGACGACTCGCCCTGCATTCTCATGTACGCGGCGCGCAGCCGGTCCATGTTGGCTGCCAGATCGTGGCGCTCCCTGTCCAGCGCGTCACGCTCTCTCTCGAGCGTCCCAATGTACCGCCTCGACAGGTCCAGCACCTCGCCTTTACTCAGCCGGCGCTCGCCGAGGTCCAGGTCCGAGTCGCCGCCCGAGGCTGCGGTAGTGCTTATCTGCGACGACTTGACCGTGTCAGGGAGGGCATCGAGCAGGGCTTCGAACTGGGCGTTGAGCCGGTTGCGGTACTGCTTCTCTACAAAGTTATGCGACTTGCGTGTCTTTTGGTCGTTGGACGGCTCAGCGTCCCGGGTCTGGACGTTCTTTGAGCTGCTCGACGCCCTCCGGAGCTTGGCCTTGGCGCGGGGTCCGCTTCCGCTTCCGCTTCCGCTTCCGCTTCCGCTCCTGGTCCCAATGGCAGGCTTGGAAGGGCCGGCATCAGCATACGAGACGAATTCGAGTGCCGGCTGGTGCTGGAACGATGCGGGCGAGACATGGCTGCTGAGGTTGGCAGGGTCTGTGGCGCTGTACGGATTCCCCAGGGCCGTGAACTCATACTGGCCGGTCATTGGCGACAGAGAACTTGGGCTGCCCATCCAGGTCTGATAGTCGATAGGGGCGGTGGATGATGGCAGCAGAGAGTTGGTACTGCCTTCCCACGGCTGGTACGCGGCGGTGGTGGAGGACGGCGACAAGGTTGGCGATGCCGGAGCGAACAGCTGACCGTCACGCCACCCGCCCGTATCGAGATCCTCCAGACCCAGGTCCGGCGCCGCGTCGCTAGCAATCACATGCTTCCGTCCACAATTAGTCAAACGATCTCCTGATGGCCCTCTCGAATGTTCCCGGTCCTGCTGGGATTGAGGGTGAGGGTCAGGGGGGCGAGAATATAAGAAGGCGCGAAAATACCTCGGCATCCCAGGCACTGTAGCTCACCAGCCACGGCTCCGTTTCACCCTGTCGCAACATTTCCTGGTCGATTTGTGTCGGCTGGCCTTGCTGTGCTGCCTCTCGTTGCCACTGCGAGTCGTCCATGGGGCCTCGCCCTCTTGTCTCGGACGATGACATGGCCTTGTTTTCCAAACAAAGTTACCTTATATATGAGTATTACCGCTGTCGAACCACAACCGCCACTGCCAAGTCCCTCGGCCTCGAGATTCCCTCCGCTTCTCGCCTAGAAGCGAGGGTTATGATGCCGTCTCGAGCCGCAGGGAACTCAAGACCAATGCACAGCCCCGTCGAGAGATCGATATCAGCACGCCGAAGCTTCACACTGGCTTCCAAGACACGATGATGTCCAAGGCAGACTGGCCACCCCCGGGTTATAGTCATGGGGCCGGTTATCCGTTCCGTTCGGTTATCAGCGTGTTGCATCTGCACGGCCAGGGAGCGGCTTGGAGGCTACATGACGACCGACGCAGATACCAGCACTGGGCCAATAGCGCCTGGCGAAAACACCCCTGGAGCCCCCCAGACACACCATCAAGCGCCGCCTGCGCTCTGAGGCCGGGCAGCATGTCTTGCCGGTGTTGCTGGTCCAGCACGAGCCCAACCCATCTCCTCTCCCAAGCGCCACGGGGCTGCCGAAACCGCACGCCTTGCACCATCGCCAGTCCAGGGGCCAAGAGCCACAGTGACGGAGCGTCTTGTCCCCTCGGCTGCCCGGAATGTCTAGCGAGAAGGACCACGGCGCGGTTTCCCTTTCCTAGTTAGCCAGGTCCAATCTCTGGCAGCCGTCTTCACATCTTTGCACATCCCTTGCCTCCACTTCCCTCCCGAAACAAGCACAACCTGCGTGCTGGCCCAACAACCGCCGTTCCCCCCCCCCCCCCCCCAACTCCTCTGCAGCGAGTCCGAACCGGCAGTTGGCGTGGGATTCGTATTGGCCCCCACGGACACGAAATGGCACACTCACTGCTTCCTCCAGCTTCTTAGCGTCGTGAGCCCTCTCACTGCCCCGGTTGTCGCCACAATAGCGTGACCGACAGTCGCGGCGGTTGACGGGTGCACCTCTCCCAGCCTTGCCGCCAGCCTCGAACGCGTCTAGCAGCCCGAAGCAGTGCGGCAGCCACACCCACTCCCGCCCAAGTCTCTCCATCAAAGTCCCTGACAACCATAACCACAGAGTCAAGAACACCTGCTTTCCTCCTAAGACACCCAGCGCCCGAAACCTCGCTCGGACAGAGTGTTGTCTCGTTGCCGCTGCTATTATCCCCCTTCTTGGGACAACTCCGCCATTGTCCTATCTGTCTAACTGCCTCCCCTTTTAGGTTCAACACGCCGCCCTCCGCGTTCGAGCTCGAGCTCCTTCTCCCACCTCCAGCCCGTTTTTTCTCCGTGTACGGCTGATTCGATCCGTCCCGCGACCTTCCTCTCCATCTCCACGCCCCCTAACGAAAATTCCGACGCGGCCCCGTTTTTCATACTCTCGTATTTCTAGATGCACGGGATACATGGAGAGACATACAAGTTTACGGACATATGAATATCAAAGCCAGAGCGATGCAGCCCAGAAAACAGTCCCTTCTCTCAGTCTGTTGGGTAGTCATGCAGAGTTGACAAGGGCAGATCAAAGCCTCAACGAATCACCGGCCGATCCAAGACGCGTACACAGTTTTGCGTTGCTGTTGCCTGAGCCCTGGGCCCGAAGAAGTGGAACAAATGAGTTTATAATGCGGACATTAGTGATTGAAGAAGGTAGGGGGAAAAGAAGCGGACAGCTCTACTCCCTGATCCTGGCGCTCCCTTCCTTGCCCGTGGCCGATTTTCAATCCCTCGCCCAGTGGTCTCTGGTGCTGGTCAATACCAAGCAGGACCGGTACCGTGTAGACGTTGGATGTTGATGGGAGGCTAGAGATAAAAAAGAAAAAGAAAAAGAAAAAGAAAAAGAAAAAGGAAAAGAAAAAAGAAAAAAGAAAAAGGTCTTAGTCGTTCAGGTTGCCTCGGGTACATTCTCGGCTCGAGTTTGTGTAGGGTGTTTGTTTATGCCACGATGAGTGAAACCAAAGAGTGGTGCACATCATGTGACCTAATCAGATAACTCCCTACCTAGTTACCGCGACTTCTGTGGTGTTTCTTTTTCCTTTCTTATTATCCTTCGCCCCTAACTACGTGCACTTGGTCAATCCCTGAAGCCGCGGAGCCGTCGTCAAGTGTCATAAGTAGAGTGAACGCAATCAATCGTGACAAGCTACCGTTCGACCTTTGCCGTTAATTAGAGAAGAGAGTAATTAAGTCTCATGACCTATCACCGACTCAAACACGCACACCACACACACACTCTCACACACCAAAAGCAGATGGCAGTTGGTTAGTGCCAAGCCATGTTACATTACATATCACGCCACCCACCCCCATTTTTAATATCAAGTTTTGTGTAAAGGGCTTGCGGGTTCTAGTGACACCAGGAATTATCAGTTGCAGCTAGGAGCTCGTCAAGGAAATTCAAATCCGCAGAGAAATAATTAAATTCAGGGCACATCTGTGAGGAGATCATGGGTTTAATTCCCAGGTGTGATACAAACGAGATCTCATATACATTACCCCTAATTTAAGTGAAAGAAGTACTTGGATCCGTTCATTGTCTCGTGGGCCTTGTAATAATCATGGTTAGATGTGGCATTCAACTTACAGTCACTACATGTCGCCGGAATTGAGGACTACATGGGGGGCCTGTGGACCTACAACACCAGAGAAAACATCACCATTTCCCAGTCGGGTAATAAGGCGGGTTACAGGCTTACCTGCTGACCGCAGGCAAGCCTGGGGGGTGTGTCGCCTGGAATTGACCCACTTTTCAAGGAATTGAACCACATTCCAGGCCCTGGTTAGCATGCCATACCAACTCCCTTTATTCTTCATTTTTCCTTCTTTCTTATTATCCCCTCATTTCATCCCGAACGGCTGATTACAACGCTTTTCCTTGCCCTCTCTCAAAGGGTATAAGGAAGCGGCTCTTTTCTGTACCTATAGATCTGTTTTTAGCACACAATTCAATGCGCTGTCAACTTCGATCGCATGCAACACCACACTTTTAAATTCAGATCTAGTCACGGATATAGTTAATATACAGCATCAATCAAGCCGTTATTACAAACTCTTTTATTCCTGGCCAAGTGCCTTGGGCAAGTTATATAATTAATTACTACTGGTGAACGGCACCATTCTGCATGCGGAGGTCGTGCCACTCGTCCAACATCTCGCTGGCCTCGTCGCCGTCCTTGTCCGTGTACTGGGTCCGGAGGGCAAAGCGCACCAGCTTCCTCGCGAGGCGGTACTGAGGCTGGTAGGCGAAGCGGAGGTAGTCGGGGCCGGCGGCGTCCTCGAACAGCTGCTTGAGCTCGCGGGCCTCGGGGGTCGCGGGGTCGTCGTTGGCGGTCAGCTCGCCCAGGCACTGCGCACAGGGACAGACCCGGTCAGCGGTCCGGGTCCAGAGCCACATGGGCGGCGCGCACGACATGAAGGCCGGGCCGAGGATTGCGCCGTCCCAGTCGAGCACCGCGAGGCTGCTCAGGTTCTCGGCCGCGCCGGGGTCTACGAGCATGTTGCGGCACTCGAGGTCGAGGTGGGCGAGCGAGCACGAGACGTTGTCTAGCCACCCGTCCGCGCTTAGCCCCTCGGCCATCTCGATGAAGCCGTCGAGCTCCTCGTCGAGGGAGACGCCCGTAGTATCATCCCGGTTCCTGACATCGTCGGGGAGGATCTCCAGGTACGTCTTTTGCGCCCTGAAAATGGCAGTAAGCCATATGGCAAAGGGCGGGTTAGCCGCAGGGCAGGGGTCGTACGGCGAGGCCGCGAGAGGGTCCCGGGGCCGGCCGTGGGAGCCGTTATAGCAGCAGAAGGGCGCCGTGTTTCCGGCGTCCAACGGCCCGACCATGACCTCCTGGTGCCCGTACTCGTCTGGCGGCGACAGCACCAGCTGCCCCGGCACGCTGCTCTTAGTCTCGAGCATCTGGCGGAACACATAGCCGAGGTCCCGCGCCAGCCTACAGCGGGCCGCGTGGTCGAGGTCGTGGAACCCCAAGACCAGGTTAGTTCCCGGGGCGCGGCTCTGGATCATGAAGGGACTGCCGACGGCGTTGTCCCCGGAGCGGTCAAAGGCCACTAGCCCGGCAGTCTCGATCCTGGTGTAGTTCTGCACAAAGAGCAGCGAGGCCATGTCGCTCTCGAAGTCGCTGTCGGGATACCGGGGGATGCGCAGGATGTAGTGCTGCACGTCGTCGTAGTCGCCCTGCCCCGAGTGCCGGCTGAGGCCGATGACGCGGTTGAAGCCGCCCCCCCTCATGCGCTCGACGGCTATCTCGCCGTCCACGTCATAAGCGGACTCGGGCCACAGCAAAGCGCTGTTTCTCTCCGCGAGCTCCAAGGCACGAAGCTGGAATGTTTCAAACGCCTCGTATCCGAAATTGACCGTCGACGTGCTGCTGCTGCAGGAACAAGTGGACTCGCTGGTGTCCGTGCCAGAGTCCGAGCTAGTGCTAGTAGTACTCCAGTCGTCCCAGTTAGAGTCTGATGAGTGCGAGTTGCTGGAGAGGGGTGGCATTTTGACTTACCCAGTTGATTATTCTTGAAGACTGTTAATTATTCAAAATTGATAAATTGAGTGAGTACCTAGGGAGGTATAGGGAGGCTAATTTCAATCGAAGGATGCCACCTGGATGCCCAGATGTTGAGCTTGAATTCCAAGGCAGTTGGTGGTGGTTAAATACCTGGCGAGTGCATCTCATGGCTGTTGAACAATGCACAAAGAATAAGCACGGTGGAGAACAGCTCCCGACGGGGTGAATGGCTTGTTAGGCGCCTGTTGTGACACAGAATTCCCTACCGCATTGACTTTCAAAGACAACAGAGGAGCAGTATCATTGGTGATAAAGAGCAGATAGGGGATAGTTGCGTCTACAGCATATCATAGTTATGCCATCCGTTCAGAATCAACCTTGGGTATAGCATGCCCAAGGCAGGTACGGAACCGAGCAAACACGAATAGCAAAGACAACAAAAACGAGGCCTCGCAATACTAACGCAGACGAGTGCAGAACCCCCCTGTAAATGTGGTGTTGGGTAACCAGGCTTTGAGTATTATCTGGCTATACTAAGTATCAAGTGCATCATCAGGTCAAGCCATTCCTCAGCAAGAGCTTGCAGCTCTTCCAGTCGAATATCTCCGCAGTCACCACGATGTGCGGCTGAGACGCCCTCGCCGTCTTCGACCACTTCGAATGCTGCCCCGGTAAATCCAGCTTGTGGAATTCGCTCCTAGAGTGGACGGAAGAATATATAGACTACGTCCCTGGCTGTATTGACTACAAGCCCCATGCCAGCAGCGTCAGACTCGACCGGTTTGTGACGTTTTCAATTCCCTAGTGACGGACCTGGCTCTAATGAATGATATTGATTACTTTAGCTAAACTCCGAATAGTTACATCTTACCATCGAGACTTGACTGGACTATCTCAAAGGTCAATACTGCTGGTGCTATTTTGATTGTGATACTGTGCGCCGGTCACCTCCTGACAGGGCCAACAGCCATGAAGTAATATGAATTCAACTCAGCACAAGCTTATTTAGGTAAGGTAATTTGCGAAAATGTAGTAGTTACATATCAACGACTACACTCTTCTCCAATCGAGCCGCCTATTCACGGTCTAATTAATTAGGTCTAAGCAGTGGAAAACTGTCCAGTTGTATAGATCGACGTAAATAACGACTCCATACCATGCCCGAAGCACTTTACGACGCGGCTCTCTCGTTTATACCAAGCGGTTGGTGAAGAAGAGAAAAAGAAAACATCAATGGTTATAACTACCACTGCAGATATCTTGAGAGTACAACGCCGCAGCTCACTTTAGTTGCAAGTCATCGACCAACCAACAATTAATTATGACCGCCTTTTTCTCGGAATGTGGGATTCAGCAGTCTTGGCTCGATGCCCCGCTGTCACAGCAATTCAATGTTTTTATTTTCAGGCTTTCGATTCTGATTGGCCGTGGCGAGAACCGATAATGACTTGTAAGATACAAAAGTTGAAGACTCGGAGCAAGCAAGCAAGCAAGCACGCACGCACGGCCATTGACGGGAATTCAGAGCCACATTATTTCGCTCATCCACGGAATCCTCTGCAGCCAAGTACCTACCGGGCAATGGGCATCATCTTGGACATCTACAAGCGGTCGTGGCATGCAGCCGTGCGACAACACCAACGAGTCCTGTCACTTCACATCCCCCTTGCGCAACTCCGACATCGTCAGGAGACGGACACTCGCGCGCGCGACGGGACATGCCCCCAGAGCGGCTTGGCCTCAAGACGAGCTGATCGGCGTGCGGTGCGAGACGGGAGACAATAGAAGCAAGCATTTCTGATCTATTACCGCTACGGCTTGGCAAAAGCTTATCTTGGGAGCCCAGCTTTCGTGGCTTCCCTTGTCTGTCCCGGGAGGGGACCTTCTGTCCTGGGAGGCAACTTCGAGAGCTGGAATCGGATGCTGATGCTGCTTTCCGCGGAGAGACGCTACTGGGCAGTCAAGCCGTCGATACTGCGCTGTAAATTTCCTGCCACGGACAGATGCATAGAAGCACGACTGTCGATGCAAGGGTGGTTCGGTTGGTGAACAACAAGCAAAAGTTCATAAATATGCCCTACACCCCTGAACCTAAACTTGTCTTGCTCTTTCGTGGCCCGTACCGAGTCTGTTCTGTACGGATACCTTTGGTAGGGAACCAGACGTGGTTGTACGGATCTGCGTAATGCAGCCCCCAGGAGCCATCAGCGCAGCAAGCCACGTGTGGGGCGTTTCGCTTGATCGCCAATCCAATCCGCTGGCAGGGGTCCCTGGACACCCTCTCGATGGTAATTCTCCGCCCCACCATCTTATTGAACTGTTTTCTGTCGAAAAGTGTCGCCAAACCTCTCTTCCGTGGTCAAAGTCGCACTGGGCACTTTCACACCGCAACCTGCAAGCTGCATGAAACTCATACCAGCGTCCCCTATGCATCTTGTGGATACGTGGAGTTCCTGGCCAGCTACCCCCAAGATCAAAAGCTTGTTCGCTCGAGCCATGGCTTGGCGGCAGCAGTCAGTTGCTTGTGACCTCGAAAGGCCGCTGGCAGGTTCCGGGCCTCAGGGTCTGAAGCCTTTCTCCAAAGCTGCTGTGAAACACTCCATCCGCGGTCACAGGGTAGTCACCTACTTGCTTGACCACCATCCTTCGAAAAGTGCCGCCGGCTGTGTCCCAGCGGCTTCATGAGGCGTCTGGGGCGTCGAAAAGATCGGATGAACGAGGGGCACAGGACGCCGTCTAGGTCGCTTTCCGGATACGGAGTGCTGTACGTACTTGCATTCTCGCAGGTTGCAAGTTTCGTGGCACACCACCGAAGCTAGGGTATATCGCCCTGAGTACATAGTACTGTATGTACATACTCTGTACATACGAGTATATCATCTACGAGCTGCAGTGTAAACGCAGGCAAGAGACTAAAGCTGCACAGGAGAGCAAGCCGAGACCTAGTGTTGACTTCCAACGCCAAGAGCCGCAAACCAAAAGAGGGCCAGAAGCGGGTGTTGAGCGGTTGGCTGAGGGAAAAGGCTCCGAACATTGCATGAGTGCGTCCGGTTCTTCGCGTCTCTGGTAGCTAGCTGTACGAGGCCGTGCTGCAGGAGCTCCTCGACATGGCAAGAGAAGGCAAGGGGAGCTCAAGAAGGCTGCAGTGCCAGTTCAGCAGATGGCGACCCGGCAACGGCCAATTGCTTTCACCCGAGAGGGTGGTGAGAGAGGGGATGTTGCTGACAATTCTGATTACGCGACGCAAGGTTGCGAGAACAAGCAGCGAAGACCGACAAAAATGGGCGACGGGAAACGAAAATGCCTCATACATAGCTCAGAAACCAGTGTTGCAGCAGCTGCGCGACACCGACTATCGCCTCGCTGGATTTCCGGATGGGTGAGCTTAGGCTTGCTGTAGCGTGTGTCGGAGTCGCTTTGCGTGACCACGTCTCAGGCCTGCCTCCGTAAGACTCGGCCAAGTGCTGCGAACAGACGTTCCTTCTGCTCGACACACAGAGAGAGAGCGGTGTCGACTGCGACTAGGTAAGAAAGAAGGGTACGGCACAGCGCAGCACCGCACTGCACTGCACTGCACAGCATGCAATGGCTGGCTAAGAAGGGAGAAAGGGACGTCCAGCTGCAAGACACTTCATAAATGCAAATTTGCCCATGCAGCATGCATTTGCATTGTCCCCTCGGCTTCCCATCCAGATCAACATCCTCAGGCTGACAATGCACTTCGGGCTTCGCCTCCGCAGCACGATCGGATGCGCTGCGCTGCGGATAGACGAGAGAGAGGCAACTTCGACAGGGTCAATGTACCGTATTCTGGTGTCTACCGTACCTATCCATGTTTCTGTATGTTCCAACACTCTCTCGGCAGGCCTGTGGTCAGGGTGTGTCGAGATGCAGTGAGATGCGGGTGACAAGAATAACACTGCGCGCCGCCTTCGTGAGAATCGAAAGCCGTTCGTTCAAGTTATTATTGATGCGTGGGTGCTGGTGGAGAATGGAATGCCCGTCTTCCCAGAAAAGGCAGAACCAAAGTGTGTGGGAAGGGACTAACACGGATTAAGCGTGCACCTAGGTAATAATGGAAGGAGAGACGAGGCAGATCCGTAGGGGGCAGGTACGTATGTTACATTTGAGTGCATGTAGAAACAAATTAATTATGGGATCCCTTAATCATTACCATATTACCTTCTACTACCTTAACTGTGTTGGAGTATGGTGAACTGGATTTATTACTACCATTATCTCCTTTCGGAATACCCGAACTCAATTCCTAGGGCTGAAGCTGTCATGGCTAGACAGTCGGGTGGACATCACTCAGGTTCTGGCCACTTTGCGAAGTCTAGTGTATGGATGCGATGTGGGTGGCTCTGCCGAGTATGACTGACCTTCGTACCTTCCAAGTGTGACAACCTTGGCTGGTGCAACAGCACGCACGCGGGGGCTCAAGTTGCTCCTTCCTGTGACCTGTCGTCTCCGGAATCATGAGTGACGGGAAGGAGAGCATGTGCGCGGCTGTGAAAGAAGTCACTGACAACAACCGGGAACTTCATTTGTTCAGGTGCGCTTTGCTAGTACCCTGGCGTCCGGGACGATGGGAGACCTCTACGATCCCCACTATCAACCACTTCACTCTATACCTACCCTGCCATATACGGAGCAAAGTGTGTACATACCTCTAGGGAAGTTCCGAGTACGCCAGGGCTAGACCGTTCTTTCGTTGCCAGTTTCCAGCCGCTCGCTCGTCGAGAAGCTGTACCTTGGTCCACACACATCAAGGAACATCAAAGAAGCTTGGCCAGCCCCTTTGTGGCATTTGACACGCCCATTCAAGCCAAGCAAGCCGAGATACCAAGATACCTAACCTTCTGTGGGTGGGTAACCAGGCATGCTTGGGTCTTTTCAGCCAAGCCAGTTCGGCATCCGGAGCCGAAACAGTAAAGTTGAGCCTCCTGCAGCTGCCGAGCTGGAGGCCAGACTTGGAATCCCGTGTACATCTGTCTGTATGTACATCGGAGTCCTCCGTATGCAAGTTCGGCCAGGTCCTACTGATCTACCTGAGGCGTCCGTAACCAGGTCACGCAATTGCCTGGCTCCTCGTCCCCAAGCCATCGGACAACACAATCCTTCGCAAGGGTGGGAAGCATTGGAGCTTTGTAAGAACAATTGAACCTACGTCTTCCATGTGCCCACGGCACTGTACTGTACAGACCGCATGGCCCAAAGCCAAGGCCTGGCCTGGCTGGCCGTTTGAATGCCTGGCTGCTTGTTACCTAAGGTATCCGTAAGTTGGTACGAAACTGAAGTACGTACGAATACCTACCTGAGCCACCTTGGGTATGTCACGGACATGACTAGAGCAAAAAGGGGAGGGGGGATTTGCGTAATTATTTATCGTCCCGTCTTCTTCCGCATCAGGAACTAAAATGGGCCAGTTCTCAGAAGCGAAAGTTTGCCCCTCCTCGACGCCCCAAAGAGTGCTCGAAGGCTGTGCAATGAAAGCGAGTTACGGAGTACGGAGTACATAAGGTAATCATTACATACCTCGACTGAGAACAAGCTGGAATTAGTACCATTGGACATCCGCCACAGTCCCAGGTCTTGGCTGCCAGGATTTTGCCCGCCGATCTTGATACTTATACGCTGCCCTGTACATACGGAATACACTACGGTACTTGCTTAAAGCCCTACTAGCCCGGGCACCACGACCCGGCCTTCCCACGACCTTCCACCGACTTACAACCACCATCTGAGAGGACCCTGACCATTTCCGGTTGCAAAGTCGACCTGACATAAATTCCGCTAAGGAAGCAGATGCCTACCTAGCTAGGGCCGCCCCATCCAGGCCCTTGACCTCCTGTCGCAGAAGAGACGGGCGTACTTGCCCCGGGGCAACGAACCTACCCGCCTTAAGTACAGTACCTAACCTAGCATACATTAGCCAAGCTAGTGTGAGGGCTGCCGCCGTGCTGGAAGGCCGCTCAAGACAGGGCCTCCTCCACCGTCATCTCCGTCATCGCCTTCTCCCTTTGCCATCAGCCGCCGAGTTTTGCCCCTCTGGCTGTGTCCTGAATCACCTCTCTTATTACCTAACCCCAGCCCTGCCAGCCGTTTCCATTGCCGGCCCCAAACCTTTTTCACTCAAAAACCCAGAAATCTCTTCACCATGTCGGCCCTCCATTTGACGCAACAGTCGCGATCTGCCATGTTTCTCCGCTACTGCTAGCGCCTGCACCATATAACCCTCTCGTCCTCCTCGAAGGCGAATTCCGCGTTGAAAAACCTGCCCAAGAAAATAAAGGAAGCCGAAGAACCTCGGCCTCCTATCTCCACTCTCTCACTACCACTACTGGACCGTACTCTTAACTTTTCCTACCCACCCACTTGTGCACACACCAAACCACTCCGCTTCACTCACAATATCAAACTTTTTTCGATTTTCCGCGCTCGGCGAAGTTTATCTCTCTCTCCCACAAGACCTTTTACTCCAAAGAGACAACCGAGGGACAGCCCTAGCTAGTTTGCTGTTTTGGTCGTTTCAAAGAGCTCAAGCGCAACGGGCTCTGCCCACACCCAGAGGCGCTCTCGCCGCCACAATCGCTGCCGCTTGCATAAGCGCAGTGACTGACCCCCCAGGCTCGCGTGCATCGCTCAACCAGTGACCACCAGCGCAGCGCACCACCGCCTCAGTCCGTCTCACGGCTGCCCGCCATTCCCCAAATCATAATCCTTGAGCCTGGTCATAACGGCCGAACATGGCGAGCACTCCAGATCCAAACGCAACGTCGTCGCCAAAAACCTCGCAGCCGTCCTCCATCAAGTCTATCGAGAAGCCCTCTTGGTCCCCCAACTTGGCCGCCCAAAATGGCCAGCCCGCGCCCAATGCATCATATGAGCAGCTCTCCAACGCCGTCGAAAGGCCGTCGGTAAAGGACCGCCTCACGCGGATGTTCTCGACCAAGGACTCTGCCCACCGTGCTGCCATCGCCGACGCTGCAGCTCTGTCGCAACCCTCCCCGCCGCCGCCAAACTCGACGACCATCAAGCCGCCTACTCCGCTGCGCACCCCGTCCACCAGCGACAAGGCCGCCGAGAAACCCGCGCCAACCTCTGGGAAGCCCAAGTCTGCGAATGGCAAGGACTGGCAGGGCCTGCGCTTCGTGGTGAATGCCGATTTCCAGGGCGGTCATGAGCACCATCTCAAGTCGAGCCGTCGCCAGGAGAAGCTCTCTGACATGATCAAGAGCCTTCTCGGCAAGAAGACAGAGCAGGTTGCGGACAACGACCTTTCGCTGGTATCTGGCTGGGTGGACACCCTTAAGCAGGAGAAGGACGGCTTTGCCTCGGACAGGAAGGGCGGCCCAGGCGCCTCAGCATCGCTCATAGAAAAGTATGGCAAGTGCCACGAAGTTGTGGGCAGGGGCGCCTTCGGTATCGTACGCATTTCACACAAAAAGATGGAGAACGGCGTGGGAGAGAAGCTGTTCGCCGTCAAGGAGTTTCGGCGCCGCCCCGAGGAGACGGAAAAGAAGTACAGCAAACGTCTGACGGCCGAGTTCTGCATCTCCTCCTCCCTGAGACACCCCAACGTTATCCATACCCTAGATCTGCTCAAGGACGCGAAGGGTGACTACTGCGAGGTCATGGAATTTTGTGCCGGCGGAGATCTGTACACGCTGGTACTGTCGGCCGGAAAGCTTGAGGTTCAAGAGGCGGACTGTTTCTTCAAGCAGATGATGCGTGGCGTAGAATATATGCACGAGATGGGCGTCGCACACCGGGACCTGAAGCCCGAAAACCTGCTCCTGACAACAAATGGCGGCCTCAAAATCACCGACTTTGGCAATGGCGAATGCTTCCGCATGGCGTGGGAGAACGATGCACACATGGTGTCGGGCCTCTGCGGATCGGCTCCTTATATCGCCCCTGAAGAGTACATCGACAAGGAGTTTGATGCCCGTGCAGTCGACGTCTGGGCCTGCGGTGTCATCTACATGGCCATGAGAACGGGCCGTCACCTGTGGCATGTGGCGAGGAAAGACGAGGATGAGTTCTATGCACGCTATCTTGAAGGCCGTCGGGATGAGGAGGGGTACCAGCCCATCGAATCGTTACACCGGGTAAGTGAATGCGCACCATGCCGCCGAGCGGCTCTCGTAGATGACCCTTCTGACATGCATTATCAGGCTCGCTGCAGAAACGTGATATACTCAATCCTGGATCCGAGCCCCTCGCGACGGATTACAGCCTCGCAGGTTCTCAAATCGGAGTGGGGACGTGAGATAAAACTTTGCAAGGCCGGCGAAGAAGGCCTTTAACACATGCTCCGCCAGGTGGCTGACTGATATCTCCCTCTCCGGGTATCATTCTCCGTCCGGCGGACTCGCGCCCAGCAAGCAGGTGGTTCGGCTCGAAGGTCTAACCTCTCCCCATCACACCCAGCTTAGCCAGGCAGGCCTTAGCCAGGCAGGCTTAGCAACTTTGAAATGATAATGTCTCTCGTTCTATCACATAGGAGACGACGGCCTGTTTTACGACTGAAATGCCTCGTTATTGGCCAGCATAGGAGTCTGGAGTCATTCATTGCATTTTATCTTACTTTTCTTGCAGTCTTTTCTGGGCGAGGTTAGCTGAATTTATTTCATCTCCTGTCAAACGTTTTGGGCGGGCCAAATATCGGCACTCTGCGATTAGGGATACTCGGCAGGCGACGGGCGGGCGGCTCTGACGCAAGATTAGCAAACAAAGTTGGTTGCTGTCAAATGTTTTTTTCCTTCTTCTTTCTACAAGCGAATGCCTCCATGGCAGGCGGCGGTTACCTCTGTTTTCTTCGAGTTTGAGCCCAGATATGCGAAGACGAGAAGAGAGTTTTTTTATTACGTGCGGAAGTTGCAAAATAGGGGGCGGCAGGGACATTGTTTTTGGCAGCTTTGGGGGTGTTAAGAGCCGAGTTTCTCAAAAGTATCGGGCATCTCTGCAACACAAACCTGGCATGTTCTGTCCTAGTAGCTGCCGTAGCCCTTTTGTTATTTTGGTCTGGTCGTATCCTTTGTACCAGGCAAGGGTGATATGTACAAAGGACGGACGAGGGGGGTTTGCAGGAGACACTCTCTACGCTGTCTAGTCTGGATACTATGTTACTTTTGTGTTCCAACGAGGACATGAACATACTTTTGACAGCTGCGAATATTGGGAGGGGCTGAAAGTTACTATCCGCCTGAATAGATTGTCCTGGGACTCTCTATACGGGCAGAGGGGTGATACGCTGGCCACCATAAAACGCATATAATATTAGCATGTTATTTACCTCAGCGTCTCATCTCCCGCGATTCTCTGCTGTCTGTATTTCCACGGTAATAAGCAGCAACGCTCCTATGCCCCCCCGCATAAGGAAGCTGGGGCATCAAAGAATCCCAAGAACAAATCACGAGACTCGGTAGGAGCTATTGTCACTACCGCTGCGGACAAAGAAACCCGGCCTTGTCTCTCGTGTCAGCGAGACCGGTCTATGTGTGCTAACGCCCGGCCTCAATTGCTCCTGCTCCACCCGACTTGCGATGGACGATGGATGGTCTAGCACCAAGCCCGTGTCTCAGATATCCGGTCTTCCCACGCAAACATGCAAGGGAGGCAATGTTGATCATCGTATGACTTTTCGGCAGTGGTTGCTCGTATCATCCGATGAGCAAAAGAGTATACAACGGCCGGCCAAGCAAGCTACGGAGCGACATGACCTGACCTGACCTGACCTGGCCGGGGATGCTCAAGGTATCTAGGTTCGATGTGGCGCTCGTTGCGTGCGTCCATAACCATCATATTATATCAGACAAAACTTCGACTTTAAACAAACAATCACCGGAAAGGCCACTGCCATAGAGCCCCGAGATATATCAAACTGTGACTATAGCTAGCTAGCTAGCTACCTCTACCTAGTAGGTACAGTACCTACGAAGGTGATTAGACCAACAACAGACAGTATGCGTTCAACGCCCCGTCCCGCAAATGTACAGCACCTCGAAACTTGCTTCCTCGAGACCTAGAAACACATTACCTCTGCCCCGACAGGACATAGGGTCGAAAAGAAACAGTCCCGTCGTATCCTGCCCGTCGATAATGGTAGCCTCCCAGAGACCACCGCTTCCAACAAACCCAAGGGGGGAGGACAAGAGCCGACTCAAAGGATAAAGTAGAATTAGGTATTCAGACGACCATTATAATCCCAACTCTCTTTTGCCAGCCTAGCGAGAAGTGAGGTCCCTGTTTCCCTTCCCTTGTCCCTTTTAAACCGGCACCCAAGGATACTCAAGACCGACACCATCAACACATTCCGCAATAGCTTTCAGGCCGGCTAAAAAAGCGGAGACACCGAAGGTGTGAGAGAAAAATAATATTTGTGGAACTCCTGGATATTCCCCCCCGTTACCGTCGTTGTCTGACACACCCGACCACTGATCTGTGGTACTTGAAGAATCCAACCATAACCCGACCAGGTAACAACCAAAAGGGTCCTGTCAAGAGAAAAAAAAATAAGGCATAAAACATGGCGACTACGGAAATGGATATCGTAGATCACTCCCTCAAACCATTAACCCCAAAAATGGGCATCGTAGACATAAACAAGGGTCCGTAGACCAACCAATCCCCCTCATGAATGGAAAAGATCCCACGCGCGCTCGCATAACCGGAGAAACTCTTCTCGCTTAGCGCGCTGTGTCTCGGGGCTGTCGCGACCTTCGCCAAACGGCCCTCTTCGGGTGCTGGCTCGGCCGTTGCCTAGCGGCGGGCTGCCGCCCTCCTCGTATTCGGCCCGCGTTCTCCGCTTGCTGGCGCTTCGGCTGGCGTCAGTTACAGGTCTGTGGGTTTGCGCCCCGGGAGATGGCGGCGTTGGGGGTTGATGAACCCCATAGTGTACTAACTTCGGCAACAACTCTGGACGACCGCCAGCCAACTCCGCTTGGGCTTCCTCTGCAGACTTATACTCCCGCAACCTCCCCGGGGTCGGCGCCTGAGGCGGCGGCGGCGGCGGGGGGTGATGCGGGGAGGCTAAGGGGCCGCCGCGATTTTGCTGGCTCGCGAAGAGCGCGTGACCACTCGACTCGGGGTGACCCGATAGCCCCTGACCAAATACGTCGGCAATTGGAGGAAGGCGATTGTTGGTCTGGTTGGCCGGCACATGGTGAATGTGCGATGTGCTGGCGAGATTGGAGGGCTGGTTGGTGATGTGCCGAGTTTGCGGATGCAGGTTGTGTCGCCCCGTGAATGTCTGGCCCAGGGGAGCGGATTGGATCACCCTCTCATTCGCAAAATGCTCGTGCGACGGCGCGACAATGCTGAGACCTGGAGGTGCGCCGCGCTTACGCGCAAGGCCGGGCGTCTTTGCGGTGAAGTTTCCGTCCCTGTCGGGACCATCGCCTTTGGCTGACTGCTGTTGTAGCCGCGATTCTATGATCTGCCTCTGGTGGTCCCTCACGCTCAAACTGCGCTGCAGTTGCTCCTTCATCACGGGATCCTGGGTAACGAACCCTGGCGATAGACACGCAAGGCCGACCTCTTGGATTCCCAACCCGGCCGTATCCCGCGCAGTCAGCGGGCCGCGCGCAGTCCCGGGTGTAGAAGATCCGGGGTTTGCGCCCTTGGACAGGTCTAGCTTTCTTGGTCTATGGCGTGCAGTCGCCAGATCGGGCGAGCCGGGTTCTTTTTTTACTATGATCTTAGGGGGACCGCCGCCGCTTCGCGACCTGCAAGATGTGCAACAATGATTAATTAGTCAGTGCGGAAGATAAAAAGTCGAAAAGGCCGAAAAATAAGATGGAACGGGGAGATTGTGTTGATGGGGGAGAGATTGCTTACGCGCTGGGGGGTGAGGAGTTGTTCGCGCTCGTCGCACCCACACCTCTGGGGCTGCCACTGCCGGAGCGTGGAGCAAGCGCATTCGGGGTTGCCGACAATGGGGGCGGAGGTGGTGGTACGGCTGTCGTCCTGTGCGCAGATGGCGATGTGGAAGCCGGGACAGGGGAAGGCGCTGAAAGATCGGCACCAAACGATGGCCTATCGTGAGGAGCCGGAGAAGGAGCCATGGCAATTGCGGTGCTCATGATCGATCCTGCTTGGGTGCGCAGAGGATTGATGGAATAAAAATTGGGGGGCAGGTCGCTGGCTGAGAAATCGATTGATTGCCCTAGGGTACGGAGTGCTGCGCTGCCGCTTCGATTGATAACGTGAAGCGAGGCGGCGCGGCAGAAGTCAATGTTCGACCAGAGGACCAAATGCGCGGCTGCGTGGGACCTGGATCCGGGCTTGGGACGCTGCGCTGCAACTGCACTGCACACTGCACTGCACTGCACTGAGGTGGTGCACTTGACTAATAACTGAGGTGAGGTGCACACAGCTAAGGGCACTCTCTCTCGGCTCGAAAATCGATCGATCGGGAAAGGACACAATGGATGCACGAGGCGCCGAATTTGCTGCGATGCCGACGGGTGCTGTGCGATTATTCGTGCTTGTCAGGTTCGACGAGACAATAGACTGGATCTGAATCTGGGCAACGGGCGCTTCCAGTTCAGGCCTGGCACGACACGACAATGGAATGCGAAAGGCCAAGGCGCCGGGGATGTCTCGAATAGCAGGCGGCGGGCGGGCAGTAGGCGGGCAAGCGGGCGGGCACACGTCGCAACGCTGCGCCTTCCTGTTTTTGGCAATGCACGCCTTAAGAGGAAAACAGCAACCACTAGATTCGGTGGGCGCTTGCTGTATCGGGACCAGATGTATTGTCGTCGAGAGCGTCGTCCAAAGTAATACTCCGTAAGCTTCTGTTCCTCGTCGCCTTCCTGCGTCTTCGTTTCTTGTTGTCCAATATCCTCTCACCACCCTCTCTCGCTGCGTCAAACGAAAGGCTTGTAGCACCCGACGAGTCCTAGCGGCGCTGGCGGTGTGTTTTACGGCGTGGCCGGCTTATGCGACTTTTTGGGGTGCTGGAGGGGTCACTGGTGTGTCAACCGTGTAAGTCGCGATGAATTCAGCCAGCACACACGTGCGCCAGGGGGCCGCGGCCTGGAAATCAGGGGACTCTGGGGAAAAGGTGAAAAGCGAGAGTCACAAGCAAGCGTGGCGTGCGTGCTCGAGAAGAAAAGAAGAGAAAAAAAGAAGATGGGGTATGGGATGATGCGATGGGATGAGATAAAAAAAAAGGTCGAGGGGAGTAGGGGCCCGGGGCTTGTAAGACGGGAGGCGTGAATCTTTTCAGGGGGTTACACACGCAGCTCGGTAGGCAAGCAGCAAGGTACGGATCGATAGAGGTCGGTCGAGACCCAGACAAGCCAGGGGATCCGGGGCACTACTGGGAATATGAAAGGAGACGGCGAAGGGACGTGATGCAAGTTGTGTGTGAAGTCTGTGGCTACCTGTCTCTGTCCCCTGGTTCTCTTGGTCACAGGTGTCAGCCAGAATGGACGAGCTGGAGGAGCTGGAGGGCGATGGTCAGTGGCTCTAGTGTTTGAGGTTTGGAATCGTGGAGCACCTGAGTGGAGGCCCTGGCAGGCGAGGGGTAGGCTTGGCCTTCACAGTGGACGTAAGGTTAGGGGATCGACGCTTGGGCCACTGGAGCGACGTACTTGCTACCTCCATCTCCATTTTGCCCTACTCTGCGACTCTCCCGCACTTACAACTGGCTAGTCCACGCACTCAGATACCGTACCCGACTGTCAACTACGGAGTAGAGATGTGTCCAGGTACCTTATTACTTCGTACATTGCAGGCGGTTTAGCAATTACTGCCTAGGTTTATAAGGTAATCTAACTCTGAATGTGCGCTTTATTCCTCCTCAAGGATATGGACAGTTCTTCCATTCCCCGGCAACCTAGCAGGCTGGCAAGTGCCCTCGGATCTCCATACTCTGGCCTGCCGATGATGGAATCCGGAATCAGTGGAGGTGCGCGATGGGATCGGCCAAAAAGCTAACATGGACATTTTACTCGACATCGGGAAGGGGTTACAGGGGAGGCATTAAGCTCAGTGGCCGTTTTGGATTGAGGGTGGCAATGGCTGCAATTGGTAGAATCGCGGAGACCATCGTTTCCTGCACCCCTGCTGCAGTCGGCCTCTGCAGGGCCCATGAGCCATGACAAGCCTTCGCCTGAAACCCGCTGCGCAGCAAGGAGGGGCGCATAGCCAGTCAACCGAAAGCAACGCCCACCTCAGTCCTTTCTTTGGGCTCTGCGGTGCCTGTCAGTGGCGCTCAGTTCAGTTGCAGCTTGAGTCTGACAGCTGAATTCGAAGGGGGACCTTGGCCAAACATGGAGGAATAGCATCACCATCGGCATCATCGTCAGCTGCCGGCCCATTTGCCTGTGCCGTCGCGCATTCCTTCGCCTCACCTCGCCAGTGTGATGATGCCTACCTAAGGTATCCGCGCATTTGTACGAGGCGGGCATTCCGAGAGGCTTGGACTGTTACGGACTGACTGACTGACTACCAGCTCCCTCGGGAAGTGCCCTCATCATCATGCTATGCTCCGTTGTTGATGCAATCCATCTGAGACAGGATTCTAGAGCTTCGAGGTGGCAGTTTTATTAGGAGACGACAATTTGTATTCCGCGTCTGGGGCAGCTAGTCTCTTGCGAGTGTGGAGGGTTTCTTCCACACGACCACAGCGGACAAAGGGGCACCGACGGCTCAATATAACCCACATGTTAGCGCGACACGATCGGGTCGTGCAACACCGTCAACGGGTCGGGAAGCCGCCTATCCAAATGGCTCCTGGCTGCCGACGTGTGTCGTGATAGATTAGTCCGTGGCCCAGATTACATTTGCCATTCAGGTCCATCTCATGGGTAGGCAGGTTGCCATTCATCCCTTCTTCTTACACTCGCCTGCGTCATTGGCGCATCGAGTCGTCCTTTTATATCATTGGCGCCGTTTTACAAACCTCTCACACAGACGCGGCATGTTTCTTACCATTTGGGAACCAACCTGCCTCGCTAGCAAGCTCGCAATGTCGTGTTGACGCGATCCGTGTCCTCTTGGATACCGTTCGCGGGAGACCATTTCCATATTGACAGGCATGGCTGTTATAAGTCATCAGCCTGTGTCGTGCCGAAAATGAAGGAGGATGAGACGAGGCCCAGCAGCCTTTTAATTGGCGACCAGTTTCGTCTCTCTATTGGAGACCCTTAATGCTGGGTACGTAGCTACCCTAGTTGACACCAAGGCAATTGCCTGCTGTTCCGAGTTAACCAGCAACTCAAGACTTTGAAGTTATCGACGACCTTCAACCTCCTCGCTTGAGCACATGTTCATGTTCCCTCCCACAAAACACCATGTTCTAGATGGGGATGATAACAGTGCACCAATGCCCCCTGACGTAGTCCGCGATTCTGTGCCGCCAACTAGCCGCACATACGCATGTTTTGCTGCTGGGCCCAGGTTCGGATTCTGCCTAGTTCTACGGAGTAGAACACTAGGACGTTCCATCTATCGTAGCCGTTTCCCGTCGAGTTGTTTATCTCCATCTAGGTGGAGATGCCGAGCCGTGCCTCTCGGTGCCGCGCCCGTCCATGCCGGGTTGCATGAGCACAGACTCTGACTTCGATGGAAGAAGGCATCCACGAGAAGATTGCAGTGCGGGTTAGTGTGATTTTTTCAACTAGCGGTTTTCTGCGCCGCCGTTCCTGGCCCCCGTGAAACTTTTTCCCACAGGTCCACGTCGGTGAAAGAGGGGAAAAAAGAGGAGAGATCGGCCAATCATCCAGCTTCCCGACTACCGTGTCGGGTCTCGTGAGACGGCCCAGAGGATCAACCTACAATGTGGCAACTTGCAAAGTAAGTAAGGTAAGATAATGGGGCTCTGAAGTTGCTTCTGGTTTGGAATGCGCAGTGGTACTAAATGCTATCCGATCGGCTTTACAGGCCATGCCCCCGGCCTCCGTCTGATAGTGCCGATGATATGGAGACGGACTATGACAGCTTGGGAAAAGCGCAAAATAAGCACTTGATGGCTTTAGGATGGATGGAAAAGAAGAAGGCAAACAGCGGCTGCGCCGCCGCAGAGGAATGCGCCTGCTGCTCCCCCATCCATCCTCTTCACCGGTTTTCTAGGAGACGGTTATGTGTTTCATGTAACGGCGGAAGAACAACACGAGGCCAGCCCGGGACTCATCCGGCACTGGCTGGGGCCCGGGGGCCGTGCCTCACACTATGAGGACGCGACAGGATCGCCATCATGACCTGGCGATCTCCCTCGTCTCCCAGGTCGCCCGCCCGCTCGCTCAGCGGCTTCCGTCTACCTTTTTCGTAAACTTAGTAACTCATTGCCTGCTACTCATCGCTCCTCCCGCTCTCCCCCTTTCCTTCCTGCCAGATATGCACGAGATCGGGGCCAACATCAGGGCAACTAGGTGAGTTGGGTGGGCCGCCCATGTGGTCGGTCCAGCAGGCCAAGGCCACCCGATTTACAGACACGAGCGAACCACAGCAGTATGCCCATCATGCGATTCTGCTGCGGCCTGAAAAGGAAATTCTCATGGGAGGGGAGCAAACAACTGTTGCACTTGCATAGAGGTGTGGTGTAATTATGTTGGCCCGTCCGAACTAGCAAAGCCGGTCAATTATTGCCGCCGGCCTTGTTTCAACTTTCAATATTCCGATTATTTAAATAGGAGCCCACAAATCTTTTTTTCGTCTTCCTGAGCGAAGAACCATGTGGGAGGGGGTGTAACCCCCTCATTCTCAATATCGATTGTGTCGCCAATAGGAGGGCATGTTTGCAGTACCGTTGCGGTGGATCGACACCCGTTGGGTTGGTGCAACCACAGCCGCCGTTCCAAACGCGAACGACGCAATATTTCAATTTGGGACACATCTCATGCCCGCTACCGAGCAAAAAGATTTTTAGCGTCAGCTCTAGGTATATGCATTGGACGTACATTTCTTTCTGTTGGAATGACAAGGCCATTCGTTCCATAGTCACTGCAATAACCGATGCGAATGGGGTGGTTGTGGTGGTTGTATTCTGGTCTGCTCTATGTAGAAGGATCACGAACTATGGTAACAGGGTGCGCATTGGATTTGGCGATGCCCGGAGGCTACGTGATGGTTGCGCCTCGGACACGTACCGCATAGCGGACCGTGTGCTGGTCAGCCACTGAGGCTGTGCATCCATCCCGTTGACTGGTAATTCCCACACTTTCAACGAACTCGGCGTTACTGGAATGAATTGAGGATGGCATCCAATGCTGAAAAAACCTGCATAATAATATTATCATGCCTCCTTTAAAGTCATGATGTGTAGTAGGCATTAGGGTTTCTGAAGAGATTGCGTGTCTGAGATCATGCACCCGCCCCGCTAATCAAGTGTTGAAATTCCAAGTACCAAACTTACAACACCCTTCGCCCAAGTATCAAGCCACACCCCATTGCGCCACAAATGAAACAGCCACATGGACAAAAAAGCCCTGGCATGGGGGTCGCCGCACAGAAAAATCTCCCTCCATAATTGGCAACGAACTTGACCATCCAGTACCGCACCAACCGGCCACCTTCCGAAACGTGAACCCGACGACGACACGCGCCCACCGGCAATTTTCCAAAAAGTTCATCAAGATGTCTCACGAATCCGTCTGGAACTCCCGGCCCCGTAGCTACGGCAAGGGCGCCCGTGGCTGGTAAGGACCTTTCTTTTCCAACCTTTCCTACCCCCCGAAAGCGGCGCGACAACGCGAAAAAGAAGACAAGACATGCACACACATGCAACGAAAACGAAGGGACCCAATTTAACTAACTACTATCTTTTTCTTCACCTACGTTTAGCCGCGTTTGCACCCACAAGGCTGGTCTCATCCGCAAGTACGGCCTCAACATCTGCCGTCAGTGCTTCCGTGAGAAGTCGGCCGACATCGGTTTCGTCAAGGTAAGCAACGCGAATGGTAGGGATTTATGGGAGTTGGGGGATGAGAGAGGATATGGGGAAAGGACGAGGCGCGCGGGCCGAGGGGAGGATGTCCTATGCACTTTTCCTCTCCTTCCTCTGACCCTAGAGGTAAAACGGATCGTGGAGAGCTGGAAGAGGGACGCGACGCGAGAAGAGATCTTGCTGCTCGCTTGGGTTGAAGAGACTGACATATTTTACTTTGCAGTACCGGTAAATTATTCGCCAGTTTACCTTGCCTAGCCGCTGCACTCGCCCACGATCGATCTGTATGAGAGCGAAGATGGTGGTCTAGGAAAGGTGGGAGAGAAGGAGCGAGAGTAGAAGCGTGGGAGGAGATTGGGTTGGAAGAGAAAGAAACGAAAGTCCAGAGGTAGGAACAAAAAGGACATTCAGAATCCAAGCCATTTTTTCTTCTCTGGGGGCGCCTGAGATCAACGACCCCCTTTACGTCCCCTCTTGCTCTTGTCTCTCTCTGTCTCTCTGTGTTGCTTGTGGCTTTAGAGGAGTTCTTGGGTTTGAGGCTTTCGGAAACGGAAATTTGGTCCTTGTAACTTTTCGCTATATCAAACATGGACAGGAGCGTTTTACCGAGTGAATCAAAAGACGGCTACCACACAGAGATCAATGGGCAATAATGACAGCATAATTTACCCCCTATGTTAGTGTGGTTATTGTCGGCGTCCCTCTCTTTCGCTTACTATAAGCTCTCTTGTTATTCTTTCGCTGTCCTGCGCGGAAGGTAGGTACTCGTTGGCCATGTTAAATGTTTTCGAGGCGCCCCGCTAATAGCGCGTGGGCACGTTGCCATTCTCACGATGTTATAGTTATACCGAGGCCAATATGTTGCCTCCGGAGAACTGGCCTAACTCGTCACGAGTATCGTCGTACTTCTTCGAATGTCGTACAGAATAATATCGGGCGCTACCTGACCTTCATCTCTCTCTCATATCTTATCTCCTGAACATGGCTTGCAGGACTCTTCGTCCTTGTTTCTCTTGTATTCTGCCTATATTCTAAGGAGAAAACATATGCCGCGGTTTGGGCTGCCGCTTTTAGATACCCTGACTCTCTGCAACATCCGATAATCACAGAGATTAGCACATGGATTAATACAGAGGTTATTTCTATATTATCCTGCTATAATGATCTACTTCAGTCGCAGTACCTCTATATCATCCCCGCCTAGTCTTCCGAGGCTATACCATGCTGCGGTATGATCTGGCGTAAAGCCATCCTGAGCTCCACCTCGAGAGCTGGTTCCAGGTGTACCTTGGTATTAGGGGCGGTTTCCTTCGATGACTTCTATAGTGGTATAATATCAGGGGTAGTCTCCTCTGACGGCTCCTGTCTTCTGTGTCTTCCCCTTTCTCTCCAGTCCATATCGTCCATTTCAGTATCGCTATCCCCAGATGACTCTGTAAAGCTGTCTTCGCTTTCTTTTGTACTGCCTTGTCCGGACCTGTTCTTCCTCGGATGTAGCGGGGTTGCCGTTTTTGATCCTCCACCGCCGTATGTGTTCTCAAGATCTTCCCCAGTACAATACTTTGTCTTGTACTCTACCTTGCTAGATTTATCTCTAGAGACTCGGATGACTTGGCGACCTTGGCCTACGGTGACGAAGAACTTGACCTGGAAAAGGATAGCCCAAGCGAAACGGGCAAAGAGGTAAGCGAGAGACTTAAAATGGAGGGACTCGACGAGGGTGTTGTGATATGTAGGCCATAATTCCGCTGCAGGCCCTGAAATGATATGCGTGGCGAACTGAAGGGAAGAATCGATGGTAACAATCTTTGGAACAATAGTAAACCACCGGTCGTTAACGAGTAGTATATATCCTTCCTCATGGGAAGGAGATTGCCTGGGTTTTTGAAACCACGTATCGCATACATTCGCATATCATTCTCCTGATACCAACGTTTCTCCTCTTTTGGCACAAGATGGGCTTCTTCGACGGCATACCCAGCGTTGGTAATACCGCAGGCCAAGGTGGTAATAGGGTCGGCGTTGGTAGAAGGCCACCAATCGGGGATGCGGCCGTGGGGGAACTCCCAATCTTGAAAGCTAGGGACGATAGGATAAAGCACTAAAAGGTTAGCGAAAGCCGCTTAAAGGGAGGAGTGAGTTTTTACCTGAGCCTTGAACGATGAAGTAGTACTCCTCGTCTGTCAAGATGCCATCAAGTAACACCTGGACTTGCTGTTGACCCGCTTTATCGAGAGACAAATAGCTGTTGGCGAAGGCATTCCCAGCGATAACCTGGCATGCTAGCAGGGCTGTTCTATGATGTACGCCGTAGGTAGAAATCGATGTTGTAATATCGACGCGAGGGAGAGCTATGAGCAGGCTGCTCTAGCTATAACCGGGATGGTGAAAGCGGATATCGTCTCGAGAGGGCAATTCGAGAACCGGCCTAGGGGGCCGGCGCTGCATAGAGGGGCGGGGCAGTTGTCGTCGTCTTGGAACGCACTGATTCTGAGGATGCGAGGTAAAGAATTCTTGGCGGGGTGCAAGCGCGGTTGATGGATTAATGTAACGTCATAGCCTGGGCGCTACTATTGCACGTGACGAATTTAAAGTAAAAAATAATAATTAGAAATCGGCACATTCCACCAAGGGAAGACCATATTGGGCGGCAGTCGAGATAAGACCGATACGGCACTGTGCGGTTCAGTGCCTTGCACTCGAAGCTTGAGGCGGCGAACTCAAATGGATTGCACAGACCGGTACCTTTACACGGTAAGAAAAAATTTAGGTTCCCACTTACCCTCAAAATTTCCGCTCCAATCCCCGCCATCAAGGTTCTAGACAACGGGCGGTGCGGAATCGAGAAAACAACTAAAAAAAACTAAAAAACTACAAACCTTTAAAAGTACCATTTGGAAACGAACATCACAGCAGAAGAGGGAAAGAAATGGCGTCTAGATCAAAGACCAAGACCGAGACGACCCAAGGGGCTGGCGATGAAGCCGCTTCCATGTCCGATGCGCCGACGTCTCACCAGCCCACAACAGAAGAGGTCGACGAGTCCATGGCGGACCCAAACGAGGACGAGGCTGCGGCAGAGGCCGAAAACGAAGAGGACATGCTGCCAGAGGAACTTCAGAGGGTCAGAATCGTAAGTCTTGTTTACCGTCCCCAGTTATCCTCTTCACATCAAGAGATATTCCATGAAAGCCCATATACTTACTTTTCTATTTTAAAAAACACAGCTTCCTGGATCAACAGAACATGCTGCTTCGTTCGAGTTTCTCGAGGAAGGGCATACACTTGGCAATGCCTTGAGGTTTATTATCAACAGAAAGTAGGTGCTCGCTCATCACTCTCTCCATCCTTATTGTTAATTTGTCATCGAGCATATATGCTAACCAAAATTGTTCTTTTCTCTTCTTCTACAGCCCTGATGTTGAGCTCTGCGCCTACGCCATTCCACATCCCTCCGAGCCAAAGATGAACGTGAGAATTCAGACTTTTGGTAAGCACGCGTCCTGCCGTCTGGTTATTCTATACATCGAGTACTTGCTGACAAGACTTTGTACGTGCAGAGGGGACAACTGCAATCGAGGCTTTGACGAAAGGGCTGAGAGATCTGCAGGACGTTTGCGACGTGGTGACAGACAAATTCGTAGATGCCCGGCAGGAATTTGCAGCGGGCGTCACCGCGTAGCGCTTCTTCAATTGGTGGACAAACCGGCACGCACAGGTGGGATAGGGGCGTTTTGGCGTAGACATTGATAATAATTACGCATAGCATAGACGGGGCAGGGAACTCAACACGTGAATGGGCGTGTGCAAAAGAACAAAAACAAAAAGGAACTGCTTCCTGCAACTCGTTTTCATTGTTTTATGTACATAGGGTATTTGAGTGTAGTCAGTTATGTACCAGCTCGACTTCTAATTGCGTCCCTAGAAATGGTCGTGAGCAAGGCTGATCGAGGGCTCGGAGAAAACCTGTTTCTGAACTTACTTCTAAGAAGCCTTGAATGAAGCTCGATGGTAGTCTCTTCTCTCCCTTGAAGTTCTCGTCCTTGAAGAATGCCATAATGTGTGCCGTCTGGCGCCAGAAGTTCATGGTTTCCTGAGAACGCAAGACATTAGCCACCCGAATTCTGCGTGGCGACCGTCATGACGGCGGTGCGTTCCCCCTAGCACGTAGCAAGGTCCGCAGTCAATGGAACGTGTGCCGCTCACCTGGTAGTCGGCGTGGCTCTGGAAGATCAGGACATCCACTACGGAGAGCTTGTTGACAAATCTGTGGCGCTCAAACTCCTGCCTTATGCGTGTCCTGATGGTAGAGATGGGGTAGGGGACCGAATACATTTGCTGGATCTCGGGCGCCTGGTGATATATAGACACAGCGCTCGTTAGCTGAAGAATCACGTTTGCTCCGTCCGCGTTTGGTCTCCTTCGGCGGATTGTGAGGTCAACGCACCCCTCGGATCCAGGCTCGGTATGAGGAAAGCACCAAGCGTCTCGCATCTTCCCAATTGGCCGCTATTCGTTTTGTTTTTCCCTGGTCAGTCCCGCATTCGCAATTGACGGCGCGAAGTCGTCAGGTCGGGAGAGGGGACAGAGTAAGGTAGTGCTCACACTGGCGCGTCTTGACGGCGAACTGGGTAGGCGTAATGGCCATGGCTGGTTATCCGCAAGGTGCGGCGGCGTTCTGCGGTTGTTGCGTGCTCTCCCCGTGTGTCGTTCGGCGTCGCCAGTTGGCCTTGGTTTCCGGCTACTTTCCCTACGCCGCTGCGCAAGGAACCACCCGAAAGCTCGGGCCAGCCTGGCTCCACCCCTAGAGCAGCTAAGCCGGACCCTAGCAACCTCCTGCGAGCCAGCCGCCCTCCCGCCACACGCGCCAAACCTGATTAGTCACGCGGCGAAACTCGACCACCTTCTTTCAGGTCTTGGTAGTTTGATTTATTTCTTTCCTACAGGGTATCGGCGCCCTCGTATTTCAACGCGGAACAGTGCAAATATCCTGCCGCGTCGACCCAATCTCTGCCTCAAACAACAGAAAGGAAGCGGGAAACCGACACGCCAACCCAGCAGCCATCATCATGCCTGCGATCCGTTCGCGATCTAAGCGCAAGCCGCCTCCGGCGGGGTTCGAAGACATTGAGGAGGACCTCCTCGTGTTCAACAACAAGATGAAGGACGCGCAGAACACGCCGACTGACAACATCCCGAAGCACCAGGCGCAGTGGCCCATCTTCCAGATCTCGCACCAGCGGAGCCGGTACATCTACGAGCTCTACTACAAGAAGGACGCCATCTCCAAGGCGCTCTACGAGTGGCTGCTTAAGAACGGGTACGCCGACGCCGCGCTCATCGCCAAGTGGAAGAAGTCGGGCTACGACCAGCTGTGCTGCCTGCGTTGCGTGCAGACCAAGGAGACAAACTTCAACTCGACCTGCATCTGCCGCGTGCCCAAGGCCGACATGAAGGAGGATCAGGACATCCAGTGCGTTAGTTGCGGATGCCGGGGCTGCGCCACGAACGATTGAAGGGACACACCGTTCGGAAAGGTAGAGGGAGCGATTGCACCAACCAGCTTTGTCGAGGCAATATCGGTGCGGACAAGACCAGGAGACCGGCGGCCCTGCGATTTCTCGCGGAAGCTCATCTTTTCTCGGATCTCTCTGCGAAAGGAGAAGGTGCACTTTGCCAGCTACTACTCATTCCCCCCCCATCCCTCACTGAGAGGGGCAGATGGGTTTCTCGTGCCAGCGAACCGGCAGGTCTTTACCGCACGTTAGACACGCGCTCATCGTGAGACGACACTTGGGAACTGTAAGATGATCATCATTCACCATTTTATTTGGATAGAACGAAGCTTACCAGGCCAGGGGACTGGCGTTAGCATGGGAAGGAAAGCCGTATCGGCTGGCGGCTGGGATTTGAGCCTTAACGAAAGTAATGAAAAAAACGCATAAGAGAAAAATGGTTCTCTAGCACAGCATGTTTTCTAGTCTTCTCGATGCCTGTTACGGCCATCTCGATGCCTGTTACGGCCATCTCGATGCCTTGGCCGGCTTTATTAATGCCTCTGCCGGCTTTCTCGATGGCTATGATACATATGGACATACCCTCTCTTTCAGATGCTGGGAATATTTCAGCCCAGACAAAGTATGAGTTATCTATCGTTTGGCAAAGCCGGCTTTTCCTCCGCCACGGCCAAATCGGATGCTGGACGGGATAAACCGGAGGGAGCCCATAGCGCCCGCCAGGTCATCCATTTCCACATCGGAAGCTGGCTGCTCAGTCTTGCCGCTGCTATCGATTTTTACTGTCCCCCTCACCTCCTTATCATTTGCCGGGCCAGTCTCGTTTCCATCCTCCATTTTGTCGTCATTTGCCGTAGGGGCAGGAGCAGCAACGTCATTGCTCGCAGGCCTATGTGATTGTGAAAAAGAAGACGCCGCATGCTTGCCTCCCGCGCTCGCCGCCGCCACCACCGGTGCGATGCTCCGTCGACGGCGGCCACCATCCAACAACAGCGACTGACGGCCGTCGATGCCGTCCCTGATCATTCCAAAAAAGTAGTTCTTGGGGTACATGTGCTTGTCGATCAGGTGCATCCTGCGCTTCTGCGGCGTCATACACTTCCTCTCACAGCCCTCCACAAGGCAGGAGTACTATATAGATGGCGAGCAGTCACGGTAAGCATACTGACTATGCTTGGTATCGGCGGGCCTGGCGCGTAAACAAAAGGGGGGTGGATGAAAGGCGCCGCATACCGTGTGATCCCCCCTCTCTCTCTTGACTGCGATGAACGAGTCGTGGAGGTCCTCAATGTGAACACCGAGTAGGTGGCCCGATGGAAAGTTCTTGCGGCATTCTAGGCACCGGTTCGTGTGCTCGCTTCTGTAATGCGTTTCATACTCCTCGTATGACGCAAACGTACGGGGCTCCTTGTGCGGGGGCAGCGAGCACCGCATCTCGACGCCGATGTCTGTGGTTATACTTTCAGGGTCCAATTCTTTAATTTTCATGGGTGGCTGTGATAGTGGTGAAACTTCTTTATCTTCTCCTTTTTTGAGGGCCTTTTGTGCCTCAAAAGTGTTATTGTTTGTGAAGGGGTTTAGCGGCAAGGCTGTTGTTCTATTGCTGCTAGCGATATTCCTAGCGGTGGTGGCAGTTTTGGGAGTTGCTGTATTCCTAACGATGCCGTTGGAGTCGTTTTCTGTTGGCAGCGGTGCTGCAGCCAGATGCAGAACTCCAACAGGCAGCTCTTCTTCCTCAGGCTCGCATGAGCGCTTCATTTTTGGATGAGTGTGAGACGCTTTAGATAGCAGAAAGTACAGAGTTTGTGTGTCTAACGACGAGATGGACCAAGGTAGATAGATGCTAGCAAGCGGTTTGGGAGGGCAAGTTTGTAATTACTTTCAGGTGCAAGAAGTCTCCCTCCACTGTGGCTGATATCGTTTTCTTGGATAGACGTTAGGTTGTCTCGTTAAGGGTGTTGACGTAGCTCAGGTAGGTGAGGTAAGGCAACTTCAGGGAATAATCTAATATTGCCAGCGAGATACCACTGATGTTTGCTAAGCAATAAATAAGGTTGTAGGAATTTGCAACCGAGGTGCCTCTTCAAATAATGACAATCACCTGAGAATTCACTCACATTGTTGGAGTGTTGTTACTGCTGGATGGACAGAGGCAAGCGGTTGACAAAAAAACAGGGTCGCATTACCTGTGCAGTACACAGACTACCATAGTAATTGCAGGCAAAACAGATGTATTTTTTGTACTTCCGCCTGGTGATCTGACCGTCACTCACTAACATACGAAAGCAGTAAGACTGTGGGAATCTGTTAGTAATGGACCGCACGTGCCAGTTTTGGTGTCCCTGTTTTTTTGTCAACCGCTTGCCAGGTAAGGCCGCTGGGGAGAGGACCAGAGCCCCGCTGCGGGAGAATTAAACTTCGCTAAAAGGACTATGGGCTTGAACTTAGCAAAGGGCCTTGCTTGGTACCTAAGTTTCACAATATGCAAACTGAACTATGAGTGCGTTTATTCCGCTCTGAGTGTTATAATATGTAGTTATAAGGGAAAGGAATTCAATAAAGGGTGCAGTTCTAGGAACCCGTACATTGGCCGGTCTCACAATATTTGATGCCGTGCAATAGGTGGAAAAGATTTCGTAGGGAAACGGAGGTACTTTTGGGAACCCTTGACAGTTGGCTCGGAGCCTGCAAAGTGCCCAATCGGGAAAAGCCATTACCGTAACGAGTTGGGTCGAATTCAAGGCGCTCTGGTGGCGCACGGTTGGTTTAGTGGTTCGTTCACTACTGTGTAGAAGTTTCGCCACCAAATCGGCGTCGATCCTCTCTGACGCGACCCTGGCGCTTTCTCGCTGATTGGACCCTTGACTTACTTCGCATCTTGCAGAGGGGCTCCGGTCCAACGTCGAGTTAAGTGTGACGGGGCAGACGCAGACGCACACTTGCGAATCCCTTCACCTCTCGGTCTGGTGTTTCGTCGCGCATACTATCCATCGCATATCGCTAGCGTACGAGACAGACGTCGCCCCTTGCCAGTCACTCTTCTGCTTCAATGCGCTCTCTACCTCCGCCAGCCGCCGACCTGCCTGCCGCTGCTGCTTCTTCTGCCGCAACACGTCGCGCCCCTATCTACAGACCCGCCAAAGAGCCTCTGCCCAGTTATGGATCGTCTGCAGATTTACAGTTCCTCCCAGACTTTGTGTGAGCTTAGCTCTTGACTGCAGGCTCTGCTTTGCCCCCAACAGACCCCGCGTATTGAGTGCGCATACTTTTTATCAAAGAGCCGACGCTGTTCGCTCTCGAACCCTGAACTTCCCGTCGGCATCTAAACACCACAATGGCGACAACGACCGCCGAGGCGTCGGTCGACGCCGCCTGGAAGTGAGTGCCCAGTCTCTGTCACCGGCATTTTTCTTGCTGCAGATGAATCTGCCCGCGAGTTCCAGATTGCTGACGTTTTTCTCTCTCTACAGGTCAGCGCACAGGCTACGAGGCACGATTAACAAGGAGCTTGACCAGCTCCTGAAGAATGGGCCGGGAGCAAACGAGACTCTTCGTTTCGACAAGGTCGAGAAGTTGATGCAAAAGTGAGTCTCCATGCATCCCGGCTTCGGGCTCTCCCTGTCAAACTAATCGTAACCTAGCTTCCGCCTCGCCTGCATCAAAACCATTTGGCTTGATATCCGCGCTGCGGACGAGAAGGGCGTCGAATCCAATCTCTGGGCGACTCACAACCAGGTGACCAAAGCGTACAGAAAGGTGCTTGGCAGGCTGCATGGAACAGAACAGGTCGTCCTCAGGCGCAAAATCGAGAAGCTCTACCTCACCTTCATCAAGACGGCCCAATACTTCTACAAGGGCTTCCTGCAGCGGGCGTGTGCCCGGTGCGACATCAAGGACCTCAAGCGGATCGCCCATAGCGCCGGGCTCGAGGACATGCCCGTGCCCGACGAGGACAAACTAAATGCTGCCGACGCCAAGCTTGTTACCGCGTCGTGCCATAAGACGCTCGTTCATCTCGGAGACCTGTCGAGATATCGCACTCTCATGCGCTCAAAGGAGCGCCGCTGGGACATTGCTCTAGCGTACTACGCCCTGGCCAACGAGCTGATCCCGGAGTCGGGATTGGCTCATCACCAGTGTGGAGTTATCTACGACGAGACCAAGAATCACCTTGAGCTTGTCTACCATTTGTACCGTGCCATGGCGTGTGCAGAGCCGCACCCGAATGCTCCGGCAAATCTCGAGCGCGAGTTTCGCGATCTTCGAGAGCAGAAGGCCGGCAGCGCCAAGGGCACCACCGACGCGCTGGTGTCGTGGTTCGTTAAGCTCCATGCCTTCTACTTCAAGGGAGAGGAATTCCTTGGGCGCAAAGAGCTTGAGAGCGAAGTGGACCACCGCCTGGCTATGGCCATGAAATCAACTGCCCAATCTGAGGCTACACTGTCTGGTACGGACATGGGGCTCCTCAAGATGGTTTTGATCAACATCAACGCCTACGTGATTGGTTTCCAAAAAACAACGGGTAAGCTTCTTTTTTGCGCCCGATACACTAACTGCACTGTTACTGACACGACGAGCAGTGGAATGGACGGACGCCAAGTCTCGCTCCTGCCAGTTCATCCTCCTCATGAATATACGAACCATCCACACACTCTCTCGCCTCCTCCGAGAAGAACTGGTGGATCTTGCCCAGCGCAGAGATGCAGAAACTATAACCAACGAGGCTGGCCCTTCGGACCAGCGGAATGCTCCGGCCAAGTTTTCGCTCCCCGCTCAACGAATTCTCCCCCTATTGCGCGTCTACATCGCTTGGTTGTTGTTTTACGGCCGTGATCTTGTAGCATACCAGGAACACCTCGAGCCGCACTTTGGAACAATGTGCAGAACACTGGGTCAGACTCTGAGCCACCTGGTTGAGTTGCTGGGTGGCGAATTAGATGCCGGAAACCGCACACCGTGGCGTTTTGAGGAAGACAAGGAGACTCTCGGCATGGACTGCTTGAACGGTCCGAATCTCCCTAGCGGCTGTCCGCTTTATTACGACCCTTCAAAGCGCATACCTAAACCGCGAGCCGATGAGATTCCTGGTCAAAACCCCAATGCCGATGATCTGGCTTTGGCGCGTGGCTTGGACATTGTATCCCGTGCCTTGGACTTGGCGGATGAAAAGTCTCGGTTTCCTTTGGATGTCTGCAAGACAAGGAAAGGCTCGCACGAGCTCACAACGTTTGAGTATTTGGAAGGAGGAAAGCCGCAACCTGCTCCTCAGGCCCCAACAGTTGAGGTTGAGCGAACCGCTTCCCTTGATCGAGGTGCTCCGGCTACGCTACCACCTGCCCCATCTCCTAAGCTCGACAACCCCCCTCAAAGGGTAGCATTGGCATCGACTCTCAGCGACTCAGAAGGGTTCTCGGACGATGAGGATTTCTATGTGTCCCGTCAAGGCAATACAGGCGCCAGTGCTTCTACTCAGCCTCCTCGAGGGGAGCCTCTGGCATCACAAGCTGCTTCTACCTCGGAATTTTCCTTGGACAGCCAGCTCTACAAGTTCCTGAATGATCTTGTAACCCAAACTGAGACAAATTCGGGTGCTAAGCCGACCAAACCCATGAAGTCCACTAAACCCCCGACTCGCCTTGCCGGGCTTGACGAAAGCTCTTACGGCATGGGCTCTACGGCAGCCAGCGAAGTTTACGGAGGTGCGGCGTCAGCAAGCCCAGCTCCAGGGTCTGCAACGGCGAAGGCAATTCCGAACTTGCCTTGGGAATACTTCTACCCTCCCGAGTCTAACCTGAGAGCCTCGGCTACTGGAAGTGCCACTGGCGTGTGGGGTGCGGATGGCCTAGCGTCTTCACGCCCAGTCAGCTCTGGCAGTGCCATTCAGCCGCAAGGCGGAATCGAGCACATAGGCGACCGGTCTGCCTTCCGAAACGCAGCACCCGTGCGAAGCCAGTATAACAATGGTTCAGTGTCGCCCTTGCTGATAGAGCTTCAGCAAGCCTTACAACCACCCGCTGCGGACCACCATGACCGTTTTAATCAATCTTTGCATGGTAACGGCATTCGAGGGATGTGGCCCGAAGCTGGAGACGGCGGAGACGGCTCGAGGTTGCAGGCAAGCAATCCGGCCAACGGCCAGCCCCCGCCATCTTGGACTCCTACGGGACCACTATGGCAGCAAGGCCTATATGGGACCCCTGGTGGCCGCCCCTCGACAAAATCACCCTTCTCGCTATCCATGGCATTGTCACCTGGCAGCTCGGGTCTGCCCCAAGTGAACAGTCCTTGGGGTTTAGCTCAAAAGGCCCAAGGTCACACTCTCCAAGGGGCCGCTCTCAATCTTTCAGCACCTATACAATCATCCCATTCCCCCGGAAACTCCTGGTCTGGTCAGTATAGCGGGTACTCTACCGGCGGCGATCTTGTCAACTCAAACAGCCTCGCATATGGTAGGGTCACCGAAAGGACGTCGGCCTCAGCAATGCTGGATCCCTATTCGCTCGGTAGTAGTACTACTAACCAGTTTGCCACTGACACGTTTGCCACTGCGCAGGCTGACGAGTTCGACCGACAGGCGCGAATGAGCGTCTGGACCAACGACTACAGACCCAAGACTGCCTTGTCCGCTACGCTTGGGGCTCAACAAATTCAAAATGTGACGAACCAGTATCGTTCTTTTGCAATCTCAGACAATGCTGCTGGCAATGGCAAGGGAATGGTCAAGCCCATCCAGAAACCCGCCACGGGCTCGGAGTCGGATGGGAGGCTGAAGCCTGAGACCATGGCCAAACGCTGAGGCTACCCTTGGTTTCCCAAAATATCAGCCAAGTTGCTATTTGCGCTGCGTTCGGGTCCACCGAGCGATCTTGCGAGTAAACTAGTCTGCTCAGTCTCCTACCTCCAGATCCTTGGGCGCAACTAGTCCTAGTCGAGTCATTGGCACTCAAGACAACACAGAGGGTGGTAAATGACCGGCAACCCGCCTGGTGCGGCTTCCGCAGTCTCCCTTCCATATGATGAGAGGGAGAGGGTATACCGGCGATTTACCAACATGTGTCGGTCGTCAGCATCGCCAACCGGTTCGTGAGTTGATCGAACAAAGGCTTGACAATTGTCGTGCTGCCAAACTGGAAGCCGCTAGGCAAATAGTCACACCTATGCTCTCACACAGGTATAGCGTCCGCCCTCTCTTAGAGCCGCGCTTCTTTTCAATGCAGAATGGAGAAAGGAATAGCCGGCTTGCGATCCCCACCGCCCCGTCTACCAGCAGCAACAGGAGCACATTAGGTCGTGTTGCGTGGTGGATAAACTCTTTGAGATTCTCTTCTTCATGGGTTTATTCCCTAAATATACAACATAACTTGGAGGGCCTCGAAAGGGCGGGATATCATGAAGTTGAATTTTGACTGAAAAATGCGAGAGATCTTTTCCCCACAATGCTGCAGAACCCCCTTTCCGTTGTTGAAACCTCAGCCCATATATTTTCCCTATACCCTCGACGCCCACTCACGCGTGCAAAACAAAAGGAGAAGAAATACCACCCCAACTTCGTGACGAAGCCTCGATTAGGCTTGGTATGTTTGCTTGGGGAAAGGGTAGCTGTTTTTTTTTAATGGGTACATAGTTAGCACACTGCCTTCTCGGATTCATACCTGGGGAGGCAAGGGGCATGGTAGGGGTTGGGGGAGAGGGCAGAGGGCAAAATATTAATTGGGGCGCCTGAATCGCAGAAAATTCTTTTTTCTAAAGTAGTTGTTTTTGGGCTTTGCGGAATCCAGAATGTACCGAACCGCATTGCCACATTACAGCACACAAACAAACACAACATATAATTTTTCACGCGTGCATTGGACAGTAAATGAGAGACAGATAGAGGGGGGAGTAAAGAGTGACTTACGAAGGACCCAGTTCCTGGATGCTCAGGCGAGCGAGCCACTGGCCGCGGTCGATGGACTCGGCGAGAGAGCGGCCCTCTACGATGCCAGAGGCGAAACCGCCAGCGAAGGCATCGCCGGCGCCGTTTGTGTCGTTCAGCAGCTCCTTGCTGAGTTCGTGCACGGGGAACTCCTTGACCTCATCCTCGCCCTGCACAGCGACGAGGGTGGGCTCGGTGCCGTGGGTGATAATGGCTACGCGCCTGCGCTGGGTGTTGGCCTTGGGCAGGTTCGCGAGCGCCTTGGCGATCTCTTTGAGGTCGGTAATGCCGAGGTCGTGCGACGAGGCATATGCCTCCGCCTCGGCCTCGTTACCGATCACATAGTCCCAGTACGGCGCTGACGCATCAAGGGGGTCCTTGAAGAACTGCGGGATGAAAGGCGCCGACAGTGACAGGATGAGGGGCTTGTTGGCGCTGGCTGCCTGCTTGCACAGCTCCATAATGGCGGGAGGGCAGACTAGACAGTCCAGGTGTGAGCTCGGATGTCATGGCTGCCCGGGAAATTTGACTAAACCAAAGGGAGAAGGGAAAAGGGGCGGGGTCTTACCCGTGAAGTGGTAGCCTCCGATATAGAAGACCTCGGCGTTCTCGACTAGGGACCAGATATCGGGCTTCTTGAGGTGCTCGAGGTCATAGTGGTTAGCGGCGCCCAGCTCAGTGCACAAGCTGCGGTTGTGGCCGGTAATGACGACGCCGCACCGGCCTGTCTTCTCCTTGGCGTCGACGCGGTACTCGACGCGCAGGCCGGCCTGCTTGACAGCGTCGTGCAGGATGGCCGCGTACTTGTCATCGCCGACTCCGCCAAGGTACACGACGCTGTTGGGGGACAGAATGTACTGTGCACCCCGCGCCGTGTTCTGCGCCGCGCCGCCAGCAATCAGCTTGGCGTCGTAGTTGTTGAGCAGGTCCTCGAAGAGGCCCTGGTGCGTCTCCTCGGCCAGGATCGCGTCATTAGCCTTGAGGCCATACTTGTCAAGCAAGGCCTGGTCGCCGACAGCCTGGATGTCTGTCGTTGCGGTTGGGTTAGCTCAATGCGTGGTTGTTGTGGTGCGGTGCGATGCTCTCTCTCGGAGCTCGGCCTCCAAGCAAATGTATGTGTTGTGCGGTGAAGGATGAGGGGCAAAGCGAGGGCAACCAATGGGAATTGGGGGGGAATTGGGGATAAATATCATTGCTAGCCTGCTTACCGAGGAGAGGGTTCTCCAGGCAGAGGAGTCTATAATCTTTGGTAGACGCCATGTTGCTTGGTGGGTAGCTGCGGTGGGATAGTCGTGTGTAGGAAGCTTTTTGACTTGTATGGGAGGAGAGGGGAGAGGAATTGAGGCGGGGCAACTTAAGCTTGGTGGGGCAGAGACCGCCATCGGCCTCTTTCCATATGCAGAAAGGCCTCGTAGTAAGCCCGGCAGACACCGGCTTGGCTCCGGACCTTAGACACAACATCAACAGTGTCTTAAACATGACTTCTTGAGCTAAAATGGAGGCTGAACGCGATTGAACTGGAGGGTTGAAACGAGTCCATCTCTTGATACTTATTTAGGTATTTTCTCTTTTCATAAAGCTGACGTAGCTAAGGAAGGCGGGGCATCCAATCCAAAAGACACCTGACAGAACGCGGCGGAATATCAAATACCCTACCTACCCAAGTTAACCTACTTCCCGAGGCATCATCACCAACCTTTTGACGATGTCCAACTGCTATCCAACTGCTATCTCCAGCAGACTACCCAGCTTGAAGCATCTCCTCACCACTGTGGATTTTGCACAACGGCCGTCATTGCATTGTCTCGCTCGATATATTGTAAGGTATGCATTAAAAGTTCTGGCTGCACCGCACCGTAGCCTGAAAACGCCGTGCTCGAAAACCGGATTTGCAGCCATCATTCATACTGCTTGCTGCTCGGCTGTTTGGGCATGTTTTTTTATTCCTTTACGGTCATGATGCTTGCAGACGAGCAAATCTTCCATCCGCTCTCGCAGTCACAACTACAAAGCAGCAAAGGCCAATGCAATCCGTATAACCCCTGTCCCAGATGACAACCATGAAAGCTTTAGTCCTTCGTCTTCTGAGTACCACGCAGCAGACCCGTTCTTCTCGCAGCAATGAGACCCGCCTTTTGTCCCTGGGTCGCGTATCTCGAGATCGTCGACGCCTTACCAATATGTTGATGGTTACCCTGTAGCAGGATGTCAGATTCACATCGTTCGTACTCAAAGAGGCGGCAGCAAAACTTACACCACCGTGGGGATGGTCAACGGGGTTCATGGCAACACCACGAGTCTTGGGCCAGTTGTTCTTCTTAACCGCGAACTTGTGCTTGGCACGCGAAGCCTCTGTAGGTTCCGTTAGCACCCATTCATTCTCCCAGCGCAAAATTCAAGTCTCGACCGAATGCGGGCACGTACTGAGGAGGGGCTTGTCTGTTCTGCCACCACCGGCAACGATACCGATCATGCCACGGGCGTTGCTGCTGACAACCTTCTTGGCGCCCGAGGGGAGCTTAATGCGGGTCTTGCCCTCATCGGGGTTGTGGCCGACAACGGTGATGTAGTTGCCGGACGTGCGGCCGAGCGAGCCACGGTCGCCCACCTTCTCCTCGACGTTGGAGACGACGGTACCCTCGGGGACGGAGGATAGGGGAAGGATGTTGCCGATTGTTAGGGCGGCGTTCTTGCCGGCGTAGATGAACTGGCCGGTGTACATGCCCTCGTTGGCAATGAACGTCTCGGTCTGCTTCTTGAACTTGTACGGCGAGTTGAAGGTGACGCGCGCCAGCGGCGCTCCACGGCCAGGATCGTGGATGATCTCCTTCACGATACCGCGGACATATCCATGTCGCTCGGCGAAATCGAGGTTGCGGAACTTCGCGGGCGCCTTCCGGAGACGGGTGTTTGCGGTGAAGATGCTTCCGCGGCCCTTACGCTGGTTGCGAATCTGCAGGCAAAAGGAGCAAAGTTAGCATTCATCTCCCACATATCGTCGTAAATCGGCACATTGTCTCTTGAGGGCCGTCCGTCGTCGATCGGCAATCGTTGAAGTGTCGCTGAGCCCCATGCGAATTGGGGGGGAATCGCAAGCGAGATAAATTGAAAAGGGAGAACACCGGGTTCTACTTACGACGCGACCCATCTTGTCCTTCCTATCGTAAGACCTGGAAGTGAAGGACGGGGTGGACGAGGTTGGGAAAGGAGGTTAAGTTGCGACTCTCAATATGCTCCAAGTTGGAGAACGATATTTTGGAAATTTCTGTGTGGACTTGCGCGAGCCACACTAACCCGCTGCGGCTGCCCCAGGTGCCCTAACGCGCAAGGCGAGCTATACCATTGCCCAGTCCATTTATTTCCGTGGCTGTGCTCTCACATCACGTGGCTCCTGTCGGCTAGGGTCAAGAGTTGGATGGAGCACGGGTAAAAAAGAAAAACTGCCGGTTCTCCATTTCAGCCCCCCACCTCCTGGCCGAAGTCTCGCTGACTAAGGTAGCGCGTCGACTTTCCTTGTCAACCCACTGTTTTGGAGCTCGCCCCAACTCACTTGAGACCTCAAAGAAGGGACACGTCAGGGCCGCATCGTCGGCGGGCCGGCGCCGAGTCGATATCATGAGTAGTGTCAATATGTATGCATTTTCTCATCTCTCTAAATGACTTTGGTCATGTATAGGTTTCTGACAAGCGCTTAGGCATAAACAAAGACGTGTGGAAAGCTCCGTGTTATTGGCCATTCAGGGACAATTTCCTCATTGTCGCGGAGGTTTTCACGCGTTTATGCCCGTCAAGGCTTTCTGTTCTTGGTTTGTGAGACTGCCGGTAATCATGAGGTTCGGGCGAGCCCGTAAATCGATCAAGCGATCGATGGTGCAGAGAGCAGCGCAGCCTGGACCCGGCTCCCAATCAATCAATCAACAACACGGCGCCCCCGTTCCCATATGCTCCCCAGCCCAGGCGCACCCAAAGTCATGTCAGGATTAACATTGGGCCTTGGGGAGCGAATCTTTCAACTTGGGGCCATTTGCATTCTGGCGTACATGACGGGCCCTCTTCCTGCTTTCTTTCTATAAATTCCATGATTCTAGGATGGGCAAACATTCGGGGACGGCTATTCCCCGTGATCAAACCTAGGGTGGTGCGAATGGTATTTGTTCGCAGTATTGCGCCTATTTGTGTTGGCGATGGGATACCGGCCATTCGCGGTTGTGCTGCCGATTCGGGGCGACAACATGCCCCTCAAAAAATGGAACGATAGGCATGGCCATACCTGGACGCCAAATCTGAACTCTAGAACTTTCAGTTCTGGTAGGCAAGATCGTGGCTTCAGTTGAGCACAAATGCCAAATATGGACAGGAATGCCAAGAGGTAAGTGATTCGCGAATACCGCAAAGGCTCTGCCTTTGCTCTCTCTCTTGTCTACAAGCCGACCCCGCGCAGTTGCGAAGTTCCATCCCGCTTTCAACAAGATACTGGCATCCAATGGGTGGGATTTCTTCCTATCCCTTCCTGGCTGGCTTGGGCGGTGAGTGCCCATCAATCTTCGTCAAAAGAGCCGGCATCGCACAGCCAGTTGGGCTGACAGGGAGTCAAGGTTGCTTGAAGACATATTGGCTGTTCTAAGATGCCGGTTCGTTTGGAGCCGGTTCGTTTGGAGACGATGGCTGGACCAAGTACGTGGCTGTAGACGGGGACATGGATGGCGGTGGTGATGGTGCTGGCGCTGGCGCTGGCGATAGAGATGGGATGGGGATGCAGTGAAGTGGAACCCAAGCAAGAGGTGGGAGAAGGGGGAATATGACGGTTATCAGTACCTAGTACACCGTTGTCTTGCACGCCAGCAGCCTCGCGGACATGAAGTAGAAAGAAGAATTATGACATTCATTGTTTTTGTCGTTGTAGTTTCTGCGTCACGAATCCGCCTATCATATTCTGCCTGGCCATGACGGCAGGCTGGCAAGCCCTGGGGCCATTGTTCGCGGGTACGTAATTTGTTGCGGCCGACCATCACTTCCTTGGTGCTCCTCCTCGCCCCCTTCAACCCACTCCTTACATCCGTGCCGTCCCCAACACCAACATCAGCAAACAGACCAACCAGCAAAAGTCGAGTCAACACCACGCAAAAATGGCCGACGACGATTCTTCGGATCTGTCTTCGATTTCGTCATTGTCGGCGCCTCCTTCTGAGGACGAGTCGGACATCCAATTGACGCACCAGCACGGCATTCTCAAGTTCTTCCACAAAGTCGGCAAAAAGCCAGCCCAGGAGCCCAAGGACGCGACACCCCCCAGGCCCCGGCGGGAGCCCTCCCCGCCCCACGAATATGTCCTAGCCGACAATCCAGACATTGCTGTACGTGTTGGCGCCCTCGTGCGCGTCTTTTGGGCGACGTGACGCGAAAGGTCGCGCGCACCAGCCCTCGCCGAAGCTGCAGCAGCTAACTTTTCCTCCCCCTAGTTTATCGTCATGTTTCGCCGCCGATTCACCGACGCATTTCCGAAAAGCCTTCCAAATTTTGGCCCGCAAGAATTAGAGCGCGATGTCGTCGAGTCACTGCCGGGCGAGCGCGTTGAGCACTTCCTCTGCGCCCTATTAGGCCTGCTGCTGAACCGCAAGCAAGACGTAAAGTGCGTGCCCCCCCAGCTGCGCGTCAAGATTTTGTCCGCCAGACCAATACTGACTCTAGCATCTTCAATAGGCCAGGACACTACAATCGCGCCCTAGAAGAAGCCATCCAGACGCACAAGGGGCAATGGACCAAGGATTGGGAGAGCCAGAATCCGTTGTCCAATTCCGCCACATTTGCCTCCATGACCCCAGTCCAACGGGTATGTGCCTTTTTCCCAAGTTTTTTTCCGATTGCGCCTGGAATTGCTCTTTGGGGTACTCGCTGTCTCTTCTACGCCATTCCTGCTGACAGACGGCCTTTCTAGCTTACTCTCTTGCGCACCCTCGTCCACTGGGCGCTGTCGTCCTCGGATGCGATCAAGACGACCATCAACCAGCATTACAAGAACCGCCAAGATGACGACATACACAACCCCCTCAGCGTCCAGCCTTACGGTAGCGATGGCGACAAGCGGCGGTACTTTTTGATTGAAGGCTCGGACGATATGGCTTTCCGCATGTATCGAGAAAGCAACCCCGCCGGGATTAACAGGACCTGGTGGAGCGTTGCCGGCAGTATCGACGAGCTCAAGGCGCTCAGCGAGAAGCTGGAGAAAGTTGATGGCGGCCCTAAGGCTCGGGCCCTGACGAGGAAGATTATTGAAGAGATCCCCAGGTTCGAGGCCACAGAGGAGAAGCGCCGTCGCAGAGAGTACCGACAGATGCGCAAGGAGCAGTTCAAGCGCCCAGAGGTCGGCTTGTCCCTGTATGAGGGCCGCACCAGGGGCAAGCGTATGAAGTACACGTATTCCGATGACGAGGCCGACTTCTACACGGACTCGACCAACCGGCGGTCCACGCGCAATACCAGACACCACACGCCTGCCGAGCCGAGCGGCCCGCTTACGACGGCCAGCGGACGTCAGATCAGAGCTCCAACACGCCTCAACGCCGAAAATGCCAGCAGCGGAGCCCCAAGTGCGGCACCTAGTGTTCAAGGCGACAACTATGCCGAAGATAGCGAAATGAACCAGGACGAGCCTGTAAGCCGCATCTCGGGCCGTCGAGGACGTCCTCGACGGTCGGCTGCTGTTAACCATGGCATGAATGGTTGGGCACAGACCAAGAGCAAGAAGCGGAAGAGCGATGAGTACGAGTCTGACGAGGAGGAAGAGAGCACCTCCCTCGACATTAACGATGACGAGGACGAGCATATTCCCGACGAGTCAGATGAAGAGGAAGAATATTTTGATGCCGAGGCGATGGACGATGATCTCGACGAGGCCCCAGGCAGTTCTACTCTGGTCTTCAAGTTTCCAGTCAGGGTCGCCTTTGATGAGGATAGCAAGGTGCAGCGGGTTCCTGGCCCGCCTGTTGTTGTTGAGAAACGCAAGCGTCCCAGGGCTGCCCACCGGAACCTAATTATCAGCGACGAATCCGAGTCCGTCGGATCAACAGACGCGCCGGATGACGACGAGCCCGACTTTGTACCGCAGCCAGAGGAGCCCGCGGCTGAGGTCATTGCCGTCGCCATCAAGCGTGTCACACCCGACTCGGCCGAGAAGACGGCAGGTCGTCCAACAGCAGGCACGCCTGTGAAGTCGCCTCTGACCCCATCAAGCGGGCCTCCTACTGCGTTGGCTTTTAGAGGAAGCCCAGAGAAACCCCAACACGTCCCAGCAACCGTCGACGTAGGCTACGCCGAGTAGGACCTGGCTCACCCTGTGCCTTGTGTGCGACTCGCTGATGTTACGACTTTGCAATGAACAAAAAGGAGTTTCGGGATACGAAGAAGATATGCGGCGGGAAAATGGCAAATGTCAATTGCTGTTCTTGGTGTCTGTTTTCTACACTTTCTATTTTGGGCGGCAAGCTCGTCTGTCCATTTCTAGCCTTTAGACCGGCGACTGGGTGCAAACGCGCACCAGACGAACTGGAGATTCTAAAGACTTCGTTATCCGGAAAAGGAATATAGTACGAGAAATAAAGGAAGAGGGAATATTTTACCTATACGGAATACGTAGCCGGGTTTTGCCCGTCGGTTGCAACAGTCAGTCAGAATATTATTAGTATGAAGTACACATACTTCACCGCACGCGTCACATTGCAATGGAGGATATCATTGTACCCCGTAGCTAACCTAGCTATTAAATTACAGTGTTTATGATAATTTATGCCTTCATTCGCCGTGATTCCGATGCCTTGGGTCATTTTACACGTGACAACATCACGCTTGCTGCCCCAACCAAGACGAGCCCTTTTCACGAGGTATTGGCCAGTTGTTGACTCCCCACCACCAGCGCCGTACTCTCGCCCCAACCGAAGACCCGCTAAGCTGGGCGGTCTTGTTCCAGTACTGCCATCCGCATATGCCAAGGTTATAGAGAATCCCCTGGGCAAAGGGCATCATGATCTAGAGCTTGGCTGTTAGCAGTCAGGCTTCTTATGACTCTAGCCCCTAATCCCAGAGAAGTATGTGAAGCTGAGATGGGGGGAAGGAAGGGGAGAGGGGGTGTTGAGAACAGGAACAAAGAGACACACCTGATCGCGCGCTGTGATCCACAGAACCTTTCCCCACGTGTCAGCCTGCCGTATGCTGTGCAGGTAGCTCTGCTCGTATCTCAAATCTGGCAGCGGCGGCAGGTGCGCTGCCCGGCGCGGCTTCGGCCTCAAGACGCTGTACGGGATATCTTCGTCGTCTTCGTCGTCGTCGTCATCATCCTCCTCCACGGAGTCCCCGTCAATCCCGTCGTCTGGAAATAGAGATGCATGCTGCTGCTGCTGCTGGGTCGACTCGACGGTCACGGGCTCCTTCTTAGACGCGGCCGTGGAGGGATTGATGTCGTGTTCGGCCGACGGGTTGTGGTTGATGTGCGCCGTCTGGATCGTCTCGGCAGCTTGCAAGGGGAGCGACGATGCCATCGCCGAGTAAACTACCTTAGGTAGGTGCCTAGTGATAGGTGCCCGGGCCAATTGACCAGAGAGCTCGTGTCTGGATGGAGAGAATATGGTTGACCTGTAGACAAAGGGAGGCAAAGAGGCGGTCTTCCAAAAGGCGTTGCCGTGGATTTTCCGAAGTATCTTTGGTATCCCGTTCGAGGTTTTGGGGTATGTATGACCATGCACAGTGGCCGATCAGAGCTCAGTCACAGTGCATCATTGCGGTAACCCAATACCGCACCCTGTTAGTCGACAGTGTCAATCTTAGGGGGTCGGGTAAGGTACGGATACAACCAGCTACTACGCAAGTCTATTACAAGAATTGAGAGGCTTTTCAACTACATGTATATGTACCTACCTTGCGAGCAACAAATCGCATGACCGTCTCAGGCATATTCGTACCTTGGCTGGGATAAAGCAACAAGATATCTTCGTTGATATTATTTGCCGCACAATGAACTGCCTACAGGTAAACCTTGGGTTTAGGTTCCTTCACGGAACAAGATGCACTGAATATGCGGATATCCGCATGGAACGCTTTTCGGGGCCCGCTTATCTAAATGCTTGCTTGTCCAGGCATGCTCAAACCAAGGCCAACGAACTTCAGCTTGGGGGAATGACCCAATAAGGAGTTGGGATCGAAGGATCCACCGCGCAGCGCCACCGTGTCCGCCTTTTAAAAAGGACTTCTCGCGAAACCCCTCTCACAACCCCACCACATCTTCAGCGAAATCCGGCAAGGCGTACACGGAACAACAGAAAAGAAAGAAAAAAAGACACCCCAAAAAGACACCTTGCGAGCGCAGGGGTGACAAGGGGACAGTAGCCATTTCATTTCCGCGAATCCTTCGAGTCGTTATCCAAAATGAGCGAACCGAACGCTAACGAAGCGGAGAAGAATGTGAGTCGAAACCCCCTACGCCTACCATCGATCGATTGTGCGCCCAGCGGGCTGCCTTCAGGCGACCATGTCCCACTGACAACATGTACCCACCAGATCGAGATATGGAAGGTTAAGAAGCTGATTAAGCGGCTTGAGGCCGCTCGAGGAAACGGAACGAGCATGATTTCCTTGATCATTCGTACGCCATTCTCTCGTCTCTGGCCTGACCGCCAAGCCTAAGGGCGCCATTACGCTACTGTGTCCGAGCTCTCGCTGATGATGTCGATAGCTCCCAAGGACCAGGTATCCCGAGCAGCGAAGATGTTGGCTGAAGAATATGTGCGTGCTGTCTTTTTTCGCCTTTGAGAGCATGGAATGTCGGGTATCCATACTTGAGGCCCAAATGAACGCTTCTAACACACTCACAGGGCACTGCGTCAAATATCAAGTCTCGTGTCAATCGCCAGTCGGTGCTTTCGGCCATCACTTCGACGCAGCAGCGTCTCAAGCTGTACAACAAGGTCCCCCCGAATGGCCTCGTCGTCTACTGCGGCGAAATCCTGACGTCCGAGGGCAAGGAGAGAAAGGTCAACATCGACTTCGAGCCTTTCAAGCCCATCAACACGTCGCTCTACCTCTGTGACAACAAGTTCCACACCGAGGCATTGGCGGAGCTGCTTGAGTCTGACCAGAAATTCGGCTTCATCATCATGGACGGTAACGGTGCCCTGTTCGGCACACTGAGCGGCAACACCAGGGACATTGTTCACAAGTTCTCGGTCGATCTGCCCAAGAAGCACGGCCGTGGTGGTCAGTCGGCGCTGCGTTTCGCCCGTCTAAGAGAGGAGAAGCGGCACAATTACGTTCGCAAGGTGGCCGAGCTGGCTGTTCAGAACTTCATCACCAACGACAAGGTCAACGTGGCCGGTATCATCCTAGCTGGATCCGCCGATTTCAAGAACGACCTCAACGCGTCCGACATGTTCGACAATCGCCTCGCAACCAAGGTCATCAAAGTTGTAGATGTCTCGTACGGCGGCGAAAACGGCTTCAACCAGGCCATTGAGTTATCCTCAGAGACGCTGAGCAATGTCAAGTTCATCCAGGAGAAGAAGCTTATCGGCAAGTACTTCGAGGAAATCAGCCAGGATACTGGCCGTATCTGCTACGGCGTTGAAGATACGCTCAAGGCTCTTGAACTAGGTGCCGTCGAGATCCTGATTGTCTTTGAGAACCTCGAGGTGACTCGCTGGGTCCTCAAGGACAGCCACGGCAGTGAGCTAATTCTCCACGCCACCAAGCAGCAACAGCAGGATGCGGCCAACCGCGAGAAGTTCATGGACAAGGAAACGGGCCAGGAAATGGAGGTGGTGTCGCAGGAATCCTTCCTCGAGTGGATCGCGGAACATTACAAGGACTTTGGTACCACTCTAGAGTTCGTCTCCGACCGATCGACCGAGGGCAACCAGTTTGTCAAGGGCTTCGGCGGTATTGGCGGCATCCTCCGGTACAAGGTCAACTTCGAGCAGTTAGCTGACGTGGATGATGATGATGAGTACTATGACGGTAAGGATTTGGTGCCCAACAGGCGATTACGAAGGGCATGGTAGCTAACGGTCACGACAGATTGACAGTGTGACTCCCTCGTTGATAGCGAGGGACCGCAAGCTCAAGCAACCCCGTCAGAGCCGACGACGCCACGTGCTAAACAGCCGCCCTCCGAGCTACTGAGACCGGGCAAGATCCCGCACTCCCAGCGGCGGCTGAACAAGGGATTCTCTGCGGCCCCCAGTGAGCAGAGTCACCAGGTGACACGCCCGAGCCCGCTTCGCTCTGTGATGATGGCTTCTTGAGTTTACGGTGGCGGATTTGCAGGTAGGCAGACGCTTGCGATCTGGTGGTTCTTGGCTATTGCTTACACTAGACGTGCAGGAAATTACCCACGAGGAATCGAGAAGTCGAAAGGGTCTAAATACTTCATTGCAGGGCTGGTCAAGATTGCTAGTTGGACGCCTCGGGGACACGGGTTGGTCTGGGCAAGCAACGAGCGTCTCGCAACAGTGGGCGGCTTGTCCCGAGCAATGCGGTGTCTGTCCGCTCTTTTGCTTTTGATTCAGGCAAGGTGGTGGAAGCCAATGCCACCTGATATTTAGACTGAAATAGTAGTAACCCCAATGACGTTCGTTAACTGAGCATGACCTTGCATGTTTTGGTAGAGCCTACCTAAAGTTAAGGGGATGGAATTGGGGTGTTTATGCGGGGTGTCACGTCAAGTCAGTAACCTAGTATCTAACTCACCTCTCTGTGTGAGCTTCATACCGAGAGCGGGGCTTGCCGTTTCTGAATTTTATCATTCCATGTCAATCACGCTTTCCTTTCGCGAATATCCCCCCGCCCTCATTAAACACTGCAGACGCACTTCTCTTTTGCCCATCTTGCCCAATTTCCATCAGGCGATATTATATAATTTCGCTGCACTCAGCTTTTTCAAAATTTCTTTTCTTGTTCAGTCAAGGCCGCGCAATCTTTATTGGTTACCTCCTACCTGCCTTACCTACGAATACTTTCTTACCACTTTGGGGCGGGGAGTCGAAGGAGGCGGTTTTAAAAAAAAAAATGTCGACTTGTTATTGCCCAATTTAGTTTCTCGGGTATAGAAGGTACGGATATTCACGTCCGCATATCGGAACCCCCGCGAGCCAAAAATCCAAAAATCCAAAATCCAAAACTCGCAACCATGGCTGCAGCAGTTCCTGTCCGAGCCCAGGGGAATGAGAATAAGGTGGCCTTTCTCGGCCCGTTGGCTTCGTATTCCCACCAGGCATGTTATTTTTTCTCTCGGGGGGGAGGGGTTATTTTCGGTCTCTATTCAGGTGCCGGCGCATCTTTGCTTCTCGAAGACCCCTCTGCACCCGCCTCGAAATATAAAGCGGGGGCAGTGAAAATGAGGGTTGTTTCTGTGAGGTATCATACAATGTCAAAAGTTAGGGGGGACTCGCGGAGAGCCATGGAAAATAGCCTGGCTGCAGTACGGGAAGAGAACACATAGGGGCTGACAGAATATCTCGTGTAGGCCACTAAATCAGCCTTTCCGGGGCAGGAATGGGAGCTCACGCCTACCGTGACAATCAAGGGTATGTATACGTTTTCTGTTATGAGGTTGTCCGAGTCTGTCTTGTAGCTTCTCTCTCTCTCTCTCCTTCTCTCTCTCTCTCTCTCTCTCTCTCTCTCTCTCTCTCTCTCTCTCTCTCTCTCTCTCTCTCTTTCTCTCTCTCTCGGTCTATCTTCGTTACAATTCGCCGAGCAACATGGGCGGTAAGAGTCCAGACAGGCTGGGGGCTAATGTACTAAACTCTCTAGAGGTATTTGATGTGGTGCAAGCGGGCAAAGCAGCCTATGGCGTGGTACCGTTTGAGAACTCGACGCACGGCATCGTCACGTTCACGCTGGACAGTCTGGCCGACCGGGCCGGCAGCTATGCTGGCATCTCGGTCTACGGGGAGGTCTACTTGGATGTCCACCACTTCTTGCTCGGCCGGCGGCAGAGCGCAGAGGGAGAAGGGAACAGTGTTACTGCCGAGGCAGACATGCCAAGGGCACGCCCTCTGACGGACCTCAAGCATATCCAGCGCGTTTATTCGCACCCTCAGGCGTTTGGACAGACGTCGGCCTTTTTTGCGGCGTACCTGCGCGGCGTTGACACCATCGACGTTACCTCGACCAGCAAGGCAGCCGAGATGGCGGCGGCGGACGCTTCGGGCACCAGCGCGGCCGTCGCAGGCGAGATGGCTGGCGAGGAAAGGGGGCTCGACGTGCTGGCGCGGTGCATCGAGGACCGCGAGGACAACACAACGCGCTTCTTTCTGATCCGAAAGGACGAGGGGCCGCAGCAGCAGCAGCAGCAGCAGCCAGAGGAGGGGAAGGGGGCTACAGAGAGAATGGAGGATGGCGGCGAGCCGTACGGGCCAATGTACAAGACGCTCGTGTCGTTCACCGTGCCGCACCGCACACCCGGGGCGCTGGCCGATGTCCTCGACTGCTTCAAGCAGCTGCGACTCAACCTGACTAGCATCAACAGCTTACCCAGCCTCCTCGAGCCCTTCCATTACCTGTTTTTCGTCGAGTTCGAGGGCAGCCGCCTCGACGACCCCGGGGGCAGGGTCAAGGTCGCCCTGGAGCGCCTAGCCAAGACGGCCCAGGGCTGGAGGTGGCTGGGGAGCTGGCGGAACCAGAGGAGAGTTGGAGGGTCATCTTGACGAAGCAAGGACGGTGGCCTAGGATGACATTGCATTGCTACCTACCTTAGGTATCCAGTTGGGATGTTTTCCGTTTCGATTTTATCTCTTCTCAATTCGCAAACTGGTTTCTGGGACACGTCTCGAAGTAAAAGCTTTGGTATGCATAGAAAGAAAACAAGGAAATCAAAACGGCAGAATTTTGTATTAGGTCAAGGATAGACTCTGATCTTTCACGGCAAGAAAATACTACTATTAGTCTAATACCGTGGGCTTTACTTTCTGAGTCGATTCCACGACACAAATTCGCTCCTTCCTTTTTTGACCACCTGCAAAAAGTGTAGAGTAATTTCCTGCGTTTGGACTCTCTCGAGGATGTCATACCCCAAAGAGCTGGGGAACCGAACATAAAACCTATTATGCACCAATACCGCATTATTCGCTTATCGGAGTCAAGGCAAACCCGTGGGCATTCTGTAACGCCGCCGCCACCAAATAACCTCACTTACAAGGTATATATACTGTACACGGTATCAACCTCGAACTTCACTCATGATCGCCCGCAAAGTCAGTCTCAGCAACGCCGAGTGAGCGCCGTCGGCCTTAATATTGGAGAAACGAAGCCACGCGAGGGAGCCAGTCAATTGAATTCAATTCAATCCCGTATGGCTCAACCTTGACATCTACCAGTACGGACACTGTACTTACATCACAAAATAACACGCGACGCGTTTGCACTCCAACCCAATCTTCGGGCATCACCAGGGCGGGCAGACATCATGTCGGCGGGGTACTTGGCCCGGGCCTCGGAGCGGTTCGCCGAGCGGGGGCCCAAGGCGATTTTCGACATTCTGTCGCCGGTGCCGTCGCACCTGGTCAACATGCTCCTCGACGCGCGGTTGGGGAACCCGCGAAAATCGAGGGGCTTATACCATCGCTTGATCCGGACCCGCGAGAACCTGGCCCGCTTTCCGCTGACCCAGGGCCACCACCTTGTCTACTTTCCCTTCCAGGACCCGACCATCTACCTGGGGCCCGACGGCACCGACCCAACCCACGCCCCAGGTCCCCCGTATGTGCGCCGCATGTGGGCCGGCGGCTCTCTCAGTTTCGACGACGACTGGGCCGAGGACATGCTGCTTGACAACCGCGCCGTCCGCTGCATCGAGACCGTCGACAGCGTCCGCGGTAGCGGTAACGGCAATAGCAACGGTGTCGCCGACGAGGACTCGGCCAGCGACAAGGTCTACGTCGACGTACGCCGCCGCTACGGCGTGGCCCCTTGGGGCGATAAAGCCGCCGCCGCCACCCTCAAATCGTCCTTCCGCTCCTCCATCACAGAGGTCCGCTCGCTGGTGTTCTTGAAGAAGCGCGTGCCCTCGAGTGAAGATCTCGCTCTGCTGTCCCAGCCGCCTAAATTGAACAGCCCTAGGAAACCTCAATGTGATTATTTCCTCCTCCCCAACGACGATCCTGCGTTCCACTGACAGAAAGACAAACAGCGGATAAGAAGCCCGATTTCGAGATGGAACTGACGGTAGACGCCCAGCTGCTCTTCCACTTCAGCGCGCTGACGTACAACGCGCACGCCATCCACCTGGACCCCGAGTACGCGCGCAACGTCGAGGGCTACCGAGAGCGGCTGGTCCACGGGCCGCTGACACTGATGCTGCTGATGGCGGCGCTGCGGCGCGTGATCCCGTGGAGCCGCTTCGTCAAGTCGATCAAGTACCGCAACATCCGGCCGCTGTACGCAGGCGACTGCATCCGCATCTGCGTCAACGAGAAGCTCCCGCCCCCGCTCAACTCGCCCATCGGCGACAGGACCTTCACCGCCTGGATCGAGGGTCCCGACGGCCAGACGGCCGTCACCGGCCGCGCCCGCGTGCGGAGGACGCCACCGCCGCGCGCTGAGAGGCCGCCCGGCTGGTCCGTCCAGTGGGATACCGTCGCCATGAACAAAGGGTATGAAGCCGCGGTAGCAAATACTCAGCCGCATATCGGAAGCAAATGGTGAAGACGACATCATATAGCCGCCCATATCATCGCACGTCTCCTTCGTGATAAGTGGTCAGATCCTGAGGGGGGGCCGTTCCCCGTTAACGTCGAAGCCCCCGGTGATATACATATATACCTGTCGTTCAAACCTGAGTATATAAAATAATACAAGTTCGGAAAATTAAAAAAAAAATATATATATTAAAAGGGTATTTAGTTTCGTCTACTCAAAGAGTGACTTCCACGGTTAGAGATCTATCACCAGATTGGTGGAATGGCTTATACCCATCACCACGCACACAACTAAAATTAACACAGTTGAGTAATAAAAATGACAATGCGAGAGCGCCTTAGATGCTTGGTTCTCTTAAATACCTAGGTATACCCGCAACTGCAAAAAAAAAAAAACGCCAGCTCTATAGTCGGTTCCATTCTGTACGAAGTAGCTCGGGTGTTTGTCATACGCGTGTTTGTTTTCTTCCGTCTAGAACTACTCTAGGACCAACTTCTATAGTTAGATTTACCACCAAAGTGAAAATGGCTTATACCCATCACCACGCACATACTAAAATGAACACAAATAAGGCATTTACCGCAGTACAGCAAGAAGTCAAACAATTGAACGGCACCGATTTAGTCAGTCTATACCGGCCAACTCACGAACCTTGCCGCCTCTAACCTTGCAAGATCAAACCCCCAGGGCACAGAAAGCGCTCTAAATGTGTTTAAATATATGTCTATATATTATGGCGTGTACACGAAGGCGCTAGCCCTCGCCACCATACCTGGCTGTTCGTCTCAACAGGTATTTCGGTGGTCCTTTGTCTATGGACCCCTTAAGTCCAGCAGTCACCCGGCTGCCCCTCTCGTCTATGGATATCACAGAAGAACGCCGCCATGCTTCACCTCTCTCCACGCTTCTTCAGCCAGCACTGGAAAACGAATGGAGAAAAAAAGGGGTCTGGCCAACGCCGAAAATGCTGTTGGCGCCGCTAACACTCGAAACCCGACGACTTGAACTCATTCATCATCTGCTTGAACGCCTGGTCCTGGGCCCCGGGCAGGGTCGGACTGCCGACCTCGGGCGGAGTCGAAATCTCGGACGCGGGGTCGAGGGTTTCGGTCGGACTCTCTATACCGTCGTGGTGCTGAAGAACGTGGTACGGCACGGGCGGTGAGCTTGCAGCAGCCATGGTCGACGAGTGAATCGTGGGCCGCCTCTTATCACATGTGATGTCTGGCGCCGTGGGGGTGTTCCTGTCTCCGTCTCCGTCGCCGTCTCCTACGCCATCGCCGCCCAGATTATACGTGGGGCGTGAGGCTACCTCGCTCCCGGCCCTTTCTTTCGTTTTTCTTTTGCTCGTGCTGCCGCTCAGCAGTTCCTCCAGTATCGGAATGGATGGCCAACCCTCTGCGTAGTCGGTTCCTCTTCCCAGGATTGCCGTAGTTGGTACGCTGTCCGTGGACGAGTCGAATAACATGTCCAGCGCCAGCCCCGAGGCGCCTTCGAGCAGCTTGCGGTTCCGCCGTACGTGCATGTCGATGTCCTCGAATTGCCGTTCGAATACGGCCCGGAGCATGCTCTCTTCCATTTTGAACTGATCCTTGCCCCCGCTGTTGTTATTGGCGCTTCCCTTTGCTACCGTCGCGGACGAGCTTCGGCGGTGGGCAGGAGCCCTTCTCTGCAGCCCGCGTAAAATGTTCTGCCAGATCGACTCCCGCTCGGCCGCAGAAAAAGGAAAGTCCACGATAGTGTTGTTGTTCTTGAGGCTTTCGACAAGGAATTGTAGGCTCGTTAGATTGAAGTTATTGTCCTGGCAGTCAAGCACAACTAGGTGGCGGTTATAGCTCAGAACGCGCCCAATGGTGCCGGCATCTTCGTGCAGATCTTGGTTCCGAATTCTCAAGTGCGTCATGGTCTGATTCTTTATGAGGCCGATGAGTGAGTGTCCAAAGCCTTTAGCCAGTTGCCCATCTTCTAGTTTGCCGCAAAATCCGGACAAGTCCAGAAAGCGGATAGATCGATTGCGGGAGAAGAATTCCTCAAACGCCCGTATCATTTGCTGGCTGCAGGGTCCTTGATGTGGGAACGTCGGCGCTGTGCCTACCAGGCTGAGGAAATTCAAGTGTTTTGTCTCGGTCAGCGCCTGAATTAGAGCCAAGTACTGGCTCTCAGTCTTGAACTCTACCATCTCCATATTCAGGCCGATTGGACCCCTGCCAAGCCGAATAACGCCTGTCAAGCCCTCCAAACCCTCCTCGATTGGGTTACCGTTGATGAATAGCTGTAGGCCATGGTCTTCGCCAATGGCATCGAAGAGTCGTGCGGCTTGTTTCCCCGTGATACCGCAGTGATTGAGAACAAGCTTCCGAAAAGGCAAGGGCTCTTGGTCGTCCATCTTCTGGCTCCTGTACCGAAGAAACCTTTCCAGGTCCAACATAGTTGCATCATTGTGCTATAAGAATAAATAGTTGGTAAGTAGACGAAACGGTTCGTAACTGTGCTTAGAGGATGTACTGCAACTAACCTTGAAGTTTGAAATGTCAAGTTCTTCGAGAAGATCAAGACAAATCAGGGTCTCGTATGGTATCAAAGCACCATCGATGTTGCCTTGAATACTCCCACCAAGGTTCAACTCCTTAATTCTGGTGAGGTTCATGAGTATGCGGTGGAGGAGGCGTGCGGGTAGACGACCGGGATTTCCAGAGAGATTCAGAGATTGGAGTGTCTGTGGATCTTCCAAGAAAGGGCCGACGATCAAGTCGCGCAACGCCATATCGTCTAGCCCGCAGCAAGACACGTCAAGAGCTTGAATGCTCCCAGTTTTCAGGGACTCGGCTACAAAGTTTTAGCAACTTACTGAAGAGGAGGGAGGCAGATATCAACATGACGCTTCGGGCTGCTCATTTCTTACCGAGATCTTGAATGTCGGATCGATGGAGCGTGTTTCCGCTGAGATTGAAGCGGTTACATCTCGTAAGGCCGGATTTTAGCAGGGTCAATATAGGGGTTAGGTATTGCAGGTTTGCAGTGTTGTAGTTGGCTGGTCTTGCCAAGTATGACGAGAGTGACGCGGATGAGTTGGTGAAATCGATCTGGCGGATGTTTTCTGAGCAAAACGCCAGGGCGTGGAATTCTTGATGTAGGAGGGAACTCCTCTTGACAACTTCAACCTCGTCGGGGTCGAGGGTAACACCTGATGCACGGGAGACATGAAAAGTCAGCAAAGATACCAGGAATTTAGGCGGGAGCACGATATCAAAAGACACTAACAAGTGCGATTCAGATAGGCGACATTTGAAGGTTTGATTAGTTGGAATTTGGAGACATAACTGTCTTCGACACCCCAAAGAACGGCAAGGTTGATATCACGGAAGGAGAGCGAGTTGAAATAGTCGTTATAGCGCAAGGCCCGTAACACGGCCAAGAGCTGCAATGGCGAGTAATGAGCCGCGTTCTTGGGAGGTAGCAGCCGGAACTCGGGCGCATATTTGCTCTTCCAGTTGATTTCCCAATCAACAACATCGCAATGGTAGGCGGCCAAATACGCGTCTAGAGTTCTCTTGATGCTTCCAAAGTCGTCCCGAGGAACAAGATACTGGGGCTCCTTGAGTCCCGAGATGTGATGGACCTCCAACGTCTGCCATAGCTGCGGCCACACCGGCTTCAAGAAACGGTCGGCGGTGCCAAAGATACGAATGATATGCCGGTAGTAGCGGCTAGCGAGCTCTAGAGTTACGGGTGACCGAAAAGGGTCTCTAGAAGAATTAACAAGTTAGCATGGGCTATGGTCTGCAGCCAATCCGGCTAGAGTAGAGTCAGGCAGTGATATATGGGACATCTTACCGAAACGTCATGTTGAACCTCTCCTGGTGAAGTGTCCAGTCTCCCCGCAAGTTTTCCAGCGTTAGTATCCCGAATTTCCTGTGCCGACTAAAAGGCTCGCCGCCTTTGGCGCCCTTTTGAATCTCGATAAGATAGCAGAGATAAGTGCCGACCACCAAGTAAATAGCCGGGCCCTCCTGTGATTTCTTTGACGACGACGCCTCCTCCGCCTTGGGGTTACATTCCATTCGCGTAAGCCCTCGAGGAGCGACGGGAAAAATCTCGAGTTTCTGATGCTTGAACAACGGTTCTTCGGCCTCCTGTACAGCTCTTAAGAGGACGAGGAGGTCTGGGGAATGGCGCGTTGCCGAGTCGTAGTCGGCGCTGTTGCTCTCCTCTCGCATGGCCCGTAGAATATTGTGCATCTGCTCGTTTCGCTCCGCCGGGAGGTTGAAGCAAAACACTGTATGCTGGAACGAAAATCCGGAAGGGCTCCTCCACCACACTTCGATCCCAAATGACGGTCTCGTGGTCTCGGCAGGGAAAACAGACACGATAGAAGCGACCGGGATTAAAACCGCGGGTTCGGGCGCGGTCGAGGCGGCGGCCACACCTTCAGGTTGAGTGGCCCCGGCGCCTTCCTCGGAATTTCGAGGCGGAAATGCGCCGAGGACGTCGGCGTGGCTCTTCAGCTTCATCAGGTAGTCTGTAGTCACGACGAGATAGGGGTTTTTTGACCTTAGCAGCTGCGTGTCTCGCTCTAGGGCCGCAGAGCCCATGATATTTTGCGAAGCCCAATCGATCATCGAGGATGACGTTGTGCTCATGGTGTCAACAAGCGAGAGGCGGCCGAAGTCGTCAGAGAAACCCGAGCTCCGCCTGTTGAGGCTATCGAAAGGGGAAGCTGAATGGGGCCGCGATTTGGAGAGTCTCCGGCTGTGTGAGCTTGTCCCCCTGACGAGACTGCCACTGCCGATTGTTACTGATTCCGAGATGGATTCCCGACTGCCAAAGGGGCGCCACCCCCTGTCCTTTAAAGAGTGGAGGGAGAAGCTCCTGGTGTGGTGACGGTCGCCGCCCTCGGAACTCGTGGGAGAGCCTGGCGTGCTGACGGCAGGGCTCGGAAGGGTGGCATCAGACACGGGCGAGGCGGCCATGGTCAAGGGCATCAGCCGGGTGACCTTCTTGCGCCTGAGATCCATGGTAGCTATCGGGACGGGCATATCTCGCCCCGGGGCACGATTCTTGTCTGTTCGGTTTTCGTTCGTGCAATGCCCCGGAACGGAATGGGCGAGATGCGGCGAGCGAATGGCCTACTCGGGCCGGGCCCGGACTCCGGATGCAGGGATCAGGTAGTTCGAGTGGATGAGTGTGGGATACGGGGTAAAGCGATGCGTCAGGGGTTCCAAAAGGAAGACGAGGTTCCGAAATGCTTTTATGACGAAGGGGCCGGGGATGGCTCCAGAAGCGCGGTGGACCCAGGTGTCCCAAGTATGGGCATGTAGATGTAGGGAATACCTATGTCATGTACCGTTCCTGATCCAATGTCAAGCACTCTGCCATGCTATCCTGTACTGCCCTGCCCCGTGGATTCTCGTGTACCCCGTAGATGGGTGCCACAATGGGGTACGAAGCCTGTAGTCTTAGCTGTAGAACTAGGAAGACCTAGCCTTGGCCCGAAGGTTTTGGTTTGGTCCTTGGAAATACTCTGATCTGCTCCGCTCTGTCCTGTTCAGATTCTTCTCGGTCGACGTCGGTCAGAAAAGACCATTTTTGCCAGTGCGGAGACGTGAAGACCTAGGACACCCAGGGTAGTCAAAAGCCCTCAGTGCGCATCATAATGTGTGCTGTATGTACTGTATGGTCGGGCTGCGAGCGGTGGGCATGTGCGATCAGTTCATCGGCACTTTTTGGCGCCCGAGCTCGAATTGTTGTGTCTCATCCAACAAACACTGCACAGGGAAAGTCGACTGCTAGAATCAGGAAGAGATAAGGCCTACCGTCTCTAACTTCGGCAGACGTAGAAAGGACGCCTAGAGTCTGGAACTAGTGCAAGAGCCTTCAAGCGGTCGGGGCGGCGCACGTCGATGTCAATGTCGATGACGGCAGTAGAGAGGGACGTGCCCCGGCATATTCAAGGTCGAAGGTCCCCCAGATGGATGGCGCGTCCCGCAGAGAGAACCAGGCCCCGGTGGGGGTTGAAGCACATGGGACACCGAGAGAGCGACGAACGGCAGGTACGGGTACGGAGTAAAGTAATGAAATGGAGGTTTGGATTTCAAACGACTCGGCTATCTTTCCACCTCCATTTAGAACAAACCAAGCTGGTGACTGGAAACTGGAAACTGGATCGCACCACAGCAGGGCCACGCTGCACGCGGCTGCCACCGAGCCAGCCAGCCAGCACATCACAAAACTGCGCTGCACTGCTCCAATTCGCGCAGAGCCTAGTCCCCACGCCCGTCGAATTAGAAGCCATTCTGGAGGGCGATCCGGTCGTGGAATCAGGGCGGGGAAACTTGCTGCGGGATGATGTTATCGAACCTGCTTCTGGGAGCCTGCTAGCCAATGGGGTCGGTCGGCCCCATCTCAATTCGCTAGTGCAGCTGGAGCTCCGATCATTCCTGTCCAATGGCGAGCTCGGAATCCATACGCAGTAGGTAATCTACGGGCGAGCCTTCTGCGTTCGGCTTCGTCTTGCTGGGTTTGACGCATTTGAGCAATGTTGCCGATAAGATACGGGTAACTGCTACCATCCAGTGCTTGCCAAATTCCGCCTCCATTGCCCGATTGATGGGAATTGCTACTGTCCGTCTTGATATCCGTGCGGTCGGCCGGGGCATTCCCGGCTCTCGTGTGACGGTTAGGAATTTTAAGAAGAAAAAACACAAAACACATGTTTTCTATGCACGTGTTGCGTGTCAAAAGGTCAGAGATTAACGTTATCATGTCCCAAAACCTGGAAAAGGCCGGAGTGGTCGCTGGTGCTTACTATGCACTGCTAGTTCACGCCCGGTCACGGTAGTTCCCGTCATAGTTGGTTGGGTTCTTGCCGAGTGTGCAACGTGGCAAGCTCAAGCTGGACTTTACGAAGACTTACCTCAGGTTCGAGTTGCCTGACCTCGACATCTCCGGAGCACGACTTTAGCACGACTTCCCCCCCTCGTAGCTGCGTATTGTGGCTGAACTTTGTCAAGCCTGTCTTCCCGTGTCTGGCTTCTCCTCGCCATTGGTGTTTTGACGACCTGAGACTTGAAGGTGGCGTCCCAAAAGAGGAAAATACCGGACTCGCCCATGAGGGAAGCACTGACGCCAAGTAGTTAAAAGTTATAAAAAGCTGTTGCCGCAACTTTCGGGCCACTGGGCTGAGTTTGAGATAATGTTGTTGTTCCGCTCTGTGCCCGGCATTCCATTCCATCTTTAGAATTCTATTCCCAGATCAGAGCTTCGTTTCATGTTCGATCGAACAAAATTTAAGTAACCAACAAGACGTCGACCCCGGCAAAGAGGAACGTGGAACGTGCTGTGAAGGAGCAGTGCTAGCAATGTTGTGTTTCTCAAGCCAAATGTGACGATATGGATTCGTCTGCACATACATCTAGACATGGTGATAGGACTGCTCAGGGCGTGGCACAATGTTTTCGACACTACTCAGTACTCAACTAGCAGCCAATGTAGGCAGTTTTGGAAATCCCATGATGCATGATGCAGGGTACATACCATACACACTACACAGTGCCGTGGGCCCTCCGGGCGGCACATGTCAATGGAAATGGAATGGGCGGCTATTCCGTGCCCTCACGGGCCTTTTTGTCCACCTCCGCTCAGGTTTTTTTGCTCCCTCACACCGAAGCCGCCCAGACGCGTGTGCGGCCCAGCGTCGCGCCTGCCCGTCACTCCTCCACCGGCCCCTTCCTTGGTACGGCAGCAATAGCATGGGTGGAGCAATGGTGAATGGTGGACGAGGGGGCTGACTGCCTGCATGGGTCTCCGTAGGAAGAGTCAGAAACGTCCGATGCAAGCAGGCCGCAGTTGCTGATAACGGATGCGGTCCTTTTATCTTCTTCTTCACCGGCACCCAGCCACCAACGGCTGAGGCTGGCAGCGTCACCCACCAGCCCGCCCGCTCACTCCGTCTCGAATAGTCCACAGCACACGCAAAAAGCCCGGCAGTTTGTTTTTGGATCGTCTGATGTAGGCTGATACCAGTACAATTGCAGACCGCCAGATGATTCGAAACTGTTTGCAACGTGACCCGGCTTTTGCTTCCTCTGTTTCTCTGTCGACTGCAATGTTGCATAGTACTGCATAGTGGATAGCGATGGGCTGTGATCTCCTGTACCACGGTGGGCCGATGAACCGGGCCACAAATCTCAAATCTCGATGTCATGGAGAATATAATGATGGGCGGGAGCTTTGGGCTCCTTCTGCACCTGCACAATGCCATTCCTCCCGCTCTTGGGTTCAATGACTTCATTTGTCCCCTGGCGGTGCTGGTCAATGCTCCGATAGGGGTATCGGACGTTAGCACGGGGACGAGAGAGAAGGCGACGATGTGTGCGGGAAAGAGGAGCTCTGTGCTATCATGCGGGACCTGCCGATCTCTTTAGGCATTGGTGGTTGATGAAACGGCTACCGTTTCAGGCGGCGAGGTTCTAGCCTGTCTTCTCCGTCCGCCCGCGGGGATCCCAATCAGAACCTGAAAAGCTTCGTTACAGTCACTTGGCTGCTCGCAACTAAAATACCTGCATGCACGGATGACGGAATACGGCGCGTTGGGTTTGAAATTCAATACATCCCATCCCACCACACATACCAGCCTATTTCCAGACCCCCCCTACTATGTAGGCACTGACGACGCCAGCTCAGAGAAGTTTGCAGTTGGCGCAGGCAAGGTAGGTGGGCGCCGTGAAAAGGCACACAAGTTCAGACAGCTGCCTTTGATTGGGCGGTCTGATTTCCGAAACTAATTCGCTGGGGGCCGAACTCAAAGAATCGGCTGTCTCAGCCCCCCTTCACGAGTCGCTAGTGGCGATGGAAGCTGGAAGCATCCATAATTACAGTCCTGGGCCGCAACACAGCAGCACCAAGGACAAGCACCTAGGCAGGTGATGCTGGCTTTGTGCTACCCGCAGGATACGGACTCGATCGCCGCGCCGCTTTGGAGAGTGGTGAAAGTGCATCGCATTGGCAGCCATTTCCCTCTGCCGTCGACCCAAGACTAAGCTTTGCCTACAGCTCCCTCTGCGGTTGATAACTTAGCGATGAACTGCTCGTTGGGCTGTTGGACTGTTGGACCAGTACATGTTGTGACTTGATGTAAGCTGCTAGCATGCTATAAACCTGTATCGAATTTATCGATCTCCGGTATAGTACCTACCTAGTAGGAGGAAGGTGGGCATGTATACCATAGTACGCATGGTAAAATGTTCGCTCGGGTTGAGCTACCATCCTACCCTTACCTGGTTGGTCTCTCCGCCTTGGGCCTTGGCACTGGTTGACTGCATCGATCGGGATGTTTCGAGACGAACTTGTTGGAGGCTGATCGACTTTACACTCCGAGTAGGCTTCACTTTCCGTCTCGCCATCCGGAAACGATGGGCCGGTGTCAGGATATGAAAGCAACAGAAAAAAATACTATGTATCCGAGAACTGCGCGATATTTGCAACGAGCGCCCTTCGCGGCGGCCGTTATGTTGTTGAGGTGAGACGGGATTACGGATAGCTGTGTGTGTATTTTGGTCATCAGCCCAGGGTTCTGCCGTTCTGAATACGATACGACATTGCGAACAAGCGCCCTACCTGGACCGTGCTCGGTTTCAAATCCAGGGGGCAGCCTCAAGCGATTGGTGAGCGCGTTGGCAGCCCATCCAATCAATCCGCCGCCGCCGCCCCCTCCCATGCCCCCACAAGGGGAGCGCGCTGCACTTCACCACCAAGCAGCGCAGCAGGGAGAGACACAGTCCAGGCAAGCAGCAGGCAGCGCCGGCCCTTCATCCAGCCTGAATTGCCCCCAAGGCAATTTGAAATTTCCATGGAATCCACAGCTTCGGGGTTTCGTCCCACTCACTCACGCCCAGGTAGGGAGGTAGTCCTGCAGCTGCAGCCCCTGACCTGGCCTCGTTTTTCTAGCTTGTTTGCGAAATACGTATGTACTGTACATACACACATACATACTACCCGGCCTCATAGTATCTCCCCGGATTGGAGGCAGTAACCCGTAATACGGGATTACTTGACTACCTTGTGCCCCCTCCCCGTCCCATCGACACGAGATCCTTGACTCCTCAACCCACAGACATCGTTTACTGACGGGGGACTGGGCGTCATCTTTCTTTCCTTTCTCTTTATTTTGTTGTAAGCAGCGCTCTGTCTCTGCTCTGCTGCCCCGCCCAGCTGCGCGTTGCCATCACGAAAAGGGAAAAGAAAAGAAAGAATTTGGCCCGCCACCAACGGTGCTCGAGGGATCTGAAATTGGATTTGCCGGTCGACCAACACCAAACCGCCTCAGGGATCCTGCTGCTGCTGCTTCGTGCAGCGCGCCCGACAGACACGTCTCCTTCCCGCATCAGCAAGCCGCCGCTGGCCTGCTGACAGACGGTGAAGAGGGCTGGATACCCTTTGTCACCACCTTGCCACCCCCACAGATACTAGTATCAGTATCCGTGCTGTGCTGCCCTGTTCCAAAGGAACGCGACAACCCGAAGCTCCCCCTATTCCAAGATAGCGTCGTTCGTCGTGCGTTCCCTGCGCAAGGGCCTCGCTGCGCCGCCGGCAACACCAAACAAACAAGCCAAAAAAGACCAACACCCCCATCGCGCCCACCCTCTGGCTCTATCGCCTCCTCGCCTCTGCACTCATGCTGTCGATTTGATAACCCCCCGTCGTCATCATGGCCATGTTGGCGTCAAAGTCGTTTTCGGCCACGCTGGGCTCTCAGCAGCCCTCGGGTCTGATGGCAACCACGCCGCAAACAGCATACCCGCCCAGCAGACGCGCTCCTGCCGTGCCCATGGCGAGCCAGTCCTTCGCCAGCCCTACCGAGTCCGAATTCTCCGACGTCGACGGGCCCTCGTCGGTCAAGAACTGGAACGAGGACCAGGTCTGCGACTACCTCAGGAGTGTCAAATGCGGCGAGTACGAGAAGATATTTCGAAAGAACCACATCAACGGCGAGAATCTCCTCGAGATGGACAAGGAGGTCCTCAAGGAGATGGGAATAGATAAAGTCGGTGACCGCGTCCGGTTGTTTCTGGGCATTAAGAAGCTGCGGACAAAGACATACGCGAATCAGAAGAAGCGGAATAGGGTAGGTTGCCGCGAGAACTTTCCCCTATCTGTAGTTGTTCCTATCTAACTGCGGCTTCAGGACTCGTTTGGTGGGCTTGACGTTCAGTATATGCCGCCATCGGCTTCGCCGCGGCCCCTGAACCCTGGGAACAGGACGGCTGCCCCTAATTTGGCGAACAAGAGATACTCGCGCCAATACGACATGTCCGCCGTCGTAGACCCCTCAAAGCCGTCCTCGAGGCCGACTTCGCCGTTACCCGGCACCGACTTCAGAGCGGCCGGCCGGCAACGATATGCCCAGCCACAGGGATACTCGAGCCAACAGACACCCACCGCATCGTCGAGATTCCCCATGTCTCCTCCCGATGCGCTCCCTGGCAGATTGGTGCCGGCACACACCAGAAACAATTCCAGCATGGACGGCTCGCTCATGGCCGCGCTTCCGCAGGGCCAGGACGTGATCCGTGTCATCTCCACGGGGGGTGTAACCAAAGTTGTCAAGATTGCCGACTGCAACACATGCGAGGAAGTCATGCGAGTCACTCTTCGCAAGTTTGCCCTGCGCGAGGACCACGAGCGGAATTACTGCTTCTGGGTTCTTGCAGGCGTAGACCCTGATCCGAAGCAGTGTCGGCGTCTGGGAGACACGGAACTGTGGAGGGTTATCAAGGACCACACCCGCCCGGAACGGAACCGTCTGATTCTGAGACGTGTTCCTGCTGGAGAACCCGGGATGTCGGAGCTTGAGAGGGCTGCCGCCATCGGCATGGAAGAAGCCCAGCAGAACCACAACCGTGCCCTCGAAAACATAACTAAACAGAGCCAGCTCAAGATCCAAAAAGTCCTCGGCGAGAGCTGGGAGAACATGCAGCCGCCCCTCTCCCCCGTCTCGTACCAGGACCGAGAGAGAAATGTCTATAATGCGGCCAGGGATCTGGAGCGGCCGGCCCCGGTGGAGACGCCTCGAGCCGGGCCCCGTCGCAAAGGTGTCCCCGGGCTCCGCCAGTTCGGTGGCTTGAGGCCGCCTAGCGAGCTCATCGCCTCTGATCTCACGAGCTACTTTCCGGATCACTCAAGAGAACAAATCGACAGGACAGCTCGCCTGTCCATGCGACGGTCTGCCCGTCTCAGCAAGATAAACAGCCGCCTGAGCGTTGCCAGCACCATGAGCTTTGCCTCTAGCATCCAAGATGCCCCGCCCATCCCCACCATTGCGGACAGTTGGCTGACCGCCTCCAACCAAATCGCCAAGGTCCGTCCTCGCGACGCGCAGGGGAGAATGCCGCACGGGTATCGGGACTCGATTGCTTCCTCTGTGCTTGACACTCTCCAGGAGGAATCATCCCCAACGGAGCCAAACCGGAAGTCGTACATTTCCTTCGCCGATAGCGGCTCCGACACGGCTGCGCTGAGCATCACCGACCCTGACGGGCACGTAAGGCACAGCTATTTCGACGGCGAGAGCACAACCGGCTCCGGGGGCTCCATCCAGGAGGTCAACCAGGCCCTGAACGAGGATGGAGAAGACGCCGACGAGGAGCTGCAGAGCTTCCTCGCTGGCGAATCGTGGGACGACAGCAAGTGGATGAAGGGTGCCTTGATCGGCCAGGGATCTTTCGGTTCCGTCTATCTCGCACTGCACGCCGTCACGGGTGAGCTGCTTGCTGTGAAGCAGGTCGAGGCGCCCGGCGCGAGCGCCAACAGCCAGAGCGATTCGAGGAAGAAGAGCATGATAGAGGCTTTGAAGCGCGAGATTAGCCTCCTGCGTGACCTCCGACACCCCAACATTGTGCAGTATCTGGGATGCGGCTCGTCGGCCGAGTATCTCAATATTTTCCTCGAGTACGTGCCTGGTGGCTCGGTGCAGACCATGCTCAACTCGTATGGCGCATTGCCGGAGCCTCTCGTTCGCAGCTTCGTCCGGCAGATCCTCAACGGCCTGTCGTATCTCCACAACCGCGACATTATCCACCGCGACATCAAGGGTGCCAACATCCTGGTGGACAACAAGGGCACCATCAAGATTTCCGATTTTGGTATCTCAAAGAAACTCGAGGCGACAAACATCCTCAACGGCGCCAACAACAACAAACATCGGCCATCTCTTCAGGGTTCCGTCTTCTGGATGGCGCCCGAGGTTGTTAAGCAGACTTCGTACACGCGCAAAGCAGACATCTGGTCCCTGGGCTGTCTCGTCGTTGAGATGATGACGGGCACCCACCCGTTTCCCGACTGCACCCAGTTGCAGGCCATCTTCAAGATTGGTGGATCCAAGGCCGCTCCCACAATCCCAGACCATGCCAGCGAAGAGGCCAAGCAGTTCCTTGTCCAGACCTTTGAGATGGACCACAACAAGCGCCCAAGTGCCGACGATCTAATGCTAAGCCCCTTCCTAACGCCGGCCACATAAACCACCTACCTACTACCTAAGCGGCATTTTCCCGCTCTCGATGCCTAGGATTTATTGTAGAGCCAGCTAGCACGCTACATTTTTGATACAGGGACAAGACATGTTTTATTTGATGAGTCGATGGACGACAATGAAGGACATAAGTGGACGTGACGCGGTCATAGAGATTGATGTGTTGGTACATACAATTGATCACTCTTCGCATTCTCAAGGGATGGCTGGGGGGGGTTTCTGAATTTATGTTTCTCGGTCGCTGGATGGCCCCTAGATACACGCATGGAACGAGCGGGACTTTTTTCTCATGGGTTACTACTACTATCTCCACCTCGACACGTACGCACGGAGGAGCAGAAAGATGGAAAGCATTTACATTGAATGTCACGAATTATGGGATATGTTAGCCTCAAAGAAGTGGTTAAACGATTATTATTACCTTACCTGCCTGTTTACCTATTCGTGTACGCACCGGGTCTTTTTTTTGGGGGGGGGGGGGGACGCTGGATGGGGAGAGGACAAATTGGAAGTTGCTTGCAATAATTCTTGTACTCCTCGCTACACTTCAATTGGGTGCCCCAAGTCTCCCCCGATCTGCCTTTGTGGTGCTGGGTTATCATTATTTATATTCTCTGGTCTGTGCGAGACTCGGCCACACAAGATACATCTATATCACGTACAAGTTGATTGTGACCATTTTAGTGCGTGCATGGTAATAGGTATAAGCTATTTTCACCTTGGTGATAAATCTAATTTGTGGGACTCGCTTTTAGAGTAGATGAAATAAAATATTAAAATATATCGCGTACGTGCGTAGCTTGTACCTTTGCTTTTTGCACGTGTTTGTGCATTTGCTTGGGTGTCTGGAGGCTGGTTATTTGTATTGCTATACCACATATACATTTGACTTGTGGAATGGCTTCTCGATAAAGTCGACGACCAAAAAAAGATAAAATAGCGTACACATGCCCAATTCTGTCCGAGGAGGAGGAGGCTGGGTTTAGAGTTGATTAATTAATTCTCCTCTATATACACCTATTTTACTCGTTCAGACATGCTGGCGTGCCCGCTGTTTACCCTCACCTCTTTCTGCTCTATTAATAGGAGCCCACCCAGCGCGACCCTTCATTGGGCGTTGCTAGAGCCGACAAACCCGTAAAAGCACACATACCTCGCGTTTCCGAGTATACCGCAGCACTGTGCTATACTATACCCTCAGCAACGCACTTGCTGGACGATATGTCGGTAAGGTGGTCGGTATGTGGCAGGAGCTGTAGCCCGCCCCATTTAGAGGTCGGGTAGTTGCCGTGTATCCGTCCATCTGCGTCCTGTGTTTCGGGAACCCGATGGATCAAGCCCAGTAGATGGTTTTCACTGCCTAGGGAGTTGATATGCTTTGCTTTCCATGTCCAGTTATCGGTTTGCTACCATATGCCATCATATAATAAGAATGGAATGAACAAGGGAGAGGGGAGGGGGGGCTGGCAGTAACGCGGTCGTTCAATGGTATGTACTGTACCGACTAGCCCCTTTATACACGACAGATACATGATAGAGACAGCTAAAACCGAGTCTAGGTATATATCAACAATATACCAGCGCCGTCTCAACAGTCTCAGCAATGTCTAGACTTCAAAATCTGTGAAAGATAAAAAATGTAAAATCTCAGTTTATCTTCCTTCCAGTTAAGCCAAACCAAACCAAAAGTGCCTGCCTGCCTTCCCCTGCCATGATGATGCTTTAATCCAGAACCGCCCGCCTCCGGGACTGATTGGTCTGCCTTTACCCACCATATGCATGCAATGAGTGCCGCCGTGGTGTATAACATATGAACAGAAGAAGAAGAAGAATCGCATGATATCGTCGCCCTTTGGAACCCCCCTTTTTTAATCGACATTCCAGAGAGAAAAGAAATGTGTTGTGCCCCGCCCCTTTTGAATGATTATGCGTTGGAAAAAAGTAAATGATAACCTCCAAAAACAAAAACTCCCCGTGGTATGCAGAGTGTATGCCAATCCAAAAAGAAATATAAGAAAAAAGCCGCGCTATAAAATGATCATAACGCCCGAGACCAGCGCCACCGAGACGGCAACTATGGCGCTCAAGACGGGGGCAAAAGTGTTCCCGGCCGAGCTACCAAGGCCCAGTCCGTTGGACAAGGACGGGTTGGACACGCCGGCGGTAGCGGCCACGGGGTTGGCCACCAGTGTGGCGCCCGGGACGGAGTTGGCGCCCGTGCCAATCTCGACCACGTTGGACGCGGTCGAGTTGAACTTTGTGGGGGCGAGCGAGATCTGGTTGTTGTCGAGGTCGTAGACGACATAGGCAGAGCGGAGGAAGGTGTCACCCAGGACGTTGGTGCCGCTACCGGCGGGGGCGATGCCGAAGAGGCAGGCCGGGACGCCGTTCTGGAAGGTGGGGCGCGTGCCGCTCGACGTGACGAGGTCCAGGACTAGCTCGTTCATGTCGACCGAGATGGTGGGCGACGAGAAGGTGAAGTCCATGGTCGACGTGTTCCGGGCCAGGGAGCAGGGGACGTAGGCCGCGCCCTGCTCGCTGTCGTACTGGGCGCCGACGTCGTTGTAGATGTCCTGGACGACCGCGTCGGGCAGGTAGGTGAGAGACGAGCCCGTGTCGAGCAGGACGCCCAGCGCCATGTTGTCGGCGACGGTGGTGCCGGCGACCTTGAGCGACGTCAGGGTGATGAGGAACTCGGCAAAGACGCCGCGCTCGGCTAGGACCGGGAGGGTCTGCAGGTCGCCCGTGTACTTTTCTGTGTCGACGCCTCCAAAGAGGATGCTCCCCGTGTTGGAGGAGAGGTCGTTGAGCCACAGGCTGTATGCGTTGGACTGGATCAAGCCGTCGGCTGCCATGGCCGCTGGCAGGTTGTTGTAGGCAGGCTTACCGGCGCGGCCAACCTGGACCTCGTTGAGGGCGTAGCCAATGCCCAGAATGCCCTGGGCATTTGTGCTCGAGTAGCCTATGCCGAACTGCAACCTATCGAGCTTCTGGCCGCCGAAACTGACCGTGTCCGAGACATAGTCTCCGGCAGCGCCCGAGCCGTCAACATATGATATGTTGAAGTAGCTCCCGATGTACTCGTATGTGGACGAAGAGTTTGCCGTGTAGGTGCCTGCGAATTTGCAGGGTTGGGACGACTCTCTGCAGAGCTGTGAGCTCGGGGTGTTGACCCATAGATCACTGCTGCCCGTGTCGAGGTGCAACCTCAGGGACTTTGGGGGTGTGCCGATAGTTGCGTTGATGAAATATAGTGTTTCCTGGGCCCGGTTAGCGGTGCATAGTGTAGAAGACGAGATGAGACATAATTACCTCGTTGTCTAGGCTGACGGCTAGAGTGCCTCTCCTCCTTAACTTGTCCCGGTGCGCCGGGTTTAAGACCGGCCGCCTCTCGGTCTGCAGACCGACGATTCTGGGCCCATTCTGCCTTTGTTGTATTGTCAGGCCTTCGGTTGTTGTGAGGACCGAGGCCACCAAGGCCAAAACCGCTGCAGTTCTCATTTTCCACGTCCGTCCGATTCGGTGCCGGCAGGGTCGATATCCAAGGTCCAAGGGGGGTCCAGGCAGGGCGGGCGGCACAACCAAGAAAAATGTCTCGTGATGCTATAACAATAACATGGGGACAGGTGAGAACGAAGCCTGGGTGAGACTATGGCTTCTATATACAAACAACAGGCTTTGTTTCGGTGGCGGTGACTTTTGAGGCAGTGCGTGCGCAAACACTGCTGAGAATGCGAGGCCTGAGGCCTGAGAGGGGGGGGGAGATTCGTCACCCTCCGGGGTTCAGGGTTTCCGTGTAAGCCGATGCTGTTGCCAGTGCAGTGGCCTGGGCTGGGATCGAGGCAAGACCGGAGAGACCTCGAACTAGCCCCTCACTAAGCCCAAGTGCTGAGTTTATTTGTCGAGACGGAAATAGTCGGCCAAGGGGTAAAACAACAGACGTCGAGCTATCACTAGGCAGGTATCTCTCCCCAAAGTAGACGACGGGCAGTTCAGCTGTAAGAGGAGAGAAAGAGCAAGAGCAAGAGCAAGAGCAAGAGCAAGAACAAGAACAAGAACAAGAACAAGAACAAGAACAAGAACAAGAACAAAAACAAAAACAAAACGAGAGACGAAGCAAGCAGCAAACTGGGAACCACGAGCTACAAGACCCTACTGCTACCTGCTACGTACCGAGACGAGTCTCGACCGATCTCCACGATGCGTCCATCCATCGAGCAGGGGGGCTCAAGGAGACAGGGGGCAGAGGGCAGAGGGTAGGGGAGCCGGTTTCCCGAGACAGACTGCGGAAGACGGAAGTCTCACCTTGCGCTGGGCGCCATGACCCGCGCTGAAGCTGCGGGCATTGGGGGGGGGGGCAAGCCATTGATGGTCAAGGGCTTGGCATGGGTGTGCCCTTGCGGGGGAGGAGGGGGCTGGGGCTGGGGCGAGACGACGACGTTTGGGAAAATATACCGTACTGGATGGTTGAGTCGCGGCGAAACAGGCACCTATCTTTTTGGCAGCAAACTGTTTGCCTGGATAGCGCGACCTTGCAAGAGAGGACACGCCAGGCGCCCCGTTCCAGCAGCACCCCTGTAATCACCAAAATTCCGCGCAAAGGAGAGCCGAGCTCCCGAGAAACGGGCGGAGTGCAGACGACGACTGCTGCAGACGACCCGTAGTGGGGTGCGACTAGTTCTGCGAAGGTGACGCAAGCGACTGCAGAACAACAGTTCCCACGCAACTCCTCATTCATGGAATCCAGAACCCTTGGATGGCCAACGGGTTTCCAGTTGAGTTGTCCCGCACAGCAGCGAATGGTAATAAGCAGGGAAACTCTAAGAGTTAGGGGACGTACGTATGGACACACAGGCTCTGGGTGGGGTTGACGCGCGTCCTCGGCGAACAACACCAGGGCACCTGTCTGGCTGGTGCGTGTCGTCTGACTGTGTGCCCAGGGCTTGGTGGTGGGGATGGGAAATTTCAAGCAATCCGCTCCCTGACGAAATCCGGTCTGGTGTGAATGAGATTCGATATTTCACGAATGCTAATTCCGCCCCCCGGGTTAGGGTTCTGGCCACTTATTTCACCTACTTTTCACACACTGAATTTCATGACGCCTCGATATGAAATGCCTTTCACGCTCTGCGGTGAGGGCCGAAAGTCAATTCAGACCGACCGATTAATCGTCTCATCTCACGAATGGTGGCTGCACCCCGAGCCGAGCAGCGGGTTGCCAAAGACTGACTAGAGGCAGCTTTCGTAGCTCTAGTTCAAACCCTGGATGGTTGTTGGCGGGACTCCGTATCCGTACTTGAAAAGAATGAGGGTGATGGCAGATAAATTAGCCAAGATATAGCCTTTGCTAGGCATTCCAAACGGGAGATAAGCCTCTAATTAGATGTGAGGCTCCAAGACCTATCACCTCCTATTGAGAAACTTGTATCCGTAGGGCAAGCAGTAAGACTTCCCGCATCTTAAACAATCCCCTATTGACTCCCAAACATCCAGGAATTGGACGAAAGGTGTATACTGCAGCAGATAGGGAGCTAGCTGTCGCTCCAGTCTTTTTGTTAGTAGTATTGAGCCCGAGGTTTGGGAAGCCGCATGGAGTCGTTTGGCGACTGGCTGCAAAGTTGTCGTTTTGGGGGACCGGACGGAAAAAGGGGAGGGGGATATTTGAAACGTTGATGCTGCCAAGCCCCCTCATCTGATACCCATGTTGCGGATCAGACGCCTCATTTTGAAGGTTCCAGCTTGGCGGTCCCCGGTTGCACCTGCCGCCTAGTGCGCTGGGCGGCTAGTCAGTTACGGTATTAGCCTTCCAGTGGCCAGTCGTCACCCCCCTCTGAGATGATAGAATATGTGGGAAAAGTCGGGATTGTTCTGGATTCTCGATACCGGCCGTGACGTTAGTGCTATAATAGTTTATTCTTCTTCCTACAGGGGCATCTTAGAGAGGTCGACTGAGTTTACCGGGGCCCTGTGGCTATATGACATGGAACTACGCCGTCAGGGGTGCAACTTCATGTTTCGGTCTCCGTAGTTGGCGGGAGCCGAAAAGAGCATCCCGCCCAAGGTAAGGGGCCTGAGGCAAGGGACTGACTGGGCTGGAGTACGCCGAATACGGAGTAGAGTACTCCGTACGTGGGGAAACATCGGCCCCCCGGCCCCGCTAGTTATGAGCGAGCGGCCAGCGGCCTTGATCTACACTAAGCTAGGAAGAACAACAGATCAGTCCCCGGAGCGGGCCCGCCACCCCGGCCATGGCCGACCGACTGCCGGCCGGCCGGCCTCATCTGATATAGTTGACAGCAGATAGAGCTCATGTGGTGGCTGTGCTCTGGCGGGGAAAAGCGGACAGCCTCGTATCGCCTATCAGGTGGCTCCCACTATGGCCGAAACAGTGCAGGCAGCCAGCCGGCCATACACCAGCCTTGCAAGCTGCGAGTCCAAGCCAAGCCTTGGGACTCGTCAGCCGCTCCCTCCATCCCCGACAAAGTGTCGACGACTGGGCAAAGGGATAAAGAATAGATAATATAATGATTAGACGGCCCCCCATTTAGGAATACAGTCCACACAATTGCCCAACTAGACCAAGTAGACAGCACCGTTTGTCTCTCTGCCACTTCGATTTGACTGCCATCTCGGTTTGAGCTCGATACAGGACAAGTCAGCTGTCACTGTGTATCATCTCTGCTATCCAACATGGACGTCTACGCTGCTAACATGGATCGCTGGTACGGCTACCGCCCCTCTATCTACCCTAGGTACCCAGCAGCTGACAACTATGGCCACCACTACACAGCCCCGTATATGCCGTATGTCCTCTGTCCTCTCCGGTCTGTCTGCGCGGATGACATAACAGCCCTGTAGTCCTTCTTCGGCGCCATGGGCTGCGCGTGCGCCATCGTCTTCACCGTCATGGGCGCGTCGTACGGCACGGCCAAGTCGTCCGGCGCCATCTTCTCGTCGGGCATCATCCGGCCTGACCGGCTGATGCAGAACACGTTTGTCTTTTCCCCTTTCGCCCTATCGCCCTTTCGCCCTCTTTCCCTTTTTCTCTCTCACTTCCATTCCAAACTGACTAATATTGGTTGGGCGTGGAAAGGCTGTGCGCCATCATGGCGCAGATCCTCTCCATCTACGGCCTCGTCACCAGCGTCATTATCTCGGGCAACCTAGTCGAGAAGATGGCGCTGCACACGGCCTTCCTCCAGCTCGGCGCCGGCCTGGCCGTCGGCCTGTGCGGCCTGGCTGCCGGGTTCTCTATTGGCGTCGTGGGAGATGCCGGAGGTTAGTTTTTTTCTTTTTCTTCTTCTTTTATTACATTTAGAACTCCTCACCCCTCCCCCCCCCCCTCATGACTACCTACATGAAGGACTTGCATCAAAACAAACCAAACACGCTAACCAGCCCCTTCCATCTACACCAATAAAAGTGAGAGCGAGTACGCAGCAGCCGCGCCTCTACATCGGCATGGTCCTGATCCTGATCTTCGCCGAGGTGTTGGGCCTGTACGGCGTGATCGTGTCGATCCTGATGCTGACGCGGTCGACGCTAGGCGTGACGGATTGTCCGTATTGAGGTGGTTAAATGTCATCATGCAAGCAGGAGCAGGGAAGAGGCATTTATTTGTTCGGTTGTTTAATTCACTAGTGCCGTTGGGGTGGTGATTGTGGTACAAGAGAGAACTTATTTCACCTAGCCCCTTTTTCTCTCTACGAAAACAACCAAAAACCCACACCATAACAGACATTCGATAATAATAGACCTACGCCAAGTTTCACCATTTAAATGTATTCCTGACTCAACTGGGTATATCAGACTTCCTGACTTTGCCATTCAAGCCTAGCTCGGCATCACAGCAAGAGATAGACTTTAAGCGTATATACACCCCTACTCACCCGCTTGCCACCCCCACATCACATGTGCGGCGTAGGAACTGTTTTGGATTTCATCTTATTCCAAACGATATTACTGGGAACCCCTATAGTGCCCACTCGCTTTTATCTTCCTCGTCTTTAACAAACGGCTCATTTATCCTCCTGATAGCATATTCACTACACAGGATACTAAAGAGAGAAATGTTAGATAACGCAATAGATCTTTCACGAGTTGAGAGAATGAGAGGGAAGGGGAAGCCTGAGCAGGGAAAAAGATGAGGGGAAGAAAAGACTCACCAAGCCGAAGCCACGAGAGAATCCAGCTCCGCAATCATGGCGTCGCGCTTCGCGCCGCTGACCAAGCCCTTGGTAATCTGCACCTGGCACTCCTTGATGCGCTTGCTCTTCGCCGGGCCGGCCTGCTCGAGAACCTTGCGGCCGAGGCAGTCGGAATGGAAGGCGTGCTGGCAAGGAAAGACAAAAAACTGCCTGCTGAGCAGGGGGAGGGTGCAAACATAACACTTCTCCCCTGGCTCGACAATGGCGTACCGGTGGTCGAGCGCCGCAATGTCCACCTTGATGTTGGCCGCCGTCTGGCTCGACTCGTCCATCTCGCGCCGGAGCCCGTCAATATTTCGGCTGTAGTCCTCGAGCGCCGCGCATATCTCTTCCTTGAAATCGTCAATCACCACGAAGTCAGGGAAAAAAGGGATCAGGTCCTCAATTTTGAGCAGGTCGCACCGCTTCAGGAACTCTATGGCCGTCTTGATGCCATTGGACTGCGAGATGACCTTCTTTGCCACGGCTAGCCACAGTTTTTTCCGCAGCGGCGGGTTGGACATGGGACGGTCGGCGATGATGGCCGCCAAGTCTACCTGGTCGTGCGACAGCGCCAGGTCCACCGCCTGGACGTATTGGCCCATGCTGGTGTATATGTGGGCACACGAAAGAACCCGGTGGTTCTGTATGCATAGCCGGAGGGCAAAGTCTGGGTCAAACCTGGGCTCGTCGCCCTGCGATTCCAGGTACGCGAGGAGTGCTGATTCGTCTTTTGAGGGATGCGACGCATAGATGGAGACTAGGGTGTTGTGTATCGCAGAATCGACAGAGCTGAGCTGGTTTACAACGTACTGGAGGTAGCGGATGGCTTGGTTTTGGGACAGGGAGCCCTTGAAATTCCGGTCATACTCGAGCAGTGCTGGTATAAGGTTGCGAGGCTTCAGGTTAGCCTGCCGCATGAGAACCTCTACCAGCTCGGTAGCCGCGTGCGTCATAAGCACGCTGCTATAGCGGTAAAAGACCTCGGCATCTGTCTGTCGCTTGAGGACGCTCAAGGCCTCAGCCCACCGTTCTCGCTGAACCCAGTAGGAAAGAACGAAATTGTAGTCGTTTACGGCGTTCGCGTAGAAGAGAAGCTCCTCTTCTCGGCCGTGGCTGCTGATGACGTCGTAGACGGTTTTCTTGTCCAAATTTGACTTGTGTTTGTTGACAAAGTCTTGGTACTCGGCCCGGACCGTATCTAGCTGTTCTTTTGTCTGGGTAGGGTTCAGCGTCTCGGATAGCTCAGCCCCTGTGATAATTGTATCGTCAAGCGAGTTGAGCTTGGCCATAAACACTTCGACCAGCCAGCTTGCTATCATGACCCTTTGCATGACGGACGATTTTTTATACGTGCCTAATTTTGCCAGGAGGTACTTCCGGAGAGCATCCGGCTGGTTGTTGTCGATGAATGTGAGCGCCACTTCTTCAAACTGCTTCCTGCTCTTACCGTAGACGCCAGCAGCTTCGAGGTACAGCCCCTTGCCGACTAGATAGTCACCCGAAGCGGTCGCAACCGCGTCTCTCTCTGCCGGGGTGTGAGCATACTGCAGGGCAGCATCAAACTGTTGCATCTGCAGCATAATCTTCCAAATATGCCTGTCCTCGTCCCGCACAACGATTTCAAAGATTTCTTGGGACGTGAAGAGCCAGAACGTGTTCTTTTGAATATCAACGCATAGGCCAATAGCCTTTTGACCCTGTTTCAGGATAACTTGGTCGTAGACGACGGAGCTCGTCAGCCGGTTGGCGGCAACTACCTGGTCTCCGACCAGGCTGACGACATGCCACTGGGTTAGTGCTATTGCGTCAATATAATCAGTCGCTGCTCTCCTCCGTCCCGCCGTTTCCGAGCCGGCTAGTTGTGACCGCGGAAGGAGCTTGGCTTCAGAAAAGACCTTGGCCCCGAGCTCAGATCCAACGGGGTTGACAAGCAGCTTCCCGTGGTATACACCGTGCGAGGACAGCCAAGCAAAGGCGCGGTCCGGCATGATATCCCCTGGGAATCTCGAGGCACCCTGGACGTCAGGAGAGACGACAAGGGCCGAAGCAGCAGCCGCAGCAGCAGCCGCGGACCGAGGCAGTTCGTGAATGACGGGCTGCTCTGATTCGAACAGCTTGGAGTAGATGGATCCGCTCCCGTCGTGGCCGCGGCCAACCTTGCCGACGAGGTGGAAAAGCGTGCTCTGGGTGCTCACCAAGACCCGGCGCATGTCGGCACGGCCAGGTAGGGCGTCAACCCAGAGGCCGGTAATGGGGCCATCGGGGTACTTCTGCAGAAGCTTGAGATACTTGTCCTCTCTACGGTAGAACTCGGTCGACGTCTCGATGTAGCCCTCGTATATGTTGCCGTCCGAGGTGCCAATGAGAATCTCGCGCGTCGAGGCGGTGGGCAGGGCGGGGTTCCAGGCAATGCTCTCGATGTGGACGCCGCGGAGACGGGCGAGGGGGCGCAGCTGGCGCGTCTGCGAGTGCAGATAGTAGTTCTCGGCGAGCGACGTGCATACGATCAAGTGTGAGGCCGTGGGGTCGAGCAACATGCGGCGGATGACGCCCACCTCAGCTGGCTTCTTGGGGAGGTCGATGTCTGCAGCGCGCGCTCGTTAGCAATGGCACGACATGGCACGCACGGCGAGGCCGGCAGGAAAGAAGCGTCTCCTACCATCGATGTCCTCGGGTCTGTTGAGGTCTATGCGCAGGATGCGGCCGTTGGAGAGGGCTAAAACAAGAACGTTGTTGGCGACCTGGGCTGCGACGAAGTCAGCAGCTATGGGGAACTGGAGCTGCACGCGCTCGACGTCGAAGATGGGCAACGCCCCTTCGCCGGCGAGGTCGGCTACCGCGCCGGCCGCCACGAAGCCGTTGGATGCGTCAAGCGCCATCGTGGGTATGTCGACCTCAATCCGCCCGCATCGTGGGTGCGGTCGTTGTCCTTGGGGTACCTTGGCAAGGTAGATCTAGGTCCTGATCCACACACCGGCTAGAGAGCACCGGCTAGGCTAGCAATTGCACAATTTATGCAAAGAGTACAACGCCACAGCCAAAAAACAGCGGGGAGCCGTCCAAGTACAGGCCAGGGCCCTATGCAGGTCGGTTAGGCTTGATTCGGTTAGGTTGGGCACACCCTTGATGCCTTACGTAATGCCCTGCCTCGCTGAATCTTTGGTATTTTCGTTGTCTTGTGCCTTGAACCTTTGTTTACGAAGTAAACAAGCCGTATTCTCTGTGGTGTTGTTGCAAGCCCGCGTACTGATCGCACGATGGCCTCTCGAAGCCCGCACACGGCCCGTACGATAGATGAACCCCAGCAAAGCCACCCTATCTCCCTGTCTCCCTGTCTAGCGACCCTGACTCTGAAGAAAGTAATGCCGGCGAGGACGCCGTACAGCGGCCTTATGAAGACAACCTTTCCGGCCGTGAGGAAAATGATGATGCCGACCTTCCAATGCCCGGCTGGTAGCCAAAACAGAATTTTCCGATCCGGTCACCTCAACGGCAGAGAGAGCGCCCGACCCCGACCCCGGCACCCGTTGACAGTCCTGTTGACAGTCAGTCTGACAGTTATACTCAGGTGAAGAAATCCAGTATGAACTGGTCGTTGGAGCTCACATACGAATTAATCAAGGAGGTACACGTCTCCTATTCGGCAGGTCTACTTGTACCTACCAAAAAAGGCGGCGGCTTTCTTCGTAATGTATATGAAGCGTAGGCTAGCGAACTTAACAAGCGGTCTAGCCTCAGGATTGCTGGATGAAGATGAAGAAGGTGAGGTAAGTCAAGTGGATGTTGGATTATTCGGGAGCCTCTTTTAACGTTGAGACCGGGAGGATTCTTGAGAGCGATTACCTTTGGGATGCCTTGGAGACGAATTTCGCTGTGGAGGGTAGAGAGGTTCGTGAAGTAAGTAAAATTCAACGCGAGCGGGAGCGCACGTAGTAGTAATAAAAAGTCGTGATCTTTTTTGTGGTGGTTAGGTAGGAAAATACCGTTATAAGGAGGTCCAGGTCTAAAGTGCTATTAAAATCGCCCAGGTAGAGTAGAAGGTAGGGAGGTGAGGAGTCGATTACTTTATTGCCCATGTATACCGCCTGCCTAATCAAGTAATTGCCATTATTCACCGTCTACGCTAAGTCCTACTATAGTAAGTGTCCTCCCTTATCGGCGAAAAATCCTTATCTGCCCACGCCAAGAAATCCCCCTCGCAACCATCAAGGTACCTCCTGGCCACTTTTTTCCATCCTGACTACCTCTCAATCTAACCACTACCTTCCTGAACACCACAAAACGAAAAGAATCCAGTCTCTTGCTTCATTTTATAGCCTCATACTGATTCATCTCATTCCTGCACTTCTTTCCCGCATTTCCCACCTTCTAGTTACTCTGGCTCACTGATTAAAGGTCCTTACAGCCGCTCGCCGCCGAATATCCAGAGAGCTACGCCCAGTACACTTTCGGTCGGTCCTGAACTTCGCCGCGGTAAGGAAAAGCCTCTCTAACTTCGAGATAGTATCGCAAGTATACCGCTGACTATGGATGAAGTTATATAGGCCTGCTTACCGACCTAGAAGAAGTGAGCGGCATTCCTTCGAGTCTTAATGAAGGCCACGATCTATAAGAACAGCATGACCTTCAGTTCAACGGTATAATACCACGTATTCGAGACTAGGCAGTTTCTCACGTAGCCATTCTACTAATGCCGTGAACTCGGTCTGGGTCATTTGGAAGAGTTCGAAGAAACGCCTTTCTGAGCCGGTCAATAGCCGTACGGCGAATCTATTCGTGGCGAGGTGGCTTCCTTCGTTAATTACGGTCCTTTCGTTTGACTGTGTCGCCTGTGATACTGTAATTGCGGCGAGAGTCATCGCCAGGAAGCCGGCTTTTCGCTTCTGGGCGTTCTGGGCGGTATCGTTGTCGTCCATTGCATCGGCTTGAACGTGGATGACCTTTGACTTCCATTATGCTACTCTTTCTATATAGTATATACTGTTTTTGAATCATCGCGTGTGCGCAAGCCATTCATGCCCAACCGACGCTCAAAACCAGCTTTGGAGAGCGGCTAGCGATTTGGCTGCAAAATGGCCATTTCGACCCAGTTCAAGCCTCTTTTCTTAGTAACTATGCCTAAAATCAACATCTCGAAAGAGACCACTTTTTCGATACATCTGTCGTGCCCTGGCTTGCATTCGAACGTGGCTGAACTCGTCTGCACGTACAAAATTGGTGCCCAAAAGGGTTTGGTGGGTTTCTTGGCAATTTTTAGCGCGACAGCTCGATATTTTGTGCTGACTTGTGCATTTGCTAGCCTTGTGTGGATCAGGACCCTAATAGAAGGTTACGCGCTGGCGAGGGGAGCTTCCAGCTTGCGTCAATGCGTGCTGCCTGTGGGGCTCGGCATCCTCCCCCATAGGTCAACCAACTTATGCCGTGCTCAGATGCAGATCTAAAATGCTATCAGAATCAATAAAAATACTAGTACTGTTTATTCATTACATGATAGTTTTCCAAGTAGCTAGATTTATTTCATTCTCATTATATCAACCGCATTAGTAAGGTAAGGTACCTGCTCAAGGAGTTGATCCCGGGTATCTAATGCCCAATTTTTTACAAAGATAATCAGTATGTTAGGTAAGGTACGGATGCTTAGGTGTCTAGGCAGGTAAAACATCAGGAAGGTAGGTAGGTATCCAATATGGATGTGTGCTTTGCTGCATTCTTTCTTTCCATCATTAGGTCGTCATCGTCTAACATTTCCTCCCCCTTTGGGCTGTCGCTAGGATTTGGCTGCGTGGCAGCCGTCACAGAAGAATTGCGAATGGCGCAAAATGGCCGTCTTTACAAACATAACTCACTTTTCCTCCACTCCCCTCCGAGAGGTAATTTTCATAGCCTCTCGTCCAATTTCAGTGTCCGATTTGACCGGCTTCCAATAGTGTCCCTGTCGTCTTCGCTGAGGTTGTTGATCTCGGCAGTCTCGTTTAGCGCCTGGGCCGTCCACTGGCCGGGCACTTCGGGTTTCTTCCCCGACATGACTCGGAGCTTCATGACAAAACTCTCGGCTCTGACAGGGTCCTCTGCGAGTTTTTTAGTCTCCTTGGCCACCTCGTCGCAGAGTCCCTTCGCATAATCTGCATCCCATCCGAGGTATCTCGTCAGGAGGCGCAATGCCGTCGGCTCGATACCCGTGACGATGGCAAACAGCCAGAACTTCCCGTAGCTGCTGCTCGCCCTGCTCCCGATGCCGAGGTCGTATACCGACTCTCGGATGTCGACGAAGCCCGACTCCATGAGCAACTCTTTCGACATGTGCTGAACGCCCCTCGGCCGGCCGCACTTCTCCAGCGCCTCGTAGATGCCCCTGAAGAGCAGGTGTATGGCCGAGCCCTCCGGGTAGAAGGTCAGGAAGTTCTGGTACGCGTACATGTCGTCAAAGTCGAGAATCTCGATCCAGCCCCCAGGCCGTATGCACTCAAACGCCTGCTCATAGATGAAACTCCAGTCCGTAAATGCTCCAGCCATGTTCCGGAGGTGGACCAAGTCGACTGTAGCCGTGGGGCGGATCCACTCTTCCTCTGCGTTCTCAATGTGGAACTCGATATTGAAGGGCACTTGCTGCGTCGGCTGGATCGGCGCAATATCTGTCCCGAATACCTCGCAGTCGGGATACTTCTCGGCCATGCCAATCGCCCACTCGCCTATGCCGGTGCCAATGTCTAATATGTACTTTGGGTCTTCGAGGGGCACCGTTGTGAGCTCCAGGTCAAAGAGCTTCAGGTATACCTGATGTATCACATATTGGCGCGTCTGCTCCGTCTGATCGATGGGCATGAAGTAATCGCCGCAGTACTGCCGCCCATTTTCCGTCACATACTCGACATCATCGGCATACAGTGTCCGGGACGAGTCTCTGTGCAAAAGCAATCGTAGGCCGCGGTTAGCAAATCAACACCTCTGCGTGCGGCGCACACCCGTCAGACACCTTCCGAGACACGGAGATGTGATGATTGATGACGTACATTGTTCCGGCATCTCGTCCCTGTCCGTACTGAAACGGGTACTCCACCTTGAAGGCAGTCTGCACACCGGGATAAGAGCTCATGGCGTAGACTGACACGGCGCGACCTCGGTAGTCATCCTCGTCCCGGGCAGGATCCGTGTCCGTGTAGTCGCAGTCGTGCCCATGGTCTTGATCTTGGTCCTCCTCTCCTTTGTCCTCCTGTCCTTGCTCATCCGCGTTCGCGTCCGCCTCGTCCCCGTCATCAACTTCGAGGTTGAAGCTGTTGCGCGAGACGTCCATGTCCATGTCCCCGGCGGCATTCTCATAAGGATCGGGGACAAGCGAGTGCCCTAGGTCTCGGGAGGGGACGTCAGCTTCTGGCGCACAGGACATGTCCCGGTGCGATTCCGAATCCTGGGCTGTGCAGCCAGTCTTGGGCTCTGCGTCGGTATGCATCTCGTCTATTTGCAAAAGCGCCCCAGGGTTCGTCTCAACATGTGCCGCCGGCTCCGTCTTTTCTCCATGGGATGGAGTTGCGGGAGTAAAGGAATCGTAGCCGAAGTCGCGAGCTACGCTCTCCGTGGCTACCGGTGAGCCATAGCGTGGAAGAGGCCGGTCTGCGACAGGCTCCTCGGTGCGGAACGTCACCCGCGTACTCGGCGTGACCGTCCGGTGATGCATCGACAAGTCGATAGGCGATGGCCAAGGTGATGGCTGCGCGATTCGACGGATGGGACGATATAGCGCAGCATGCGCAGCACATGAGAGAGAGCGGTCGCGCCGGCTGAGGTAGTACGTCGTATTATAGTCGCAGAGATGGGGCGGCTTTACGGATACAGTCCGATATCATTCAGAGCGAGCTGTATTTCAAAGTCGGCTCATCTCTTACGGCCGTCTTCCTGGTCGCAGGAGCAAAGAAAGGGCACGGAAGACGGGATAGGGACCAAAAGGAATAAGTAATGAGTAGAACTAGATGGGGGAGGTGCCTGTGCTTTGGGGGTTCTAGTTCTCGACGAGGCGACTTGCTTGGCCGGTCCACTAAGTTTGTGCTATTGACTAGCGTACCGAGAGCTGTATGTACTAAAATCCTTGAGGGCCCACGAACGAACGCACCCATGGGACGGTCGGTCGGGCCTCTCCATGCTGCTCGCTATTGACGTGAATGTCCAGGCCCACTATTTCTTTGCCCCCCCCTGCAGCATGGGCACATGGGGTTATCGAGAGCACTGAGTAGCGGGCAGTTCAGCCCCTCACGCCCTGCAACAGTCAAACTCATCACACAAAAAACCGGCGTGTGTAGATATGTCCATCTTTTCACCGATCTCCTAAATCCTCTCATCGACCTGCAAGCCGTAATGCAAAGTCCAGTGCACTTTCACCTTAGGCTGGGCCTAATCCAGGAGGAGGAAGAAGACCAACTCCTTCCTAGTACCTTAGCGCAACATCTCTTCGACTAGACTGGTGACTAAACGAGCTACGGAGTAATGCGGGAATGTGGACTAGCTCTTGCGCCTGCGCCTGCGCCCGGGAGAGAGAAGGAGAGGGGAGAGAGAGGCCGTTTTGCTGACCGGGCCACCACTGACATGATCACAAGGGAAAAACAGGGATCACCCCCCAAATGCAATGGAAGCGAGCTTGCTAGAGACGCTGCAGCTGGCAAAAGGAGGCGGGAAAGTCCTGGCAACTCGGGCTGTCAATGGCCTGTTCGTTCGAACTTGGGAGCTTTGGCCGCCCACCAACATTGCTTTCCCTCACATCCCCCACTCACTTCCTGGGACGCCGCATCGGTGACTGCGCCTTGAGCCCGCATCGGGAACATCTACCTTCCGGGTCCACTAGGATTCTCTCTGCAGTTAGGTTATTTGGGTCATCTCACTGTGAATTCAAGCCTGTGGCCGCGGACTTAATGGCTGCTGGCTTAGTAGTACGTAGACTGGTAGAGAGGGAGAGGGCAGGCAAGCGAGAGGTCACATTTAAGAACTCTTACAGAAGGGGGCAGGCAGGCAAACTGCGGCCCCGGACAGGAACACAACGAAGAAAGCCAGCAGACCGCCAAGTCTTTGTGTCGGCTCGGGGAATCAAGGGATTTCCGATCCCGGCGCTTTGGGCGCGCAAAGGCAAAAGGAGGTCCTCGGCCCGCCCATTATTGTGTGGATCGACTTAGCGAGTGAAGACAAAGGTCAATAATTTCATCCTTACTTTACGGAGTAATAGTCCAAGCTATCGGACGCTTTTTTGTGGGGCTGGATGGATGCTTGCTTGGGCTGAAGAGGGGGCGCGCAGCAGCACAACCATCACACGCACGCACGCACGCACGCACGCAGCCTGGTGCTGCCCTGCCTTCTTGGACATCAAAAGTCCAGGACACTGGGCCGGGACGGCGGACGGGGACGGTTTAGGTTATGCTGCAGGGAGGACGTGCATTGACCAACTGCTTCTATTCTGTGCCTGTTCGATACCCGGCCTGGTGGGTAGGTAGGTAGTTTATAGATTTGGATGTGCAGACAGACCAGACCACTGATTGTATTCCCGGCATCGAGGGCACCACGTAGCCACGTTTGTGAGCAAGGGAATTTTTGAGATTAAAATAAAACGGTGTGTGCCCGGTCCGCGTCCGCACCTAGGAGGCACGGGCGATTGAAAAAAAAAGTCGGGGGACGCGGAGGGAGGGGAAGAGGGGCGGACGGGACAACGATCTGACCTTGCTCTCCGTCCGACCTTCCCCAGGCGGGACCGGAAATGGCAGGGTTGCAAAGTGGTTAGGGGGGTTCGGTTCGGGCGGTGGAGCACACTGGAGACTGGGATCCAGACTTCCTCCAGAGGAAGGGGGAATCTTCATCTGAACTGGCAACCCACAATTTCGATCCCGACACGACGTTCAAGAGCCTTGGAGAAGATGCACGGCCGGGAAACGCAGGCGTGCATCCGCTTGAGCCCGTGGCAGTGGTTGATGGGACGGTCTTGTTGATTCAAGGCATCCAGGGCGCTGGATTGCATCGCAGTCGTGAGCGGTAGCCTAGCGGCATTGGCTCCGATACGCCGGGTTCTTTGTTTAGTGAAACCGTCGACATATAGGCGTCGAAAGTGTGCCGCCCTGCCAGGTTCATTGTGCAATTCTGTGCCGCTCTGTTGAGACGGGATTGTCTGAGTCTCTTTGATTGATATCTACAGTAAGTATCTACCCAAGGTAGTATGGAAGGTACTGAGTAAGATAATTAATTGACTGTCATACCAGAAAGCAGCCGAGTTTGGTTCAATCTCGCCTCCTGTCGCGCAGTTGATTCCGCACTCACCGCCATTCCCGGTAGCCCAAACTGAGCTTACTTCACACATTCACACACCGTGACTTGAACCATCCGTATGACTGAGATATGTATGTACGTACATTAGCCCCTATATAAGGTTTGGAGCCACAGGAGCCATCACTGGTGGACCACGTGGGATGGCGTCTGTTGGCCACAGCAACCTCTTTCACATCGAGTCGAGGCATCGAAACGTCAATCCAATCTCACTGGTCCATGCCTAGTTCGGCACGTGCCATCACACAATGTTCCCATGCAAGCCAGGCTGAGATCAGAGTGGCCCGGCCGTCCGTTTACAAGCCTCGTCTCGTCACCTCGTGTCTGTCCTACTCAGCACCACCCGACATCGACATGTCCAGCAACGCCACACCGGTCTGACAGGCGAGACGTGTCTAACATATGGCGCGTACGCATATTTCGCTGCCTCGGTGGGAGCAAGTCGTGTGGTGGTAATCATCAACGCCTATTCCCTAGTGCGTTTATTTGTATGTCCTTCCTGCTCTCAACCGTGGCCGGTTAACCCTAAGGAGATTGAAAGGGGGGAGAAGATATCAACAGGACAGAACGAGAGTCAATGATACTGAATTACCGACGAGGAATGTATATGCACAGTCCGATCCGCCGCACTCGAGCGCCGATCTAGCGAATCTGCCAAAAGTAAAAGTTCCGTGAACCTTTTTTATTACCGCAAGAACTCAGCCAATGTAACTAGCTGTGTGCTCAAAAGTATTCCGAGCGCCGAACACATATCCCCAAAACAAAAGAAATTCCATATTACCATTCATAATGACGTGTGGCTGTTTCGCCAACTTTCCAAAACTTGAGAACCCGAGCCCTGTGAGGGCGAGTCTTGCACCGAGAACGTGTGCAACTTGGTTTGCATCAGAGTTTGCGCTTCTTGGCCGGAGCATCCTCCCCCAGCGCAGGCTGGGGGTTGTCAGAGACGGGCTCTTTGTCCGAGAGGACTTCAGACCCGGCGACAACGGGGAAAGGGCTGAGAACCTTGCTGATGTCGCCCCACCACTGCTCACCGAAGGCGCGATACCACTCAACCGTGACGTGAAGTCCGTCCTCGAAGCTTGTCTTCTGCTCCCAACCGAGCTGCCGTAGCTTGGTGCCGTCAACGGCGTAGCGGTGGTCGTTGAATGGGCGGTCATGCGTGTATTTCACCCAGCGCCGGAACTCGTCGGCCGTCTCATGGGCCAGGCCCATCTTGGTCAGGAGCTTCCCGCACAGCGACAGGTTACTGATCTCGTCGTACGACCCAACGTTGTAGATCTGCCCCAGCTGCCCCCTATGGAGGATCGTGTCAAAGGCGTCGGCCGCGTCGCCGGCATACAGGTACCGTCGTGTCGGTGAGCCGTCGCCGTGTAGCACTACCGGTTTGCCCCGGTGCAGCAGGCATGCGAATTTTGGTATGATCTCTGCAACCGCAGTTAGCAACAAAGACCGACCGAGTAAGAACTAGCGGAGAGCGGCCGTTTCGCCGGCTTGTCACATGTCCGCCGATTTCTTTCTCAAGACCAAGGGCAGCGGACTTACTTTCTGGGTACTGATGGGGACCATAGACGTTGTTGCTTCTCACGATGATGACGGGGAGCTTGAAACTTTTTTGGTATGAGTGGACCAGCATCTCGGCTGCCGCCTTGCTCGCGGCGTAAGGGTTGGTAGGGGCCAATATGCTGCTCTCCAACAAATCATCGTCATCGTCCTTGACCTCGCCGTACACTTCGTCTGTCGATATGTGGATGAAGCGCTTGATGCCAACCTTCTTGGCACTCTCCAACAGAACGTGTGTACCGTAAACATTGGTGTGCGTGAAGCCATATGAGTTCCCGAAGCTGAGGTCAACATGGGACTGGGCGGCAAAGTGGAAAATGGTGTCGATGTTGTGGCGCTCAAGGCAGTCAACAACTTCGGTTGGGTGCGTGATGTCACCCTGGTAAAAGGTAAAATTTCGTCGTTCGTTCAGCACTCGGGTGTTGTTGAGTGAAGAGCAGTAGTCGAGCTTGTCGAACGAGACAATGTTGTAGGCATGCGGATACGTGAGGGTCAGATGCCGGACGAGCCAGCATGCGCTACGCCATCAAGATCAGCTGAACTGAACGATTTCGATGTCCGAAATCTCCACTGCAGGCCCGAGGCGAGGCGAGGCGAGGCGAGGGGAACAGCGTACATGAAGCCGGCGCCGCCCGTGATCATGATGTTCTTCACATCAGGCAACGGTGTGAATTTGGTAGTGCCGATGAGCACCGGCGCCTCTTTCCAGATCCCGTACTCCTCAAAAAAACCCTGGGCACGACCGTTGGCAAAACCGCCTGTTAGTCGGAGGAATCCGAGTTAGCACGTAATTAGGCGCCATATTGACTTGTATCATGGCCGAGCTCTGGTGAGATGAAGGGGAAGATTGGAGTACTTTGACATAACTCACCCTTTAAGGCCCTACTGGACGTCCCGCCCAAAACCGAACTCGAGGCCGCAGTAGGAGAGCCATTTATCGATTGGGTAGTTGTGATGGCCATTTTGCATGGTATGCGCGTTCTGTTTTTCGATGAGGAAGACAGCCCAGGTCTGCTCCGTGTGCTGCGCCCAAAGCGGATTTGGCGTTTTCACCCAGAGCATAGGAATAGCAGCTCGTCAAATAAATAGGTATGCTTTACGTAAGGCACGCCTCACTGAGGAACGAACGACAAAGAAACAAAAGGGGGAGAGATATCGACTGGAAGCCCGACTTCGGTCCCAGGCAAAACGGGCATCGGCTCCGCTGTTATTGGGGAAGGTGCGGTGTCATTAGACAGAATTCCTCGCAGGGACGGCAGGGCGATGGCTGGTCAAAGATAATCGTCGGGTGAAGGACAGGTGGTGATTATATGTGTTGATATCCCTCCAACGCCATTTCTTTCTTTTTCAGACGAGGGGACCTCCAAATAGAAGCAATACCCCTGCACAACGGTGCGGTTCGGTGCGTTTTGCGGAGAGCCAGCCGTTGTACCTTAGGTACATGTACCTTACTTATCGCTCTAATGGCCCGATCTGCACAGGGGCCACCCCGAGCTTGGCAGGAGCGAGGAAGGGATGTCCCGGAATGTGTGTGAGACCAGACCTGATCAGTGACCTGTTGAGGGACTGAAGCTGCTGTCGAGTCGAGTCGAGTCGAGTCTAATGAGAGATGAGTACCCTGCGGGATCCTAGACTCCTTGCGTGCGTCGGTCAGGTATTTTCGTCAGAGTACTAATCAATTCGCCCCAAGAATATCAGAACCTCAATTGTTTTGTCAGTGATTGCCGCGTGGCTGTTGGGTTAACTCTTGTGAGACGTGATTGACCATTGATGTTGTAGGAGAACACGTAATTGAGAACGAATACGGGGTACGGATGCCCCCTGGTCGTGGTTTCAAGGTTGTCCACGGATATCTGCAGGTGATGTATGTAAGGTGCGTAGTACTAGTAGTTTGATGCAACCTCACTCATTCAGCTCCACAGTTTGCTACTCTTATATGACATGGAAGGTATCCAGACCTAAGTTAGGTATTCCATTCTTTTAAAATTGCTCTGTCTCCATATTCTGTTTCTATACAAGTAGCATACTCTTGTTTTCGGCAACAAACTCACATCTCAAGAGAGTTCGACAAGATGGAGTGAAGATGCATCTAGAGCACGATTATAGTGCATGCAGCCATTTTCGAGGACAGCGGGAGGTCAGCTAATGCAGGGGAATGATGTGATTGACGGGAATGCACTTGCTTCTGGTTCGTCTCTCCCCGCTGGAATTCTCAACGTCCCGCCTTGCCGGAAAAGCAATTGGAACCCAGCTGAGTGAGAATGGGCTTGATTTGGGCTTGATTGAGGAAGGAATACGAGGAGAAGGCGCACACCTTTGCTTTCTGGCTTCCACTATTTCGTTGCCCCTACGGTATCAGCTTCTTCTTGAGCTGAGTGATACCTCATCAGCTCCGAATTCAACCTTTAAAAAAGATTAGAATTGGTGGGGGTGAGATAGTGGCGGGGATCTAGACTGCGCCGGCCAGCAAGGTGGCACACTTTGTACTACCGAAGGTAACTCCCCACACGTGCCATGGACACGACTCTGTTCGGGCTCACAAAGCGCCCTCAATAAGAGCTGATCGATGGTCTGGTTCGGTGTTGTGCGATCACGGCGACCCAGACGAACAATCGGTAATTTTGCAACATTTCTAACACGGAGCCACTGTTCGGCGGCACAAGCCGAGACTCATTGCGTGATTACCACCGAACAGCTCTGAAGGTAAGTAATATGCCACTACGCCGAAACGCTCAGTAATCATATCTTCCAGGTTACCTACATAGTTTATAACACAGTATCGATTAATGATGCGTGGCTGTGGCAGGTTAAATCCCGAAGCAATCCCCGGGTAAATGTGAAGCGTTGGAATGGAATGGGGAAAAGAAGACGAAATATGGATACCCCGTCTCCGTTGCGTTAGGAGCTGAGGCTCTTGCTGTCAGTGGAGGTTCCGTGGAGGCTCCATTCCTGCCCGGGCGCTCGAGTTAGGCGGGTCCATGTAACCAACGAGGCCCGTATTTCAGGCCCGTGGGTTTCAATACTTTCGAACACTCGAAGAACCACGGACCGAAATTCGAAATTCAAAATTGCTCTGTGTAATGCCCCTCAACGCTACGCAAATACCCCTACGGAATACCAGCCGAAAGATTACCTACCAGAAGGTAAATCAGCCAAGCTCACCTCAGTCGCGTGCGTGAAATGAGCGCCAACAAATGCGACTGACAATCCTAATGTTTATTAAACACGGCACTGAACACCTCGGGCAGTTAAAATGCGACGAGGAGAGACAATGTGCAAGCACGAAGGGAGCAGCAGCCAGGCCAGGCCAGGCCAATGGTTCTGTTTCCATAAGCCAGCCACAGAAGGCACCCCAACTCCTATTTAGGACAGATGGGAGGTCAAAGTCCGGCGGGATCGTCATCCCTTGTTCTCAGCTCTCAGTGGCGCGGTGCGGTGCAGTACATAAACAATACATACATAATCCATATGCGCAAATTGACAACAGCACCACCGACCGCCCTGCCCTGCCCTGCCTAGTCTAGTGTGGTTCAAATTCGCATTGGCTGCCATTTAGGTGCGGCTGGTAAAAACGGGCTGTGTTACACGCGGACAAGACCCGGGGTTGGCTCCTTGCTCTTCCTCGTGCCTTTTTTCCCGGAGCCGGCAAAGTTAGTAGGGCATCGGCTCACCTACGCCCAACTCGTCGGTGAGGATCTAAAAGCGCCAGTCATTCTGCGATCGAGCAGCGAGCGACCTAGCGACGACCCGTCAGGTACCCTACTGAGGTGCCCGCTGTGCATACTTTTAAGGTTTCACCGTTCGCGCGCGCCCGACCACGACACAGCCTTTCCAGTGTGGGAAAGTTTGCGCCATGTCTACGGAGCATAGGGAACGGGCCGGTTCCTTTTCGTCATCTTCCCCCGACACGCCGACCTTCGACGACGACGATAAACTTGCACGCCTCGATCGAACACGAGAAGGCGATGAGGAGAAGCTGAGGGTGCCGCCCGGGGAACTAGATACACGGAACGGCGAAGAAGACGGTTTAATTCCCAAGGAAGCAGAACCTCAGCATGAGACAAGTCCGCCGAGCACTTCGCTCGCTTCGTCGCTAGCATGGATGGCCATCAATACGCTCGCGACAATTGGAATTGTACGAACTCTGGGTTTCCTTTCGTCGTGAACCCCTCCCTCTCTGCCTCCCTCCCCATCGAAAGCCGAGGGCGAGTTGCTAATTCTGCTCGATAAAAAACAGGTGTTCACCAACAAAGCCATCTTCACGGACCCTTCACTTAAGCTCGTCCAGCTCACGTTCGCAGCCTTCCACTTCTTCATCACATGGCTCACACTGTTCATCATCTCGGGGCCCAGGTTCGCCTTCTTTGTGCCGCGGAGAACATCGCTGGGGGACATCATACCGCTATCGGTGGCCATGTCGCTCAATGTGATCCTACCGAACCTATCGCTCGCCTTCTCGAGCGTCACCTTCTACCAGGTCGCGCGGATCCTGCTGACGCCCACCGTCGCCGCCATGAACTTTGTGCTCTACAAGGCGACGCTGCCGCGCGACGCTCTTATCTCCCTGGTGCCCGCCTGTCTCGGCGTGGGCATGGTGTCGTACTTTGACTCGCAGCCCAACGGCAACGCGAACATCCAGACGACGTCGCCGCTGGGCGTGGCCTTTGCCTTCGCCGGCATCTTCGCCTCGTCCCTCTACACGGTCTGGATCGCCAGCTACCACCGCAAGCTCAAAATGTCGAGCATGCAGTTGCTCTACAACCAGGCCCCCGTGTCCGCCATCCTGCTGCTCTATGTCATACCTTTCGTGGACACGTTCCCCATCTGGACCAGCGTCAAAGCTGAGCGCTGGCTCATGATTCTCATGAGCGGCGGCTTCGCCTCCCTAATCAACATCTCGCAGTTTTTCATCATCGCCCAGACTGGCCCCGTCTCTAGTACGGTTGTGGGCCACGTCAAGACATGCACCATTGTCGCGCTCGGGTGGATGATTTCAGGCCGCGCCATCGGCGACAAGGCCGTGCTAGGCGTCTTCGTTGCCGTAGGGGGCATTATCGCGTAAGTTTCTCCGGATCTACCTGCCCCAACTCCAACTGGGGGCAACCAAGAAAAGCAAAATGGCGGCGTGAACACTAACGCTTTCATCATCTAGCTACTCCATTGTCATGCTCCGAGAAAAACTCAGAGAGGCTTCCCAAGCCAGATGACGACAAATCTCGAAATATCAGTGCATAAAGTAGCGTTGTTTAAATGTGTTTCTTGTTTTGTTTTTTTCCTTTTTTGGGGGGCTCGGCAAGCCTACCGGCTTTAAGGCGTTCTTGGATACCATGTAATAGAGCCAAATCGTGGATTGTTCCTTCGTTGTTTCAAGGGGGTTATCTGGGGGTTTTTTCTTTTTGTATAGTTCCTGTCAAATTGCCTTGTAGGGATGTCACTGGGATTTTCATCTTGGAGCACGCTACGGCTGTGTCAAGGAGTACGGAGTATACGTGTAATAAAAGCAGTTTTCGTGGTCTTGAAAGCCTGTCTGCGATGCATCATCAATGTCAAGTTGTCCTTCAGTAGTACGGATGCATCGAAATCCGTGAAGGGTATCTAATTTTGCTTCTCTCTAGGAATTGCCTGGATATGGCGTAAGGCCAACTAAAGATTGAACCGTGTTCTCTTCTTCTCCATCTTGGCTTTCCACTCCCACTTAAGAGCATCCTCGCCCTCGCTGCCTGCCCTTCCTATCCCCTTGTCTACTCTGCGAAGTTTCAAGGTCATTCCTGTCACAGTTATTAGCATTTTTAACAAAAGTTAGGCAGAAAAAGGGATTCCTACTGGGTCCAATCTCTTGGAGGCCGGCACGGATGCCCTGAAGCCCCTCCAGCTCCTTACCATCGGCTCCCACAACGTTCTTCTCGGTTGGTCGAGCCTCACGGAAAACGTATCTATGCCGGCGGACAAAGATGTAATCTGGATACCAACATGCAGTTAGTGTTTGTATTCGTAGAGGACCAAAGTGGGGCCGCATACCGCGTTGATTGTGCAACGTTACAACTTGTCTGCCACCAAGCTCCGGCTTGGCGGGGAAAAGGGTGTACAGAGATTTGGCGGCAAGAAGACCCAAAGGTGTCTGAAAGCCGTTGAGAAGGAGCTCAGGCTGTAGAAGTTGTCAGTTACCCGGTATTATTGAGCAAGTTAGAGAGAGGAGAGTCTCACGTAATGGTTTGTTGGGTTTCCATGGCCAAGAAGACTCTTTCCAGGTTGATATCCCCGGATAGTGTACGTAAGAGTCGGGCCAAGTGTAGATGCCTCGGAGTTCAAGTGGCAGATTGTAAGTTGACTTGGCTTTTTCAGATCCTCGTGGACAACGACAAGGGCCGTGAAACCTCGGTCTAGAGGGATACGCATTAGCAGAGCCCGGGGCAAAGGGGGTCGACAGCAGCAAACTGACTCTTGGCAAACTTGGCGATCTCCCTGACGCTGTACTTGTGCGAATGAAAATGTGCGCTTCGCCTAATGTAGGTAGCTAGTGGTGTGTTAACTTTTGATCAAGACATTCTCTCGCCCAAGATTTCAACCGTAATTGGGAAGAATGCTTACTATTGGGGAAGAGTTCGGCAATGTCTTGCGCCTCCTTGTGTATGGTTGCATTAATTCCAGTTGTTACCAATATCTTCGGAAACTGCGAGGGCTCTTCGGCAAAGAGATGCTTGAACTCTGTCGCCAAAGAATCTGGGGTCAGGTCTAGATTCGTTGAAGCCGTCGATGGAGCAAGGCTCGGGGTCCGTTGCACCCGCCGGCTTTGATCCCGCTCTGTCTTTGCATCGTCTTCCTCGTCCTCCCCATCCTCTCCGTCGGGTTTAGGCTCGTCGTCAGACCCAAGCATGCTATCAACGTCGTCATCGTTGTCGTCGGATAGGTTATCTTGGATCCCGTCGGCCTCTCTCGCCGCCGTAGCCTCGGCTTCTTCGAGACGTCGACGTTTCAATTGGGCAACGTTTACGACTGCGCCAAGACTGTCATCGTCGCCATCGTCCCATATTCTCTTCTTATCGATGCTAGCCGGCTGATTGTTCTCGAGCCGTACCCTTCTCAACTCGGGGTCCTTGGCCTCTTCTTTGCGCCGTCGGTGCCGTTCCTCGTGGCGGGATTTGTTGGCCTCCTTTTTCTGCGTGACATGAAGAGACTTCCGCCTCAGTTTATTCGAGGTTCTCAGAGAGAGAGAGCCTCCGGAGGATGGCTTCCCTTTCTGATGAGAGCTCATTGTTGTCAGATTTCCGGCTTTTAGATGTCCAAAGGTGGTGATGGAAATGCAAGGACTCGTGAAATTTTTTCTTAGTCGCAATTAGATAGCAAGGATCTGGCTCGAGCGCATGGTTGCAGGGCCCCTCATTGACTTTTTGATATTCCAGTATCGAGAGGAAGTGAGGGGCATCAATACTGGATAGTTGAATATAACTTTAGGACATTTCGCTCTTGGGTGATAAGCTGGAGTCAAAGAGGAGCTGCAGCGTCCCCCCCTCATGCACAAGGCAGCTCTAGGCTCCGTCGTCTCAGCTACAGTGGCACTGAAAAAAAGAGCCCACACTCGGATAAAAGCTTTCTCGTTAACTTAGAGTACCTGTAAAGGCTGTGACTCACCTGGTTGGGCAGAATTCTGAGCCATCAATGAAGCCACTCCCACACATCCCCGCGATCGCATCACTTCTTTGTGGAAAAGTATTCAACCTCCGCAACGTCGCGACCACAAGGGCTTTTTCGATCCGCCAATTCTCAGCCTCCACATCCTACAGTCGCTTCATCATCAGCAAACACAAAAAACACAAAATCAAGATGACCACGACAGCCACCACGCTCAAGGGCCAGCCCTTGGACAAGGCGGTTCTTGAATCCATGCTCCGGCGGCGCATGTTCTATACCCCTTCGTTTGAAATCTACGGCGGCGTGTCGGGTCTCTACGATTATGGCCCGCCGGGTTGTGCCCTGCAGGCGAACATCATTGACATCTGGAGGAAGCACTTCGTTCTCGAGGAGGATATGCTTGAAGTCGACTGCACCGTCCTAACCCCCCATGAGGTTCTCAAGACCAGTGGACACGTTGACAAATTCGCGGATTGGATGTGGTTAGTTCTCGTGCCGCCTCATTTATGAGAATTCTAGTAGCTAAATTTCAATAGCAAAGATCCCAAGAACGGGGAAATCCTCCGGGCCGATCACTTTGTCGAGGACGTCCTTGAGTCGAGGCTAAAGGGCGACAAGGAAGCCCGCGGCGAGAAGATTGAGGAGAAGGAGGTCGACCCTAAGAAGAAGAAGAAGAAGACCAAGGGCCAGGAGGCAATCAAGCTGGGCGACGCTGTTGTCAAGGAGTACGAGGAGATTCTGGCGCAAATCGACAATTACAATGGCGAGCAGCTCGGCGAACTTATCATCAAGTACGACTTGAAGAACCCGGCTACAGGAGTCCTGCCTACCCCTCCGGTTGCCTTCAACCTCATGTTCCAGACATCGATTGGTCCGAGTAGCAATCTTGCCGGATATCTCCGACCCGAGACTGCTCAGGGCCAATTTCTTAACTTCGCTAAGCTGCTAGAGTTCAACACGGGCAATATGCCTTTCGCCTCGGCTTCTATCGGAAAGTCTTACAGAAACGAGATCTCGCCCAGGGCTGGCCTCCTCCGTGTTCGCGAGTTCCTAATGGCCGAGATCGAGCATTACGTTGACCCTGAGGGCCACAAGAAGCACAGCCGATTCCATGAAGTTGAAGATATTGAACTCGTGCTTCTCGATCGCCACACACAACTCTCCGGACAGACTTCCGTCAAAAAGATGACAGTCGGGAAGGCCGTCAAGGATGGCCTTGTCGATAACGAGACGCTTGGCTACTTTTTGGCCCGAATTCATCTCTTCCTCGAGAAGCTCGGGATTGATCAGTCAAAGATCCGTTTCCGGCAGCATATGGCGAACGAGATGGCCCACTACGCCTGCGATTGCTGGGATGCTGAGCTCTTGACGTCAACTGGCTGGGTCGAGTGCGTTGGCTGTGCTGACAGGAGTGCGTACGACTTGACCGTCCACGCCAAGAAGACTGGCGCGCCGCTAATTGTGCGCGAACGTCTGGATGAGCCCAAGATCATTGAGGAGTGGGAGACGGTTATTGAGAAGAAGAAGTTTGGCCCGTTCTATAAAAAGGACGGCAAGACAATCGAGGCCGCTATCCTGGCGACGAGCCAGGAGCAGCGTGAAACGTTGGCCAAGGAGATGGAGCAGAACGGCAAAGTTGTCATTGATGTCCCTGGAGTCAGTGAAGGCAAGGTCGAAGTTAGCAAAGACCTGCTAGCCCTCGAATTCCGCAAGAGGACAGAGAACATCCGAGAATATACGCCCAATGTCATCGAGCCGTCGTTCGGTATCGGGCGGATACTATACTCATTGATTGAGCATAACTACTGGACCCGGGCAAGCGATGGTGGCGACGAGGCGCGTGGTGTGAGTGGCCAGTCATGCTTGAACCCTTGAACCCCAAACACAGCTGACAAAACCGCAGGTACTCTCATTCCCTCCTGCTGTGGCCCCGACCAAGGTCCTTATTGTAACTCTTTCCACGAACCAGGAGTTCGGGCCATTCACACGCAAGCTATCCCAAAAGCTCCGAGCCGTTGGCATCTCAAGCCGTGTGGATGATTCCTCGGCGTCGATCGGCAAGCGGTATAGCAGAAATGACGAGCTCGGTACGCCATTTGGCATCACCATCGACTTCCAGACTGTGAAGGATGGCAGCGTTACTCTGCGCGAACGAGACAGCACACACCAAGTCCGCGCCGACGAAGACAAGATCATTGCCGCCATACAGTCACTTGTAAACGGCGCCAAATCATGGCGCGATATTGAGTCCGAACTGCCGGTTTTCGAGGCTCAAGAGCTTGAAGTCCGCTGATGCTGAGCGAGATGGATATGCAAAAGACGTCATTGGCACATGTCAATGGCCTTCAAAGTGGAGTCGCGGGAGAGAAAGTTTAGCGAAACGTTGGCCGTCGTAACCCTGTGTTTATTTAGAAACAGGCAAAAGGAGTAATAGACGAGGTTTTGCAGCTGCCAACCATCCGCATCTCTGGGTTTCATCGAGTCTATATGATTTCTGCGATCTTAGCATCTGTGTTACGCTTCGTCATAGATCGCTCAGTATGTCAAAAGAAATGCGCAAAAGATATTTTGATTTCGTCAAGAATGCGTCTTCTGTTAAGCTTGACGGATCGTCTAAGACCGCCCGGTTCCCGCGCACCTCAGTCATGACTCTGTGAAACGAGCAATTTCTGCAAGATTTCACATGCACTGGGGTTGGCCACTTGAAGTTGCAAAACGCCTGGGTGACGAATTCACAGTTTGTCATCTGGGCCACCCGTTGTTTTTCTTCGTTACGGTACGTCTTCCGTACTTTTGCTGGATGATCCTTCCACGTGCGAGACCACCTTCTATAACCCACTCCACTGTAAGGCTGATGCTCTGCGCTAACAAGGCAGCCAAGATCCTACAACGTTGCCCCTGGCGCCAACGTCGCGCCTCAAGAGGAAGAGGCATACCTCCGTTTCAGAGCAAGCAAAAGACGACCATGATGACGAGCTGGCCTCCAACATGGCCTTGGAAGCAGACTCGCTGACACATCTCTTGGCCACTTACTCACTGGGTGGGTCACGAATCATCAAAGATGGCGGAAAGAACTGCAGTTGGAAGATGAGATTTCTAATAAGATGGACCCATCGTTGACGTTGTAAGACACTTGAAGGGGGCACAACCTGAGATGCCGTCAAGGCTGTTGGAACGCAGATCGGCAGCTAGCCGCACAGTGAGTTTTTAGCCGCGCAGAGACGACATGCAGCACGAGCATCCGCCTCATGCCTTTCCTTATTTGCTTAACCTTCCCGCAGGCCAGTTACCAGAGCGCATATCATCGCGTGGGATCGGCATAGGCAGTTGGGCGGCCGAAAAGATAAACTAATGGAAATGAGTAAGATTCCGTTCTCCGATGAGGACATGACCAATGGGTGCGTACTACACAGTGTAAGCCAAGAGTCGTCGTTTGGTTGGTGGGCTGGGGTTGGCCAGCGAGAGCGGGCTGCAGCGAGGACGGGCTGCGAAGGTCTAGAAGCGGAAGGGACCCAGACCTTTCCAGAGAAGGTTGCTCCTCCCTCAAACCCTTCCGGGCCTTCCCCCACATTTTCTTGTCTCCCCGCCCACCCCCTTTTCTAGACAGCTAGCGGCTGTTTCCAAACTTGCACGGATCTTGTCACAGATGGTATTTTGCCACCGTGGAGGCCTGTACCCTGCTGTCCTCGAAACGTTGCCTGATCTGTCTGTTTTGTGAGCTATGGTCAAATAAATAATGAATCGCGGTAGCGTTCAAGCCGATTCAATGCCCTTCTTCTCTCGTCCAACAATGCGGGCTAGGCACCTCTTCCCCCTAGTACTCTTCTTGCTGCCCGCTTGCTCTTTACGCGGAGAGGATTGGGGAGTCCATAGCTGGGCATTTCACTGACAGGGTGTCCGTACATGCGACGTGGGAGTTCCGGCACGGCGTGAACCCTTGGCCAAGCAGCCGGCCCGCTGGTATTGGACGCCGACAGATCGTTTCTGCACAGCCTTCCGGGATTTGCAACGCCAAAACATCCATTCCCATCTGCGCTCCAGCTTCAGTATTTTTAACCAGCCTAGTGATGGAGGACACGATATAAGCCATAAGAACAGTCGTTAGTTATGTCACGGTATACATTACTACGTACCTAAATATTTGGATGCCGTTTGGTCCATCCCGTCTCTGCCAAGTCTGAATAGGCACATGTTTTGCATCGGGCCAGATGTGAAACGTTCTGGAATGCCACATTCCAGTCAATTGCTAACTCGATAATATAAATACCTATTTCAGACAGAAAAGGGCCCTGAATTAATGAGCAAGGCCATGCGAAATAAAAATTCCTTTCGTCGATATCTCTTTACTCTTAAACCACACGCACTTTGCTACCCTATTCCCTCGAGATGAGGTAGGAAAGTCGGAAAGTTATAGGCTCGCAGTATCGCGCTAACTTGAGTTAGACCAGGCCGGATTGCAGCCTCCTACTCAGGTCAGGTAGGTAAGGTCTGGTAGAAGGAGTTTATGTCATGTCAAGGTGTACCAAGCGCATTTGTTTGCTCGTGGATTGTTGAAAGTGCATCAAGCCCCCCTCCACCAAAGACGATGGATCCGGCTGTGCAGTGATCATCCTCCAGATATGTCTGTGATACTGTCTTGGCAGCTTTGCAGACGCAGATGCAGACGCAGACGCCGTACTATACATAACTTGGGTAGGCGCTCAATACAAGAGTAAAGTAGGAGTCGTACAATATATACAGTATGTAAGTGCAATACAGTATAGATGCAAAACGGACCAGCCACCAGACGGGATCTCCAAACGGGAAGCCGTTTCGAGACATTCAAGCCTGCATTCAAAGACATCACCAACCCAAACCAAAGTGCGAAATACAGCAGAATTGGGGTTAGAGAGAGCCCCTTTACCAACTCTTCCAGCATCTCAAACCTGCGGTGCTCGGGCTAGGTTCGCGCTTGAAGCACCCAATCTCCTTTGGTCGCCTCGTTGAGCCTTGAGCCAGCGACGGGCTTGGTTAGTAGGGCTAAGGCGGTACTTGGCTGCCACACGCTTTCCGGGCCATGGGCTTCGTACATCGCTAGGCCAACCTAGGGGAGCTTAAAAAAACCAAACGGCACCCACACCAAATGGCCCGGACAGAGCGCGCTCTTACCCCTCATCGTGCCAGACCCCTGTACTTCCCATTCCCACACGGTCCAGTTGCCGTCGAACCTCCAGTGGCCGGCCCACTTGACCAGCCAGTGTCTGTCCTGAGATTCGCAGGCCACGAGCAACCTAGTCGAGTGCATCCCAGCACTTCACACCCCTTCTTTGTCATCCCCCTAACCGCCTGGAGCCCTCATCGCCAATCCTTCCCTCGCACCACAGCTGAGGACCGACCTTGCCTCTGCCTCACTTGTCCGAGTGCGGTTCTTGCACCCTGCGTTTTCGCCCTTCTACTACCGCCGCTGTGCTGTGTCCCGCACGTCGAGCGTCCCCTCGCATCACCGCACATCACGTCGAGGAACTGAGCAGCCCTTCGTTGACCGCCATCACCCCGGTCACATCGTGGGCAGCCTCCTTGCAGCCTGCCTGCAACTGTCTCCTTTTGCGATCCGCCAAGGCATTTCGTCACGACGAATCCCCATGTTGTCGTCACATTCGCCTGAGTCGTTCGTCCGCGCCTGAGCCGACCGCCGGCCGCTTCGATAATTTTCCAGCGATCGGCTCGATCGCTGCCTTCGATTGACCTAGCCTCTCCCATCTACACTTGGAGCGCCCACCCACGTGTCGAAAGTCGCCAGTTTCGTCCCTAGATCCTCCCTTCTCGCATTGCGAGTCGCGGTCACCGGGTTTGGGACTCAACCCGCCGTGTACCACGCTCGATTTCGGTGCGTACGTTTTGGTTAGCTGCGTAGTCACATATCTATACTCACCTTTCATCATCAGAGACATCAACGCCACAAGGCTCCCGCCCCGAGTCTCTACCCCCCGCTCTGATCAGTTACACGACAAAATACATCCATACCCCATACGACTACTAGTAATTGGTTCATCAATACCGCCAACATGGCGACGCAGAATAGGTATGAATGACCATCCCTCTCTTTCCACCGTCTTTAGTTGGAGTCGGAAATCAGAGAGACCTGCATCGTGGCATGGTAGAAGTGCTCTTGTTCGGTTTCGCCGTCATTGACGGCGTCCCCCACTCGAGTCCCCCCTCGAGTGTCTCCCCGCGCTCTAGCGTGCTCTCGCTCTTCTCCATTTGTGTCACCAAGATAATGCCAACAAATGCTAATACGTCCTGTTCGCTAGTGTCTACTCGGCTGGGCAATTCATGAATCCCGGTCCTGCGCCACGCCCACCCGCAGAACGGCCTCGCCTCGGCCTAACGCCCAACATAAATCTTCCTGGGAGCATGTCGAGCATGAGCCTTGCCTCTCCTGCGACTAGCACGTACAGTGGATCCACCATTGCCCTTCCCATCGCGCGCCAGAACTCCAAGACGGACGGCTCAGGCGGTCTCGCCATAATCAAGCAAGGGCCGGCGCAGGTGAAAGAGACCGGGGGTCTGTTCAGCCTCTGGAAAAACAGATATCTAATTTTGCGCCAAAACACCCTGGATTTTCACAAAGATGAGGGTACCAAAGTCTCATACCAGCTGAGCCTGAAAGAGGTTATCCACGTTGGACGAGTTGAAGCCATAGGCGCCATCTTTGAAATCAAGAGAAGGACTGACGGCGGATCTGGAGCAACGACCGGCGATGACGAGGACAGGGGCATCAAGACGCTTCAGATTCGCGTCAAGGCTGATGACGAACTCTATGAGTGGGTTGATCTCATCTATGCTCGTTCCACTTGCGGTGTGAGCAATCCGACAAACTTCTCACATGCCGTCCATGTTGGATTTGATCCCAAGACCGGCGACTTCGTCGGATTGCCTCCAGAGTGGGCTAAGCTCTTGAAGTCCTCAGCCATCACCGCCGAGGACTATGAGAGGAATCCCCAAGCGGTGTTTGAGGTTCTCGATTTTTACTCTGATCTCACGAAACGGGCCGAGAAGGAGGCCCAGGACATCAGCCCCACAAACACGCCGGGGAGCAGTGCGACCAGTCTTCAAATGCAACAGTTGGGCTATGCTGGCGGCAACTCTGTTGCGCCGCCGCGACCCCCTGTGCAACCGATGCAGTCTATGCAATCCATGCAACAGATGCAGCAGATGCAGCAGATGCAGCAGATGCAGCGGAATCCCAGCAATTACACGCAGAATCCGTCTCCTCAGCCTCCGGCCAACGAGTTTCGCTGGCCATCGCCAACCGAGGCGCAACAACGCGCAGAGATGCAGCTCCATGACCTGTCGCCAGCCTACATTCCGACTGAGCGTAGCCGGGAGGAGCAGCGGATGAGAGAGCAGGATCGGCAGAGAGAGGCGGAGGAGCAACAAGCGCGTCGAGAGTTGGAAGAATATAATGCGTCCCTCCCCAAGACGCGGACACCACAGGCCCAGCAAGAGATTGGCGGTTTCTCTAACCCCCAGACAGCAGGTTATTCCAGCCCTGCAGCAGGAGGTTACTCGAGCCCAGCAACAGGTGGCTTCACAAGCCCTCCAAATGCTGGAGATAGGTTTAATCCAAGTCGAGCTGCTCCGCCAGCACCCAAGGCGCAACCGGCTCAGAGTCTCAGGGCGCAAAGGCCCGCTCCCTCCCCGCCAGTGGGCACTGGTGTCTCGTCGTCTCGTAGCCCTCAGATGGCGCAACAGTCCAACTCTCCTCTGATGCGCGATGTCGTGTCTCCGGCACTGTCCCAGAAGTCTCCGCAACCTAATCAAGTCAACGGCGTAGCCTCCCCCTCTCTACGATACCCCAACGGGGCAACATCGTCTCCGCGGTCTGCAAACGGATCACCTCAAGTGCAGCCGTCACGGCTACCGGCGCCTGTGAAGCCTCTCAATGTAGCCAAGCCTATACCATCACCAGACGCCGTGAAGGCTGCTGAGGCTGCTTTAACGTCAAAGCCTTCCCCGACAGAGCGGAAGCAGGATGTTCGCATGTCAACCATGACGGAGAGCGAAGTAATGGCGAAGCTGAAGAAGGTCGTGTCGCCGACCGATCCTCTTACACTGTATTCGAAGCAGAAAAAGATTGGTCAGGGCGCGTCGGGATCCGTCTACGTTGCCAAAGTTAACATGTCTAACCCTGGGGCTCCCCGTGGCAATGACAAGGTTGCCATCAAGCAAATGGATCTCGCGCACCAGCCGCGCAAGGAACTAATTGTCAACGAAATTTTGGTCATGAAGGAAAATAAGCACCCGAATATCGTCAACTTCCTCGACGCGTTCCTGAGAAACAACAACACGGAACTCTGGGTGGTCATGGAGTATATGGAGGGTGGCGCCCTAACTGATGTCATCGAGAACAACCCCATCATTACCGAGGAACAGATTTCCACGATTTGCCTCGAGGTACGTTCTTTTTCCAGCACTTTGTTTCTGACACGGTGGCTAATCCAGTGAACAGACATGCCAGGGTCTCGACCATCTCCACTCGCAAAAAATCATCCATCGCGATATCAAGAGCGACAATGTCCTTCTAGATGCTCGCGGAAACGTCAAAATCAGTAAGTCAAGCTCTCTCCAGCGACTCTCCGTCGTGGGCCAAAGCAATGCTAACTCTGTTCCAGCTGACTTTGGTTTCTGCGCCAAGCTCACGGAGGCTAAGTCGAAGCGGGCTACTATGGTCGGTACACCCTACTGGATGGCTCCCGAGGTAGTCAAGCAAAAGGAATACGGTCCAAAGGTCGATATCTGGTCTCTTGGAATCATGGCCATTGAGATGATCGAGTCAGAGCCGCCATACCTGAACGAAGAGCCGCTCAAGGCCCTCTACTTGATCGCCACCAATGGAACGCCGCGCCTCAAGAAGCCCGAGAAGCTCAGTAAGGAGCTCAAGGCTTTTCTTTCAGTCTGCCTGTGTGTAGATGTGAAGAGCCGCGCCTCAGCAGAAGAGCTGCTGCAGCACGACTTCCTCAAACACGGCTGCCCGCAGGCGAGTCTTGCGGAGCTTCTTTCGTTCAAGGGGGCCAAATAGACATGCTCGAGATTGCATAGCCACCCAGGCAGTTGTAATGCCCGGATGGGACGGTGATAAATGGGGAGGCTTGGGGGCTGATGAATTGGAGATGCCATTTTGGATGTCTTTGGCATCAAAGGGGAAGTGGAAGCGGAAGCTTCTGCGCTGGGAGACGGTGGGAGACGGATTTGACAAAGGTTTGCGGGTCGGGAGCAAGCATATTATTATTTTTTTGCTGTCTTGTCTTGTTTTCTTCTCGCGTTCTCTTTGGCTGCTAAATAAAGGGAAATCCATGGCGTTATATGGTTTTGATACAGGGTTTAAGTTGCGGGAGGCAGGCAGGCGCGCGTTTGTGTGCAACTGTTAAACCTTTTGTTTTCTTCTCTTATGCTGTTTGCGTCTCTTTGACCAGGGCCCTACTATTGAACTACCTATAGCCGCGCTCTACATAGCATGGAGGGAGGAGCCTGAGGGAGGAGCCTGAGGGAAATGAAAATTGTGTTAGCACGCTGTGTCTCCGACCTGGTCACTAGAATGCCCCGTCTCTATATATATCGCAGGCTTGACGATCATAGGGGACGGAGGGCAGTGATTATAGCTGGTGCCTTCCTTTGCTGTGTTCGTCCCGGTTGACACGAAGTAGAAGGAGCCGGACGAGAATAACTCTCCCTTTCTCCCCTCTTTGTGTTATATTTCCTCTGCTTCAAAAAAGGCTTGCCTTAAAAAGGGACTTCCACAGTTAGATTTATCACGAAAGTGAAACGGCCCAAACCCGGTTAACACAGGCATTTGCCGCGGTACAGCAAAAAGTCAAACAATTGAACGGCACTACTCTTACCACCGCCATGCAAGATCAAAGTTTTCGCCCAGAGCACATAAAACGCACCAAATGTTTCTCCCCTCTTTGCTTTCACATCCGTGTTTCCTACTGCTGTTGCTTGTGTTGGCGGGCTTGGTATACTGTGCGTTCGATACTGCTGAGCTGCACTATGCTTATGAACGGTCTGGTTAGAAGACGGAAGACGGACCCTTGATGCTGACGCACCTATCTACTTCCAGTACGGATACAGCGAGTGTTTCCTCTGATGAGAGAATGGCATTCTACGGATTGCCGTTGGCCTGGGTGGCATCTGTGGAATGGATGACGCGACGCCGTATCAAGGAACACTAGGAGGCGGCAAGGAAAGCTTGGTAGGGACTTATCGACGAGATGCCACGAGGGAAACAGTTCAGGCACTGGTAGGCAAGTGCCAGGTAGGCCTTATGTTGACAAGATGTAATGCCTGTCTGATCGCCATAGTCAAAGATTGGAATGGCAGTGATGTCTGTTTTGTTAACAGTAATGTGTGATACATCCGTACGGGAAACTAAGGTACATTTATCGGTTACTTATTTGCAGTAAACAAATATTAACACTATACGGACATCCCTGGGGTCCTCCCTCCCAGTCATCCCTTGAACCAATCACGCCCCTCTTCGTTAACCTCTCTCCCACGCGCAAGAGCGACGGACGGAACTGTTCGTACAGCGCCACATGGCAGAAACTCGACCATGTAATTGTCCCGATCTCCCTTATGTTCGTCTTATTTCGTCTCATCAGCCGAGTCGGCCTCATGCTGCTTCAACACGGGTGCCATTGCACCGACGCCCTGACCTCACAGCTGTCCTCGGGGATGGCAGCTCGTTACAATTATCGTTCTGATCCCTCGTCCGCTCGCAGCAGTGAAAGGCAAAACGCCAAGCCGACTCGACGTGGCTCCCTACACAGTGGTACAACAACTGTCACCATCTTGATAACCGCACGCAAGATGCGGAGCACAGCACACAAAGAAGCAAGGCCCTAGTGAGGCGGGGCGTGATCCGCACCGTCATAGTCAACGACTCTTGCACGTCTCCCAGCTCGTCAAATTCCGCGCGAGGTGCCACTCGGTGAGCCGGCCGACCTGGACGGGGTTGACGCCGCGGTTCGTCTTCATGAAGACGAGCTCGTAGGGGTGTACGTCGGTGCCAAAGTACGCGCCGGGCCGCAGCACGTCGCCGTTGGCCGACGAGTCGCACTCGTCAATGTAGTTGGCGCTGGCGTGGAACGCCGCCATCATCACGTCGACCTCGTAGCCGGCGTCGCGGATCAGCGCCGTCGCGCCCACCTCGGCGTGCACCGCCGCGTCCCAGCCGTCGTAGCAGCCCGCCAGGCCGACGGGCTGCGTCGCGTCGCCGAACTGGTCTGCCGCGGCCGTCGCTGCCTTGGACGACGAGTTTGTGGATGGTGGGGGGTTTAGTAGCAGGTCGATGCCGACGCTGTCGGTGGCCCAGATCATGGACTGCACGTGGAAGCGCGGCCAGCAGTTGGCGGTCATGCCGACCAGCTTGACACGGTCCGTCAGCTGGTCGAGGAACAGGTCGGTCCAGCACGAGGCCGAAGCCGGGGACCAGTGGGGGATGAAGGGCCCGCGCAGGCTGGTGTTGAGCAGGACGAAGCGCGAGTAGCGCTTCCACAGGTCGTCCTTGCGCAGCACCTCGCCGTACGCGCCCAGGTCGTAGCACGTATTGGCGCGCTGCACCACGCGCACGTTGGCGTGGCTCTCCACGGGCACCAGCGCGCTCGCGTTGGACTCGCCCTGGAAGATGAAGACGAAGTCGGCCGCCCCGTGCAAGCCCTGGCTGAGGAAGAACTTGAGGTTCTGCAGCGGTATGCCGTCGGCCTTGTCCGAGTATGCGTACAGGACCAGGGGCCGCGACGACGCGTCTAGGTGGGATGATGGGGTGGCCGTGGGAGGTGCGGCGGCCGCGGCTTCCGTAGTCGCCACGGTCGCCGTCACTGTCGCCGTCACCGTTGATGTCGTCGTCTCTGTCTCCGTCGCCGTCGTTGTTGTCATGGCTATCAGCTGACGGTCGAGGTTAGGCGAGGCCAGCTCAGACCCCGTAGTAGCCTGTTGGGGCGCATCACGGTTAGTTGGTGCCGGTGCGTGCGTTGGATGTAGATACCTAGGTAGTGAAAGGGGGCCGGGTTGCCAAGCCATGCCATGGGATGGAAGTTGGTCACTTACAAAGACATAGGGGCTAGTGAGCGATGCCACGACCCACAGCAGGAGCACGAGGCCAAGCGCCGCGAGCACCGACTGCTTCAGAGGCAGCGAGCCCAGCATGGGAGACATGGTGAGTAGGTATGTAATTAGTGCTACTGTTGATTTTTCATTCTCGTTCTCATTTTGCCATGCCCGAGCTCTACAGGGGCAGCATGGCCGTGGTTGATGCCAAGTGCGAATGAGCAACTGGTTGTTGGCTGAGGGCCGCATCTCCAGTCAGCCGCAGCGTCTCTCCCCGAGCATAGTATTGGATGCGCGGGCAGCTTGTGCTAAAAAGAAGCATGCCCGGCGAGTTTGGGGGCGCGATGCTACAGTACAGCGGCTACGCCAATGAGAACCCACAGCGCGGGCAGGTGCATGTAACCCTTTTACTCAGTGCTAACGTAAGGTTATCGAGCGACTTTACCTTACGTATCCGTGCTTGCCTACGTCCTTACGGGAGGAATGCTTTTTGTTTTTGTTCAGTTTTGCGTCCGAATTCGGATGTGGGTGACTTATACGTAAGATAGCCGCAATAAAAGCGGCACTCATATCCCGTACTCTGTACAGTACCTAATTTAGATACGCCTCTCTCTTTTTCTTGTGTGTTGCTTGACAAATACGATCGATGCCCATCAGCATCTCAAATATCGAAACATGGATGCCTACGTCCCCGACTCAACAACCCACAACAGAGAGGGCTACCTTTGGTGGCTACCTTGCCGTTTTCATGTTTCAATTGTTCCATCTTCCGCCAAGGTAAAGACAGGTAGGTATCCGTCGTCTGATCTGATGAAAGCTGTCGACGGTTGGTTCCAACAGCTTGCCTGCGAGTCGTTTGCGAGCCAACGCTAATCCCTGCCTGTTTCTGTTGACAGATAGACAGGGGCCCCGATTCCATTAATACGTACATCTCTGAACAGAACAATGTAGTTCTTAGTTTAGTTCGAGACATTACTAAGCCAGGTAGTTGCCAGGCATCTTTTGTCAGATACCCCCTCCCCCTCCTCATTCGGTGTGAATACCACCAACGTGCATTGGTGTGCCGGCCAGGCATGTGGGTTTTTTTTTTTTTTGGTTTTTTTTTGCCGCAACGCTTGTGAGGTGTCTATTAGTATCTCGCGCTAGAGGTACATCGAAAAAGGCCTAGTTGGTTTTTTGGGAGTCGTCAAGTTTCATCACCATGATGCATGGGACCCAACTACTCGCCGATCGAGACCATCCGTGCCGTCTTCCTCGAGAGCGCCGCCTTGCAAGGCCAGTCCGACTGCACAAGGACGCCAAGGGCTCTACAGGCAAACTGACGGGACCGACCACGCAGAGCAGTGCCCGAGATAACGTGTGATTTTATTCTTATCGTTGCCTTAGTCTACAAACTACTACTGCACAGTTGGTTTCCAATATAAACCTACCGAAGGGATTGTTGGGGATCAAGGAATCTCGGCTCCAAGTTTTTGCTTTTCCAACAGGCGGGGTTTGCATGCTGCAGTCTAGGGCAGATCTATGTGCTATATGGATGTGTGTAGGTATTTACGTACCGGGAGCTAGGTACGAAGTAAATCCGGGGCGGCCTTGACGACGCATGCCATGCCATGCCATCATATTATGCAGCTGTCGGCTGTTGGCCGTCGAACCCCATACATTCCGCCCCCGACGGAGCCGAGACTGGCATCTGCCGCTTCTCCTCACCTGGAGCCCGGTTGGCTCAAGGTTCGACGAGGACGGGCCTCGGCCTGGACGAATAACATTGATCATGCGGGTTCAGGCGGATGCTCTAAGCTGCTCGGCGGTCGGGCATGTGGGTATTTACTCGGTGATGCGACAGCTAAGGTAGGAGTGGTCATATCCGTCGGCTACGCTGGACCTGGCTACTGTACCTGCCTTACCTGAGCTTTCACAAGATAGTGCAACAGCCCGTCTGAAAATCGAAAGCCAAGGTCCCGCCCCCGGGACTTAGATGCGGCCAACAGGAAAGAAAGTGGTTGTTGGAGCGGGCGGCATTGGCGTTGGCGTTGGCGCTGGCGTCGAGGCGGGCGCGGGCGTTGACGTTGGCGTTGGCGTTGGCGTTGGCGTTGGCGAAGACGTTAGTGGAACTTGGGTGTCCGGGCTGGCGTGGACCTGACGAGGCTCGAGAGTCGAGTTGTTTGTGCACGGGTGCTTGTATCTCGCCGCCGCTTTCTAATACCATGATGCCTGCAGGGCAAGGCCGGTCCAAGGACGGGACGCTGTTTGCCACCTCTTGTGATTCGGAATGGCAAACACGGACCATGCCCTGCCCTGGGCGGCTAGCGATCGGGTCGACCTCCCTTCTTTCGGGACCCGCCAGCATGCTTGGCAAAAGGAGATCGACAGCGGGCGACCAGTCGGAGCGGCGTGAGCCTCCCTGCCCTGGCAATTCAGGGGCGTGCCCGTAGGAATTCCACCACCCACAAGGGGGGCCGTTTCAGATTTCTTGGCAGATCCCTTTCTGCCCTGCCCGCCATCCCCACTGATTGGCGAGGCGGTATTCGGGGTACACGAGCATGAATATGTGACCGCACTTCTTAAACACGTCGACAGCCGGCCGGGTTATGCATTTTCGGCGACTCGATCCCTCCAATGGCAGACAAGCCAGTTTGTCGAGTGTTCGCGTCGTCGTCGTAAGCAGACTAGGCGCGCATAGGTATCCACAAGCTGCAGGCCCTTCACTTGGCTTCTATTGTCAACATTGGCGGACTGACCGGCTCACTAATGGGCTGACTGGGCGAGTGTCGGATTCCGAACGGTCTGCAACGACGCGCGGTTGTGCACTTTCTCACCACATACCGAACCTCCCGCCGTCGACTAAATTGTCACATAGTGAGCAAGGTGGGCATTGGCTTTGAATTTCTCGCCGGCGGGGGAAAAGGGGGAGGGGGATGGCACAGCACGACATGACACTGTACCGGGCCCCGGCGTAGCATGCGGGGGCGCGATGGTCCTGTGCCTGTGCTTGTGCGAAAGCTAGTGCTGTGCCAGAACGCCCCTCACGCGCAGGACAGCATCTTGGAGACGTGATTTTTTTTGAACCAGACCTGGACCTGGGCCTGGGCCTGGGCATTGGCCTGGAAGGGCTGTTAATAAATAGCTAGGCGAGCGAGGTGCTCGATGCCGTGGCCTGGCATCTATGCTGAGAACAGTGAGCATGATTGAGACTCAAGGGCTACGCAAACTCGCAAGTGCGTGTCGGCAGACAGGTGCACAAGCCCCAACTCCACTGTTGCGCTCCCCAAACATGTTTGGGCCTTAGAGAGGTTTCGCTCGACGAGTCCAAAGCTGTGTGGACGGCTTTCGAATCCCAATCCATGCATGCATGAAGACTGAGCTGCTTGCTGGAGCATAATCCCGAGCTAAACTACACTTAGTTGAGTGCGGAAGGATGGCTGCCCGCTGCGTCCGTCAGATATTAGACAGCACCACCTTATAAGGCATCCGTAGAGAGTCAGGACTAAGGTTTCGCTCAATTGTGGAGTCCGTTCGGATCCTTAGGCAGACATCATGCTCGGCTACAGAGCTACACCAAGATGCGGAGAAGTAGGTATTCTCGGCAGAGCCAAGGATATAGTACGGAATCCATTGTACACCACCCAGGGCGACCAGCCATGCAATTCCGGGAGGGTGTTGCCCACCGTCCATGCCCTGGATGATCCGTATGTATGCATGTATGTACAGAGTATTATTAGGTCGATCGACGAAAGTCGGGTGGGCGGCAATGCTTCCAGAAGCTCTGCTCTTAGCTGGGGCTCTAAAGAGCTGCCGGCTGATCATTCTCATGACGGATATAGCTCTGGGTTTGAGCGACGGGGAGGGAAGGGTGTGGCTTGAGATTTATGTATGCAATACACATCTCACAGTAGTATCCTGGGCTGCCGCTGTTAATATGTAAGCCGCACTATAAGTAGTCCTAGAGGGTTCACTGGGACCCATTGGGGCGATCCTCGGGACGGCAGCCGATGTCGACTGTCAACATGCAAGCAAAAAGACAACCACCTTCCCGTCTTTGAGCGATCAACACCAAAAGTGAGAGCCGCAAACACGGCAATAAACGAAATATCTTGCCGGAAACTTAGAGTGGCCAATGACTATAGCTGGGCATTATATTTACATACAACACAGATATCCAAGGTACGGGGCAGGCACCTATCGATAAGCGCCCCATTAGAATGACGGCTCGAGGACTTGGCAAATTCCATCTCCAAGATCCATCCAGTATGACGTAGGCTGATCGCATATTCTCCACCGACAGATTCAGGCAAGAATGCCTAGACTAGGTAAGGAAGTTTATATGTAACAAGAAAGGCAGAAAAATGGAGGGCCTGTCGTACAATGAAAGATGACAATGCGCTTCTTTGCATCCATCGTGCGGCTGCAACAGTACCTAGGTACTTACTTACCTTAAGTAATGGAAAGGTAGGAGGTCGGTCTGGATGGTCCTGATAATTAGCAGCCCAGCTTTGCGCCGGCAACTGGAAAGCTACACTAGTAATAAGCACTGGCATCCTTGGCCAGGCACTTAGGTAGGCAAGTGCGAGTGCGAGTATGCAGTTTCCAGGGCACATCTTCGGGAGTGTGGCCGGAGCGTGGCCGGCCGTCCACCTGGTCCTGGCCAAACCACTGGCCAAAGAGGCGGTTGTGGCGGGTAGGCCAGGCCAAACCTCTCTGGCCGTGCAGCCGTCGTGAGCCGTCGTGAGAGACTGGACGAGAGTCAGCTCATGGGAGCCCCAATAGTACCTTAGGTATCCGTATAAGAAGATGGAAATGCGGCTGGCTCTGCCACCTGTGGAGTGCGAGGGTGCAGTTCAGAGCAGTGCAAGCGCAGTTCAAGCGCGCAGTGCAGGCAGGGCAGCAATCCAAAAAAAAATTAAATTTCGTTGCTGCAAGGAATAAAAAAATCCTGCCTTGCCCTGGCGCTGTTCTCGGTAGCTGCGTAGCTCAACCCCTAAACGGGTGTTTCATCTTGGCCCCCGTCCACTCATCCACACCTTCCCTTCACTCTTCTACTCGCCAGTCCTCAACCCCCGAAATTTGTTGGTCGCCCCACCGGCTTTCTTCTCCTTTCGAGTTGCCCATCCCTTTCTCCAGGTTCACATCGCACCTAATGACGCCTGTATATTGACTACCTCTTTTTATCTTCCTTCCCCTCCTTTCTGCCCAGGGAGCAGACGGCCGCTGCGAGCAAGACGACGCCTGAAATTCCCCAGGGTGCAACGGAGCAATTTGTGCACATCTGGCCCCGGCCAGCTTCCAGCAGCAGCCAGCCTTTCCAGTTCGTACGTCGATTTCCATCTTCCTTGGTCCCGACCACCCGTGGTCCCGGCCTCGATATTGTGCCGCCGTGTCCGGCGATCCACGCCCCCTCCTCCCCTGGCGCTCCCTTGCTGAACATTTAGGTCAATTCTTCCCAACAGTCAGTCGCCCTTGGTCGGCGACTCGGAGCATATTCGTCACGACCCCTTGTAATTGCATCTGCCAGCCTGCAACTATCTCCCCTTCCATTCTCGATCTCGGCCAAGCTCCTCGAGCTACATTCCTTGCACCTGTTCTCCACCGCGTCGTTCAGTGTCGACTCGTTCTTTAATTAGGAAGTTGTCGACGACCTTGCGCCCTTGTCATCGTCCGTCTCGCTCCGTCTTCGTCGCAGTCGGTACTGTGTCGCAGGTGGACCCGCCCTGCCAGCCGAGTCCCCCGGTTTTCCATTCACCCCCGGACTGTTTGTCTACGTGGCGTCCCGTCAGACCTGCCCTCCCCCCCGCTCGGCATATATCTCTGTCCCGGCGGAGAGAAAGAGAGTAAGGGAGCGCATGAGAAGGAGAAAGACAATACATGCTACTCATGAGGGCCAAATAACGTAATCGATAATGTCAACTTCAAGATCTAACGAGCATCTGACAATTGGCTATCCGCCCCAAACGGCGACGGCTCAGAATCGGTCGACGTCTCCGACGAGCACCTCGCCGAACGATCCACAATCAGCCACCAGTTTACGGTCTCCCTTTGGTCTGTCTCCGGGCCTAGCACCGTCAACCAAAATGTCCGGCAGCACGCGGCCTGTCGCGGGCTCGCCTTCTCATGAGATCCCACCATCTGGCCGCCTCTTCTCCAAGCGGTTAGTTGTGAAGTCGAGGGCACCCAATGTCTATACATATTCTAACTAAATGACCGCAGAGCTCGAGAGATCCAGGCGCAAGAAGGTGTCGCGGGATTGCCAGTAAATCCCTGGGGGGGCCCTCCCACCAGTGGTAACTCAACACCCCTTCGCGAGAACATTCCCGAGTCGCCCACAGATGGCTTTCCCGACTTTGCCCAGCTGCCCACCCCAGACAGCTTACCACAGACCCGGCGTGCTCGGGCGGGTACAGTGCCATCTAGGTTTTCGCCTGGCGGTGCAAACAACGGCTTGATCGGCATTCCGGCTCTACCCTCAAAGACCTCGCGACCGAGTCCGACGCAGACACCCTTCACGGCTACCCCGTCGCCGGGTCTCGAGCCGGTGGACAATGCGGCTAGCACCTCAACTTTACTGTCAAGACTGCGAGCTGGTTCCATGCCTCAGCGGAGTCCGTTTGCCCACATCCCGGGCACCAGTTCGCCTTTCGGACCGTCCATTTTTAGCAGTTGGAACCCCACCGGGCGAGAGAGAGGCAACACGCTGGCAAGCATTGCCAGCATAGGATCCAACGGCCCAAGTTCTCCAGCCCAGTCGCAGTTCTCGAGAGAGGGAGCTGCGGAGAGCGACGTTCACATGAGAACACTCGACTATCTTGGCTTAGCCGAGACACCTCAGCAATCTCGGGCCCAACTCGCCACCCCGTTCATACCTATGTTTGCCGACCTTAATAAGGCAGCAAACCGGATCCGGTCCTACTCTGTCAACAACAAAGATAAGTATGTCGACGAGGAGGACGATGACTTTGATTCTGAGAGCCTGTCAGTGATGGAAAGCCAGTATGCCCAGCTGCAAGATCAGCTTGCTGCGACGAACGCTGCAATCCACAACCATAACCTGGCCGTACAGGCGTTTGCTAATCAAGCCGCTGTCAACCGTCCTCGTGCGAGGACCGCTGGAGTCTTAGAGACACCGGCGTCCCGTATCCTGCGCAACTACTTTCCTACCCCGTCAAGACTTGACAGCCCCATCTCGGCGGCAGAAATTCGACTGCCAGATGAGAAGGAGTTTGACGACCTCCCCCAGGCCGTCGCTGCCATGTCGTTGGCGAGATCGAATAGCCACAACAACGGACTCTTGAGCGCCGACGAGCAAGGCCTCGAAGGGCCGACGAGCGCACTTTGGCTTGGCAGCATTCCCACTTCCACCACGACCTCAACGCTGACCGAGATGTTCAAATCGTATGGCCTAATATTGTCGGCCCGAGTTCTGACCCACAAGAACTGTGGCTTCGTCAACTTTGAGAGAGTGGATAGTGCTATCTCCGCTAAAGCCGCTATGAACGGAAAGGAAATTTTTCCTGGCGCTGGTCCTATTCGCATCAACTTTGCAAAGCCTCCTTCGGCATCCAACACGCCTGGTCATGACGGCGTGTTTCCTTCCCCAAGCCCTGATCCTTTTTCCAAGGCCCAAGAGAACGGGCAAGCCGGCGCGCCGGGGGATGCTGTGCCAACCGCAATTCCGAGCAATGTTACGCCAACTGTGCCTCCCCTTGGTGAGATGACGGCTGATATCATGGATATTGTCGACCAGTTTGGGGCCAACGAAGAGGACAAATACCGCATGTCCATGAGCTTACAGCAAGCGATCAAATTCACTGATTTCGTCGATGAGATTCCGCCTATCAAGGAACCTGCCCATACCAGGGTGCATGATGCGCCAAAGCTAAGGGATATCCGCAAGAAGATCGATAACCAAATGCTCTCTCTTCACGAGATTGAACAGATTGCCATTGATATGCTTCCCGAGATCGCCGAGCTTTCGTCAGACTACCTTGGCAACACGGTCGTCCAGAAACTCTTTGAGCACTGTTCGGATAACCTGCGAGACTCGATGCTTGCTGAGATCGCTCCCCACATGGCTGAGATTGGCGTACACAAGAATGGTACTTGGGCAGCCCAGAAGATCATTGATGTTTGCAAGACTCCGCATCAGATGAATTTGATTGTGGAATATTTACGTCCCTACACGATCCCCTTGTTCCTGGACCAATATGGCAACTATGTTCTGCAGGGCTGTCTCAAGTTCGGCTCGCCATTCAACGACTTCATTTTCGAGACGATGCTGAGCAGGATGTGGGAGGTTTCCCAGGGTCGGTACGGAGCTCGTGCGATGCGGGCCTGCCTCGAGAGCCATCATTCCACAAAAGACCAGCAGAGGTTGTTGGCAGCAGCCATTGCTCTGCACAGTGTGGAGCTCGCCACAAATGCCAACGGAGCTTTGCTTCTTACTTGGTTCCTCGACACCTGCACGTTCCCGCAGCGGCGGACAGTTCTGTCGCCTCAGCTGGTTCCATATCTGGTTCATCTATGCACACACAAGGTTGCCTACCTAACAGTCTTGAAGGTCATCAACCAGAAAGCGGAGGGAGATGCAAGGGACACCATTCTCAAGGCGCTCTTCTTTTCCCAAAACGACCAAGTTCTCGAGGCAATCTTGAGTGACCATGCCTGTGGTGCAACTCTGATTTTCAAGGTCTTGACAACGCCATTTTTCGATGAGGCCATTCGAGGGCAGGTTGTTGAGAATGTCAAGTCTGTCTTGATTCGTATCAAGGCGCAGCCGGGACAAGGGTATAAACGCTTGATGGATGAGGTGGGTCTCTCCACGCGGAGCGGTGGCGGCAGTGGCAGCGGCGGCAGCGGCGGCAGCGGCGGCGGCAGTGCCGGTGCTGGAAATGGTCCTCGAGACCATGGCAACAACACCTCTGGCGAGCGACAACGCCCGGCATCGCGTCAAACTGGCCTCAATGCCCAGCAGCAGCAGGCTCAAGTCCAACAGCAGCAACAGGCTCAGCAACAAGCTCAAGCTCAGCAGCAGCAACAGGCGCAGCAACAGGCGCAGCAGGCTCAGCAGCAGGCTCAGCAGGCTCAGCACGCGCAGCAAGCCCAGCAACAGGCCCAACAGCAAGCCGCCCAATTTACTAGTGCCGGAGCTGGCCAGTTCTACAATCCTCTCAACGCTGCTGCTAGCCAGGCAAACTATGAGATGGTCTATGGCATCCCCCGAAGCGAGAGTGTCGAGCCAAGCTTACCTCAGCAATTCCCGGCATATAACCAGGGACCGGTGTTCAACGCGTCCAACCCGCCCCTAGGCCCAGCTGCTCTCCAGCAGATGCAGTACCAGCAGTCCATGATATCACGAGGTGCACCCCCTATGGGCAACTACTATCCCGCGATGCAGGCTGGCTTTGGTGGATTCCAGAGCGGAAGCCCCTCTCTCGATCAGTACCGAAACCAACCTCAACCAAATGGGAGCCCAATCCAGCCTCCCAGCGCTCAGTTGCCAAGTGTTCCCGGCGGCCAAGCTCCATTTGCAGCGCCTGGCTTTGGCATGAACATGGGTATTCCTGGGTTTGCATATAGTAACCTCGGAGGGATGCAGAACGTGGCATATATGCAGGAACAAGTCAATTCTAGACGTGGGCGTGTAGGTCGCAGCCCGCAACCCGAGAGACAACGGCGCGCGCAGTAGGAAGCCAAACAGATACTTACTCTTCGTGTTCAGAAATAATACGGCTGCCATCGATTTGGCTCTTCGACGGCCTACTCCGAGCTCGCTCGAGCCTGTGGCGGCGCATACAGCTATTGACATGAGGGGTTTGGGCGTGTTTCCAAGATTAGAGCTTCATTGTTTTCACAGACATGCTCTCTGAGACCTGAGTCAAGTTTGCGGCGCCTCGGGAGCTGTTGTTGTCGTCTGTGTCAGCTGATGGCGATCTTGGTTGGTGTTCAGGGGGTGGGTTTACAAGGGCATGGCGTACCTTTTCTTGCTGTTCCTTTGACGGGTTCATTCACTTCTGCGGTATATTTTTATTGTTTGTTGGTTATTTTGGGTCGTCAAATGTGAATGTTCTCACCCTCCATGCAGGAATGGTCAGAACTTCGGCCGGGAGGCCAGCCGGAGTAATCATACGGCACCAGGAAAAGAGTGAAACATTACTCGGGCAGAACAAAACCAGGACCTTCTAGAAGGTGTCCGCGGTGTGTGCGCATACTTTCGCTTCTTGTAAACTCCTTTGTTTTCTTGAGAAAGGGGTAGTATACACTCCCACGCTTGATGTTGTTAGGGGTATGGGTGTATGAAGCGAGAAACCTGGGGAGGCAAGGAGCCGGCGGGGGTGCAGATGACAATGATTTCTTTCTTCTTTTGCCCTTCTCTCGTGTGGCGTCTTCTTTCTGCCGTTGTTGGTGATGATGATGATGATGTACTTTGGTCCTTGGGTTTTCTCTCTCTTCTACCTTCGCACTCTGCTTCGAGTTACAGACAACCCGCTTTTGTCGCTTTCTCCCCGTCTCTACTTCTTCTGTTTGTTCTTGAGGGAATATATCATTTTTTATACGAGGGGACCGAAACTGAAACATTGAAAAAAAAATGGAAGCCCGCGGAAAAGGAAAGGAAAGGCTTGGATCTGGTACCTGGTATACAACATATACATTTATAAATATACATGTACACATAGAGCCGCCCCTTTTGAACGCTCGCTCTTCTCTCTTAATGTTCGTGTCGTATACACTATTGTTTAGGTCTGTTACTTATTGAGACGGGCACTGGGTGGGTTTATGTGTTTGATAGCTTTCGAGACAAACAATTAATTAGTCGGTCATATGGTGACTTTCTGTATGACTTGCGCAAAAAATAAAATAAATAAAAACAACTAAACGCTCTCGCTCAGTTCGCCCTACGACCTACTTACTGGCGGGCTCTCGCTGTTCATTCGGCAAGGAGCATCCCGGGGTTTTTATCCCTGCCTACGAATCATGACTTCATCTACGATTGGCTACTGGGGCAAATGGGAAACTGAATACATTGAGCCACGTCAGCGAAACTTTCCAGTCTTTATCATGTCATGAAAGGCCCCGACGTATGTCCCAGTTGAGGGGAGTACTATCATGCTATATCTCCACTGTGAAGCAGGGGACGTTCAAGTGAACATGCGGTAGACACAAATAGGTAGGTGGCTATTAAAGCCAGGGCAATATAATAATAAATAATTCATTTTTGTATAGCATCTCGGTTGTGTCTATCAGTCTTGGGGACAACGCTGTCCTACGCTAGGTTAGCCAGTCCGACCGATACCGAGGCATCTCCCTGCTGCAAAAACCACCTTCCTATATCCGGCCATTCTTATGCCCATTTCTCTTTGTGCGTTCCTGTCCCTCGCAAAATCGATATATGACCATCCTGTAGAGGGAGAAAGACAATACAAAGAGATGAGAAATTTTCATGGTCGGTGGGAAAACAGGGAATGCAGGATGTAGAGGATAGATGGCAGAGGGACCAAATGCTCCTCGGAGGGCGGGGAAAGGGCCCAGGGTTCTCTTATTAAGTCACTGTCAATTAAGACTAGACAACAGCACCCTCACGCTTCCTGTCCCCTTCTGTTGTCGAGCGTATCGAAAATCTCTGCCGAAGCCGAATGAACCGCTCCCAAATAAACCGCTCTTTGAGGCGGAAATGAAGGATCTCCCACAATCAGGCTTTCCCAAGCGTCTCGGTTGCTCAATTCCGATGAGTCTAGGCCTAGGGCAGGCAAGGGAGGTCCAAAGCATAAATTTGCTTCGTGGTGAGACTTTGTTGGTGTCTATAAGAACTTGAGAAATATATCCAGTCTGCTGGGCAGCGGTGGATGCTGTGAATGATGACGAACAGCAAGCGCTATTATTGTCATGTTTGATTGTGAAATGCCGGATCTGGGCGCAAGGGCCGGGCAACCGGAAAAAAACTGAAGCGCACTTAGTCGAGGTCCATGGCATTGTCATCGACAACCGTCTTATCGCTTCGAGGCTCCAAAACAATACCGTCATCCCGTCCACGGTCACCCGTATCCTTGGATGGGGTAAGAGGGAGGCCGGCATCCTCTGGCTCCGAACTATCCTCGGCTAGAGCTGGAGGGCCCGGATCGGCCTCCGTGTTCTTCTTCTGCCCAGCTTCTCTGGTAGTGGGAAGAACGTCGTCAGTTGCTGCAGGAGAGGGCAGGTTCTTCCTGAAGCCTGCCTTGGCTGCCTGGCGTTCCGATTCGACCATGATGGTCTTTTCCGACGCGGCATCTGTAGCCTGAGAATTTGCGAGACTTGAAGTCGTCTCGGCCGCTTGTCCGTTAGGTGCGGCTGTGCTCAGGACTTGCTTTATTTCCTGGCGCATGTGTTCCATATAGACCAGCATGGCCCGTAGGCTCTGCTCATCAATATTTGTGAGGGAACCATTCTGGACGTGTTGGGTATTGGTCCGAGCCATTAGGCCTATGACGGACGGGGGCGCCTGAGCCTGCCGACGTTGTTAGCATTTCATGCAGAGCGCATCAACGACATACGCCCAATGCTTACCAGTAAGGTGTCGACCAGGGTTGTGATGGGCGCAGCACCCTGGCCACTGAGCTGTGCAAGGTTGTGGGCGGCTTGTTGCTCATCAAGGGTCCACGTGTTCAGCGACAGCTGCATTGGCTGCATGGGTTGCATCGGCTGGACAGGTGATATCGCGAGCTCTGGAGTGGGAGCTCTCAATTGCGGAATCCTCTTGCCCTTCCGATTCTCGCGGGCGCTGTGTTTGGAGTTAACTCGTGTTATGAAATCGGAGGGGGTAAGCAGGCGCGGATGAGACATACCGAGACAAAAAGTCCAGCTTGATGCCCTTTTCAGAAAGTCGCACCGTCTTGCCGTACGTCTCGACATCCCGCCAGCCGCTCTCGTCTTCGCTGGCGTCAAGCTCTACCTCTATGTGGCCATTGTTGACGTAGCCTCGGCTGAAGGTAGGCTCAATGACGGGAGCGCCCTTGATCTTGCGGAACCTGTGCGCAGGGCCCAGAGCTCCAGGAAGCCTGGCAAGTAGGTCATCAATGTGGCACGGGCATCGCCAGGTACGGAGCACCGGGGGATTGGCGAGCGGAGGGTCAAGACAGTCAAGATGCCAGAAGAGACCGCAGAGGCTGCATGGGATGATGGCGCGGTTTGACGAGCTAGACTTCTGGCAGTTGTGGCAAACGACGGCATTGCCATCAGCATCACGCAGTCTGAAGAAGTCTGGAACCGGCTCTTCTTCGGCCTTCTTCTTCCTGTAGGGGCACGAGTTAGCACGGAGCTTGGGACTAATAACTGTTGCACACTGGAGACAACATACTTTCCGGGCTTGGTAACCGTGGGAGTCTCCTCGTACTCGCCGTCGACGCCGGTTTGGACGCCCTCAAAGTAGTCGCGGACATGGTCCGGCAATCGGAATGCGCTCGAGTTCTTGGCGTCGAGCCTCTCGAGTAGAAGGGCGAGCGCGCCCGTGTGGATGGGGAGGCTTGCAGAGTCTCTGGCGGTGCGGCAGACATTGCAGAACCAGTCGGCAGGCATCGAGTCCTGCCTCAAGGGCGGGTCGACACACGAGAAGTGGAAGGACCGCGTGCAGCCGTCGCAGCAGACGAGCTCTCCGTTGCCACCACACGACGAGCAGTAGTCGTCATTATCGTCCTGTTGAGCACGAACACCAGAGGTTAGCGCCCCGTTGTCTCCGCCATCGCCAATGTTGCCGCCGTCGGCGTCGATATGCATGCAGGGCAGAGGCTAGAACCAGACCCCGGACAATCGAAGGGGGAAGAAAAGAGGGTCAGGGCAGCCAAGGTAGTCAGGGTAGTGGATATTAGTGCGGCAAATTTCGGCAAAAAAAAAGGGAAAGCCAGCCCAGCCCAGCTGTAGCAGCACCGCGTCCGCCACTAAAATCGTCGCCGTGTCCGCGCACCCTCCCCCAGCCCAGCCGCTTCGGTGCGGTGCTGCCCCTGCCTGCCAACCCCCATCTCGCATCGGCAGGCTTTGGTTTCTTGGGTTTGGCTTGGGCTTGAGCTTGGGTCAGGAGTGTGATTGAGGTGAGGAGCCGTAGTGACGCCAACACATAGAGGCGATTCACTTGGAATTTTTGCCCTCTTGCACTTGCAAGTGGCACTGCTCTAGCTAGCACCGCACCGCACCGCACTGGCACTGGCACTGGTGCTGGTGCTGGTGCTGGCGCTGGCCACCCACCCACTTCTGCCTGCTTGCCTGTCTCAGCCCGCCCGCTGCCCCCCCCCCCCCCCCGCGCCCTCACACAAAATCGACAGACCCAAGGAAAAATATGTTGGGAGTGTGGGGGTGGAAACTTCAGATACATAGGGGGATCGCGACAATGGTGGTCATGGTACATACCTCTTTGGAACCTGCACCGTTGCCACTGGGGCTATTACGCTCACCGCTGGCGCGAGGAATGCCTGCTGACGTGCCTGATTTCTTCTTCATCGGACTAGATATCGAAAGAAAAAAAAGAGATTAGAAAATGTCAGCAACCCGCACCTGCGTAGTTGTGTTTTGGTAGAATGTAATTAGTGACATGGGATGATGGCGCGGCAAACATACGAAGTTTTGACTCGCACTCCTCCTGTTCTAGGACGTTTGACAGTCCGCAGAGCAGGTGTTCCGGCGCGTGAGTTCGCGGCTGTAGATGCCATTTCGGATGCTGGGAAGTGCGCCGTCGTGGGAGACGGTTGCTCGTCAAGCTCATCGTGCGACCGTTTCCGTGATGACCGTGTGCTGCGTGCTGTCGATGCCACCGGGGTGTGGCGAGCGGGAGGAAGCGAAGACCGTGGCAGTTGCGATGCGGACGCGAATGTGGACGCGGATGCGGATGCGGACGCGCTAGTTTGTTCCTCAAAATCTAGTTTCGGCTCGTCCATGTGCGCCGGAATTCTGGTGTAGCTCTCCGTCACAAGCGTATCGACGCCTGCCGTCACCTTCTTGGCACTCTGTCGCAGGCGCAGCTTAGCATCGTTTTCGTCGATTCGGCCAACCTTGCTGGGGAAAGAGACGCCTTGGCTGCCCGATCGACCTCCCTTCTTCATCGAGTTCAGGTGAGGGAATAGAGGCGCGTCTACCACGGCAGGCATGTCATAAGGCTGCTGCTCCATGACGGCAGCATCGCCCGTCTCGGTTGCCTCGGGCGCCGCAGCAGCTTGCTCCGTGGCAGCGGTAGAGCGGCGACTGGCTGAGACAGTAGGCCGGGGTTGAGCGTTTGACACGTTTCCGTTCTTTCTTGCTGGCTGCGAGCGTCGTCGCTTGTTGATTGGCTTACGACCGGCGGCATTGGTGCTGCCTTTGGTCTCGGGCGTTGGGCTTGCTCGAGAAGGCGATCTATCAACGGTGGTACCCTCGTCCTCTTCATCCTCGGCCTGAATGCTAGCGGGTGGTGTCATGGACCGCGCGCTGGACAGGGAGGATGAGCTGGACATTGAGTTGTTTCGTGTCCGTCGTCGGAGAGGCGAGTCCGTCTTGGACTTTCCGTTGGGGCCGTGGGCGGACATCTTGGACGCCGACCCGGAATGGCGGTTTGATCTTCGCTTCTTGCGGACGTGAGCCTCGCGAGGCGGCTCCTGTACCTGCTCCTGCACAGGGTCGGGAGACGGCTCGCGCTTCGGTTCATGCTCTGGCTCCCGAGCAGACTCCTGCACGGGCTGCTGCTGCACGGGTTCTTGCACGAATGCGGGAGACGCCTCGGGTCCAGCTTCCTTTTCTGTGTCGGCAGAAGGGTCGCGAGAGGGCTCGCGATGTGGCTGTTTGCTGGGCGACTCGCCGTACTTGCGACCGTTGTCGTGGTCGCGATCACGGTCACGGGGCTCACGGGAGTCGCGGTTCAGGCGCAGCCAAGATATGTCAAGCTTGACGAGGCTCCCGTACGGCGCTCGCTTGGCCTTGCGGGGGGCGAAGCGGCTGTTGGTAGATGGCGGAACGAAATAGTAACAGCCTTTGTTGTCCTTTTTTCCTTCCTTCTTTTTCGCCTGTATGAGACGTGCAAATTCCTTGACTGTGCTCGAGTCGGCAGTCTGCAGGAACACCTTCTCAATCATGATGAGAAATTCTTGATTTGCACAGTTTTCATCATAGAGCGTGCGCAGTGCCCAGGCGGTGGGGTACCTGAAATAAACTATAGCCTCGTCCACGGCCACCTCAACCACCCTTTCGGTGCGTTCCCTGAGGTCGGCGATGCGAGACGTAGCCGTCGTCGTGGGCGATTGCTGTATTGACGAGAAGGATCCAAGCCTGGCGCCGCCGCTCGTCCGCGACGTGCTCCTGCGCGGGTCAAAGCCCTTTTGTGGTGATGACTTCCCTGGGGCCCACTCGTTATCCGCATTTCGCGAGCCAAGCGAGCGACGTGAAGCTGCAATCGCGGCGGCGCCTCTTGCGTCGCGAGCACGGTTCATGTCCATCTGGAATTCTTCCTCATCGTCGTCGTCGTCATCAACGACTCCGTCATCGTCGTCGTCTTCGTCGCCCGATTGATCATAATCCTCTCCTTCCTCTTCTGTTTCGTCTTCCTCGGGCGCTGAGGCAGCAACTGCAGGGGTGACGGCCGCTACTGGCGTGCTGGGAGTCGCCGCAGGGCGTTTCAATATGATGCGGATGGGGGTGTGCTCAGGGGGGGGAGGTGGCGCCTTTTTGAAGATGCCAACCTTCGGCATGGTGCCGAGAGGAGCCATGTTCTCGACCACGCCGTGACGCATCAGGCCGGCGTCCTGGTAGCTCGCCTTCACTTGCACGGGGGGCTCTAGCCAGCGGTGCATAAATGCCCTCGACCCATCTGGGCCGGCGCCAGCACTGGGAGCGCTGCTGGGAGCCCGCGACGGGGCGGCCGTGCCGTTGGGCGTGTGCTGGGGACTAGAGTATCGCGATCGCGTGGCTCTTGTGCTGGACGAGATTGTGGTGGCAGGCATGGTGAGGGTGAGGTGTGATTGTTGTGGTTGCGGTAATCGTTGCGGAGGGTTGTTCTGCTCTACTGCTCGCCCCCCTTCTTTTGATTGAACGGGGCAGCCAACACACCGTCGTTTCGCGCCTGCGCAGCCAGTTAGCATCGATGCAAATTCCAGAAGAGCGGGCACAAAATACCTCGCAGTGGTCCTACGACATGGAGCAGGCCAGAATCGTCGCGTTTGGACGGGTGGCACGCGTGTCGAGGGTGGAAGGTGGAAAAGGGTGGGTAGGGTGCAGCGTGTGCAGGAGACCGATCGAGAGCTCAGGTTCTCGGAGGTGACGGGTGAGAGGCCGACCAGGGGGCGTCCACGAGCCTGCTGCAGTCGCTTCAGGTCACTGTGCGTGCAGTGTGCAGTAAGCTCTAAGCAAAACGTTCCCGCGTCCTTCTCCTTTTTCGCCAGTGCCTGCACTCGCAGTTGAGATGGATGCTTAGGCTCCAAGCTAAAAGGAAAAGAAAGAAAAAAAAACACCAAGATGTGGTTTTGAGATTCCTATCTTCTTTTTCCGTAGAGTCAGAAAATGGCTTTTGACCAGTGTTGAGAGTGCGCGAGATCCAGGTTGTCGCGTCGCGCTTTTGCTCCTTTTTTTCCCTCCCTCGCCAGGGGCTCCTGTCGATTGTTGTGTGTGCAAAGTGGGAAAAATAGGTAAACTTCAGCAGGGGGGTTAGTATTGTTCTCCTTCAGGGGAGTCTCTCCTTCTTTATCAGCGCCCGCCCGCACTTCTATTCACTCCCAAGTCCCCGTTCACCTGCCTGCCTGCCTACCTTCAGCCTGCAAGTCTTGTCACGATGAAATGAAGCCAAGGTGAAGTGTCTCTCAATAGAAACCGAGTCGCTTTTCCTTTTTGTCTCGTTCCCTTTTTATTTCTTTTGCCTCTCTCGGCCCCGCAACAATAGAAGTGCTGCCCCTGGGAGCACTCTAATAATCCCATGACTTTGAGTGAGACTGCTCACTTTTTATTTTGGAGGCTAAGACACAGCGATAATGCAGGCATTTTAATAAATGTTGGCAATTCTCCCACCCCCCGGACCTGTCCTCAACCCACCGTTGGCTGGGACAGTTTCGCTCGCTTCTCGCGTCACCGCCTGCCTCACCACACACACAATCGCCCACACACAGGTCGGCCCGCGAGCGCACTCAAGCCAAACAAATCCTGCCATCCGGCATTAGCAGCGCTATAGTCAACAAGCCACCAGAAGGACCAGGGCTGGCTTGCAGACACCCCCGAGGCAGGTCGCCCCCGCACATCGCTCTGCCGCAGTCCACTGAGTCCAGGGCCGCTTCCGCACCCCTCACTCGTCGTCGCTCTCTTCCTCTTCATCCGACTCCTCCTTCGCCGCCGCAGCCGCAGCCGTCTTCTTGGCCGGCTTCTTCTTCTTCTTGTTCTTGCTCTTGCTGCCGGTGTTCCTGGCAATGGGCTGCGCCAAGATGCTGAGGATCTCCTCGTCCGTGATATTCTTGTCAGTCTCGAATTTGCTCAGATCCAGTGCCGGTGGTGCTCCCAGCTTAGTGATGCCATTCTTGGTGATTGCTATCGTCGTGTTAGCCTCATTTTTAACTGCTTCCGCTACTCGTGGTCCTATATCCGTTTCTTACCAATCGTTGTTAGGAGCCTGGCAACAGGGGAATTGTCCTTGTCGCCCGACACTTCGTACTGGCGGAACACGTTGCCGCGCACGCACTCAATGACACCAGACTTGGCATCACGCTCGTCGTCGAGCTGACGCAGGCTGAATGGGAAGGTGCCAAACTTCTTCTGGACCTCGGATAGGATCTTGCGCGATGACGGCCGCTTCAGCGCATACGTGTTGGCGGTGCGGCGATGCAACGTTGTACGCTGCTCAAACTGCTTGACCTTACCGGACCCCAAGCTAACGCCCATCTCCACGCCCCAGACTTCACCAACCTCGGGCGAGCCCTCTCCCTTTGTGTTCTCGCCTGGAGCAATCACAATCTTCTTCTTGCCCTCGATCTCGTTGCGGTCAAAGAGCCACGAAGTGGTGCTCTCGACGAGGTTGCAGTCATATGCCTCCACCACCTGCTCCAACAGGCCCGTGATCTTGGACTGCGAGGGCGCTTTTGCGGATGCGGCCTTTGCCTTCTCTTCCTCTGTGCCCGAGGCTAAGAGGCCGGGCGGCAGCATCAACCGCAGCAGCAGCTCATTTGCGTAGTGAGTAGCAAGAATCAGGTCGGCCTGTCGTCCCGAGACAACCTTCGGGGCCTCCCCGTCAGCGGGCGCCGCCAAAATGGTGTCGCACACAATGGAGCCGAAGCCATCGATCTGAGCGCCAAGCTGGATCTTGACGGCCTCCCCAGCCTGCAGCTCCACAACCGACTCCTTCTCGTCGGACCTCAGGGGCGTGTAGGGGGTGACAAACGCACTGGGCGAGACAGTGGTAGGGTGAGAAAATCCTATACATGTATTATTAGCACCGGCGAGGTGGAGTAGCCATATGGGGCCCGGAACCCGGGTCCTGAATCCGGGCTCAGGGGAGGGCGTGACTAATACGTACCCTTGGTGATCTTCTTGCCGCGGTAGACCTTGGCAATTTCCTCCTCGAGGAGCTTGTCTCCCTTCTCGCAGATGTCAATGACCTTTGCGCCGGCGACGCAGAGCTTAGAAACGTCGGCAAGCACCTTCTCCGAGATCTGGGCGGCCGTCTTGTACTTTGTGATAGTATCGGGGTTGTTGAGGGAGTAGTCTAGTGGTAGCATTAGCATCCAGGGTGTGCAAAGCAAGCATGCGAGGGCGAAATGGGACACGAGAGAGCCACAGGGAGCTAGCTATGGTCTCGCGAGCAGCGTCAAGTCCGATGCGCAAGGTGCGGGGTCCCATGGCAGAGGTTACGTCAGTTGCTCTGCTTACTGACCGATGTCTTTCTCTTCGGTAGCCATCTTGTGCTACGGGATCCCGGGAGCGGGATGCGGGATGCGGGATTCGAGACGGTGAAAGGGTGGTCAATGGACGACAGCTGAAGGCTTGGGAGTCCAGAACGAAGGGTTGCGAAGGAGGGGAAAGGACGGGAATGTGGTTTCGTGCAGTTACTCGATTTTGTGATTCAAGGCGGGGGAGGGGGTTAGGTTCTTTCTGTGTGTGCTCACTCTCCACTCATACGTTGGTGCGGAACTAGTCATTATGGCCTAAGCGGGCAGGGGCATGATCGAGGGGGGCCCCTTGCCTTGGCCGTAAGGCCCTGAGCCTGAGATGGAACGAGGCGGGAGCTCCCCATTCGATTCGAACTCCCGGGTGCCCACAAGTCGCGCCAGAACAAGAAGGCGGGCCTTTGGCTGCTAGTGAGGGCGGAGGTTGCCGCTACCCAGATCTGCGCCTGTATTTGTACTAGTGGAGAAGTAGACGGGACCTTTGAGGGGGGTGTGTGAGGAGCCGGAGCCCGCACGTTTCTTGCCCGCTGTGCTAGGGCAGCTGTGATTGGCTAGTCGCGCCCAGCCGTTTCTTGGGCCTTTCGCATCTCTAGGTTTGTTTGACAGCGCAGCCAGCCTCAGCCGCAGGCTCGAGGAAGACAGCCACAGAGACCGACCGCAATCGCGATCACACCGGCGCCATTTCGCACCTGCATCTGCACCCGCACCACACACGGGCGACGACGAAGCGCATCCACTCGCCGTGCCCCCGTGGCCCCCGACACCGACACTGAAGCGGCGACCGACGACCGCCTGCCATGGCCGCCTCGTTGCCGCTGTCCGTCGCTGGCGCTGGCGATGGTGATGGTCCCTCATCGACGACGGCTCCCAACCCTGCTGCTCCATTGTCATCGCTCTTGCCATCGCTGCCATCAAAGGCTGCGAGCCCCATGGTTGCTTCTGCTTCTGCTTCTGCTTCTGCTTCTGCTTCTGCCTCTGCCCAACCCGCCGCTGTCCCAATTCGCGACAAGGAAGCGTTCAATAGGGTGCTCGTCGACCGCTTCGTGACGCGTGACTGGATACATTCGAGCGCCTTGAAAGACTCGGACTCGCAGCTGCGCACGACAACCAGGGACACCCTGACGCGTATCAATGCGTACAAGACCATCGCCGAGCAGCACAGCACATACAACGGCAGGCTCTTCGGCGAAGGCTACAGCGGCTACGGCAATGGCTATACCGATACTACTGGCGGCCCGACCAAGATCGTCTACCCGTCGCAAAAACTGCGTGCCGGCCGGAGGACTGCGCCACAGCTCAAGTTCTCGCGCAAGGACATCAAGAAACAGGCCGAGCAGCACGAGGAGCTAGTCCCCATGCGTATAGACGTCGACTGGGACAAGGTCAAGCTGCGCGACACCTTCACCTTCAACCTCCACGAGCGTCTCATCCCCGTCGACGTGTTCGCCGCCCAGCTGGTCGAGGACATGGGCCTCAAGGGGCCTCTCGAAAAGCCCGTCTACGAGCAGGTGGTGCAGCAAATGCACGAGCAGCTCAACGACTTTTACCCCTTTGCCTACTCGGACGAGGAAGCCCTGGACCCCGAGCTTCCCTACTCAGCGTACAAGAACGACGAGATGCGCATCCTAGTCAAGCTCAACATCACCATCGGTGCCCACACCCTCGTCGACCAGTTTGAGTGGGAGATCAACAATCCGATGAACTCTCCCGAGGAGTTCGCCGTCACCATGGCTCGCGACCTGTCGCTGTCGGGCGAGTTTGCGACGGCAATCGCCCACTGCATACGTGAACAAGCCCAACTCTTTACGCGCAGCCTCTACAGCATTGGTCATCCGTTCGATGGTCGTCCCATTGAAGACCCAGATCTCACCATTGCATTCCTTCCGTCGCCCCTGCCCGCTGTTTTCAGGCCCCAGCAACAGGCGAAGGACTACGCGCCATACCTATACGAGAACACCGAGGCAGAGCTTGAAAGGAGCGAGACCATGTTCTCGCGGGAGCAGAGGAGGCAGAAGCGCTCGGTAAACAGGCGCGGCGGCCCTCAGCTGCCAGACCTGAAGGAGAGGCAGAGGACGATTCGGACCTCAATCGTGTCATCGGTGCTCCCCGGTGCCGCAGCGGATATAGAGGAGAGCAGGCTGTTCAAGCGCGCCGTCGGGGTTGGCGGAATTACCGGGAGAAGCAAGAGACCTACTCGCGATGGCGATATCTCTGATTCCGAAGACAGCGAAGACTCGGCCCCAGACTCACCCGCCATGTCGCAACTCCAAGGAACCGCAAGGACTCGGGGAATAATGCGCGGCGCTGCCAGTGTCGCAGCACACCGCATGGCAAATCTTGGGCGGTCCGAGACCCCAGAGACTATTATTCACCACCACGAGACAAGGACGTCTCGCCGGGTCGGTCGCGAGGCCACCAGGGAAGAGACAGAGGAGCTGCAGCACGTAGTCACGCTCAAGGTCACACCCGCAAGATTAAAGAAACTCTTACGAGATCTCAAGTTAAAACAGTTAGCCCAAGGTCCCCCGGGCTCTGCCACCCCAGCCGGTCAGGGCCACCAAAGAGCTGGGAGTGCATCCGCTGCCCCTGGCTCTATGGGGCCGCCTTCGACCCCCTCGGGAACTAACAAGAACCTGCCGATCAAGTCCACGATGCCATGGGCTGCTAGGCAGGCATATCTCGGCGGGGTTCCTGCGCCGCCTCCTGGGCAGCCAGGAGAATCTCAACCATCACCGGTATTTCATCCCCCTTCGATCTCTTGCGCTTTTATCCCGTCATATGCCCGTGAATTACTAACAACATACCTTTGTGGGGAATACAGCCTCCTATTCCCGAGTGGCTCAGCACAGCCTTGCAGAGGCTACAGAGGCTGTATCCGAACGACCAGTTCAAGGCTTTCATGCGCTACTGCGCTATGAACACAAAGACAGACACGGTAGCTGCGATGCCGCGTAGCCCTGACATGCCCCCGGACGTGGAGATATGGTGGGTGCCCAGGATTAAGTGTCTTGATTGCCCCGGCAAGTCGTACACGCCCGGCCCGGAGCGGTCAACAGACAACTTCGAAGTCCACCTCAAAAACAGACTCCACCGGGCGCAGGTCGACAACCGCCTCGAGTCCGGCGGCAGGGTCCCGCTAGAGCAGCCGCGCGGCCTTTCGATCCCATCGGCAAGCTCGAGCACGGCCACGAACGGCACAATCAACGCGAGCCCCGTAACTCCGGTAGCACCGCAATCGACCTCGGCAATCCCTCTGCCGCCACTACCACCACCACCACCAAAAAGCAGCACGTCATGACAGACATTATAGTGGGGAGTGGGAATGGCAAAAACACCGTCCCCCATCCTAGAGGGCTTGTGGGGCTCAGTTCTAAAAACGAAGAGAGACTTGTCGACCTTGGAATGTATCTCGCTGTGGAAGACATTACCAGAAACTGAAGCTGGACATGAGAAGATGCCCATATAACGAAAAGGAATGTGAGAGAAGGGAATACCTGTTTCTTTTTCTTCAGAACGGAGTCGGGAGCTACGAGGTATGGAAATCCCGAAGATGTCGGGCGACTAACTGTAAAACTGTACATAACAAGCAGGTTTTCTCTATTTTGCTCCCTTTCTTGGCTTTTTTTGTTTATTTGTCCGTGAGGTTTAAAGGGGGGTGAAGGGGGGTGGGGGTGTTTTGATTTTGTTTCTCATTTATTCTCACTATTTTTCTTTTTGAGGAAAAAAAAATGAAGATAGAAAACCACCACACCGTTTTTGTCCATGTATACTTCTTCAGTACTTGGGTTATTTAGGCAGGGCAAGGGTAGATATATATATATTTTTATGTACCCTTGTCGAATCTCGAGCTGCGATTTTTGCTGTGAAACAAACGTACGTAGGTAGTAGGTATATATATATATATATATACATAAAAGGAAAAAAGTCCCCGAGACGACGATAGAGAGAGAGAGAGAGATCAGAGTTAACTAATAACAAGAGTAAAACAAAAAAAGAAACTCAACTCCCTCCCAATATACAACATATAAATAAATAAGCAATGAAGGAAGGAGGGAGGTGCGTACAAAACAAGAAATCTCTACCGAGACGACAACTGGTTCGATTGGACTGGCTGGGAATCGAACCCAGGACCTTTCGCAAGCGATTGCATGTACCCGTCATCAGCACCCATGGAGATGGATGCCTCTGGAATTTGCTAAGCGAACGCTCTACCAACTGAGCCACAAGCCCTTTTGTCGTTGTTTTGATGTGTGGACACATGGATTTGCAATGATACTGTGTGTGCGTGTGTGCGTGTTTGTGTGTTTGAGTGTTTGTGTGTGGACTCGGATGAAAAATATAGCGGAGATTCGGGATGGGATGGGGTTAATTGAATGTGTCTGCGAGTGATCACGAACGGACAGACAGAGGTAATGTTGGAATAATTACAGGCGCTCGAGGATTTATAAAGTTAATATTTCGGTGGTTCTCGAAAACGAGACGGAATCCCCATGGTCAATAATAGCTGGAATTTACTTCAAGTTCTCGTGTAACTAAACCGCGTCTCGCGTCCTACGTCCGGATGATGCATTGCATCATCCGGTCAAACTAATTACATAGTTCTCCCGGGATTCGACCAAGCAAAACTAGCAAATTCGCTTGCTCATTTTCCTTCCTGGCTCCCCTACCTAGACGTGAAGAATAACAATCAACACTTCTCCTGCAAAGAGCCGCCAAAAAGAGAGTCCTACGGACTGCTGCTTCACTCCCACGAGATATGTACACATTACCCTCCTTCCATTCTTCTCCCTCTCATTCCGAATATAGTGTCCAGCATCCGAGAAAACGCGAAAATGGAAAGGAAAGGAAGAATATAAACGAGAGCGGGTATAACATGATCATACAACAGATGCACCCGTATCGATAGAGACAAGAAAAAGAAAAAGACACCCTTTAGCCCTCCACTCCCCTCCCTCACTGGTCGCGTCATCAATCGCCCTCTTCGTCCATTTCATCTTCGTCTGCCTTTTTCCTGGCCCGTGTTGACCGGGCCGCAGGCTTCACTGCCTTGGGCTTTGGAACCGCTTTCGGCTTAGGCTTGGCTTTGGTCGCGGCAGCACTCCTGCCTTTCCGTCCATTAGGCGCTCGAGTGGGAGGAGGCGATACTTCTTTTTCCTCTTCTTCTCCTTCGCCCTCCTCCTCAGGCTCCGAGACTTCCTCCGGCTCCGATAGCTCGCTTTCTTCTTCTGCATCTCGAGGGGGAGCTGTGGACGTTTCCTTATTACCGGTTTCCTCGGCCGGGGAGTCATCGCCGTCGTCATCTTCTTCATCGTTGTCGGATCCACTCTGGCTCATGTACTCCCACTCGGCAACGCCACCGAGCATTTCTTGGTCATCTTCGGAAGAATCGCGCTCGATATACGACCTATTGGCGTTTGAACGCCCACTACGACGGCGGTCGGCATCGTTCATTGCTGAGCTTGACGACGACTTCTTGGGCTTGGTCGTAGGCTTCCTCGCCTTCAAGGAAGCCCTTCTCGTCGCGCTCTTGGGCGCTTTGGGCTCTTTCGGCTGGGCTACCTTTGGCGACACCTTGGCTTTCTTGCTAGCTGGGTGTGCCTCGGCGCGGTCATCAGCTGTCCTCCGCTTCTTTTGCACATGTTAGCTCTAGCTTCTCGCGAGATAAGATGGGATCAACCATACCTTTTTGCGCTCAATGGCCCGGAGAAGCTCATCAAGTTTATCATCCATGCCCTCAGGGATGTACTGCCGCTCAGCGATCTCCTGAGCCTCGTTGTGGGACTTGAGGGCTAGACAGAGACCAAGCGGCAGTCCAACCTTGCCAGGGTAGGCGCTGAAAACCCAGTTCTTCTTTTCCTGCCATTTACGAATTACAGACTGCACCAAGTCGCTCAGAACCCGGTGCTTATCGCTCTGCACGTCAATAGCGTCCTGCGTCTGCTTGACACGCTCAGCATACTTGTAGATCAAGCCCAGATTCGACTCCGTCGCCACCAGGCTGATATAAAACAACAAATATCGGGCGTGGTCGGCCAGATTGTCAACCTCGGTGCTGTAGTCGGGGTGGTGGGCGAGCAGTGATAGCAACCGGGCCATGATCGCCTCGAGAACAGGTTGTTTCAGCGACTCAAAATGTCGCGCCCGTGACCGTATCCAAGTTTCCGTGCGTTGTTTAAATTCGGCGTTAGGCTCGAAGGCCATTAAAAATACTATGGTGTAGTATCTGGACCGCAGCTTGCCGTCCGCCAAATACTTTTGCAGTTTCTGGACGAAGCCATGGCGGACCTCTGACACGGCGTCTTGGGTTGTAAAGGCAAGCGCGTCAAAGTCCTCGGGCGAGAGGAGGTCGTCAAAGTGCTTCTTGGTGCACAGCTTCAACAGGAGTTGTGCGGCAAGCAGTCTAAGCCGCGATCTGTGATGCTTTGGTGTCTGCTTCGCCTTGCAAATTTCTCCATCCTTCTGGACGAGCTTCATAAAAAGCTTCCAGACAGGTTTGGCCTTCTCTTTTGCCTCGGCAACGTCTTCCATGCTCCGCAGCCTATTCGCTAAGGTCTTTAAAGCGAGGCATTTGGCTTGACACTCTTCATCTAGGTCAGCGTCGCTAACCCAGCTCGGATCGTGCTCACTGGCATCAGTCCGGACGTCCAAAAGGATATTTTGCACCGTCATGTTCAGAATACGGTCTTCGGCTTCCTCGGTTACCTTTGGAGCAAGCAGCTCCAGCTGGCTGACGGCGGCAAGCTTGTTGAGGAAATGAGTAGACCCATAACTCCAGTCCTTCATGGTCCTCTGGAGCAGATCAGTCGCGCTGAGCATGCTCTTCTCGTCCTTCTTGGACAAGAGGATATTGACGGCGTACTTGGCAGCCCGGGCAGGCTGGCCGTAGAGGGCATAGCTAATCATGGTCTGTGTAAAATCTCTCTCCACCGGTACGTCCTTGGGGTACTTGCGAGCGTAAGTAGAGCAGGCCTTGAGCGTCTCGGCAACAACCGGGTCGTTCTCCCGCTTCGAGGTGGGGGCTTGGTCAACTAGGTCCTTGCAGAGCTGGCCAATATGTGTCTTGAACAGGTCGGGATTGCGCTGAGATATCTCATTGAGAATCTCGTGTGCAGCTGCCCCCAACCCGCCCGTGTCCGACTTGCTATAGTCCATGATGGTGGAAAGGTGGCTGCGATTGAACATGATACATCCCGACCGGTAGAGCAGAGGGAGGAGGGTGTCCATGACAGGGGGATCTTTGCTGGTCTGAATTCGCTTGATGAGCTCTCTGAGTGCTTTATGGACCGTCTTAAAATCATGTTCCTGCCCAGTTACATATTTAACCAGATTGTAGTTCCGGCGGTCGTTAGCTTTGGCAAACTTCAAGAGGTCTTGCTTGCTTTTGACGTCTGGGAGGAACTGCGAGATATACTGCGCGATTTTGTTGAGGTTGCTGGTCTTCTTCTCTGCCTCCTCATCCATGACCCCTCCGTTGTACATATCGCAGTGCTTAATGTAGGTTGAGAGAGCCTGGGCGAATTGCGGCTGCCTTGCTTGCATGGCAAAGAAAGCCTTCTTTGCGCCTGGCTCGAGAGAGCGGACGAGAAGGAGGATGCGCTCTGCCCGTATCGCGTCTTGGTCAAACGCCGTGGCGGCGGACTGCGACTGTGAATTGCCGTTAGAATTCGTGCTTTTAGACCCCTTCTTGGGCGGCGGTGGATAGGCGAGAGGCACGAGGCATTCGTAGATGACACGGTCCAATAGTACATTGAGTTCGAGGTCGTTGGCATAAAACGCATTGAAAATGCGGCTGGGAACGCCGCCGAGCGCTGCCGCCACAGTCTCGTTGCCGGCAAGCAGCTCTCCGGTCCCGACGGCCCAAAGTTTGCCCAGTAGGGACATAGCCGCCACCCTTACGGCGGGTTTCCTGTCGCGACAGCGGTCGGCCAGCGTCGACAAGACCGAGCCCTCCTTGCCGACGCCGCCGTTGGGTGCTAGCTTGCTAATGACGTCTTGAAACCTAAACGACTCTATGGCCCTGACGGCCGCTAGCCTGACCTTCTCGTCATTGTCCGAAAGCTTTTCACCAAGCCCCTGGACCAAGGCCGTCTCGTCCTCGCGGCTGAGACCGATGCCGCCGGCTGAAGTGGAGACGATGTAGCCCACGGCCGAGGTCCACGCGGCACGTATTGCGGGAGCCTTGTCGTTTTTCCTGCTGATGAAGTTGTGGAAGGTGGTGCTGTGTGTTTGTGAGAAGGAGATTGCAGACATTGGTGTGGTGAGGATGTTCCCAGCTGGAGCGTCAGTCCTCTCCTCGTCGTCCACTTTCAAGGGCGGATAGGCGGCGGGATCTAGTGTCGGTGGCGGCGGAGGCCCCGCTGCCCCGATTCCCGAAATCATGTCGCCGAGCGTCTCCGTGGCAAGCTGCCGCAGGTGGACGTTGTCGGCAGACAGCTCGGCATCTATTTGGGGCACGACGTTTTGGAGGATCATGGGTGCAGCTTTCCAGACTTCGCGTATGAGGTTGTGCGCCTTCTTCAGCTCCCTCAAGTCGGACTCGGACGGCCCCGTAGGACCCTCATCGTCGTCCAAATCCTCTCCGTCCTTGTTGCCATTAGGTCTTCCAGCGAAGCCTGTCGAGTCTACTATAACGTCGCTGAAATACTGGCTGACGAACCGAGCCATCTTCTCGGGGTACTGCTGGCACAAGCTCTTGGCCATCTGATACGCCTCGGGCTCCTCCTTTAGCAAGAGAGTTGCCTGGTTGCCGTCGATGGGTACATGGTCGTGGCCACCTGGCGCAGCAGCCCGGAGGAACTGGGCCATGATGACATCAATGACCGAGGCGGGCAAAGTAACAGCCTCGTCGATGAGCGCACCGAGCAGCTCCTGCATGGTGAACTCGACATCCTTTGCGACCTGCTCGCCGGAAATCGACTTGGTGCCGACGCCATCAAAGATTTTGGAGAAGAGATGCAGCATAAGGTTTTCATGGCCGTCGACCTCGAGGAGGAGGACGATGCTCTTAATCTCAGCCAGAGAGCTAAGCAGGTATCTGTGCTGGTTGTTGTAAGAATTAGAAGGGTCGAAGAGGGCGGGTATCAGATTGGTCAGGCTGAGATTGAAGAAATCCTTGATCTGCAACATGGTAAAGGGGGCATTGGGGGCGCAGAGTCTGAGTATGTCGGCGACGCAGCAGGCGACGTAGGCCCTCACGCCTCTGTCCTTGTGGTTCAGCAGCTGGTGAGATATGAGCTCCTTGGCGACCTTGGTCAACGAGTCTGGGTCAACGACATCTTGCTCCATCTCGCCGAGCTCCTTGGAGAGGCGGTCGAGGCGCTTGAGCAGCTGGTCGATGGGGATGGGCTTGCCGGGGCGCCATGTCAGAGCGTCATTGAACTGGAGGGTGACGGTCCTGTCGTCTTGCTCAGGCTCTTCAGGCTCCTCGGCAGCGCTCCGGCGAGGCGCCATGGCGCGTGTGGTGGGTTTGTTTGACGAGCCTTGTGAGTCGGTCGGGGCCGTTGGCGACGATGCGATTGATGGCGCGGCGAGTAAGGGCTGGCGCGAATGGAGGGGCCAGATCCGCGCTGGCCTCGGGAGTCGACAGCTTGAATCGAAAGGGGGGGGAGGGCCTTGAGGCCCCTGGGGACAGACGGGCGCGGCGAGACGAGGCGCGTGCAACGTTAATAGTTGGCGTGGTTCGCAAGAGGAAACGGCGGCGCGTGTGTCGCTGTTACAGCTACAGCAGTGTGGGTTCGAAACGGCGGCGGGCGTGTCGCTGTTGCAGCTACAGCAGTGTGGGTTCCAAACGGCCGACGACCTGACAGCTGGCCGAAGCTGTCAAGGCAATAGAAATTGCGGAGTCGAGGGGGCGCTGGCGTCTCGCGGTGATATGGCGAGGCGGGCGCGACTCATGGGTTATATATTTGCGGGGGAAAAGGGCATCTCTAATGGACATGCAATTGAGGATTTGTGGTTTGATCGTGGGTGTGGATGTGCCAGCTCGAGGAGGGACGGGGACGGGGACGGGGACGGGAACGGGGACGCGCTTCTGCTTCGCGTGATAATTAAATCTCCTGTGGCCGACCGGGGTCTCTGAGTGGCTGAAATTCCTGTCTCGGCTGGCCGCAACAGGGCCTCTGATTGGCCAAAGCTCAATTACACTGAACACTTTTACTTAGCAGACGGCCACCACAAACCAACCGTACCTGCCTTGCGAAGGAATGTCCGTAACTAACAAAAGGTTTTCCTCTTTGCAGTTTAGTTCTAGGGTATGGTGACCCAGCTGGTAGAATCTCCAAAGCGCAGCGCTCTGGGGATATGGTCAGCGTGGAAATGCCTTGAGCGACCTGACCACCGGCTTGGATGTCGGATACTATTCTACTAAGGCAGGTATGTATGTAATGGTTCGCTCCGTCGGGAAGAGTTCCCGTCGTCCGAACATGGAGAGGTGAGAGTTATAAAAAAAATCCGTTGGGGAAAGCCCTTACTAGGCATTACTAGAACCCCTTTCATACCTACCCATCTTGGAAAACATCTCGCGAACAACCATTCGCGGCTTGGATTGCAAACCAAGGCTCCGCCTGCCTAGGTATCTACCTTAGTTTGTAGAAAGAAAGCTACGACAGCTTTTAGCAGCCGGAGCCTGGGCGCCTTGCTGATACTATGAAGAAGTTTCTTTGGGGTTTTTGATAGCTAGGAATGATTTGGTCGGCTTGAAGCTTTTTATAAACACCGTTCCAGGCCCAAGGGCTGATCTGATGATAAAGGAGAGCAGGCAAACCAGACAAGTACGTAAATTGAGCGAATTACAGACCCATCCCGCTATGGTATTTGGCTGTAGGCAATGTGGCGACGTGATGGCGATATTCCTCTCATTGGTGCAGATAAACCCATGCGTCCATGGTTGTGGTTTCTTTCCCGAGACATCGTTATTCTACTGCTGCCCGAGAACTCGTGAAAACGTCATTTGGGCCGGGAAGATATATACGGCAACTAGACGGGCACTCTAGAATATAGGAGGCGCCAGGAAATGGATCAACAGACGTGGATTGTAGTCGACAAACCACGGTACGAATACCCTCAGCGTGGTAAAGGGGCGTTGCCCCTGACGACCATAAGCTACCCGGCTATCCTTCTTGGATTTTCTGCGGCCATATGCTAGCAACCCCTTCCCTATTCCAAAACGAGCTTGATTGTTTGCTTCCTATTTGAGATAGATGGCCATCTGATTACTTGGCCTCCCGTCCGTGTGACCAACAGTTGTATTAACGGGCGGGTGCGCTAGTTGACGCTGCAGTTATCCCCAGAGGAACTACCACGAGGGAGAAGGGCCTCGGCTGGACCTGGCAGATTTGTATGATATGTACTGCCGCATACACGTCACGTCATGGTGCTCGTAGGCCTTTTGTCTCCTAATCCCAACCGAAATTCCAGAGGCCAGACTCGCCCAGATACCAGATTCCATCCAAAGTGAGATTTCATCCCAAGTCGGTCAACCCAGTCGTCAGGCGCCCAGGCACCGATTAATTTCCCTATTGTTGTGTAGTACGTACCTGGTTCACAATAGCTGGGCCCATGTGGTGGGCATAAAGTGCCTCCGTCCTCGCGTCCTTGCCCTTCCCTCCCTCGCACCAAAACTCTTCTTCCTCTGCCCACAACCACATTCGTTTCTCCGAACCTCGTCACTCATTTACCACCCACCTACCTCAAATCTTCCCGTCAGCTCACTACAGCACACTGCCTCGGTATCACCTCGACAGACCACTTGGTAAGTATTTCTGCTTTCTGTCGTGCCCTGCCCTGCCTGCATTGCTTGCTGGCTTGGCCAAGTTCAAAACCTCGTCCCCAAATTTCCAACATCTCTAGCCTGCCTTTATTGCCTCCAGGTCCCCCAAATTTTCATTTCACGCGTCTGGTTTCTCACCTCGCCCTCACAATACCACGCCTAATCTAGGCAGTTGACCGCCTGTTGAAGCTGGTTGGCGATTTATCACCCCGTGCTCTGCTATTGTCCTTTCTGTCCGGCTCGTCCCCCCTCACCCCCAAATCTCGCACTTTCTTCACCCTCCACCTTCGCCTGTCAAGCGTCAATAGCCTCAGAACAGCGCCCTCCCCACCAAAAGAACCAAGCTTGTTAACCGCACCCGCTATAGTCACTCACAGTTATTGCCAAGACCCCGAAATGGAGTCCGGAAACGAGAAAGCCGCGGGCGAGGGCGTCCATGCCCCGCATGCTGCCCGCAAGGGCAAGTCGGCGAACGGCAAGATGCCCGTCCTCGGTGGTGTTTTCATCGTCGTCAACGCCCTTATGATGATCCTGGCCTTTGTGACCGTCGGCTCCGTCGCCATTGACGCTGTTCAGAGTATGAAAACCACCAGCACCGCCACCCTCTCTCGCCGCTGCCTCCTCCTCTGCCCCGTTCTCCAGAGCTAAACCACTATGTGATGACCTACTAGTTTACAACAGATTCGGAGTCCTGGCCCAACAGGTAGTCCCGAAAAACAACCACGTCTACGGCTACGGTGCTCGCGACTACGGAGTCGAGGCCATCGGCGGCGCTCCAGCCATGATGAACGTTCGCGATGTCAACGATGCCACCACTACCGACTGCTCCACCGGAACCGAGACCACCATGCCTCCTCCCCCGTCCTCGCCCGCCAGCGACATCTCCAGCGTCACCACCACGTCGACGGCAACCTCTACCGAGACCCGCACGACGTCTGTCTACAGCACCAGCGCCAACAATGCCACTAGCGGCAGCGCGCCCACCTCCACGCCGCCGCCCGCTCCCCAGGCGGCCAGCAGCGGCGGCACCTGCGCGGCGGCCAGTACCGTCACCGTGGTCTTGACGGTTAGCTCCGGCTCGACGACGACGCCTACTAGGGCGGCGGACTCGACAGTCTCGTCTTCGATTCCCGACCCCGCCACCACAACCACCGCTACCGGCCCCGCGGTCGTCTCCCCGTCGTCGTTCTCGACGGTGCTGACGACCACGACGATCAGCGACGCGACCAGCACGCGCACGCAGTTCGCCGCCCCGACCTCGACCGCCGCGACTACTGCCGTCGAGGGAAGCATTGGCGGCAACTACACCACTACCACCACCAACGACTCGGGAGTAGTAGTCCCCACGCCGCTGAGCATCACGCCGCTGGGCAGCATCACCAGCAGCACCACCAGCAGCAGCTCGCCCTCGGGCGGCACAGGTGGCGTCGTGCTGCCTCCCCCGTCGAGCAACGGCACGTACACGGCGCCTGCGCCGGCGCCGCTGACGAGCATCGCGACGGCGGGCGCGGGCGCCAACGCGGCCGTGCCGGCGGCCATCATCAAGACCACCAAGGGCGGCACCAAGACGTCGGCGCGCGGTACGTCGGCGTGGTACTGCGTCGTCATGCTGTGTGCGGTCGCTGCGGTCGCGCTCTGACTCTAATAGGAGGACAAATATGCCTTATGAAACTCGCGCTGTTTCTGGTTTCGTTTTTTCTTTTCGGCATCCTAATATCCACCCGGGTGTAATTTGTGTGTTTTTTTCGTTTCTGGAGGATACAGGGAATGGATAATACCACATCACATGACATCACATCACGTGCTTGGGAAAAGGGGAGAGGAGATGAAAAGAGGCTGGGTACTTCTGTCAAGAACACTGACAGCGAGACATGGACGGCACGGTAGCGGCATTTGGCGCTGGGGAAGGGAAGAAAGGTGTTATTGGCTGGGTTTGGGTTTGTTTTTCACATACCTCTCTCTGTTGCATTGTTTCCTATTTTATTCTACCCCTGCTTAGTTACTACTATCCCTTTGGTATTCTTCTGTTCTGGGCAAGAATTAGTCTCTTCTTCTCAAGGGGGATAAAAGCGGGAACGGGAAAAGGGGTTAGAATAGGACCAGCAAAGGAAACCAGCAAGAGAGTCAAGGATACCAAGCCTGGCGTATGTCAATGAATGACAATATGTCTTTTGCCCTTTACTTTTTCTCCTTTGTTGTCCTTTTACCCTTTTTTAAGGACGTGCTGTGTTCTTTTTTCTTCCTCCGTCTTGGTCCCCCCACCGACTCTTGTTTTCTTGTCTCTAGTTCCAGAAGGAATACAAACCCGGGCAACTGGACAACTGGGAACTGCAAACGAGAACTGTCACCATAATGGAAGGTATGCTGTTATTAATGTTTTTGTTGAGGTCTCCGCGGTGATGGGAACCGTGTGCAGAAATGTTGGATTGCCAGCTGTTGAAACGTTGCTTCCTCTTCTCTGATTCCTTTAAAAAGGAATGAATGGGTTGATATATAGGAGGTACCTTACCCATCTAGACAAGCAGAGCACGTCTTCCGTTCTCTCCTTCAGTGTCCATTCAGTACATCAATCACAGAGCCGTGTCCCCCCCCCGGTGCAGCTGGAACTACCAAGAAATCAGATAACCCTACAAGCAAGATACGATGCTAAAACTCAATGACATGTTCACGTAATTGGTGTATCCCTTTTTAGACCCTCGGATACGCCGCCGACACCTTGCGCCAGAACCCAACCCCCGCAGATAGCTACGGTATAGCAGCACCACAAATAAACGCCAAATAAACACCACCCCTCAATGCAGGACCGTCGACGGTAAATTATCCTTGGTGAACTGTGGTATCCAGAGCCGCTCTAATAGGAAAAAACAGCCACACATTTCTTATCGAACCGTCCCCGTTTCCGCAACTAGGAAAACTTTGCCTTTATAAACAACAAAGACTACCGCTGCTGCTGCTGACGCATCTTCCAGCTGTCCTTGATCCCCCTGGCAGCCTCGAGAAGGTCGTTCTCGGTGATGCCGTCGCGGATGCTGTCGAGGACGCTAAAGACGGTGGTGCTGTGGTTGGCCTCGTGCTTGTCGTCGCGGAAGCGGTAGAGGCGCCAGCGCTTCTCTTCGTCGAGCGCGCACTCGACGACGCGATCTTGGAGGGGGTCGCCGAGCGCCTTCAGCTCCTCCCACTCGGCCTCGGTCAGGTAGAGGGGATCCGAAAACTCTCGGTATATGCCGCCGTCGCCGCCGCTACCATGGAAGACAAAGAGGCGAGCATCAGGTACGCTATCGTAGTCGATGAAGGGATCTTTCTGGCCGTCGGGCGCCTGGTCGTCGTTGGGCGTCACGGTCGGGAAGGCTAGGCGCAAGCGAAAGTCGACCGTGTTGTCGTGGGGCGGCTTCCACTTGACAATGTGCTGGTCTGTGCCAAACTGGTAAGGGCTGGTGCGGCACGTGAAGATGAGCCCGTCGTTCTGGTGCTTAAGGCTTGGCAACACCTCGCGGAACATCATCTCGATGCCGTACGAAAACTGCATTTCCTTCATCTCCACCTGGAATGCCTGGAACTGCAGCTCGTCCGGGAATTCCTGGAAGAGCTTCTTGTACGGCCTCATGACGTGCTCTTTGAAATATCCCAGTCGCTTGTCCAGGGGCTTGGAGATCAAGTCGGCCTTATCGTCGAGCGCGAGCAGGTCGAAGACGAGAAACTTGGGTTGTATGCGGCCGTCGGGCATGGTATCCAGCACCAGCTCGCCATCGATGAGCGTGCCCGTGTGGAAGGATACGTTATCGTTCTGCAGCGGGAAGTGCAAGTTTCTTTGGTGGATCCACCAAAAGTCATTCTTGCGGTCAATCAGGTAATGCGCGGCGTTGCCATTCTCGTCGTTGGTGAGGTAGAGAAGGTAGCGAATGCCGTCCGACTTCTCGCACACATAATAGCTGCAGATGCGAGAGAGACACAAGTCAACGGCTGCAAGTGCGACACATGAACGAGAGGAAGGATGGCGTCACAAGTTTGCTTACTCCTCTTTCCGCAGCTCGTCTAAATGCCGCCGCGAGAAACTGACGGGTTGTGCGCCAGGAAAGCCGGTCGAGGATCTGTCCAGAAGCTTCGCAATTTCGTCTCGCAGGATCCTGAGCAAGCGCTGCTCGGCCTTGATGCCGGGCTGGGCAATGTCCCGGATGGGCTGAGAATTTTCATTCATTGTTTGGTCGTGTCTCGTCCCTAGTGGTTCGGGATGGTGTCTTCTTCCTTTGCGAATGACGGTGCTTGCGGCGCCCTTAGAGCAGCTTCGGTGTTGGCGCGAGCATAGGAAATATCGGCGAGTCGCCTATTCGGGGTCTTGAGGCCGATAAAAGTATGCGCGCGGCGTTTGGAGGGAGATTTTGAGCGAGCCGAACTCGTGCCGTGAACTGTTTGCGCGAGTGCATTCAGTGAACCGCGGAGACTGTTACAAGGAACAGGGATCAAGGAATGGATGGATTGGATGCTGGTCTTGGAAAGTTGGAGATCTCGAACTAGTACAGTGCGAACTGCGAAATACAAACTTTCGACTTCGCACGGCCTATTGGCTGCCGCATCACGATGGATTTTATACTTCAGACTTCCAACCTTTGTTAAGTCTTAACCTGGAATTAAATAGGTAGGCTTACTCAATGAATACGCACAGCAAAAAGATAAAAAATTGTATTAATCGATGCGCTAATATTAAATTATCTACCCTGGTGACGGAAACTTTAATATCAGGCGTCGATTTCAGTCATCATAATATTTCGGAAAGGCCTATCACCCCACTCATAGCCACTGTCACTCGTGCCAGGACACAATTTATCTTGCTTCCTCTATCCGTATTCAGTCAGTGTCCCCCCACATATGCAATAAAATTCTATTGCCGGGCAACCCAGGCATGGAATCGGAAGCCGCCATAATAAGCAATACGCCGCCTTCCCCTCCCCACATTTCATAACCAACCCCACTGGCATTGTTGGAATTCTCGTCTACGATTCATCAATCTTGTCAACTTCGGCCCTCGCTTCCTCCCATGTTTCCTTATTCTTCCTTGCCCATTCGATCTGGCTCTTGGCGTAGGCAAGCTGCAAAGAGTCAGCAAGGAACCGGAACCGCAAATCCCACATACACCGCAGGCAAACTTACCATGTATCGCTTAAGATCATCCTCCTTTTCCCGCTGGAACCTCTTCAAGTCTCGGAGGACGCTTGCGCTTGCGTCCTTCACATCTTGAGCCGAAGCCACTTGTGCTTGCTCAAGCTGCACTATTGACTCGCGCGTCTTTCCGATCATGTCTCTTCGGGTTCGCTCGGGATCGACATCAACCACACCCTGGACTGCGTGGCGGATAGGACCAAAAATCTTGTTAGTGATCGAGTTGCCGCTTGCCGCCTTCTTATGGCCAGGGCTTCCGCCCGATCTCTCCGGCGCCCCGATCTTAGCAGACGGCGCCGATGAAAAGTCTCCATGTGTTGGAGGAAAGTCCGAGTCTATGGAAGCCGTATCCTCGCCGGACCCATCCCTGCGGTGCTGGTTCGGCGACTCTCTCGTACTTGTTGATCGCCTTGGTGGGGCAATCTGCTGGCTGCTGCTGAGGTACTGGTCGATCCTTCTAGCCTCGGCTTCGCTGCGCTCTAGCTGGTCAAGGAGTGTTCTTTTCTTGTTGAGTTCGTCCGTTGTCATATCCTGCTGCACTCGCTTTAGGACCCTGTACCGCAGCACGTTCCGGACAACACCGGCAAACTGCGCGTTCTCCCGCATCGGCTCAGCAAAGCTAGCGCCCAAAGAGGTGGATAGCTCCTCTGTAGCAATGTAAGACGAATCGGCTGCCTGCCCGATTCTCTCGATCGCCGGTGCAAGGGAAGGGGCAGGCTCGGACAGTGCAAATGCGTTGTACCGAGCGCCTAGCTCCGAGAGGTCCGAAGCTAGAGAAGACAGATGGTTTAAGGTGCGGCGGTTGACTTTCTCTATCGGGCCCACAAGAAGGGTTTCGAGGTCTTTGATAGAGGCCTCGAATGCGGTAAAATACGGGTCAAGTTGCTGCTCGCCGAGCGTGTTAGAATCAGGTGGAAATCGAGCAAAAACCTGTGCCCCAGCTGCTGAGCCGTCTACAGCCGGGGCGGCGCTAGGCGTCGTCTTTAACCTGGCCGAACCAGCAGGCACGGGAAGGTAACCGTGACCGGAAGTCGGGTTCGCTGGATCTAGCGGAGGCGCCTTCATGATTGACTTTGGTATAGAGGCCACCGGGTGCGAGTGAATGACTTCGTTCTAGGGAGTATTAGCAAGAAGAAAAGAAAAAAAATGAAGGACCGGACATACCCAGCTTGAGTTCGGGTCGAGGAACCTCCACCAAACCCCATCTGTCCGAACTTGCTCCATGCGACGACAGCGGTTGAGGAAGACGGCTAGCATGCGCTTCCGCAAGTCGATTATTTGTTGATCTTGCTTCGCGTTGGTGGGGTTGGCAGCGTAGTCGGCCATGGTGTGCTTTTCTGGTATGGGCGGAATAATAAGAGTGGGATGTAACCGAGTGAGAGCCTCGCGCAGGGAGGAGAACTCTGAGTACCGCCTGCGCACAACGAGCTCCTGTAGACACGGTTTAGTGGATGGCGACTGGGTTGTTGGGGGGGAGGGGTTCGAAGACGTACGCCCGTCTTGATGGTGTAGACTATATATCTACCGCCACTCTCTGAGCTCTTCCCAGCATCTATGATCAGGATGGGCAGCTCGGGGTTCTCGTAGAGCATCTGCTCGACGCGGCTGTCGTACCCCCCTGGCTTGCGCCGAGGTATAAGCTCGGCATGGGTATGGGCGTCGGTCTCCTCGTCTGTATTGGCGTCGCTAGATTCCCGGGCAAGACCAGGTTGCGGGGGCACATCGTCACTCGCCGTGGATGGTGTTTGGGGGGCGTCATAGCGAGGATCTAACATCAGCCAGTCGTCGTCAGCACCATGGTTCTCGGGAGGCCCCAAGGGGATATCATGCAGATCATCGGGATCCATGCTCTCGGCAGCGGAATGCGCCCAACAGCAGAGAAGAGCAACTGGGACTCACAGTCGCGTGTGACGGGTGACGAGGGGTTGGCTGACGAGGTGAAAGAGTCGCGGCGCTCAAAGCTCTCGCCGTACGGGTTGTTGTCTTCGTCGTTCCACATTTTGGGCGGCTCGTTTGTCACAAATCAATCACGTAGCAAACAAAGAGAGCGGCAGGTGAGGCCGTGGTGAAGGAGCTAGTGCAGGCGCAGAGGCGCTGGATTGTTCTGTTCAGACGTGGAATTGAAGGCACCCGTCGTCAACCAGGCTCGGCGGGGCGGCAATGGCAATCGTGGGGTTAGCAGCGGGTAGCAGATGGCAGAGCGGGAACGGTATCGAGACACTGAATTACGTAGGTATCTGCGGTGTGGGAAGCCGCTTGGAGGCAATCTAGGGCTTTATATTTCCGGGTATGCGCATTTGCGTCGTCTCCCACGGGCGCCCTAGTTTATTGGGAATACTGCTTGGGCTGTTGTTGAAGTTGTCTTCGGAGGTGTGGTGGTTCCGGGTGGGTCAAGCTGCGGGCGCGGCACAACCTAGCTCTCTCCAACGCCCGAGAATGACGACGCGAGAGGCGCACAAGCCGGCTCCCACTAGACGCACACGTGTGTGCGCTTATGTAAGTGACCTTTTTGAAGCATGGAAGGCAATTCGGCTTGCATTGATCAACCAACTCTCTGAGTTGCGGTCTAACCAAGCTAAACAACAGATCCGCATACCTCTTGAGCTCGATAAAGCTCTGTATAAGGCCGTACAGGGCTGGGTCTCATACGAAGCATTACGGAAGGTTGAGAAGCAGCGGCAATTGCAGTGGAAAGACCCTCCTCCGCGGCCTACTTGTACAGGCACTTTTACACGTATCTACGGGCTTCCATGTGTACATGTACTTACTGGGCGTCAAGAGCCTCTTCTTCTTGAAGACTTCCATTCGCACTGGCGCTTAATACGTGATGGGGCTCCACCTCAGCTTTTAGAGCCCCATCGTATAGAGCCAAAAGCTACAAGTAGGCTCCCAGCGTCAAGTACGAAGCGGGAGCCTAGTGGATTCGAGGTCGTCGAGGCAACACAGGCAACGCGGGCTAAGCGACCAAGCCAGTGTACGGCTTGCGGTGAAATTGGCCATAGACGGACCTCTCGGGTGTGCCCGAAGCGTTATTCAGATGCTGTACGGATTGATTGAATGGCTGGCTGGCTGGCTGCAGTGTGGGCGATAGGTTGGCTGTGGTGGTAAAGGGTGCGAAAAAATTGGCCGCGTTAGATGCATTTTCAGAGTTACATAAGCAATTTCACACTTACATAAGCGCACACACGTGTGCGTCTAGTGGGAGCCGCACAAGCCGGCAAACTTACATAAGTGAGGGTTACAGTATCCGCGTGTGCGCACATTCGATACACACTGTACAGGGCACATGCACTCATGTTCATCTGTTGGGGTCACACTTTCTTGTCTTCAGAGTCCTGGCCAAAGCGGAAGGCACCAGAGACATTCGGAATCCGACCCATTAGTTTGCTTAGATCTACCTTGGGTACTAGGATCGAAACCAACAAGACTCAGCTTGAACCGCCCCTAGAAACGACCCTATTTGCGATGCGGTGCCTAGAGCCATGCCGCTCAAGGCTACCTAGATTGTGATTCCTAGATTGTGATTTAGAGGGCTCAAACCTTTTGGCCGATCCTGTCCGCTAGGTTGTTAACATTTGTGAAACTCTTTTACGTTGTTGCAGGAAAAAAGGTGCCTGGCTGTTCATCCATGAGGCACTCTTCCTTACGGGTAAACAGGTTCATGGCAGTGAGTTTGGTGCACCAGCAAGCCATTTCGCGCAGGATCTGAATCAACTTCTAACGCACGTAAGCACCTTAGATATATATCCCTAGACATTGAGTCTCGGGGGCGCCACTCGGTTTGAAGAAGTTATTCTCGGCCGAAAGTCCAGAACATGGCGTCGCCTCTAAGGTTTCGGGTTTTAATCCAAGACCCTGCTCTGAAGTCTTGGGTTTCCATATTAAGGACGGCCTAGAGTGTGTGGCCCCCTCCAGATCCTAGGGCATGCAGACCAAACCTTAAGAGACAGACGATATTGGCGTTATCACTTCTTACCTCAAGTCCCCCGCATACGAGATAGGTTCAGCCAGAGTTCAGAGGTCTCTCGAGCATTTTCCCTGGGTCGACCTATGGGGGTTCCCGTGTTTCAGCGGCAAGACAAGACATCGTACTTGACTAGGATGAACATTTCTGGTTGTTTACATGGAGTTGGAGTGTAATCCTGATCCAAGGGGCGAGACACCCATCTCAGTCGTTTAGCATTGTACTCTGCTTATTGAAAGGACCTGGACCTAACTGTCTATAAAGGGCTCTTCCCACCCACCCCATTTTCGAACCGCTCAGACCAGCAGGGCGCAGCCATCTATATAGGAGAAAAAAGGAGAAAACCCCTATACTTACACTATGAAGTTTCTCTTGCTGGGTTCAGCACTCATACCTGCTGCCTTGGGACTACTAGAAGGCCGTCGAGGGGGGAGATATGCTCTTCGCGCCGTCACAGACGCAACTCTTGACCCAATTTGCCTGGTCACTTTGACCACCACACTCACGCCCAGCCTCATGTTTGTTGTTTCCCTCCCTATACATCTTGACCCTCTTATCAACTAACTCGTCTTCCCACGCAGCACCACAACCACCACGGTCAAAATCACAGCCAGGATCCCCAGCTCCGACTCCAAGCCGGTAGCCAGCAGCGGCTCTGATGATCCGATCCCGTCTTCCGCTTTGCCTATTCCCCCAATCCTTCACGTGCCCTTGTTTCCAAGCAGCAGCAGCAGCAGCAGCACAGAGAACGATATCAGCTCCACCAGCCTTGCTCTCCCGGGTGCCGTAATACCCGCCACCTCGCCCAGGTGCGCCGCCACCACCGTCACAGCAACTGCCGCCAGAGCAGTGTCGACCGCAACCCTCACAGTAACAGTCACGGCAACGCCGACGGTAAGTGCAGGAGCAGTGTCATCGTCGCTGTCACCATCATCATCCCCAATATCATCAACCCTCACCACATCCATCCGGTCGAATCCCACCACCATCTCCACCGCCCCGACAGCCAGCGGCAGTCCCTGCCGCGGCGGCGGCGCGCGCGGCAGCTACGTGTCGACGTCGTGCGTGGGCAGCCGGCTGGGCAACTGCGCGTGCGGGGTGGACGCGGACGGGCAGGGCTTCTGCTTCGAGAACAACCTATGCGCGGCCGAGAACAACTGCACGGTCAATAGTGACTGCAACTCGCAGCCGGGTTTCCGGTGCCTGGTAGGGAGCTGCTGCGGGACAGGCAAGTGCGTGCGATCGAGGACTGGCGCGGGCACTTGTGTTAATGCGGCCGGGGCAAGGATCCTGTTTGGCGGCGGCAGTGGGGGCTCGTCCTCGTCTTCGTTGGGTGTGGCGGGCAGTAATATGTAGAGACCAAGATGGATATGGGATGATTAGCAGCTCTTCTTAGCAGCTCTTCTACGCAGCCACTTGAAGATCGAGTAGTAAGCAAGGAGAGCCGGAGAGACGGATAAACAAATAAAAAGGAGGGGGGACACCATAAGAGAAACAAACCTCCAAATTACGGGGAAACATGTGGCGAATAGCACATCCATGTACAAGTAGAAAGTCAAATCCATTGATGAGGCTTAAGCCTGTCCTCCATATATCCTCCAGACATAACGCCTGGTGGTTTGGGTAGACGTATTCCCCAACTATTACCTTACCATATCCTGTCCCATTCTGAGAGACACATGTTTCAAGAGCACGCAAGACCTAAAGAACCACAAAACAATGCAAAGCAAATGCTGGCTACTTCCTCCTTTGGGGCCAGATGCGACTACTCACCTCCTTTCCTGAGAGGAGACATATTAGGATCGAGGCAGATCCGATTTCCCTAACGGGATCATATTAGCATATCCTAACCCGTTGAGAAAACAGCACATCCTTCTCTCACCTCTGGGACATGTATATCGGGTTGGAGGATTCGCATCGCAATGCTATGTGTTTCCATACGGAAACCGCCTCAAAGTTCGTTCGTATCGTCCTAGCAGGCAAAGACAAAAGCAGGCCTGATCTAGAGGTCAAGCAGTTACTGTTCTTTATTTTTGCTGGCGTCTCATGACGTTTCTTGGGGAGCTTTTTAAGGAGCCCGACTAGGAAGATGTCTGTGGGTAGCTACCGTTGGAGCCAGGTGGAGTTGGGAACTGCTGGAGTAAACTGTCCTCGGGTTCCAACTCCTGCCCAATTTCGCTCAGAAACTCTCCTGCCTCTGGTAAACGTGTACCTAGAGCGGTATCCGGACTAGTACCTAGGGTTAATCGTAGATGGGAATCTACAGCGGCCTTTTTCGTGTCGCTCTGGTGCTTTGTGTGTGCTTCCGTGAAGCCGTCTTCAACTGTCTGACTCACGGAGTGTCTCTCAATATCTTGAGACTCCTCGCTGATATGGCGGTAACGCTTGAACATCCGGCTCACTAGGTTGGGTTTGTTTTGCGAAACATTAGGGGCGACATGAGAGTTGACCTCACCATGAATCGCCACATCCATACTCGAAGTGCACGATCCCTGAAGTATATTCGAGTATGATGCATCATGTGCTAGCAAGCTCTGGCTGCGAGAATAATCTGACCGGGATTGATCTCGTGGGCCCCGTGGCTCTCGATGCTGTTTTCTCAGAAACCTTCGCCATCCCCTTCGACCACTAGGGCGTCTCGGACCACTCGCTTCAGATGGTGTTGGTGAGGGTGACTTAGGCTCTGAAAAATTGGGCGAGGACAGTGCTGGAGGTGGAGAGTCCCTTCCCTCGAGCGAAGACGCCGAGTCGTGTACTGTCTCTGCGCGGCCAGTAGATGGGTGTCTCAAGACAGACGAGATATTATGATCCTCCCGTCCCCGTTGGTCTGACAGAATGGTTGGTCGAGATGAAATATTGCTCTCTCTGCCTTCGAATAGCGGGTGGCCACTATTGTCGCACATAGGAGCTTTGAATGGTGGAAGGTGATTGCAATAGACCGAATAGGAGCCGGGAATAGCCGCTGGATATCCCGGATAATGGCCTCCAGGAAGGTGGCCGAGATGAAAAGCTGCCGGCATCTGTCCAGGATTTGATGCTGGCGCGAAAGGTGGATGTCCCAGAAATACGGGCGCTGGGGGCCTATTCACACCTGGAGGAGGTACGGCGGGATGAGGTACAGCCATGTGAGGAGCAGCCATGTGAGGTCCAGCCACGTGAAGCCCAGCCATGGGCGGCGCAGCCATGTGAGGTACAGCCATTTGAGTTGGAGCTATGGGAGGTGGAGCCATGGGAGGTAGAGCGAGGGGAGGTGCAGCTGGAGGGACAAGTGGTTGAGGAACAGCCAAATAAGGGGCGCCCCAGAAGGCCTGTTGTGGTAGCAGTAGCTGGGAGAACGGCAGTGGCCGTGGAGGAGAAGGTGCTGGAACAGAAGTGGAATAGTCAATGGGACCAGGGCGCCGGATACTCGCGCTCCTTCGCCCTCCAACCAGCCCGGAATTTCGGCGCCTTCTGAGGGGAATATCCGATGGGGAGACCCTGTCAGCTGCTTCCTCCTCGTCATAGTGAATTCTAACCTTGGCTCTAACACGAAGACGCCAGTATGCATATACCAGCGCTACCGAGACAAAAATAACAACGAGCATAATGCCCAATTTAGTTGTCTCGCTAAAACATGCCCAGACCTGGCAACCATCATGCTCATCCCGTTCAGCGAGGGTTGGTCTGGAGGAATATTTGCCGGCAAACTTGGGATGAGCCATTTTCGCTGCGGACGACTTCGAGGACGGCTGATAGTCTGGTTGCTTTTCCGTCGGCGGTGTTAAACATTACCTGAGAGTTCGAAGATGGCCGCCTTTTGCGACATCAAGATAGGAATCGCGAAAGGAAAGGTGAAAGAATGGGAAGAGATATGATGGTCCGTTCTAGCTCTGCAATCGATGATCCCTGAAACGCCGATCTAAAATGACGGCAGTCACAAACGTGGCCGAGACCTTACCAAGCCTACGACTTTGCCTAGGAAAGTTGCTGGGCGCCGATGAATTCCGCGCTGCGTTTCCTGTAGGATGTCGGGGTTGAGATTGCGGAAGCGAGGGACTGGCAAAATTAAAACTAAATGCGGAGAGACTTCTCGGCCGGCTAGGGCCGCGGTACTGGAAAATGCCGGAAAGGAAAGAATGGAAGTCGCGGGCACAAGCCAGGCGTGGTAATTACCAAAAAGCCTCGAAAGGCAAAGGTGGACGGGAAAGAGGAAGGTGCGGGTCCCCCAACCTATTTCAGCGAACCCGGGGTTTTAGGGGGAGGAAAAAGAGAAATGGTAGGCAGTCTAGGCTGTTCAATGTTCAAGGCAGCTTCGCCAAATATGTAAAGGCCAAAGCTCACCTGAGATTGGATGGCAGAAGAGAAGGGAGAATAGGGAAGAGAATGACGGGGTTACGCAACGCATGCGGCGCCTTCTCGTGCCTCAAGTCTTACCGTAGCGCAGTACGGCAGTATTGTATAATTATCGGAAATGGAATTACCTTAGGTACTCGACGTCAACATGCAATACAGCCCGTCTGCAAAAATAAAAACAAATGGAAATGTCATGTTTCTGTCCCTTCCTAAATGTGCGTAGGAAGTCGCGGCTTGAAGAGACGGGTGTAAATGAAAATAATGTGGTCCAAGCGTCGTCCCGACACTCTGGTTCACGGTGGAAAACAGGGCGTGGGGCGTTGAAGCTCAGTAACAGTAGCAACATTCGTCTCACCAAACTTCGGTGTGGTTTTCGCCGCTTCTGTTAGTACCTCTTCCAACCCACATTTGAACCTCCACTGACTTCCTAATCGGGGAGGTCAACGTTCCTCCTACATTTAGCGCTCCACCGTTGTTGAGCCGCTCTGCATTGGGCAGCAGCAGTGGGCCAAAATCACTAGAAAACTAAACAGCTCACCTTCGACCACTTCAATGCTCTATTCAAATAAATACTCGGTGAAAGCCTACGGCATACCCGGATACGACTTATGCTTCGCGTCTGTTGAAAAATACCTAGTTAACTAGCCCGTAGATAAATCTCGAATATTTAACCAACAGGACTCCGTAAGTGCACTCAACCTGGCCTCCGCTTGGACTGCGAGATTGGCAACATCACTATCGACCCTCTCAGCTCTGCTCTCGTTGTTATTCCAGGAGCGCTGTATTATTAGGCGTTAATACGATTTCGGCCGTCTTGGATGCCCAAAAAGCGGACCTATCATCCATGCAAGCAGCTAGAAAATCAAATAATACTAAGGAAGAGTCGAGGGATGGCATCGCGCTTCAGGTAGCGAGAGTTTGGCTATAAACCCAAGTGTCGGGTTAACGACTAGGGCTTGTTCTCTCACCCCTACGCCCCTTGTCAACCGGCAGGAGCCCATCACCGTGGGGAGAGACCGACGCCGAGAGCGCCAGGCGCCGACCTAGTCCTGGGATATGTCTTGCTGCCAGACCAGAGACTCAACCCGGGTGCGTATCAGGGCCTTGGGGTCCGTTGCTGACCGGAGTTGTGATCGGGGTGATTTCAGTATGCGTATGGGGCAAGGCACGGGGAATACAGGTCAACAAAACGACAGTTTACCTATCCCTGCGGCCAATCTGGCCTCTGCAGTGGCGAAAGATTTCATCTGAGTGGGCCGCCGGCGCCGCCTACACCGCCATGAATCAGCAGGCTGTTGGCCATGCAGCCCAATCTCATACGCAGGCAATGGGCCGTGGGCAGGCAGAGTCAGAACCACCTTTTTCAAATGGACCCTGCCTTGCAAGTTGAACTGTTTTTATAGCTCGTGCTCCCAGAAATCCTTTTCCCGCCGATGTTCCCTCTTCAACTTACCCCCAAAACAAATCCTTTTTCCGTTAATCTATACCAGCCGTCGGCCATTATTTGCCAGCACTAATTAGAAGGCACTCGTTAATCAAAGCAAAACCAAAATTGATTCCGCCATGGTATCCAGCTCCTCAAGTCCACACCCTTCGTATCATGTTCTCACTGGCTACGTCATATACCGCGACGAAGACCTCCGCCCACGCACGCCACCATCTATCAATAGCGGCCTACCCAGCACGGAAGACGCCAAGGACGAGCCACAATCTATCAAAAGTGGTCTACTTAGTACGGGGGAAGCCGGCACCAAACTGGAGTTAGCCCTTTGGAGATAGGGCAAATGAAGTTTTTTCACTCGAGCCGCCACCGCGCACATCAGTGCCTTCCTTCGAACCCAATACTACCTCGGCTAGGGCAAGTGGGAAGATGCCAAGATGTTTTGGGTTGAATTGGGCTGAATCCAGGAATTCAGTTGTAAGTGTGCTACTGCTAGCCACCTCCCTCTCCGTCTCGTCCCAGGATCGCGTGTTGGTAATATAAAGTGTCACGCGCATTCACAGGGCAACGGGAATGGAGCATTTGATGCAGGGAGGTAAAGCTTGAATTGTCTGAAAAGGTCTGACTTTTTGTTTCCTTTGGGAGGGCCAAAAGTCTCTCTTTTATAGTTATGAATAGTGGCAAAATCTAGTTGCGAAGAATCAAGTGGCAGCTTCTAGGTCCTTCTTTTGCTCACTAATCCCTATTGTCGTGACATAAAGCAATTGACTCACCATGGGATAGTCCCTCTGAGACTCATCTTGAGCGACCAGGACTCCAATGGCACTACACCAATTCATCACTTCACTGAGGATGAAGCAATGAACTTATGCGGCGGACGTTTGGAGGATTGGATGGATTCCTGCATTTTTAAACCCTCCGGTCCCAAGAGCGGCAAGCACGAAAATAACAACGGCGAATATCTCGAGTAGCTTTGGAAGCAGGATGGGTGCAGTAAACACGTTTCTAACTTCACCATGAATGGCCCGGATATCGTCACAGCGCTGAAGATAATAAAATTCCCATGTTTATCCCCACCTGCCCCCTCGCGTCCTTAAGACGGTTGTCCTTGGGTAACAACACCGTCGGCGCTGGCGCCTTGCGGTTGAGGGTTTAGGTAGTCTTGTCCGGGGACAATGTACCTACCTACCTACCTACCTTAGCAAAGACAGGCTTCGCGAGCATGTTGGCAGCGCTGGTTTACCTAAGCAAGTTACGAGGTCATTGAAATTAGTACCTATTGTAATTCTTCAGATGTAAAATGATGGCAGAGCCAACTTTCTATTCAGATGCGGCTAGCTTAGATAGTACTTATGCTTCGCGTCCGCCGACTAAGTTCTTATACGAGATTTACAAGTCTTTGAAATCATTTTAACAAATATTTAGGTAGTCAGAACGAAAGCTGGAGACTGAATCACATAATCGTCTCATAATCTCGGTATTTTGTGGGGTTGGCCGCCTCCCCGCCAAACTTTGGTTATAGCAATTGCCAAACACGTTGCGGCCGATGGCAACGCCGACATGTTTACTAACCTGAACGGATGCGCTAGCAGGACGAGGGTTAACACCGAGATCCTCTACAGCCTCGATGTAGCGAGCGAGCCGAACACCTGGTATTCTAGTCCCTGAAAGCCGCTACCTCGTCTCAATTCCACACCAAAACAAAACACATCCACTCGAAAAGGACAATATAAAAGATTATTAAAAACCTAATAAAAATGTGAAAAAAAAATACAATACTAGGGATTTGCTGGCCGCCACCGACCTGACTACTGATCTGGCCCTCATTGGATTGTCTGCAGGAGAGCGGACAGGATCCCGAATTTTCCTGAGTCCTGGTCGTAGGTGTAAAGTATGCCGAATTTGGAAGCCTTGATGAGTTCCGGAAAATGGGATAATCTCGTAGGTCACTCGTATACGGAGGCGGTACCAAGAACACAGGATCCGCGGATCTAAGTATACCGAGGTCTATTAGTTCTAGAAGCTCTATCTTTGCCACCTGCCCCAAAATAGAATCCTACTCTGGGATGTAATCGCTGTCCTGGTCGCTAAGCTACCTCTTGACTCTTTTCTCGGCTGCCTTAAACCGCTCCTCGTCTGATTCTGTGAGTTGCTGCGGTGGTGACCGAACCCTTGGCCGCTTCAAACAATTCTCATGCTGCATCTTCCTGCGCATACGATCCCTGAGCTCCGCTCTAGCCTCAGCCTGCTGTACTATTTCGTAAAGTTGAGAAAACGAAATAGTAATCTCCTCGTGGATGTCATCGATTCTGAGGCAATCGGGCCAGTACCCAAAATCTTTGAGCCCGATGCGAAGGATCCGTTCCCCATCGACCAAACTACCATCCACTGCCCAAAAGATACCTATTTCAGTCTCAGCTGCTTCAATTACGGCTTCCCAATGGCATTTTCGTGGCCAGTAATGGGGCATATTGTCGCTTTGATGAGCTCTAGATCGCCTGGTGAGGCCATTTTCGAGCGTTTGAGGCTGGTATGCCGGCAACAGATTGATTGAAAGGAAGAAAGTTATACACTGAGGTTTTTAGGAAGAAGGAGATCCTCGGTATCAAATTTTTATAGGCAGGACTATTTTTTTTTTTGGCATAGGGGTCACCAAGCCGGAGGAAAGGCGTGACGCGTTAACCTTTGAAGGTCTAGTCGTACCAAAATACGCAATTTGCAACTTATCGCGCTCAAATTAAGCTTAAAATGATGCCCTGATTCCAGGCATCCTCAGATATATTTCGGCTTTATAATAGTGGTTGTGCTGTTGAAGCTATTCGCAGTTCAAGGTTTTGGAAAACCGCGATTTGTATGGCAGGGCGTGACGCGAAGAGCCAAAAATCGGATATTGCTCTCAGACGTCTTTTCCAGGCATTCTGCGCAAATATGTGGGTACTGGGATCTTAAATACTCAAATGGGCTAGCGGGACAAATTTATACATAAATTGGGCGGGTTTTTGTCCAGCCGCCCATTCGGCCCACGAAGTGGTCTATTCAATTTACACCTGCCCAAATGGCGGCGAAGCCACCCCCTCCCAGCCTGGAAAAAGACGTCTGAGTTTACTGAGATAGGTGTATTGCAGGGCGATTGCAAGGAGTAAGGCTCGCTTTGCTTGTTGATGACGGAAGGAACAGGTGTTGCGGGGCGATTGGGAGAAGGATTGGGAGGTTGATTGCTTGTGGCATGTGAACGTGAAATAGAAGGGTTAGGGTTAATATAGGTACCAAGGCCCCACTTATATGCAAACAGGATCCCGAGTTTTCCAATGGGTATGGTCGTGTACGGTAGTAAACAGAGATCATGTAGGATACCTTGGTGCCTCTGCCAAACCCCACGATGCTGAGAAACTCCCTGTTGTCTAACAGCACTCCCCAGAGATGACCAACCAAGTAAAAATTCTAACGCCAAGATACCGAAGAATAATGAGAAAATAATTTCGTCTGGCCCTGTCGTGCTGACTCGTGCCTTTTGGGTGCGGGTTTTGGTAACGGTGAACTGACTACCGTAACAAACCGAGAGGACAAAGAAGACATGGGCCAAGGAACTCAATCGTCCCCTGTAGTTGACGACTGCGTGGCTGTCCCCAAGGCTAGCCTAGCAGATTCTTCTTCGGAAATAGATGTCGATTGGTGCAAATGGGAAGAATGTGAAGGCTCGTGGGTAGTGGAGATGGCGGTTGCGGTGCCAGTCAACTCCGACAGTTGCCGTTCTGTTCTCAATCGTATTAGTGCTTGTCACTCGATATCCGCATCGTTGTATCGGACTAAACTTGCCAAGATCACGGATCCGATGGCGGAGCATTTGATTCTCTCGAATCAGCATTTGCGTCTCGGCCTGGTAGAAAGCGCTCTCGTCACGGCCGCCAAGAACCCACTGCTCCCCGCTCTCGCCGCTGATCGAAGTGGCGCGGAGCCTAGGCGAGGCGCCTCGACTCGGGGTCCTAGACCGGCGTTGCAGATCAACGCGTGCCAAGTCGAACGAGCTGCGAGGGTGGTGCGGGAAGCCGGGTGATCGTGAAAGCGAAGATCCAGGGGCGCCTGGAGCAGGGTGGGCGGATTGTATTGCCGATGATGACGGGATGGGGAGTGGCACGGCCCGATCCGACACTTCTTCTCCAACGTTGGAGGTGGAGGAAGGCAGACCTCCGGGTTGCTGCTGACGCAGAACCTGCTGCTGCAACCGGCGGATCTCTTGCAGTAGCCGGTTGACCTGGAACTCCTGCTCGTTCTCGAGCTCCTGGTGGAGCTCTCCGAGGCTAGGGGTCCGAAAGTGGCGCGGCTCGCCCGAGGCCATCAGTCGGGGAGATGCCGAGAAGGGCTGGGGACTGGCGGCACGGACGCTGCCACCTTGAGGGTGGGGTTCTGCGATCATCTCGCCCGGTCCCGGTGTGCTTGGGTCGGCAATCTGGAGGTTCATAAGAACCTGAGATCGGCGGCGACCGGAGCTGGGGGATTGTCGGCTTCGAGACGCGGAGCTGCTCGAGGAACCTGGGGGCCAAGTGAGCAAGACGGCACGACACGACGGCTAGGGTTGTATGAGTGTCTCTTACGGCGAGAAGGTTCCTCTCGCTGCAGGCCGGCGTTGAGTATGGCAGCAGCTTGGAGAGAGATCGAAGCAGTCCTGGGAGAAGGAGACGGCGGACCATCCACAGCCAGGGGTCTGGATGACTCGACTGCGATAGACGACATGGTAGGCGTTTGTGCTCGCGCGTCGAGGGTGGGAGAGAGAGAATTCAAGTCGGGAGCCATGGACGTTGTTGGCTCTCGGTGCTGTTAAAGCGCCCTCGTGGGGAGAGAGAGGCAGGCTAGCGGCAGGCCGATCGCACGTCCTGTACGTAAGGGGAAGGGACAGGGGGCCTGGGACTGGCACTGGCAGATGTGGATGCACCCCATGGAAGGGGTGCACACAACAGCCCACAATATGGGAGCAGGTGGCCAAGTTTCACGTCAGCGGTGGGTCCACTTGAGAGGTAATGCGTAGGAGCCGAGAGAGGAGAACCAGCGGGGAGATTGCCTGTCGTGGTCAAATGAGTTGGAGATTGGAATGGATGGCTTGAATGCGTGATACTTTTGAGCGAGGGGCGGCCAGGTGGAATGCTTTGTGGCGCTGCGGAGGAAGCAGCAGCGAAGCAGCCCAGCGAGAGCGGAGTTGGTGGGGGTGAGTGTGTGACGTCGAGGCACCACCTTGAACCCCTGCCCGGTCGCTTCCTTCCTCAGCGGCTGAAAGCACTCGTGAGCACACACCTACTAGCTTGTTATTAATTTTCCGCCTTTGTTCCTGGAGCTTGAACTCCCTGGCCACGGGATGTTAAGATGAGTACGGAGACATGAGGTGTATATCGAAGGTACGCACTGTTGTCATATTACCTCTCCTGATATATACCGTGGTATGGTTGAATAGCTTCAGGCGTGGACCAGGGAATCTTATTCTTCTCCCCTGGAAGTTGGGACCCAGTTTGTTGAGAAGACATTCACATCCTAAGAGACGAGATAGCGGTATCGAATAAAAAACATTGATATTGATGCAAATGCAGATCCAACCGCCCAAGGGACATGCTCAGTTCAGCCACGTTCGCCGTTAGTGAACGTCTGGAGAGATCGTCGATCCTCAGATCGAGATGCAGACAGGGGGGCGAGAGAGGAAGAGTGCCCGCCTGCAGCCAAGGCTGGCAGCCAGCCAGCTAATGCCGATTCCGCAATGGATGCACTGTGCACTAGCTTCCCCCTCAAGGCCTTATCGCCAACAACCTCACTCCCAACTAATGTAAGGCACCAAGATTATGACTCTTGTTGCTTTTTCGGGCTGTAGTTGGAGGTGCCTTGTTGAGGTAAGGTAATCACCCAAATCTACCTCTTACCCGTCCATCAGCATCTCAGCAGCGATTTAATAAGCTGACGGACTGGATTAATAAGGCGCACATTGACATTTGACAGGACCTCTGTCTCTGCGGCCGTGAGACGCGCCGCATTCTCTTATCTGAGACAAGATGCGCCGTTTGCTGTTGGCCTCGGCCTCGGCCTGGCTCTCCAGCCCCCTTAAGCTCGTAAAACGGGAGAGTGGTACGAGGCGAGCGGCGGCGACGGCGGCGGCGTTCTCCAGTGCGGCACGGCTCCAGACGAGCCAGGCAGACTTCACCCATGTTGTCATTGGTGGCGGCGTGGTCGGGCTGGCCGTAGCGCAGGAGCTGGCGCGCAACACCAGCAGCAGGAATTCAACACTACTACTAGAGCGGCACGACGCCGTGGGCACCGAGACGTCGAGCCGGAACAGCGAGGTGGTGCACGCGGGCATCTACTACGGTGCCGACAGCCTCAAGACGGCGCTGTGCGTGCGCGGCCGCGAGCTGCTGTACACGCTGTGCGCGGCCCACGGCGTGCCGCACCGCCGCACCGGCAAGTGGATCGTGGCCCAGACCGACGCCCAGCGCGCCGCGCTGCAGCACATCCACGACTTTGCCGCCACCGTCGGTGTCCCGGTGCGCTGGGTCGGCCGCGACGAGGCCGCGCGCCGCGAGCCCGCTGTGCGCGCCGAGCGCGGAGTGCTCGAGAGCCCCACCACCGGCATCGTCGACAGCCACGCGCTGATGATGTGCCTGCTGGGCCGGTTCGAGGAGGCCGGCGGCACGGTTGCGCTGGGAAGCGCCGTCGAGGCCGTGACGCCGCTGTCTGCATCCGGCACGGGTGGTGGCGGCCCTCCAGGCGGTGGCGGCTGGGAGCTGCTGGTGCGCGATGCCGTGAGCGGCAAGACATCGTCGGTGACGGCCGAGACCATCGTCAACTCGGCCGGGCTGGGCGCCGTGGATGTGCACAACATGATTGTGCCCGAGTCTAGGCGGAAGCAGATGTTCTACGCCAAGGGCAACTACTTTTCTTACCCAGCGCCGAGCCCGTCGGTGAGCACGCTCATCTACCCTGCCCCCGAGCCCGGGCACGGCGGTCTGGGCACCCACCTGACTTTGGACATGGCTGGACGCATCAAATTCGGCCCCGACGTCGAGTGGGTTGACTCTCCCTACGACCTGGCCGTCAGCACAGCTCGCCTTCCCCAGACCATAGAGGAGGTCAAGAAGTACCTGCCGGGGCTTGACGAGACGCAGTTACAGCCCGACTACGCGGGCATACGTCCCAAGCTGGGGAAGCTGGGTGCTGTCATGCATGGCAAGGGGTTTGTCGACTTTGCCATTTACAAGGAGGAAGGCTACGAGGGTTGGGTCAACTTGCTCAACATCGAGAGTCCCGGCCTCACCAGCAGCTTCGCCATAGCAGAGAAAGTCAGAGAGCTTTTGTACGCATAGCTAACTAACATAACTGCAAGTTGTCCCAAGTCCCTGACCTGACTCCTTTTCCTCTCTGCTAGCCCAAGCCCCCAATCTTGGCTCAAATCCCTGCTTCGATATCGCGAGCAGGCCGGGCCGGCTTGTGTGTACGGCTTGCGCGTCTGTACTGGTCATGCGTAAATTCCCGTGTTTCATCATAGCCCGCAAATACGTCCCCGTCGATGGCAGAAACGGGCCATCTGTATCAAATGCCTTTCTCCACCAAAATAGTCATGAATTCGGCCGATTCCCGGGTTATTGTTGGCACCAACATTTGCCACCTCAGCTCGATATGGAAGAGGTAACCTCCGGCAGGCTCCCTCACCATCCTAAACGCCGGTCCCATGCCCTTTGCATGCATGTGCAAATTCATTAAAACGTATAGTATCGTTACCCGACCATTGAGGCCACTACCGCATCGTAATGTCCGGGAAAAGTTTTCTTCCAAGTATATTCACGCAGAATTCGTAAATGCCGTTATCAGCTCCGACGAACCTAGTGGCAGACAGAGTCAGCAAGTTCGCAACATGAAACAGACCCGAGTCGTGATTTGGTGTCACTTACAAGGTCTGACCGTCTTCACTCCACACCAGTCCGGCAGTATCGGCAGGGTCATAGTAGCGATGGCCATACCCCCTTCCGGGATATGGCCGTTGGGTCCGCCGAGCAGGATTTTCCTCCCACTCGCGCAAGAGATAAGCTGCCCTATCCCGCCGGCGCACCACATCAGCTTCGCCTGCTGCCACCGCCTCGGTAGGCGGAACGCCCAGTATGGGGTTGTATAAAGCTTCAACATTGTCCCAGCTGTTCGAGGCAGGGGTTTGTGTGTTTGCCGAGAGCCGAGAAACGAAAGGCCGCCAGTCGCCAGCCGAGGAGGCGGCGGGCACAGGGACTATATGTTCCCCCGTCCCAGCAGCCGAGGAGACAGCCACGCCCCGTCGCCGTTGTTCCGCAGCGCTGTCCTCCCGCATCGTAGCACGCAACCGCTCCTGACTATCGCGTATACGATCTCTCTGATCCCGGATATTGCCAAGGATGTCGCTAACAGCCCGTGACACGCTTGCGCTGCGCTCTCTTGACCGCGTGTTACTGTCCTGCGCCACCGACGCCCGTGTGTTCCGCTCAGCCCAGGGTATTCTGACCCGCGCCTCCTGCCGCCTGCGATGCTCCTGTAGAGCTTCCAAAACAAGCGTTTCGTCCGCAGTCAGCGGGAAGTGGTACCGCTCGAGCGGCTCCCGCTCTGGTCCTGGTCGTCGGTTCTGTCCACCATCTAGAGACAAATCGAGTGTATTTGAAAAGCTCGACGACAATGCATCGTGTCGGTCTGGGTCGGCACTTAGAGAATCTCCAGGTTGCCGATCCGTCACTGCCACATGGTCGTAATCATCTGCCTGGTCAAGGTATAAAATCTGCCGAGACACAAATCCAGTGCGGGCATCCGCAACCCCTACACGGCCGCGGTCTTCTGTCCAGGCGAGAAGATCGGAAGGGCCAGGCGCAAAGGCCATATCCCGCACTGCACCTAGGTCAACCTTTGGCCGCGTCGAGGTGAATGATGTAATGAGCGGGTCCAGATCCCGTATTGTCAAGGCGACCACACTGAAGACTGAGATGGTGCCGTATTGAGTTCCTACCGCAAGGAATTTCCCGCTGCTTGAAAAACACGCGGCAAAGCTACCCCTGCAAAAATAGTCAGTAACATGCACTTACACGTAGTGAATTTGAAACCAAAACCAACCTGTTGTCTGTTCGGTCATCGATTCTCTGGCCCTTGAGATGGATCATGCCGCACGAAGTCCACTCGTGAGTTGACCGGCCCACACCACGAAATGAGTTGGAAGACCCCGTCTTCTCGGTCCTCTCGTGTGTGTATAAGAACGGGTCATCACTGACTGCGATGAGAATCCGGCCATCGGGAGAAAGGACAGCGCGGTTCACACAGTCGGGATACGAGAGCTTGTCAAGAATTTCCTGGTCCGACAGCCTGATCACAACCACGGTTTTGTCATTGTTTGCCAGAACTGCCACCGGGTCCTGGTACGCCCCTGGAGATTTCGAGCCCGACGATGGGGGGAACCATAGTGTGATGCAGTTGACCCGCTCGTCACCAACTATCTTACTTTTTGCTACCAAGCTCTTGTTGGAGGAGCGTGCACGGGTCAATGAGGTGAAGATAAAATCGGCGCTGCGGGGCAGACTCATGTTGATCGGAAGGCGTTCGTCCGGGCCCATGTTGATCGATGGGTTGCCATCACCTGCTAGGCGTGACTGGCCAGCCACGGGAACCGCAACAAACTCGCCCGTCTCCCCTCCGCAGCAGACCCAACCATTTGACGCGACAAGACACCTAGGGGGGAAGGTCAAGTGTTTGACGCTCTCGGCCTCGCAGGTTGTCGTGTCGAGCTGGCGGATAATAAGATTATTCGTTCCTGAAGGGTAGTAGACCTTGTTCTGGTTATCGGTTCCAATCATGGATCGCAACTGCCAATGCCTAAGCGAGCAGTAATGTCAGACATAATCACCAAGCATGCCACGGAGAGGTTTGCGCAGCGCGTCGGGGCAACATACGCAGCACGAACTGTAGTGCGGTAGTGGCGCCGCGGCTTGGGCAGGATGAGGTCCTCGGTCGGACTGAAGCTATGCAGATGTCCTCTGTTAGCAATCGTCGCACAGCCGATGAATGAATGATGCTTGCATTGCGCATCTGCACGTGGTTGGAGATTGTCTTACTCGCCATGCTTGACAGCCATCGTCGGGGTTTCAAAAGGGTGGCACCCAGCGTTTGGCGGGTTGGTTAACGCGGTGCAACCATCGGATGGGCGTCGTCGTCGTCGCTAGTCCTAGTCGTCGCCAACTGTCGGCGCAGGAACCCAGCCTACCGTAGGTAAGGGCAATCACGGAAAGCCCTGGTCTACCCTGGTGTAAATGAAATACGGTCGTATTGTGTTGTGGTGTAAATATGTGGTAGCGAGAAATGGCCAAATGTCTTCTTGTGTTTTATTTTCCTTTGAACAAGCGGAAGCGGCCGTCTGTCTAAGGCAATTTGTATGGTATGGCCGGCAGAATGCAAGAAGGTGAGGGTGATGGGGAGGTTCGTTCAAAACGCAGTCGTCATTGCTTCTGAGGTGGGAAGGTGGTGGGCGGAGAACTTGGGTTGTGCTGCCACTGCTGGTGCTTGCTTTGGGTTCTTGCCGTCGCTCCAAACCATAAAGACGCCGCCTCGCCACTAATATGCCAATCTCCGAGCCCACAAAGAGAGCGAATCGTATGTTGTGTAACTCGTACTCTAGGCCTTCGTTTGGGTTGGAGTTGACTGCCCCGGCGAGACAATTATTGAAGGCCTCTCGTGTCTCACCTATCAAGATCTTACTACGTAGGTATGAAGGGGAAATCATATGCGTGGGAGCTTCAGTTGTTGGCGGCGCACTTGCATAGGTACCTATCCCTGAGCGGCATATGCGGCTCGGGTCCAACTCCAACAGCGGGTGGGTGGGCAGCATTACAGCCCCTCTCAGTCAACCCCGAGCGAGCAGGGAGCTCGGCTCCTGTCCTAGGTCACGTGTGATACTGATAACGGCCTTCGGATAGAGGTTCCATCAAAACCCGCATGCCCACGGCACAAGCGGAACTTGGAAGGTTCTCCGACAGCTTTAAGAACCCCCAAGGCCTGCGATGGTCCGTGCTTCAGACCCACTCCCTGACTTCCCAGTGGCTGCTCAGCGAAATTTCGAACGCCTTCGATGGCCGTGCTGTGAATTTTTTTTCCCCTTCCAAGCACCACATACAAAAGACCTTAAGGATTTCCCACCCTCTCTCGATCTGCAATCCCCATTACATACCACCACATCCCCGTCTGCTGCTTCAGCTCTGCTCTGCTTAATCTTCCCCCATCCCATTCTATCGGGTTTCTTTAATTAAATTCCTTCAGGATGATGGCCACACGCTTTTCCAGAGCTGTAGGTTGAACACTCTAGTGCATGGCGCGACCACTTCTCGATCAACCCCGTTCGGCATGACTGACCACGATGCCTGTAGCTGCCAAGGGCATCCTCAATAAGCTCCCGCGCCGCCGGTGTGCTGCGCAAGCCCATGAATCCGGCCTTTGCTCGGTTCGAGTCTACGAATTCAGATGAGAAGGTCAAGGGTGCCGTCATCGGCATCGATCTGGGTGAGTGGTTCCTGGTCCATGACAGCAGAGTTCGCCACAGTTAGTCTTGGACGCCCGGCTAACACCAAACGCCAATTTAGGTACCACCAACTCCGCCGTTGCCATCATGGAGGGCAAGATCCCCAAGATCATCGAGAACTCCGAAGGTGCGCGGACAACACCATCCGTCGTCGCCTTTGCCGAGGATGGAGAGCGCCTGGTTGGCGTTGCTGCCAAGAGACAGGCGGTTGTGAACCCGGAGAACACACTCTTCGCCACTAAGCGGTTAATTGGGCGAAAGTTTAAGGATGCCGAGGTTCAGCGCGACATCAAGGAGGTTCCCTACAAGATTGTGCAGCACTCCAATGGCGACGCCTGGGTTGAGGCTCGCGGCCAGAAGTACTCGCCGTCCCAGATCGGCGGTTTCGTCTTGAACAAGATGAAGGAGACTGCCGAGGCTTACCTCAGTAAGCCCATCAAGAACGCCGTCGTCACCGTCCCTGCCTACTTCAACGACTCTCAGCGCCAGGCTACCAAGGATGCTGGTCAAATTTCCGGCCTGAATGTTCTGCGTGTCGTCAACGAGCCCACCGCCGCTGCTCTAGCCTATGGCTTGGAGAAGGAGGCCGATCGTGTTGTTGCCGTTTATGATCTGGGTGGTGGTACCTTTGATATCTCGGTCCTCGAGATTCAGAATGGCGTCTTCGAGGTCAAGTCGACCAACGGCGATACCCACCTTGGTGGCGAGGACTTCGATATCCATCTCGTTCGCCACCTCGTCCAACAGTTCAAGAAGGACTCGGGCATCGATCTCTCCGGCGACCGCATGGCCATCCAGAGAATTCGCGAGGCTGCCGAGAAGGCCAAGATTGAGCTTTCCTCGTCGCTGCAAACCGACATCAACCTTCCCTTCATCACTGCCGATTCTTCGGGACCTAAGCACATCAATCAGAAGATGACGCGGTCTCAGCTTGAGAACATGGTTCAGCCTCTCATCACTAAGACCATCGAGCCCGTTCGCAAGGCTCTGAAGGACGCCGGTCTGCAGGCTAAGGATATCGAGGAGGTCATCCTGGTTGGCGGCATGACCCGTATGCCCAAGGTTGCCGAGTCCGTCAAGAACATCTTTGGCCGTGACCCCGCTAAGTCGGTCAACCCCGACGAGGCCGTCGCTATTGGTGCCGCAATTCAGGGCGCTGTGCTGTCTGGTGAGGTCAAGGACCTCCTCCTCTTGGACGTCACTCCCCTGTCTCTCGGAATTGAGACCCTCGGTGGTGTCTTCACTCGTCTGATCAACCGTAACACAACCATCCCCACCAAGAAGTCCCAGGTCTTCTCCACGGCGGCCGATTTCCAGACCGCTGTCGAGATCAAGGTTTACCAGGGTGAGCGTGAACTCGTCCGCGACAACAAGCTCCTGGGTAACTTCCAGCTTGTCGGTATCCCCCCTGCTCACCGTGGCGTTCCCCAAATTGAGGTCACCTTCGACATTGATGCCGATTCCATTGTCCACGTCCACGCCAAGGACAAGTCCACCAACAAGGACCAGTCCATCACCATTGCCTCAGGCTCTGGTCTGTCTGATGCTGAGATCTCGCAGATGGTTGAGGAGTCGGAGAAGTACGCCGAAGAGGATAAGGAGCGGAAGTCCGCTATCGAGTCTGCCAACCGGGCCGACAGCGTCCTTAACGACACCGAGAAGGCTCTGAACGAGCACTCCGACAAGCTCGACAAAACCGAGGCTGACCAGATTCGGGAGAAGATCAGCTCTCTCCGTGAGTTCGTCGCCAAGAGCCAGTCTGGCGAGGGCAGCGCTACTGCTGCCGAGATCAAGGAGAAGACCGACGAGCTCCAGGTCGCTAGCTTGAACCTCTTTGACAAGATGCACAAGGCTCGTGCCGACTCTGGTGAGCAGACAAGCAGCCAGGACGCCGGTGCCGAGGGCGAGAAGAAGGACGAGACCAAGCAATAAATAACCACCACTATACCCCCCCACGCACCACTTTCTACCAAATGTCTGACTATTTTGGAGTACCCTTCTCCAATGTATTCTCTTGTATCATATTTGTTGTGTTTTGATAGGCTCGTCAGGCTTGTCCTCTCTGTTTAATACTGCAGACGGCGGAAGGCGTTCTGAGCATCAAAACTTTTGCTTTTTGTAGGAAACATCATTTTACGATTTTTCGGATGTCAAGATACGCTAGGATGGGATGGGGGTTGCATAGGCTTGGTAGCGTGTATATAAGATGTACACCCGCGAGGCATTCATAATAAAGAATCTCCCCCCTCGTTAAAATAAGTAAGCTAGCTGCCTTGCTTCCCTGTGACTGGCCTCTAGCTATAGAAAAAAAAAAGGAACACTTGTGCATCCAAGTTACCACTCAGGTGACCCCAAGAATAAGTGGTATCGTTGTCTTATTAGGAGCGCAGTGCCACCAAATAGTGTAACTATTTAGAGAAGTGTATTGGACAGGAGTGTGACTTGTACAAATTCTGCTCAGGGGCAAGCGCGATTTTATGTCTGTTTTATTTTGTTTTCTTTTCTCGCATGGCTTTGTCTCTCCCCTCTCTGGCCTTCCAGAGCAGGGACAAGTGCAGCATTTCTTCTAAAGTATCTACTAGAGTTGGTGGCAACGTTGAGCATAGGAAGGCACATTTTATCTCCCAAAGCCGAACCAGCCTCTCTTTTGGGGCTTTACGTCGGATTCCTCGGCTGATTTGTCCTGTGCGGTGGTCCTATCCCTCGAGCTGAACTGCTGCTGCTGCTGCTGCTGCTGGGCCTGCTGCTGCTGGGCCTGCTGATGCTGGGCCTGCTGATGCTGGGCCTGCTGATGCTGGGCCTGCTGATGCTGGGCCTGCTTGTCGGGGTAATCAATATAGTTCCACGCCACGTCCAGAAACAACGGCTTCACCGGGACGGATTCGACGTGGGGAGGGTAGACGACAATATTCTTAAGATCGACGGCTCCTGATGGGTAGTTGGAGAGCTGGCTGATCAGGGGCCTGGAAGAGTCTGCCGCTTGGCCGGCCGTGGGGTCCTTGGGGGACGACTTCGTGAGGCTTTGTATCTCAACAAGAGCTCGAGATCGCTGCAGTTCTCCGCTGAGGAGGTTGTGGAGAAAGCGCACGTCATCCTTTGTGATAGAAATATTCCGTGGCAAGGATTTGCCATCGCCCCCTCCGCTCGAGAGAACAGGGAGAGCCTCCCGGCACTCGTTGAGCGCGTGCCTGACGAGGGCAAGTGCGCTCACGGCATTCCCAGCTATGGAGTGAGACCGGGAGAATGCCAGACATCTGTGAGCGTCAGTACCGTAACTCGCAAGTTTTTGAAGGGGCCGGATTCGAACGCAACATACTTGAGCGCAGTGAAGTACTCCGAGGTGGCCTCTAAGCGGCCAGAGAGTTCCTGGTCGTTGGCCACTCCAGGAAGCTCAATAATCGACTCGAGACTCTGCAATGTGCCATCATACAGGACCACCTTCTCTTTTAGCTTCGCAATTTGTCGGCCAGGGGCCTCGTTCCTATGTGCGTCGGTCACATGTTGGTGCTCCTTCACTTGTGTTGTCGCCTTGGATGCCTCGCCAAAGTCCAGCTGCGCACCGTCGTGTTGGCCGATCAGGGCTCTGTTGCGGCCAATTCGCCAACTTATCATCTCGAAGTTTACAGCGGTGCGCGTGATTTGCAAGCTCTGCATGCGGGGATCGCTTTGAGTGACGCCCTCGCCCTTGAGCTCATCGATGGCCTGTTTCGTCGCATCGACGGCATCCTGGCTGGCGATCAGGATATCATCGTATGCTGCCGCCATGTCCTTAGGCTGCAAGGGGCGGGCCGAAGACAGCCGCTCGGTTAGCCGAGATTTGGCCGTCCCTACCGAAGCCCAGGCGACGGCGATGGCAGCATCCTCGATCTTGACCTCGCGTCCGCGCCATGTCAGGCTTGTTGGTGCCCCTTCGGCCCCCAGTGAGGTACCTGTGGCATCGAGGCCACCATGCTCCAGCACATCGGGATTCAATGTTCTAACGCGGTCGATAAGTTCGGGGTCAGCATGGGCAAAGGCGTTGCGCGCAATTGTGGGGATGGGTTCGGTCCGCGGAATCTTGGCCTGGTATGCGGCATAGCGGATCGAGGGGTCGATGGTCTCGGAGAGCAGGTCCTTGAAGACGTCGCCCTTGAACGAGGTGGAGAGGGCGCTGTAGATGACTCGGGCAATAGAGTAGCTCTTCAGACACGGCGCCCAGGCCTGGCTCTCAAACTGGGCAGCGCCCCGTAGGAGGGCAGCGTAAGCGCGAGCCTCAAGTACGTCGATGGGCGTGGCACCGCTGAGGCTGCTGTCCTGGGCGAGAGCACCGGCTAAATCCTCGGCAGTGCGCGCGGCCTTGTCGAGCCTCGAGACAATGTGGGAGCGTGTCTTGCTGGACGTGCCCTTGGTGTCGGCGGAATGCGATGCCTTCATGGACATGGCATGGGCCCAGGCGCGCTCGGCGGTCAGGAGCTGGAGACGCAGGTATCTAGGGGGCAAAGGCGCCTTGGGTTAGATAAAGGCGGGCGAGCTGGAGCAGACAGACAGATAATGGATAAGGGCATACATACTCGTGGTTCTCGGCAATCTGCTCGGGCGCTACATGCGTCCTGGGGTGGAATTTGCCACGGTTCTTGGTCGCGATGGCCAGCTTCTTGCGGCTGTTGAGCAGCTTGCCAGCCAGCTGCGACCGGTAAGTGCCATAATCGCCGTAGAGCAATGCTTTCTCCCTCAACGAGACGACGAGCTTGGTGATGTCCATGGTAGCGCCGTAGTATGCCTATGTACCTCCACGCGGTGGACGGGTTGCGGATTCGATAGACCAGTATTCGTAGATTCCCGTCGTATGTATCCGTAGATAGGTTGCAGAGGGTGGGGTGGGGCAGCTGTTGAACCAGAACCAGAACCCTGCTCCCTTTCCCTTCCCGCCAATTCTGCCCCGCGCACAAAGTCGAAGCTTGGGGGGAGGGTAGGGGGAAGTGCCAGCTGCCAGTGTCCGCCAGGTCCCCACACAGTCTTGAGCCCAAATCCATAAGACGGCAAAACATGACTTCAGAGTGTAATGACTTTTGGCCCCATGCTCCGCATGATGGGATGGGAGGTAAATCGGAGTACTGTGGTAATTGTGCCACCTAGAAGTACAGAAATCAAGCACGTATTGTCACCACGCGCTAGCAGGCACGAGAGAATAACAAAGCATCATAAGAGAGGGAATGACTGATAATTCGTGATTCTCTTAATCGTTTTCTTCGTTCCTTTCGTCCTCTTCCTCCTCGCTAACATCTTCCCCGGCCTCTATGGCCTCCTGCCTCTTGCGCGCAGCCCGCTCCTTCTTCTTCTCGAGCAACTTCTGTAGCTTCTTGGCCGAGTTGAAGACACCGTTGGTGCCCATTCCGCAAGCCGCGCACCCGGGATCGCAGCGATACCTATTGAGTGCGCACGCCTCGCAGAAATAGTGCCCGCACCGCGTCACTACGGGAGCTTTGTATGGGCCCTTGCATATGAAGCACGCAAACGGTATGTTCTCGAGCATGGCCTCCTCCTCGGCGTCCCGGTCGTCGTCGTTGTTGTCGGCGCCGTTTCGGTTCCGCCGGTCCGCGCTCGCCACAATCGTGCCCCCTACCGTCTTCTTCCCCTTGGTCACGTTCTCCCACTCCTTGTCAAGCTGCCACCCGTGCAGGTAGTTTTCTCGAGCGTGAAGGAATTTGCATGACTACGGTTTGTTTTTTCTTCCATATCAGTATATAGACCCGGTTGTGATGGGGTTAGGTTGGTTTGGATTAGATTAGGGATGATGAACTTACATCGCCAAAGCCGCAGAAGCCGGTTGTTTTGTAACTACGATATGATGAGACTCCCAAGTCAGCGAAGGTAGATACGCAGCTATGGGTGGGGGGTTATAGAGGGAAGAACTCACTCTTTGCACACATCAGGCGCCATATCTGTAATTGTAATCGTACGGATGTTTGTAGGCACCTTCACGGGCCCGACAATCCGCGAAGGCGCGTTCGGGTTCTTTTGTATGTACGAGGTCTGGTTGGCGAGGCCCTTGTAGGTACCGTCGGGGGGGTCCTGGGCGGCCTCTACGCTGCTGCTGCCAGCAGACTTCTTAGACTGCAGGGCGCGCGTGGAACCGAGCAAGCTCTTTGCCGAGAGAGCGCCGTCGACGTCCTCGTCGAACCAATTGCTCGACTTGGTCGCATCCTGATTGCTGTCGAGCCCGAGGCCGCGGTCGGCTTCGAAGATAGTGGCTGACGAGACGTCTGTCGCAGCAGCAGCTGCGGCCTTGTTTCTGGACACCGCTGTCCCAACACCCGTGTTGTTCTTCCTGCGCTTGACCCTCAGACCGGAGTCGTCCTCGGAAGATGAGAAATCGCTCGAGTCGTCGCTGGCTACTAGTGGAGGCGTCGCGGGTCGCTTTCGGATGTTTGCCTTGCCCTTTGCGCCGCGCTTCTTGAAGACAGCAGCAGGCGCGGTAGCTACGCCAGCTGCATCTCCAGACGCTGTATCGACATCCGCCATCTCTCGGGGGGTGGTTTGGGGTTAGGAGTTTAAAGGTGGCGTCTCTAGATCGCGTTGAACAGCGGTCTTGAATGTCCAGTGGCTGGTTTGGCTGCCGCACTTAGCTCGATTTACAATCAACGCAACGATACAGTGTACGCACTGTTAACCGCACTAGCTTCGGTCCGTTCCGAATAATGAGAGGTCTTGGAGCACTGTTGAATCCAAGATTCTGCTGGGTCGTAATTTACTACACACAACATAACCTAGCCCATACTTTTCCACCTGACTGCAACCCGTCGGCGCTGTTGTAAGGGCCGTTGACGACTCCGTGAACGACGTGGAATACAGTCTGTTGCCCGCGAAGTCCTTACTCGAAGGTCCTCGCGGTTGCCGTCTGGAAGCAACATACTGGCAGGACTGCCTGCAGCAGGGTTGTCAGTCGGCAGTCGAAGACTCCCGAGAAAATGCGCAACGAGCGCAGCAAGCTCAAGGCAGATGCGCTCGCCGAAAAGGTGCACGACGAACTGGAGCCGGTCGAGGACCTCAAAGAAGTGAAGCAGTTTGTTGACCATGCCCGCGCATAGCTTCAGCCTGGGGCAGCTGGCTATAACACTCGGGCGTCAGTGGCATCATTTTAGAGTTCGGCGTTTTCCGTTAGATATCTTACGACGGTATTTTGTCTCGACAGGGGCCAGAGAGTGCAGTGCATAGAAAGCTTGGGCCTTCATACTCCACAGAAAGACCTACTAGCACTACGGAGGACGCTATGGAGCACCTCGCGCCTGATTCTCGAAAATTTTGGTTTCAGTGTCCAGACTCGATCTATCTCACTGAACTGGGCGCGAGCGCTATCTAACTCCCTCGACATCTGGTGCAGACTGGATATTTCAATGCCAACCTAGGTTGAGGGGATTTGTCACCTGTTTATCCAGCCTCTGATCACCGCCAGGCAACATCGCAAGCACACCATTACAGGACGAGCCATGTGCTGCTGGGCTGGCTGCGTCTGGCCAACCTCTGCCGAGATTTGAAGCCGTGCCATCTCGACCGCGATCGCGATGCTGGAGAGGACCGCGGCTAGCCTCGAGCCGTGCAACCTCCAGCGAGTTCTCCCTGCCACCCTAAGGCCCCTGCGCAAGACGGCCCATCGGCCTCAACAGCTACAAACGACCTTCTGGAGCCATGGCGCCCCCGACATCGAGCTCCTCGACGCCTGCCTTTCTCTCACGCGCTTGCCATTACCATTGCCATTGCTCGCCCCAGCCGCCTCCAGCCCCCCCAGCCCTCCTCCCCCGTCGCAGACCCCTTCGGAGAAGAAGCTCGATTCAATGACGGCATCGGCTTTCCTGCTCGACTTCCTCTACCCCAGTCCAGCACTCGGCCTGCTACAGAGGCTACGTCCAGCCATCTCCGACAGCGACGGGTCGAGCCAGAGGGCGCGCTCTCTGCCCGGCCGCTTCTACACCTCCTCGATCCCCTATCCATCCCGTAGTGCTGCCGAGACTGAAGGCGCAGAAACGCAGCGAGATTCCTTTGCTGCGCTCGAGGCTGCTGCGAAAGCCGCGCATTCAGAGACGCAAAAACATGCCAAAGCCGCGGGCGCAGACAAGCAGGGAGGTGCATTTGTCTCAGATAAGCCGCCAAGCGAGATATCTGCCACGCTAGAGTTGATAGGGGTGAGCATTGGCCATCAGTCTCACGGAGATGGAGAGCGGGGGCTCTGTCAAGGTCAGGACTCGGCCCTGGATGGCCCTGCACTTCAGGTTCCCTCGCCCATCGGGGTCCGATCCTGGGAGGCTATGTCACTAGTGAAAATCCTGTCTTCGGAGCTAGGTCCCGACCAGGGTTCTTCCTACGATCGTATCTGGACCCTCTACTGCGATCTCGACTCTGTCCTCAAGGACGAGTATAGGACCGTCGTCATGGCGAAACTCGCCCAGTCAAGTCGGCAGGCAGACGCCACGAGAGTGTTGAAGCTCTTGGAGCTCTGCCCCGTACATAAGCGGAACTTGGACTCGCTGAATGCAGCTATCGACGCCCACCTCGTATTGCAGGACCCCAAGGCTGCCGTCGATATTTTCACGTCATCTCTAGAGCCCAAGGGCAACAACAACCGGGGGTTGGATATTTTGCTTGCTCACGGCCTCAAGGAACAGTTGTGGTCCTTGGTTCACGCCGCGCTGTTGATATGGCGGACTGCAGCGATTCCGGGAGCCGACCATCAGACAATGACGTTTGAACGCGTGGCCACCGTGCCAAGTTTTCCAGAACGGATTCAAGACTTGTACAGTTGGAGCGGATCGCGCGCGAGACCCGACCTTGATTATTTTATGAGGCTTCTGACCAACAAATCCATGCCCCTTTTCGAGCAGTCGAGCGCCGTCTTCATACTTGAACGTCTCCGACATGGATGCAAATCGACGTCAGATTATGAACGCGTATATGTCCCATATGCATCATACATTATCCACTGTGCTGAGAAGGGGCACAAGAAGCTTGCCGCTCGCCTTTACAGGCAATATCGGGCTTTTCCTGGCATGTCCATTACCAGCGGCGTCTTTCGAGCCATGATTTCTGTTCACTTTTCGGACGGGACAGTCGCGATGGAAGAGCTGCTCCGGGACTGGAAACTGACCGGCAAGGACATGACTCAATGGGGGTATCAAAAATTCCTAAGTTACTACGCCAACCGCGGCGATGTTGGGGCGGTAAAGCGACTCGCCCAGGAATATCTGGCGTGCCTACCCTTGCTTGCTCGGGAAGACACGTCGCTCACCATGAGTTTGATGCACGTTCATGCCGTGAGGGGCGAGCCCGAAGCCGCCCGCGAGGTGCTTGACGAAGTCGCCAAAACCATGCCCCCACCCACCAAGTACTGGAACGTCCTACTCAATGCTTATGCGCGTGCCTGGATGTATGACGAAGCCGTCAAGACATTCGTACACATGTTCGAGCAGAGCCAGGTCGACCACGTCAGTTTCGGGACTATCATGGGCATGTCGGGGGCCCGCGGCGACCTTGACTTCACTCTAGACCTCCTCCGCCTGGCAAAAGAGTTTGAGGTCGAGCCCGACATAGCTATGGTCGACGCCGTGGTTGAGGCATACTGTGAGAATGACCAGTTTTCCCAAGCCGAAGAGCTCTGTATCGCAGTCACCAAGGAACCTGGCCGTCACGACGGCTGCACTGTTCTTTGGAATACTCTGCTACATCACCACGGATTGCGGCGGGATCTAGACGCGGTTAACCGGCTTCTGGACGTCATGACCAGCCACCGCCTGCCGTACGACAATGATACCTATCGCCAACTCCTCTTGGCGCTCATGTATTGTAAGCAGTCGATGCACGCGTTCCGTCTGCTGAAGGAGGCCGAGAAGAACAAGACGTTCCACCCAACAGTTGAGCATTACATGATTCTCATGTCGGCTCTCATTGTTACCGGCGAACCAGACGCTGCGCTCAAGATCAACGACTTCTTGGCGGCGAAGGGAGTTCCCCCATCTGCTCAGAGAACAGCCAACACCATGAAGGCGCTACACCAGTTAATAAAGAAATATTCGGAGACACCATCGAGGAGCAAGCAAGTAGAGAAAGCACGGGTTTCGCTCAAGAACATTATCAGCATGACGGCGGGACAGAGCCAGAGCACTTCTCTTGACAGCGCGGTTGCTCCCGACGCTCGCTGGGCCGCCACACAGTCCTCCGAGGCCATCCTCATTCTGACCCAGATGCGAGATTTCTCAACCGTGGAAGAAATAGTCAACCTCTACCAGAGTCAGTTCCCATCCGAGCCAGGTAACGCTTCAATCAGGATGCTGCATGCAATCATGCTCGCCGATTTCGCCGAGGGAAACTACGACAAAGTCAGGGCAACATGGCGCATCGTCTTGGAAGCAGCCAAGCAAAGGCGCCAGGCACCCAAAGCCGGAGATAATACCACCAGGATCCTACCCAAATTCCGCTATGATCTCAGCAGCCCCCTCAAAACGATGCAGAGAGTTTGCTTTGTCGAGGGAGACGCGAGCGGGCTGGTGCAGTTGATTCCTCAAATCAAGGCAGACGGTTTTGAAGTGGACAGCAAGAATTGGAACATCAATGTGCAGCTACTCGCCAAAATGAAAATGTGGAATGAAGCTTTCGCCGTCTGCGAGAAACAGCTGATGCCGAACTGGACAGGTTGGTACCAAAACCGCCGTGTGAGAAAAAAAGTAAAAAATAATGATCTTCCCCTCGTATGGAGAAGACTCGGCTTTCATCTCCATCGCCCAAGACCAACTGCCCACACCCTACTTGTGTTGGCCAAGAAATACCAGGAATTGGATGAGATGAGGCACTGGTCCAGCAGAGTATCTTCGGCTCTCGACAGGATCGGCGAACAGTGTCCTCGCGTCATACACGCCCTGTCGACTTTGATCCGCGGTAGTTCGGAATTCGAAGTCGCCTTATTCAAGGACATGAAGTCCGAAGCCAAACCGGGAATTTTGGGCGTGATTGGTGTCGCCACAGTGGACAAGAACTATAAAGCCGAACCGGGGACTTTGGACGCGCTTGGTGTAGCTACAGTGGACAGGAACTATAAAGCCAAACTACTGAAAGCAAAGCAGCGCTATCTACTGAAGAAAAAGAGAAGGCTGGCGAAAAGGGCTGCTGCAGGCGTATCTACCAAAGCCAAACCACGCAAAGCAATACGGCCCTATCTAACAAGGAGAAGGCAAAGGGCGCGTCTGGTTCGTTGGAGAAGGCAGACGCGTATGAGAAGGCTAGGGAAGGAGGCTGCTGCAGACGTATCTACCGAAGAAAAACCGCCCTCTCGATCATCGGTACAGAGAAAGAGAAGGACGCGTCGAAGAAGAGAGGCGATGGCGGTTGCTGCAGACGTATCTACCGAAGCAAAACGGCCCTCTCGATCATCGGTACAGAGAAAGAGAAGGGCGCGTCGAAGAAGGGAGGCGATGGCGGCGGCTGGAGTAGTATTTACCGAAGCCAAACCACTCAAAGCAAAACGGCCCCCTCGATCATCGGTGCAGCAGAAAATGGAGGCGAAGGCGGCGCCTGCAGACGTATCTACCGAATTCAGCCCACCCGAAGCAAAACGGCCCTCTCGATCATCGGTGCAGAGAAAGAAAAGGGCGCAGGAGAGGCAGCAGAAAAGGGAGGCGAAGGCGGCGGCTACATACGTGTCTGCCGAAGTCAACCCACCCGAAGCAAAACGGCCCTCTCGATCATCGGTGCAGCAGAAAATGGAGGCGAAGGCGGCGGCTTCAGACGTGTCTACCGAAGTCAACCCACCCGAAGCAAAACGGTCCCCTCGATCACCGGCGCAAAGAGAGAGAAGGACGAAGCGGAGGAAGCAGAAAAGGGAGCCGAAGGCGGCGGTTGCAGACGTGTATGCATATTAACAGCGACCATAGATGAAATTATACTAGAGGGGGGTTTTCACATACAGCGCTTAGGCTAGAAACGGAGCAATTCCATGGTGTTACAAGGGCTTGTATAGTATACACCGAACGTGTAAATTAGTACCTTGTGTATATAAAATGAACGGAGCAATAGGACATCGGGTCTTGGGTCTCGAGGTCTTGGATAATAATTACCTACCTCTTCCCGCTACGCCAAACAAAAGTAGCAACAAGTTTCCTGTTGAACTCTGGTGACCTCTGCATATGTAAGAGTCACTAAAAGCTAAATTGGCGTGTGAATTATTATCTACCGCCGTCTCTTGCCCCCTTTTCTTGTTTCTTGCGTCTGTCGCACGCAGGATTCATGCCGCGACGAGTTAAAACGCCACTCTTGAAGATATCAGTTGATGGCATGCATGCGAGCAAATATTGTCCCACAAAATGCTGGGCTAAGTATTCTATCTAAATAGGTCTTTTAACTATTTACTTTAAAAAAATTTTAAGACCCCATGGAAGGTCCTCTGATGCTACTTGATGCTCAGGATGCCAAAAGTCCAAAAAGCACTCCATCAATATATCCTACATCCCACTCTACTGGCGGGCAGATAAAGCCCACTATAGATACACATATGCTAGCAGTCTTTTCCCTGCATTTTTATTTTTCCTGATATCCCCATTCCTCACCACGGAGCGTCTGGCCAGTTATTGATCTTGTTTTGGCCGCTACCAGTGTCTTCAGAGGCGACGATGACCTGGTCGCTACTCCCGCCGCCACCGCCGCCTTGGACCCCCAATGACCGCAACCGTTTGGACAAGAGACTTTCTGTCGATCCCGGGCCGCTGCTTTTTGACCCTAGTGTAAAGGCGTTGCCGCCATAACCAGCGTCTCCTTTGGTGAGCTTGTCATAGTTGCCGATATCGCTGCTAGCAGAGCGTGCGGCGCTGAAATGTGGCGTGGCCGGTGATTCGAGGCCGGTCATTTTTGTGTCCGGCTGGGAGAGTGACATCCAAGGTGAAGATGAAACGAGTGATTGCTTGCCTGGCGTAGCTATACTCACATCTGTGGCTTCGCTGCTCTCGGGGCCGTCTTGCAATTGCGGGTGGTGTGGCCTCTTTCGTGCTGAAGGGAGGAGTAGTCCCAATGGTGTCGCTTCAACCGGCACATTATTCCCTAGCCCGCCGATTCCAGAAAACGGCGAGCTCGCTTGAGTTGCCATGCTTGTCGGCATTGCTGGTAAGTCTGGCATTAAACTGTTGCCGTCCAAGCCATCATAGGACTGAGAACTCTGGTAGTGGGCAAACGAGAACCCAGAGCTGCGTCTCCTAAAGGCCTGCTCTGCTGCCAGCAAAGCCCCAGGACCATGGAACTGGTTCGGGGCCAGAGGTGGGTGCATAGATCGTGCCGGCTTGTACGGCGTGAATCGCGGCTCTGGGTACGTTATCTCGTTGCGGAGTTTTTCCTTGTCGTCTGGAACTCTATTGGCAAAAACGACTCGAATATCCTTGTAAAGGTAGAAACGCCCCTTCGATGGACAGCATATATGCAGATGTACGAGGTACCGGAGAGTCGGACGGGTTGGAGTCTCGCTCTCCATCCGGTCTGGGATGTTGTCGATGGTGGGACCAGCAGAGTAACTCCGTTGGCGTATAAATGTCTTCGTCCCTGGCTCCATGCCTGCCAAATCATATGGGACAAGGTACAATTTGACGGCGGTCTTGTTCTGGTTCTTGATGATTATCTGGAGTTGCCCCTTCTCTGGGATACGATATCGACCGCCGGGAGGGGCTTTTGGTGATCTTGCTCTCCTCTTTTGTTTTGCCATTTTGCGGGCATCCCCTTCAGACAGGTCTGCCGGGTCGTCTTGCATATATGACTCGTCGTCTAGGACTTTGAGCTCAGCTGCGTATCTCATCTGCAGTTTCCGTTTGCTCCTCTGGGCTTCTTCGGGGTTTGGGAGACCATTTTCCAAGTCGATCTGACCGACGTATGGACTTGGGCCATCCTCGGTCTTGGTCCTCCCGTGGGATGTGCTTCCATAATTGTAGAAAACGGCCGAGAAAGGAAGCGTCACATGAGACGGGCAACGGAGGCTTGGCTTGCACTTTCCGAGGCCTAGGACACCAATCTGCGCTGTGAACTCCAATGGCTTGGATGGGGTTGTGGACATGCGGCCCCTGAGAATACTCTCCTCGTAGGATCCTACCAATGATGCGTGCTGCAATGGCGATACTTCGGAGCTAAATGATGGCCGTCTTGGCCGGAACAAGGCGGGTGTCTGAGGCAGCGAGCCAGCAAACGAAAAGGTGGGCGTCGACGTCAGAGAGCGGCGGGGTTGGTGGGCTTGGTAAGGATAGGTGCTCTCGCGGCGATGAGGGGGTTGTTTATGGTTCGTAGAAGTAGCGTATGTCGAGGATTGGGCAAAGTGGAGGGTGTGCCTCCGGGGATTACGAGCAGTGGCTGCGGCAATCCTGATGCTATCCAAGGGCAATGTCAAGTCAATGTCTTCGTTGCTTTCGGACTGGACAAGTGGGCTCGTCGGTGGCTTGTAGACAAAGCTTGACGAGACGGAAGAAGACAGCGAGGAAGGGCCCGAGGTCCTAAACGCATCCCTCCTGTAGTCGGCTGACAGCTTGGTGAAGTCAAAGGCACTGAAACCCCTGGGTGGCGAGGTGGACATCCACGGTGTGCTAGCAGAAGCGAAGTGGCCATCTTCGTCCCGCGATCCTCCCTCGTGACGGCGGCGACCAAACAGAGAAGACTCATCCGGGGTGAAGTTTCCGCTGTGAAGGGCGGACCGCGGGCGCTCAATGGCCAGTCCATCCTGCATTAGCACATCGTCGGCTAGGTCGACTTCGAGGGTACCCTCTGGCTTGGTATTTGAGTCTGGCTTCTCGGGCGTGATGGTGGGAGCAGGCAGCAAGCTCAGAGACTGCGAGGTAGGCGTTTGCTGTTGGGGGGTGCTGGGAGGGGAGGGAGAATACGTCCTGTTTTGCAGGTATAACGACTCGAGACGCACGTGGTGGTTTGGTACCCACGTGGGACTCTCGCCCCTCTTAAGACGCTCGATGAGCTCGGCCCTATCGGAAACGGCACTCGGCAGGGGTTGCTCGGGGGTGGCAGGCTTCCTGGGCGGGCTGTCAAGAAGAGGTCCCTCGCATAGCTCAGTCCTGATACTTTCCTCCGACACCCGGCGGCTCAAGGGCCGCTCAAGACGGGACAGGACATGAAATGGCACCGGATCGGGGGAAAGCGGAGGGGCATCGGGGACAACATCCTGAGGTCCCGAATCCGAACACGGACCGGGACCCGGACGCTGCTCCTGGAACATGGGCATGGTGGGAAACTGAAAGGGCAGGGCGTCAGAGTAGAGTCGACTCAGTCGAGCGCCAGGGGTCAAGCGTCAAATAGTGGCCAAGAAGACCGACAGCTATTAACAAAGCAGCATCAACAGTAATTCGGGTGGAAATCAGGTTATGTCTGGAAAGCTGCCCATGGCTGGGACGCTTCTTTGCTTCTTTGTTGCCCGGCTCGTCTGACGTTGTCTTGTCTTGTCTTGTCTTGTCTGGTTTTTGTCTGGAGTCGATGCTGGCTCGACTTGGGAGGAAGGCCTGAGGTGGCGTCTTCTTTGAGCAAGTAAGTACTTTAGGTTAGGCACTTGTTGGAGGCTGGAGAGGTTTGAGACCGAGACCATCGAGGACCTTTGGAGCAGGTCAAAGTCGCAGTCGGCGGCGGCGGCGGTGGCGGCAGCGGCTAAGCACCAGGCACATCATCCATCGCCCAGGCCTCGGGATGGGGATCAATTAGGATAGGAATCTCCCAAAACCAAGCAAGCGGCGCTGCACAGCACTGCACAGCTGCCACAGCACAGCACTGCACTGCACTGCACTTTCACAGTATCACGTCAGTCCAATGGATGGAAGTCGGATTCGGATTTGACTGGTTTCGCCAAGCTCGTCAAGGGGCGGCGGGCTTAAGCGGCTTGGAAAATCAAGAAGAGGCGCGGAACGACAAGGCCAAGCAGTCCAGAATCAAAACCCGGTGGAGAAAGAGAGGACTGGAAACAATGGAAAACCACCACAGCAGGTACGGATGGATGCGGAATAGAGGAGACTGGTCTAGATGAAATGACGCTGTATGTACTGGGTGCAGAAGTTCGCAGGCTCGTCGTCACTTGATGGAAGCTTTAGTTCAGATCCGCCGCTGAGGTGGTTTATAACAATCTCATGGTGACGTGACGCACAACTCGACTCGGCGACGTTGCCAGCACGACTCGGCGACGATGCCAGCACTGCAGCGCTTTCCCATTTGTAACTCCAGGTTCAGGGCAGTCCAGCCCCCTCCAGCACTCAGCAGCAGCAGCAGCAGCAGGGCAGGTGCAGGGGGTACATCTGCGTGTCCGCTACGTGTGTGTCGGCCCCTGTCCATGTCTGCCGTGGTTGCCCGCTAGGGAATTCTGGAGCTGTTGTGGAGCAGCACAGGCTTACCTTTCTCCGGCGTGTTAGTGGGTGCCGTGGAAGTGAGCCAGCCAGCCAATCCGGGCGAGCCAACCCAACTCAATCCAATCAATGTACAGGGGCACAAGACCAACTGTGAAGGCGGTGTCAACCTCCTTTAGGATCGACCTGACCAGCCAGTGGCCGCCCAGGAAGTTGCCGCGAACTCAACAAGCTGGAGTGCCACGACAGCCTGCCTGCTTGTGCTTGCTCCCTCTCCCTTTTGTAGGCTGCAAGCAACTTCCCTTCCCCGATCCGCATATTGATTGGAGCGGCAGTTTGAAGCACATCTCTGAAGCCACTGCCCACTGTGAGTCGTGAACCAAGCCTAGATAGGTACCTACCGTATCAATGGTTGAAGGAGGGAGGCTCGCAATCCAGTTCATGTTGGCGCGTCATCCCTGAAGATAAGGTACATACTGAGGTATTTACCTTGGGTACTCCGTCCTTGACTTTACGTTCTGGCTTCGAGGACTAAGCTGTCCATGTGACTTCATGTTATCGTGGGGGAGCAACAACCAGCAATGGCCAACCCCGCCGAGCCTGATGGGCGTTTGGTCACCCAACGCAAGGGAGCTAAGTTTCAGGTCCCGTGCCTTGCTGGCCTGTCTGCCAACCTCAAGTTCTCCAAGATATGTTGGGTGTTTCGTATGTCTGAGAAATGATACATCATGGCGAGTACTTAGTCTCTCTCTCATAGTTCATCGAAGTGTTCCATAGTTACATGTTCTCTCGTGTGAGCGTAGTGTGCTAGGTTTGAGGTCGACTTCCACCATCTGCCACTGTGTGATCTCATGAGCGCTCACAGTCCAAGCGAATGAGTTGGCGCTGGTCTGGCCAACCGCTCCTCAACGGCGGGGTTATCCCTGATCTGGAATCCGTTATTAAACAGCCCTGAATATTAAATAATAACGTGTAATGTGAAAACAAAAAGGACCAGATGGCCTGTCTCGGGGCCTTTTTAATAGTCGTTTTGGTGTTCCCGCTCCAAGTCCAGCAACTTGGAAGTTCGGAAGTTCTTTACCGTTGAGTTGGGACCCCTGCCGCCGGGAACTGAACTGCCAGGATTGAATGCTGCACCCGACCCCACCTGACCTGAAAACTGCCTGGTGGCACCCTCACCGCCCACAAACCTCGGATGCTTGATCGCGATAACATGGCAGAATGAATGCTGTTCCTTATCGGGGGGGTTTTTTTCTTAGAGGAAAAATAGTTGCGATCGCAGCTTCAACGAGAGCGACCCGGAGCTCACCCACACTAGTAAATAAAATCATATTTCGCCCTTTTTTCGCAAGCAGCTGGCGGCTTCTCATCCAGAATTGCAACACCTCCAAATTACGGAGAAAGGTGGCAAACCAGCGAACATGTCTACCAAGCGAGCCCGTGACGACCAAGCCGGCGCTGGCGCCGCTCATGATGATGGGCCGAGAGACACCAAAAAACCCCGACACGGCTTCCGAGTTGGCCCCGCAAACCTGCCAGACGGGCCATGGCGACGCAAAGGTGATTTTGACGAAACCAGATTCCCTGTTCATGTGGGCATGCATATGCTAACCTCAAAACGCAGTAACCAAAATCAAGCAGGACCTCATCGCCAAGGTTAAGGTGAAGAAGCAGTACGCCAAAGTCAAGGCAGAGTTCCAGCAGAAGCAGGAAGAGAGCCAGCAGAAACAGCACGGAGCCGAGGCCGACCAAGAAGCGCCAGAAAATGACGATAGCAACCAGCCGCCCGCGCCAATGCACCCCGAGCGGCTGGCCATGCTTGACGACACGGAACCCCAGCCGGACGCAGCCGCGGACGGCGAAACCAACAAGAAAATGACAAAGAGGAAAGGGCGAGGGGAAAAGCTGACAGGCGCAAACGCCGACAAGCCCGATGCCGACATGTCCAGGGCTGACAACCCCCGGATCCAGGCCGTTGTCGATGTTGATCCCAAATCGGACGAGAAGGCGGCGGCCGTAGACTACCAAGGCTGGGAAGAGAAGCGCCAGAGCCACCGCCAGCGCCGGCCGGGGTATTTCGACAAGGAGCTTGAGGTGGCGGAGCACAAGAAGCGCGAGGCCGAGGAGCGGGCCGCCGAGATTGCGCGGCGCGAGGCGGAGAAGCAGCGGCGGATCGCGGACCGGGAACGGTTCCGCAAGGCTATGGCCAAGGCGAAGGAGCCCGGCCGCGACGGGAAGCGGAAAGTCGGCCGCGAGAGCCGCATACTGCTTGAGCGAGTCCAGAGGATTGTGGGTGCCCCTTGAGAAGCCACTGTTCCCTGTGTCGTCTCGTCTTGAGCAGTCCCCTCGGAGTTTTGCGCACATAGTGTAGGCAGTTGACAAGTTCTGGGGAAGAGGGCCAACACTTGTAGGCATAACCTCCAGCCATGAATGAAATAAAATGAAAATAATATGATCGGGGATTCTCTCTTGGACTTCGTCCTCGTCACTGCCGGTATTTGACACATGCCTAGCCAAGCTGGGAATAATGTATCACTGCTAAGGAGCGAAGCGGCAGACAACAAGTCAACACTTAAAAAAAATTAGTAGATAGAGCGACGTCAGTAAACCAACTCTTATCATTTCGCCCCCGAGAGGCTTGTTTGGGGAGGCTCGCCACTAGGAAACCCAATCTCTCCAACCTCCCACACACACATAGATCACATTATTCTTCCTTGTTAGCCCACTGTTGATAGCCTGCCTGTCCGCTTTACGAGGCGTAAAGACAGCATCATTAAACCCTCCTTCCGCCGCTTTCCCCCTTGCCCGGCTGATAAACATCCCCGACTCGTCGGGACGCCCCCAGAAAGGACCAAGACCATCAATCAACGAAGGGGTCGTTGCCAGGGAACAACCCGCCTAGAGCTATGCCCTCCACACGATACTCCACCACAGAGTAAAGTAGATAGGAGAGGGAGGGGGAAAAAGAAGATGAAGCAGGATATTGTCAAGATTAGAGAGTCCTATCACCAAAAGTAGCATTAAACGTAGCTCTAGTAGCATACAAGCACGAAGCGAGAAGAAAAAGAGCGCATCGTGATTCATAAGAGGCGCGGCGAGACAAGCAGTTATAGAGACAAGAGAAAAAAAAAGAGAAACTTCATTCCGTTCCTGTCTTTGTCTGTAGTGTCTGCGCCACCAAGCTAGTATATTGGTCTGCCTGCCTGTCCACCTCGTTTTCTCTCTCTCGGTGAGAGAAGGAAAGAAAGCGTGTCTGACTCCCCAGAGCTGAATGATAGTGACCGTGAATTCAGATTTTTTTTCTTATCTTGGCAAATAAAAAATAAAAATAAAAAACACATCGAAAAGAGGAATAAAGTACCGTAGCTAGTAAAGTTGTTGGGGAGAATGTCAATAAGAAGGAGAAAAGGGCGAAGAGAAAAGTTTCCATACAGCAGAACCTCTGTGGTTGACTGTTTCCCCAATCGTACGCACGCAAAATACAACAAAGCTCAAGAAGTCATACCAAGAAGGAAGAAAACGCCACCCCCAAAAAACACAGCTCTTTCCTCCCGCCTCTTTCCCATCGCCCTGCTAAAATGAAAAATAAGTCGAATGGGGAAATTTTATGTACAAGTCGCGTTCAGGACGAACCTCCCCAATTTCGTTTCGCCTTTGAGGGGTAATGAGTTCTGCGGGCATGAATAATAGATGATAAAGAGCAGGCTATGCCTCGCCAAAGACGGTGTGGCTATTTTCAATCAAAAACTGCACAGCAAGGTTTTTCGCGTGCATGTCGGTCATTTCTTTCTCGAGGCTGTGGTCCCTCATAATAGTGGGCGCAAAAACAACAGCCAGATTTTTGGGTGTCATCTAGAGAGTCCGAGGTTAGCTAGTTGTTGCGCCGTCCGACTAAGATGGATAGCACATACAAGGTTTTCCCGCTCTCTGCTTGCCACGCGCGCGAGATGAAACATGAGAAACTCGAGACAGTCGCGATGCTTCGCAGGGAGCATATTGAGGGTCGTTCTTAAGTGGGAACAACGCTCCGAGTCGTTTTGTATCGCTTTATGAACAGTTAGTTACCAGAACCGGGCCGTCGAAAGAACACGGGAGCAAACTTACAGCTCGACTCCAAGAACCGCTCGTACACCTCAAAGGTAAGCAGGGGATTCGGTAGCTTGCGGAAGTACTGCTTCAGCACGCTGGTCACAGCCGTGATGTCCAAAGCCGGGTCTGAGATGTCGTAATCCTCGTTCTTGTCGAAGCCCTCCTGTATCACCTTGACCAGCGCATTCCCGCCCGTCTTTCGATAAATGCCCTCGACGTCCATACCGCGCAGCTCAACCTCTTCGATGCAGCGAGTGACGACGCTGGGTATCTGGCGCCGCTCATAGTCAGTTCGCTCGACCAGATCCGAGCCGAACAGCGTGCTGGGCGCCTCCGCAATCGTCGCGGTGGAGACATTTGCCGCCGATGTTGACTTGGCCATATTAGGCTTCTTGCTGAAGAAGCCAAAACCTTGGCGGGCGTTCTCGCTGGCGATTCGGTTGGGGCCATTCATAGGAGTAACCGTGGCAGGGGACTCAAGCGGGACAACCGTCATGTTATAAGGGAGCCCAATACTGTCTACACCGGGCCCCTGGATTTGCTGGGCGCGGGTTTGTTCCTGCTGCTGGAACGCCACGGCCGCACGGTTGATGCCCTTCGAAATGTTGTGTGCCACCTTGCTTGAACCTTTCTTCCAGTTGAATTTCTTGACCTGGCCCTTTCGAATGTTAACAACTGTGGGTCCTTCGACAACCTGGTCCTCTGCGTCTGTGCCGACCATGGTCGTTCCCGTCTGTAAGCTGGCAGAATCCATATTGACCGAAGCGCTCGATACTCCTTTGGCGTGGCTGTAAATACCCAGCCCGTTGGGCGACCGCAGGTCGGAGATATTGGCTTGGTGCTTGAACCGCTCCTGGATTTGGTGTGTCAAATCGTTGTTGAGGTCGGCTAGTTGCGCATTCTTGGACGAGAGTTGCTCAAATTCCATCAAGGCTCGATCGCGATCCGCAACCACCTGATTTTTTTCATCCACCAACTCATCACGCTCGGCGTGAAGCTGCTCAATTGCAGCACCCATGTTCTGCTTTAGTTTTTCCAACTTCTGAACGAACTCTTTGATTGCAGATTCCTCGAGCTCACGAGGGTCGAGGGCCTCGTTGGTCTTTTTGGCGCGTTCCACGTAGCCGGCCAGAACCTCGAGCTCCCGAATCATGATCTCAGTCTGCGTGTCGAGCACAGAGACCGTCTTTCGCTTTTCAAGAAGTCTCTTGTTGAGATTCTTCATATCCTTCTCCGTGTTAAACTGTCGCTCGAGCTCGGCCACCCGCTGCTCCGAGTTCCTGAGCTGCCGCTTCAACACTGCAGTATCGTCTTGCGCCGTACCCGACAAAGAGATGGGGCTACTGGTTTCGTGGCTGTGCCCGCCATTCATCGGATCCTCGGCAATTGGTGTTCGTGGCCAGCGTGGCGATGTGGTTCCCCTCGTGGTCTCACTGACGCTCCTGCTGTGGCCGAGCCTGTTGTTCTGGTTGCCAGACTCCATGCTGTTGTTTCTTCCATGTCGGACAGCATTCGACACACGACGCAGGATTGATGAAGAACCCTCGTCGGTGCCCAGAATCCTTGCCATGTCTTCATCCATACTGAAATCCCCGCCGGCGCTCCAACGGGGTAGCTTGGGCGACACCTTGGGCTCCGGAATCTCGTTGGTCGAACCCGCCGACTCCTTGGGAGCCTGGCTAGGGGGTTGGGGTGGTGCCCTCGGCTGCATGTAAGTAGTGCTCATTTTTGTCTCGGGAATAGGTGGCCTGGTTGGCGTTTGCTGGCTTGCAGAAGCAGCCTCATCGGAGATGCCAAACTGGGGAGCAGGCCCTGACGGGGGGTCGCCATTGACTAAAAGCAAGTATATTAGCTGAAGGGGCATCTTGAGCATGAGGTGGGCATTGTCGGCTTACCATTTCGAGCCGTACCAGCAGGAAGTTCTTTCCGCTGAATAGATCTTGCGCCAGGCACATCTACTCGGCCAGAGCTCAGCGAGTCAATCGACGGTCGAACCGCCTCTTCTTCCTTGGATCGCGAGTCTTGTGATAGCCTGGGCGTCGGAGTCTTGTCTGCTTGCCCGAGAAGTGTAGGGGAGTCTGTTATTGTAGCGATCGGGGCCACGTCTTTGGAACGCTGTGGACCATTGGCGGTCTTTCCAGTATTGCCGTTATCAAGGGTATTACTTGACACGGAGTTGCTTCTAGAGCTGATCAGCTTCTTGCTTTTCGGGGCGTCCTGCAATTTGAACTCTTCGTTGCTGCCTTGTGTCTTTCCAGCCTGGATCTTCCTATCCTCTGTGGGAGGAGCTCTTGGGTTCCCGTTCCTATCGTTCCTCTTTGAAAGCTTCCGCATGGGGCGGTCCTGGGGGCTTTCGTATTCCGAAGACGGCTGCCTTCCCTTCTCCTGAAATGCAATATGGGGGGTAGAGGCTTGCGAATCGGACTTCTTCTCAGAGGTTGCACCTGGCTTTGCCGAGCCAAAGTAATCCTTTTCCTTGTTTTTCCTACTCGCGTCTGTAAAGGCATCGGAGGCTGCTGAATGGGGTGTGATTGCCGGTACAGGGTTGGGATCAAGTGCAACGGGGATAAAAAATCCTTCGTTATCTGCGCTGACGAGATCCCCGGATATGATTGTCGAGTTTCGATTGTTCTTGTAGCTCTGCGCGGGCGGAGCGAGAGCCGAGTCTTTGCTCTGCTCCAGCAGCCTTTCCGGGGAACGATCTGGTCTGGAGCTGCTTCGTGACGAGGACTCGTTTCTCCCGTAGGCGGCACGGGGACGTGGGGACAGCTCGGTCGGCGTGTCCGAGTCCGGGGTGGCCCGTTCGGCAGTGAAGCCCAGGGGAGGAACGGCATTGGGCGGAAGCGCAGGTAGGGACTTATCCGTAACCATCGGAGAGCCATCTTTGTCTCGCGACTTTGCTTGTGCAGCGGCTTTTGATTTCTTGCGCCGTCTCGCCATGAGAGACTCGTGGCAGTTCATACAGAAAATGCCATGGGATGTCCTTGCATACCGTAGGTTCTCGATCTTCCTCTTGCAGTTCCTACAGCGAAAGCATGTTGCGCAAAAGGCTTGGTCTCCGGTGAGGATGGCCAAGTCTTCAATCTTATTACCGCAGGCGCTGCAGCTGTAGGTACAATTATTGCAGATGAGGGACCCATCTCCAAGAAGAAGCAGATTCGCATCAGAGTCGAGGAGGGTATTGCAGGTGTTGCATCGAAAGCAGTTAAGATGCCATCGGTTTCCAGCTACAGCAAGGTCAGTACAAGACAAATAGAAACTGTCGTCGGCGCTGCCGATATCATTCTGCGGGATCAAGATGGAGGCATCTCCGTAGTTTGTAAGACTCTGGAGGGATCGCGCGGACGTACCGAGTTCGAAGGCCTTGCCCTCTTCTAGTATCTGCAGGAACAAAACGGTTAGGTCTAACGAAACAGGGCACCAGAAAAGGCGAAGGCCATACCTCTCCGCAGCCTTTGCAAGGAAAGACATCTTCTGCATCCATAGGAGCATCCAGGTATTCGTCCATGGCTGCCGTCATTATGCGGTTTATTAGCCGAGTAGGGCGGCGCTACGAGTCGTAGAATGAAGAGTAGGGCGACTAGAACTTTCGAACGATGGAGCGGCGACGGCAAGGGCGCCAGGATATTACATCGAGAGCGCCCTCCCAATTGCAAGACGGCGGCCGGTCTGTTCGAGTTCGGCGCTGTGAAATTAGGAGGATGCGAAGCTTGGGGGGGGCGGGAGGAAGTCGGGCCTCGACGTTTTGGTTGAAATAGCTTGTGGTTGTCCGTCGTCGTGGACGTGGACGACGAGAGGGGATCGTGATTGTGTGGTGCACTCCAGAAGTTCCAATTGCTTGCGTGGCTGGCTGACTGGCCGGGTTTAGCAGTGCTGTTTCCTCGTCAAAAGGGATTGAATGCTCCTCCTCTGCGGGTAGGCCGACCAAGCCAGGGGAGTTTGGTAAGTTAGCATCCCAGCAGGGGCCAGGCAGGGGCAGCCGTCGCTTTCGCAGGGGTTATCCAGGGTCCAATTACCGCCTCGTCTTGTTAAGGCACGAAACTGAAATCGGCCTCCATCCAATGCGCCCACATTTACACCACCCACCGGATTCTACGGTAGGTATCTTAGGCATCTTCAGCTACATATGAGGAAAATAAAATAGCTAGATATGCAGCACTACTTCAGGGCCGTAACAGCGGCTTTCCCCGAGAGTTACCGAGGATTTACTTGGTACGACACGTTGCTAGGTACTGACTTTCGAGGTTGTAACAAAGGCCCTAGTAAGTTTCCGAGGTCCTTGTAAGCTATTGACAGGGCCTTTGATAATACAGTGTCTGGACAGTACGGAGTATACCGTACTTTATTTCCCGCCTATCGAATAAGATGCTCCTGTACGTACACACATCTAGATGCGGATCTTAGCAGAACAAATGCAAAATACGAAAGAGGTCTTCATAGTTGGTCATATATTGGCGAGGCACTCAAGTTCTGGGTTGGGCCGCAAGAATTGGATGACAGCCGACGGCGGAGGCAATGTAGGTAAGGTAGGGTAGCTTGAGCTGCCCTCGAGTCTGTCTGTGCTCGCAAATGCCGAGATCAGCGAGTTGTACGGGCTGCTAGTTTTCCCTCGGCCACCTCAGCCTCTGGCTTCAGCGCGTCGTCAGCTTGCTTGGACTGAGAGGGAATTATCTGAGGCTGAGGAGCTGGCCTCGGAAAGAAATCCTGATCCGGTCTCCCTGCACAAGGCTCTGAGCAGCAGTACCACTCCGTGGAAATAATTACCTCCTTCGGAGATGTCCACTACGGAAACGTTTTCGTCCTCTTTTGTTTATTATACCGCCCGTTGAGGAAATAGGTAGGTACTTTATGAAACGCGGAGTTTGCCCTGCAGAGAGGGAGCACCTTACCTTTACCCCTGGAGAGCCTAGCGAACGAATGAATAGGGTACTTTGGCAGTTGACTCGCCAAGAATGCCGTGCCTCTGGCGTGCTGTATGCACCTACCGAAAAGGCCGCTTCCCAGGTGTCGCCGACCCAAGATTCCAAGCTGCTGGAAGGGCATGAAGCCCCCCCTCCTAAATGACTAAGGAAGCGAGCAGCGGGCAGCTAGCTTGCGCGCCGCATGATGTCTTCGTCTAGTGCTCTTGGCAAGGATTAAAGACCACCTCATCTGGTTGCCTTGGAAGCAGGAGATGCAGAGCATAGGGGAGCACGTCCATACTCGGTAGCGATTTTTATGTGTTGATTACCAGCAGGCGTCCAGAAAATCATATTCCTTACATGAACCATCGCTGTAATGGACGATATCGGCCCTATCAGATTTGAGCTCAGGGGCAAAATGGCGGCCGACAGCCAAGAGGTGAGTGACCAAAGATCCGGTTTGATGCAGCCTGAGGCGGGTGAGATTACGGTCTTGTATTCAAGGTTAGCTGCGTGAAGCAAAGTAGACTTACGGTACAAGCAACGTGTAATCTATCGGGGCCGATGCATGGCAAACACACGTTCGGTCCGTACCTTTAGGAGTCAACGACTTTTGACGCAAGCTTGAGCTTCGACGCGCTTGTGCCGTCGCCACACAGGGCCGTTGCGGATAGGATGAGGCGCGGTTGCTCATGGCCAGCGGCTGATGAGGTGAGGCGGTTGGGTGTGTAGGTGTGTATCCGTACAGTATTCCGTAACCGATTGTATGTGCGATCACAATCCCTAAACGACTGTTAGCGTGGCACTTTCCAAAATGTGACAGGCCAATTCAATTTGCCAAAATTACCATCAGGGGCCTTCTTTCCCAAAGTACCGCGCTATTAACTAATTGGGGATTAGATTGTGGTATCACCAGCTATTTTCAGGTGCCGGAGCTAGGTAAGCCTTAGGTCGACCAAGTGCGGATACATACGAAGTAGTTCGTAGGGAATGCGGACGTCGAATAAGATGACAGCTGCTAGAGTATCTTGATTTAGTTATAATCGCCTCGGTTACTGTGAGGATCGCGCCAATTCTGATCATTCTCGTCTCGGGTTTGCCTATTTTTCGCTCCCCTGAGCCGAAAGTTCTTCGACACTTCCACGTGTAACGGCATCCCGATGATGGGGCTAGTCTAAGACATTGTTTTTCTTCTTCTTGGCATGTGTCTCAAGTTGTCCCAACGAAGAGTGGACTTCCATCTCATTACAGGACCGCACTGTTTATTACACATGTGAGTTTACATGTGAAAAACGATGCTAATTAAAGTACGATTCTCGGCTATCTCCCCTGCTTCAATCTATCGTGTGAGTTTGCGAATCAAGGCCTGTAAAGCAGGCAAACGAACCAAACAAACCAAGGTAGCCGCGAGCAGAGCAGGGTAGGGGTTAGGGACTTTGCTTATATGTTTCATTCAAATTGTAGCCTAGATAGGTCGAATCTGGGTCGAGTTTCCCCATCACATCGACGGCTAATCAAGGTAGTTGCTATTGCCTACTAGTGTTGCTGCAGTTATTCGCATTGCAACTCGGAGCTGCCTGATCCATGCAGACGATCCTCAATCCATTCCTGCAGCCACTGCTGGGGACATACCAAGCACGGGCCACGATGATGGTCACCAGGTAGCTAGCAATGGATGCGGTAATTCCATCTTTCTTCACGAAACACTGGGAATTGAAAAGCAGTGTACCGATCAAAGGTACTAATATAGCGGCTGCTTCAAGATCCCAGCCTCAGGCATTAAAAGAGTGCTGCCCTTATATTGAGGTAGTGATCGTATCAGGAGGCTGGAGAAGCCGCCCATTGGCTGCTTTTTACTTTGATCCTGCACCCCTTTTAGTGTGAAACTCGAGCCTGCCTTGCGGGAGGGCGACCGGGGCCCACCCATGATGATGATGACGGAAGGCATCAGGGAACAGTCTGAAACGCCAAAAAAGGCGAGCTGTCTTTTTGCGGGGCCGCATAACCCACTCACACCCACAACACCCGCACCGCACCTACGAGGCACATCACACCACGATCCGAGACAAACCGTTGGCTGACAGCTTCTTGCTTTTGCAAGAAGAGAGAAAACGGATGGCTTCCTTCCACTATCTCCTCCTCGTTACGAAAATGCGTGCCGTGTCTGCATACAGGTGCATCTAAACGCATTTGAAGTTGGCAGTTTTTGGCCTAAGGAGAAAATTCAGAGCAACACCCGACTCTCCTCTCAACTCGACAACACACTCACTCACTATAGTGGAACTGTGGGGAACATGGGAATACGTAAACGGCACGCGTCTTGCGCCTGATACCAGGCCACAGATCAATCGATGAAGGGCTCGAGTCTCCGAGTCTCGAGTCTCAACTCGGGGCTAACATGATGGTATCGATAAGGAGCAACTCCTGCCTAGTGCTCCTTTCTTGGCCTGGCTACCAGGGGCTTCCAATATCTCAGCATCTTATTGCCTACAGGAGGAACAAGTCACACGCGTCCACTCACCCCGCGTATTTGCGCGCTACGCGTGTAAGCTCCCCGCTCTCTCCCCCTTTTGGGCTTATTACACTTCCCCTCCCTTGGAACCCCTATGCAGCAGAACCATGAGAGTGACTTGGCGGTGATGCTCCCGATAGAATCCCAAGAGTGAGTACGGTGCCTATTCGTTTTGTACATGTAAAGGGAAACCAACCTAGGTCCTGTTTCCATCCTGCCCCACTAAGAAAAAGGAGGAATACATTCCATATTACATACCTCGAGATATCCTGCAGGTTAGAATGTAGATCGCCGACTAGATCAGCGTGGTCGCGCAGGGTTGCAGTATGTGCAGTTGAGACTCGGGGCATGCGCACCATGCGGCCAGCCCATCCACGCTGGTGATCTTCAGGGTCCCTGGGAAATATCCCCACCACCACCTACGCACGTACTTCTAGAAGTAACCCAATAAGTTACCTACCTACAATTCTCTTTTCTGCCCGTGCAGTGATATTTCCCCGGGTTTACATGCCAGAATAAGGTACCTACTCTGTACCCAGGCAAGAAACGTCCCTCTACTGTTGATCCTCCCGTTACCAGTCTGCCACAACCGAAGCACAAGTAGTATACAGTACGTGACAGCCAGCATAGGATTTCTATAAACATTGGTAACATAGTCAACAGCTTGATCTATCATGAGGCAGTTACCTAGTCCCAAATATGCCCCAGCATCCCTTACATTACACGAATAGTCTACCCGAAAAGGGGGAACGCAAACACAGTATTAAGCACAAGACCACTCAATTGACAAGCAAGGGCTATCACTCCGCTGTCTCAAACATCGATCTGTAGGGAATATCCGAAGGCTTGTTCGTTCCAGCGCAAAGTTTTGATGTGTTAGGCATCCCTACATGTTAAACGGCAGATCCGAGGCAGTTTGTAGGCACCTTGCTATACCGAGTAAAAAGTATGCCCAGCTAGTACGACTTCATCCCACAAGACACGAGGTGCATGTTTGCCCATTTCACTCGAGGAGAGTCTACTAAACGCGAATCACATGGCTGACAGTTCAGAATCTAGATAGATAATTAAAAATTCAACGGTAAGCTGAGTATATATACATGGAAAAAATGAGAACCAAGAACCCAGGGGGCCTTGGTTGCCAGGATCAACCACCAGCATCTCTCTTCACAAATGAATAGAGAAAAACAGAGACAGTCTTATACACACATACATACCAGGCAAGGGAAAAGCCCAACATAAGAAGAGAAAGTGAAAAGGTAAAGAAAACACCATCGCTTGTTAAATAAAACTGCCTCGCCCAGAATACAAAAGATGAATGTGTAAAAAAAAAAGAATCCGACCTATAACGGAGTCAGTAATAGCCTGAAATAAGCGTCGGTGCTGCGCTGCTTTACAACCTTGCCGGCTTCCTCCTCTGGAGGTAGTCTGCGAGGGGAAAGGCCTGGCCCAGTATAAACCACACCCTGCCTTAACTAACAAGAAAAACTTAAGAAAGTAAGAAATAGCAGAGAAAAAAAAGTACCAGGAAACCCATCCATACGCCGCGCTATGCTCATTCACCCCCGCTCCCCAAACAGAAAAACAGAGAGAAAAGAACAGGAGAGACTCAGGAAGAGAGATGAGCAAACATGATGGCTTCGTGGGCGAAAATATCCACCCTCGAAACGGTCCGTGACTGAGCAGGTCCAACAGTAGATGGGCGGGTCTTGTACATCTAGGCAGCTCAGTTGCTAACGACCGAAGTAGCCAACACAGCTGGCACGGCGAACACCGAACCGGACAGGGATGCGGACGATCCGGGGGTAGAACCGGTTTCCCTCTGCCTCTTGACAATATAGTAAGTAATTAGGCTCTTTGGGTCATCCTTAACGCCTTTAAGCGCGTCCCAAAAGACGGCGTCGCTGACTCTGGCGTGCAGGGCGACGCACAGATGCACCGCATCCATACGGACGGCCGACTCAAGGGATTCAAGGCAACGGGAGGCTAGGCCGGCGAGGAGATCGACCTCGGCCTGCGTAGGCATAAATGAGGTGCGTGTATCGATGAGCTCCTTGAGCACGTGGAGGCCCATACTGAGCGAGCGCGACCCAGGCGCGTCAACATCCATGGTACCAAGCATGCGCGAGAGCACCAGAGTGATCTCAGATGCGTCGCCAAGTGTCACGAGCTCGTCGGCGAGGAGCTCCAGGCCGCTCACAATGTGCGTGCGCCCGTCGTAGCCAGCGCGGGCGCGCAGTAGGCTCTCCAGACCCCGAGAAACGTGGGGCTGGAAATTATCTCGCATCTTCCTAAGGAGAAGCTTGATTGTCGCAAGCACCTGGGCCTTGACGTCTTGCACCTTCTCTGGCGGGAGCTGTTCCAGGGGCGCCTCGAGGAACCCAAACAGGCCGGGCAAGAAAGCATCAAACTTGTCATCCGTAAAGACAGCCCTATTGTCACGAATGATACTCTGAAGCTTGCGGAATCCGTGCACGTCAAGGGACATTTGCTTGACCTTCGCGATACCGCTGTCCAGCAGACGGGAGCTCTGCTTCAGTTTCTCCGGCGAGAGAGGGGGGTTGTCGACGCTGCCATTTACTGCATCTGGCCGCAGTAAGATTGCAGCATCTTCGTTTACTGGCTTCTCCTCCAAGACAGGCCTAGTGAATATGGGGTTCGGTGCAGCTTGAGCCTCAGTAAATGGATCTTCGTATACCTTCAGGGGTCTCGAAAGCGGGCTTTGGGCTATCTTAATAACCTCTATCGGACCTGGTGGAGGCCGTGGCACCTGCGGAGACAGTGCCTTCGGAGCCTTTGGAGACTGGGCTTCGGTAACCCGCGGGGATTGGTCCTTGGGAGCCGCGAGAACGGGCATGACCATAGTAAAATCCTCGTGGGCCTTTGAAGGACTACTCGCGAGCTGTGGAGTAGCGGGCTTTGTATGTGAGGGGCTTGTCCGGGGAGAAGCCGCTGCTCTAGCAGCAACCATCCTGGGAGGTGTTGGAAGAATCGGCTCGCTGGCTGTCGGAGTATGGCCCGGTCTCGTTCTAGGAACCGTCCGTCTCGGCGATACAGTGGCGACCTTCGGGGTGACTGCCTTCGGCCTGACCTTATCAGGCGGGCTAGACTGCTCGGCCGAAGTCTGGTCATGGCTCCTCACTGAGTAGGGGCCTGCTGTTGCTGGCCGGGCAGCCATTTCCGGTCGCCGCTTTGTGGGTCTCATTGGGGCCCCGGATATTCCCCCTGGAGCGCCCACCAAGACGGATTCGGGTCTGGTGCGGACGGTCGATGTCGAGGTGCCGGATGCAACCGAGGCTTGAGACGAGTTTGACACGGTCCTCGGAGGGGAGAAATGGGCCATAGCCGAGCCAGGACGAGCTGGAAGATTCTTGGACACGGCGGCCTTCTTCTGGGCCATGACTTCCCGTATACTTGGCTTGGAAGACGTCATAGTGCTCTTGGACAGCCCTAGGCCGGGACGGACAGGCCCATCCGACTTCTTGGGGGAGTTGGGGTTGTTCGGGTCGTTTTGCAGCAGTTTCTGGGCCGTCGCGTCAAGTCCGTTCATGATGGCCTCAGCCCTCGCGGGCCAGATGACCGAAAATTTCCAGTAGGCCGATCGCATCTCCGCTCTCACACCGGGATTTGCGTCAGCAAGACCCTTCTTCATGCACTTCTCAATAAGGTCCAAGCCGCCCGAGTGCTCAACATGCCCCTTGTGGTGAGATTCCTTGTTCAGAATAGTTTTCAGCCAGCCGCTCGCGTAAAGCCTCGGTTGGACATTCTTGTCCTGGCTAGCCTGGCAGATGTGCTGCATGATCCGGGCATTGTACGTGACCCTCCCAATGATGGTATCGACCGTGACATTGGCTTGCTGAGAGGCGATTTTCTTGGTTGCGGCCGAGAGCTTGATGAAGGTTTGTAGAAGTAACTCCACCATTGGGTCTATACCCGGGCCGTATACCCTCGCCATTTCTTGCACAAGGTTGCAGCCTTCCTTTGAGAGACTGGTTCGGAGCGAAGTGACAGCCTTGATAATGCCGTCGAGGAGCCCCCTTAGCCCGCTGAGAAAGCTGTCTCGAAAGTCTGTTGCTGCGTTGCCCTCCATAAGCTTCCGGAGGGCGGTGATGCTCTCCTCTCGCTTCTGCCAATTCTGCTCCAACTCCCTGCCTTCGAAGTAGGATGCCATTTCTCGAAATTTCTCATCCAGTTCGCGCTGGGTATTGACATACATGGGCTCGACCTGCTCGGGGCGAGTGTCCACAACCGGAGTTACAGGGCGTTCGGTAGAGAGGGCAGAGGCGCTCGCTGCAAGGTGAGGACGGGCCGCAGGCGGCAAAGATGGCTCATCAGAGTGGTCGGTCTGCGAGGAGGGTGCTGAAGCGCTGGGAACGAGCTCCTTGACAATGGCCGCCTCAATTGCTGGCCGAACCTTGAATGTCTTCAACTGCCTCTTTAAATCCGACTTGGCAGCGTTCGGGGCATTGCTATCAGGCGGCGGTTAGGGTTCAGAACTGCACAACGGCGGTGACGTTGGGGTATTAGGGTGCGAGTAAACACACCAGAACAGCTCAATGACCGTGGTCTTGGCAGCGTCGCGGACCATGGCGTCCGCATCCTCGAGCAGCTCCATTAAGATCGGAACATAGCTCCGGAACTGCAAACCGTTTTCTTGGTGCATCTGCAGACGACATTAGCGCAAGCCGGACAAACGGCAAGCCTGTTAGGGAAGTCCCAATGTGTCGCACGTACCTGGAGCAGCCAGTGCAAGCTTGCCTCTTTTGCTCTCGCGTTCTTGCCACCCATGGCTGTGTTGCGCACCCAGCGCTCGACGTCGATGGGCGCGACCTTGTACAGAGTTCCCAGGGACTGAAGCGCGAGCGCGCGAATCTTATCCTTGTGGTCGTTCAGCTTGTCAACGATGAGGGGCAAGGTGGCGCGAGAGCCCTCCTTGGCCAAGTACTTTGGGTCCTGGCGCGCAAGGCGGGCGAGCAGGTGATTGAGGGCTGTGAAGCCGGCATTGGCAAGCACGGCGTGCTGGGACGCCGAGGCGGTGCAGAGCGCGTCGACCAGCGACGCAATGGACTGGTCGGGAACATTGTGTTGTTTGATGCCCGACTTGATGACCGTGACAAAGTCGGCCTTGACGTCGATTGAGGCGTCGCTGCGTAGGAGGTCGTGCAGGTCCTCAACCTGGCTGTCTGTGATTTTGTCCGCCATGTCCTCCCGAGAAGAGAGGGTGCGGGTGGTAAGGCGGCTCAAAACGCGTTAGGTTGGACGCGCTGATGAGGGAAACGGTCGTCGGTTCGGTTTGCGGTGGTGTGCTAAGGTGGCGTGGGAAAGCGAGAAACCAGGATGGCCAAAATCAACAAAAACAAAATTCCCAAGAAATTTTGGCTAGGTGGCCGACACCAAACGCAATTCGGCCGTGTGCGGAATGGAGGAGGCTGAGGCGCTCAGAAAAGTATCGCAAGCAAGCGCAGTGTCATTCCAGAAAAAGGGATACAGGGGAAGGTCTGTATAGGGTTGCGACAATACAAAGTGTGATGTTCACCGGCGCGCAGAGACAGATGAGGTTGAGGTCCCGTGGGCCGGGATGGCGCGTTTTAGTGGGTGATGGAGATTTGTTGCTGGGATAAGGGAGTGGAGGGGAGCAGTATCCAATGGCCGGGCACGGGAGTTACTGGCAACCACGGGGGGCGGGGCGTTATCGTGGGTCGTGTTTCCCAGTAAAGCCCGCAATTGCGGGGACCTCCAGCTGTCGCTCAAACGACACTGACCCCTGTCTGTCCCGCACAAGCTCACCAGCACGAAATCCCCGCTGGGCCAGCTCACCTCACCCCGCAGCTGTTCCTCAACTCTGCTCAGATTCCCCGTTCTGAGGCCCACCCGCGTTGAAGAGGGCAGCCTGTCCACTCTGACCACAAACTAAGGATGGAAGCCTGAACAAGCGCCAGGATCCCGGACGTATTGACTGTCTCCTGGATCTCCTGAATAGCACCTATCGTCCAACATCACGGGCCGTCTCTCACCGATACTTGCTCCGAAACACACCCGTCTCCGGAACGAACTACCTAGGCAACCTAATTTGATACACCAAACAATTTGTTTAGGATAGTCTTTGTCTCTCACCCTTCACCGCCATCATGACCCTGCGCCAGCAGAGCTCACCGGCCCCTACGGCCACGAGCATCTTCTCGCCGACATCGCCCGTCCCCTCTGCTGTTCCCGTGCCCTTGCCAGATCGGACTGCAGACAATGACAGCGGCACCGCCAGCGCAGAAGACGACGGCAGCAGTGCCGTTGACGGCGATGACACGACGCCAGAGGACAACAACTGCAGCCGGGATGACGACGACTTCGCCCAACCCCGGCTCCGGCTCAAGATTCCGGACCTGGAGCACTCAGGCGCGGCCAAGTTCCTGGGCGCCGTCAACGCCGGCACACTGGTGGCCGAGTCTATCGCCAAAGTGCAACGGCTCCTGTACCGGTCGCCCTCGGAGACGCACACGACGGCGCCGCCGACCCGGTCCGTGACGCTCGTCCTCCGCGAAATGGACGGCGTTGCGTATACCACAGGGGTAAACAAACCAAAGCTCCTTTCCACCCCAATATCCCATCCGTGATCTCTTTCCCCTATAGAATACGGCATCTTACATTCCCCATCTCTCTCTCTCTCTCTCTCTCTCAAGCATGTATACGTGCCCGTCTATGTCTTTCACAGCTCTAGATAAACTACCTACTCTATCCTATATGATCTCCCTAAAGTGTGCCCAATACGGCCAAATGTCTCGTCACACAAGTAACTAACCCTCACTTCCCATTGCTCAAAACTCCTCTTACACAGAGCAGTCTCGATAGCGATCACAAAGAAATACACTTTTCTCTCAGCTACATCGACGGCATCAAGCCCGCCGAGCGCCTGACAGACGAGATCACCGGCGTTGTGGTCCATGAGCTAGTCCACTGCTACCAGTGGGATGCAAAGGGGACTTGCCCGGGGGGGTTAATCGAGGGGATTGCCGACTGGGTTCGGCTCAACTGCGACCTCAGCCCGCCGCACTGGAAGCGGGAGACGAGCGGGAGTATGTTATTATTGTTATTTCCTCAACTCCCTAACTGACCTTCTTTTTCCCATTCCATTTTCTGTTCGAGATGCCCAGTACGAGGTGTCTCTATCAACCATCAAAGGAAACCGTAATTAACAATTATCAACAACAAACAAGATTGGGATGGCGGCTACCAACATACCGCCTATTTCCTCCAGTACTTGGAAGGCCGGTACGGGGAGGGGACAGTCCGCAAGATGAACGAGAAGCTGCGGCTCCACGAATATGAGGCCAAACCCTTCTGGGTAGAATTACTAGGACGACCCGTTGAGCAGTTGTGGGAAGACTACGTCAAGAAAGTAGCGGATGAGGCACCTACGGATGATCAGACGTCATCATAGGAAAACAGCCGATCGATGATAAATGATTTATTGAGTAATCCATGAGAAGGGATGCTCTGTCCTCTGCAGCAATAACTATATGACTACTACAAGCCCTGTCATTCAGAACGGGGCCTAAACAATAGCACATGTATATCAAGTAAGAGCCCACCAGTGCTAACCATCGTTCTGTCCCGAGATCCAACCAAAATCCCCAAAATGGCAAATCCATCCTTGCCAACCATAACACCATGCCCTGGATAGATGCCAAAGGAAAGGAGGAGGGAAGAGAATAGGGGTATAAAAACACACAAAGTAAGTCTACGCATGCACCGCTCCGTCGTCATCGTTGGAGCTCACCACGCTCCCCACCTCGGACCAGCTGTTAGGAGTAGCTATGCCGTCTTCATCGTCGCTCAACACATCATAATCGCCGCCCTTGGAGGAGGCAGCGTAATTTCCAATGTCTTCGCCAGACCCAGCCAACGACACGGAGTCAGTAGGGGTTAAATCCCCATGGCTGACATACTCCGCCTCGGAAAGCGGAGCTTGAGGAGAGACGGGTAGCGGAGAGTAAAAGCCGGGGTGCGAGCCCTGTGCCCATGCTTGAATTGATGAGTAAGCTTCTTGGCGGTCATCTTGGCCAGCGGTCATGAACTCGTCATCGGCGAGCTCGCGGTCGAGAGTAACGCTCCGAGGTGGGGTCGTGAACTGATCTTGCTCTACAGTAGCCGACTGCGTTCGGGGCTGAGAGTCCGAGTCAAAGTCGAAAAGAACCTCGGGGACAACAGGCTTCGATTGCGGGGAGACGGTACGAGAAACTGGAGATCGCGGGTCCCGCGGTGTGGCCTCGTAAATATCCGACATGATTTCTTCGCGGCCCGGAGCGAGCATAAGCTCCTGCTCATCGAGCTCCATGCCGGGATGGTCGTCGAAATCAATGCCGTGTTCGTCACTGAAAGGGTTGGCAATAACGGAGGCGTTGAGTCCACGCAAGCCCTGCAAGCCCTCAATGCCTCGGCGTCTGACAAGGCCATCCTCAGGGCCCCGGATATCTGCGCCCGTGTTGAATACGAGAGTTCCCCGTTCAGGCGCGGTCTTATCCTCAGTCAAAAAGTCATCAAAGGTGGAGCCGCGATGGGACGGAGAAGGCCGTTCTCTGCGAACCTTTTCCTTCATCTCCTCACGCTGAGCATTCCAATACATCAGCTCCTCACGTTGCCTCCTCCGCGTCTCCTCGTCGGCATCCACACCGGATTCGGCGCCTGATTGTAGGAAGCCCTCGGCATCTTCGGGGCGGTTGAACATTGGGTCTTGCCTATTGGGATCGACATTGTCGCCGAGAGAATGGAGTGCGATCGCGATGCGTCTGCGGAGGTCGTCGGCCATGCGGCGGACCTCGGGAGACTCGTAAACGGCAATAGCAGCAGCAACAGCTACCGAGACGACGATAATGCCGGCTGAGGTGAGAGCGACATGGTTAACAGGCGGCATTCTCACGATCGTTTAAATCGCTCCCAAAAAAGATGACGCAAAGTTTGGCACTAAGTGGGGAGTATTTAAAGCTGAAAACAAGCAGGTTTCTGCTTTTGCGATGTGATGCTCTCTTAATATCAAAGAAAAGGAATTAAAATGGGAGGAGAGAGGCGGTCCAGCTCAAAGCTTTACGACTAGAGCATGGTGTAGTGGAACGCTAGAACGTGAGCAACAGTGAGGTGGAGGAGGCTTGCGTGTTCACCAAGGTGCCTTTGCCACCGTCAGTTGGCGAGAGGAGCCCAGGCCCATGGATCAACGCTCGTGATTTGCGCGGGGTTGATAGAGCAGATCATTCGGCTGGTGGCACAGAAAAGACACCTGACAAGAGATTGATGAAGCTCACCTTTCGCCGCGATTGGCATGGGCATTTTCGAGTCGAAATTCGTCTCCTATCCAAATCGAACCCTGGGGATAGGAACAGTCTCTGGTAACGGCACCTGTCAAAGGGATTGATGGGTGATGGAAGATGATGGGGAGCAGGGCGAAGGAGGGGCCTGGCCGAGTTAAGGTGCAGGCGGGGCTTATTAGTCGACGACGCAAGCGCGGGAGCCCCTCCTTTCATGGACACCTGAACTGCGGGGAGTGGGGCTGACGACGACCGCAGGGGTACTACATCCCTTATGAGAACTCGAAGCTCGAACGGAACGGACTTGGGTTTATAAACAATTGTACAATTACTTATTTGAGATACGGGCGGTATCGATGTGTGAGTTTTCCCAGGTACACAACCCGTATTCCTATTTGCGGTGGCAGCGGGTGGATGATTGGGAGGCAGAAACTTTATTGTATTCGTATGTGCTGTAGGATATGGCCGCGCAATTCGACGCGCATATACCTCTGAGGTGGTCTTTCGCCTTCCGGCCATTTCTATCATTTCCGAATCGAGTCGCCCATACCCAGCCGGTAACCCGTCTAGGGAGCCAAGCCATCCCAAATGACCCAGCTCTAAACGAGGCTGAGAGAGGCAAAGCACCTCGCCACTCTGGAACGGCCCCGTTTCCGTGCTGTGGCTCGCCAGCCTCAGCCTTGGCACCAGCCTCGACCTGGGTGGGGGCCCTTTTGCACTTTCCCTGTCATGCTTCACAGAATGCTTTCCAAAAGGCTTTCCATGACCCATATGCCGTTCTTCAAACCAGTGGTGTAGCTCGAATGTAGGCTCTTTCAAACCTAGTTGAAATTGAGTTCCCTCGGTGTGCATCCGAGGCTTCTGGTGGGCGCTGATAACGGTGCTGGCCTGACCTACATATCAACAGTGTAAACAGTTGATAACGCTTCCCTGAGCATCGCGGACCATGTCCAGGGGCGTGCACCACTTAAACGGGAATATTGCGATCTAAAAAAACCGAAATGATAATACGCATTTTGTTTCAATTTAAACGCGTGTAGACCGAATTGTTATTTTATACAGAGTACCCAGCTGCAAAGAAAGTCAACGGATTCTCTCCACAATAGAGCTCTGGAACCATGAGTGTCTCTTAAATCCGCTGCTGATTTCTCTTTCTACTTGTTACAGTTTGGGAGGGCTTGCCAGCAGCTTCCAATCCAATGCCTGAATGTAAGTTTCCAGGAACTGAAAAACCTCAGTACCCTCCAGCCGGTCTTAAAAGGGGTTTCATCGAGGCATGTAATAAGGAAGCTAATCCCTATTACGGGAATCCTAGGAATGTCTATCAAAGGCTTTCCCTAGCCGGTTTATTTGCTATAGTTTTCATTCAACCTAAGTACCACGCCAATAGGCATTTAAGTATTGGATTGTATATGCAAAGTCCTTATCAAGAATGTTCATCATATGTAAGTGCATTAGCCATTGGAGTTGAGGAAAAACCTCCCAATCAGATCCACCAATGTCTCTCCCTAGAACCTAAAAGCCAACCAATAATGGACTATGGCCCAGATTCTGGGAGAGTAACTCTTGTGAAGAAGGAATATATTTTGGATTGATTTGCATTGGATATAACGGCGAACTCCGATATTTCTATGGTGTTGAGATATTTCCCCAGTGAGTTGAAGGGAAGTCAACAGAACCTCAACCCTGCCGAAACTGGAATCTAACTCGGCAACAACGAGGGTCAAAGCGGAACAAAAGGCGGCATCAAAGCTTAGTAAACCGTGAAGAAACCTCGGCAGAAACAAGCTGCATCCGCAGCATATGAGGAGAGAGGGAAAGCCAAAATACATGTATGTATCCGTACCTTACCGAGTAGCACCGCAAAAAGCCAAGCAACGCCAAGTCCGAAAGCTCGGCAGTTCGCCCGCTAGTTCCGGATCTTGCCAAGCAAAGATCTGCAGCCTCCGATACTACCACTCTTCAGCCACAACCACCACCTCGAACCTCCTTTCTCTTTCTCCCTTCCTTAACTTTCCAGCCCGTTGGCGAGATATCCGTAACCTGTCCAAGAAATTTCTATTTACCTTGTCGTAAATAACCATCTTTCGAAGGTGACCTGTTTTAGTCTTCCCCGGGCTTTGATCCCTCTTCCCCTTTGAGAAAGCCGCACCGATGTCGTCACCTGCCTACGTACGAGACTTTGTGAACGCCAAGACGCCAAGGACAAGACGGATGCCGGTGCGTGCTTGCGTGCAGTCAGTAGCAAGCAAAAACAAGGACCCCCATCCACGAAAAAATGATCCAAACCTTCGGAGGGGACAGGAATCTCTTGGCATGTCTCCCCTCCCCCGTCGGAGAATCTCGAGAGCTGGTGTTTTCGTGATTCGATCAAAAAAGGGAAGGACCGAGCCCGACGATCGATAAAGAGCTGGATACCTATTCCCCCCCCTTGTTGCTTGTCGTGGTCGTGATGCGAAGTAGTAATGTTGCAAAGTTGGAAGACGTCTCTCTCTAATGGTGCTGCCGAGCAATCTTGTGACTTCTCCTTTCTGCAAAAGTTCCTTTAAGTTTTTGCCAAGACCCCCTTGCATCTTGTTATTTGGTCGTAAAGAATGCCATCACAAGATGATTGGACGACCGAATCAATGAAGAAAAACACTTGTGGATAAGGTAGGTAGGCATTGTCAACGCCCGTAAAACAAAAATGAAAAGACCCGTCCACGCTTAACTCGGCGAAAGTAATATTTCCATATTTACCCCAGTCCAACCGAGGATAACTTAGCCAAATTGACATATGGACAATTCGAAGACTTGATCGTCGACGGAGAGACCCGCCAAGGTAATACCGATATCCGTGAACGGGAAGAAGATGTTAAATAGAAAGGCCCCAGTGCCTTGCCCATCCATTGACTCCATGTGCACCATTGCACTCGCTATTCCGAACCCGCATCCCAAATACTCCCTCTCCTATACGCCCAAAAACCCATGCCAAAGGGGGCAATCGAGGCAGAACGATGTAGGACAAGCAAGCCCAATCACGACATCCCCATATTGCTACACACCACCAAGATGTTGGGAAGAGAGACGTGGTGATGTCAAGGCAAGACTTTGCATGTCTCGCACCTCCAGTGCCGCCAAGATGGCGACAGTCTCAACCCCATATCCTGTGTGGTCACCTCACCTGGACTCGGTGCTTGACGTCGAGCCCGTTGTCGAGACCGAAGACGAAGAGGTACGGAGACTCTTTTGCCTCTCGCTACACAATAATGCGTTAACATTGCAACGTCTGGAGGTCTTGTTTTTGTAGGGGACAAAGGCGTTCTCTTACTGGGTAGCACGATCAAGCAGAGTACACGCCCATTTTCCATTGCCAGTCCGGATGTGGAATTTCACGCCGCTGCTCTCTAGTGCGGTCCGGAGGCGAGAGTCCTCGGCGGACGTGGTGGAGGCTGGAGAAGAAGGCATTTTGAGATGTGTGTGCGTGTGTGCGTGCTGTGTCCGGGCTCAAGCGTTTCCAGCGAGGTGTCGTCTATGGAAGCAAGTGTTCGGATGGGCTAGTGGCAGGTGGGTGGGCAGCAAAAGGAGTCTGGAAATGTGGGAAGGGTGTAAAGGAGGAACAAGAAGGCAGAGGGGGTAGAGAGAGGCGCATTTTATATACGGACGGTTCCCTCGACTCGCTATTTCGGCTCTACATCCCCTCTCTTCGGGATCACTGGGACATGCATGGTGTGGACCGGTATAATAATCAGGGTGAGATGGTAGGGAGGTAAGCAGGCATGTAGGCAGTACGCTGCGGATGAATATGGGGTGGAAAATGGGGTTGGTACTGTACATACAGACATCCCCTGCGCTCTCTCTCTCAACAGACCATGAGCCATTTTGTTATTCGTTATCCGTGCATGACAGAGCAAGCAGCCTTCCTCGGGCTTGCTCGGGCCTGGCCGCTGGCGCGACCCTGGTATCCTTGCTTCGGGTTCAGGGACCCTCTTGCCCGCCCCCGCGGGCGACTCCGGATTGCCGCGTAGGTCAGGTCCCATGCAGTAAGTACGAAGTACCAAGGTAGGTCTTTTATTTGGCGTGGACATCGGCCCTATCGACAGACCCGTCTAGAGAGAAAGAAAGGAATGGTGGCTGGCACACGAATGAACCTCGCTCTAGAACTAGAAGCCAGCTTGGGTTTGGAAGTTAAAGTGTCTGTTTGCTACATAACTTGGTGCAGGTTATTAATGCCCAGAGGTGCGGATAGATACCGAGGGTACCGCAGGTAAGGTACGGTAGGTAGGTTTACTCGTGGTGACGTTGTGCCTGTTCTCGGATCTCGGATACCTTGAACGAACGAACATGGAACCTAGCGACGGGATTTGCTCGGCCGAGGAAAAGAAAGCAAAAGCAAAAGCAAAAGCAAAGCAAGCAAGCTTCACCGACTTGAGCACTAGCCCGACAGCGGCGTTGGCACTGGAAACCGCATCCGCTAGGTGAGATGGGCAAACGAGGTGGGTATGCTGCGGGATTCGCGACTTCGCGGATGCGCTGGGAAAAGAGGCGAGCTCCACACAAATCGCAGATGCAGATGCAGCTGGAGTGCCTATCTAGGTAATGAGTGAGGATCTGAGGCATCTTTACGGAGGTAAACCGTGGACTTCTCAAGACTCCACATCCGCCATTAGCGTATATGGGTATCGGGGTCATCGACGGCCTGATCGCCAAGGGTCCCCCCATCCAGCAGGGTGTGGTGGCTGGTGGGTACGCTTCATTCAAGGGCTCTAGAACCATTCAACAAGACACCTGGGAAAAAACAAGACGGGATATCCATATCGAGAACAAGATATCCGTACCTCGCTATTAGGTACATCCTTCTTCCCCAGTCATGCTTTCAGTGCACGTGTATCAGTGATTTGGCCTCGTTATGTTGCTGCCTTTTCGCAATTCTATTTGTGACCCACGTTTTACGTTGTCCTACTACATACTATTAGGGGTGCTGTGTCAATTTCTGCGAATCAAAGCACGCAACGGCATGAGTTGCCATCACCCGCACTGCAGGGACTGTGGTGCACATATGCGGCGCTCCAAAGCTACGTGGCTACGTGGCTAGCCAGGAACGGATCCGTACCGGGCATATTGAAAAGGAGGACGTCTATTCGGACCGTCAAAAACGTCATTTCAAACCGTAGTACATCGCGCGCTGGGACCCACCCACTAAAAATCCACTTCTTGCACTAAAAAAGGCACTAATTCCTAGGACGAAGCCAACGCTCTAACTTCAGATCAATTAGCCACGTACAGTCGCACACAATTACACCACAATTGACACTATTCGCACGCAGGGGAGGCCGCGCAGGCTGCAGGCCAAATCGCTCATTTCTGCAATAAAAGCCGAAGGCTCAACTTATGTTGTTGCTTACGTAACATGCCCAAAAATGCAATAAAAACCTGCCCGCCTAGGCGCCCTCAAGACCATTGCTTTGTTGCGCTTCAAAAGCTGCAGCCAAAGCTCTCGTAGTACGACGGGTTGTTGCACCACGTGTAGACGCCTTTGTAATGCCTCCTCGGGACCCGCGCGCCTTGGGCGTTGAAACCTGCACGCCAGATGAAGCCTGAGACGTAGGTGCCCCTGACGATGCCCGTGGTGTTGATGCTGCATTTCCAACACGGCCGCCCCGGCTGCCCGAGCCTCCCTTCGTTGCCCGGGCTCCCTGTGCCTTACCGCTGCGGCCGCCGCAAGCTGTGAGGCCATTCACAGTTCGTTGTGCCTGCGCAGGGGCGTTGTCCCTAGTGTTTTCCTGGTCCCCGTTGTCGTCCTGCTCCAGGCTAACGCCCTCCCACTGTGAGCGTTGACGGCGAATGGAAGGATTGAGGCCGGAGGCCCGGCCGGTCGATGTGGGCGTTGGAGCAGACGGTGCCGTGGATGCCAGAGCTGCCGTGGGTGCCAGAGCTGCCGTGGAAATCGGGACCATTGAGCGAGGTGCCTGAGGGTCCGGGGCGAGTGTATCGGAGCCTCGGGGTCTACCACGTAGGCGTTTAACACGGTCAAATTCATTGTACCGTAAGTAACGGCCCTCATCAAACATAGACCTCTCTAACTGCTAGTATGGGTGAAAATCCAGCTTTTTGAGTACCAGGTTACCTTCCTGTCCCTGCTCAAGGCGTACACGGCCATCCATATATCGCTCAAGAAGGCCATGGCTGCATATAATGCCGTATTGTGCCATGAACTGGCTGGTACAGGGGCTCAGGGGTACGGGGTCCGGGATCCGTAAGGTCGATACGGCTCCGAGCATAACCCGGTACGGCTCAGTGACCTTTTTCATGCCGTTGCGAGAGATCTGGAGGGCAGTGTTGGCGAGCCATTTTTGGCCAAGATATTTGCGCTTGAGGTTGTATTTTTGTTCGTTGTGAGCCTCCTGAATGCCCTCACGTATTTCCTCGATCATCTTGAAGGACTGCTTTACCGTATCAAGAATAGTGCTATTGCCCGTGATGATGAAGCTCTTCAGGTAACGGTTTACCACTTCAACTGGAGATGTGGTGCAGTTACCGAAGTTGAGAGTATAGCAAGTCACCCACTGCGTTCTAATCGGCATGTAAGTCTCCTCGATATATTTAAGGATTCCCACCTGCCCGAAAAAGAATACCTTGAGCTTTTAATATGCCAGGTTAGAGCCCTCCAAGGTCGGGGCATAGAGCATATGCTCTCAAAGCTTATTAAGCCCGGCCCGGGAGTGCTCAACAATATTGGGAAGAGGTCCGAGAAGCTCCAGGTGGTCGGCCTATCGGTTGAGCCGGTTATAATGCACGGATTTCGTGATCAAGAGCTGGAGATGAGACAGCGAAGTGAGACAATAAAGTGGGGCGGTAGAATATGAAACGGCCAGTTATTTGTAGTGAGGTGGCAGCCAAAAGGCGAGACATGGTCGTCCATGTTATTGTTATACACCGCAGACTACGGAGTATAACTGCAAGACTCTTCACGACCCTCGTGTGACGGCGCCAGCTCACAGCACCCACTACCACTGCGCTAGAACCCCCAAAAGGATGTCAGAATTGCAAGTCGACGACTTGCAACCTGTAGTGGGTTATAGTGTGCTACGGCCGTTGCGCGCCGTGACACCTCGGCAGTTTCCTAATAGGTACTATTTTATACCAACGGCAGCATGACTATTTTGGACAAGCTGAGAGCAACCCCAGAGCCAAGTTTCCACGACTCGACCCAAATATACATGCACCTTCGGGGTAGATATCCCAGCTGGGTTAATCATGGCCATAACTGAACAAAAACAAAGGAAACCGCGTCCCGGCTCTCTATCCAGCAACCATGGTAACAGCTCACCCGCCAATCACCTATGGGTCCGTTATGGGTGTTATCAGGTCATAAACGAGGTATATAGAGTAAAGTTGTAGTACAGTCTAGCGAGGGCTAAGGGCTGGAAGGATGTTCACACTAGAGAATGGTGGTATTATAGCTTGTTGATGATGGCTGAGGTGAAATCCTGTGTCGACGCCTTTCCGCCCAGATCGCCGGTGAGGGCCTTGCCCTCTGCCAACGTGTCGAAAGCCGCCTTCTCGATCCGGTCGGCATACTCGCCCAGACCCATGTGTCTCAGCATCATCATGGAGCTGAGAAGCAGCGCAGTTGGGTTGGCGAGACCCTTGCCAGCAATATCCGGAGCTGAGCCGTGGACAGCCTCGAAAATGGAGCACTCGTCCCCAATATTTCCAGAGGGAGTCAGGCCAAGACCGCCAATCAGGCCAGCGCACATGTCGGACAGAATATCGCCGTACAGGTTGGGCATAACCAGCACCTTGTCGTTGTACGGGAGAGGATCTGTTGTCATCTTGAGGCACGTGTTGTCGAGCAGCTCGGCGTCGAACTCGATATCGGGGTACTCCTTGGCAAGGCGCTCGGCACAGCTGAGGAAGAGACCGTCGCTCATCTTCATGATGGTGGCCTTGTGCACGACGCGCACCTTCTTGCGGCCAATCGACTGGGCGTGCTGGAAAGCAAATCGCAGAACGCGCTCGCTAGCCTCGCGAGTGATAAGCTTGATGCTCTGGACGACACCATCCACCACAACGTGCTCAATGCCCGAATATTCGCCTTCCGTGTTCTCGCGAATCAGTACCGTGTCGACGTTGTCGTAGGGCGTCTTGTAGCCAGCCACCGACCGGCACGGTCGCAGGTTGGCGAAAAGGTTGAATGTCCTCCGAAGAGTCAGGTTGAGGGAAACGTGGCCCTTGCCAATCGGGGTCTAGAGGCATGATTAGGAGGGGGTTTGTCTTCAAGACGGAGCGCAAGACTGTCCATACGGCTAGGGGTCCCTTGAGGGCTATCTTATTTCTCTTGATGCTCTCAATAGCTGCGTCGGGAATCGCAGTCTTGCCATCCTTCAGTATCGGGTCGACGTTGATGGGCTCCCAAGCAATTGGTGTCTGTTTGAGGTTAGGTTAGTCGGGCTATCCGCAATGTTCCGAGAAGGCTGGGCGGTTGCAACAAGTCGGTGATGGAAGGGGAAACGTACCTTGGCAGCGGCGAAGATGTTCTTGACGGCCACGGCAATCTCGGGGCCAATGCCGTCACCCTCGATCAAGCTGACGGTATAGCGACCCTAAGTCTAGCTGTTAGCAACATTGGTCGAGACGTGAAGCTGTGGTGCTCCAACTGCGCCTATGAGTGATTTTCGATCGGAGGCTGGGCGCTGGGGAATGATCGCAGCGGGGTCGTCGGGTTATGTGGCTTACACTAGAGTCCTTCTTTCCATTAAACTTGGCAACCGGGTCGCTAGACGAGTAGTATCTTTGGTTCTGGAGATCGCAGGTGTGAGTGAGTCTTTATCAATTGCTAGTTGGCCCTGCGCTTGTCTGTCTCACCTGCAGCGAAATGGTGACGGTTGCGCGGGGTGCTGCGCGCAGGCATTGGCGCTGCGCCACGGCGGCAATTGAGCGGAGAGCCAGCATCTTGAAGGTGTGCTTGTGCGACGCCTTTTCTACAAGTGCCTAAGATGCAAAAAAGATGCGGCGTTGAGAGGTGGAAGGAGAAAAAGACGTTTTGGCAGGAGTAAAAAGCGGAAGTCTAGGCAAGGCATGCGACCGACCAACCCACACCCACTGATGCAAGTTTTTGGGCAACAGCCTGGACCGTGCGCCTGCAGGGATCCACGGCCTTCAGAGCTTCCATCTGTTCAAGAAATCGCTCACCGCCCACTTTATGGCCGGCAGAACCAGCGACATTCTCCGACCGCCTTGCGCCTCAAATAGCTACGCTGGGGCCCCAAGAAAGCCTGTGCGCCCGCAGCATGCTGCAGCCCCGGCCGGACACGATACCTACCAGGTACCTCTCAGGTCGCCGCCCTGCAACGTCTGTCCATCAATCCACCACCGTCCATCCCTGGCTGCTTCAACGCGACAACTTGTACGAACGGGCTGACGTACCATGACGGAAGCGATACTTCAATCAGGCGTCTTGGTGAACGGCGCATAACCATTGGGACGTGAAACCCATTTCCATTATCATACCCCCGAGTTGGGTCATCATGGCAGCCGACTTGCAGCGAACTGTGCTTGATTTCTACCAGGTCTCGACTTTCAACCCCGTCGAGTGGCCGGCCGAGAAGAATATCGATAGTGATGTCTCCGAAGATGACACCACTAAGAAAAAGATCAACAGGAGGAAGTCACGGTACCAGGCGCTGGAGCGTGTCGTTAGCAATAGGGGCAGCGTCATCCCTGGGTCCGAAAACTCGGGCAAAGGCGTAGGAAACTTGGTGCAAAAGGACGAACCGGACCCTCTGGGCACCACAGACAGCGTGGTACAGACATTGAGGCTTAGGGGGGTTCCGTTGCAGGATGACACGAGGCTCCGTGAGTCTGGCCCTTTTAGTTATCGCCTTATTTGATTGGGGGCATTGACATTGACTAAAACATGAATAGGCAACCGGTTTCTTCTATCATCAACCACGTTCTCGCCGGCGCACTTCTTGTCTCAGATGCATGCGACTGCTGATACACAGTCTCTCCTCGGTGGGCTCGAGGTGCTGTCAAGGTCGATTGACCAGAAGTCTGCGTCACTCAAGGTCCTTGTAGAATCCAATTTCGAACGCTTCGTCCGCGCCAAAGCTACCATCGATAATGTGTACAAGGAGATGAAATACCGCGGTGCTGATCCCACACCTCCACGCGCAAGGGCTCATTCTCGTCATGCTAGCAGGAATAGCTTTCGAAGTGGGAGTGGCGCAATCGGCTTGACGAGCCCCCTCTCGCCAGTCGCAGACCCTCGGAAAAAGAATGCGCTCATCAAGGAGAGCGAATACGGCGTTATGGGTGTGAAAGCCCCCTTGCTCGATGTTTCTGCAAAGGCTGAGGATGTGTGGGGGCCTGCGCTCGGCGGAAGAGACAAGGAGGAAAACCTCAAGACAGTGGCATCCAGTCTCGATGTGTACAAGGAGTACGTCGAGACAAGCGCGGCAATAGCCGACAGTATTAAAAGGAAGGACCACGAGAGCCTAGTTGAGGAGTACGTCAAGGCGAGGAAGTTTGCCGAGGAAGCAAAGCAGCTCGTCCAGCAATTAGGGGCAACCCAGCCTAGCGATGCTCAGCTATATCGGATCGTCTTGGCAGCCCGCATGTGGCACGATGTCGATGAGCAAATACAGGCGCTGAAACGAGACATATGGCGGAAGCTCATTTCTCCCAGCGTCATAGCAAAGACCGATTCCACGCAAGGACACCCCGAGGATCAGCATATGGAGCTGATCACGCTTCTTCTGGAGTTGGGTGTCGAGGACAACCCTGTTTGGGTGTGGCTGCTCAGCCGGTACGACTACCTCAAAAGTAAAATCCAGTCCACAGCCGAAAGGTCAAAGGTGGAGATTGAGATACTGCGGCGTCGCCTTGCGAATACCGAGAAGCCCAGCCCTCAAACAATAGCCTCACACATGAGAACACTCGGGCGCCAGTCTGTCGAGAGCAAATCTCCTACATTTGATTCAGTCGACGTGGCGGAGCTCTGGGAATTGATGGTCACCTTCATGAGCAACCTGCTGTCCCCGCAAGGTATCCTTGGGGAGGTGGTTGAGTTTTGGCAGACCGTTCAAGGATTCATTGAAGGCAAGACGCAAAGAAGCCTGCCCGGCGGCTACAATGGCGAATCCAAGGCGCATCATCGTCTGTCGCAACAAGGGACTGTGGATCTCCAAAAGGGCACCGTCGAGCTTGTCGGCATGATTCGCGAAAACGTCCTGATGTTCTTCGCGGGGCCTCCGCCTGAGGATATTTCCCTCCTGTTCTCGCCCATGCCGCAGTCCCCGGGGACGCCAGCTATCGCAGCCATATCCGGATCCCGAACACCAACTACTCTCCGTGATCCTCGGTTCAATCTCGACCCAAAAAATATTCCTCCGCCTTCTCCTAGGAGAGGGGAGGCCTGGGAGAAATTTGCCTTCTGGCCGCCATGGTCGAATTCTATCAGCGGTGTCCATTATCTCTCAAGAATGCTGGCCCTCGTGGGGGCAGGGGCCTCAGACATGGCCTCAATCTCCCCGGTTGGACAGGGAGACGCTAATGAGCTGGAGAAGTTGAGGACACTAGTCGGGGTAGCAAGAGAAAGATGCGTTACTGCCCTCTGCGCGGCTTGGAATAGAGATGCCGAAAATATCAAGTTCGTGGAGGACTGGAACCGATCCCCCGATCACCGCGACGTCACAAAGATGCCGGCCAGCTTTGCAGCATTTGAGGGCGCCTTGTTGAGCGGGATGCAAAGTATTCTCTATATTTCGGGCGCCATGTCCAAGCCTGGAGCGGGCGATATTGTTCTCCCGCCGCCAACGAAGCTCTTGCAAATGGTTAGAAGCCAATACGTCACGACGCTTTACAAGGCGCTGAGCGGCATGGTGGAAAATGCCGAACGACCTGTCAAGAAGACCGATGATGACTGGACGGTTGATACAGATGGGTATGTGGTATCGAATCGGCCGACAGTCTCGCATACTTCGACAATTGGCGGGGGTACTATCAATGCGGGCGATAGAGTGCGTTTCCTCCCTCTTACCATCATTCATTAGATTATGACCAAGCTGACTCCGTACCAATTCAGAACGTCCGGATGCTACTGACCCTCAGCAACCTGCAATCTTTGCGCTCTGATGCGGTGCCAGCCCTCAATACGCAGTTCGAGAACGCCTTCTCTGTCAAACTGACCGACGAGACCAAGACTATCCGCGACGTGCTTGGCCAGATTGACGCGCGGTTGTTTCAATCCTACACGCGCCCGTCGATTGAAAATCTGCGCAAGATTATCCGTGCTGGCGTCGGCAGCGCCGACTGGGTGCCCCCACGTGGCGAGAAGCCACGAGAGGTCCGCGCCTATGTATACGAAGCTCTACTCAGCCTGGTCCTCGTGCACACACAGGTATCGACCACGGCGGCCACGCTCACGAGCCAAGTGCTCTCGTTTCTGCTCGAGCAGACGTCGCGCGAGCTGCTCGAGTCCTTCAAGACGCGTCCCAAGTACAACCTTGAAGCCCTCATGCAGGCCACGCTCGACGTCGAGTTCGTCGCCCAGACCCTCAGCCACTATACCACGGACCGCGCCTCAGAGCTTCAGAGTGCCATCTACCAGGAACTCGACGGCCGCACCGACAACGACGCCCGCGCCCGCCTGCAAAGCGAGCTGCCCGAGATGCGTGCTGTACTCAAGCGGCTGCGCGAGGCTAGCAAGAGCGAGTTTGCCTGTTTTAAGAAGCCCAAGCGTGCCGGAGGGCCGCCCAACGCCCCTGAGAGGCGCGACACGGGACTGAGTATCGCGAGTGATCGCTAGCACCGAGCCTTTCCCGCTCGACTTGGCCAGTTGAGGATATTTCTTCTATCTTCTGACTTGGACTTATATCTATCGCTCTATTTATTTTATCCCTTTCTTTTTTGGGTTAAACAGAAAAGAAAAAGAGATACCACAGATTTTTATATCCAGTAACCACAAATGCTTTCCTGGTTGGTAGAAGCGGCAAGGGGGGTTGATTGCTTAGGTAGGTGTCTAGTCACATAGCTTGAACCCGCGCAACGAGTATTCCCCAACTATTCTGTCTAAATAACCCCAATTTTCCTCTTCTCATGTGCCATTTTATCCCAGGTTCTCATAAGAAAGGGGGTATTTAGTCTAATAAGAATCCGATTTTTTCCTTCTTCCTTAACCATGATCCATCACACCCCTTTTCCTCGCCTCCACTCTGAATGGAATTTGATTAATAAGGCGTGTTCCCATCCTCAACAAGAACTCCCAAGAAAAGTAGACAGGAACAATACATTATATATATAAGAGGTTCTTCCAGGGGGGAGACGGAGGCGCGATCGTAGTTAAACTCCGTCCGTTTCGCCATTAGGAAAATTCAAAACCCTCATAAAAGGGGAAGCGTCCCATCTAATCAATCATACATGACGACATTAGGGGTCATCAGTCCGAGTCCCATTACCATAGAACAACATAAACGCGGGAGAAAAGCGGAGCACCGCTCCGTTGGGTCAACTCGAAAAGAGAAAAGTCCGTCTAAGAAAGTCAGCCGTAGACTGCTGCATCGCCTTTAATTCGAAAAAAGCAACCCGAAAAAAGCAACCCCCAAAAAGGGAGAAAATAGGAGCCGGGGGCATCGCGCCCCAAAAAGCCGTTGTAGTGGGAAGTAAAGAACGCCAAGCAGCCTAATCCGCAGTCGGAAGCAGTAGAGTAGAGCAAAACAGAAGCTCAAAGGACCGCGGGTCGGTCGGGGAAAAGACGGGATGCTCTTGGTTGGCCTTGACCTGGGCAACTTAAAGGACAAAAAAGTTAGCGAGCAGCCTCACGAAGATTAGCGAGAGAACAAACTTACAGTCTAGTCCAATCGACTCAAAATAGCCTTGCATTGTTGGGTCAACCTCTTCAGTGACAAGTTTTCCATCAGTCTCTCGGCGTAAAGTCCGTGGTAGCGCTTTTCGGATGCCGAGAAGCATTCTCAAAAGATCGGCAATAACGTAACCCTGCTGGGTGAAGCTGTTTGGTTCCTTTTGCAATGGCCATTGGGGGCGTAAGTTGGGCTGCTCCCAAGCCTTGAAAGCCCAAGTAGATTTCTCCACACAGTTTAGTAGGATCAGCGTAGCAAAGTACATGTTAAAGTTGACCTTGACTTTGCTGTCTTGAAGGACACGCTGCATTCCGGTAAGGAGGGCTTTGCTGGTAGCAGCAGCTTTCCTCTCGGCTGCTGCTGTAAGCTGTAGGCATATGGTGGTGAAAACCTCCTCATCGCTATCCTCCTTGATAAAATCGACCGGGACGTCGCCAACGCCAGGTTTGACGCCAATAGTCCATTGGCGTTCTCGGTCCAGGATTTCCACAAGACCCCACAGCTCTAGCGACTTTCTTAGTAACTCGTCGTTGGTAGAGCTGGCGATGTCAACGGCGGTCTGGAGAGTGACCTGCATGAAGTGCGAGGTTTCTCGCTTGATGAGTTCTGGTAAGACCTCGCGCATGTACATCTCAACTCGAGATGGAACGTCTTGGGCATCATTGTCCAACATCATAATGCGATGATTAGACACGGTGGCGTCCGTAGTGCCTGGGTCGGCATTACCATCCCCTTCGCGAGTACCATCGCGCTGCAAAACTTGCAGTCGAAGACGTGTCGCAAGCTCGGGAAAATGGTAGACCTCGACGAAAATTCCATGGCTGCCCAGATCCACGGACTGCTTCAACGTGTTAATCCTGTGCTGAGCTTGCACAATCTGAACCCCCGCCGAATATAGATCCAGCTGCTCTGAGAATTTGGTGCGGACGCAGCCAGAACGCCAGACTCTCGGAGAAAGGACCTTGCGACAGGTGTCACAGGGCTGGCCTTGGGAACATGTTTTTCTGAGAACCCTGCACCGGATACATGCCCCAATTTTGCGCACCTCTTGAACCTGCTTCCTTCTGGTAGCGTTGAATCGAGCTCGCGAATGGCGGGATTTAGCCCCGTTCAGCCCTGTCGTCTCTAGTCGGAAGCCGCCCTTCGCCAGCGGACCTATATTTTGTGCCGTTGCATCACTCGCCATGGCGGGAAACCCACTGTCTATGTATATCTCACCCCAAGGCTGGGAGGGACTCTCGGCATGGTTCGGCGACGAATCATGAGTGTGAATTTGCTCGACGGCGGCCATACTACTCTCAGGGGCAGCAGTGGTAGCAGGAGCGTCAGTGGCAGTGACAGTGGCGCTGGCAGCCTCGGCGGCGGCAGCAGCCTCGGCACCCAAGAGCTGCGGATCAAGCAGTTCAGGGTGCAACCTAGGCAAGACAGGGTGTAAGCGGGCAGTGACAGCAGCCGCAGCAGCTGCAGTGGCCGCCATTGACAATGTTTCAGAGTCAGTCCTCGCATCGTCGGCGCGCAAGATTTCCTGGAGTCGCTCTTCAGGTGTAAGTTCATTGTTTGCATCCGGCAACGTCCCCATTTCCTCGGCTACTCGTCTGTCAGTGAAGGCCAATTGGACTTGAACCCGTAGTTCGCTAGCAGCCACTGACCTTGTTTTTCTTTTGCCGGGCGGCTCCCCTGGCCTTGCGCATGGTTCTCAAGGGAGAGCTGTTCTTGCGACTCGAAGCGCTCAGCTGTATGGGTAGCGGGCGGTAGGGAGCCTAGTTCTGACGAAAGTGGGAGGTGTGGTTGAATGCGGTCGTCGTTTTTCTCGCTCATATCAATCTGCCTCGACACTTCGGCAAGCACTCCAAGGGCCGTCCAGTTCTCCTCATCGTCGCGCTGCATGTCGCGCTGCATCATTGGAAGATCGACGAGAGACGTGCCGTTGGCCTGGGCATTTGTGTGGGCCTGGACCTGTGCCTGGACCTGTGCCTGGACCCGCGCGCGGGCTTGGGCCTGATTATTGTGCTGGATTCTTTGAGAATCATGGCCCATACCCGACAGGGTGAGGAGGGCATTGACCCGGTCGGCTTCGCTGATGGCGGGGCATTTCTTAGTGAGATGGTTCGTCAAGCTATCGAGGCGGCCTCGAGGAAAGTGCTCGCCACAGCTGTTATTATGAACATGGGCGTTAGCAATGCAAACGCGGCACAGAAAACGAAAGATCAAGAGGCACATTGGGGGTGTAGGAATAGGGTTAAAAGTCTCGTGGTGGGCGATTGGTAAGTGGCGGGGCTTGGAGGGAAAGTGGGTGCCTGAGCTCTGAAGAAAGTGGACGGGAGAAGCTGCTCACGATTTGCATGTGTGGGGATAGCGATTGCTCTGGTCCTGCAACTTAGGCCCTCGCTCGAAATACTGTAAGATGAGGGCATTCGGCCGTCGCCCCATTGTATCAATCAATGGGCAGGGCCGTGCATTGATATGACGAGTAGCTCTGTGTTGGTCGGTGAGTAGCGAGGTTGTTGTGACGGGCGGAAGAGGGGTCAGGTACGATGTGAAAATATTGCCGGCTCAAAAAAAGTTGGGCGGTCAAGAAAAGAGGGGCGCCCTGTAGTTTTTGATCCCTTGGCTGGGCATCACGTGGGCCACTTCCTGGCTCTCCTCATGGTTTCATCCAGAATTGTTAGACAATGACTTCTTATACGGTTTGATAAGCGTATGTATTCCCTTCATATATAACGGTGGGGTTGTTAATATCACAGGCAGCACATACAATTAAAGAGTCGAACACGGACTGAAAAAGCAATCTCTAATAGTTACCGCAACTCGAGGGGGGTCTTTTTTTGGTAGGAGACGTCAGAAGTTGTGACTGTTGCCCCTATCTAAGTTCTGTATATTCGCGTGCTTTGCTAGGGATGGGCTGTCATATAAGGTAAGGTACCGATTTCGAACCCCACACCGTATGGTACCTAAGTTACTTAAAACCAGCAGTCAAGGCGATCAGTCAGCATCTAAAATATGATAAATCTCGAAAGTCTTTACTATTAGGTCATTCTGAATAGGCTGCCAATGTAGCCTGGCAGTTCTTATCCGGCTCGATCGGGGAACATGCACCAGTTCGATTGATTGGCTCAGAACCAAAATTAACTGAAACGCATGCAAGTCAGCCCTCGGGGCGTAGTGCGCGTGCCCGGTGCTTACCCGTAAGGTATCTGGGTATACATGCAGGGAGCGTATCCGTACTAAAACCGTAACCAACTTCGCGCGTCACTCGCTAGCGTGAGCATCTTTAAAGCCAAGAGCAAGAGGCCAATCCAGACCTGGCCATTTCCACAGCCTTGTGGAGGTGTGCCACGAGCCTTTGAGCCCGAATATCCACGTCCATGTCCATGCCCATGCCCCTCGACCTCCGGCCATGCCGTCACTGCTCGTGCAATTTCTATAAATCGCCGGGACAAGTCTGTCTGATGCCAGTGTGCAGCGCGCTGGAAACTGTTGGGCCATGAGACCCTGGTTCCCGTCTCTTCTAGGTTCCAGGCTGTTCAGGTTGTTTGGGGTCGCTGACTGACTGACGTTAGCTTGTTCTTGTTTCTGTTTCTGGCCCTGTCCGGTCCTGTTCCACAACGAGACAAGCCGAGTCGAGTTCGAGTCGAGTCGAGTCGGGTCTAGTCGAGAGTCCGCCTGCGTTTGTCTGTATGCCGACGTGCTTGTTCCGTGCTTCCCACCAACACTAACGCCGACGCCGACACCGACCCTATACCCACCGGTGCTTCGTTCAGACCGACCGGCCTGCCCGGATCCGATCCGATCCGATCTGACCCAATCCGATTGCCTGATTGACCGCCGCCGCTCGCAATGCTTCTCCTCCACCAGGCCGGCAGCGTCAAGATCGGCGAGGTGGTGCGCTACACGGTCACATACACCCCCTCGGCTGACCGCATACTCCCCTCGCCCGAGTTCCTGTTCTTGCGCATCCGGAACACGTCGGCTATCGCACTGCGCGCCGCTTTCGTCCACGGTCCCTACACTCTATCCGTTGCTGCCTACCCCTCCCACTTCAATCCGAACCAAAAGTTTGAGCATCCGCGTCGGTATGGCGTCCCTGAGTTTGAGCCTATGCTCAAGGCCGGCGCTGTTTGGAACTGCCATCTCGTCGTGCCCGATAACATCCGCCAGACAGCCGGTGAGGGTATGAGCGACAGCGGCCGCCATAGCCACTTTGCCGACGGTCCCAACCATGGCGGCGAGAGCGCATCCTGGATCATAGAGATTACCTCGCAGGTCATATTTTCCACATCGGCCGCCGTGCACTACGAGATCTTGCTGGCTCGTGACGAGAAGTCTCTCAACCTCGGCTCCGTCGTTCCCGTCATCCGCGGCCAGGCCCAGGTTCCCCAGCCAGGCCGTGTCAGCGATTTCCAGCAGAGCATCGGCAGCAAGCACCACCAAGTGCAGCTCAAGGGCGTCTACTCAAAGGCCATCCGATTAAAGGTCGAGGATACCGCCACCCTGTGGAACACTCCCCAGCTACCGGGTTGGGAATATGGTGCCGGGGAGTGTGTCAAACATAATGGCGCCGATGCCCCGGTCGAGCCCGTTGTGCCCACCGCGAATCCCCAGGAACAAAGGCCACCAAAGCGCCAGAAAAAGGTGCACTTGGTCTTGCTAACGCATGGGCTACACAGCAACCTGGGCGGCGATATGCTGTTTCTCAAGGAGAGCATTGATACGGGGGTGAGGCAGGCCAAGGTTGATGCGAAAGTGCGCAAAGCTAGGGAGCGTGCCACACGGGCGGAGGCAGAGTCAGGGGCCGACGCGACAGGGCGCGAGGGCCATGCTGCAGAAGAGAATGGCAGCGATGACGATGGCGAGGAGGAAGAGGTTGTTGTACGCGGCTTCTCGGGCAACGCGACAAAAACAGAGAAGGGCATCAAGTACCTGGGAAAGCGACTAGCCAGATACGTTCTGTCCATGACGTACCCGGACCAGCCGTTCCAGCCTACGGCAGCCACGTCTTCCGAGTCGAGCACGCTCTCGTTCAGATCAAGCTCGCTCAAACAAGACGACTTGAATAAAAAGGCGGCCAAGCACGGCGCAACAACCCCACGCACAATTCCCCCTGCACCACCCCCCGAGCCCCAGAGGCTGTACAAGTTCACCAAGATCAGCTTCATCGCCCACTCTCTTGGCGGCCTGGTGCAAATGTACGCCATTGCATACATCCAGAAGCACTCGCCGCAGTTCTTTGATCTCATAGAGCCCATAAACTTTATCACTCTAGCGTCTCCATTTCTTGGTCTCAACCACGAAAACCCACTTTACGTCAAGTTCGCTCTGGACTTCGGCCTCGTCGGAAGAACTGGCCAGGACCTTGGACTGACCTGGAGGGCCCCTACCATTGCACGGAGCGGGTGGGGAGCCATCGTGGGAAATCTCGGAGAGAATGCGCATCGGCGCGTCTACGGAGAGCCCCAGCCAGAGTCTAAGCCGCTCCTGCGAATTCTGCCCACAGGGCCGGCCCACAAGGCGCTCCAAAAGTTCCGCAACAGGACCGTCTACTCAAACGTGGTCAACGACGGCATTGTACCTCTACGCACAAGCTGTCTTCTCTTTCTGGATTGGCAGGGTCTGGGGCGGGTGGAAAAGGCTCGTCGAGAGGGTGGCCTCGTGGAAGCTGTTGTTGGGTTTGGGTGGGCCGAGCTGACGGGAGCAAACGTTACCTCTCCTAGACTGGCCCCCTGGTCCCCCATTGAAATCAAAGTTGAGGATGATGAGAGCACCACGTCTGCAGGGGACACCACCGCCAAGTCGATCCGCACTGGTTCTGCTGACGAACACGAGGTTCCGCAGCCACCCACAAACGCCACGCTTGAGGACGACGCCCAGAGTCTGAGGTCGGCAAGTTCACCGCCTGACTTGCATCACCTTCAGTTCTCATCAAACACAAACAATTCAAACCCCTTTACCGGCTTCTTCAATTTCTTCCGCAGCAATGATCCTCCCAAGGCGCCGCCACCCCCGTCCCAGAAACAAACCAGGATTTACCAACGAAGTCAGACCCTAAAGATGGACAGTGCGTCTGGCTCAAACTCAGCCGCATCATCAAATTCAAAGGTCACTACGGGCCAAGAACTCACAGACGATCTCGAGGGAATGTCGGCCCCGCCTCGTACAACTTTCTTCGAGTCTGCCGGCGACTTGCTCAACCCGAAGCTGCCCTCGGTAGAATACCTCATCGACCCGTCCAAGCGTCCTCGCACCATCTTCCACGACCGGATATACCACCCCTCAGACATTCCGCCCCCGCCACTAAAGAAGCGGCCTTCGTCCACCTTCCGCCGAAGGTCGTACACGAGAACCCCCTCCTTTTCCACGCCATCACCGCGGTCGGCCATGGCCACGGCAGTCAACGGCAGCGACCCCGTTCCCATTCCCGCTCCCTTCGCGTCTCTAGGAACTCCACAGCTACCGCACCTACAAGAGGACCCCTCGGCATCGTCCGGCGAATACGCAGACACTGTACACACCAACTTGGAGCAGGACCCGCTTGACATGGTCGACAGCTCCCAGATGAAGGTCGAGGAAAAGATTGCCCGTGCCTACCACCGCGACCTATCGTGGCGTAAGGTGCTCGTCAAGCTCGAGCCCGACGCCCACAACAATCTGATTGTTCGTCGCATGTTCGCCAACGCCTTTGGATGGCCCGTCGTGAACCACCTCGTCGAGGCACACTTTAGTGACTCGGCCGCTGCGCGCACCCGTGACGACGAAGAGCCCAACACGGAGCGCGCCAAAAACCCCGCCGAGCCGCCTGACGAGCGCGGTGTCGAGACCACGAAGACAACACATCAACGGAGTCCCTCCGGGAATGATAGCACACAAGAACTTAAAGACCCCAAAACTCCCAGTACGAGCGAAAGGCAACACGTCGACGCAGCAGAGTCGTCCGAAGCGCTCGACTTCGTCTCGGACCTCCCGCCTTCTTCTTCTTCACCATCGGCGGCAAGAAAGAGCACCTCTAGCAGCAGTGCTAGCCCTCCTCCCCAGGACCAGCATGACGCTCTCGGGGTGTCATTCTTCCCGCCCACAGACGCCGCCGCAGCCGCAGCCGCCATGCCCACTCGCCCGCGCTTCGACCGCATCGACTCGGTGACGTGGAGCGAGCGCGACTGGGCCGACAGCGGCGATGAGAGCGACGATTCGACTAACGTCAACAACAGCAGCAGTAGCCGCAGGCGCGATATCCACAATAATACTAATAATAGCGACAGCAACAACAATAATAACAGGGCCGATAGTATACAGACGCCAGGGGCCAAGGCCAAGGGGGCGGCGACGGAACGGCAACGCAGCGCCAGCCCCCTCAGCTTTGGGAACTGGGCCGAGAAGATTGTGGGCAAAGTAGCCACCCAACGGCCGCGGTCTGCGAGGTCCTCGGGTCCTGGTGGAACGGATGCCGAGGCACCTTCTGATGGCTCCGGTGCAAACAACAGTTCCCTAGCTGCCAATAAACCTCAAGGAACGCTAGACTGATATTTATGTTGGAGGTATTCTAATAAATAGACTGTGTTCCTACATCTTCAGTAGCACTCCTGTATAGAAAATCGAATAGATAGATATACCCCAATTGTATAAGAAAAGGGGCGAGGAATGTTGATCAAAAGCGACCAGAATGAGAACGTGTCACCATGGGGCTTGCCAACTGCAGTCGGCGGTAATTGCTTGATATCAGAGTGTATTGCCTTTCTGCTTCATCTGCACACGGCAGTACTATAAAAGCTAGCTATTAATTTGTGTCCAGAGAACGCCAAAGACCTAGTGTTATTGTTTCCACTCAATTGATGCTGATGTGCTTGGCTTCCTTCTCAAAGTACAAGTCCCCAAGTTCCCCAGATAACATTCGCAAAGTACAAAAAAGGGATTTTCTCGTGGCTGTCGATGCGTATTTCTTCCACCTCCTGTATCAATTCCAGCATCCTATGATATTGCCTCCCCGCCCCAAGAATAGCAGAGCGTTAATTATGTGAGCTGACAAACCAGTTTGCAGAGAATCCCCATTTCTGAACAAGGGCCAACCCGATCAATAGCAAGATGACGATAGTGGCGTATGTGATATCAAGTTGTCCATCTCCCAAGATTGACGGAAACCATGTGATTACAAAGTGCGCGCGTGCGTGCAAAAGACCAAATAAGAAAATCAAGGCAGAGCGTTCACAAGTGATCACACCTTCTCCTTCTTGACGGTTGGCGACGACTGGGTGCTTCCTTTCGCGACGCTAGGAGAATCAACGATCGTCACACCGCCGTCAACCGAGGCGTCGTCAGAAGAAGCCGTACCGGATGCTGTGGTGCTCTGCCTGTGAAAAGTGTTAGTGGTAGTCATGCTTAGCAACGTAGGCCACGAGCCTGAGGGCGGCCATACTTGAGGGTATGGCCCACTCCCTGAGACGTGGCAGAAGCCGTGCCATTGCTGGCTCCAACATTGCAACGCATGGAACCACGAGGGGCAAAGGAACTAAGGCACAGGGTCAGTCACGCTTAGACCAAGCGAGGGCTGGGCAAAGGGCTCGCCCACGGCTTAGCTCCGACGCCGGTACGACGGCCCCAAGGAGCCTGATGGTAGATGCTTGGGTGAATGCCAACATCAGCAGTGCCGTAAGCACCAATGTTGTACTCGTTGGTGCGAAACTGGCGGCGCTCCGCCGTGATTCTCTTCAGCTCTTTCTGAGCTGGAGTATCCGCATAGCGGACCTGCATCATCAACCCCTCCTCGCCAATGGAGAGACCGTGATATTTTTTGATTATATCCTCACATTCCTCGCGAGTTTCGAATCTAGTATGGGGGGTTAGATGCCTGTGCCATGAAAGACCCGTTGTCGGGGTGGCGGAAAGGATTGTAATTTACCTTGCGAATCCCACTCCACGCGAATTGCCCATGCTGTCACGAAGAATCTTGCTCGAAATGACGCGATATCCGGAGAAAATGGAATTGAGCTCCTTGAGTTAGAATGTTAGATACGAAGAATCTCGACCTGTGTAGGAACTTGCTTACAGTTTCGGTGAGACGCTTCGGGAGGTTTGAAAGATACAGGTTGGTGGAGCTTTCGTCGCCTTCTGCCTTGAGTCTGGCGTTGAAGCTCTCCTGTGTCACGCGTGTTAGTTCGGCGTTCGCAATTGATACAGGCCGGGGAAGGATCTCACCCTAGCAAAGCCAACCTCATAACCAAGATGATAAAAGCCCCGAATGCACTTCTCCGAGTCGCGGACGTCGGCAAACTTGGCAAAACCGAAACTGTAGGCTCATTAATAAAGAGTTTTGTTACGTGGAGAAGCGTCACAGAACATACCCTTTGCAAGCGCCAGTCGAGGTGTCAATGATAGCCTTGCTCTGCTCGACCTTACCGAAGCGCGACGCGTACCGGTGGAGGAGCTCGTCATCGGTGGTGGGGTGAAGTCCACGAATGTAGACATTGCGGTTGCCATTGATGCGGTTCTCAAGGCACTGCTCAACCGACTTTGTATGAGTTGGCGGGGTGAAGACAGCCGGGACCGCCTCGGGGATTGCCGGGTCTTGCTTGAGCAGCAAGAGCATGTCATCGTCAAGTGGCTGAGGGGCCTTCGGGACGATCTGCTCAGGAGAGGGAGTCGTGTAGCTCGAGCGAATGACGGCGATACGGGAAGCGCCACCACGCTCAGACGCGCTACCAAAGAAAGGAGTGGGCGGAGTCGACTCAGTCGTAGAGTATGAGCCACGGCGATTCTCCAGGCCAGGAACCTCGCTGCAACGGTCGCCATACGAAGCCACACGGCCCGGGGTATACGGCATGGTGTGATATGGAACAGACAATGGGGCAAATCCACTCTGGACAGGAAATTGGCCAGAGAGGCCAAATGGGTAGGCCCCCTCCGAGGTCATGCCGACATGCAGAGGAACAGGATATCCCTGGTAGGCAACCTGCTGCTCGGGGGTGCAATAGGCGTGATGAGCCTGAACCTGCGAGAGGTTCGAGCCGCCGGGCAGGCCGTGACCGCTGGGGAGAGCAAGAGTGCTGAACTGATTCAAAACAGCGCCCATGTTGTCCGAAGGGTGACCCATGTGATGACCATGCGAAGAAGATACATCATGCTGAGGGCCGTTGCCCATCTGGGCAGTCAGGAAAGTGGCATATCCAGCGCCCTGGCGATTGTTGTCCGAAGACATGCCGCCCGTGGTGCGATAGTGAGACATTGTCATTGCAAACAACCTGCAACACCGTCAGTTTTGCCACCCCAGATTATTCTGCCGTAATCCAAGACACTGGGGAAGGTGTGAAAAAGAAAAAGCCTCGACAAACTCGGCCGCAAATGTGCCTTGCCAACTCAGACACGCGTGAAGCCGACCTCGAGGAGACGGACGGGAACGAAAAGCGAGAGGAAGAATGAAGACGGTATCTTGAGATCACAATGCTTTGAGGAAGTATGTCGGTATGTGAGGGGGTAGCAGCGGAAGACGATGTGCTAGAGAAGCGGTGGAGGGTTTTGGACGCGTTTTCGGGTACACACCTTTTTCGGTTCGCGGTTGCTAGAGAAACAGTACCTTCGCGGGGAGATATTTCAGCGGACGACACTTGGGAAATGGGCAGATTTGCCGAAATAGCAAATTAACTCGAAGGAAAACTCTGGTCCAAAAACGCGACCAAGAAGAAGTTCTGGTGTTGGTGGGTGTGGTAGTCTTAATGTGGTGGATGAAGGGTGGAAGGTTTGCAAGAAGAGAAGAGGGGACGGGGGTTTTTGGCAGTAGGTAAAATTTATCGGAGGCAGGCAGAAGAGGGCTGGCCCGAATGCAGGCTCCTCGGCTTGGAGGTGTCTGGCAGTGTGTCCTGGAAGACTGATGCGCTGAGGATGAGGTGAGGACCAAGTCAGGAACGCGTAAACTCACCTCCAAAATGGAATCTCGTCCTTGTCGGCGCGCTCGAAGGCCAGAGAAACTGATGGTTGGGGAGACAAGAAACCGAGCCACTCAACGGGGGACTATGTTAGTACCAAAGACTCTGATCTGCAAGCGAGTGCCGGAGGGGGTAAGAAGATAGATCAAGCTATCGAGCAAGATGAATGGAAGAGACTGTGGTGGTTGTTGGGATGTGGTGTTGATGCTGTAATGATCGGAACAAGAATCCACGGAGAAAAGGACCCGTTCCCAGCACTGCCAGAGGAAAAGCCTAATCTTAAAAAGAGGCAAGCAGTGGGCTATGTGGATGAACGTCACGCCTCACGCCTCACGCCCGAGGCAAGCACGATACAGAGAACTCGAGGAAGGAATTCAGTCAAACCTGGCGAGAACCTTGGTCGTTGTTGTCGTGGTACAGTGTTTTCGTACCCGCGAAGCCAGCTAAAGTTTAGGAATCACGTGGGGGGAAATGGACAGAAGGAAAGAGCCACGCCTGTAGGTAGGTAGACGATAAATATAGCAACAGAAGGAGAGAAAGAAGCCGAAGAAAAATGAAACTGCTCTGAACTTACCGTATGCGACTACCTTACTTCGGACGAGTTGCTCCAACAATGTTACTGCAGCGACCAACCTCAAACTGCGCCCAAAACTGAAGGGTTGAAGTAGGTATGAACGACGAGCTTTCTTCCCCGCCTAGGCAGTGGTTTTCGGAAAGGAAGATTTAAGTTCAGGCAGGGTATGAAGGCCCTGTATTTGCACCTTCCCAAAGTGAGTTTGATTGTGTCTCCAAAGATCTGGTCAAGATTGCCCTGGGTATTTTAGGAACCGACGATCCGGTGATGTGAGAGGCGGGGGCGATGAAAGGAAAGAGCCAACGGGGAGATGAGACGGACCACCAATGTACCTGAGGTTTGACGCGAGGTCGAGGTCGGGTATTCGGGCTGCTCGGTTGGTAACGGGAGAAGGTAAGATGCCAGCTAGCCGCAAGGCCAAAAATCTTACCACTCGTCTAAAAGGTAAGGTGTGGAAGATGGTAGGTTTCGCTCGGGAAGGTGCGAGTGCCCAGGTGTAGGAGGTGCCCGGCATGGAGGTTTTCCCTTGAGCGCACCACTGTTGGGTTTGCTCGCTTGTCCCCGGTTACTGCCAGTTCAAGTCTCTTTAGGAAGCGGCCTCGAACCTTTGCTCTTGGTGCCCAAGGTATCCAAGATAACCTATCTTGGATAAGGTAGGATGGGATGTTGCTGCTGTGGTTCTTCGATGCCCTTGAGGGACTACACTACCAATCGAGAATAATGGATGGGACGAGGGGACGAGTCTGCGCACCAGGTGGCTCGACAAATGGGATGAAAAGAAAGGGAAGTATGTTTTGTGTTCGCACAGCCCTGGTCGATATCTCTGTGGTTTTGCCGTCCCAGATCTGCTCCTATCTTCCTTGCCACTGGAGCTTGCGATGAATGTCACGATTTTCTTCAGTCCGCGGTACTTGCTCTTTCCGCAAATGGCAAAAGTCCTGCTTGCTTCCCTACCTCTCTGTATCGATGCTGCTGAATTCAAGAAAATACTAGTGAAGGCAACAGTATGCGATTTTATCCGCGAGCCCAAATGTTATCCTGACCTCCTGCGTCAGGGAGAGGATACCAAGGTAGAGTTGCTAGGAAAAAGTTGAACAGGTCGTGTGGGCCTTGGTGGTTGAGCACTCCTGCAACGATAACGGAAATCTCGAAATGAAGTTGCAAAGACAAGATATCGCGTCCACCGAACTGGTATGTTCTCGTCGATTACACGCGGAGGATAGCTGACAGAGCTGGAGAAGGAATTAGACTATCTCGTTTGCAGCAACACACACCGACAAGTGGGAGCCCACCTTCTATCCACCTCTGTTGGAACCTCTGCCAGACTCTGGGCCTCACTTGGTCTTGGTCTTAAGCGGCGAGTCTTCCCCAGGCCCAAAGGAAGAAGTAAAACAGCCAGGACAAAAAAAACGGCGTCCCTTGCTTGGGTTCGTCCCGGACAGGCGAAGCAGGCCTGGCTAGCAAACAGTCCAGAGTGCTGGATAAAAGATGGATGGGTAAGGATACAGCGGCGCGTGCGAGGTAGGGGAAGAGAAAGAAGAAACAAGAGAGGGAGGCGTATGTGTGGAAAGGAGAAGGAAAGTCTCGGCGGAAAACTGGCGACACTTGGAAAAGTCCTGCTGCCCCCTCCATCTATGGGATGAATAGCAGCCGTCAGGAGGAAGATGGCCGTACAATGGCGCGCGAGACCAGGAAAGCTGCAACCCTGAGCAGCCTGCACTGATACGGGGAATTCTTATCCCTTCCGCCAAACCAGAATGACAACCGAAGGAGGGGGCCACTTTGACGCAAAGGCTGGGCGGGAAACTACCTACCTTACCTACATGTCGGGCACTCAACGCAGCCACCTTACCTCCTTAGATCTTCTTTGGTAGCCGCTCCTCCCGCTCGCACCATACCTAGTGGCTAGCCAGACAAGAGAGGCACACATCTTGACCGATCTAGATATGCGAGGTGGACAACGGCTTGAGAGGGGCTGAAAATTGACAAAAAAGAAAAACCAGGACGGCCATCTCCTCTCTCCCACTTCTATCTCGGTGTGGGTGGTGTTGTGGTCTGAGCCATTGGCTGGCCGGACCTTGACCTTCTCCCGGTATGCCTCAGTGTCTCACATGCAGTCGTCTCCTGAGCCAATTGGGCAATGGAGTTTTTCTTTGGTGGCGTTTTCGCCCACAACTGCCCCTCATCCAAGCTAGGAACTCCAAACGGCGAACCGCTCCCTGGTCTCCTATTGTTTTCCCGTCATCCCTTGCCCATTTTTTGGTGCTGGAAGCTGTGGGTGTGGGTGCTTTCAAGTTTCGAGAGAGGGAAAATGGGCAACCCATTGAATCCGTCAAGGAGCCTGGGGCCAAGCCATCTTCCTGGAGCCTAGACGAGTCATCCAGGCCTCTTCTCCGCCTGTTCGTAGAAGGGTAGAGGGAAAACAAGCAACAACAAAGCAAGGGGCCAGCAGCAATTGTTTGCAGGACCGGCGATCTCCCTTTCTCGCTCATGGACGCACGGTCCCTCCCAATCCCACCACTCCTCCTCCTCCTACAGCTGAACCGTAAGTGTGCAGCTTTGCAGTACTTGGATGGCCAATTTAAAGCAGGAAACAAGAAGCCGGGGAGGGCACCCGCCAACCAAGCTCCGAGACATGGAACAGTGTGAGAAGCCTCATCACACCAACCCCTGTCTGCCTGACCAATCTAGATCTGACGGGTTTTGGGGGACGGGGGATGGGGACGAGATCTAAGGGTGATCACCCTCCCCCGCGAGATGGAAGGGGGTTGCACTACGGGGCAAGATGATCTAGTTGGGAAGCCGGGAGTCGACGGGATGGGGAGCAGGGATAACACCCAAAGCTCTGGGACAGCCCGGGAGAGCAAACACTTGTCTCTTTTTTGGAGGCGGTTAGTGACTGGTCCGGTCAAACCGGAAGGGCGGCTCTCAGCCCCCTCAACGACCATACATTTTCTGCCCACCTCTGGAATCCTGGAGAGTGAAACTTTTAATTGGTCAGCTATTCGCCGTGTTTCTATCCCACCAAAGAACACACTACTTGCCTCTTTGCCGCTGTGGTCTCTATCTCTGCCGCAAATGACAGAGAAGCGCCGGCTGTGGTATTTCAACTGTGTTTATTTCATACGTAGAAAAAATATCTGAGGATCTCGTAGCTGAAAAAGTAGGTACTTGTAGATTAATGGGTGCTGGCTAAGAGCACAAAAAAGGCAATCCAGTATGGATGGACATGTCATCTATACTCCTCTATAAAGCAGTCCCGCCCGAATGAATCGCCATACCAGTTTGTGAGCCCTAGCACCATGCTATCTTACCTCCACATATATCAGACTATTTTTTCTATGACCAGACGTCCTCCTATTTGAAATGATTAACATTGGTCGTCTCATTTGCCATATTGGGCGACGTGGAGTTCTGCACCGGGGTACACATACCTGGTACTGGTTTGCAGCTCTCATGTTCTTGACGATTTCTTCGGCCTTGGAATCGGAAATCCCGCGCTTCTCGGCGAGTATTTGGCCCAAAACGGTGTTGACCTCGCGAGCCATGTTGGCCGCGTCGCCGCAGACATAGAAATATGCCTTCTTCAGCAACAAGTCGTTGATCTCTTCGGCTCGCTGCTTCAGCAAGTGTTGAACGTACACCTTCTTAGCTCCCTCTCGAGAAAAGGCTACGACAAGTTCGAAATTGTCACCCAAAACTTGCTTGGCCTCCTGTTGAATTGGTTAGACGATGGTTGCAGGAGAATGATGGGAAAAGAAAAACAACTTCTTAGAAAGAGAAGGATGAAGGGTTGGTTAATGGTAGATTGACATACCTCCCATTCCTTTTCATACAGGAAGTCTTCGGAGCGTTTTCGGCATCCGAAGAACAAGATGGTCTTTCCAACCGTCTCTCCATTCTGTGCCTGCTTCACGCGTTCCCTGACAAACCCCCTGAATGGCGCGACACCGGTTCCGGGGCCGACAAGGATAACAGGCTTGGTAGGATCCGAGGGAAGTTTGAAGTTAGAGTGGCGGACATGTACGGGAACATGGATGCCGTCATATCTGTTTCGGGGACCGGTAATCTCGTAACTGAGACCAAAAGGCGTAGGGCTGGGGTCGCCGTTCTGCTTCTCCTTGAGAGCTAACAAATAGTTGGTGGCAACTCCCTTGAATGGATCCTCGCGACCGGGAAGGTGCTGAGATTCTACTACGGCAGTGATGGAAATTACTTTTGGATGCTCCAGAGACGAGGAAGATATCGAGTAGTAGCGCGGCTGCAGCTTCGTGACGCCCTCGATCAGTGCAGAGAAGGGGACGTTTGTCCACTTCTTGCCCTTGCCGACGGTCTGCAACACTCTGGCAATGTTCAGGTGGTGGACGTTGACCTTTTGGTGGAAGTAGTCCTTGTCTCCGCCAAGCTTGGTCATTTCAGCCTTTGTCTCTTCATCAGGGGCAAATGCAGCGAGAGTGGCGAGGAACTGGCGCGAGACGGGTGAGCATATTTCCATGTGGTAACGAACAACGGCATCATAGGTAGTCGGTGTCGGGAAGGGGACCTTAGCCGTGGGTTCGAGAGCCTTGACGCTAATGACGGTGTTGCGCTTGCCAGTCAGGCTAAGCACGTCCAGGAAGCGGTCAACCTCTTCACCAGGGTTAGTAGGCCAGACAGCAATATGGTCGCCGGTTTGGTAGCTCAGGTTGGAGCCGCTGACGTCGACCTCCATGTGCAGGCAGTTGCGGTCTTTGACGGAGAACAACTCGTAGGACTTGTTGATGGGCGCGATATACGGGTTATGGGCGTTGAAGGGGCCCTTGGGGGATCCGTCGAGGTGCATCTTGTTGGGCTCTCCGAGGTAGACCTCGGGCGAATCCTTGGTAAGGCCATCCCTCTCAACGATGCCAAAGACGGGTTCGTAGACAGCCTCACGCTCCTCCAGACCCATCTTCTCCTGCAGAGCCTTCCACATGGGGTCCTTCCAGGCCAAAAAGTCTTCCTCCATGGTACCAGCTCCGTCGTCTCCCTCGCCAGCTTCTCCAATGCGATGGGCACCCAGTTTCTCTAACGCCTTGGTGACGTTTCGGACCATGGAGTTGTAGTGCTCGTAAGTGTTATTGCCAAGGCCGAACGCGACAAAGTTGAGATTTGCCAGGGGAGGATCGCTGTCTTCAGTAAAGGTCGGAGTGTCGCCGGTTATAAACTCGTAGAAGTCGACGGCGTTGTCAGTCGGCTCGCCCTCGCCGTAGGTGGCCAGGACGAACATGACAACCTTGTCGCTGGGGACGGAGTCGAGATTCTCGTAGTCGTAATCCTCAAGGTCGGCTACCATGGTCTCGAGCCCGAAGCGGCTCTTGCCCTCCTTGGCGAGCCTGGAAGCGTAGTCCTCGGCGGTGCCGGTTTGTGACCCGTAGAAAATGATGCAGTTCTTGCCCGACTCGTCCATCTTCTCGATCAAGTTCCGCGTCTTGCCCGCCTTTGCCCCATTGGCATTCGCAAGCGAGCTCGCGTAGGGGTCCTTGGTGACGCCCCATAGCTTGCCTTTGGTGAAGTACGCGACGGTTCCGAGAAGAATGGCGGCGAGGACAATAATGTCCAGAGTGTCGAGTTCGGCCATTGCGGCGGTCCGACGAGAGCCCCTGCACGCGGTGTGGCTGTACGAGCTACTGGTCCTACGCCCGCGTTACTGGGTCGACTCTGCGATCTGAGAGGAATTCTCAAATATTGTATCGCGGGCAGGTTTCAGCTTGTCGCGCAGGCGGTCAGAAAAGGAAAGCACTCGGCGCCTTCGACCGGTGGTGTGGGGAAATGATAGCCGAATCGGAGCTCGAAACCCAGGGTCCAATCGGCAGACGAAGTTGACGAATCACGCAAGAAGGCGGCAGGAAAGAACTGGAAAGGCTCGGGGAGGGCACAGGACCGCGCAACCCGAATGCGATGCGATACGATGCGATGCGATTCAATGCGATGAGGTGCAAAGTCAAGTGAATGACACGGCCAACAACAACAAAACAACCGCAAAAGGAAGAAGGGAGCAAGAGCGGGAGAATAGAAAGAGGTAGAAGGCAGCCGTAGGAAGATCCGGAGAGGTTGAAATCTAGTAGCGTGGTGGTTCAACTTATCGACAGATAACACATGCCGCTCAGCGGCGTAACATCCACTCACAGACAAGACATGTAATTTCCCCGACATCCGATGCTATATGTCTGGGATACGGCGCGGTGTCGTCCGAGCTCCAAGTCGGCGTACTTTCTTCCTGTATTGACCATACCTTACCTATGGATACGTGCAAAAGAGCCCTCCTTTTCCCTCCCCTTTCCGAGTGAACCGCTAAGCTATGTTTTATCCTGCAGGTATGTAAGGTATGGGCGTATGATAACTGCCTAATCCGTTCTTCACCCCCCCCCCCCCCCCCCCCCCCCTCGGCTCGTCTCAGCGGTTCCAGCAGCCGGGCTGCCCGCACAGGCGCCAAAGTTCTCGGTCCAACCTAACACAGCATACAAGTCTGTACTCGGGACCAACTAAACCAAACCAGTAATCTAGATCTGCATATGTGCTCCCGTCAGCCGGATGGCTAATTTTGACAGGACAATGCGGACGCGATTCATGACTTTTCTGAAGTGTTCTTCAAGCTCCAGAATATGTGGCATCTGTGACGAGCCCGTCGGCGGCTCTGCCGAGGCTACGGCGGACGAGCGCAGAGGTTCCCCTGGGCATTGCCTTCCCACAGCGCCTCTACTTGGCTGTCCCAGTCGTTGGGGGCAAACCACGTGTACTTTACCTACTTCACCGACTGTACATGCTAGCACCCCTTTCCTGGATCGCTGGTTTCTTTAGCTCCGGATTCTGTCGGAGGGACTCTGGAGCCTTGGAATTCCCGGCTTGGACCCGCTAATCTCGGCACCCCAACACAGTACATTTTTGGCGGGGTAAGCGAAGCAATCGCCCTACAACGCCTGTTCATTCCTTCCTCGGCTGCCTTGAATCGTTTCTCGTCTGAGGATGTGGATTTCTCGGGCGCGACGGGGCGGACTATATCTCGCTTGACCATCTTCTGCCTGCTTCTACCATCGAGAATCTCATCCGACCCCCGCCTCCGCTTCCGTGTCTGATCATAAGCCTCACTCTCCTGTACCAACTCATACAACTGAGTAAAGGAGACGGTAATTACCCCTTCGGCCTTTTGAATCTCAGCGCAATCAAGCTTATTACCGAAATCCTTCAACCAAATCCAGAGGTTCCGTCCGCTATTAACTAAACTCTCATCTGTATCCCGAAAGATACCCTCGAAGGTCTTCTTTATTGTAAGTATCGTTTCTCCGTTTTCCTTGGTCTTATTTGGTCGCCATGCTATAACTCTTGCTTCCTTTCCCCGGTACGTAAGGTCGTTCCCGATGACAGCCTGTGTCAACCCATTTGAGCCCAGGATGTAGTCATTTGCGAGGAATGGTAAATCTTAGCGTTGTTGCGAATGTGAGACCTTCAGGATGATACCAAGCTCTATCGCATCTTTATGCGCAAACGACCCGTCTGGGCAATGGGAGCTACTATTACTCTAAATCTTAGGGCTTCCTATTGCGTATACACCCCGAGCGAAACCGGCAGCGACTTGGTTGTTACTTTGCTCGATGATATATCATTGTCGTGTGATCTGTCTCTTGAATCCCTCCACAACGGCTTCGTGGAGATTGCCCGGCATACGTAGGACGAACTTGGCGATATCGGGGAAGTAGTCGTACCTAATTAAAGGTTAGGTAATGCGATACTGGATAAAGAGTAATAAGCTCCCTACCTTCGGCAGCGGTAGGCTTCCCCGGCCTTATAACGCGTCTCAAATGCCTTGAACTCGTCATGACTGAGGCTGATGCACCACCACTCCTCTTCGTCTTGGTCTTGGCCTTGACCGTAGCGAATTTTGGCAAAGATCTTATCGACGCCCGAGACCGGTAAGCCTATAGACTATGTGGGGGAGGCGGGAGATGCTGTCTCTGGGAGCGTTGCTAGGCAGGGAGATAGCCGATCGAGCTCTGCGATTGTTCTCGTGTTAGCCATGTGGGCGGATAGCTTTGATGAAGAAGATAGAATATGCGTGAATCCAGTCCAGGGCGACTGTAAAGAGTAGAGCTCGCTTGCTTGTTGATGGCGGAAAGAACAAGTGTTGTAGGGCGATTGCGACAAGTAGTTCGCTTACTTGTTGACGAAGAAGTTGAGAAGCAGCTCAGCGACTAGGACGGAGATTATACCCCAGAGTAGGATTATATCTTGGGGTAGGTGGTAAAGACAGAGCTAATAGAATATTTAGATCCGTGGATTCTGGGTTCTGGGCGCTACCCCCATATATATATTTTAAGCTGTAGTCTGCGCGCTCCTCAATACGTACCCATAACCACATCCTTTTCCTGCTGTCCTTGAATCCAGGCTTGTTGGTTGCGAAGTCCTCCATCTAGATTCGAAACAGGGCGGCATATACCCAGATCCCGGATGCCCCTGGAACGGATGAATTCCGCCGGATGGCGGGTTGTAGGCGCCTGTAGGATGTAGATCTACGAGACCTGGTAGAAATCCGGCCGCTTCTCTGCGTGCCGCGTCGAATTTATCCTTTTCTATGCGGCGAGTCCAGAGAGACGGGATATGTTGAGATGGGAGGTTCCTGGCCCTGCCGTTGCTCCCAATCAGGCGGATGGACGGGGAGGAGTGGAGCAAAGGGAAACTCTGGGGTCGGACCGCTGATTGGTGTCTGTGTACCTGACGGGACCTTTTGGGGCAAGTCGCTGCTCCTCATTGGCACCCCCTGAGGGGGCATCCTGTGCCCCTGCAGAACTGCGAAAGCTCATCTGGGCTGGATGGGTTCGCTTGGCATGGCTACAGTGGTGATCGCGGCTACGACCACACCTCAACCATCCCTTCAAAAAAGCGCTGGGTCGAGCCTACGTGCAGTACTTCCTTGTCCGTCGCTGCTACAATACATCTCTCACCGCTCTACAAGTACTGTCGACACACAGCTCGCAATCTACGCCGCATGTTGCGGGGCAGATCATGAGAGACGCGACGCCGGGAAAATGGGTGAGTACCTAGCTTTTTTTATTTAAGTTCTATTCTGTGCTTTTGGCTCTCAAGTGAGAAGTTCGTTCTGCGCCGGGTGACGTTCGCATTTTGGTTTCCGTCCATATTATCTATACTCTAGATTTCTCTTGGACCGGGCCTTGCTGGGCGCGCTGGTGCCACGCCTCTATTTCTACGCCTTGCTCGGCACCCCACACTTGTGAGGCGCCAGGCGGGTTTGACTTAACCTTAAACTTCTCTCTGTTTCAGCGAGCCCGCGTCGGTGTGTTGTGCTGATGAATTCTTTGACGGGCTCAGCTCCGTCCCAGACGCTGCCAGATCACGAGCCCTTGAAGTTCTCCCCCCGAGCCGTATCGCGACTGGACGAGGAGGATGAGGATTGGCAGCGAACCATAAGGCCGGCCGCCCTCGACTCCCGCAGCGTTGCACATTCCCGTGAATCATCCATCGAAAAGCTACAGTGGCCCGAGAACTCTCCTGCCGGGCCACTCCCTCCCTCTCGAACTCATGGGACGTCCTCGAGGAGCGCCATTGCCATCGGTGGCGCCATCGAACGAGTAGTCGATCCCAAAGCATCCTCGTACGGACATCACAGGCAGACCTCCATCGTCCATGGTATTGGAATTCAGCATTCGCGGAATGGGAGTCTGGCCAGCTCTGCATCGAGCCCCCTCAGTCCGCAGATGATTGTTGCCGCTGGCTCTGGCATACCTCCCGACAGATCAGACATGCATGGATTTGGGCGCTTGGAAGGTGACGGTGCATTGGGTTCGAGGCCTTCCACTGCCCTATCTGGTACTACGACATCCACGGTGCGGGTACCCGAAAGGACTTCGTCCGCCGCTCCCGACTCGGCTCCCCAGACCGGTGCGAATAGGAAGCTGGAAGGAAGTGTACAGAGCGGAAAGTCGCGCCGAGATCATGCCCACAACCACTCGCACTCTTCCCGCCACCACAAGGAAGAACAGAAGACGGTCGGCGAGTATGCGCTGCACGTCTTGTTCACCTCCTTTATCGCCCAGGCCGAGGAGAAGCTGAGCGAGTCCATCACGGTCCCCTTCGAGCCCGAACCTCAAATTGAGCAGATATGTGGCCCTGGGGTGGATCCTGCCTTTGACCAGCTCATCGTGGCTCTCGGGCACATTGCCCGGCAGAAGCCCAAGCCTTTGATCGACTCCATGATGTTGTGGAGGAAAAGCAAGAGTGATGCGGCCAACGAGGCCCGGGCCCAGCTCCAGCAGTCGAGGAGCTACCCTCCTCTCCCTATTGGCTTGATGCAGAGGCGGAATACAGAACCACTGCAGCCGAGTGTTGGCAGCGGTGGCCCCGGGCCACAAGCCGGCGGCCAGACGTCCCTCGTGTCTAAGCAGGAATATGTTGCTCAGGCAGAGCGTCGCTCTACTGTTTCCATCTACATCCTCTGCCGCGTCCTTCTCGAGGTTATGGCGCAGAGCACTCTACCTTCTATCACGCCCGAAATGGAGGACAAGCTGGAGAACATCATCTTCGGGCAGCTCAAAATCTCCGAGACTGAGCAGCTTCTTGTGTCGCCCCTGAAACTGGCCAACTGGAACCTCTTCGCTCAACTGCTCGGCGCCATGAGCGAGATCAACTTCACCAGCGTGACAGACCGCTTCATCGGCGATCTCGACCGCTCTCTCCAAGATCTCGCCACCAAGACGCCAACATCCACCTCCCGAGACATCGAGAGCAAGATGGAGCTTGTTCTGGGCGGTATGAAGCACCTCAGGATAAATATGACGCCAGGGGAGGCCTGGGACCAGTCTTGCGAATTCATGTCCGCTCTGGGAAAGCTCTTTGCTCGATCTCACGGCCCCAAGGTCAAATCAGCGTTCTGTCAGGTGCTCGAGATGCTCGTGCTCCCAATCGCGGCCGGGGCCACCAACGGCCATTTTGCACACCCCCGGTGGACTGAGGTGCTGTCCACCATCGGGCCCCGGCTAGCCCAGATGTTCGTGAAGCCTCGCCACTGGCCGTATACATTTCCCCTGACGGCCACCATGCTCTGCGTCTCCATGCCAGACACATTCACAAGCCAATGGCTGCAGTTGATCTATCCTCTCCAGCCCAAGCTCAAAGACCGTACCACCAGGCCACTGTGCCTACAGGTTATTTCTAGGTTACTCTGGACCTATCTCTATCGTGCCAATGATAGCGCTGCAGGAAATACGAGGAAGCTCGATGATATCTTGAAGATGGTGCTTCCTAGCGCCAAGAGGACCATCAGCGCGACAGATACCGCGGTCACCGACCCGCTCATCCAGATCATCAGGTTTATCGGCTATAAACACCCGGAACACTGCTTCCGGACCATCATATTCCCTCTCGTTAATGCCGACTACTTCACTTCGAACAAAGATCTCAAGATTGAACAACTTGATCCGGACAAGATCGTCGTCGGCATCCGCGCGTTCTTGGCTGTGATGTCGGATCTGGAGAAGGGGGAGCAGGGTCGGCCGCCTTTCCCCCAAAGCTACATACCTCCTGTGTTTCCCGAACGGGGACCCCCAGCGTCTCCTCTTCTTGGCTCTCCGCGTAGCATCCCCTTCAGTCGCTCGACTGCCATTTCGAGCGACGAGAGGCTCTCCAAGCCGGTGTTGGTCTCTTCTCTGACCGACTCCGTTCGGGATTACTATACAAGGTTTTGCGAAATCCTAGGCAAAATCGCCATCATTTGTGACAGCACTTTCGGTGGCCAAGCGGCGTTGGACGAGAAGTTCAACAGCCCTGGGCCAAAAACGCCAATCACCGAGACTTTCAATTTCTCCAGGCGCGATGACCACCCAAGCCCCCAAGACCAAAAGCAGGCGTTCTACGAGCTGCTTCACGTAGCTGTACAGGCTCTTCCGCGATGTTTGGCTTTGGGCATACCTTTTAACCGACTGATAAATCTCCTCTGCACTGGAACCGCCCATATTCAGTCAAATATTGCCGAGTCATCAGCACAGTCCCTAAAGTCTATCGCCCGCCAATCCCACGCGCAGCAGGTGACGATGGGCTTTGCGCGCTTCATCTTCAACTTTGATGACCGTTACTCTACCATGTCGGACGGGGGCATGCTGGGGCCGGGACACATCGAGAAAACGCTGATACTTTATGTCGAGCTCCTCCACATATGGATCGATGAGATCCGGCAGAAAACCAAAGACGCTTCTGGTGAGAGTGGCGAGGCTGGAGATGCCGATAAACGCGGCATGAAGCTTGATTTGTCCGGCATATGGGCCGAGGTCGATCAAGTTGAGGCGCACGGGCTGTTCTTCCTCTGCTCTCAGTCTCACCGGGTACGATACTATGCTGTCAGCGTACTGCGGCTGATCACCGAATTCGAGGAAGCCCTGAGAAAGTCGAGTGGTCGTGAGAAAGACATACCGAGGCTCATTGACATTCTTGAAAACGACTCGATGCAGGTCATGAGCTTCAAGGACGAGCACCTGACGGTAGCTGAACGGAGCAGATTGCAGCGAGGAATGCAGAACACGAACAACAAAGGAGCCCTGATCGAGCTCTGCGGTAGCGACGTGACATACGACGCTACGCTTTGGTTCAAAATATTCCCCAACTTCGTCCGGATTGCGTTTGACAAGTGCCCCTTCACCATCACTATCTGTCGGGATCTCGTCTGCAACAGGATACTCCAGATGTACAAGGGAATCACGTTAATCTCGGAGCCTATGCGAGGGCCGCTGTACGCGTCAGACCCTGGCAGCGCCCGTCTAACCGGGAGGACCCCGACCACCCAACCTGAGGTGCTAGTCGAGCAGTGGAAGCTGTATCTCGTTTTTGCATGTACGACTCTCGCCGACCCTGGCAGTGTCCAGGTCAACGGGTCTCAGAATGGTCAGCATGGGAGGAAAGTCTCCAAGTCGGCTGCGGATAAGATCGTGTCGGCGCGGACTCTGTTCAAGTATCTGAACCCTCTTCTATCAGTATCGTCTGCTCCCGTCAGAGACGCTGTTGTCGTCGCCATGGGCTCCATAAACATTCACATTTATCGCACGCTCCTCGAAGAGCTTCAGGGGCATGTCTCTCGCTGCAACGATGAAGCGCGAGCACGCGTTCACCAGCGCTCTAATAGTAGCCCACGACGGAATCGCAAGATGGATCTGCTGCGCACTGAAATCACGCACGTATATAAGCTGACGTCGCATTTCCTGAAAGAAACCGAGGTCTACCAGGACGAGTGGGTTCTGAGTAACCTCGTCGCGTACGCAAAGGACCTGAAGCTGTTTCTCATGGACGGCGAGGTTCAGCTGGACTGGGAGTTTCAGAAGCTAAGACGGCATTTCTGTGGTCTCACGGAAGAGCTCTTTGAAGGCATAAATCGGACCAAAGACCCGTCTCGCTGGATGACATTTGAGTCTAGAAAATCGTCCTTCGCCTTGATGGAGGATTGGTGTGGCTATTCCCCAAACCAGACCCAGATCCGGCAGAGAGAGGACAGTATGAGGCAGTCTCTTATTGACCAGCAGACCATGGGTGAACGTGGCCCTCTGACGGCGGCGATGGAGATCGAGAAGCGTAACCTGCGCACGGCTGCCCTCAGTGCCATGGCGGCTCTCTGTGGCGGGCCTATTAGCGTGACCACGGAGAGCGGCGCATCCCTGCAATTCGATGTCCGACGTATGCTCGCATGGATCGAGGCAATCTTCAATTCTGGTAGCGACCGCACAAACGTCATTGGGAGACGAGCGCTAAAGAACCTAATCGTCCACAACCAAGAACACTTATATCTCCTCGAGCACTGCATTGCGAGGTGCTACGTGACCGAAGTGTCCAAGGTGCTGGAGAATTACTTTACTGTGGTGACCGAAGTCCTCTTGGAAAACCAAGACTATCCATGCTCCTTTTGGAAGCCGCTCGGTCTTTGTTTATACACGCTGGGTAACGACCAGAGCGAGATCAGATTCAAGTCGGCACATGTTCTGAGGGTTCTGGAAGAACGGCAGGCCCCGGCCCGGAGCTCCAAGATCCAGGACTTTGATATAAGCATTTCTGACAAGACGAAGGCCATTTACAAGCTTGCGCAGTTTGAGATCTCCAAAAGGCTGGCGAAACAGCATACAGAGCTTGCGTTTCACATCTTTTCCGAATTCACCTTCTACTTCAAAGATCTGCAGCCGGCCGCGCAGAGAAACGTGGTCGCCGTGATACTCCCTTGGATTCAATCGATCGAACTCAAGGTCGACCCAAATGGCGGACCAATTGGACAATCCTACGTGCTCCTCGCTAACCTCCTCGAAATCACCATCAAATCTAGCGCGGCTCTCCACAACGAGGTGCAAGCGCTCTGGCAGGCACTGGCAACCGGTCCTCATGCCGGGAACGTGCGGCTAGTCTTGGATTTTATCATGTCGCTCTGTTTGGAGCGGCGAGAGCAGAACTTCGTCGAGTACGCAAAGCAAATTGTCGTGTTCCTGGCGAGCACGAACAGCACGCCAGGCGACAAAGTAATCGAGTTCCTCTTGATGCAGATCAACCCCAAGGCCATGGTTCCCAACGAGAAGAAGGAAGCAGTCCCGCCTCCGCCTGATATTGGCATTCTGCCGTATTGCGCAGATCTTTCAGATGTCCTTCCGGTTGGCACTAAGCAAGCCGGCTTCTCGCTGGGCCAGCTCTCTCTCATTTTGCTTGTGGATCTCATGGTTGCCCCTGTCTGCCTCGTCCCCGAGAACGTTCCCGTTCTGCTCCAGGTTGTCATGGTACTTTGGGACCACTACACTGCCCTTGTACAGGAACAGGCGCGAGAGATGCTCGTCCATCTCATCCACGAGCTTGTCATCTCCAGGCTTGATGATGACGCTCCTATCGCCACCAGGAAGTCAATCGAGGGCCTAATCGACGCTATTAGACGTCATGACCGTGCTGTGGTGTGGGGATATGAGGACAGCAACGGCAAGGTTGATGGCCAGGACAATAACGTGCCGCCAAGCATGGAGTATCTGACTGCCGAGGTGGTCAAGACCTTTGAGCTTACATTCCCGGGCATCAAAGACAAATGGGGCAGACTCTCACTGACCTGGGCGACATCGTGCCCAGTCCGACACCTGGCGTGCCGATCCTTCCAGATCTTCAGATGTATTCTGACATCCCTCGATCATCTCATGCTCTCAGACATGCTCGCGCGACTGTCAAACACGATCGCAGATGAGGACGCCGAGATTCAGACGTTCTCAATGGAGATCCTCACGACCCTGAAGACCTTAATCGCAAAGCTGGATGCTGAGAAGCTCCTGACTTTCCCACAGCTATTCTGGACCACCTGTGCCTGTCTAGAATCCATCAACGAATGCGAGTTTCTGGAGGCGGTCGAGATGCTTAACGAGCTCTTGGACAAGGTAGACTTCCACTCCCCCAGCGTTCGGAGGCTATTGTTCGAAGGCCAGCCTTTGAAGTGGGACGGCCCTTTTGAGGGCGTGCAGCCTCTGTTATACAAGGGCTTGCGATCATCGACGTGCCTCGACTTGACGCTCTCAACTTTGAATAAACTCATACAACTACCTAGCGACAGCCTTGTTGGCGACGATGGCCGGTTGTTTTTCACCATCCTGGCCAACCTCCCCCGCTTTCTTCTGGCCATGGAGCAGCAGTCGATCGACCGTGGCGTTGCGCAAACCGCCGAGATTCTCATGACTGTTGCCGACAACCAGGGTCTTACTAGCATTGCAGTGGTTCTGGATAGCTATCTCGGCTCCAAGTATTCGTCTGGGAACGAGTTCGTCTTCCAGATGTTTGACGCGCTGCGGGAGCACTTTCTCCCAGCCTTGGATCTCCCGATGATAACCATGCTGATGGGGTTCCTGACCAATGCTACTGGATGGGTCAAGATCAAGACGATGCGAGTTCTCTGTGTCATTATTCCCCAGGTAGACATGAAGAAACCCGAGATCGCCGGCCACGGATCCGACATGATCTCCCCTCTTCTCCGATTGCTGCAAACCGGAGACTGCATGGAGGCCTTGGATGTGTTGGACAACATCATGACCATGTCAGGGTCCTCGATGGATAAACACCACCTCCGCATGAGCATGACTCGCTCAACATCCAAAGTCATCCGTAAGGAGTACGAGCGCACACAGAGCCTGTTTGGGATTCCGGAGGAGTCGGGGTGGGCGATTCCCGTTCCGGCCAAAAAGACGGAGTCAACGAGGGCCAATATCCACGCGGCCTTCTACATGTGCCAGAGCGCCGAGGGCGTCGTTGCCGAAGCTACGCCAACGCCCGAGGTTGAGTTCCACGCCGACGAGTTCCCGTACGGGTACTTTCCCTCGTCAGACAGGGCCGATACCATGATGTCGGACGACGTTCGTGGGGATGGGCCGCTGGGAGATCTTGTTTCCAAGATTGACAGCCTTGATGATTTCTTTGACGACTTGTCGACTGGTCCTCCAAGCGAGGGCAGGTCGTCGAGGACAATCACTGAGTTCTCGCCTGACGCGTTTGAGTCCGGGGCTCAGCTCTACGATGAGCAAATTCTCCCGATTCTACACCAAGCATCGACCAACACTTCATTCCAAAATGGGTTCACCGACCGACCTGCCCTGATGTCACGGGAGGGGCTCCCCAACACAATGAATCCGGGCGCCTTCAATGTCGGTCCACCTGTGTCTGGTCGCCCGGGACTGCATTCCAGATCTATTACATCCCCGTCGGCGCCTGCTTCGTACCATACCCAGATTGGCGATTTCACGTCGGACGACGAGTTTCCCGAGGACGTGTTCTCGGATGGAGATGACGAACGTCCGAACACGGGTGGTGGCAGTGGCGAAAGCTCCTTTTTCCTCGAGAGCATGATTAAGCCACTTGCGCAAGGCACCCGATCGCGGATGAGGAGGCTGACTGGCGGTCGGTCTCGGGAGGAGCGACATCCACTATCTCCACAGGTGCCCAAGGTTCCGCAATCATTCCTACCACAACACCGGCCCCATACGCCCGGCGACATGCTCTGAGGGCTTCGCGCAACGGCAACAATCTCCCTCCTGAATGTGGCGGTGCTTCAGGTAGCATTGGTGCCACTACTACTACTAATTATAGTGTGTAAAGTCGTCAAGTGATACGGCTTGTAGAGGATGGTAACTTGCATTGCAAAACGGTCAATGATAATCTATGAAAAAACATGTCCATGGGGAGCTTGAGCTGGCCGGGATTTGTTGTGCTGTATTATCCATGGCGATCACGGAGTAGGCTGGTTGCTTTTGACACGTGGCGGATTTTCTGGATCTGTGCTGGGAAGTGTTCTTTATAGGATTTCTCATACTCCGTAATGCTGCTCTTAACTGTTTAATTTTATGTTTAGATACCATATTTAAAAATCGAGTTCATCTTTTATCCATTCACCTCCTTGCGACATATTCTGGTCTTTGAACCTCTTCATTTTTAAAATATGCCGTCTATTTCGAAAAAGAGGAGAAACGTGAAGTAAACAATAACAGCAAGCCTAGGAAGATTAAAAGGAGTAATCCGTTAGGCGTGTTTATCGTAATTACGGATGCCCTCGACCCTTGTAGGAACGATAAGGATCTGGAGGGGTTAGACGAGCTTATCGCGCTCAGGGCGTTCGCGAAAAAAAGGGCGGTGCAGGGCGGCAGAAATTGAAATTCCCAAAGCTCCAGAGGCAGACGATTTAGCGAAAAGAGGTCAAGTTGCGCGCAGACTCAACGACGGCGACGAGGGCCGAGAGTTTGAAAAACCATCGCCAGCAATTGAAAATGGGAAAGCGATTCACGCGTGGGGTCGACGCCTTGGGCGCGCCTCAGAAGAGACAAAAGATTGTGCACGAGGCGCCAACAGCAGAGAACATTTACGCCAGCCGCCAGTTGCGACACTTGCTCTCGTATGACCAGGACTTGGCCCGGACAAGACATGGTATTTTTTCTCTTTTTTTCCTTCATTTCTTTCTTCTCTGACGCAAAGCTAACTAACACTGCGCCAACGCCAACAGGCCTCCAGTCGTTCAAGCTCTTCCTCGATGCTCTGCTCGCCAAGCAAGGCTGCCACGAGGAGCATGTCAAGATCCTCAAGGATTACCTCGATGCCGTCAGGCCAACCGATGGCGTCGGCGTCAGCACCGGCGACGGTGATGGCGACAGCGACAGGGCTGTCTACCTGCCTGACATTATGAAGACGTGGAGCCAGGCCGCCCAGACGAACAACGAAAACATCATGTCCGCCGTGGCCGTCATCCTCGCGCTGCTCCTCAAGCTGCTCTCACACACGCTCGACATGGCCCCCTGCGGTCTGGGCATCTGCAGGACCCTGCTTCAAAAACGTCAGCTCGAGCTAATTTCGCGCAACTTGTCGGCCGACAAGGGCAAGTCCTTCATTATCTCTCCCACCCTGCGCATGCTAAGGGAGGTCGTTTGCTTTGATGGCGGCGCCGTCGCCAGCCCCCTATTCAGAGCCAGGGCCTCCACTCTCAAGTCGCTGGCCAGGAACATGGGAATCGGGCATATTGGCGATGTTGCCGAGGACATCAAGCGGCCCTCTGTGCGTACCAATGCCGTCCAGTTCTTCCTGAGTGCCCTCAGGTACATGCACCCCGAGGCCAAGAAGGAGCTGCTCTCCCAGAGAGACATTGTTGCCGCTCTCACGAGGGACTTCAAGCAGGACTCTCCCTACCTAGTCTCCGAGATTCTTGGCGGTCTGCGAAGCCACATCTTGCTGGATGATAAGCTCGCGCGCGAGGCCAAGTCAAACCTGCTCAATGTGTCGACTCTTGTCCGCATTTCGTCGCTGTACCAGTACCGCCAGACCACACCGGAGGAAAGCGGCTCAACCTCGCCGTCAATCCCCGACGTGTCGCATGACTTCTTGATGACGGCATGTACCACCCCGTCCTGCGGCGTCTTGAGGCAAGACTCGGGCCTTTACCCTCGAGAAATCGACCCGAATGCCGTCATCCCCGCCGCTGAGCTCGACGAGCTAGGACTCGAGGCCGTGGTGTGGATGAACAGATTCAAGACAGAGGTGCCGGTGCGGAATTACGTCCTGTCAAACTTCCTACAGAACTTGCGGCCCTGGTCCAGTATCCAGCAGAGCGAGCTCGTCACGGCCATCTTCAGGGTGGCGCCCGAGCTGGTTGCCAACTTCTTCCTCAACAACAAGTCCTTTTCCTTTGAGCCAAAACTGTCGGCCACGTGGATTGGCTACGCTGCGTTCCTCTTCAATGCGGTAGCGATGCCGCTGCCAGAGTGTTTCTGCCGCGCCCCCGTCTTTCCCGAGCTGCCTCCCCCAACCTCCCTTGTCCTCGACAACATCCTACCTCTCCCCCTCAACCAAAAAGCTCTCGTGCGCTGCTTGGCACACAAGTCAAACATAATATCTTTCTTTGCCACCAGGATACTAGTGCTTGCCATGCAAAAACTCGATACAGCACTCAAACTCCACCATGATCTCTCTCATCCGAGCCCCCTCCTGTGGCGTGAAGCTGCGCGCAGACTGGTAGATGAATTTTGCCAGAGAAGCCCCGGCATCAAAGATATGATCAACTCGTACCGGTTAATCCCCGAGGACGACATTCTGCACCGCGAGGCCGCAAGCCAGCTGCTACGACTGTGTTACGAAGTCATTCCGCAGATTGCCTTGACGGCCAAGTTTGATGTCTCTCCGTTCTTGGAGACCGCCCTCGTACGGCTCTCCAAACAGGACGAGTCTGACGATCCTCGGGACTTTGCTCTGAGTCTCAAGGAGCTGGAGAACCTGTTGGCCATTGCTGGATACTCTCCCGGCATGCGCTGGTTTACAGCATCGGATTCTCTAGCCTTGTCTCCTTTTGCAATGCTCTTGAAGGTATACGTGGACGCTCCTCGCCGTGTCTCGTTGGACAAGGCACGTCAGGTACTGGGTTTTGTATCAGTAGAACATCAACTGGTGCCTGCACATACGGGGCACCCGGGGTTGCTCCCTCTTCTGGAAACCCTACAAAGCCTGAACCGATCGTCTCCTGGCTTGATGGCTCAAGTATGGCCCTTCCTCGACAACTGCCTGACGCGCTGCGCCACTTCTCCGATCAAATACCTTGAGATAGCACAAGACTTGATTCAAGAAGCCAACGCGCCTCCAGGCGATGATGACAGCCCCAGGGCTGGCATAACTCTTGTTACTATGGCCATGCTTGAGCAGTTGCTGTTTGCTGCCGAAACAGAAAACAAGCTCACGCTTGGTGCTCTGGTCGAATTTTTGCCCAGATATATGGGCTTCTCGGCCGCAGGCGGAGAGGACCGACTGTTACTCGATGCAATATACTCCAAAGTGTTGCCGCACTTGCCAAAAGGGAAAGGCACGCGTGCGCCAAAAGCTATCCCCGACGGGGTGACTTTCGAGTACAACACGTGGCCGCTCAGCGAAGAACCCTCACAAAGCGTCACCAAGATAACAGGCACCATTGGAGACAAGACATCCGAAGTAGTTGTTATGAGTGCCGAGGACCTGCAGAGGGCACTCAGAGTGCCCGACGGCCTGGCCCCAGACAACCCGGCCTTGGTGAAGTGGACACAAAAGACGGCTGATGAGCTTGTCGACGAAGGATACGCCGTGTCCCTCATGACTCTGTTTGTATCGGAACACGCCAGCATCAGAAAAGAGGCTCTCGTCAACATCTTGAAGATGGCAGCCAAAGTGCGGCAGTCCGAGTACGAGGAGAAGGAACAAATATGGCTCTTGCTTTCGGAACTTGCCGAGACTGCCAGGGAGTGCGTCGAGGAAGGCCCGCTGCCGAGCCCAACGGTGGCCTTTGCGTGCCATGCCCTGGCGGTATTGAGAGACCCCCTCTCGACACTGTACCCAAAGGTCAACCTCGTGCTAACGCGCGGGCCTGTTTGGAACTTGGACAAGGTGCCGTTGGCGGATGATATCCTGCTCGAAGAGCCCTCGGTCGGCGACTCGTACTACAGCCAGATCAACTGGCTCCTGTCATACCTTGTCGACAGCCTGCGGACGCCGCAAGACCTGGAGCTTTTCCACAAGAAACGGCTCCGCGGTCCGCTACTAGAGCGCCTGTTGGTGCTAGCTAGCAACCCGTACATGAGGCTGCCGCTCAAGACGCAGGTTCTCCGCGTGCTGTACAGGGCGACGGGGATCGAGGGAGGTTCGACAACGCTCACGACTAGGTTCGGCGTCGTCAGCTGGCTCGAGGCGCAGAGCGCGCGCTGCACAGACCCGAGCGAGGCGGCCTTGTACAGAGCGATGCTGGCGAGGGTCTGGGAGACGTGCGATCAGGACAAGGTGTCTGCATGGAGTAGGCACGGGGTCAAGGGTTCTTTCCCCCCCTCTTCCTAGGTACAGGATGGGAGAAGAGCGAAATAAGGTAAATAAAAATAATAAATAATAAAATAATAAAAAAAACCCCAGGGGGGCTGTTTCCTAGACGCCCTACCGAGCTAATGGTCAGTCAGCATCTAGGGCTGTTGTAGGCTCAGCCATGTTCATCATGTGCAGATTGATTTGCCCAGGGCAAATAGTTCAAGTAGATAATTAGGTGCATTAACACCCAGGACGGTTGGGCAAGAATACCACGCCTGGTATGACGGTAAGATAGGGCTCGGAGAAACCCAACTTGGGGACGGAATAGGTAGGTAGGTATGGTATCTAGGGTAACTACCTTGGGTATGTACGTGCCTTGCCTTCAGGATTGCTGATCAGGCCGGATACTGTCCTCGTGTGGTGATTGCCCAGGTAACAGAAACAGTAACAGTTCGAGTTAAACAGTATTGAATACCTGATGTAAAGGCAAAGGTAACCTACAATCATAATAACAGGCGGCAGCGAGGCTAGGTATGCATGTACATGTACATACTACCCCACTGGCAACGTTGGTGAGAGCTTAAGAAGCAAAGATTGGAAGGCAGGGAAGCTAGAGCCTATAAGCGGCGGGCGCCTGATCCCTTGGGCGCTTGGGCCTCTTTGCGCCCCTTGAGGGGCCTTTACAACGCAAGCGACGCCACAGAAGGCCCCGCCAGCAGTCGCCTTTGTGGTTTAGCTGCCTCGCAAACCCCCGTTTACCACACCTCAGGATTGATTTGGATCTGCCTCAACTTCTCGCTCGCCCAAAGCTTGTGCCCACCACCGCACCGCACCGCAACAGCAGCAAACAACAAGAAACGAAGCCCAAAATCAAAACTAGCGCCACTCACCGCATTCGCACACACGCACAAATACTCGCACGCACCCGACCATCATATCTCCTCCATCCGCGCCCTACGACCAAGATCCAATCTAGACTCCTAGTGATCGATTGCCCCAAGCACCGCGCCCCATCTCCTTGTCTTCCTGGATCGTGCACGCATCGCCATTTCCGTTTCCGCCTCCGTCTCCGTCTCCGGTCTCCATCTCGCTCCTCTCCTCTTTCTCTTCCCCTCTGCTGTGCGCGTGTGACTCGATCGACTCGTTATCGACACGACACCATTCTCTCTTCAATTCCTCCCGTCTTTCGACATCAACCACGCCCCGATCGACTTGTGCTCCTCCTAGTTTTTCTTCTTCGTCGAGGGAGCGCCAAAGCCTTTCGCTTTTGCTGCTGCTCCCAGCGACACCTCTCGGCCTAGCAGATGGTCGTCGCCTGAACCCATAATGGCAGGCCGATACACGGCAGAGTTCCTGCTCCATCTGCGCCAGTCTCCACTATGTGTCAAACCTCCAAACCTGCCGCCTCCCGATGAGTGGATGGGGTATGCTTTTTTGTTCCCTTCTCTGTCTGCCTGTCCAACAAACCACCCCTCCCCCCTCCCCGTGTCCATTGCGCCGCCCTTGGTTTGAGCTGCTTTTATCGTCAGATTTCTAACCCGTTATGCTACCTACCAGGCCACCCCCAGAAACTTTTCGCACTCAGACCAAGACGGTGCCCAATGATCGCCTCAAAGGCGGCGACGGCTTGCTTCCGAGCCAGGAGAACAGACGCCCGATGTTGGACCGCGCTGGAGCCTCCTCGCGAAACCCAACAAGTACATCTTCCCCTCTTTTTCTCCGCCTGCCTGCCCGCCTGAGTGCCCCCTGCTAACTTCACCAGCCATCGACGACATTGTCCTCGGGCCCCCTCGCAATAGTTTTGCTTCGGCAACCCCTATGCGCAATAGCCGCGGAGCCGCTGAAGCAGAGAAAGGACTCAAAGAACCTCAAGATCGACCTAGTCGCTTCGGCTTCGGCGCCCGGCCCAGCGAGCCGGAACCTGCCAGCGACCGGTTCAGAGATGGCCGCAACAGCGCGTTCCGCCGACGCGGCGACCAGGACCAGGATAGCGAGGGTTGGAGCACCGTCAAGCCGCGCAAGAGCTTCGGTCACGAAGGAGCCGAGCGCTTCCACGGACGCATGGGCGGCGCCCCACCGGAGCGCTTCCCCCCCAGAGACGAGCGGCGAGTACGGGAGAGAGACGATCGGGATGGAGACGATCGTCGCACCCGTAATCCAGATCGCAACTTGAGAGACAAGGATCAAGAGGAACTGGACGGGCCGCGGAGAAACGGCCTGACGCGAGGCAAGTCTGAGCCGTGGTTCAAAGATAGCACTGGCGCCGGCGATAGCGCAGCTCCAAATAACGCACCCGTCTCGCAGCGGGAGCGCATCGAAAAGGCCAAGAGCTGGCGGGACCGCGATCCCGACGACAAGCCCAACGACAGGCACACCAATGACAGGACCTATGAGCGGCGGTGGGAACGAGAGCAGCGTGTAGAGCGTGAGCCCGAGTGGCTCGACGAGCCCGCGGACGAGAACCCCAAGGGCCATACTGAAGAGGACTTCAAGAAGTTCATGGAGAGCATGAAGGCAAGCCGAGGAGGACCCTCGAAATCAGATGAGCGGCGGTCTGTTGTTCCCGAGAAGCCAGCTCCCGAAGCTTCATTGGAGCTTGATCAAAAGGTGGTCTCGGCACCAGCCATTGAGTCTGGACCGGACAAGTTCTTCGCCGCCTATGGCAGCGCTAGCCTCGATGTCAGCACCCCTGCTTCTGAGATCAAGGAGCCGGTGAGAGCCAAAGGCGGAAAGTCTTCGAGGTTCATGGCCTTCCTTGCTCCTCAGGAAGAAAGCCGAGCGAAGACCGAACCCCCGACGCCCGCAGCTGTGCCTCCGCCTGCCGGTTCGGCAGCCGATGCGCCTCCTCAGAGCGAAGCTGAGAAGGAGGCATTTGCTCTCTTGATCCAGAAACTTCAGAGGTCAGGGCTTGGACCGGTGCTGCAGGGGAGCGGGCCACCTCCTCAGCTTTTCAACAAGTTCCCCGAGCCAAGCCCCGTGGCAGATGTTTATCAAAAGAGCGCCGTTGCCTCGCCAGAACCTTTGCAGCAGTATAGCGGTGAACGCCGTGACGACCCCCGGCTACGTGCACAACAGCAGCAACTGCAGCAGCAGCAGCAGCAGCACCCCCTGCATGATATCATTTCCCCTCGCCCAATGGCGCCCCCCATACAGCCACCTCCGGCTTCGCGGCCAGAGCAAGCCTTGCAGGATCTGCTCGCGCAACGACACCACATTTCCAACCAGGGTAGCAACCGCATGGCGCAAAACTCGGCAACTGTTAACAGCAACACTGAGTTCCTCATGCGTCTCATGCAGAGCCATCGGGAAGCCCCTGAGCCTCCTCGGACTGAGCAGCTCATGGTGCGCATGCCACAGCCAACTAAGCAGGTGCCGCTGGCAAATATCTCGGATCGCGAGCAAGAGTACACACGGGAGAGGAACATGGCACAGCGCCAACAGCAGCAACAGCAGCACCCGCAGCATCAGCAACACCCGCAACATCAGCAGCACCAACAACAGCATCCACAGCTACGGGGACAGATGCCTTCTAATTTTCTTGATGACCAGTTCCATCCCGCGGACGTCGTTGACCCTCGTCCTCAGCAGCAGCAGCAACCTACGCAGATTCTTCAGAGACCGCCACCTCCTGGTCTTGACCAGCATATGCATGCGTTCCAGATTGCCATGGCCGGCGCCGGAGGCGGTATGGGCGGTGTTGGACAGCAACAGCAACAGCCGCTGCAGCAGCAGCTTCCTCCTCAACAGCGTCCCATGATCCCGCCTCCTGGCCTCGTTGGTGGACCGCCTCGTAACGTGGGAATCCCGCCTGGCGCCATGTATCCACCCAACTTTCCCCCGGGGTCCTTCCCGCCGCCATTGCACCCTAGCGGTCCACCACCACCTCCAGACGCGCTCGTCGGTAGTAGGTCCATGCAGCCGCCGCCAGGCTTTTTCGGCGGACCACCGCCTCCGGGTTTTATGCCGCCCCCTGGCATGGGCGTCGGCATCGGAGGTTTCCCGGGTGGACCCGAGGTGCTGTTCAATGCGCCGCCGCCGTTTGATCGCCGGGGCATGCTGCCCCCTGGTGCATATCGGGGCGGGCCTTAATTGTGTCGTGTTTGTGTGTATGTGATGGAAAACGAAGAACGCGCACGTGGATGTGCTTGCAAGAGATGGATGGGAGGAGGGAGGAACGGGTCTGTTGCTACTGCTATTCCCCCTCACTATTGCTATCAATCGGTATTTGGTATCGATACGGGTATTAGATTTTTGGCCTTTTGTAGCGGCCGCAGCGGTGGCTCGGCAGTAGCTGACTTTCTGCGTGGGCGGTGGCAGTAGCGAACAGAGAGCAGGCAGCGGAAAGGGTTTATTATTATCATTATCACTTCTCTTTCTTGGACGAAGGCTGGGAGTGAGTGGGTGGCGAAGAGGGCAGCAAGGGTAAGAGGAAGAAGCCAGAAGCCTTTGAGAAATGTGACACGACTGGCGAGAAATAAAAAAACCACCCTCTCTGGGAAATATTGTAAATCTTTTCTATTTTCCTTATATATTGTTTTGTTTTGTTTCTGATGTACGGTATGGTGGGTGTCCTGGTTGTCTTTGGTATGTGTGCGGAACGGAACTGCTAGCTGGTATTCTTTTGGTTCTTTCCTCTCTTTTTCATTTCGTCTCGTGTGTCGTTTTTTGTTTCTATTTGGTTTGATATCTGGTTTTCTAGGCGCGCTCTCTCTCTGTGTGTGGGGTTCTTTTACAACTAAAAAACTTGGTTTATTTTGGTTCGGACTCTCGACAAGAGGCCTGTCTGTCTTCCTCCCCTCAACGAAGACAAAATCATGATTCCCTTTCCTTTTTTTTCTTCCTTTTTTTTGGCAGTACATATACCAATACCGATACCTATACCTAAGGTAATCTGCTGAGTTAAGTTGAATTGTGTATGTACATACGAGGAATCACTGAGCGAGTGAGTGAGTACCCCGGGTAATTTGCTTCTATTCTCTCAGCGAAAGACGGGTCGGGTCAGGCCTGGCTAGGGTTTGGGTTTGGAGTTGGAGTTAGGGAAGGCTGAGCTATTTACTTCCTAAGGTGTATAACTAAATAATGAATTTAGCTTACCGTGTAAGATAGATAATTATTATTATTCTCGGAGCAGTGAAAAATTGGGCGGGGTGGTGTGGTGATGTGGGCGAATTCTTCTAGACTTGAAAATGGTCTCTGTTTATTTACAGTGTGTGCGGCGTGTAGGAGGAGAAAGGAGAGATGGGTACCTGCCTGAAAACGAGCATATGAGAACCAATATTAGAGATAGTAGAAGGTTGCATCAATAAGGGTAGTCTGTCCTGAGAAAATAGAAAGGGATAGACAGCAACGGGAGAGGGTTGTCTGCGGCCTATAAACAAGCCATGGCCATACTAGTCGTTATTTCATCGAAAGTTTGTAGTTATATAGTCAAGGCCTTGATTCAAAAATACTAACTCGTCAAAATCACTACTGGATGCCAGCATGCTTCAAACAGAACTTTGCTTGTCTCGGGAATTCATTTATACCAAAACAAAATGGTACTTCAGGTAGACAGGCGCTCTATGTAGCCCGTCTACTTCCAAGAATCTATTATACCTAGGTAGTTCAATGACATCATGCATGGCAGAAGAACCACCACCCACTCTCTTTCTCAAAAGAATGCCGCCAGAATGCCCAAAAGAACATGAAGTACATCAGCTGGCGGCCCGATACCCTTTGCAGCACAAGCTAAAAAAGCAGCTGCTCGACCTCGCGGGCTCCTCCTCTACTCGCAGGCGTAAGCAGGCCCCATCCTCCACCGCGAATAAATCCAACCGCGCTCCCCACATACCGTAAGAATTCATTTACAAGTCTTGTGCCTGGGCGCCCGGTGCCTCTACTTCCGGCTCGGCCGGCGGGGCAATGGCCACGCCCTTGGTAACGGGCTCAGGCTCCTCGAGAGCAAGGTCGTTCTTCAGGTCTGGGAGAAACCGGTCGATCCTCTTCCACGTCTCGTTCCACAGCTCTTCTCGCGCCGGGTTCTTGCTGGGCGGGACCAGATAGCTGTTGCTAGACATGATAAGCAGCACATTCTTCAGATTCTCGGGCACCGCCTCCTCCTGCAAGACATGATTAGCTTCCATTTAAAATACACACACAGACACACACGTCAAAAGACATCAGCACAAAACTTACGAGACTGTCTCCCTGGCCGCTGTTCATGAGCCGATCCATGATCTCAATTATCTTCAGCCACAAGTCAAGCATGCCGTCCCACTTAGACAGGATCACCAAGTATTGCAAAAACACCTTGCATAAAAGCGAAGCCGCTTGCACCCTGGTTTCACTCATGCCGTCTCGGTCAGATGAAAAGACCTCGGGCTTCAGCAGCTTCAGAATCAGTGGGAACAACACCTCGCCGAAAATCGCAGTCCACTCTTCGTGGTCGCTCGAAGTCAGTTCCGGAGACAGGAGTGACCTCTGGAGGGACGCGAATGCGAGATGGCGTACTTCGCGACAGGGGTTGGTGCACTGTGTTGTCAGGGCCTGGAATATCGGCAGCCAGTAGGCCGACCACGCTTTGACAGATGTTAGCTGTGTGCACTTTCTTTGGGACCAAGATTCTAGGCAAGGTAGAATCCTCACCTTCGCTGCTTTCGAGATGCGACTGCTTCATTAAATGGGGGATTCGGGATGTCAACCGATATATGTTGTCGATAGCTCTCATGCCCCGAGCTACCGCCGCATTTTCACTGCTTTTTGTCAGCATGCGGAAAAATCGATACTTCGAAGACTAGCCGTGTACACACCTTGCCTTCTCCTGCTTTATTGGGCGAGGCGGAGGCTTTCGTCCTTGCTTCCTGTCTGGCTTCTGTTCTACAACAGCCTCAGCGCTAGCCATGGAAGCAAACTTGTTCAGTAAAGCAAGAGCGGATTCGTAGTTGTCCGCCATGATGGCCGAGGGCGACCCCGAGACTCCGCTTTCTAAAATATCGAACACGCCAGGCGCGGATTCGGGGTTGGTGGCGAGAGTCTGGAGGATGACCCAGAAATCGGGCGACGTCATGATCTCATTCCTCAAAGAGCAAGGCTTCTCGATACATAACTTAAGCCCTCGAAGCACGAGGCCTGACGTCTTTACCAGAACCTCTTTTAAGAAACTCGATACCGTGTGGAGAAGAATGGGAACCCTGATGTAATCAAAGTCCTGTCACATCATAAGCTTGGTGTCCAACAAGGGGACGCCAGGAGGTAGCGTGCGACTCACATAGCTGGCTTGGAGCAAGGTAAATAGATAAAAGGTCGCCCTTTCGATAAGGATCGTGTGGTACCGCGCCACGTCCCTCAAGACGGCTTGAATGGCTTCGACGACTCGTTTCCCGAGAATCTCAACCGTGGTTTGGTCACGGAGCGCCAAGACAGTGCAAAACTCCAAGATGTAGACCAATGCAGGATCGTATATGGTGTTGCTCTGCCGAGCATTCTGGCCATTGGGAGCCGTCGAGGCTGGGCCCTCCGACTTGACTGTGATAACCGCTGTCGAGCCGTTATCATCCGGTATCTCTTCCAACAGTGTGTCTACCAAGGCCTCGAGGCTATGACTAGGAAGTTCCCTGGTTTCGTGTTAGATAGAACATCTTCCATGGTGGTAACTCGGTTGAACTTACGAAACATTGGCAAAAACATCACCCATATGACATTGGTTAACACAGTCCACGGTACATAAGGTGCTCTCCAACTCCTCATCCGACGGCTCGGGAGGATCGTCAGCTGCGTAGCTAGAAATATAAGACGTGAACGCCGAGAAGAACCCAGAATCGCTCTGTTTTGGGCCTCTGTCTATTATTTGCGAGGGGTTTTGAAGCGGAATTGGCGGGAGCGAAATACGGTCGGGCTCGGTTGAGAAGAATGGCGGTATCAAAGAATTTACAAAGAGGTTGAGCCATATACGGATGATCTGGCCACTGTCAGTGCCGAATGGAAGAGAGAGGGAACGGATGTGTGGCTAAGAGAGAAAGGGAACTTACGTGTTTCCAGCTCTTTTGAATAGCATGTTCAGATCCCGTCACCACGCGAAACAGAACCAAAGTAGCCAACTGAGGCCGGACATCTCTTCCAAACTTGACGGCCAGCTCGCTTACCATGACGCTGTTTTCCCCAACCTGAACCTCGGTGTTGAGAGACGTGTTGGACAGGGTGGCAGTGCTCAGCGTCGAAATGTAGCTCAGACGATAGATGATCTCATCCAAGGCCTCGGAATTGCCGTACTTGGTGGCAATCCGCGCGCATTCGTCAAAGCCCGTGATGACCCGCGCATAGACCGTGTCATCAGTCGCCGACATGAAGACGAAGAACAAGCAAGAGACGATGGGGTTCCAGCTCGTCGCAAACATGTCGGCGTCGTAAATGTTTGTGTCGCAGAGGATCAAGGGTCCTGCCGACTCCGTCTTCAAGAGAAGCTCTTTCCAAGCGTAATCAAAAGCGTGCTTGTTGTCGTGCTCGTCAGGAAGAATGATTTCATTAGATTTTATCGCGTCATAAATGTCCTGCAGATACTCAGCAGAGAAGTCTTTGCCGCCATTCTGGCCGCGCAGATTGCGGGCAAAGTCTGCATAGCTCATGCGGGCTTGGCCTTTGAAGTTTGGATTGTGCTGGTCCGTATTCAGCATCAGAATCGCGTATGTGAGAATGAAGACGGCCTCATTATTAGCCACGCCTTCAGGGGTGGAGCTTGCGCAGTATTTTTCCGAAAAGCAGCTCACGATCCGCTCAATCAAAGGCGACTCGCCAGGCAGGCGGAATGTTTCCAAGAGGACTCGTAGGGCCTCGTCCACTCGCTTGTCGGTGAACTCGAGCAGATCCATGAAAGCATTCAGGACGGGCTCATGGCCTTTCTTTGACAGGAAGTCTCCCAGCACCTTCTTGTTAATCCTTGAGGTGCCCTTGAGAAATTTGGCAACACATAGCGGATCGCTAGTATCAGCGATTACGCCCTTGTCCTGCAGATATGCTAGACCTCCCTTTGGGTTCTCGTTAAACTTGCTGGCGCCTTTGATGATGAGCTTTTTCCTGCGTCGCTTTTCCCTGAGCGTCTGCGGATCGGGGTATCCCTCTGTGTCGGGGGGGTTGTCCAGCCTCTCAGCAATGAACTGTATGAAACGCAGAAGCGCGTCGAGACACAAGGGCGGAACGCTCGTCGTGCTCCAGGTCGCGGAGTCTGGCAAGGCGTTTCTCGAAAGCAGACCAATCATATCCTCGCAAAGATCAGTGCGGTTCTCGTCGCAGTCGTAATTGACAAACAGGTCAACCATGAAGGTGGGCATCCGAGCGAGAACACCAATATTTTCGACCATTGCCTGCCGCGCATCGGGTTTGCGCGCCCCGCCCTCCATGCCAAGCTTTTGACGATCTTTGACAGGTACGGGCGTAGAGCGGCCGCTGCTGGCTTGCGATGGCGGCGGCTTCACAAGCTTGGGGGCCTGCGGGATTCCAGAATAAAGGCTCGGGTCTATTCCGGGCTCCCGAGGAATCTCGACAGCGGGGTGAAGACAGGCAACTAGATATGAGAGATAGAGTTCTTGCTGGAGCTTGAGGACTCCCCTGCAAGTGGACAGCAGGGTGCTAGCAACTATCAGGGCTTCTTGTAGCACGGCCATGTTATCAGATCTCACGAGCTGGAAAAGGTGGCAGCACAGCTGGTCCTCAGCAATGGCAGCAAGTGCGGGATGCCGAGCAATTGACGGTCCTGCGACTTCAAAGGCCACATGAATGATGCGCAGGGCCATGACCCTCATCTGGTCGGGGTGCCGGCGGTCGTTGGGGTCGAGAAAGCTCACTAGGACGCGGAAGAGCTCACGGACAGAAGGTAGAGAGTATGGGCGAATATCCACAGACTCGGAGCTGCCGCTGGCCGAGCTTGTGCTGCTTCGGCCGGTATCTCCGCTGGCTTGGGTCTCCGCGCTACTTCTTGCCTTGTCGGAGCTCGACGACTGCCTGGGCTTGGCGAGAGGCTGGAGCGCATCAGTTGGCACAGCCGTCACAGCCGTCACAACTACCATGGCAGGGACGTCGGTGCCGTCGGCCGCGGGGTCCATCTTGATGTTGTCCATGTCGCCGCTGGTCTGTATGTCTAGGGCCTCGGTCTCCTCGCCGGCTTCGACTTCGAGGTGCTTCAGATCCTCAAAGATGATCTGGCACATGCGCACCATGGACGCCTCTGCCGTCCTTCGGAGAACCTCGGAGAACCTCGACCGCGAGCAGATTGTCAGACCCCGTCCCATCATGTCGCAGACGCTCTCGTCGCTAAGGATATCGCCGCCGGGCCCCGATAGCATATGCTCCATGAGGTGGAGGATCATGAGCAGGACAACCTCCTCCTGGGCCGAGTCGCTGATATCGAACTGGCAGTGTGTGATAGCGGCAGACAGGGACTGCATGGCCAGTGCGAATCGGGGGGACGCGGGAGCGATGAAGCCATAGGCGAGGAACTTTTGGGTGGCTCGCAGGGCAAGAACGGTAATAGGGGCTGCGGTGCCCTTTGCCTGGATGATCTGCAGGAAGGGGTAGAGCAGCACGAGCGAGTCGAACTTGTGAATGTCTAGTTGTTGAACTTGTCAGCACATGCCGAGTTCCCTCGAGGCTCCCTGTCTCGGCCACAGAGTCGGAACCTACCCCTAACGCCAGTCAACTCTTGGCGCAGCCTTCCGAAGCCTGATATCAGCGGGTTGTCCTGCATACTCTTGCCCTTCTTGCCCCTCAGACCCCATCGGTTGGCCGCAAGGTCGCCAGGGCCGTCCGCGTTGGCATTGGCAGACGAGGTCTTGCCGTCACGGCGCATTCCCGGTGTCGGGGGCACGAGCTGGATGAGGTTGGGGCTGCCGCCGAGGATGGCCGACACGGACGAGTGCGGTGAGCGGGCATTTTTCTGGATAGCCGACGTGATGGCTATGCATTCGGATATGACGAGGGACACGGGATCAACGGCTACCGAGACGGGACGACTGCGGTACTGCATGCGCGACGACAATAAGGGGAGTCGTCGGGGAGGAGCCGCATGCTGTTGTGGCAGCGCCGTCGCCGTCGCTGGTAAGAGGGTGGGGTCCATGGCTGCGGCAGCATGGGCAGCTCGATTCATCCTGCGTCCTAGCAGGCGGCTGCGGTTGTGTTGTTAATGGTGCTGCTGTCGTCGCCGCCTTCGGGTGCCGTTTCTAGGTTTGTCGACTCGCAAAACGCACGGTGGCCTAGACCGGTCCTCGGGGTCTCGTCCACTGAGATGTTAGAGGCTGGTCAGTTGGCGATTGGTGCGTGGAGCTAGGGAGGGGGGCCTGCACCTGCCTGCCTCAGCCCGGTGCAAACCTGACGGTGTCCTTTTCAGGGGCTGCCTTAGCTACTAGGTAAGGTTGGCCCTGAAGACAGATGCGCTTTGCATGCTCAGAGGCGCCAGAGCAGCGACAAGTTCGGAGACGGGCCGGGACTTGTTGTTCTTTTCACCCGACGACGAGAACAATTTACACGTGTGGTTAAACCACTAAGCACGCAAAAAAAAAAACCTGACTAACGACGGGAGGAGCAAGTGAGCGCGCGGCATTCGTCTCAAGTTTCAATGAAAGCACGGACCCGTATTTATTTTACGTTCGTTTGGAGGAACATTTTAACCTCAATTGGGCATTTCCATCTACACCTTCCATTTATTTTGCGATGGAAGAGAGACTGAATCGTCCATGCACGTATTATTAATCTTCAGATTAGCAGGCATCCTTCATCCAATGCGCCCACTACTCAAGGCAGTTAAACTATGTACAGTACTTGTACAGATACATAATGCCCAGCCCAGAGGATGGTTTGATTTCATTTATGTCACGCGCATTCACAGGGCAACGGAAATGAAGCATTTGATGCAGGGAGGTAAGGCTTGAATTATCTGAAAAGGTCTAATCTCTTGTTTCCTTTGGCAGGGCCAAAAGTCTCTTTTTTATAGTTATGAATAGTGGCAAAAGCTGGTGGCGAAGAATCACATAGCAGCTTCTAGATCTTTCTTGCTCACTAATCCCAATATTGTGACAATTTAAATACAAACAACAACACGAGGTTCTTTCATGCCGGGCCTTTGCTCATTCCGAAAGTGAGATCGCGAAGTAGTGCCGGCTACCAGGTTGATATGTTCTTTTCACCGTAAGCTGTAATTTCAATCAATAGCTTGCTGCCGCCTGCTTCTTCCTGGCCCTCGAACGTCGACGCGGCAACGCCAATGCCTCGCCCTCGTCCTGACTTCATTCATTGTCTGTGCTGGCTCGCGAAATACTTGTGGGTGCGCCGCATAAAGTCGGCGAAGCCAATAGTCTCCCAGAACCTCGACCACCTTTGCAGCTGCTGGAGTGGCCTCGTCGTGTCGCTATATCGGAGCCTGTCTCTCTTTTTGTCTGGAGATGCGAGGTGCTGGCCGAACTGAGCTAGAACACTACCTACGTAACTACCTGCGTCCTACAACTAGCAACCTTCCTACCTTGCTAGAGCACTTTCTCCCGCCGGGTAGATGTAAAATAAATCAAAGGACCGCATAAGAACATGGAATGGAGGGAACATGACTCGCGTGTGATCGGCTTAGTTGTAAAGGGAACCAAAAGACGAAAGCCACCGTCTTCTAATCAACTCGGGTTTGTCAACTACGTCTTCTCCGCCAGACCCCCTTTTTTTTCCCTAGCGCTCCTACTACATAGGCACTGAGTTGATTTTGGTCCTCGTGTGCAGCTTTTCATGCCTGGCGGCCACGACAGTGGATGGAGAGTGAGCGTTTTCACAGCGGCATATTTGATTTTTCTTTCCGTCTTCCGAATGGGTGGACCGCCAGTCGGTCGGAATCAAATTCTTGTACCAAAACACAGCCTTTATTCACGCCATCGACGAGTGCGTTGTGCACAGCAGAAGTTTCAAGATGGGCACTAAGTGCATGGGTTCAAAAAAACGGTGTTCTCACCGAATTGCTAATGCCGCTTTACTTGGCAGTTTTATTTCGTTGATTCTTGGTTCTCAGCTATCATCCTTTTCTTCAACACTACTTTGAAAACACCCTCCAACTTTCCGAGGCTAAGCAGCTTGACTTACTAACATTCTAGTACAATGACGTCCAGGGGGTGGTAGGTGTGGCCTCTCAGATCTACTCGATTGTGTGGGTTTTACTTTTCTCTTGTTTTTTTCAACCCAGCTGCGTTCTGGTCCACCGGCGGCCGAGTCCATGCATCTTTGGAGATTTGCCCTTTTGCTTCTGCCTGTATGTGCACTTCCATAACCAACCGCGCTGCGGGTGATAGGTACCTTGACTGACGTCTTTGACTTAAATTTAGCCCGTTCTCCATCCCCCCCTAGGCTTTTATATGAAACTTTTACCCTTTTCGTGATAAAATAGGTCTTCTGGGTTCCACGCACGAGCTGGTGCCTCTCTCTCTTCGATATATTAACTACATGATATACCTGCCCGTGACTCGTCTTCTGCTGGTTTTGTGAGATACGGAGCGTCCACTGCTTTGTATTGGATTTCTGGCTGCATGAAGCAAACATAAATCTTGCTAGTCAAACGCACATGCCAGGATTGTTATGAGGGAGGAAAAGGGAAAATCACACTAGATTTCAAGGGAGTAAATAACAGGACTTGTAATCGAATCTCTTTCTGCCCTGGACCCCTTAATTCCGGGTCAGCAGGACTTGGATAATTCGGGTACTTAGGGATTTACAATAACGCAGAGATTAAGGTACTGGGGAATACGGAGGGCGTGTAATTTTTCTTTCATTTTTTTTTTTACCACAGCTGCCATCCGGATTTGTAAACTCACTTCCCCCCCTCTTTCCCTCTTGCCACAAGCTCTCCCCGGCTGGTCCCTTGTCCTCCGATATTTTTGTCAACTGGTTCGAGGGGGGGCTGAGATACCCTAAAGGGTTGTTTGCTTCTGCCATTGGGTTTGCAAATCTAGTAGACCGCGGCCGATATGGGCACCTCTTACACCCTGTCCATTCAAGCGGGGCAGATGATTTGCTCCAAGCTCCTGGGATCCACCATCGTCTAACCACCGTTCTATCTCATCGGGGCGTAGTGGCTGGAGGCACAAGACACCTTCATCACCCTCCTGCAGCCGGGGAATGTCCCCGACTTCGCCGTGGCCGAGCCTGGCCTGGGCCTGGGCCTTGACTAAAGTTCCGGCGTCCCCATTACGCTCACCTAGGACTGGTTGTAAGCCTTTGATCAGGGTGGTGCAGGCTCGGCCTACTTTGCCGGTCTCAGCCGCATCTGCCGAGCTGGATCGGAGGCCATAATACCGCCCTTACGGATTACCATCCAAAAACCAAGGTAGTTCTATAGTACCTTTCTCGCGTAGACTTCCAAAAGACTCTAGATGTAAGATATCTTGGACATGGTTCTATCGGGCGAAGATCGGGAGTCGCGTTTTTGTTATTTGATCAGGGCAGCCATCCAAACATTTAACTTTAATTAACGATGTTTGACTCCTTGGCCCCGTATCATCTGGTCTCGGCATAGTTTGTGCTTGCTAGGCCGTAATGATGTTTGACTCCTTGGCCCCTTATCATCCGGTCTCGACATAGTTTGTGTTTGCTAGGCCGTAAAACGGTACGCTCTGAGAATGTTGGATTATGGAGTCCTAAAACTCACTCATTAACCACGACTTTTCCACTACCTCAATGTAGGAGGTAACCAAAAAAGAAACGAGAATGCGACCCACCCAGGTCTCGAACCTGGAACCTCCTGATTCGTAGTCAGACGCTCTGCCATTGAGCCAGCAGGCCGAATTGTTTACGTCAGGATACTTATTACCCAATTGATGGGGAGTATATTGGTTCAAGCTCTATATAAAGTAGCAACCCTGGAGCATTTGTGTTGGAAACAAACCGCTCATCAGGTATCTCAAACAATTGACCAAGTAGAGGCTTGGAATGCAGTCGTAAGATTGCGCCCGAACTTGCAGCAAAAGATTGAATCTCGAAGCTGCAAAAAACGGGTAGCTATCCCTCGCAGTGCGTGTGCTATTGCGTCTGGCAAACCCGTAGTCTTTTTGTCCTAAACAAGCCCAAAACGCCCTTGCCATGATACCGTGGCCCCAAAGACCCGCCCCTAGTGTACATACATAAGATTAGTCTTTTCCGTTTTGGTCTTTCCGGTTAGACATATAACGCCAAGGCAATGATGAGCCCGGTAACCTATCCGTGCTTGCTTGCGGCAACCCGGCCTGAATAAGTCGTCGCTGTTCTTGCGTCACTGCCACTGATATCATTCTGCTTTGCAACAAGCTAACAAGGTTGAGACAATCATATCTTCCTGTCTTCCTTCTTCGTCTCCTTTTGAACAAACTTTGCTGACGCCTCGACCTTCTCCTTTTCAGCTAGTTTCTTAGCCGCCGGGTTTTCGGCAGAAGGCTTGTTGGCAATGGGCTTTTCGACAGCTGCCTGATCAGCAGCAGCTTTGCCCGGGGCCGGTTGGGCGGGCTCAGCATTCGCCTTTTCTTTGGGCGCCACGTCTCCGGAACCCGTCTTTTTGTCTTGAGACACAATGTTGTGCATCTCGCTCTTGTCCTTCTCCCACTGGCTTGTGGCGTCGCCGAATGACTCCTTCAACTTCTTTGCCTTTTCGGCTTTATCTCTCTCTTCCTGCTCTCGAGCGAGTCTCTCTTGCTCCATCGCCTGTTGATTGATCCATTAGCTCAAAAGTCTTCAGAGACAAAACACTGGGGACCTGTGCTTACCTCCATGTGCTTGATATCATCCACACTTGGCTCGTACATGTGCCAAATTGTATAGTGAGGCAAACCAACGACCGAGAACTGCATCCTCCTAGCCATCTGTAAAGTTATTAGTTATAAAAGTACATCCGCGACAGTGTTCGTGGCTGGCAGTGACTTACCTTTCCGAACCCTTCAGTTTCGGCATGCTTTTCAAAGCTGAAGGCGGGGAAATGGACACCATGTCGAAACACTTTGGCCTTTGCCAAAATGCTAACACCCCCGACGCCGTCGATCTCCATCTCCATGTCGGGATCGCCGTAGGGGTCCCGGAGGTATGCGAGATGGGGCCGCCAGGTCGCATACTCGGCATAGCCCTCCACGATGACGGCGTCTTCGTCTAGCGTATCTGCAAGTGCTAGGGCGGTTTCTGATTCTTGCCAAGAGTTGAGATCATATGGCTGCTCTCCACCGAGCCAGTCAGGTAGTGGGCGCCACACGTCTTGGGACACACGATTAGCAAACGTAGCAAGAATCCATATTCGGCTGCGCTGGGGGACTCACTTGGTACAATCACGTCCTTGTTGTGGCGCATCAGGTCTTCGAGGATGGTGAACGGAGCCGTCTCGACATCGACATCCCTCCAGTAGACCCACGAATGAGAGGGCCGTAGCGCCGCGCTCAGGAGCCAGTTCCTTGCCTGTGCCATGAGCTTTCTCCTGCTCGCCTGGGCTTCGAAGCCGTGGCGACTCTCGACATCCTGGTTAACCTTTTGCCCGAAGTCCTTCTCGATAATGGAAATCTCGCCGTAGGGCTTTGTGTCGTCTTCATCGGCCTGGATCGCTTCGAGGTTGTTCGTCAGGACCTCTAATGTTCTGTCCTTGGAGTCGGAAACGAGGAATGCAAGGTCGATCAGGTGGTGCGGGTAGGTAAAATTGCGCAGGTGCGAGAAGAACATGGGCAGGTGCGGTTCGGCGTCGCGCAGCGGCACACAAAGCAGTATCCTCTCCTCGCGTTCCCACCCTCTTGCGGTGCCCTGGACATTAGACAGGTCGTAGTACCGCACTGTTTCCAATTGGAAGTCGTCTCCGGTGGATAAGAGGCTGAAGGAGAAGAGGGAGAAGATGGAGCTGCGGGGCCAGACAAAGAGGCCGAAGAGAGTGACGGTGGCGACGGCTATTCCGAGCCGCACGAGAAGTCGCTTTCGTCTCCGGAGCGCGGGTGTGGTGCCTCTGGGTTGAAATCTGGCGTCGGGGGAAGACGAGGTGTCGGGTCTCAGTCAGCCGGTCGGCCTCGGGAAGGCAAGGCAAGGCGCAAGGGGGCATAGGAATGGACGGAAGCGAGAGACATACCTGTGGGGAGAGATCTCAAATGTGTTCCCCCGCGGATACCCATTGGAATATCCGCTCACATGATGTCGAGGGACCGCCTTTGACCCTGACGACGATGTGAATGGCAGCATTGGCGGTGCACTGATGTGGGCGCGGGCGCGGGCGCGGGCGGCCTGGGCCTGGACTGAAAGCTACTCCCTTTGCGCGCGGCCTCGAAAAAGTCCAGCGTGCACGCTCCCGTTGTGCGCTTCCGTGGTGCCTGTGTATTTCGTCTCAGCAGGACCTGATCTTTGCGAATTCAACGGCGTCTAGGTAGGTTCTCGGTCAATGCATCGTTGGTTATGAAAGGCAGGCAGATGGCGGATAGGGAGCGGCAAGCGATGTCCTTCACGTTGTGCAGCTGCTGTTAGCAGGTTGGCAAAAGGTGTTTGCACCAGCCTCACCCCCAAGGATTGTTCAAGTGGCGTTTTGTTTCTGGTGACAGGCTTGGCTCCTTTCGTTTCATAAAGCTGAAGCACAAAGCAGGTACCTACCGGGTACATGTCAGCGAGGTCCTTCTAGCCAGTCACCAGGCTGCGATCCAACCCAGACTCATCCTGCGAGCCGCCCGGAAAGAGGTACATGCCCCGTAGCCCCCACCGACCAACGTAACCCGAATTACGCACTCGATCGCCAAAGATCTTGCCCGATCCCCAATGCAGCCACCTGATGTTCAATTAAGTTCCCAACTTCTGGGGGCCGCTGCAACGGTCTGCCGGAAAAGGCCACCACTTTCACGTTCTTTTCCAGATTGAGCTTCGTCCACATCCGTTGGCATCGATTGTAAGTAACATTGTAATTTAATTGTATTCTTGGAGATGCAAACTGCATGATTATTTCCCAAGGTCAAAATCGAGTATCGATTACAGCAATACCGATTCGCTATCTATTTTCTCAGAGAGACGGGAAGGAACAATTCCGGAACCCGTCCGCCGCAATTTACAAGCAATACCGGCACAAGTTGTAGCGGACAACCAACGAGAAAAGCAAAAGATGCCGCTCGAGACTGTGTCCCAATATTTTGTCAAAGCTACATCGGAAATGAGAAACACGGAATACCTGAGTGCAGCTTCAAGTAGGCTAGATAAGAACATTGCTCAAGTCAGCATGGGTTGCGATTGCGACTAAGAACAAGATGATGTGAATTTGCAAATCAGACAGGCCGTTTTAACTCAACACCATAACTGGCCTGAGGCGCCTATGCATCAAAACGGTGCATGGGAAACTCGAGCACAGAAGCCAAATTACACCCTAAAAGATAACACCACAACTAGTCATCACACCCCAAAAGGAGTGCTGTAGTGCGGATGGATGGCTCAGCCAGCGGGCATCGTTGAATGGATAGACTATTGTCATCATCAAAGGAAAAATGTCCAACGACATCAACACTTACAAGTGGCAGAGCAAAGGCGGGCAGATACAACAGTACCTTTGATCGGATAGTGATAATAAACCTGGTTGGAGGTTAGCAGAATCCTGAGAGAATACAATTATGACTTCTAGAGGTAGAGAGTAGATCAGAGAGTTTTTTGGTATAGGGTATCTTTCATTCTTTTTCAGAAGCAGAACTGTAATATATGGTTTCTCATCATGGACATAGGGCTGAGCTCAAAAATCAAGAGAGAATAAAGCCTTACCTGGTACAATTTGACGGGCGGGCAGATTGGTGATTGGTATGACTGTAAACTTTTTGACTCTTTAGTCTAGGGCACACCCAATAATTGGGGAGACAAGACGATGTGGGCAAAAGGCTGAGTCAGATGGTAGTGCATGTGTTCTTCGCTCATTGAAAATCGCGTGAACTGTGGTATAGAAATTCTTCATACCAGTGGGAGAGGGGAGGGGGTAAAATTGAGGACTCGACTTACTCTGCCTATCACCGTTCGCTCTCGAGCCCGCTTCGCCAGTGTTGGGGCTCGAGAGCGAAAGACTACCCACCAAGAATGCAAGGAAGCTGGGCCCGTTAATGAGCACCTCGCAATGCGATAATTGACGGATGGCTAGCCACTTGGAGCACAAAGATTCCGGACATTGCGCCTCCATTGAAGCAGCTAGCGATGTCGTGCCATGTCGGGCAGACTGTGATGTGTTTGAGGAGGAAAAATTGGTAGTTGAGCGGAAAATTTTCTGGCTTTAACAAGAAAAAATTCTAGCCTGTGGCGGTGCTGGTGGGGAGAGCCTCAGGTGGGGCAGTTGCAAAAATAAAGTTTCGTAACCGTGCATTGTGGCTTGATCGAACTAGAGCCCTGGGAGGCGAGGCAGATGGAGCAGGACGGAGTACCTTAGAAACTACATAGAGTTAGAAGGTTAGGGTGTGCAGCGCTATTATCAACCTAGAAAATACTTAATAACTATGTAACATTGTTCCGCAATAATCTACACCCCATTTTTTGTAGGTACCTGACCTACCTAGGTAGGTAGGTAGGTACTTGAGCACTTCTCCGGTATTGAGTAGTCGGACTCGGTCACGGCGAAGTCGGGGATGTGCTCTAAGGGATGCCTTTTGCCGATTTACATATACTTTTTTTTTTTTTTTTTTTTTAAATATCCATGTATTTTTTTAAGTTGTTTACGTTGGCTTTTGAAAATTTGAAGTACCATACCCCACCCCCCAACGGATTACCCTAGCAGTGGATCACCCTTTTACACCGAAACTCTCCCTTTTTGAACAACAATACCGTAGTCAATTTAGACCCGCTAACCTCGGCACCCCAAAACACTAATCGCTCCAGTTCCTTCCATCACCTATTTAACGCAAGCGAAGCAATTGCTCTACAACACCCTTTCCTTCCTTCCGTCGCCAACAAGCAAACGAGCTCTACCTCTACTCCTTGAAGTCGCCCTGGGTGCACCAACATTTCATCTCCATCAGCCATCCATCCGCCTAAAAGAAGAAGGAAAATTCCGAACCCTCAATAAGTGGTTCATGACACTGGGGACCATATTACTAGGCGGCGAGGTTCCCGCAGAGCCGCAAGAAGAAGAGATGGAAGAAGAAGACGACGACGAGGATGTTGCAGATGATGATATTATACCTGCAAGAAAGACTAGATCTGGGCGTGCAGCTAGGGTGCTTGCACAATATATGGATTGAGCGATCAGTTAGCTACATTTTGCTATATTTTGCTTATAAATGGCTTCACAATTGATTGTGGTATGGTTGTTCAAAGATTCAGTATTTTGGTGTAAATCGTAATCAGGTGGTATTGGTGTTGGTGATGGGAGATATGGAAGCTGAGAAGTGCTACAATAGTGGCAACCGGCAAGAAGTGGTATAAGGCGAGCTCCACGAGAACCCCTCGTATCCTGTTGGTGTGCAAGACCTCGGGCTTTGATGGCTGGGACGGCGTTGCGATGGTTAGGTTGTGACTGCGGCGAGAGAGCTTGAGAGAGTGCTGGTTCGGCTGCAGCGAGAGAGCTTGAGAGGTTACGATGGTTTGGCTGCAGCAACTGAACAGCCTGAGAGTATCACCTAGATAGTTAGAACGTCGGGACAAATAATATAAAGTAAATTATCCTCGGGAAGGATCCAAAGAATACTGACTACATAAAGATTCGTCTTCTTTATAGACAACAAGCAGACACAGTTCTATATACGGGGTTTATTCCATATAAGGAAGATAGCCAACCACTGCATATGTCATATGCCATCAACTACGTATTCGACGGGTAACCCTCCCTGATAAGGCATCATTTTACAACGCAATCTCATTAATCTTTTAACAATCAGTCCTGGGCACAATGTAGCATTGTACTTGTCAAGTGTGCTTGTCAAACGCAAGTTCTAGAACGACAAACGGGGACACATGGGGACACATGAGCCCATTGACGTGGCCTGCGCATTGTTGGCCATTTACCGCTGATGAAGGATTTCGTCTCTATAAAAGCCCAACCATTCCCCTCGAAAGTCGAAATCCCAGGCCGACCCCAACATACATCGTTTTATTAAGCATTCACCCTCGGAAATCACCAAGCTTCCAAATAGCAAAATGACCCGCCGAATCATTGGTCTCTTCCTATTTATGCTGCCCATCTGGCTGGTGGCGTCCTGGAACTGCACCCAAGTCTCGTACGATGCTCTCGAATCCACCAGAGATCACAGCACCTGGCCGTTTGTTGGCCGGCACGGTCTCTACGCTTATACTCTGAATGGCCAATGCATCTACGTTGATGGCTCTCCAGGCGGCACATTTGCACGGCAGCACCCCAAGCAGTTTGCCAACTTTATGGGGGCCGTTCACGAATTCCAAAACAGCTCGCCTGACCCTCTCGACTTGGACCTTTCGCATCCAGCGCGGAATCGTCCTTGATAGAGCGACCTGGCGCCATCTGATGGCCAGGCGTATTGCGGCCAGGTCTGTGAAGGGGGGTTTTCTGTTATGGGTGCTGATGACGGCTCTCGGGTTTCCGCTATTTACTGCATCGAGTGCGAATGCAACATGCTCAGTGTGCATTGTAGCGACAGCCAGTGTGCCTCGTTTTCGAGATGCAAGTAGGGGTGCGTATGTCAGATACTTGCTGCCTGGGTTGGTGGTACCTTTGCAAACCCCAAAGAGGAACCAGGGGATGATTCAGAGTTGAGCAAACAAATACACCAGAGGTCGGTGCCGTCAGTGGGGGGTGGGGGGGGTTTGTTTTCGCAAAGGACTTCGCATGCATGGTACGGATACAAGCCTAAGACATCTGAGATACCGTACCTACCCCTACGTTTCACCCTCCAAACAAAAGTAGTACACCATCTCTGAAGAAATGCAAAAAAATTACTGTGTTGGCCAAGTTTACCATGTACCCGTATTTTCGTCGTTGGCACTTGGATTGAAGTTGGAGCATAAAATGGATCACGGATCAAATTCTTGGCATTATGGATACCTTACCCAATTCTGCGGAGAGGGAAGATCACGTGCCACAACGGGGGCAACCAGAGAACGGGGATCTCTGTTGGTCCGTGCTTTCCACGGCCAGACCTTGCTTCAGGTACCGACCGACAAACAGATTTCAGAAGTCTTTTCAGACTGTAGCGACACTCACTCACTCATCCAAGAAATTTCGCTGCAACAGAAGGCATAAGCAAATCCCTGCAGATATTATCCCATCCGTTTCACTCTCGTCAAAAGGGGATTTCATTTCGGCAGGGAGGACCTCTAACCAGTCGAGGGCGGCATCATCAAAGACTGCTAGGGTGACATTTTACATTTTCGGTCAATCGCTTCACCCTTTCACACACCGCACACACCATGAGCGACAGAAGACGCATCAATGGGCCTGTCGGCGCCACAATACCTCCAGCTTCTGAAGATGGAGCGAGCCGCGAAGTGGCGGGGTCAAGAGGCGGCAGATCTAGGCCTCCAAATGCAATCCGCAAAATGTGTAAGACTTTACGCGCACACGCCATCACACTGCACAATAAAGATACAATAAGACTAATACTCCCTAGACCTGAAAACCGGTGTCACCCCGTCCGCTTCCGGGTCTGCCTACCTAGAGATTGAGACATCGGGAAGGAGCGGCGTTTCTGGCCTGAAGCTCAGCTGCACCGTCCACGGGCCAAGGTCTCTACCGAGATCGAGCCCCTTTTCACCACACATCATCCTCTCCACCCACGTCAAATACGCCCCGTTTGCGACGAGGCAACGGCGCGGCTATCTCCGCGACCCGTCGGAACGAGACCTCGGCACCCACCTCGAGGCCGCTCTGCGCGGCGCCATCATCGCCGACCGATGGCCCAAGAGCGGCGTCGACATCATCGTGTCCATAATCGAGGGCGACCAAGACCGCGAGACCTCCAAAACCCAGGGCGACGAGTCGTGGGATCTCATGAACGCCCTGAGCGGCTGCATCACCGTCGCCTCGGCCGCCCTGGCCGACGCCGGCATCGATTGCATCGACACCGTCGCGGGCGGCGTCGCCGCCCTCGTCAGCGACAAGGGCGACGGCAACCCCAGCATCGTCATCGACCCAATTCCCTCGGAGCACGACAGGATCTTGGCCGCCTGCTGCATCGCCTACCTGCCCACCAGAGACGAGGTAACAAATCTGTGGTTCAAGGGCGATCTGCCTGCCTCGGACGCCGAGCTGTACACGAAGCTTGTCGAAAAGGGGATACAGGCATCTGCGAAAGCAAACCGCGTGCTTGTCGAGTGTCTCGGCGAGACTGTGGGATGAGGAGCCCCCCGTGTCACAGCATTATTCCTTCATTTTCTACATTCCATGACATAGGGTCGTGGTCTCAACCTGCGGCTCTTTGGTTGCTTTTTGCCCCCCCCCCCCCTCTTCTACGATGGGATATACCTGATATGATATACACATAGAGACTCTTCTGATTTCGTATCCAAGCATTCTACCAATTGCCAGAGACGGGATGGTGAATGTAGGAGGCGATGTAGATTCGCTTTGCATTCTACCAGGGACAATACCTTGCCACAAGCGGTTTACAAAGTGCAGAGCAGACTACCTTGTGATGATTGCGCCTCGCCTCGGTAAGACTGTGTAATAGTGTGGGGCTGCCCATCACGCTCCGGTATAAACATTCACGCAAAAACTACAGCCAGCGCTGGCGTGATGTGCGTAGCTGAAACGACGCCCATAAGTCTTTCCAGTCGCAGGTCGATAGCGAGCTCAAGCCGCTATCTTAGATTTAGACTTGAGGAAGTCAACTAGCTCGGCTGCGTTATCGACTTCGCCGTCGATGGCACTTGACGGCCCGAGTCTGGTGTAGAAAGGTGACTCGAAGCGTGCCGGGAAGAAGCCAGCATATTCCCAATCGAGAATCGCGGTGATCTTCAACGTCTCGGGGTCGACGACGACGTTTGGCTGCGAGAGGTCGTTGTGGCAAAAGACGTAGTCGTTGTGCTCGGAAGACTGTAGCCGCTAGTCGTCCTCCTTAGGCTCCGTGCACTGCATGATCCGATACGGGGGAATGACGATATGCCAGACGGCCCGCCCATCCTGTTGGACGTCAACGTCTTGAGCTTGGCTAGGTGGAGCTGGAGCTCTTCTGTCACGGTGGCCTTCTGGTCATCCGAAAGTTTTGACATAGATACCTTCCACATACTGTGATGAGGTAGTATGCACCGTCGTCCTCGAAGTCGCTGTACACGGCCGGCACCGGGATATCGGTGTGAGAGCGGACATATCTCAACGACTCGGCCTCGTTCTTCAGGCGCTCCATGCCGAGTCGAGGCACGTGGAGACCGCGGTATTTAGTCTGGAACTCTCTGGATCGCAGGCTCCTCTTGACGAAGGAGCCTTCACGTTGGTAGTACTTTCTCTCAAACAGGGCAGACTGGTCAGTAGGCTCACACTGTACAGAATGTCAACTAGGTATCCATATGGGTATTCGTACATGATCCCGACTATAACTTCTCAGCCAAACATATGCACTTGCTTCGAATAACTTTTGGGCACAACATGTTAACGGCTGTTCTGGCTCTCGTCAAATCAAGCCCAAGGCGTGTGATCTCGAAGCGGTTCAGAATCATAATGTCCTTGGAGTTGTCGGGAGGCCTGTAAAGTAAACTTGAGCTGCCCTGGACTTAAAGAGCTCGCAATTAACTAGTCCATGGGGATTCACTTATCTATGTGTACTACTGTCGCATCGTTTCGGCCGGTCTAGTTCTTTGGGCTTAAAGTGGTAAAAATAAACATAAATTTGACCGTGTTGCTAGGTAACTTGAACTTTGTGAGTAAGCTGGAAATGCGATTGTAAATGCAGTACACACAAACACGAGGTCAAGCCGTATCCGTCCCTTCGGAGGGGTCAAGAGTGGTAAATAGAGGATGAAACGTTGTCGTTGGTTCCATCTTTTTATTTCCTGGTTATCATTCTAATCATCCCACGCCAGCCGTCCAGATGATGGCGGCGCCTGGAAATACGCAGCGAAATACGCAGAGGATTACGTGTTCCTCGGAACGGATCAAGTCTGAGGTGACAATCACTCTCCATGCAGGCCGATCTTTGGCGGCCACGTAAACTCTGGGTGGATCATAGTGTCTGGCTGCATGCATATTGACTGTACCGAGCACACAATTATCAGGTGACTACGCCGTGCCACACAATCCAGTGCACTGTGGGCTCCTGGTGCTACGAGGCCCTGTAACCGTAGACCTTCCATCTTTTAGTTGGCTAGATCCACCCACAGCGACGCTCATCCCGGCGGGCCGCTGAAAACACGCTGCCAAGCCGTGCTGGATTGTTGTCGCCGCCAGCGATCGCCCCCTATTACGTGATCGTGCCTATTCAGCTCAACGCAGTCCTCCGAGCCGTCTTCCTTCGTTTCGAGCCACCGCGATAATAATCAATCCTCTGGACACTCTCGCTCTTGCAACTATCACGCCTCGCCTATATGATCATCTAATCAATCCACAGATTGTTTTCTCGCTCGCTCCGTCCTTGTTGTCACCCTAAAACTGCAGCCTCCGATTCCCCGCGAGCCTTCTCGCCGTGCGCGCGCATAACTACCGCAAACAGCTGCCGACGCCAACGACGAAAATCAATTCCAATGCACTGAGGGCCGACTTTCTCTCACGCTTCGAAAACCTTTAGGACCGATCTGACCTCAACCAGTCAGCGCGCGACCGATTCTCTTCCAGATGGGGAAAAAATGTAGGAGCATTTGCCCATTTCCTTCCTGCTGTGTCGCTGACCCAGACTCGCAGGGCGATGGGGTGTCATTCTCGACGCCGGATCGTCAGGCACACGACTTCACATCTACCGATGGAAAGACCCAGAGAAGGCGCTTAAGAATGCATCCAAAAAAGAACATGGGAGTCTGCCGCGGTTGGTGACGGAAAAGAAATGGACTAAGAAGATTCGCCCCGGCGTCTCTGAGTTTGGCGACAAGCCCTCTCGGGTCGGCCCTGAACACCTGCAGTCCTTGATCGACCATGCCCTAAAGATCATACCCGAAGACAAGATTAAGGACACGCCCATCTTCCTAATGGCTACGGCCGGGATGCGCCTACTTCCTGATTCCACACAGGCCTCCCTGACGAACCAAATCTGTCGCTATTTCCAGGAAAATACCGACTTTTCCCTCCTAGACTGCGGCCTGCACATCCAGGTAATACCAGGCGAAACCGAGGGGCTGTATGGTTGGATTGCCTCGAATTACCTCTTGGGAGGCTTCGACAAGCCCGACAGTCACCAGCACGGGAAGGGCCACCATACGTACGGGTTTCTCGACATGGGTGGCGCATCAGCACAGATTGCATTTGCTCCCAACTCGACCGAGGCCGAGAAACATTCAAACGACCTGAAGCTGCTGCGAATGCGCACCATCGACGGCTCGGCGTCTGAATATAAGGTCTTCACTGCCACATGGCTTGGATTTGGCGTTAACCAAGCACGGGAATCATATGTTCAGAGCCTTAGGGAACTGTATACGCCTTCTGCAGAGAATGAACTCCCTGATCCATGTATGCCAAAGGGGCTACGGACAACACTGGACGGCGATCAAGTTGGAGGGCACAGGACAGATGTCCTTACTTTACTCGGCACGGGGGCGTTCGATGAATGTTTGAAACTAACCCACCCTCTGCTCGGGAAGGATAAGCCATGCCGGGACCAACCCTGCTTACTCAACGGCCAGCATGTGCCGGCAATAGATTTTGACGTCAACCACTTCATTGGAGTGTCGGAATACTGGCATACAACACACGGTGTGTTTGGAGGCGAGGGCGACAAGGCGTATGACTTCAAGACGTATCAGCAAAGAGTAAAGGATTTTTGCAGCCGGGATTGGGACTCTATCGTACCCAAGCTCGACACACGGAAGAAAGTGGACGCCAAGATTGCACAGGAGGCTTGCTTCAAGGCTTCGTGGCTGATTAACGTGCTGCATGATGGCATCGGGATCCCGCGCATTGGCATCGAGAAGCTGCCGGCAGCCAACGTTTCCAAAGGCGCTCTCGAACACGCCAAGCAGCAGGGCTTCCTGGACCCCTTCCAGCCCGTCGACAAGATTGGCGACATCGAGGTCAGCTGGACGCTAGGCAAGATGGTGCTGTACGCGGCCGGCCAGATACCGCCCAAGAGCGGCGACGACAGGTACCCCGTAGGGTTCGGCAGCAACGCCGCAGAGACGATACCTTCAGACTTCCAATTCGCCGGGTCCAGCTGGCATCCGCACGGCCACGTCAACGAGACGCACGACGGCGACGACGACTGGGACCTCGAGGCCGAAGACCTCCTTGACAAAGCCAAGTCGAGGTCGGCCTCGGGCCTCCTTATCTTCTTCCTGCTCTTCGTCGTGCTGCTCTACTTCTTCCGCACGAGGGAGCGGCGCATGCGGCTGTACGGCAAGGTGAACGCACTGTTCTTCCACCGGCCGCGGCGGCCAGGCAGCCCCAGGAAGGGCGGCGGCGGGCGCGGCTTGTCCATCATCACCAACAAGCTTTTTCGGCGGCCGTCGGCCATGTACGAGCGCGTTATGGAGGAGGGTGATGCAGATCACTTTGAGCTGGGCGATGTCGACTCGTCGTCGTCATCCGACGGCGGCGACAACGACCACTCGGACTCGAGCGAGGGCTCCGGCTTCGGCCGCACCTCGGGTCTCGCCACCCCCAAGGTCAACCTCACCGAGTTCGAGCCCACGCCCTCGGGCTCGGCCCTCGACCGCAGCGGCCTCGTCGTCAGGACCGACAGCAGAGACCGCCTCCTGCCTAGCAGCCTGCAGATGCTCCACGCCGGCAAGCGGAGCCGCGCGGGCAGCCCCACGCGCCAGAAGAGCCCGCTCATTTCGCCGCTGCAGCAGGACTGACGGCATACGGCAGGCATCTTCTGTTCAATTCACCGTGTTTGAGTTTTCTTGCTTTGTAGGGCACATACCCCGGGAGCCCCTTGTTGCCAGCTAGCCAGCCAGGCGTGAGTGGGTGTTGTTGGAGTTGGTTATTTGCGGTCTGATCAGATATCGTCAGATTCGGGGCGCGGTTGTCAAAAAAGAGATATACAAAAAATCAAAACACCGCCATTTCTCTTCCATGTACACATATTTCTTTTTCTCTTCCTATGTCCCTTTTTTTTTGGTTATCATCATCATTATTAAACTCGGGTCGGGACTGACTTGGTTAGGTATGGGGGACAGTTTGCTTTTTTCTCTGGGTCGGTACGGCACGGCGGGTGTGATTGATGTGATGGAATGATTTCACATGTACGGAAGGACGGGTTTTCAGACGATCCGATCGATGGGCAATAGAGCGGAATTCTGATGTTGCTTTTCATGCATTGCCACCTATCTCCTTCGTTCTCTGGTTTTGCCCCTCGTACGCCGTCATGCCAATGGTGAGCGACATGTCGGTGAGGCGTGACGGCGCTGCTTGCTCCCTTTCTCTTTCCTCCTTTGTTTGTTCGGGGAATCTGGATGGGATGGTGATTGATGGATGTTTGATTCTGAAGGGCAGTGGTTTGATGCTGGCATCCATGGACGAGAAAGACTTGAGGCGTGCTCACTTCGAATCTAGGGCGTCTCTTTCTTCCTCCTCTCTTTTCTCACTAGAGGATTGTTTTATTTGTTGGTCTAGAGGGTCTAGTCTAGTCTCATATGCCCTTCACTAGATCAGCCTAGCGAAAATAGCATCCTACCAAATTTCCAGGATAGCCAGAACACAGCAAAGCTAACCAGAGTGTGGCGAGCGGCAAAATAAAGCACCTACCTAAACCCTCGCCTCTCACCTCCCTTTTTTCGTTCTTTTGGCTCGCTTACTCAGTCGCTCCGCTCCAGAAATCCCGGGTCGGAGCGGACCTTGGACTCGAATTTCTTCCACCATTCCTCAAACGCCTTGAGGGGCACCACCTCGACCTGGCCGGCCGTGCCGCTGAAGCTAGCCAAGAAGTTGAACGCGTTTTGTATGATCCGCTGGGCGAGAACTATGGTGGAAGGCTGCTGTGCCTGAGAAGAAGAAGTTACGGGGACCAACGCACCGCCGTTACTACTTGCCGACTTGGCGGCCGCCATCTCGGCCATTCGGGCGCCCACCGAGTCAGCGGGCTCGAGCGAGATGCCCAGAACGACGTTCCCGGCGGCCGAAGAAGCGCTCAGCTTGAAGATGGCACTCTCCTTGCCCGGGCCGATACCGCCCAGGAACTTGGAGGCCGGTCCGTCCTGGCCGGGGGTCACCAGGTAGATGGCTGCGGCGGTGCCCTCGGGGAGCACGATGCCGGGGAGTAGAAACACTACGATGTGCGAGAAGGAGGGCGAGGCTGACGACGGCGACGGCGACGGCGAGTTGGCGGCTGGGATGGCGAATAAGAAAGTAGTCGGCGTAGGTGTCTCCGAGGGGGACACAATCACCGGCTGGCCCGCAGGGACTAGGCCGAAGAGGGGTTGAGACATGGTTACGATGTCTGTCCAAAGACAAGAGACCGGGCGGGCGGGTTTGCGGAAAGGAATATGGGAGGCGCGATATAGAGCACGTGCTATAGTATATATGGTCCTAGCCTGTCCAAGGCAAGGGGGGTTTTCCTCTCTCCCTGTCCGTGAGTGCCGCTACCGTACACGGTTCGCTTATTCCCCGAATTCTCGGCTCTGGCGGCCGGCTCGGATTGTCACCTGCCCGAGTCTCAGTGCTAGTGGTGTGCTCGAGTGATAGTTGACAGTAACACAGGCTAAGGCTAGTGATGGATGGTTCTCGGTCGTGCTCTCGGCGTTCGCGTGCTCGGAGTGGTATGACGGGAGTGCAACCGGGCGTAGTGCCTGCCAACAAACCTGGAGTTGTCTCTACACTACGGGACTAGTGTTCGAGGTACCTAGTCTACCAATGTTAATGCCAATGGCAATGGCAATGGCAATGACAATGCAGTTGCCGATAGCCTTGAGAGCGGGGCTCAAGCCGACAAGCCTGGTTTAGGCAGGAACCTGGGGGGCCGTGACGAGCGCTGCGAGTGACAGAATAATGACGGACGGGACGGCGGGGCCGTGTAAGTATTGCACGACACGATAGGAGGGAGTCCCGTCAACTGGGGCCCTGGCTAGGGTAGTCTAGTTGGTGGCCGTGCTTGAGATGGACGGACGTGTTGGCGAGCTACCTAGGTAGGTTGGTAACCAGCCGCAAGGGCACGCACGGGTGAGGTGTCGGTTGAAGCTGTATGGAGGTATAGTACTGTACGTTTTCGAATACCGATACCTGCGCTGTGGGTGGATGCGATCATGCAGATAGCCAATGCAGGCGGACAGGCGGGCCAGCGACAAGTAATGGAAGCAGGGACCAGGGGGGTTGCGAGTCTGGGTGAGCAACCTGAGGCGACCCGACGCAATAGATAACGGTCAGAAACCTAGTGAGCGCGTGCAACGAATGCTGTCAATGTGGACCGTTCGCTGATGATCTGCAGTCAGTCAGGCGATTATTCCGAAGCGGCACTCCGCCCTCCCTCAGGCAACTCTCAAAATCGGTAGCGAGGGGCGCACACGGCTTGTGCGAGCGTGCAGCTTAATAAACTGCTCCAGTCGGGTCCAAGTCGTCTTGGTGTGGACGGTGTAGGTAACTGGTGTTATCGCAGTGTTTACCTCTTGCTCGTCCGAGGGCGGGAGCGCACGCGCATGCAGGAAGACTCGTTAGTGATTAAATAAGTCAAAGTCGTTATAACGGTTGACGTGCAGATGCTGGTTGGTCGGGTAGGTTGGTTCCTCCGCTGCGCTGCGGCTCGGCGACAAAACGACCTAAAAATTGTTACGTATGGGCAACCCCTCTTCCCCTCAATCCCCTCTCGCTGGGCTGTTTTCCCCTTTCATTGTTCCTTTACCCACATGCCATACCTCATAGGAATAGGAGACCGGGAACCGCAATGGTGAATTTGTCAACCTGGTCCCGGCTTCCACGAGGCCGGCCAAAATGATCGGCAGTCGTCTCGTCTCATGACGCTAGGTTCGAATAACCGTTAGACTGTCGTCTGTGGTTCGCACGTCCAAGGTAGGGTTTGCACGCCAGGTAGTTCGCGCAAGAGTGAGCACTAGAACCATCGCCCAGCTTCTAGACTCGAGCGTGATCTGCAGCTGCCATGCCATACCAAGACACCCCAGAAAGCTGAGACCTAGTGTCGCTGTGCCGTCCCGGGCCGTGGTGGGGTTGCAGGAGCCGACAAGTTACAACCCTTGGGTCTTGGAGAGCACCCGACGCGTTTGGCTGCTCGTTTGCTTCTATCCCCTTGGACTTTGCCTCGGCACCAGTCGACCTTTTCTCCGCGCCAAGCAATTTTGGCCAAATAGTGAGGATCACTCTGGGCGTTGTGGGTTAGGAAAATGCCGTCAATTGGCCTGAATGCCTTCAATTACCTTATCTTGGTATAAAAGTGGGTATTTACAAGGTAGTTTTACCGGTGCCAAAGCAAAGTCCAAGGGGATGAAGTCCATGTCTTGCTCCCTGCCCTGCCCTGCCCGCCTTCGGATTGGAAACCGGGCATGGACTCAATGGGAGTGCGGCTCGGTTCCATTGCCATTGGGTGCCCGCTGGAGGCACATGCTTTAGGCCAGTGCCCACTCACCTAGGGCGCCGCTGGGACGGGAACCGTGGTTGAGCGCCCCGGCTCGGGGCGAAACCGTTGGCTTGTCAAGCCGGACGCAGTCTTGGCGCACACCCGAGCAAAGCTGGGCCATCACTATCGCAGTTTGAAAGACGGGACTGATGTCCAGCGACCCCGAGCAGACCGAAGTGGCTTTTTGTGATAAAGGCGCCATTTGGCTGTGCCCTTTTGAATTGCCGTGGATCGCCTGCTTGCCATCTCCTTCACAGCTCTGCCGAGTTTCATGGTGTTGTACGAGCCGCCCAGCTCCATCCACGGCAGTCGCAAACTCAAGTATTCGTACCTACCGTACCTTACCGTGTCTATCTATTCCGTCCGTACCCTACCTAACAATACTTCTGGCACGTCCCTGCCGTTCGGAACCCGCATTCGGAACCGGAAGCCCTCCCAAACACCAATCCTCGGAAGAGAAGAAAAAAAACTCGACCTCTGCCGCAGCCATGACCCGTCGGTTGGCCAATATCGATTTGTTGAACAAGTGCGATGTGTAAGTCTTGCTGTGTCTTGTTCAATTTCCTCTTTCCTAATCTGTACACCCCCCCATGCCCATGCCCCCCTAGTCAGAATTGCACCTGCGCGACCCCTCTATGCGGCCGGCGGCGAAGGCGTCAATCCCGGCCCGCTTCTGGAAACCCCCTTCTACACTTGCACACCCCCCCTAGCAACGCCCCCCGAACCATGCTGTGCAACAAGGCATGTGCGGGTCGGCAGTCGCTGCTCGCTAGTTTGGTGGCGCGCCTTGTGCATTGGCCGTATCTGTTCTTCGGGCTGGGCAAGGCGGAAAAAGAAAAAAAGCAGAACTCAAAACTTTAAAAATAAATGCAAAACTTACGAGCATCGCAAGCGTCTTGGAATTGGCCGCTTACTTTATGATATTGCGCACTGAAGGTTTCCGGATCCCGAAAAGGACCCTGCCGGCTATGCCGAGCTCACGAACGCGCTCTATGCGCTCGTCTGGGAAGACGGCGATGGTTGGTTCCCGATCGGCTGGCTGCCAATCGCCGTCGTCGATGCCCTGGTCAAGACGCCCACCAGCGTGAGGGGCCGCATGGATATCAATCCTACCGACCGGACCGTGGCTCTCTTCCACGAGCTCGACACGGAAGAGGAGCGCACCCGCCTTGTCGCCCAGCTGACGGCGTACTGGCGCAAGAACCAGAAGTTCCGCTTACTCAAGGGCTGGCGCGACGAGATCTGGCCCGTCTACGGCCGCCACGGTGAGCTCTTGTTCAGCATGGAGCGTGCCGCCATGGGCCTCTTTGGCACCACGCGGTACGGCGTGCACATGACGGCCTTCATCCGCCGCCGCGACGCCGACAGCAAGTACGACTTCCGCATATGGGTCCCGACACGGTCCACTTCCAAGTCGACGTACCCCGGCATGCTGGACAACACCGTTGCCGGCGGGCTGATGACAAACGAGGACCCTTTCGAGTGCGTCATTCGCGAGGCCGACGAGGAGGCTTCGCTACCCGAGATGGTCGTGCGCAGCTATGCACGAGAAGTCAGCAACGTCACATACATCTTCATCACGGACGAGCGCTCGGGCGGGGAGCCTGGCTACATCTATCCAGAGTGCCAGTGGATTTACGACCTCGAGCTGCCCTCTGACGGGAGCGTCATCCCCGAGCCCAATGACGGCGAGGTCGAGAGTTTTAGCCTGCGCACGGTAGAGGAGATCCAGGAGCAGCTGGCCCAGGGAATGTGGAAGCCAAACTGCGCCCTGGTCATGCTCGATTTCCTTCTGCGTCACGGGATCTGCACACCTGAGAACGAGCCTCACTACCAAGAGCTACGCACCAGAACACATCGATACATATCCTTTCCGGGGCCGCACCACAGCTTCCATTAGAGACGACTTCCAGATACGACACAGAGTGCATTTTGAAATAGACGCGCCTTTTCCCCCGGGTATCTCTTAATCCACATTTCGCCGGGGGGGGCTTTCCTGCCCATTTTGGTTTCCTTTCCCCGAACGCCTATTTTCCCCAACTGTAACTATCTAGCTTCGAAGCAACCTTGGGGGCTGTGGCGCACAATGATGAGAAGGAGTTTTCTTTTCTTTATAGATGTCGTCGTCCCCCCCATTCAATTCCCTGTACACCCAACTAGTTTCATCTTCCCACTTGGTCTTTTCTCCCACGACCGGAAACAATGTGCGCATCTATAGAATACTTGGCAAGAATTCCTACTTCTTAACCAGGAGATAGACATAATCGACGCGCAGCGGCGTGAGCCTCTTGTACGGCCCCTCGAGCTTCATGAGTAGGCCCCCAAATGAGATGTATGCCGTGCTGTTCTCCAGGTTAGCCATCTTCTTTGCACGCATAGCAGGCCTTAAACCACGGCGACACTCCCGTTCCATAGGCCATTCCAGTTGCTCGCTTTTTTGGAGGTGGGGGGGCGGCATTTGCGAAATCCCTACTCACATTGTCTGGCCGTCGCTGCCGTCCTCAAACTTGTACACCTTGCCGTGGCACACGTAGTCGTAGTTGTCGGCGAGCGAGGCCCTGTCCTCGTCCCTCTTCCGGTCGTCGCGCCAGCCCTTGTCGTCCTCCTTGGTGCCGTCGAGGTTGAGCGTGCTCGCAACCACAATGTCAACGCTATCGCCGACCTTGGTCGGGAAAAGCTCCTTGTTCACGTCCAGCTCTATGACCACGCTGCTCGGCTCGCCGTCCTCGGACGAGTTCCCCACGTTCTTGCCGTACAGCCGCTCGCACCGGTCGTACTTCTTGTCGTTTATCTCGTCGATCGTGAATCGGTCGTGAAAGAGAAACGCGTCAGATGTCATGCCCGCCATTGCGATTTTTTGGGGGGGTTTATTGTGGGGTTGGAGTTTTTTTTTTTTTTTTTTTTTTGGTAAGAGGGCGCGGTTATAGCTGGAGGGGCTTGGGGAGTGGTTAGAAGCGTAGTGTTGGGCGAGGTTTTGATTGGCAGTCTCTTTTGCAAATGCGATGCGTGGTCTTTAATGAGGTTTGACAAGGGAAAAATACGTTACCAGCGTGGCCGTTCACGCCAAGGCGTGGTGAAATACCCCAGCAGGTGGGGCTCTATTCTTTATTTTGGGGTGACCGCCGCAAGCTCTTGCAGGGGTTCCGCTTCCGGCAGGCAAAGACACGGAATATGGGTCTTCTTTCAGCAGCAGCAGGAAGCTTTTCCTCCCTGACGACGGGAAGGACTCCAACTACAACCTAGCATTGTCCCTTCCGTTTCCGCAGGCAATCTTTTGTTTTGTTGGTAGGATATTAAACGGCATACTAACAATGTCGTTCACGAAGAAAAATATGGTGCTCTCGACAGCCCGCCCTGGCCGCCCGGCAGTGGTGCAGACCAAATCAGAGAAGCCGCAGCTTGCGCCAGGACTGCGGCCGTCGCCTCTGGAAGGCAGGCCCACCACGTCTACTGGAACGGCCTCGCTCGACCAGCTCCTTGCCGGCCACGGCGGTCTCCCCATGGGCACGTCGTTGATGATCGAGGAGCAGGGCACGACTGACTTCTCGGGCGTGCTCTTACGGTACTATGCTGCCGAAGGGCTCGTGCAAGGCCACCAGGTGCATGTGGTGGGCTTACCCGTGGAGTGGAGACATCAGCTTCCTGGCGTGGCTGTTCCCGACGCCAAGTCAAAGGCGGCGCAACCGGCAGCTCCCGTCGAAGATAGGATGAAGATTGCGTGGAGGTACGAGGCCTTGGGCAATGCATACAATGCTGGGGCCTCTGCGGGCCGGGTCGACAGCAGCGCAGCTTCGGTTTTCTGTCACGCCTTTGATCTGACCAAACGCCTTGCGTCGACTTCATGCAAAGGGTCGCTAAATTCTACTCCAAGCACCGGCCCGCCAACGCTCGACTCGGCTGCCTCCAGCACCGTCTCCCCATTCGCTGCTATCATCAAACACCTGAGATCCAAGCTGGAGGCGGCGCCTGCGACGGAAATCCACCGCCTGGTTATTCCGAGCCTTCTTCTGCCAAGCCTCTACGCTTCTCGATGTTGCCAGCCGGCTGAAGTCCTGCAGTTCTTGCACGGACTGAGAGCCTTGCTTAGGCAATACAGTGCCCAGCTCACGGCGCTCATCACGCTTCCGACGTCGCTTTTCCCACGCGGCTCTGGCCTCGTCCGCTGGATGGAGCTTCTCTCTGACGGCGTGGTCGAGCTGATCCCTCTGCCCGCCAACCCTGGGGCGGCAGCGCCACCCACCTCCTCTAAGACAGACTCGAGAAACAGCGACCAGGCCCAGGGGCTCCTCAGAATACACTCGCTGCCCGTGTACCATGAGAAGGGCGGGGGCGGGGCCGAGACAAGCTCCTTCCGCGAGAACCTGTCGTTCAGCTTGAGCGCGTCGAGGGGGTTGGTCATCAAGCCGTACAGCCTCCCGCCAATGGAGGATGACGACCACAAGGAGAAATCGCCTGCAAGCACGATTAAAGATGGCATTGATTTTTGATTATTTCACAGTTCCATCTTCCGAGTTTGTTGACCTGTGTTGATGGTTTTTGATCCCTCCTAACTTGAGGTTCCATTGCCTAGATGCTGAGCCTCAAGCACAAGACACCCGCCAAGCCTAAGCCCGCTCGGTGCCAGGTAGCCTTACGTAGCCCCACCAAAACCGCCCGCAAGCGTTAGGCAATTTCAGGTTGGACAGTGGGGTGCAGCGCAAACTCAAAACTTACCGCTCGAAATTTTCTGCCACAGCGCAAACCTATAAAGGATGTAGAATCCTTCAAACCCAAGACTCATCTTCTCCCTCTTCACTCCTTGGCTGCGCGCCTGCAGTCAATCAAGACGATTGGTAAGTCACAGCTTCATTTCTTACACATTTCTCGTGGCGCGAGTGTTTCACCATGATTATGAAACAAACGTATAATCTGTCAATCCCCTGAATTTTCACTGTGATGATCAATACGGAATCCAAGGCTTATGAACCTACACTCCAATTCACATTCAATGTTCCCATACCTGCACCTATTTTGGACCGCATCTAATTGGGGCATTATAGAACATCTTCAGCCGAGATAATGGCATCGCCGGTGGCAGATCGGCAGGTCCGCATCTCCAAGATTGCGGGTCGATACCTTGTCTTTGACATTGACGACGTCGTGCACATTAGGCGTCAGCATGGAATCTGCAGCGTCTTCACAGGCACCATGCCGCAGAATGCCACGCAAAACGTCCTCCTCGGCTTGCCCGTTGAACTGTACGCGGAAGAGGCTCGGCTCCTGGTTGACAAGAAGGCTGCGTACATCGCCGATGAGTCGGCTGACCATCTGACCCAATTGAAAACAATGGATGAGACTGCTCGCAGAGAGTATATCGCGTCCCTGAAGTCGCAGCGCAGAAACGCGCAGCTGGTGTTCGCGGATGCGAAGGCGAGGTCGTTGGCGAAGCACGCAGATAAGCGGAAGCCATCGCCGCGGGACCAAGTATCTAAAGATGGCCCGGCCATTGGCAGCGGTCTGGACGACAAGAAGACGAGCATAATAGACGGGGCCGGTGGAGATACGCTATTCGACTCTCGGCCAGTTTCCAAGCCCGTTCCGAAGACAGTGACTGTAGAGGCCATGCCCGCCATCACGCCCACCACCAGCAATGCGCTGATCCGGCCGAATCCTAGCAGCGTTGCTGCTCTAGAGTTGCCTTCTTCCGATCTCCTTTTGGCGTACTTGAATGCAAGGGGATATTTCATCACCCCTGGGCTCCGGTTCGGGGGAGACTACAGCGTCTACCCCGGGGACCCCTTCAGATTCCACGCCCACTACCTGGCCAATAGCTATGGGTGGGATGAGGAAATCCCCATGCTCGATCTTCTCACCAGCGGCCGGTTAGGCACGGCCGTCAAGAAGAGCTATCTTTTCGGTGCGGCGCGTAATGACCAGAAAGCGGCAGGGGGGCCCAATGTGTCCGCCGATGGCGATAAGGGCGGAGACGAGGATGTGCGGGTCTTCTGCGTTGAGTGGGCAGCTATGTAAGAAGCATGGTTGGGCATTTCTGTGTCGTTTATATCTCCTTTTTACGCGGTTGATACCCCATTTGAATACGAATCTTTAGCGGTTACCATACTACGCCTCTCTTGGTTGCAGAAATCTGTGAATATCATGGTTGGGTTGTGATGTGAGCTGTTTGTTGGCGATGATGTAAATCGGCTTTGGTTCTACCCATCTACTCACTTGATTGACTCTAGAGTCACGTCACCAGTACACACGACCTTGCAGCCCTTGGCCTAGCTTGCCTTGTTCACTACATAGCGAGGACATGGGACTTCACTACGCGGCCTATTGAGGTCTTGAACGATGAAAAGAAAAAGGAGAAAGAGAACAATGTTACCAAAACTTTCAAGATGCCTGTCTGCGCTGCCAGCAAATGAACGAAGCTTTTGGCGCCTTACGGAATCTTATTTGTACATAGGTATTCTGCAGTGCATGCATTGCAAAAGGGTCTAAGTATGTACCTACCTAAACAGACCTTGCAACTTCCATCCTCCAGGCCCCTGATTTCGCTGCCGGTACGTACTGTACATATCTAGGCGGGGGATTCTGGGGCCAAGGGAGGCGTGGAACTGGAGAGGTGACGGCTGGCTGGTTGATCCCATGGCATGGCATGAACGGACGTGATAGGTTACCGGGCTTGCTGCTCACTGACTCGTAGCTCCAAGGAGACCTTCGCCGAGCGAGCCTTGTGCGGCCAAGCTCAATCCGAGTGTCACCAGTGCGGTGTGAGATGATGAGAGATTAGTAATAATTATTTCATTAGTGTTAACCGCCGCTGTATCCGTAGTTGGTACGGACGGTCCTAAAAGCCTCGCTCGTCATGACGCATGTCATGACCCCTTATTTACCCTGGAGAGCAAGTTTCTTTGCACCCGCTCCCCCATTTTATATATACACATGTTACTAACACACGCTTTTCTTTTTCTTCTCGCTTATTATAGAGATATTCCCAATTCGCTATTCCCTCCGTGCTCATCTCATAAACATCGTCCCACATCGTCAACCCAATCTCGTAAATAAAAAAAAGCCATCATCACGAGGACCCAAGGATGCGCGAGTACGCATCCTCCACCTCGCCAGCCAGCTCCAGCAGCGACACGATGACTATCTGGTGCGTCAGGTTGGGCAGCCGGTCGCGGTTCAGGCCGATCCACTCGAGCGGCGGCGTGGCCTCGCCCATGTCTCGTAGCTGGGGCGTCTCGATGACGGGCGGCTCGAGGGCCGTGTACTCGTATTTGGACTGAGGCACCTTGACCTCGGCCGTGATCTTGTTCGTCGTGAGTGGCTCCTCCTGTTTCTGCTGCTGCGAGGATGTGGATTCACCCGCCGCGCCGTCTTTCAGAGGCTGCTGCTTGTCTTCGGGTTTCTCGGGAACTCCCGTCACGCGAATCGCTGTGACGGGCGGGAGCTCCTTGCCCCACGTCTGGGCGAGCGATTTGACGTGGTTGGCCCACATGCCGCGGATGAAGCTGATGCGGCTGTAGTTCCAGCCGACCTCGACCTTGCCCTCGAAGGCACTCTTGAAGATGTACTCAATCTGCTTCGACTCTGGGCGTTGCCACGTCTGCATGACGGCCTCGACCTGGGGCACCTTGAGAATGGTTCCTCCGCGGGAACCCGTTGCGCTCTGCACCACGTCCTCGACCGACAGCTCGCTCAGCGTCTTGGGCGCACCCGCAGCTCTCACGCCGGCGAGTCCGATGCGCAGCTGGCCGAGTGTCAGCCCCAGAATGCTGTGGATGCGGCCGTCTTCTATGCTGGCCGCAAAGTGCGCCTGTGCGTTGAGGGCCTCCATCTTGAAGACTTGGTGGTCCGAGAAGGTGCTCGGGAAGACACCGAGGTTGAGCTTCTTCAACGTCACCACGACATCCGTGTCTAGCGAGATGGGAGACTTGAGAATGTCGCCGTCCACCGACTTGGCCATGCTGAGGCGCTGGATTACTGCTGCGGCCGGTGCCGAGACAGACTTCCTTCTCATGAATCTTTCAATCTCCTTGAGGGACGTCTCAAAGTTTGCCTTGCGTTCCTGGACCAGCCGCTGGAAGGCCTGGTATAGGGCAACCCCCTGCGAGGCCGAGCTTGTTGTCCCAAAGACCTGGACGGCCTCGCCATCGAATATCGCAACGAGCCGGTCTCCACTCCCCTGCTGGCCACCCCGGACATTGTACATAAGGAGTTCCAAAGACGTGATATCGGCGACCAAAAACGCCTGGTAGTCGAAGGCAGCCTTGACCCTGAACTGGCTGAACCCAACCGACGCCTGGATCATGGGCGTCTCGTTGAGCGCCCGTTCTCGCTCGGGCCATTCTATCGAAGTACGCAGCTTGAAGTCCTGCAGCGCAACAAAGCCGCTCATGCGGCCGGCGCTCTCAATGCCAATCATCTTGAAACCGAGGCAGAGGTTTTGCTTCCAGTCCGATGTCTTCTTGGACAAGATCCAGAACTCGCTGATCGAAAAGATAGCTTTGCCGAGAGCCTGCCCGAGATCGACAACAATCTTGAGGGCCGAGATGGAGATGCTGGCCGTCCAGGGGAAGGCTGCAGTTGCGGCCACCTGTTGGTAGCGCTGTACTAGATAGCCTTGGGACGTCTCGGTGGCGAGTTTGGCTGCAGGGGTGGCACCAGAACCTCGCACCACCTCGTGGGAGAGGAAGATCTCGCGAGGGAGCCAGATCTCGCGGAACAGCATAAAGTCGTGCAGCTGCTTTGCATTTATCGACACCTCCATCGGGCTGACCTTGACAATCGCAGATAGCCCATTAGTGCCGCTGACGTGTTTGCTGTTCATGAGCGAGAGGACGATTGACTCGACCTTGAAGCTGCCCGTTGACTCCCTCGAGTAGACGTGTTGGACAGACGCCTGGAGATTTGAAAATGTCCCCGAAGCGGCGAAGAAATTGCCCTGGTCTAGCGAGCGAACTGTGTTCACCGTGAAGTAAACATCCCGGAAGCTGGCCGTAGCTGCCACCCGGGCAATAGGTTGGCAACTCAACGAGAACTCTTGCTTGCAGATGCGTAAGCCAAGGTTCAGCTTCATTCGGCCAAGAACAGCTGTTGGGTCTGCCGTCAGTATGTTGTCTTCCTCGGTCTGCTTCGCCTTGGTTACGGTTTCTTGCGCCGGAACATGGAGCTTGCCGTCGGTGTCGGTGTCGCCGTTGCCGTCACGGGTGCTCACAACCGCCTTGATGCTGTTGCTGATGTCCACGATCAAGGGCACCACTGACGGGTATAGGATGTTGCTCGAGGCATCTATTTTGACCTCTCCGTAGAGAGATGGATTTTCTATCCCGTCGTCACGGTACTCAACCTTACATGCCAAGCCGGGAGACCGCAGGACCGTCGTTGCTGACTCGTCCTGGCCCAGCGTCCCAGGCTTCCCAGGAATGTTCGGCCGAGTTGGTTTCGAGGCCGAGACCAGGTCGTCGGGAGCTCTCTTTCCTGTCAGGTACACGACTGCACCGGCAAAGTCGGCATCGACAAGCAGAGATTCTATCCTTCTACTTCCTAAAATGCTGCCTTGTCGGGATTTCTGTTCTTGTTCGGGGGCGGGTGTCGACGCTGGCGCGGCCGGACTGGGATTCCAGTTCAGAGACGCCCGCTGTGCGTTCTTGGCTGACAGGCTAATGGAATCCTTCAAATGGGCTGCGGGAATGATGAAGCCCGAGGTCAGACGGAGATCCAGCGACTTGCCCACCGCCTGAAAGGCCAGTCGGCGTGCATCTGAAGTGGACACGTAGGCGATGTTGAATATGACTTCTGGGAGTAGGGCCGAGTTTGGAGAGCGCAGCCTCTTGTCGTCTTGCGAAGCCATCATCTGGACTTGAAAGTTCTCGATCGTCAGCCTGGCCGAGTTTCTCGTGCGAGTGCCAAACTCAATCCTCTCAATGGAGAGCACCAAGTCCTCCTTGCCAAAGCTTGGCTCCTCGTCGGGCTTGCAGACCAGCCAGGCCACGTGTATATTGCTCGTCTCAAATGTGTACGTGACCGAGGACAGGAAGGCATCGATAATGTCTGTTTCCTCCCCCTCCTCGGCGTCGTTGATGGTGATGCGGGGCTTGGACTGTCTGAGCTTTCGCAGGTATTCGAGTTCTCTCGACGTGTCGAGGTCCTTGATTTTATCACCCATGTGACCCAACACGTCCACGAAGGTAGAAACCGTGTCAGGAGAGAGGTTGACCTCGAACGTGTCGCTCTTTACGTTGAAGAACCTCTTCTCCTCGCCGTCCTCGCCGGGCCGCGACGAGGCGGTAATCAGAGCCCCGAAAGCCATGTTGCCGCACGAAGTCATGGAGTCGGCAGTGCCCTTCTGAATCCCAAAGGTGATATGCCGCAGGTTGACGTGGAACTCGGGATATGTTAGGAGCGGGCCGTGCTGCTCGACTCTATTGGCGATACCCAGATTGATGCTGTCGAGCGCGAAAGAAATATGGGCCAAGGGCGTCTCTTCAGATTTGAGAGGGCTGTTTCCAAACACCTCGAGACCGGCCGATGTCAGATGCACCCCGTACGCCAGGACGGTAGATTCCTTCTGAGGAGCAGTATTCGTTGCCTGAACGTCCCCGACCACGTCTCCGATGTGTTGCTGGATCGTTTTGCTCTGCTGTTGTAGCTCGCTGATAGAATTGGACACTTCAGGGCGGTTCAGAGCCGAAAGAAGGCTATAGACTGCCGAGGCATCCAGCTGCACCAGCTCGAGAGACGCGAAAACGTTGATGGACTGCTCTCCTTGGTCCATGTGGCTTATGACACGTCCATTCGTAGGCGGTATCTGAAGAAGGGACATGCTGCGGGCGACGTTGTTGACCTTGATTTGCATCTCGTGCGAGTTCTCCTTTATGTCAAAGTCGAAGATGATCTCCTTGCCAAAGTTGGCCGCCATTGCTGCTCTTGAAACCGTCCCGTGCACTGTATATGTTAGGGTCCGAAGCAGGGGCACGCTGATCGTGTACTGGTCCATGAACATGGCCACATTCACCCTGAATGCAGACAGTCGATCGACGATTTTCTTTCCAGGTGAGACCGGCTGGGATGAAGACGGGAGCTGCTGCTTTATTCTGTAGATCTGGGCAAACTCATCTCGAACCACGAGGTCCAAGACCTCGGCCAAGTTGATTGGGTCTTGTTTCACAACCAGGCTCAGGTAGCTGCTGCTGGCGGTTGCCTTGATTGTGTGGCTGTTAGTCGTCTGGCTCGATCGCGATTCTTGCGACACAAAGATGCTGGGCTTCTCGAGGACGAATTTAGCAAGCCCCTGAGAATGACTCCTCAGGCTGGAAGTCGCCGAGTCGCAGCTCAGAATGAAGTTGGTGTCGAGGAGACTGTTAGCCCCCATCTTCGTGAGCAACGAAGCTTTGGCTCCATTTACAAAGGAGGAAGCATGGAGGTTGATAGCCTCCAGGGCAAGGGACCCTCGCCCAAGGGACACTACGCAGTGCATAGTCTGCTCTCGTGTCTTCTTGGGGCTAGTAGCGGCTGGGGCCTTTTTCGGCGACGCTGCCGGCCGGGATTGAATCTTCCTCGCCAACTTGATCACACCATCTGCCAGTTGGCATAGCTCCCAATTGAGATTGATAGCAGCATCCCCACACAAGACATTTAAGATGATCGAAGGATGATCCGCCTCGGCGGCTCCCCGAGCGGCATTTTCCTCTGCTTGAGGTCTCGACTCGAGCCTCGTTGTGAGATCTAGAATTGTGATTTCGTTTTGCTTTGGGCCCGGATCAAGTGCAATCTGGGTCTGCTTGATCTTAACAACAGCGAGGGTCGGCTTCTCCCGTGCGGTAGGTGTTGGGGCCACTGGCGGCGGCCCGAATATCAGGTTTAGAAGCACGCTCTCTGATAGGTTCTCTAGGTCCCAGCTCCTCCATTTCTCAAAAGCCTTGACAACCTCTTGTCTAGGCTCTGCCGGGACATCCTGCGAGTGATTCATGCACTCAAATCTGATCCTCTCTTTGTCGTTCTGGTTTTGCACCGCCCATATCTGACGAAGCCGCATGATAAGCTTCCACGAGTCAAAGGTCCGCAGGTGATGTGACGCAGAACGGAGCACAGACGAGGGCCGAATCAGAAACGATGGGTCCGGGGTTCCTTGGCCGTTAGCAACGAGCCGCAGGACCATATTCTGCACCATATTCTTCTCTCGTAGTGAGACCTCGGCCAGAAGAGCGCCAATCTCGTCTCCCAGAAGGCTTGTGCGATGAATGAACGACGCCAGGTAATCAATCTTCTCAGAAAATGCGCTCGTACGGATATTGCCAACTTCGACATCTAGATACGTGATTCCCCTGCTGCCTACTGATGCCATCACATTCTCTATTTGGGCCAACGCAGCGGTGTGCGGGCTCTCCATATCGCTATATTTCTCAGCCACAGAGACCCCGACCGACTGGAGCCTCAGATGAAACGAATGTCGTGTTTCGCTCGATTCAGGCTTTGAGGCGTCTTGCCATTTGGTCTCGGACCTCGAAGCAAGTGCTAGTTTGGTGACTGCGATGTCAAACTGGTCCTGCTCTCCCACAGAGACGTCTGGCGAACCCAGTTCAGATGAGTTGGCGAACCGAATAGTAGCCCGCGGTAGTCTTACGAGTACATCGCTGATGTTTCCTTTCATTTTCTGGCGCTTCTGCATGCCAAATATCTCCGACATTGAGCTAATCTGGAGCGAGTCCAGAATATTATCAGGGTCCGATGGCTGGAGAGACGACATCAAAGCAATTGCGTGGCGTAACGACGTTGGATTACAGAACGCCGAAACGCCTGTTGGAAATTCAAGCATGATGCTCGAATACGCACAATCTTCGCTCAAGAGATCTGGGTCAATATCCCCGAGATCGAAATCGACCGAGTCTTTGTCGGCCTCGTCACCGTTCGCTTCGGATTTCTCGACGTCCGGCATCAGCCCTTCTTTGTAATTGGGTCTCACATTTTCCAGCGGAAAGTAGGGCGCAAAGTACTGGCTTGAGAAGGCAACGGTATTGTGGAACACGTCCGGGCGCTCTGTATTGTCCCCAGCCGTACTGTAAAAAGCAGAGTGGCGGGTCGAGGCAGAAACTTCCCGGACCTGATGAGAAGGTCGTTTCTTGACTCCCGGCTTCTGGCCGACGGGGCCGAGGGGATGAAGCCGATCACCGAGCCCGCTCTTCACGTTTAGCTGCCGCGAGTTGTAGGGCTTGAGAATGCTGCTCTGATTAGAACTTGCGAGCGACAGGAAAGAGCTCTTCTGCCGTAGACGCCTGGATCGCCTTGACGTCTTTGTCGAGGCCAACGAGGACGCCCTGTCGTCCTCTATTTCCTCAACCGTGGTGGGCAAGGGGATGGGCGGAACGCTCTGCGCAGGAGGGTCCACCGGAGTTAGGACAAAGTCCTCTGTGAGGCCAGGCAGAATGAGAAAAGGCGCCCTGTGCGTGCGCTGGTCTTCACGACGAACTAGCTCCTGCTGCAGCTTCCTCTCGCTCGAAAAGTTGATCTTCCGTCCAATGATTGCGATGCGCACGCTTGTCTCTATGAGCGCATCTGTCTCGACTGGGTGGTGGGTTCGTGTCTTGTGTCTTGTAGCTGACTCTGCGTTTACGCAAGAGAGCTTGATGTCGGGAATTCGAAGGCTGGCCCGTCTGGAATAATGCGACCGTGCCCAATCATTGTAGTTGACGTCGATCGATCCCGTCGAGATTAGAAACGCAGCCTCGTCAACGTGGACCCAGAGCCGGATCGACTGCACAGCAACACGGAGAAACGTGACGTCGTAAAGTACAATCGACGAGAGAGAGATGAGCGCGTTTTCGTCATCGTCAAAGGTGAACCCAAACGCCTTTCCCCCGCTGATAAGTGTCGTCGAGAACTCAGTCGTGCACTCGCCCGTGACTGCGCCAGCCGAAACATCCCAATTGCATAGATAGGTGGGTTCTATTGGTGGAAGTCCGAAAAGACGATGGCCGTGTATATGAAGGCCATCGACAAAAACTTGAGTGCTCGATGTTGCGCTGACTGGGGTTTCCATGCCCGACTCGGCGCTGCCCAGTGACAAGTTGAGAGGAGCCACTACCAAGTCCAGGTCCATGTAGTAATTGGTGAAGCGCACATCGAGGCCTAAGCTGGCCGTGTCAATCTGGACATGGCGCTGGGCAGAATAGAGGTTAGATACGAGCAGAAATCTGGGGTCGTCCGCCTTGATACTAAGTATGACATCCAAGTCGTTCGACTTCTTTGGGGGCGGCCTTGTCGCCAACTCGGCTTCAGGGTTTTCTCCTTTCAGGCGCAGCGCCTCTTGATACTCTTCCAATGTCTTAAAGTGGACGTCTTCTCCAAAGTAGTTGTCCTTTATCTTCAGAAAATACCTTACGACGAACCCGTACAGATGGATGACTGGAGACTGGCCGGTGACATTCAATAACAAAGTATCTGTGTTTAAGGGCGAGGTCGTCAAGTTATAGTGGTAGGTGCCGTCGATCAGCAAGTTCTCCAAACGGCCAATCTCCTTTGAGTTCAGAAATAGCGCTTGCGTGTTCCACGGAGGAACGTGAAGATCAACCGATGCAGTGTCGGCACGGATGTCGAACGGGATGGTGTTTTGGTTTGGCCTGAAGTTGTCAATGGAGATGCATGTGGTTGAGCGGAGCAGCGGGCTGCCAATGACAAGGTAAGTATTGTCGTCGAGGTCAGTTGGGTTGTCAATGATGTTGGCGTCGTTGAGATTCAAATAAAGCTGCACCTTCTGCAGCTCGAGGTCGATATGGTACTTGAAAGGGGTAAAAACAAGATAGTCGGGCGGGGGGCCGCTGGCCCAGTCGCCGATGAGATCAGTGAGGAGAAAAACATGGTCTCTTAGCAGATAGAGCTTGAGCTCTTCGCTGACGATATTGAAGCGCCATTGGCGAAGGCCATTCCACCGCAGCGGAGTTGAGAGGTCGCACGTTATCTGTTGTCGGCGAGACCTCCAGAGCAGCTCGTGGTTGATACTACTTGAAATGTCTATGCTCGGCATGTCCAGGCTCAGCGAGGTGGCAAACCCCGGAGCACCCGCCACCATGTCCATTGAATAGGACATAGTCGTGTTAGTAGCAACCGTGATGTCTAGCCACCCATATGGCCGTTGATGCACCGCGGCCGCCTGGTCCGACTTCTTAGATCGGCCCCGTGCTTTGCGAGCTTCGCGGCCGCGACGAGGCTTGGGAGCAGGTTCCTTGTCTTTCCATCTCCAGTTCTTGGACTCTTCCCTGACCGGGACGCGAATGGTAACGTAGTCTTGAAGTTCCACATAGAGCTTGAATTGCGTGGCCACCCGGGGGGCGCCAACGGGCAGGCGCGCGGCTGGCTTCGCATCTTTGCATAGGCTGGGGACAAACGTCCGCTGGAGGTCCGCTCGATGTCTATCCGCCCACGGTCCGTAGTTGATGGAGCCGCCTTTGACCAAGAGGTTGATGGCCCAGGCCGGCGGCACGTCGCCGTTGATGTTGGATAGCATCTCGGGCGTCTTCTCCTTCATGTTTGCGGGGTGGTCGCCTCGGACCCTGCCAACCACATCCCAGAATATGTCAAGCGAGGCCTCGGGGCTGTCCAAGATGGTCGGCACAGCAGCGTACTCAGAGGAAGCCCAGCGAGCCTTCTGGTCATCGCCATCATCGTAGAGGTACCGCGAGAGCCCCTGCCAGCGACTTGATCCAGGCGCCTGGCTCGTTGCAGTTCCGACGGCCCTGCTCGAGCCGATGGAAAAGGACTCGACAGACTTCCCCCAATACGGCACCATATTCCGGAGGCTGCCGAGCACCTTGCGCTTTTCCCGGTGGAACAAGGACCGTGTAGTGGGGGGCGCCGTCTCTTGCGCCGCCTGCCGGTCCCGAGTTGCCCGGTCGGCTTGTTCCTCTTTGAAATCCAAGTTGTCCTTCATCTCAATCACCGGGTGCTTGAATTTGAATCGGAAGAACTGCCGGTACGGGTCTGGCGTGTCTGTCTCAGACGCATCTATCTCGCCCGTCATCGAGTCGGCCTTGACAATCAGGACAGCCTTGGTGTTCTCGTTGCCCATGACCAGGGCGGCCTTTTCACACACCAGGTCAATCGGGAATAGTTGGAGCAGCAGCGACAAGTCATCGCCCTCGTCAGGCGCATTGGGGTCCTGCTTTGCACTGTTTCCGGGCCCTGACGAGTGGAGGCTAGAGGTGCGCTTTTGCGCGAAGCCGTCTTGCTGTTGACCAGAAGCATGTTGGGCTATGCCCGCGCTCTTGCTCTCGCTCTGGTATGAGCCACAGGCCGAGGATGCATTCCCAGCCGCCTCGAATCGCCGAGATCTGGACCGTCTCCTCCTCAACTGAGCCGAGACGTCCTCCTCTTCCTTGTCGCCAACCACGCTCGGAACGGCATCGTCGCCTACCTCTTGGGCATCTTGCAGCCCTGCCAGGACCGAGTCGTAGGCTGGGCTACGGTTGTACACGAACCACTCCAGGCCAACAAGAGAGACTTGTATGCGACAGGGCAACTTTGTGGAGAGATCTTTGGCGGCAGCATCGTCACTGCCCTTTGGGTCCTTTCCTTTTGTGATCCTGACTCCGCGCACTCGACGCAGCCAGTAAGCCCAGGTGATGTGTCCGTTCTGCACAAGGATAGTCTCGTTGTTGCCGTGGTATCTCAGGCCGGTAAAGAAGATTCGGCCGGCGAGCAGGGATATCTGGAGCGCCTGGATGTCGATGTAGACCCGATGTCGATGCCACGTCCATGTCCGCAAGCCCCACGAGACAATGGATGCAAATACTCTGTTAAAGTACAGCAGGGAAAAGACGGACCTGAATGTCGGGTTAGCAACAGCAAATGCCCAGTCCATATCTCCCCTAGTTTCGCACTCACAATGCACCGCAGCCGATGAGCGCCCCGAGGAACAACCTGCAGAGTCCCAATGGTTAGCTAGCTGCCCGAACCGACCACCGAAAGGCTATCGGGAAAGAGGCATTCTTGAGTGCCGGGACAGCACTGCTTACGCATTGAACCCTGGGCCGTCGTTTGAGGGGGGAGGACCGCCGGTTTGTGACATGCTGCTCGCCCTAGCCCTTGGGCAAGCTTCCTACGCAGCGTGTCTGCGTCTCCTCCCGTCGTTGAGTCGACCTTCGCAATGCGCGACGCTACTGCCAAGCCCCGTCGAAGTAGAAAGTCGCGCCTTCGTCCATTCCGATGTCCCAGGCCCCGAATGGAACTAGCAATTCAAAGAGCGAGCTCTGGAATACCAATTGAGAGTCGTATGCACAAGCTTGGGTTCGGCCGAGTTGCCTGTATTGTTGCCGCGCTCGTCTCGTCAAGGAGTCGAGGTTGTGTCTGTCTTCCGTCTTCCTAGGATGTCGTGAGCTTGCTGCTTTCTTACAAGGATTCCCGTGCGGCAGGGAACTCGGAGCTGCAGCATGCTTCGTATGTAAGTACCGTATGTATGTACTGCCCTGTACAAAGAACGTATTGATGGATTGCACTTTTAGCTTTCTTAGGTGTATATGTAAAGTATGGAAGTACGGTAAGTATGTACGGAGTACTGTGCAGCAGTATCTGTACGCAACCTAATTATCCAGGTCTCTCAAGGCACACTTTAGCGCATGCAGGTGCGCCCCGCGATCCAATGGGGAGAGATTGGCCCCCTGTCGTTGCCTATCGTCGTCATCAATTTTGAGGAACACGACCAACCTGGTAATCTCCAAACATTGGAAGCGAACTCCCCGACATGCTCTAGCCTCACAACTTACCTGACGGCTCCCTCCCCAGCCCACTCCAAAACAACTTGATCCAAGTCTCGGACCAAGGGAGAGATGGCCGGGGGCACAGGCCAGAAGTTCGAGACGACGGTGACGGTGATCGCCGGCGTCGCGTCCCTCGCCGCGACGTTGATGTCGATTGTGTAAGTGAAGCAAGACCCCGCCCCAGTTTCCTCAGTGGTGCTCCCGCCACGACTAACAGCTCCGGATCTCGGGCTAATCCACTGTGCTGCTTCCCACAGGTCAATATGGCTGCAAACGTGAGTCTGCCCACCATCCCAACACGAGTGTTGATGACCTCTCTCTGACGTCAATTACGCGAGCTCAGCAAAAACTACCGGAAACCTCTTCTCCAACGCTATGTCGTTCGCATCCTCCTCATGTACGTCGCGCCGACGCCTTGTCTCTCCGACACGCATGCTCACGGTCACTAGGGTCCCAATATACTCCATCTCGTCATGGGTCAGCATGGTCTCGCAGACAGCGGCTTCCTTATTTGATCCCATCCGGGATATCTACGAGGTACTGTTATCCGCTCTGGTGCGACGCGAGACGCGGGCTCCCCTAACCCTCGACAGGCTTTCACCATCTACACCTTCTTCCAACTCCTGATTAACTACCTCAGTGGCGAGCGAGCCCTCATCATCATGACGCATGGCCGCGAGCCCGTTCATCACCTTTGGCCTCTCAACCACGTCCTCCCCCGCGTCGATATATCCGACCCTCATACCTTCCTCGCCATCAAGCGCGGCATCTTGCAATATGCCTGGATGAAACCGCTGCTTTCTCTGGCAGCCATCATCATGAAGGCTACCAACACCTACCAAGAGGGGTATATTGGGCCAAGCTCCGGCTATCTCTGGAGCGGCATCATTTATAACATCAGCGTCACCGTCAGCTTGTACTCGCTAGGACTGTTTTGGGTCTGCATGAACGACGACCTCAAGCCCTTCCGACCAGTGCCAAAGTTTCTCTGCATCAAACTGGTCATCTTTGCCTCCTATTGGCAAGGCTTTTTCCTGTCCATCCTCGTGTGGCTGGGCGCCATTCCGGACACGGTCGACAACTACACCCCCGACAACTTGGCTGCGGCCATCCAGGATTTTCTAATCTGCATCGAGATGCCGGCCTTTGCTGTGGGTCACTGGTATGCCTTTTCTTGGCACGACTTTGCAGACAACAGGATTGCCTCGGCTAGAATGCCGGTACTGTATGCCATAAGGGATGCATTTGGAATCCGCGACCTCATCCAAGACTCAAAGGAGACGTTCTCGGGTGACAAATATGGCTACCGCATATTTGACTCGGGCGACAAGATTATGGCACACGAAGCTTCAAATTCGCGGCTCGCGCGCCTGAAAGACGGAATGCGCTATGAGCGGGGAGGCAAAGCCAAGTACTGGATTCCGAAGCCCGACGAGATCAACGAGACAACACCGCTTCTAGGAAACGGCGGGCCGAGCAACAGGAGAAGCGAATCTCTCTCTCCACATGTTAACAGCCTTGATGAGCTTATGCTAGATCCCGATGAGGAGCTCTTATATGACAGCGCCCGGAAGCTAGAGTTTGGGGACTGGAACGTGAGTCACTTGCATTCTTCTCGATTTTGCCTTTAGTGTTGTTCCATCTAACACTATTGCTTCAGTATCCCGTCATCACAGCAAATGAGCCGGCACGTGAGCGTGGCCTATCGCCGCGTCCAAGCCTCTACCAGCACACTCCCACTGGCAGTTTTTACAATCAGTCTCGGAGTAACTCTGTGCCATCGCTTAATCCTGCGTCGCCATTAGAAAGGCGTAAGAAGTTTGCACCGGAGGCACCGCCTGTCGATGGGCCTAAAAAGGACAAAAAGGGGAAGAAAAAGGCGGGTCTAGATCCTAAAGGGGGTAGCGCGGCTCAAGACATGGGAAGCGATCCGCTAGAGATTGCCTACGGTCCCGTGGTTGGCACCCATTTAAAAATCACAGCAGATGATTTTAACATTGACGAAGACAAAAGCTCTAACAAGCCGCAGCCCGGCGCAGATGAAGACGAACCAGGCTCGGCACAGATTGAAGATGATAGCTCAATACGAGAAGAAGTAAACCATTGGGGCAGGGAAAGCGAAGAAGGTACGCGTCCGCAATATAATGTCGGAGTCGCTGAGGAGTTTCATAACGTCTGGGGGAAGTGACCGGGCGAAATAAAATGCACTTGTCTTGCTGCCGTCATTTCTGGCTCTGCTTAGATACCCCTATTGTAAGCTGCGATCACTGTATTAAAGGCACAATAGATTTGATGCCGGAAACTGCGTGAGGCTTTGTACATCGTACCTTAAGCTTGAAATTAGGTCTTATTTCAGCTAGCATTTATTCTTTTTTTTTCGAGCCTGATTTGGCTACTTGGCTGTCTTCAATGAGTAGTATCTCGCCATGTTTACTTGCCCCTGAACTCGGCAATGCTTGATGCTGACCAACATTTTTTTCTTATCCTACTTTGCTCCGTGTCTTCTGAGCCTATCGCCCCACAACCTAGCCGAACGCAGGCTAGCATTCGCAGCCACGGCGCCGTTTCAAACCGCTTTAAAGCGAGAGCTTATATGTAGCTGTAGAAGCGCAGGCAACTTTTCTTCATGACTCCATGGTACGCCATCGCATGTACCTAGTTGAAGAATAGGTTAGAGCGAGTCATCCTAAAATTCACCTTGCCAGTACCGATACCTCCGTAAAGGCTGGCTGATATCGTTTTCCCCCAGCCGCTTGAGCCAGCGAGCAACGGCAAAAGACGGGCCATGATCTTATTCACCCCATAGATTGCTAGCCTAACATTCATGCCCAACGCCCAGGTGGCGGGCTACAGGCACTCGCTTACACAACCTAGCTGCTAAAGGTAAACTAGGTGGCTGGAAGTTACTTATTTTTCATGTCAACAACCAGAGATACTTCTGGGTTGTTCGAGGACAGTAGAGAGATGTAGTCATACATGAATTCAAGAAGTTAGTCATGGTTCGTATGATGAACCTAGAACCAAAAGAAAATCCGGAATTATTCTCATCGTCCTACAAATTCGGGCCATATCCTTTCAGAACTAGACTGTCTGAAACCTTTTTCTCGGCGAGTGAGTCGACGGTGGCCCAAGCTGGGTGTCCGGAAGTGATCTCTTACGTCAACGGGCCGGCGAAAGCTTCAAGCCCAACGAACCTCGAAGCTTTGAGCTTCTTTGACAGCTTCGGTAGGGAGCTATAAAAGCTGCCGGAGCTGCTCCTATTGTTTGCATTCTCGGCGTCAAGTCAGAGACACTCGTGACAAAACAAACTTGCTCCCGTAACTTTACGTATAGGCAAATGTAAAGGTATACCATCTAAGAATTGTCTATCAGATGCCTAATTAATGGGTGGTGCTGGATGTAATGTTTCCCATTTCCCATTCTTCCCGAATTTGGCGAACAACTAGCAAAGGAGGGGCAAAACAGGGCTTGACCCTCGCTCGAGGCGTTCAGACCACATCCAGCCGGCGCGCACTGGGCCAGCAGACCAATAGGGAGGCGAGAAGCCGATACCATTGTGCCCCACTACCAATCTTTACCCCTCCTTGAACCACAGGCCACTATTTCAACTTTTCCCTCCCCTCCCCACCACGCATAGAAAAAAAGGCGACGGTGCAGACTCGTTCTTCCACCTACGCCTTCCTCCATTTTTCCCTTGACATCCTTGCTATCGGTCTGGGGCTGACAGCTAATCGCCATAGGCTGTGGGGACCCTGCTTTTTGTCAGCTTTCGGTTTCTCCCTTATTTCTCATTGAGTAAATCTCTGCTCCAAGAGATTCCTCCCCTCCCCAACCCACCACCCAACGACTCCTTTATAGAAGTTGGTTGAAAAAATACAGCCGAGATGGTGAAGTAAGTTGCTCTCCTATCCACCATCATGGCTGAATACATTTGCCAACGGCCTTCCTCGCACTCGCCCGCGATGTGTTCTTTGCGCTCGCGATGCCCGCCGCTCGCTCTTCTCTACCCCGCCCCGGAGATAAGCGACTGCTCCGCGAACGATGGTGATTGACAATGGTTTCGCAATAGCTTCACGATTGAAGAGATCCGTGCCTTGATGGGTAAGTCATCTCAGCCAGATGGGCCGTTAGCTATTTATCCGTGCGGTTTCTGACAGTGGTACAGACAAGCCGCAAAATGTGCGCAACATGTCCGTCATTGCCCATGTCGATCACGGCAAGTCGACCCTCACCGACTCCCTCCTCGCGAAGGCCGGTATCATCTCCACCGCAAAAGCTGGAGACGCTCGTGCCACGGATACCCGTGCGGACGAGCAGGAACGTGGTATTACCATCAAGTCCACGGCCATCTCCCTCTACGGAACCCTTGAGGAGGAGGACCTTAAGGACATCGTGGGAGCGCCCGCGAGCGGTAATCACCCCCTTTCCACGCTGATCTAAGGAGCGGGATGCTAATGCGGGAACAGGAAACGACTTTTTGATCAACTTGATCGACTCACCCGGTCACGTCGATTTCTCTTCCGAAGTCACTGCTGCTCTCCGTGTCACCGACGGTGCTCTCGTCGTCGTCGACACTGTCGAAGGTGTGTGCGTCCAGACCGAGACTGTGCTCCGGCAGGCTCTCGGTGAGCGGATTAAGCCTGTTATCATCATCAACAAGGTCGACCGTGCTCTCCTGGAACTCCAGGTCTCCAAGGAAGACTTGTACCAGTCTTTCTCCCGAACCATCGAGTCGGTGAACGTCATCATCTCCACCTACTTTGACAAGGCGCTTGGTGACGTCCAGGTCTACCCCGACAAGGGCACCGTCGCTTTCGGCTCCGGTCTCCATGGCTGGGCCTTCACCGTCCGGCAGTTCGCCACCCGCTACGCCAAAAAGTTTGGTGTTGACCGCAACAAGATGATGGAGCGCCTCTGGGTAAGTGACAGGCCTCCCATGCCCTGGTTTGGTCGTGTTGTCTAACTGGGTACAGGGCGACAACTACTTCAACCCCGCCACCAAGAAGTGGACAAAGAATGGAAACCACGAGGGCAAGCAGCTCGAACGCGCCTTCAACCAGTTCATTCTGGATCCCATTTTCAAGATCTTCGCCGCTGTCATGAACTTCAAGAACGACGAGGTCACCATCCTCCTCGAGAAGCTTAACCTCAAGCTTGCCACCGAGGATCGCGACAAGGAGGGCAAGCAGCTGCTCAAGGCCGTTATGCGGACTTTCCTGCCCGCTGCCGACTGCCTGTTGGAGATGATGATTCTTCACCTCCCGTCCCCCGTGACTGCCCAGAAGTATCGTGTTGAGACCCTCTATGAGGGTCCTCTTGACGATGAGGCCGCCATCAGCATCCGCGACTGCGACGCCAAGGGCCCGCTCATGCTGTACGTGTCCAAGATGGTCCCGACTTCCGACAAGGGCCGCTTCTACGCTTTCGGCCGTGTCTTCTCTGGCACCGTCAAGTCCGGCCTCAAAGTCCGCATCCAGGGCCCCAACTACACACCTGGCAAGAAGGACGACCTTTTCATCAAGGCCATCCAGAGAACCGTTCTCATGATGGGCGGTAAGGTCGAGCCCATTGACGACATGCCGGCTGGCAACATCGTCGGCCTGGTCGGTATCGATCAGTTCCTACTCAAGTCGGGCACTCTTACCACCAGCGACACCGCCCACAACCTGAAGGTCATGAAGTTCTCCGTCTCGCCCGTCGTCCGCCGGTCCGTCAAGGTCAAGAACGCCCAGGATCTGCCCAAGCTTGTCGAGGGTCTTAAGCGTCTGTCCAAGTCCGACCCCTGCGTTCTGACATTGATGTCGGAGACTGGCGAGCACATTGTTGCTGGCGCTGGTGAGTTGCATCTTGAGATTTGCCTGAACGATCTCGAGAACGACCACGCTGGTGTTCCTCTCATCATCTCCGACCCTGTCGTGCAGTTCCGTGAGACGGTTGTCGCCAAATCCAGCATTACTGCTCTGTCCAAGTCCCCCAACAAGCACAATCGTTTGTACATGATCGCCGAGCCCATGGACGAGGAGCTGGCCAAGGAGATTGAGGCTGGCAAGATCGGACCCCGCGACGATTTCAAGGCCCGTGCCCGTATCCTCGCCGACGACTTCGGCTGGGATGTCACTGATGCTCGCAAGATCTGGGCGTTCGGCCCTGACACCAACGGTGCTAACTTGCTCGTCGACCAGACCAAGGCCGTTCAATACTTGAACGAAATTAAGGACTCTGTTGTTTCTGGCTTCCAGTGGGCTACCAGGGAAGGCCCAATCGGTGAGGAGCCGATGCGCTCTATCCGGTTCAACATCATGGATGTTACCCTCCATGCCGATGCCATTCATCGTGGTGGTGGACAGCTCATCCCCACGGCGCGTCGTGTGCTGTATGCCGCTACTCTCCTGGCCGACCCTGCTCTCCTTGAGCCCGTCTTCCTGGTCGAAATCCAGGTGCCCGAGCAGGCTATGGGCGGTGTCTATGGTGTCCTCACCCGCCGGAGAGGTCACGTCTTTGCTGAGGAGCAGCGTCCCGGAACCCCTCTCTTTACCATCAAGGCCTACCTGCCCGTCATGGAGTCTTTCGGCTTCAACGCCGATCTCCGCCAAGGAACCTCTGGCCAGGCCTTCCCCCAGTCCGTTTTCGACCATTGGCAGGTTCTTACCGGTGGCTCTCCTCTCGATGCCACCTCCAAGGTTGGCCAGATCGTCAAGGAGATGCGCGTTCGCAAGGGTCTCAAGGTGGATGTGCCGACTGTGGACAACGTAAGAGACATGCTCCCCTTCACCCCAATAACTCCCTTGCTAATAAATCCTTTAGTACTACGACAAGCTCTAAGCGTCTTTTGCCGGTGGCTTGCTTGTGACCCGGTGTTCTGTGTTATGTCCGTCATAAATAAGACTGGTTCATTGTCAGTATCATGATATTTCCCAGATTCGACATTGGGGACTATTGGAGACGGTAAAACAGGTGGATGGATGGAGCAGATGGGAGCAGATGGGAGCAGGAAAAGCCCAGCTTGAAAAAAGCCGATGACGACCAGACTTATCTATGGTGGCATAGCCTGCTTGTAGTAACGTAGAAATGATATTTTATTCGCATTGAGTTTTCGGTCCATGCACGAAGATGAATGATTGAAGGGGGTGGTTATGTTGTATTGTAAATGCGTAATATTATTTGGTATGTATTCATTCATAATCCGTATTGTTCGCACGTTATAAGGGACGTACCAAGCGCAAATACATTAACGGATACCGAAGACTAAGTAATGTCAGTACGCAGTACGGCTTTCATGCTATGCTTCATACAGTACGTGCAAAATTTGCGAGCCTGTAGCACCTTCCATTGCCTAGAAATTCGATTCCCTTAGCCACCGCAGCTCCCTACACGTAGAACGCCACCGACCCGCACAACTCAGGCGGCCCGCGCACGCGCTTGAGGTGCATTCGCGAAGTGAACTTTGCTCGAAGATCTACCTGAGATCTCCCCAGGCAGACTAAAGTTTCAGCATTTCGGTCGTCCTCCAACCCTCATCACATCATTCCAAGCTCGACAGCCAAGACGAGATTGTGGGTTCTCGCAATCGGCTGCAAATGAACAACAAAAGGAAGATGCTGTTCCCTGAGGAACATTCAGGCGACTTGAAGAAATGGATTGTGAAGAGGCTTGAAAACACGTTTGTCGCATCCCTCTTGCTCCATACCTCTGCGCTGCCAACTAACTTCTTTTTTCGAACTTGGCTGCAGATCCGATGCCGATGCCGACGTGCTAGCAGACTATGTACTTGCACTCCTACGACATGATGGCAATAGCGACAAGGTGCGAAAGCTCTGCGAGGACGAAATACCTGACTTCCTCAAAGAAGGTACGCTGATCTCACGCCGACCATCTTCAATAGCCTTGTGCTAATCTCTCCCGATTCCTGATCAGATTCCACTGTGTTTGTGAACGATGTCTTCAACGCAATCGCCGGTCAGTCCTACCTTCCAGGCGCCCCTCCTCGGCCGGTCAAGCAGGCCGCCATTCAAGCACCGCATCAACCGCTACCCGCGGGCGGTCTTTCCTACGATGATTACCCCATGCCCCAGGCCCTGCAGCCGCAGCCGCAGCCGCTTAATGGATCCAGAAAGCGAGGCTACAATGAATGGGGAGGAGATGCGGAAGCGTCGAATAGCCGGGACGGCCGCTTCCAGGAAGGGAGGCGGTTCAAGCAAGCTCGGCGAGGAAGAGGGAATGGCATGGGCGGCCGAGCAGGTAGAATGGGTGACGAGAATGCGTTTACCAAGTCGTTTGGGTCACCACCAGCAGTCGGAGCCGGAGCCGGAGCGCCAGCGTCAGCGCCAGCCTTCGCCCAGGCCGACCACCTGCCGCCGCCTCCTGTGGGCGGCGGAAACTTCGATCCAGCCGCCGCGCATTTCAGCCCCAATGCAGCGATGGAAATGCTGTTCGGTATCCGGCCGATGAGCTTGTCCGGCAATCCTGGTGTTCTAGACTTTTCGTCACAAGCCCGAGGGGCCGGCCAGCAATCGAGGAGACGGCCGCGGTGTCGTGACTATGACTCCAAGGGATATTGTGCTCGCGGAAGCACATGCAATTTTGAGCATGGAGACGAGTCTCTCTACGCTCATCCTCCACTTCCTCGGTTTAGCGCGCAATCGGCGCGACCTCCGTCCGTGGAAGGTATGTTCTCTGTCCGCTGCTTTAATATTCCAGCCGAAGCTAACCGGTGCGTAGAGTATGACCCGACCAACGCCCTAATTGCCAGCATGCTCAGTGCCACGGGCCCTGTCCAGCAATATCAACCCCCGACGCCGGATGAAGGCCATCAGGCGAGACGCAAGACAGGGACGCAGCCAAAAGGCCGGCGCAAGGCACCATTCTCTGCAGACGGCCCGGTATTTGACAGGACGAAGTCAACTATTGTGGTTGAAAATATCCCCGAAGAGAATTTTACTGAAGAACAGGTTCGGGAATACTTTTCCCAGTTCGGCAACATACTTGAGGTTTCGATGCAGGCGTATAAACGATTGGCGCTTGTCAAATTTGACACGTGGGCCTCAGCAAATGCAGCTTGGAAATCACCGAAAAGCGTTTTCGACAACCGCTTCGTCAAAATATTCTGGCACAAAGAAGATGCGGCTTCACAAGCGACCTCGTTGGCCCCGAACAGCGATGCGGGAGATGGCCCGAAAAAGGCAGGATCGCAAGCCGGCAACTCGGTAGCTGGCGCGGGGAGCCCAGGTCCGCCGGCGGAGATAGACATGGAAGAATTTCTGCGCAGGCAGGAGGAAGCCCAAAAGATTCACGATGAGAAGGCAAAGAAACTGCAGGAAGTTGAGCGTCAGCGCCAGGAGCTGGAGAAACTGCAACAACGGCTCCTCGCCAGACAGCGTGAAGAGAAGGCGAGACTAGAAGCAAAGCTTGCGAAAAGGGCCCGAAGTGGTGACGAGGCCGGATCCGGAGTTAAGAGCGAAAGCAACGACGATGAAAAGGCGCCAAACCCAACCAGCCAAACAGAGGCCCTCCGTGCCCAACTGGCTCTGCTAGAGGCCGAAGCTAAGCAGCTAGGACTCGACCCCGACGATATGGGCGAACTCGGCGAGGTCATGGAAAATTCGATGTGGAACAGTTCACGTGGTGGCGCCTTCGCAAGGGGCAGGGGCGGGTATTCCCCAGCCCGGGGGTATGCGCCTCGTGGCTTCCGCGGCGGCGCAGCATTTCGCGGCGGCCGTGGCAACCACCACGCGGCATACGCGGCGTACTCGCTCGACAATAGGCCAAAGAAGGTCACGCTTACTGGCATGGATTTTACAGTGTCTGAGAAGGACGAGACGCTGCGGCAGTACCTTTTCGTGGGTGACCCTTGACTTTCCCTTTCCTCTTTTCCCCTAGTTTTGATTGCCCCTATTTTTACGAACTGAAACTAATTCTTATAATTTGAAGGGCGTCGGGGAGTTCACGGACATCCAGTCCAGCCCGAATTCTACTGAGATCACATTCAAGGATCGCAAGACGGCCGAGAAATTCTTTGCCGGCGTGGCTAGCATCAGGGAGATTCCCGGTCTCGACGGCCAGGTTGAGCTCTCGTGGAGCGGTATTGGGTCTAATGGGTCTACAGGTTCAGCCTCGATTCCCGGCACGCCGGGTGCAAACTCTGGTGCACCGCGGTCTTCTACTTCTGCTGCTATCAAGTCTGCCTCCTTCAGCGGTAATCAAGAGCCGCCGTCGGGCGTAGTAAAGACTCAGCAGCATGCAGGCGGGAATAACAACAACCATGACAACAACCTGGCGAAACTTGAGAACCAGGAAGACCAGGTCAATCGCTATATCAGAGCAACAAGCGGTAGCGATAAGGACGTTACGTTTGTTCTCGAGCGGAAACCCGGCCATTCTGACGAAGATATGCATGCCGAGATGGACTACGAAGTCGCTGATGATAATCAGTGGGAATGAAGCTGAATCAGTCGGTGGGGAAACGCTAGGGGGTGGTGGAAAGGCCTTGCTATGCTCCTATGCCGAATTGCGCCAATTGCTCAGACCTAGCCAGAAATTGCCTCGCTAACTGCACTGGCTAGTGGTAGCTGTCTCATATATACGGGCATGCTACCAATTCGGCTGTCTCGAGATCAGACGGTGTCACGGAGGTCAAAAAGGAATACAAACCCATGCCTACTACCTACTCTATGTAAATGGTACGTATTTGTGAGTTCCACTTCAAAAGCATTCGTATCAAGGTCGAGGTTGGTCTGTATTTATATGCAACAAAATTCGTACTACACAGCATATATTGTATGTACGGAGCAGACCCGTTATTAGTGCAATGACACCATAGTCGGCCCCCTGTCCCGCACCCGCAGTCCGTGGTGCCGGTCTCCTATATCGCTTTTTGTGTGGGGGGTCCCGCACCAAACACAGGAACCGGGCTAGGCGGAGTGGTCGTGCATGGTGCTCAGGATACCGTTACCTAGGGCGTACTTCCGTACCGGGTTGTGGGTTGATACTGTGCTGTGTAAAGTGAAGGGTGTTCCTAGCTTGCCCCTCCACGTTGCCCCTCCAAACACAACGTCTACCTAAGGTATCTTTTGTTGAAGTCGGGCTGGCGTCTGGTCCATCTCATGCAGCTGCAATCAAATGGACTCATGTGCTTTACCTAATAATACTGCACGGATATCTTCCATTGCCGTTGCTAGAAAGTTGAACGCACCTTTCAGAGTCAGTCGGCCGGGTCAGGCTGGGTCGGGTCGGCTAGGAAAACTGATTGACCGCCACTTGGGATCCCCTTCCAAGCTTTCGCCGAGCGCCGCCTCGCCCCCGCCTGGCTTCTCCATGATTTTACATCCCCGCATCTTTCATCCCCTTTGTCAAACAGACATCTAGATTGACGTGAGCTACGAGCCTTAGCAACAAGTTGTAAGCATGATTGACGAGTGCTTATGGTGCGGATATACTGCCACGCAAGCACCTTTTGGCTGTCCCCACAAGTGAAGTTATAAAGCTCTGTTTTATATAGATCTGCGTACAACCCGGCTCTCGGCCATAACCCGAAGCTGTCTCGGGCAGCGGGGCCAAGGATGTTGCCCACCAAAAGAAGGATGCCCGGCTACGGAATACTCAACATGCAAAAATAGCGAATACATTCACCCCCTCCCCCTCCCCTAGTAGGAGCATACATACATAGTAGTACATATGGGCAGACTCTCGCAGCACCCAATGGGGTAGCAAAAGCTCCGGGTACGGCGAAATTCTCCATGATCTCACCCACTCAACCCACCCTCGCTCGTGCCTGCCCGTGGGGCGACCTTACTAAATCGGAGGTGTTGCAGGCAGGGGCAGTTGTAAAAGGCACGACGACCCCGACCCCGCCAATGTTCTTGAGACTCTTCCTTTCCCGCCCTTTCTCCATTCCTCTAACCTAAACCTTTCCATTGAAGCCGCCGCCTTCTCAAAAGTTCGGACCCTGTTGGCCCCAGTGTTCGAGCTGCTTAGAGAGTGTGTGGACAAAGGTCGCTCGCTTGCTCTAGAAGCAAGGGCGTGCGCGCGTTGAGCTGCCCTCGAGACTGATTTGACACGGTAAGACAGCCCCTCCTCCATCCCCAATGACTCTCATGAATATTCGAAATGTCTCTTGGGGTTGTAGACTCCATTTTATTCATGTTAACCTCCCTCTGCCGTCTGTCTCCAGGATGACGTCGAGCTTTGGCTCTGTGTACATCTTCTCCCTCTTTTCCTTTTTCCTTTCTTTTGTTCTTGCTTCTTTTTACAATTTTTTTCCCTCTTTGTGCCACTTCTTATTCGAGCCTTCGGTCCTCTCGATCTTCCCCTTCGCAGAGCTTCATCTTTCCATCAACCCCCCACCTTGCTTCCCCCCTCCCCGCAGTCACAAGTCTTTGTTTTCCAGCCCTCCATTTGGGTGACAATAAACGCCCAGGCTGACTGTCAATGACTTCGTTTCCCGGGGCTAGTACCAGTATATACCCAATCCCCGGTAAAAGCGGTTCCCGCTCGGCCCGGCACGTCCACGTCCACGTCGTCCACGCCTACGTCCACGTCCACGTTCACGTCCACCCACGATGCATATCCAAGAGATGCTGGCCGAGGCCGAGAGGACGGGCAACCCGTCCTTCTCCTTCGAGTACTTCCCGCCCAAGACAGCACAGGGTGTGCAGAACCTCTACGATCGCATGGAGCGCATGTACCACTTTGGCCCCAAGTTCATTGACATCACCTGGGGCGCCGGCGGCCGCATCGCCGAGCTCACGTGCGAAATGGTGGTGCAGGCCCAGACGTACCTCGGCCTCGAGACTTGCATGCACCTTACCTGCACCGACATGGGCGAGGAGCAGGTCAACGACGCCCTCCACAAGGCCTACAAGGCCGGCTGCACCAACATCCTGGCCCTCCGCGGCGATCCCCCTCGCGAGAAGGAGAAGTGGGAGGCTACCGACGGCAACTTCCGCTACGCCCGCGACCTCGTGTCCCACATCCGCCAGTCCTACGGCAACCATTTCGATATTGGCGTTGCCGGCTACCCCGAGGGTTGCGACGACAACAAGGACGAGGATATGCTCCTCGACCATCTCAAGGAGAAAGTCGACATGGGCGCCACCTTCATCGTCACCCAGATGTTCTACGACGCGGACAATTTCGTGCGCTGGGTCGAGAAGGTACGGGCTCGCGGCATCACCGTGCCCATCGTTCCCGGCATCATGCCAATTGCGACCTACGCCAGTTTTCTTCGCCGCGCGAATCACATGAACTGCAAAATTCCCGACGGCTGGCTGGAGAAGCTTGAGCCGATAAAGAACGACGATGTGGCTGTCCGCGAGATCGGCAAGACCCTCGTCGCTGGCTTGTGCCGGCAGATCCTGGCGGCCGGGATCAGGCATCTGCATTTTTACACCATGAACTTAGCGCAGGCCACCCGTATGGTGCTCGAAGAACTGGACTGGATGCCATCTCCGGACCGCCCCCTGAAGCAAGCACTCCCTTGGAAGCAGTCCCTCGGGCTCGGCCGCCGTGGTGAGGATGTCAGGCCCATCTTCTGGCGCAACCGGAACAAGTCGTACATTGCGCGCACCCAAGACTGGGATGAGTTCCCTAACGGCCGGTGGGGTGACTCGAGGTCTCCCGCCTTTGGTGAACTGGACGCCTACGGTATCGGCCTAACGGGCAACAATGAGCAAAACCGCAAGAAGTGGGGAGAGCCTCAGACCATCGGAGAGATTGCCAACATGTTTGTCCGATATCTGAATAAGGAAATCGAGTACCTTCCTTGGAGCGAGGCACCCTTGACGAGCGAGGCCGATTTGATCAAAAATGATTTGATTAGCCTCAACAAGAGAGGTCTCATCACAGTAAATTCTCAACCGGCTGTCAACGGCGTCAAGTCGTCTCATCCCGTACATGGCTGGGGCCCTACGAATGGATACGTCTACCAGAAAGCCTATCTCGAGCTGCTTGTCTCTCCGGAAATCTTCCCCGAGATCAAGAGACGCATTCACGGTCACCCTGATCTGACCTACTATGCTGTGACTAAATCAGGTAGCCTGCACACCAATGCGCCATCTGAGGGCCCCAATGCTGTTACATGGGGCGTGTTCCCTGGTAAGGAAATCGTCCAGCCTACCATAGTTGAGAGCATCAGCTTCCTGGCCTGGAAAGACGAAGCTTTCCGGCTTGGGGTAGACTGGGCCCGCTGTTATGAGACAAACACCCCCAGCCGCCTCGTGCTTGAGCAGATCATGAACACGTGGTATCTTGTAAATATCGGTGAGTTTCCCTGCCCCCTTGTTCCATTATTTGTAGGGCTGACCCTCTTTTTCTAGTGAACAACGACTTTCACGAGCAACGAATAATTTTCGAGGTCCTGAGCGACCTCAAAGTTCTGGACCTTGACAAGGTGCCAACGGCCCCCACCAACGGGACGACGAACGACACAACCAATGGGGCAACCAATGGGGCAATCAATGGCACAACTAACGGCGACGCCAACGGAACCCATCACTCTACAAACGGTGTCGAGGCTTCAACAGTACCTCAGTAATTTTACCACGGCACGGACAAGCTTCTACCGGGCGCTCGCCTGTGTTTTCAACATTTTTTGAATGGCCAAAAAATTTCAACAATAAATTTTTCAGTAACGAAACGACACAGCATTATATAGCATATTGACAGGCGTTGAGCGAACTTGGTGAGCATTCTGGAGTCTGGTTTTTCAACAAAAATTGGGGGGACAGGAAACGGGCGAGATTGGGGATTCAGAGCCGGGTCACAACGGATCATAAAAGGAACGTCTAATAAGGCCGTTTTTGGGGTCTGAGGGAACCAAACGTGTGTTGGCGGAGGAGAAAGTATGGACCGGTTCATGCATAAGAACATATCTCAACGATACCCCAGGTGGAAAAAGGCGCGAATGCAATTTTTTTATATTGTTCTTTGTCTCTTTTCTCGGAGGGTGTTCCTCTAGGTACCTAGCTGGTGCTTCTTTTTCGGAGTTGTCTGTAAGGTTGGCTTGAAGACTTCCACGGGGGCTTTAGGCGGCGTCTCGGGAATGTCTGGTAGAGCGAAGACAAAACGAGAGCAACTTCAACAGCAGCTGCCAAGACAATTGGAAAGTGACGACGTGACCATGAGTAAGAGTATCGTGGATTGTACTGGACCTATTAACTGTGTCTGCTGGTTGACTTGGTGTTTATGACATGGTGGTGAAGCGGAGTGAAGGGGGGGTGGGGTTACTTGGAAAGTACAGGGGGTGAGAATCAATTGCGATTTCCAAAAGGAAAGTGAGGATTCTTCGTAGTACTATGCTCAGTATTTTTCATTAGAAATAAGGGGTAAAAGAGATGTCTACTTTGGGCGTCTGCAAGAGTGCTAAGATAGCAAAACAAGCTACTTGAGTGTACTAGTTGAGAGAATTAGAGGTATCAAGCCCTCTTTCGTAAAAAAGGAGAAAAGTATCCACCTGGTCTAGAGGTTTGAATTGGTCTAATCCCTCGCGAGCCAATAGTAAAAGGAAATGAAAAGGCTAAATCAATCAATCGGACAGAATAATCCTTGATTCTCAAGGAACCAAAAAACGAAAGTCTGGACGGGCTGGGAATCGAACCCAGGACCTTTCGCACGTTGTCGATGAACATGCTAAGCGAACGCTCTACCAACTGAGCCACACGCCCTTCTCTACTGGCACCCCTTGGGGGTTTGATGAGTGTTTGCAGCGAAATCAGTATACATGAAGTCGGGGTTTTCTTTATTTGGGGTTGGAAAAAGATAATTGGCTTGGCTTGCACCTCCCTGCCTGTCTGTAAGGGACAAGGAGTGAATTGCGGGCTCACGATATTCTTTTTCTTCTTATCTTTACTAGGTTTTTTGAGTATTCTTTTCTTCTTTAGGTTTGTAATAAGTTTATTTTCCTCGCGAGATTCGAGAGCCGTCTCACGCCCCCCGAGTCGCTTATTTAAATTGGAACACCTGTGAACCTGGAGGCGGATAGGTAAGGTATCTTAGGTAAGTAGGAAAATGTATTTTGTCAAACGAATTTTGATATGGTCAGCATTTGGCTGCAGATACGGCTATTGTAGCACAGAGCTGTAAAGTCATGAAAATGAGACTTGTCCCAGCAGGTACCGGCCAGTTGCCTGTAGTTGCGAGGATGGGGCAGTCCAAGTAGCAAAATACTTGAAATGTCCCAGCAGGGCCAACTTGAATAATTGGTGCTCATGCAAGAGCAGTTGGATTGCTATTTATGTACTTTCGCTAATTACGAGCTTTACCATGCCCTCTCCACTCTCTGGTAGGGTATCACTAAAGTGGACTTTGGTATCTTCGTTGTCGTTTTCTTCTTCTTGGTCCTCATCCTCGTCCTCCTCGTCTTCGTCAGAAGAGTCGGGAGCACTCTCTTGTATAACAGCCTGGTTTCGGATAGCAGTTTCCAAATCCTTGGCCATCTTCTTGGTGAAGCCCGATGCTTCTGCGGTAGCGTCTAACCTCCTGGCGCCGCCTTTGCCAACTGTCTTCTTGGCATCCTTGAAAAAGGGGCCCGGCTCCGTGGCCACGAAATGGAATCTCCGCTCAAAGAAGTATTTGATGCAGTGGACATCGCGGTCAAAGTACATCTCGGCGTTTTGGTGCTCCATCGACACCATCTGCGGGAAGTCGATAACAATGGGGGTAAGTATACGCGGTGGCTCCTCTTCGTCGTCTCCGTCCTTGCCTTTCCCCTTGCTCTCGGTCTCGGGGACTGGTCTCTCTTCCTTGATGAGGATATTGAACTCGTTAAAGTCGCCGTGGATCAGCCCATGCTTAGCAAATCGCAATATGAGTCCGATCAGTTCGCCATAGAGCCCGGCAGGGTTCGGAACGGACGATATCTGCCGCAGCGGGTGTGCATTGATCAAGGTCATAACGATAGTGTGCCGCGACTGTGAGAGGGGCTCGGGGACGGGGAACCCTTCCTGCCTCAGGGCCTGCATGAAGGCATACTCTTTCATGGCCGCCAGACGGGACAGGTACATCCACGAGCCGCAGGCCTGGTTCTTCTTCAGATAGTCGCGGTTGGACTTGACAGTACGGAACGAAATGCGGCCCAGCCTGTGGATCTTGAGGACTTTCTGGGTGCCCGTATCGTCGGCCACGATCATGATGTCACTCTCCTTGCCGACGCCGATACGGGTGCCGACGCTATAGACCTGCCGCCGCTGCGAGTGTGTGTGCAGCGCGAGGTAATCGAGCCCGCCGTATGTCAGCCGGTAACCGTCGTACTTGGCCTCCTTCATGCGGGCGATGAGGCCCGCCTTGGCCAGCGCCGAAATGCTCTTGTGCACCCCGCTGGCGCCGCCTTTGAGCCTTGAGAGTCTCTCAATTAGCTGCGTCGGTACAAGCTCGTGGTTCTTGGTCCCCATTTCGGTCTGCGCAGGTCCTCGTTAGTCGGGTAACAGGAGCCAGCACAACGGCAACCAAGAGCAAGGAGGCGCACAAACCGCTGTCAAAACCTTCCAGTCCTCCGCCGTCAGATGGCGCATGGCCCTCGTGTCTAGCAACATAGTCGCGATATTTTGATATCAAATGCGCTTCGGTTGTTTGTTTTACCTCGAATTTGTTGGTCAATTAGGCTCGAGCAAGCGGACTCGGATTGGGGGGGGTACTGAAGACACTTCCAACCCCACCAAAGAGTTGTCACTCAGTTCCCAGAAAATAAAAGTCATTAGTGCTGATAGGACCTTGTCGATAAGATAAGTACTAGCTGCCTGAGGGCTTCATTGCGCATAGCGTCTGTGCGGGAGCTTTGATTACGGTAATACACTGTACCCGCTATGTATTTCGCTCCTTATTTCGTACTGGAGCGGAATTTTAAATGGGCCGGGATGGAAGACCGCGGCGCCGCCAAGCCTCCAGCCTCCACCCAACTTGGAGCTCTGTGGAGCACTGACCACTGAAATCGGTTGCCTCGTCCAGGCGGCCAGAAGCGTCGCGTAACCGGTGCTGCCAACCTAAGCAACTGCACGGCGAATTTGCTAAGCTTCGATTCCGTCCCCAACTTCACCAATCTCGACCCGCATTACCATCCACGAGTTCGCTTCCCCAATCGCGCGCATCTGGTCCCCTTGCAGGCACATCTCCCACCCGCGATTCAAAGCCTGTAGGAAACCCAACGAACGCCAGCACAGATAAAAGCACAAACTCGTGCCTGCTCGCCAACTCGCCAACTTTCTCCGGCACCGTCGCCCCCATCCGTCATCATGGCGCAAGACAGCGATCTGTCGAAACCGTCCGACAATGCCAAGGGAAAGGCTGTCGACACGGAGCAGAAGAAGCCAGACGAGGCACAAAAGGACGGCGCCCCGCCAGCCGCCAATGGAAAGAAAGATGATAGCAAGGCTGATTGTTTGTTGGCCCGCCCGACCAAGTATCGCGGCCCGGGCTACCGCTAACTGTTGTTCAGCTTCCGAAGATCTCAGCGAAGAGGATCAGCAGCTCAAGAACGAGCTTGATATGCTCGTTGAACGCCTCGCGGTGCGTACTAGACTGAGCCCCCAACTAGCTGTCAAACAGGATGTCCACTGACTCTGACTGTCACCGCAGGAATCGGATGCATCCCTCTATAAGCCGGCCCTCGAGGCCATGAAGAACTTCATCAAGACGTCGACTTCCTCGATGACGGCGGTACCAAAACCCCTCAAGTTCCTTCGGCCGCACTACGCGACCATGACAAAACTCCACGACGACTGGCCCAGCGGCGATGACCGGACATCTCTGGCCGACGTGCTCTCCGTCATTGGCATGACCTTCTCAGACGAGGATTGCCAGGACACACTCAAGTACAGGCTGCTCGCTCCCACACAGGATATCGGCTCTTGGGGCCACGAATACGTCCGGCACCTGGCCCTCGAAATTGGAGAGGTCTACGGAAAGCGCATCGCTGCGGACGAGCCGACCGCCGAGCTTGTCGATCTCGCACTGGTGCTCGTACCACTATTCCTCAAGACCAATGCCGAGGCTGATGCTGTCGATCTCATGAGCGAGCTCGAGATCATAGACGAGCTGCCCAAGTTCGTCGACGAGAACACGTACGCCAGGGTTTGCTTGTACATAGTCTCAATGGTGAACCTGCTCACTTACCCCGACAACGAGCAGTTTCTTCGCGTGGCGCACGGCATCTACAAGACGTACAACCAGTATTCTCAGGCCATGGTGTTGGCAATTAGGCTCAACGACATGGAACTCATCGAGTCAGACTTTGACGAGGCAGGGGACCCGGCGCTGAATAAGCAGCTTGCGTTCCTCATCGCGCGCCAGAGGATATGGCTCGAGCACGCCAGGGAAACAGCCGACGATGAGGAGATCATGGAAAGTCTCTGCAACGTTCGTATGACTGACCACTTCAAGTCTCTCGGAAAGGAACTCAACATTCTTGAGCCCAAGACCACTGAAGACATCTACAAGAGCCATCTCGAGAGCAGTCGTGTCGCTGGCATGACCAACTTTGATTCTGCTCGACACAACCTGGCGGCGGCTTTTGTGAACGGATTCGTCAACGCGGGCTTCGGCAACGACAAGATGATGCTGGTCGACAAAGACAAGGAGAGGGAGAGCTGGGTCTGGAAGACCAAGGACGAGGGCATGATGTCTACGGTGGCGTCTATGGGGACGCTGCTGATGTGGGACATCGAGGGCGGCCTGGACCAGATCGACAAGTACACGTATACAAATGAGGAACAGATCCAGGCCGGCGCCTATCTTGCTATTGGCATTATGAACTCGGGTGTCCGGCTGGACTCCGAGCCCGCCATGGCTCTCCTGGCCGACACCGAAAGGCTCAACCACAAAAACCCGCTCATCCGGGTGGCGTGCATCATGGGCCTTGGGTTGTCGTATGCCGGCTCCAACCGGGAGGAAATTCTCTCACACCTTCTGCCCATCATTACTGACACGTCCCAAGAGATGCGGATATCTGCCATGGCTGCTCTGTCTTGCGGGTTGGCATTTGTCGGATCTAGCAACTCCGAGGTCAGTGAGGCTATCATTACCACACTACTAGATGACGACCGGAAGAGCCAGTTGACCGACAAGTGGACCCGTTTCCTTGGACTCGGGTTGGGCCTCCTCTACTTTGGCCAGCAAGAAGAGGTGGACGTGATTTTGGAGACCCTGAAGGCCGTTGAGCATCCTATGGCGAAGCCAACTGCAGTTCTTGCCTCGATTTGCGCGTGGGCAGGCACCGGCGCCGTCTTGAAGATCCAGGAGCTCCTGCACATCTGCAACGAGCATATAGAGGAACCCGAGGAGAAGAAGGGAGACGAGCTGTTGCAAGCTTATGCTGTTCTCGGTATCGGTCTGGTCGCCATGGGTGAGGATGTCGGCCAAGAAATGGTGCTTCGCCAGTTTGGCCACCTCATGCACTACGGCGAGGCAAATATCCGGCGAGTGGTACCGTTGGCGATGGGTCTCATCAGCCCGAGCAACCCGCAGATGAAGGTCTACGACACGTTGTCACGGTACAGTCACGATAATGACAATGAGGTCGCTCTGAATGCCATATTCGCCATGGGACTCTTAGGCGCAGGTACCAACAACGCGAGATTGGCTCAGCTTCTGCGTCAATTAGCAAGCTACTATCACCGCGACCAGGAATCTCTCTTCATGGTTCGCATCGCACAAGGTCTTTTGCACATGGGCAAGGGCACTCTCTCAATCAATCCCTTCCATACAGATCGCCAGATCCTCTCAAGGGTGTCCGCCGCCGGCCTCCTCGCCGTCCTGGTAGCCATGATTGATGCCAAGCAGTTCATCACCTCGAGCTCGCACTACCTTCTCTATTTCCTTGTCACCGCCATGCATCCCCGCTTCCTTGTGACCTTGGACGAGGACCTTAAGCCACTGACTGTCAATGTCCGTGTTGGCCAAGCTGTCGATGTCGTTGGTCAAGCAGGCCGGCCCAAGACGATTACGGGCTGGCAGACACAGAGTACGCCTGTGCTCTTGGCGCATGGCGAGCGCGCTGAGCTTGAGGACGAGGAGTATATCAGCTTGACCAGCACGCTGGAGGGTCTCGTCATCCTCCGCAAGGTACGTTTTCCTCTATTTGCCATATCCCAACACCCTTTCTTTAATTCTTGTATCCCCCGTGCTAACTAATTATCTTAGAACCCCAATTGGGAAGGTGGTAAATAAACGATATCTTTCGAATGGGCATTTTTCTTGCGGGTGTGTGTCAGTGTCACGGACGGCTAGGACTAGCCGGCGGGCGGGATGCATACAGTATTGAGCCGTCGTAGCTAGCAGCCATACGTCGTATAGAGCGGTATGGAGAGAGATGGGACTAGGCGGGAACACGACTTTGTGCTTATACATTAAAGCTCTGTGCACCAAACACCTGTGGAGTGGCCAGTCCATACGTGCAACGGACCACTCCGGCTTGGTTTGTGGTTCTCTAGCCAAAAAGAAAATCAAAGAGAAGACGGTGGTAGGTAGACAGAATTCAGCGATTGCTGGCAGAGGAATTGATTGTAATGCATCAGGGAAATGCACAGTCCTTCCATGGCTTGGTGAAAAGAACATAGGGAATTAATCTCTTTTGTTTAAACACTTACGGAGTAGCTCCGGTCGCAGTTGAAGCTGAGTGAGGTTCAGGAGGTCACTATTCCAGGCATATCCGTGTACGTAGTAATTAGGTTACGACGAAAACAAATATTCGGCAAACGACTGCCCATACATATTACATTTTGGTAGAAAAGAGGAGCGAGCCCCTTTTTTTTCCGGCTGGAGACAGTGCCCGTTTTTTTTTTTTTTTCACACTCACCCAAACACTGCGCTCTGTTCACACCCAAAGACGGTCGCCACTCAACCCATTCGACATACGCGCACAAAGAGAGGAAACACAGAAAACACAAAACAGACATGAAGGTACCGAAACGCCTTGCCATTCATATCAGGATCTGAAAAAAGCACGCCTATTCCCAACATGATAAAAAATAAAAACAACCTCCTCCATACTAGGTAGACAAGGGAACAACATATGCTGTGTTTATTATCAGCCATTCTCCTGCCACTGCCATTGCCACCACGAATTTAACGAGAAGAAAAAAAGCGAGACCGTAAAAATTAAATCCAGCCCGCCCACTTCTTGAAAAAAAAAAATCATTGCTTTACTTTGCTTTGCCGCCACTCCCCAAAAACGCCCCGCACCCGCTTTGCAAGAAATTGAAGAAAAAAAGAAAAAAAAAAGCAAAGGAAGAGAAAAGAAAACCTCCAATTTCGAGGCATGCCTCCCTTTTACACCGCCACCGCCACTGCCAAGTACCAAGAGGAGTGCACCCCACGACGGGAAGACTATTTCTTCTTGCCAAAGAGGCCGCGTAGTTTCTTTTCTTTAGATAGTTTATTGGGCTTGCCGCTATCTGGCGGGATACCAGCGCCAGATCGGTCGGGGCCGCCGTTGACGGGTTGGGGTGGCGCTGGGTATTGGCCGGCGGGGCCGTTGAGCGTCATGGCAGCGAGGCTGTTGGAGGGCGGCTGAACGCCGACGGGGGGACTGCGCGAACCGCCCGGGCCGACGCCGAAGGGTGGGCTCATGGGCGCCGGAGGGGTTGGGGGGTCGAAGATGTGAGCGGGCGGCCGGGGTTTCGGCTGATCCATGGGCAAGCCGAGCCGCCTTCTGTCAACGGAGAGGTCGCCGACCTGACGCAAAAACAATTCGGGCGACAGCATATGGCTGGTGGCGAGGAAAATATCGCGATTGAGCTTTTCAGAGACCTCGTAACACGCGCGCGTCTCCGAGTAGGTGGCACCGCCTGCTATGAAGACAACAATGCGCTGTCGGTTCTCGACTTGGCGGCGGTTCGCCGAGGCCCATCTCGGCGCGGCAGAGCGGAGAGAGGCTTGAGACGCGAGCGATTCCTCAGCAACATCTGGTGGGGGGTTGGTGTAGGGAAACGAATCCGGGTCGAGGGAGCCGCGGCACAAATCTTCCAGCATGCTCTTGACGGCGGGTTCAAAGCGCGACGTGATGTACTCCTCTTCTTGAGGAATGTTGATCGTGGTCCGCGGGAACAGCGGAGGCGGCGCTGGCCGAGCATCCTTCAGCCCGTGTGTGGTCTGGGCACCGAGCAGGTCGAGATTGAGGATCTTGTCGGCCTCGGACTGCGGCAAAGACGAATGGGCTAGGAGCCTATTAATGTCCTCGGGGATCAAGCCGTCGCGGTACAAGATGTAGAGAGCAATCAGTCGTAGTCTGTTCAATGGTTTGATGCCGTCTTGGTCTAGCAGCCGAACAACCTGGTCCAGGACGTTCTTCGGCTTTTTCAGGTCGTCGTCGAGGCCAGTCGCTAATGTCTGCTCGACGGGTGCCAGGTCTGGGATTTTGTCTTCGCCGAAAACCCTCAGAGCCTCTTGTGCCATGGTGACATGAAGCGAATATAATTCCTTCATTGCGGTGTACTCGGGCATGTCCGCCATCATTGCCTTTATGGTGTTCATTGTTGTTTGCGAGCTGTCTTTTGTGAAATGGGCATTGCTCTCGAGGAATTTTTTGAAGTCGCCTCCGAGCTTTTCAATCGTATGGATCATATGGCGATGGCGGTTTTCAATCCATAGACTGTCCGTTTCGGCGAGCTCCATAACCTTTTCTTCCGCCTTGTCCGTACCCTCGTTAAACGTCACGCAATAAGTCACCCTTTCTCCGTCTTCTACGGGAAGAAGGTCGTGGGCGATGGCCTGGTAAGTGAATTCATGGACGAGAGGTGCTACCAAGTCCATTGACCTGTCGGTAATGACAAGTACGGGCTGAGGCCGCGAAGTAGGCGCTGAAAAGTTTGGGTCGAACGACTGGTAGGCGTCGAGCTCCTTTTGCACGAAGCGTGCCAGGTGGGTACACAAGACGGCCGCCTCGTGGGTTGGATTCTTGGGTCGATAGTAGCGTACCTTGGGCATCTCGCCCAAAGCGATACATATGCCGACAATCTAGAAGGCGAAAATTTAGCTGTATATTTCTGGCGTATGTCAAAGTGGGTGGTTTCTACGCACTCTTTGGGCGAGTGTTTGCAAATGTTTTGCCACTAGATCATTACAGGACGGGTGATAGAGGACGGGGAAGCTGTACGGGTCTTGGAATGTTACGAGATGCGACTCGCGAGGGTAGAAATCGACAAGTAGAGTCTTATAGCCTGCGGACGGAGGGTGAGCAAGGGGGCGGACACGAGAGGTACCAATTGCTTGGGGGCTGTATGTACCTGCTATCTGGGACTTTGCGCCGCGCAGCATGTCGCTGAGTTCTTTTGGGAGGATGGCTGTCCATAACAAAAAGGCTCTCCTATAGCGTCGACGCTCAAAGTCGGCGACCAGGCACTGGACGATGTGGGGCTGGGGCGACAGGATGTAGATAGCATCCATGCCCGGGTTCATGTCCCGTTTCTCCTCAATGCGCTCGATATCTGTGGCCTCTTTAGCGGTGGGCGGCCACAAGCCGGGGAGGGGCGCATCTCACTGGCGATGTTGTTGTTGAGGAGGTCGGCCTCCTTGACCGTGTTATCAAGGATTCGCTTGGCATTTTCGTCGACGACCAAGACTTTCCACTAGGGGTGTAATTCGCGGATTAGCCAGAGCGTTCTCTATCTTCCTCTTTCTCTCCTGGGCCCCCCATGTCTCTGTCTCGATCTCTGTCTCGATCTCTGTCTCGATCTGTCTCGGCTTCTGCCTCTCGGGACGCTGGCCGAGAATAGAGTATATAGCGGGGGTAGGAGGTGGGGTAATGGGGTCGGACTCACCTCGCCTTGGGTGATCTTCTTGACGGCACTGATGATAGCTATTGGAGGGGCAAAATGTTAGAACGTTTCGGCGCGCCATCGAGGCCTGGGTGTTGAGACTGGGCCTACCATCTTTTTGCTGGTCAATAATAGAGATGCCGCCGCGGTCCATGGCGGTTACGTTAAGCCTGGCGACTCAGGCCTGGAGCAGGCGCGCGCGCGCAGCTGTCGACGTACAGGCGTAGGTGCCTGGGCGTTAGTTTTGGCGCTGGCCGTGGAATATAGAGGAGCTCCCTAGCCTAAGCAAGGTAAGGTAAGGACCTAGAGACGAGAGGGTGGTCGAGGTGAGGTACCAAATCGTAGTCGAGAGGCGAGAGGCGAGATTGAGCAAAGGTCAGAATAAAGTAAGACGGCGGCCGGCAAGAATCGTGAAAATTGGAGATGGTCGGCTGCTGGGTTGCCGTCTGTTCTCAGGGTCCAACAACTGCGAAACACTGAGTGGGCTCGACATAAGGAGGCTCAGCGGGTTGACACTCGCCAACTGTGCTCATCCTTGCCAAGCCAAGCAAGGTGGGGTGGGGTCCGAGGGGTGCTTGGCAGATGCGATGGTTTCACGGCAAGCCTATTGCCCTTCCCTCCTAGGAAGCTGCCCGTTCGTCTTCTCCCATTTCATCCCCCGTGTATCCGTACAACATCATGTGCCTTAAACGGTGTGACGATATATCAAAACCCCCAGTTGCCTTCTCCCGCCATTTGCAGTCATGTTACTACTAACTAGTATATCAACAATACGAATCAATCAAACCACGGGAGCTTACTGCTTGGGCGATGCCCTGTTCGACCCCCCCTGGCTTACCATTTGTGTAGTACTCGTCTCATGCCTTGAACCCTTGGTAAGTGAGGCATTGTGCATTTCTACCTCCAATTCGTCAACATCACAGACTACCTGGGCTACACATCGGAGAAAAGATACTAACCCTTTTCAGGGCTCCGACCTTAGCGCGATACCTGCCAAAGTGCCTGCCGACACTGCTGGATCGAGGCTGGGCTCTTGGTTTCCAACCCCACACGATTGCCGTCAGCCTGCCGTGACAGTGCCAATTGGTAGTTCTTTCGTCCAAGCCTGAGTCACTGACAGCTTGGGCCCGACACCCGAGCCGCATTCGTACTGCGACAAAAAAAAAAGAAACGTGAGCCTCGCTCGGCCTCGAAGCCCCCCCACGTTGGATGACGGGAGTTGCGGGCCCTGACATGCGGAACTAGCACCCTGCCGGCGGATGACTACGCGGATGCGGCGGCCGCAATGTTTTCTTCACCACTTCGATCCTCTCCGGCCTACGGATATGGGTGTTTCCATTCCGCAATCATCTCGGCGGGCGGGGCAGCCACCTGAGTGCTGGACGTGGCAATATGTATTGTACGTACATACAATACAATAGTGTACATACCATCCCATCCCATCTCATGGTCGCACTACGAGCTGCACATGTCAACTGCCAGCCTTGCCGTGGGCAACCTAACCTATTGTATGCCATCCCCGGCCATTGTGCTCACACGAGGGCTTGCCCAGGGCAAATGGACAGACGACGTTAGATAGCCAGTCCCTGCCTGCAAACCCACGGCAGCCACTGGACACCTGCGCTGTCATTGCGCCAGTCACGGCCCAGTCTTGTCCAGTCTTGCCGGCCCCCAGGTCCCTTGGTCCAATCGACACTGCCAATAATGAGGACCGCATAGCTAGTCCCCTTTTCTGCATGTCTCTCCTTATCGGCAGAGGTTCGTCCCGTCAACCCAGCTTCCAGCTACCCCTTCAAGCACGCAAGCCGTTTCTTAGTTTGCTGTCCGAGAGATATGGGACGTCAGCAGCTTCCCACCGAGGGCCACAAATACACAAGCGATATTCATGTGTGGCCAATATCTAGACCATCTGCCGCTCTTCACCTCCTCATTCTCCCTCGTCCACGCTCCCCGCACCCTACCCCAAGCACCAGTCTTACCCCTCCTCCAGAATAAGGCAGCTTGTACCGCCTTTTATGTTCCCCCTCACCTTTGCCCCTGGTCTTCTGTACCCCATCTTGCTTGCCTGGCTTCATCGTCATGTCCTACACAGGCCCTTCCGAGCCTCGGAAGAACGAGTCGAGTGATCTCGAGAGACAGGAGCTCGACAAGACTCAAGCGCCGGGGCCATCTTCCCATGGAAAGCATGCACTCTGGAAGAGCCTGGTGTCGATACTCACCGTCAAGGACGGCGAGGTCTATGAAGTCCACCCTGAAAAACACCCCAGATGGTACCAGAGACTTATCGACGCTGGCATCGAGGAAAACGGCATCAAACCTGTGCCAATCGAGCGTCGTACCAGCACCCAGTACAGCCACCTATTCACAGTCTTTTTCACTTGTCTCCTGTGCCTATTACCGTGAGCAACACCCAACTCGTCCCTTGGGAGAGGAAAGCTGCTAACAAGTGTCACATGTAGCCTTCCTACCGGCATCTTGGCCACCCTGGGCTTCGGCATGAGCTTGAGAGATGCCTCGCTGGTCATCTTGTTCTTCAGCATGCTCACATGCATTCCGCCAGCCTTCATGGGCATCGCTGGCATGGACACGGGCTTGAGACAGTTAGTACTGGCCAGGTACTCGTTCGGGTGAGTCGTCTTTCCCTTCACGTCCCCACATATTGCCTTTCTTCAGGGCCAGCCGTATGAAGCTGATCAAGTACTTCCACACAAATAGGCGGTACCTCGTCACCATCCCTCTCCTCCTGAACGCTGCCACTGTGACCGGGTTTTCCCTCGTCTCGGCCGTTGTTGGCGGCCAGGCCATTGCGTCTCTTAACCCAGACAAAGTCAGCATCAATGTCGGCATCGTCATCACCTGCCTGGTTTCCTTTGCCGTCTCTTTGCTGGGATTCAATGCGGTGCACTTCTGGGAGCGCTGGACATGGATCCCCAATTTGATTGCCATCATCATTGCCGTCGGCTGCGGGGGTAAGAATTTGTACTTGCAGACCGAAGTCGAGCCGGCAACTGCTTCCCAGGTACTGTCTTATGGCAGCCTGATCGCGGGCTACTTCATCACCTTTGGCGGTACCGTGTCGGACTATTCAACCTACCACAACCCCACGGGTGTATCTAAGTACGTGCCGATTTGCGCCCGGTTGCGAGTCCGCAATCTATATTCCTTAGTGCCGCAAGCTAATGATATCTCGGGTAAAGGGTCAAGGTCTTCCTCTACTTATATTCGGGCTTTTTATTGCCTTCGGTGCCGCTTCTGATTCTGGGTGCTGCCATTGGCGGGGCCATTCCCAATGTCGAGTCTTGGGCCGCAGCCTATGAAGCCACAGGAGTAGGCGGCGTTATGCATGAAATGCTAACGCCGGCGGGGGGCTTTGGCGAATTCATCGTCGTGATGCTAGCCCTGAGCGTGATCGGTAGCATTGCTATATCCATGTACAGCGTGTCCCTAAACCTCCAGATGCTCTTACCGCCTTTCGCCAAGGTTCACCGGTTTGTGTTCATCATAATTACGATGGCCATCATGATTCCCTTTGCCATCCGGGCTGCCGAGCAGTGGGAGGAGAGTTTGATCAATTTCCTCGCCGTCATCGGGTACTGGGCGGGCTGCTTCGATGCCGTGATCATCATGGAGATGGTTGTGTTCCGCCGAATGGACTTCACAACATACGACCATGCCATCTGGAACGTTGCGCGCAAACTGCCGCCGGGGATCGCGGCTCTGGGGGCCTCCCTTGTCAGTATGGCGCTGGTTGTTCCCGGCATGGCTGAGCCGTGGTACACAGGCCCTATTGCTGAGACGACGGGCGACATTGGCTTTGAGATGGCCATTGCCGTGACGGCCCTATTCTACCTCCCTTTCCGATGGCTTGAGATTAAATGGCGAGGTCATCTGTGAAAGGCGTGCATTGTGTATAGTCCATAGTCAGTTGCACATATATGAGTTGGTTCTGCACAACAGAAACCATCAGACGTGAGACTGGGAGCATGGGGACGCCATTGAGACAGAGAATACAACACGAGAATAAACAGGTTTGTTTACTCCGAGCTTCTTGAAATCCTACCGCATAGAACGATGTCTTCGCCAAGCGGGTGCCAAGACACGCCGGCGAGCCGCATGGGGGACGCGGGGTTCCCGCTGCCGTCGAGGGTCCGGGGCGGCGACACGACGACGCCGCCCTGGCCGAGCCACGTCGGCGCAATGGTGACGATTACCGAGTCGATCAGAGGACTATCGGGTGGCGCCAGCAGCGAGTTGATGACTTGGCCCCCGCCCGTCCTGCGTTACCCGTCCTGCTCCCTCTGCTCCTGCTGCTGGTGGGAGGTGGGGTTCCAGCCGCAGGGCGTCTTGAGGCGGGAAGGTGAGGAACTCCTCGCAAGCAGCCATTTTGGTCTTTTATTCTTTTTTCTTTTTTTCTTTTTTGGGTAAAAGAAGTTGAATAATTGCGTGCTGCTCAAGGTCGCAGTGCTTGCTGTGATTTAGGGCGAGGCAGTGCTAAATAAATGGAAAGATACTGGCCGTAGGAACAATGGCACGCCGAGTGGGAGCGGTGCAATAACAGACGAGGGCGAAATCTGCCTCGTCGGCTCCGGCTTATATTGGGAAGGTGGTTTCCTGGTAGAGACGCAAGACCCGACCCCGTCTTATTCTTCTCGCAAAACCAAACCAGCCGTAGATGATATATCGGGGCTTCTGTCAGGGAGCTCGAGGCAGTGTTTGCAGCCTTTTCATCTCCGATGAACTCCTTTTTTTGCTTCTGAAGATGTTCAGCCAATGCCAAAGGGGAAAAGAAAGACAATGGAACATTTGGAAGCTGCCAAGTAAGGTAAGGTGAGTTGGGGGAAGACTGTGGGCCAATAATAGCCCCACATAATCAATCTGATCTTGGCCTTGGCTCGCTAGGCGTTTCGCATGGGATTCGGACCGGGATGGGGTCGCTTCCGATTCCATCTCAGTGTCTTCCGTATTGAGCGGTAAGTGGTGTAAGTGATCGATAACGGTGGAGCCATCAACCGGAATCCTGACCGGCCAACGGCGCCCAACCTCCGTTGGACACAGCGACATGACACTATACGCATCCTACTTACACAGTACCTCAGGTAGCAGGTACGTATGCGTCTTGTCAAACGGGCCTGCCTCGTAAGGCAAGGTGGCGCAGCTTTATACGCAGTCTTCACTCTTCAACAAATGGACCCCCCTTCTATCCCCATCGACGCCCGACACATGCGCTGAGACAGCCAAGGTTTGACCTGGCCGAAGGGGACGCATTCCAGGGTCCCGAACGAAAGAGTCCCCAGCGCGCCTGCCGAACATGCCGGGGCGTGGCTTGGCATTAGGTTGCCCGACCGATTCCATGCTATTTGACTTTTGAACGTCTTTGTTCTCAATCGACGGGAACGACAGATTCCATTCTCACCGTGCATTCTCTTCTCCCAACCGCCGGCCATGCTCGGTTGTTGCGCAAGCCCCCAGCCTCGGAGATAATAAGCTTTGTCGCATTCGCCTGTCGGGGTTTGCGTCGAATCCGCGCATCGACGTACGCCGCCTCCGCGCCGCCGCCGCAGCACCTCCTGGGTCACCTTACTGAGTAGTGTGCTATACAGCACTAAACGCTACCTGCCCCATCCCAAACGCGCAGCATCGCCACACCTTCCTTGCGAGGGGCCGAGAGGAATCTTCAAGTAAGGCTCCAAGGCCAGCGCCCATACTCTGTATATTCTCGCCGGGGACCCGTCCCTCCTGCTTGGCGGCTTTTCCTAAAAAAAACTATCGCATCCCTACCCTATTCCTGTAAGCCAGGCCAAGCCAACAAAAAGGATCACCTAGCCTTGGGTTCCCCACGCCTGCGCCAAGTTAATTTCCACTTCTACAACCACGTCAATTGAAATCCGTCGTCGTCGTTATCCTTCACTCGAACCGATTGCGCAACACCGTCTCGGTCCATCTCACATCCATCGATCTCGACCGACCGGCGACATCCGAATACCGCGATAATTCGAACAGAGCAGGCCTCAACTCATTCAACAATCTCGCCGAAATCGCAAGGCTCGCGACCAAATCAATACCACCCACACACCACACACAGATCCTCTTCTCAAAAATGTCGCAAAAGCTGGAACAACCGCCTGCATACACACAGGGCGGTCTGCAGTCACCTCAACCCACGTACCAGGGTGGCTCGCCCTCACACTCGCCCGCCCCAGGAGGATATTTCTCGCCGGGAGGCCAGCCCAACAACAGCAGCTACGGCGGCTCCCCACAGCCGCCGGCGGGCTACGGCGGCTCCCCACAGCCACCAGCGGGATATGGCGGCTCGCCACATCCGCCCATGGGGTACGGCGGCTCGCCCGCGCCGCAGGGCTACTACCCGCAGCAGGGCCCTCCGCAGCAGGGCTTCTACCCTCCTCAACAGGGGCCGCCGGGAGCCTACTATGCACCCCAGCAGGGCGGCTACTATCCTCCGCAACAGCAAGACAAGGGAGCGTCATCTGTGAGTTTAGCTCCTTTTATTCGCCACTGGCGTGTTTGACTGACACCTCTCTCACTCTGCAGGGCTTGATGGGAGCGTGTCTCGGTGCTCTGGCATGCTGCTGCTGTCTCGAACTGTTGTTCTAAATCGACTTTTTCGACACGCGCACGCTTCTCTGCCGTAGGTTCCAGGTTCTATATTGGAGCTTGTTAGCGGGAGGAGACGTACGAAAACGAGCAAGATTACTATATACCCGGGAGAGAAAAAAAGAAAACCACGACAACAGATGACGAGAATTAAGCCCCCCGCCATTCACCAGTCGCAACGCAATGGGGGCGAAAGGGCCATACGCAATTGGAGCGCTGCGATCGGCGAAGTGCGGCGAGAAAAACCTGCAGGAAATCCACGCGCCATGCCCGAATTCGCGTTGCTCGGCCACAACGTCACTCAAGAGGGATTCCGTCCTCACCTCCCCTTTCTTTATTCCCGCGTGAATGGCCAAGTGTTGGGGAGTACCGTACACAAAGCTCTATATTTGAAATGAGCAAGCCCCCCGTTGACATATATATGAGGAAAGGGCGCGGTGTCTGCATATCTTCTTTCCCCTTAAAATTTAACTACCTCCCTAACTATCCATGTCACGCGGCGCTAGTAACGGCGCGCTGTATCCTCACCCTTTTTTTTGAAGTGATTTCTCATTTGTTGGTGTTACTACTATCCGGCCTGGGGACGCTTTTTTCCTTTTTCTGTTCGCTTTATTTTTTATTCACCTCTTTAGCGATACTGAATAATCGATTTACTTTTTGCAACGGATATTTACATACGTTATTGCCACAGGTACCACCGACGTAAACGCGTTACTGTATCCTTCGTTTATTTGGTAGTTATTTGCTACTTAGGTACCTATTCGGTTCCAAATAGGTATCGTCATTAGGGTTTGAGAATAAAAGATAAAATTGCGGTAGCCACACGGGCTTACAAACAATCACTAGTGAACCCCGAAACCAAACACGCGCAGGTGACACACACCAAACTTCGCCGAGTACTGGCGCTTGATTGTTTGTCTGGGTTCGGGGATATACAGTGATTTAGTCTAAAAATTATATATATATCAAAGAGGTGTGTCGAAAAAAGGGGATTGGAGCTTGGGAGAGAAGCTTCACCCCCTTTGATCTTCCGCCCGCATCTCCTCCATCATCGTCATCTCTCTATACCTCAATACCTATATACGCGGGTGCGCCGTCCATGGGACCCACTTTGTAAAATATTTATCCAAAGACTCAGTAGAGAGTTTCTGGCTCTTATTTTTCTTCCTCTCAGGGGTTTCCTTTCTCTCTGCGAGATGATCACGCAAGAGTGGCATACAGCTTGTCGAACTCGTCGGCGGTGACCTGGACGCAGTCGTTGGAGTAGATCATCTTCTGCACGTCGGGGCTGGCCCACTTGTCGGGCACGGAGCCCGTCTTGGCGCCGTCGCGGAAGGCGGCGTCACGCTCCTCCTTAGCCTTGCCCTCGCCCAGGTGCAGCGTGCGCCCCGAGAAGGAGGCCAGGTCGACCAGCATCGTCGTGTACGGCTTGCGCAGCAGCTCAAAGACCTTGAGGGCCTTGGCGATGGCGGCGGCGGAAGAATCAGAGTCGCCGGCGAGGCTCTCGGCTGGCACGCGCGCTACGCACTCGGCCAGCACGGCGCCGTCCTCGATGGCCATGGCGGCGCCCTGGCTCAGGTGCGGCAGCGTCGGGTGGCAGGCGTCGCCCAGCAGGGCCACGCTGCCGTGGGTCCAGGTCGGCAGCTCCTTGTACACGCGCAGCTTCCACTCGCACACCTCGCCGTCGGGCACCAGGTTGAGCATGCGGTGGACCAGCGGGCAGAAGTCGGCGAAGACGTCGAGCATGGCCGCCTTGGAGCCGCGCGTCGTGTACGTGGCGTTGGTGGCGGCGGCGAAGTTGTCGTCGGGCTGCGCCGACGACAGGTTGTAGATATTGTGGCTGCTGACGGGGTACGCGATGATGTGGCGGCGCTCGCCGATCCACCGCACCACCGTGTCGCTATCGAGCAGCGCCAGCATCTCGGCGTCGTGCGCCATCTCGGCCCGCGTCAGCATGATGCGGTACGCCGCCTGGCCCGTGTCCTCCTCCTCGGACGTGGCGCCGAGCGCGTCGGCGAGCATCTGCGTGCGCGTGACCGACTTGATGCCGTCCGACGCCAGCACCACGTCGGCCGTGACCTGGTACGGCTCGCTGTCGCGCGGCTTCACCGTCAGCATCGGCCGCGGCGCCCACGAGTCGACGCGCACGAGAGCCGTCGAGAAGTGGAACGTGATGGCGCTCTCCTTCTTGCAGCCGTTGTACAGCCCGCCGGCGAGCGACGCCCGGTGCCCCGTGCAGTGGGGCTGGCCGAACTTCTCACGCACGTCGGGCATGTTCACGTGTGCCAGCTCGATATTTGTACTCCCCTCTGCGCGGCGCATCCAATCGACGAGGTCAGCGACGTTCGAGGCCTGTTGAGTGACATTGCTTTTGCAGGGAGGGCTGTCTCTTACGTCTGATGCTAGTGTCCTTGACGTCTGTGGCCTCCCTCTCGATCTCGTCCCAGCACCCGAGCCGATCTAGCACGCGAGCAACATTGGGGGGAAGCTGAATGCCGGCACCGACGAAACCTAGATTCGAAGCCGTCTCGAAGACATCGATGTGCTTGAACCCCTTCTTGGCAAATGCCAGAGCACTCCCCAGGCCCCCCATGCCGGCGCCAATGATGACGATGCGCAGGTCACGGAAGTCGGCCATAATTGCAAGGCCGAGTGAGGCTGAGGCTGAAGTGAGGCCGAGGGTGAGGGAGAGCGCACAAGAGCTCGGTTCTTGGGCGAGTTGGAGTTTGAACGGGTCCAAGCTACAGCGACAATGCGAGTGTCGATCAAGTCACAACCCGGAAGTTGGGTTTTAAGTACGTCTATGTCGGGGTAGGTAGAGATAGGTGGGTAAGCAAGCAAGCGGCTAAAGCAATCTACTGCCTCTTAATTTTGCCGGTATATAGAACAGCTCTCTCTCTTATATACTTACCTTCCTGCCTTACTCAATGTCCGTACCAAGCAAAGTTGGGTAGGTAGTATAGCATACAGACGGTACACGGGCGTCAGTCGGCCCACGACTCGGCATCGGCATCTGCTGCACAAGGACACGACACCTCGGACGCATACTCTATTCGTCGACAACGGCGTCCTCATGGGTGGTGAAATATGTTCCCGCTCCCAGTTTATGGGGCGTCGTCAAGCCTAGAACCTGGGCTGGGCATGACGGGAACCATGGGTGAGCCTCGGGTAGTAGAGAGGGGGCGGAAAACGACAGTCTGTGGGTGGAGGTGGTGGAGGGTGGTGTGTGGTGAAGTGGGCGGTGCGGGGAAGCTCAGTGCCGGGAGAAATGTGCCTAGAACTACCTTACCCCGTACGTACAGGGGAGGTAGTCAATGTTGAGGCCTGGAAAATCCATTCGCCGCGGCGATCATTCATTGTCGATACCTGCGCAACCTTGATGTGCGACCAGCTGGACCTCGACGGCCGCGCGACGGCCCTTCGTACTTGACTCTGAAGCCCATCGGATACTTGGCTAGGGCTCATTTTGCAGCCCTGGACCGCTCCCTTCAGCCCGCGGGCAATCGCGGGCGGCCATCCCGCACTGCTTGTGCACGCACCAGGGCAGTCCGGGGAATCGATCTTTTAATACCTACCTAGGTGCGCCAACGGCGCACCTAGGTAAGGCGGTCAGTCATGCGCGTCGCAGAGGCACCCGAGCTTGTCGACCGGTCGTCCGGTGTTGAACCAGCTCGCCGGGTTTTATCCGTCGTTGCTCGGAACTTGAAATACTGCCGGGTGGCCCAGCACTGGAATCTGCAAGGAGCCGGGAGGTCCCCCTGCGAATCTCGTCTGTGTGAGGGATCTTCCCGGCTGACGCTTTGCTGGCGCTAGTTGTGGGGGAGAAATGTTGCCCCGCCATTTGATCCAGCTGCCAGCACGCTTGCATGTATTGTGCATCCCGAGTACATTATATTGAGCACCAAAAGCGCCTTTGTGATCCAAATAATGAATCGTTGGTGCTGAATGTTCGAACCAACACCAACCAAAACGCAAAAGAACCCACGATCTATCAGCGCAACACAGGCCAGGCTGGCGGCCTGGCCTAGCTCTGATAATCAAACCTGGACCACTTCATTCTGTGGGTTGTGGAGCTGCAACGAGAAAGTACTGACTTGTACGTGTTCACCAGCCACATGAGCAATCGACAAAGATTGCGAGTATAACCATCGGGATACGCGAATTGGCTCCGTGACAACAACGTATTCTCGTCTGTATTAGGCGAATTAGCTGCGCCGTCTGAAATTAAAGATTATTAGCATCGAGACTTGACCCGTTACGGGAGCAGGTGTGGCTGACACGGAAGCCAACGATGAAACGCGTTTCAAAGCGACAAGCGAAGACGAGCGACAGTAAAGTAAAAAGTGCTCGAGCTCCCAACAAGGGCAAACTGCCGTTAGGTCCACGTAAGACAAAAAAAGATTAGTGAATAGAATAAAAATAACGAATAATGATCAACAGACAAAGCGTGCCGAAAATCCCCGGCGTCGAGAAATTGGAAGCGCGCGTCAAAGGACTCCCATGCTCATCATCAAAGAGCAAAGGGCATACCCGGCAAAGGATTTTAGGGTGTCTGATTGTTTGGCTGGAGGACAAAGCCGCGGGGTTCCAGCACGCGCGCAATTGCACGCCAGGGGCTAATGGGGGGGATGACCCCCCACTTTGGATTCTTAGCGCCACGCCGATCTTTGGCAGCGATTGGCAGCGATTGGCTAGCAAGGGATCGGTTCCCCGGCTGTGGCAGCCGCAGACGTCACCGGGCAGGGCCAATAAGGTCCTGTTTCGGACGAATCAAGGTCTGGGTTTCTTGATCGCGGGAGGGTTGAGTAGCCCAGTTTCATGGCCTGCCCAGCCGAGCGTTTACACGTCTGGCTTTGAAAACATGGAAGGCGAGCTTTGATACCGGGTTACCGACCGGGTTTTTTTTTTTACTGTTCGTTTGTCTCCATGACCACGACGGGCAGACGCGCCTTTCTCCCCTGTCCTGCCCTTCCCCTCCACTGCATTGCATTTATTCTTTGACCCTTTTTTGGGGGATTCTAGCTCGGGGCTTGGCTTCGATATCGACAAGGACCGACCGACAGACTCGCGCGCGCGGCGCCTTAACATTCTAGCATCCCCACCCGACCCGATCCTTCTTCGCCCTCCCTCAGACCTTTCCTTTCCTTTCCTTAAGATAGACCCTTTTTTCCCCTTGAGGTGCCGTATCTTCGTCTTGTCCGCCCTTGCTCAGCCGTGCACGACAAGCGACAAGACCCTCGAGAGCGGAATCGAGATCGAGACCGAAACCGAGACCGAGAACTGACTTCGCCTCGGCACAACACTACAACACCTATTGCTTACCGACGATTACGCACATCCTACGGTGTGGGAACGAATGCCTGCGCAAGCCGCACTGCTCGGGTGACATTCTCACCACTGAGTGGCGGCCCCTTTGTGCATCCGTTGGGCGCCTCGCAAAGGCAGCTCGCGAGAAGTCAAGCGAGTCGATAATAGCAATAGAGGGAATCTAATATACTCGCTATCATGTCTACTTCATCCTCGGCGACGTCGACGTCGAGCTCGAGCTCAAGCTCAGCATCGCCAACCGTCAATCCCCAGACCAACTCGACCATCACCGATCCCAACGATCCCAGTGTGGGCAGCGCCCTTCAGCAGTCGGGCATCAGTCTCGTCGCTTTCGCCACAGCCCTGGTGGCTTCGTTTGTCATTTTCGGCGTACAGATGAGCTTCTTCCTGCTCCTTCGAAATATTCTGCCAAGAATATAGTGCGTATTCACCTCCCCTCCCTTCCCCTCCTCCACTTTCCCTCCCCCCGCTGCGTGTGTGTATGCAAGGTACCTTTCGAGGTAAAGATATCAAGGGTCAAGCTAACCAGCCTGCCTCGGCCGCAGTAAACCCAAGACGTATTTGGTGCCAGAACGAGAAACCACTCAGTCGCCGCCCTCGAGCAACTGGGCCCTGGTCTTTGCGCTTATGAAGTTCGAAGATCGAGAGGTCATCAAAAAGTGCGGGCTCGACGCCTACTTCTTTTTGCGCTATCTGAAAACACTCTTGGTCATCTTCGTTCCTATAGCCTTCGTCGTAATACCCATACTGGTGCCCCTCAACTTTATCGGCGGGCTGGGGCAAGACGTTATCGACAACAGCACCGCCATCAACAAGACCACAGCTGTTGGCGCCTACGTCGCAAACGTTCCCAAGGGACTCGACACTCTGGCCTGGGGCAACATTTCGCCAAAGAACCAGTTTCGCCGCTGGGCGCACCTCGGTCTGGCGCTGTGCGTCATCTTTTGGGTCTGCTTCGTTTTCTTTGTCGAACTGCGCGTCTACATCAAGATCCGCCAGGACTACCTGACAAGCCCCGAACATCGGCTGCGAGCGTCGGCCAACACGGTGCTTCTGACCTCAATCCCCGACAAATGGTGCACTGATGAGGCCCTGAGAGGTCTGTTTGACGTGTTCCCGGGCGGTATCGAGAACATATGGCTGGCGCGAGATTACGGGCCACTTCTCGAAAAAATCCGCGAACGTGAACTCATCCACCAGCAGTTGGAGGAGGCTGAGACGGAGCTGATCCGCGCCGCCAAAAGGGCCCATATCAAGCAAGAAGAGGCCACTGCTCATGCGGGCGAGTCCAAGGACCAGAAACTAAAGCGAGAGAGAGCCGAGGACGAGCAAGCCGGCGCACTCGCAAGACAATCGGAGGGCCTAAGCGCTGGGGACCATGAAGAGGTACCCCATCTCAGGGAAAGGGCCAAGGCGAACGCCGCCCTCGTTGCTGCTCAAAAAACCAGGGGCGCCTTCAAAGGAGTCAGGGGAAATATACAGGCCGCCGGTACAAGCCGCTCTTTCCAAGCTGCCGACCAAAGCGTCAGAAGAAACGGTTCTAATGCCAGTAGCCGCAGTGGCTCGACGGCCCAAACTCTCGACGAGAAGACGGGATACGGCACTAGCTGGGGCAACACCACCCGCAAGGTCTCCAGCATGGAGGAAATGATCAACCCGAAAAAGACCAGGTGGTTTCAGTTCTGGCGGGCTCCTACGGGCAGCTTGCTGCCCCCGAAACCCCAGGAGAAAGAGGTAGACCCAGAAGAGGTTGCGGCCGAGGCTGCGGAGAAGGGGAAGAAGGTCGAGTATCCAGAGGCCACCACGGTCGACTGGAAGACGATCAATGAGGACAGCGGGCCCAACCGTGCAGCGTGGGCCGAGTTTCTCAAGCCAAGCGACCGGCCAACCCACGGGATCCCGCTCGTACCCTTTCTCCCGGCCCTGCCTTTCCTCAGCAAGAGCGTCGACACGATTTACTACTGCCGCGCCGAGCTGGCCAGGCTCAACTTGGAAATCGAAGAAGACCAAAAGCACGAGTACCGTTTCCCGAAGCTGAATACGGCCTTCATCCAGTTCCGTCACCAGGTTGCCGCTCACATGGCCTGCCAAGCCGTTACGCACCATTTACCGGGCCACATGGCGCCCCGGATGCTCGAGATCTCGCCCAACGATGTCATCTGGGACAACATGAGCATCAAGTGGTGGGATGGATGGACGAGGCGCATAATTGTCTTCGCCATGGTCGGCGCCATGATCATTCTCTGGGCCTTCCCCGTCGCCTGGACTGCGTCCTTGTCCAACTTCGACGCCCTGGTCAAGAAGTACAGCTGGCTCCACTTCCTCGAGGCCAACAAAGCCGTCGCCAACGCTGCCAAGGCCGTCGCCGGTGTCTTGCCGGCCATCATCCTCGCCATCCTGCTTGCCCTCGTGCCCCAGCTTCTCGACTTCTTGGCCGGATTCCAGGGATCCAAGACGGGCTCTCAAAAGTCGGAAGTCGTCCAGGTCTATTACTTCATCTTCTTGTTTGTCCAGGTCTTCTTGGTTGTGTCCATTACTACCGGTACCTTCCAGACGATTGCCAATGTCGGAACCAATCTCACCAGCACGCCTACCATCCTAGCCGTCAACCTGCCCAAGGCTGCCAACTACTTCTTCTCCTACATGATACTGCAGGCCTTGTCGACGAGCTCGGGTACCTTGCTTCAGATTGGAACCCTGGTCGTCTATTTCGTCATTTCGAGGCTCTCGGACAGCACGGCCAGAGCCAAGTGGCAGCGCCAGACCAACCTTCCTTCGGTCACCTGGGGCTCGTTCTTCCCCGTCTACACCAACTTTGCCTGCATCGGCCTGATTTACTCCATCGTCGCCCCCATCATCTCCATCTTTGCCATCATCACGTTCAGCCTGCTCTGGGTCGCCAACCGTTACAACATGCTCTATGTCACGCGGTTCCGGACCGACACAGGCGGCGTCCTCTACCCGCGAGCTATCAACCAGACCTTTACCGGCCTCTACGTCATGGAACTGTGCCTCATCGGCCTGTTTTCCCTGGCCCAGGATGAGGAAGGCAGGAACGCGTGCCTCCCGCAAGCCTTCATCATGCTCGGCGCCCTCATCTTCACCGCCATATACCAGTACCTGCTCAACACTGCCTTCGGTCCTCTCTTTCTTTACCTCCCCGTCACTGTCGAAGACGAAGCTGAGCTCCGTGGAAATATGTTTCAAGAAGAACAAGACAAGCAAATTCAACGGGGGCAACAAGAGCTTCTAGACAGAAAAGTCAGACGAGAAAAAGGTGACGACGGCAGGGACCAATTTGGTAAAATAGCCCGAAGTGATACCCTGGACACGCTGGGCTCTGTTGCCGACGACCCAGACAGCTCTCAAGTGGCCGAGTACATGCGGAAACAGAAAAAGAGAAACGGAGAAAAGAAGCGCAAGTACATAGAACTCGAGGCACAGCAGGCCATCGGAAAGGCACTCTGGGGAGGCTTCGCCGATGAAATCGAGGACCTGCTGCCCGCTGAGCGCGCAGTCCTCGTCCGCGAGGCGTTCAAGCACTCGGCACTGCGCGCGCGCCGACCCACCGTCTGGATACCGCGGGACGACCTTGGAGTCAGCGACGACGAGATTCGGCGCACGAGGGACTTTAGCAAGCATATCTGGATCACTAACAAGGGTACAGCGCTTGACAGTAAGGCCCGCGTCGTCTATGGCTGCAATCCGCCCGACTTCTCCGAGGCCGATATTATCCTTCTCTAATCCCAAAGACGAAGACGAAGACGCCTGGAATTTCGGGCTTCTTCTTCATTTTCATTGTTTTTATTCTTTTGCATTCGGAGGGCCAAGATGGATAGATACCATGGCTCTCTGCTTTTCCTTTTATTTTTGAGCTCAGCCTCTCCCTGTTTATTACCTTCCTCGCCGCATACCCTCTCTCATTACTGCTATCATCTGGGCGTTCTGGTTGTACTTCTGGGTTAAAGCATGGCCCGTCACAATAGACGGGCAGAGAACATAATGGGAAATCAACAGGTGGCAAATTATACCCTGGTGGGGGAGGGACTGACGCGAACGCGCGTTTTGGGGTGCATATCATCAAGTAATACCAAGCATGGTTGCTTTTGGGCGTTTACTATTATCTAAACAAACCATGAGAATCACTTTTGGCGGTGGAGGGGGCCCTGTAGGGCAGACAGCCTTTCGTTTTTACTTTACCATGACACGAAACAGAGAGCAGGGCTTCGGGCCCCAGCGGGTATTGTATACACACACACACACACACACACACATGCGTACTGTACATTACACTACAAAATGTCAGAATAAAGAAATACAATATAGAAACTAGTTAATCAAAATACATGTCTGCTATCCACTTGTGCTGCTTGCCGTTGAGAGGGAAGATAAACTTGAGATGAAATTGTGATTCCTAAAGTGGGACTTTGTAGACAGCAAATAATGGCCTAGGCGTTTGTTGTTGACTCAAGCAGGTACCCAAGTTAGTGTTTAACGTGTGAGAGAGTGAAAGAGAAGATGCCGGTTTCGTTTCACAGACTGTATCAAGTAACTTGCATTCTCATCGCAAGCACTACCAGCAACTAGCCCATTGTTTTTTCAAACCCACCTTCCTAGATCTCTCTATCTCTCTATCTACCTATCAATAGCAGTAAATCTACTTACGAAAGGAGTAAAGCTCCTCCATATTTTCTATTATATTTCCAAACTCCATCTACGTAAACTAAAGAGAAACATATAAGTAAAGTTGATTTTCAGGGGCATTATTATCGCCATCTCGTCCGTCCTCAAGCCCTCGTAAGCTATCTGCTTAAGCCAGATCCATGGAATTTTTTTTTTTTAAAAAAAACCACTGAGCCAACAAAAACCTCAACCACCATGACAGACAGACAGACACGAACAAAAGAAAATTCAAGCTACTAATTACAGCACAATTTCTTCTTTTTATAAATTTGCTATTCGATTATTCTTTTCTTTAGCTCCTCATTGCCACCAATTCGGCCATGCCCAGCGCCCCAAGTCCTTGTTGCTGTCCTTGTCTTTCCTTACCTTGCCACCAATCCCATCCCCATTTCTGTTGTCGTTGCCACTGCCGGTAGTACTAGGAGAAGTTCTATCACTACTGCTAACAATGCCTTCCCACCGCCCTCCAGCCGAAGCGCCGCCACTCCCAGCGGCGCGCGGCCCAAACGTTCCAGCTGTGGCGGCAGCAGTCCTGCTGCTAGCAGTACTGCTGCTATATCCATAGCAATTGCCGGGATCGGGCCTCGGCCGAGGTAGGCCATTACCCGCCTGCGCCCGCCTCGCGCCCGTCGCCAGAGCCGGCGCAGTGGCACTGATTGAGGTGACGGTGGCTACCGGGGCGCTGGAGCGATGGTCTGGGGTAGGGACGATGCTCCTCGCACCAGCAGATGAAGAAACGGATACAGAAGGAGACGGATAAGAACTAGTAGCAATAGGCTCCATTCCGCTCCTCCGCAGCATGTCGACTCCTACTGATCTCCTGCTCCGGAGAGCACGCTCCCTGGCAACGGCGGCGTGTGACGGCTCTGCCTTGTTGCTATTATGACTGTTGTTGCTGTTGCTATACCTAGCAGCGCGTCCAGAAGACGTGATGATAGGCTCGGGTGACCAGCGCGACGAGGAAGACGAAACTGAAGATGGTGCCGGCAGCGCCCCGGAGGGAGCATTTGCTACTGTGTTTGACGTCTTGGCAGAGCTTCCGGTGACGGCGGCAGCGGCAGCGGCGGGTGATACGCCAGGGGGGACGCGCTTGATATGGCGAACGTGGTAGCTTGGTCGGCCACTTGTCGAGGTGCGGCGCATCTGACTCCAGATTTTACGCGCCGGGTCCTCCGAGTACGAGTAATCGTCTAGATCATCATCGACAATCACGGCGACTGAATCTTTCGGCGGCGGCGGCGGCGGCGCGAGTGGCGGAGGAGGCGGCGGCACCAGCACCGGGGATGTCCTGATGCCTGGGCTTGCTGGAAACGAGAACGACGACGATGGCTGATGGAGGCTCGTCTTCCGCCTCGGGATAGGAGGCGCCACACGTGTAGGTGCCGGCCGGACTGTCTCCTCGCTTGTCCTTGATGGACCCCAGTCCAGAGGGTTTGCTGGGGCTGGGGGCGCAAGTAGACTCAATGCTGGCGGAAGAATCGCAGGCTTTCGCGACGTGGTAGACAACGAGCTGGCGATGCGGTGCATGACGTTTCTAGCGCTCTCGGGGCCCTAATGCGAGGCGATGATTTCGAACAGGGGATTCGGCTGGGGAGCAGAGCGAGGAGACCACGGCGACGATGAATTGTGTCGCTTTATGACCGCTACGGCAGTCGTTTTCATCGTGGTCTGCACACCGACGACTCCATCTACTGCCGTGTTGTACAACGACGGCGGACCATGTTGCTGTGGAAATCCCGAATGCCGATATGTCACACGGACTTGCAGGTATTCGACTGTTGTACTCCCTAGCTGGTACTCGAGGTCTTTTATAAGGTCGTCTGAGCTCTGCCTGGCATGTCCTCGTGTATTGTAGCTGGACAGGGAGGTTGAAAGTAGCCGGACATGGGCCACCACCAAGAGCCTGGAGCCGGGATATAACGTATTCCTGTTGTTTGAACACCCAGCATTAGACAGTCAAAGAAGAAGGGGGACGAGAGGGCAAGAAACAGGGAGGTTTGCTGGGACATATCCTACTTAGCACAAGCGCTATCATCCAACACCTCGATGACAGCGGTATTGCTGGTAGGCAAAACCTGAACGGAAACGTCGTGTAAACAACCATACTGGAATACATCTTTTCATCTCAAGTTAGGCTCCGCCTTCGTCTAGTTGAAAGCTGACGTACCTGATGCAGAAGGACAAAGACCGAGGCTCCGACCAAGGCCCCATCCGTAGTCGGTCTTTTGTCGCATGGGATCCGGTGCATTGGCTGGGCATACCTGAGTAGAAAGCTGAACAGCGGCCCACAGGTCAGTGACGCCGTCATTAAGAGCCTTGCTCTCTGGTGTCACCACAATCTGGGGCACTAGAACAAAGGGATCGAGCGGAGCGGCACCGCCAGATGCGTCCGTCTCCGAGTCTGGTTCTTGTCTCGGGGTCAGGGGAGAGATGATGGCTGCTGGCACATCACCACCACCATCCAACAAGTCGGTGGGTGATGGCATCGCGGCTTGAATGTGGAACATACTCTTGGCGTTCCGCAGTCGCGAGTAGTTGTGCCGAACACGCCCCGGCGTTGCAGGACGGCTCGGTTTGGCACTGCAAGGCCGCGGACTCAGCCCTCTCCTGTCTCGGTCGTAGTCGCCCGCGCCATCAAATCCCTGTCTATAGAGACTCGGGAACGCTAGGTTTGTCCTGCTTGACAGCGGAAGAAGGCTACTAGGGTGGTTCTGGGTCGGACTCGGACTCGCATGCGGCGTGAACTTGACCGGCCCGTCCGCGGCGGCCTTCACGTGGGACTCTGCGTCTGCGTCTAGTGTGAGTTTCTATGAGTTACACACAGCAACAGGGGAAGGTAAACGAAAACTTAGAGGGGAGATGAGGCGAGGAAGAGCAATATGGACCAACTGACCCTGCTCCTGCTCCTGCAGCGCGTTTGCACGTCTGAAGCCACCCAAAGCGTGGCTGCCCCGATTCGCTCTCCTCTTGGGCACTGTCAAGGGCTCGTCGTCTCCGGGGTGATCTGGACCGCTGCCCATGCTGACATGTGTGGCAATGCTCTCGCAACTGGACCGACGTCTCTGGAATATCCATTCCTGGAGCTCGCTTTTCTCCGCTTGCTTGATGATATGCAAAGGTCTAGGCACACCGTGCTCGGGTCTGCTGCCGCAGTCGTATGTAAGACATGTTCCAGCGCCGTTGGTTGCCATTGTCTTCAGTATGCTTGCTTGCTGCAGCCGCAGAGGCGCCGAAGGAAGCAGACAGCCTAGACTTGACGGGCTAACTGGCTGGGCGGCTTATTTTGAGGGTTCCAGGTACAGCGGCCAACGGGCAACGGTCGATGGGGCTATTCGGAGTTCGGCGATGATAAGTTTTTCTTGTTGGCGGGCGCGGGCACCAGCGCCGCGAATGTGTCCAAGGTACCTAATACGAACGTAAGGTATGCGCCGGCCCGTGGGCCAAAACGGCAATAGAACGCCGAAGCCAAGCACGTAGCGGCAAGGGTATTAATCGAATAGCGATAGATACAGGGTATCGGATTATTGCGCACTATTGCTGCTGAACATACCGGTGAAACTATGTCGGCAGGGTGTTGGATACTCGGTGAACCTTGAGTCGACACAACACGAGACTTCGGTTATTATGGTTGTACTAGACTGCTAACCTCAAGTTCGACAGGTAAGGTAAGGTGGATGGGCAATGCGGGAGAAGTTAGACGCTGTCCGAACTCAGAAGCACCAACAGCAGGTCCGGTACTACTGTACCGTTCCCGAAGAAGGAACGGCCGAAGAGCTCTTTCCATTTCCTTTTCCTTTTCCACCCCATCCCAATCCCGCTTGCCCTCCCCGCCAGCGGGGAGATTGGTAACTTGCTGGCTGTTCAAGGAAGGAGCCAAACACTGCCAGTAGTAGTACCTTGCTAACTTACACAGCTGTGGCCATACTTTCCAGATTAGCTGGCAACCTCGGACAGATGCAAAAGCCAGGGCGCACGAGCCAATCAACCACGGCCCGTAGCAATTCTAGGATGTTGCGCCCAGGGTCCGAAGGAGGTTTTTCTTAATACCATCCACGTCCGTGTCATCCATATTGAGGAAATTTATCTGTAGTTGTCCCTTTTGTTAGTTGGCTTGCTCATGATTGTCTGGTTTTGAGGCCGTGGGGAGGGGAGGCGAGGAGATACAAGATAGGGGAGAATGGGCAGGAGGCGGTCATGTTGGCTGAAGCACCAAACCAACAAGATAGCCTCAGTGTGCCGTCTCACTGGTAGGTAAGGTAGGTAGTCACTTGGCCCTTGCTTACCAGTTCATCTGCCGTACCGGCATTGCCATACAGCACGGCTTCGGACAAGCTACCGGCAATACCCCTTTTGGACCGCTCCAGCCAGACGCCCTCCCAGTTCCACGCTGCCGGCCGTCTCGCGGTTGCTCCTACTCCCCCTCCTCCCCCCACCACACTCGAGGGGGGGCTGCTGGTGGATGCCGAGTCGCCGTCCTCTCCAGGAGCTGGGGGCAATGCCTTGCCGGTCCGGCGGCGATGGGCGCGCCAGGCGTGCCAGGCGCCAGGGTTGCCAGCGGCCTCCAGTGGGATCGAGTCGAGGACTTCCTCGTCGTCAAAGGCGCTGCGGATGTAGCGTAGGACGTCGTACGTGGAGACGTCCCTAGGCCGGGTCTGCATGAAAGCCGGAGTCAAGCCGGCCAGGGATGACGAGGCAGCCGAGGTCGGGGTGCTTGTCACTGAACTGGGCTGAAGTCTAGACCCTGCAGTGGGACGTGGGGGGGTGTGGAGCGGCGTGGTGGGCCTCTGGGCGCTGACCTGCCTGCTCCGGCGACCCCTGCCGAACCATTCGGGGAAGCCATGGCGCAGGCTGAAGCCGCCCGGGGGGAGACGCTCCTCGTCCGTGGCACTAACAGTACCATTATCCTGGATGTCGGTCGTGTACATGTACGTGGTCAGGGGGGCGATGAGAGGGTGGAATATGTCGGTCGAGAAGGTGACGAGCGGCGGCAGGCTGGGATACGTGTCAGGAAACGATATTTGGAAACGGAGAATGGCGGTGACGTAGGGACCTAGAATGAGCGGGGGAGTGGGTTAGTTAGTTGCGTGTCCTCCTCGTCGTCATTGCTACCGCTTTCAACCTTGCTTGCCCTGGTCTCTACATGGAGCCCAGAAAATCATGGTCCTCCTCCTTCACCCTCAACCCCCCGCTGTCAATGTCGTGATCGTGGGACAGGTCATCATCGCTCTCCCCTTGTCACAAGGCTTCCAGGGTGTGAGATGGATGGATAGGTGGGCCGAAGGGGTTAGGAAGTCAAATCCAAACAGACCTCGGCGCACGAATATAACGCCCGACCATAGGCTCGGGTCTCCTGGCGTCAGACTAACATATACGCTGTTGGGACACGCCTGCTTGAGACCGGCACTGTATGTGCGCGCGCCATGAAGCGAGTCAGAACCTCGGCTCCTGGGGATGGGGGGACGAGGGACGGGGGGACTGGGGATGGGGAGGTCGAGTGGGCGAGACACACAATTCGGCAAGCAGGTGCTGTCGCTTTACCGCCGGCAGGTTGCCCATCTTTGAAGCTCCCTGAGAAGCCATCCTCGTACTCTCAACTGCTTAGTTTGGTTGTTCTGGTTCAGGCTAGGTATGTACCTAAGGTAGGTATGCATGTACTGTACAAGCTTCGTCTCAGCTCAGGTGACAATAGGGATTCCCAACAATACGTGTTGCGATGTATTGTAGGTATGTACTGTACGTATGATAAACACCTACATATGGATCCCGCAGGGCAAGAGCCGCGCGAGTCTAGCACTATAGCGCTGTGAAGCAATTCTAATATGGCGATGGTAGTGGTGATAGTGGCTCTCAGGATTCGCATGTATGTCTGTCGTCCGAGGCACGCACGCGCGACGAGGTGGAGTGATGCGTGGTGTGTATGTGCGGATAGAATGTACCCTAGGCAATATGATAGGGCTAGGTGCTAAGGTCCTAGAGTAAATGAAATGCAACTGGCGCGATGTGGAATCCAACTTGAAATGGCGAGCGAATGGTTGTGCGAGATGGCCCGGCTTTGGTTTCTAGTATATTAGTGGTCAATGCGATAACCAAGGTAACTTACGGTTCCGGAGTTTTAACCTTAACATGTTTCAGCTATCGAATGCCCGTAGGTACGTACCTTTTTAGTAGGCTCACTATTCCAACTGCGACCTACCCACTTATCCAGAGACGTGCAAGGAGGGGTTAGGGTTCCGATTGGCAGTTTTGTATCGGGCAGCAAAGCGCTAATTATAAAACTGCACCACTGGGCATCCCATCTCATCCACTCCATACCTTACCTTACCGTGTAGGCAGGTCATAGGCATACAGAATATCCCGTGCAAACCTGCAAGGAATTCCGTATTCGGACGACCATCTTGCCCAACCGTCGACAGCCTTCCTTGCCTTCCCCGTATTAATAATTACCTGTATTATTGATAGGGGTTAGACGGGGTGTCGGTTGTATGTACTATTCTATACTGTGCATGTATGTACATACCTAGGTACATACAGTACTCGGTATATAAGATCAAATGCCCCCGCCACGACACTGCGCCTTATCGCGGGCATGTGGCATGTAATGCATCCATATATAAGGTATGGAATCTTAGGAGGTATACGGGATGCTGGCAGAGAGAGAGCAGCTTGAAGCCTGCCTTCCATTCCTTGTGGCACCCGCCCCTGGCAGCACGGAACACCGCCTCGATGAGCACCGACGGAAACAGGGCCCCCTTGCCCCCGGCCCTCCCTACCTTGGGTTGTGTAACAGTGACAGGGCACCATGGCAACACCGTACTTCCGCCCGCTGAGATCCATGGTCCACTCCTGCTGGGACTTTTTTCTTCGCCGGGACCTTTTGCTCAAGTGACGGGGGGTACCTTTGCCGTCACAGCCCTATCCGCGCATTCTCGTGCTATTCTCCCCCACATCACATGGCTCCATATGCCAAGGGAAAAGAAAGGTCGCCCGTCGTGCCACAACGTTTCCGCCCATGGCCCGTTTGGAGAATCCGCCATCACAAATCCGTCACCTTCTATCATCGCTAATATCACCCTTCCCTTCCTTCTTCCCATGCCGACAAACGCTAGGGCTGGCTCCCCGAGCCACCCCTATCCGTAGCCTCATCCTTTCCAAGCCAATGAGCAAGCGAGTAACGAGCATGGGACAACCAAGAGCCACCACTCCGTAACTACCCAACACAGAAAAGTCACACCGCTTAGTTTTGCTCAGCAAGCGTCTTCTCGATCTTGGTCTTCTCTTGCTTCTTGAGGTCCTCTAGCTCCTCCTTGGTGGCGTCATAGCGGGCTGTCATCTGGTTGAACGGGTTCTCGGGGCTCTTCTCAAACTCCTTCTTGATCTTCATCTGCTTCTGGTTCTGGCGCAGGCCGACCCCGCTGCCATCCTTTTCCATCTCGCTAAGCCGGCGCTGCTCAAACTGTGCGTATGCGGCCTTGAAGCGCCTCTCGGGATGCTTGTCGACCTTGGCATCGGACCCGCCGGCTACCGACAGGGCGTCCAGTGCATTCTCGATACCCGTGGCGTTGAGGGCCGGCAGCGCCATGTTGTCGTCACCGTCTAGCTGCGACAGATCGAGGCCCTTGGTCTTTTTGGGCGCCGCCTTGGCCTTCTTGGGCCCGGCGCGTGAGGGGAGGCTCGCAGCCTCGGCGGCTTCTAACGCCTCGCGCTCTGCCTTTTTCCGAGCAAGCTCCTCCTTTTTTGCCTTCTCAGCTTCCCTGTTTGCATCACCGCGTCAGTACGACTGTCACATTTTCGAAATGGCCGCATTCACATGCTCGCTGTTTTGGTTCTGTGTAACGATATAGAGGTTGCCCATGCTTATAACGGGCGTAGAAGGAATAGAGCGGTGCCCGAGCGTACCGCCATGTGCTCGGGCAAAAGTCTGGGGGGAAGAAAAGGGGGGGCAAAGGTTGTGGCCTGCATGCAAGATGGCATGGCACCCATATCTACGTTGCACGGCACGCACCCACTCCCCTTCCCGTTTGCCTGGACGCACGCTGGCACGCTAGCCGGCAACCAACCGAGCTTCGCGGGGATCGGGGTCTCGCCAACTTACTTTTTGGCGGTGTTCTTCTCTCCCTTTCGCCAATCGTCGTCCTCAACCAGCTGGAGCTTTGCGTTCTCGGCGGCGACCTTCTGTGCAGCGGCTTCCGCTTTGCGAGCCTGGCCTGACGCCTTCTTGCCGCCGACGTCTGCCCCACCCTTCTTTCCAGCCATGGCGGATTCTATGACGGTAGTCTTTAGAGGTAGGTGGCTGGTTGTTTTCCTGATTCGACAAGGCCGTGACAAAAGTCTGGGAAGATCTGTGACGTGTCTGGCCTGGGATGGCCTGGTCAGCCTTGTGGCGTGATATGCTGTGCTAGGAGTCGTCGAGCCTTTTGTCGTCCGCTCCTATGGAAAGGCGTATGTAGATAGTGATTGGATACCCGTGTGCTGATCGTTTCTTGTCGGTGAAATCTGCAACTTTGATGTTGGAACTCGGTGGTTGATGTTGAGTGTTCGCTTCTTGTCGGCGGGGTATTGAGGTGAGGGGACATGAGTGGAGACGAGACGAGCGTTGCGAAAACGGCGTGGGGAAATTCCGCACAGGGCTGTGGTGTATGTATGGTATATACAGTACGTGGTACAGTACAACTATTACCTGTGTGTACCCGTACTGCCTAGATACGTATACCAACCAACGCAATGATTGAAAATACCGACCTTATCTCGGCTACTGGATTGCCTCAGGTAAAGTATATACAGTAGAGTACTGTATTGTTTACCTGAGATATCCTACCCGACCTTACGCGACTGGTCCCCAAGCTGCTTACGTGCATTAGGGACAGAGGTGGGAAGGGAGGTACAGTACATACATACGTAAGGGGCCCCGTAATATTTTGTAAAACCTTATTTCTTTTACTAAATGCCCCTCCTTCGCATGCCCCCCTTAGGTATGCCCCTCCTTAGTCACTTCCCAGTCCCTTCCCTGTCCTTTAATCCGTACATGCATTCACCTCGAAACCTAATGTTCTTAATCAACTGTAAGTTAAGAGCCCCCTAGTATTTGCCCTTAACCTTGATTGCCGCTAGCGCTGGCCCTCGACCTGGCTGCCTCTTGGTCTCGAAACTGTGTGGCTTTTGGGGGCGAAGGGGGCACCATTCTCCCCGTGCCCCTCTCAGCTAAGGCCAGGTTGTTTCTTGAGCGAGTTACTGCTGCAAACAAGCAACCAAGCGTACATAAGGTACCACCCACAACGCCGTCGACCCCCGCAGGTTAGTCCAAAGTCCAAACAAGGAAGAGGCTAGAAGGATCCCCAAGTCCGGGAGCTCCCACTTGCTACTCCTTCCCTCGAAGGAAGGAAGGGGAGGGAGGGGAAACGAGAAACTGCCGTCTTACTGCTTGCGCAACCCAGCTCGGGACAGCCATTAGGTAGGCAGGGAGGTTGCGATGCGGCGCCGCACTACGGCTTCTTCTTAGTACTAGGATCCAAGTATTGGCTAGTGCAGCCGGCGAAGGCATGAGGAGTTGCTGCACAAGGCTGAAAATCGCCATGTGCCTCCGACCCAACACAGACGTCGGCTGACCTGTCTCGCGGGAGAGAGGCGGGGGGGTTCTTCGCGATGCAGCCTCAATTTCCTGATTTCAACTTTCGCCATGCCCATACAGGTGCTGCAAACCATGGGGCTCAATATAATACGAGAAAAAACGCTCACAGGGATGCTTCCTTTTGCGGCTAACAAAGTAAGGTAGAGAACCGACATCATTACATAGCTTGCGGCAGGTTGCCAAGTTTCCCGGGGCAGGCATTTTGTGGCTCAGTTGCCGGCTTGCTACCCACACAAACATCAAGAGTGAGACATTCGGCCGTCCTTGGGCCGACGCGCTGGCCGGCTGGCCCGGACCGCTGACGTTACACAGAATGGGGGAACAGACTGGAGGTCGCCCATTGTTTCTGGGCCGTGTTCTCCATCACGTATCAAGAGCAAATAGGAATTAAGAACACGTCGCGCCCGACATCGGGACCTTCAAAATCCCCGTCGCCGAGGGCTGACTGACTGCCTGCCTGCCTACCTTTGGCATCGTGAAAGTGGACATTGGTTCGGACGATATGCAAGAGGTGACGCCTGCCTGAGCTTGTTTGTTAGCTAGATATCTGTACTGTCGACTCACAAAAGGAGACCTGTGTCTTGGCCATATCTGGGACTTCGTGGCGAGGGCCAACAGACGACAAAAGAAGCTTCCAGTCTTGGAACGGGTCCCCTGCCTTCCCGGCGGCATGTTTGGGTAATCGCGGCTACTTCCCATCTGAGCTCGACCGGCATGGACCCGCAGTCAACGAACAAGCCGCTGGTGCTGCAGGTTTGTTTGTACTCGGCCCCCCCTCCCTCTCTCCTTCAGAGCAATCAGAGCCGTGCTCGACTGCAAATAGGAGAGGCGAGGAGAGTCCGAGGGGAGGTCCGTCCTAGCAAAAGAACTGCCGCCGCATCACTCCATCTCGGAGCCCATGATGTCTCATGACTTTTCTGCCAGGGGAAATAAATAAGGTATCCCGAGATTAAGCCACCAGAGGCCAGCGTTTAGATACTGTTCATGGCCGGCTAGCGCCATGCTTGCTGGGTGGATGCATGGCGGGAATGCATACTCAACAAAAAGACATGCAGCCGATCCAATATCGCTGCGCCATATGACCACCAGGCCCGGAGGAGCACTCCCGCTGCCCTCGGAATGGACGCCGGCCACCCGGAGTCCTTGGAGCGAGGTGGAGCCACGGAAGAGTTAGGAGGAGCTTGGGGAACTCACTATCACCGCCTCTTGTGGGGGGCGCGCGGAGGAGACAGTAAAGGTTGATCTGACGGACGCGGTGGTGAAAGTAGGCCAAGATCGGCTCGTGATCAGAGCCAGCCCGTGCAGCCTCGTCTCTCTCCCTCACTGGTGGAGCGGGCCAGTGAGAGGCTTGATCCAAGGCGGTTCAAGCAGTCTAGTTTCCGGGAACATGGCCTAGGCTTGGCTCACGCTCCTATCAAAGCCACCGTTTGCCCCCCCAATACATGATCCGCAGCGGTCCGAAGAGCAAACGATATGTTCGACAGCATGTGCCCCGAAGCGAGACAGAAAATGACAAGTCACTTATTTAAGTGGCATTCGACACAATTAGAAGACAATGGAGCCGTGATAAGCAACTGTGAATGCACTGAGCCCCCAAAGAGTTGCGCGCCACCATGGTAGCAGGATGGCTATCGCGCCAGGCAAACCACATGGGCTTCATGGAACCAGACTGGCCGAGATGCAAGAAACGGCTTTCTCAGTCGGGCCTAGGTCGTTGTCGATCTGCTTGAGGAGGGCGCTTCTGCTGTGCTCGGCCTTGCCCTGTCCAACACCGGCAACATGGTCCCTGGGAATTTCTAATGGCAGACGTCCGTTCCCATCCGCTCGCCGCTCAACATTAAGTCACGTTCTGTACGCTTCGGGCCCCAATCGTATTTGATATCAAGTACACGAGCAAGAGGCAGAGCGTAACTAGAGACCTGCATCCAGTTTCAATTCAGCGACATATACGCCTGTGGGGTGAGGGGTGGGGTGGGCATGGCAGGCCGATCCTTGTGCGTCGGGGAGGCTGCCAAGCAAAGTCCCGGCGTCGGGGTGGCCCGGCTTGCAAAAGGAGGCCCAGGGGCGGGTAGAACGTCGGTTTGGGGAAGCCGGCGGCCCCGGGAGGAGAGGGGCGGTTGCGCCGTAAAAAGTCGTGAGCGGCCTCTAGACTGTATTTTTGGCACGGCAAGAACCAAGACAACGACATGACAGGCCCAACTCGAGAATGCGGGTTGTCCTGAGCAGGTCGATAATAGGCGTGCCAATCAGCTTGCAGCATCGGGATTCCGCCCAACATACGAAGGGCAACGGGCTAAGCAGAATGAGCACGCACAGGTCGACAGAACCCGAAGGAAGGCTCGCATTGAGGGGCTCACGAAGGCTAGCTTGCTACTGACTGACTTGTGCAGCTTGACAGGGGCACCGCCCTGGCAAGATGGCGACGAGAATCGAATTGGCATCTAGACACGGCAATTGCTGGCATCTCAGCTCAGCCCCGACCACGATCCTGGGTCAGATCAGGCCGTCTGCAGGAGGGTGCGGGCATGACGTTCACCATGTCCAGTGTTGTTGGTGTCTAGAACCAAACCAATGTAGCCGGCTCCGACTTCCAACTAGAATAAGTTTGACCATCCAATGCTCGACGGCGCGTTACGCACGCAAATGCTGCCGCGTGCAAGCCTCCTGGTCCTGTGTGCGCGAGAAAACGGCGATCCAACGCCGTCGAGGTGAGGTGAGAGAGCTAAAAGGGCCGCAGTCTTCGCCGGGAAACGAGAACCTGGATGCCGCTTTCCATTTACTGGGCGTTGGTCGTCGCTGTCTTACGGTGGCGACTGTGTTAAGCGCACGCATGTGCGGCTTGTATAGGCTGTAACTTGACGCATGTTCCGCGGTTCAGGAAGGGTAAATGATGCGTGCTGCTCGGGTACCGGGGAATCAGGCCATCCTCGAGTTCAACATGGATGCCTTTGTTTGCTGACAGACGCTGCGGGTTTCAAATGGTGTCTTGGTCATCCCTGCCGAAGACGTGCTTGGAGTTGCGTCGAGTCAAGATACAGTGCTGTACATCCAGGGTATTCTATCGTTCAAGAGAGACTCGCTATACGGGCGGCAGCAGGACCGAATCAGTCTAGTGAGTCTAGGGCTTGAACAGACGATGTCGAATCCGGGCTTATTCGCGGGCGGTTTCTTTGTAAAGAGGAGATAGGGAAATCGCGGGGTGATGCGCTGAGAGTCGCTGACAAGTTACTGCTTTCAGCTCCATGTCCGGAGGATTCGGCAGGCAAGAGGCGCTGCCACAACGCAACATTCACCATCACCACTGCCACGGCGAACGGGCTGGTCGGAGGCGGCTTGGCGGCGAATAAATGTTGGACCGTAGCCCTAGACTCGCGGCGGGTGATCGTCGTACCATTGGAAGCACGGTTTTTTCTCCCCCAGTAGCTCTTCGATGCATGAACGCACGTCGACGATTTTGGATATTATTCTCTCATTCTTCTGACCAC